CTATAATATTTGAGCTATGTAAATGGAGATTACCGTGTCCCTTCTACAGACAGTAGACGACTCTCCAGAACGCAGAGCCCATAACTAGGGGTATCGATGATTTTCTCTTGGCTGCATACAAATCCCTGCGCCGATCGACATCGGTGAGATTGACCGTTTACGCACAGGCAAATAAATGACCACGGTACAGCTTCCCAAGAAGTCAATCGTAATCGCCGCGGCCTTTGCGCCTTTGAAGCCATTCACCGGGCGCACTTAGACCACATTCGGGGTTTTCCCCCTTTGGAACTCTTTGCCCCCACTAAATCCGAAACCGAAACCGCCGAGCTAAGAGCTAGCCAAGGGCTGAGGACACGGGTACGGAGCACTTTTTGTTTTTCCCTTGCGGAACAATAGAATCCCACACATCCATAGTAACCCAATAGTCTCTAGCTTGGCGCACAATAACACAGGGTCACACATGATCAATTAATACTGACTTTGGCAAAAAGCCATGCATATCATTGCACGATGATGAAATCCAATGTGTGACTGGAGCATGGCGATGACATCAACATGCCGTGGCAGCTGATTCCCGCAAACAAAAAGGGGAAGAGGAATGGAAATAATTAATTAAAATAAAAATAAAAATACATACGCCGAACTCATATTATCTACGGAGTAAAATCACCCCCACGATAATAACATTGCATGCAAAGGGAAGGGGGGAAGAGACGGAAATCAAGATTCAAAAGGCCACATGCTACTGTCTCCCTAATATGTTGCCCATTTTCAAGCCCTTGATCGACAGGAGAAACCCCCCGAATTGGGGAGGTTCGTTGCAATAGCTTCATGAACTTGCCAATCCAACAACGACAATCCCCCTCCAAACCCCACACTAGTCGCGAACAAAAGCTTGCTTGTTTTCGGGAACCCTTGTTTGCCTATCTTGTTGTCCTGACACTTGTTGAGTAGTAGTTCAGCTTGTCTCTCTTGCACGCGGCGCGTACGGAGTACGCCGTATTCGTCTTGCAGTGCAGCGACTAAGTAACTTGCTCCATAGTGCAAGTCAGCACAACGTGTTCACGATGTGCGGATTGGTGGATTGGCGCGTCGGAATCAGGTTTCTGGAGCATGAGGGGTTCGAGCACCATCGTGTCTTCTTTGACTTGCTGTTTATAGAATCGGGGATCGCTTCTCATTGGTCCTGAACACGGGTACCTGGAATTGGTACCTGGCTAGGCTGATTTTAAGATTTGCTATTTGCATTAATGGCGGACCTGGTTGTCCGCGTTGTACGGATGACAGGTGTTGTTTTTGTCTTTGTTTTTGTCCCCCAATATACTAGTAGCAGCAAGTAGAACTTTGGCAGTCCTTTCAACTAGCCAGGTACGCGGGATTACGGAGAAAATGACCACCTATGATACAGATAGAGAAAGATAGAGCCGCGTTGATCGGCGCGTACTAGTAGATGTCTCTGCTGCAGGCTTGTTTGGGTAGGTAGGCCGACTACGACATCATACTGATTCATTTTGCGCCTGAGCTCATGTACGGACCTCGTATACGGCGTGCGAATGTGTCGGGCTCCGGAGCTTCGTGCAAGCTTGTCTCGGTGTGGTTTGCTTACATATGCGTCCAGATGTCAGCTTGAAGCTCTTTGTTTTGTCATGTATTTTTTTTTGTAAATGCATGACGGCGGTTAGCGTATGTGCTCCTAGCATTCGGGCGCAGCCTGACACCTACAGTACGATGAACCTTGAATTTCAAGGTTGGGGGCCGATCGCTGACGAATAGTCGGTGATCCTACTGTGGTAGTTCACGGGCACCAACAGCTTTGATGACAGTAATGACGGAATCGGAGTGATAGCCTTGGAATCATGTTACTATTCTCGGCAAATTCGATTGCCTATCAGGCTACGACTTTTTGCTAAACAACATTCAATGTTGGATGGAAGTGGCTGTGTACATCTGTATAGTACGTATAGCAAAAGTATAGTGTCAGTCTATCGATTGCCGAGACAATCACGAATGTAGTACTGTGATGTGTACTTTCTTCAAGTATAGTATCCATTAAAGATACCGGTACAAGCGCTGTGTACATATTTTGTCTTGGCTGTGTATGCAATAATCATTAGTTCCGGCAAGACAGGGATTTGTTTATTGAACACCCGAATGATCATCATACATATTATTCCTATACATAGCATCATGCATTATTGTGCCAAGTTTCATCCATGGATGAACAAAGCACGACCGCTCGGATGAACCGTTCCTGTCGATCACCCAAAGACCAAAACACTATCCCTAGATGCGGGTGCAGTGTATCAAAACCATTGAACTCAAGTTCCGCCATGACTCTTGGCCAAGCGGAACGAGTCAGTGCAGTCCATGAAATGGATAATTGCGTATGCCAAGAGAAGGCTCTCTTGATGAACCTTACATGGAGACCATACATATTATACCATAGTATATACTATGGATGTATAGTATGTATCCACACTTCTTAAAGAGTCAGCTTAAACCACCTAATCCGGAAGTATGATCAATACCCCAGCTCACGATAAGCCATCTCCAATGTCATCTATCACAAGACCAACAAAAACATCCACCGAAAAGTCTGAAAATCCAATAGTACTTACCCCATAACCCTCCACAGCTACACAATGGCACTTGAATCAGTCTTGGCAAAATTCGGCGCCCGATAGGTCAATCCTAGTCATGATCGTCTTTGCAGGTCTTGGTTGCAGGTCTTGGTATACAGATACGAAAAGCACTCACCCTGGTCCCCGCTCTGTATCGTCATAGGCGCATCTAATCAAATCAAAACAACCAAATACATAGCTTCCATGCATGCATGTAAACATGCACCGATGCCCGCTCTTCCCTTCCCGCCCCTTGATCGACTGTGCAGGACAGGACACTCAACAAAATAGTGCAAGCTGTCTCCGCCGCCCCCTGGACTCCGCCAAGACGCGCCGTGCATCCCACTCGCATTATCGTCTTGGCAGACAGCTCTTTTCTCGGCAAACTCTCTTGTCTGCGCCCCAGTGCCTCCTTTCCTTTTCTGTATGGGGAAGTGAGTGAGTGAGTTTGTTTGTTTGCTTATTTTGGCAATGAACACGGGCCAGGATCTTCGCGGGGCGTAGTGTTGATGGGAGCCGAAGTGAGCCGAGGCGCGCTACCCGGGCACCGGGGCGAAAGATATGAGCAAGGAGTGTTTTGGTGAAGTCTGCTGGTTTGGTTGATAATTCGGCTCTTGGCGGGCGGCGCGAGGTAGGTAGTAGGTACTAGTAGTATGGAGGCTGCTCGGTATGGGTCATACCCACGACGTGCATGTGGGCGTGCAGGATGACATGTGCTAGGCGTACGCATCTTTGGACGTCGAGCGATGCAGAAGGAGGCGGGCTGGATTGATCAGTTGAGGGAGGCGAGGTTTTGCTGATGGTGTGGACGATCATGTGTTGTTATTTCTGGTGATCCCAAGACGCGGTCTAAGGAAGGATGAACGCATGTGAGTACTAGGTAGCCTTGGAGGGGGTTTTTTTTTTGGAACGCGCTTGTGATCGTGTTGTTCCTGGCCGTATGCCGTGTAACAGTGTAGACGAGAACTTTGGGAGCTAGCTGCTGACAGGTTACATTGTATCATGCACATGCGTCGGTGGCATTTTCCAAGGTTCAAGGCTTCAAACATCGAATGTTCGATCGGACCTCGGAGTTATGAATGAACATTTGAATGGATTCGGAGGTGGAAATGCCGTAATTGCTGCCTAGGTGCTAAACATTTAGAGGTTACATATTGAATGTTGTAGAAAGATCATTGTCTGAACTGCACTCCAGGACCCAGGCTGGACTCAAATTTGATGCCAGACACCTGCCAGTAGGCAGGACCTGCTGGGCCTGAGAAAATCTAAGATTTAACATTCAAATGTTTGAATCGACCTTGGAATCAAATGAGTATATACATATCCAGCATCAGTTGAAGGTGTAATTTACAAGATTCCAAATTCCAAGATTCGTAGGTTTTGAAAATTAGGTGGTTCTCCGGACTCTTGGAACAAACATTGAACGTGGATGCAGTACCTAGTATGTATGCATACTACAAAGAGTGCTGTAGCAACATTTGAATATATAAGTGCGCTGTACACACAGTGTTAATGTCCGCTTAGAACTTGGGAAAACGGTGCCGAATCCACGCGTTGGAAGTCTGGAACATTTAGACTGATAAATACTCAATTGATTGTCTATCAATTCAATGGCAATTAACGAAGACATTGTCCATTGCAGGTGATTGCAGGTGCGAAAATGAAGTAGTCCAACATCAATTGATTCAAAGTTATTGATGTGGTGATGGAATTTGGCGGTAGATGCTCCAACGCTTGAATTGGCGCAGATGCGACCGCATTTTTTACAACATTGAAATTGATATATTTAGGAGCTGATTTGATAGTTATTCCATGTCATTCTCATAAAACCGAAGCAGTTCAAATGTTTATATTTATCTGTATCGATAGTAGGTAACCTTGGAAGGTTGCTACGTAAATTTTCTCGAAGTGCTTGGAGCTTAGTGCAGTTATCGCTGCATGTGTACGTAGGCGAGGACACCTTTAATGTCAATTGTCAATTAATGTTAACATCGTCAAAGGTACTTTACAACGCCTGTACATGTGGCATTTTCACGGTCTTGAATGGCCCAGAACGTTCAAATCCAAATGGGTGAGCATAGCTTAATGCTTATCTACATACTCCGGGCTCCCCCCAATCATATGGCTAAAAAATGCTGCAAGGAAGATATGATTCCATATGAGATGATCGGAATGTAAACAGTCAAGTAAACCGAGATCCTGAACAAGCTCCCACCCCTTGAAGGAATGTCAAGTCGCCCCGAGAAACCGGCGGAATGCAAATGAAATTTGCTTCAGACCCTTCCTTCCCACGTGCAGGTAGACTCTGCAAGGAACCAGGCACGCCATACAGCATACTTACCCACGGTCTCAATACACATGAACGACCCGCTGACATCACTAGAAGGTGATACTGACACCAACTGTGCATGGCACAAGAGTCCCTGGCATGGCCTTCTCAATGGCAAATTTGGATCGCCAGCCAGAGCAGTGGCCCGGCATCAATACAGCGGGATCTAGGCGCTTGAGGTCTGCGACTGTCTTCTGGACTTGTAGCTCGTCACTTGTGGCGAGATGGAAGCCGCCCACGACGGCGTGCAACAAGGTGTTTCTGGGCACAAGCTCGAGTGCATGCTTTGAGGCATTGATCACACCGCCATGGCTGCAGCCTGTGAATACGACGAGGCCATTCCCTGGTTGAATGACCGAATGAATATTCACACATCGGGAATCTCAACAGATACTTGGTAGACTGGCATCGGACTTACCTTTGAGATTGACGGCGAGAAAGCGCTCGTCGGCGATCTGCTCGTCGGATGTCCACTCCTTCGTTTCGGGATCAAAGCGCACGGCGCCTCTCAAACCAGTTTCGTACGGCGTTACCCGTGGAATCTCGCCTGAGACGAGAAACATGTCGTCGAGGATAGCGTGGGATATGCTGCTCTTGTTTACCACGGCGCCTGCGCCGGTGATTTCTGCAAAGGTGGGATCCGCTTCGAGAGAGACAATCGTTTCGGCAGCAGCCATACCCCGATAAGCGGGCCGATCGGGATGCAAGTCTACCACAAGATCGTCTGGAAGTCCTTGAGCCCTTTTGGCATCCTTTATCATACGGATGGCTCGAAGAAGACCGCCTGCAGGAGGTCAGCGAGTGATTCATGCCCAAGCTTATAAAGAGTGAAGTCATGAAGCTCACCTGAGTGATCCCGGTGCCAATGTGAAAGCTGGATAACTTCCACGGAAGCAAGATCCAGACGTAATCGCTTCACGTTGCGTTCCCATACGTCTTCTTCGGGGCCGACATCAAAGAGAACAGAATGCTTCTTGTCTCCTTTTGTTGCCGTCTGCAAGAGTATGGAGGTCAGCAATGAATTAGCTAGCATGTCAATCAACATGCCCATATTTCAAGCAAATCGAAAGGTTGTAAAAAATTTTATGATCTCTTACCACCAGAATGGATAATCCATGTGCAGCGCAGCAGATATCGCCCATTTTTAGCTCTCTGCTTGCATCACCGCGATCCGTGATTTCATTGCCCGGGGTGAAAATGAGGCTGCTCATTTGGCCCGTTAACCGGACAGTGTCGGGCGCCGCAGGCGACATGGGGTCGAGTTCATTGTCGATAATAACGGTGGCTTCGAGCGAGTCCACTTCTTGGAGTCTTGGATATGGTGGGTTGTCCATGACGAGCGAGTTGCGGGGCTTAATTTGAATCTGATTATATCGTTGGAAAACAATGAGGAATAGTAAGATCACGGTAAACTGTTGGGTCCGGAGCCTCGCCCCGCTTTTATTTGTAATGGTGGAGGTATGGGTGGAAGAGATCAAATAAAGCCACTGGTAGTGCAGTATGTTGTCGCAATAAACATTGAAAGGTGACATTAGGGAAGCATGACGGATGCCGAGTTAAGCCGATGGAGCCGCCGCACATACAAAATTGGAGTTCGCCTGAAACGGGCACCAGTCTTCTATGCGCAGATCTTAGAAGCTTCCAAATTTAAGTGGACTGAAGGTATCGGGGCGTTGATTGTTTTCAATTGATACTAGAAATATAGAGTGCAAATGAATGAGCTAGATGGCTATGAAGACAGTCAAGATGCAAAGCCTGTGATGCGACGGCGCCCGGTATAGTAGAGTAGAACTGGTGTGAATCCCCAGATGCCCTATGCTCAATCCAAAATGCAAATAACCCCAGAAATATGCAAGATGCATGAATAATACATCAGTATGATATCAAATCACTAAAGGATCTGGTTGGGAACCGACAAGGGTATCATGATGATCGCTCAAAAAGAATCGCTACATATGCTTAGGTGCCCATTCTTGTCCAGGATAAGCGGTGGACGACATAACAATTTCATCACTATTGTCATCTCTGAGAGCGAGTTCAACAGGCTCGGAATTGAGATTCAAAGTCTTCGTCTCATCGCGGTGGGGATGTTCCGAAAGAGTCATGGCAGACACACCCGAGACAGCAATGTTCTTGATATCGATAGTGGCTGTGGACTCGGGTTGAGTATCGGTGGTTTTGCGAGATTTAATGCTCACATTGGGATTGTGGGCTGGTTTGACGGGCGAGGGAGAGTGATGCTCTTCGAGTTCTGCGATGGCCTGCTCAGAAGACTGTCGCTCAACACCCTCAACTTGCTTCTCTTGGGACATTCGGCCTTCGAGTCCATATGGTTGAGTGTTGTTCACGGAACCACTATGGTTCGACTCGGACTGCGGGGTATAAGAGAGGGGCTGGCTCATTAGAGGCATGCTCTTTACACGAGTATGTTGGACAGAAGATGGGGAATCGGTAGATGGGGCCTGAGAATAGAAGCGACCAGATGCCAAATCTTTCGCCGATGCAGTAGGTGGAAGATGTATGCTCGCGCGTTGGTAAGATGCAACATCGCTAGACAGTCGTTCAGTCGGAGCGTTTGCGGGGCTCTCTCGTCTGTCCTGTGAGTCTGAAAAGTGTGACCGATCGGCCACAGGGGGAGCGGGCAAATCTTTGTCCACTAGACCGTCACCCTTAGACTTCGGACGGTCATTTTTCTGGTCCACTGAAGGTTGAGAATCGGAGCGAGTGAAAAAGGTCTATGTCACGTTAGGAAAATACTTTGGAGGGTAAGGGTCTGGAAATACAGAACATACGCTAAGCTTGCTGAAGCTCCGTTTGCGCTGATGCTTATTCTCCTTCTCTTGCTTTTCTTGAGGCTCTGGCTGATTGATCTTCTCCTGGAGGCCCCGGAGTCCTCCTTGAATACCAGACAAGAGATCGCCCACTGAAGCACGTCGCCGTTTCCCGAAGCTCTTCAATTTGTCCATCTTGGACTCGGAATTCTGTGCAGAAGAGTTCGTCTCTACACGCGAGGACAGTTCATTGGCAGGCGTGGTCGGACGAGTACCTCTGCCGTTGTTACTTTGTCGGCCCCAGCTCCCAAAGCTTAACATACTGCTTCGCGTTGCCGGCGAGTATCTAACTTCATTCCTGAGGGGACTTTGGAAATTTGGCGTAGAGGGCGGAAGCCCGCTAATTGACTTTCGCTTTGCATCAAGGACTTCTGCAGAGGTTGCGGGTCTTTGTGGGAATTGGAAATCAGCACCTGGGGACTCATCTTCCGCGGATGGAAGGGAAGATGAAGACGTCTTAGCCCGGGGGCGAGTTTTCCCATACATGGGATTTTCTTCCTCTGGCGATAGTGGCTGTAATGGAGAAGGTGGAGTATCATCCTCTTGATCGCTCGTATCCCTCTCATCGGCCCCAAGTGTTGAGACAGACCGCTGACGGGTGTGTCCCTCCTGAGGAGGCGCGAGATCCTTTGCTGGGATAGATGGCGGAGTATCAGTTGGCGAGAGAGGCTCTGGCGGAGTCCTGGGCGGAGTGGCGGGTTCGGTCTCAATGACAGGACGAATTGTCGGAATCGAGGCCGGCAGCATTCTGATAGCAGGCTCAGTGCTTGATCTTTGACTGCTGTGCATACCAGCTTCATGAATGGCTGTGGATTCGTTCTTGAAAGGGGACCGCGAAGTTTTTTGAGGCCGTTCATCAGACTCGTTGGAGGTCAATGGCAGCTGGGTGTTGGCCAGTGGATCGGATAGAGGTTTAGTCGGGGATAAGCCAAGGGCAGAAATCATTTCCTGCTCGAGGTCACCAACCAGGCCAGAACTTGTAGTGCTTGCCTTCCGAACTCGATTTTCATCCGATGGCAAAGGCGGCAAAGGCTGCGAGGAAGCTCTCTCAAATGTATCTTGACCATCGGGTTGAAGGCCTCGGATATCCATTGATCCGGTGGATTTGAAGCGTTTACCGGAACGGTCCATAATCTGTGCATCGTCCTCTGAAGTAGCAGATGCATTTTTGGTTTGTCCAAACTTGAATACTGGCAAACTACCCAGGTTGACAGATTTTCGGAAGAAAGAGTTACCCTGGGAATCATTGGATCCTGACTGCAAGCCGAAGTGAAGACTTCTGGGTCGAGAAGTCGACGACTGACCCTACAGCATTACCAACATTAGAAACGGGAGCAAACTAAGGGTGGAATGGTAGAATGTGCAGAGATGGAATAGAGAGATGCATCAATCATGTCGCATTCTAGTGTCCAATGCCAGAGCGATGGGAAATTACATCGTGGTATAAGAAAGTTTGGAAAGAAAGAACCGAAATGGAGACACCGCTGCGCTGGCCGTCCGGCGCGCCATTCAAAAAGTGGAATAATACCCCGGTCAAACTGAAAAGAAAAAAAAGATCATGTATCTACCTTGTCTCCGCCAGCCCGGAACTTGCTTCTGCCTTTGGCAAAGAAGCCCTTGGCAGCTTCGCCGGCTTTGCCGCCAAAAGTGCCCGCTGTATGAAGGAATTCCTTGCCACGTTGTTCAACATTTGACTTGTTGATAATAGTCCCAATATTACCAGACGGTCGCCTGACATGGCTGGCGCTGGTGGGATCTCCTTCCTCCTTGGGCGTAGTCAGGTTACCGATGGATGTGAGCTTCTTGGGGAACCGACTCCTGATTGGCGATTTTCTAGGTATGTCGGAGATGCTCTGGCTAGTGTAGACTAGGTCTGAATGCTCCGGGTGATTTTGAATAGTGACTTGAAGCCAGTGGTTCAACCCGCTATTGAGGGCAGCAAACTGGTCTCTAGTATTGTCAAATGCTTTGGTACGTTCGCCGGGGGAGGTAAGAGTGAGAATTTCACGGAAGCCTTGAAGTTTGTTCTCGTCAATGGACGAAGTACCCACAGGCATAGTAGGGACAATATTTTGGAGTCCTTGCCCATCCACTGGCCCTAAAACTTGCACAGGAGGGGAGCTGTTTGCCGGAATTGGAGGTACAATTGAGAGTCTGGGCTTTTCAACGCGAAGGCTATCAGAGCATTCGCTATCGTAAGCCGGTAGCTCCCTATCAACATTCTCGGGTGCATGAGCGACGTCATCAGAAAGAGCAACAGGTGGTTGCAGAGCTAAAGGAGTATCACCGCTGACAGGAGCTTGAGTGGGCCGACCAGTCGAAGAAGATGATTCCCATGAGAATCGTCTCCCCAGCCGGGGCTTCTGAAGCGGTTCATCTGTCGCCAAAGAAGGTTCGACGGGGGTTTGGTTTGTTCCATATGGATCTTGGGAGCCCAGTGGGTGAGAATTGGTCCAACCTGGGTGGCTTTCCGAGATCAAAGCCTTGGGAGTCGCATCGGGACCAGGTCCAGTTTGTTCATCCCAATATTTTTCATACTGGTGGGGGATAGAATCCCCCTGGACTTCTTCAGCGCGGGGGATCTGTTCTGGTTCCTGTGAGCTCTCTCTGCTGAGGGAGCGAATTATTTCCTCGCGCAGCCGGTCATTATCTTCATTTTGTAAGGAGTCAATGTTAGGCGCAGGAATAATTGTGGGAATACTGCCACGGTAGCCCTCAGATCCGAACTGCTCCGACATCTTCCTCTCACCAAATTTCAGCGGTGCAACAAAGTCCTTCTCAGTAGCAGGGGCTGCCACATCGAGGGGCTTCTGTAACGGAGTTTGACCTGGAGAGATGGAAGACATTTCTGCTTGACTCTGCGAAGGTGGCTCCTGCTCGGTAATGATTGCTTTCTTCGAAGGGCTGTTGTCCCGGCTCGGGATACTCAGGTCCCGACGGTGGCCGGGAATTAAGGCAGGCGCATCATCAAGAGCACCAGTTGGGGTACTCAGCTCTGCAGGCTCTTCAGGAATAGTGGGTGTTCTGTCATGAACTCCACGGTTACTAATTATGGGACTGATTGTTGAGGTTCCATCGCTGTTTGACCGAGCAACACTGCCAGCAGTGGAATTTGGGGTTTCTGGGACGTCGAAAGCTTGATGAACCACCGATGTGAACCCCTGGGAAGCGTCTGAGGCTTGAGAGGCCTGAGACGGATTGTGTTGCAAGGTTGGCTCTCTGGTTTCTGTGCTAGTTGGCTGCTGACTGGAATCGGGCGAGTCTAGAAAATCGGTCCCAAAGGAAGACATTCGCTGGATGTCCGGTAATCCAATAGCAGGCACATTCTGTGCTGGATTCGAGACAGTGCTGTTGGTGACAATCTGTGGTGCTTGGCCTCCGGGCTGTAAGGAGACAGGAAGAGCTCCCACCTGGGGGGAGCCCGTTGGTGCCTTCTCCTCTTGCACGCGATTGTATGGGTCCGCGGGCCTGGTAAAGGCAGCGGCCTTTGTTTGCTCGGTACGTGCATCAACGATAGGGCTTCCGCGAGACTCATTTTCGATTCCAAATCCCATCCCGGACAGACGTCTCGAGCTTAGCTCCGATGAGCTGCCGGTTCTTTGTGTGGCATATGGAGGTCGGGGCATAGCTGGAGGGGCTTCCTCTTCTTCTTCTTCATCGTCATCTTCGTCGCCCCAGTCTCCACCATCGTACGAGTATTGCTTTGCTTCCACCCAGCGTTTTGTCTTCGAGCGGTTGACATTTGCGCGAAAAGAGATTGGGTTGCATCCTGCGCTTGCTGGCGAGAGGGGGCTGTTCGCACTGGGCGACGACGAGCTAGTAGAATGTCTCAGAGCTTGTGCAACAACCACCAAGTGAGGGGGGGGGGGGGGGTTGTATAGATAGATAAAAGACATGTATAGTAGGAAACTTACAGATTTTGACCTGTGCGGCCCTGAAGATTAGGATTCGCCATCAGTTCGAAAGCGTCCAAAGGTTCACAGTTAGGCTAAGTATTCAACATTGGTTGTTGCCTGCTAGATCACAAAGTGCCGACCTTGCGCTTTAACCTTCATCAGTTAAAAGGTGGCACTGGGGGAAGCTTTGACAAAAGGAATACCCACACAAAAGAAGTGAGTGGTCAGGATATAAATGAGGAGATAGGCCGTTGGTTGGTGGTGTGAGCAACGTTGCCAATGCGGGCGCCGATCGGACCGGCTAGTTGAGGACGGGGCGGGAAACAAGATTATTTGTACAATGGTCGGAGATGACGTGTTCACCAAATGAGAAGAAATGGATATGGTTCGAATGCAATTGGAGAAGAAAAGTAAATTGGAGCGAGAAGTAAGGTATAGAGAAAACAAAAGGTGTTATATCAACTTTCCCCTGATTTAGATCCGGGGAAGAAGGCAAGAGTGGCATATAAACCGTTTAGGTAACAATAATTTACTGCTAAATTTATCCCAAGGCGGTGCACGGTGATGTAAGCGGTGGCGCAGGAGCGGGTCACGTGGATCCATCGCGATCAACGTGTTTCGTTTTGAGTTGACAAGTGCCCTGAATTTAGAGATCGAGGCAACCTAGAAAGAAAAAAGGTCCGCAATTGTTGTTTCATCATTTCCATCAATTTCTGAGCCCAGTTGCCGATTTACGCTTCCCCAAATTCCATTTTTGAGCACCAGGCAACTGCAACCGGACAACGCTACCCCTTATCGATTAAAGATAGTTGGATCACAACTACCCCCAAAACAGCCACCGAGCTTCTCGAATCTCACTCTTCTGGACGTATCATAGATACGCCGTTTATCCGCCTTTTTCAGCTTGAAAGATTTTATACCTACATAATGACCGGCCCGTCAATCCAAGACCGCACCAGCGAGTTTAGCTCTATCCTGGGTCTAGCCCAGAAACGACATGGAGCCTCGAAAGTTGGAACTCAGCGTCAAGCGCTGTTGACAGATACCCAGCGACGACAGGCCAATGGATCCCCATCGGGCGCGCAAGAGGTGAAAGCGGGGCGCTCGGAGTTTGCGCGAAGGGCGAGGGATATTGGAAAGGGGATTACTGGAACAACAGCGAAATTGCAGCGGCTTGCAGAGTGTGAGTGGAATTCGGATCATGCGTCGGAGGTCAGAGAGTGGTATAATCTGACAGAAAATTAGTGGCGAAGCGCAAAACGCTCTTCGACGATCGGCCTGTCGAGATTTCCGAATTGACATATGTGATCAAGCAAGACCTGGCGTCCCTGAACCAACAAATCGCGTCCCTATCCGCCTTGACCCAGGCACAACACCCGAAAATGAATCGCTCAAAGACGGATCAGGAAGGCGAACACAATGATAACGTGAGTGGGGACTCTGGGGAAAAGCGCGCTCGGGCCACTGCTAATGGGTCCTAGGTTGTTGTTATGCTACAAGGTAAACTCGCCGATGTGGGTGCGAGCTTCAAAGACGTTCTGGAGGTTCGGACGAAGAATATCCAAGCATCCCGCTCAAGGACCGAGAACTTTGTCTCTTCCGTGTCATCCAAGTCGCAAGGTGCCCTCGATTCTCAACGCTCCGATTCACCTCTATACAATCCTTCGGGGAGACGAACCCCTCAGCCTGGATACCAAGGCAACTCCTCAGACTTATTGACCCTCGACCCCTCAAATCCTTCTCCTCTGGGACGTCCATCTATGCAATCAGACCAACAACTCATGGTTATGGAGGAAGCACAGTCGAGCAACAGCTATACCCAGGCCCGCGGAGAAGCTATTGAGGCCATTGAACGCACCATCAGTGAACTGGGTGGTATTTTCGGACAACTAGCCCAGATGGTCAGCGAGCAATCTGAAATGATTCAACGCATCGATGCCAACACAGAAGATGTCGTGGACAATGTCGAGGGTGCACAGCGAGAACTGATGAAATACTGGGGCCGTGTTTCTGGCAACAGATGGCTGGTCGCTAAAATGTTCGGCGTTCTGATGGTGCGTATTTTTTGATTACCCCCCTCATTATATGCGACGATGCTAATCCATGTCATAGATTTTCTTCCTTCTCTGGGTCCTGATCTCAGGATAGACAGCCTTTTTTACCTTTTACCTTTTACCTTTTTTTCTTTTCATACTGTATCATAATACCTGTCTGTACCTTCCAGGCAGATAACGGCCCCCACCTTCTGCATGTTCTTCTCATCCAGCATTTCCTTCTTCCATCTTGCGACTAGACTCTGGATGTCTGCCTTCGCTCTCTTCCCCCCTTTTCTTTCTCTTCTTGGGACTGTGTCCTTTCCAAGAGCTACCGAAGTAAATACATCATGTACTAATCCACAACCATGAACTTGCTACCATTAAATGAGCATTATATTTATACTCCAACACTTTGAATCTATTATCTACATCCTTTAAACAGTATTGAGCTGTGTCATCGCATCCCACAATTCCGACTCTGCCCACCCAAGGGATGGCTGATTATCAAAGAGCTCCCACATGAGATTGTCATTCCAACCTTCCACAGAGGGTATTGATTGTGGTACAACAGAGACTGCACTGCCGGGACTCGGACACGGCAGTGTATTGAGATTACAATCTGTAGTTCGACTGAACACCTCTGCGTAGGGACCTCCGAGAGCAGGTACTCTCCCACTCGATGTACCCGGAAACTCTGACACCATACCCTGAGAGGAAGACCATGCATTCTTTTCCCTGATGAGCGGTGTGCAAAGATCCAAAAATTTAGAAAAGAGGCCATAAAGCTTGCCAATAGAGGCATTTGCTTTGGCAAACTGGCGCAGGTTTCCAGTGATCTCTTTGATCATCTCGAAATCGCGATGGTCAGATGTCGCAACAACGTTGCAGAAGAGCACGAAGAATGGTGAAAGCGGGAATAGCAACATGGTCCTGATGGAAGCATTAGCCTTACTTTCGTTGGTCCCAGGCCCGGAGCCAAAAAAAAAAAAAGCATTTTGAAGAGGACATACCAGGTAAGGAAGTATGGATAAGAATTGACTGATATCTCGTCAGTGGAGAACGCCTCTTGTAAGGCTCGAAGAGTGATAAGTCCCTCCCGAGCCGCATAAAGGCAGTCTTCACACACTAAGCGAGATTTGAGGACTGAGGAGCGTGCCCTGATGATCGTGGTCAAGACAGAGTAATAGTTGAAATCCATAGAAAGCCACTCGCGCCGTAGAATTGGCCACGATGCCTGGAATTTCACCTGCTGTCGGATTTGATGCTTCAGATGAGTCAGTTACTGTATTGTATCGCTTTGGATTTGTGACAGCCGCCAAAACTTACAATTTTGAGGTTAGAATGAATTGTTTGTGCCCGGACCACAAGATCAGACAAACGGCTCGCCTTTTCCATGTCACTCATTTCTTTGGTGTCGAGGAGAACATGCAAGAGAGTGCTTTTGATATTAGCTAGCTCGACAATTCCCCCAATCATTGCTGTTGTGGGCACCTCCGGGTCCAAATGGATCAGTTGCGAAGGCTCGACCTTTAGTTCTGGCAATGACGGCGGCCGGAGAAGAAGCAGGCTAAGCGTCTTGTCAAAGTAGTAGCATGTGTAAATACAGGCATGAATATCTTCTTCCACTTCGCTTTGAGGTACAGGACTGGTGATATTATGGTAGTTCAAGGCAACTATAACTCTGGAAGCAAATGCTGTTAGCATCCAACAGCGGGACATGTTTCCCAGGTATTGCATCAGTCGTTTCTGTAGCTGGCATTAGTATAGGCCGCACACAAACGAGGCATCGATTCTCTTCGAACTTACGCCAGATAACAAGGCTTGTAATAAAGTCAGACTTGGAGCGGCCGTTAAAGGGACCGAGTTCAACTCTTCAACAGCGGCAGCTTCATACTGCTTTTTCAGAGTCCTGAAATGCAACTTCAAAGGCTGGCTTGATATCAAAGGCGCTAACTTTGAGATGCAGGAAATGGCTTTCACCCACACACCGATCCGGTAAAGCTGAAGTAGCTGCTCACTCTCAGTTCGCTCGATAATGGCCAGACCCATGCGCTCCAGGGTTCTATCCGAAATATGATCAGGCCATGCAATGGTTCCTTGGGAGTTAGTCATTTTGTCGGACCCTGCAATAACATAAATGAGCACTCAATGTTTCTGTTTGGAAAGCATCACCCGGAAATAGTTACCTGGTAGCATCATATAAAGCAACTCCGGCGTAAGGGTAGGAGGTGTAGTATCTCCAATTTCAAGTTCCTCGGCAGCACCGGTCTCATAACGGTGAATTCCAGGATTCGAAAGTTGACTGACAAATTTCTGTGCCATTTCCAGTGTTGCTCGCCTGTCCTTTGAAAGAGCTGGGTTGCATTGGAGCTCATGTTCAATGTATTCCCTCGCCTCACTGGCATGTCGCGCTGATCCAGGTAAGTGTCGTTCGGAGTGGATATTTGGTGCATTGCCCTGCGATATTCTGCGTCGCATCCCCTGTCCCTCAGGGGAAACTGCTTCATTGATAGCGTGATCTGACTGGTGCTTTCTCTTCGACGCTGATTTGGTGGAAGCAGCCGGCTTCCTTTGCGGAGATAATGGTGTGATTTGATTTGTCTCATTGTGTCCTACGGCCGGCGAAGGCGATGAGAAAGCTGAGGTGTCATCACTTGTTTTCTCGAGCTTTGCCAGTCGGTCTGATAAGGCCTCGAGCCTGTTGGTAATGAGTTATATGGACAGTCAGAAAATATTACCGGGAGGATACCTACCGAGATACTCTGGGCCGATGGACCCTCGCTTGACGAGCACGACAGCATTCAACCTGTGCATCTGCACAGTTCAGACATGGATCTTGCCGATCGCATTTTACCTAGGAACAGTTAGCCTCAGTGAGTTTCGCCGATTTACTACTGATAATCTGACCTTTCTTGTATGGCACAAATCACACTGTCAAAAGTTAAGAGATGCGCATTTTGTGGGTCATCGGGCGACCTACTGCAGGCATTGTGGCCATCATTTTATCAAGACCAAGGGAGCAGAATATTCTCAGAACCACAAGTTAGCCAAAACAATAATAATTTATTTGGGGTTGAAGTTTTGACAATAAATTTGATAAATTCAAATGCTGAGATGGAAAACGAAAACAAACGTGGAGTTGTCCTTGGCCTTGGTTCTTAAACTGTCGGAGTTCTCCGAAAAGCCGAGATCCGATCGAAATAGTCTAGTGCGTTTCCAAGAGATCACTAGTACTGTCTACATATTGATTCTAACATTTGAAGGTGACTTTTGACTTTCAGCCTTATATGAGCTGAAGGTTATAATTAAGCTTGAAGGGCTGGAAGTTGAAGCATCCCAAGATGCTGTTCAATCCTACCATTTGTCTCCCCCCAAAGCATTGAATCTCTGCTTGGTTAAATTCCGGGAGTAGCAGACCTTGACGACATCGACCATGTACTTGTCAACTTGTAGTAGATCTTCATTCTTAGACATAGCAGTATTTACAGTGGAACTTGACAACTGATCCATGAATAACCGGAGCAAGCTCCTCAGCTTCATGTGGGACGGCCCCTCGCCGCAGCATTTCCTGATGACAGGCCTCAAACCAAACTTTATCCAGACCGAGACAATCATTGGTGATTTTGTTGGGACCTGAGCTTGAACTTGCCACATACTGGCCTAAATCCTCGCGCATCTGCCACATGAACTCTCTACGACGGGACCGGTGCGAGGCATGGGGAGGAGACTCTCGTTTATCTTCATCGTGCGCAACTGCGACGAAGAATTCAAGTATTCGTTCCAACGTCGATGTCATCAGAAGCAGACTGACCCAACTTTCCGAAGATGTATGGGTGAATTCGGGATGCATGAGCCGACGCACAGTTTTGCAGAGCAGTTCCAAGCAGTGCTGACTCGAAAGAAGAATCTGAGTATTTGTGAAAGGCCATGTTTGTAAGATTGATTCTTGATATTCAATTGGCTTGAACAGGTTGGCATGTTGGACCGATGAGTCTGGACCTGAGTCATCTGCTGCACAAGACTCGAGAAAGAAGATGACGTGCGCCCTAATATGTATTAAATGTATGCTGAAGCTTCTCTGTTGACAAAGGGGGTCCATACATTGGATAAAGAAGTTTTGCATGAAGCGTCGCTACGGCTCTACTGTAGACAACTTCTTTCTCTGTCTTTGAAGAGGTCCAAAGCGGTTGAGCGATAGGGTCCGTGTCGAGATGATGCCGAACGGTGTGATCGGCCAGGTAATAAGAAAGTTGAATGCAGGTTGTCCAACACCTTTTCAGATCAATCAAGTATGCAAAAGAATAATCTGCATCATGATGATCGTCCCCAATCGCGTAGTGAGGTGGGGATGGCGGGAATAGCTCCGATATGAAGGTTAAATCGTCGCCTGGCGAATGATTTGCATCGCAGTCTGATCGCCGATGAAGATCCAGATACGAATGTGATATAGCCAGTTCATTTTTAAAGATTTGTCGATGCAAGAAACGACATGTCAATGCCAGTGATACAATATCATCTAGCTCACATAACGAGGCCAGTCTGACAAGAACACAGTCGGGAAGTCGTTTCCATATGGACTCTTTTGCTCCGATGGGGAAGGATAAATTTTTCTTTCGATGAGAAAGAGCGGTTCGAAGTCGGTTAAAGATTGGTGGCATGGTTGGGCAGTTTTTATATGAATCATGCCGGCGATGTTATGGCACAACGTGAGCATTGCAATATCGTTCTTTTTGTTAAGTCTTAAAACGCCTATCCAAATTTCTGTGATTAATAATGGAGCTTTCTTTTGGAAACTTGGAAGGATATGAGAGGAGATAGTGGAGTAGTGGAGTTGAGTTGTGGCATTGAAACCTGAAACACGAGGGCCCACATAATGCCCCACTATTCAGGCAGAACAGAAATTGATGCCTGAGGAATATCTTCAGTTTTCAATTGCCTTTAATGTGTTATCAGATCCCGTTGATCGATACTAGATATAAAATCGATATTTAATGGAACCTAAAATTTCCTAGCCAGCAGTCAAGGTGGGATAGCTAGTATTAATTACTACTCACTGCTTGAGCTATTGCGACTGCTTTTGACCACTTTAAGACTTCGTTATTCCGGCACTTTATAGCCGCTTCCCTTACCGCTTTCCTCGAAATCACTATTCCAATGCTATTGGCACCTTTGCTTACTACTAGTATATAAACAACTTTTTTTTAAAAAATAAACCTTAGTATGTTACACACAATGGGCTTAGCCTCAAATACACCAAAGTCATATTCTTGTGTGGTCTGTCACAACAGAAAGGTCAAATGTGATCGCAAAGAGCGGTGCTCAAATTGTGCAAAGGCCAGTGTTGAGTGTATTTACCGCGCTCCGCCGCCACCGCGTCGTCGCAAAAGAGAGCTTGACGCGAGTGCAAGCGCGTTTCAGGAACGCGCGAAGTTGCAACGGCGCGAGCCTTCACGAGCTAATCAGCCTGGTGAAGAGTCATCAAGAACTGAAAATGAGCCCTCTAATTTGGAAATCAAGCGAGGTGGGTCGGGAAGGATGGTCATAAAGGATGGAAATTCAATTTATCTCGACAAGTTAGTGATGTCTTGGACTGACCAAATCTGGGGGCATTGTTTGACATTCAAATAGTAATCTTTGGACAAGTGTCAGCTATGAGGTTCGTGAGATTCTGCGATCAAACTTGATTTTTCTGACAACCCGATATAGCTTCCGGATGCAGCAGATGTTATGAATAATGCGTCTGATAACCCCAGTGAAGACTTACCGCAGGAAGAAGATATCCATGAATCTGAAATGCTCATGGGGATTGCTTCTTCAAAGAGCCTTGCGGATCTACATCCAAACCTTCTGCAAATTTACAAATTATGGGTGACTTTCTTCGAAAATGTCAATCCTTTGATCAACATCTTGCATTGTCCAACGCTTCGGCCACAGATGATGGTGGCTGTCACTGGTGATCTTACGAAAATAGGGAAGGAGATGGAAGCGTTGCTATTCTCCATATACTGTATAGCGTTGGTGTCCTTACAGTCCGACGAAGTGGAAAGAACATTCGGTGAAAGTAAGAAGAAGCTCCTCTCACGATGCCGACGAGGAGCTCAATTAGCCCTGAGCAAAGCCTCGTTTCTTCGCACCTCAAACTTCATGGTGCTACAAGCGTTTGTACTATATTTGGTAAGCTTAAAACTCCGCTTTGGAGTCCCGATTCTTACAAATTATCTTAGTTATCCATGCGCGCATTCTCTGATCCACATACAATCTGGACCATGAGTGGCGTTGCCTCACGAATTGCTCAGAGAATGGGGGTTCACCGTGACGGTACCGGCTATGGACTGAACCCATTTGACACTGAAATGAGACGACGGCTCTGGCTTCAACTCGTAGTCATCGATGCTACGTCTGCACAGTTCTGTGGTGTCGCTTCAAATCCATTGCCCGCCAATGCTGATACCAAACCACCGATGAATATCAACGATAGTGATCTGGAAGAGTGCATGGCCAAGCAGCCAAGTGAAAAGCAAGGCCCAACGGAGATGATTTTCTGCCTTGCTCGTAGCGAATTTGGTCAATGGCTTAGTCGCTGGAGCAAAACTGCAGGCCCCTCCAATTCGCCGTGGGCGTTTTTATCTTCACCGTTATTGTCGATAGACGAAAAGGATAATGCCATCAATGAGCTGGAGAAAGTCATGGAGAACAAATTCCTGCAATATTGCGACCGATCTATTCCTCTTCAACTGGCCACAATAATGATGGCTCGTTCCGCCATACATTACACCAGGTTGGTGGCGCATCATCCACGACAGTACCGAGATGGCAATTCTTGCGTTTCACAAGCTGAAAAGGATGTCATTTTTGAAAATTGCCTCAAGATGGCAGAATATGCAGACCATACCCAAACAAATCCCGACGTGCAACGGTTTAGATGGCATACGGTGCACCATATGCCTTGGGATGCAATGATCTTCATGTTGTCTGAGATGCATACCCGTACTGATCTAGAGGAGAAAAGCAAGGTTTGGGAGATTATCGGAAATATTTATTCCCGCCATGTTGGACAAAGGCGCACAAATGCCGAGTCTCCCCTTCACCTGGCCATGCAAAATCTCATGCTCAAAGCCTGGAAAACTTACACCGAGGAGTGTAACCACCAGCATCGTGCGCCAACGCTTTGTCCGACCATAATACTCGCATTAATGGGTAATTCCGAAGAAGTCACCTGGTCCCAAGCCACGCAAGAGCGAGCAAATATTATTATAAAAGAACCACAGCATGGAATATCCGATGGAAGATCTGACGAAAACAGAGATTTTGATTTTCTGTTCCAAGACACCTCGATAGACTGGAATGACTGGGATGGCCTGTTAACTCAATTCCAGGAATCGCTGATGGATGATATGGTGAATTTTACGACTCAGTGAAACAAATATCACAGAATGCAACCTTGCTGACAAGACGTATTCGGGTTTTCTTTGTCTTACGACGCGAAAACCAAGAAACCTGGTCTTAGTTTACCCCAACTGGCGCTTTACGCGGGCCCGATCGGGACACGACGATCTTGGCCACATTGTCTTGTGTCGGCCATCGGTGACTTTTATACCCGACCGCGGCGTTATCAGCCCCGATTGTCCGCTTCAGCTTGGGGCAAAAACAAATCAAGCTGGCCCTTCTTAGGGTGTTCGTCATAAAAGAGCAAAAATATTAATTGTGTTCTTCAACTAGCGAACATTTTGCGTTTTCGAATTTCCAAACTTCGATCCTTCTCAACGATCATTGCCATTCCCGCATAATCAAAGAGATGTCCCAAATAGACGTCCTCATCATTGGCGCAGGACCAACAGGTCTGGTTCTCGCTCTTTGGCTCCATAAACAAGGCATTAAAGTTCGCATTGTTGACCAGGCAGATGGTCCTGCAAAAAACTCTCGAGCCCTCGCCGTCCATGCGCGCATCTTGGAGTTGTATCGGCAGCTCAACCTGGCTGATGAACTAGAGGCAAACGGGTACCCGGTACTCGCAACCAACATTTGGGTCGAGGGCCGACACCGTGCACGTATCGGACTGTCAGAATTCGCTCAAGAACTGACACCGTATCCGTATATTCTAATGCTCTCACAAGACGACCATGAACGCATACTCGAAAACAAACTCCGGTCCTTTGGAATCACTGTTGAACGAAACACAGAATTTTTGCGATACTTGGATCGTGAGTCTGGCATAACGGCAACTTTCTTCCAAAAAGACAATGGAAATGAAATCAGCTGTGACGCATCATATATTGTTGGCTGCGACGGCGCGTATTCGGCAGTGCGACGGGGAATTGGCGCCAAATACGAAGGGGATACTTATATCCCCTTGTTTTATATTGCGGACCTTGAAGCCACAGATGAAGATAGCCCTCTGTTCAACGGCGAAGGGCATCTAAGGATCATGGATGACAAATTTACTCTGATACTACCTTTTTCCGACAGTAGGCGTGTCAGAGTGGTTGGCACTATCACACCAAACGGCGATCAGAAAGTCGACATGTCAAGCCCTCACCCAGATGTCAGTTTCGAAGACGTACTCCCAGATATAAGGACAGCATTGGGAATCAGCATCAAAAAACTGAATTGGTTCTCTACGTATCGAAGTCATCATCGTGTTGCCGACAAATACCGTAATAATCGAGCATTCCTCGTCGGGGATGCCGCGCATATCCACAGCCCCGTGGGTGGCCAAGGCATGAACACTGGTATCATGGACGCCATTAATCTTGCATGGAAGCTTGCCACCGTGATTAAGAATCCCGAAATGAACGAATCATGCAAGAAAAGCCTCCTAGATTCCTATGAGACCGAACGCCGCTCCTTCGCACTCGATGTCGTCGGTGCAACTGACCATGGCTTCACTGTTCTCTCGGGCAAGGGATTCTTTTCACGCCTCTTGCGCAATTGGATCATTCCATATCTCGTCCCAATACTCACCAAGTTTGACTTCGCAAGAAATCAAATCTTCCGGCGGGGCTCCCAGCTTGTCTGCAACTACCGTGGAAGTCCACTGAGCCAGAACATTGAAAATTCAGGTTCGGAGAAGATACAACCAGGTGATCGGTTACCATGGGCAAAGACCGAATTGTCGGATAATTACTCGACAATCCACCACATCTCCTGGAGTCTCCATGTTTACGGTGCCAAACGACCAGAGCTGGTCAAGTGGTGCAATGGAAACAGTCTTCAGCTTGCGGTATTCGAGTGGGACCCGCAGTACGACAAAGTCGGCTATAAGCAGGATGCTGTTTATCTCTTGCGACCAGATCACTACATTGCAGCCATATTCGAAGGCGAGTCTGTGGAAACAAGTCTTGAAGAATATTTTTCTTCGCACGGCCTGGCATACTAGAATTTCATTGCATGGAATAGCGACGTTGTGGGAAATTGAACATTTTGATACCTTTGCTGCTTGCAGAACGAACCATACGCCTAAAATGGGCCATGGATCATATTAATCCGATTTGTCGTAACAGGAAGCCTGGAAAGTAGAAGCAGATCAGCCTCATAGTTGAATAGTACAATCTAGCGCGAGTGTTCGTAGTGAGCATGCTATTGAACCCTAGCGCGTACGGTGAATTAGGGTTGACAGGAAGTGGACCACAGATCCGATCCACTCCCCGACCCCGCAAAATGTCTTCCTCAATCTTTTCATAGGCCCAAACAATCCCCCACAGAGATGTCATTAACTAGATTTTCTGCAATAATTTATTGCAGCGCGCTTGACGTTCGATTCTTCCAATACCTACAGAGCAGCCATGTCTCATGCGAAATGCACAGACGCGGCGTCAGAGCCGATCTGGAGAACCCCGAGCGAGAAGAATGACCCGAAGCACGGTTTGCGCGTCTTTCACGATCCGCTCAATCACAACAAATTATTCTGTTATTGACTGACTTTCTTGTGGACAGGTAATACAATACACGTCGAGAACATTCTTCCCGATGACGCCGACCCGGAGCCCGCCCCAACCAAACAATTCATCCAGCATCAAAAACGAGAACACATCAAAGGTCGCCGGCTCATCTTCGCCTTCGTAGGCTGGATGCTAACCGAGTTTATGGGCGGATTGGGCGGAAATATGCTTTCGCCTGCCCTCCCAGTTGTCGCATCCCAGTTTGACGGCCTGGGAAAACTGGGCTGGGTCAGTGGGGCATACTACATGACGCAATGCGCGTGCATGCTGTTGTTCGGACAAGCACTAGTACTGTTCAATGGGAAATACGTGCTGATTGCCGCAATCGCCTTCTTCATGCTTGGCTCCGCGGTCTCCGGTGCAGCTCACACTATTGAAACGTTGATCGTCGGCCGGGCAATTGCAGGCATCGGGGCTGCTGGGTGCTGGGTTTCCGTGCAGACAACGGTAGCTGAGCTCGTGGACCTCGAGTCACGTCCGCTTATCCTTGGACTTTTCGGAATACAAAATGCGGTGTCGGGGACATGCGGGCCTATACTTGCTGGGGCTTTGACGGCCCATGGGCAGTGGCGGTGGTGTTTTCTTTTGGTCTTGCCGCTGGGCATGGCTAGCATTATATTGAATCTTCTCGTCATTCCGTCCCTTCCGCCTTGGCCGATTACAGAGGAGATTGAATCGAAGCTTGACAAGAGACTCGAATCGTGGGCTCATTGGCCTTGGAAAAATAAACCAATTTGGGTCAAGCGAGTTCTGCTCGTTGATATTACGGGATACTTGCTTCTCACTGGTGCGCTGGTCTGCTTCATTCTTGCGCTTCAGTGGGGTGGGGACTCTTACGAATGGGACTCGTCCGTTATCATTGGTCTCTTTGTCGGATTCTTCGCCATTATAGCTGTTTGGCTTCACTGGGAAAGAAAATCAGTCTGGCCTCTGGTCGTGCCGCGGACATTCCTTGATCGAACGGTAGCCGGCGCGACGATACTGGCTATGTTGAATCTCATGTGCAACCTGTTCGCAGCAACATACCTCCCAATTATCTTCGAAGCAGGCCGAGGCGTGTCCACCCTAGAAGCAGGTATTCACCTCATTCCATTCCTACTGTCTGTTGTTGTAGCACAGGCTCTCCAGGGAATAATCATGACTTGGACAAAGCACTTCTGGGCATGGGGCGTGACGGCCCCGGCCTTTCTTGCTATTGGCGGAGGCTTGTTTTCCACGGTCAGTGCTGACACAAAGACAAGCGCTATCATCGGCTACCAGATCATCTATGGAATTGGTGTTGGCTTGGTACAAAACGTGGCCTATATTTCGGTCCAGGCCGATAGTGCACCTGAAGACGTCTCTAGCAAGATTGCGACGGTGTCTTTTGGGCAATTGTTCGGAGGCTTGTGCGGGCCAGTTATTGGAAGCGCTATTCTGAATAGCGAGCTTACGCAACGACTGGCAGCAAGTGGTGTATCTGACTCTGTGGCGAGTGCTGTGAAGTCATCTGTTGATGCAGTCTGGAAGCTGGAAAGTGGCGATTTGCGCGACAAGGTCATTTCAGCATATTTTGCGTCTCTGGATTGTATTTTTATTGCATCTGTTCCGGTTGCATTCTTGATCATTATTGCTGGTGCTTGTATTCGAAATGTTCGTCTGAAGGAGAGGGATTCATGATTCCAATATAATGTTATCTAGGCAAGCTTTATGGGCTTTATCAGAGTGGAAAATCACCTGCGAAGCTTTTCTTGCCGCGGAGAACTAGGAAAATAAACAGCAGCTCAAAATTTCGGAAGTTCTGAGATTCCGATAAGGTTTTGAATCCGAGTCCCTGCATCTGGGAAACGCCACGAGTCAAACGGGGAAGGAGACCCCGGCAAAGGCTACCAGAACTTTGCAACACCGAAATGGTGGTGCGTGAGAGTCTGTTTCCAGGATTGTGTACAAATGTGGAGATTTGGTAACCACATTTCTCTAACTGGTAAATACTGTCACCCTACGCCCAGATTCGTTCGTTTTCCTTGATTCGATCTACGTATATCTGCTTTTGTTTGAAGCCTGGTACACATACATACTGATTAATGAAGAGGAATTAGTTCGCTAGTATGTCAAATGTATCATTAATTAGAGACAGAACCTTGAAATACGACAACCTTGAAAGTGTCGAGCTTTTCTGAAAATAACATGCCGCATGATCAAGGGACAGTGGATCAAAGTTTTCAAGGGTCAAATTAGAATATCAAAAAAGTCAAGTTGATTGGTTGAGATACCAATCTGGTCTCAGTCATATATTAGTACTAGTAGTCAAATGAGCTCAAATGGCCGAGGGCCCGAGGCTTTAAAGCTCTAAACGGGACGCGAGATAAGGCTAGATAAGGCCATGTGGCAGAGCGGGGAAATATGTCTGCACACCGCACGGCAGTACCCCTGATTAACAACGAGTTCTCATGATGTCTACAATTCACTGATTTTATCCCTTTATCGTTTATTTTTCAATGTCAGAAGTTCCATTTCAGAATGCTGAATAAGTCAATTTGCATATCTCTGTGGAGCGGATAATATTCAAGGTTGTGTTGCTACTCTTAATCCGTCTGCTCGTCAGACTAATCATTGTTTACCCTCTAAGCCCTCTTAATATTCATGATATACGGGGACTTGATATCAGAGAGAATCTTGGACTTGGATCTGTGGAGGTATCTTTCAGAAAAAGTACCCCATATTCAAATATCCATGCCTGAATTCATGGAAGCTCCTTATGACCTGTAATAGAGAAGATGCTTATCTTCAACAGCCAACCCGTGAATCTTATTTACGGGACATGTAGTAATTAATTCATCACTAACCAATCGCTTGCGACTGCCCAAGGTAGTTAGCACCCCAGACTGATAAGATTGGTCTTTCTTGACTTTTGATTATTGTGGAATTATCTCCAAAAGATTTCTCCTGGGTAATCGATAAACAAATTAATTAAGCTTGATTTCCACCTGGGAGATGAGAAACACGTCTAAGTAGTTGACATCATTCAGTCCTCATTTGTCAAAATGGCGGAAAAGACGGCGGCAGAAATTCGAGATGAGACTCGTTTGGCTCAGCTTGGCTACAAGCAAGAGCTGCGACGCGACTGGAAATTAATTCACAACTTTGGCGTGTCATTCTCGATTATTGTAAGTACTCAAAAAGAAAGAAAGCTACTGTGGAGGTCCTTGTACTAACACTCGCCAAAGAGCGTAATCACTGGTATTACAACACTCTTCAGGTAAAAATGACACGACTGCATGTTCGAATCGCCCGGCTGATGAAGATGGCTAGTTATGGATTGAATACCGGTGGCCCGGGTGTCATGACGACCGGATGGATCGTTGTCTCGTTCATGACTTTCTTCGTCGGCTTGAGTATGGCAGAGATCGTCTCCGCAATCCCCACGAGCGGCGGCCCGTATTTCTGGGCGGCGATGCTAGCTCCGCAAAAATATGCGCCGTTTCTATGCTGGTTGACAGGATGGTTCAACTTTGTGGGACAGGTAAACACCATCCGGGGCTTGACGCGACAAGCTCTTAGTCTGTGTATGCACTGCTAACGTCTTTTTTAACTATTTTTGAATAGTTTGCTGTGACTACCGGAATCAGCTTTGGATGCGCTGGGCTTATCGCGACTGCCGCAACGATCAAGACTAGCTGGGTGCCAACTGCTGGGCAGGAAATTGGGATTTATGCGGCAATCCTGATCAGTCACGGCTTGATCAATACGTTTGGCGTACACATCTTGCGATATCTCAATATTTCCTCGGTTATCTTGCACAGTCTTGGAGTTGCTAGTCTGGCCATTGCAGTGGTAGCAAAGGCGCCGACTCATCAGAGTGCTGCTGAGGTTTTCCAGCATTTCTACGATGTGCGTTTATCAGCTATGAAATTCTTGCAAGTATTTGCAGCACCAATATTCTACTTACTGACACGGAAAACTAGGGTACTGGTGATCCCGGATGGTCTGTGAGAGCTTCACCGGCCTATGTTGCGATTTGTGGTATCCTCCTCAGCCAATATACAATCACTGGTATGAACAGTTACACAGTTTTGACTATCTTCAAGTAGCTGCTAACACGAAGATATCTGAACAGGATTTGATGCATCGGCCCATCTTTCCGAAGAGACTCATAGAGCAGAATGGAGCGCCCCCATCGGCGTGCTCATGTCCATCGGAGTCTCCGCTGTATTCGGCTTCTTCCTCCTGCTTTGTCTCCTATTTTCCATCCAAGACTTTGCTTCTACTGTCGACTCGACCACTAACTACGGCGAACCCGTATTCAAAATTCTAGTGGACTGTATGGGCGAAGACGGTGCGCTTGTGTGCATCGCAATCATCATCCTCTGTGTCTGGCACTGTGGTCTTTTTAGCATCACAAGTAACAGCCGCATGATGTTTGCATTTTCCCGCGACGGCGCTCTACCCAAATTCTTCGACTACGTTGATCCAAAATTCCAGAGTCCTGTACGAACAGTCTGGTTGGCGGCGTTTTTGGCATTTTGTCTAGCCCTGCCTTCGCTCGGAAGCTCTGTGGCGTTCTCGGCGGCTACGAGTATTGCAACGATTGGATTGTATATCAGTTATGCGCTGCCGATTTTGATTGCTCTGGTGTGGCCAAGCAATTTCAACAAAGGTCCTTTCAACCTGGGTAATTTCTCACGCATTGTTGGTGGCATAGCTTGTTCATGGGTAAATATTTCCTTTCCTTTTTCCCCTTCCTTGCTTTGCTGGTGATTGTTACTTATTTTTATTTATTAGGTTCTTTTCATCACAATTGTCTTCTGTCTTCCAGAGGAAAATCCGGTATCATCTCAAACACTCAACTACACACCCGTGGCGGTTGGTATTGTGCTAGTAGCTACATTAGGAACGTGGTTTCTCTGGGCCCACCGTTGGTTTACTGGACCAAGGCGCCAGACGGCCCTTGAGACCGTTGAGGATTTTGAGAATAAGACCTCAATTGCAGAGAACACTAAAGGTGCTTGATAGGTCAATAATACTTGTTTATGATTATCATTTCGCGGAGCTTCCAACATAAATATATGACAGATACATGCAATACCTGTTATGTATATTTTCAATGTTCCCTCTACATCTATAGTCTAACCTTAGGAACAAGAATTTCTGAACATTAAGACCCATCCGTGGATGGATTCCGACATCTGGACCCAGCCTCGCAACTATCCAGACAGATGTCCAGACGCCCAAATAAAGGCCACTCTTTCTCTCGCCCCAGCTAAACAAGCTAAAGTTGTACTGGCCTATTTTTCAGTGTCAAAGAAATTTCCTTAGGAATATAATCCACCTCAATGGTATTCCTAGCACATACGACCATAGGGTGTGGAGAACAGGGCTTCCCGTCCGCTCAGCCGTACTTAAGCCACACGCCGGTCAGTTAGTAGTATGGTGGGTGACCACATGCGAATCCTGACTGTTGTATGTTTTTGTTATGTTTTTTATCCTTAATTTTTTTTTTTGGTTTGAAACACGGGCTTTATCAAGCAAGGACGGAATGATCTATCGATGGATAAGTTGAAATAGTCTTACTGTAGATATCCCCCTACGGGGGCCGATAACCGCCACCCTACTGCCAGAACCCAATTTATAACTTTACCGCCCTGTTTCCATTTCGTATTGTATTTATCACATGTAGGAACATCTTAAGGGATTTGATCTAAATACGGGTCACTTTTAGAATAGACTTGAGAGTAGACTTGAGAATGGATTGATTATTATAGAGTTCAAGGAATTAATGTATAATGGAGTTTAAGGATTCCGTACTAGTATATAATGCAGCGCTGTACAAAAACAAATATGAATTTGGAATTACTCGTAATTTACTTTCTGCCGGTCGGAAAGTTGAAATTGGGTTATGGTAGAGGGGTGGCGGGTATCGGCCCCCGTAATCCCCCTTTCTTAAGATGTTGGAAATCTTTCAAAAGATAATAAGTATCAAGTAAGTAAAAGGATTCTCAAATTATATACTAAGCAGACAATCTACCATTTCATCCTTAGCATCCTTTACTCTTATCAACTCTATCCTATTTATTCTATTAATAAGCCTTCCTCCTTCCTCCCTCTTAAAGAGCATAATCTCCGCCATCCCCTCTGCCTCTCGTTCGTCCATTAATATGGTAAAAATTCTCAACTTATAAAAAAGGTGAAAAACATACAACAGTCAGGATTCGCATGTGGTCACCCACCATACTACTAACTGACCGGCGTGTGGCTTAAGTACGGCTGAGCGGACGGGAAGCCCTGTTCTCCACACCCTATGGTCGTATGTAACAGACATATTACAGGTAAGATCTATATAGGTTTCTTTCTCTATGGACGAACATGGCATTCAAGCTCGATTTACCATTACGATGGATGATGCTTACGACTACAAGATAGGTGTGGATGTTTTCGACCCTCATACTGTCTTACCGGAGATTTTGACACTCGGAGATCAACTCTCGGCTGTCCTTCAAAAGAAACTGTCAAATGACCAACAGAGAATCTCCTACGCAAGAATCTCCCGGCAAATACATGCGCAGTCCTTCGCAGTCATCGTGAAATCGTTCAATATGCTAAAGCTGCTTGTTACATGATTCATCAACTTTGCATCCGCAACAAAGATCTCAGAAAAGAGATCATTCTCCAACACCCAAAATCTTAACTTAGTGCGCTTAAAAGCTTATATGGGGATTTGGATGAAGATAAGAAGCCAGCAATGCATAGTAAAGACCTGGGGAGCTTTGCGATGGCGCATGTGAAGACTTGAGAGCGTGCACAAGTTCCAAAACACCAAATACACCAAATATACTAATATACAGCTCACACTTACGTCTGCGACTCTTCTCCTGACTGGCATGGTCTCAACCAGCTCTTCCACTTTACTATCTAAAACTCATCCGACTTGAGAATATTGAAACTTCGGAATCCATATATTTATTTCATAATGTGATTATAACACGGTAAACAATGAACAATGAATTGCGTTATGGTCCAGAAACACAAGAACAGTTGAGAACAGAGACAGAGAAGAAAAGGAGAAAGATAGATACAGGAGAGAAGGAACAGTCTTGAGTAGTCGGTGGTAAGGCATCCGTCCTGCACGGGGGCCTGAAGGTCATGCACGGAAGCCTGGGGATTCAGTGTCTTCAAATCCAATTGAATTGAATTCGAGTACTTGTCCGATGACATTTATTTCAGTTTCTGCGTCAACTTGCGCATACTTTTCTCAACATGAAATAAAACCAGGCTCGCCAACTCTTTGTGCATCACGGGTTTCTCGTCCTCGTCAAGATCACCATATAAGTCCTCAAGGCCAGCCGCTTTACACGCAACATCAAGATAAAGCATTTGTTCCTCCTCATCCTCCCCAAGGCACACCAAGAAACTTCCAAGCTTCAGGAGCATTGAGTTCAGAATCAAACGGCACATACGGCCGTTACCGTCGATGAAAGGGTGGATATTGACAAATACGTGCGTATACTTTGAGGCGATGGCGATAGGGTCGATTGCGCCCCTTTTGAGGGCTTCTTTGAGATCCGATTCAAGTTCGCGTATCATCGACTTCATTTTGTATGGCACAAGGCCGTGATGAGGAAATGAGTGGAACCCAGCAGAGACTTCGTCGGTACGGTAGACACCACTATATTCTTGCCATGGTGTGGTTTCGGCGTTGATTTTGTAAGTGAGAATTTCGTGTGTTTGGAGAATGATCTCTTCACTGAGATCTTTGTCGCAGATGCAAAGTTGATGAATCATGTAACAAGCAGCTTTCGCATGCTGGACGATTTCACGACGACTGCCAAGGACTGCACGGGGATTTGCTGGGAGGTTCTTGCGTAGGAGATTTTTTTTCAACTCCAAAAACTCCTCTTCAGTCTCTCCAATTTCTTCTGGCACTTCCTCTCCTCGAAAAACTGCCATGCAGAGCTTGAATGTTATGTCCGATCCATTTCCCACGCGTTCAATCATATTTGATCCGTAAACCATCGCAGCAAGACAGTTCAAAATGTGACCTTCAAAGGCATTTTGTTGTTGAGGTGATAACTTCTTTTGGAGGACGGTTGAGAGTTGGTCTGCGAGTGTCAAAATTTCGGGGAACACCGTTTCTGGATCAAAATCATCGACGCCTATTTTGTAATCATAGGCATCATCCATCGCTATAGTAAATTGGGCTTGAACACCATGTAAGCTGCGAATGGAAACAGTCCCACGGCCAAGGCGAAGGGTTGACTTCATGTGCAGGCGTAAGGACTTAGCAAGGTTGTTATGGGAAGAAGGAGAGGCAGAGTTGATTTTGAGTTCCGTAAAGAGGTTAGAGAGACTTGCGCGCTTGTGCTTTGCTTGTTTCCCTGGAGAATGCATTCTGGTTGTCGGAAAATGGAGCGAGGTGCAAATCTTTGAAGTGAAATAAGATGGGTTGCAAGAAGAAGAAGTAAGTAACTTGTGAGGAAAGAAGTATACATATTAACGGTTCCTGTTTTAGCGTTCCGAAATAGGCTTAGTACCTTCGAGCGGACCAATTTCGAGAAGAACAATAAAGTTACTTGCGAGGAAAGAAGTATACGTACTGACGGTTCCTGTTTTGGCGTTCCCAGATGGGCTTAGTACATGTACATGATATGTCATTGTTCGGTTCAAGACACATTCTCAAGTTTGATATGTAACAGCTTGTAAAGGAAGGCTGGTCCAACTCGATTCCCAATCACTTTCTTTGAGTATCAATGGCCAAATATCCTTAAGAAGCTTCGCAAGCCTCTCAGTGAGACGAAAGTCCCGCCTTCTATCCCACGGCCTGTCCCAAATCCTTGTTATTATTGGGCTCTCCAAGTCATGATTACTTCGTGTGACCAGGTATGACCGCGAAAGGCAGTCAACTAAGTACAATTCCAGAGAGTGAAAATCATGTCCGAATGGTGCAACTCGAAACTGGGTTAAACGGTTGGAGTCTTGATTGGTGGTGATCAATTTCCAGATCCCGAACGCAAGATTCTCATCCGTAGCCGCATTTATCAAAGTTTGACGAAGCACCGGCTCATCCGTCTCCGAGGCAATACTTGGTATCTCCAGGCGAGAGTCATAATGAAGATCAATAACGAGGTCACGAAGGTTTCGAAAACCTCCAAGAGCTTTGTAGATCTCACATTCATCTTGGCTGCCTGATGACCTTTTGATTGGGATGCGTAGCTCTTCGATGTTAGGACAGAGCTGTGCCAATTGACGGATATCATCAGCGGCAAATTTGGGATATTTGAAGCCCGAGTCTCTCGGAAGATGCAATCTGCGTCTGGGCCGCTCCCGTAAAGATATTTCTATGATAATTCCCTTCAATGATGGACCGTGATGCTCAGCAATTTTCTTGATGCTTCTCACATCGCGAACTGAACGAAGACAAAGGTATTTCAATGGTCGGAAGGCTGTTATGGCGGCGACAGCGCCATAGTTATCCGAATTATGGTTCAATCCGCCACTGAAAGCTGGGTCCAGATCGATGAAGAGGCGCTCAAGACTGGTGAGGGTCCCTCCAAGCTGTGCCAGTTCGGCCGGGTCTTGGTAGCTATCGATGAGGAGTGAACGAAGCCCGGAAAGGTCAGCCACTGCTGCCAGTTTGAAAATAGGTCCAAATGAAACTGATTCAAGTGCCGAATCTCGCGTGGGTGGAAGGGCACTGGCCAAATTTTTCCACTGCTCCTTCAGTGTTTCAACTCTGAAACTGTGGTCGAAGGACAAAGTCTCTTCAAATATAAGGTGCTTTAGGCCTGGAGCAGCAGCAAGAAATGGAAGTATGTCGTATATCTGCTCACGGACGGGTTGTGGAGTGTATTGGTGGTAAATATCCACCGTTAGCGTATGTAGACCTGGCCGATGAAGGAGATTTAAATCAAAGAATTCCTCTTTGAATTCATCTGGCTCGAGTTTCCTCTCAGCTAGTTCCCCCTCGGATGAGTCGTCTTCAGACAATTGACCATGTTCATCATTTCCAACATTTTCACCATGGACATCATGTTCACCATGGACATTCAAATCCCAGGCTTCAAAAAAAAGCCGTCTGTCGACTTCAGGGACCACGCTTCGAGCTAAAATCTGGCTTTGTATTATATTGAGCTTGCAATATGGATGATATCGAAACAGAGCGTCGCTCAAGCTACTTGAGAACTGATTGTTTGCGAGAAAGTCAAGTTGCGTCAAGTGGTGAAATTTAGCAATAAGAGATTCGACTGATTTCCATTTTCCTGTGCCATATAGTGTGCCGGGGGTAGGGGTTTCCAAGGTATCAATAGACCAGCAAGGAGTCCAGTTGCTCAGATAAGGCTCTAAAAAACTGTCTCTTGCAGCCGAGTGCTTGTTGGCCATCAAATTTGTCGCGCGGGATTTCATGTCTCTAGGAGATTCAAAACATGTGATGTATAATCTTCTGGCGTACTTGAGAAACTTGGAGCCTTGAGCAGTTTCGGTCAGCTCGGAAACGGCTACCTGCAGGCTCTTCTTATCCCAGAACTTGAGAAGAAGCGATTCATAAATAAAGGGAGTCGCTGCCTCGTGGCAGGCACGGCTGACTTGGCTGAAAGATGCCAAATTTGTGCGTGTGCCATGGCCGTTGTCCCTCAGCTAAATTTCATTATTTAATAGGAAATAACAGAGAGTGAAAGTTTCAAGACTGCCTAAGTGAGCCACGTACATGGAAGCATATTTCCCGTAGGATTTCCGACGGTAAATAAACCATGTGTTTACCCTCTTTAAGCAGAGGGAAATGGATGGAAGGGAGAAATTTGGGGATATCAAGAAAAATCCTGGGCCGTGACTTGCGAGAAAGGTCCCAAAAAGTAACAAATCGTTCCTTTTGAGTTGAAGGAGTTTGCGTGGAGGGGTAATTTTTTAGTGTGCAATGATCATTTGGAGGGGCTGCTTACATTTTATTTTCACATTTTCACATTTTCACATTTTCACATTTTCCCCTTCTTCCCCCTTGTTCCCATCATCATCTTTTCATGAACATACCAATGTACAACATCCATCCCCCACTACTGAAAATCGTGACACAATATGATATCGATTTTGCCAAGAGGTCAGCCCTGAGTCGACATGGCTCTTTCTGGAAGCGATCTGTGACGTCACGGTGCCCGGACGTCATAGTGGAGAAGAAATCTCGATCGGGAAAGTCAATGGTTTATATCTACTTAAAACGAACGAGCCCACGGTTTCGTTCAAAGAGATTCCTTTGATGCTCTTGATTAATTACCAGCTCTATTGCCTTCTCGCGGCTGGTTTGATTGTTCGAACTCAACTATTATACTCTTTGACTACAATGACATACAGTGGATCTCAGAAAATTTCAAACCCTTGTCTGCCAAACCGTCGGGTCTGTTCTGGACTCAATTTCGTTGATCTTCTACGTCTTTCATGATTATGACATCGCAAGACTCTTATGGCACTGGCCCGGAAACATCGCAAACAAGCTTAGACAACTCAAATCAGACTTTATCTCAAAGCCATCGCACTGGATCTGGCAGCCAGAACGATGGTCGCGTGTCTAGCGCTGGTCTAAGTGGCTCTGATCGAATTTATCCAATCCGTTCGCTTGTTTCAGTGAACCCAGCGCGCTGGATTCATGCGTCGCCATCACCAGCGATCGAGGAAGTCGAAGAATCATTGCAACAACCAGAGGACCCGCCAATTTCTTCGATAGATTCGCTGCCTGAGGCAGAGGCTCCTTATCCAAATCAAGATATCCATGCAGTCTCCCATAACAGTGTCTCTGTCAACGATGAAATATCCTCGAACACGCCTGCTACAGGAGACTTGGACCATGCGGCAGAATCATTCGGCCCTCTGAATACACAATCTGAAGGACCCTCCGATGAGAATCAACCATTCATGACCTCCAGGTTCGAACATGCATTCACAGAGAACGGTCATACTGTGGTGACCGGAGATGGTAAAAATGCTGTTAAGCGTTGTGAAGATGAGCCGATCCGTACACCAGGTGCAATTCAAAGCTTTGGGGTCATGATCGCCTTGAGAGAGGAATCTCCCAATCAGTTTGCCGTCCGGGTGGCGAGCGAAAACTCACAGCGTGTTATGGGGTATTCGCCGCAACAACTTTTTGCCACGGAAAGCTTCACTGATATCTTGAAAGAAGACCAGCGCGCTATTCTTTTGGAACATCTTGACTACGCTCGAGACGACTCATATGACTTGATCATCGATGGCCCAGAGGTTTTTCTCCTGACAATAGAGCAACCATCCGGCTCTCCTGTTCGATTTTGGTGCGCAACTCACGTCAGTCAAGAGAACAAGGATATAATTATCTGCGAATTTGAACTGGAGAATGACCAGCTCAACCCGTTGAATCTTGAAGATCAAAAGCTCCCCGACACTCCTACGAGTACTTTACAAACCAACCCGCCTCCAACCGAAGCCCAATATGCTGGAAGTACAATCAGTGCAAGTAACTCGGTGCGCTCTATACGTGATGCCCGATTGAGGAAAGGCGAAGCCGCTTCAATGCAGGTTTTCGGTGTCCTCTCTCAAATACAGGCGCAGCTTTCACAGGTGGACGACCAAGACACATTACTGAAAGTCACCGCAGGACTAGTCAAGGAGTTAGTCGGGTTCCATCGAGTTATGGTTTATCAATTCGATCACAAAGCAAACGGTCGGGTGGTAGCTGAGCTGATGGACCCCAATGTTACCGTGGATCTATATCAAGGCCTTCATTTTCCAGCCTCGGATATCCCGCGTCAGGCTCGGGAGCTGTACAAGGCTAATAAAGTCCGGTTGTTGTATAATCGAGACCATATTACTGCCCGACTTGTCTGTCGGACCTTGGAGGATCTTGAAAGCCCCCTCGACATGAGTCACGCGTACCTGCGAGCTATGTCACCAATCCACAACCAATATCTAGCCAACATGAAAGTGCGCTCATCAATGTCAATCAGCATTAATGCCTATGATGACCTTTGGGGCTTGATATCTTGTCATTCATACGGTGAGGAGGGTATGCGTGTTTCCTTTCCGATACGCAAACTTTGCCGTCTGGTTGGTGACACCGTTGCTCGAAACATCGAGCGTATCACCCATGCCTCTGATCTGCAAGCACGCGCTATGATGAGCTCTGTTCCCAAGGAAGCAGATCCCTCAAAATACATTGTCGGATCATCGGACGACTTGCTTCGGCTTTTCCAATCTGACTACGGAGTAATTTCTATCGGAAATGAGGCGAAGCTTTTCGGCGGCGAAACGAACTCTCAAGAAGTCCTTGCTCTTGTCGAATATATCCGCATGCTAAAAGTCACATCAATCCTAACATCCCATGACATCGGGGAGGACTTTTCTGACTTTGTCTACGAACCTGGATTGAAGCGGATCTCGGGATTGATGTGTATTCCAATAGCTCCCGACGGAAACGACTTTGTTATTTTCTTCCGCCTTGGTCAACTGACAACCATTACATGGGCTGGCAATCCGCATAAGCCTGCTGGTGGTGGCATAGGGCCTCTGACACCACGCCAAAGCTTCAAAGAGTGGCGCGAAATCACTCTGAGTCGATCAAAGGAGTGGTCTCATTTCGATGTTTCCACAGCGGGAGTTCTTGGATCGGTGTATGGGAAGTTCATTCAAGTGTGGCGGCAGAAGGATATTCTCAAGCAAAACTCTCAGCTTACACGTCTTCTGCTGGCCAACTCGGCGCATGAATTCCGAACACCCCTGAACGCGGTTATCAATTACTTGGAAATCGCTATGGAAGGTACACTGGATGACGAGACTCGTGAGAATTTGGTTCGTTCCTACACAGCCTCCAAGTCTCTGGTCTACATTGTCAATGACCTTCTTGATCTTGCCACCGAAAGTGGACAACAACTGATCAAGCATGAGTCTTTCAAGTTGAAGCCTACTTTGTATGAAGCTTTTGACCTGTTAGCAGGGGAAGCCAAGAGGAAAGGCATTGCCTATAACATCAAGACGAATCCTGGCATTCCAGATGCAGTCTTGGGTGACGAGCGTCGTATTCGACAAATCATTGTGAACCTTATCACCAACGCCATCGAACATACATCAAAGGGCGGTGTGACTATCGAAGTTTCGACGTCCGATGTACAAAGTGGCCTGGTGTCTGTTGAAATTTCGGTTATTGACACAGGTTCAGGCATGTCGAAACAAACTCTAGAGTGCCTTTTCCAAGAACTTGAAGAGGTCTATGCAGACAATCACTGGGCCGGAGAGGAAGACGCAAATAATTTCCATGGCCAGAAACAACGCGTTCTCGGTACTGGCCTTGCATTGACCGCTCGCATTGTCCACACAATGCAAGGACAACTCATTGTCAAATCTAAGGAGGGCCAAGGCAGTCGTTTCAAGGTTCTCCTCCAATTCTCGATTCCCAGAGAATTCTCACCATTGCCATTGCAAAATCCGAATACATCTAATCTTCTCGAAATGCCAAAGTCGCCGTCGCTGCTAGACGGGGAGTTTATCCTTGTGACGAATCGAAAGGATGGCACTCAGCAAAGTTCCGCACATAATTCAACCGGTGACTACCTCGGGCATGGGCAGACTGATACCAATGATGTCAAGTCATTGCAACAACAGAAAACTCTACCCGGCAGTGAAATTGAGACAGATCAAAAGCAAAAAATAGCCTTCTGCCTCCCCACGCGAAGCGATGAACCATCCCGGCCGTCACATTCTACCACGTCTGATGTCCAACAAATGTCATCTCAAGTGGACTCTCGAGATTCTTCCAATATTCCCACGCCTCACAAATTATCTCCACCCTCAAATGACACGAAGATGAACATTCTTGTTGCGGAGGATAATCCAGTAAACAGCAAGATTCTTGAAAAACGATTAAGCAAAATCGGCCACGCAGTCCAATTGACTAGCAACGGAGAAGCATGCGTGAAAGCATTTTCATCAGAAGGCGACCCCATCCATGCTATTCTGATGGATATCCAGGTTCGTGCAAAGCAACCCCTGGAAGTTAAAGTTAAATACATTTGACTGGAAATTGACCAAAATCCATAGATGCCGATCGTTGACGGAATGACTGCGACCAAAATGATTCGCGAGATCGAATCCAGGAAACTGGAATGCTCTGATGCAGATAGATCTGATCGACCGAATCGGATTCCCATATTTGCAGTCTCGGCATCCATTGTCGAGAGAGATGAGAGATCATATATTGATGTTGGTTTTGATGGCTGGATCATGAAACCGATAGACTTTGCAAGGTTGAAGACACTCTTGGGTGGTGTCCTTGACCCGGCGGCTCGTGAAGATCCTGCTGGAGAGAGAGACTGGGAGAAAGGCGGGTGGTTTCATTTCGAATAGATGTTTTTGTCATTGATACTCAAGTGCTCTGGCAGCCTATATCTTGTAATTGGGCCTTTTAAGCGAGCGTTCAAATGTTACCTGCATTTTCGAATTTTACGATAAATAAGTCATGATTGTTTATACCATAAACGAGTTCAATGTGTGAGGTATTTCCACTGTGATCGGCGGGCCAACATTTGAAGCACTTGAGGAGAGTTTTCACCACATGCAGGTCAAAAAGACAATCATGTCTCCCAAATACCTATTCTTAGCCAATATGCAGTCAATGAGATCATTTCAAGTTATCTATTGTACTCGCCATTTTGTCTCCACTACTCTTTTCTACCGATATATTTTGTTTCAAGGCAAAACTGGTAAATACGACCATATATAGGGTGTGGAACTAGCATTTCGTTGTTATATATCAAGCGTTCAATGCTTGAACAGTTGAGCTTAATTATGGGAAGTGGGAATGCTACGACACTTATAGTACTTAGCTAAATGCCCAAGAGATCATTTATCATGATTCTTTTAGATGAATGAGCGAGATGAGTTGTTGATCATTATAAGCAGACTGATGCCAAAGTAGGCAATACGACAGATTCATCAGGTAAGAGAAATTCTGGTACTTCTTCGCCACAAAAAACTCCACCCAGAGTTTGAAAATAATATCTGAAACCTTTTTCCACACGTTCGATCGTTCTGAATAACAGGTAAATTTTAGAAGGTTCCAATCAAACAAATGGTATGGTGAGCATAAGCATGAACATACCTGAGATGGATTATTGATCTTCAAAAGAAAAATATTGTCGTCGCCAGCATTTCATGTTTGAGCCAAAGAACATTGCAGCAAGACAGTTCAATATAAGGTCTTCGAAGGCACACCGTTGGTCAGGTGACAGTTTCTGTTGAAGAACAGCCGAGAGTTGATCTCCGAGTGTCGGAATCTTTGGGAAGACAGTTTCAGGGTCGAAATCATCCGCGCCTATTTTGTAGTCGTAGGCATCATCCATCGCAATGGTGAATTAGGCTTGAACATTTGAACGCCATGCAAGCTGCGAATAGAAACAGTGCCATGGCCAATGCGAATATTAGAAGGGTTGACTTCATATGTAGGCGTAGTGATTTAGCAAGGTCGTTGTGGGAAGGAGAAGGGTAAGGAGAAGGATAAGGAGAAGGGTTATATATCAATGAGGACTCGAGTTCGAGTTCCCAGAGGAGGTCAGAGACCTTTTTATCTGGAGAAGGCATTCTGGTTGTCAGCAAATGGAGGAAGGTGCAAAGTCTTGAAGTGAAATAAGACAGGTTTCAAGAAGAAGAATGAAGTGACTTCAAAGTGAGGAAAGAAGTACACGTACTGAGGGTTCCTGTTTGGCGTTCTGTAATAGGATTAGCACTCAAGGCGGACCATAAGAGGACTAAGAGATTTACGTACTAGTATTGTTGAGCACTAAACTCAGCGCAGGAGCATGTTCGAATTCGGAAGTAGTAATGTTATCAGCTTGAAGTAAATGATCAGTACCTACTTGCTCACGTTCAATGTTAATATTTACTCGCAAGTCATATATAACTGGAGGCTAATATACTTGCAGCGGACGATCGGTTGACTCGAACCTGAAATAACCTTTGCCAAAGTATTCTTTCACCAGTGCTACGATAATTTCTGACTTACTGATCTGAATCCTGATCACTTTGCATTAACAAATTTCACCCACTTAGGTCTTACCCGTGATGAGTCTCGTACATACGACCATAGGGTGTGGAGAACAGGGCTTCCCGTCCGCTCAGCCGTACTTAAGCCACACGCCGGTCAGTTAGTAGTATGGTGGGTGACCACATGCGAATCCTGACTGTTGTATGTTTTTCAACTTTTTTTTTATAAGTTGAGACTTTACAATAGCAATAGACGAACGAGAGGCAGATGGACCAGCGACGGTTCGTTGATTCGAAACCGCTCGACTTTGAACAGTTCAGGGGAAGGGAGGCAATCGGATCACAACAAGTAGTCTAAGTGGTTTCGAGAAGAGAAAAAAGTAATGCGTATAGGACCCGGAACGGGAAAAAATTCCTCAATCACAAGGAATTCATCCGTTCAGGCATGCTACCATTGTTGTAATCTGACATCTGGATCGAATAAGAGGATTGCGGCGGCCGATAGAGGCCACCCTGGTCATATCCATTTCAACTTTCTGACCGGCAGAAAGTAAATTACAAGTCAACTAACATTATTCCAAATTCATATTAGTTTTTGAACTCCATTACGTTCAGCTCTACATTATACATTAAATCCTTGACATTTGGAACTCTATTATATATAATACTATATTATACATATATATTACTTCCCCCTCTTTATGTAGGTAAATTATCACAACAACTTACAAGAAAGAGAGGCTGAGATCCTAGTCATATAATCCATTCTTAAGTCCCTTCAAAGTTCTCAAGACTACATGTACTCTCAAGTCTACTCTCAAGTCTATTCTCAAGTCTATTCTCAAGTCTATTCTAAAAGTGACCCATATTTAGATCAAATTCCGTGCTGACCGTGTTAAGGACTCTCAATCGGATTCATTCTCACATTAATATTTTCCAGCTTGTATCTCTTGTAAGGAATTCCTATATATGATAAATACAATACAGGCGGGAAACAGAGCGGTGAGGTTAGAAATTTGAAATTGGGATGTGATCTCCGAGTATCGAAATTTCTGGGAAGATAGTTCAGGGTCGAGATCATCCGCGCCTAATAAGCAATGGATATTGTATTGTGTAGCGAGAGAGATAGAGAGAGAAGGAGAAAAAAGAGAGACGCAGCCTGCTATATAGAAACAAAAGGAATCCTACTGCCGGAAAGATCCGACAAACAACGGCATCATGTGATCCGATAGCACGTGATTACAAGAACTGCTTATCCTCCACCACCAGTGCTTTCACCACCACCGCCACCGCTGTCTCCTCCATTCAGCCCAGTGCAAACATTTAGAATATTAATAAGAAACTAATCAAATTAGCTTTACTTCATCAACACAATATTTGCGACTCACATTCTCGGTGTCACAGCAAAGGGTTTGACCCTTACAAGAGCTACCCACTATAGAACAGTCAGCATAGCCCGAAGTGAAAATACGCTCGATAGAAAGATGAGAAGGTAGCGTACAGCTTACACACCCAACTCCGATGTCAACGGTTTTACCCAGAATATTGACAGGAACTAGAATCTGACAGCATTTCGGAGTCTGTTTGCTACTGGAACATGTGACGGAGGTTTGTCTCTCAGTGAGCGGAGACGCGATCACGCAGCTAGACACAGTAGTGAGTATCAAGTAAGAGAGTAGCATTTTGCCCGATTTGCGGTAAACCTGTATGGTGGTTGATTACTATATGAAATACCCCTCTTCATCATCAGACATAATGCATTCTTATATTCTATGATAATTTGAAAGGCCTAGTCTGGATCTCTGAGTAAGAGCCCTAGAAACTCATGAACACGTTCATGGCACTGGTTCTTGGCTTATGAACCAGCGATCTATATCTACTTCAGCCTTGTGACATTGGGTGAGTAATCATACACTAGTATAATCTCAGAGCTGGTACTTTGTCACCCAATGGCCTTTGTGGTCTTGTCCCGGCTCCGCTGGAAGTATCCTAAAGCGGAAGAGTCCCATGAGGTCATCAGTTGTAGGTCTCGACCAATACCTAACCACGCAGTTCGTATAATCAATTAAATTAGCTAAAACCAGGTTCAAAATTATTCTAGTCTATAGCATGATTGATTAGTCTAGACCAGGCTATCCGAGCACTCTGGAATCTTTAATTTGGGCTAAACGGCACGAAAGCCACCTCAGATATGAAATATTCTACTCGATCAACTCGGTACTTGACTCTTGAGTAATATTTACCACAATCTATCCATCAATATGAGACTGGAGATTGTTACTCTTGTAACCACAGTCGGTGCCCTCGTATCCCCGCACGCTAAACAAGATATCTCTATTACATGTTCCAGTGGTAACCAGAGTCTGGTTACCAGACGCCAAAATACTACCAGATACTAGTTCCAGTTAGCGTCCTAGGGAAAAACGTTGAAATTGGAGTTGGATGTGTGAACTGTACATAATACCCTCATATATTTCCGTCCCGAGCTTTGATTTAGTTGACGCTGACCGGTTCTGTAGTGGGCAGCTCGTGCAATAGTCAAACCCTATACTATGATTCTGAGAATGTGAGTGACGAATGTGGTGTTGGTGGCGCACAGCTAAGCAGAATTTAGTTTTTAGTATTTACTTTATTCTCAACGTTTATCCCGAGTCTAGTAGAGGAAGCGGTAGTAGTGGCAGGGCTGGGTGATTATTAATTACCTTATATGTCTTACTTATGGTAAATCTCGTACATACGACCATAGGGTGTGGAGAACAGGGCTTCCCGTCCGCTCAGCCGTACTTAAGCCACACGCCGGTCAGTTAGTAGTATGGTGGGTGACCACATGCGAATCCTGACTGTTGTATGTTATTTTTTTAAATTCCTAGTAGGAGTGCCACTAGAACCAGCTTCTTAAGTCTAGCCTTGTAATCATATGATTAGTTTGTGGATATTTGTTGAAGGATTTCACCGCTTTTGCACAATATGGGCTGGTAAATATTTCCCCGGACGAGTTAGAGGTCATCTTGGTAAGCCATCTGCTACATTAGGTACGTCAATACGGTCTTCGGGGTGTTCTCTCCTTATCTCCGAGATTTTGGCACAACCATGAGGCCTTATGTCTTTAAAAGAAACGGCGCGCTCCTTCATGGAACCTTAATATAAATAATCAACTTTACTTGTTCAATATGGCTGTCATTCTACTCCAAGCAGGCACAGTGCTAGCCCACGAAGGCGACCGTATCAAGGTTCTCCGTGACCATGATATTCTCATTGTTGGGAATCAGATAGAAGATATCGGCCAAGGGCTCACTCTGCCTGATGAATGCGGCGCGAGGGTCATTGACTGCCAAGGCAAGATTATTTCGCCCGGCTTTATCGACACGCATCACCATCTATGGCAGTCACAGGTATGCATTTTTCTGGATTTGTTAAAATTTCAATTACTTGTTCACATACTAAGCCCTGCTCCGATAACATAGATGAGAGGCCGCTTTGGCAACATGAAGTTCATGGACTACATGGTTGCAGGTAACATGCAGTCGTTCAACTACACACCGGAGGATATTTTTTGGGGCCAGCTTGCAGGGTGCCAAGAGAGCATTCATGCTGGAGTGACTACTGTTGTGGATCATGCGCATTTGACATACTCTCCTGAGCATGGTACGTTTTTTTCCTCGCTTCAAACCGCGATTTGGTCGGTCGCCGGACTGGCCTGCTGACCTCCTGTAGCAACCGAAGCCATACGCGCATCGGCATCCTCTGGACTGCGGACCTTTTTCTGCTACACGCCCATCTGGCGGATCAAGAACTGGGCATCTGATGCTGCTATTGAGTTTGACGAGGATCTGCTACCAGAATGGTGGCTATCGACACTCGATATCCTCGCGAGGACCGCGCCCTTTGGAGAAGGTCGGGTTCGTCTGGGATTGGGATTCGATTTTTTCAAACTCCCGAAAGAGACAGTGCAAAATCTCTGGGCTAAATGTCGCGCGCTTGGTATAAACCTTTTTACGACGCATTATGTGGCTAATTATATGAAGAGTGCGCTGATTCCCTCCATCATTCTTGTCAAATACCTAAATGTTCCGATATGCTCACAGATATTTTTAGACTCCGTTTCCCTGCTCAAGGAATACGACCTTCTCAACAGTACAATCCTTTTCTCTCATATCAATGGGATCGCCGAGTCGGACGCTCAAACCCTTCTCGCGCACGGGGCACACTTCTCATCGACCCCAGAAACAGAACTCCAAATGGGCCTTGGTGAGCCTGTTGCATTCAATCCAGACTTGAGCTCAAACGCGTCAATTGGGATTGACTGTCACTCAAATAACTCGAGTGATATCCTCACGCAGCTCCGACTTGGTATGCAGCACGCGCGTGGAGTGCAGAATGTGCAAGCGATCAAAAATGGAGAGTATCCCAGTGTCACTATCAAAGTCGAGGAAATGTTTAATCTTGGTACAATCCAGGGAGCCCGTGCTGTGAATATGGCTGACAAAATTGGGAGTATCGAGGTGGGTAAATTAGCTGATATTGTGATTTTTGATGCGAGTTCGCCAGGTATGGTCTGTGCAGCTGAGGAGGATCCGCTCGCTGCGGTGTTGCTGCATGCGAATGTGGGGGATATTGAAGTCGTGATTGTTGACGGCGTCGTAAGAAAGGAATGCGGAGAGTTGGTTGACGTACAACTCCTCAGTGACATTCATGGAACGCCCGGCGAGATGGTTCATCAGAGGGATATTTCAAAGCGTCTCTTGGAGAGCCGAGAAAGGATTATTGAGCGGGGAAGGGGGCAAGATGCCGGGAGAGGAATGGAGTTTCTGTATAAGACCTTCGGTTGATTGCGCTCCATCCCACCATTATAGATGATCGGTTTCTATTAACACTCCACTCTCATGAAGAACAAGAAAAATTTAAGTTATCTTTCTAGCACAACTCTCGATCGCTTCATGTTCACTCTCTACCTGCTGTTGGGGTTGTTTCGCCGTTCTAGTTGCTTTTTCGGCAACCGGTTCAAATTGCTTCACTCAGACCACATCGCAAATTACGATTGATTGATTGGGAAAGTTGAATCCTACAAAGTGCCCCCCAAAAAACTTGGGGGCCAGTGAGATGAGACAAGTATATCGGATGTGGAAGACTGACGAATCAACGACGCAGCGTACTTAGAAAATATGGGGCTGCCTATTTAAGCAATGTTTCTCGATTTAGAAAGTCAAATCCAAGTTGCAACTCTTGACTCTCAATCTATTCTTGTCAAATATAGGACCATGGTTTTGGTTTCGATCTACACAAGATCTAGAATGTGCAGGCTGATTCATGCTGTTTCTGAATAGAGATCTGTGGATATTGGGGCTGAATATTTTCACCTGCTCATCGTCATGGATCAAGTGCCTAGTATGAACTTGTTAGGCAACATCTTGCTGCTCAGGTAGGCAATGAGCTCGGTGGCAAAAATTTCCAATACAAAATTACCCTACATGCACTACCCCTGGAGCTACCTAAGAAGTATACATATAAAATTCACGGCATTTCCTTGGTTTTTCTGTGCATCAACTTCAAAAATTCCAACCAAATATCAGTCAATTCATCTGGGAAGCAATTTTACTATTTCTTTCAATTTAAATTTCTACATCAAAGACCTCCAAAGCTTAGGTTTGCCTATATAAACACTTTGAAAATGAAGTTCGCAGGTGCCATCCTCCTTCTTGCTGCGCTCAGCACATCTGTCTTTGCCAGTCCCCATCACGATGACGATGACCAAACAGTTACAGTGACCGACACTATTACTATCACTTCTACAGCCCATGTGACTTACACCGATTTTGTGTCCCGGCCTTGGAGAACCCACAAAGCCTCTACTTCTCCTAGGACCACACACACTCCAAGCACTTCAACCAGCACCATTACAGTTCCACCGCCGGCCAGCACCCCGACTATGAGTTCAACCAGCACGTCAACCAGCACGCTTTCTACAACCACCACAAGTTCTGGCTCGAATTCCTCGGATGGGTCTTGCATCGCCAGTAGGTTTACTCATGATTACTTTGCATGCGCACTCAAGCACTCTCCCCGCTAACTCAACGACATATAGACTACCATGCTTGCACTCCCAGCGACACTTGCTGCGACAACTTCCAATGCGTTGGGTACACTCAGTGGAACAGTGGCACCTGCGTTAATCGGTGAATTGCAAGGTTCCCAGTGAACTCCATGATCGACGCCCAGATTAGGGAGTTGGTTCAATGTTTTGTTTCAAGGTCGTCGATAGCGTTCAGGAAGGTTGCGGTATAAGGTTGCCGGGGTCTTTGATATCTTGATACTTGAGTTCTATTTCTCTTAGAGTTGTTTTTTTCTCAGTATTAGAAATTCCAAGAAACGTTGCATGTTCTTTTTCAACCCTTTCTAAAGTTATCCATATAATATTCTTAAGACAGTGGGTGAATTTTCATGTGTGCGTCCACGGATCGGTACAAGTCTTAATTCGTGCCGATAGCTAGGGTCTGCTTTCAAATGTTTACGGTGATAGCAGATCTATTTTGCTAGATTTAACAAAAACAAACAAAAACAAAACATACAACAGTCAGGATTCGCATGTGGTCACCCACCATACTACTAACTGACCGGCGTGTGGCTTAAGTACGGCTGAGCGGACGGGAAGCCCTGTTTTCCACACCCTATGGTCGTATGTACAGGATTTACCCTGGATAAAACCTATGGTCAAGATTTCTCAGTGAGCAAAGTGATCGGGATTCGGGGTTCAATGTTCACACCTACTACATATATCCGTGCATAAACCCCTTCAATGTTCCAGGTTTTTTTCCTATGGACTAACAACCTATAACCCAGCACCTCAAGGCTCTTATAACAGTCTATTGTAGTTTCCAAGTCTGATTTTTCAAGATAGCATTAGATCAAAACATCCAGACAGCCCTTAAGGGGAGTATCATATATGACAAGTCACGTCAACTTATATCTACTAGAAGAATGGGTCGATGTCAATTTCCCCGTCATCAACCCAGAGATACCCAATCCCACACGAGAATTTATCAGGATCGCTGGTTGTCCTCATATCGTTGCCTTTGAATTTGAAATAGAAATCTCCGTCATCGTTTCCCACTGTATCCGAAAGATTGTAGTCGGCTTGCTGGAATTTGCCGTCTTCGCCCTGGAGAGAAGCTCGTACAATCGGGTATCCTTGCCAGTACACCAGGCTGGGATCTCCTTCGGCCGAATCACCCGCTTTCCCCCCGTCCCAGGTGAATTCGCCTGTGTTTTAGAAGGTAGGTAAGTACAGTACATCGAAGGTGAAAATTCAAGTAAGAATCTTGGGGTCTTCTCCAAGCTCATGTGGGAACAGATAGAAAACCACGCTTCAATCCTTGGAACTCAGAACTTACCATCATCATTTCCTAGGACATAGTTCAGTCTCAGCTGGGCCACATTCCAGGAGCCATCCTTGCGCTTAAGCTTAGCCCAGAGCGTCCAACCTTCAAGTCGGATATCTTCAGCAGACTCATGGAAATGATATGGATTAGCATCGGGCATCGTGGCGATTTGATGTGTGAGGTTTTTTGGCTTTCAGAAAATTGGACGCGATGTCTTTTGTCGCAGGGTGAATAGGACAAAGGAATTAAATTCAGTTTTAGGCTGGTTTCACGTCAAAACAGCCCAGAGATAGGAAATAGTCGGCTTTAAATAAGTTTTTGATCAACAGTGTGATGTGCAATCTGGATGTGGCAAAGAGCCCGACTGGAAAGAATTTCATCTGGGTAATCTTGGTATAGTCAAGCGATAGGCAGAGGGCAACTCGAATTAATGGGGCGGCCTTCAGGGACGTCAGCGCTGAACATTTGAACATCCATTTGTAGAATGTAAACATTCTTACCGAACGTGTTGATTGCGACATTTGATGCAGTCTTGCCTGGTGACTCCTGATATCTGGATTGTTCGATGAGAAGCGAGTCCAGTTCAATGTTGCTGCCAGATCCTTCAATTCAAATGTTCCTCCCCGCACGCGGCAAGAATATACCGATCAATGCGGACGCGCGGACAGTTCAAACCTTTCCTCTACTTGTTTTCTTCCGACACCATTTTCTAACCTTTTGAACTGGATCTATCTCGATGGCGTAGTCTGGATGTCAGGAAAGTAATTCCGTAAAGGCAGGCTTAGCTGAGAAGCTCCGCGTGGCTGGCGGCAGCGAAACTACAGGTGAAAGTTACCGATTATTACCCCCGCGCCTCATCGATTAGGCACTTGTTGCCGATCACCCGCCTGGGCGCCATTAAGAATATTCACATTCACAGTGCACTCCGCGTCATCTCTTTCAATTGCTGTTCTGTGAGCACCTCTCCCGAAGTCGACTTGAAGCTTTCCCCCATCAACAAAGGACGCCATATTATCGGCCTGCACAGTCAGACACATTCTAAAATCATTCGCCATAAACCGCTGGACCACATATGCCAGATGACCGCGCTGTGATTCCCACAACACCACCTGCGCCACGCGATGACATCCTTCCCCATCACCTTCCTAAAATTCATGAAGCTCCGTCACCCGCTCCGCATGGCTAGGTTTCGGTGTCGATTACGTTAGTGGAGAGATCGAGGCAGGAAGACACAAACAGGTATAACTTAAACAACACATCTATAACGGAGAGGTCAGGATAGGAAGGGAAAGCCACATCCGCTTTTTGAACACGTTCAGGATATTCAGGCGCAAACTAGTGATGCTCAGGGCATTCAGGTGAGCACGCAGAATGGGCTGACGGGCAGCGCGGCAAAGGGACTTCTTCCCCAATGGAACAAAAAGAAGAAGAACAAAAACAGAAACATACAACAGTCAGGATTCGCATGTGGTCACCCACCATACTACTAACTGACCGGCGTGTGGCTTAAGTACGGCTGAGCGGACGGGAAGCCCTGTTCTCCACACCCTATGGTCGTATGTGCTTGGTTAACATTTGAAACCAAATATATAGTACACAAGTCAATAGAAGGGATCGATCCCCTCAAGTGATCGGTCTATCCAAGCCGTAAACCTCGCTTCAAGGGCAGCGTCCGACGTCTCCTCAGCAATCTTCGCCCAAGGCGCCAGTAATCGATCAACATTGAATTGATCCAGGGCCTTATGTAAAAGATTGATGGTATAAAGTCACTCATTATTTAAAAAGAGAGATGTGCAATCAAACATTGATGTGAACATGCATACACACATCAATTGATGTACGTTGTTATATATGTCGGCGAGCTCCACTTGTGCAAGAGAACATCTTTGAAGCTGACCTTAAGTGAGTATTAACTTAAAAATGTAAGTAGGAACTACATGTAGGTGGTGATACAATGCCTTTCTCAAGTGCACATATGCTTAGTAGTTTTCAATTACCAATTGGGGAAATCATTTGGCGAAATTTTGCGCAAGTACATACCCGAGTAGAAATGGAGGTTTTCAGGATTGTGCTCTTTGGTTGCGGAACTTGCCGCCCATTTTCAGGTTTACCCTATATAGCCTAAAAGTTTGATTTTATTCAACGGTTCCATAGCTCAGTTGGTTAGAGCGTCGTGCTAATAACGCGAATGTCGAGGGTTCGACCCCCTCTGGGACCAATTTTTTTTCGGTCGTACTTATTTGGTGGGTTCTCACTTGCCGCCACAATATCAGCGTCTTTTTTGGAAGGAGAAAAAAACTACCTTGTAACTTTGCTCCAAGGTTATATGTATGCAAGATAAGCAAGGCTGTTTGGTTTGCTGTAGCTGCATGGAGGGTATACCAAAATTAGGCAATTCTTGAACCAATCAAGATTGAAGCCGAAAGAGGCAAAACTACAACCAATCAAAACCAACTGACTATCTACAGCATCACGTGGCGCAAGACAACCCTGACATCAGGTATTGGCCATTTTGTAAAATCATCTACTCGAGGGTGGTTATTGTTATTCAACCTTCATTCACTAATTAAGATTTTGAGATTTTGTTCCAATTGATCGTGTTGTACTGCCTGCTTTATCGCTCTCTCTTTTGACGCAAAAATTTCTAAAATGGGAGCCGAACAAAGTGAAACGCCTCCACCACCCGACATAGCCAATTCTGACGGAGATGTTCACAATATAAATAGTAATATGGTTTGCGATATTCCCAATCAAGAGGCAGTCTCGATGGATCCAAAGTATCCTTCAGGTCTGAGATTGACTCTTATCTTTCGGCCCTGTGCTTGACTGTATTCCTGGCGGCTCTGGTTCGTCCTCTACACCCACCTTCCATCTTCGAATTCCCTTTATGAAGAACAAACGATTGACTAATATTTTATTCTCGAGCAGGATCAAACAATCATCGCCACCGCAATCCCAACGATTACCCCCCAGTCCCACAGCGTCGAAGACATCGGATGGTATGGAAGCGCATTCCTCCTCACAAACTGCAGCTTCTTGCTCTTCTTCGGCAAATTCTATACTCTGCTGTCCCTCAATTGGACTTTTGTTGGCGCAGTGTTAGTCTTTGAGGTCGGCTCCACCATATGTGGAGCGAGTCATTATTCCGTCTCCCTCATAGTAGGGCGAGCCATTGCCGGGATTGGAGGCGCAGGTACGTATTTTCTCGGGCCCCTTGATTATTATCGCCAACTCGGTTCCCCTGGAAAGGAGCTTGGCGCTGATGTGAATTATGTTTGGAGTTTTTTCCAGTCCATGTTATCAAACGCGAAATTGTATTTGGCGTCATTAATTTCTAGTAACTAACCTAAATGTTGTCGGTAGCTTCAAATGCAAGGCTGGCATCCTAAAATGCTTTCGACCACTTGCCGGGCGTGGAATGGTTGACCGGCACCCCGCCCCCACCGCGGAGACGCGATCGTGAATAATTACGGGGTCACTGAACGCGATAACTTGCAGTCTTCTTGTAGTGAATAAACTCGTAAATTCAAGCATTTGAACGAATAAAAAAAAATCAACAAGGGGGAATAGATAGTAGACAATAAGTTGAAGGGGTGGAGCATGGCTCTTGAAATTCAACTGATTCTTGGGGAGAGAGCCTCAAGCGGTGATAAGACCAGCCTTAGGACCTGGGCAGCTTTTTGACCAATTTCCAACATTCGAAGACATTACAAAGGACGCTACTTGTTCCTAATGTAACGTGGAATTCAATGTTGACTCAAAGCTATCAATAGCGCTACCCCACATCCCCACATCCCGACTCCACGTTGTTCGAGAAGACCCTACTAGTACGATACTTAAAAGAACGACACGCAGTGCTCGTGCATCTTTTTCTCAACAAAATATAGCATTCAACCGTTCAATAAACTACATCATGGCCCACCAGAATAAGTCAAATCCGTCAGGGTTCCAAACTGACGAGGCTTCGGCAATCGATTCATCCGACCCTCTACCCCCAATAAACCGCTACATCACCACACACGACAAAAGCGGAGCAGCCGTATTTGACACTACACTGCCAGAAGAAGCCTCGCGTCATCCTGTTCCTGGAGCCCTCTTCACTCTTGCCTACTGTACCGATCAGTTCCCTGCTGTCCTTCGCAATGACCAGGATGTTGCAGTCTACCAGCGATTTTTACAGGATCCTCCCGGACTGGTAGTCTCCTCTGGATCTGTTTGCCGCATTGTGGACATTGGACCCAATGTCGCTTGTCCAATGCATCGAACTATATCCCTCGACTACGGCGTTGTGCTGGAGGGCGAGATTGAGTTGATTTTGGACAGTGGGGAGACTCGACTGATGAAAAGAGGGGACGTGTCTATTCAACGAGGAACGAGCCATGCATGGAAAAATGTCACCACAGCAGTGGACGAACAAGGGATTAAAAAGGCATGCTGGGCACGTATGCTGTACGTGTTGTTGCCGGTGGAACGACTTGAGGTTGAGGGGATGGGCGAGTTGGGAGAAGTTGTTTCAGGAATGGGCGTCCGAGCGAGCCAGTGATATTGATGTGCTCACCCGAAGAGTTATATTACGATCTGGTTTCACCATATAGAATGTGGAGATCCTAGACCCAATTTGAAGTTGAATATTGAGATGCATTCAGATAGATTGGAACAAATAGTAAGAAAAACTGGCTAAAATCATGCTTCCGGGTCCAACTCCATCATGTTTCAACAGACCTGATTCATTGGAATCAATCAGAAATGCTCAACTGAGGAAGTGCTTCAGACAAACTCCACCGAGTAGCAACATCATCCATCAAATGACCAGAAACCCTATCCAGGGTTCTCTTAAACGGGCAATCCTCAATGCTTGATGCGATCGCTTGCACAACCTTTCCGAAGGCCCAAAAATCATTCAATCGGCGGGCCTCAAATGGGAGACCCAAGGGTGATAGTTCATACGCCGTCTCTGGAGCTTGCCACCCATGGGTTGTTCCACCTATGCCGCTGATATCAATGATAATGGCATTGCCACATTCGCCTAGAACGATATTGGCTGTCTTCAGGTCCATGTGGGTTTTTCCCGCGCGGTGAAAATTATCCAGCGAAATGCCGATTTGGAGAGCCCAGTTCTGCCAGGGTAAATGGGCAAAAGACCGTTCTCTCAGGACATGTGCCAAGGTTCCACCGCGGTAGAATTCCACCAAAATACCATTGATGACCATCGGCTGCCTGATTTCCGAGCAGGTGGCGTATGGACTGGTAAACACTGAAATGCCAGCAGGCTGAGCTATACCTCTCGTTCCCTTGAATTGTTCGAGGTTTGCCAGCTCTTGTAGTATGATGTTGGTATCTTGCGGGATGTAACCAGGAACCTTGACCTCCTTGAGAACATATTGCTTGTTCTCAAATTTGTGGCGAACACGAAACACCCCAGGGGTCATCCGAACCTCTTTTATCAAATCTGCGCTCCTTATGGGTCGGAGTGACGGGAATTGAGTAGCTGGCGGGTATCTCACTCTCATAGGATCCTCGCGAATAAGGTATCGCATATTTCCGATGAGAGATGGGGGCGGGTTGGAAACTTTAGGGTCGAGACACAGTTTGGCAAAGTCAACGTTTCTCGTGTCTTCATTCAAAATAATTTCAGTCACAGTATCATCCAGAAGGGCCAGCGATTGAAAGTCGATTGTCTTGATGAAGTCTTGCAGTTTGTTACATCTTTCGCGGAATGACTTAACATGCTGTGGTCTGATATCGCAGGAAGAGCATGGGATTGCACCTTCTACTGTGATTTTTATCCACCACTTTTTGTCGGGCACACGGTAGATGACTGTCTGGGAGCGAGAATCAGACTCGGAAATTCCTTTCCTGAAGTCTCCGTCTTCATAGTAATCCGCGAATTGCAACTTGGGAAGCACAGGTGAATCTCTTGAGAACGACATTTTCTTGTACCGTATTCGAAGGGGAGCAATGTTTTTTCGAATCGCGAAGTTGCGCAAGAGGGGTCAATGAAGAGGAAGATTTAGGTTATAACGGCTGGGGAGTCTCGTTTATCACCTGAAACTTGCAATTCGTCAGAGCAGCTACAATCAGGAGATGATGTAATCAGAAAGAGAAGGAGATTTTTGGGAGGTTGAGAAGAGAAAGAAAGCCTGGTTAAAGGAAGAAGGAAAACTTTCGACGAAACGACTCGGGAAAGAGAAAGAAAGCCTGCACGTGGTTAAAGGAAGAAGGGAAACTTTCGAAGAAACGACTCGGGAGGAAGCTTGAGTTGACGGTCACCCATTGAGAAGTTTACGTTACGTGTATATGAGAATTCCTGTCGACGCAAGTATACTACTGGGTACTAGTAGAATATACAATGAGTAGTCAACTACTCTGTTATTCCACCGCCCAAGCTGTGTGCACCATCAGTTCATTGTTGACCTTATCTTCTTAGCAATCCTCCTTTGGCCCAAAACCATGACTCTCTAGGACCTGTATTTACCAATTAAAATCAAGATACAGACACACAAAGATATCTGGTATATATATGAAATGGTAATTATGAAGACCTCAAGCTTGCTTTTCTCCTGAGACCTCTTCGTCTATTTCTCCGGCAACCTTCATAAGATGGAACAGCAACAAGGAACACTGAATAAAGTAAACCGCTATAACGGTCCAGAACGCGACTGCACCATCCCAAGCAAATGGTCCAGAATGTGCAATATGGCCTGCGTAGGCTGTAATCCAGACACACATGCAAGCAAGACTAAGCCACGACGTCCACTTCGGGATCAGGGGTTTGGGTCGAGGATCCGAGAGACAAGCTAGCACTATAGCCACCTGTTGCGGAACATACGCAGCATTGATCATATTGTAGAGGAGAAGGCTGAGATCGCTCAAGGCCTGCGTAATTTCTGGATTTCTATCCAGCCGGTAGATGGTCGCTCCAAACATGACTGCCAACACGATGGTCAAGGTACCAGAAGCACAACCCGAAGCGATCTGAATGCTGAGAATGTGTGGGTTGACATTAGGGATGCGGCGAAGTTGATTGTTGATACCCAATCCCCAGAAGGGCCATATCAAACTCGAAATAATTAATAGGAAGACACCAGCGCGAGTGCCAGCGAGGTTGTTGCGGTAGTGCTCTGCCGTCTCAATGGCGGTAAGGGTGGGCTTCAAGGGCGGGAATAAGTGGGACGCGGTCAGGAAGATGAGATACTGGCAGCCCACGAATGGTCCACACGCAATTAAAATTCGGTCTCGAAGAATTGCGGACCTGGCCTTCTTTGGGGTATCTGTGATAGACCTCTCACTGGAAGGTTCATCTGTAGAAAGCATCGTTGAATCGTGGAACGTAGCCAGGGCTCAAGTGCTGAAGAATAACAATGGATTTTAAGGAATGTGTCGACCTCGGGAATAGTGCCGATTGAGCAAGGCTGGTGGAAAAAACACGCAGAGATTTTCAAATCTCCAGACTAAACGGATATTAGATTGTATATGTAGGACGTCCTGCAAGCGCTTGAGGGGACGGGGGAGATATTCAAATGTTTGGTCAACACCCAGCTGGGCAGGACCCCCGTACAGCTCCACCTACTTTGCCCCACTCCTTAGTTTGTGATAGCTCATATTCGCACTTGTCCTATTTTTTTTTCCGACGAAAGGACGAACAAGGGTATAGAGTAGATCTATCCCAAATTTCACTAATTGAGACCTGAATCGGCTATATCACTGGAACACCAATCATCTGTGTCATACACAGTTAAATTTTGACTTTGACAAAAGAATATGTGGAGTACCTGAGCCGTCGAGCATAACAGTAAACCGACCCGCTGGAGCTAGGCCCCACTCCCCCTTAACCGTCTCATTTCCAAGGCGATTCGCGACAGATCGCCTGGGTAACCAGAGGCTCAGTTACCCATGCTCCTTTACCTGTAGACCAAAATCAATGTCAACCTGCAGAACCTAGACCAACATTTTGAAACAGCATTGACCGGGGGCATCATTGTTCAACACAAGAATGAACGCAAAGAAAACCAACGAGTCGAAAGGGCGAAAACAAAGAAAAGACACATCCACTTCTCCTTTGATCTAACCATTCCCTATTGGGCGAGACCGGCATTTGCCTTGAACTATCCTTTTCTTTGCCCGATACTGATTGGCTTCTGGATTTCAGCTGCTTGAGCTACGTGCAGATCGGCCAATCACAACAATCCAAGCGTGCACTAGTACAATCGGCGCGGCCCGCTTTTGGGGAAGATTGGTCGATCTGTGTACTTCCCTTAGTCAGCTCTCTTTCTTTTCCTTTGAGCTTCTCAGCTCCATGAAAGCTACACGCCTCTGCTCTCCATTCATGATTTGCGCCTACTAGGCCATCAAAATCTCACAGCAGATTTCATCTTTCCTTTCCAATTAGAAGCGACCTTCCAAAGCGACATGAATACTGCGGTATTTCCCGTACAACATGGATTTTCAAGAGTTTCGGAGTTTGTCCATGACTTCACTGAGCAGGTGTTGTCTCGAGGCTTCCTTTGGATAGCTACTCTGTCGACCTTGGTATTAACTCCGGCCTACTTAATATTCTCGTGCACCGAATTTAACAATTGAGAAGCTTGTAATATATACGGCGTCCAACATTTGCTACAATCTCATGTTCTCGCCGCTTCGATCATATCCAGGCCCAAAGCTATGGGCAATTTCCACTTTACCCTCGGCAATCAGCATTCTCCGCGGACGAAGCCATACAACTATGCTAGCAATGCATAATAAATACGGCCCTGTCGTCCGCATCGCCCCGAACGAGCTGTCGTTCAATTCTCCGGGGGCTTACCAGGATATCTACATGCCTCGTTCGGGTAGACCACCCTTTGGAAAACACCCAAGAATTTATGCCTGCAAGCTGAACGGTGTTCGCGATAGTATAATTGGAACACTGGACCACGATCTTCATGGAAAACAGCGCCGACTGTTATCTCACGCCTTTTCAGACAGATATCTACGGGAGCAAGAAGGCATTATTGTGTCTTTTGTGGACATGCTTATTTCTCAACTGCGCAAGCAGATAAACCCGAAAAAAAACCACACATCTAAGGCAGATATCAGTGGTTGGATGAACTTTACCACTTTCGATATTATGGGAGAGCTTATGTTTGCGGAGACCTTCGACTGCCTAAACGATAGCAAGCTTCATCCTTGGATCTCGCTTGTGTTTGCCTCCGTCAAGGGAATCACACTCGTGGCCGTTATGAATCAATTCTCACTGATCTGGGCAGCGAGTGAATTTCTTCTACCCGAGTATCTCCGAGAGCAGATGCTGAGAGCTGTGAATGTCACTGCGGAAAAGGCTGATCGGCGAATTAAGAAAGGGACAACTCGTCCCGATATTATGTCCGCATTACTAAAGAATGGACTGATTGATGAAACTATACCAGACCATGACTTAAGTGATAAGAAGGATTCTTCAATCAAGGATCAACCGATCATGACTCGGGCTGAAATTCACTCAAACGCAATGCTGTATGTCTCCACATTCGAATATCGTTTCTAAATTCCAGCTAATAGCTATGTACAGAATCATCATGGCCGGAAGTGAGACTACCGCTTCTCTTCTTTCGGGGTGTATATACTATCTATGCAAAAACCCAATTTGCATGACCGAACTTTGCAACGAAATACGCTCAGAATTCTCGGCGGATGAAGATATCACGGCTGCCAGATGTGCACCTCTCAAATACCTCAACGCCGTGATTGAAGAATCGTTCCGCCTATATCCTCCCGTAGCTACTGTCCTACTGCGAGTAGTACCTGAAGGCGGCGATACCGTGGATGGATATGTCGTGCCAGAAAATGTAAGTGCTGCCCTTGTCAGTCTTCAACTTTGCGAACGGCTGCTTATGATGCAATATAGACGACTGTATCCACTCATCACTACGCATCTTATCGCTCCGCGGCCAACTTCGCGCTCCCCGAGCAGTTTATCCCAGAACGCTGGCTAGGGAATGATGAACGTTTTAACAACGATAAAAGAGACGCATTGCAGCCTTTCAGCCTGGGGCCGAGAGGTTGTATTGGAAAAAGGCAGGTTCCAATCCCATGCACAAAACCTTGCTTGGAATTGTATTAACAGAAAACAGCCTTGCTTATATAGAAATTCGGCTGATTGTAGCCAAGCTTCTATTCAACTTCGATATTGAGCTTTGCAAAGAGAGCGAGAACTGGGTTAAACAGGACGTTTATACAATCTGGAACAAGCCGGCGCTGATGGTGCAACTACACGATAGGTTCCATGAGTAGCGGGCCACGGATTTAAGAGCTGAAAATCCAAAAGGGCTGTGTTGCTTTTTCCTAGCTTTGTTTTATTTTCATGCAATGAATGGCACATACCTAAGATAACCCATGTTCCTGCAGATTCGGTGGTCCAATTTGAAATCGACCCAGGGTGGTTGATTACTCAACATTTGAAATAAACAGGGGGCAAGGCGCGGTACTTCTGCTATGGCCGACTCGTACAATAATCAAGCTTTTAAACCCTTATTGGGTTTATACGAGGTTAGCGCGATTTCAAGTTTTCTTTTGCCCCGGAGAGGATACGCCTACGGACGAGGTCTAAGAGCCGCCCCAGCCCCTTCTCCAGAGCTATATCGATGAAACTTTGAAGTTATTTTTTGTAAGCGGGGGTGGGGGCTGATCGGGATTATTGAGGCGTTTGAGAGCCCCATCGCCTCGCCAGAACACTCAGGTATAGCAAATGCTCAAATATTGCGATTTCCACCCCCAAAAATAGCACGAATTCTACATGAAAATCTTCTGAATATCCGTTGGACAACGAATGAATTGTGATTATTTCAACAGGATGCGGCAGGGATTTATCCTGGGCCCTGGCTAGTCAGTTTGGTGAAAAATGCGGCTTAGACCACATGGGCAGTGTCTTGAGTCTTGACTCGTGTATTTTGGCTGAAATGAATGGTAAACACGCTAATGCAAGCTATCACGTATCAATGTGAGCGAAGGAACGCCAGCGGTTCTTGAGTCTATAATTGTCAGCAAAGTGGAGGCCATAGAGCTTTAAAATACCGCTAGTATTTGATGAGTGTTACAGGAGACCCCTCTTTTTTGCTTTTCCTCATGGAATTCTGCATCAATGTCTATCTGCGGCGTTGGAGCTATGCAGTAATTGTGTTTCGGAATCACACCCGGCGGTATTTAAAGCTGTCTTCGATGGCACCTGTTCCGCTAATCCGTACACAGTAACCCAATCGTTATAATTGTCCTGACGGATATCCCGTGGATCTGATTCGTCCCGGCCGATACTAGCCCGTACGACCTGGGCAGTCCGAGAACGAGGGAAGTGACCCCCAATTCCCCCCCAAATTAAACAAGAATTATGCAGTGAGAGGGGGCGAGGGGGGGCGGGTGTTTTCTGCTTTCCCTCTGCCTTGCGAACCCGCGGAATCGTTAGCCAGCCCAGCCACGATGGGCCTTACAAACGGAAGGTTCGGCTCTGAGTCGCGACAGAAGAATCAGAGCATCAGTTCCTCACAATCTGGCCAACCATCCATCATTTCCGACCGAGGCTCGCAGCGCGAGAAGTCGCTCTGGCAACGGATGTCAGGCAAGGATAAGGATGGGCATCGATCATCCGTGAATGAGCAAACAGAGGAGATCCTCAAGACGGCAAATCATATTCTTACACAACTCCACGAGGCCAAGCGCCTGCGCCAGTCAAATGCCCACTTACTCAACACTGACGACAAGTCCTGGATGGACAGTACCATCTCCGATATTGATGGCGCAGCTCGCGACGTGCTCGCTTTTCTGGAGCCGACGCGGGTGGAGAGCGCGACCAGGAACGGGAAGCTTAGCCTGGGAAGGCAGATACGCTGGGTCTCGCGCGATAATCAACGAGCGCGGGACAAGACTCACCGCCTTTTGGCTTGCCATTCCAGTCTGTCGGCGGTTTTGACTCGGCTCCAGCGACTCAATACTCCTCGGTCTACTTCTGTTCCTATCTACGAACTTGGAGGGGAGATGCCTGTGAAGGGCGGGATATACAGCTCCGCTAGTCTGCATGATTCTGTTGGGGGAGTCAGTGAGCTTGAAGAGGGGAGGAGGTGGATATCGCCGAAGCTGAGTTCTCTGAACGTCGATAATAGGCATGATTCCGTTGCTTGCCTTAGTGAACTTGGAGACAGTCGGCCGTGGATATCACCGAAACCGAGCTCGTTGAACCTTGAGAAATATGATTCACTTGGTGGTCTTGGGGAGCTTGAAGATACTAAAAAAAGGACGCCCCCGAAGCCAAGTCCGTTGAACAGTGATATGCATGATTTGCTAGCCTGGCGACGATCCAAAGGAGCCGCTTCATAGTACCCAGCGAATATGAAATATACAAAGCAAGTATTCAATTAGTTTCTCCCTTGTATATCATATACATACTAGGCACTAGTACCCCGCGTATCTGAGCCAATACCTTCACAAAACTTCTGAGACCCCGAGTAGAATGACCGATCATGTTTCCCGTATTAAAATTGCAGTACATTAGATAATATCATTTCAGACTTGCCGCGTCACGGGCTGTAGTAAGGTCTGAGGCACGGCCAGTGAATTTCCCTGCTCGTCACAAGTCTTGACAAATTGTGGGAAAATGATGATCTTGCTGCTCGAACTGGTCGGCCCCCAGCCGAGCTCAAAGAAGCATGGCTGAGAAAACAGCCAAGTACCAAGCTCAGCTGCCGCCCGGCACACACTAGTCAGATGGACGAGGCGATCAGCTTCATTGAACTGAGGATCGCTGTATGGCGTAAAAGCCTCGGTGAAGGCATTCGCAAACCGTGTGATCGAGTCATTCTGAGCTTCCAGTTGAGCCGGAGTGGCTGAGTATTTCGAAGCGTAAATATGAGATGTTAACATGCGCCACGCAAATACTGAGCGATCATCTGTAAGTAAAGTTGGGTCAGTGAAATGGTAAAAAACAGAGCAGGAAGTAACAGAGCTGTACCTGTGTCAAGCGTATCACGTCCATTTGCCTGTGGTCCTAACCTGTAACATGCCGGAAGCAAAGATCCCTGAGCTTGAGGCTGAATAGCCCGCATGACAGCATAAAGAAGTGTATGGGTGAGAATTGGTCGCTGGGGGCGGGAATTTGAAAGCACAGTCGCCAGCGAAGTATCGAAAACACCAGAATCATATTGATTGATCTGAGCCACTGCTTCAGGAGTCAACCGACGTTGCTGTCCAGACGTTGAGTAATAGTTATCCACGTGCAAGCTGACTTGGTCAAACAAAGTCTGCACGCGAGTGGAAACGGTGCTATCGTCTGCAGCCTCGGCAATGAAAGGGGCCAGGTCAAAAGTACCAGCTCCAGCGGCGAATGGCTTCAAATAAGACGGATTGCCGGCCTGAGATGCGGCAAATGAGGCATCTCGCACGTGGCTGACTCTCTGTGTTGCCCCTTTCGGGGTAACCGAAGAAATGACTCCGGCGTCTTCATTTTTTGCAGGGGGGTATTGTGAGGGCTTGCGCTTGCGAAGGAGCAGAAATGCCAAAATGAATGCCAAGATGCAGCCTCCAGCAAATGCGCCTACTATTCCCCCTGCAAGTGCCCCGGTGCTGATGTGCTTAGCAGAGGAAATATGAGTCGTTGTACCGTTGGTGTGCGTGGGTATCGCACTGCTGGAAGTGATAGAGGCGACATTTGTAGAGTTGATAGCACCACTGTGGGTAGTGGTAGTGCTAGATAGAGTATCCGAGCTCGAAGAGGTAGTACTTGAAGTAGTGTCACTTGCTGTGGATGACGGGGAAGTGCTTGTTTTGGTCGTGTCGGTGCTAGAGGCGGTGGAGGAATTGATATATTGACCGTCATTGTAACCCGTGTTTGTCGTGGCTGCAGGAGTTACTGAGGCCGCAGCTTCCAAATCGCGAATTGAATCCATTTTGAATCAAAAAGACTCAAAAATTTGGCACTGATGGATGAGGAGAAAAGAGATTCGGACGGAAAGTACACAGGAGAAGAGGCTCGGAGCTGAACTGTATTTTTGAAAACATACCCCGATATTAACTGTATTTTTGGAAAACACAATGTGACACCCGGGTGTAGTGGGTCCGTTTCAGCCCAATGGCAAGTGCGCGACTGCGACGGCGTGGGACTAATGCGGCTAAAAGCTGTGATACATTAATTGGCCCCCAACTGAGATGCGTCGATACGGGATGGGGCTAAATTAGGCTAACTTCGCTGTCAGGGGGAAGAACAAAAGTCGGAAAGTAGAGAATAGAACATTTTCGCATTTCTATTTATCCCGAGGCCATCTTCAAAGGCCCTCAACTACACCGAGGACTTCAAAGGTGTGAATCAAGTCTTGACATATTGCCTCGTCAAAATGAGTGACAAGGAGGTTGTGCCTCCCGAGCATTATGGGTTGGAAGGGAATTGGGGCGCGTGGACCCCAGATATTGTGGTGGGCATTGACTTTGGCATGACTTATACTGGTAGGGATTTCGTTCTGCGGCGCCTTTTTTTTTGATCCATTAGAACACAATAATAATTCTATCTGAAGGTGTTGCTTACTCCTCTGCACCTGAATGGCTTCCGCCAAAAACCATACAGCGTTGGCCAGGAAGATTGCCAGGAGAGCTTTCCAACAAAGTACCTACCTGCATTGAATATGACAAGCACGGCGGGTTAAAAGAATGGGGTTTCCAGTGCGATCAAGAGGAGAAGTCTTTGAATATCAAGGAATTTTTCAAACTGCACCTCGCGCCTCAATACCATGATGACTATCCTGGGGCTCCAACTCGCGCCGAAGCTCAGAAATGGTTCCAGGACTATGTCCATTGCGTTTATCAACATGCGATTTCTCACTTCACCAATACCATTCCGCATTTTTCTTCGCGTAATGTTGAGTTTCTCTTCAGCGTACCGACCACCTGGAAGGACGTACGGATGGTTGAAGAAACGAGGAGCCTTCTCGAAACAGCGATCAACGCTAAAACACCGAATCATCGCGTTTCCATAGGCCTCACTGAGGCTGAGGCTGCGGCAGTCTATGCTGGTAATGAACATTATCAGGTAGGAAAAGAGCGTCTCTAGTCATATTTGACTCCCAGCTGATCATATAATAAATGATCTTTAGACAGATGACACGATTTTAGTCTGCGATGCTGGTGGAGGAACTACTGTGAGGAAATCTTACTACCATATATTCACCGATATACTGATAACCAGAATAGGATGTGAATGTTCTCAAGCTCATTTCGTCCAGGGGAGAGCCGACAAGACTTGAACAGCTTGGGCATGTTGAAGGTAACATTGAGAAATTTGTCTTCGGCTGATGCCCGATGAGCATCACAGAGCAGGCGTGAGCTAACTTACTGATAGGACAGCCCATTGGTTCAACGTTCATTGATAGACAAATCTACGACCTGATATTCGCAAGATTGCAAAAGGCGCACGATGAGCTGGGTCTTCCACCAAACGAAACAGCATGGAGAATGATATCAGGCCGATTCCAACGATTAAAGTGCGCGTTCGGGACAGACGCCTCTGCAACACCCTGGCTGAAGCTTGATGTTCCGTCGTCAGACTCCAACTTGACCCACCCCGCTGCCGAGATATATGATGGACAGATGCGGATTTCATGGTACAGGCAACCTCGTTCCTTATCCGGATAGAATTTCACCCAGAAATCGCTAACTATGGAACTAGGGACGATCTGAAAAAAGCTTTCGATTTGAAGATTGATGAGATGATCACCCTCATGGATGGGCATATCCGACAAATGCATTCCAAATATCCCGAGGATAGCATTGTAAGTACCAACCAAGCCTTTTGGTTTACACACGGGATGCAAATACTTATAACTAAATTACGATAATAGACATATTTGGTTCTATCGGGAGGCTTTGGAAGTTCTCCATATTTAAGGCAGCGTCTTATGGACCGATACAATAACTCCAAAGACCATCCAAACGCCGTTGATATGCAGATTCTCGTCGCTGATGAACCGTACAGTGCCCCCTTAAGATCGTGAAATAGAAACAGCGTACTAACATCTATTTCACACATAGACAGCTGGTAGTAGTCCATGGCCTGGTCTTGGATCGAATCCAGCAAATCAAACGGGGAGTTGTCACTTTCGGATCGCGATGCTCTCCCGTAAGTTACGGCATTGTCTGTGACAAGCCTTATAATGCAGAGAAGCACATCGGACAACCAGTACGACTTGACCCACGAGACAAAGTAACCTACGCAATCAACCAGGTCGACTGGCTTGTTATTCAGGTATGTTCCAGCAAGCCGAGGTGAACACTTGATCCAAAACCAAACACTTTCTTACTTACCTGTGATTAATCCAGTCTATCCCAATTCCGCACACAGGATTGGCCAAGAGCTTCCAATTGAAGATGGATAAAGGTCGCGAAAATGACCCTTGGAAAGTCAGCGTCGTCATGTCAACTCTTCCGCCTGATGAACTCCCCTCCAGCTTGAGCCATAGGGGTGTTCAGAGAGTTTGCGATCTCGACATTTCAACTGAGAAGGTTGACAAAAAGTTGAAAAACAGGCATTGGTACAATACGAAGCCCACATTTTGGAGGACGGTTTTCGATGTAAAAGTCGTAGTCGGACCTGCCGATCTCTCCTTTCAGCTCTGGTCGCGCGATAGAATGATTCGGAGCACTGGGCATGATGCTATTGCGGTTAAGTGGATGCCAGCTGCGGGACTTGATAATTAAACCTTGGAGTATGGTATGTTACTGCTGAGCTCTCTACATGACCTTCAAATACCCTGTGTATTTAGTAATACTATTTTATGTTTGGAAAATGGACGTGCGGCCTTGGTGTATTATCGTTTCAACTGCTTCTGTAAGGAGTGACCCTGTTGCGTGGTCGGAGATTCTCCGACAATTTCTTACTGCATTGAGAAGTTGGAATGGAACGCGAGTTTAAGGCCCAATGGCGCCAGATCTCCAGACGCGCATTGGAGACTAGCGCGACGTTATCTTATCACAGCCCCCACCAAATGCGAGCTGTTTAAATACACCCGGTTGAACTCTTTCTTTATGCTATACACATTCCTCCTACCATGAACATCGAGCGGATAGCAATTATCGGCGCCGGGCCTTGTGGGCTGGGTGTCGCAAAGTAAGTGGAGCCGCCATGTTTACAACAACCTTGAATAAATCTTAAATCTAGTAGGCGCAAGAAATAAACTCATGAACTGACGCTTGGGTAGGTATCTCCTAGCAGAACAGAAATTCAAAACTATCACCATATTTGAACAGCGGGACCAGCCCGGTGGTGTATGGAATTATACTGGCGATGAAGGCACTAGCAACAATGCCATCCCAATTCCCAACCCAAATCCTAGCTCGACGCCCCAGCAGCCGGTGAACGGCAAGTTCATATCGCCAGTCTATGACTCCCTGGAAACGAATATTCCGAACTCCATGATGAGATTCTGCGATTTTCCATTTCCGGATGGAACAGCTTTGTTTCCTTCGCATGTAGTCGTTAAGGACTATCTGCACAGATATGCCGATGAGCTGCGGGACATTATAAAGCTACAGACGCTTGTTGTCGATGTTTCTGTGACGAGAAGGCACCCGCGCACAGAGTGGGCAGTTGCATGGCGGGATCTCCAGACCAATCAAGTCTCGACTGCACAGTTTGATGCCGTGGTCGTTGCAAACGGGCATCATAATGACCCCCACGTCCCTGATATTCAAGGTCTGGCTGAGTGGTATCGCATGTTTCCGGGATCTATTAGTCATTCGTCCTCGTATCGCCGCGCAGAGCCCTTTAAGAATAAGGTATGTCATGCCAACTATCCACTTGAGACCCATCAAGATTCCGGAAATTTAAGCAGAAGAAACAGAAAGTCATCGTGGTGGGCCACTCCGCCTCTGGAATCGACATTGCCTTGCAAATCAGCCAAGTCTCCCAACATCCACTGCTGATATCGGAGCGAACAGAAACAGCACTATCACCCGAGAAAGCAGCGGTCATCAAAGCTCTCCCTGAGATAAGCCTACTAGACCCCAAGAGCGGCCGAGTGCATTTTGCCAACGGGCACGAAGAGCGCGATGTCGATCATATCGTCTTCTGCACAGGCTATCACTTCTCATTGCCGTTCTTATCGACCCTCCGACCCAGCATCATTACCGATGGCCTTCGACCGCAAAATCTATACCAGCACGTGTTTTTCACCTCAGAGCCCACACTGGCGCTCATCGGGTTCCCGCAGCGGATCGTCCCATTCCCAATTAGTCAGGCGCAGGGCGCGTGGGTTGCGCGGATTTTCTCAGGACGCCTGGTGTTACCTTCGCAAGCTGAGATGGAGCATTGGATTGAGGAATGGAAATTTGAACGAGGAGATGGGCGGAATTTCAACATTCTTGCGTTTCCGCTCGATGCAGAATACATCAACTATTTGCATCATCAAAGCTCGATGGCCGTGCCCCGCGATGGGCTTGAAAACAATGGCAGCGGGAAACAGTCTCCGTTCTGGGGTGAGAAAGAAAAGTGGACGCGGGCCAGATTCCCGTTGATCAAGAAAGCGTCACAGGCACTGGGTGATCATCGGAGAGAAGTTACAAGCCTTGAGCAGCTTGGCTTTGGATTCGAAGAAACGCTACAGGATACAGGGCTGAGTAAAGCTCATCTGTAAATAATTGCAGATATTATTCCCTTTCGAGATAATCAAGGGATTTGCTCGTTCAGAGCATATCCGATCCAAGACCACCAAGCAGACTCATCCATTGTGTTTCCAGTGGACTTTCTGTCAGAGCATTGTCTGCAGGTGTCAAAATGGTGTTTTGCGGGATACCGATCCGTGATCCGAATTGTGCTCCATCAGGAATACCACCCATGCCATCCAGAGTAACATATTGGTGCGACAGCCTTCTATCGGCGACTTTAGATCTCAAAGGCCATATATAAAAGCTTGCTTCACCTAAGGTATCACTCAGTAGCACAGCTAACTCATCTTGTATCACCTGGAGACCACGTTCTACCTCTAGCCCAGGAGAAGTTATGACCGAGGATGCCGAGGACTGACTTAGTGGTATGATGGGATTTTTCTGTTTCCCAGTAATATCCGCCAGGCATCGCAGAAGGCGAGCCGCTTCGTGTGCAGGAATCCAAGTGGGTGCAAACAATTCCAGTAAGGAGGCGAGTAGGGTAATCTCTGGAATATCTTGGAATGCCGGGGACCACTGCGCGACACAGTAAAGAAAGATAGCCGACAGTGAGAGCAAGCGACACAGAGTGACCCAGTTCATGGGTAGATGACGGTGTTCGTGGAGAATGAGGCTCAGTTGAATATACTGCTGCGCAGCTGCCTGCAGCTGGGCCAGGTTGTCTTCTGATGCCGAATCGGCTCTTGCGGGTGTATATAGTAGGATAAGAAGATTTTGGTAGCGGACATTCAACCAGGTGATGGTCGTATGAAATGGGACCTGGTCCTGCTCCCACAGCGCCGAGCTAGATAGGAGGCAACCCTGTGTATACCAATCTTCGATCTGGCGCCGTAACTCCTGCGGGTGCACCGGAGGGCTGTGGCTATAAATGGAATTTACAATTCGGGTCTCGAGTTGTCGGAGAGCAATAACGTGCCTGCTGACTTGGAGCGCGATCGTATACTGGTGACCCTCTTGCGACCCATATTCGTGGATCATGATGCTTGGCAATGGGACTTGCATTGAGTCGTTCGATAACCCGAATGGAAGTCCGTATGAAATGCCGATCATACGGTCGAAAACATAGATTGACCAACTCAACCGACGACGCAGCTCTAATGAACGAGGAGAAAGGTTTTGGCATGCCGGTGTCTCGCTCACTAGTCCGATCGCTAATGCGTGGCGGGTCAAAACGCCAACGATGGATCTGGGATCCAGATCACTGGGCTTGAACAAGAGGTACAAGCCCAGCAGGAGCAAAGTGCCTGCCGAATGTTCCTCAACTCGGGTAACACATTCGCACAGAATAGTCTTCAAACACGGCTCGAATGGTCGCTCTTCAATATCCTGTGCTTCGCCGGCCCGCTGCAGTGTCGTAAACCCAATCGCCATTAACATGTGCAGCCGGCTTGGCACAGCCGATCGCGAAAGAAACCCATTCTGCGCTTCTTGGGTGCAAATATTCTCGAATTCCTGCTGCGCAACCTCGCTATCAGAAAAGGGATATGCGCGGTGAACATGTCGAAAATAAGCTTGCAGACATTTCCGCCCCCCTGAAACAGATATAGCCTTATCATCATCTTCCTCGACCTTGGAAGAAGAATCCTGGCTCTCTTCGCGCACGCTACTATCGGTTTCCATTTTCTCGATCGCATCAATTGATGGCGACCGGTTCCCACTGGACGGCCCGAGTGATCCTAGAGACAACTCCCTACCCGTCTCAACGGACTCGATCTGCGGCCCACCCGCTGGCAACGACTGATTTACTAACTGGCTCAACCAGTCAATTCGAGATCGTAATTCTCGTTCCCTCGAATGGGGACTCTTATCTCGCTCCATGAGGGAACAAGGCAGCCAAGCCGAAAGACAGGGTCTGCAAGGCCCTTCTGCAGTTCGCGTACATCGCTTCTTCTGCTGCCGACAGCGTCGACATGCGGGTAGAGTGGATGGGCGGCGAGCCTGAGCGGGGCCATGAGGGGTCCCAACGGCGGGTCCATTGTTCCGCTGATCATGAGAATTCGGTTGCACAGGGGCATTCCCGCGTTGGACCCGAAAGCGATGAACAGAGCCCTCCATCGTCATGATGGTTCGAATGGATAAGCGACAGAAGGAGTTGGTGTCGGGGAGATAGCGCGATGTGATAAGAGCTCCATTGTCATTCGCTGGAGAAGCACGCCATTTTTGTCCCCATCAAGTCATTTGTTTGAACTTTTCAAATTGGTGATGTGTTAGTAGCGCGGCAGTATCAGATGATCAATAGTTGATGTTTTCTTCTCCAAAAGGCATTCCATTGTAGTGAATGAAAAGGTGAATTATGTCATTGAGCTTAAATTCAAGTTGGCGACCGTGTCGTGTAAGACTCAAATGTTTCCCATTTGTGGCTAGGACTCGCCAACTGGTCTCGCGGGGCCCCATCGCGTAACCCATCGCGTCAGTGATTTCCTGTTAGACAACGCTCGACAAACTTTCTTCGAATTACGTCGAATATCGAGACCCCGATCGACTAATTGCGTGTGCCTCTTGAGTCCGTTGTACGGAACGGGCAGTTGGCATGCAATGCGAAAAAAAAAGAAAGAAAGACATCCAGGGGCTGGGCACACCGAGCTTCTTGACTAGGATCTAGCCGCCGGGTGTGTGCAGGAAATTGGTGATAGGTCAGGCCAGCTAATGGTGACAATTTGTGATGTATCGCATGCCGGGCCAGTTAACCCCCTTGCTCCGGCCATTGCCGGGTTCCCTTGGATTACCACGCAATAAATCTTATCCGACTGATGGGCTAAAGCTATGCGATCTGTTCCATTAGATCCGTACGTAGTCGAACAGAATGGTTAATAATTGAATATCGTCCCCGGTATTAATTCTACTAGCATGATGTATTGTCACTGTCAAGAATTGAGTGCCTGACTCCGACGTGATCACAGCTCATGCGCAAGGTCAGTAATCCCGAAATTGTGTAACTTCCAAGGTTGACAAGGACTGCAACCTATCCACGGGTCATTCAACCACATTGCCTTCATCAAGATCCGCTGACCTCCCCTCGAACCGGCTAGTTGAGATCAAAAATCCGTCAAGTGAAGAGTAAAATTAATAAAAATGCGAAAATTGGGTATTATACTACGTGCACAAGAGCGTCTCAACGTGCATCTCCACGTCGTCAAGATCCCAGCTTCAATATCCATGTTGAACTGAGCTTCAATACATGCAATCTTATCAGCAATGCATCCAAGTACTATCAGCAGCGACACTGCCCATAATAAACGTGCCCAACCAAATGCCCCCAAGGACAGAAAGAAAATATCCAACATTCATAGTCATAATCGCCAGCATCCTAAATCCCCCGTTAGTTTCAAAGGCAAAACACAGTGATATTAGCAGAAGACTTACAAGAGGTAGGCAACTCCAGCAAGTATTAATTCAAAGGTCGCACGGCCTGCGGCAGGATTCACGCGCCATCTGGACCACCTGCGTCCGATTTCTTGCATGCTCTGCTGCGCACCAGAGATTTGTTTTCCACCGTCGTGCTCCCCGATGAGAGGCTCACTCCCATGGCTGATGCCGTCTGTCCAAAGACGACCCTCCAGGACTGGACGCACGGCAATGAGCACGCGTAAGATGATGGCAAGGACAATCAAAAAGATACAAGTCCCGGCGTAAGTTCCCTTTGACGTGGGAGTCCAGTCGTCGGCGTATAGCGGGGTTTTAAAGGAGGTGAAGAATGTCATTGACATGTCGGACATGGACATGGACATGCTTGAATCCATGTCCATCGAAGAAGATGTGGATGTAGCCATGGACATTGCTGTTGTTGTGGCTGTCCCCATTGACATGGTGGTGGTGGTCATTCCAGACATATCCATCATGGCTGATCGACTACCGTTCGGTTTGCACCTTGGAAGTTCGTTTGGCTGGAATAAGTAAGATTTATCGGGAGGGTTGCCAGTGCGACCGTAATCCGGGTTATATAGAAACGACGTAGTAGCCGATCGGCTGCATGTGAGATGTCTGACAGATTTGACAAGAAAGTTATTCAAAACGAATTATGCCGGCACCCCACTCTTTAATAAGAGCATGTTTCGTTTCTTGGCACATCTTTGTGGAAACTTGCGATCATTGCGAGTGGGTCTGGTGATTCGGACCTCCAGACCTGATGCGTCTAGCCGGTGCTTTCCCCTTCACTAAGCAAGTATCTGTTCTCCTCTGGAACGACCTAAATGGTCGATTGAGTAATATCCTGGTGGTCTTGCCTCCTAGTATGACAAGTTATTCAGCGGCATATGCAAAGGATGGCAGTGAGTTCAATGTATCCGCGATAACCCATGAAATCAACGCCCATGAGATCTGAGAGCTTGAACTGTGTTTCAGTGGAGTCGAAAAGCAGCGAGAGTTGATTTGCTGCTGAACACGCGAAGTCGGGTGGAAGCGAAGCGGGAAGCTCCACTGCGCCACCAAAACCCCCAAAACACTCTCAAATGTGCTCATTTTTGCGGGGCGAGAAGCACAAGAACATCAACCACCGCAAATCCACTCACATTCATATCATCAAGATACGTTATATTTCTCGTTTGATGTCCAGATATCAAGCCACATTGATATGTTATACGTTTCTATCCATATGCCATGAGCACGTTTACCTCATAGATACAGCTGCAATAGAGGCCAGAGCAGATTATTAACAAATCTCCCACTCCGTCAATCTGCAATCTCATTCCTTGGCAATCACTTGGCAGCCCAGACTTGATACCTAATCATCCGGTCTGGATGAGGCAGGAATTAGCGTGCGATGAATTGAGCATGAATCGGATTTTCAAACCTGTCAGCGGTCATAGTGGAGTTCTAACTCGTGTTAAACGGGGAATTAATTCGCACACGGACCTGGAATCGAGATTAGTATTAATAATGATAGCATCCTCGTTGGATCTGCAAAATTCCACCTCTTGTCATTATCATTTCTTCCTTAACGGCTTCTGGTGACCACTCATAGTTCAACGGTCAAGATGGGCATGCTTCCGTTCCTGGACCAGCCGGTGCTGCTGCACTCAGACCGTGACCCGGGAGTGTGTACCATGACACCAGAGCAATGTGCCTATAAAAAGCAATACTGGGTTAACTGGTATGAGGCTGACCATCGCTATGCCTTACCAACCGTGGCATTCTTCATGGTTGCAATTATTCTCTTCTCCATTGCCCATGTAACGGAGAGTATCACTCCGCGGCGTGCAAAGCAAAGTCGAATGTGGCTGCGTCCGTTGGCATTTTTGCGCTTCCTCTCTTACAAGAGCTGGCGGATTGGGGGGTGTAACTCTCAATCTCTTGGTGTTTTTCTGCTTGGAGCGGCAGGTTTGGTCTACTTCCTTTGTAAGAGAGAAAAGGTCCATCATATCATTACTTTTCTCACCACTAATCTCTTCCCTCATTAGCGATGACTCTCGGACCTCATCCTTATTATTGGCCCAACACCATGGAGCTCAGCTATGGTGGATCTCCACCCATCGCGACGCGAGCCGGCTTCATGGCACTTGCTTGCATGCCATTCCTTATCATCCTCGGCGCCAAAAGCAACCCTATTACAATGCTTACTGGCATCTCCCATGAAAAGCTCTTCATCTGGCACAACTGGGTTGCCTGGGCCATGTTCGTGCTGGCATTGGTTCACACATTTCCTTTTATCGTATACAACATGTGGATGGGCGACATCAAAGAACAATGGAATACTGGTGGTGTGTGGGTGACCGGAGTTGTTGCTCTGATCGCTCAAGCATGGCTGACTTTCATGTCCATTCCCTGGATCCGGTAACTTTGGCGCCCTTCCCCTAGTACGTCCAATATCGCTTCTAGAATTTGCTAACACTTCCCGATTGCCTAGGAACCGATACTACGAGTTCTTCAAGGCCACCCACTTCTTCATGGCAATGGTCTTTGTCATATTTTTCTTCATTCACTGTGACTTCCGCATGTCCTCTTGGGATTATTTCATTGCAACTGCCGTTCTTTATACTCTCTCTTGGCTGTACTCGCAATGTCGAACATGGTTCGAGCACGGTATCAAGCACAAGGCTCGTCTCGTACCCGAGACCGATGAGACTTTCAAAGTCACCATCGATACGAGAATGGAGTGGGGTCCCGGCCAGCACATTTTTCTGCGCTTCTTGACATGTGGAATGCACTCTTTGACAGCCCACCCGTTCACAATCTGCTCCGTTCCCCAACGGGACGGAAAGAACCAGCTAGTCTTCTACATTAAGCAACACGGCGGTGTGACGGGACGCTTGATGAGCATGGCCAAAAAGAACCCGGACGTTCAAGTTCCGGTGCTAATTGACGGACCCTACGGCGGAACTCCGGTGGGCCGTCTTCAAGAATTCGATAAGTCGCTAATTGTCGGTGGAGGAGCCGGTGCTGGGTTGACATTATCCATGATTGAAGACTTTGTCCGTTTCTCTTCTCCCCAGAATCACAAAGAGATGAAGGTTATTGTTGCTACGCGCGATCCCGGGATGCGGGCGTGGTACATGCAAGCACTGGAAGATTTGGCGGCTAGGCAGTCGCAACAAAAACCAGTTGCTGGATTGTCGGTTCACATTCATGAGACTTTCTCATCACAGTCAAGTCCAGAATCGGATTCTGATGGAAGGGAAGTCGCGGGAGAGAGTGGGAAGATGCAGAAAGTTCATTCCAAGGAGTGTAGCCCCTTGGTAAGCGAGATATTTGGTGTTCAACTCTTCACTGGCAGGCCTGATCTCCCGAATGCCACTCAAGAATTGGCAAACCAGGAGGGTACCTCTGTAGGTGTGGTTGTATGCGGTCCTTCGTCTATGACTCATGATGTTGGTGCTGCGTCTTCAGAGATTCAAAGTAAGATTCTGGCCAAGAAAGCAGGTGTTACGCGTGAATTATGGTTACATAGAGAGAATTTCTCGTGAGTTGTTTCTTACAGACGTGCATTCCAAGGTTGATGGATGAAACTTTGCTAACATTGGGATTGCAGATTTTGAATGCTTTACTACCTACTGACTACTATTCACCCACACATATATTTGTACATTCGCACCAAATAACAAAGCACTTGAGAAACAGTGCATATATGATACATATACCTTGGTCCTTGATCCTGCTTCATTTTTAACATTGGAGGATTTTCAGGTACTGGCAGGCTGGCACAATACAGGTGGTCAATCGATGAAGTGTGTGAAGAAGCACTGAACTTGAGCGGAATCGACCAATGTGTGCATTCTTCGTAATGTTGAGAGGTGGTGCCTAGTACTAGGTGAGTATTTAATAAACCACCGGAGACGGATAATTGTAAATCCGGGAGGTTCTACCGAAACCATGAACCCACTTCCAGAAGTGGCTAGTCCTCGCGTGCTTGCATATTTTCAAGCTTCGCTGATTCATACCAATTGACATTCAGTGATGTCACAAACTTGGAATTAGATAAAGAGCCTTCAAAGTTTTATCACAGCCCGAATATCATGCCTTCAATCTGGGAATGTTTCTTCCCTCCGGCCCTCTCAAGTTTCAGCAGTAAAATCAACAATCGCACTCTCGACTAGGACCAACCCTTGGAAGCCGCCAGTAGCCGTCACGGATAAATGGTGCCAATTTTACCGGCCCGCGGACGACATTGACACATCTGACCCGAATCAGGCCTACCGTGGGGGTTCAAGCAGCATCCGTAACGGTTATTATAAACCTGGCCGTTGTCGGTCAATGACCGAGTCAACAAGCAAAATGATCAAGTGAAGCTAATTTTGAGTATCAGCCCTTGAACGGGAGCGGCGCGCCTCCCACGTGAGAGGCACGCTATAACGCAAGTGCTAAGGTTAAAAACCATTAAAGCCAGCCCGCGACCGTAAACGTAACAAGTTCCCGCGTAATTGTGGAGTCCGAAAAAAAAAGTTGTTGGTCTCAATCCTCGCTTCTGGAATTTGCGAACCCCGGAAAATGACTTCCAAGGCTCCCCGGATTTATTTGAATGTCTGGAGTAAAATGACTCAATCTATGAGTAACAGAAATGTCATCAGTAAATAAATTCTCCAATCTTATCATAATCAACGGTCAAATGGAGGGGCCCCGGGGGGTCAAGAACTGTTGAGCCGGGCCGGTTGATTTTTACACGTTTGCATGCTAAGGCCGGGCCGGGCAACCAGGCCGGAGTTGGTTCTTCGGGGAGGAAACTGCCCCGAGAGTGAAACTTTTGGTAAATTACATGTTACAAGCTTATATTTACAGGGTTTTCTCCAAAGTTTATGACCAACTTTAAAGCCTATTTGTGCTGCATGGTATTGAAAACAGACAGCAAAGAATCGGTTTTTTCTCAAGATTATTAGATGAACCTAGTAGATACGTATGAGTGGAACAAAAGGTCCTCAGCACGTTTCTCGAAAGCCTTCCCTTATATTATTCTGGAGCACCTTACCGCGCTTAGAGATGCCACAAAAGCGGCCACTAGTGGTGGTCAAAGACATTTCAAGCGCCACGGTACAGCCATAACCAAGATAACCAAGACATCGGCCCACGGTCGCTCAAGCCTAGAAAAATGATCCGCAGGTGGATGCAGGAACGCGTTCAAAACATACTAGCCACCATTCACCGGTGCCAGCTATGGGCAGAACAGCTCATACAAAACCCACAAAAGTTCACACAGAGTGGAACTTCTCAGTACCCCGGAGATAGCGAAATCAAATCTCCCAATTTTTTGAAGATTCTCGTAAAGAAAGTTTATACCCTAAGGTAATAATTTCTAATCGCCACACGCCAAGACACAGAAAAATGGGTCAGTATAATCTCCCCCATCTTTGGGCACTCTCCACGTCGCGCGACTTTTAGCTTCTTGCTTTCTTCCCTTCTCTAGTCCAGTCTAGAAGGTTGCTGTTTTTGTGGTTTTTTTTTCCTTCTTCCTTTTTTGGTACTTTTTATAAGACATCATGACCGGCTCGCATTTGCCTGGTTCTGGACCGCCCGCGCTTGAGATATATGAGGATGATGTGATGGATACGGAAAAGTTGGAGAAGCCTCCGGTCGTGGAGGATCCGTTTGGAAATGAAGAATCCGGGGAAGTAAAGTATCGCGTGATGAAGTGGTGGTAAGTTATCATCTGTCCTTAGGTGCTCTCTTGTTACCTGTGCATGTGCATGTGCATATGCATGGTCATTATCATACCATTCGGAGTCTAACACGATTACAGGCAAGCTGGAATGCGTAAGAGATCCACCATTGAACTTGAACATTGATCGCCGTCAACATTGATTATGGCCATTCTAACATTTGAACCGTCAATCTAAAGTCATGGTCGCCGAAAACATCTCACTTGGCATCATGTCCCTACCATCTGCCGTGGCAACTCTCGGAATTGTCCCGTAAGAAACAGACCCTCGACACATATTCCAGCAGTGTGCACAAAAGCTAAACATCACCAGGGCCCTCATTCTCATTCTCGGCCTATCAGGCATCTCATGGTACACCGGCTACATTTTCGGCCAATTCAAGCTCCGCTATCCGCAAGTGCACAGCATGGGCGATGCCGGCGAGATCCTCTTAGGCCCCATCGGACGCGAGATCTGCTACTTCGGCCAGCTGCTCTTCATCATTTTCCTAATGGCCAGCCATATTCTCACCTTCACCGTTACATTCAACACCATCACAGATCACGGAACCTGCACCATTGTCTTCGGAGTCGTGGGCTTGGTCGCGTGCTCCATCGCCTCTCTTCCACGCACGTCCGAGAAAGTCTTCTTGATGTCCACCATCTCCGCCGCCAGTATCCTCATCGCTACCATCGTCACTATGATCTCCGTCGCTGTTCAGACACCCGCCGACGTGGTCAACGATATCACCACCCACCCTACTTTCGTTAACGGTTTCTTGGCCGTCACCAATATTGTCTTCGCTTTTATCGCCCACGTGTCTTTCTTCGGTATTATCTCTGAGATGGAGGATCCTCGCCAGTTCCCCAAGTCTCTTGCTATGCTCCAGATTGTGGATACTACTATGTATGTTGTGGCGGCTATGGTCATCTACTGCTATGTTGGTCCGTCTGTTGAGTCGCCTGCTCTTTCCGCTGCTGGGCCTGTTATGAAGAAGGTTGCATACGGCCTTGCAATCCCGACGGTAAGTCAAGACTTTCAATCCACGACATTCTCTTTTCTTGAACCTCTGTTTCTAACTTGTGTAGGTCATCGTTGCGGGTGTTGTCTTCGGCCATGTCGCTTGCAAGTATATCTACGTTCGCATCTTCCGAGGCGATCGCTCCCACCACATGCACCAGCGTAGTATTCTTGCTACGGGTACTTGGGTTGCTATCTGTCTGAGCACCTGGACTATTGCCTGGGTCATCGCCGAGTCTATTCCCGTGTTCAACGATTTGTTGAGTCTTATCGTATGCCTCCCTCGAATCCTCTTGTACCCGTACGCCACTAACTCGTGTTTCATTCACAGAGTGCTCTCTTTGGAAGTTGGTTCAGTTGTAAGTTCCACATCGCGAAATTGATTTTAAATCCTAAAAATATACTAACCTTCGGCAGACGGTCTTCCTGCTATGTTCTGGCTTCACATGAACAAGGGACAATGGTTCGCGACACCAAAGAAGATCTTCCTCACATCCGTCAACTTCTGTATTCTAGGAATCGCCATCGCCATTGTAAGTTTTTCTTGCCCGTCGTTACCACCCACACGACTAATAAATGGCTTGCTAACTTAATTAGTGTGCCCTCGGACTATATGTCTCGGGTAAGTCTATCCATGACAGCACTGACAATGCCAGCTGGACTTGTGCTAGCAATGCTGTATAGATAGATGGGAATCTGCATTAATATACTAGATTCATAAATTTAGAGGTTATTTGACTTGATAGACATGAATTGACTCCGCGAAATTGGTCTATTGTACAATTGGTATTCCAAATTTCTAGTTATATGTACTATATACAAACTCTATTGGTTGCCCAAAGGCAGAAGAACGAAAGAATGGCAATGTAATAAAAAGATATGTCAAAAGAAGTGATCAAATATCCTTCAGATGAAGTGGTCAGGGGTTCCGGTCATAGACTGCGGATATTGTGACTCCAAATCAGCGCTTACCACTGCTGGAGAGTGGCCTCCCAGCGCTTGATGAAATCAATGCGGGCCTCAGACTTGGACAAAACACCAGCGCCCCAGGAGTTACCGAGCCACATGACGTTCTTGGTGGTGGTGGTCTCGGGCCAGTGAGTCAGTCCGTCGCCGTTGGGGTTACCGGTCTTGATGAAGTTGGCCCAGTAGTTGGCCATCTTCTCTTCGATCTTGTAGTCGCGGGGAGTCCAGGTAACGTTGGAGTAATCGGAGTAAGGAATGTTGTTGAACACATACCACAGCTCACTGCCGTGGTAGGCGCCAGCAGAGGAATCCTCGGCCGGGGTGTGGGTCCAGTAGTAAGTGTAGACGCTGCTCTTGGCACCACCAGCAGTCCAGTCGACACCCCAGCGCCAAGTACCGACACGGCTGAGATCACGGAAGAGCTCGTTGCTGTTCTCGCTGGCCTGGGTCTCGTTATCACCGGGGTAGAGAGTGAAGAATTCATCAGCGAAGTCGCCGAACATCTCAGTGTACAGCTTCTTGTATTCAGCAGCGCTGAAGGCGGTAGTAGTAGCAGCACCGGACTCGTCGGCGTTGTTACCGGTCAAAATGGGGACGTCGGAGTGGGCGTTCAAGTCAAGAGACTGGCCGTAGTTGTGGGTCAGGACGTAGCCATCGATGTTAGGACGCCAGAGGGGAGGCTCCATAAACGAATCGGTAAGGTTTTCAAACTGAGTTCCGACAAAGATGGTGTCACTGAGGGAGGCATAGGCGAGAAGGGAATCCATGGACAGGTTTCGCATGGCGGCAATAGAGGAGCTGTTCATTTCCTTCTGGAAAGCCACACCCTGAGCCTCGGCACGGGCCTTGGTGCGGTAGCTAGTAGCGTCACTTCCGGTAATAGGGTCGTGGGGACCACGAGCACCAGACTCGGAGATCACACCGTTGATCAGGCCCTTAGCGAGAGGGGAGAACATAGCATCGAGGGAGCTGGAAGATCCAGCGGACTGGCCACCGACGGTGACCTGCTCGGGGTTACCACCGAACTGAGCAATGTTCTCCTGGACCCACCGGAGGGCGAACTGCTGGTCCAGCAGACCATAGTTTCCAGAGCTGTTGTGACCAGACTCGGCAGAGAGCTCAGGATGAGCGAAGAATCCGAAAGGACCGACACGGTAGTTCAGGGTAACAACAATGATGTCCTTGCTGGCAAGACCGGAGCCATCGTAGGTGAGAACGTCTCCAGATCCGGCTTCGAAACGACCTCCGTAGATCCAGACGTAGACGGGCAGGTTCTTGGAAGTCAAGTCGCTGGTTTCGTTGTATGTGGGAGTCCAGACATTGAGGAACAGGCAGTCCTCACTAGTGATGTTGGAGGCAGTGTTGAAGATTCCAGCGGAGGAAGAAGTAGTCTGTGCGCACTGAGCGCCGAAGGAGTCGGCCTTCTTCACGCCTGACCAGGCCTCGCGAGCCTTGGGTGCCTTCCAACGGTTCTCGCCACCAGTAGTGGCTGCGAAAGGAATACCCTTGTAGACGGTGATTTCGTCGCGGTATTCAGAGGCGATACCTTGAACGGAACCCTTGTTGGTCTTGATCACGGGGTACTTCGAGGTGGAACGACGGATGGGCTCGGCAGTAGCCAGAACCGACCCGAGAGCCAACCCGGTAAGAAGGGAAGAAATATGCATAACGAAAAGAAGGTTTAACGAAAGGATGGGACAGGAGAAGTACCGGTGCAAGGATTCAAGGCCATCTTTAAATAACCACGTTCCATGTCGACTCCCTGGCGACTCATGATTTGAACATGGTTGTGCAGAGTTGCGCCACGTTGTAATGGTGGAGACTGAAACTGTACGTTATTGACCACGTCATCGAATCATAAGCTTGAATTGGCTTTTATTGCTCCATTAAAGGAGACGGGAGTGAAAAGCCACTGGTCTGAAGAATGTACCTTGATCCTTCACCCAAAAAATCCTTGGCGATCGAACCCCGAGGTGTGGGTCTCGGAGATCATCGCCCTGGCTTTCCATATTGGGAGACCGAGTCCGTAAACCCGCGCCAAACTAAGGGATGCCGCGTCACGCGTGTTCGAAGCTCAGATGAAATTTGCCGCGGGTTTCGCCAGAGTGCCAGGTATACAAGATTTATTCTCTAACAGGGAATGTGAACCGTTGCTAAGATTATCTTCCCGTCAGCCTAACAGATTTGTTGACTTCAAACTTATCAGGCATCCGAGTTTTGATTGTAGTTTCAAATTGAAAATGAACCTGCTTCGTGAATTTTTGAAGGGTTATAAGATCTTCTCAACTCTTCACCAGTGACAAGTAGACTATAATTATCTTGGTGTCGCATATACGCATCTTGGTATTTCTAAGAATGTCAAAATTGTCCCCAGTGTTTACTTGGAGATCCCGATTGATACACATAATGCGGAGAGATAACATTTGAAGGCTAGATTAAAGGTATGTCTACCCCACCAAGCTCCCCTAGTCCACTACTCCGTCCTGTCAGAGAAGCTTTGTTATGGAGCAAGGAGTACGTAGTCTGGCGACGTCGCTCTCTCAAATTGCTTTCGGACAACTCGGCGGAGGCCTCCGCTGCACTCGTGCAGACGGTCAGACCACACTTTAGATCCGACATCCATCTAGTATGGCTCCATCTAGTATGGCTCCATCTAGTATGGCTCCATCCACCATTCTATCTTCAAGACAGAGAAGGGCTTTTTTTTTCATTTCTTTTCATTTCTTTTCATTTCTTTTCATTTCTTTTCATTTTGTATTCGTTTTGAGTCCTGCTTTGTGTTACCAGCAAGCATTACTCAATAATTCATTTGATCATGGATTCTGTGATGTCAAAAATTAAGGCTTCAGCACGTGCATAGATTTGGACGATGATTAGTATACCCCGTGGTAGATCCACTATCACAGTATGGGTTACTAGTCAAGTAGTTACTTCCACTTCTAGAATTTGTCATATACTAGTTTGCTACCTAAGCTAAAAAGGGAAATATACAAGAAACACGCATATACTAATGACCCCTTAGAATAGAAGCCGCGTCTGTAAACTTTGAATAGATCAAACTTCTGGGCCGAAAAAAAAAAGTTCTAATCGTTTACAAAGTATGAGAACACGCTGTATGGAAGTTTCAGTCTACTCGTAGATTTCAATAATCAACCTCCGGCATGAGCTTTCTCTTGCGAGGCCCCTGGTCGGCTATCTTTATTATCTCAAACTTCGCTTTTTTGTTAACATGCCATATATTTAAACCAACCAGAGAGCACTCTCAGATCACGTCTATCATTATGCTTAAGATCTTGGTGTCGACTGACTCGACTCAGTTTATGCTTCACCCATGAGTTTTGAGCAATTTGATTGGACGTGGATCTGAGGATGGTTATGATTGGTCACTCTCTGGAAGTGGACCCATATCGCCTTCAGAGGCCGCGGCTTCCATATAACCCCCCGTTTAGCCCATTGAGCAATACACTCGCGCGATGGCTCTCTCTGAGAAAGATGGGTGAGGGGTGTCGCATGCTTGGGCACCCTCATTAAAGCGGCGGTCGCCAGATTAGGAAAGCCCCAGAGGAAAATCCAGTACGTACAGGTACCTATCTCCCGAGACTCAGGTGTTCGGGTGTTGGCGGAAAAGGTGGAAGAGCGCGGCAAACAGCCAAACGAGCGAACAACGTGAGGGTCTTAAAAATGGCACGATAAAGCGCGTGGTTATTGATTCGACGGGTTACCATTCTACGTGCCTGTCTTGATGTCTGACGATGCCGCAGGATTTTCTCGTCACTAACATCCTAGAAGTCGTCCCCAGCTGTGATTTGTGCGCTTTAAGTAACAAGCGTTGGGCTTACGATGCGGTCAATGTTAGTATGCACCTTTGACGAGTTGCAGTGCCGATCGGGTTTAGGGAAGTTTGAGGATTTCGCATATCGTCCACTCATTCCATTTTTGAAGAGGAGTTAGGAGTTGAAGATGAGGAGAATGCGGTGTTAATTTTAGTGTTTCTTTGTTCTGAGTCGTCATCTATTCTTTGTGAAAAGGGATAGATAATTCCCTCATTCTGCTGGGGTTGAAGCCTAAGGTGAGCGTCAGATGATCGTCGATCGTCGATTCGGGATTTGGTCGTGTGAGGGGGTGCCTGATATTTCAGGACCCAAGCCACACTTCGTCGCTCTCATTTCCTTCCCTTTGCTGTTCCATTTCTATTGTCTTGAAGTGATCACTCTCCAATTCGAGGGTATTCTCTTTTCTGGTGAATTTGAATTATCTCGAGCTTCTTTGATGTCCCTTGCTGGATCTCAGTGGTTGTCCCCATCAAACAGAAAAGCGGGGATCCATGTTTGAAGGGTCAACTTAGACTCAAGCAGCCAACAATGGCCCTCCACCCGGACGAATGAAATGGGGTGACAAGGCAAGGATGATGTCCCCCGCAAATGATTGAAAGGCGAACGTAGGAAGGTTCCGTGGTTGAAGCTGCAATCAGCCAATGAGATCATGCAATGCTACCCGTTATGACCACAACATCGCCCCAGGTGGACTCGTCGATTACATGTAAGAGTCATCACACCACAACCTTATGATGCATTTCCCCCGCATTCTCGGTCAATCTTTAATCCAGATGGCCACTTATAATCCATTGCCATCAGTACCCAGCTCTTCTTCCACAATTACAATTCACACACACTTGAAATCAATTCTATTCACATCCAAGTTCATCATGGACACCCGGTACAACACTCAATGGGTCGAGTTCCACATTCGGGACCGCCTGGAAAGCGGCGAAGTCACAGTGCACCACACTGTCATTGAAGAGTATATCTCTCTCTCTGCCCTTTGCCCTCCCGTGGTCCCAATGCTTGGAATTTTCTTGTACACTTTACTAACAATCCATGTAGCGGCGAGTTCTTTAGTCCCGGGAACCGCCGTCAGTCCCTCACTGAAGAGGAGATCGACGAGATCGTGATCCAGTCCGATGGTATCGGCGAGATTAGTGCCGGAGGTCGTCGTGGTAGTGAAGGTCGTCTGGATCTTTTTCATGACGATGCTAAGATTTGTGAGCTTCATTGGGAGAATCGTGGAGGAGATCATGTCAACTTGGTTGAGGTGTTGGACAGTTGTGACAAATATAGAGTCGAGTGTGGGGGATGGAGTCCCGAGGCGGGGCCCTTGGGACATGTATTCGTGGATATTACGACCAAGAAGAAGTAGCCTTCCCGGCAACTGTAAAAGCGGCAGGAGACTGCGCAGGGTCCTCTTCTCCGCTTTTCTTCGGGTCGATCAGCCGCCCCACTGATCATGTTGTGTTTTTATTTGTACTTAATGCTGCATGAAATTTACCATATATCCATAAACAATCAAAAAATTGTTGAAATTGTTCTGAAATGTCATTCTCCTCTTATGTTAACATCTCCGGTTGGTTGCCAGAAGCAACGCCCTTCCAAAGGCCTGTGCTGACCGTGTTGAGGACTCTCAATAGGGTTCATTCTCACATTGATGCTTTCCACCTTGTATCTCTTGGCCTGTTCAGTTTTGCCGTAAGGAAATGAGACGACTAGAAACAAGCATATTCAGAACTGTTCCTATAGTTGTCGTTCGTTCGTCACAGATCGCAAATGCCAGAGCTTCCACATCATACACCTTGATGATTACACCTCGGCTAGCAGTAAGTTTGAGGAGGTCGGGAGACGGTGTAGATGGTCCGTCTTCAACAATTGTATGCCGGCATCCGGCCTCGTCCACGGCAGCCTGGGGAGCATGGACCATATTGACAACGATACTGCTCGGAGCTTCGCGCATTTGGGTTCCCAGTTGATAACCCATATCAGCAATCCATCGTCCACAGAGAACATAGGACCCCTTTATGTCAGGGAACCAGGCATAGGTTTCCCTGCGTCGGTCACCAATTTGAAATAGCCCAGTACGATTTCCATCTAAGGTCGTCGATGGGAATCCCATCTAATCGACCTAATCATATAACTTCTGGGGAGTTAGCTGACAATCACCACACAAAAGACACGGTCGTCCTCGACGCGTGGAGAAAAGAAATACCAGATAAAGAATCCATATCAAGCAATTTTCGTATCATAACAATGTGGAAGGATCCGTAATCAACGGAAACCATGTAACAGGTAAGGTATCGTAATAATCATGTCAGCGATTATCAATCAGGAACCCATTCGAGTGGGTTAACCCAATCGTGCCCCGAACTCTCATCCTCTTCGTCGTCTCCTAGTCCTCCTCATCTTATTCGTCGATTCGAAGAAGGTCCCAGGGCGTCTTATACTTCAAAGAAAAGAAGGTCCCGGGTTTTTTGATAACAGTCACAAGGACAGGGTTGAACTGAATTTCCGGGATGCGCTGCAGGTAGAGAATTTTATTAGCCATCAAGGTAGCTCCGGGGTTGGCACGAACACGGCTTTAATCATCTCACGCTACCAGCTAAGACCTTTAGCGCCTCACTTCTCCTTTCACAGTTGTGCCACTGCCATCATGGTATATGTGGCAAACCTTCGTGCCATACTCTCCTGTGATCTCTGCACTGATGATCCATTACTTGTCCTCCGGATTAAAATGAGATTGGTGCACAGGATTTCCGTATCGATATCTAATCTCAGGTTAGCATACTAGCAAGTGACGTTAATACTTCAAAGCTATGTATACCTGATGTAGACTCTCTTTAGCCTGCCAAGTCTCTGCAGGTTTTGCATCAGTGGATTGAACTCAGGGTCACAATAGAGTATAAAGTCCGGTATCAGACAACCTTTCAGCACCCCCTCCTGGGCCTGTAAATTTTTCTACCGCAGAAAGCCATACTTCGGGTAGTTGTGTTCTGTCGAAACCGGTCCACTGTAGAAGTGCCCGAGCAGTGGTTAGGTGAGGGTTCGATTCCACGTTCATGGCGCCTGGTGGCAAACGACACCTCCAGTGGAAAAGGAATCCAAACTGCAAGTAGTATTTCTTCTCCAGTGAGTGGGATGGGGAGAAAAGGAAGTAGAGAGGAGAGGAGAGAGAAGCTCTCAATTTACCCAGCCTGACTGTCTAGTAGGCTGGGGAAAGTGAGAGATTGATCTAGCACGCTGTACTCAGACGCATGTCCAGGAGGAAATATAGGGACTCGCATATGATTCGCACCTTAGGAGTCCACGTCTCCTGAGTCCTGACACATATAGCTTCATCCTTGCGCTACAGACTAGTGGCCTTGGGATACTACCAATATCAAAAATAATTTTCGCTGTAGAAAATTGAAATGCCCGAACAGATGTGCTAAAGAGGCGAGACATAATGCATTCGCTCTTATCGAGTAGCAAGATAGAGGAGTAACAGTGACACGGCTTGGAACACTCAAGTGAGTGCTAGCTATCTTCTCAAATACAGTGATAATGAGGAACAAAGTGCTAACATTGAATTTGATTTTTTACACTTACATTCACGCCTATCTCTCTATTTAGGACATGAACCGTTTAGTGCATAAGACTCTTTACCCCTTTATACCAATTTCAAGAAAATCTGAGGACTCCCTTATAGAGATTACAAAAATCACAATGAATACGACCTCAAAAATCTATATCTCAAGTATTGGAATTCCCTTAACTCTCTTAAGCACTTAGATATTCTAAGAAAAGAAAAACATTTGAAAGTATTGATTCATAAGGAAATTTCTATACATAGTAGTAGTATCTTCGTTGTTGAGATATCAAGTTGCAATCAACCGTAAGATGAGTCATCATTCCCATCTGTGACAATGGGTAATTAGTAGTTGAATTCACATCTTCGTTATTTACATTCTTCTTGTTTCCCCTTAAGCAAAACTCACATCTTCCCCTTTGCGTGACCAATGCTTGGTCATATGACCTGTACTCTCACTCTTCTCCCTGTAGATAGATCTTCCTTCTCTCTCTTCTTCTTCCTTCCTTCCTTGCAGCACCCAATACTACCGCATTACATTCTCGCCCTCGTTCCCTCGTTCGTAAAGTCGTTCTTCGTGCATTCAACAAACATGGCTAGTATCGTGAGATGGGCCACAAAGGCACTTCAAAGGCCTCCTTCCCCTCCCATATGTTTTCTCACCAGCGGGTTCGAAACCGTCCATCCCTCAGAGCTGCTTGAAGAGGAAGGTTTTCAAAAATTCAAACAAGCACAATATTATCCTGCTAATATCGGCGAAGTCCTTACTTCCAGATACCAGATTCTTGGTAAACTTGGGTTTGGAACTACTTCCACAGTATGGCTCGCTCGTGATCTTGAGTAAGTCAGGGCAGATCTAATTATCTTCATTAAGAACTGACCCACTGAGACAATCAGAGGCCATCGATATGTGACGCTCAAAATCTATACTCGTAATGAAGGAAACCAGGAAGAGTTCCAGATCGATAAGCAACTAGATCAAGGGAATTCTTGGCACCCTGGCCATGATCATGTAAGGAAAGCACTGGATATCTTCATAATCCCCTCTTCGGGCGGTGGCCATCCGTGTCTTGTCCAGAATCCGATGTGGGAGAGCTTCAAAGACCTCCTCTACCGCAACCCCAGCCATCGATTTACTGAAGATCTCCTCAAAGCTGGTCTTATGCAAATATTTCTTGCGCTTGACTATCTGCATACCGAATGCAAGCTTGTCCATACAGGTAATATATACCTATCAGGCTTTTCCAAAATGCGTTATCTAACCTATATTTCTATAGACACCAAAAGTGATAACATTCTCCAGGAGATAGGAGATAAATCTATCCTTGAAAGTTCTACCCAGGCTGAGCTACAGAGCCCTTCACCCCGCAAAATTGTGAATGGTCTACCCATATATGCCTCGAGACGTTTCGGCTTGCCGAAATCATTTGGCCGAGCAGTTTTAAGTGATTTTGGCTCAGCTGTTTGAGGAGATGAAAGGAGGAATCATGATGCACAGCCAAACGTTTACAGATCACCGGAAGTAATGCTCATGACTGATTGGAGCTACCGGGTTGATATATGGAATGTTGGCGTTATGGTACGCTTTTCCTTCTATAATTCCAGTAGCTTATACTAAACTCTCTTGAATGATAGATATGGGACTTATTCGAAGGGAGACACCTATTCTATGGAAATGACCCTGATGGCAAAGGGTATTCAACCCGGGCACATCTTGCGGAAGTCATGGGTATTCTAGGATCACCTCCTTTAGATATGCTCCAGCGTGGGAAACGAAGCCAAGAGTTCTTTACGAGCGATGGTAAGTACTAGTATTATTTTCTCGCTCGGCACAGTTGCAAATACTTACAATGGATAACAATACAGGGAAATGGAAGCAGGACATAGAAATCCCGACAGAGGTCAGTTTGGAGCTGTCGGAAGAGTTTCTCGAGGGAGAAAACAAGGAGATGTTTATGGCTTTCATGAGAAGTATGCTTCAGTGGCGCCCGGAAGACAGGAAGACAGCGAAGGAGCTATTTCGGGATCCATGGTTGAATAGCTAGCTAGAGTAGCTTGAGTGTTCATTACTAGTACTTCATCGTGATCCCAAAACGCGCCCCACTGAATAAGATCTGACATTCTCTCAACTGCTGAGTACGAATGGGAATCTCCAAGTGGACAACAATTTAAAAACTCTCCCACGTTGATTTTCTCAAAAATTTTTTTTTAATAAAAAACAAATGAAAAAAGTATAAAAATCTGATTAAAAATCAATTCCTGCGTACGCTATCAATCGATTTCCACGCGAACCAGAGGAGGGTCCTCGGCGCTAAGTGGATCTGCGTGGATCGCTGTGGCATATTGTCATTCGTTAGCTGAGCGGCCCATCCAGACTGCCGGTGAACCCGACAACTGCTGTCAAAGTGGATCGTGGTCGGCTATTATTGCAATGCCATTTAGTGTTTAGTCTGTTTATCTCTTAGACCTATAATATTTTAGCACATTGCTAGCGAGTCAAAGTAGAACGCCTTCAGCTAAGCCCCTGACATTTAAACGGCCCGGCTGAACCGAAGCAAATAAATAAAACGCCCTTCGTCATGATGTGACTCCGGGGAAATATCAAAATATTTTCTAGAAACATCAGCAATCATGTCTCTCATGGAGTCACCAAATACAGACCATACTGATGCCGTACAAGAGTGCCGTGCACTCTACGAGCACGTATGGAAAACCCCTTCACCTACTCTGGAATTAGCGAAGTCGCCATTGATGCAGCCTGCATCACTGTCGTCCACTCTGGAGGAGCGGACACAGCTCACATATCAAAGGGCAAGGGCCTTGGCACGAGCTTACAGTAACTTACCCTCCCGCAACTAACATGCGTGAAAGTGGCTAATTGGGGCTTGAATATAGACTTGACACTGAAAGATGTAGTTGAAATGACCCCAGCTTTCTGGAAACTTCACATGGACATGCTCACCGCTATGGATGGCGGCGCAATCAACCTAGTCAGCGTCCAATATAATCTTTTTGTTGGCACAGTTGCTCCTTTTGCTGCCACACACCCGGAATTGCCGTCCATTATAGAGAAGGCGTTGCGTGTTGATATCTCGTGAGTTCTCCGCATAATCTTTCTAGAATCATATCATGTTAACCTCTTTTAGTTCACAATTCATGCTTACTGAGCTTGGACACGGCTTAGATGCTCGCAATCTTGAAACCACAGCGACACTGCTGCCCAATGGCGGCTTTGAATTGCACACGCCGACTCCCAATGCCGCCAAGTAAGCGACCAGCCGATCCCAGATTTATCAACTCTGATACTAACCAAGCAACCCTAGATGCATGCCACCAAATACTCCACGCAACGGCCTGCCGACCATTGCAGTGGTCGTCGCCCGTCTTATAGTTGAAGGAGAGGACCGCGGAGTCCGACCGTTCCTTGTTCCCATGTCTGACGGTACCAAGATGTGCACAGGCATTACCTCAAAGTAAGTCTCAGCTATCAGTCTCTACAGACATATCCAGCACTGACTAAAGTCGGTGTCCAGAGTCTTCCCACCCCGCGCTGGCGCGAACCCAATCGATCATGCTCTGACCTACTTCAACCACGTCAAACTCCCGTTCTCTGCCCTGCTCGGTAGCCTGGAAAAGGCACGCGACGAACGCGACAACTTCCTTTCTACCATCCACCGCATGGGAGCCGGAACCCTCTTCTTGGCCGGCGCATGCATTCCCCTAATCAAGATGGCCGTGTACAACGCCAGTAAATTCAGTTTCCGTCGCCACATCTTAAACCCCGAAGGACAGCCGATGCCAGTCATCGACTTCCGGACTCAGCATCTCCCCATCTTGCACGCTATTTCGCGCGCCCATGTTCTGCAGGCATTCTTGATTTACGCCGGCAGGGAATATTGCATCCGGACCGATCCTCGTGTCCGACATCTCTTTGCAACCACGTTCAAAGCAGTTACGATTCATCACTTCAAGACCAGTCTCACAGCTATCAATGAGGGTTGCGGCTGGCAAGGATACTATGATCGCAATCAAATTCTCGCAGCTAGCGTAAGGCTTCATCTAATCCCCAACAAGACCCTATGGATTGCTAACATTCTTCCCCAATAAAGTTGGAGTTCAACGCAGTTGCAACCGCAGAAGGCGACGTTCGAGTCCTAGCTATCCGTATGTGAAAACCCATCCTTCAAACCATTCGCACAAGCTAACTTATAATCTTCTATTCAACAGGTCTCGCCAGCGAGCTCCTAATCGGCCGCTACCCGGTCCCGCCACCAAAGAACCCCAACAGCCCCCTCGCACGCCACGAAGCAGGCCTCTTCGCCGAAGCACGCGAATTAATGAAGGGATTCGGCAACAAGCACCGCAGCGAAGCTTTCAACCGGACTATCCTCCCCCTATGCCTCCCCCTCGTCCTGGCGATCGGTTACCGCATGGCAATCGAGGCCGCTACAGATATCGGCATCGACCCGAAGCTCTGCGCTCTCTACGAAGCTGGAATTCTCAAGGAAGACGCTGGTTGGTACGCGGAGAAGGGTGGGATTAGTCGTGAAGCGCAGCGCGCAATGGAAGCGCAGGCTGCCGACGCTGTCCTCCCGGAATTGCCGCGGTTGGTTGAAGAGACTGGTGTTGAGCCGTATTGCACGGCGCCCATGACCTCGCAGGCTTTGTGGGATGGGTATGTTGGAGAACTGGAGACTTTCTCCGGGGATGCGGTTTGGAAATTTGAAGAGAAGGCCCGTCTTTAGAGTCCACGGTTGTATATTTGTTTTATTGTCTTTGAGATATAATAGTAATACCTAAAAAATGGGCAGTGAGTTTCGACTTAGTTGAATTTCCACGGTTTAAGCATCCCAATGGTCCCTCTTGTGGCTACTATCGTTAATGTCCGATAAGAATAAAAAAAAATTTGCATTGAAAAAGAGCGTCTTGCGGCGGCCTCGGAAATAGATCTCCCGATAGAATCCCAAAATGGCAATTGGAAGTAAAGTAAACAAACCTTACAGCTGCTAACACCCGTTACTCCGTACATCCGCAGCCAATGTTTAAAAGCTGCATGAATCACGATCAGGTGTGACCGGCTTGGTCCGGCTGCCCACATATCCATAAAAATCCGAACTAGTCTCAGCACACGGGAAACACTCGAAGTTGTATCCACAGCTTGGGATTGAGACCGTGCATAGATGAAAAATCAGACTATTTATTGCAAAGTCAAAATTCTCAAAATTCTCAATTGCCGAGACTCCAGATTACGTGATCTCAAAATCCCCCCTTAAGGCCTTATACTCCTTCCCATACCAATCCCGGGGTTCATTGTATGGGGTTCTCTCCTTGTAAACCCCCCAGTCAATACTCCTAACGTCTTTGCGCCATATGCGTTGTCAAACCTGTCAACCTTATTTTAGCACCCAATAAAGATTTTCTGACAGCTCGGCTATTTTCACCTCGAAAATCCAAGTTCATGTGCTGGCGTTCTCAGCAGCGCCACAATCTACACATGTGGCCAGGCTAATACGCTTTTGTCCATCGCCATGTCCGAACACCAGTTCGAATCCGATAGTGGGCCCGCACCAGAATTTCAGGTAGCTATTTTGCTCCAAGCCGCATAAACATACACGGAGACGCCGTTGCTAAGCCGGGACCCGTTAGAGCAGGCAATGTCAGGCATAGATGGCGAGAGGATATAATGGAGGGGTGGACCTCACATTAAATTGTGAAAGTCAATTCGCGTCGCAAAAATGGGCGAGTTCATCAGTTGCAACAGCGACGCGTCAAACACGATGACCAAGAATAACATGAACGTCTTCGGTACGCTTACCGACTCCGATAACGAACCGCTTCTAGGGGGCGAATGCGGCAAACGCTTAATGCCCCAGATCATCGATGCAACCGCTATAGCGACTCCAGATGTCGCTTGCATGTTCGTCCCCCGCACACTCGGCAACCCCCGCGACGGCTGGAAGCCTGTGAGCTGGGCCCAAGTCGCCAGCGCTGTCAACTATGTGGCTCACATGTTGGTCGAGCAAGTCGGGACACCGATCCCTGGTGATTTCCCCACGATTGCCTTCATGGGCCTCGAAGACCCGCGCTACGTGATCTTTCTCATGGGCGCAATTAAGGCGGGGTATAAGGCTCTGTTTATCTCGCCGCGGAATTCCGTCGAGGCACAGGTTCACCTGTTTAACAAGACGGACTGTGATAACCTATACTATGACCAGTCGCTGGCTTCCATGGTGGCTCCGTGGGTTGCCGGACGCGCGGGGATGAAGAGCTTCGCAATTGCTCCTTTGGACGAGTGGGTGGCTGCGGAGGTTGCCCCGTTCCCGTATACAAAGAGCTTCGCCGAAGCCGAATGGGAGCCCTTTGTGGTGCTTCATACTAGCGGTAGCACGGGTCTACCCAAGCCAGTTATTATTTCCCACGGCAAGCTGGCTCTGAACGACCTGCACCGTTATGTTCCAGAGTACGAAGGCAACCTGCCGTGGTTGCCGACATGGGGCAAATTCGATAATCCGCGATACCTCATCACATGTCCTCTTTTCCATACCGCAGGAATTGCGCCGACTGTTTTGTCAGGATTTTACTATAATACTCCTCTTATTTTCCGCGATCCATCTGTTCCACTCACGGGCGACAACGTGGTTGAGTGGTTGCAGAATTCCGGCGCGACCTATACTGTCTTGCCCCCAGCAATTCTAGAGCAAATGTCGCGGTCACAAGTAGCGCTCGATGAAATGAAGAAGTTGCAAGTCGTGGCTTTTGGAGGAGGTGAGTTGGAGAAACATACAAGTACATTCGCGTGTGGTCAGGAACTAACCAAGCCCTATTTGCAGGTCCAATCGCACCCGCTGCAGCTGCCGCACTACTCAGCAACAATGTCAAGCTAGTCAACGCCATCGGCGCAACCGAGTTGATCTACATGCCGTATTACACGCAACCAGACTCATCTCTCTGGGCTTGGTTCATCATCCCGACAGAAATGCTAGGTATTGAGTGGCGACCCTTCGGCGAGGACACATACGAGCAAGTCTTTATTCGGCAGAACAAGGGCCACCCCGGTAACCAGACATGCTTTTACGTCTTCCCCGAGTTGGATGAGTACAGCACAAATGATCTATATCGCCCGCATCCGACTCTACCAAACCACTGGACTTATGTGGGCCGCGCCGACGACATTATAGTCTTCTCCACTGGCGAGAAACTCAACCCCACAACTATCGAAGGAGCGGTGATCGGACATCCGGCAGTTCTGGGCGCGCAAGTCATGGGCTCGGGACAGTTCCATGCTGCTCTGATAATTGAACCAGCGAAATATCCGGCAAACGAGCAGGAGAAGCAGCGATTCTTGGACGATGTTTGGCCGGTCATCGAGAAAGTCAATGAGCAAACTGTCGCGCATGGCCGCATCTTGCGGGACTATGTCTTTTTATCGGACCCAGAGCGACCGTTCCCACGAGCCGGCAAGGGAACGATTCAGCGCGCTATGGCTTCAAAGCTTTACGTAGACGACATTCGTCGCATCTTTGAATCTAGCTCTGACACCAACGGCGTCTCAGCCACGGCCGTGCAGCTCGATTTTAGCTCAGAGGCAACTCTTACGGATGGGATCCGTGAATTGGTGCGAGAGACCGTGAAGCTTCCTGCTCTCGGCGTTGATGATGATTTCTTTACCGTTGGCGTCGACTCGCTACAGGTTCTCCAGCTGGCTCGAGTGCTAAGCGCAAGTGTCAAGAAGACCATTGAGGCGAGGAATATCTACAGCAACCCAACCATCGCCCAGCTCAGTTCATTCATAAATTCTCTAGCTGGATCTAGTGAGAATGGAGATGCAGTCACCAGCGAGGCTGACGCTCTAGTCCTACAATGCTCGGCACTTGTCGAAAAATACACGCAGAATCTCCCTGCCCCAACATCCACCAAACCCCTCCCCGCCACCACAAACCAGACCATTATCATCACCGGCACTACTGGAGCCGTAGGCTGCTACCTCCTCGACCTCGCGCTCGCCAACCCGGAAATCACAAAGATCTACTGCTTCAACCGCACATCGGATGCACGCGAGCGCCAAATCGCTGCAAGCAGCTTCCGCGGCCTCTCCACCGACTTCCCCTCATCGCGCGTCGAATTCCTCACCGTCGACCTCTCCTCCTCCTCTAAATTCAACCTCTCCGAAGAAATCACAACTCGCCTCGCAGGCACAGTCGACCTCATAATCCACAACGCTTGGCCCGTGGACTTCAATCAATCCATCGCCTCCTTCGAGCCCCACCTCCGTGGAGTCCGGCACCTCATCGACTTCTCCGCAGCAGCCGCCAAACGCATCCCCATCACCTTCGTTTCATCCGTCAGCACAGTCGAGCAATGGCCCGAGTCCACCCCCATCCCCGAACAATCCCTCTCAGACTTCAGCCAGGCCTCCCAGATGGGCTACGGCCAATCAAAGCTTGCTGCAAGCCTGATCCTCGACGCGGGAGCGAATCAATCCTCAGTGCCACGGAATGTCGTCCGCGTAGGCCAGGTCGCCGGCCCGCGGGCCGAACAAGGCCAATGGAACCCGCGCGAGTGGCTTCCAAGCATCATCCGGAGCTCACTCTTCCTAGGCCTCCTGCCTAGCAACCTGGGGTTGCTGGCTAACATGGGCTGGGCGCCTGTGGAGGACATCGCGGGTGTTATTTTGGAGGTTGCTGCTGGCCAAAATGGTGACGGCGGGTACTTCCATGCGATCAATCCGAACCTACCAGACTGGGAAGGCGTTATTGTGCCTGCGGTAACGGAGTTCTATGGGAGCCGGATTGAGCGTGTTGTGGGCTTTGAGGAGTGGGTGGATGCGCTGGAGAAGAGCGCTGTTGGCGATGTGGATCTGGAGAAGAATCCGGGTGTGAAGCTTTTGGATACGTATCGTCTTGCGTCTACTAAGGTTACTGGGGACGAGGACGTTGGTGCGGGCTTTGCGACGGAGAAGACGGAGCAGGCGAGCGAGACCATGCGTCGGATGGAGCCGGTTACGGCTGAGTTAATGAAGAGGTGGTGTAAACAGTGGCAGTTCTAGATGTTATATTTACGATGGCCTGTTGCAGGTGTAATATCGGGGTGATTGGACTGATGGAATTACATAGACTACTTTCTTCAAGAGGATCAACCAATCTATATGAATTTTTTTAACTAGATGTTCAGAACATCACTTTGAAAAGAAGAGACTCCAGACTTACAATAAAAACTAGCACCACCTTTACTAGTACTTCGAGCTATTTTCCTATCGCCATATCAGTAATAATACCCATAAATAGATAGTAAGTATTCCTTATATACTAAGGAAGGCTAACTTAGACTACTTGTCTCCAGTATACGATCCAACGCTATCGTCCCTTGGAAAGTGTTTCCGTTGCCTCCATCAAGCAGAGACCATAGCCACGTCTTCTAAACAGCCACTTAACCAAAAGCATATAACCAATTGGGACTAGAATCCCCTGCAGACATGCAAATCACTATCAAAGGCTTCCTTGATCTTCATTTCAACCGTTAATCTCGCAAATAATCATCACATTGACCAGTGTTCATGCTCTATAGAGCTAGAGAATATCTAAATACGGCCAGCAGCCTAGAAGGTCTATATTTGATCTAAAAGGGCTCTCTTGATTCTATTGATGCCTTCGTTTGTGGCTGCAGAATAAGACATGTCCTTTTGTACGTTCCAGGAGCCAAACTTTTTTTTCCCCAAAGTCTTGGAGGACGTCTCTGGGAATGACGCTTGCGTTTATGGGAGCGATATCGCTTGTACCCAGAAGCTTCTTTGCTCCTAAAATCACATATTTCGTTCCTGGGAACATCCATTGGCTTGACGATTTGATTTGATACCAAGGAAGAAGAGGCTGTCGATTATGCCAGCTGCATAAGTGTCGAAAGTCCCTCAGTGCAAGTATTTGGTCTGGTTGGTCGATCATTGTGCTAACTTGAGCAGCAATAGATCAAAGACCTAAGGCCGTAGCTGCAAAAAGACAGCCATGTGCACATGGCGTTGACACCGTAGTTAGGGACATCAAATTGTTGACTGCGGGCCAGTCAGTAAATGATAATTTCAAGTGCTCAGTACGGATGCAGTCACCTGGATATGAGTATCAAAAATGCTGATCGAGTCCGCCCGAAAGTCTCGGGATACACCAGACAATATTGCACCAGATGTGCACCTCATTTACACCCCTGTCTAGTCTGGGGGCCAATCCAACCTTTTCCAACTTTTTAACTAATATACAAGTATTGACTGAAGCTCACACACGAAATTTGAAGTTTCCCTTCGAACTGCACGCCTTGAAAATTGAGCCCAAAACGTCAGTTCCATGATAGGGCCCAGTGGTCTGTACTAGTAACATACCTTATCCACAATTCAGCTTCTCCTCTAAGCGGATACTTGGACTTTGTACTTGTCTGCTCCTCTTAAATTGCTTCACTACATCGAGTATTAAGATGAACAGAGAAGAGAGCAAAAAGATTATAAGCAGTCCTTGCCATATGCTTAAACCTCTGTGGGCATGAGTGGGAGGTGCAATCGGCCTGTCGTTGAATTGGCCATAGTTTGGTTTGCGTGGGCGTTGATGATCGACCAATTTCGGCAAAGAGGAACCCCGCGGACCTCCTTGTTGTTCTTTCAACCATCGCTCGAAGTCGGTTTCTGGTTTTTCATCATTATCCTCATAGCCAAAGATGTATTGGGGTCGACTCGGAGCCATCTGGATCAAATAGAAAAAACAAGTAAACAAGTATTGCCTTCCAAGGTTTCGATGTGGGCCTAGGTAGCTATAGGTTGGAAGGTGGGAACGCTGTGAGATAGGATGCTGGGTTGATAAAGGGATGTCACTCACTTTTGTAGAGATTAGTTTAGCGCCCGCCGAAACACGCATACTACCACAGATTACGGAGTAGTACATGGGCATTCACTGGTAGTGCCAAAAGTCCGATTATGCTAGTACCTTTCCAGCACTGGCACCCCACCCATTTTTAGACTACCCCCAGGCACTTCGAACATCCATACCCCAATAAAATGCAAGTTTTTGGCACCGCAATGGAAGCGAGATTAACGCGAGTTACAAAAATATGATTATCAAAAACCAAACGCTCAGCTATTGACTGTCACAGCTTCAAAGGCGATGGATAAAGCAAGGATTTCCAACTCAACATTGAAACTTCCGCCCCCAATTTTGATTGCCACCCCGTGCTTGGCAATTCAGAGCTTGGCATTTCATACACAATACTTCAAATACTACTTCGTGGCAAGTTGCAGCACAAAACCTTGATCATGTATCGAAAATGCTTCCCAGGTGAGGTTACCAAAAAGACAAGGACATGAAGGGACAGTCGTCCTAGCCGCCCACCCTATTTACATCATAGCAACCTCCAGGGCTTGGAACATTGAATGGGCGGTAAATCTGAAACTCCAGTTTGACATCAGTGTGGATCGACATCATGCGAATACCGAATGACTTCAGTGCTGCGCTCCCGTAGATTCGGGCTTTTGGCGAGTGAAGAAAGCTCAGAAATATGTTTTGTCCTGGCCGTTGCCTACATACAAACCCAGGTGCCTCTTTAGTATCAGTTCAGATGTCCAGCGGCTCCTCCCGCACGGGCGCATGTCCTATAAGGCTAGACATTGGGGGGGCCCTTCAGGAATGCTTCAAATTTTCAACTTGAATGTTAAGATATTCCGAATAAATGATCCTGTTTCTTGATTGCGAATTTTTAACCTCATATGGCGTAACAGTTGAAAATTTCTATGGGTTCCTCGGGGAACGGAGATGGCTGGAAGGGGGAGATCGGCGGAGTGCAGGGACCCCCTACATCGCTTCTCCCATCTCTCTTTAAGCGAGATGCAACTAGTCTGGTTCAACCACTTTTGTCGATCTTTTTTCTCAGCTGTTCATTTTTTCATAAGAGTCAGACCAATGCCCATACCTCCGTACTGTGCACGGGATTCATTAATTTGTATACAAAATTCTCAGGTGGCAAAAATACAAAAGTACAGGGCCATCAAAAGTGCCCCAGGTGGCATCCGAGTAATTCGTACTCCGTACCCACATGTAGGACCCTACGATGGTATTGTAAGATAGCTGTACGGGGCATGGAGGAGGGCCACTGGACCTCATTGGGGGGCGCCAAGAGGCTATAAAGTTGGCCCCCACTTCTACCCGCTGGCGAGCTGGACAAACTCTTTCTTTCACAGATAAACGGAAACGAAATCATCTATTATATACAGTGGAATTTTCAAATTGTTCCATTTTTGGCAGCAATGTAGTCCCTCATTTCCTGCAACGACTCAGTGACCCGATCATCCAAAAATCGTTCGTAGCTTGCACGCCACCATTTCTGGTGGATAGTCCGCAGGCCATTGTTATAGTCAGTCTCTCTGCCAAATTTCGAATTCCATCCATGGCCCAGCTCTTTCCAAGGCATAGGTCCGTCGGTTCTATGGGCAAAGTTCAACAAGTTTTGTTCGGGGTATGCCGAGCTAAACTGATTGGGAGTGTCTAGGAGCGCGACGTAATAGTCGTAAACACTTATGGAAGGATGCAAGACGAAGAATCCAGCATTTAGGTAGTTGTTTGATTCGTAGAACAGTTCTTCCGGCGGAGGCTCATTGTATTGTTCCACCCAAAGGTCGTGAATTCCAGCCAACATATACTCATGGGGCATTTTTCTGGCGGTGTCGGGGGGCAGATTGGCTATCACTGTCTCATTTGTTCCGTTGGTGCTTGGAAGAATGTCGGTAGATGAAAGATTGAAGATGCCATCGATTGGGCGAAAGACCACCGAATCCGCATCGAGGAAAGCGATTTTGTCATACTCTTCGAGCCTCCAAAGATTCAGTTTTGCGAGCACATCACTCCATCGACCCCACTTCGGATGAATCCATTCTCGTTGAAGACTCTCGACGGGTAAGACAGTCGCACCGTCGTTTGTGAGTATATCACGGTGACTCTGTGGGATTTCTGGCGTAACGAGTACCAGTAGTGGGATGTCTGATGAGTTTCCACGCGTTCGGGGATTGTGCAAGAGCTGGAAGGTGAGAAGGCGCGTCGCCCAAAGATACGGCTCTTCCACGTCGGGATACTCCGGGTCGCCTTCTCCGGTTATGATTGTTGCATAGGCATACTTTGGAGTTTTTGGATTTTGGTTGAATTCCAGATGTGCCTTTGAAAGGGTACTCGATATCCCTCCAAAATGTATCGTCGTGATTACCCAGAGAAATATGATTATGCCGCCTAGAGACACTAGACCCTTGCGAGAGTAGTCAGTTATCGCGAAGCCCTTTAGCCTGATCATGGTGGGTTTGGGATTCTGAACGAGTTCAGCACCCGTTTCGTTTGTTTTTCCGCAGTCACTTCTGGAGTGAGAGATATGCGCAGGAGGTCGAAATCGGGGGTCAGGAAACCTCACGTGCCTCTCAGCCAGAAATAGGCTTTCCATTCAATACTGTATGAATCTAGTAATTAATATGCGGTGGGGTGCGCCGGGTTTCCAAAACTGGTCTAACCGCTCTACGTCTAGATTAGGTCTAGGTTAGGGTTCAGGGATCAGCTCTCGGGCGCCAAGTGGAGTGTATCTCTGGGCGTAATGGCTCCGGAGGAATGAAACACGCTGGCACGCTGGCACGACCGCAATCTAAACGATCGCAGCCTTGCGGCCTGTGCTTAAATGCGGGACCTACTTAACACCAATCGCAGAACCCAGTCCAATATTTAGCCGCCCCTGAAATGTGATTAAGTTACCGGATCATCTGAAAACTTGGAAGGCCGAACATCTTGTTCGTGAGAATTCCGGGGGAACATACTCCATAAGTGCCTGTAGCCCGTATGGAGCACATGGCAACAGAAGAGCAACATGCATAAAGAAAAATATTCGATGTTTCATAGGCATTCAGGTGTTGGTTGAGACGTTAATTACGGTGGTGGGTCCATGTTGTGACTTGCCCCTCTTTCATCTCAAGTGCTCCATGATGCAGGCAAATCCTTCCCAATCTTGCCAAGTATTTGAACACAGCACTCGAGGAATATCCGCTACACAGGGTTTCCAAACATACTAGTACGCGCCAACTTCCCCTTTTTTACCCGCTACGTAGTGATAGTTTTCTAGGTGGCTTTCCCCAGGCCTTGACTGATATTTTTTTCCACTATAATTCTCACGTTATATGCGGCTCCAAGGAACCGCAAATCTAAATTTCAGCAATCTCTTGAGTCGACTGGTCTGTCTGTGCTCCTACCTGGGCAAGAACCCAGACGTTCGACTCTCTCTGACGTTCGATCGACTCTTTCACTCGACTGCCGTGTCTCAAGTCAACCATCTGATGGGTTGTCCAGCCTGCCCTGCAACCCCTTGTTTCGCTCTTATTACCCCATCGACGGGGCCTCCCTAATCCACCATAACTACGCAAGCTCCATTTTGCCACTGATTAATAAAATGGCGAACGATTCGTTGACTTTCCCATATGGCTACGCCTCTCGTCGAGATGGATCATGCTCGACTGGCGAGGTAGACTGTGGCTCAACATGGAACACGGAGCGGGCTTGTTGTCCTGGTTCAACCTATTGTCCTCGCTCATCCAGTACTTCGATATGCTGCCCATCAACAGACGACTGTGAGGATTCGTTGGTAGGCCATACGCACTGTGCAGACGAATCAGCGGATCTCTACTATGTTTCAGTAACGCGCAATTACTTTTGTTGCTCCAGCGACTTGAATGGATTCATAATCGACAGCTACAATTATGTTGGCTGTACGGCCAATATTACTGCCGAACCGTACGATGTGAAAGCAGCGTCGATTGTTTCTTCGGCTTCAGCCTCGACCCCAGTCACGTCGCGTATGTTTTTATCTATACCCTCAATCATTTCCTTCCTGACGATAAGCTTGTCTGACAATTCTGAGCCTCACAATAGTTACTGTCACACCAACTCAAGCATCTCAAAACCAGACAGCCACTCATGGTACTGTGACACCGACGCCGACAACGACAAACACGGCTGGAGCAGAAGCGACAAATGAATCAACCAGTGTGGCTACTAACGACAAATCCTCCCACAGCAACACGGGTGCCATTGCTGGTGGTGTTGTTGGTGGTGTAGCTGGAGCTGGTATTTTGCTTGCTTTGATATGGTTCTTTCTTATCCGACGAAGGAAGTCCTCGCCAGTGGACAACGACAGGTCCCATGGGCCACCCCAAGAACTTCCTAGTGACGCTGGGACAAAGAACGATCCACGGACAATGGGATCTCCCAAAGAACTAAGTGGAGAAGACAGAAAGGTCTTTGCTGCTGAGCTTCCTGCCCACTATGCATGAGTGGAAAGGGTGCAATTTCCTACTCTCCGTGATCCAGCGGTTGGAAGAATTGGCGGCGACTACATGAAAATTTATTCACAGCTCTAAGTGACATCAATTGATATCAACACAAAGTCACAAACAGGCTTTTACTGTTAAGTCACCATTTTGGTGCGACTATGAATTCAATGTTGGTCCACGAATGTTGATATTCCTTACGCTGGAAAATGTTGGGTCGTAGTGCATGTCGGGCTTTTAACCTGCATCTAATGACCTCACTAATACTCTGGCAAGCACATTTCGAGGGCGATTGAAGCAGCAGAGGTCGATTGATTAAATACTATATATACCCTTCAGCACTTAGTTATTGGAAGACCCACGTGGTAAATGTTAATTTTCATCGACCTGAATCAAGAGTTTAATGTATCATCTTGGTACCTAGGCGTATCGTACAAATGCGGCGTAGGCACCGAATTTGTCTTCACAGGCAGATTCTGGGTGTGGAGACAAATTCTGGGTTTCAAAAAGTGTGCACCATGACTGCGGCGGCCGATAGAGGCCACCCCTAGGTCAAATCCCAATTTCAACTTTCCGACCGGCAGAAAGTAAATTACGAGTAATTCCAAATTCATATTAGTTTTTGAACTCCATTATGTTCAGGCAGTTCAGCGCTGCATATAACAACAACTGGCAAGAAAGAGAGGCTGAGATCCTAGTCATATAAAATTTAAATCCATTCTTAAGTCCCTTCTCAAGACTACTCTCAAGACTATCCTCAAGTCTATTCTCACGTCTGTCCTCAAGTCTATCCTCAAGACTACTCTCAAGACTACTCTCAAGTCTACTCTCAAGTCTATTCTCAAGTCTACTCTCAAGTCTACTCTCAAGTCTATTCTCAAGTCTATTCTAAAAGTGACCTATATTTGGATCAAATCCCATAAGATATTCCTATATATGATAAATACAATACGGGAAACAGGGCGGTGAAGTTAGAAACTGAAATTGGGATATGACCTAGGGGTGGCCTCTATCGGCCGCCATACACCATGACTTTCAAGCACTCAAAAAACTCCCAAATCTCCACCATTGAGTGTTTCAAACTTTCTTTCCCCTCTCACGTATCCTGACATTCAAATGTTAACGATCGCTTTTGGACATATCGCTGTTTTAAAATAGAATTCCATGCCTTTTGATGGTGCTGCCGAGCATTTAAAGACGCTTTTTAAGAACTTCTAGTATTTATTCGGCCATCAACTAACAGTCATAAATGGATATTCCCAACATTGAATAGCATGATTGCGGCGCAATCGTTATGTTTCAAACTCCATGAATACAAGGTTGAGATATTCTTGCGAGACTGATGTGAGAACCTGAGGATATCTAAGCCCACTGCTTCCAACCTCAAGGTTGAAATGATCAAAAATTGCATCCAATTGTCAATGCTACTGGATCTGATGCCTATCCAGTTCTGAATGAACCAAAAGTTGACGAGCATGTAGCCGACGAGTCTCAGAAAGAGATGCATCGCCTGGCGGTCCCCGAGCCTCTGTCTGCTTTTTGATTTGAGGATCGTATTCATTACCCCTATCCCTATCCCGATGCTCCAGCTCCACTCGAGTTAAAGTTCAACTCCATTCCTTGGGCACTTTCAACCCAATTGTACCAGTCCACATCGCTCCCATCTAGATCCATATTGATGTCTATTGAATCCATAGCTGGGTATTCAAGGCCATCATCTGCCCATAGCCAAGGGATGACGCTTGGGTTGAATCCTTGGTCAGCCTGGCCCTGGGAAAAATCGCGTGTGACATCCTGCACGGGGTAAATATCGTGACCTGGTAACAGGGGCGGGTCAATAGGATTTGATTTCACCCAGGGCAGATCCTGATTCATATGAGAACTCTCTTGCGCCCGATAAGCTTGCTCAGATCCCGAGTCGGTGGTTCTGTTGCCCAGATTTGCCAAATTGACGGATGCTTCCACTGTATGTAGAGCTTCAGTGTTGCTAAGCACCACATCAGGCTTGACTAGCAGTTGTCGCCATCTTAACACGAAAGCATCTGTCGGATCATGTTTATCAGGGAAAGATCCAGGGCTTGAGGGCTGCTGAATTTCTTTATCCTGTCTCTCGAGAGCTTCAGCGGCACTGGGGTCACCACGCAGTCGCTTTAGCTCAGAATCACGATGTTGCTGCGCTTTGATTCTTAATTTTCGCAGAGGAACCCAAATTCGAAGGTTCTTTGTCATGTGTGATTGAGTCGGAATCAGCCACGCACTGTGGAGAGCTAACCAAGCCCTCTCAACTATGGGCGACCATGCACGCCGCGAAATTTCAATCAGGATGTACACGATAGCGTGCCAATGTGTATATGTTTGAAAGACCCAACGGACGTGGCGGCAGGAAGGCTCGGCGTTTAAAGCATGGTTGTACTCAGCAACCTCAATGGCCGCAACTAGAAGCTTGTTTCTGATCTCTTCGGAAAGGTTCTCGTTTGGGGATGCGAAAAGGACAGGCACATAAACCAAGAGAGTCATTTTTCCAATGACTAGACGAGTGATGGCAACGGACATCCAATACATTATGTTCGTCTCGGAGTTTGTTTGGTATTGGAGGAAGCCAACCTGTAAATGCTCATAAATCTCATCTAGAAAATGGCTTTGTTCCTCCAAGCTGGTTGATTTCGAGCTGCGAGCCACCATTTGTTTTGAGACATCAACGATTCCAAAGTTGACTCGCGTGAGAGACATATCGGTCAGTCCAACGTGCTCTGTTGGCATTTCGGTGGACTCTGGACTAATGTCGACACTGTTGATATTGAGAGGCATTTTTGTATCGAAGCTGCCCAGGGCAATGGTGAAATCAGTCCCCTGGTCTTCTGATGCTCTCACGTCAATCATGCATAGACACCACCAAACTCTTCGACGCATTTCAATTTCGAAGGGGGTCAGGTATCCAAAATGGGAGCCATCACGTTGTAGGCCGAGGGCAAGAGCCATGCGGATCACAATTCCTGTCATCATCCAGATGTATCTAGGACTATCGTGTCGCCGAGCGAGAAGGAGAAAATTAGCAAGTGATTGTACGAGGATTAGGTCAGGTGCGTTAAGAAAATCAGCTTTGGCCAAGGCATGTTCCAACCCAAGGCGATATTTGAGATTCAAGTGTTGTTTCGAAACGCCGAAATTCAGCATGATATCCTCTTCTTCCATGGAGGTTACTGCGCCGTAGTATATGGAGAACATTAAGGCTTCGTTTGACGGCGTGAGTTTCGACATATCGCCTCGTAGCTCGCTGATCATCTTGCTGGTACTGGGCATGTGAACAATTTGCGCAATCGCATTAACGTTTTCCGAGAATACGTTGAGCAGAAATGGTATTTGCGATGGCAGTGGATGAAACTCTCTAATGTCAGGAGTAGAAGGATTAAGATTGTGCCGAAAGATGAACGCATGTCGATCAGATGGCGTTCGTCCAAGCTCCTGGGTAGATGGAGTCTTTGAAGACATATCGTCATCTGAAGATTCATATTCACGAGTGGCAATATTTCCAGTCTCCGTCTTCAAGTCACCAATCTACATGTAGACATGGCTCATTAGCAAAGAGTTCTTTAACCAACCTCGTCGTTACCGGCATACCTCATCGTTGACCCATGACCAAAAACCACTTCCAATATACCGACTCCGGCTGGCATCGTTTAAAGCCAGTCTGCCGAATTTACTTGGAACGTTCCCAGGACCAGCAAAGGATGTGTTTCCTAAAGAGGCAAATTCATTGTCATGGGTGGAGCTCCCAGGGGAGTTAGACGACGCAGTAGGAGACTTGGCCGCAGCATGTGCCTGCTCCAACTGGCCCGTCAATTCTTTTACGAGACCTTCAAGGTGGTGTAGTCTCTCCATGACTTCCCCCGTAACCGGGCGCTCAAGACGCCGGACCCATCTCGGCGGACGATCGCCAGATGGATAGATGCAAGCGATATTCGCGCGACGACAATTCGAACAAGGCGAGAATTTATCGCAACGGACCTTCCGACTCCTGCAGGTCACGCAGCTACGTGGGTTCGGCGCGCGTGCGGGCGTGGCTTTATTCTGATCCTTGTCTGCAGGGAAGCTCGCGTGTTTCTCGGCCTCTGGGGCCGAGGCGGCCGCACCCCCTCTAGGCGCTACACCTGACTCGCGCGGATGTGACATTTTGGGCCTTGGCACGGTCCCGTTCTCTTCATGATAATTTTGTCATCATTTGAAGATTAGATCATTCGGTTACTTGACCGACAATGATGATTATTGCTTTCGAACTTGAAGAGGTGCCCGGATTTCGTGTCATAAGCAGCCTCGCATCCAATCGGGTATAGTGTGGGTCCAGGCCCTCGAAGATTTTCAAGTGGAGCTTCTCATTGGACGCGAGAAAAGAGCGAGATCATCTCACCCAACGGTCACTATACTCGGACACCATTCGGCATGGCAAGGTGGGGGAAGTCATGGGAAATTCAATATAAAAGGGCCATGGATCCAGCTCCATGTCCATAATCTCAGTCATCACAACATTACAATACAATCCAATAACATCAACCTTTTCTCTTCTTGACAATACTCAAACCCAAAACTTCATCACCTCATTACTTGATATCAACCAACAACATGAGCTCCAACACCAAAACAGTTGCCTTCCTCGGCGGAACCGTCGGTGTCGGTCTGTCCGCACTCAAGCACACACTCGCAGCAGGTCATCAGTGTATCGCCCTCTGTCGAACCCCTGCCAAGCTCGCAGCTCTCATCCCCCTCGAATCAACGCCCAACCTCAAGATCGTTCAAGGCAATGCACATGATCTGAGTGCAGTAACCAAATGCATTCAAGCCGACGATAAGGGAGAAAGACTCGTCGACGTGATTGTATCCACCATCGGTAGTCGGCCCAAGGGCGGCATAAGTCCCGAAGACCCAGAGTGTTGCAGAAAAGGCGCCGCGATCATGGTCGAGGCCATCACGAATCTGCGAAGTAGCGGCGCTACTGGAAACCCGCACATTGTCACCTTCAGCACTACCGGTCTATCCAACTTCGGACGTGATTACCCATGGGTATTTTGGCCAATCTATGGATGGCTCCTTAAAGCTGCGCACGAAGACAAGGAGCTTATGGAGAATCGCTTTATCGAAAGTGGACAGCCATTTACCGTTGTTCGCGCTAGCTTGTTGACTGATGGTGTTACCAACAAAAGCGTTCGGGTTGGCGTTGAGGACCCGAAGACTGGACGAGAGTCGTTGGAGATTGGTTATTTCATTTCCAGGGAGGATGCTGGAAAATGGACTGCGGAGAATCTGGTCTTTAAAGAGGAGAAGAAGTACCTCAACAAAATTGTGTCGATTACCACCTGATTTCAGCAATTGAGTGCTTGCACAAGCTCGGAGCACTTGAGGCAGTCTTGATGTTTTTGAATGTTTGCAGTGTGTTCAATTAGTATATATCTTGTGCTTAATTATTAAGAATATATGGATCTACATACATCAACGTATCGATTAAATCACGCTTGATAAAATAAAATAATTACTTCCAGCCCCGGAGCTGAGATTCGGCCCCTATCAAAGCTTCAATGCCCTCGCCAGTAGATATTTGAAGCCAAGTGGAAGTCAAACAAAAATTGACGCTTTGGTAGATTCTTTGGGTGCCTCAGGCACTAAACTATTCCCAATGGGGAACTGATCTGACGATTCTCAAGTTCACATCCGCAGCGGACCATTCGATCTTCCCCGACAAAACATCAACCTGACAACCATGTCGTCCTCAAAGCTGGCGACCGGCCTTTTCAGCCGTGCCACCCGTCGCCTGACAGCCATTGAGCCCATCCGCTCACAACAAATCCTCCCTAGCCTCCGAGCCTCCACCCACTCGCAATGCCGCGCCTACACTCAAGCGCAACGGCCCCGGTGCACACAGAACATTCAGAGCATGCTCGCCGCCCGCAATAGCAACAACTTCTCGACCAGTGCATTCCGAGCTCGTGCCAAGACCATGGGCCAGATGAAGCAGCGCAGTTCCACCGGTCCTTTCTCGTGGAAGGCGGCGTTGCTGTTCATCATCACGGGCGCCGGTATGGTGATTTATTTCCGGGTGGAGAAGGCGCGCTTGGAGCGGAAACGCATTGCGGAGATGAGCAAGGGTGTTGGTAAGCCCAAGGTTGGCGGTCCGTTTGTCATGAAGGACTTGGACGGCAAGGAGTTTACGGCCGAGGATCTGAAGGGAAAATACAGCTTTGTGAGTTGATGTGCATGGATCGATGTTCTGCCTAGAGAGCTCCGCTGGCTTTAGGGGGTGCTCGGTGCTAATTGAATTGTGTTCTAGGTCTACTTCGGTTTCACTCATTGCCCTGATATCTGCCCCGACGAGCTGGATAAGATGGCTGAGATCATCGACAAGGTTAACGAGACCACTAAGGATCCCAAGCTCTTCATGCCTGTCTTCATCACTTGTGACCCTGCCCGTGATACTCCCGAGGTTCTGCGTGCCTACCTCCAGGAGTTCCACACCGGCATTGTGGGCTTGACTGGTACCTACGAGCAGGTCAAGAACGTCTGCAAGCAGTACCGTGTGTACTTCAGTACTCCCCGAGACGCCAAGCCTGGCGAGGATTACTTGGTTGATCACAGCATCTACTTCTACCTGATGGGTAAGTTGTAACCCAAGAGAAAATCCGTGGCCTAGCAAAACTAACTAGCTTAATAGATCCTGATAACGACTTCGTCGAGTGCATTGGCCGACAGGATACCGTCGAGTCCGCGTCTAAGGTTATTCTGGAGCACATCAACGACTGGAAGCGAGAGGGCCGACCAATGAAGACCGAGTAATCTGTCTCCATATGAAGCAACACTGTACAATACTGTCAAATACAAATACCCTGCTCAACTGATCCATCGATCGAGCACCGGTATGCTCTGGGCTCGCAATTTTATAGAACAGACAATTATGTAGTCTCACTTCCTTACACTCGAAGTAAACATTGAATAATATACAACAAACGGACCTCGATATACCACGGCATGGTATGGTGAGCGCCCAACCAAACCGTCCCAAGTTTCTCTCAACCTCCAAGCCCACAACCAAGCGCCTCAACAATTCTCCGCAGAAACCAATTTCCCCTCCGCATCGCGATCAGCATTAGCCCTCCACTCCATCCCCCCATCAACAAACTCCTCCCTCTTCCAAATCTCCACCTTCTCCTTACAAGCCTCCAGCACCTCCTCCCCAGCCCTCCACGCCGCACCCCGATGTCCCGCACTAACAGCGATAGCAATCGACGCCTCGCCAATCGGCACAACACCCATCCTATGCCCAATGCTCACGCCTATCAGCTGATGTGTCTCGATAGCAGCCTCGGCGATAGATGTAAGGGTTTTTAATGCGAGAGGCGGATAGCATGTGTAGCTGAGCTGAGAGACCGGGCGACCCTCGAACGTGTCGCGCGTTGTACCGAGGAAGAGAACGTTTGCGCCGGCCTTGGGGGAGGATGTTTGTTCGAGATAGCTGTTTGCGTCCAGAGGGTCGTAGGTTAGTGTTAGGTGGATGTTATTGGATGGGCTGTGGTGGGTGCGGGGGTAGGTTGTTGGGTCCAGGTGGGCTGGGAGGGGGGTTTGTGGTTGCTCGGTTGCCATTTTGGAAGGGATATTTCCGCTGGTTGAGCTTAGATTTGGGATTGGAGGCTTAAGGAGTCAGGTGTGTTTGGTTTGAAGGTCTGGGATGGTAGTAGCTTTTTTTGTGTAATGATTTGGGGCTTATCGGGTGCGGGGAACGGTGGATAAGTGAGGTCCGATAGTGGCGGAGAGCACCGATGTGTTTCTATGGATGTTTTTCGTCTGTTTGAACTGATTTCTTTGATCTAGATGTATGGTTTCAATTTGCTTTTTCCAGGATATGGTGGTTTTCTATCTCAATTGATGTGATGGTTGTCATCCTACACCAAGAAAACAGCAGCTTGATATGGCCGCAGAGACCATTGCCCTCCAGTGAACTGCTGGACGGCCTTCGCGGTATCGTAGTTATCCAGCAGTACGGCCTTGACGCCGTCAATCCCGTGGCTTGCAGCATCCCAGTCAACGGTGTTTTCTGTCCAATTGCACACAACCAGCGCCTTGTCATCTTCATACTGTCGGGTGTAGGCGAAGACCTCTTGGTTCGGCTGGTCAATAAGCACCCAGTCTCCATAAACAAAGATATCCAGAAACTTCTTGCGAAGTCCAAGCACTTTGCCCCAGAAGTGATATGAAGAGTTGGGGTCCTTTACTTCAGCCTCAGCATTGATGGTCACGAAATCGGGGTTGACGGACATCCAAGGTTTGACATTGGGACCAGTGAATCCACCATTGGGAGCAGAGGACCATTGAACAGGAGTGCGACCGTTGTCCCGAGACTTCTTTTGATACTCTGCAAGAGCACTTGCGTGGGCTGCAGTGTCATCCGGTCGTTCTTTCAAGATTCTGTGCCAGTGGTTGAGACAGTCGAGATCTTTGTACTCCTCAATACCCCATGAAGTGGGCACATTGCGCATTGCTAGCTCCTGTCCCTGATACACGAAGGGTGTGCCAGACTGCAGGGCCAAAGCAGTGGCCAACATTTTCGACGCGACAACACGGTTCTCCTCGCTAGCATGCACGTAACGGTCAACGCACCGCGGCTGGTCGTGGTTCTCCCAGTAAAGGGCATTCCAACCATCGTTGGCATACATGAAAGTTTGCCATCGCTGGAAGAAGTCTTTGAGATCCGTGAGCTTCCAGCTGCCTGGCTCGAACTTGTCGTATGGACCGTGGTCAATGTCCACGTGCTCAAAGTTGAAGATCATGTTGATCTCATGACGGTCGAACTGGACAGCTTTGAGGACCTCCTCCTCGTCCTTGACAAACGGCATCTCGCCAACGCTGAAAGCATCGTACTTCTGCAAGATCTTTCCGAGTCCCTGCAAGTACTCGTGTAGCCGAGGTCCATTTGCATACCATTTATCGCCCCATTGCCATGGTGTGCGGGGGTCCTTGATAGGGGCATCGAGGAATCGCTGGTCTTTGCTGATGAAGTTGATCACATCCATTCTAAATCCATCACAGCCCTTGTCCAACCAAAATCTCATAATATCGTGCACTGCATCGCGGACAGGTGGGTGTTCCCAGTTCAGATCCGGCTGTTCTGTTGCATATAGATGGAGATAGTACTCTTCAGTGAGTTCGTCCCATTGCCAAGCGCTCCCTAGGTAATTCAATCGTTAACACAATATTCAATTTTCGGATTCTCATTTTTGGAAGAAGAGTATTTTTACCTTGGAAATGCGACACCCAATTGTTGGGAGGTTGGCGGTTCCCCTCCTCGTCATAACGAGCGGGCTTCCAGACATACCAATTGCGATACTCATTATCTTTAGAGCTTCGCGATTGCTTGAACCATTCGTGCTGATCACTACTGTGATTCACAACCAGATCCATAAGAAGCTTCATTCCCCGATCATGACAGCCCTTGATAAGCTTTTCAACATCCGCGACCGTACCATACTCATCAGCGATGCTGTAGTAGTCGGCAATGTCGTACCCCATGTCTACCTGTGGAGATTTGTACGAAGGGCACAACCAAACAATATCGACACCAATATTCTTGATATAATCAAGCTGGGAAATGATACCAGGGATGTCTCCGATGCCATCATCGTTGGAGTCCTTGTAGGATGCGGGCCAGATTTGATAAACTGAAGATTCCTTCCACCAAGCTCGGTGGTTTTGTGGTTTTGTAGGGGTCGCCATGGTGAAATGGATTGAAATTAGTGGTATAGGGATGTCAATCAGTTCCGAGGAGATGTATAGGTGGTCAAACCTTGGAAGTGGCCTCGGGGTTCTCGGTTTTTATAAGTAAGAGTGGCATTCTCAGGACCGATGCAAGTACCCACGTAGCTCCTCACCGCGGGGCACTGCGGAGAATCATGGGACTCTCTATGGTTGATATGCATTGCCGATCGTCTGGTTCTGGTGGAATTCAATTTGACCCATTTTTAGCACCAAAGAAATTCACTTTCTCACTGCAGTTGCTGCCGTGTCCAAATCATACACCTCAGCAGTTAGTGGGTCACCTCGCCGCTGGTACCGATGACGACAATGTGCTTTTTCTGAGCTTTCCACCCCATATGTCGCATCTTCCGAACCGCCCATACCACACAAGCAACTTCTAACTCTGTCGGCCAATAACGAGTCTCTGCCGGAGAGCATTGCTTGTTGAGGAATGCGATGGGTTCGATGCTAGTTCGCGGGGGTGGGGTGCCTGAGAGCCAACTAAGAAATATTGGAGGGATATACATATATTAACAGTCTCTCTCCCACACTCGCAGTTTCTCATGAATCCACGGCCGGTTCCTCATGCACAATTTGTCAAAATCCTCAGCACTGGCGAGAAGCAGTTCTGCGATCCAAGACTCGTCTGTTCTTCTGTTGATTGGCAGTCCTGCTATATTCAATATCAGCAAAAATGAGGTTTTCCTAAACAAGCATTGTGCTTTCAGCAAGCTTCAAGGGTATGAGTAGAGCATTCAATGTTTGGGAATGTGGATGATTTACTGTGGCTCAGAGTATGCACTTATATAGAGGATAAATAAAATAAGAATACTAGTGCATAAGTGGTGACAACATTTGAATCAATTCAATGCTGTTTATAACATTGAACCTCAATTGATGGACATCTAGATCTGCCTATTGATCAATGCAATTTCGACGTCGCAATATATGTACTATGTATTCCCTCTACATGTACGTGCTGCGTACCTACTCAATACTTGGAATGGGTATATGCTCAGGAGTCAGGAGTCAGTACTTGAGGTGAGTGCCTACTTGGTACCTACTCAGTACATACTAGGTACTTGAGGTAGGTATGGTACCAGGTACGAGAATCATAAAAAAAGTCAGTAAAGAGAGAGCCCTGGAGACCTATAAAGTTGGTGTTAAGAGTATAAAGTACCCAGGGGCCAGCCGCCAGGCCTAATAGTAAAAGAAACAACTAAGCATCGTAGGGCGGTGTCAATGTTCTGCCGGATGTTATCGCGTATCAGCAACGAGAGCTCCGGAACTCGTTCTCTTTCATATCATTGTAGGCCCTTCCTGCAAGCTTCAATCATGGCGCATCCCTATGGAGATGAGAGCAGGGGCTATACTGGCCCACCTGCCCGGTCTTATGTAAATCGGAATGAACACGACGAAGAACGAGATGGTCGGATGTACGATGACTACTCGCGATCGCGATCGCCTGGTGGTATACGAACCTCCCATGAAAAATAATACTTGAGTTACGATGCGGCCTTGAATGGCTGGGTATTATTCTTGTTGAAAGATTACTGATGACTTTGGTTACCGTTTTCACTCAAAAGATCGCTCTCGCAACCGCCGTCCCGAACACCCCACCGACCAAGACACCATGGCACCCTACAGGAACCAAGGCCAACATTGGCGCGGATCCTCCCGATCTCCTCCTAGACGAGGAAGACAGTCATACCGGGATCGGGATCGAGAAGGTTACGAATCGCCTGACTACAACCGCAACCGCAACCGAGACTTGGACTATAGTCGCAGCCGCAGTCCACAAAGCCAGCCTCACTTTGGCCAGGAAAGCCGTGAGATCATGATGGAGGGCTTCCCTGTCGATATGACGGAAGATGACGTGAGTGGTTTCTAGTAATTTTCAACAAACCTGGGGGATTTTACGAGACTGACTTTATGATCGCACCCCAACAGATCGCAGCTGAGCTTCGTGATGCATACCATATTCCTCAACTTGACGACGTTCGAGTAATTCGAGACCGACAGACAAGTGAGTGATGCGGGCAAGATCTTTGTTTGATTGACGCAATCTTACAAAAGTGAATTGTACAGAGGCTTCCAGACAACTTGGCTTTCTGCGATTTCATAGCATCGATGACTCTAGGGAATTCTTAGAGCGAAACCACCCATTCATTTACCTCTATGGCCCTTCCGCTGAAAAGAGCACCAAAGTTCGCATCGCGTATAGCCGGGAGAGAGAAGACCGAGTTCGCGCGAAAGCTGAAGGTGACTGGACTTGCCGGATGGTAAGCTTGCTTAATACGCAGCACGCCAATGCTTAAACTGACGCTCCTGTCTTTAGTGTGCAGTTTTGAATTTCTCTACCCGCATGAAATGTTTCAGATGCAATGCGCCTCGGCCAGGTTCGTCTCAATCGTTGTGATATCACGTATATATGTTGACCATTACTAGAACTACCACCTGCCGGTGCTCCTGGAGTCCCTGTACAGAGACCCTTGAATAATGGTGATAATGACGCAGCTCCTGAAAACCAGCCCTCGCAATTCTTGCTTTTGCGGGGATTGGAGTCTTCTGTCACCGAGGAGATTCTTGCGAAGGGTGTTGCGAAATTATACCGTCCGACTCCCGGAAATGACGGTGGTCCAGGAAATCAAAAGAAGGGAGCTAAAGTGGCATCAACAACTGGAGATGCTAACTTAGGTGCGCGCGAGGGCTCTATTCGTCGTGTCTTGCTCGTCCGTGACCGTAAAACAAATGAAAGCTGGCGTTATGGATTTGCTGAATTTGCAAACGTGATGGTATGTTGATCCGCCTGCCCCATTTCGTCATGAAACATACTCACTCGCTCAACTTTTGAAGGAAGCGCAAGCTGCTGTTACTCGGTTTACTTCGTTCAACAAGTTTACCATCTCTTCTCGACCGGTCATGATCACCTATATCCACGCAGGTGTTTTTGTCCCAGTATTGGACCCGACAGCCGCCATGAGCGGGTTCACTTTCAGTCCCTTGAACAATCCTAGCCTGAAGCTCATGTATTGGGACGACAACGCGTTCGTGACTGAACTCAAAACTTCAAGCGAAGAATCCGGCCCCAGCCGAACGAGAAATGAAAAGTCCACTGGAAACCAAGAGGGTTCCAAGGCTAATAAAGAGGCCGAAAAATCCAAGAAGCGAAAGGCTGAAGCTGCAGATGTGGAGAAAGTGAAGAAGCTCGCCATGCCAAGCCAACTCCAATTTTGGAGTAACCGTCATGCTGAACTCCATGGCGTTTCCCAGGATAGCGATAGGGCCCTTCCCGATGGGAGTTTGGAACACGGCGGTATTCTTGAATCCGAAGGTCCACCTTCTCAATCATACGCTGATCTGAACCGAAACTGTTGCTACCTATGCATGAGGCAATTCAAATCAGCGGCCAATGTTAACCGGCACGAACGGCTCAGTGAGCTTCACCGGACTAACCTCCAAGACGAGGCACTAAAAGCGCGCGGCATGCGAAAGTTAATAAAACACGGAATCATGCAAGCTGGTGCGGAATATCGGGATCGTGCAAGGGAACGCCGAAAGGCTTTCGGTCCAGGAAAGACTGGCTCTCAACCGAAACCAGCTGCACCGAAGGAAGAAGAAGAGGTCCCGGTACAGTCCACTTCTAAGGGTGCCTCTCTTCTTAGCAAGATGGGTTGGTCTGAGGGCTCCGGTCTTGGCGCGCAAGGAACTGGACTTACGGCCCCGATCGCTACCGAGGTCTACGCACAGGGTGTTGGGCTGGGAGCACAGGGCAGCAAGTTGGGAGATGCAGTTGAAGAAGCAGGACGGAATACTCGAGGCCGCTACGACGAGTTTCTTGAGAAGACCAAGGAGACTGCTCGTCAACGATATGACCAGATGAACAAGTGATGGTCTATCCGCAGACATGGAATTTCAGCTCTCCAAAGCTTCTTTTAATAACATTGATAGTTTCTAGTTTTAAATGATATCCCAGAATCAAAATAATTTATTTTTTAACAAGCCTTCATCGTAAGACTGCAATTGGCAACGCCATGCCCATGCGATCATGCAAGTATGCCGGAAAATGCATACGGACTAATGTACAAGAGTGGAATGGTATCGTATAGAAGGAAGACATGAGTAGAGTGTGAAGGGCATATACTGCAGGGGAATTATTCAGCTTGCATGCCTCAATTGCTCTTCTCGCTGATCAACTGCTGCTCCTGCTGCTTCTTCGCGCGCTCCTTGTCCAACTGCTTGGTGAACCGATCGCCAAGTAGATCGGTCACCCATTCAGTTACTTCCTTCTCCAACTGCTCATCTGATTTTCCAGTTTCATCGATGCTTCCCTGCATCGCAACTCTCATGAACCGCCGCGCATCGTCAAGCCCATTGATATCGAGGGCGTACATCGTCGCGCCGGTGGTCAGCATGCCGAACGAGAGGACATTGAGGGAAGCTAGACTGAGGGCTTCGAAAGCCTCGCCTGCCCCATTTACTTTCGGTTGGAAGTATAATGAGCTAGAATAGAAGGGAGGAATGCATTCGATGCGTTTCTTTATGGCGGCGCGGCGTGTGACCCAGACGGAGAGGGAGAAAAAGGCAATACCGCCGAGGAAGAGCTTCAGGTTCCTGTTGCTGGGTGGTGCAGATTGTTGCGCTAATTGTGATGATTCGGTCGGCGATGGTGCTGATTGAAGAGACTGCGTTGTGTTTTGGCTTTGGGAGGGTGTTGCTTCTTGAGGCTTTGCGGCGTTGGAGTCGGTATTGGAGCTGGAGCCCCAACCGAAGAGAGAAACCATGGCTGGATAGGTGATGGAAGAGATATGACCCAATGGAGGAGGTATCCGAATGTGTGCTTCACCGTTTGTAGTCGACTCGCTTTTCAGAATGCAAATTGAGTCAAAGCAGAGGGGTCGGGGTTATCGGACGTTCGGATAAAACAAGTCCGTGAGTCCTGACAGTTCAATCCGCGGAGGCGGAGCAAATAGCGCGGATCGGTCAGGTGACTCGCACGGGTGACGATTCTACGAAACGACACAATTTGGCAACTACGAACTCGGCTCTGTCGGTGGCTTTTGCATCAAATTGCATGTATTGGAGTTGTTGTATGATCAATCCGTACTGCTCATCCTTGTCCACTGTCAAGTCCATCGGAATTAGAGTGTTCCCCGCGGATATGAAACATACTTGAATGTATAGAGCCCCGCTTGCTTGTGCACTCAGCTGGGCACTAGCCAGTTCGTTCGATCGATTGATAGCCGCGATCGCCTGAAGTCCACGGCTCCACATCATTCAGAATCCTGAATATACAAAATGGTGTATCAAGGAAAACCCAGCACTGGGTGCAAAAATTGCCGAACTCGACGTATCAAGGTAAGTTTCTTATTATACTATCGTAGATGAATCACAAGACTGAACGTTATACTATAGTGCGATGAAACTCGGCCCAATTGTAAAGCATGCCTAAGGACGGGCCGTTCATGTCCAGGATATCGACATCCATTTGATGTAATGCTGAGGGACCACACCTCCTCTTTTCTCAAAAAACCAGTAACATCGAAGGTGTCTCCGAGTTCGAGCAACAGTGCCAGCCCAGTTAAACAAGAAAAGAAGACACTGGAGGTAGTATCTTCGATGAAATCGCAGTCACCTATGCTATACTCAAGATCCAACAACCATTGGCCCGTAAATTCGCTCCCTGCAGATATTTACCAGCCCATGGAAGACGTCGTTATCCCATTATTTTTCAACTCTTTTCTTTACCTACCCAAGGATCCAGATATTCGCAATGGCTTCATGGAGATATTGCCTGAGATGTTCTCCAAAGCTGGCATTGGATCCCATCTACATACCAGCACATTGGCCGTTGCTTTCTTTACGGTAGCAGCTTGGACAGGGCAAGATTCTTTGCTAAGGTCTTCGCAACAATTCTTCACTCAGGCTTTGCCGAAAATCAGAGAGACCTTATTCTCTAATGATGCAAATGAATACGAGGATGTCCTGATGTCTATTCTTATGCTGTCAACGTACGAGGTATGTATTTTTTGTTTCAATTTCTAAGCGACTCCAGCTGATTGAATAACAAAATAGGAATTTCTTTCCATGAGAGATTGGAAAATGCCAATGAAAGACCATTTGAAAGGTGCCATAGCATTTGTCAATAGTCGGAAACCCGCGAGAATCCAGGGTCCATCCTCGTCGATTTTACATAATGCTGTTCAAGCTCAAATTGTACGTTCTACCAACCTGCCCAGGTGTGTTTGATCGTTTTTCTAACACAGCTTTCTTAGATTAAAACTACCCGTGGCCTGGAGACTCCAATGGTCCCAATACCAAAAGTTTGGCCGCTTTCTCTCCCCAAGACACCTCCTTCTCCTCGTGTTTTTCTTTCTCTTGCCTCTGCAGAGACAGTAAGCCTTCGCCAGTCATGGGAGAAATTGAAAGCTGAAGACCTCAACGAGACAGAAGTCAAATCATTCCTGGACAAAGCAACGCAAATAGACACGAACCTGGTATCGTGGACTTACCTGATCCCGGAACACTGGAATTCCGTCCCTGCAACTATCATACCCAAGTCCGTTCGTGAAGCCGGCCTATATCTTCACCGCTGCGACTGCTACACAGACATGTGGGTAGCCACAACATGGAATACCTACCGCGATTGCCGCATTCTGGTGCAGAGCATCATGCTCGAATGTCTCCGCCTCTTCCCTGCCAGTGATCCCGATGGAAGCAAAGCAGCTGCTATACAATTGACCATCAACAAGATGGCCGATGACGTTTGTGCGTCTGTGCCTTACTACTTGGGTAGCCAGACTGAATCGGTGCGATTAAAACAAGATCTAATTACGTACCCTTTTGCCGAGTCACGACCGGTCACCCATACACACAGGCAATCTGCTCCCTTGGTGGGTCCTTGGCACCTTCTTCCGTTTTTGCGAAATCTTCAAAGCTCGGATTTGCGTTTACAGGCGGAGCAGATTAGCTGGGTCGCAAAACAGACGAATCGGGCTATGGTGATCTATTTTCAACGATGAGAGAGAGCTCTTATTCACCCCCTTCACTTTTCATCATCCTTCTTGTCAAAAGACCGTGGCGTCTCAGCGGATGTTCATGAGAAGCTACATACATTAATATCTTAATTGTACCAGGTAACATCATATAGACTGATACATGCCTTGTTTCCATTCCAGGTTTTGTGCAGGCATTCTGGGTTAGAAGCCAATGACTACCATCCTTATCACGATGATGACTTGGAGAAAGAATTGGATCTAAGAAATAAAAACTAATAGATTAGCTATGAAATTGCCATGATCAAAATCGCTATATTGAAAGAAACCCCACTTCCTCTCTTTGCAAGCTGAAAGGAAAATGGCATATCTTTCTCTTCCGCGCCGCTTTGAATTAGCACCACGCCAGAGAACATTATTGTAATCAAAGTGCTGAAAGCCTGTAAGGCTATGCGCAGCTTTCTATTCGTCTGAAATATTGAGGATTTCCGGCGGACTCTGTGAATTTTCTATAGACCCTAAGCGTATAAGGATATGCGCAGTTTTTTAGGATTTCCCGGAAAGCCTAGGAAGTCCGGCGGAACCTCTGAGTCTCTTATAGACAGCTTGTAAGGGTACTATGCGTAATTTTTAGATAAACATCCAGAACGTCCTGGTGTGGACCGTCTTTAGAAGCTATGTAGGTTTGTAAGGATATGTGCAGTTTTCTAAACGAAGAACGTTCATTCTAAACGAAGGACGCTCGTTCTAAACGCAAGACTTTCATTCTCAACGCAGGACTTTCGTTCTCAACATTCAGGATGTTCATTCCAAACGTCCTGCACCGTTCTAAGCATCCAGGATACTGGTATCCTTAGCTTATAGACCTTCTATAGACCCTAAGCTTATAAGGATATGCGCAGTTTTCTAGTCATCTGAAAATCCAGGATTTCCGGCGGACCCTGTAGATCTTATATAGACCCTAAGCCCAAGCTTGTAAGGATACGTGTAATTTTCTAAATATCCAGGGCTTCGTAATAAACATCCATAACAGTTCTAAACATCTAGAACTTATGGACCATTTTCAGACCCTAGGTTTGTAAGGATATGCGCAGTTTTTGAACCTGGTCCTAATATCTAGAATTTCCTGATATAGACCAGGTTCAGGCCCTAGGTTTATAAGGATATGCGCAGTTTTTGAATCCCCGTTGGTTCAGACTCTCGGTTGGTTCAGATTCTAGGCAGGTTCAGACCCTAGGTTTATAAGGATATGCGCAATTTTTGAACCTGCTTCCTGATATAGACCAGGTTCAGACCAGGTTCAGACTCTAAGTTGGTTCAGACCCTAAGTTGGTTCAGACCCTAAGTTTATAAGGATATGCGCGGTTTTTGAACCCACTTCCTGATATAGACCAGGTTCAGACCAGGTTCAGACCCTAGGTTGGTTCAGACCCTAGGTTTATAAGGATATGCGCAGTTTTTGAAACTGGTATAGAAGTCTAGGAAATTTATTCTAAATATCTGTAACCGGTCTTAAATATCTAGAACTTCCTGATATAGACCGGCTTCAAACCCTAGGTTTATAAGGATATGTGCAATTTTTCAGGAATTTCCAAACTTCCAGGATTTCCTCAGCTTGTGGATCTTTTATAGACCCTAAACTTGTAAGGCTATGAGCGGCTTTCTAATCGTCTGAAAAGTCCAGTATTTCCGGCGGAACCTCTTAATTCTCTACAGACCCTAAGATTATAAGGATATGCGCAGTTTGTTAGGATCTTCCGGAAACTTCCGGAAAGTCAAGGAAGCCCGGAGGACCCTGTGAATGAATTCTCTACAGACCCTAAGATTATAAGGATATGCGCAGTTTTTCAAGACTTTCTAAACATTCAGGATTTTCTCAGCTTGTGGACTTTCTATAGACCCTAAAACTGTAAGGATATGTGCAGTTTTCTAAACGAAGAACGTTCATTCTAAACGAAGGACGCTCGCTCTAAACGAAGGATGCTCGTTCTAAGCGCAGGACGTTCGTTCTAAACGCAGGACATTGGTTCCAAGCGTCCAGCACTATCTCAAACGTCCAGGATGTCCTCAGCTCGTAGACTGTCTATAGACCCTAAGCTTATAAGGATATGCGCAGTTTTCTAGTCGTCCGGATTCAGGACGTCCGGAGGACCTTGTGGACCTTATCTTGTCTGGACTTTGTGTGGAACTCCTTCGGACCTTGTAGGCCATACGTATGAGGCTAAAAACTGAAGTTGACAGGAATACTGAATTCAAATTCTGCTCTAGGTCATTATTCTATGTTCCATGCACTGCAGCATCACCAACCCGAAAGATGAAAACAAATAGACAAAACAAAATTGAAACACTGATATGAAAGCAATGGCGCCAAGAATGCTGCGCAAAAGCAACAGTCAAAAGAACAAAAACCAAGACGCTCAAACGCAGACGTGAACTCCGGGATAGGAAACAAAGGAAACATTCACAGAAAGATCAAATGCAACATAAGATGATCTTTTAGATCATTCGCTGAAAGTATATGCAAATCATAACAACATAAATAGACGTTTCAAGAATCAGAAACAAAAAAACAAGATCATGCCATCGACCCTGTCGTGATCAACATATCTGCCCGACCAGGTCTCGCAAAGCGATCAATACCAAGATGCTCCTTCCCGTCGCGACCAACATAGATTCCAAATCCATACATGGGTCGCAGGCGCTCCGAAGGCGGGGCAACAATCAGCCGCGTAACAAGATCAGTCTTGCTCCTCGGCTCGCGAAGCAATTTATCCGCCAGGAGAGGGGACTGGTACAGGAAGCTCATGAGATCGGAGAGGGTGGCGATATCGTGCGGGAGGTAGCGACGACGACCTGGCCAAATTGCCAAGAAGGACACGGCGTATAGAGCGCAGAATGCTATGAGGGCGTAGTACGCGGGCATCACGGCTGAGATGCGGATGGCGTTGTCGGAGGGGTACCAGAGCGCGATGAAGATGCCGCCCGCAATGATGGGGATGGCGATGGAGATCAGGCTGATGAAGGATAGCAGGGCGACTTTCCAGTGGCCGTTTATAATGGCTTGCATTGTGGCTTGGATGGGGAGGGCGGAGGGGTAGGCTAGGAGGATGCTTTTGTCTGCCGATGCGCCGTTTGGAGCGGAGAGTTCGACGAAGGGCTGGAGAGCGCGGAAGTAGAGGTCTATCGGCTGCAGGGCGAGGAAAAGGAAGTTGCCGATCAGACCTGGGATGAAGCTGTATAGGAAGTTGGAGGAGGAGAACGCGCTTGTTGAGGGGAGAGTTGGGAGCTTGGGAGCGAAGCCGCCTTTGATGGCGTTGTTGACGAAGCTGACGGCGACGAATGCGATGAATAGGCCGAAGACGATGATGATCCAGCTGATGACGGGGGCGCGGCGCAGGAACCATGGTGTCCAGCGGTATCGGGTGGCGGGGGAGTGGAGGTGGTCGTCGCAAGAAGCGCCGTGGTTTTCGAGGTCGAAGCGAACCTTGGCCATTCCGTGGGGCTGCTTGTCCCGGCTTTTTTCTGTTTGGTGAAGCGAGCGAGTGCGGATCGGTGCGTCGATCTCACCGATGCCGTAGAAGAGATCGGGCTTCATGGACAACTTCCAGTATCCCAGGCGGAGAACTCGAGAGTCGAGGGTTTCCCGAACACTTGGGACAGTCTCGGAGTGCTCGTAGTCGTGGAGGATGTTGGATCTTTGAATGATTGAGATCAGGTCCGCCAGGCAGACTGGATCCCACATCAATCCGGTCCAGCCACGAACAAATCTGAGCAGGATGAGAAGAAGACCGATAGTCAGAAGTCCATAGGATCCAACAAGGGTCCAGGCCACACTTTGGACAGAAGTCCACTTCCATACACCATCACCATCGATAATGTAGTACTTGGCTTGGAAAAGGCAGCTGATAAGAGGAATGGAGAAGAAGTTCGACAGCCAAATGGTAAACAAGGCAAACCCAAAAAGAGGCTCGCCGTACCGGAAGTGTGAAAAGTCGGGGAAGATAAAGTTGCGAGGAAGAATGGGGAGTCCCTGCAGAACATTTCCCTTCGTACGCTCCGCAGCCATAATAGCAAAAGGCGCAACACGATACACCGCAGCCTGGATGACAAAGGTCCAAATAATTATAGGCGCAGCCAAAATCTGTGGAAGAAATTGCATGATAAAGTAATGGCCACCACCTTTGCCATCATAGTCCCAGATTCCCTCATGTCGATGAGACCAAATGTTGCAAAATACTATCGCAGCAATCATGAGACAACAGGACAAGATAGCCAAAAGCAAAGCCCATGATCGGAGGACCAGTGGGAGATAGTCAAGGGCAGGGTGCATAAGACTTTTTTCTGGAGGGTCAACAGCCACGAACGACTCCGGGTCAATGGAGTCGGGTCTTTGCGGTAGAGCTTGCGGTGAAGGCGACTTATACTTCGGTCGTTGAGGGGTTTCGGTGTATCGGATTGGGGTTCGTGTGCGGGTGAAATAGCCAAGTCCTTCGTCCCATACCAGACGATCAGCCGGGTACTCATCTCTGTCGGTAGTAGAGAGCGAGTCCTGTCGGCCCAAACCGCTCACCTCCTCGTCGCGAGTAAGCTGGTTGAGTGCGAATTGGACATAGGGCGTGTCGTCCAACCCGGGTGTTGGTGCCGGGCCGGCATATTCGTCACTCCTGGGTATCCGCCGCACTGTCTCGTCGGACTTTGGGCTGATGCGGGCGATTCTATCTTCTCCAAACCGAACCGTGCTCGCTGTTGGCGGACGTGGCGAGCCCAGATCCCCTTCAGCATGCTGATCTTCGTAATCTAATTCCGCCATGTCTGCGTGTCGTGTTGTTTGTCCCGCCGTCGGCGATGACGCCTGGGACGAAGGACGCGAGGCTGGAGTAGCAAAACGCATGGCGGTTAATTGACTGTCTGGACTTGAAGTCGAGACTCTGTCTGAGAAAGAGTAGTAATCGTCTGATGCAGCGACAGACTGTGCAGAATCTGTTCGGTAGACTTGGGGTTTGCTTGCTGGTAACAATGTTAGCGGCCGTAACCTTTTTTATTTTAAAAACACTCGAGGCAGTCGCAAGTCCTCATATTTAAAATAGGACTCAAATGGGTTTGCTCGTACAGTTGACGTTTCGTAGGCTGAAGTTTCGTGGACCGGGGGTATTCGACATGTCGGTCACCGCAGATGATTGCACTCACAGAGGATTTTTAATCGAGAAGCATACCAATGGATCTCTAGTCAATGATGCTCTGAAAAAATCTCTGAAGGTGGCCATCAAGTGGGTTTTTGTTTGGCTGTCAGTCTTGCGGTGGACAGCTCCCAGCCTCCCCCAGCCACCACGCAATCTGACCCCAACACACCAATAGGGAGGATTGAGACATGGAGAGGTTATGAAGCTAGACATTTCATTCGATAAATCGGAATTGTTTAATAGGTTAATAAATTAAGAAATGGAAATCGAGGCAAGGTGATCTGCCTGACGTCGTGTATAGACTCGCGGCCCGATTTCCCGCTACCCAGTTCTAAACCGTGGTTAAAATTTAGGAACTTAGAAGCTTAGATTTCTAGATACTCCCCACCAACATTAGAACTGGTGAATTTTGTCCTCTATCGATACTAGTATTTTTATTTCTAATTATTCAGTCGATTCATATAAAGCTTTTATCCTGTGACTTCTCTGGAGTCAGTTCTTCCACGGTCGGAACAGTACTATGTGCCAATCAATCTTCATACACCACTTTGCATAGTAATCAAGGAAGCCACCATACTTAGGTATTGAATACCCAACCCAAATAATCATCACCCTAGATTGTGGCCAACAGTCAGGGTCTCAGAAATTAATTGACTGAGTCATTGGAGTTCTAGTCATTTGCGTGGGAATAAAGGGTACCGTTGTTTCTTGTCCCTTGCTGGCACACAGCGTGGCTGGGCCGCTGCACCAACTACCCGCTTGGGATATGAAAACACGAGGCTGCCACATTATATGAATGGGCAAGGGTTTCCGGTTGGGTGAAAACTTGGGGCGAACAACGAGGATTTTGTTTTGTATTTTGATTCAGCTCCCAGTTGGTGTCTTGAACACATTGCATTGTTGCGACTGGCTAAATTTTGTGTTAGCTGCCCAAGAGTAGATCCCTTAGAATCCTCAGTAAAATGACATCAATTGATAGTAAGCTCTGGAGTTGGCCGCTTCAGTTTTCATGAGCATTTGAGTCAAGTGTCAGAACATGACGTTTAGTAAACTATGGGTTGGTTACTATACTTCGTCTTGATTGAGTTAATGATTACAATACAAAGTAGTAGAGGTTATTGGGGGTTTTTTGAGAATTGGAAGAGATAACAGAAACATTTTGAAGTTAAGCCTTCAATGTTTTTTGAACTTTAAAATATTTCAAACTTCCGAACAATCTTTCCAAGGCTACAGTCTTCATATACCCAGAGCCTCCATCTAAAATGCAATGCCAATATCATCGTGCAATCGGATGGATAGTTCGTCCATTTTGTGACAAAATCCTACCTATCCAGGTCAGTGGCATGATTAATAAGAAAGCAAGAAGAAGGAATCAAGACTTGTGCGTATTTCCAGCTCCGCCAATCCCGAACCGAACATAACGTTCTCGTGAGTTTGACTCCGACCGATTGCCAGGCAAGTCATTTTGGAGAGCCATTTCCCATGACTGCATGATTGTTGCTCTCCTAGATAGAAGAGTGGAATCCTCCTGATCTTGGGGCTGTTGGCGTTTTGTCCATGGCCATAATTTCCAGAGGCAGCCCATAGTAAATGCAAGGATTCGATTGCCGAGGTTCTGAGATTTCGATCAGATCTATGCAAGGGGTTCAATTGCCAATCAATTACCCTCGTTCCTTGTTGAGGCTCCAAGAGGTCACGTTCTGCTTATAGTATTAGTAGACAGGTGCAAAATCCAGGGCATCTCGCTCTTTAAGTGTTGTGAGTTTAAGTATCGGAAGAATTTGGAATGTCTGAATATTGGGGTTACGCAGTGTCGTATCACAAGCGAGTAAACGGTGTTGTTTGTTTTGTTTAACTGTTGCCTGCTTGGTTGGGTTAAGGTGCTCAGTCAGGTACAGAATAGGGAGCTTGAAACGTTCTCAAGACCTTGAAATCATGGCAGATTCTGGAAATCGATCAAAAGCTACAAGTATAAAAATTGCTGTATAGAATAGATCTGGCATTACGAAGCAAGTAAGATCGCACCGCGCATCTTCATCTGCCTTTCATGGCGCCTTTGATCTTCCGAATATTGCAACTATAAGCCTTGGAAATTGTCTGTGTAACCCATATCCAGACCCGGGAATGTTTGTGTTAGTTTCTTGGTCTTGTTGAGGGACAATCCAGGAAATAGCTGACTACTAGTAGTTACTATTAGTTAGCATCACGGGATTGATCAAGTGATGTCCAAGGAATGTCACCACTTTCTCAAATTGGACGATTATCATAAGCTTAAAATAGCCCCACCCGAATGCAGACTTCCAGAATCGCGTGATAGGCGGAGAGCACGATAGCCCAAGCTCAAATAACCGACTGGTCACTGATGGCTCGCTTATGTACGTCCCATCATTCGGATTCATTCTTGTGCCGCGAAATCTTATCTGGGTCCGGAGCTAGGAAGCTTGCTACGCAAAGAACGGCTAGCGCACCCCGTCGGACTGCGGCATGTCTCATTTGTCAGTGGTCCGTGGGTCACAACGGCCAAGATGGAGAAGTCTACGACGCTCCATTTGAGAACATTGGAAGTCATACAAGAGTGCAATGGCGGGAATGCTCAAAGCCGGAAAATTAGCATGTCACTTGTCGCACCGAAGCTATCAGATCTTTAGACGTCACGCGTTGGAATCGGGTGCAGATCTCGTTTCATGTTTATCGCCGGATCTAGGCTCGGGTACTTGCCAATTTCAATGAACAAAAGGAGGAGAGATTAACCTTCGAACTTTGGCCATTTGGCGAATACGAAGTACCCGTGGAACAAGCATTGCATACCCCACGCGCCAAAAAATAAAAGTTCTCTGGAGTTGTGTTTTCCCGTTTGCCCACCTGAGGAGATTTTGAAGAGACCGTTTTCTCTACGTAGTATCGACAAATAACCATTCTGATTCTTGTGATTGTGATTGTGATTGTGATTGTGGGGCAAGTCGTAATAGCCACTCTACAATCTCCGGTCGAGTGGCTCCTTTTGTTTAAGCAAACCGTGTGCGCCATTAGGGAGGGGAATTGGCTATTCCACAATGCTTGGCGCATCCGGTCCTGGGAAATCCCCGAATCACCCCCGATGCGGGTAGACGAAGGAGATCTGTGCTCTGCAGTCAGCCTCAACCGGTCTTGGAATCAAACAGAGAAGGGAATCAGATTGAAAAGGAGATTGGAAAGAGTAGGGAATAAACTGAGTAGAGCAGTAGTAGTGGGAAGAAGTAGTAGGAGAGATAAATGTGTTTGTCTTGTGACCAAACAACGGGAACAGCGAACAGCGAACAGCGAACAAGCGCTCTTTCTCTTTCTCTGTCGCGTACTTCGCCTCCTCAAACCGCAGTGGAAAAGCTTCCAAGGTTGTGCTTATCTGCAAATTGAACTTTCTTTCATTCCTTTTCTATTCCCTTTTCAGCCTTTCTCAGCCTTTTTCACCACTTCCCCTCATTTTCCATTCGCTCTTTTTTTCCGTCCTTTGACCTCGAACCTCTTTTACCTTTACCCCATCTTAACCCCCCTCACCTTCAATCTCAGGAGATCCTGCAATGTACCTGTCAAACCTGCGTTGATTTACTTAATTCAGATCTGGATATCTGCCCTTTAATTCCCTCGTTTTCGACTCAGCTAGAGAAAGGCGCGATCGGTCGCCTTTCCCCATCATGTTGCTCAAACCCGCGACACCCCTCACCGTCTTGCTCTTCATCGCCTTTGCTTTAATGCTCATCACCTGCATCTCGACCCCCATTATCAAAGGCATTCCTCTCGCCACCTATAAAAACGTCGATTATGGTGTTTTTGGTTATTGCGACGGAGATGCCTGCACCGGCATCCATGTGGGATACACAAGCAGTGAGTCCTGGATCTTTTGATTTCTCTTCTTTTTTAGTCCGGTCGCTGCCTGTTGGATCGTCGCTAAGCCTCGACAGCAAACAAAGGTAGTGAATTTGATCTTCCCTCGAGCACCCGCAAATCGCTATCAGCCATCTTGATCGTACACCCTATCGCCGCCTTCTTGAACCTCGTTTGTCTGTGCCTAGCCGCCGCTGCCCACTTTCACGGTCCCTCGCATTCTCCGCGCTTCCTGCTGGCCCTCCTCATTCTCCTCCTGCCTACATTGCTCGTCACTCTTCTCGCCTTCCTCGTTGATATTCTACTCTTCGTGCCACATTTGAAATGGGCTGGTTGGATTGTGCTCGTGGCGACCATCATCCTCGTCTCCTGCGCGGTCGTGACCTGCGCTATGCGCCGAACTCTCGTCAGCCGCAAAGCAAGGAGGAATCAGATCGCAGAGAATGCGGAAATGAGTGGAGAGAACTACTATAATCGACAGAATGAATTGGCAGCCGCCTTAGCGAACGATCCTCCTCCAATCCCAGAAACAAAGGAAGCCTTTGTGACCGGAGCAGCCCCGGAGGAGCCAGCATTCGCCGCTTTCCGCACTAATACTCGCGAAAGCGACGATGATCGCACACCACTCAACTCCCGTGCTGTTGTGAATGACGGTATTTCACCTCCAAGCCGCCATGCAACCCCATACCGCTCACAAGATGAGGGCTTACCTCCTGCTGGTCCCTATGGCGCTGGGCCCAATGCTGGCCAGGTGATGCGTAACCCTTCCGACCCCCACCTGCGCTCTCAGTACTCTGATAATAGCATTGGCCGACAGGGCAGTCCGCCTGGATTTGCGCAGCCCGGCTATGCCCCGCGTGGTCGAGGTGGATACCCTCCCCGAGGCGCATACCGAGGTGGACCTTACAACGGACCCCCTCGGAGCCGTGGTGGCTATATGGGTCCAATGCCTCGAGGTCGAGGTGGTATGCCTTCCCGTGGAGCGCCCCGTGGAGCTTACGGATATGCGAATGGCCCCAACCGTGGCTATGATGCCCATGGTCGATCCCTATCCCCCGAAAACCACTATGAGGCTCACGACATGGCAGCCGTTGCTCCAAGGCGCGAACCCTCCCCTGGCCCGATCGGAATGGCGGTGTCACCCGAAGCCGTCGGCCAAGCAATTGAGATGACCCCTCAGCCGCGGTATCATGCTGAATCCCATGACGCAATGGCCATGAGCACCGATTCCAATGCACATGCATTATCTGTGGATGGCCAAAACATGCCCCTTGAGAGCCCAACAAGCCAATACAGTCGCCCCGAGTAAGATATATCCCTCATTAATCTCCACCCACACATTTATTGACCCTATGGCATAGTTCCTACCAACCGGCTCGTGCTGGATGGACCACAAACAATGGCCGTCGTACTCTATCGCCTCGCCCGCCGCCATCACCGGTTCCCACCACAACTACCCAGGGAACTGCTTATTACGAGGACGTAGACCCTCGCTTCGATCGTCGACCGTCACCTCCGCATAACCAGAAAATTCCCTCGGCTCTCACCCCTGGAACAGCCCACTGTAAGCTCCTAACAGTTCATTCGCAAGAGGATGAAGCTAACTCTTTCTGCCAGTTTGATGAACCGTAATGAGTGGTTCTCCCCCATTCCGCATGCCCCGACGTTACTTTTTACGCGATACCCATTTCTCATTCCCCCCGGCCACTTTGGATGATTTGTAAAAATTTGTTCTTCATCAACTCGACTTCATGGCAATGCGGGTCATTTACGAAGAACGGAGTCTTTCGGGGGGGTGTTTTATATCCCCTTTCCCTGGAGTTTTCTACGTATTATTTTTTTTTCTTGGCGTTTCATTTCTTACGCTCATATGTTCTCTACCACCATGGTGCTACTTGCTAGATTTGCACCTCTGTCGCATTGTCCTTGGTTGTGAGAGCAGAAGCTGGCTCTGCTCTGATGTTCCTTATCGCGGATTCCACTCAACCCTATATGTACAGCGGGTTTGGTCGTATGTACAAACATCGATTTTCATGGCCTTTTATTCCAAATCAACAATCGATGTGGACTGTTGTACATTTTTTAATTTCAATGTCAAGGAGATAATCAACTTGTTCCTATTTGTTTCAGATTTCGACATCCATGGATCTGTAGATGCTCCACGTGATATGACGTTATGCTCCACCCCCAATGGGCCAAGATCGCGCATTCTTTATGCCGATCATGACGGCCACGCCTTCCATAAAGCTTGATTCTGGTGTGCGCCACTAATCTAATTGCAGGCACACGGCGTCTCCACTGCTTAACGGCCCCTGTCAATTTAATCATGCACTCACCACTGAGAGTCGCATTTTCTCTGTTCTGCACACCCTTACGTCCTTTCAATCTATATGGACAGGCATTCAAGTGGGTCTAAACAACATGAATGACCCGGGACTTGACGGTGCCATCGCCGAGGAGGCAGATGCTCTAGATCAGAGCTCCTCCCAGACCCACCCGGGAAACAACAGCACCGCATCTAACACCACCCCAAAGACATACCAACTAGACAAAGAATGCCCGCTTCAAGCTCGATGGTGGCTCGCATGCACTGTCTACCCGTTGGCAGCTGTAAGTGCTAATCAAGTTACCTGGTCCAATCGCCATTGCAAGAATCTAATGTCAGTACAGGGAACCTTTGGGCCTATGGCGAGCGCATTCAACGTATGTTGTTTGGCACAAACCTGGCGAATGGTACCAGATGATAACAATGGGTATCTGAACGTTGCTGATCCAAAATGGTACGCTTGGTCACACCCTCGGTATACGAATATGCAGCTAACGCCTGTTTCTCCAGGGTTACCTCCGTGAACGCTCTCTCCCTTGTGTCTGCTTTAGTCGCGAATCTCTTCCTGTCGCTAAATATGGCGCGCCGTGTTCGATTTTCACTTGCCCAGCCTATCATCGTGTCGGGGTGGTTCATTTCTTCGGCACTCCTGATTGCCATTCTGATTCCGTTTGGGGTGATGATGGACAAATCTACTTACTCGACCGCTGTTTACACTCAGGCGTACTATTATGGAGCCTTCGCGGCTGGCATGTACTTTATCATCGCGTGTTTATCACTGGTCACCGCATACGGAGCTCGAAAGGGCCACTACAGCTGCGAATACAAATTGAGCAACAGCCAGCGAACCTTGATGCTGCAAACGATTATATTCTGCATATACCTTCTGGCTGGCGCTGCAGTCTACGCAAAGGTTGAGGGCTGGCGGTTCTTGGATGCGGTTTACTTTGCAGATTACACCCTGCTCACCATTGGTGTCGGTAATATTACCCCTGCAACTCATCTTGGCCGGGGTCTGCTTTTCCCATACGCCATTGGTGGCATTGTGATTCTCGGTCTTATTATCTCGTCAATTCGAACGCTGATGCTGGAACGGGGGCGTCAAAAAATGGCTGATGCCCTGGCTGCACGAACTCGGAAGTTTCTTGTGAAGGAGGCGACTTCGAGTCACAATCGTCTGCGCTCTCTTGTGCCAGATCTGCCAACCGAAGGCCAAGACGAGGACGGCATGTCGCATCGCGAGCGACAGAAACGAGAATTTATCACCATGAGAAGAATCCGTCAATTGGCTACTGTGCAGCATAAGTGGATTTCACTTATTGTATCCTTGTTAGTCTGGATGGCCATGTGGCTTATCGGCGCAGTGGTGTTCTGGCGTTCGGAACAAGCCCAAGGATGGACATACTTTGAATCGCTCTATTTTGCCTACACGACCCTCCTGACCATCGGATATGGAGACATATACCCGAGAAGCAGCCTCGGGAAAGCATTTTTCGTTTTCTGGTCCCTGCTCGCCGTCCCCACAATCACAATCCTCATCTCCAGCATCGGTGACACCCTCATCCGCTTCATTCGCGACCTAACCCTTTACATCGGTGAAATCACCATTCTACCCGGCGACGAACCATTCATGGAACGCATAAAGGACATCTTCCGCATGTCCTGGTCCGACAAATGGGTCGAAGAAACACTCGGCGAAAAGAATACCGCGGACATCCTGAACGATAAAAACGCCACCAACGACCCCGAACAAGCAAATTGGCAAGCCCACCGCACTCTCGAAACAGAGGAACACAAACGAGAACAATCAGCACACGCGTGCGGTGACGTCGCCGGCGAAAAGATACATCACTACCACTATCTCCTTTTCCGCGAGATCCGCAAGATGATGGAATACACCAAGGACAATATAGCCAAGGAGTTCGACTACCTCGAGTGGGAGTACTATCTAGATCTTATAACGGGTAAACATAAGCCTTTGGCTGATGAATGTTTGGACTCGGGGCTCGATGCACGAACGCGCGAGCTTCAGCAGTGGAGCTGGATTGATAAGAGGAATCCGTTGATTGGAGAGAAAAGTGAGGTGCAGTGGTTACTTCATGAGTTGACTGAGGCGCTTGAGAGAGAGCTCAGAGGAGCGAGTCGGGGGTTTCACTCTGATACTGATGAGAAAAGTTTGAGGAGGAGAAAGTCGGGTTCTGATGTTGATGCGAGTAAGGGCGGCTAGGCTGGTGTTCACAGGTTTTCAATGTTCCTTCTGGGCTTTTTATGGTTTATATCCGGACGCTGTATGTACGCATATTTTAAAGCTGGTAGTATGATTAATGATACGAGTGTAAATACGTTTTTTCTTTTTTTGGTATTAAGACGCAATCCAACCTAGTACTATAACTACAAGTAATTCGCGTTATTGGGGAGTTGCGTTTCGTGTTCGTAAATACGGGGTGACAAGGTGAGCCTCGTATAGGCAACGCGCAGTATTTTGACGTACGTATTACTATAAATTACTAGCTCATATACCAATCGACTAACCAGTACCTCATCCTGATTCCTGATATCTACGCAGCCTACGCTTATGATATACTCTTTTGGCCAAGCGTGCAAATCACCTGACATTCCTCATAGATACAAATCCAAAGCAGAGATATCTGTTTTCCCACATAAACTTTCTCCATTTCTATAAAAATTCCCACACTTCCTTTACACAGTGTTCCTTTTTTTCTCGTATACTTCCCCAGCACCATTTCCCATTTCCAACAGTAGGCCATCCCCCACTAGTCAAGCGAACCATGCCTCCCAAACCCACTCGCCTTGAATCTATTCTGCGTCCATGCGGTATAATCTGGTTCTCCATCTGCTGTCAGTCATCCTCACCCCGCACCAATTCCCAATTCCCAATTCCCACAAACATGCTAAATGAGAAACCGCCTTCCATCAACAACAGTACACTGGCAAGCTCTGAAACAAGCCATTCGGCAAAACGGCCTCGCAGCACTTATCCACCCAGCACAAATCCGAGATGCCGCTTCAGCAAAGCTACTCAGTATATCGTGTCAGTTGCAAGCCACTCCTTTCCTTCAATGTCATGAGTTGTACTATACATATAGCACTAAACTGACCACCATCCCAGCTGAAAACTTCATCGCATACGAAGACACAACCATTGTCCCCTCGCTCGTGAAGGCAGCCAACGGCATGATTCTCGAACTAGGCCCCGGCCCCGGGAACCAGATTCACCGCTTCGATAGCTCGCTCGTGCAGCATATCTATGGTATCGAGCCCAATGTGCATTTCAGAGATACCTTAGATGCAAAATTGGGTAAGCATGGTCTGGGAGATAAGTATACGCTTTTGTCTTGTGGGATTGAGGATAGCGATGTTCTTAGAAAGGAGGGGATCGCGGAGGGGAGTCTGGATGCTGTGTTGTGCATCCAGGTTCTTTGTGCGGTGCGGGATCCGAAGATAGTCATGAAGGAGGTGTGGAAGTTGCTTAAGCCTGGGGGCAAGTTTATTTTCTGGGAGCATGGGTGGAGTCGGGATCGGGTGACAAATGTTGCTCAAGGTACGTTTATGGTCTTTTTTTCCCCCGCTCGTAGTATGGGGTTGTTAATGTGGACTGGAGAGGATCAGCTTGTTGGAATCCGGCTTGGAGCACGTTTGTGGGTTGTGAGTTGACGCGGAATGTGTTGGGGGATATTCTGAGTTGTGGCGAGTGGGAGAATCCGGGTGAGATTGAGGAACCTGAGGAACCGTTTAGCTTGTTGCCGAGGATTCAGGGCGTTCTTATCAAGAAGAAAGCTTAGTGACTGGTGGCTTATTATATGTTTACTACCTGGGTGAATTCATTGGGGCTGGTGGGTAGAATGAGGTTTCAGCTGTTTTCTGTGTAAAGGCAGACATCTGGACATCTGGATGCTTTTAAAGTGTTCGAGGGTGGCCTTCCAAGATTGCATGTGCTCATGTGCTCTTGACAGGTCTGGAAGATTTGAGCCAACATTTGAACTGAGATGAACATTGCTTGAGTATATATATTTATTGGTCGTTTCAAGTTTTTTAAGTACATCGATCATTTTCAATGTTGACGTTGATGAATATCATTATATTAATATATATACTACCCCAAAGTGCACGGACTGACGGAAAAGTTTTCTTTCATTGATTGTGAATCCATAAACACTCTGAATTTAGAAAAGCATGATAAAGTTATCTGTCTAAGAAAGGGATTCTACTGTGAACACCGTGATACTGGGCGTGGACGGATATTCCCTAATTAAAGAAATGTCAAGAATCAAGATACATGCTTATCAATTCCAATCCACAACATATAGTTGGCAATCTATTCTACCGAACGTATGGACCGGACTGGCTAGCAACCTGATGGTTCCGTACAGCGTGTGTTCTTTCATAATGACTTCGACTGAATGCGTGATATCCTGACAGGCCCACCGGTTATTTCGTTATGTGCAGCATGGGTCATGCCAAATGAAAGGCCGCTGATATGGCTGCCTCAGCATCTACTAGAACACGAGCGCGACTGAGCGGATACTAAGGGGCGCACCAGTATTGCGAAGACTGGGAACGCCTACCTTATGCCTGTGAGTGATGATTCTCAGTGGGTAATCCTAGTAACTGAGTCATTGGAATTTTTGGTTAATACAGTCTATCTCAAACAGTCTTCCCTTCTTCTGCCTGGTAATTCTCAAACGCCAAAAACCTTCCTAGGGCATCCCGTAAAAAGTGTCCCCATAACAAGCAGTATACTACCGCTACGTAAATCAGGACAGCATCGCGCCTTCTCCAAATGTGAATAGTAGATGGCGTAATCCAAAAATGCAAGAACCTCCACCCTCACACAAACATTCCCAACCAAAATGCTCACTCCATTATACTCAAGCACTAGATAGCCAAGCCCACATCATGCTACTCCAACTCTCATACGCCCTCGCCCTCAGCGCCCTCCTCCAACCAGCAACAAGCCGCTTCCAAGCATACATCGAAACCCCGAACTGGATCGAAACAGATGGCTACAATTTCCACACCCCGAAAAACAAGATCCCCATGCCATCCCTGGTAATCGATACATTCCAGAACAAAATCCACAATGACCTCGGATACTGGCACGGCGCCGGCGAGGACTTGCCCGTACACCACGAACCAGGATTTGTCCGTCTCGACCCGACAGACCCGGATCAGAACTTCCACACCCAGTTCAATATCCACGGGTGCTTCAGCTTGATTCCATGGCAGCACCAGTTCCTGCACGTGGTCTTTGAAGGCACAGAGGAGTTCACTGTCTCGCTGAACGAGCACAACATTGACTGCGAGCCGCTGAGGAGCCCGTTCCCCGGCGTCCCGGACAGCGTGCAGGCGTCGCGGTACGTAATGCGTACCAAGGCCGGATGGGGAGCCGGCGATGATGGGGATGAGTGGAATAGCGGTGCGGATGGTGATGATAACGGTGACGGTGAGACGACGGCCGGGCCTGCTCAGAAGCAGAATCACAGACGCAACCCGCTACGCAAGAAGCCCATGCACAGAGCTGCCAACGGGAGCTGCGTTGAAGACGGCGATGAGGACGGCGGCGATGGGAGCGATGATGGAAATGACGGTGACGAGAACGGCGATGAGGGCCATCGGCCTGCTTCGCCGGAGAAGACGGAGCTGTTCATTCCTTTGTCGCATTTCAACATCAACCATACCCGCGTCGTGTCCGTTTCGTTTACAGGATTCTACACCAATGTGTCGCTGGTTCTGCGCCGTGTGGAGTTCGTGTCGACTGTTCCGCGGCCTTCGGCGGAGAATAACTATTTCAAAATACCCGAGAAGGCGCCCAGTGGGACACTGGTTTTGCGGTGCTCGCGGCCGAATTCGTTTGCTTTTGGGATTGATGATGGTCAGCCTCGGTTTGCGCAGAGGGTTATGCGGATTCTGGATGAGGAGGGCGTGCGGGCGACTTTCTTTGTTGTTGGGGCTGGGTTGACGGATCTTTCGACCAACTTTACCAATTTTTATCGGGAGATGATTGACAAGGGGCATCAGGTTGCTCTGCATTCGAATACTCATCCCAAGTATGTATATATATTCTGTCCTTGCGTTTTCCTTTTCAAGGCGGAGTGCTGATTGATGGTCATAGAATGGAGGCTCTGCCAACGATAGATCAGATCGATGAAGAGATTGTTCGGACTATACAGGTCTTTCACGATGAGCTGGGAGTTCAATGTAAGGCTCCAAGGCGCCCCTCGGTTCGTGGCGATTGCCTAGCTAACAAGTCGCATTAGCCCGTTACTTTCGTCCACCATTTGGTACCGTCGGCGCACGCATGCGACAGCAACTTGCAAAGCGGATCCCTCATCCACTCATTGTTAATTGGAGTGTCGATGTTGAAGACTGGCTTTGGGCTAATACCTCGACACCAGAGAAACAATTGGAAGCGTTTTATCGCAATGTTGCCCGGGGTGGAAACTTGGCTGTTCTGCACTTTTTGAGTCCGACGACTGTGGAGTATCTGCCAACATTCATTCGACATGTCAAGGCTGTTGGCTTGAGCATTATGCGTATAGATCAGTGCTTGGAGGATCCGGATAGCCCACCTCTGTGAGGTATACTATACAGGGGGTGGAAATCTGGAACAAGTCAAGCAGCAAGTCATCTGCTCTGGCATATATTCTTAGTGTAAAGGCCTGTGTACCCTTAGCTTCCCTGTCCTCTAAATTCAAAATTTTCTTTTGGTCCAGCAACACTTCAAACATTGAACATCCATTGAGACATCGGATCCAAACACCAGGCCAGAAACATGATGCAAACACAGATCAATAAGAAAAACCAAAGCAACAGTCAAGGTATAAAAACACAATGAGCCAAGACAAAAGAGATTAAACCTAGCCCAGATGCCATGCATGTAGTCGATCCCATCCAATCCCAAATTCAATCGCAAATCCAACAAAATCATGACAACACATAATAAAACAGAGCAACACCGAGCAAATCGTCAGATGTAAATGTAAATAGTAAAGCAGGCTCAAGCGCATATAAACGCAAAGGTTATATAAATGGCGTCTCGATTAATCACCATATTCAGGAGCCCGACATGATCCACTTACATCCATCATCCCCCGGACGCGACTAGTCAGCCATCCTGAGGCTGCATTGCTGCCAGGTCGCGAAACACCCAGACGGGGTCTATTGCCCGTGAAGCATGTGCCGTCCCGGAAGGAGAACTGCACGCACTTCTTCTCAGTTTCACAGACCTGGCGACAATGCTCAAAGGTCGTCGCATATGGCTGTTCCTCGTCTGAAAAGTTGTCCCAGTCTAACCTTGTAGGCTGGGCAAGCATTTCGGGGTACAGCCATTCGCGGAACACATCGCTATGAAGAAGGATACGTTTATTTTTCTGGAGCGAGAATCATCAGTATGGAGCTCAAATCGCAACACAAGAGAGACAGAGAGAGAGAGAGAGAGAGAGAGAGAGAGAGAGAGAGAGAGAGAGAGAGAGAGAGAGAGAGAGAGAGAGAGAGGATTAAGAAAAGAGACTCACATCATGCCAACGTTTCTGCTCAAATTTCCACAATCCCTCAATATCCGCCGGAGAAAGATGGTGAAACCCAACAGCAATATAACACCACGGCAAACGGTACAAGTCCGTCGCAAACTCATCTAACTCACCCAAGTTCGAATTCTGCAAGATGGGCCACGAGAAATGCAAATCAACGCCCACATCCGCAAGAACCCGACCCAAAACGCAATCACCCGCCCAGTGCCCATTCGTATAATCATCCAGATCCGCCCTCCGCCGCTCATACTCATCCGACGCAGCCCTGAGCGCCGGATTCGAAAGCATAAAGCCCGAGCCCCCGTGCGCAAAGATCGTATCCGCAATCTGCGTCTCCGTGCCCAAGTACACAGGCTTCGTGGGATCGAAGCGCGCAAGCCAAGCCAACACCGTCGGCCACGAAATATACGTATCAGCCTCCATGAAAATGAACCACTTGGCGTCGGACTTGTACGCATACGCCTCCTGGGCCATGGGCAAGAACTTCCATTTATCCAGTTTCCAGCCCGGGTTGTTCGGCTTGCCGATGGCGGAGTTGGCCTCGTCGGCAAAGTCGCCCTGTTCCAGGCCTTCGCGCCCGAGCTTCTTCAGCCGGTTGTAGAGGTCGAAGTCCTCGACTTGCTGCGTGACGTCGCGGTCCATGGTGCGGAGCGCATCGTGGATGGTTACGCCCTCGATTTCCTCTTCGAAGTCCGAGTAGATGACGTAGTGGGGGATGCAGCGGAGGGTGGTGGAGAAGTGGATGGGGACTTTGTCGCGGGACTCTGTGACGCCGGTTTTCATGACGACCAGGACATCTTCGATGCCGGGGAGAGGGGGGCAGATGGGGTCCGGCTCGCCGGTTGTTTGTTCGGTGTCGGCATTGCTGGTGGTATATTTGTTTGTGCGGGAGCCTGAGTAGCGGAAGCGGGTTGGCTGCGGTGTGAGGGTTGATTGTAGGGAGGTGAAGTGGTAGAGGAGGAAGAGGGCGGTGATGGCGGCGATGGCGAGGAACCGGCGGCTTACTCGTCGCCGGGGGACCATGGTGTTTGGGATTATGTTCAATGGTCTGAGATCATCGTGAGATGAGAAGACACCTCTCCTAAACTTTTGGAAAAGTGAATTCCAGGGTTCGAGGACCCGAGCTATGACGATCTAAGGCCGCGTCTCCTTTCTGTGGCTGACACAGCGGGACGCGTTAGCGGTGGATCTTGGGGTCTGGTCCCGTCTATACTAGTACCCTTAGTTCTTGTGTTATGCACAATTTGGCGGGGAAAAGGATTGGTCTAGAGTACATGTCAAGTTGACGCTCTATTTTAAGATCCCTCTTGAAACACTTGGTCCTATCTTCAATCAATCTCTCATCTTTAACCAGCCTGGATTTCGTTTTCAATTGGTCATCCTGTGTTCCCAATTTTCCTTGTTTTCTTTTTGTTTGGTCCCCCTTAAATCGCCGTGGGGATCCCTGCTGTCGATCACCCCTGTTGTGGCGGGTGTGGAATGGACGGCTCACTAGTACAGAGCATATCCTACATTATAGCAGGCTCATTCCAAGTCTCCAAATGTTCCAAGGTTCACTGCTGGATTCAAATACCTCCTCTGATTTGTCGGGTTATTAACCCAAGTTCATTCCAAACACATATCAATCGTACCTGCATGATCCGACATCGGGACGATCGTCAGAAGATATATGAAGTGGACACCACGTGTTAAGTGCATGCTTCAGCTCATGCACTCGCTGGTCCACATGGATTGTCCATTCAAATGTTGAACTTTCATAGAAAAGTCGCAAATACTCGGGCATTAGGCACTTCCAATGCCGCTCGGTTCAATTCTAAATGGAAAGACACAACACTAAACCTACACGTAGTTCTTTGTCATGAGCGTTTAGGAAGAAAGACATGTCATGGCATGTGTTCTTTCTGTCGTATCAACATCTCCGTTGTGTTCAAGTTCACATGTGCATTCGATGTTCTTTCCATCACGGCCCTACAAGTCGAGGTGATATCTAGGGCCTGTAGCCATTTACCCATTTGCAGCTGTCTGAGTGGCAAGAGCTCAGATTATCACATGCATGCCGAGCATTTTCCAGATTCAGAAATGCCAGGGCTAACTGTTTACACTGCCTAACATGAAAGCCGAACAGAATTAAGTTTGTATTCGTTGTATTCTTTGTATTCACACATAACCATGCATGCCGAGATCAGACCCACCAATCATTGTTGATCGGGCGTCTTCTTTTGAATCATTTTATCATGCAGTTTAACCAACTCCGGAATAATGAGACTCTCAATCTCAATGCCATCATGATCTCTTTCACCTGGTGGCGGATTCTCTTCCGTCTGTGATGGTTGTTGTTGTTCAGCGGCCTTACCCTTCATGATCTCCGCAAGCCCGACCTGATCCTCCACACCAGAAATACTCTTACTGCGCCGAGCCTTAGGCACTCTCAACCATCGCTCATGTGGTGGGTCCGGCGTGATAAAAACAACCTCCCATTTCCGCGTGGAAAGAAGGTTACCAATAACCAGGTGGTGGGAATAGCGCTGCAGTGCCGTCCGCGCCTTATACACCAACAACGACGGATCCGTCTCCAGCTTGAACGAAACAACCATGCTCCCATCAGGCGCCCACCCATCAACAAGACGATGCAGGAACTTCGGGACGGGATCAAGATTGACGACGAGCTTCTTCGAATTCTTCGGCGGCTGGGTCAAGGGCTCGCCGGTATATATTTCCTCCTCGCGGTCCGAGCCGAGCGCACTATTATTCTCCAAGTGTGCCGGTATTTCCGAAGACTGAATTTTATGCTCGGCCATCCTGCTGCGCGGAATGAAGAAATCGCTGACAGCCGCCGCAAGGTAGAACAGCGCATTGGGGCCAAGCGGCCGCATCAATTTCGCCAGCGAGCGCAGCTCAAACATGTATTCTGCGACAGTGGTAAAGGGCAGCAAGAGGAGGCGGTTGTTCTGCTTTGCGTAGCGGTACTTGCGCAGCACGTCGCGCATCTCGTCCTGGTACTCGCTGCGTACCTGGATGGAGCCGTGGTCTGCATTCGGCGAATCAGCTGCCGGTGCGGCCTCGTCCATGAAATCTAGGAAACAGTTCGTCGAGTGGCTGTAGTGGCGCGAATATGGCAGCAGGCTGTACTGCCGATGTAAGAAGATGACTGCATAGCCTTCCTGCAGGAAGTATTCGGCTGATGTGGCGCCGCGGGTTCCGGCAGAGAAGTTGTCGATGAAGCGCACGGTCTGCGTCTCCAGGGGTACTGTTGTTCCGCCGGAGGTGACGAGTACCACACGCCTGTTGGCTGCGACGTGTAGGTCGATGAAGGCTCGGGCGAGGGCTTCGTGTCTGGGGAGGGCTTTCGGCGGGGGGTATTCGTTGAAATAGACGGATTCTGCCTCCGCTGGCTCCATGTCACCAAGTGCTTGGGCCATCTTTATGCTTGGTCTTACGGACGCCCTTTGCGTCTGCTAAGTTATATATGTGTGATGGATTGTGATCACTGCCGGTCGGAGCTTTTCATTGACAATTGGATGTTTTCTCGGTCGTATAATTTCCAGTCTAGAGAAAAAAAGATGCCGAGGAAAGCGCCAATCGCAAGTGGGGGGAAGGTGGGATGCGACCGGCAAGGAATGCGGGATGGAAGATCACCGTGACGCGATTGAAAACGATTGATTTTCGAGTCCAAGATTATTCCCGAAGCAGCAGGATGACAGTGATGTTAAGTCTCCAAACTTCAGGGGAAAAGATTTTAATAAAGTGTAGCAAATCCCGGTGAAGCTGAAAAATGTTGAGCATGAACCCAGCAAGGGCCAGTTGACATATCTGATGGGTCAATGCAGCCGCTGGGCCGAATGCATGGCATCTCCACATGAGCTGGTCTATTGGACACTCATTGGATACAATGGTCGCTTATGTCATCTTTTTGGGGTCGATTTTGGTTGAATGATTGAAAATACTGAGTACTTTCTATACTATTCGCCTTTCAATGAGGGATATTGGCGACAACGCTCCTTTTGACCGATATTCGGACTTTCCTGCCGCACTGATCAGATATGTGCATGGAATGATAGTTACTGTATTGTATATGTACGTGCATAGATCTTTCCGCGGCTGAAAATCGTGCCGAGGTTCCAAAGTTTGAGGGCGGATCCATATGCTACTAGAATTACCTTATGTACTACATCTTCATCACAGGCATACTAGTAGTAGCAAATAAATGAACTGCTGGAGGTCAACGAGCTTAATATTGAATGTACAGTTAATTCCCTAGTAAAAAGTAGGTACAACCTTGGAATGCCACTCAGCACTTAGTACATATGTCAGAACGACCGAGCTATGGGCATATCTGTGGCGGAACAGAAAGTGAAACGCCCTAATGAATGCATCGTTGAATCCTTATACAAATATCCATTCTACACGAATTCCACACCGGGAAATATCACTGCAAGTAACGACTACGCAAAGCTTGACTAATAGTACTCATCCTGCTTGCCATTCCTCCATGTTGCATATTGCTCATCAGAGCCTCTTCCAAAGCGGACTGTGTGACGCTCGCATCTGGGGAATAATCAGTATCATGATACATCTCAACGCAACTCAAAACAACTCAAAACGACCCATTCCAAAGCCAACTCACCATCAAGATCGCTGAAACTGCTTCCCATGCTTGGGGTCCCATCGCTAGCCCCTTTGCCCGAAGTTTGAGATTTTCGAGGACTTGGCCGAGATGGTTCCCCAGAGCGCTGTAAACCCTGCCCACCCTGTACGACCACCGGACCACCGGAGCCTATGGAGCTTGTGGATGACTCTGATGCAACTTGCATTCTTGCCCCAGATCGCTCTGCTAGGCGGCGCCGTGTAATGGCTGCACGCTCTGCATCCAGGCGTAGCGTGGCACTCAGCTCTTGAGCTGGTCGATCTCGCGAGCCTTGCTCGGGTTCCCTGTGTAGTGGCAAGAATGCCGGTGCATCATCTTCGTCATCTTCATCATCTCGTAGGCTAGCACGGTGCATGGAGTATTGTCCAAATCGCTTGAAGCGATGTGCTGGGAGGTTTGATTCGTCTTCTGAATCGGATTCTGGGAGACTTGATGATAGATCTTCCTCTTCCAAAGGTGGAGAGCGAATGAATGGAGCTGGTGGAGGCTCCCGCCGGTTAGTTGATAGACGTCGGCCGTAGGGCTCCCGTCGATGCTCGTTACTTTCTGCGGTTGGAGTATCAGTGCGTGAGGGGTCTCGAGAACCGCGAGTTTGATTGATCGTTGCGATCGATGTGGAGCTTGTGTGCCGGCTATGTCCACTCGCTGCTGTGAAAGCATGTTAGAGGTGTATATTTGCATTGCTGCATTTCCAGCGAACAATTTTTATACAGATCAGTGTGAACTTGCCTCGCTGAGAAGTTTCTTTCTGCTGAGTCAACGGCCGGGCAGGCCCCCGCGGACCTTTTTCTCGATTAGCTAGCTATTCAGGCAGCTTGATTTTTTTTTATAACAGAACAAACATACCAACAACAGGAATATCCTTTGAAGGTGCTCCGGGTAGTGCTGCGCTACCTGAAACAGACCCCGGGGCTGGTGATGGGGAATTTGACTGCGCGGTCGGGTCAAATCTCCGCATCTGTGCTCGAACCTGTGACAGCTGTCGGTCATACAGCCATGCTGCTTGCTGAAGTAGGAACTGTAAAGTGACATCAAACTTATCTGCCCTTCAAAACCAAGTCAGCATAAACCATTTTTTTTGTTGGGAGCACAAGTGAGGTATACAAGGCTTTCCCTGTAAGTGAGTTAGCTATCTGGCCCTCGATATAAAAAAGGGGCCATGGGAAGCCACGTACAATCTATGTCATCTCCTTTGGAAGGCCGAGAAAGGATGTCCCATAATGCCTGGTCTTTAGAAGCATTCCATTCCACCTAATCGGTCAGAACATAAGATCGTGGTCAACTGAGATGGCTAGCGTCTTACCGGTGGTGGATCAACAAATTCGCCCCTTGGAAATGGTAGACGAATGAAGACTGTGAAATTAGTGTCTTTTTGTTCCGTCCCAGTTGTCATGTTCGGGGCAAATGGAGATCGGGTGGAGCTGAGCTAGACCGGGGGAGAGCTTGAAGCTTCGAATGACGTTGTTTCGGACGTCGATGGGCAAAGGTCTTTTATGGCGCAGATTGTGGATATCCAGCGGTCAAGTTGAGGGCTTTGAAGTCTCTTTGTTATACATCCAAGAGGCGCTGTGATTTGGATACCACTAGTAGTAATGATAGGTGAGTGGTTGATGAGGAGAGTGACGATGACGGGAAAGTTATTCTATTGGTTGGAGATCTGCGTGGTAAGAACGTGGAGCTCTTGTGGAATTTGTAATAGCGTTGGAGCATTCAACCACCCATCACATGATTGCAGTATTGCCACGGATGTGTTGTTGGACACACGACCTCCATACAAACGCCTGTTTTAATGACTTCTGATCCTTTTACTTCATTCTACATAGTCTTTTTAATCTTATTACGCCGATCTATAGAGTTCCTGCAGACGATCATTATAGTCGTCAATCATGGGGCCAATCTGTCAAGGACTACCCTGCATCATCCCCCTGATTATTCTAGCTTGTTTACCCTCAGCTGATTCGTCTACGAGCTGCGGCATATCGTTTTGGGAGAGCCTTGCCTACTCTTTGGATCAGGTATCACTCTACTATTCTATACAAATGGATGCTTCTTGCTTGAGGATCGGCAAACATGATATCCACACCGTTCATATGTTTTAGACCGCCTTTTGTACTCTAACCTAAACTAGGGGAAGCATTTGAGCGCTAGCAGGATCTGCCACACGCGGTTCCATTCTCAAACAGCCTGCCTCGGCCTAACTTTCCTTTGACCGTTGCTGCAACTCCACTTGTGACTTCACCATGTCTATCCAATATTTTATTGACAAGTGCCTGGTGGTCATTTTACGAACCATCATCAGTATCATCGCTTACTTCGTTCGCGGCGGTATTAAATCATACCCAGATGAAGTACGCCATATCCCATCTCGCGATACTAGACGAACCATCAAGGTTCATGTGTATACATCATCCGCCCCAAACCCATCACCAGTCTTGATCAACTTCCACGGCAGTGGGTTCGTGCTCCCTCACCATGGCTCTGATGATGAATTCTGCCGTCAAGTCAGCCAACAAACCAAATGCACGGTCCTCGATGTTCGCTATCGCCTAGCACCCGAGCACCCATTCCCTGCTGCGCTGAATGATGTTGAAGATACCATCAACTATGTCCTGGGCCGCCCGCACGAATTTGATCGCTCGCGTCTATCCCTCTCGGGATTCAGCGCCGGTGCCAACCTGGTCCTCGCTGCCTCGGCCAATCTCTTTGCCCCAGATACCTTCCGCTCACTGGTCGCCTTCTACCCGGTGACCGATCTCAATGCCGGCGCAGAATCCAAGACCGCTCCTAACCCCACGCAAGCGGCAAAGATTCCGGCGCCCCTAGCACGCCTCTTTAACCGGTGTTATGTACCTGCCAAAATGGACCCGCGCGATCCTCGAATTTCCCCCACCTTTGCGCAGGTAGACCGCTTCCCACGCCGTGTTCTCATGATCACCGCCGACGGAGATAATCTCGCGCACGAGGCAGAGGAGATCGCTAAGCGGCTCCAAAAATTACAGGGGTGGCATGTGGTCAGTCAACGTATGGTGGGCTGTACTCATGGGTGGGACAAGTCCACGCGGCCGAGCTCCCCGCAGCACCTACATGAAGCCAAGAAGCGGGCTTACCAGTTAGCGGTGGAGATGCTTAACGGATAGCTTAAGATTTTTTTTTCTTTGTCTTTGATGGGTTCAATGCGCCATATTTCACGCCGAACACCCCCTTATTATCTTTGTGTCTTTGTTTCACCCACTTGTCTCCGCTTGCCGCGTGGTGCCTGGCCTGACCCAACGAATCCATGGCTCAGCCCAATGGCAGAACCAACCCTAAACCCTACCTAACGAGAGAAACAAGGTGGAGAGTTGGAGAGTCGGAGAATTGGAGATGAAACCGGAGATAAGCATACTTAAGCTTGTACATGGAATAAATGATGTTATTGAAAAATTGCTGAATAGCCCCGCCACATGTGCCAAGTGGGCAGATTGTGTCAGGGTTCGCCCCCCGTGGGTCACTCGGGTTTCATTTCATTTTAAAGTAAAAAAGAAAAAAAAAATAGATAGGAGACAGAAAAAAGGGCGATCGTCCTTGGACATGATTATGAAGTCTTGCTTCTTACCCTTTTTTTCTTGTTTCCCTTTTTCACTTGACTAGTTTCCCTCCCCAGTCCTTACAGTTTGTGCTTTTGTCACCTCCACCACTTTGACCCAATCTAGAATTACACTATACATAATCAGCGCCTAGGGCGAATGCTGTCATTTTGCGCCACCATCTCGTCCACCGGCCGCGCGTGGGCGAGCCCAACCTGTTCGTGAAGCCCGCATCCATCTTCCCCTCCGGTCAATGCGCGCCCGCTGGCTAGGCGCCATAGCCACCTGTATATAAGATGGAATCAACAACAACGACAACGACTAGTAGTCCCGTCTTAGACGAGGACAAATACCGAAACGAGGTGCTCCAGATTGCGTCAGTGGAAGCGGAACAAGCGCGGGCGCAACAGTTATCCGATGAAGCACTCCAGCTTGGTTTGAAGACCCCGGAGACCGATGCAGCGCCGCTGGCTGCCTCGATCGCCGGTGCAATGAGCGATCTATCGTCACCCGTCTTATCTTCTGGATCATCCACCGATCGAAATTCTGCGTGCGACGGCTCCGTGACCCCCTCCCTCTCCGTTGAAGCCTCATCCCCATCTACCTTGCCGTTAGATCAAGTCGCTACATCGCTATCGCAACTCACATTTGCTTCCGAGCGCGCCAAACCAAGCAGCACTCGATCGCTAGCGTCGTTATCGACCCGGCCGACGTCATTCTGCTCAAGTGAAAGCCGCACGATTAACGCCGGGCTTGGGCTTGGCATTCACGATGGACTCGGAATTCGGGGAAATCGGAGTTCCATGTTTGTGGTGACGCCAGATGATGATAATAAAAAGGAGAAGGAGAAAGATAGGAGGCGGAGCAGCTTGAAGTCTGCTATTGGGCGCTTTCATTTTCGGAAGAAGCGGGTTCCCTCTGCTACGGTTTTACCACCGACAGCACAAGTTACAATAACTAAAGGCGATGAGAGCGTGGAGCGTGTCTTTATCGAGACGCCGCGTGAGCTGCCGACCAGCAATGCAGTCTCAATCACGAGTAATAGCACCACCGAGTCCCTTCCAAAGGTGGAAGTGGAGATCCCAACTTTCGACGCAGCATCGCTTCAAAGAAGTCTGGATGACCCCGAACTAAGCGAGATGACCGAACGCCACAAGATGGAAAAGAATCGACACATGGCATTCCAAGATGCGGCTCTCGACATCCTCCGGCGCCGGCACCAAACAGCCGTTTCAGAAGCGCAGATCGAAAACCAGCGCCGGGAGGACGAGAAGCGCGAAAAGGTAAAAAAGAACCCAGCATCTGCTCATAGTTCACCTCCAGCCTCGGAGACCGGGAAACATCCGCTAACCTCGACTTCCAATACAGAACGACCACGACGCCATCCGCATAGAAGAGCGCCAATTAGCCGTGGAAATGGAACAACAAAGAGACTTCGAGCGCGCAAAACAAAACTCCCGTACCCGCATCAAGCACATGGAAGGCTATTTCCGCAACGCAAGCCCCCCGCCATCCCCAGCAATTTCAGCTGACCGCTCATCCGATTCTTTCGCGTCCGGATCCGAGGGAAACCCCACGCGCCGTGTAACACGGCAGCAGCTCGAGCAACTCGAGCAGCAGTATCACGCGCACGAATCCATGGATGCGCTCCAAGATTCCCGCATCAAGGTTCTTCGAGAACGCCAGGAGAAGAGACTTGCTGAGGCCATTGCGCGGATGGAAGGCGAGCTGGACGATCTGTGTGATCAGAATAGCAAGCAGATCGCTACGCTCCAGGCTGAGCATCGCCGTGAAGAGAGTTCTCTGATTGACGGGCTGCAAGGGAAGCAGACGGAGTTGCGGCGGAGATGGGATCTGGAAGGAGCCATCTTGCGCCGGAAGTTGGAAGAGAAACATGGCCAGATCTATGGGCCGTTGCCGCCGATATCTTTTTGTGTGGAGCACGATGCCGATGCTGAGAATCGGATTTGAAGGGGTTCGGATGAAAACCGAGGTCCTCTTTTTGACTTGGGAGATCGGCTATGATGGTTATCTGTCATGATCCCCTGCTTAATGTTGCTTGATATTTGGTTGCCAATTATTCCTGGGAAGCCTTATTCAGCAATGGCTAAGTGTGAGTGTGTTTTCTCTCGCTTTGGCCTTTTCTTTCTTTTGACTTTACGCCCCCTTACCTTCTTGTAATCCCCTTCCTAATTTTGCTTGCATTCCGCTTGGATGTGGATTTGGCATGTCTATATATTTCGCATTGCGGCGGCTGTTTGGTTCCAGATGTGCATAGCATTTGACGCATTTATATGGTTGTTGATAGACATTGGAATGTAAATTATTGCTTTGAAAAAAAAAACTCCTCAAAATTGATCGCAAAATAGGGTATCTTCGGCCTCCAGAATATTTAGTACAAATCATCAAGCATCCGCACGGCAAACAGTCTTCATTGAGACGGCACAGCAATCTCCTGCAACCTCTCAACCAAGCTCTCAATCCTTCCTCCGCCACGAGTCATCGCATCTTCCGTGTGTTTGTCTCGACCCTCATCTCCGATTACTACAGCCCGCTCAATGATGCCAGTATTGGACAACTTGAACCGCCCAACACGGCCATCCTCCCATTCTAGCCTGACATACCGGGCTTCGATTGCCGTAGATTGAAGGGAAACAATCCCCGCCTTACTTTCAGGCGACAACCGACCAACAGCGCTTGACTCTGATCCTGGCTCCGACTCACGGAATCCCAACCGTTCACGGAGCAAATCCACCGCATCACACCGCAGATGCCACGCCACAAGCTCGCGCCGCAACTCACGCGCAAACCCGCGCAAGTCCTGACTTCGAACTTCCTTTCTTGTCTTCTTTCCCTGCTTCAACGATTCCCCCTGGTCCTCAGATTCACTCTCGTCTTCTACATCGTGTGGTGTTTTCGCTTTCGAACCCTTGAAAGGAAGGTACACATCCTCCAGCTTCGGAATCGAGATGAAGGCTGGCACAGTATGCCTATACACCCTCAAACTCTTTTCTTTTCCACCTTTGACGCGTTCGCGCCGTAGGAGCACGTAATAGGGCTTTGCGAATCGTCCATTCCGTGTGCAGACATCAACGCGCAGACCTAATAGGTTCTCAGCTGGCGCACTAGGTGAGGGATCCTTGAATGAGAAAGCTGTCGTTCCGAATGCGATGCGGTAGTGGTTGGTTTCGGAGTGTTTTCCTGCAGCTTGCGCGAGGGGCGAGATCTCGTCGTGGATGTTTGTGAGGGGTTTGCGGAGAAGTTTTTGAATGCTGGAGGAGGCGAGAAGACTGGATGAGAGGAAACGCTTTTGGCGTTGCAGATTGTGGACTTTGAGATTGATGTCAGTATGTGATCCCTTGAATTTGGGGTTTGCGCGATAGGTGCTTACTTTCGGCGCGTATGGAGGCGATCTCGGTGTCTAGGCGCTCTGCCTGGGGATCTGGAGATGCGGAGGGGTGGGCACGGGTATTCATTTTGACTCTCTTGATCGTTTCAGAGTATATCTCTTGATTTATTTCTCATCCGATCTTTTTCTTCCCAGGCCCAGTAATGGTATGGCGGGGAAGATGTGGAGAAGTTGGAGATCAAGTTCGTCGCAACATTTGAATGGTTTGTTTATTTGGGTATGACGGCACGTGATCCACTCTGCATGTCAACCAGAAGCGCATTTGACGATTAATCAGCTACTACTTAGTGATGGATTTGCCTTTTCCTTTTGGCGGATTTTCTGAATAATTTACTAAATCAAGTCTTGATTTGTAATGTCACGTTGATCTGTCCTTATCAATAGTCATATTTGATTTATAATGTTGTTATTATCTGATTTCCTCTCATCTATACGCGAAGAGCTGCACCGAACACGCCGATCTCGCGTGCATGGACTGTACCACGTACCACCTGGACCAACTCCCAACAGCCTTGACTTTTGTAATTGTAGAACAATAAGACAACCGAGTGGATCTTTGCCAGACCTTGAAAGTGAGGCTTACAAGTTCTGGTTTTGAAGATCCTCCGGCTCCTCCTGGAAGAATCCGGCCCCGTAAGAGGCCAGCTTGCCTCTCCGCGGTCTCGCCCAAACTTATCCAAGATTTGGATCTTCCACCCCACCACCTCCATACATTTCCTTTGAGGACTTACTTTCTTTCTCACTATATTCGTCCTCTATGCATCGATCACCCACTCACTAATTATCACCTGTCAAATCCATATGGACCCTTAATCTTCAAATCCCAACTCCCCAGCCCGACGCGCGCCCTTCTTTCATCCCAAGCCGAACCATCCCTCCGTTTGTCGGTCAAACTTGCCAAATATCACCTCGGGCTGGACCGACATCTTTCAATACAAACTTGTATTTGAGTACGCACACAAACCAATGACACGGAAGAACGCCTCCCTCTCCAGACGCCGTTCCAAACCTAGCCTCAAAGTTGCTACCGGCCTGAACGGCCATGCGAACGGCACGATGAATAACATCGAAATGCGCAAACGCGATACCACTCCCTCAGTTGACTCTCCTGCCGAACGAGCAGCCCGCCTCATGTCTCGACCTAGTTTCTCCCTAGACGACGAACCTGTCGTCATTCCTCAAACCCCTATCCAAACCACCACAAGCTTCCACAACCTGCCCACGAGTGATCGCCGGAACTTCTTGTTGCTATGCGTTCTGTATTTCTTACAGGGCGTGCCCATGGGTCTTGCTACAGGCTCTGTACCTTTCCTGCTTAAGCCGTATCTATCATATGGTCAGATCGGCATCTTCTCCCTCGCCTCCTACCCATACTCTTTGAAGCTTTTCTGGAGTCCCATTGTTGATGCCGTGTGGAGCACACGATTTGGTCGCCGCAAGAGTTGGATTACTCCCGTCCAAGTCATTGCGGGACTTGCCATGATATACCTGGGTCGTCATATTGGCGAAATGATGGAGCAGGCTGGAGCGAATGGCGGTGCGGGAGTCTGGAACTTCACCTACTGGTGGTTTATGTTAGTGCTTTTCTGTGCTACACAGGATATCGCTGTTGATGGGTGGGCTATCACTCTCATGTCGCCTCCCAATATCTCCTACGCCTCTACTGCCCAGACTGTTGGCTTGACAGCAGGTCACTTCTTGTCATACACCGTGTTCTTAGCTTTCAACTCCAAGGACTTTGCCAATCGGTGGTTCCGTACCATTCCTGGCGAGGGTGGTCTGCTTTCGCTCGGATCATACCTGACTTTCTGGGGTTGGGCCTACCTCATCGTCACTCTGGGCTTGGCCTTGTTGAAAAAAGAAGACCGTACCAGGGAGCGCGATAGCATCATGGATGTGTACAAGAGCATGTGGAGTGTCTTGAAGTTGAAGAACATTCAGACCATCATCATCATTCATTTGATTGCCAAAATTGGCTTCCAGGCCAACGACGGCGTTACCAGCTTGAAACTTTTGGACAAGGGCTTTGGCCAGGAAAATATGGCCTTAGTCGTATTGATTGATTTCCCCTTCGAAATTATGCTTGGCTACTATGCCGGTAAATGGTCAACAGACCATGGACCGATGCGACTTTGGGGCTGGGCATTCGTCGGACGTCTGGCCGCCGCTGTCCTTGCCCAATTCACGGTCATGATCTATCCCAGCGGATCAGATGTGCCGTTCTGGTACATGCTGGTTGTCATCTTCGAGCACGTGGTATCCACTTTCATGAATACGGTCATGTTCGTTGCCATTTCAGCATTCCACGCGCGTATTGCTGACCCAAGCATTGGTGGCACCTACATGACCCTCCTCGCAACGTAAGTCAAGTAACTCCTACTCTGTATATTCCTATCACTAACACCCTTTTTGAAGTGTCTGCAATTTGGGCGGAACCTTCCCTCGCATCTTCGTCCTAAAATTAGTCGATCTTTTCACAAAGGCAACTTGCCTCCCACCCACCACACCACCACCAATTGACCAGCTGAAAGATGCTCTCGTCACCTCTGCATTCTCCTGCGCCCTCGAGCCAGAGAAAAACCGTTGCATCAACGGCGGCGGCACTTGTATTGTCGACCGTGATGGCTACTACATTACCAACATGATCTGTGTACTGATTGGCACTGTCACGTTTGTGTGGTTTATTAAACCCGCAGCTGCTAAGCTCCAAAGCTTGCCACTCAGAGCCTGGCGTTTGGTGCCAGGTCCCCAACGCGAATAAAGCTTGCTTACCATTATGCCCAACCTGTACGATGTCTTCGCCAAGTGAGTATAGTTTTCATAGATTGAAATAATAAAATATGATTCTGAATGAACTATTCGTCACTGAACATGGCTTGAGATAGGGCTTCTTTCAAGTATATTTAGCTTCTAGCGCAGCCTTTTCCTCTAGCATTCTACTCAAGTGCTGTCAATTCTTCATGTAGGGCAGTATGGGCCAACCCGCAAAATCTGTATGTCATGCTCAGGTGGCATTCATACGAGTACATGCTATGCTCACATTGTGCCCATGCAGACGTTCAGCCTTGTTCGCACTTGTACTGATGAAGAACCAGATCAATATGCTGACTTGTGATAAATAATCGCCTGTTGACCATCAAGTCACCATCGTGGCAGAGCAACAATCTACAGGTTAGATGTTCATCTAAGTCTTACAATGACACGGTGGTCATGATCGCCAGAGCCATAACCAGTAACGGAATGTAATATTGAAAGCTTCACGCCCATTTGGGAGATGAGTTAGGGCTGGCTCACCGTGACGACTATGTAAGCAGTCAGCCATATGACTACTAAGCCGAGTTACCTGATCCTCGAGGCATCAGTAGTAGAATCCAATACTCTACACTCAATTGAGAAGATCACGAAACCACCATGGACGACCACGAATCTCCATTATCAAAGCTTCAGAATAATAGTAGACCTGCTTTGGCACCTTCAAAACCGAACAAGTCGATGTGCCCGCCATGACGGGTGGATCCACCAGACCCGCAGATCGCAACTTTTTTTTCTTATCACCAACAACAACTCAAAAGCCACGAGAACTACAAAACTCAGCTTCGATCCAATCAACTAAATAAGCACCAGGTTATGACACCAACCTATACAGACTCAAGCTCCGCGCCCTCCCCTGCCGCATCCCCCGCCACAACAATGTCTTTCACGCACTCCGACCCCGCCGAAGCCCACCCCGCAGTCGACAACTCCCTCGACGACATCTTCGGATCCTCGCCACCCCGCGAAACGCGAGAATCACACATCCACAGAGAGCCCAGCACAAGCACGAACAACCACAGCGTTGAACCGTCCGACCTCCCCTCTCTCCGCCGCCAGCACGTCACAGCAGGCTACCGCGACGGCGTCTCCGTCTCGAAGGGCGAGCGCGTGCAAGACGGCTTCGACGGCGGATTCCCCACCGGCGCCCAGCTAGGCATGCGCGCCGGCACGATCCTCGGCATCCTGGAAGGAATCGCACGCGGCCTCGAAGACAGGAGCGCAACGGGTGCGGTGAAGAAACCCGCAGCGCGGGGTAGTGCGGGCGCGGCGTCTGCTTCTGCTTCTGCGGAGCCCGAAGGCGCCGAGGCGCGGCGGAAGATCAGCGAGCAGGTTCGGCGGATCTACGCGGATGCTGTTAAGGCGCTGGACGTGCAGGCTGTGTTTACGGGCTTTGAAACGGGGGCTGCGGCGCGGGTGGATGCTGCGTCGGGCGAGATCCAGCGTCAGGGTGCAGGGGAGAAGCCAGAGGTTGTGTTGGCGGGGAAGGGAGATCCTGTCGTCGCGCAGTGGGAGGAGAGGCTTTGTGTGCCTGGGTGGGAAGAGAATATGGAGGCCTTGGAGATGAAGGAGGGGGGGCAGGGGGTGGGAGACAAGGGCGCCGCGGGGGAGCGGAGCTGAAGTTCTGGCTAGGGACTCTACGGAGGTTCTTTACTTGTGTTGCTACAGGGGAGCTCCTTCCTTTGCCTTTCAGGGAGGTGGTACTTGTGGAGACCATGTCTTGCCTGTTTCCCCGGGGAACCAACTGCGGCTTCGATTCGAGGCCCGGTGGGCGGAATTGGTTGTTGGGGTGCTTCGGCTCCCCTGGTGTTTATCCCACTTTGCTGCAGGATCAATGGCTGTTGAGATGAGACCTAAGCGTCTGGCTGAAGAACCTGCCGCTGCAGGGATGGGGAGGGCATCGGCGGACGGCCGGTCCGGGGCGGCTCGGTGTGCGTGTTTTGGAGAAAAGGTCATTGTGTTTGTGAGACACGATGGAGTCAGTCTTGCGCAGGGAGGTGGTTAATTATTCATTCGACTGTGCAAGTGGTTTCAACGGGCACCACAATGCCAACAGTGTAGGAACTGAGGCATTTTGCTCCCACTGCCAAGCCTATCAAAAGTCCATGGCTTTTAGTTGCTTGACGGATGACCGACCTGGTTATATGACAGACCAGTCAGTCTTTGGCCAGCAAACCCATCTGCGCCTCGGCAATCTGCAGGGCTTGATCTAGGCCGACCAAGACCTCCGAGTGTGGATCACCAAACTTCGATACATCTGAAATCCACTGGAGCGGTTCAGTCTCACGGATAACCTGAAAGTGCAGCCGGTCGCACTAGGGAGAAAAAAAAATAAACCTTCCCTTGGCCGGAACGGTCCCGCGATGGAAGGGACTTTTGAATAACCTTGAAAATGAGTCAAACTGCAACTCGCCCACTTGAACTGCTTTCCTTTTGTGATCGGGGCAGTTTTTTTTTCTGTTCCTGTTTGTTTTTGTGATAGACGAATAGTTGACACTGGTGGCTGGGGAATCCTGTATATGATATCAGACCACTGCTGGTGGAAGATCTATACGTACTTCGTACATGAATGTGAATTCTCGGACGCCAATTGATGTTATTTTAGTTGCCTGGATCGGAGCAATGTGGCCTGGGCCGTGTTGGAAGCCATCCCTAACGGTAAATGAAAAATGCAAATAAAAAATAAAAGATAAAAATCACAAAGTACGTCGGTGGCGTGGAGACGTTAAAGATGCAAGGGGTGTTGAACTTCGTATATCTACAGGGTGGAGCTCCAAATGGAGCTGTGGGTCCTGCCGCTTTAGCGCGGATGATCTGTCTACCCTTGAAGCTGAAGAACAGGAAGATCAGGGAAAAGCAGCGATGGCGCAGTGCCGAAAAGATAAACCTCGATCCATATGAACTCAGAACCAGAATAGCTCATGCATCGAGGCTTTCCACAAAGTACGGACTAGTAGTTCACGCCACTGTGCTAAATACCAAGACGAAAGCGATCTAGACTATGATTCCAAATCTACCATCTTACCGTGCTGGATATGGGGGCTGGGTATGAGGAAAATGTTGATGAAAGAAAAACAATACAAAAAAGCTACTAGTAGTAATATGCTACAGGGCTCGCTCATAGTGGCCTGCCTGCCATACTAAGATCCCATTACCACTACCAGGGATGTCTACCAAGTCCTCCCAACCAACCATCCAGCCAACCGCAAACCTGAAACACCACTCGGTACTGAATAACCCAGCGCAAAACCCCCGAAGCCAAAAGCCAAACCGAAATCTTCCATCCGTGTTCTCTCGCGGACCCGGCTTCCCGCAGCGCAAAATCAGACGTGTAAACTGCGCCCTTGACTGGGCCCAGCATCCGGGATGGCATCCCTGCTCCCGTAGCCAGGGCCAGGGCACAAGAACACCCAAGCATGGTACTTTTGGTCTCATGCACACTGTCAAGTCCCGATCGGATGAACAGGTTCAATAAGTCGATCCCGCGCGATGGGTACTTGCTTGGTGCCTGGTAGGTTCTAACTAGTCAGTCCGGTGCGTTAAAAGAATGGCTTGGTCAATCAATAGGGGGGTTTGGATTTGGATTTGGGTTCGGTATTGGGTGCTACCCCGTGCATTTTGCAATTATTTGTCTTGGAGTAATTATAATTTTATTGCTAGGAGGACGTCTGGAGGGACTATGGGTACTGATGAATGGTTGGGCACATTTTAATGTTGATTGAGACAATAGACAAACATTGGCCTTGGAAGGAACAGTGGGATTGAATTGGGTTGAGTTGGTTGACAGAGGAGAATAATGTCAGATGCCGCGGTGGTACTCTCGAATACCTAGCGTGGCGGCGAATCCGATGTAGTACTAGTAGTGCTTGGTGTATGTATGATTCTTGGTGACGAGGTGGAGTCCCATTCCGAACATTCCAGGGCGGGAGAATTTATTACCTAGACAACAGGAGAGTGGAGATTGGAATTGATATGGAAGATCTTTGTTTATTGTATTCATGTTTCATATTTTGCATTTTTTATGCTAATCGTGAGTAGGTGGTAGTAGTAGTAAAGGATGCTTTTGTTGCGCCGCCGGATAATCCAAGTGCGTGAAACCGTAATAAAAATGCAGTCTTGGTGAGGTTCCTTTATATCATTATGGTAGATCGTACATGAAAACAGCCAAGAAAAAAAACATGTGAGTCAATGAAGCATTCAACATCGGTAGGCCGTAAGAAAACGTGAGAAGGATCGGGAAGTGAAATTGAAAAAGAGACAGAGATGATGGTACAGCGTGGAAAAGTAAGAAATGAGATAACCAGAGATAGAAAGGGAGAAATCCCAATGTGGTAGACAAATAAGGAAAGTTAAAGATAGTCGGGCCGGACGGCCAGGTGGAAGGTTCATTCGTGCGCTGGGCACAAGCAGTCGTATTCATGTGTTTTCGTCCGTGGTAATCGTTGGTACGGAAGTTTCATTGAGGGTATAGCATAACCCAGGCATCCCAGGACATTGAGGGAATGACCGGGTTGTTTCGGTCGATCGAAGCATCATGGCGAGCAAAGCTCAGAACCATAGGAATCATAGGAGCATCAAATAGGAAATCAAATCGTTGCAGGGAATCGCAGTGCAAACGTATAGTAGGGAAACGCCAAAGCAAACGCCAAACACACCACATCCGTCTATCGTCGTGGATCAAATCAAATGGAAGTCGTGTTGGATTTCATAGGGCGCGCACAGTTAAGAGATCGAAGGGAATCCAGCATCCGACGGAAGAACGGCTTCTGCTCTACGGCGGTATCCTGGAAGGTGGCCTGGGAGTGCTGCTCGTAGCACATGGAGGTAAGCTGTTCCTTCTCTGGCTTGACGAACACGGATGTATCAGAGGCTTCGGAGCGTTGACGGCGGCGGTTCTGTGCTTGCATGGCGGCAGCGGCGGACCAGTCCATATCTGACTCGTTGGCGCTGTCGTGGGGGGCAACGCTGCTTTGCTGGGACTGTGGCTTGATGAGGGAGAGAGTGGAGGGTGCGACGAGGCGGAGGGTCTGCAGTGGGTGGGCCCGGGAACCATCCCGGCTGGTACTGGGGCGACTGATGCTGGGACGACCGGTGCTGGGGCGATCGAGGCTTCCAGCACGGAAAGGATCGGCGTTGAGCTCAGCAAGGGTATCGTCTGTCATGCAGGGAAAGTGTTCTGGGAGGTGATCGTCAAGCACGGCCTGGCGAAGACGAGGTTGAGACTTGGCAGCGCGGAGCTTAGCACGGCTGCGGACTTTGCGTAGGGTGTCGATTGGTTTGCGGGAAAGAGACTTGTTGCTGATTGACTCGTTCTCTGAGTCTGATTCCCAGACAGACTGTTCACAGTAGGCGTCCATGGTGGAGATGGATGGTCGTTCCATGGAGGTCGCTGTCCATTGCCGGGAGATAGGAGGGGAGCTGGCGACGGGGCTGGGAATGGGACTTGCGCCATCGTTGGCAGGGATGAAGAGGGCCTGGTCGAAGTGTGTGGCATGAGGCTCCATGGTTACGGGGTTGATCAAGCTTGGGGGCGAGATCATGGATGGGTCCAATGGGGGCCGTGTTCCAGGGCTGGACTGTTTCCTGCGGGAGCTCATGGAGCCAGATGCATTGGATAGGTTTGGGAGAGTGGGGTGTGCCTTTTGTCTTCTCCTTGATGATGATGACATACTGGATGTCTCGTACTTCATTGTGAGGGTGGATGTAGAGCTATTGGTGGATTCGGCAGGAGTAGTAGGGCGAGTGACTGGGGTCAGGGCAGCCACAGGAGGAGGGGGAGGAAGAGAGTATTTGGGAGGTGTAGAGGCTTGTTTGCTGTATGCCCAACGAGGTTCGATCTGAACCTGGTGAGCGTGTTGGTAGAGCTTCTCGGTAGCTTTGAGGACGGCGTCAGGACACGAAGGTGATGAATAGGTAGATGAAAATGAGCTGCTCGGTGTCAAGTCTGGGACAGTGGCGTCCGACTGCACTGAGCTAAAGGAGTCCTGACTGCTGTGGAGGGTTCGTCGTTCGTCTTCAGTTGATGATGTGTATCGGTGGAATCGTAATGAGTTCTCCAATTGAATTTGGGCCAGGGTGGAGCGATCCGGGCCTGTGTATTGAGATAGATCCTGTTGGTGATCGGAATGATCTCTCCCGTTGGTCAGGGAAAGTGTATAGTACTGGCTATTGTCTTCACTGAATCTCTCATCGCGAATTGTCGGGGTATAGTATGGGTCCCAAGTTGGAGTCGCAGCCAGCGACTCGAGGTAAAATGGATCTTGGTTAGACTCTTCTAGAGCCTTTGGGCCTGCTTTTGGCAGATATGTTGAAACTCGTCCAGGCCGTGATGGTGATGGCAAGCAAATAGTTGTTTGTGATCTGTTCCGGTCTTCGTGCAACACGTCCAACTCTCCCGAACAGTGACAATCTCCTAGAGCCATGGACTTTGATTCCGAAGTATAGAGTGGATACGAAAGAAATCGGAAGATCCAGGCGACCAGCGGACCAAGAAGATCAAAGAGAAAGGAGAGAGATAATCAGATAGTTGCCACTGGATGGAGAGAAGGAATGAGGAATGGAGTCAATCAGCAGGGTGGAAGGGGATAGGTTTATACATAGGACCAAAAATAACCATCAGCCCCCTCCTCGCCCGAGTGACTGGGCCAGATTGTCCGTGGATGGAGCCAAATGCATGCCAATGCACGTAAACAAAAGGACGCATCGGGAGCACGGACGATCATGACCTATCCAACCTTACATCACGTCCCCTTCCGCGGGCTGGGTAGGGATGGTGCAGCAAGGACCAGTTCGCGGGCTCGTCAGCAAGGGCGCGGAACGCCATCCGTCACTCAACATTCATCCTGGGGGATAAACACTCGGACTTTTTGATCTTAGTCCTTCTTGTTGACTTCATTTCAGAGGATGGGTATGTGCTAGGCTTGATTGCTTGTCTCATTCACTGGAAAGCTGGGAAAACAGGACACACTGGCTGCTGGGAAATGAGTCCGTAACACGAGTTCTCCTTTCTCGTACTACTCAACTTGGAACCATCAGCATTAATTTAACATGATGGATCGTATCTTCAGATGTTTCCTTTTCGATTTCTCTTTTCTCCACCTTCTCTTCTGGGCACCGTGCACGGCTGCACCCACGGGCAGTAGAGGGAATGTGAGATGTATCAGTCTCTCTCGGGCCCGCCGGAGGGCGTTTCCCGGATCAGCCACTAACCCCATACAAACCAACTGATCTTCACAGGCGAAAGCCACACAGCCCATGAAAGATAGAGTCCCATTCCAAACAGGCTCATTCCTGGCAACCACTGTAACGGCGCTTGACTCGTTAGCTTTTAGTGTTGGCCTACTTGGCTTGAGTATCTGAGCCTCATTACTTTAGTAAAGGTCGTTTTTTTATGTTTCATTGCTCGAATTCTTGTGATCTATTCAGTTCTCTAGATCTTTCACAGTTGCCTTTTGATCATTATTTCTTCAACCTACGTCATTTAAGGCTGTTTCTTTTTTTTTTCCCAGTGGCTGGCTCAACTCTTCAATGTTTGTTTTTTTTTTCAGTTGCCTTCATATGGAATAGATATACAGTAGTAGTTACACCAGATCGAGCATTGTTCTCTTCACATGGTTATTACGTGGGTTTCAGCCATTGACGGTACATCTAATTGATTATAAGGCCATTGGATTCTTGTAATTTGACCGGGTTCAATGATCCTGAGTTTCTCTGTGCGTCAAGGGTTTTGCCGCTGCGCTAGCAAGCGACTTGTACTCAGCTTGACACTCGACATATCACATTGGATCGGCACTGGGGGCAAACCCGCGATCCACTAATTCATTGAGCAAACCTTTCCAATCGAACCAATCGACTTCTTAGAAATGTACATTTTTCTAGCTTTGAATGGCTGTCAGATTCTGATCGGCTCAAATCCGATCTCCTCCGAACCTACTACCATCTTCTGAAACTGATAACAATCTAACCCAACATTGAACTTGGTATCGATGATATTTTGATTTCTTCAATGCACTCGATCTATTTACCTCGGTACCCCGGGAAACCGACTGTTGTTGTTCCCTACCGTCCCCACATTCCATTGAAAAGTTAGTCGTGCATTGCATCCCGGCATACAGCTGGACGGGGCTCCCCGTCCCAACTGCAGAGAGATTGCATCACCCAAGTATATATATCTACCGTTGTCGTCCACAGCCCCTGATCGACAAGATTCGGAGCCTCGATTCCCTCCAGTTCATGCGTGCTGGGAAAGTACATTCTGCTTGTACTTTTTCACTGCATGGCCCTCGCTTTCCCATCAGATGTCACATTCCTCGGCTGTTCCGTGGCAGTCTATTGCAGCCACATGCACGCAGCACATGTGTGCACATGTACAAATTGATATTCTCCCACAAGCTATCACCTACGTCTAGCCCAATTGAAAGATAATTGAAGATTGAACCGCATCAAGGGTTGGCCCTCGCAGCCACCATTGGAAAAGCAGAAATTAAACCAAGCCCCTATGACATGGAAGGCGTATTGAAATGAGCGGGAGAAATTTGAAAGTCCCGGATTTTCCGATCCCTCAAATCTTACCCCTAAACAAGATGGAGGCTAGACAGGGGAGATGGATCAAACAATTGGAAGACTTCGAAGACAAAACAAACTTGCCCTGAATCGCCAGGGACCGGAAAGGATAAGCAAGTGCCCCGGTAGAGTTGGTCTTTTGTTTCAAGGGCTTGATTGGCCAGCGGGATCTCCGAGAACCGACCCAGTGGACAGGGATTTCTCGTTTTCGAATAGTGAAACATCTCATTATCCAAAACATCGAAAGATCGCGATCTGGGATGGCCTGCAGGCTGCAAGGCATGCTTGAAACCTACCTAGATATTGGGACCTCTCGCTCCCCTTTTTCCTCGCCGGGAAGGGAATTGGTGCGTCCGCGGTGCAACGGCATTGCTTCCGGTGAGTCTATCGTTTCTTCGGGCCTGGAATTTTCCGACTTGTTACCTGTCTACCCTTGCATGTTCTATGCTATGGTCTGTTGAGGCCGAGGTCGCAGGGTGGTTACTTCCCTTGCTCGGTAGTAGGAACAACCATCTTATCACTGTTTGTTTGTTTTCTTTGAGAGGGGAGGGGTTGAGTACCTGGCCTGGGGGGGTGCCCAGGGCCAGAAGTCTCAAGGTTGGACTGTTTCCCCCCCTCTAATGCTGCGCGAGGGGCTCTCAAAGTTTGCGGTGGACAAGTCGACAGCTGGAGAGAGAGGTCAACTGGTGGGAACTCGGGGAATCGGATCTAGACCTGGAAGGACGTCATTGATGTGGGGCGCGGAGAAGGAGAAAAGAGGTTCGTGTCAAGAGTGTATGGCATTTCTAAATGTATTGCAAAGTCAGAAGTACTATAGAGTAAAGTCTTTTTGTTCAATGTTTGCCACGTAGATAGGACTGACCAATTGGTCTTAATCCGCCATTTTAGCCCATTCTACAGTGGGAAAATAGATTACATGTAATCCTGGAACATTTGAATGTGGGGAACAGGAACAGTTCGTTCCATGAATCCAAGTACGAGCCGGTGCGAATTGAACCATTGGAACCACTGGGTCCTGTCCAGTATTTGATTTGTTCTTTCAAGTGATTTTCTTCAACATTTGAAATGCTCTGTATTTCCCCCAACAATCCCATCTCTGCGTTGAAATTTCAACATGTTTGCCTCATTCTTAGCGCAATCCTTCGCTGTCCCCACGAATATATAAGCGCTATCGATGCCCGACATGCCGCATTTTGCCAACGCATCAATCACTTTGAAGCTAACATTTGAATCAGGGTAATTAATCAAGTAAATTACATTTAGTCGTAAAGCCCAACCATGGCTCTTGAAATGGAGAAGAATTGGCGATCGAGATTTCTAAGATTGGATTTTCCATGGTCAAGCCCTTAGCCCTGGAAGTTAGGCACAGGAGCTTACTATACTGGAGTTGAGGCTTTTCCCCTCCGGCTTCACTTAGCAGCAATTTCCAACTCAACTTCAAATCTATTTCAATGTTGTCGCTATCCACCAGTGCTACGTTTATTTCTCATTATCTCAACATTTGAATCGTCTTTCGTGCGACCGATCTATGTCTTCGGCTGCAGCCAATTATTGAACTTCTTTTCCGAAAAAAGCCGACCCTTCCAATTTGGACTTGCGCAACGTGCAATTAATGGTCAAGGATTGAAGAGCATCTCACTAAAACCAAGATCTCTGCAATAATTGATATGACCAGCTGAGGTCACCTGGTTTGGGAATCTAATAGCCATACAACTCGACAAAGCTTGGAACGGCTTGCAAAAAAAAGAGAGCTAGACAAGTTGAAACACATTCCAGCTGTCATTCCTCGGGATATCCTCCACAGCTTCCATTCCTCCTTCACTTCCATACTCAATCTTGTGATTCCATGGTCACTTTCGACCTGTCAACACCTTCACTTTCATCCTGGACTGGACTGGTGCAGCTGGATCGTTGGCGCTTCATGATCCCCGAGACACGTTTGGTGCGCTGCAGCTGCCGCTGCGGCGAACCCCAGCCATCTTAATTAACCAGCCACCACGCCCTCACAAACACCCTGGGTCCTTTCCTTCCTTCCAACGACCTCCAATTACGCTCTTAATCGAATCGGTTTTTTTTTTGATACGCTTTATTTTTTCCCCCATAATACACCGGGTTCAATTGTGAAGCCAGCTGGGTTACAGAAATCGAACTTCCCGATCTCATCGCTGCTCTCACGATCGCGATACTTCGAACCCCCAACCCAAGTGACACAAGAAGCTCGCAGTCTTGTCCAACTTTCCTCCAACCCACACACCATTGACAGACGTGTCTCGACACACCCGTCCACCCTCTAACGACGTCCACGACACTTACGACCAATCCACGTTTACGACCTTTGCGCACCAGCGCCAGCAACCTACTGATCACCGTCCTTCATCCTCCCATTCAGCCGACTACCGCCCCCCCTCGGCCAGCGATTCCCACCGCACCTTACGCCGAGTTCGCCGCCAGCCGGAGGTCGCTCAATTGCCTCAACGCAGAGCGTTCTCCCTCGATCACTCCGCAAGACAGCCCGCATACCCTCCGCCGGCGCATTCTATCCCAGCCTTTACACGACGAGCTCCAGATAGTGGAACCGCTGCTCTACGACCAGCTCACTCCGAAGCCCAGACAGACGAGAACGGGTCGACTATCGACGATCCCTACCAGCTTCTAAACGCCTCGTATTGGCCACGGAGAACCACCGGTGTCTCATCGCGCACTGCCTCGGCAATCCTCTTTGCTCTCGAGGACGCCATTCGTCGCCCGATTCCCTTCACACTCGATTTAGCAGAAGTGAATGCTTCTATGTCAGATATGGTAGGCGTTGCTGGTCCCGCCGGCCCTATTCAAAATGGAGCATCGCGTGCACCCCCGGCTCCTGCGCAAGCTCCGTCGCAACCACCTAGTGGTATGCGCACGCCGACAGATATCATGAGACAACGCCGAGATCGTGAGGCACGCCGGAAAGCCGAGCAAGAAGCCCGCGAGAGGGAACAAGAGGAGGTGGAGAGACAACAATATGAGAAAGAGCAGGCTGCTGCTCAAGCTCAGGCACAAGCCCAGGCTCAAGCTCAAGCTCAACAGTTTGCTGGCGCTGGAAACGATCCAGCTTCCCAGCGTCGATCGCGAGTCCCTCGTCCTTCCAGAGGACCGGAACCCCAATTTGACGCTGCTCCCGCTCCCGGTACTGTCCCGGGGCCCGCACCGAATTTCCGTGGCACTGCACCGCCTGCTCAAGGTGGTCGAGTAGACTATACAAACAACCCAACTCCTACAAGCCAGCAGCAGTATGGTCCGTCTATACCACCACCTCGTGCACAAAGCGCAACCGCGGCTGGCACGGGAGATCCTTCTGGAACGAGTGGGTTCTCCAAGCCTGCCCCAGCTCCAACTACTCAGCCCGGGGCACCACAATCCCTTCAACAACCTCAGCGTGTCTCATTCCCTCACGCCTTTGAGCGATGGGAGACCTTATCCTCACACTGGGAGGGATTGACCAGCTATTGGGTCCGCAAAATGGAAGAAAGCAAGGGCGAAGTAGAATCAGACCCCATAAGCAAGCAGCTCGCTCGCCAAATAACGGATCTGTCAGCTGCCGGCGCCAACCTGTTCCACGCAGTGGTAGAACTACAGCGCTTGCGCGCCTCTTCCGAACGCAAGTTCCAGCGATGGTTCTTCGACACCCGCTCCGAACAGGAACGCGCAAAGGAAGTCCAAGCAGACCTGGAACGACAGCTCAAGGCCGAACGCCAGGGCCATGCCGACGCCTTCGCCACTGCCCAAACACACGAGCAAGAAAAACTCCAGGCAGAAGAGCTGCTCCGCGAGATGCGCCGCGAGCTCCAGATCTCAAAGGAAGAGGCCCGTCGCGCATGGGAGGAACTCGGCCGCCGCGAGCAAGAGGAGCGAGAACGAACAAACTCCCTCCGAAACGGCGAACCCACGCTCGTCGGCGGCGTCCAGGTCGTCCCAATGGTCCACCAAGCCGTGTCCAGCCGGCGCCCGCAAACCCGCGAAGGACCCTACCCCGGCGGCCCAACAGCCACAGCCTTGGGCGGCGCTGGCTCCGAGTACCCCGCCAAACCCAACGAACCAACCTCATACTACGACGACAGCGTCCCGATGTCGCCAACAGGCTCTGACCCCTTCGTCGAGCCCAAGAAATCCCAGCACCCCGCCCAATCCGCAGGCCAGGCGCCCTACGCTGGCGAGTTGTTCTCCCACGACAACACTGCCGCTTACCCGGGCCCGACAACCTCGGAGCCAGATGACCGCTCCTACGTCAGCAGCGAAGCCGGCGCCGAAGAGTACGGCTACCAGCAGGACCCGCAGGGTCGTTCGTACGACCACCATCCTGCGCCCCTTTCCGAGGCGAGCGATGAGTACGATGACCAATCTCCGGCCGGCGAGCGCCACCAGTACGTCTCTGATGGTGCTTATACCTCCGGGGCTAGCGCTGGCTCGGTGCCGGCCCCTTACCCGCCGAATTCAACGGGTGCAGACTATAGCGGCTCGGGATGGGGCGTTGGGTCCGGGTGGGAGGCTGTTACGCCGAGACATCGCCACCCGACACGCTTGAGCGATGTTCTTGAGGAGGATGAGCCGAGTCGGACGAGTCCAAGCCGGGCGAGCCAGGCTCCTAGCCGGGCCAGTCAGGCAAGCCGGAGTATGCATGGGTTTTAGATTATAGGGCGCTCGCTCGCTGCATTTGAAGCCTTGTAGGGTATGATGGGATGCAGAGGTTGTGTTCATATCCTCCATCTTGCCGGTTGTTGTTGTTGTTGTTGTTGTTTTTTCTTTCCTTCCTTCCTTTAGCTATGGGGATGTGATGCGTACATAGAAGAAAAGTGGTCGGTGCATCCAAGTTGTTTCCAAGGTTGTTCCATAGCATTTATCTGAAGCGTCTTCTTGTCTTCTTGTTTTCCTGGTTTTTTTCTTTTTCTCTCTTTTTCAAATGGTGGTCTATCCACCTTGCACTTTTCCCCTCCCTGCCTGCGACACGTTTGTTCATACTCGGTTTCCTTTTTCCTTCTTTTGCCCGCGCTACTACATAGTGTTCTTGGAATGGAGATAATACGTAATTGCATAATTTGCGTTTCAAATTCCATTCGATCAAGCCCTGTAAATTAGGTGTAAAATAGATGTGGGCATCCTCCATCCTCCATCCTCCATCCTCCATCCTCACGTGAACGTTCACGTAGTCCCGACTCCCTTCCATAAAATACATCATCCATATTAATATGATAACGAGCAAGCAAACATTGCTCGTCGTAAATGACTTCACCAGCAAGAATAGTATCCCCCATCACTAAACGGACACTCCCTCTTTCGCAGAGCACAAGGTTCGCTCCGCAAGAAGCGATCCAAGCAATGAGCAAAACCGGATACCAGCATCGAAACGACCGGGACAAATCACAGAGACATTCAGTCGGTAGAAAAGAGAAGACGCCTTCCCTCCCACTGAGTGAGTACATTGTAAAACCCATACCCACACCGTCGCAACGCCTAGCCAGAGGCTATCGTATCCGTTCGGGCACGCATAAAGTAAAGCAGAAAACAAACGCTCATGAGGTCAACACTGCGCGCAGCTACCAGGCGTCATCGTCAGCTGCATTTGCAGCGTCGCCGGTAGTCTCATCTTCTTTGATTTCGGAATGCTCGGCACTCGGCACGTTCCACGCCGCATCGTCGTCGGTGCCTCCGCTTCCATTCTTGGCCGAGTCGCCGTCGCTCTCGTCGGACTCGTCGTTGAACTCCACCTTGTCGCCCTCGGGGCGGTACTGCTCGAGGAAATCGGGGATCTCCTGCTTGCCTGCCAGCAGGACCTTGACGAGGTCGGGAGCGAGTTCTTCGTCACGCTCGTTGTAGAATGAAGTTGCGATGCCTTCGTTGCCGATGCGGGCAGTACGGCCTATCGATCAAATATATGTTAGTAGTGCGGTGCGGTGCGTTGGAACAACGGGGGAGACATATACATACCGATGCGGTGGATGTATTCGGTAATACCGCCGTGGAAGGCCTTGGGAAGGTCGTAGTTGATGACGTGCATCACGTTGGGGATATCGATGCCACGAGCGGATAGGCCTGTAGCAAGCATAATGGGGCTTTTCGCAGTCCGGAACGCACGACTAGGAGATGATCAGTGAAAAAGACAAAAACAGTAACGGCAATGATTGGGACACTTACATAGCGTCTTCTCGCTCCCGCTGGGTGCGGTCACCGTGGATAGAGGTGCAAGGCATCCCGGTGTGGAAGAGAAAATCGTCGACCAAGTCACATTGCAACTTGCTGTTCACAAAGACTAAAGTGCGAGCAGGGTTGAAGCTTAAGATCAGGTCGAAAAGTGCCTTTTGCTTTAATGCTTCGTCAACGAAGACGACCTGTTTTTCTCCCACATAAATGTTAGCAGTGAACACAGCCAACAGAGAACATGTACGCACGTCTTGCTTAACCATCAGCTGGGATGCTCCGAAGTTGCCGACGCGAACTCGAATGTAGTCCGGCATCAGGTGAGTGCGGGCCAGCTTGCGACAATGCTTGTTGAAGGTGGCGGAAAACATCATGTAGCGATGGTCGTCATCCTCATTCATATCTAATAAAAGTCAGCGGCTGGAAATCTACAACGTTGAATCGAAGTAACATACCACCGCCGGACATAATCTTTGTAAAGCTGTCTTCCCAGTCATCCTGGAGGAGCTCATCGGCTTCATCGATGACAGTGTATCTAACCAAATGTCAGTGACATGGGCAGAGAATAATAAAAAGAAACAAAAACAAAACATACCGGACCCGGCGAAGGGAGAGAACGTTGGGTTGAAGCATAAAATCAATGATGCGTCCCGGGGTGCCAATCAGGATATCACAGCCCTTCATCAATTCCTCGCGCTGGAGCTTAACAGGCACACCACCATATGCAACACAGGGACGAAGCATAGAACGGTAGCACAGGCGTCGGGCTTCATCGAAAATCTGGCAAGCCAGCTCCCGAGTCGGGCAGACGATTAGGACTAGGGGCTCCGCTGTAACAGCGTGCACCTCCGGGATGTAGTCAATGGTCGGATTAGGTCGGGCAGCGGCGAGCTTTCGGGCCTTTCCCATCAGGTCAGACAAGATGGGGATCAGAAAGGCACCAGTTTTGCCGGAACCTAGGAATGTCAGATATAAGGTCTTATAGATCAGTGAGGCGGATATGAAGAAGAAGGAGGAGAAGAAGAAGAAAATAGTAATACTCACCGGTTTGGGCAATGCCGATCATATCCTTGCCCTGCCGAATGGCAGGAAGCGCATAGGACTGGATATCAGTAGGCTTGTCGTAGAGGCAAAGCCGAACATTCTCACGCATGACAGGGTGGAGACCAGCATTATCCCACTAGATATATAGTTAGTGGGGGTGAGGAGGGACAGGGGAGCTTGCATCAATTGATCAATTTATAGCGGGAGGTGATGCGGAAGTATATAATTACCGAGGTAACAGGAACAACCTTAGTCTGGCTGTCGCAAGTAACTTGCAAGCCAGTAGTAAGCCTGTCGGAAGATATATATGTTAAATATATTTATAGAGACGAAGTGAAGAGTAATATATACTTACTCGCCAACGCGGTGACCAGCGCGGGGAAGATGAGCATCGTCGAAGAGTTGTTTCTCAAGCTCTTCATTGCGGGGGCCAAGGGAGTCTTCTTCGTACTCTCCTTGCCATTCATAGCGAGCGGAACCGCCGGCCCAATCGGTGAAGTCCTTTTGGGCGTATTTTTCGTAATCAAAAGCGGTTTGCTCGATCCAGCCCTTACGCCGAATTTGCTCGTGAGTGTCAAGCTCCGGGGATGCATCGGGAGCAAGCTCCACATCGCCGGGAGCCTCGACGGGAGTGTTGCTAATTTCGGCCAGGGCCTCAGTGACCGGCAAGAAAGTATCCATGACGAGCGGGTAAGGGAGAAATGTAGGGTGGAACAAGTAAGGAAGACAAGGTTTAAGAAACGCGAAGCGATTTGGGAGGAAGGTGGAAAGGAAGGAAAGATTGAGGAGAAAGAGGATTATAACACTGGAGGTACGCGTTGCAGGCAAGAAAACAAAACTCGCGAAACACACTATACACTGCTTATTTTGTTTGCCATGTACCTCTACTACTATATACTAGCCTAAATAGACTTCTGGAAGCACGAGCACATTTTCGTACATTTTCGAGCGAATTCGAGCACATTTTGAAGTGATGTTTCCACGATTTCTTTTTATTAAGTTACGCGCATTTTTTTTTTATTAAGCTACGCGCAATTTTTTTTTTCTTCTATCAAGGCATTATTACACAATCCTCATCTGTAAAGTTACTTTATTGATATAAGAGTGAAGGATGTTATAAGCTGGTGGTTATATACAGATCTGTAGAGCTTCTATGTTTATAGATGGATAGCTGCATTAGGATTAGCGTCTGATTTGCTAGCCAACCGGAACAAGGCCAGGTCACACCGTTATTTAACGTTAAACACTAGTTTTAGATCTGTGATGGGGGAATGTTTAATCACGTAAATTTGAATACAAGTCCTTATATCTCCAGTGCTTCCCTCTCCCTTTTGATAGCAATTCCAAATGATAGATGCGGGCTCATTACCGGGGTCCGGGGCAGCTTGTCAGAGCTGCTAGCGGCTGTGGTCGGCATATGTGGGTCCCGAGGTCCGGGTAGAAATATACGCCGTAACCGTAGGCACGCACCCTTCTCCCTTACCTACTGGTACGTTCTGAACTTGACCAGCTTCACTTCCTACTCAATTCCTATCGCTATGAGTTCTTCCGATCCTACGGAACCAGATGGCCGTAGGAGTCGTCTGGAAGAGGCCATCACGAACCCGGGCACTGTCAAAATCAATGTGACTGGCGCGTTCATTGTCGACGACGAACCGCGTTCACGAACTCCGGTACAGACCGACGGTGTGCACTATGAGAATAAAGATATTCGCCTTCCTCATCATACCGGGGTAGTTAGCCATGTTGCTGTCGATGTGAGTTGCCTTCTGCCTGCTGATGTGCCCCGCACTATGTGACCGAAAGCCCCGCAATTTATAAGAAAAAAAAAAAGAGCAAGAGGGACGGAGAGCATGCGACCAGCATTAAAGAAAAAAATACACCCAAAAAGCAAAACTTACAACACAAAGAAACGCAAAACATGACTAACAAGACATTGCACAATACTAGATCGGTGGATCCCTCGCGAAGCTCGTCTACTTTACTCGAGAAATAGACGCCGATGACAATGGCGGCCGGCTGAACTTCATCAACTTTGAAACCCACCGGATCGATATTTGCATCAACTTTATCCGACAATTAAAAGAGGAGCATGAAAAACGTAATACCTCTGCCCGGGATGAGCTAGTCGTTGTTGCTACTGGCGGGGGAGCCTTCAAGTTCTATGATAAGCTAAAGGCGGCACTGGACGTGAATATTTTACGGGAAGAGGAGATGGAATGCTTGATCATCGGTAGGTCACCCGAGCTAGGTGGATTCCTTAGCATGTCTGACAGTTTCTTTCATAGGTCTGGATTTCTTCATTACCGAGATTCCTAACGAAGTCTTCACCTACAACGACTCCGACACTGAGCCTATGCAATATGCCGAGGCTCGACCCGATGTCTACCCCTACCTACTTGTCAATATCGGATCCGGTGTATCTATGATCAAGGTATCGGGCCCAAGACAATTTGAACGTGTCGGTGGAACACACTTAGGTGGCGGCACGTTTTGGGGTATTATGTCCTTGCTTACGGGCGCTCGGACTTTCGACGACATGCTGGCCATGGCGGACGTTGGGGACAATAGTGGAGTGGACATGCTTGTTGGGGACATCTATGGTATGGACTACAGCAAGATCGGGCTTAAGAGTACCGCCATCGCGAGCACTTTTGGGAAAGTCTTCCGCTTAAAGAATGCTGCTGAGCGGGGAGCCGAAGATGGCGAGGGGTTGATCCAAGACGATGAGGAGCATACCAACGGCGGTGTGAATTTCCGCCACGAAGATATGTCCCGCAGTCTTCTGTATGCCATCAGGTATGTTTTCTTGATCCTTATTCCGCCTATAGTGACTTAAGACTAACTTTGCCTAGTAACAACATTGGCCAGATCGCCTACCTGCAATCAGAGAAGCACCAAGTCAAGCATATCTACTTCGGAGGCTCCTTTATCCGAGGTCACCGCCAGACTATGAACACACTCTCCTATGCCATCAAGTTCTGGTCAAAGGGCGAAAAGCAAGCATACTTCCTACGCCACGAGGGTTATCTGGGCGCTGTGGGCGCCTTCATTCGCCGACAACCGCAAAACTGGGGTCGAAGGAACAGCATTGACGATACGGGAGCACCGCAGGCGGTCCGGAACATCGTCAACAGCATTTTAGAAGATCAATTAAACGATATATCTATCTCGTAGGTCTAAGTTTTCTTTACTTTCTTTATGTTTTGAAGAATCAAGATACCCATTCAACGTCCATTTCCATTTGGTCACTACACAACCTCCAAAATTCCTATTATGTTTATATAGGGACAGTGAGCTTCATACCGCACGTGATTGTTACTTACTGCTGCTCTCTCCCTATTCTTTTTTTTTTTTGGTGCTGTACCCCCTTCTGGTTGTGCATATATGGCTAAAACATCTTTATACACTTGCAAGATAATGCAACAGTTGTCTATCAGACAGAATAAAAGGATATTCTTTCCAGCATTCTTATTGTGATTGAAGCTCATGGAGGTTACTAGAATCCTTGAACATTGGTGCCTTAAGATTTATACCAGTGTGCTTGATTCACTTGATGCCTAGCAACCTATTCACTTATTCTCTCACTTTCTATCACAAGTCACCTTAAATCCTCTTTCCGTATCCGCGCGTTCCCTCTTTCTTATCCTTCTCCTTACTTCCTTTCCTTCTTTCTTCAACCTTCTCTTCGCAACATTTTTCGTTTCGTGTTCCTCGTCCTGCTCCTGCGCTCGCTTTCTTCCATCTTGTCGTTTCTTCTTCCCTCGAAGACTTCGATCTCAAGAAGACTTCGATCTCAAGTTTTTCTTGTCTTGCCTGTGGTTTCGTTTTCTGTCTGTTTTTCGCTTTGCAGACTCCAATCTTGACGGTTTTTTCCCTTGCTCGACGTCTTGTGTCTTGTCTCTGGAGTTCCCCTCCTAGACCTGTATCACAACGCGTTCTCCGTCGGGCTTGATATCTCGCGTCTTGTGACTGTTTTTTCGCGTTAGCGAATAACCCACTCAACTCTCTTCGTCCTGCTGGCGATTTCCACCTTGCTGCCTTTTATGTGTTCTTCCTCTTGAACGGTCCTATCTCAATGCGTTTTTCATTCCACTGAACGTTCTGCGTTTTGTGTCTGGTCTTCCCTTGAAGAACCCTAACTTGAGATTCTTCTCGCCTTGCTGGCGATTTTCACTTTTGCTACCTTTGATGTGCTCTTCCTCTTGAAGACTCTCACATTGACGTTCTTTTCCGTTCTGCGTCTGATTCTTCCTCTGAAGAACTGTCTTTTCGCCTTCCTGGCGATTTTCAGCTTACTACCTTCGATCGTCCTCTTGAAGACTCCCATCTCGACGTTCTTTTCGTTCTGCGTTTTATGTCTGTTCTTTCCTTGAAGAACACTGAGTCGACATTCTTTTCACCCTGCTACGATCTTCACCTTACAACTTTGATCTCCCTCTCGAAGACTCCCATCTCAACGTTCTTTTCGTTTTCTGTCTGTTCTTGCTTTGAAGAACACTGACTCAACATTCTTTTCGCCCTACTAGCGATTTTCAGTGATTTTCACCTTACTACCCTTGATCTCCTTCTTGAAAACTCCAATCTCAACATTCTTTTCGTTTTCTGTCTGTTCTTCCCTTGAAGGACACTGAGTCGACATTCTTTTCGCCCTGCTAGCGATTTTCAGCGATTTTCACCTTACTACCTTTCATCTACTACCTCTCGAAAACTCCCATCTCAACGTTCTTTTTATTTTGTGTCTGTCCTTGCCTTGAAGAACACTGACTCGACATTCTTTTCACCTTGCTAACGATTTTCACCTTACTACCTTTGATCTTCCTTTTGAAGACTCCCATCTCAACCTTTTTTCTCGTTCTGCGTTTGTGTCTGTCGGTGTCTTGAAGAACCCTAACTTGACATTCTTCTCGCCTTACGTTTTAGCATTTTTCGACGTTACGCTCTCTCAACACTCCCCATCTCCACTTGCGATTTCCGATCTCAAATTTCGCTATGTTTCCCTACCCGCCTCTCAACACAATCATAGACTTCAAGGACGGTCAGTTGAATATTCTCCATGAAAAAGGTTCTCAATATCCCGATCCAACCCCATTAGCATCGAGGCGACAAATAAGTGATGATATCAAAGAACCCTTCTGGATGGGAAATGGACAAAAGCCTGCGGTATCTCGTCTTTCAAACCTTGGCATGATGGGACTTCCGCTCACCCCAGGTGCCCCAAAGTCCCAGGACACTGATGTCACAATGGAAGAGAATGTTAATGACATCCCTGTGCGAGCAGAAGATGCTTTACGAACGAAGCGAAAGTACCTAAGTCCATTCTCTCGCTCTGGTACTTACACCGCCAGCAATTACAAAGTCAACACAGACAGGCTTCCTATCCTCAGCCGTTTTGCTGTCAATGTCGACGAGCTTGCTACTAGAGTACAACCAGCACGGCAATTGATGGATATGGCTAATCTCCCGTTTGTAACTTGCGAGCAGTCCAAAGAAACAGGTCTCTTTGAGATCAAAAAGTCACCGTTCAACGTCCCTCGAAGAGTTCCAAAGTCTGTGATTTGGGAATCACCGCGCGTGAAAGGCAAATGGAGAATGGAGAGAGAGAAGGGACCCGCCACACATTTCCCAACACACCTTCTTGACATCCTTGAACACTGGCATGAAAACAATGGCGTTGAGCCGCCGCCTTGTTTCTGGAAAGGCCAGATTGAGGGAACAAAGAAGTGGGGTAACTTCAAGGTGTTTGACCGAGAGGGCGAGGAACATGAGATTTCAATCATCAGAGTCTCATGCACTGCACCAAGGTATCGGACATACTGCATCATACTTCTCCATTCAGAGGATGAAGCAGATGTTTTCATTGATTACAGCGACACCCGCACTATCAAAGCTAACGACCAGGTCAGGTACGATTGCCAGTTTTTGACTGCCTGGCATGGTGCGAGACATGGATTTGAGCGTTTAGATTGTGCGATCCATGTTTGGGCTGAACCAGGACGCAAGATTCACTTTTGCCCCTCATGGTTCGACCGCCGCGATTCAGTTGCACAAGGATTCAGAACTCGTGCTAGGGGCAGAAGCCCATACCCTGCTGTGCCAATGACCCCCACCCCAGGCGACCAGCACGGAGGTTACTACACTTTCAACTCTATTGGTAGTAAAATCTCTGCTTCATCTTCCAAGAAGCCCGTTCCTGATGCCGACTCAGACGAAGAAGGTATTGTTGCTCCGACTCTACCGCTGAACCGATCACTGTTTTCTCCTACCTCCATTCGTTTCAAACTCTTTTCAGAAGCCTCACCACACGAACGGGTCTTCTGTTTCAATAATCCCATTTCCAGTGATGCAATTTTCAAGAAAGCCCGGGAATTCCTTCCGGAAGCGGAGATGTCGCGTGGGATGGGCCTCTTGTGCAAAGTTCCTGGACAAGCGCAGATTCGGTACATTGGAGAAGGGTGTGCTGATGAGTTTGATATTCTCTGTGAAGACATACGGAGAATGTCGCTGCGCAACTCCGGTGTCAGCACAATTGAAGTGAAGCCATATCGAATGGCCTACGGTGTTTAGGTGGTTACGGGTTGTGAGAATTGAGACCGGATCTACGAAGTGGATGATGATGTCCCGGTCATATTATTACTAATTTGTTTGCCATCGATGAGTTGATTATGATCAATCATCTGATTATTATTACTAACTAATCTGTCATAAATCATTTGATTATCATTAAAAGCTTTGTTCACCTGGATTCGGTGGAGCTACATCCGGATTTAAAGAAGTCGCTCCGGCGCAACAATTCCGTCTTCGAGACCTACCAAGAACACCCTCATATGTTCACATCGTTGGGGAAGGAACGAAAACGACAATTGTGCACCCGACCCCCGCCATCGAAACGGTCCCGTGTTGAGGTAGTGGATTCCGACACAATGACAAGAAGCAAGAAGGCCTCATCTACGACAAAACCGGTTCCGAAGCATAAACAGGACCTTTATGACACAGTACCAGGTGTCAGACCTCGGTCTCAGATAGCAGAATCAGCAAAGCTACTAATGGTTATGTTTATCCCTGATGGTCTTTTTGCCACTGATGATGTGGTTTACTATTATTCTTCGTTATTAATTCTCGTATGAGATCTTTCGAATCTTTTTTTTTTTTTTTTTTTTCAAATATAACACAAATGTCTTTTGAAATCAATCTTGACTCTTCAACAGTAGAAGTTGTACAACTATAAAAACTTCCTAATCCGGAAACCAGGCCGTCACATCACACGTGACTCCGTATCGACCAACACGTGGGACTACGCGTATGCCAGCTTTGAGCCAAGTCATCACTAGCATAAACAATACAAGTCGCTCGTTCAGCATAATCATGCCCCGATGCTACTAGGCATACCACCTCAATGCCTCCCCCACCATCATCGCTCTCAATCCCTCCGCCCATCCCTGTCGACACCCACCCTAACCGCTCCTATCCTTTTGACCAAGACCGGATCCCTGATCCTAATCGCCTCGCACCGGAAGATGCATACTTTGCGCCATCCCTCTCCAGGGCACGCTCGGCGCCAGGGAACTATAATGAGACTCTCCCCACTATGAACAGTGATGGCACCTTGCGACCCCCGCGTGGGGTTCTGGAATCCGGGCGGAAAGATCCGCGGAAGCTAGGCAGTACTGGTGGACGCCGGAGGAGGAAAGGAGCCTGGAAGAAGCTGCTTTGGGTGAAACAATCCTGTACGTTGGGGATACAAAATGGCGTATAGTCATATTCATTCTGTGCTGTGTGGTGCGGTGTACTGATGGAATTTATTAGATCCAGACAACTACACCGATACCGAAACTTTCTTGGACCACCTCCAACGGAATCCCCGAGTGCGGCCATACGATTTCTGGCCACTGGTTTCTGACTCCACCGTCATAGTCCAGCATGTTTGTTCAGTCGTCATTTTTGTCTGCTGTTTCGTTGGAATTGTGCAGGACCGTGTAAGCCCCGTATCAATCGTTTGCTGGGGTAGTGTCGGCACAGCCATGGGCTGGATTCTCTGGGATAACTGGATTTGGAAGGAAGAGACGGAACTATCTCAGGTGGCCAATGGAAATATGGGCGATGATGGGTCCAGCGCAAGCTCCCTGACGAGTGCTGTCAATCCAGCAGCCCATGATCCCCATCCCAGTGACCCGAAGACTGGTGCTATTCACGGGCTTGGGTTATCAATGTCTGGCAACGAATCGAAAGATAACTCGCCAAATCGAAATACCGATCTTCATGGATCTTCGGATACGGCATCTTCATCACGAATCGGCGATTTCACATCTACATCTGCCATTCGCAACCCAGATGATCCTGATGTCGACCGAGCTTCATTATTCTCTTCACGCAACCGACAACGCCTTTCCACGGTGAAGTCTGCCTTTTTAATTTATTTCTCACTGCTTGGGCTGAGTCCCATCTTGAAATCCCTTACCAAATCCACCGCCAGCGACTCCATCTGGGCAATGAGCTGCTGGCTTTTAATCATGAATATATTCTCTTTCGACTACGGAAGTGGAGAGGGCGCAGGCGCCACTACCAAATTTCCAGCTTCTCTGTCCACGAATGCAGCTGTGATGGCGTCTACCGTGCTTGCATCTCGCCTGCCGTCCACCACGCATGTGTTCAGCCTAATGCTTTTTTCTATGGAAGTCTTCGGATTATTTCCTATATTCCGTCGCCAGCTGAGGCAAAAATCCTGGACTGGTCACGCGATGCTCACGCTCGCCCTGGTCATCATTGCTGGAGGCGCCGTGGGCATGACCCTGAGTGGTGGATGGGCATCCGCCATTATTGGGTCTGTCCTTGGTGGTATCCTCACGGCGCTTGTAATGGGTGGCTGCAGCTGGTGGCTCATCGGCCTCCAGAAATACAAAAATGTGGTCATTGGCCCATGGGACCCGGCCCGACCAATCATTCGAAGACACTGGAATTGAATCACTTCCTGTCGGTTTTTTTGTCTCTTTTTTCTTCTTGCTATTCCAATTATTGTCACATAGATGCGGCGCTCCGGACTTTCTCCTGATACCCCTAGATTACTGCATTTGACAGATATTGTCTCCGCCTTCAATAATGGCACCTCGGTTCAAATATCCTGCATCTTTCGCAAAGCCATTCCATGGCAAAACCTTGGCGAAACCAAAATTGGTCTGGCCAGCATTTATAAAATGCGAACCGAGCCCTTGGTACCAAGTGATCAGTCCCCAACACTTTTAAACTTAATCGCTGATGTCAAGGAATGCGTGCGGGAGGGGTATGAATGCGCGGCTGTTTTGGTATGCGGGCGAACGATGCCCTGGCGCGGGTAACCATCGCGGCCCACTCTCAGCAACACCGAGTATCTGCGGATTCGAAGATCCGGTCTTCTCTGAAAATGCGGAGAGCGACAGACTCAATGCTTACAGGGAGTCTGTATGTATATTGTTAGCCGGAGTTTCCCGGCATTCCAATGCTATCCTTTCGGCTGTGGCGCCCTTCTATCGAGCAGGTTGTTCTGAGATGATCTCCACTCTTGCAGGGATGGTATACAGACATACTCCACACTTGGACCCATTTTCTACATGCTCTGTACTGCAAGTCATGAGCTACGGATCTTCCTATTGGGCATGATCTACTAGGGCATGTTTCCATGAAGTCTGTTTGAAGTGTTTTTATTCTTGCGACTTTCAATTTCTACTTCTTCTTCCCTCCTTCATCCTTGTACACGTTGGGGTGGTTATCTTGCATTGACAACTGGATTGTCGTTCGCGTGGTCTTTTGTTCATTAATTTCGTATTATTTTGACCAGCTATGTTGAAGAACGTCGCGCTCGGCCTGCTGGCCGCTCACGGTGCTGCCGCTTTGCGGTTTGCCATGTACATTGACGAGTATGTGATCAAAAAAGACATACCAAGAACCCAATCTAACAATACTTTACAGATACCATGTTGCAGATCTGCCAGGTCAGAACCAGACAACCTACATTGACCATGCTATCATGGGCTTTGCACCATCCAAGAGCTTCAACTCTGATTCGCCTCCATCGTTCACCCCCTTCGAGGCTCCAGAATCCTTCCGCAAGCGCTTCAGCGATGATACTAAGCTGATGATCGCCATCGGAGGCTGGGGCGACGAAGCTGGATATTCCGATGGTGCAAAGGACGCGGCTAGTCGCCAACGCTACGCGAAGAACGTGGCCGCCATGCTTGATGCCAACGGGTTCGACGGTGTCGGTAAGTAGCCAGCCCACCTGTCCATATCTCAAAATGATCAAAGTATATATAACTAATATAAAAAGACATCGACTGGGAATACCCTGGCGGAAACGGTCAGACCTACAAGCAGGTCCCCAACTCTGACAAGGTCTCCGAAATTGAGACCTACCCAGAGTTCCTTGCAGAGGTGCGCAAGGCAATCGGCAACAAGACCCTCTCCATCGCTGTCCCCGGCCGCAAGCAAGACATGATTGCTTTCACCAAGGAGACTGGCCCCAAGATCTGGGAATCCGTCGACATGGTCAACGTCATGAGCTACGATATCATGAACCGCCGTGACAACGTCACCAACCACCACACCAGCGTGCAGGGCTCGCTGGATGTCATCAACGATTACATCAGTATGGGACTCGATCCCGAGAAGATCAACCTGGGCTTTGCGTTCTACGCCAAGTGGTTTACTACCGACCCCAACTCGGATTGTGACACCAACCCGATCGGATGTGCCGTTGTCAAGCTTGAGAATGACGATGGAAGTGACAACGGAAAGTCTGGCGCGATCACTTTCGAGGCCAGCACTGATGCCCCGGCCCCCACGGACCTCAAGACATCCTACAACGGCAAGTGTGGCTTCAGCGAGAATGCCAAGTGCCCCGATGGACAGTGCTGCAGTGCTTACGGAAACTGGTATGTTAATCTTACATCCCCTCCTTGACCCTCCACCAGGGTTAATCAATTCTTACACGATCGCTAATATTTCTACCTCAGCGGCACCGGTGACGACTTCTGCCAGGCCGGCTGTCTCTCGGACTACGGAACCTGCAAGGGCATCTCGATCACAGACTCTTGGCGCCGCGCCCAGAAGGACGGAAAGACTGATGACACTCTTGGTGGACAGTACTACTGGGATAGCGAGGTCAACCTCTTCTGGACCTGGGATACCCCTGAGCTCATCACCCGCAAGTTCACTGACATTGTCAATGCCAAGAACCTTGGTGGTGTTATGGCGTGGAGCCTGGGTGAGGATACCTACAAGTTTGCGCACGTGGATGCCATGCAGAATGGGGTCAAGGCTGCTGCTTCCACTCAGGCTACCAACGAGGGCGACTCGGCTGAGGATTAAGTGTATGTGTGATTTTCATGGGGCTGTGAGTGTGTGAAGTGGTTACTCCCGCTTGGGGATGTGTGTTATGGCTGTTTAATATGGTGGTGTCTTCATTTGAAATTAGTTTTTTTAATGGACGACGACGTTTTATCTTCTTCCAAGATCTTCTTTGTAATCGGAATTCGATAACTAGTTTACTACCCCTTTACAAAAGCCTAAGTTGTAAAATTTCCAAGCGGAAATCGAATGCGTGATGCGGAATGGCTGTATGCGGTGGGGAGTCCATCCGAATAAGTGGATTGATGCTTTGGTATCTACTCGAGTAAATCCACCGATGAAATGGCACCTACAAAACTTCTGCTGATAGCCGGAAAGGCAAAGAAAATGACAATACACACCACTGAAGGTAGTACTAGGATGTAGTATATTCCACAAACTACATTCTATGCCCCATGCACTTCAAGATGTTGCAAGCTGTAGTCTAGGCGTAGCAAAGAACTAGGAAATGGGAACCTCGCATATTGGCCACCTTCCAATGTGGCCCAGCGTCAACATAGCAGGCAAACGACCCAGGCAGTCGCCACTGACCCAAAAGAAACCTTCCAAGGTAAATCCCAAAAGAGATAAAGATAAACACAAACATAAACATAAACAATATAGAGGGTATCATAAAAAAGCAAAAAAAGAGCCAACAGAGTCCCGCATCACAGCACTCGAGATCTCGTCCGCCTCGCCAACCACCACCGCTTCTCACTCTCCACCATCTTCTCCCGCTGCAGGGCATCCACAGCCCTCAGCTGCCGCTCAGGACCCACCAACTGACAGCGATGTCTACCGCGCTCCGGGAACCGTTCCCGAATAAAGTACCTCGCCGTAAGCTCCAGCAGCTCCAGAACAAAGTAAGCGATGGGAACGAGCACGAAAATGGCCAGCGCAATACAGACGGGCCCGTAGTCCTCCATGATATCCAGCACGTCGAGGGGTTTGAAGTAGGTGACCGTGCGCGCCGCTTTCGGTCGTTCTGTGGGATTGCATTGGAGCGGGTGAGCACGCTGATTCTGGTTCTGGTTTTGATTTTGGTTCTGACTCTTGAATGGGAGCCATCTGCCCAGAAAAATGCCGTACGAAGATGTACTTCTGTGGTGCTCTGCCGCGGAGAATGGATCCGACAGTGACGGCGTGGGCTGGATATCGATCTTGAGTTCCTTTTCGAGAGAGCGGATAAAGCCCAGCTCTTCGTGGCGATTCCGATTGCGATTCCGATCGGCAGATTGGGATTGGTATTGCTGGAATGGGGACCGTCCTTGCTGGTCCTGCTCTGCTTCAGAAACCAATGTTGACGCTAGTTGCGAGCTTGATTTTGATCTCGAGTCTGTGCTTAGCAGCGTGAGCAGCGCTTGCTGCAGGGACTGGAAGCTGGCACGTGGATCGGTGAGAGCTGTTTGTGCTCCCGGTGCGGAGCTAGTGTCGTGCAGAGGAAGGGCTAGACCGAGCGACGCACCCAGCACGGCCAAAACAGCGAATGCCTTCATAGTTAGGCGGGATTGTTGGGGGTATATGGCCCCCTCCAAAAGCTAAGGTTAAGAATTCGATAATGGAGTTTAGGAATATAGAGAAATACAAAAGGAGCCAGGTGCAGTTATAAGGTAAAAGCAGGAAGTTGGAGCGTCGGTTCCAGTTGACAGATGGAAACCACTACTTCGCAGCAGCTAAAGCATGTGGAGCAGGTGGGACTGTGATTGGTGGATCTTGACCGGGAGCAGCGATAGGACGGAACCGGAAGTCTTGGCGTGAGTCTTAGCTTCAACTGACAAAACACTTGTGACTTGGTCACTCACACTCTTCAACTTCTTGCTAACATGTCTTTCTTGACTTGTCAATCCTGACACTTCTTTTTCTTCAGGGACTCTCTTCTGCCTTCCTTATTGGTTCCAATTGGACCCTTATGTCGACACGGAATGCGGAGCGTGGCCACGAGGGTATAAGGCACGCCTTAGTGTGTGGAGGTAATCCTTGGCATTCACCGCGGCCCGCGGGGCAAGAATAGGCATTCATTTAGTTCGAGTTGATTGGCTACAACATAAATTTCGCAATGAACGTGAATGTATGGAAGGAAAAAAAGAGAAGAAAGAAGCAGAAAGAAAAGAAGCAGGAATCCCGAGACGATTCTGTAATTCCAGCGCTTCTCTACGTGAATGATGGCCCACGGCCCACGGCAGCCGCGTCACAAATCAAGGCAACAGAATTCCCATATTTCAAAAATTAGAACCCAGGCTCAAGTCGAAGTACCCGCGCTACCTTTCAACACAAGATTCTGCATCAGCCCTGTAAATCCTTCGCCGATACGCGTCAGCGGTGCCTCCACTGCTATAGGTGCCCACACAAACGACTCCCCATTAACGCCGATCTTCGTCAGGAACTCCATCGTCTTGGACTTGGCGCCCTTGCTGGATACGGTAAGAAGGGTCGTGTTCCCTTGCCCGATCAAGCTGACTTCTGTCCACACGTTAAGAGGCAGAGTATAGTTCAGCGAGTAGGCATTTCCGCCGCTGATGAGAGTTGCGTTGGTGATTGTGCCATTGCCATTTACGAATGTGGAGTCTGGCCCCGCGAAGAGTGTGCCCGGTGTTGGGGAGGTGGGCTTGACACGGAAGGAAAGTGTGTAATCTCGCCCCTTGCTGCCTAGAGGTGTTTCAACATAGCACCCATCCGCTAGATGTAAGGTTTTATCCGCTGTCTTGCACCCGTGTAAAGTGCCGTGGTATCCATTGCCGGAATAGTCGGCCACAGACTGGGATTTGGAGCTGGAACCATCGAATGTGTAGTGTAAGATTGTATCTGACGTGCTGGGAATAGCACGGTCGAGGTTCTGGCCTGGCACGGCTGCGTGGAGGACATCGAAGACGGACTCGTACTCGTCTTCCGTGATGTTCCCGCTCCATTGTTTATCGGCGAGAGCGGGGAGCGCATCACGCCAGGAATAGTACGCCTGCAGGACGGTGGTGGCGTTTGACCCGTAATCATTCCACAATGCTGCGACCTCGCCCAGCACCAGGGGGTTATCCCGGGAAGGATTGTCAGTCTGGTTAGAGCTGTCGAATATCACTGGTGAGTACGGCGCGTCGTACGGACCGTTGAAGATCTTGTCCTGACTGAGTACTTGAGGAAATGAGCCACTCCACCCACCCACAAGATACAAATAGTCATCGGAGTTGAGCACATGATAGCCATTCTCGATGTAATCGAAATAAGGCTGGTCCGCGCTGGTATCCCAGTGCTGATACGACACGGATGTGGAAACATTGGCGCCCTCACTCGGGGTGAACGTGCCCCAAATTCGCATCGACTTCTGCCCAGATGTCTCGTTTTGAATGAACGTGTTCATCTCATTCACGAAATGAGTATAATCTGACACCAGACTGCTGTCATATTCATCGGCACCAATATGGACAACCTTGCTGTGGAACCAGGGCAAGAAAGTCCGCCAAATTGTCTGCATTGTCGGGATAGTTTCGGGGTGGCTGATGTTGAGCATGCTTAGATCATCAAGACCCAGTTCTGGCTTCCATTGCACGATGACGAGTGCATGGCCGGGTGCCTCGATCTCGGGTATGATGGTCACTCCGCGCTGTGCGCATTGTGTTTGGATATTATCGAATTGCTCACGGGTGTACGACTCGTTCGCTCGCTTGTTCAGTCCGGCGACGGCATCGTCATCGGACCAGAGTCGGAATGCAGCGTAGAGGTTCAAGCTCTCTTCTCGAGAGTAAATATCTACATTATTATATAGATTGTCGCTGAGATGGACGTGGAACGTGTTTTGCTTGAAGAAGGAGAGATATGAGCACATCTCAATCAGGAAGTCTGCCGGGTAGAAGTGGCGGCCAGCGTCAAGCTAGCGATGGACGTATCAGCGGTGTTACAATTGCGTAAAAATGTGAGATAGTAGATTACCATGACTCCTCGAGTCCCCCAGCCCGGTGCATCCACGCCGGACCCTTTGGGGAGTGCGGAGTTGCCAGTAGAAGAAGCAGCTTGAATGATCGACCGGGTGGCCCACCACGCACCCAGGGGACTCGCCCCAGTCACCACGACCCCATTCTCATCAACTACCAATTCGTATCCCTCAGATGTGAATCTCCCAGCAACATCCTCGAAGGCGCTATTATTCCCAATTGTCAAGAAAATAGTATTCGCCGTCCGCTCTGTGCCCTGCGTAATCTGCACATCAACCCCAAAGACCGATTTCAAATCTCCTTGAAAAGTCTCAGCAAACTGCCCCAGCGTCGGCGGGATCAACGTCTGTCCAAGCTGATCCACAGCATCAACATAACGAGAGTCCACAATAATCCCCGTGACCGCGGAGAGGCTATAGCTACCACCCGTCTCGACAAACGGGATGATAGGAACAGTAAGAAGACGAGAGTGGACTAAAATAATCCCGAAGACCAGTCAGTCAATTGCAATTACAATTCCAATTCCAATTTCAGACCGTCCGTCCGAAAGCCAAACAAAACAGCACATACCTCCACTCGCCAAAGCACCAAAAGCGCACCAAAAAGCCTGACCAAATTTCATAGCGTGTCGGTCGCAGATAAGAAGCCGGTAGTAAATTCCCCGCACATGCGTATGAGCATTGATCCAGCTCCTCTTTCCCAACCGGGATATTTATGTTGAGGAAAGAAAGCAAACGTCGCAGAATTACCATGCGGAGAAACACATATCCATGTAACATAGCTATCCGTTATTTAAATGATAGAGTCGCATTTTTTCAAGGAGACCTTGCGGTGCGACCTCTGGAGAGGGGAAAGTGATGATCGACAGGTGGTTGCATGGTTTCTGTCAAATCTGTCGATAGCTGCGGCGATCGTCGGGTACTGGCCAACCAGACTGGAAATAATTATCCGCGAGATTAAAAGTGGTTCAAGGATGGGACTGGTGAGCATGAGGTGATTGGTTGTTCCTGAGGTATATTCAAGTTTGCCGTGAGGGGGAGAGAAGAGGTAAGGGGAGTTAGTTGTTGAGAGATGATGTTTGTTTTATGTTGATGCAGTACTAGTATTCAGGTATCCATGAAATTTACTTCCACACTCTTGGACTTTTATTTACCGGCATGATACGTAACATTACAATATGTGTACGAGAATTCGCTGGTATCTATGGAAGTCGATTGCTATAGCCTATTAGTGGGTCTTTGGGAACAACGCGGATAGGACCGAGGGTCATTAGTGTTTATGAATTGTCTTGGTCCTCTTGGACTTGGCGGCCGTTCAGAAGAAAATTCTCCTTGACTCTATTCCGAGGAATTGGAAAGGTCGGAATTGCACCATGGACGATGAGGACACGATGGAGTACGAGGATTTCCGCCGCCCATTCCATTTCTTCGTCACAGGCCGCTTCATCGCCATCCATTACAATGGCGCCGACTTCGAGCTTCACCGCGACCGTCACAGTAACGGAACTTTATTCTATCTGTCTGATGACGAGGAACAGATAATCTTTAATCGCACCTACGTCGGCAGGCTCACCAGTCTCCCGGACTATCCAGAAAAAGCGTTCCACATACACCGCGAACAGCAGTACCTTTCCACACAGGGAACATGGACAGACAGCATTGATAATGCACTGATAGTGCAGATTGACCCGGAGCCAGACTGGAGCGGTACCCCTCCAACCGTCTCACCGCTCGCTAACCCGGTCATTAGCGCCGACCACCCTATCTCTGGCGATGGAATTGATCTCTACCAGCCGGACCAATATTTCCATATGTATCCCGTCGGGAACATCTGGATGGGCAATGCTGAACACTCGCCCGAGGACATGCTCTTCTTCGGCGGCCATCCCTATAACTATGGATCACCTTTCAAGATCTCCGTGCATGAAGGGAAAACACGCATCGTCTCCGGCGACGGCATGTTTCTGACTGTTATGAGGCCTGCCCAGAAATCAGAGTATATGCGGGAAGAATGTCGACAGCATACTGCGACCACTCGGTGCTCGCGCTGTGAGGGGGGCTACGCGATTGGCTTTACCTCTGAGCCGCGCGATAACCTCACTCTTGTTCCGCGCGGACTGCCTAGTATGTTTGTTTTCTATGATGGTGTGTTCTATTATCAGTTCCAGGCTCTCACGGCTAGCTATGCCGCGCTGAACCGAGTGGAGTGCATTGAGGATGCGTCGCTCTTCCAGTTTGTTAGTTGTCGGTCTTGATATATAGCGGGAAGCTACAGACTGGGGCATTCAAGTTGTATGGTCTAGGAAATTTTCTGTTATCTGCGAAGGACACCCATCTGCTTTTTGTAAAATATTGATAGTGTCAATCAATTTCTAGAAACAAGCACTTAAGGGGATCGGCTGCTTCAAATACTCTATGTGGGCTAGCCTACATCAATATATGTTATGCATACCACATGTGCAGTGCTGGGGGTATTCGACCTTGGAACCTGCACACCAAGCACTTGAGAACATTGTGTACACATCATGCATATAACGTAATTCATACTGGGTATGGGTATGTACCATGTATACTCTCGGCTTGCACAGCCTTCGCGATGCATGTGAGTACGCACGCGTACTCAACATTGAATACTTACATGTAGAGAAAATTTGAATAGTATGCAATTGATCAATAGCCTGAGTAGTTGGCACAAAATTTGAATGTTTGAAGCGCTCGTCTAAATATACGATAACCTTGGAAGCAATATCCATGTAGGCTTTTGAGACATCTTAATGTTTGAAAAAGATTGATAAAATTTTGGGCATTAGTATAGACATTGATGTAACATGCACGCTGCAAGCAAGATATGTATCCGTCATGAATGAACATTTGAAGAAATCCAAACCGCAAGATATCGCAGAACACTCTATATACTATTTTCAAAGCTGACACTTCAGACACGGCAAAGACGTCCGTTTTGATCAGGAAGACCATCCAGACTCTTAAGCTCCCAGTTCTCACTGCCCACACCGGTAGGGGCATAGAACAAGAATGTCGGATCATACCGCTGCTTTAACTTATACAAACGGTCGTAGTTCGTACCATAGAATGCCTGCTGGAAATTGGGCTCCAAAATATCCGACTCAGACATATAAGCCCCAGAATCAGGACAGGTAGCCCGCCATTTTCCAAGGGCATCATAAGTCAGTTTGTTCATGGTGGTATTAATCTGGGCATTGGTGGCATTCGCAGCCCACTGCGTAGAGGTAATAGCATGCATCAAAGTTTCGCGGAAAGCCGGGTTCGAAGCGTCATCTGCGTATCCCGCCGGGAGTTCCGCTTTCAAATTAAACGCGAGCAGCGGGTAGCCTGCGGTCACGGTACTTTGAATGGCGGAGATGGTATCGTTGAACTTTGTCGCGTTTTCCCAGTTCTCGCGAGGGAACAGACGGCTTCCGGTCATCATGCTTACGCTTCCAATTGTCTCGAGAGGGAAGCCAGCGTCCCAGCCGGGATAGAAAGAGTCGTAGTAGGTTGAGTTTGGAGCGAAGGGGATACCTAGGGCCTTGAGGTCGTCGAACCACGGCTTGACCAGCGTGTTGAACTCGTCTAGAGTGTGGTTCACGGCAAAGAAGGGGTTCATGAGGAATTCGAACGCGTCTGTTCCTGTGGACAATACCCAGAAGTAGGCGTATGTACCGGCGTCGGCATGGGCAGGGAATCGCTCAAAGTATGAGCGGACGCCTGCCCAGAAGGTGGTTGATGAGACGTTGGCGCTGGTGGCGAAGCTGAAGGTTGAGACGGTTACGCCAACCTTTGGGTGTACGCGGGAGATGACTGAGGTGACGACGCCGTATGTGCCTTCAAGGAGATTAGTTGCTATTCTGAGAAGCTTATTATGGAGGAGAGACTCACCACCACCGCCACCACGGATAGCCCAGAATAGATCCGGGTCGGTTTGTTCAGTTACGGTGACGAATCGTCCGTTGGCGAGAACAACCTCGAGGGCTAGGACCTGGTCTGCGGCCAGGCCGTAGATGCTGGACATAGGAGAATGGCCGCCGCCAAGCACATATCCACCGGCAACACCAACAGTCTAAATAGCGGAGTTAGTGCAATTCTTGGCAGAAAATGTGTATAACATACCTTGCCTTCTCCACCAACAGCAGTGAATCCAAGCTCTTCACCCTTTTCGTATACCTCAAAGGCCTGTACACCAGCACCCATCTTGACAGCGGGGCCCTGATAGCTTGAGCTGTTATACTCGGCAATATACTCAAGGTCTTTCAAGTTGTGTGTCCAAACTCCAAGACCACCCGCCCCAGTCGACTTGCCATTGAAGTCGTGACCAGTGTTCTTGACAACAAGTCTTAGGTTCGCGTTGCGAGCAAAGTTGACTGCAAGTTGCACCTGAGCGACATTGCTCACATTAACCGCATAACTGCTGTACCCGCCGATGGTGCAGGATGAAGAAATGTTAAGCCCAGTGGGTAAACAAGACCTTCCCTCAAATAGAGGCCACATGATAGATGCGGGATCCGCCGCACTGAAAGCAATTTAGTAAAATCGAACAAGCAGCGATAAATGCACACACTTACTGCAGATTGGAATTAGTCCACTCATCAGTGACATTCTTGCACGTCTCACTGTCATATTCAGGCGATGAGGGGTAACAGGACGCTGCCAGGGGCACAGTTTTAATCAAAGCACCACCCAAAAGCTCATTGAATTGACTCCAAACCGAGTCAGAAGGCCAGGATTTGTCTCCTGGTAACAATCGGCACTGGCCTTTTTGCAAGGTGGAAGGGCGCGAAGCATTCTTGCCAAATCCAAAAAGAGCAGTCTGGCTTGAGTTAAGAGTCGAGAGCGATTGGTCTGTCAACTGTACCGTCTCACTTTCGAAAAGTGGCGCTCCGGCCTGGGAAGAATTGGGAACCTTGCTCCCGGCCGTCGCATCTCCAGGGGCACTTAAGAGAAGGGCGCCAAGCAGCCCTGTGAACAACGAACGGTACGTCATCACGAAGGGGATAAGGTGTGATCAAGTCGAGGCTCGAGAGGTTGAGGTCCAAGATCGACAAGAATATTACCAGGAAACGAAACCAGGTCTTCTTTATAAACAAATGGAAGAAGTCTATCTATCGTGCCACGCGGTTGGCAAGACAAAGTCTCTAATTATCCCCGAAATTAACAGGGCTTGCCACCGTGATGCAGTTGACCCACAAGGCATGCATCCCTTGGAGTTGGACCCTTGAGATGCTCCACTTTTTCCTATGTGCCCTTTCGCAGAAGATGGATCAGATTTCTGTCTTCCACGGCAGGTGAAATCATCTGCTTTGCCGGGTTGGATCACATGTGGCAATACACCAATATCTGTTCTAGTATACTAGTAGTACTCTGGCAGCTAGCAACACGCCCTTACTCTGCGAGGCTTTTGAGTCTTAACCTGGTCACCAATTTCCGATCGATCCCGCCCCCACGTTAGCGGCTTTAGCCTTGCGGTCGGGCGTTCCAAAGTCCCTTGGCATTGCAACAGGTAAATTGCAAGTCGAAAGAACAATAAGATCCATGAATACTGCCTTTATTGCACAGTCTCAGGAAAACAATATGGTCCAACAAAAGTACATAGTAATGAATAGCCTTAGTCTTCTGGTGCCGGTAGATCTTACCCGCGATGCTCTCCACTTTTGATCGCCTCACTCCTGAGCGGAGAATCTACACCTGGAAAAGAAGAAAGAAAAAAAGAGAAATTGCATCATAAGATCAAAATTGGTAGAATTTCAAAGTCCCAAATTGTCCCAAGGAACGTAGAAGATCCCTCTCCACAAAATCAGATGTGGTACGGGTGTGGCTAACGGAACCAAAGCCTCAAGCGCAACTCAGTATCCGAGATCCCTTTCACAAATCCCGAGGCAGCATCATTCGTGGGGCCAATTGATTCTTTTCAAAGTCTAATGAATCCATTCAGCACGATGACTGGCAGAAACGAAAAGCAATGACCAAGGTTCGTGAGATGATAAGTCATATTTGAGTTAACGCAGGTGGGTCCTTGGACTTCTCACCCAAGGGATGAACCTCAGCTGCCCAACTCTTGAATGTAACGGCTAAAACTTCCACTGCTATCCGGCTGGAAGAAAGGGCGGGCATTTCTGGCAGCCTTTGAGTGCATGCATAGTGGCTTTCTTTAATCACCAGCATTTGCCCAGCTCCTCCGATTGACCTTTTCCACGCTGCACAATCTTGCTCTGCGCGTGCGACTTATTCTCAAATTCCCCAAAGGCCAGGCTCAAGCTCCCTGAAGTCATCCTCATTCATCATAGATACACAACAAAGGGCGGAAAATAAAGAAGAGCCGAACTCACTTCCGAAATCCATCATCCAGTGGGGAAGGAGACCCTTACCCAGACCCCATAATTGGTTTCCCAAATTATTCCAAGCCATGGGAAGCTCTTTGAAAGAGGACCGAATCTAAGGCCTATTGGTTCAGAAGCTCTATGTGGTTCTAGGAACCCGTTGCCCTGTGCGGATCGGATGGGCGATCTACCTGGTCCCTTTTTATCGTGCCTTATTCATCGTGGCGCACTCCTGTGCGGTGTTTTATAAGAGTTTTTGCTCTCTCGGCCTGCCAGAATTCTTTTTCTTTCTTACTTGCTATGCGTGACAATGATTGACGATCATCATCAGAAGATTGCGCTTGGCATTGTGGTCGCGTTTCCGATTCTCGGCGGCATTGCTGTTCTTTTGCGCCTTTGGGCTCGGTCTTTATCGAGATCTGCGCTAACAAGTGGTATGCGTTGAATCTGTCGGGCCGTTGATCGACGTGATCGACTGGGGTTTCCTTTGACTGACCTTTGCCGTTTTCACTACCAGATGACTATTTTATCTTTGCGGGATATGTGAGACATTTATACTTAACCTTCCGACGAGAATCTCATACTGATGCGATTTGTTAGATCCTCGCCGTCTCGCAGTCCATTACTTCGTGGTATTACATCAAGACAAACTATGTTGGCATCCATGTGTGGGATATACCCAAAGACTATGATGTCCAAAAGGGCTTAGTTGTAAGTAGCACATTACTTCCGATATTTTCTCATGACTCAGGCTAATAGTTTCAACCCTACAACAGTGGAACTACGCGAATCAACTCCTCTACAACCCATGCTTGACACTAATCAAAGTTTCAATTCTGATGTTCCTACGTCGATTGGACTCTCGGTCTCGCATTGTTAATATCTTAATATGGACATCCCTGGGCGTTGTTACAGCCCTCTTCCTCGCTGTCCTCTTCGTCGACATCTTCCAATGCCACCCCATCGCCTACAATTGGGACATGACGATCAAGGGTGGGAAATGCATTGATCAGGGCGCATTCTACGTCTCTACCGCCGCCCTAAACCTCTTCACCGACCTGATGGTGATCTCCATCCCCATCCTCATCACCTGGAACCTTCAAATGCCGCTCCGGAGAAAGATAGCCGTCTGCTTCATCCTCTGCCTCGGAGGAGTGTAAGTATCCACAACCTAACCCATCCACTTCCAAAAGAAACACAACTAACAAACCACCACAACAGAGCAACAGCAATCGGCGTCTGGCGCATCGTAATCCTCGCAAAAGCCTTCTTCCCCACCGGCCCCGTTCCCGACCCCACATTCTCAATCGGCTTCTGCAGCTCCGCCGTCGAAGTGAACGTCGCAGTCATCACAGCGTGCGCACCCTCCATGAAATCAATCGCAAGCAAATTCCTCCCCCGTCTGCTCGGTACGTCACGGAACGGGCACTCCGGCTACGCCGGCAACACCACGGGGAATTCGCGCCGCAAAGCCCGCTTCTTCCACAGCATTACGAAGTCGAGTCAGCTGCACTCGGGGACGGATGATGGGTACGGGGATGGATATGAGAGGGCGGACCCGGCGCGGGGCAATCATGTTGATGTTGTCGGCGCGGGGGATTCGTTTGATATGCGGAAGTATAGACGCGGTGGTGATAGTCCGTCGGTTTCGAGTGGTAGTTTGGAGCTGGCTTGTGAGGGGGTTCCGGGGATTGTGAAAACTACGGGTGTTTTGGTGCAGTATAGTGTGGGTGATGATACGAGTAGTCAGGCCGAGGAGGGGAGGTCGAGGCATGAGAAGGATGTTAGTGTGGATAGCTTGGTCTAGATACATAAGGAATATATGAAGATTCTGTATAGAAGATTTCAATATTTGCTGGTTTGAAGTTTCAACCACATAGACATCAGGATGATCTCGTGGTAGTATTATAACGTACCTTGTCAGACCAATATCTCATATGCAGTGCCTATGATTATATGTGCACATCCGATTAGAGCTATTATCCACGATATAAATCCCCACATACTTCCAGTTGTCTTCTCGGCATCGATGTCTAATCCAGCTTCACCATGAAAGGCAAACATGCCTCATATATATTTCCATATCCAGGGTATTGCATCAATCTCTGAAAAACACCTTCATCAACCACACAGGCCGATTGAAGGTTTCCGACAATCATGAAATCAGTATAGCTCGGATTCAGCCTCAATAAGAACGGGCCATCATCTTCATGGGTCAAAAGTAGCCCTCCAACAGCCCGCATCTGTTCATCGGCAGCATTCCAGGTATCATTCTCAATAGATCCGTCCAGAAGATTCTCCAGAGCAAACCCAAGCCTAGCCTCACGTTTGCGCCGGAAGACCTCCGCAGCGGCGGGCGACAGAATGTTGACTTCGCGAGGCATTATGGAGCCACGGAAGACTGGACCAATGGCCCATCGCGCCTGTCTTTCGATTTCACAGCCATGCGCAGTGCTTAACGCACGGCATTAATATACATTCATATACATACAAACCTTGGGTTTAATAACTGATTTACTAAGGCTATGCGCGAATTTATGTATTTAGGATGTATATCTTATGTACTGATAAACCAGTCAATATTTCAACTATCAAGAATTTACTTTTGCAGTATATGCGCGGCATTAATATACATTCATATACCTATAAACCTTGGTTTTAATTAAGGATTTGCTAAGGATATGCGCGAATTTATGTATCTAGGATGTATATCTTATGTACTGATAAACCAGTCAATGTTTCAACTATCAATAAAGGATTTACTAAGGCTTCGTGTAGCATTAATGTACATTGATATACATACAAACCATGGCTTTGATTAAGGATTTACCAAGGATATGCGCGATTTTATCTATTTAAGATGTATATCTTATGTACTGATAAACTAATCAATATTTTAACTATCAATAAAGGATTTACTTTAACATTTGGATACGTGTAGCATTGAGATACATTGATATACATACAAACCTTGGTTTCTATAAAGGTTCTACTAAGGATATGCGCGATTTCATATATTTGAGATGTACATCTTATGTACTGATAAACCAATCGATATTTCAACTATAAAAGATTTACTAAAGATACGCGTAGGATTGATATACATTGATACATACAACCTTTGGATTCTTGAACATTGGGGTTTTAAGCGATTTAAGGGCAGCGGAGGGTCTGGGTAGGCCGACTCGAGGAATTCGGCGATTTGGGCAGACTGTGATGTATTTATTTGTGGACAGGTGGTGGATCGTTGGGACGGTGTACGGGTAGCTACCGTCTGGCCCAGCTGGAGGGGAAACGCTGGACAGGAGAATTGAGTCAGGATTGTGCATGGGTGGAATCCGGGCGGAGCTGGGAGGTGAGAAAATGTGGCATGTAACAATGGAGTTCTGACAGGGATTCATAGTGAAGGACCTACAGTCCTTTCAATGTAGGTTCAATGTCTTGTAACTCCAGGAAAATCGTTCTGTAGGGAATCTTTTTGTAATTTAGCATCATCCGAATTCTCCAAACCACAGGTGAGAAACACTGTTCTTTGACGCAGGCCAGGTCGTACAAGAGAATCGCAGGTTGGAGCTGGGCAGACATTGTTGTGTGAACTAAGGTCCTTTGAATGGTTTTTGATTGTAGTAAATAAGACATTGTAGAGGGCCCCTGCAAGAGTGGGGAAGTGGACTAGGACGGAGTTACGCCGGACTTAAAAGTCAAGCCGCTAGTAGTGGGGCAACAAACGCTCCTACAAGGGCAGTGAGTTGAGAAAGGAAATCTCCTAACAAATATATTGCTGCATAGTATTCATTTAGTGCATTCTTTCAACCTACATCCACTATCAATGACATGCAGTGATCCCAAACCAGTGGATACTGGCGGAATTCAATGAACTACAAATTGGCATAATACTAAAAGCCTTTCAATTATTTCAGGAGGATGAATCAATGGCGAATTATATAAGGAGCTCTCTTTCTAACTTGGATTGAAATTTCCTAAAACTTTGCCCACTCATAATATCCATCCAAGCCAGACTCAAGACAGCGTCATCAAGTATGTTGGGCTTATCTTCCAAGAAAGTCCAAAAGTCCTGGGACACAGATGTATGCTACCTTACCATCCTGATCGTTATTCTGGGCTACGTTACCGTGATGTTCCTGATGTGCCTGCTTGGTCGACCAAAAGGCCAAGCCGAAAATGAAAACGAAAACAGAGCAGAGAGACCACCCACAAGCACGAGATCATCCGGAAGAATCGAAATGATCAACAGACCACTACCAAGCACATACTTTAAGGACGGAGGAGAAAAACGTTCAGATAAAGGAAGAGAAAGCCACAGGAAGTGCCCGCCGTACCCGGTCTTGCCTCCTAGGGGACACCACGGCACTCCCTGAGTATTTTATTGCAGCTCAGACGAAACGAATTGACCTCGGCATTTCCACAACGTTTGATCTCAAACAAAAGAGGTGGCGCTTGGCCATGCTTCTATCGGAACACGCAGATTCAATCCAATCCAATGCATTTCCGTCTCCCATCATGTCTTTTATCCCTGTATCTCCAATCAAACAAGCAAGTCCTTGATAGTGGGAATGAGATATCCGGAAGGATCCAAGCTAGAAGTATCCCAGTAGAACTGGTAAACACCAGAAACAGAAGTCTCCTTCAAGCGGAAAACATCCGAAAGAGTACCACCAGTGCCCTCCCACATCAAGTAGCTGCCGTACCAGATGAAGGAGTCCGAAGACGCATCAGATGGTGTGGTGTAGCCATTGCCAGTGAAGCCGACGGGCAAGACCTCATCGGCGGTGGGCCGGACGTAGAGCAAGGTGTCGGAGTCGAGAGTGACGCCGCTCGTGGTGGCGGTGGCAGCAAGCTCGTTGTCAGAGAAAAGGACTAGAAGGAATATGAGATTGTGCAAACTTTATTGGATTTGGGTTTTGGCTTGGTGACACGCCGGTAGGTATTGGTGAACTTACAGGTGATGTCGGTGGTCACGTTTCCAGATGTCCAGAGGGAGGAGTCACCGGCGTAGGCAAGACCTGTAGGATGAATGTTAGTTGTTTTGTACAAGTTGGAATTAAGTGGGTTAGAGCATAGGGACATGAGAGAACGTGCCATCGGAATAGAACATGGTGATGTACTCAGACGCAACACCGTAGGCAATAAGCTCGAATGCACCAGACGGGCTGCGCTTGATTCCCACAGATGGAGCGGCGAAGGCACTAGAGGCCAACGCCAAGACAGAGGTAAAAAGACCGGCCTTCATTGTTCAATGTATTTTAATGGTGGTTGGATTGGAGAATTCGTGAGTGAACCACATGGTTCCCATCGGGCTTTATAGACAATTGCGGCGAGCTAAAATGTATAGTTAGTCTGGAAAACATGATATAGTATGGATGGGTCCCTGATTTTGGTGCTGACGCGTCCACATGTCCACATGGCCCTGAAAGAGGGCTAAGAGGGACTAAGTACTTGCCGGGTGTACTAACGCCCGAACAGCGCATACTACTATAATTGGTGTTCCATCATATTCCAGCACAGCCCTGGATGTGGCCACTTCATTAAAGCGCGTCAATGCCATGGTCGAGATTGGTTGAAAGTATCCGAATCGACGCAACGAGCTGTGTGCCATACCAGGGGATCTGCATCCAGTCATCGGTAATTCGAGGTTAATCAAGGACGCCAACGATCTGATCGGTTTGCCCAAAAAGGAAAAAGATTGTCCGGCACTTCGACACCAAAGCCGATGCTCCGTAATGAACCAATGGTTACACATGTGGTGAGGTTGCTGTCACCAACAGTGGAAGAACAGAGCGATTGGGTGCGAACCCTTTCTAATGCAGGGCCAAGACGGCTGGCAAGTGGGCAGTTGTGCAAAATGTGGGTCCAGACGAAGCCACCACTTCAGCAAATTACTTTAACGATTGCAGAGTCGTAGCATCCCCGACCCCTTTTCGGGAATTAGATGCTGCTACAAAGCCATTTGTCAGTGCTTACTCCCTACTAGGAATGCCTCGCAGGATTTTCTTAAAGGAACCTCGCCGCTGAAGTGGGGAAGGGGGGTTCCTTCAGTCTTGATTGGGTCTAGCTGTCAGAATGTCCGCTTGGCATCGAATAAGAATGGCCCAGGTCCGCGCGGTATACTGTTTAGTCAATCGGAGTTCCGAAATGTAGCCGTAAATGGAACAATATGGAAAAAGTGATAATGAATCCTTGGGGCCGTTTTAACAATGGCAATTAATATCTCTCCACAATCCACAGCCGCCTTTCTGCCTCCGACATGGCAGACAACAAAGCCGATTCCGCCCGTTTGACGAGCGTATAATTTCGAACAAATTTAGCCCCGAGCATTTTCTGAAGGATCTGATTATTCTCAAGTGCGATCAAACTTTCTTCCAAGGATTTCGGGATGTGGGCAGTAATCCCAAGCTCGGAGCGTTGCGAATCGGTAAGGGACGCTGCGTCAACTAAGAAAATGTCAGCGGTGTCATAGAAATAGTTTCATTATGAAGAGGATCTTACCGGCACACTCCTTCACAGTCAAAGGGGCCTTCGCTTCTAGACCCATGTACCCTCCAGCGAGTAGGGCTGCCACGGCAAAATAGGGGTTTGCCAGGCCATCCATCGACTTGATCTCCCAGTGCCCGGCTTCAATCTTACGGATAGGAGCCTCGCGGTTCTGAACGCCCCATGCCACCCATTCGCCTCCGGACCAGATGCCTGAGCGGACGCGCTCGTAGCTTGCATCTTGCGACAGAGTGAATGCCACGATAGAACGGAAATTATCAAGGATTCCGGCTAAGAAGGAGTCTTCTTTGGTTGGCGGGGTTATGGAGATATGCGTGTGAGAGGCGGTGCCGGCCCCGTCAGAGAAAGGACGTGGGTGGAGGGTTGCACGTAGACCGTGTCGATCGGCAACACTAGAGATGACTTGTCGAGTGGCAATGAGGGCATCCACGGCGGCTAGAGGTGAAAATGGTGGGAGAATAAATTCGAACTGACCAGGGGAAGACTCGGCGTGGAATTGCTGTAGATGAATCCCCATGGTCACCAATGTCTTGTTAATCTCTTCAAGTATAGGAACTACCCGTCTTGTTTCCACAGTCATTTGCGACCATGAGTGAATGGTTGTTGCAGGGTTGTAGCTCGTCTTCTGCCCAGCTACCGTTTCTTCGCACGGCTTGAGGAAAACGACCTCGACCTCAAAACCACACAAAACGTCGATCTGATGTTCTTTGTGGAGCTTTTCGACAATATTTTGCAATGTCCCTCTGGGGCACCCTTCCAATGGTCCGCCATCTTCTGATTGCCAGAAGGTCATGATAGTGGCGCTGGGAGCAGCCGGTGCTACCATGCCTCCATTGAGGTAAAGGCTAGAATAATCAGGCTGCAGGTAGAATTGGCCTGTTGTTGACCCTTCGGGTAGAATCTTGTCATTCTGAAGCATGTGCAACGAAGCTAACGCGATTCCGACTCTCCTTTGTTGCCGAGAAACCGAAATGAACTCTGCAAGTGAGAACATGCGCAGTCTGACTGTTGATGTGTAATCCACCCATTGCATCCAGACGTACTCGACCCGAGGGTTGGCTTTCAAGAAGGCATTTAATGGGTCGGCAGCAACTGCAGATATCTGACTAGGAATAACCAATGGTAGAGTGGTGGCTTCGGACTGATACTGTGGCGTCAAGTTCAATCTATAAAGGCGGTTCGAGTTATAGAACAAAATGTCGGCCGCCGCGGCCTTGGCTTGTGCAACTGTATAATCACCATGTTGCACGTAATCAACAAACACCTATTTGAATAAGACATTAGCAGAGGACTGAAAGTGGTATTTCTCCAAAGCTTACTTTCTCTAGCGCCTGTCGGAACTGCTTGTTGGCGAGCCAAAAGGTCTCGGGATGGAAATGACCATCTGTACTCCAAAGAAGACGGTTTGTGGGTGTGATTTCCAGACTTTCCCGTATAATGTTTTCTTGGGCCTGTCGACTGACCATTGGGAAGACCTCCCCAAGATCCAAGTATATGTTAGGATACACGGTAGTGAGGTACGCGGCCTCGCGAGTATACGGATATGCCGAGTGCAACAACACGATATCAGCATCAGGGTATTGGACAATCAAGGGCTGAAGATAAGCCGGGTTGGCTCGTAGGAGATTAATATCATTATCACCCAAGCCAGTATGGAACTGTAGGGGCTTCACAATGCCAGCTCTCTTCCTCCAGGTAATCAATTTCAGGGTCTGCTGGACCAGCCAATCATTTAGAGGCTTTTCCTCAATCCGGTACCCCGATTTTCTAGTGCCCAGGTCCAAGGTACGGTGGAGCGAGGCTGTCAGCAGATCCTCATCTGGCGTGTGGGGGTCAACATCCAGTCCCGTGCGGTAACAAACAACCGATTTGAACCCCACAACGGCGGGATCATCCATCGCGTGCTCCAGCTTGTCCAGGAATTGTTGCCGGAAGAGACTCCACACGGTTTGGCCTTCTTTGCGCTCCGTACTCATCAGATCCACCAGGAGCGAGGCTGCTACGGCCTCGATTCGAACAATGCGTTTTGTCGCCGATACCGTAAATGAGTCATGCCAGTCGTATGATTCGACATCGTCGTCTGATAAGAGGTCATCGAGGAGGAGGGCATGCGTGCCCTCCAAGCTTCGTTTGATCAGACCTTCATAATCCTGCTCTACCCATCGACTGTGGGCAGCTAGTACATCTGACCATTCCGCACAGGGGCTCCCGTAGAGCTCGGCAAGCTGGTTGGTAGCCCGCAGCAAAGGCAGAGTGAACCGAGCATTTTCCAAAGCGCGACCGTGAGCCTCGGAGGTGATGGATTCTAACGGGTAGCTATCGTAGTCGGCGGCCACGTCGCGACTCAATACATTATGGGCATGGTTGTCAATCAATGGGTGGTTTTGAATGAGGTGGCGGAGAGAATCGAGGGAATCCATGGTGATGATTTTTGAAGAAGGGAAGAGTAACTGCGATAACAACATACCGTGACACGCGGTTTCTCCAACCACCGCACCACCAAAACCAAGACTAAGCTAGTTTTTTATTTTTATTTTCTGCCAATGTTATGAGTCAAATTACTACAAACAGATGGTTTCTAGTTCCGCATAAGTCACGGATACCTAAAATAGGCTGGAGATTCGACCCTGCAGGAAGTACCAGGTACTTTCTTAGTCCGTGCATTGTCAACCATACTCAACTTGGCCAACTACACGACTCGTGAATCCAATCAGGGACTGCACCTACACCTTAAAGCCCACTTCTAACTACCAAGAATCTCGGTAAGCCGCGCGATCTTCAGAACTAGTGCAGACAATTATTCTTGTTGATCAACTCAAGTTTCAATTTTTCCCAAGATCGGGATGGGGCCGTGAAGAAAATCTACAATCGGGATCCACTGAAGCTCAGTACTGCCCCTCAATCGTCAAGGTACCCGTTTTCGTGATCAGGTACTCCTGCACCGCAACATCCTTTCCACTCTCCTTACCATAGCCCGACTCCTTCATACCGCCAAACGGCGATTCCGCCGCCGATTGGTTACCTTGAAGTATCGGTCAGAAAAAAAACATCACATCATGCATGCAGGACTCACCGGTATTCATTCCAATCATGCCCGCCTCAAGATTCTCCAACAACCGCCACATGCGATCGATGTTCTTCGTAAACGCATAACTCGCCAATCCCATACTCGTCGCATTGGCCATCGTCACCGCCTCATCTTCCGTTTCAAAGCGATACAGCGCCGCAATGGGCGCAAATGACTCCTCGTGCGAAATCTGCATATCCTTCGTCATCCCGGAGAGAATGGTCGGCTCGAAGAAATACCCCGGCTGCGAAGTTTGCGCTTTCCCGCCCAGCAGAATTTTCGCTCCAAGGTTACGCGCATCCTCGACCTGCGCGATGGCCTTGTCAATGCTACGCGGCGTGGTCAGGGGACCCATCGTCGTGTCCTTGGCAGATCCGTGCCCGACAACCAAGGCCGCAGTCCGTTCGGTCAAAAGCGCAGCAAATCGGTCATAAACACCCGCTTGGACATAGATTCGGTTCGCGGTGATGCACGCCTGGCCCGCATGGCGCCACTTGAGAGTCATAAGCTGCTCCAGCGCCTGGTCGAGATTTGCATCGTCAAAGACGATGAAGGGACAGTTTCCGCCCAGCTCGAGCGTGACTTTCTTTAAGCCGTGGGCGCAGTGCGACGCCACGAGCTTTCCGACCCGTGTCGATCCCGTGAAGGTCACCTTCTTTACGAGCGGGTGCTTGCACAGCGCCTCGCTCAGCGACGGCGTATTCTCCAGGTCAGTTGTCAACACATTAAACACACCTGCGGGGATTCCCGCCCGCAGCGCCAACTCGGCCAGAACCAACGCCGAAATGGGCGTCTCGGGACTCGGCTTCACTACCATTGTGCAACCAGCCGCCAGGGCGGCACCAACCTTCCGTAGAACCATTGCGACCGGGAAATTCCACGGCACGAGCGCGGCCGCCACGCCGATGGGCTGTTTCACGGTGAAAATCCGGCGATTCGGTGCAGAGGCCATTGATACGGTGCCGTGGACGCGCTCTGCCTCGCCGGCGAACCACCATAGGAAGCCTAGTGAGTAGTCGAGTTCGCCGTACGCTTCTGCTAGTGGTTTGCCGGTCTCGTGGGTGACGATCTGGGCAAGATCATCTCTTGCCTGGGTGGTCAAGTCGTGCCATTTCAGTAACCACTTTGCCCGCTGTCGGGGATTCACTTTGCGGAAGGACTCGAATGCAGTGTGGGCTGCTTCCACGGCTGCTGGGACATCGTCTGTTGTGCTTGCTGGGCAGCTAGCCCATGCTTTATCGGTACCGGGGTCTAGGTGCGGGGTTAGTATTTTGTAGTTGATGGCGTGTATAGGAATTCGTAGATTGTACCGAGGACCTCAAAGCGCTTGCCGCTCTTTGATTCAACCCATTTGTCCCCGACAAAGGAATCGAAGTGCAGAAGGGTAGGATCAGCTAGCTGAAGGTGTGTTAGTTGGAGTTCTGTGAGCTTCGGACATCTTGCCGAAGGTAGACCAATGCCACCAGGATCAGTAGCGACCACAGGGGAGACACTTTACCTTGAATGGGAGCTCGTAGTTCGTGCCCATGGTGTCTTATGGCAAATTATGTAGACGATTTTTCCGTGAAGAAATGAGTGTTTTTCAAGAAAGAAGTTTCCAGGTATGAAAATGTTTAAGATTGAGCTTTCCATTAAAGTGGGGAAGCTCAAACCCCTCATCACCTTGCGGCACATTGGGTGGAACTTCGGCGACTTCGATAACAGTAACGCGATATGTAGCCTATATGCATGTGCTTTTTTTGTCCCGCTCTCCAGCTATCTCTTGGGCTGTTTTTTCAAAGTGCTTGAAGATGCGAAAACTTCTCAACATCAATTTGGAAACTATCCACTACTCCAAGATTATGATGCCGGTTTTTCCCAGGCATATTCATGCCTGCCAAAACTATACAAATACTGCTCTACACAACATGAACCTTTGAACTTTGTTCCCCACCAAGTTCCATCCATGAATCACGGCCCTGAGGTCTACTTACATCTATGGTACCTACGGTTTTTTCTCATCAATCCTGCACATGTGTAAGGAAAGGCTAAAAAATCAAATCCACATGAACAGAATTCACGATAATACCCTACCATCCTCGGCTACTCAACACTGTCTTCAACTATATAGGATTATAGTTCCTGGTGGGAAAGGGCTGTGAACCGAGGCCCACCGGTGGTAACCACAGAGAATGTCAAGCACTGGATATTGCATCTTGGTCTAAATCATTGCTTGGAAGGTTGCATGACAAGATCTTATGGTCTTTGTCTCACAGCCTTCTCCAATCAATCATGAGGCTATACCGGTTGCCCGTTAGAGAGTCATCCACTCATTTTTCTCATGGGGTTTGTTGAATACCCTTGATGGCCCTCCATACGGGAGTGGTATATTTATATATACAAGGGACATCTGGAGTCAGGTCGCACATAACCTGTCAACGGTACAGAAGGTACATAGATCGACTCATTGGTGGAACTGGAAGATCAGGAGCAACCTTGATGCCAACCTCGAATGCAGAGTGACCACCCGCGAGATGAGATCCTGAAAATGAAAGCAGACATGCAAGAGGAACGACAATCTCTCATTGATATCTGGAACATTCAGGAGCCTGAAGACAGTGCCAAGCAGAAACGACATATATCACCAAGCCTCATGCCATCAGAAGTGTGCGCAATTGATGGTTGGCGCAGCTGTGGTCAAACGACTGATACATAGTGATGACAATGATATATTTTGGACATGCCTCGCCGAAATCGATGCTGTCATGGACAAAACCTCTGAAGAACCGCCCGAGTGTGAAAAGCAAGAGCTGCTCGCTCAGCTTCCCAGAGAATACCAAGATTATTGGGACGTTTTTTTGAAACGAAACTCAGACACATTGCCTGAAATTCGAGGCAGAAGCGACTTTCGAATCGAACTCACTGAGGAGTTTCGACCTGTTATGTAGCCACCCTAGTTTCACATCCAGGCAACCATGGCTGACATTATGGCATGAATCACAAGCAGATTACCACCTACAGCAGTCATCAGGATGACGAGGAACAAGGGGGAGCCAAGATGGAGATTTCCACAACATTGATGCCGACGACGGGAGTGGCACCCAGAACCTTCCCTGAAGGTGTTCAGTTAGGGATGGTCCCAGGCTGGTCCATTCAACCAGTACTGTTGACCAAAATGGACCTCGGGAGGCTCTTCAGGGTCTTCAATTCCTCACCTTTACTCTGCCTAGGATGGTCTCTCCAGAACCACTTTCCAGGAGTTGCCACCAAATCAAAAAACTACTGGTTGATTGAACCCCTAAGCACGGCAAGAAGGAATGGGATAAGTCCATATGCTGCTACGCACTATGGCGGCAAGATATGGATGGATTTTGCACCCTGCGTCCACAAAAGCCGAACATCCACTTCAAAAGGTCGTGTTGTGCTTGATATTATCGGAGGCCTCGGTGCTATGGCCTCGTATCTTGCAATTCTTGGGCTTCATATTATTCCTGAATGGAACACCGATCTCATGGTCATCAAAGAGGCAAGACTTGGTAGCGCCGTCGTCGACATTCGCTGAGTACATCGCGCTTAACAGAGCCGCCAAGGAGGCCCTATTCATTGCCAATTTGATGCAAGAAATGGGCATACGAGATAAGAAGAAGGCGGTAGAACTCCGCATTGACAGTGACAACGCTACATGCCTGACGAATGCCGCGACGATTGCATAAAAACAATCGACCAAATTCCTCGACATTAGGTTCCAATTTGTACGGGATGAGGTCAAGAAGGATGCAATCTTCATTACAGTGATCGCCAGCGCAGAGAACCCTGCCGACGGTCTCGCTAAAGCGCTTGATTCAGTCATATTTGAGCGTTTCAAGGACCTCATGGGCCCCAAGAAGTGATTATTATCAACATTTTGAGAGGGTTTTGAAGGAGTTTTCGGGTTCTATGACTGGATTTGACTATTTTTCGGAGCTAGTTTCATACGCTGAGGGGATGTGTTAGGATGTGGTCTCCCAGGATGTGGGGCACATCTGGTGCACATTGTTTTCATAGATCACATGCATTATTCGTCCTTCACATGGACCAAGTCTTCAATGTTAAGTTTTCCTGCCATATGGGAGCCCTTGCTTCTCAGTGTAATATGGAATTGCCTCCAACATTTGAAGACAGGAAGTAGATAACGCGTTGATAGATTCTGCCTGCTACCATCCACACAAAGCTACGTAAAATCACTTGTTGGACACGTCACATAGCCAGTATATGACCATGGGGAAATGGTAGCAATACCAAGTACTTCTCGGGGTTTTTATAGGAAGATAGTTCACCTATATCCGTGTCAATCTAAGAAAAGCGTAGGTAAATCCAAATTTTCGATCTGAGTCAGTCGCAAGGAATGTTTGTTTCAAGGCCCTAGAAAGCTCATCCATTAGCTCCGACTCTTTATTGCTCTCTGTCTCCCCCCTGTTGCACACCATGTCTTCGCTTCCGTTGAATTTCCTCACAGCAGTTTTGAATGGACTGGCTGCAATTGAAATTGTGGATCTGGTTATTTCATCCGCCCACGTGTCCACACCTGCGCTGTGGCGGTCCTTGATATGCTGTCCGGTAGTATCAACTCGTAATTTCAGGCTCGCAGGATGCTCGATGGGCGTGGTGAACATCTTTGCAACATCCCAGGCACCGGCTGCAGCTTCCAACGCTGATTGGACTTCACTCCAACTTCGAAAGTACACTGGGAGATGACATGAAGAAATGATAGAACGGTCAATGAGGCCCCGCTCAGCAAGTGCATCAAGCGTCAAATTATAGCATTCAATAACAAGATCGACATTGACATCGCCGACTACTGGAATACCGAGAATGAGACTGCCGCCTTCTCGAAGCTCGTTATGTTGAGCCGACAGAAAAGTAGTCAAGTCATTGTGAGCAGCGGCAGAAATGGCGGACTTGTCATCTGCTGAGCCTGGCGGCATGGATTGAAGCCAGTGAAGAGCCGTCATAGATACTCCTATATCAACAGATCCATCCGGTAAAATCTGTTGATAATAGCTTCGCGGAACCATTGAAGGAAAGACCTTGATGGCATCATTCTGAGACAGCTTTTGCATGGCAGCGTGAATGGTGACAGATAGCGAAGAGAAGTCGTTCATTGGCATATCATTGAAATAGAGAGTTGCGGATGATACTGAGGGTAGTTGAGATAGTATTTCTTCGAGAAATACAATTCTAAGTTGGGTGGTGTCAGGTAAAGTATTATCAGTCCATTTAGATATCTTACGAATTTTGCCCTTCCGAACAGCCATAGTCGGCAATTGTGACCGATTTATCTGAACACGAGGATGAGAAAAGACTTGATCAAGTATGACTGTGTGAAGAACATACCACTAAAGTCCAGGGGTAAAAGTGCAAATGATGTTGTGATTGCAGCTCTTTGTAAAGTTGAATTTCGATTGTAATGCCCTCCACCCAACATCGAAATCTGATTAACGGCCATAACTTGATAGGGGAGTGGTAACTTTTCCGATGCTTAATGTTAATCTTGTGTAACACGGCAACCAAAGAAAGAGTAAGAAAGAGAGTAACTAAAAGAAAGGAGCAACCTTAAATGCCTACCGGTGGAGCCCATAGATGCCTAGCTCCCATGCGTGGGTGCCTGACTAGTACAGAACTAGTGTTGTCACGAGGTACAGGCTGAAACGAGAGGCTGAAACAACTGTCATCAGGTGCGGGGTTAACATCGTGACCAATAGCTTGGAGTCGAGAGCCGCTGACATCTGAGAATACATGTGGGGTCTCTTGGAAGCCTGGGTAGTTGTACCGTAGACAGTCACATCAGAAGAAAGACAGGAAAGATTATATCAATTGATCAAACCCTGTACTTCAACATGAAAAGCATCGGGCTGCATGCATTATTAGATTTAAGGTTACCCTCAAGATACGAACGCAAGGCACTAGTAGATCAATTGATCCAGATAACGCGGGCCGTGAGTCGAACACAGCAAGATATCTCGCGATTGATTTACTTGGGTGAAGAGTTTCAGCTTTCAACGGCATGCTGAGGACCTGCCAGTCACATGTACAGTATAACCCAGAAGATCATTTGGGTCAACTGGATAGAACCTTTTATGGCCTCAGGTATGCATTCAGGGCAGATACGCGTGGACCCTTTGTAGATCATATACCAAGTACCGGCTGCCAATTACACATGGAGTAAGTGGATCTCTCCGAGTCTGGACCCACAGCTGATATTTACATTACACGCGAGGACACAAAATGTCTGATCTGCTCGCACCTGACAAGAAAGGATTTCATTTGTGACAGCCGCTAGTAACTCTTCGACTGTCTACAGCTTCGGTAAGAACACTATACACGCGACATGGTTTAATTTGTAATTCAGCAGTATGTTGAGCAGGTATCTATTAGTACTACTCAAATGGTTTTTATAGTGGGAATAGCTTCAAAAATGATAATGTATCATGACTTGGGGTTTATACCGCATATTCTACCTTGGTGTGACGGTAATTCGGTCATTCGGTTTTGAAAACATTCTACCTGATGAAATTTCCAAGGCTGACTAAAAGTGGCGTGTTGGGCCATGGCGGATTTGGTTCACCGTACTAGGCAACCCATGTGCCTCCACCAGAAAATACAACATTCTACAATCAGGTCACTGCAACCAGAGAAGAAGAAAGGGCGCAGACAACAGGAGCTATTTATACCCAGAATTCGACTTCTGGTTTTTATTCTAGCTAATGGTACATGACAGCAATACCATTCACCTTGACTATCATTCTGTATGTATACTATTTTTCTTACTGCTGGATTCCCTTCACTAGTACTAACCATTGAGACTCGTTTATGATGCTGGTAAATTAAGTGATTGCATTTAAATGTGAACTTATGTATCATCTACTACTTACTAATCATTCGCACTGACTGGTGAGGCATTCTTGCCATTAATCGGGTTCGCCAAGCCCCGTCGCAGCCCCCGGTCGCCGACTCCAATATTATTTACAGATCAACCAGTTCATCAACACTGTAATAAGAGACTAGCTTGCTCTCACGTTCCTGGCGCAGTTTCATCTCAACGAAGGTGTCAATCTTCAAACGCTCATCTGCGCTCAACAAGTCTAGTCGATCTTCGACCGTCGTGAAGGGTCCGAAAAACTTTGGATCAATAAACTTCCAATAGATTTCATCAAACATTGAACTACGCCGTGAAGCAAGGCAAATCCAAAATTGCCCAGTCTCCAGCGACGTCCCCATACCAGTCGACAGTCGTTGAGACTCTGACAAGGTTCCGTCTTTGATTTTTCTTGCCTCGCAATCTCGGAGGACCTCGAGGAATATATCGAATTTTGGCGTAAAACGACTCAAAAGTTGATCTAAATCGTCCTCCCAGTCCTCTGGGCGCTCTAGCAAGAGCCACCAAGGAGCGGCGTAAGTGAATTCAACAGGAGCAGCATACGTAAATTCCCAGTCAATCACCCCAGTAACACAAGATCCCGAAGCATCTACAAGAACATTGTCGGGGCAAAGGTCATCACAATATAGCCGGAAAGGACCCTTGTCATGTTCGGCGTCTATCCCACGACAGATTTTGCGAAACAGACAGCGCGCGATGTATTTCTGCCGGCAATCGGATTCGTTTATGACTGCGTCGTTAAGCTGAAACTCAAGATGATGGAAATGCTGCTGAGCAAGTTCTTCAAAATAATCTGCCGCATTCTCGAAATGCTGTCGCTTGAAGACATCCAGTGGAATGTTGGAGAATTGAGCGAGTCGATTCATGTTGAAGGTAAACGGTCGCTTTGGCACAGTCCAGCTGCCTAGCTCGTCTCTTCGAACAGCTCCAATGAATGGAAACTCCGGCTTCGAAAGCTCCAGCAATATATTTGCCATACAAGAATAGGCTTTTTTTAAGACAGAAATAGGAGTATCCAAATTCAGGGTTCTTGTTTCGCAAGATGAATCCCTAAGATATCCGCTGAGCAGATCACCTTCAATAAAAGACATCACAATATACGGACCAATTGGACATTTGCCAAAGCCCCATATCTTTGGAACGGGGATCGTTGCACGCCGAGAGATAAATTCCATCAGAGCGGTCTCGTCTTCGACTTTTTCATTGCGAGCGATTACTCGACCAAGGGCAGCAAATCGAACAACCACACGAGCTCCATTATCAAAGGTCACTCGATAGCAAACATTGAAAGCGCCGTTTTGAAGTCGTGAGGCGCTCACGGGCATATACGGGCAATGACGGGAAGCAAGCTTGCCTGCCAAGTTTTCTGGTGCATTCCTGAGTAAATTTTGAATCCACGCCTGAAAAATTCGATCTGACTGCTGTTTTGCACGACTGTCGAAGTCCATTGCGCGTGTAAGGTGAGGTCACTAGATAGAAAAAATAACAGTAGACAGCGTTCAGCGGGGAAATATGCCAAGAAAATCACTCGATCATGTGAGCCGACAGACAGGCCAAGGTCTGCGGACCTATTCGATTTTTGGGCATGTGTCAGATAAAAATTTGTATGCAACCACTTTTCAAAGGTTGGGATTTGTTGTCTATCGTCTCCAAGTATGGTACAAACAAAAGTCTACTTGTCTGAGATATCCTGTACTTTTTGTGGATACCCTGTGGGTCACGACCCACAACAACAATAGCATATGGCGGTTCTCGTTCACCACCGGCAAAAATGCAACCTTCAACGATTAGGCCACCGCCGCTAAAGAAAGAGAAAGGGAGCAGAAAGGAGAGTCTATTTACACTCCAATATGGTCATTTCCAAACCATTTCCTGACTAATACCAGTAGGGAATGAGACAAATACCATTCAACTTTGCTATTGTTTTCTCTGTTATATTATTACTGCTAGTATCTCCTTCACTAGTACAACCATCGAGATTCGTTCATTCATTAATGCTGTTCAATTAAGTGATTCCATTTGAATGAAATTATAGGTAAGCACCGTAGACAATATTATTCAGGAATATCAAAGCAGTTGGACGCCATACTGGTGAAAATGAAAATATAGATCTGCTTCAATGTTACCCGCAGGCTTGCCGTTCAATCTAAGCATCATCAACACTGATAAACACACTCTTGGTCTCCAAGTAGTTGTTGATGCCAACAGTCCACCCCTCACGACCGATTCCACTCGCCTTATAACCACCAAAAGGCATATCATGCGCTCCCGTAGGGCTGGTGCAGTTCACACCCACATTTCCAGATTCTAACTTCTTGGCCATCCGAAGCGCTCGACTAACATCCTTGGTGTAAACCGAAGCGTACAAACCGAACTCAGTATCGTTAGCCTTGGCGACAACTTCAGCCTCGTCCTTGAAGGTGTTGATGGCAACAACCGGGCCGAAGATCTCCTCCTTCATGATCTTGGCGTTCTCGGGTGTCTCCAAGAAGATAGTCGGCTGGATGAAGAATCCGTTTGTGTGCTTGGATGGACCATCTCCCAGGATCATCTTGCCTGTCTTCTTACCCTCCTCGATGTAGGACTGGACTTGCTTGTACTGGATCTCATCGGCTTGGGGGCCGTGATCTGTACTTGGAAGCAAGGGGTCGCCGCTTTCAACGACGAAAGCCTTCTGGAACTTCTCGATGAAGGTTGTGGCGATGGATTCATGCACGTAGATTCTGGAGTTCGCCATGCAGACTTGACCGCTGTTGAATTGCACTGAGTTCTTTGTCTCTTTCACGGCCTTGTCGATATTGGCATCTTCGAAAATGATCGCGGGGGATTTGCCGCCCAATTCCAAAATGACGTTCTTCAAGTTGGACTTGGCGGCCGCGGCTTGGATAAGACGACCGGTTCGGCCTGAGCCGGTGAAGCTCATGACTCGGATATCCATATGGTGGGAGAGGACGTTGCCTGAGATGTGGCCATGTCCGGAGATAATGTTAAACACACCGGGTGGGAAACCAACCTTCTCGATGAGAGTAGCAACCTTGGCAGACTGTGATCATAGTTAGCACATAGGGAAGTAATAAGGGAGATGGTCAGCCAACTTACAGTCAATGGCGCTTTCTCGCTACTCTTAACAACAACAGTGTTTCCTGCCATTAGCGCAGGAGCGGATTTGCTGATGAGGAAAAGCACAGGCACATTCCAAGGAATGATAGCGCCCACAACACCGTACGGCTGCTTCATTGTCATATTGACAAAGCCGGGGGTATTCAGACTCGAAGTTCCCAGAGCTTGGTACCCAGCTTCCGCGTAATGGTTAAGGTAGTCCACCGCAGCACGGCCCTCAATATACTTCGAAACAGGACGGCCCATGGACAAGGCCTCGATCTCTGCAAGCTCATCGTGAGCTTCTGCAACGAGGGGGGCAAGCTTCTTAAGATAGGCTCCCCTGGCACTAGGAGAAAGCGCAGACCATGCTGGGAATGCGGCCTTGGCGGCTGCGACAGCCGCGTTGGTATCGTCCTCCGTGGCTTCGGATACTGGAGATCTCGTTAAGCTAAGTGTTTTTCAGATGCGACTCTGGGGAATTTACCTTCGGCAAACTTTTCACCTGTAGCAGGCGAGATCAAGTCAAATTTGCCGCCGTCGGACGCCTCGACAAACTTCAATTCTGTCAATAATGCACAAGCTGTCAATGACGTACAAGAGGTGAACATACCTTGCCATTGATGAATAGGCGGGTCTCGAAAGACTTTACATTAGGGTTTTGTTTGATGTTCATTTTGACGATCTTGTTCAGCTTCACTGGGATTTGAATGGGGCCTCGATGGGTTTTAAGTTGGGGTTGAGACGAAAAATTGGAGACAGTGTGATTGTGACCTTTGCCCGGCGCCCAGTGGCGTGTCCAGTGCCGGTGCCCCGCATATGTGGGTTCCCTTCAAAGTTGAAACAATAGCGCGGAGGTAGCGAGCTTTAGAAGTGCCGGACTCATGTGCTAGTGCCCTTGGAACTTAGAATTTGTCTAGATTTATGGGTATCTTAAAATTGTCAATGTGGGATTTAAACCAAGGAGCGGAAGCAAATTATGATTTGGTGGGGATATTTTACTAGCTTGTCAAATATTTAATAGAGACACATGCCAAAATCACTGCTTCAGATACGCTAGTTGCCAATCAAGGGGTGCCTTCGCAGCCTCAACAGGACCAAGATCCCCACCAGGAGCTCTCCGCCGCTCCCACTCCCCAATATCCCGATGATCAACAAAATTCCCATGCAATCCCAGTCGCAATTTAAACGGCAGGTGGATTGTTGCAACGGGCCCAGCCGCAAGATTCCCCGCATCGACGATCACCACATCATTCCGAAGAACATCCAGCCGGTTCACCAGCGCAATAATCCACCCCTCGCCCTCACCCCCACCTTCCCGAGGAATAAACGTGGGCTCCTGGAAGGTAGCTCGCGGACCAGCCCAGAGGACGTCCTCGGATTGGTCGTCCCAACGATAATGACCAAGACAGTTGAATAGTCCACCCGCAGGAGACCCGCATTTCGCAGCATCATACTCCCTCGACGGATCGATTCTCGCTTGCCAGAAATGATTGTATTTCTTTGTAACATAGCGGTCGTCGATGCGGGAGAACTCGCCGCTGGTGTTCCAGACTCGCTCGGGCTTGACCCATGATTCTGAGTCTTGGCTTGGATCGAAGACCCAGCGGTGGGTGACGCTTTCGAGTCGGTTTCTTGCGCCTAGGTTGCTTGCGTCCTCGTTTTCTGGTGGGAAGAAGAAGAAGACGTTGCCGTCGGCTACTGTCAGGTCGAATACGATGTGTCCTTGGTCGTTCTCGTAGCAGCCTGCTACGTGGCCGTGGAAAGCTGGATGATCGGTTAGCAAAGATGGAAAATATATATCGGAGGCTCAGATCAGGGATTGGTGAGAGTATATGTGTTACCATTTTCAGCGCGGAACCATTTGATATCCTCAGGCTTCCCGCCTCTTCGCGGGACGACGCCATACCACTGACTCTCCGTAGGATCCCACGCCCAATGATTGCCGCCGTTCTTGAGGCGATCAACCGAGCACTTCAACGGGGTCAGAGGAAGAACAAGATAGTTTTCCGAAATGCCGCAATCATGAATCATTCCACAAAACGGAGACTTGTACCACGTTTCCTCAGTCTTCTTGCCATCCGCATCAATGGTATAAACAACAATATCGCAAGAACCGTCATTACCATCACCACCAGCCTCATAACCAAAACAAACCATTTCACCAGTCTTGGGATCAAACTTGGGATGCGCAGTAAAAGTCGGTGCTCGAACCTGTCCCTCAAAATCATATCTTCCGATCGTCTCCAACGTAACCGGATCCATAGCATACGGCGGCCCATCTTCTTTAGAGGCAAGTAGCATTCCACGCCAAAATGTGATGTTGGTGTTAGCCACGGTGCGAATCACGCCTTTCACAGAGTCGGAATCAGTGTGGGGATTTCGGTATTTCCCAAAGAGCGCTTTCCGGGCTTCTGTTTCGGCGATGAATCTATCGGTCTTGGCATATCTTTGTTTAAAGTCTGCGTGGCCATTTTGAATCCGAATTGCCGTTACGTTGCCATCGCCGCTGAAGTGTATATCTTCTTCAAACAGAGGCGGGAATCGGTGGTCGGGCTGAACTCTGAAGAACGTTCCGTTGATCTCCGGCGGGATTTCGCCATCTACTTCGAGATCAAACACGTCGCCTTCTATTCGGCTGGGAAGATTGAAGGTTTGGAAGACGGGTGTTTGGGGTATTTGACTTGGTCGCCTGTCTTCAAACCGTTGACATACGGATAATCAACGGGGATGTCGTAGATGTGAGCCATGCTGGGCCCTTGTCTCACAGTGAATTTTGACCTATTGGTAATATTTGAAATACCAACATAAGAAGGTGGACGGACGTAAATTGGCTGATTTTATGCATTGCCCTCCATTCCGAATGTACATTGCATTGGCCTGCTTACATTAACATCGGAAGCATTGAACCGAAGAACTGCCGAACAACTGGGGTAATATGCATCTGGGGCAAATCCGGACTAGTCGGACCCCAGGAAATCCCCGCTTTCTGCAAGAATTTGTATACTTGCTAATTGGTTTATTGGTATATGCACCTCATTTCTAATGTCGGCTTCAGTCAGCCGTGTTGTTTTGCCTTGTGGGGTAGGCTCTCTAGAGCAAGTATCACTCCTCCTTGTGTCTTGTATACATAAATTGAACCAACAGCCACGTTTTCTTGTTTGAATACAAAAATATCTTTGAAGTCTGCAATATCAGAATAGTCAGAAAAAGTACATCTCCAACATTTCCAGTTCGATTTCCAAACCACATAATGGGCGAAACAGCAGAGTCCGTGGACATTACCGCTCTCGTTGCCACAGTGCAAAACCTTTCAAACGAGCTGACCAAGTTGCAAGGTAAAACCAATATTTCTACTTTCTGATCTTTCTTCTCCATCAAACTAACAGCCTGGCAGGTGAATCCGAGGTCAGAAAACTGCACCACAAATACGGCTACTACCTAGACAAGTGTCTCTACAAAGAAGTAAGCAACCCACCAACCCCACCCAACTCCAATCCACCACAGTGCCAAGTTGACCACCAGCAAACCAGGTATCAGAGCTATTCGCCGACCACCCCGACACGTACGTACAATTCCTCAACGGCCGCTTCGACGGCAAAGAAGGCGTAACACGCCTCTACATCGACCGCTTCGCAAACCGGTTCGTCGGCGGCCGCAACGGCCCAATCGACGGCTGGCTCCTCGACCACCTAATGGCCCAAGACATAATAGACTACGACCCCGCCGCCGGCCGCGCGAAGGCGCGTATCCGCGCCTTCATGAGCGCAGGCACGCACGAGTCCCTGCCTGCCGACTTCCCCGGCGGCCACAGGCAGTGGTGGGAAGGCGGCTTGTACGAAAATGAGTACATCTTGCAAGATGGGGTCTGGAAGATTCTGCGGCTGCGCTATTTCCCTTTCTGGCATGGGTCTGTGGAGGAGGGGTGGAAGGGGTCTAAGAATTTCGTGCCGATGTTTAAGGAGGCGGATGTGTTTCCGGCTTCGAAGGTGGGGCCGGATGCGTTGGTGAGTGGTGCGGCGCTTTGGCCTGATACGAGGGTTATTCCGTTTCATTATCCTCATCCTGTTACGGGGAGGCAGGTGGAGGAGGGGGATATGCGGGCGCCGGTTTGGAGGGAGGAGGCGGGTACGGCGGCGCCGGCGAGGAGGATTGATGATTGGGGGTTTTGAGGGGGTAGTTTTGGGGATTGTGATGGATTTTTAGTAGTTTGAAATTGAGGAGTTTCTATTCTGTGGTTTTAACTATTGTATCCTGTTTTAAGTCTCAAGTGCTCTATATGCGATCCATCATTAGCTCATTCTGGCGGGGAATCTGATGGTCTAATCAATGGATTCGGCGCAGGATGTACACAAGGTCTATTGAGTATCTCGTAGAGACTCACTGTTGTATGCAGTGGATTTGCTTTCCCCACTACCCCCTCATCTGCATTATTCACCCCATGCAAGACTAGGCTAGCCCCACATAATCTCTTCAAGCATGGTGCATTGGCCCCGCCCAAGTTTGTGTCTGATAGATTAACACCTATGATTGGATAGGATTGGTCAGAAGTCGGCAAATGCACGCACAATAGCCTCCGAGATGCAAGCCGAAGCTCAGTATTATTTCATGTTGAGATATGTAACTTTTCTATCACAGGAAACACAAAACAATTTGTGTGTAGAGGTGGGATGTTGTTGCAAACATGTCCCGACGGTGATTCCAGACGATGCCCAAGAAATCCAATCAGGACGACCCGAATGTCATATCATATGACGATATAGATCACCCATTGAAAAGAACGAAGAGAAAGAAAACGCCGGCTATAGCCACCCATGTATCCGGCTAAAGACCGAGATGCAATGCGTCAGATCGTGTACAGTCATCCACCAGTGCTCAGAGAAAATCACGTATGATTAGAAAGAAATGACAGCAACACCGCGGAGATTTTTCAAGTAGCGAGAAGAAGTATATTGAAGATGATATATGATAACACGATCAATGATAAATACTCAACCCTGTCAACCGTGGTATAGACGTTGTGTCGGGAAGTGAAAAAAAACTGGAAGTTCAAGCGAATGGCTAGTATATCCAGAGAACGTATGCTCATAATAAACCCTCGGAGAGGTTTCATGAAAGGCGAATAATGGAACGAGTGTCCGGAGATGAAGAACAATGGGACTGAAACCTTGAATGAAGTAACGCTCGAAATAAAAAGAAGAAGAGCATATTTCAGACCGCTAGCGTGACGAGGCCATCAATTGCCCACCTTTCGCTCATTTTTCAGTCCGTTCTTTTCCCATTCATCAAGAAGGCGAGAGACTTCTTTGAATGACACTGGCTTCGTGAGGAACATGTCTACACCAGATGCCAGAGCTTCAGACTCATCGCGGGAGCTGCTCAAGCCAGTCAAGGCGATAATGACGGCCGGTCCACGACTATCGTCTTCTCTCTCCATTGAACGGATGGCCCGGGTCGCCTCGAACCCATTCATGACAGGCATTGACATGTCCATAAAGATAATGTCAAACCCCTGTGGCGCTTGCTCGACCGCTTCCACAGCTAACTTGCCGTTCTCTGCAGCCATCAAATCGGTAAGTCTGCGCTTCTTCATGAAGGTGATCATCAGATTGAGGTTTATTCGGTTGTCGTCAACGACCAGAACACGCGATGCGTGCAGCGGGGGTACGGAGGTTTCCGCCAATGGTCCAGGCAACGGCGCAGCAACAATGGCTTCTGGTGGCGAAGATATGACTGAAGGTGAGTCCGGTGACGTGGCATTTGTTGACTTTGGACTACCACCTGCAGTCTCCGAACCAGTGATTTCAGTCAAGGGAGATTCGATAGGTGAGATCCCAGGAGACCCAACTACGGTGGGAAGAGGTGCAGTCCGGATAACAAGGTCCATCGGATCCTGCAGAACTGAAGATGGAGTTACACAGGCCGATTTTCCATGCTGGAGACACTTGAGCACGCTCCGGGCCAACTTGTGGGGCCCGCATGGGCTTCGGATGATGTCGACAGAAGAGGACAAAGGTAGCCATTCAGAGCGTGCTTTGCTGTAGTCAACTGACCTGTGGCAAAGAATCAGAAGGGCTGGGAGTGTGGCAGACATTCCCTTGCGGAGTTCAAGCAGATCAGACTCTTGGACAAGCAAAATATCAATAGGCCCAGCAGGCGGCCAGGAAACAATTTCCAGACCGAACCACTCAGTCATATACTTGGCGATTTCCACCCATGGCTCTGCCAAGTTCGAAGGATCGGTAGCCCAAATGGCAACCTTTCTATCAGGATATCCTTGATGGAGGAACATGGTTTGTGTGAGAATTTCCCGTTGTTGCATATTCAATGCATGTGGGTCCACGGGTGGGCTCTCTTCCCCTACAGGTCTTGCCAATGGCAGAGATACCCGTACAACAGTGCCTTGATTGGGACGACTGCGGACGCGAATGTGTCCATTCAAAGCCTTGACAAGACTGCGTACAATAGAAAGTCCCAGCCCTGTACCCACAGCAAGCGAATCTTCCTGGGCGAAAGGCGTGTAGAGTCGCCCACGCAGAAACTCTTCCGAAATGCCTCTTCCGGTGTCGGAAACCGTCAGTATGACAAGATCCTCTAAGCCTTGCCTTCTAGAGCGGCCTTCTGAGTGGCTCGAAGCTTCCAAACTCAGACTCACCCTCCCATGGTCTGTGTATTTCATTGCATTTCCGAACAAATTCATAATTATTCGGCGGAGAGCCCCAGGCTGCGTTCGATACACCCAATCTCGCTGCTCAACATCGATAACCACATCCACATTGGAGGGAGACTGGGCCTTTGGGCTGTTCTGCGACAGGAGGACCGGGATATCGGCAGCCGCGTTTGAATTTTGGCCATAAGCATGCCCCAAACAGATACCCTCTACAACTTCTTCGGCTAGGATGGCAAGGTCTGTGGCTACATAGGTGTCCAAATGAGAAGCCAACTTGTCAGTTCCTTTGAAATCGAGCGGGGTCTCTTTCCTCTTTTTCATGGACTTCCAGGTTCGTTCGAGCGAAACAACTTTGCTGAAATCAAGGACCTGATTCATTGTATCCAACAATGTCCTGCCGCAGGCATTGACCGTCTCAAGCAAAGAATCTTGAAATTCGCTGAGCTGTGTGCCGTTCAGGAATTCCGCTGCAGCTAAGATACCATGAAGTGGACTTCTAAGCTCATGTGAGATACTTCCGATAAAATCCCCCTTTTGCCGATCTGCGATTAGTGACTCCACGCGGCTGTATTCTGCCATTACAGATGACCCAAAACCAAGAACGGAACTCAGTTCCACAGCTGATGTGAAGACTTGCGTTTCCACTGTGGTCCAGCAAAAACATCCTGAGAACCACTGAGAATTGACGGCATTCCACAGAGGTACAAAAATGATCTGCGTAGCATTTGGGAAATACAAGTTCAGCATCGTATTCTCTGCGGCTTTTCGTCGCTTGGCCATGGGTTTCGAACCACCGATGGTTGAAGAGGCTGGAGCAGATCGGTTGGCACCAGGAGATTCCCAATACCGGGGAATGTGGTCATCGTCATCATCAGAGGTTGATATCAGGCCATCTCGGTGGAAAGACCAAAGCTTGCCTTTGGGGTATCGTCGAAGTAATAGGGATAAAAATGTACGATCAAGATTGGCAACAGGGTTGGTGACCGACTCATCTCTTTGGCTGAAAGAAAACGGCTCATCATGGGTGGACAACGAGAAAATCGTGGCGGGTCCACTTGTATCGGCAGAACAATCGCTTTCACTATCAGGTTCCATGAAAGGAGTATTGTTCGCCTCAAAGAAAGCTACACCACCGTCTCTACTTAGATCTAAGCTTTCACGAAGGAGATTTGCTGCACGGCTAAAACACCACGAGTTTCCCTGTGAGTCATCTGGCGGTAGTCGATTTCGACTACTACTAGTGACCCATTCTGGCAGAGAGCTCGCAGCGCCGGATGTTCCTGCATCGAGCTTCGATTCAGAGACATCCGAATCGAAGGATTGCACCTCATTGCTAAGAGAGCGAGCATTTGGTGGACTATGCGAGGCCGTCCGATATGGGCTTTCACGAGATCCACTCTGTGATGCCGTCTGATATGGGCTTTCACGAGATCCACTATGCGATGCTGTCTGGTATGGGCTTTCGCGTGATCCGTTGTGCGATGCATGATCCGCGCTGTTTCCCTCGCGAGAGTCTCCAAAAGTACTGAGGCGATTGCTGGTCGACTGGGTGGTCGCAGAGAACAGGCCAATGCTGTCGGCTCGGGAAGGATCGAGGGTATCGACAAAACTTGAGCTACCTTCAACGAAGTAGCTCAATCCTCTTGATAAGCGTGCAGCTCGTCGGCCCTCGGAGGCTTGGCGACAAATCCTCATGTAATCCAATATCAACATTGACAGCGACCCTAGTGTGTCTCTCTCTAGCTCGGATAACCCGTTGCGAGGCTTGCTGTCCAGCACGAAAAGGCATCCCAGGTTGATGTTATTATTCGTGGTTAAGGGGGTTCCGGCGTAAAACTTAAATTTGGGATCCTTCTCGACAAATGGGAGTTGTTTGTACCGTTCGTGTTCGCTCAAGTCGTTGATGGTAAGTAATTGATAGTGCGCATTCTGGCGATTGGAAGGAGGTAAGGCGGCAGTGTCCTGTCGGATTTGGTCGTCAAATGAAGCTCCGGAAAACATCTCGAGGGACAGCTAAAAAGTTTCCCAGCACAGCGACGTGTTTACTCACCTGACACAGATTCCATGCCTTATGACTCCCAGATGACCCCATCCATATCTGATCATGTTTATCATGTTGTGATGTGTCATTCAAATTCATGGACTTGGTTGCTTCGGCCAAAACAAACTGCTGATCTCTATCAAGTACGCAAATGAAAGCGCGTTCCACATTCAAGCGCAACGCCGCCAGTTGCGCAAAGGATGTCAATGTATTGTTGGATGTTCCTAGAACCAGGGACTCGGGCCCAATCGCCGTGGAAGGACCGGAAGCGGTGCTGCTGCCCGACTTGCACGACCCTTCTTGTATTTCTTGTATCGGGGGTGTGTTCACTTGTGAGGTCCCATTTGAGCTCGGGGAAGAGAGACCGTTGCCTGCAGACAGCCAAGACGGAACTACGCCAACTGGCATAGCCGGCTGGTAGTAACGGTAAAGTTCTCTCGCTCTCCGGTCCGCATGGTGCTGAGCCTTCTGCCCTGTCTCTTTCACCTCCATGTTGAGCCGCTGGGGCTGGGGCAGAGGCATCTTTCTTCCCCGGTATCTTGGAAGTGGCAACGGTTGTGCACGATGATCGACTTGTATGTTCGGCCGGTTTGCCGGCAATTTCGGGGGAGGGGTCGGAGGGAGGATTCCGAAGGTGTGCAAAGACAGTTGTAAGGGACTGTCAATCCCTATCGAAAGGGTGCGGGTCGATCAATCTGCGAGCGGACAATAGCCCTGTGCAGTTGTGAGGTGGAAGGATAAAAAGTGGACAACCCCGAGAAGATGGGCACCCCACCAGCTGCGCACTAGGATTATCCGAGGTAGGTGAAACGGGGATCATGAACAGCTAGGGCAGGGGGGTACCGCACAAGGACACCATCTGTCAGGTGGAGACGAGTGTTAGGGAGAGGGGAAAAAGGTCCCCATCGATGTGATTAGTGAGATTGAGGCCGATGCGGATTGTGACTCGATCGGCTGTGCATTTTGTACCCACCGCTCCATAAGCTTCTGGGGGTCAAGGAGGGGGGAACAATAATTTCCGCTGCCCCTTGGAGCCATAGACAATGCAGGGCGCCATGAATCGCCCCAACCAAAACGCCAATGGGCACGAAAGCCACACATACGGGACCATGATCAGCATTGTGGGATGGACGAGGTGTGGATGAACATCAACAAAAACGGAAAAGAGTAAAAACGCCATGTGGGTCCCGATGTCGAATCACGGGCTTTCCCAGCCTTGCGCCTCAGGCCACCAGCATTTTATCCATTGACAGCTTTCAGGCACAGTGGATCTTTTTCGAATTTCTCACTGAGATCCTCCACACAAAACTAGCATCAAAATGGAGAACAGAAAAAAGTCAAAGCCCATCAGTGGGTCTCGCAATGCAGTAGTCCGCACAGAGTTCATTACTTGAAATCCAAGAATAACGATTCCTTGGAACTTGTCTCTTTCCACATCGAAATTCCGACCAAGACCGAAGAAATCATGCCAGATCGGGAATGACTAAGGGGGTCACTGTTCTCAGCCAACTCGTCACTGGGCGTCTGGGTGGCTGCTAGCGCCCGCTACCGCCGATCCCACCATTGAAATCTCCCCCTGTGAAACGCCCCTGTCGCAAGTGGCGGTGGCAAACTTTTCCGCAACGCGTACCGATACCAGAAATAAGGATGTGTTACTAATGGCTGATCACCCCCCACGAGGTACCGGTACATTGGGTCTTGAATCTAGTGACTTTTAAGAATTGTGGCCGGTGATGGCACCCCAAATGTATGCAACCCATCCACCCATCGTCACAAACAAGAGCATACCAAAACAACCCAGTGAAATTACCCGGGTCTGCTTGGCGTGCGCCACCAAGCTGCGCTCTTTATTTGCTTGGATGACCTCAGCTCCCATCGTTAACCTCTTTTTCCGAGTCCACTGCAAGACCGCGAGGTACGGGCTCACGAAAGATCCGATCAAAATGGCACTTCCGACAACCAACGATCCAGCGGCCATAAAGAGGTACACTTGCACTACGCGATCGTAACTGTCGTCATCGGCGTCCTGGAGCGCCCCCGTGATTATACGCAAAATAATGGTCATGCTATGTGCTGGTCAGCGGGATTCCTCATGACGCAGGTGTCATCGATACTCACGCGTTATTCATCGTGACTTTGAGTGAATAGGCAGACCCAAAGACCGACTGATTCCAGAGAGTTGTGCGGATACTGTCGATGACCGAAGTCGGGCCGAATGACATTGCGACGGCATAGATCCCGAATGACGCACCGGTGCCAGCCTTGGATGGAGCAAAGTTGAGGAGGACCATGCTAAGTAGCATTCCAAGCCCACAGGTGAACACTAAAACAGTCAATGCCTGTAGTAGGCCCTGGCGGATACTCTGTTTACTTACTGACGGACGCTCTGTGTCCAAGAACATCGATAAAGATACCAAGAACCGGGACCAAAACACAACCTAACAATAAAGTCAACACCGAACATCCAGACCACGGGCGGGGCGAGATGAATAAACACAATGCGTACCTGCATACTCCGACAGCGAACTGTACCATCCGGCCTTGATCGCGCTCACGTTGAACCTTTGCTCGGCCAGTTCCGTCACGTTCGTGCTGAATGCCGAAGATGTGCTAGTCTGGAAAAGCGAGAACGCCATGACTGCCCAGAATGACCATGGTAATTCAAACACCTTCCTCAATTCAAACTTTTTGTTCTTCTCCGTCAATTGTTCGTTTGTCGCATCGTCGCGCCGCCCGCTGAAGTGTCGATCACTATACTTATTAAAGAACCAGAAAACAACGGTGGCCGCATTCGTGAATAGGTTCATGAAAACCGATGTCCAGAATGACCAGGCAAAATTACCCGTATTCTGTTATTGTCAGCGCCGTCAATTTCTCATCATGTCTAAGCTGCTGCGACTGACCTTTGCGATAACATTAGCAGTAGATTTGCCAATAAATCCGCCAACCTTTCCGATGGCCAACTCAAATCCCAGAGTAGACGCGAAGCCATTGCTCGGTGCAAACCAAGAGGAGAACATTTTGTATTGAGCAATCTGCGTAGCAATATCGCCGAAGGCCAGAATGATTCTACCTCCAATCATGAAGTTGAACGATCGCATGGTTGCCGCAGCTGCGACCAGTATAGAGCCGATGGTATAGACGATGTTTCCGTAGACGATCATTTCTAACATTTCAGCCGTGATCAGATAATATTACCAACAATGCAATATGTTTCAAAAACACTTACCAGCGCCTCCAACACGGTCTGTAAGTAATCCGCTCGGCAACAATAGAACAGTGGCCATGAAGTCTTCACTAGCTTCCAGCAACGCGAATTGAACATTGTCGATATCCATTTTCTATGTGAATTCTTCAGATTAGCCTTAGACCCCTCATCACCCGAGATTCATTCGCAATTCAACCTTTTTAATTGTGCTCTTCATAGCGCTAGTCACGCCCGAGCTCCAGTGTGAACCAAAACTGATACATGCAATCAAGGCGACTGCAAATAGCCGGGCTTTCAAAGGAGGCGGTACTTTGCCGTCATTGGACTCAGCCAACGAGACTTCCTTTGACTCGTCGCCTTGTGCATCGTCCCGGGGAGATTCAGACACCTCATCCAATGCCGATTTGGACAATAAATCCTTATTCGCCATGTTGGGGTAGGAATATCAATAGCCAGATACTTGGACATCGCCAACAGCGCGTACAGCAGCCCACTTTCCAGTATTTATAACAAATATGAAATTCCCTCAACATCCTGAAAAATCAACAGCCAAGCAACAACAGAGTTAAAACCACGCGCAACGGTGGATTCGATATCAGACAACGGGCAGTGTCCGACCAAGCTTGAAACGGACCACCGCACCGAAAGTCCGAGATTTGTAACTCGTCCAATCACGACCTTAGAAAGAGGTTTCCAGGTGATGATCAATGATCTGATAAGGTTATTGAGCCCGGTGATTTATCCCAAAAGAAAGAAATCTCGCGTTCTCTTTCCTGCCAAGCTCGTGTGTTCGGGGGATCTTCGGATGTTTTTTCCTTGGCCTTCCTTGGTACCAAGGATTTTTGGGCGGAGTGGGAGGTTTTGTTTGTCATATTATGGGAGCTGCGACTGTAATTGGACTTGAGGCGAGAAGATTCTTATGTACTCAGATCCACTCAAGTTCTATCTGGGTTTAAAATAGGGTTGGTTAGCTGCGGACATCTGGAGGGTATCTCGCTGTACCCACATGGCGTGCGTTATCTGATCCGAGGTTCCACTGTTTCTAGAACAAGGTGTCAATGTTTTTGTCACCACGCGTCCCATCCATTCCTTGATCGCGCCACGGCGGGAATTTTGATATTTTTCTTGTGGTAAAGCTTGGAAAATATGAAAGATTCGTTGTTGAGTATTAAATTGTGGGAACCTTGGGTTCCCAGCATGTAAGGTTCAAGATCTCACTTGAAAAACCGTTAGAAAGAGGTCGGATAACGCGTTACCAAAAGTTTGGATAGTTCCAACCTTGCAAGGCGGAATCAATTGATTGATGTGGATTGCAAGAATGCATAGTAGTTATACCACTGTGTATGTAATATGCGCCCGCCCACCTGGGCAAGTGCGGGCATGTGCGGAGGGCATGTCTCAATCAATTTTTCACCTCTCAAGTTCCGGCCTTCCAAGGTCAGTGCACGTGCATACCTGTGCAGGTACCAGTTAACCTATCGAAGCTTCGACATCGAAAAATGGGCATGGTTATCAACCTTAGGAACTCTTTGTATACTTAATTGGGCAACAACAATAATTGGACATGCCATGTACCTTGTATATATATTTCGCTGGATTCTGGAGCTTCCCAAATTCCAGAACCCTTGTCGGCAAGAAAATGAACTGGATCCAATGTGGATCACGTTTCGAAAACGCCTATATTTGCGGAATGGATACACTGGGAGAAAGAGGTCGGGGAAGATAGTTATATTCGGTACTAGGTGCTAGTAGCTTTCCCCAGCTTTGACTTTTCCAGCTCCCCAGGGATCCACTCGGGCCACAACCCCCACGATTTCCCCCATCCAACCACCTCACCGCAATTTTTTGCTTCGTCCCGCAATGAATACTAGTATCTTGGCGTCTCCCTCAGGTTGAACATTTACCCGATCTCAGGGTCATGGCCTGAATCTCATGGCCCGGCTATTCGCACATCCTTATTTAAGGTCCGCAAAGGAGGGGTAATGCTCTGTCCCTCTTCACAAACCAGCTGTGTCATCACGAACGAGTCGCAATGTCTGAATCATCACTACCAATTCTCCCTCCGCAAGAGCCAATTCCCAATCGTCTCCGGGGAATTGTGGCACTGATAACCGGCGCGGCGGGAAACATCGGCTTTGAAACCGCCCGCAGATATCTTCTTGAGGGGGCCAAGGTGGCGCTCGTTGACATTGATGAGGGGAGGCTATGCCAGTCTAAAAATGCATTGATCGAAGCATTGAAGGGGTCATCGCTGGATATCGAGAATGCAGACGAGTTCATTCTTACTGTACAGGCAGACGTCACTGCCGAGGAGGATGTGCAGCGTTATGTCAGTGAAACAACAAAGAAGTTCGGGGGTTTGGATGCGGCTTTGCTCTGCGCGGGTATCTCGTACTCATCCACGAGCATTCTTGACACTGATGTCAACCAGTATGATAAGGTGATGCAGGTCAACACCCGATCAGGTAAGCTTGAGAAATACCAATTTCGTTCGCACTCCGGTACAAGATTATTGACAGTCTTTTAGCTTTCCTGGGCGTGAAGCACTGTGGTCGCGCGATGAAGGACTCTGGAAATGGCGGAAGCATAATTCTGGTATCGTCTATCGCTGGGCTCCGTGCCACGCCAGGCCTTTCGGCGTACTCGACCTCTAAGTTTGCACTACGCGGCCTATGTCTGACTGCCGCGTCCGAGCTTGGCCAACATAACATTCGAGTGAACACAGTACACCCATGCGGAGTCAACACACCTATGTTTTTGGCTGCCTGGCCCGAAGAGAAGATGAAGAGTATGCTAGCGACCGTACCTCTTGGTCGATGGGCAGAAGTTGCAGATGTCGCTGCATTATGCTCCTTTTTGGCCAGCCCCGATGCGCGCTTTATGACAGGCGGAGCTCTGAAGGTCGACGGGGGAATTGTGATGTATTAATAGAATGATAGCATATATAAGAATCGATGGAGATGAAATCTCCAAAAAAGTTCAACATCAATACAAATTAGATTTTTCGTATATCTTGGAACATTAGTCCAGGCTAGCTAACCGCCAGCTGCCACCAACAAGTTGATGCAATGTAAATAACACTATCCTCTATAGGATCAACGCCGCACCAAACACACCGCAGACAACCGTGTAAGTGGCTAGACCCCAAATACCGAAGTTGAAGCTAATGGGCGATACAAGATTATTCGCAGCTCCCTTGCTAGTCGAAGACGCAGTGTTACCGGTCGCGGTCGAGGTAGAATCAGAGCTAGCCGCGCTGCCCGAACTACCCGAGTCGCCGGAGCTACCAGAGCTTCCTGACCCCGTTGCCGCAGCGTTTTTCGCGTTATACGGAGCCGGAGTGATGACAGTGATATAGCTCGGGAATATGGAGAAGGTATATGGATCCGGAGCACTAGTAAGGCTTCCGGCATCGGTGGTAGTCGAGAGCGGTTCTGTGCCGGGGAAGCCCGAGGGCAGTTGGCCCGGGTTGTACCAGGTAGACGCGAGAGTGTCCAAGGTGAAAGAGCTCACACATTGTTCCGGGTTGGAGAGAATGGAGCAATCGTCAGAAGCGGACTCATTATAGCCGGACTGGAAGGTTTCCACCATCAGGTCGATGTCGATGTCGGTGAGGTCGTTGTGGGGGCACATTTCGACAAACCTATAAGCAAGCATGTCAATCAACTGAGGTCTCTGCGTAGATGAGGTGTTTCATGCCAATCAAGTGACTTACTCGGACAGGAAGGATGAATCCCAGCAGCACTGGCAGCTGGCCGTCTCGGCAACGGAGCCATCGCTGGCGAAATCCAGACAGGGCGCGTTGAGGGCATAGCTTTCAGTGAAATTGCCCCAAAGGTAACCCAAGTTGCACACTGCAGGATATATTTGTTAGAATACATGGGGATGAATTGTGCGCATTGCAAGTTGGAATGGGGGTGATTCTTTCTTACCGCATCCACCAGGCGCGTTATCTGGAGCAGGATAGTAAGGGATTTGGTCGCCCTGTGTCCGGTCGGCGCCATTGAGGTATTGCAGGGCCGTTTCTTGGTATGCGCATGAGTAGACCTATGAAATGTGAGTTTGTGTTAGAGAAAATGGGCGAGGAGCTTGAAGAGGGAGTAAATCATACCTCGTTCCAACAGCTGGTCAACCAGCAGCCGATATTGGCAGCCAACTGTGCATTGCCACAAGCCAACACACATGTTGAATAGACATCTCCCTCGCAATCGTTTTTCGCATCAGTCATGCAAGTCGTAAGTGTGTTCACGTTATTCTCATAACACTGGAGATATCCACTCGGGTCGACACAGCCCTCACCATCAGGGTTCAGGTTTGATGCATCAGCGGCGGCTAGGGCCCAGAGCAACGATTGTGCCAAGAAGAACGATTTAATGCCAGCCATGGTGCGACAAATTGCTTGCTATGTACCAAGCTTCCTCAGAGAAAAGGCGCGAACTTTCAAAATGCCCAGCGGGCGACATTAAATACATAAGCATGACACTGAATCTTGGTGGCTGCTTATTCTACATGACTAGTATCCCCGAGGCTGAGGGTTTGTCCATGAACTGGGAAAGTCGGCATTTTACAGGTTCTCAAATTGGTCAACTTAACCGATTGAAAAATGCCAAGACGCGATGTTTTCCTTTGATCTAACCCAATCGGACGGGAAATGATGTTTTGGCGTGAGACTTGTGAGGAGTACTCCATACGGAGTGCCCGTACGGAGCAGTCGGAAGGGATTCAGGGACTACCAGCTCCACTTTGGGCATGCATAACCTTGGAAGTTGAGCCAATCCAGGCCAGAGCTAGAGAGCCCAGGGGGTGGCTGACCGCTTATGGCTGGTCCTGGCTGGTCCTGGCTGGACCCTGCTTTTCCCTCGTTTTCCCTTCTTTTCCCTTATTTTACAGCCACGGATACGCCCTGCAGCGCCTGCTAGCTTAAGTTGGTATAGCCGTCGGAGCTAAGCCAGTTTGGTCGAACCGCCTGATAAGAGAGGCCCAATGCAGTTAGCTCAGCGCTAATCGGCCCTGAAAGAAGTCTCCACGTTTTAGCAGTTCCGATATGATGAACAAATCACGGTGAACCTCGAAACCCTTCACAACAAGCTGTCGGAGAATTGAAAGCCGATGTGCCTCTCCAATCGTCCGATCGCTACTTTGTCGCGAAATTGCTTGTGAGATTCAGGGCTCTTGATTATTTATCCATTGATTCTGTGTACATTTGCTCCGCTGCCCTTCTATTCCACAAGACTACACTCTCATACTTAGATCTAAAGCCGAATAGAGATACCGGGATCGAAAAAGGGAAATTCGCAATGTAGAAATTGCATCGCGGCGAGTGAAAAGAGCAGTACTTCATATCGTTGATGTAAAGAACATTCCAAAGTGTCTACGCTTGTGCCTACAAAGTCATACATTGACATCGGGAAGCTCTTCAGAGCTCCCCAGCACAAGACTTTGGGACTCCCAGTCTGCATCTGCATCTGCGTCTTCATCATCTTCATCTTCCGACTCCCCCAGCCCCATATGTCCCGTATCAACCTTTTGAAGTCCCTTCCCACGTAGCGTCATCTGCCCTCTCCATTGACCCAGCAATTGCTGCGGCTTCCAACGAGGGTGATCACACCGCCAATACTGCACCGCAAAGACGCGCCTTCCCATCAAATCCGCCTCCAAGCCAGCTTCGGCATTTCTTTTCTTCTTGATAGATAGTTCCGCCACATCAACGTCGAGCGCCTCCAGCCCCACAGGGCTTATCCCAGCCGCCGCAGCCGTGGGGAACTGTGCCGCGGCATTGAAATTAACTTCGCTCGCTTTCAAGGCATTTGTTTTGACGCGCCCATCGCTCACTAGAAGAATGCCGGTGATCATCCACACGCGGTGTACTCCTGCGTTGCGCATCATGTTCTGAACTCCAGTCATGATGTCCGCGTTTGTTGTGAGCGCTTCGAATGCCGACCGTGCGTTTTTGATCCCTCGTTTGGTTATTTGGTCGCTGGAAAGTGCGACCCCGCCTGTGCTTGTACGCGACCCGCCTATTGTCAGCGCTTTCCTTGCTGCTGCGTTAGCCGATGTGTGCGAAATGGTTGTGATGAACATCTCGACGTTGCCGAAATCGAGATCCTCATTGATGAATTCGGGGGTTATTATCTTGGTCGGGTCTTTGGGCTCGTAGCCCTCTAGTAAGTTCCATCGGTCGAGGACAAAACGCCCAAGTAGGCTGTCAGCTTCTGGACCGGAGATTTGGTTGAGAGGGTCCAGGAAATGGAACGTAGGCAACGACATCTGAAATTTCAATTTGAGTGCGCAAGAGCCTGGGACCGGCGGTGATAGAAAAAAGGAGTTTAATCTAAACACACCCCCTCTCATGCTAACACACCCCCACATAACCTACTAAGCCTAATCAGGATAGATTGATGCCTGAATTTTCCCAGTCATACCTTAGGCAGTAATAATTCCGACCGCTTCTTTCACCGCCTTTACTATCATCTTACCGCCTTCAAAAACTTAATGCCTTAATTCTTAGGCCAGAAGTAAAAAATTGACTTCCAAAAAATGTACATATCCTTACAAAAAAAAATCAGGCACCAAAACCTTCTCAAGTCTATTCTTAAGTCCATTCTCAAGTCCACTCTCAAGTCCACTCTCAAGTCCACTCTCAAGTCCATTCTCGAGTCCATTCTCGAGTCTATTCTAGATCGATGGGTGGGGGGGAAACGGCAGCGGCATGGGGTGTGCGGGCGTGGGGCTGACTCAGCAGCTTTTTGGCAGAAAATAAAATAAAATGATGCCTGATTGTGGCCTGAATTCTTTTTTGTAAGAATACTAGTATACTAGTCATACTAATACATTTTCAAACATTTGACTTTTTTTCTGCCAGCCATGCTTCGGCAGAAAAAAATAACCTGTCCCGATTAGGCTTAGTGGGTCACATGGGGGTGTGTTAGCATGAGAAGGGGGTGTGTTTAGATTAAACTCCTAGAAAAAATCCAGAAGATTGTTTCTTTCGACTGTGATCAGGACTGACGCAGCTAAGGCAGGTGCTTGAACCACGCTCACCACATAACTGTCTCAGTTCAACACCATAATCCGGAGATATGAAGCGAGGGAGTCCATATATAGCTATAGCTGCATTTATGTATGCTGAAACTTTCGGGGTGATAATAGCCGAGGAAATGATTCAGCTGACATGCATCATAGGCGCCTTTTTCATCTGCAGCTCGTATTTTGATACAGCGGGGTAGATGTCACGCCAAGAAACACCAGGGTCCTAGAAACAAAGGTCGCGTCTTGGGCCTTTTTAAGAGTCGCGACTGCGACAAAGATTCCCAAATCACCCAACAATGGAGATTTCATGTCACCAAACGGGTACTATATCAGACCGGTCATGGAGGATTTCACTGACCTGCGAGGGAGCTAAACGGCATACTGATCTCCACGACCCCTTCAAAATAGAAGCTGAGGAAAAACTGATTCAGTGGTATTTGGAAGATTTTGCTGTTAAGCCATTTGCGAAGTATCGCGCGGCTGCAGCTTCCGCTGAGCTCCGACGATATGGCAATTCGCTTTGGCAGCAACTCGGAATTACAACAGGAAACAAGACCCCGAGTACAGTCAATCTCAAGATATTGCTGTATCGAGGCTCCCGAGATATTGACAGGATCCACTGGGAAGTCCTCGAAACAATTCAAGGCCTTCCCTTCAACATAATTGTTCACAGAGTGATAATCAATGACACCTTCCAACATCAACTCTCAGCTAGCAACTCTCCGTCAATTCGCGATGGCATTTTCCGCATATTAATAGTATCTGCCAGATCAAACACAAGACCCGATGTGCCCTACAGGCTTACAAGCCTGCCTCTTCTCCAGACTCTCAAAGGAAACCCTAAAGTTGAAATGGAATTCGTGCACACTGGAACTTTTGAAGAGTTTAAAGAGACTTTAAGCCAGAAGCCTGTATCCCGAAAGGCTCACCTGGTTCATTTTGACCTCCATGGAAGAATTGATAAGAAGAAAGGGTAGGAAAATCATCAATTCAACCTCCGCTCCTCCACACCCCCCAAGATACACCAAGACAAGATATGCGATTCATGCTAATCATTAAAAACTCAAACAGGCCTGTTCTGGAATTTGCAGACTCGAATTTGGCCCATCGAACAAGCCACACTGCATCGTCAGTTGCCAAAGTACTCCACGAAAACGGAGTACAATGGGCGGTTCTATGTGCCTGTCGTACTGCAAAAGCGACTTCCACATTCAATCACCTAGCAATAGAGTTTCTTGAAAATGGGATTAAGGGAATATTCGCCATGAGGTATGAAATCAAAGCGACTGCTGCAAAAATAATAACCTCTTCTTTCTATCATGCGCTTTGTCAAGAGGGGAAAACATTTGTCGAAGCTGCATATACCGCGCGGCGTGCTTTGCAAGAAAATCCCTCACGTCCCGCACATTTTGGTGAAATGGTCGACATACAAGACTCTTTGGTACCTGCAGTATATTCCGTCGACGGGGAGAATTTTCGACTGGCATGCGAAGAGCTTCTGCCAGAGATAATTGGCAGAGAAGATGATATCCGGCAATTAAGTAGGATCATGCGTCGGGAAAAATCTTTCCTGGTGGCTTTTGGTGACATTGGCAGTGGTAAATCACTGCTTTTGAAACACCTGGCCTGGTGGTGGAGAGAATCGGGGCTCTTCCGCCGAGTGATCTATTTAAATGTTTCTCTCTTCAGCACTACACCCAACGAGGATATTCCAGTTGGGCTGATGGCCGTTGGAAGAGGTTTCTGGCAATCTATTCTTGGTGACAGCACAATTCAGCCCAAAAGTTTGGATGCGGTATCCTATCTCACTCAGGCAATGGAAGCAGCCAAGGATCAGGATTGTATTGTTCTCCTTGATGGTGTTGATGAGACTTACAAGTACCCATCAAAAAGTGACGACACTGCGGATGAATGGCTGAGTTTTTTTAACATCACCAAGAATCTGTCTGCCACCGGCTTTAAGCTGGTAGTGGGAACCAGCTCCCGCTCGCTGGTCTCTGATGAAGATGCCAGCAGCAGCGTTTTCGAGATCAGTCGTGAAATGACGACGCTAGACGCTCGAAAGTTTATCACCAGCAGTCAAATGCAACCTCAAACGTCAGGTCCTTCAAAGGACTCGCCTGATACCCATCTTCTTCGCGTATTCGAGGTATTGCAATACAACCGCACTGTTTTGAAGACTCTCTCTGGTCAATTGGAGGGAAAATTTCACGGACTAGAGGCCATTTTATCGTGGGATATTGGACTCGACCGTGACGCGCCCAAAGGAGCGATGTTTTGCTACATCTCTGAAAAGGCCGAAATGTTCAGAAGTCTTGACCTTAACGATAGCCAAGGTCTTGGTCGCACACATCACCTGATGATTACAATTATGAAGCATCTGGTTCGACATGGCCGATATCGAGATATTTGGGCTTTGCTTTCTATTGGCGTGTGGGTTGACGTACTCCCCCATCCAGATGGAATAGCAGACATCTTCCAAGGTGAAAACTTTGCACTGAAGATGGCTGCTCCTCTTTTTAAGGAAATGGTGGATATCGTACCGGACGTCAATCTTGTTGTATTCCCTTTACCATTCGAGCTGTGGTCTATGCTGAATAATGTCACTCTGTTAGATAATGATCAGTCTTCTTACGCAACAGAGGAAATGGTCGAATCTTTGAGATATGTCGTACAGCTTCTGGTCGCGGCGAGGTTACTCACCGGCCGCACTGAAGTACTGATAGACGGAAAGCAGGGATACCGACTGCACCCGGCTCTTACAATCTGGATTCGGCGGATTTTACGAACCCAGGTTTGTTTCGGTATTCGCTGTGGCCTTTTTGTCTGTATGGAGCAGAGAGCTGGGCAAATGCTTGAGCTCAATGATGACATCCCCATAACACAGGAGAAAACTTCGATTCTATCTCCCTCCTTCCCATTCATCGAAAGGGAGAAATGGAATTTAATGGCGGCTGTCGCTGGAATGCACCAATACTCCCATCTCCTTCGGGAGGCAGCACCATCGAACTTTGCAGCCGATAGCCAAACATTTGCGTGGCAAACTTTCAACGCCTTGGCCCCGATATGCGCGCTGACTGAGGATTTCTGTACCTGGTTCTTGACACATGTTGCATTGAAATATCTTGAGATTCGAGAACCACTCATACCTGAATCTCTCGACGACCCGCTTCCTGACCCTCTTGGTCCTCTTCTACTCCTCCTGAACTGGACGGTGATGATGTTGCAAAGATATAGACTTGAAGAAGAAATGAAAGTTCCTTTGAGACTCCGCCGAATGATTCTTCGCCGACTCAAAGCAATGAGGATCGCTGGAGTTGGAGCCGAGGAGTTGTCGGATAGGAATGTTGTCACGCATGAGATCAGAGGGTGGCTGAACGAGGCATGGATAACGGTTAGATTGCCCGACAGCACACAGGCAGACATGGACCCCATTGTGGAGATGATCACGATATCTTCCAAACAACTTGGAGACACCGCCTGGAACATGAGGATACAATGGATGATTGACCAGAACAAACAAGGACTCATCAACGAGATCCAAGACTTCACTAGCATTGAGGATACTCTCAAGAGTATCAGGGAAGGTGCTGGTCAAGACTCTAGCGAGCTTGGAGGTGAACGGGCAGGCCAGACCCTGATCCTCGAATTCGTTCTCGACACAATCAAGTACTTCAACGGACAAGATGAGACTGTCTCCAGCCCTGCCCAATTCACTTGGATGTTTGATATGATTCAATTCATGGAGAAAATAGAGTTCTTCCGCAGTCTTCCTCCATGGTACATCACGGAAGTGAGAGACATTTTCGCCCACCTCCGCCGTGGCAACATACCACTAGCCATGGCCGCAGCTGAAAGAGGTCTGTATAGTGCTGAAAGTGATGGCCACGTTCTGGTGGCAGCGAACTTCCGCCAGGTTTGCCACCGAATCGGGGAGATGGACACTGCAGGCGAATATGACGCAGTCCAAACGCAGATTGCTCGCATAGGACCCAACTCTTCTGAGTTGCTCCGTGGTATATTGAATTCATTGGCAAGCCACGATACCCCGTCTGCCTACTTGGAGGCCAACCTCGCATACATACAGATGAATGTCAGTCTGAAACTCATGCCCATCTTTCAAGACTTTTTGTCGCCGCATATGCAATCTCTGGTCCAGAGTAGCCCGGAACGAAATGTGGCTTTTGAAGGGTTAGAGCGACTTGTGGCACTCTTGGAACCTTATCAGTCGGCTAGGCTAGAAGACAGGAGAGAGTGGGTGTGTCTAGTCCAGGCTATTTTGGACCTGACTGCTGAGCTCGCCGATCAAACGGGACCCAGTCAGCGGGAATGGATGGTGAAAGCGATGCAAATGTTTCCAGGCTCGGGAGGAAATGCTGGGACACGTGGGAATTTTGACGTTGGGAGGCAGAATTAGTAAACTGAGCACTGAGGAAGCTCTGAAATGTACTTGTAAGTAATTGCTGAATGTGTAATCAAATTTCGTGTCTATAGCTGAAATAATATATAAAAGTGAAGATCCATAACCGGGGGAGTATGTCGCTTTTTCATCAATTGTACTGTCGAATTCTCACATGGAGACGGAAGAAGCGATGTCCCGAGCCTTGACTCGCGCATTGGCCTCCATAGAACTGAGATTCATCTCGCTGTCGCTCGACCGGCCAAACTTCCACTTAGTCTGATCCCACTGTCCATCAAAGCATACACCAGGATGCAGCACCGTCAAGCATGAAATGGCGATCGCGATCATGGCTCCCTCCAAGATCATGAAGAGGACTTCATTATTCGCCAACGAGCTATGGAATCCGCCCTTCAACTCCGCGACCCGAAACACCGAACGGACAAAGATGGTGACAGTTGCCAAAGCGAGGCCTGAATACACGGTCAGTACTTCACCCACAAAATAAGGAGACATCAACTCACCACCAAGGAACGCTTTCCACCTCAAGCTCTCCCGAAGTTCCACCATGCTTGGTGCCTGGTTCAGACCGTGGGGGTTCTTGCGCACACTCCATGCGTACTGGAGGCAAAGAGCCATGAAGACCACAAGAGAAGCGACCTGGGTCGCCAGACCCGCGATCATAATATTCACGCCCGTCTGCGCTAGACTCTGCTGGTCAGAGTCCGCGATGGACGTGATGGCACCGCCGGCCGCTTGCAGGATGAGGGAGATCAGGTCGCAAAAGACGAAGAGGACGGTATAGGTGCGAGGTTTGAGGAGGGAGATCTTCTCGCCGTATACGATCACGATGCGTCCGAGGCAAATGTAGATCGATGCGCTGAAAAATGCCGGGCCGAGTGTGAGACAGATCAGGTACCTGGATGATTGCCGTTAGTTCGAGTCCGAGTGAGTGGCATCGGGGTGATTGCGAGGTTCGCAATCGTAAGTAGTACTCACTCGAGGTATGAGTTGAAAGAGAATGGGTTGCTGTGGATCTGTATTCTGCCCAGGTACCCGATAATTTCCAGGACCAGACCACCAAACAAACCGGCTAGGAAGCCCCATGTTTTGTATCTGATACCTAGCCCCAATTGCAGTATCAGGAAGAGAGCAAAAAGTGCCAAGTAAAAAGCATTTCCTGCCAATGAGGGGAGGTAGTAGACATAAGCATCGGTAATGGGACAAGTTGATAGCGTGCAATCGTCGGTGTTGATGTTGGTGGCGTTCGACATGGCGATGTTTATTTATCTAGTAGTAACTGTAATTTTTTTTTTCTTGATGCCGATAATAATTTTCTGCCGAAATTGTCGTTATTTAATACTCTCTACAGCTGTTCGATGGAAGCCTAGATGTATCTATAATAAGACCTGAATCCTGGTGGTTGCTGCGCATGCAAACGCATAGTCCGTGTCCGTAGGACTGCAATCTGCGGGTGAGGCTGCATGTCCCCGAAATTTACGATGCGTATCGTCGTATTTTGTCTTGGCGTAATTTTGTCTGATATGGTGGGCCGCGCGCGGGGATTTCCCTCAAACACAAAACGATTACGATAACGATACTGCGTCCACGTTCTGTAATTGGTCTGCCATTCAGCCCCGCCCGATCCCGCCCCCACATGCCAAGAGATCTGACGCGCGGATCGGAGTCGGACACTCGTCTTCTTCCTACGGACACGGACAAGCAACTGGTAGTTTATTAGCATAGTACGGACACGGACATTTAAGAAAGATTGTAAGATCCGAGATCAGTCTTGGACTTGGCGCAGGAGCTTTGCATGAACTGTCAGGCTCTCATTTTATTGCATTTTTAGGCTGCCAACAAAAAGGATACCCGGGCAGTGCTGAGATCTCGTTTTCTTTCTTTTTTTTTAGATAGAAAGAACCGAACTAATGCGGTCGTTCCTTTGATTTGCGGTCGCCGGGGGGCCTTATCTAAGCCTCGAGTATACCACTCACAAATGATGTATCCTGTGTATTTCTTCTTTTCCCCTTCTCAAAATCTTAGTACCTTGGCAAACACGTTCTGGCTTGGTGTATGCCTCTTCAAATTCCCATGATCTACAATACTTCGTAATTTCTTGGTGCCGGAATTTTCCCATTATTTGGTATAATTTTGCGAAAAGGAATTTCAAAACTGTCCAGCCCTATGATCGTGGCCCCAAGTGGATACATGGGTATTTTCTTTCAATTCTCTAACTTATAACTGCATGCACATGTAGTGAGAATCATTTCTACAAGAAGCTCACCAGGTGCTGTGGGTGGGAGAGGTAAATAAAATTCGTTCTGGGGGCTGAAAATGTAAATTGAAGGCATCGAGCCATCTGCCCCACTAAATCCACAACACGATCATCAAACAAGGCAGTGGAAAGATTCTCTGGAGACTGTAAATAGGGGTCATAGCCGCCAACTGATGGCCGCGATGCATCCAAATTATGTCTCACAGGGACGGTATAAGGATCCCCAGCATGTGTTAATGAAACGGCCTGCTGCGAAGTGCTGGTGTTGAGACCCGATGGTCCCTTGTATTCAAATCACCATTGAACCCCCAGTAAGTGGCGAGGCGCTATCGTAGTTATAAAAACGTCCTTGTCGCTAACTGTATCCATTCCGGGTATGTCTAGAGCCTGTGTATACAGAATGAACTGGATGAGCAGATTGAAATAGTGAGGCTGGTGGTACAAGCCAACCGTTGGCTGATGATGATCGGGTCAGTTGTTGCAACGGGTAGCTTGCAGAGAAGAGTGCCTGCAGATCCCGACGGCCAAGCCCCCAGACTAATGTATCTGGGTGGAAACGCCAGTCCTCAATAGGGAATCGACGATATTTCTTTCGTTGACTCCCAGAAGCAAGGCCCTGTCATTTCTGATGTATTTCCAGCTTCCTTCTCTCTTGTTGATACTTGACAGGTATCAAGGGCGGCAACTTGTTGCGGTTGAAGAATTCGTGGGGTTCTTCGAATAGGAAGGCTCTTCGTTTCTTTGCGACCAATCTGCGTCTCAAGAATCGGCAACAAGGATCTGCACAATCATCGCATGCGCTTCCTGAAAGGCTCTTTGGATGTTTTATGGCCATTGGTAAGTTGGCACCATGTCTTCTAGTCCAAGGTCCACTGACAAAGCCTTTTTTGTAACAGCCAGGTCCTGAGTCCTGAGATACCTTCAGACCACTCGCATATGAACTCATGCGTCATTTCTCCTCGCTCTCAATCTGTAAAGAATCCTTTCTGGCCAATTCAATGCTTAGGCCCAGTTATTTGGTTCCCATCTCAAATCTTTCACTCCGGTGATGGCCACTGGGGAGAGGAGTGATATGACGAACCGTAGATTGTATTTATTCGTCAAAATGTGGCGATTCCGATCCTACACACTCGCCCGTATACGGCTGGATTGCGCAAAGTGAGGCTTGTGTGACAGTTTGTATAAATATGTCAAGTCTGGAATCGAGCACGAGTGACAAAAAAAGTTAGCTTGGCTTCATAGAGCAAGCGGGATTAGTAAAGAGGGAAACCACAAGACTTATACCAGTAAAAACAGGAATTAGAAATGATGAATGTGATAAACGCAACAAGCAGAAATGAGAGGATCGAGAGAACAATGATAGAAGTAAATCGAAAATGAAGAAGGATGAGAATAATACAAGAAATAAGACAAAGAGCTGACTCGGAAGTGTCTTGAATTCCACATGGATCCAAACCCTCGGAACTCTTGAGAATGCTCTTCATGTTCTCTTTGTTTCCTGCATGTACTAGTACCTTGCTGTTCTAATTGAATGAGGGAATATCCAAATGGGGAGGTATTTAGAGTTTACACCGCCAGAGCCCAGGGGTGCCTGAGGCTAGGTATCAGCCATTAAAAAGAGCTTTACCTCCTCAGCTCTAATTTCACTTCTTTACTTATTCTCTCAATCTAACCGCAGCTCTGTGACCTCCAGCCCTCTTGCAATATTCCCTCACGGAATCCTACCAGAGTCCAAAGTCTTGAATCCTTCCTCAAATCTCCTTCAAATTCTCGCTTCCAGCACGGCATCCAAAATGTCTCTCACGATCAATCCAGTTCCCTACGGTGTTGACCTTCAAAACGCCTTATCGGTACTCAATGAAGCTTACCCGGACGGTAAGGTGTTTCTTATCACACTGAAGTCGACTGGCAAAGAAACTCCCAATGAATACGACATCCAGGTCGATGACCAAAACTCCACTAAGCGGGTATCTCTCTCTGGCAATGCCGTTCACGAAGACAGCGAAAGTTCCGAATTGTCAACTGAAACATTTGAAACGGGGACCCCTTCGTCGTCAAAACCTACGAGCCCTTCAACGGTCTCTCCCAATCCCTTCCGAGGTTTGGAATGGGTCGACGAAGTTTTTGGCCCAGAACCCCGATGGACCTATGAACCGGAATCCGAAGCCATATTTCGCACTGCCATGCCGGCAATCAGCAAATCGCTCCAGTCCCCGAAGTCGGATCCGATCAAGTCTTTTGGCTGCAAGTTCCTTACCGAAGGAACTTTCAACAAAATTTACGATGTCGAGGTCGATGGTCAAAACTTTATTATGCGAGTATCTCTCCCTGTCGATCCCGTTTTTAAAACGAGAAGTGAAGTTGCCACCGTCGACTGGATTCGTCTTGTGACTGATATTCCCATTCCCAAAATTTTGGCTTATGATGCGACACGGGAAACTGAGGTTGGATTTGAGTGGATCCTCATGTCAAAGATGCCTGGGCAACCTTTGGATGATTATTGGCCAACCATGCCAATGGCCACAAAGATGAACTTGGTCAAAAGGTTCGCTGCTTTTTCTGCTTCTTTGTGGCGGAATCAACTTAAGGGTATCGGTAACATCTACCCAGCATCAGTGACCACTGAAGACACACGCTCAAATCAAGACCCTTCGGCAACTGATATTCCGGTACCCATGGTGAAACATATTACCCCCAACACAAGCCGTATTGTCTCCCTGGAATTTGTCACGAAGTCTCATACCTATCAAGATGTGGTGCGAGGTCCATTTGCTTCCTCTCACCAGTGGATGGTGTCTCGGCTTTGCCTCGCTAAGAATGACTGTTACGAACAACTTCTCAAGTACTCAGTCGATGATGATGATGCCGAAGGAGAAATGGAACGTGCCAAAAAGACTCTGAGGCGTGTTGAGAACCTGGAACTCATTTTGCCCCGTATTTTCCCCCTTCTTTCGAAAACCCCAGAGCCCACTATGATCTTCCATGATGACCTCAACTCATCCAATATTCTCGTGAGTGACAAAGGTGAGCTGACGGCTGTATTGGATTGGGAGCTGGTTTCTGCATTACCGTTATGGAAGGCCTGCTACTTTCCGTCCTTCCTGGACGGGATGCCACGAGATGATAAGCCTGACATCGAGTGGTATGACGATGGAAACCCTCAGCCTGGGACCGCATACTGGGAACATCTGAATGACTATGAAACAACTGTTTTGCGAAAGTTTTTCCTGGAAGAGATGAAGAAATCAGAACCCGGGTGGGTGGACATCTTCAATGCGAGTCAACTTCAGAGAGATTTCGATACTGCCTTGCAGCATTTCAAGGATGCATTTGGCGGCATGCAAATCGATTCGTGGATTTCTGATGTCATTATCGGAAAAGAACCCAAGAGCCTCCGCGAGGCAGTTGGGCTTTAGGTCATCGAACCCTTTATGCCTGACAACCTTTCGATCAAGTGCTTTTGAATTTTACTCGATACGTTTTCATATGTAACATGCAACATCCCTTTAATGGAATTCCTTTCCTCCCCCATTCTCGGCATAGCCATGTTATCTAGTCTGGCTTTCCCATTATGCCTACAGTAGAATTCAAGGGTTTATGTGAATGCTTGCCAGGCAATAATGTTTTCCAGCTGCCCAGCTGAGCATCGGATTCCATCTACTAGTACATTCAACTAGTAATAACATCAAAACCTGGCAATGTGTGTAAAGATCTCGCTGAGAAATATCGCAAAACGACAATGGACGATGAGAAAGCCGCTTGGCTTGTTGAGAAACTGGTACAGAAAAAAATCAAAATCTTAAGGGCATCTAATCCCACAAACAGCACAAAGCCCGCCGACACAGAACGAAAAGCAAACACAACCCCCCCCGAACACCAAACAAAATCCGACAAAAGCCTCGCGCACACCCAAGCCCCATAGTAGCCTAAATGTTGGAGTAAATGGCCTCTATTAAGGCCTTCCGGATCTCCGCGCCGGTGCACGTGCCATCGGCAGGCACGAGGACCATGGAGACAGTCTGTCCAGCGAGACGCTTTGCGGACTTTGGTTTTACAATACCCGAGTTTCCCTGGACTTGTAAGTTGTGCATGGGGGGTGGACCCGACGTTAGCTAGAACAGAAAGCTTATTAGCGTTTTTTGCATAAAATGATAGATTCTTGAAGTCACATACGCATTGCCGATCCAACCTCCAGTTCGCTTTGGTGACCATGTTCTTATGGCCTTTGGAAATCGGAGGAGGAAAGGCCTCAAAGGCCTCATCAGTGATTTCCTCCAGGAAATCAATGATGTCTTGTCTTAGTTTTGAGATGGGGGGCTTCTTGGCTTCATCCTGGGTAGACATATTGAATTTCAAATGTCACAGTGCTTGTTGGGTTTAGCGGGCGACACAGGACGTAGTGGAGTTGTAGTTAAGATGACGGCCTTTTCAGAAATGTTTAGAAAAAACAAGATATCGTCTCAGATAAACGTAGAGGAAAACAAGATGTCCTTTCAGAGAGCTGGAGGGAAACAAGATATCTTTTCAGAGAGCTGGAGAAGACAACCAGAGAGACGAAGTGAACAAAAGTATGTTTATTATATTCAATTCTAACTGGAGTTTGTTATCGCCCAGACTATGCTAGAATTCACTTGCTAGAATTCACTTGTTATGTCTCCCCTAGGTACACGAGAGTGCGACTCCTCTCAATTGGAGCTGTTTGTTTCACTTTGATTCCTCTCCCCTTCCTTCTCTTTCTTAGTTTATTCCCAATTGAGGCTGAAATTCACTCGTATCCCCACCTGCTCTCTTCTGCTTCTCATATTCAAGATATTGTTCTCAGTTGAGGCTGTTATTCACTCGTTTCCCCGCCCGCTCTCTTCTGTTTGTCATATTTAATTGAATATTCTCAGTTAAGACTGCTATGCACTTGTTTGCCCCTACGCTTATTTCTATCTCTCACTTTGTTTAATATTGTTATTGCTCCCTCTCATCTTGTCATGACTGCCCCCACTCGGTCAAGGGCGGCCCGGGCCGAGCGACCCACATCTCTAGGTTTACCAGTAGGTTCCACATGAAAACTCCTGGCCAGACGGGTTCTACAACCATAAAAACTTCACTTACTCAAGTGCCTGCACCACTTGGTCTGTGGAAACGGATGGAGATATATTGATAGCTTATACTCAATGTGAATTATAATGAGATGAATGACAGCAATATTGAATTTTGCCCTCGCTTCAATGAAATACATGTTCCAATGATCTGAAATGAACTTGAAGTCATCAATTGATGAGACTGAGCTTAAGGCCCATAGGGTGGTGTCACACGTTATGTGAAAATCACTTAACAGCTCTCACTTTTTACCTCGTGACAGCTCCTACCTCATGGTAATGCCGTATAAAGTAAGAGCTGTTTCAGCCAATACCTCGTCGCGGCACTAGTTCCAGGATCAGGCACCCACAGCGACTGGCTTAAGCTCAGCCGGTACTGAGCGGTAGCCTTTGAGGTCGATGTTGGCCTTGAGCTCTTCCTCGATTTTACCCGCGTCCCAGGGGTCCTTGACCGGCACGCAGGCGACGGAGATGGTGTCCGTCGCCCGGTCCTCGAGCGTCGTCAAGCGTCGTCAAGCGTGTCGCCCCGGAATTAACCTGAACCTGCGGGTTATGGTACCGGGGCTTCATGCTTGTCACCTGTAATCAAAATAGTCAGCGTTCTGTTCATCGTAGCAGCAATATCTGAGTATCTGTGCATCATACGCATTGCCGGTCAAGGCGGTATTGCTGGTCGCCTTGTATCGTTCGGTGGGCAGTCCCAGACCGCGAATTCTTCTTCTTTTCTTTTGCCATTTCTCCAGGTCCTGTGGCTGAAACTGTATTGTTGAAAGGAGAGAGCCAGCGTCAGTTCAGTGCATGTGAAGGATGATATCGTCACAGAGAGAGCATGGGGAAGTAAGAAGCTGGGGTAGAATAGGATTATTTATCTGAAATTAAGAACAGTGAATTACTTCGGAACAGCAAAGTAAACTTCCGCCAGCTTCTCTAGCCGTTTGCATTCACTAGTAAATGTGTTCCAGAATTGAGGTCCTCGTTCTATCCTGTCTATTGTTCTCTTCTCCTGAGTGCTAGCTCCTTCTGTTATTCTTTCATCATTCTGGCCTCACTTGACTCTCTTCCTGGGTGTCTCTTTCTATGTCAATGTAACTTAATACTGAATAGGTAGAAGGGAGTTAAGTGAAGCCAGAATGAATTTCTAGAATTCTTCTATTTGAGTATGCTTTGATGGTTAGTAGAGAGACAGTACTAGATGTGCACCCGTCGACTTCCTAATCCGGAGTTGGATAAGCGTGAGTATTCAATCCTTGGAATAGAACACCGAAGTAACGCAGTGCAGGTTTCAGAAATTTCTCTTAAAATGTACCCAGTACTTGGAAGAATAACTTCTCCAGATTCAACGTATCGAAATTTGGAATGGTATTAATGCCTAGTAGGTGGGGGAAAATATGCCTACCTGGGTAGGATCCAGGGTTCCGACGGGAGATTCTACTTCGTACTTGGATAGTATTGATATGCATACCTCAATATCCAGACTTACACTCAGGCGAAGCATACCGGGGGCTCTCAAAAGTAATCATGTATGTACTATGGTACATACTCAGTACCTGAGATGAGTATATACTTCATACTCGTGTCTTTATAAGCCGAGGGCTTCAATTTCAACTGAATATTAGCAATAGCACAGCATTGACCCAGAATCTTCAAACCTTTCACGTTCGGTACGTCAATCTGTACTACTATTAGTTAGTAATGTACGAAGTACTGCCTAACAGTTGCTTGTCGCGCTGTTCTAATTTTAGACTAATAGGTCCCAGCGGGTAGCTCAGAGGCGGGCATGGGAAAAAACCTTGGGATCCATCCTTCCTTGCCACAGTTGAACGTGATTATGAACATCGATCCGACTATGCAGTAACTGATCAATCAAGCTATCAGGCAAACCCTCAGCGAGCCAAGCGCGATGGCGGTTATGAAGGAGGCGATGGAAAAGGTCCTTACAAGCCCAGATATGATCGAGAAGTATAAGGGGGCGGATGGTCAAGCCGGACCAACCGGACCAGTCGGACCGCAAGGTTTCGTGGTCCAGTCTGGAGATTGGAAACCGGCGGAAATTGGATTCTTCGACCCCTTGCTTAAGAGTCCTGACGGGTTCTTATTAATCAACAAGGTTATGCACTATTCGAGTATATATGCTTTTGTTGATCGCATGTGTGATCTTACCTTCCTAAAATCGGAAGAAGTTGTTTGAGCATAACTTCACTCCTGTCTGAAGGGTGATGCCCTTTCGTGGTATACCTATGGTTTATCTGAATTGGAAAAACGATGCTTGCAAATTGACGGACTTGACATCGGTTGGTTTAGGGTGTTGGTCGCGAAGTTTAAGCCGGAAAGAAGTGAGGTTTTGAATGAGCTTGATCACGCATCCTTCGGATGGCCACAGATCCGTGCCGGGAAGAGTGTCTGCGGTCATGCTTACAACATGGTGCGGTTGCTTAAAGCTCTTGGAACGTACTCAGAGGCTGACCAAGTCTTACGCATTCTTGACTTAATGGATGCGGGATTAGCCCGTGACTTGTTGCCGGCGGATGTGAGTCTGAGCACCTTTATAACGAAGCTTGATTCCTATGAGAGAACCTGGAAACGACAGAGCGCCGAGCGTACGTCCCGGATCGCTCAACCAACTGCCTCGACTAACCGGAAGCCCAGGAAGGCACTAGGAGCACTACCAGCTGCGAATGAGGTCTATAACCAGAGCAGGCCGCATAGCGGTCGGGAAGCCAGACTACCCCCTGCGGACCAAACCCCCCAGGCGCCAACCGGTCAGCTTCAGATCTCAGACAATATAAATATCCAAGTGAATAAGGTCCATCACTGCAAAGGCAACATTGACTTGAAGTGGAGCGTTGGCTGGATGGTCTCACACCTAAAAGACGAAACATTCCAATCGTTTCCCCGTCCGAGAGAAAGGATCATCAGAATACCGTAATGATGGCAAACTACCGATTTGACCGGCAATGCGTATGTGACTTCGAGAATCCATAATTCTATGCAGGAAATGCTAATTATCTGTCAGTTCTAGATGGCATCTCCAACTCCGGCAATGCGCAAGCTACAAGTTCAAGTGAATTCGGCGGCAAAGAAGCCACGGTCAGCACAAGGAGCTGCCGGAAGAACCCTCTCGGCGGTCCACGTGCCAATCGAGGGCACCTGGACTAGTACCCAGATCAGAAAGGCGCTCATAGAAGGGATCTACGCGGATTTTCAGATGATCAGGGATATCTTGGAAATAGTATAGCCTTGTTCGCATCGCTCCCTTGGCTACACGTCTTTTATGTTTCTCGGTCTATGCATTTGATCCACAAAGCACAAAACTAGCAACGGACGGCATCCTGAGCACAGAGTCACGGACTCAACTTCCTTTTCATCAACAAACCATCACGATGGCTTTCCATCATATACCATACGCACCAGAATGTCGGCGAAGACCAACCGAGATATCGAGGCCTTCATTAACAAACTGAGGGACAATATGCTTTGGAATTCTGTTTTGTACAAAAATAACACAGCTTCATCAAAAGAAAGACTGTACAAAGCACTCGAGGCCTACGAGGGTTTCCTGCCGGCGGAGGAAAAAGGACACAAGAACTTGGTGAACTCGATGAACTACTAGTACAGGGTTGTTGACCGCCAATACGTATGTGCCTTCAAGAATCCATTATTGAATGCAGGAGATGCTAATGTACTTTCTGTTCTAGATGACGTCAGCAACCCCGTCCGCGCACAATATGCACAGGTCAACTCGGGTGCTAGGAAACCTCGATAGACAACTGCTAGCAGGGCCAGCGCAGAGTCAAGAGAGGAATTTGAACAAGGCCATGCAAAATCCAAGATACCCATGATCATTTATGTTGGCTCGGGGTCTATGCGGTTGTTCGTGTTGATCAGATATACTCATGCGTGTTACGCTGAAAGGTAAACGAAAGTACCGAGTTATCTGCTGCCGACCAAAACACATCAAATGGAGTAATTGATCGTGGGATACCAAACATTTTGCATCTTTTGTAGGATAAGGAGACAGGAGAACAAGGTATTTTATCAATCCAGCTGGTTTTTCTACGTCCGACCCCTGGTGGTTAAGAAGTGTACATGTCACTCCTTGCCAGTAGAATGGGTACTATACATTTCGTACTCGCACGGAGAGATTACAATACCAGAACCTTGGAACTTGGTGCGTAAGACTACAAACCTCCGACCTGCATGTGGGCTCCGGTTGGTATCATTTTAATTTTTCACAGCAAAATTCTGGCCAATGTCGGTATGGTTTTGCTCCGCCTTTTATTGTAGCTTATTTCAAATTAAGGTTGCGGGTTCCCTGGAAACTGGGGTTACCGGTATCACACTATGCCCCCATCGGGCTAGCGTGTACCCACAAAATAGGTTTAGTGCCATCTTGATGTTCGAAAAGAGCTTAGTTGCATGTCGGATTCCGATTACAGAAAACTTCCCCAAAGGTACTACCAAAGTATAATCTGGAAACATAAGGTAAAGCGATCGCTCTTCCCCTTTTTCCTTCCTCATCAACCTGTCTTCTCACCTGCTTCCAATATATTTCCTGAAAGTCAACTCCTAATTTCTTAAAGCAACTCCCAATTTCTGAAAATCAACTTCTAACCTCCAAATCGACACTCGACCCACGTGTCTGCTCGCTGCGATGTATCCTTCGGATTTATCCGGTATGTATACCTCACACTGGTACCCTTCATGCTGCTCAACTCTGTGTTACTAATGCGTCTTGCATAGACTTCCTGATGTCTGGTCAGAAAGACTCTCTTCCTTACTACTCGACATTTGATGAACAAGAAGCACGCAGCGATTGCTCCGAGCACTCAACTGAATCGTCTCCGCGCTCGCCAGACTCAAAGGTCATCGATGCGGAGGAAGAAGAAAATCTCAAGCCAGTTTTTTACAGTTTTCTCACTGTATTGATTCTGGCAGTCGTCCTTACCTTTGGACTTTTCGCCTACGCAGGTTGGATCTGTGGAACGTCGCAAATTCCTGCCACTGTTTTATTCTCGCTTTCCCGACGTGATGGCATCCCAGCAGGTTCCGACTTACCAGAAATGGTTACGAACATGCCGAACAGCGATTTTGCGATCAAAGATTATGGTGTCCCTGATGTTGACATCGAATCTGCCGACGAACCATCTTTTGGTGACGAAGACAACGCCCCCGAGGACGATACTCTATCTGCCGACGACGATGAATTCCCTGATGAGGACGATGCCGACCTCGAAAGCAATAATGACACTCCATCGCCACAGGGTAAGAAAAAGCAGAAAAACGAGCCTGGTAGTTGCAAGTACAATCATGATTGCGATTGGGGCCAGCGGTGTTACAGAAAGTTTTGCCATACTGGATGTCAAGGTCCAAAGGATTGTCTCCCACACCACACTTGTCATCGTCGCTTCCCAGGAGGAAGATGGACCAAATGTCTTGTCGCACCTGGAAAGTTGTGTAGATCGCACATGAATCCTTGCAAGGCGAACAAAGACTGTTGCTCTAATAACTGTCAGCCAGGGCTTATGGGAAAGGTCTGCGTGGTGTCGCTGGATCGGGGAATGAAGAACCCATTTAAAGGTCCGTTTGGGCGGTGATTTTGATTTTGATTGGTGATATTTGGTGTTTGGTGTTTGGTATTTGGTGCTTGCTAAAATGTGAATTATGCAAAGAAAGTCGGGCGGGTTGGGCCGGCGGGGACTGTATTGCTTTTTATAACTATATCATGGCGGCGGGATCGACATGAGTCTATATCTAGGTGCCCTTTCGCTGCAGTGGTGATGTGCAACGAAGGGAAAATCGGATGTATGTACAAGACAAATGTATAATCGCGTGAAAGTCGCTGAACTGCTCCTTCATTTAAGAATCAGGAACGCCATCAGCGACCTGGTGACCAGTAGTGTAGTTTCCGAAGCATGAGTACTGGTACTCGGCATTCTTCTTCAGTGTAGGCACTCCACGTAGGAAATTATCCACTGGGCAGAAGCCGTGGGTAGCATTTTCACATCCAACAAGCCCATTCAAGGGCAGAGGGGCATTGTTCAACACGAACCGAATATAGCGGGTGGCATTATTGCCTGACTGAACAGTAGGGTTTGTCAGGAGGACAGGACCCAAGTCTTCGAAAGATGTGTTGCTTGGACAGGTCCAAATTTCAGACATAAAGCGGGCACCGAATGGAGTCATTTGAGTCAGAGAGAAGTTTCGCTTGGGCGCATGGTCCACGTCGGCCGGTAGACCATGGGGGCCAAACTTGAAGTAGTCAAGACCCAGAGCATTGACAACAGAAAGAATGATATCGTCATGAGACATGTCCATGTAAAAAGGCTGGTCAAAGGGGAACTGGGCCAGGTTGTTGTCGTAAGTGTAGTTGATGCTAGTGTCGCTGGAAGTGATGAGCTTTCGCTGGAGGCGGGCTGCGAGTTCTAGGACATAGCCAATGCCCTGGGCACGACCGGAAGGTGAGCCGTAGGCGTAGTCTCCGTAGTACTGGATGTCAACGTTGTATGCAAAGTCTTTCCACTCCTGCTCCGTGAAGAGGGAGCAGAATGATGAGCCACCGAGACTTGTGTACTCATAAACGCACGTATTCTGCATGGCGAGCACGTCGGAAGCAGTCACGTTGAAGTCATGAGGAAAGTAGGCCGCGAGACGTGAGCGAGCGTCTCTAGTGTATCGCGCGATGAAAATTTCGGCAGCATCGTCTCTGAGAGGTCCTGTCAATATCCGCGGCTCGGGGACAAGGAAAATGGTCACTCACCCTTCACTCATATCACCAGTGCAAGCTTCATATGAAGCCAAGGTGTTGTTGAATCCATCTTCCTCAGGAATGACGACCAGATCGTATTGACTGTAGGAGCTGTTGGCGCCGCTATTCCCAAAGAAGCCACCTTGTTAGAGATGTTAGCATGCCTCTCCAGCTGTCCGATCAACTTCGAGGAACTCACTTAGCCACCATCTAGCGCTCTCCAGGATACGCGCCTGCGAAGTAGTACGGAAGACTGGTGTCGGGCGAGAAGTGCCGTTAGAGTAAACATTCAAAGTCTGGCTCCACGCCGCGACGTTCTCCCGACCAGCGCGGTACAATAGTCGGCCATAGTTGATCCAGAAGCTGGCCCCGGATGTAGCTTCGGTCGCTGCACCACTCTCCATCAAGGTGTCATCTCCAATGACATATTCCCAGTTTTGGAGGAATTTGAGGGGCCCAGTACCGACGGCCCATCCAGGGTGGGCCTTGGTATAATTGGTGACCTTGGCAGCGAAATCCTCCATGCCCTCACCATCCAACGGGTAGCTTGTAGGGAACCTCTGGGCATGGCGATGCAAAACATGCACCTGGGACAGTTCACACCCTTCCGGCACACCCTTGGGAACACTGAAGCCATCTGCATCTCTGTAGGGGCTAAGGTTGGCCCAGCTCCTGGTCATGTCAAACCCAGAGGCATATGTAGATCCAGTCGGGCCAGAAGCTGCGGAAGAGGTGGAAGTCGCAGTTGCTGCCGCTGTGGCAACAAAGCCAGTCAGCGTGACGCCAACGAGGTTCTTCATTATTTGTTGGGGTAAAATGTGGACCCCCGGGTGTTGATGTGGGGAATCAGGGGTTGGACTTCCAGGGAGGTTTTTTTTTCTCAAACGCGTTCAAATTTTTACTTAATAATGCCAGTGGATGTCAATGGGCGATGTTGAAGCAATGACAACGGCACAATTGAGAATTTTTGGTAAATTGATATCGGAAATTAAGAGTCTCCGAGTATTTTCCGAAAACTCCTGACTTTCGGGAGATTGTTGTTCCCTTCTGTGTTGGGAATGTTATCTCGTGCCTTTCCTACTTCGGTGAAGATCGACATTCACATATACTAACTACTAGTAGACAACTAATAGATTGGCTTACTAGTACGCAGATGACTGTAGAATACTATCATTCGCACAGTGGACTCGGAAAATACACTATTACTATTATAATACTTCTAATTGAAGTAAACATTGTATTAAAATGTATCAAGCCCATGGACCTTCCCGTGAATGTTTGCCGTGTGGGGTTCATTCACTTGCTTTTATTCAAAGCTTTAAATACTTCCTCTCTAATCTTCTTCCTCTTCCTCCTTCTCACTTCTCTCTCTCTTGTCTCTTACTTACTTCCCTTCCCTTCCTCCCCATCTCATACCTTTATGCTCTTTATTTAAATACTCTCCCTCTACTCTTTTTCCTTCGTCCCTCTCTACTACATCTCTTTTCTTACTACTTCCTTCGGTACAAACATGTCTACCAAACACGTCCATCAACCATAAATCCTTGCCTCGCCAAGCCCAACTACCGACTCGACCGGTAATGTGTGAGATTCACAAACAATGATATATCCCTGCTATCATGAACAAAGCGCTGATTAAGGGCAGTGAACTCAAGCAGCCAGAGAAGCTGCCGGAAGTTTACTTTGCTGTTAGGAATTGATTCACTGTTCTTAGTTTTAGATAAATACTCCTGTTCTACTCCATCTTCTTACTTCCTTCCATGCTCTCGTTTATCAAAACTGCAACAACTGCCTTCACAACAACGGCAAGATGACTAACGAAGAGAAGAAAATGACGAAGAAGGCCGCAAAGCCTATGGCAAGAGATCATTGATTTCATCGATTCCCTCAGGGATGAGATGCTCGATGGTCTTCCGGATGGGACTGGCCCCAAAAAGATACAGCGGAACCAAGATTTCCGCCTTGACCGGCAATGCGTATGATTCACAGACACTCAGATATTGCTGCTATGGTGAACAAGATGCTAACAATTTTGATTCCAGGTCACAAGCATGGAGCTCCGGTAGCACAACCTCCAAGTTCAGGTTAATTCCGGAGCTACGCACTTGATGACGCTTCATAGCCGGGCGGCGGACACCATTTCTGTCGCCTGTGTGCCGGTCAAGGACCCCTGAGATGCGGCCAAGATTAAGGAGGAGCTTAAGGCAAACATCAGGCTCCAGGGCTACCGTTCGGTGCCGGCTGAGCTAAAGCCAGTCGCTGCCGAGCCTGAAGAGCCATACTGTCGCGGCCTTACCAACATTTTCCATTTTTCAGCTTGCCGTCAGCATCCCGGGGAAGATCAACAATCAACAATTTAAGAAACGAGATGCTCGAAGGTCTCCGGGACGGCAACCACGGGTCCAACATCTTGAAGACTGTCAACTACGACCTTGGTAAACAGGGGCTATGATGTACGCACCCCAAAAAAAGTACTCTTTTCGAAAATTAAACTTTCCCGAATTTTATTCCAGGTCACCTCGGTGAAGCCAAGATACCACAACCAACCTTCATGTACAACGGAAATCCGGAGCAGAAAGGGTAACAATATTGGAAAAGAGGACGTCTGGTTGCATGTGTGCCTTTGAAGGACTCCTGGGACGCGGGAAAAATTAAAGAATTGAAGGCGAAGTGTGAGATGGCATGCTCGAAGGTCTGGCTGATGGTGACCACGGGTCTACTATCGCTGAAACATGTCAACTACCGCGTCCACATGCAGAGGGTAAGATCCACGGACCCTCAAAAACCTACTCTTTTTGTACATGAAACGCTAAAAAGTCTGTTTTCAGTAAACCAGAGAAAATTCCCAACACCTTAAGGTCAACGCAGGGGTTAGAAAGCCCCCTACTCTTAAGGCCCATTTGGGGCGGACGCCGCTATTGCCTTCGTCCCGGTGGACGGCCCTGCTCCGCCGAAAGACTCGGACCGAGCTGAGTAGAACATTTGACTGGGGGGCTATGCGAAAGCCCGGCCTTTGAGATATTTTGTACCAAACCTTGGAGCTCCTTGTCAAGTTCTACTGGTAGAATTTTTGTTACATGAAACCTTACCTACCCGGTGTCTCTTTTTTAATCTTGGAAGCCCCGGGAGGCATGCTCAATAACTGGAATAGATGTATACTTTTAATTGGAGAGGATAGAAATCCAGAACTTGATAAAAGTACATACTTCTTGATGCATACTCGAACAACGCTTCGGTACATACTAGTAGTAGGTGTGCCGCGATACATTTGGAAAACTGAAAGCTATCCTTCGTCTACAGATACTGCATAAATGATATGTAGATTGATTGCGAGCAAACACTTGGACATCCCTTACCACCTCATTCCACCACAAAAAATATTAATCCACCTTCAGTACCTTAAAGTTCTGAAATTCCTCATTCAACACTCACTTCCAGCTCATATCAGATATCAATATCAGTCAACCACTCAGTAATACCTCAATACATTCCAAAAATATTCAGCCATATCATTTCCGCGATCTTTTTTTTTTTTTTCATATCTCGTACTCATCAAAATTCTGACGCCTTGTGTGCCCTCTTATGCGGGAGGCGAGGGAGGAGCGGGCATGGCGCGCGAGCTCGACGACTGAGCAGCTGGAGCGGGCGATGCGAACTGGCCGGGGCTGGGGGCCGGGCCGACGGAGGCAGGTCCCACAGGAGCTGTGTGCAGAGTCTGCTGAGGAGTCGTAGCAAACTGGTTAAACGGGGGAGGGGCCATGTAGTTAATTGCACCGAAAGAGGCAGCCACCGCAGGCGGGACAGGCTGAGCCAGGCGAGAAGGAGGCGGAGCTGACAGTAAGACGCGGGGGACCGGGCCGGGGCCGATAACTGACGCAGGAAAATAGGGCATTGTAGGCGGGACTGGCCCGGCGAAAGAGCCAAAGCTGGGGTAGTGGTTGGGCGGGCCTAACATGACAGGCGGCCCAGGAGGGGAGGGTGCCAAATCCCAGACATACTGAGGCTCACCGATAATTTTCTTGGCGATTTGACGGACGGTGGGATCCATTTTTCGCCATGGCCACCGGTTCGTCGCGAAGGCCATCGCAGTCATCTTCTTGCGCTGTTCAGCGCTGCGTTGAACAATACCAGGACCAGGAGATGGCGGGATTCTCAGAACCCGGAAGCAGATGAAGTGCAGGAGATCTGATTGCACGCGGAACCGCCCCATGTCGGCGACTCTAAGAGTTAGTAGCTCTTGAATCAGAGAAGCAATGTATGCAACAGGCTCGGGGCTGTGGATGGTATGAAATTTGTTCAGAGTAGACGCGACCCGGACTGTATCATTGACGTGGAGACGAACGGTCGACATGGGCAGCAGGTAAATCACACCGAAATTCAGTCCTAGCTCCGGCATCTCAATGGAGTGGCAGCGGGCGCGGGAGTCCCAGTAGCCCACCCAGGGCCGTTCATTAGGACGAACCCGAGGATAATCCCGGGCAAGAAGTTCTGATGCCCTGATGACATCCTCGTCACGGAGTAACCACTCTGGGTTCTGGTCCATATTTAGTTGATGATAGCTTTCAATCTCAGATATTAGCTTACTCACTTCACAGAACTTTCTATCGCCGTGGCGAAAAAGAATTTGGTTGCCGTACTCCACAACCATGAACCCGTTTGCCATAAGGGTGTTGAGGGCTCGAATGGCGGTGGGGAGGCACATCTGGTCGCGACCGGACTCATCACCGAGTCCGTCGAAATACTCCTGAGGCTCAACGTTTAACGGCATGATTGATGGAGCCTTCCAGGAAAGACTGGTGTTTGATGAAGGGGCTCGGACGATAGAGGAAAGAAATAGAAGCAGTGAAAAGAGAGCAATTCAAGGGAGGAAATCGGGATCTCCGGCTTTGGGTGCGTGAAAGAACAGACTATGGGGTTTGAAATGTGGGAAAGGGTTGAGAGCAGGAAGAAGGAAGAAAAAAGAAAAGGACTCGTGGGAAATACACTAGGGTTAGGAGGTTAGGGCAAGGTGATGAGGGTGTGAACTCCCATAATCCCACGCTGCGACATGTGCCCTGTCTCTGGCATTTCCTTTTCGTCGCAAAGCTGGACTTCGTACCCCTCCAGCTGCTAGTACTAGGTTCTGGGTTCCGCACCTGCCCTGGAGAACGAAGTACATACTACCCATCCCACATGAGAGTATCATTGATAGTATGTACCCTTCTCAAGTACTCACTACAAGTACATGCTGTACTTATAGAACCTACTCTCCCACTTAGGAATACCAATGTTGAAAGTAATACAGGTAGACAGGCAGTCAAGCAAGTGACCCATGGATGTTTTCATGATTGTAGCATCCGTCTAGTCAACAGCTTTATGTACTTGATCAATATGTGGGTCCCGCGGCCCGAGCCCCCTAGGATCCACCCACGGTATCCACTTGGGGGATTGCTAGAGAAACACGTAAATTTGCCGACTTTTTGGTCAAAACGAGAATTCTGTTATTCCTGATGGAAGTTCCTGACCAATGCTCATGCCACCTGTGGACATTGTTCTTTGTTCGTCTTACTCAATTTTGATACACGTGCGTGCCACGTGGGATGTCGGGCCGACCGGCATGCCGAGCGACTGCCGTTCGGCAGTATTCACTTCCTTAAAATAGTACGCACAGCAACCACCTTATATCTAAGGGAATATTACTGTCAGATCTTCTCTGCACTATTTGGTAAAACTCTTAGTTTTTGATCTGAAACGTACTCATCTCACTCAATGGTGGCATCTTCAAAGTTATTATTCTAGTGTGTATCTGCATTTTGGATCACGAAATATATAAGACGACATGAAAAACAAGTGCGGGAGAGTCCTCGCCAGAAGGCACAAAAATATTAACAAACAAAGTAATGAAAGTGAAAGCTACATAGCATCAGCAATAATAACATCCGCAGCCTTCTCACTAACGATATAAATAGGCAAGGCAATGTAGTAACCCGGAATCTTGGGGAAGATAGACGCGTCAACAACACGCAACCCATCAACACCACGAACCCGGAAGTCCGCATCCAAAACAGCTTGCGGATCGCCATCCTCTCCAATAGCCGCAGTACAGCAAGCATGGTGTCCCCAAGCCTCGCGCTTAATGAAGTCCTTCAGCTCAGCCTCAGTGGTAACATTGGGACCAGGCCAGACTTCTTCGAAGCCACCATCAAGCGGGATGAGATCCTCAAAGATGGTGCGAGAGAACTCCATGGCCTCATACACGGCCTGAAGATCCTTGTCATCAGCACCGTCTGCCGTCACACCGGTGTCAAACGAGTTGAAGTTGATGAGGGGGGTATCGCGGGGATCGATCGAGCGCAGCTGCACGGTGCCGGCGTTGTTGCGGCTGCGGGCTTTCAAGGTGATCCAAGTCCAGTGCTGGGCATCCTCGAGACCCTCGTAGGCGTAGTTGGGGTAGTAGCCGGGGAAGTTGACGGGCGCGCCGGAGATGAAAAGATCGGGCTCGTCGTCAGCGACGGAGGATTGGCGGATGATCGCAATGGCAATGCCGTTGGTGGTGTAGGTGCCCTTCCACAGGGGATCATTGTTATACTGGTCCAGGCAAGGGTCGGGAAGGGTGTACATGAAAGTGCATTTCTCCGTGAGCACGAAGTCGGTCGGGGACTTGCCGATCGTGCCCGTCTCGTAGCGATCTTGGAGGTTAGTGCCCACACCTGGCAGGTCGACGAGGGTTTTGATTCCGAATTCGGCCAGCTCGGCCTTGGGGCCGATTCCGCTCAGCTTCAGCAGCTGGGGAGTGTTGAATGAGCCTGCTGACAGGATGACTTCACGGGCAGCAGTCACGCTGCCGGGGGTACCACCAGCAGAAGTCATTGAAGCGCGAGGATCAGCACGGTAGAGGCTTTGCCCCTCGAGGTATTCCACTCCCGTAGCTCGGGGCTTGCTTCCGGTGTTATCGAACGTGACTTTTGTGACAAGCGTGTTCAGCTGGATATCAAGGTGGTATTTGCGGGAGCCGTCATCATTGACAGCATTCACAGTCGACAAGAGGAAGTCGCGAGGACCAGTTCGCTTGTATTCGGGTACATCGACGGCGAGTGGGACCTGGAATGGACCAGTCTGGTAATCGTGCAGAGGACTGTCATTGTTCATATCGCGTAGTAGAACTCCAGCTAGGCCCGTAACTGTATCAATGATTTTGCCCAGAAGACTTGTGCCTGCAGCAGTTGCGCCAGCCAGAATTAATGACAAAAGTTTTTGGTCCTCGATGACAAGGCGCAGATCTGTCAAACTTGTTGTGAGCCATCCGTCAAAGCCATGGCCAACAAGGCTGCTTGGCAGGTATCTGTTACGCTCCAACTTCTCAAAGTATCCTCGCATGTTGGAGGCGGACCATGACTCGTTGCCGGTCAGAGCTGCGAGGTTCTCCCAGTCATTATCGTATGGGTAGATTGTGCTAAGTAAGATAGTTCGTTAGCATGTCTGAGCTTCACCTGTGTGGATTGAGAAAGTGCAAGACTCACATCATGGCATTATGAGCAGAGCAACCACCCAAGGTACCAGCACGAGGGTACAGAATGCCTAATGGATCTGACCCATTAGGCGCATTGGCACCGACATGAAGATCACCGGATGGGGTGCGATAAGTCATCTTGGAGTCCTCTTCCTGGCGTGTCAAGTTCGAGTAGTGGTTGACGAAGTAATCCCATCTCATCGGCTCATATTCAGTAGACTGAAGCTGAAGAGCGGGCACAATCTGCCTGGTAGCATTTCCTTGATCATCTCCCGCATCCAGGAGGAGGACCTTGAATCCAGCAAGAGCCAGCCGTGCTGCGAGGGGGCCACCTCCAGGGCCAGAGCCCACTACCACATAGTCATACTGTGTGGTGCCATTTGTTGTTGTGGCGGATCCATTAACAACCCGCTTATGTACATCATGGTATCGATGGCTGGGAATATGGTCACTGTAGCGATAGTGTTAATCTCTGTGTTTTTCAAGGCAGGCCTCAGGATGTGCTGTCATGGACGATCGGAGGAAATGTTTTCCACTTACGAGGCAAAGACCAACGAGAGGGTGGAGAGTAGCCCAAGCACAGCTGGGATACGCATTGTGAACGCGAATTAAAGACCAAATAAAGGCCCTAAAATTAACGATAAAGAAAAACAAGACACGCAAGGTGCAAAAACAGACGGAAAAAGAAACGAATGACTGGGATCAAGGAATGAGAATGTCTTCCAATGGTCCGATGTCCTCTCCCTCTATTATAATGACCTTAGCGTACAGCACACAGGGGGTCTGGTATACCGCATAATCCCCGACGATGTGACTATATCCGTTCCCACGTTCCACACGTATTGATCGACAGTACTTTTTCCTTCGCAAATCTTCCACCTGAGCAACCCCTATACGAACCGTTTTTACCAAGTCCCACAATATGACTACACAAGTCTTCGCAGGAGTTAATTGAGAGTTTCTTACCAAAGCACCGGGATTATCCCGTGTCAACCCAGCTCTATGAATCCACATACCAGGATATGGATTCCGGTATTTTTGTTTGCTTCACTGATCAATCAATGATCCGGCTTTCTGGATGTGGGTCATTTCAAGCCTCTCAGGGTCCGAGAACCCTCGTGCAAGAGGCTAATGTCCGCCCTAGACCGTTTGACATGCCGATCACACGGCACCCAACGCCACCAATTTAACGGCGGAATTCTTCTTTGGGGGACTTTTTACTCGTTTTGGAATCCTTGTTTTTTCCGAAGCTATTCCGTTCAGGGAATGTGGTTATGTTTTAGTCTGTGGGGGAAGGAATACATTGTGGGGACTGTGGCACTTCGTATTGCTAAGCGAAAAACGCCCAGCCGCTGCTAAGGAATAGGCAGGATCTTACATTTGCTTGTCGGAATTAAGGTATTCCCCCCTTTTCAGTCACTTTTGACTCAGGGGCTTGCGGAAATTTCAGCCTCCAAGTCAATGGAATTGTTCGAGAGAGAGATTAGAGATGAAAGAAGACATTGAGAGCACTGAGAAGTTGGGTTTGTCCAAGTCGATAAATGCTAACCCATCAATAGAAATATAAAAAAAATTGGCAGGCATTAGATCTGAACTTTTAACAACATTTAAAAATTAAACATTGAATATTACCTAAAGACAATAATTTTGGACTTCCTGCATGTACTACATAGTGGCTCCAAGCATCGGTACTTCACGTAGGTTTGCGGCTTTAGGCTTAAATTTCTGCGACAATCTAATCCACCAAAGGAGCTCGCATCTTCGGCTTTGAAATTTTTTTTATTCAGAGATAGACACTGAAATTTTTAAAGTAAGAAAACGAAATGCCTCTAGTGGGAAAATACGGGTTGAAAGATATCAAGCGCAGGAAGACGGAAAAGGCAATGAGAGTATCAAGGCGAATACCTACTATCCCTGTGAAATGAGAAGATAAAATGGGCATAAAATAGGGGGAGATCAAATCAGCTAAAAGAAACTTTATTGTTGTTTTCTGCACCGAAAAGGAAGTTGTATGAATAAAAATAAAAATAATCTCATGAAAAGAAAGAAGGATATAGAGTTTATAACGAAGGTATGAAGAAAGTGAAAAAAGAAAATAGTAGCCGCCCGCCTCTTCTAGCTAGACAACTACTTTCAGAGCCCCTATACTTTGGAGTTCAGTTGTGTCTGGCTGGAGTTCCCCATATCACCCAGGGGGTAGAACTGGCCATTACTCTTGCTGTTCACATGAATGTCGTGGTGGACATAGATTGGTCCCTCGAGCCGAGATCCTCTACCACGAGAGTGGGAGCTCACACCATATGATTTGATATTCTCAGTATCTCCAAAGAGTCCGGGAGAAACACGGCGTAGCAAGGACCGGATGGCGGGTAGACATGCGCAGATGACACCGACATCACATTCAATGGTACTCCAGTATCCAATGCTCACGTAGTCCCCTTCAAGGCAGTCAGCTTTTGTATCAATTCATCAGAAGATATGGATGAGTTCACTTACATGTGAGGTTTGTGGTCGATGCAAAGTTGATGAGCGAGTTCAATCGTAGAATACTGACAAGGGTGACACTGACATTGGATATTAGTACCAGTATTTTAAACCTGTGGCTCAATGGTCGGGGGGATAAACATACAAGAGACCTAGACCAAACATGCACATGACGTACACCTTCTTTCTCACTGAAAGGTTCAGGCGATAAAGTTGTCGCAATGGCAGGGCCATGACAATGATATCAAGGACCATGTTTATAGCAGCTGATGCCCAGCCTTGCGCGTTGATATGGTTGCACTTGTAGTCTCCTTCGTTATCCCAGTGAAGCCATGCACCGGGCAGTGGTCGGCACTGGAATACCGAGATCAAGACGAAGGCAATCAAGTACGAAACGTTTAGCCCAATCACAATGTATGTCAAAGTTCTGAATTGACGGTCGGGGAAAATTCGGAGGTAGAAGCAGCAAATCGAGATTTTGGTCATGGGGAGGATGCTGAGATAGATCAATTCATCCCAGAAATAAATCTGCGTGGCGAAGAAAAGTCAGTACAGAAAGGCAAGATAGTTTCGAGAGTGCATACATAAAGAATGTGGGTGATATTTTCAAATGGAAGCGTCCACATGTCTTTTCCTAGCCCTGTATTGGCCACTACAAAATTGTCAATAAATAGAAATCTTTGGGGTATCAGGAAGCATGAACATACAGACGCCAGAGAGTGCTGAGAGAGCAACCAGTAGACACTATGCACTGTTAGTGGGCATGATCTATAGTTCATTAGAAAAATATCCGCATATTACCATTGTCAACATCATAGTCAAATCATCCCATCCAAAGATTCCTCCGCAGCACCCAAGGCGCGCTATCACGCGAAGGATACAGGCAACGAGAGCGATCACGCCTCCTATAACTCCAGAGTAGAATACAATGTCTGTTCTATTGCGGATAGGGGCTCCGCATGCTGTCTCGGTGACATTCTTAGTTGCTATCGTTTGTCAGTTTTCATGCCCTGTTGCAATGTAATAGTGCTGTAGACGAACTCAAAGATTGCCGAATGGTGCAACTGGTCAGAACACATTCTTCAAGGATTGCGGTATATTTCGCGTCTGTACACAGACACGCTTGGTCTGTGGTTGCGCATGATGTCTGTTTGATTGAAGATGCCATGCATTCCAGCTTTGAAAAACAAGTCAGTCATATTTTTACACAATGAAAGAAACGTGAACAGGCGGATGCTTCATACTGCACATGTTGGCAGTGCGGCCTCTAATTGTGCCTCTGCTGATAATGCTGTAACGGTAGTCGAAAAGAGTGTCGCCACCAGGGCTGCTATACCGAAGACACGCATTTTGATCACTGTTCTCGTTTCGTGATCGTGGCCGGGGATGTTTGGTTTCAAAGTAACGAGCGTGCTGGCCAGAACACGAAAATGTGTCCTGGTAGACTTTTCAAAGAGTCGACATTTGACATCAAGTCCTCTTCTCCCGTTCACCCCCTTGTCAAACTAGATTCCTGTTCTTCATGTCGGCAATTGGCTCGACAGTTCGTCTGTCGATCACTACGGAGTACAAATTACAAATTAAGATTTTGGAGCAGTTCAGTCAAACATACGGAGTACACAGTACGGATACACCTACCTCCACCCATCCAATACTGAAGGCGGCACCAGGATATGCAGGATGCCCTGTACGGAGGCGTATGCGAATTGGGATCTGCATCTATACGAGAGGCCCGCTTATCCCGCCTCCCCGTCAGCTTCTAGACCGTCCCCATTGTGGCTTGTCAATGCCAATAACCCAATTAGCAGAGAACCAAACAGCAAGAGACGTGGCTCCACCTGCCAGCCGAAGGCTTACACGCCGCCGATCAGTTTGGGACTTTGACCCTCTGTGCCGCATGAAAGTCGGTACTTTGCGACAAAAACACCAAAGTCACAAAGTCAACAAAGTACCTTTTTGAGCCCTATTTTAGCTTAAAGTATGAATCATCAATGGCTCCACTTTTTTTAATTTTCTCCTTCCACTCTGAGAGAAGAGGCGCCGGTCCGGTGTTTTATGTTTTTTAACGTTTTCCGTTCAGATCCCACCAGTGTCCCTGATCGGCGCTGTCATTAACTTAGGTTAGATCCGAGTCGCGCGCGGGGGCACGGAGACTATTATCCCCAACTGGAAGGGATCGGTTCGAAGGATCGATTATCCACAAGGACAATTTTCCCTGAGAGTGGGACGCCAGTCCACTTTTGCTACGAGATTTCTCAACATAACTCCGAAGAAATCCGCAAATGATCTTCCACAATCTATCCATATGAGGGTAGGAGACAAATACCGGATGGGTTGACGGGTGAAAGCTTTTGGCGTTTTTGTGGGGCGTCTCATTTGAGCTGTTCATTTGCCCGGAATATTACGCTGCTAGTTGTTACCTGGTTTTGGTCTTGCTGACCTTTCATTTGCGCTCCATTTGACGGTTTCGGCACATGGAAATGATATCGAATTGAGGTTCATGCACTGAAGATCCCTATTCAGGGGTCGCCAATACATCGGCATGTCTATCTCGGACGATTCCTGCTTTTCCGGGACGGTTGTTCTTATTCTTTCCTCCGGGCCAGTAGATTGACGTTCATTTGATCTTTTGTCTTTTCAATTGGAGCTTTAGTCTTCTGCTCATAACACTCGTTCAATATGCGTTTCCTTGATGCGGGGCAATTGCTCTGGTCATTATCACTCTCTACTGTTGTGGTTGGTTTCCCAAATGTAGGAAGCCACGGTGACCAAGTGCACAGAAGCTTGCACAAGCGATGCCCGTTTTCAAATGAGCAGCCGCAGCCTAAGGCGCATCATGACAAGCGCTTCCTTTTCTCGACCATGGACTCTCCCGTTGACAGTATGTGAAGCTTCGTCTGAGTGAATTGCTTTTTCTAACATAAATATAGTCACCGGAGAACATTCATTCCAGCCTCCCAACTTTGACAATGGCGACCAGCGTGGCCCCTGTCCTGGACTCAATGCATTGGCTAATCACGGCTATATCCCGCGCAAGGGTGTGGTGTCGGTAAGTAGTGCTTCGCTGCTTGAAGTCGCCTGCAATACTAACGGCGATTAAGTTTGGCAATGTTATCACCGCAATCAACGAAGGTATTTCATCCATCGCCATCATACACTCCTTTGGTTCCATAAGCTAATTTCTTCAAGTTTACGGTATGGGAGTCGACTTAGCCACTGTCCTTGCAATCATGGGCACTGTCTGGACCGGTGACCCACTCTCTCTGGATCCCAGCTTTTCCATCGGAGGTCGTGATACGGGCGTCAACAATCTTCTGGACAACCTCGGAGGACTCCTCGGTCAGTAAATTGAGCACTGATTTTATCCTCACCTGTACCATTACTGACAGAATTCTCAAAGGCACACCCCTTGGCCTGGATGGGTCCCACAACTTCATTGAGGCCGATTCCTCCAACACTCGCGACGATCTCTACGTCACAGGAAACAACCATAAATTGAACATGGACAAGTTCATGTCCTGGTACAACATGTCAACCAACGGCACCTTCAGCATGGACCTCATGGCCGAGCGCGCAAAGATCCGATTCGAGGAGAGCATCCAAACCAATCCCAACTTCTACTATGGGCCTGTCACTGGTCTTATTGCTCGTAACGCGGGCTACATCTTCTCCGGTCGCTTGTTCCGCAACCATTCCCGCGAGAATCCAGAGGGGGTTCTGAGTAAGTGATACGCCAGAAGGGCACACTTGGATATTCTTTCATGTGCGAGTACTAACTGAACATTGTATCGTCTAGCTAAGAGCATTGTCCGGAATTTCTACGGTATCTACGGTGAGGAGGGCAACCTGACCTACCGTGAAGGATGGGAGAGAATCCCCGAGAACTGGTACAAGACTCCTTTAGACTACGGTCTCATCCAACTCAACCTGGATACCATTGATTGGATTTTGCAATATCCAGAGCTTGGAAGGTAAGACAGCTTGCTCCGACTCCTTTCTGCCATATCTTTCGCGATTTTCTGAGGCTAATTCGCTACAGCATTGGAGGAAATACCGGTACTGTGAACAGCTTTGCTGGTGTTGACCCCGCGGATCTAACCGGCGGTGTCCTGAATCTCGCTGGACTCTTGGAGGGGAATAACTTGCTGTGTTTCGTCTTTGAGGTGCTCAAGTTCGGTAGTCCCAATGCACTGGATGGGATTTATAAGACCATTGCTGAGCCGCTCGAGTGGGTCACCAACCTGCTTGCTGTGCCCTTGTTGAACCTGACCTGCCCGGCATTTGAGGATCTTCAAATTGGTGGTAAGCCATTCTGGGAAGCGCTTCAGAATGATTACCCGGGTGCTTTGAAGAGCGGCAGTGCATTCTAGAAATTGATATCTCGCTCTGCTTCTAACATTGAAGGCCTTCGACCTTGGAGGTTCTTATATTCATTTGAATATTGTATAATTGAAGGATTATTGTTGTTATTAATATACTGGACTTTCTCTCTCTTCCTATTCTCTAGTACTTATTTCAAGGTTCAATGTCAACTTGGATGCAGTTGTTCAATGACTCCGGATATTGATGTAAATTGAAGTGCACATGTGTCCAATTGCCTATTTACAATCGCATCCTCAAGCGATCTATCCACCTATCAAGACAACCCACCCAAGCCCTTTCAGAAAGACTTTCATCGACTCACTTGGAGATCCGGTGTAGAATCTAACAACAATGATTTTCAAGGACGGAATGCTCCTAAGCTGCGCGTTGATTTCCACCAATAGATTGCGAGCAAATTTGGAGCCATCCTCGGCCTCTTTCATCAGGTTTCTCGAGCTTTTAGTATAGACGAGGATTTCCAAATTACTTAATTTGAAACTATCCTTCTGGAGAAGCTGCAGATTTCGCAGGCCATCCTCTCTGATCTTCATCTCGCCCGGTTCGTTTTCAATCCATTCAACGGCCAGAAATGCGATGCGTGGGTGCGTCAAGAACCCGGCTTTCACAGGTCCAATGGAGTTTATGAATGACTTTAGAAGGCTGCTTCGGTTTTTGTTTCTTTTCACTTCCATCAAGGTAAATTGATTGATGCTATATAGAGCACTCCAGGCCTCGTAAAATACCTGTCTGTTGGTGTATAGTAATGCAAGTCACGCATAGGGTTTTGCAGGCCTGAAACTCCCCACTCTCCTAATATCTTTTCCTAAAGTCTGGCTGTCGTCAAAGAAAACCCCCGCTCTTCAGCGCATGAATCGCGTGGTGAATACGCTGGGTGGATGAGATTTTTTGTACTCCACACGTTGGCACCTGGGTGAGATGCAGTCGCTTGCGACGAGTATTTCTGGTATATGTGAGAATGGCGCACAGCACTTGAGAGTTCTTTGGCTCCAAAGCAGCAATTTATTGTCGCAAATACATTGACGAATTTAGTACTTTCATGATCACCGATTACGATATAGTTTACCGAGGGCCATTGGATGCGCTTTCCTCGATTAGTCAAATTGATTTCGTTCCGATGCATAAACCCGACTCCAGCGTACTATATTATGAGGAGGGTTGTTTCCGCCGGCTTTAGCTGTTTACGCAAATGATCATGCACTTTATCAGTGAAGGTTCATCCAGGCGATGTGTCATGTTTTTCACACCCTTTCCACTTGATGGTGCCATGTCCGCCCACTAGGAGGACGTCCAAATCGTTCCACAGGCTCTCCGTTGACTCAGACCAGCCGGCTTTGTCGGGAATGGTCGGGAGATATTGGCGTTTCATCGTGAAGAAGAATTGCGGTCCATTGTAGGTGGCTCCTCTGGTATGGTTCAGTCTGGAAATCAACGCTTGATCACATTATTCCACAATTCACCTTGGGAGTAGTGAGAGCATGACTTAGTCGTTCTAGTTCCACATTGTACGGTCTTTTTTTCTTGTGCAGCGTTAGCGGAACGAAATTGGTGCGAGCAATCGATTGTGCGAGGGATAAGCGAGTGATAAGTGCAAGCGAGTGATAAGTGCGAGTTTAAGGTGAGTGATAAGTGCGAGTGATAAGGGCGAGTGATCAGCGCGAGTGATCAGCGCGAGGTATACATAAGGGCGAGGTATAAGGGCGAGTGATCAGCGCGAGTGATTAGTGCGAGGGATCAGGGCGAGTGATACATATGAGTAGTAGGTGCCAGTAATGTGTGTGCAATCATTACAACATTGAAATAGTCGACAATTACAGCACTTGAGACCAAGAGTCATTTTGTGGCCACGTGCATCTACTAGTAGGCCTGTAGTATAAAGGGGCCGTTTTAGTACATACTACTAGTATAGATGAGCGAGGTCTTCTAGCCTGGAAGGAGTATATTGAGGTAGCATAGTATCAAGCATATTCGATAGAGGAATCGTCAGAGGAGCAGGACGGGCAGATATAGGAGCTTATAAATACACGGGGGTGCTCCAGGCTCTCGTGCAATATTACACAGTCAACTGGTTGATATTAGGAGAAATTCGCGCAGGGCCGTGTACAGATGGCGAGTATACTAGTACATGCGATGGGCGTGAGCCCGATTGGGTTCAGCAAGAGGCGGCCATGGACATCATAATTAACAATGCACCACACGCACATGCAGGATTCGTCCAACACCCATTCCCAGGTGTGGAGTTCCCGTCAACAGTCCGCAGTACGCCAAGTGCAGAGATCTGGAGTCACCACCGCCACCGTTCCATCATTCAGGCATACGCCAGTGATCCGGTGAGTTTTGTGTCCCAAGTGGAGCATTCCCAAAATATCCAATTGCAGATCTTCCGAATCAATTGATGTTGAATATTGATCGACTACCCAGGTTAGTACTAGCACTTGAGGTAAGTATCTTGTGCAGCGTTCAGCCTCAGAAGGCTGGTACATAATATGTAGACGTATATAAAATCATAAACCCCCTGAGTTCGGTCCCACAAACTCGATTTTGGTGAAACGCTCACGTTTTTACCATCAATTAATCGATGCACTTGAAGCCAGAGCAATGACTGCATAGCAATCATTTGGAAGCAAGGGTATTAGATGCATTGGATTTTATACAACCCGTTCACCAAAGGCCTAGAATTGGCATAGGAGATGGACTCTGTAAATAGAAACGCGACGACCGAATCAGATCGCAGTCAATATCATCTCCGCTTCCGGGTGGGGAGTCACGTGGATCCACCCCCTTTGCAGAAAGAAGCAACAGAACAACATCTCCGTTGTCTAATTTCCCTCGCTGCACTTGTGGTCTTTCTTCGACAGATTTGGTCTCAGCATCCCCCTTATCACAGGCCTGTCTGTTGTCGTTTTACCCCAACATCTCAACTCGTCTTGACCGCGTCCTACGAGACACCGTGTCTCTTGGCGTCTTCGTACCGTATCCACAAACATATTGCCTCCGACCAATTCAAGCTCCTCGCCCTTGATCACAACTTTCCGCGACCGAAAGAACCATCACTCCTTTCTGCGGTAACTCCCGCCATCCACAATGAAGATCCAGTCTCCGCCATTACTCCTTCTGCTGCTTCCCGCGCTGTCAACGGCCGCGACCACCACCAACTCGATCAGTGAGCCATCTGCCTCGCGTGGAGCCTCGATCCTTGATCCACGATTCATCGATGCAGACTCGCTTGCATCTACAAATGCCATTCACGGATCGCCGGACATCCCTGTGGATGGGAAGGATGGTCGACCTCACGCCGGTCCGTGGGTAGAGACCGGAGCGGAAAGAGACCGCAAGAGCAGCAAAAGCGGCGATGATATTGACCTGGTTTCAACAAAATTCGACACCAAGATCCCATCGTCTGATCACCTCAGTACAGAGGAAGGGGCAGTGATCCCACATTCCAATGGTGGCGTGATGGACGACCCGCACCGCACAGGTCCTCAAGAAGGCACACGTGGTACAGAGGGAGGAATATCGGAGAAGGGCAAGGACAATCTTTACAATGCTGCAAAGACCCCTGACAGCCCCAAGGAGGCGCTGCCATTGCCACATAGCGAGAAGCAGAAGTTGCCCTCGGACAGCGAGGATGCTACAGGAAGTGGCCGCTCTGCGGATGGCGCTGGGACGCTCGGCATGCTGGAGGTAAGACTTGTTTAATTCTCCGTGGAAATGATAACGCTCGGTACTGACGCGTTCTATAGAAACCCGCCGACCTGCCCGATAAGCCCCATGACATCCCCCATCCCAAATCCCCCTCCCAAGCGAAGGACGATCCTCTTTCGATCCAACATGACTCAACCGGTTCATTGAACAAGGGTTCGGGTGTTCCTGAGGAGAGGGATAGTCTCCACTCTCTGCTGTTTGCCTTTACCATGATTCTTGTGTCTGAGATTGGAGACAAGACCTTCCTCGTTGCTGCACTCATGGCAATGCGCCATCCTCGTCTCGTGGTCTTCTCGTCGGCATTCTGTGCCTTGGCTACCATGACCGTTCTCTCTGCCGTGCTCGGTCATGCCGTTCCTACCCTGATTCCCAAGACCCTCACCAAGTTCATGGCTGGATTCCTGTTCCTGATTTTCGGTGCAAAGATGTTGAAGGAAGGCCGCGAGATGGACCCAGATGAGGGTGTTGGCGAGGAGATGCGCGAGGTCGAAATGGAGCTTGAAGAGAAGGAGCAGGAACAAATGCGCCTCGGTCGCCGTCGTTCATCGGTCACTCCTCACAACTTGGAGGCTGGTCGTGCTCCCAAATCTCGTGGCTCCCGGAACCGTCTGCCCTCGCCTCCGGAGAGCATTTCCTCATCTTCCTCGCGTGGCTCATCCCCTCGCCCCAACCGTCGCTGGAACGACTTGACGGTCGGAGTGAGTAACCTTTTCTCTCTTCTTCTGAGCCCAGCATGGGTTCAGACCTTTGTCATGACTTTCCTTGGTGAATGGGGTGACCGCAGCCAGATTGCCACTATTGCAATGGCTGCCGGTCAGGACTACTGGTGGGTAACTATTGGAGCGACTGCCGGCCATGGAATCTGCACTGCTGCCGCCGTCATTGGTGGTCGTGCGATCGCTGGCAAAGTCAGCATGCGCGTTGGTATGTTTCCCTCCTGAATCCGATATTTGGTTTTTTCTCGGCAGCTAACGAATTCTACAGTGACTTTGGGTGGTGCTGCTGCTTTCCTTGTCTTCGGCGTGATCTATCTCATAGAGGCGCTCTACTGACGGGGTTGCATGAATGTAAGATATGCTTCTCATCTTTCTTCCTTGCGTGGTTTGGGCGGTGCATCTTGTTGTAAAAGTTGGAAAGGTTTGTCAAATACTTCTTAATGATATAATATCGTGCCTGGTCCACGTAATGACCAGACTTGTTGTTTAAACAGAACGACCCCAGCAATTCATGCCTCTGGCAGCACACATGTGCATAATACATAATACATACTAGTCAGTACCACATCTAGTTATCCATCCATCATGTGATTAGTCATTTTGTTATGTAGTTAGTTATGCAGTCCTATGTATTCAAGGGGGATTGGCTGTAAACGGTTAGTTGTGGCGGCTTTTAAGCGAAATGTAAGCGAGTCCAAGCGTATACACGTAATTTTCATTCAATAACATCAATTGCCTTATTAAATGTGGAGAAATTGGCTTTTTGTTAAATACCCAGGAAAAATTACCAAAACTCAAATCCGGCTGGGCTTGGCGTGAAAGTTCAGCACAACCAATCAGAGCTCTGGATTTCGATTAGGGTCTTTAGGGTGCTTGCCGGGTGTTTAGGGTGTATGTCCCAATTCGGTAACTTGATGAGTCAGCTGTATTTTTCCTAAGATGGAGTGAACGTTACCCTATTCTCCTGGTTAAGTCACACTTTCCTCACTTGATAACTTCTCTCACTGCCCTCCTTCGCGTCAAATGTCTTCCAGGTATCTCTCGAAGACTTTGGCTTTTTCCCCCTGATATTCGTTCCTCCTTCGACCTGAATCTGACACTATTCGGCCCGATCTGCTCAAGCCAAAACAAGCCGACGCGTGATACCGAACCAGACTCCACACCGCCCAGTATGATGACACACTCGGCGGGGCCCACGCCCACGCCAGTTCGTCGAGTCACCCGTAGTCAGAGCCGGAACAGGGATCTTGGTTATTCGAAAGGTGCTTCAAAGGGATCCAGTAATCTTGCTGTGAGCAAGGGCGTTACCGATCGTGAGTTTTTCTTTTTTCCCTCTTTGAGTGTCGTTTGATCTTGCACGCACGCCAAATTAGGCGCCCTTCTACATTGCACCCCGTCTGCGTGAGGAAGTATAAGGCTTGTTTCCATATGTTCTCCCCATGTTCTTGCCGTTTGTCGATGGTGCCACATTCCCCTTCGGTCTCAAGGTGGATTCGTTCGCGCTCTTCTTCTACCTTGTTCCGTATTGTTTTTTTTTTTTTTTTTTTTTTTTTAAAAAAAAGTGACCTCTTTGTATTTCATTGAATGGACCAGTGAATAACACCGACTGGCATGTATAGGTTTGACTGCGGTCCCCGAAGAAAGAACGCCATTATCTTCAACACAACATTCTTTTTTGGCATCTTCGGTGATAACCGGTAGTACGCCAAGCACTCCAGGAAATGCAGAAGGCCACAGTAATATCTCGGGAACCACGTTCCTGAATCAAGATTACGCTGATTCGGACGATGAGGCCTCACAAGACCCCATCCTGATGCTTGATGAGCTTCCCGACCTCCAGCATGCAGCGTCTCGCCTAACTAATTTACTTGTCTCCAACCACTCTGACCCGATTGGACTCGTGAACGCAGCAAAACGGATGCGCATTGCCGGTCTGGCAAGCAAAGACAACCGACGGCTGAGATCACAATGCAGAAAACTTGTGGAGAGGATGACGCAATATGGTACGCAGTCTTTCATCGATGTCGGCTACATTAAGGGTATGATTCCATCTATCTCTGCTAGTGTGGATGACCAACCTTGGAGTCCGTTGCCGGCGCTTCACAGCGCAAACTGTGCTCGGTTGGCTTTCGAGGTTCTACTCTCAGCCGGTGATTCGGAATCCGCGAAACAGATGGTTGAAAGTCTCAATAGTCACTTCCCTGCTCCGTTCTTGAATCAGTTGACCAATGGTCGGGAGTCAAACCTGGTTGGGTCGAGTGCGGCTGAAAAAGCCACATGGGAGCTTGCCCTTGAAATCCGCACTCAACACTTTATCATGGAATTTGGGCGACGCCAGAATGAGAAGGATTTCGACCCAGCACTCCTGCTCCGTTCGATCTTCTACAATGAATCAAATCACGAGGGCGCTGAGTTGGATTCCCGCTGGCTTCGAGGCTTTTCTCTGGCAACGGCCTTCAAAGATGAGAATGAATGCCTCCCAGATCGTTATCATGATGCTGTTCTTGATCGTATTGGAGAACTGGAACTCGATTTCTTTGATGATGATGGTGCTCCCAACGCGAAAGGTCTTCGGGCTGCTTTTTCCTGGCAGCGGTTTACCGTGCGGACGGCGCGTTTCTTGCACATCCGTGATAAAGAAATCCGACGCGACCTGAAAGCGCAGGCAGACTTTGATGATGTTCATGATATCCTCGAAACAAAACTGAAGGCTGGCGAGGCCGCTGCTGATGACACGCCTGCGCAGCCAGAGGATATCTCCACCGCCGATGAATCGTCTTTACATTCCTCGGTACAGGACAATCTGAACCCCATAAATCAAATGAAGCAGCCGAGAGGAAGGGACTCGAGTGTTCCCGAGACTGATGAGTCTTTGTTGGAAAGTCCGACACAAGAATCCGGGGAACAACCGCCGCTTCAGGGAAATTTGAAACGCGTTTCGCCAGTCGTGGGATCAACAACACGCGACAATCAGAACTTGCAAAGAACTCAGCGCGTCCGGGAAACTTCTCCATCAGAGCAACAAAGATCTTTCGCAACTGAAACCACGCTCAACAACTCACCTCCCAAAAATATCCCTCCCCCTCCCTCTCATCATTATCCCCCTCCTTCCCCTGCTTCCCCTGCTTCCCCTGCTGCACCCCCTGCTCCCCCGGTCAACCTGGTCAACCAAAGTGAAAAGATGGCGGATTCTCGAAAAAATCGAAGGATGTCCGGTAAAAAGTTTCTCACTAAGGGCAATGCCGACATTTTGAAACGTCTGAGCAGTAACCCATCAGCTCGGCCTGAGCGACCTGCAGTCGCCGCGTCTGCCACAAATGAAGAAAGCACTGCAGACCCAGGACACAATGACAATTTCTTGGCTCACGATGACACGATGGATCACTTTGAGTTTACCGAGGGGCTGGACGAATCAACCACTCCTCCTGGTTCTGCCCGAACACGGAATGTGAGCCATCCTCCAGCGTTTAGTTCTCCCGGACCAAGTGGACTTCGAGCGCCACCCTTGACAGTCGAACCCATTGGAGGAAGTCCATCAGTTCCACAAGCTGGACAAGAGCCGCGCGCGCGAACACCTCAACGGACCTTCATTGATCGCCAGACAACAGCTAGAAGGGTCTCGCCTATTGACAGTCGAGCGGATAGCCAGAGCGCAGAGCGTCGACCACGACCTCAGCTTAAAGATTTGCTCTCGCAAGCTTCCCGAAAGCGTCCCCTCCCAGAATCTGATGACGATTCCAGTGTGTTTGAGGTGGACGAACGCTCCCCCGATGTGAATGTGAAACGAGCAGCCAAGCCACTGCGCAAGCGACATGCCCCCGAACGGCCGGAACACAGCGCTGTCGGTACTGCCAATGAAGCAGATAACCAACCAGGCTTAACCACTACTCGGGAATCGTCCTCCACCCCAGCTCACCGTCCTTCAATGGCTACCCTTCAACGCTCGACGGATGAAATTCCTGCAGCGGTGTCTGCATGGGAGGCTCGAAACACTCCTGCTCTACAAACAAGTACGAATCAACCCATGACCATCGTGCGTGATTCCTCGACGGATGAAATTCCTGTAGTGGTGTCTGAATGGGAGGCTCGAAATACGCGGCAAATAACTCCGGTTGAATCCCCTAGGAGAGTGCGTTTCACAGGGTCCTGGGGATCCTCAGAGGTCCCTGTGCTCGACTTAAACCGTCCTCGGGAAGCACCCGCCGCTTCAGCTCGTCTTCAGACTGCCCTACAAACAAGAACGAATCAACCCATGAACAACGTGCGTGATTCCTTGAATTCCACCTCGCCTGCAGCGGTGTCTGGATGGGAGGCACGAAATACCCGGCAACATGGGACAGTACCTCCTGGTGAGAAAGGCAGGTGGTGCCAGGCGGAAGATGAGCGCCTATGCAAGCTCATGAAACGATGGGGGACAGCGTGGGCCACCATTATCTTGGAGGACAAGCTATGTCCTGAAAATCTGGGTGGACCTATCCTCGCCATTAGGAATCGGGACGAGGTAAATTGCAAGGATCGTGCACGTCTCCTGAAGCAAAAGTTTGCACGGTAAGTTTTTCGCTTCACTGGAAGTTTCTGTTCAAAGCTAACGATCGATATTACAGCGGCGGTCCAGAAAATGTACCTGACTATCTCAGGGGGGCTACGAAGCCATCGAAGCCCAGAGGCAAGCAGTAAATGCTGCTGACTCGTATATCACTGGCAATTTTTTCTTCTGGTGAAGATGGGCCCTCTTGACCATGGTTTGCTTTTTGTTTTTGTTCTCTTTTATTCTTATACCCATTATTCTTATCTCATTTTATTCTTATTCCACAAAAATTCAACCAAATAAAGCAAAAAAAGGCCTTATTCTTATTTCACTTTACTCTTATTTCACACTTTGTTCTTACTTCACCTTTTTCTTCGTTCTGCCTGGTCCTGTATCCATTTCTGTGTCATTTTCTTCCTGTTTGCTTTTGTGCACGATACCCATCAGTTAAGTACCATCAATTTAAAGATGCATGTTTCACTTTTCGCTGTTTCTTGCTTTGCGGTTCGCTGTAAAAGTTTTGCTTATGGTCACTCTTCAAACTTGGTTAGAGAGGTCTTGAAATTTGCTTTTCGCATTTTCTTTCTTTGCAGTTGGCTATAAAAGATTTGCTCATGACCACTGTTCAGGCTCAGATGGATTCAGAGGTCTTAATATTTGCTTTTCCCATTTCTCAATTTCTGGACTAGTGCAATTCACACTTGCTTACGTCTACTACAACGTACAGGTCCACAACAATTCGGGCCCATTTGCCAGAAAAATAATGACCAAAGGATATCGAAGTCCATTCGGAAAACTAATTCTAATCCAAGGATCCCATCCAGAATCCGAAATGAATGTACGGAGTATCAAGCCCAAGGGAAGTCAGTCCCAGCACTTGAGCACATCAAGCCCAAAGACATACCGTATGTCCACAATCCCAAACGTAACTGAACCAAGCCAAATGAAACCAGAACCCGCCCGCGAGTCCAGTCTCACAAGTATAACACTATCACCAATTAAACCCACCCCGTCCCATCGGTAGGAGGTACAGGACTTTTTTGTAATATGTAGCAAAGTATACAAGAACGATGAAACCACTCAGATGATCCAAGCTAGACGCGCTCAGCTTATAGCAGCAAGCTCAAGGCTGCGAAAAACGCGCCAACGAGGGAGCCCGTGCACAGAGTATCAGCCGCATTGGGTGTCGCAGAGGGGGTAGTGGAGGAAGTAGTTGCAGCAGTAATAGCGGCCGCAGCGGCATTAGACTTCGCGGCGGAGGGAAGGGCAGTGATGCCAGCTTTGGTTCCCATGGAGGAGGGAGCAGTCAAGATATTTGTCGGGATGGCAGAGGGGTTCACAGTTGGGGCTACGATGTTGCGGCCCGTTCTGGCAGGGACAGCGTTGTTGGAGACCGAGTTGGAGCTTCCGTGGTAGTCGCCCGTAGTTAGAACGGTGTAGACATTGATGCCGCCGCCTGGGTAGTAGATTCGGTATTAGCATTGAGTGAATTTGGGCAGGGCAGTGGGGGGGTATAAAGAATCAAGCTGCAGACATCGCCAGTACTTACAGTTATCCTCGGGCCAGCCGGCGCAGTACTGGTCACATTTATCGTCGTCGACCTTAGCGGAGGACAGCGGGGTGGAATTGCTACAGCCGCATGTGATGCCATCCTTCAGAGCCGCAATGTGGAAGCCAGCTTCGGTGCATTGGTCGATGCAGAACTCATGGGACTGGAATGTGTACTGTTTGACGTCTTTCAGGTCGGGGACAGCGGAGAAGCAGCCAAGGGAGCTGGAGGCAGCCACAAGCGGGATGAGGGCGAGAGAAGCGAGGAAGGACTGCGTGTGCATTATTGCAGTGGTTGAAACGGGAAATAATTCGAGAATAAGAAAAGTTATGAAGGAGAGTGTATGTGTGTGGCGGCGTATAAGGAAAGTTATGTCAAAGCAAATGTATGTGGAATGTTTGGCTGAAACGAGGGCTGAAACGAGAGCAGAGCAGTATGGAACGACCAGCGAAACGATACAGAGAGAGTGAAGAATTGGAGTAGACGGAGAAAGAGAGAGAGAGAGAGAGAGAGAGAGATAAATATGAAACAGAAATAAAAACAGAAGCAGAAAAGAAGAAGAAGAAGAAGAAGCTCTACCAAGCCGCTAATGTCTCATTAAAAAGGGTCTGACACCTCCAAGGCCTGCGGACCCCGAGTTTTCTACCTGTAGGAACCCGTGGATCCATTCTTTTGTGGAGGATGAAACGGGGACGAGGACGTGAAGCATGAACGATCTGTCTTGAAACACCAGAGCGGAGGAGACTATTGAACTCTGAGCGGCGTCTTATTGGCGCAGGGCGCAGATCACCGTGATCGTCGCGCCCCAAAGTGGCAGCGTCACTTCGCTTGACGAACGAGTCAAGCGAAAGGGACCAGTGGAGGACTCGCTGAGGACTCACGAGTGGTTTGCCACATTTCTACTCCATAGTTCGGATCCATTTGGAGCCCCATCTGTTGTGGGGATTTTGTAATATTTGTGAGCATCTGTGTGCATTTTTGAGGCGCGTCCCCCTTTCACCCCTTTATAGGGATCAGCTGTGGGTGGAGGGTCAGTGACGTTGGAAGGGAAGAGGGAGAGAAAAGGCAGAGCGTATCTCTGTCAGCGTTAGCATTGGCATAAAATATTGCGATATCACGGAGTGTGGACTCGTGGTCGCGTGTGGTCCATCTTGCTTCATCGCTAGCTTTGTTTGGCTTACAGTACTAGTATTGTCCCGAGCTTATTTTCCACATGCCCACTAGCAGTCATCACATAGATCCCGGGAAGGCCCCTATTTCCACGCACTGGGCTTGTGGTTTAGTGGTATAATACTCCCTTAGCATGGGAGTGGTCCGGGGTTCGATTCCCCGCGAGTCCATTTTTTTGGTTTTTTTTCCTCCATGATAAATGGCAAGAGGCAGAATATAACTCTATACTGATTTCATTTTATTTCCTCATCGGAAGGGAAGACTTCAAGTCTGTACAATTGGGTCGTTAGGGCAATGGTAAAACCTCTTGATGCCACGACCTTATCGCGTTTGGCTTGTTTGCCTTTTCTCGGCTCCACCCGAGAACTCAGGCACCGAACCATTGGTTGGATCTGGGTCTCAGGGACAAAGGTAAGCGTCACCTGTACTAAATTCCTATTTCCACTTGGCTCACTTATCCCAGACCAATTCTATGAAATATGATCTATCTTCTCTACAATTAAACTCTTCCATTGCCGATGAAGTCGGCAAAGGCCCTCCAGATAACTACCAAATGGGGGAAAAGCGGGAAAAGCGGCATCATCCGCTCTCCGACTGAGGGGAAGATAAGATAGCGACCATGGCGCAATTGCATATAAAACATTCGCACTTCCAGCTCCAGAACGAGTCTCGACTCTCGAGTCTTTTGCATATATCAATCGCAAAATGAAGGCCATCACCCTTCTCGGCTTGGCATCTTTGCCATCCGCTCTCGCCTTGAACATCCCATCCCAACAAGTCATCTTGCCCGAACAGTCGCAAAATGCGGTGAAATCTGCTGCCCGCGAGACTTGTCCCCAGGCACAGAAGGTGTCTGTCCCGAATGACGGTCTGCATCCCGCATCCATCTTCTTAGAGGATGCTGCTTTCCGCGCCCGTCAGGCGGACAGACTCTCGCGGGCCGTGCAGATTCCCACGACAGTCGGGGACTTTGCTACGGATCCGTACGACGAGGCCTTTGAGCCTGTTGTCAAGTTCCAAAAGTTGCTGCAGGACTTGTTCCCCCTGGTGTGAGTATAATCCGACATGATGAAAATCGATACCATGGTCTTTACATAGAGATTGAGGGGTGCGAATTGATACTCAACTAACACAAACAAACCAGTCACTCCTTTGCCGAAGTCGACCACATCAACCGCCTCGGTCTAGTCTTCACCTTCCAAGGCACAGACACCACCCGCAAACCAATCCTCTTCATGGCCCACCAAGACGTAGTCCCAATCGACGACCCCTCCGACTGGACCCACCCACCATTCGAGGGCTACTTCGACGGCGAATGGATCTGGGGCCGCGGCTCCAGCGACTGCAAGAACGTCCTAATCGGCCTAATGTCCACGCTGGAGGACCTTCTCTCCCAAAACTGGCAGCCCGAGCGCACAATCCTCTTCGCATTCGGCTACGACGAAGAATCCCACGGCTGGCTGGGCGCCGGCTCCATCGCCCCAGTCCTGGAAGAAAAATACGGCAAGGACAGCTTCGAGTTCATCCTCGACGAAGGCGGCATGGGCCTCCAAAGCCTCGGCTCCGCAACAGACGCAGGCGAGGTCCTCTACGCCCTGCCCGGCGTCGGCGAGAAAGGCAGCCTGGACCTGGTCATGGAACTCGCTGTCCCGGGCGGCCATAGCTCCGTTCCCCCAGCTCACACCGGCATCGGCATCATGGCCGAGATCCTGTACGAGCTCGAGCGTCAGGATCTGTTCACGGCTTGGCTGGACGAGTCGCACCCCTCTTTCGCCATGTTGGCCTGCCAGGCGCGCTACTCGCCCGAGCACGTCGAGTCCTGGCTCTCGTCTAAGCTGGAAGCTGGCGATGCGGCCGCGCTGGCTGAGTCCGTCGCGCAGTCCCGTGGCCCCGCAGTCCGGTATACGCTCCAGACCTCGCAGGCTGCGGACTTGATCCACGGCGGCGTCAAGACTAATGCGTTGCCTGAGAAGATCTCGGCTGTAGTCAATTACCGTGTTGCGCTGCACCAGACGCCTGATTTGGTTCGTGAGCGTGCTGTCCGCATCATTACCCCCATTGCTGCGAAGCACAATATTTCGCTGTCGGTGGATTTCCCCGGTGTGGCTACTATGCCTGATGTTGTTGCTGGTGATCGTACGCTATCTCTCTCGCCGCTCAGCGATCCCTTGGAGCCGGCGCCGATTTCGCCGACTGATCCGCTCACCTCGGAGACTTGGGCGCGGTTCGCTGGTGTGGCGCGGAGTGTCTTTGAGTCTCACCCTAATCCTCTTCTGAAGTCTGAGGGTAAGGGGTCCAACCCGACTGTTGTTGTCAGTGGTGATATTATGACTGGAAATACCGATACGCGCTTCTACTGGTCTCTTTCGGAGAATATCTACCGTTGGAGTCCGTCGCGTGCGGGTGGTTCGGCAAATATTCATACTGTTGATGAGCGGATGCATTTGGATGCCCATTTGGAGGGCATCATGCTTTACTACGGTATGTTTCGAGATCTTAAAGCCCTGCTTGCTGTATTTTTTTTTTGCTAACGGTTCTCGATTTAGATCTGATTCGCTCATTCGATGGATGGGTCGATGGCTCGGAGTAAAGAGTCTTGTAGTATGACGCCGTAGAGTCATTTTCTGCATACTAAGCATATGTACATTCTGGGGTTACGATGTCTGTTGACGATCTGACGAAGACATGTAGTGAAACGTAGGTGGTAGGTAGATGATGGAATAAAAGAGAATGTACATCCATGGATACATACGCTGTCTCGCTTGATGCAGTATTTGAGGACAGCAGCAAGACTTGAAGGATAACACGTAACAGTGAAAGGCAGGAATGAATTATACTCGTAGTAAATGCACCCAGTCTATATACCAGGTACTTAGTTTGTATCCACTCAATCTTCCTATGATGATGATGATATTGTTTAACGTCGTCAAGACGAGAGCAATGGCTCTCAGTCTAATAGCGTCTCATGTAGACGTGCTATGCCAAGGTAATTACATTACATGATACCCATATAGAATCCTCAGAAAGCAACTCTTGCTTGTGCGCACGGCTTAAGCCTCCAGCTGGTCCTTGCCCCGACTTGTGGGCTCGCGACTCTGTAATCTTCCATTGAGCACCCGGTGCTCGTTCCTTCTTCAGGTCATCCAGTACCATTTTTCCTCCTCCGACTCGTAGGATTCTTGGCACAATTTCTTTTTCCTGGGGCACTAGGCCCCTTCACCCGAAGGTTGATTGTATCTGCCCGAAGGCATTAAACTAGGCAAGTACCCGAGGGCAGCGAATATTTTGATAAAAAAAAATTGATCAGACTGGGGCTCGATCCCAGGACCTTATCGGTGTTAACGATACGTGATAACCAACTACACCATCCGACCAACTGATGAACCCCGCTTTCCTATCAAACGATATGATCTTTAACTCCAACCAGTTGACTATTCACATTTTTCCTAAAAAGGGACTGCTAACGTTGGAGAAAAATACACCGTTGAACCTTGGAAATTTAACCAAATTACCGTCAGTTACAGTTTTGGCTTAGTAATCTTCCAAAAGGAAACATGTTAAATTACCAAAAACAAAACAGTCGACATATACCTTATCCAGCCTTTCATGCATAAAAAAGAGAGCTTGAATCTGGAGCTGTACCTTTAATCATGTCAAGCGTCAGCTGTCGGGGCTATGCTGTGCATGCAATGCAAGTCCATAAACCAGGCAACACAGCCCCATTGCCCAGAAATACGCGAAATCGTGCCAGAGCTGCAGTACATGACTCGCGGGAACCAAATTTACGGCCCCAAATCGAGTCCAAGTTTCTTCGTACGGGAATCTGGAGTGTAGCGGTGAAGCTGTGGCTGTTTTTTCCGGGCTGTGCAGGTGTCGATGAGGCAGCGCCGACACCTGGGCACTGTGGGGCAAACAAGGCTTCTGAACTAGACTCTAGTTTCAGGTGCTCAAGGAGGCTTTCTTTTCCCAGGGAAGGGTAGGGATGTAAGATGACGACATCCAGGTTGGAGGGGCGGTCGGGGTATGCTACACTAGAGAGACGGGCTATACACAATGGAAAAAGCAAAAAAGCAAAAAAGCAAAGGCCAAGGTTATTTGATGTTATGAACATGAATTGAAGCTGACTTGGGTCATAGTGAGTCTTGAGATCGCTGCCGGGGTTCGCACCACGTAATCACGGTCTAGACTCTAAACGCGAAATCATTCAAGCTTGACGAAATCATGATTATGGAAAAAACAAAGAACAAAGAACTCGCATGAACACCAGTCCGGTCAACACTAGATTCAAGAATCAAAAGTAAAAGCAGTGGAAGAAAAACACAAAGACGGCAGTGTAGCCTCGGAAATTGTATCATGGCTCGCAAATGATCAAGAACATCGCAGGATTCAGGAACACCGGTCCAATCAAAGCTAGAGAGAGCCAAGGGCGAAAGGCAGTGGAAGGTAGTGGGAGAACAGACAAGGACGGCAATGCAGTCATCGGAAAATTGTATGGTAGCAAGTAAATGGACAGAAAGATCCAGGTAGGATTCAGAAACACAGCTCGAGTCAAAGCCAGAGTCAAGGGGCGGAACAGCAGAAGGGCTTCAATGATGCAAGGCAACTTTTGAAGCAGCGGGTCATCACACATAGATCAAGAAATCATATCAACGCCGGTCCAGCGCAAGGCCAGGCAGCAGACAGGAAGACACACAGAAACGACAATTTCAAGAAAGGAAGCAATCCAATAAATAACACCAGCACAAATATCCATAGGGAAATGAAACACAGACCAAGGTAGAAAGAATCGGGTCGGTAGCTCACAATTGAAACAGAATAAAATCACAATCAAACAAAGACAGCAACTGAAAGGAATCGGAGACTCGTAGATCCAACCGTACGCTAACACAAACACCAACAATACAAACGAGGGGGTATATATACAAAAGACAATAGGGAACAGGGAACAGAATGTGAAGGAAGATGGGTATCGGTAAGAGGATCAAAGTGATGAGGAGGTAAAGATAAAGTGGGTAGGTAAGAAGAAAGAGATGATAAGAATGCACCAATAAGTAAAATGTGAAAAAAAAAATGTGAAATATCAAAGTATTAGTTCTCGTATTGCTCGGGTCATCACTCACGACGAGCCGTAACTCGGGACCGACTCAAAGAAAAGATCAAATAGACAATGTATCGAAAGAAATAGTTAAACACCAGTTCAGGATCAGTGGTTGTGTCGTCGGAGCTTTGCACATCAGCTAGCCCATCAGTGAGACTGGCAAGGGTATCGAGGCAGTCTTGAAGGTCCAAGTCGAACGACATCTCAAGTTCGACTTCACCGACTTCCTCAACTTCATGCCCATCGCTTCCGATGTACAGAGCTTGGGTCTCGTCAAAGACGGCATCCCCGGAATGGTCATCGGGACCGCTGGACCTGTACGCGATCAGGTCCAAAACATCTTCATCATCCTCACTCTCTTCATCAGAATCATCGCCAGAAAACAGATCACCGTAGCCGGGCCTCTTGTAGGGAACGAGAGCATTCCCAAGGTCGGCAACTGAGGAAGTATCGTCGACAGATGAGGTAACGGACTCCACGTCTGAGAATAAGCCGTCGTCGTCTTCCGACTCGGAAACATCCGTATCGTCGACGGTATCTTCTTCAGCTTCCTCGACAAGGTTCGCGGAGGCGGAGCCAGCAAGGCTAGCCATGAGGACTTGTTGAATGGTCCTCGCGTCTTCCTGGTTCTTCTTCTTATTTGCCGATCGAGCCACTGACGACCGCAGCTTAAGAAGTTTGATGACGACATGAACTCTCGTTCGGAGGGGATGACTAGTCCTGTCCTCCGAGAGAATCGTGACGTTCATATCGAGATGTCTGCCGGGGACAATCTCAACGCGTGCATTGCTTGAGAGCAGTGATTTGGTCACGCAGGGACAGCCACAGACGAAAGGGCTAATGTTTGCAAGCTTGGCTGTTGGGAGGATAATGCTGAGTTGAGACTCGGAGGTCACGGCTTCTTCCGTCTCTTCTGTTTCACTCAGTCAGTATATAAGAAATTTTGAGACGAATGAAGCGGATATCTGAGAAACTCTCATGATGCCAGCTGCTCATCAACACGTACCACACTCCAATGCTTTAGCCGTTTGTGGGACCTTGGATAGCCATCTCGGCAGAGAATCCCTGATGGGAAGGCAGCTAAGCCAGGTACCGAAACACGCATCCGGAGTTTTGGATTTGGGTGAGAGCATTTCCTCCTCGCTTAGTTCACTCACATCCATGAACATTACCATATTGGTAAAGTTAGAACGTCCTTGGGGGTTTCCTGTGGAAGGGCCATAATTTCCGGGGCGTCTGGATGACGGCACGTTTCCCCTTCCAAAGGAGCGCTGGGTAGGGAAGTTTTGTGATGAGGGAAACTGCTGCAGGTTGCCGAGGTCAATCATATTTAGGTAATTCATGTTCATACCGGCTTGGCTGGGGTTCAACTCATTGTGTCGAGATCTTTGGGATATCAGTGCGCTTTCTTGAAGCCTGACAGCATCTTGAGTAGGGCAAGCGTGACACCGGGCTCCCGGTCGAACTACTTTGCTCTTACAAATGGTGCAGTCTTTGAATAAGTGTGAGCAGGTTCGACAGTGTTGATACTCTTGCGGCTCGTTCCTAGTCTGTCTCGACCGCTTGAATGGGCGTTGGGTGGTTGAGCCAAGCTCATTAGATCCTCCAGGAAGCTCAGAATGGTCTTGCTCAGATGCTTGGCGCTTTTGATGATGGGCGTGAGACGGGACATCCAGTCGTGCTTGAGGTGGTTGGCGGGCGATGATACCGTCAGAAGATGAACGCAACATGTCGGAGGCTTGTCGGGGAACTGTGGGTGAAATACAGCTCTGAGCTTGTAGATGTTGCCAGTTTTGAGTTGAGTTACCAGGGTAGTAGTTGTTGCCGAGGTTGTTGTATTCCTGGGCTTCATGCATTCCCAAGCCGTCATTTCTCGGTCCCGAGAAGTTTGAACCATTGTTTTGGAGTTGGGCATTATAAGGACCCTGATCAAAAATATCTCTGTTTGAACCATCGTCATTTGGGGCTCCTGCCTCCCCTCGGCCATTAACACTGAGACAATGAGATTTGAAGCAGCGATAGAACTCCTTCCAGCCTTTGACTGTCCTGGTGCAAAGGCTGCATGAAGCTGGGGCGGGGAGTTCTATGGTGTAATGCTTAATCTCCTCATTCGATGGATTCCGAAGATGGCTAAGGCGGCAATGGTCACGAAATTTGTCCGTTCTGTGACATCTTTCTTGACAACCGGGCTCAGGGCAGCAGATTGTGGCACGTGGGTGATGACTACTCTCGACATGGCGCTGAAGAGATCCGACGTGACCAAACAAGATGTTGCAGCCGACGGCGATACACTGAATCGATTTATCCTTCTTGCTAGTATCTGGAGGAGGAGCTCTCGATGGCTTAGATGAGGTCGTCTTTGAAGCCTTAAGTTTTTCGCATTTCTTCTTGTTGATGATCTCCTTGAATTCAGCGAGGCATTCAAGAGCGACATTTGGCTCTGACTCGAGGATCATATTGCATACGTGTCTGATTTCCTCTTCGATGATCGCCTGTGAGTTGGGCTGTACTTGAGCGATACCCATGAGCTCTCTTTGCCCTAGTTGAGGAGCAAGCGTTTCATATTTGGGAGGAATTCCGTTTTGCTGCAGTGCCGCTTCAACATCCACTTGTACCGGATCCCGTGTATTCATCCCGGCCATGTTTTGGTGGTAGTCTATCTCTGTATTGGCACCCCCCATGTACAAAAAGTCGCTCGAGAGGACGGGAATGTGAGTCATGGGTTCCGAAGGGTTCATGGCAGCGAAGAAATGTCCAGATTCCGGCTTTGCACTTGTTTCGCTCGTGGTACCAGTCTTCCGGCTCGTCTGATAAGAGGACCCATGCGATTCCTGGATGGAACCATCAGTCTCAATGGCAAGCGTTGGGTAGGTAGACTCCTTTTGGGTGTTGGATCCAGTGCGGCGCCAGTGAGGGTTGGAGCGGGGATACACATAAGGACAAACCAACTTACAGTGAGGGGGATAGAGTATCCAGCAGAGACATGGCTTGGGTGTGGATATGCACTCGGGGGGAGGCAAGCATCTTGGTAGCTCATTGTATCCTGAACGCGGGCGAAGAAGTCATCATTTTCTCCGCAATCTTGGTAACCATCTTCGTAATCCTCTTCCAGTAACTGTTCGTTGGCAAATGGTAGGGGATCTTCGTAACGGGACATATGGAGTGGAGATGCAGATGAATATCAGAGGCAGGGCAGGTAGAGGGTATAACAGATACTAGTTAACCACTTTGACCGCCGTGGGAGGTTCTAAACTTAGTCAGAAAATTGCAGAAAGACAGAGAGGTGGAGTAGGGGAACAAGTTGAGAGGGAGGGTCACCGTCTGTACTGGTTTCTCTTTTGGGTAGGGACGGGGGTATGAGAGAATTTAAGGGAAAGAACGGATCCACCAGAGAATTGTTGAAAACCTTCTGGGTTTGAGCCCGGGTGGTTTTGGATACACTGGGATTGATACAAGTACGTAGTGGTGGAGTCTGGAGAATTTTGGAATCGTCAAGGAAGTGGAGCAGGATAAGGTGTATAGCTTTCCCGCTGTGGAGCTTCCAATTAGTAGACGCCAGTTGAAAAAAAAAAAAAAAAGAATCAGGCATGAAAGCGCTTTTCCAGGACGTGTGGAATTAATAAGAATTAAAAAAGAGAGAAAAAACAAGGGCAGTGGACAGGGAATTTCGTAATAAAACGATTTTTTAAGGCATGTTTTTTGCCTCGTTTGGTTCGCGGTTTCGTAATTACACGGGATCGGGGCAGTGTTCTGTCATGAGCTTTCTGGCTTGACGAGTCAGCAAAAGGGTTTCTTTCTGGGAGTTATGACACTATGGACGCCTGAATAAATATCTGGGACTGAGTACTACTGATTACTACTCCGCACGGAGTAAGGTACTAACTAATGGGGGAGGGGAAACCTGAGCACAGCCTCCTCTGGACTCTGGAGTCTGGGGATTCGGAAGGCGGTGAAAGCAGAGTGTACACTGCAAGAGCCGCATGGTATTTCTTTTCTACGTGTTTCCTACTTTCCTGTATTTTAGATTTGCTTGACTTTTTCCAATGACAACACATCCTGTATCCTTTGGGCATTCATTTTGAAAATCTCCGTATCTTATGCATTCTCAGATCAGACTAAAAACACCGCCACACTCGGAAGTTGCAACCGTTATCGGATTTAAATGCTTCAATACTCTTGTTCTTTTTTTCTTTGGTTTGTTTATGGATCTTATTTGGGTATAGATCTGAACCACGTTTCATCCCAACCTATATCCCGTCTGATTGGAAAGTGGCCGCTGTTACCGTGGATGGCAACAGGGGCCAGTCCGAAAGGCTATTCTTATTACAGTATCCTTCTTTCCAAATCCCCTTATCTCCGAGTCTCTAGCTATGAGTTTCCTTTTCGAGATTAAAGACACCAAATAAGGAACCTATATGTGGATTTATTCAACTCATACGCCGAGCTCCTCAGAAAAGAACATATTTCTTATTACCATGTAACGAGCCATCACGTCAATCATTTTCGTATTTATTTAAATGAACGAATCACATTACAATTCCAAGGCGGCGGGCCCACAATGGTCACATGAACAACATCATTAATGACAAATACGATGCATTAAAACAAGACGGCACTTACTGTATGGAGGCCCGAGCGAATAACAAGGGAATAAAAAACGAGGCTGTTAGCATCGATTGGTGCTCCGATGTCCCTGAATTTCAACCCGTGGACCAATTCGAATAAAAATTTATTGTGATTGACAGCAAATCCATGCATTTCGGATCGATGGATGGAATCAAAACATTAAACACCTTGATTAACGCCTAAACGCCCAAGTAGAGCCGCTCATTTTCGTGGTCCTCCGTTTCCTCCGCCTATCAAAGCTCAACACAAATAAAGCACCCGTCCGAACTTCCTATTTTCCCCGCGATTGAGCCGGACTGTCCGTGATAGCCTCTGGAGAGAACAAATAGGGCAATAGTATGGACAGGGTTCATCCCTTAACGCCTGACATCATAGTGGACCCTTAGTCTGCAGTGTTATGGAGAAACGCGCCGGTGCGGCAGGTCCCAGAATATTGGTACATGTAAACAAGAACCACATATGATCGTCGCCTAAGGCTGTACATACGACCTAATACAAACTACATACAACCTCAGAATCCCTGAACCTTGTACAGGTCCGAAATAGCCTAGTCGCAACGCCCATTTTGACACGCTCTTCATTACAATTCACTGGTATGTACATCTTTCTCCCGCCACGCATTTGGGCACTCAACATTGAACTCAACCGGCCATCGAGTTTTTCAGCGGGTGGGCGGCTGCGTCCCCGTCCAAATACACTTTTTTCATCATGTGCTCCGAGACCGGGGGACCCCCGCAAACAGGGCGACTAGTTCATTCTTTGCATAGTCGGGATATAGTAAGGCGCGGAAATTATCAGCCACACAAACTTCGCCCCGCGCTTCCGTGTGTGTGGAATTATATCATCCATGTATATAGAGGGAGGATACTCAGGCAAGGGGAAGATAATGGAAAGTCAATCCGATCTTATCCATCCATACGTATGAGTCGGTATGACCGACTCTCTCGGCCGGTGGGTCAATTTTCTCAACTCTTCCGCTTGCGACTGATACGGAAAGAAGCCTTGCTACCTGTTGGGGTATGGAGAGAGAATTCCAAGGTTTCAAGGTGATTGATGTAAGGTGAGGCGATGAGCAAGGATGGAATTGATCATGGGGACAGACCAAGATGCCGATTGCCGTACAAACTAGTATACTCCTTATCGTTATCGGGCCTTTATCGGAGCCTTTATCCCTCTTTATCGCTTCTATCGCTCTTATCGTCACCCTTCCGACTCGATAAGCGAGTGAGTCGGAGTGAGACTCCGAGTGACCATCCGGGGAGAGGATCCCCCGGAAATTCAACTGATGGAGAGTGGGAAACTCCAATTAGATTCAGGACTCACACTTACCAGCCAACTCTGATAAACCCCAGACCCCACCTGCGTCCTTGACAGCCGAAACACAAACCCAAAACAGCGACAAAAGACAGAATTTGCACACCGGCCGAACAATTCAGAGCGCTCATCTGATCGTGCAGCACGGCTTGGGCCTTGGGTTCGGGTAGGAAGGCGGTTCGTTGGAAGCGGGAAATACAGCCTGCACGAGGGGAACGGGGCCACGGCGTGTTGATCAAGCTTTGACACTCTTCAATCCATGTACCGATATTATTTCTCAATCTCTTTGCCTTTTTGAGGATTATTTGAATGATTTCTGATTATTCTTGATGTGCTTTTTCCGCCCTGCGGATCACTTGTGGAACCAATAATGGTCGACGACCTTCCTGGGGAAAAGCTTTCCCTTATCCTGTTAGCTGTGTGGTTCTTGGCTTTCTTTCACCGGGACCCTGAGTAGGGAAAAAGATGGGGATTCAGCCCTGCGAGAACTTTTGATGCTTTTCAAGGCTTGGGTGAATTGCATGTGCTATGCTTTTGTGCCAATCGATTTGACCTCATGATTGATGTGCTATGCGTGCGTACATGTACTATGTATGGGCGATCATACATATTGGGCTGGGTTGAGGCTCTCAAGGGATGTACATTATGTCGGCGCTGTGTATGACCGGTCCTTTTTCCCCGATTCTTGGGTCGGGATGATTTCCAAGGATTTCTGTTCTGCATGTACATGTACTTGTGCATGTATACGTTATGATACGCATGATACGGGCGCGACGAGACGATCACATGATTACTTTCCAAACTGTACTTGGACTGTATGAAAGATTGAAAGTTTACGGAAGCGAAGAGGAAGAAGCAAAGATAGACAGAGGGAAAAAAACAAAGGAAACGAAGAGACGAAAAAAGTAATGCATTTCAGCCTTGTGAGCTTTGATGATGTCTGTGCCACGGATGTTGTCTCAGATCATCGTGAGATTTTTCTTTTTTTCTCTCTCCACCTAAGATCTCACAAGTCCACATGGACCCCACTCGGCGGGAAGATTCCATAGATCGAAGTGCGGGATAATACATACATAAACGAGTGTAGTATTGAGTCTACGGAGTATATTTGAGTAACATTCCAGTGAGAGTTCAGCCAGATGCACACTACCCGAAGAAGCCCAACGTTGTAGGAAAGTCAAGTTGGAGGGGAAATGGAAGAGAAAGAGAGGAGAAAAAGGGGGCGAAAGAAAATTTTTCCTTGCAAAAACCTCATGATTGGGTGGGGTCAGCCCATGTTCCTGGAATGACGTTACGGTGGTTTTGTTGAACAAAACCACATGGCGACTTCAGATGCTGTAAGCAAGAAAACGTATTTTTTTTTGCTCCTAGTAACACAGTAGTAGACTGAGAATGAAAATACATGTATGAATAAAAACACATAGAAGAATCAAGACAAAGAATAAGAATGAGACAAGGAAGAGAACAAAAAAATAAAGAATAACAAGAACTCCCCCGACGCAAACACCTCCCCCCAATTGCTCCGTCTACATGTACTTTTTTCTTTCCTTGGAAACTCGCCAAGTTCCCGAACCTAAAGCGTACCCGTATGTCAGACCAATCGATCTGACATGAACTAAAAGCAAGTTCAAATGCAAAGTTCGACTTTCAAAAGCCAATTTTCAAGCACCTGCAGCTCCCCTCTACATCAACTCGTAACCGTTCTCCACAATCACATATCCCACTGCGTCACTGGTCGCTGGGGTAGCGGTTTAGCGGGTGCTAAGGTTGATCGGGGACCATGGCTGAGAGGAGCGTGGGGCATTCAGATAGGCTTCGAGGGAAGCGCTGTTGCCGTTCGATGGTCGCGTGTCTGGGAAGGTAATGGTGGAGGATGAGGGCAGGGAGGGACCAAGATTGAGGGTCGGACCTCCTGGGAAGGTGGAGACGTCTTCCGTCCACGATCCCATCCCGAGAAGATCCATCTCCTGGTTGGAACTAGGGAAGAAAATAATTTAGCGAATGTTGGGAGGTTGGTTCTTATTTTGGGATTCCCGTAGACAACGCAATGAATGAGGGAGGGTAGGGCCAAGCTGGTATGATATTGAGTAGCAGCTTACAGTGGTTTGGACATCTTGTAAGAGAGGTTGGTAGTAAGATATGGATAGAACGGTATAGCTTGAGTGGAGACGGTGTGGCGAGAAGCTTGCAACTAATTGATCGGCGGCGATGGTTAGAACAGAGAACAGAGGACATGTAGCGATGCAATTCTGGATCTGAGAACCTACTTATGCGATACAGGAGACTGATGCCGATGCCGATGCTGTGCTGTGCTGTGCTGTGGGAGGAGCAACTTCGTCTCTACGAGCTCTCATGGACATCTTATAGAGAGAGGAAGAGGAGCTCAGAGGAATGTCAATGGATTGACACGGTCAATCCAGAGCATAGCCATAGGCTCATAGCATGGCCCACTGAGAGAAATACCCCGGGTTAACTTCACCCAGGAGGCCAAAATAATAATAATAATAAAAAGGGAATAAAATAAAATAGAAATTATAGGGTGAAGATAGCGTCATCTGGATAGGCTTGTAGATCCACTCGTAGGCGATCTGCAAGTTCCGAGATCATTACAGGGTTAAAAGCGTTATGAAATTGGAAATCCCCCCATTTCTGCCTATTTCGTAGGCGAAAAATGCCTTGGGCTGCATGAGAGATCTATTGAAAAAAAAGTATATTAGTGACATGATTTAAAAATAAGAAATTAAAAAGAAATATTCGGAAAAAGAAAGATAAAAAGAAAAAGAAGAAAGAAAAAAAAAAGAATTACCTTCAAGTTAGTACCTCCGACTTCTCCACCAAACGAGCTTTGCAAATCACGCTGCAGGCCCCAGGGGGAACACTCAGTAGAGTGGGTACTACAAACCCTCGAGCCTGTCATCCAGGGTCCAACCTCTTGGAATCCCTCGAGCAATACGGATAATAAGTCCACCACAAACAACCAGACCGCATATTATTTCCCTAACCACCTCTATTTTCATCCCACGTCCTCGCTGCAAGTCGCCCAATCGACGCCCCTCAAGACCACCCAAATGACACAAGACAGAAAACACAAGACACAAGGCAGAAAGCAGATGGCCACATCCAGCAAAGTTGAAATATCGGTGTAGAATCCTAGCCACAGGTACAAGGGTACTGTATAGCGTAGACCATCTCATCTCAACCTTGGGGAGGGTACTTATTAATGCGTTGTCAAAAGTACGAAGTGCAGGTGGGAAATCACTGATCGGTACTAGTGGCTGCCTTCATCTACCCGGTGCCTGCTTCCAGGTACCGGATAGGTACAATGCTATGTGTGACAGAGCCGGCATATGCAAGTACTGCAATGTCTCCAGTGAGTCCAGTCAGCGGTGGGAGTGGTCAGCATCCGTTTGACCCGGTTATTCGGTAAGTTATCAGTCGCAGGCCTATTATGTGCAGCGTCATGATGTCGACTATCCCGACCCGCTGGTCTGCATTGAAGTCTCGTTGAGACTAGCACTTTCTGCACTGCAGCTTTTGATCGCTGTGCAGTGCTGCCAATGCATTTACGTTTTTCATTTTTCATTTCAATGTTTACATTACTCCGGACAATGCATTGTTAGTGGGGCAATGGGGCGTGGATACGGCGGGGCAATTCTCCGACTTTCTGATATCTAATCAGACACTTTGGAATCCTTGTCATTGGTGTCATTACACTGGTCGGATGGTGGAGTAATAACCCAGCTACCAGCTACCGAATTCAGATCTTCCAATTTTATCTTTTTTATTTATAATTTTTCCCCTGGGTCTTTTTCCTACATCACCGGGCAAGATCCACCCGAACCTTCAGACTCACCTAGGTACGTGAAGGGCAAAATCATTTGATTTTATTTAATTTTGGTACAGGGAAATAAAAAAAACCGGGTGGCTCTGTTAGGGTGAAGGGGGTCAAACAAAGAAGGCTGGTGTGAATGACATTGACATTATCCAGTACTTGCAAAGAAAAAGAAAAAAAATAAAAAAGAAAAATAATTCTCATCCCTACTAGTACGCCACTGACGACGGCCACCAACCCCACCACTTTCCCACATCCTGGTTCCCAACCTCCACCAAGCAACAAGGCTTAACGTCCAAGAAACATGAAACACCATTTGTAATTAGTGGACGGTGACTAGCGTACGTCGGCGTTAGACCGCATTGACAGTTCATCAGCATTGATCTGACCAGAATGAATGCAGACTAGCAAGGGAAACTACTGAGACTAGCGCGAGAAGGCCCGATCAGCTGGCCGCCGCGCGCTAGGACTGGCGTATGTATCAAGGCGATGCCAAGTTCCCATCTGGCTCCCGATACTAAACTAGTGAGATGAGGTGCGACCAGGGTTAGTTGATCGATGGTGGGTTGGGCAATATTTCAAACCCAGTTGATCGCCAGCTCTTGCCAGGGTTATTGCTGGCGTTGGACCGTTGGTTGGCGTTCCAGTTGTCAGTGACTCAGTCCCGGATGAGAAATCAATCAATAACTACAATGCTTGTCCAGTGCAGTGCAGTCCAGAGCGGACGAAAAGCGCAAGGGCTAGGAATTTCTGCGTTTTGATGGCGAATGGGTGCCTGACAGGATGTAGATGAAGGAAATTTTACCTTTGTAGTCTTTTTTTTTTACTCTCTCTTACTCTTTTTTTCCCTCTGGGAATACGTACGTTGACAGTGGCGTATTAGGGGTTATCTAGGGTTGGGACGTGCGTCTGGATCGTGGACCGAGGCACTCTGTCCTGCCAATGCTATGGATGGAAGGGGAGTTGAAGCTTTGATTCGCTATGATTGGGGTCATCCAAGCCTACCGTCTAAGGTCTTCCTAGGTACATATTATGCCAAAGGCTCAAAGCCAATGGTTGTAGACTTTGACTGTACCTAGCCTATGGTTCATCTACAACCAATCGTAGGATTTCTCTTACTCTCTGGCATCGCAGTAGAATCTAGCTGGGCCATCCATTGCATGCCGTAGTCTAGAGCTTTCCCTGGACTGCTTCGGATCTCGCATGCGTGGTATATCAAGCATCCTATGAAATTGAATTGACCAACACGAGTGACTTAGCTCACTGTTTCCCTGTGATGTCAAGTACACAGTAGGCTTGATCCAGACTGAAACTCTCTCTTTATTTTTATTTTTTTTTCTTTGCATTTTTATGTCTGACTAGACTTCCACCAGAAGCCCGGACGCTTTGGTGCCCGCTTCCTGCAGAGTGAAGCTTTTCCATTTGCCTTTTCGGGCCCCCAAACCTGTGCGTGATAAGAAAAAAAAAGCAAAGACGATGAAAATTCTGCAACACTGAAAACTCTGCAAAGTCTGAAACTCGTGGAAAATATCACTCGGTGCATGCCCCTCATTGCCCCTCCAGTGCCTGCAGCAGCCAATAATGCCTTTCCAATTCTAGTAAGCACAACAGCACCCATCCAATCCAGCATCGCCGTCATCTCTAACTATAGACTTTCTTTTACTTTGCAAGTGCACAGATATGCGGCATTAACTTGGAAGCTGAAGCCAACCCAAATCGTCAAACTCAAACTCAATCCCCGTTCTCCATGCCCATTCCCATCTCACTCACCAATGACCATCTTGGTACCTACGATCGTAGGTACGCTAGTGAGTAATGACAGAAGCCAAAAAGCAGTAAACAAAAAAAACGGCAGAAAATCACCCCCATACAGCTGCCGTACTCGGTCCGGTTTTTTTCTTTCGGTGGCGAGTATCGTGAGATACGGCCGAAGGGACCATCATTAACTTCTAAGGATTGGATTGGATTGGATCTGGTTTTTTTTTTCTTACCCAGGAAGTTTCTGTTGGGCTTCGTTCTCGTATGCGTGGCAGCTTTGACCATTGCTGCATCCATGGACCATGTTCCACGTCTAGTATACCTAGTAGTAGACTTAGTATACAATGGATTTGCATTTCATTTGAAAACGATGACGTTGAGCGATATGAGTTCTACTAATTCCTCAATCGGGTATCTTGTTTTCCTAAACTAAATTTGCTTAATTTTCAATTTTCTCCGATTTTGCTTTCTTTTTCTTTTTCTTTTTCTTTTTCTTTTTCTTTTTCTTTTTCTTTTTCTTTACCTTTTCTTTTCTTTTTTTCTTTGCTTTTCTCTGCCAAGCCGTGTTCCCTCCTAAACTAGGCTGCCACCAGGCAGCAGGCTCCTCATGTGGCTCAAGCCTCGCACTAGCCACACCGCTGATCCTTCGAAAACCCGATATTCACCAGATGATCCAGATCAATCCAATCCAACCCAGTCACAATCCATCATTGCAACATCCGCAATCCAAAAGCACCCCAAGCACCTCATTCACCTCACTTCTCTCACCTGGGCATTCAAGGGCAATCAATTTGTTTCATCCCCTCGCCCTTCCAAGCTTTTTCCCCGGGGGAAGCTGCGCAAATGTCAAACCAATGCTTTGTGGCGCAGCAGTCCTGAGTCCTGAGTCCTGACTTCCCTTTCCCTTTCCCTTTCCAGAGTCCAGAGTCCAGAGTCCAGAGTGATGCACTGATGCTAGTAGCTACTGGTTTCTCCGAATGACAAGTCCAATCAGTACAAGTAACTAGTGCTTGCTCCGTACTAAGCATCGCTCTCTAGCTTCGGGTTTGGGTTTCATCTGGCTGCCCAGGTGCTTGTGTACATGTACAAGACAATGTGCATACTATGTACAACCCCTTGGCTTGGTATTCCTGATAAACCGACGATGGCTATGACTCATGAGGGGTTTATTCTGATACATACATCCTGTTGAATTAACACAAAGGGCAGTGCCATGTATTCCCTCGTCCAATCGCCTTGGTTTCTCCTCCAGTCCGGATTTTAATCCGAGGGAACCCGTTGTTTAAGCAGCGGGCCAGACATGTGGCAGTGCAGTTCGTTCTAATGTAGAAAGGAACTGCGTATCTATGTACTACTGTACTGCATGGCCCCGACGTTGGGATCTGGACTTCCAAGGTTGTTGTCCCTCTTACCACTTACAGGAGATCGGCGATCGAGATCCAGTGTTCGCCGGTTAAGGGCGGGTCGAGTGGTATGGCTCTCGCGCGATTGATGTAACGGCGTGACGTGATTGCGATCTGCGCGCTTGGCCTCGGAGCTTCCGAGCTCTCAATCATTGGTATTGACAATTGCGAATCTGGTCAATGGGGTTCCAAATTGGGAGCTCCGGAGGTGTCGCTCAAAACTTCCAAGGTTGGATACTAATGCTGCATGTGTGCAGACTATATCTACTAGATAGCCCAATATTGATGCCAAATGCACATACAATCGTATTCGTTGAGCTCGTATAAACTACTAGTATAGATATGGATACCACCAGGGCTTTTTGGATATGAATCGCGATGAATCAGTAGAAAGACAAGCTTTCCAAGACTCGCTCTGCCTTCCTGTCCTTTTGTCTGGCCTCCCGGAGATCGCAGGAGCCAGCTAGAACGAAGTGCATCAAGCAGCAGAACTACTATGCACCAGCTCGATGCAAAACTCTCCCCATTCACCCCCATTACTCGACGTGAGGACCTCCTCCGCGATGGCTTCCTCGATCCGCTCCCCATACCGCCTCCGGTACTCGATCTTCACCTGCTCAAAGTGTCGCGGCTCCCAGTGCAATCGGACAAGTCTGGAAATAAGGAGTTCGGAACGTTCGCGGCCTGATTTTGATTCGCGGAGGGCTTGGTGGAGGAGGAGGGCGTCGCGCATCGGGCGGTTGATGGCTCCGTTGAGGATGTGGGCTAGTGTTTCGCCCTGGAGAAGATGGATGCGAGTTAGTAACGAGATCAAGATAAGGAGAAGAGGAAGGGAAGAGGAAATGGGAGGAAGCATAGCATAGCAGAGAGCGAAGCAAATCCACAAAACCAAAAAAAAAACCTACCACCAAATTGCGAGACTTAGCAATCATCGCGCGCGCAAAATTATCCCCATACACAGCCTCATAAGCGCGCAAAACCTCCCTCAAATGCGCATCACTCCTCAACACAATAATATGAATCATCGCCGTCTCCCCACCATCCCTCGACACAAGCGCCCGATGCAAATCCGAAACATCCTGCCTTACAAGCCTAGCATCCAGCGGCTCGCGCTCCTCCTGCCTTTTCTCCTCCAGCACAAGCAGCACCGCAACGCGAAACTTATCCGCCTTCAGCTCCGCCCTCATACAACGCTCCAAGCTATTCTCATACCGCGTATCCCTGAAACAAGCCTTGATCTCGCGGATAGCGGCGTTCGAGCGGCCCATGAGCGACTCTATCAGGAGCTCGCGCCGCGAGGTCCCGGCCTGGTAGTAACAGTTTGCCCAGTAGGCCTCTGATTCCCAGCGGCCGAGGGCGGTGGCGTAGGCGACCTTGCTGAAGGAGGAGGAGCCGCCGAGCTTGAGGCGGAGGTGCTTGGCTAGGTTGATGCCTTTGCCGTGGACTTTGACGCGGGCTTTGTATTCTGCGCGCAGGGTGAGGATCTGGTCGCTGGAGAGCATGGGGAGGGTCTGGATGATGGTTTTGTTGTCGATGTTGCGCGTGTGGTTTAGGGCGGATTGCATTGCGTCGGCGTCGGGGCCGGCGTCGTAGAAGGAGACGCGCTTGCGGGCGTTTTCGGCGGCGCTGGCGCGGCTGGGGCCGTGGCCGGGCCCGTTGTTGCCTTTGGGCGAGATTAGGATCATCGAGTCGCTCGTGTTGCCGCCTGTTAGCGAGGAGACGGAGGAGTGGTGGTCGTGGCCGATTGGGCGCGTGCGTCGCTTGTCTTCGCGGTCGGAGTAGTCGTGGTCGCGGTCGCGGTCGAGGCGGAGCTTTTCCTTGCTGCTGCTGATGCTGTTGTTGCTTCTGTGGCGGCTGTCGAGGCGGTCGTGGCTGCGATCGCGATGACGATCGCGCTCGTACTCCCTTTCACTGATGGAGGACTTGGTGCGGGCGTGGCCTCTGCGGCGTCGGGATTCGGAGCTGGAGGTTTCGCCGTCGAGAGGCTCGAGGTCGGAGATGTCGTCGTCGCGGATTGACGGGATCACGATGGGTGAGGGCATGGGAGACATTGACTGGTAGGTACCACGGTATGGCTCGAGAAGCGGACTAGCGGGTGGGTGATGTCCAGCCATGGAAGCGCCAGCGCCAGCGCCAGCAACGGCTAGGTTATTCGCTGATGACACGGACAGACTGTGCGGACGGCGGCCACCACCGGGCGTGATCTCCATGTACTGTTTCTGGGGTGCGGCTCGAGGAGAGGGGGGCGGTGGTGCTGCAGGCTTGTCTGAGAACTGAGGCCCCTGGTCATACTTGTACGAATAGATCGGCTGCTCGGGCTGGGACTGCGAATGCGACGGGGCGCGATCATGCTGAGGTCCGCGGGTATACGCAGCGCCTGTAGCCGGCGTAGAGAACTGCGCGTCGGGCGAAACATTGTACGCCGGCTTCGTAGCTGCCTTGGAAGTATACCGCACGTTGGGATCAACCTGCGCATACTGGTACGGCGCCGGGTGTGCATATCCCTGCTGAGACCCAGGTGCATCGCTCGCCGATGCCGTACGATAATGCGAAGGCGCATAGGCACCGCTCGTCACATTTGAAGGGTACGGCTGCGACGACGGCGGAATAGGACTCGTATACTGCGGTGTAGGAAAGCTCGGCGCCATCGTGGCCGGCATATCGTACGCCGAAGAAGAAGGGAACGCGCCTGGCATCATCCCGCTCTGAGGCTGAGACGTAGGCGGCACAAAGCCCGGGCGCTCGCACTCGGGAATGGGCGCCCAGTCGGTCTTGGTGCTGGGCCGCTGAGGCAACGGTGGCCCCGCCTGCTGTTGCGCGTACTGGAATTTGCCCGGTCGCGCATAGCTGGGGTGGCTGCCAGGCGTAGCGCCGTAGGCAAGATCATCATCAACCGAGTCGTCATCTGAACTGTCATCCCGACGGCTTTGGCTTCGCGAATGGCCCTGTCCCTGCCCATTGCGGGAACTGCCACCCGGCAATGGAGACTGTGGCGGTCGGCCATACTCGCGCGGCTGTATGGTCCTTATATCACGGTCATCGTCGGAATGCTCGTAGTGATCGCGGTTGCGGCGCTCGCGGTGCTCACGGTCTTCCTGTCGACGCCTCTCCTCTCTATCGCGACGTCTGGCGCTATCGTCCGAATCATCGCGGCGCACATCATACGCGGAGCTCCTCGCAGGACCAGGACCAGGACCAGGACTCCTGGGTGCAGTCCTCGAGTCCCGATCACGGTCCGTATCCCGGAGCCGACTCTCCTTCATCAGCTTATACTGACGGTCGATCTCGGCTTGGTCCATATCCCCATAATTGCGATTGGAGCTGGAAGATACGGACTGCTTGCCGATTTCGACGACTGCGGGGGAACGCGAGCGCGGACGAGAGGTAGTTTCCACCGAGAGATTCAGGTCCGAGGATGAGACGCGATTATCGCGAGATCTGGACCGAGATCTTTCGCGAGACTTGGAGCGAGTACGTGAGCGGCCGTCGTCGACTTGAAGCGACATTTTGGGACTGGGTTTTGGTTCCAGGGTCCGCGTCGTGGGTTGTGGGGCTTCTGCGCCAGATCTGGAGATGTGTTTACCAGAAGCAAGTATAAGTGCAGCTGGAACCAGGGTTCAGCTCGGTTTCGTCGTCGATTGTACTTGGGGAGCAACAAACAGGGACTTGGTTGGAGTGCGAGTAATTTCCCGCTTGGGGGAATTTTGGGATTTGGCGCACAAGACGAGATGCAGTTGCAATTGTGAGTAGAGTTTAGTCGATCAATCTGTGCGAGGGGAAATACGGTGGGGATCCACACTGGCCCCTCAGCCTTGTGTGGGCACTTTGGATTGCCGTGATGAACCCAACCCGCAATAGAGCCTTTCAAGCAAAGGAAAAGCGACAAAGGGGTTTCAGTCAAGTCAAAAGAAAAATATTTGAAGAAGAGGAACAAGTGAAAATATGGAGAAAAGAGAAATGCAGAGAACGCTCCAGACACGACTCGTATTTCCTCCTTGTTCACATGGCGAACTCCGGCTGACATGCAGAGGCTTGCAGAAGTAGCGTGAGGAGCCGCTAGTTCAAGGGCCTTATTGGTTGAAAGACAGGCACTGGGCCTGGGATCCCCCTGTCGGCGCTTCAGCCGCTCTGTTGTGAGGGGATGCGGACCTGGAATCTGTTGGCTGGGTCATAGGGCGAATGCGCCAAGGGATTGGTTGCGAATGCAGCTGAAGAATCTTTGAGATGCTTGGAAATTAACATACTTGGCGACATCACGATTATGCAGTTGCCTACTAACATTGACTACCAGTGGTAGTTAGTCACGGGTAAGATCTACGTCGTTTTACAGAGGCAAAAGAAGGTTCTGACAGATTCCCAGTGAACATTGAATATCATGGTAAGCAAACACGTAGAAAGTCGAATACCGACACACTCGAGGTGACACATTTTGTGTTGAGAATGAAAATACAGCAGCAGAAGAGAAGACGAAAAAAAATAATAAGATCCTCGTGCGTGAGGTGAGAAAGGGGGGTATGTGCGGAATAGCAAGCTATGCGAACAGGAGAAAGGAAAGAAAAAGGACAAAAAAGGCAACCCGGAAGCTGTTAAGAAGACGAAGGCGCGGCCAATTTAACGTGTACGACGACCATCATGAAGACCGGGTCCCTTGCGACCGCCGTAAGACTTGGAAGGCAAAGATACGGGCTGGCCGTTACGGTTGAGACGGTTAGTTCTCCAGCGCTCGTACCAAATCACACGACTAGCTTCACGTAGCTCGGAGCGCCACTCCGTAAACACGGAGTCCTTCAGTCGGACAAAGTCGCAATGTTCGGGGTTGTAAGGGTCGGCGAAACCCCAAGGGAATCGGCGACCGACCGGTTCTTCCCCAGATGCCAGAGAGTGTGGGTCCGGGGAAAGGATGGAGAATGGCACGTGGGGATTGGCAGGACCCAATGATGCGACAGACTTCTGGGTGCTCTGGCTGCGCGTGGACGGTGTGCGAGTCAGCTCGCCCTTGGTCTCGGAGGGTTCTGCGGAATCGGTTTCGGCTTCGTGTTCGGGGGCATCAGTCTCATTTATGGACTCCTCGTCGGCGCTCTCTGAGGAAGTATATTCTTCCTGGTCCTCTAGAGTCAAGATCTCTAGCGGGTCAATATTGGCCTTCTTGAGGCTGTTCCAGACGGCCTTGCGCAGGAAACCCATGTGGGCGGACGTAATGGTGTCCGCCTTACTGATGACCGGCACAATGGTGGTCTTGCCCAGAATGGTGCGCAGCACCTGCAGATCCAGGTTCTGATCCAAGACACCTAGTACGGGGGTGTCGGTGGCCTTGGGGGTACCGTTGGCGAAACGTTCGGCGGCAGCGATGTTCTCGTCGAGGCGAACGGGATCCAGCAGCAAGAAGGTGCAGTGGATGTGGGTGTCGCGAGCTCCCGGGGAGCGCACCACCTTCATTTCTTCTGCGAGAGTCTCTTCAAACTTGCTCTCCAAGAAACCGGTCACGGCGCGCATCTGGATGTCGACGATGCTGCGCTCGAGGCCGTTGGAATCCCACAGGGTCAGGCCGACACGTTCGCCATCGAATTCGGTTTCGAGATACTGCGACGTGAAGCCCTCGTAGGTGGAGGTTTGGCGCTCTAGCTCCTCCAGTTCGTCGGCATTTCGCGTGGGGTGCTTATGCGCTGGCATGGCGAGTGACTTGCGGAGGAAGTTCAGGAACTCGGTCTTGCCGGAGTTGCGCGCGCCAACCACCAAGATACTGTTTCCGGTTAAGATTATGATTTTCATGTTTGGGGGTGCTTTTCCTTACTTATAAGAAGTGGGATCCTTGCGACGTCGGACTCGACGCGGGCTGTTGACGGTACTGACAGCACTACTAGCATAGCTGTAACGGCCTCTATGGGTCATGCTTTCGGTTCGAGCGTACGGATCCATAGCTTCGGTAGGCGGGGGTGGAGCGGTGGGAACAGCAAAACCAGAGTTAGGACGAGGCGAAGTAGGTTGAACCTTCAGGGAATCACGTTCTTCACCTCCAAAGGTCTCCAGCTGCGGGGTGGGGGAGAAATCCGGCAAACGAGGGGCGATTTTGGGGGCGTAGGACTCCCGCTGACGGCGCATTTCCTCCTCCATCATTTGGGACTTTGTCATCTTCTTGCGACTAGCGGATGCTTTGCGTTGTTCTCCCAATGGTTCGGTGGATTTGGAGCGACGAAGAAAACCGAGCGAGGTACGACGAGCGTTGAGGGTTTGATCGGGGATGATGGAAGGCACAGCATCGGAGGGCGCGCGCGAGGAAGTTGGAGTTGCCATTTTGAGCGAGGAATTTGGTGCCTTTTTTGTTTACTTTTGGTACTTTTTGTTTTCTTTTTTTTTCTTGTTTCTTTTTTTATCTTTCAACAAGTTTCACCAGAATTCTTTTGCTAAACGATATAATCTGCAGCCATAACCTCAATCAGTCCATACTCCATTTGAGCTAAAATCCGGGTATGACATGACAGCTGCCCCTCATCTGCAGGGTATGCGCAATTGGAATATTTCCTCGCCACTCACATTATCCGTTTTACCACAAGTTGAACCTGATGAGATTCAATGGTCTGATAATTGGGTAAAGATTCGATCGACAAGAAGATTCAACGTGGGGTTTTGCGATGAAAGAGAAAGGAAATCCCTTAATAAAATAACGAGAGAGACTGCGACAGCAGCAGGTAAAAAGTTGAATTGGAGGGGGAAAAGGTAGATCCAAGATGTTATCAATGGCAACAAGCTCTCAACCAGTGGGCGTTGTTGCTGTCTTCTTTGCTGTTCGTCGCTAAACTGGAGTGACGGAGCCAGGGGAAGTCGGAATTGAAATTCGGGGGGAAGCCCGTTTAATGTATTTTTGAAGACGTCTTTGGGGGATTTTCTTTGGAAAAATTGAGAACCAGCCTGCTCACAGCGTCCGACTACTGCGGCGCATTCAGGAAATCGAGAAAGGAAAAAAAGAAGGGACCTAAACGAAAGGAAAGGAGTGGGTGGGAGAAGGAAAGAAAAAACCCGAGGATCTTTCTTAAGGCCCCGGGGTTCAGACTAATGATTTACAGGGTTTTCTTTTTTAGATACCTTGCGTTTTTCGGGGGTCTTGATTCTAGCAATTGATGAGAAAGAGAGAAAGTAGAGAAAGTAGAGAATAGAGATATGACTGGTCTGATCTTCTAGCTTCTCCGTGTATACTTCCTAATGGCTGCTATGTTTCTTAGAGCTCTTCAATTGCTTTTGTTTTGCGTGACTTTAGAAATACGGAGTTTCAGTCCTCAAGCTAGAAGATTCAGGGGTAAAAAAAAAATAGAAAAACATAAAAAACAATGTCAAGTCTGGTCCAGCCAAAGAACCAAAGCCTCCACTTAGAGCTCTAGAGTGGATTGCTAGCATGCGGTTCGTTCCACGGCAAGCGGCTAATGCCCGACAAGGAAGTCTTGGTGTCGATGAATCACCACATGGCGGGACAGAAGCTAATTTGTTTAATTGCAGAAAGCTTTCCCCTTTCTACGACTTCTCAGGTATATATAAGTATGAAGGGGATAATCAATTGAGGGGGAAAAGAAAACGTCAGTCTAATTAAGCTTGCAAAAAAAAAAAAAACCGGATCAGCACGAGTTGCCCCTGAAAAAAAAGGCTAAGATGGCACGTGCGAGGGGCCGTTGGAAATGACTCCACCTGCAGCTTGGGAGATTCCACTGCATCTCAAGTGGCATTTGATTTAGATTGGCTTCTGGTGGGGAAGGGTAGAGCTTCAACGTTGGTTTATGATCAGAATCACTGATTCAGAGATCGTGGCCCAATGCTGTGGTAAAAGAAGACGGGTGTCGCGTCATCATCTCTACACCTTGTGGTACAGGTGCACTAAAAACGCACCATAATTAGGTCCCGAAAAGGCCGCAGTGCTGAAAAGGAGGGAAAGCCGTAAAATAGTCAAAGCTTATCATTACCAGCAATTGATCCATATCAATCTGGAATATGAGACATCGAGTGTATACCACAAGTGCTTATATGGTATAGTTCCAACGTTCCAAAGTTCCCATGTGTTTCCAGCTCACATGTGCATGGTCGCAATTGCCACATAAAACAAGCAAAAAAGCCCAATCCCTTCCAATGCACAGAACCGGAGATAACAAGAGCATTAGGCTCGTAACCGGCTTTTACCTTCGATCCAACCACGCGACCTCGATCCCAACGTAGTGGGGCACAACAAACCCACTGAACTCTGGGACGCGTTCAAGTCCACACTCTTCATCCCCTTACTGCTACCATATTGATTGGACTCGGAGCTCTTTTCCTCTCAAGTAATCATAAATCACAAAACAGCAATCCAGTTTAATCAGTCTCACACAAAATCAGACCAAAAACAAAAAAACAAAAGCAAAAGTGCACGTTCCCTGTGGGTCCGACACGTGGGGCAGTTCATCTTAATGTTCATCGCGTGCAGGATTCGCTTGATCCATTGATCTCTTGAATTGCATACTAGTAACATACCAACTCGAACATAAACCTAGACCTTCAACCCTACGCCGAAACCACCCGCCAGCTCAACTCAACTCAACTCAAACACCGCTACCACCTATATGCTAGAGTCCGCCACCTGCCCCTCCCCCTCCGCCCAAATGCGAAACGGCAACTCAATACACGCCGTCGAAGGACAAACCGTCTTCCGATCCAGCGTCTTAAACTTCGGCCCATCCGGCCCAGCAACGTACTTGGCTTCTCCGAAAATCGACGGCTCGCCCACAGGCTGCGCATCGCCCCACCGACCGTTGAAATTCAGCCACGACACCGGGTACCTCGTCGCGCTGTCCGAGGCAAACGTCCCTGTTGTCGGATCGTATGTGTAGGCGTAGGCATTTAGCGTTGGGTCCCAGAGAATGCCTTTATCCGTGTAGTCGAGGAGGAGACCGACGGGGAGATTGAAGCCGGGGATGGTGTGGTCGTGTTGTCTGCGATACAGTCAGTGCACTGGGTTTGGTATTTTGCTGTAGTGGAGTGGAAAAGAGACGAGACGAGACGAGATGGATGGTGTAGTGCCTACCCGACTATTGCGTAGTTGGCGTGCGTCCCGTTTGCCGAGTAGCTGTATGGGCGGAGCCCTTTTTTCTCCAGCGCTTTGTAGGTGAATGCCTGCCCGCTGGCGTGCTGACTGAACCACATTGCTTGTGGGGTGCCGTTTGCGAAGCGGATCATGTTGTGTTCCCTGTTATAGTGAGCATTTTTTTGTTTCATCTCGATTTGTTCTGAGTAGTCATTTCTATCTTGGAGGCTCGGCGTCTGAGCGAACGTACAAATCACCAATATGGTCGCCGAATTCCAAGCCCAGGACGATATCGCCTTTGTTGTATCTGAAGTTGTGAGCCGGGGTAAGTCCAGTTTGGTCTCTTCTAGAGATACCAATAGCGATCGCTACTTACGCATAAAAGTAAAAGTAGAAGGCGTCTACTTCTCCGTTCCCGTGGTCTACGACTATGATGGCACATCCGGTCCCGTTCCCTGTGCGTCCATCGCTGTCCGGCGTGATACCATCCCACCAAGATGGCTGTGGAGTTTGGGCAATACCTCCAGCTGTCGTGAGATAGACGCTCTCTTTGCCTAGCGCATTAAGCTCGTCGAGGTTATCTAGCGTTAATGGAGATGGCGCGCCTGCGACTGCAGTCCAGTTCACCTGGGGGGTGGTATTGTCGAGTTGTGCTTGCAGGTCGCTGGGCCGGTATGGATCTGTGCTGTATAGCCATACTAGCGGAGCTTTTGGACATTAGATTGTGGGTTTTTTTGACTTAATGTCTAGGTATGGACTTGAGTGGGGGTGTTTACCATAGGTATACACGTATTGCGGGATCGTACTAGTAGTACTAGCAGAAGTCAATCTTGTCTGAGGTTTTGAGGCGACAGTAGGTCTGAGTAAGGACAGGACCGCTAAGGCAAGTGCCGGAAAGCGCATTACGAGGCGCATTATGTATGGAGTGTCAAGTCGACTTCCACTTTGTATCTTGTTCTGGCGTTAATGCATATTATTTTCTTCTTCCATAGTGATACTCGAGCAGTCCAGCCCTCTTTATCTATATAATCATCAGCATGATCCTATCACCAGACAAGTATGCAAACCACTCATCAAGGTTGAGGAACTGCAGGTCCGGAGTACACCTACCGGAGAACGGACCAGTCATTGATGCACGTTGTCGAACGATTTATCCCACAGGGAACATCGTCCTCTTTGGGCTTGTGCTGACGGTTCCCATCGAGCAACAGATCACACCATAGATCGACCGTAAAAGACACCATTATTTCATAGAGATTTGGTCAGATCATCCAAAAGCACGACGTGACTAACACGGCGTGCAGAAGTGGGGAGCACTAAACATAGTTGACGGGGCATCCCGCCAGGATGTGAACACTCTGGAATGTTACATGCACCGGTTTAAGGGCAATAGATCGACAGACTAGAAAGCCAGGCGGGGATTTCTGGGTTTTTGATTCGGTGGTCGATTAGCATAAACCCGACTTGTTATTCATCATGGGCTGCAGGGTGTGACTTGGGCCGTTGGTCCTGACGGGGTCATCTGATGATCATCACGATCTCCGTCAATAGCCACATACTGGTGGCTCTCAGCTACCCAGGAACCCATGTCTAATAGTGTGTCTTCCATTTATTGCGTATCGTAATGGGTCCGCAAAACATGTACCATAGACTTCATGAAGAGTGTGGAGCTGCTATCTGCACATGCAAAGTACTAACATACAGTACATAGAGCCCTGCAGCCCAGATCCACCAATCGCATCCCATAAACAGATCAGCTACCGCAATCTCGGCACGCCAGAGGCTAAAATCAAAGAGTGGGGAGTCCCTGGAATGCATATCGGCGGTCATTCATTCAAGTTGCTACGGAATTTGCAAAACTACTAGTCATTATGTCCTGACACTACAATTTACATCACGCCCTCACAACCTCCCCTCGTTCGCCTTCTCTTCCTCTTCCCTCCTTTCCTTCTCCTTCCACAACTTAAACAGCCTCAAATCCAACGGAATCCGCTCCCCCAACCACGTCGCCCGCTGCGTGTGATTCCTCTCTTCCTCCGCCGACTCCAACTGACCCGGCTCGAGATCCGTGTTGGGGTGGACCAACGCGCTTAATGGGCCTCGGTTGATCACCAACCAGGATACAAAAGCCCCAAACTGTGCTGGTGTGAATACGTTGACCTCGAACATGGCGACGGGGTGAGGGCCGACGGGTTGGTCGAAGAAGCGGTAGATGCGGAGCTCGGGAACTGTAAGTGGATGTGTGAGTTAGCTTGGTGTATGGTATTACTATGTACGTATATCGTTTCTTGGGTTTCTTACATTCGCGTCGAATTCGTTCGTGGAGGGCTTTGGCGTAGGTTACTTGGTCGGGATTTGTCTGTTCGGGTTTTGTTAGTATTCAATGTTGGATACTTGAGTAGGTGGGCACACAGGTGTGTTATTCCGGTGCTTGATTCTAGGAGTTTGTATTCAAATATTGTGTTTTTTGGATTGTTTTCCTTACCTGGAAGTGATAGATGTGGATGTCGAATCCGCCGCGTCGGCCTTTGCTCACTGGATCGGGGAATTCTTCGTAGGCTTTGCTCAAGACACCAGTTTGAGGATTCTTAAGGGACTTTCCATCCTCGTTACGCTCACTGCCCAGGTGAATTGATATTAGCCCCAGTAGAATTAAACAGCGGAGATCACCTGGGCATGATTTGATGTTTTTCCAATGTTGGAAAATATCGGAAATGTTTTTGACTCACTCCGACAGCGGCTCCAGATTCTCATACCCCTCCAACGGCGATGAATACGAAAAAGCGAATTGGTCTGGCATTTTGGTGTGTCTTTTTCGGTTTGTGTCCGAATGCTGATGCAAATACCAAGTGAATAGTATGTTCGGTCAAGTTCCAAGCACAAAGGCAAATGTGTATCGGGAAAGATGGATGGTCTTGTACCCCGCAGGTAAGCTACTATATATACTGGCGCAAAATGTCTTGCAAATGGCTAATGGGGGGGTATTCGGCTTTTAAGAATCCGGAGCCGATCTTATCAATCAGCAGGAGCTTTGGTTCTTGCTGAGAAATACTGAACAATCAGCTTTAGACCGAATCAATTGCTAATGATGACTGATGTCGTCAGTCTGGTCTGCTATATCATCATGGGAAGTTTCCGCACTTTTGACAAAGCGCGGAACGGGCGGGTCTTTTCTCTTGGCGACGATTTTTTTGGTATACAAGTAGTAGGACTAGTAGGTGCGACACTTGTAAAATTGAGTGCATAAAACAATCGAATTCTAGTGGTGGGGACTTTAGGACCTTTATAATTATTGCTGTTTTGAACATTTCATTTATTTAAACATAAGACCACGAACGAAATGCATAGATGAATCCTCAGGGCCACCCTTCTGCGTTAACTCCGTCATCAATATGCTACTATAAACCTTGGGACAAGCACTTCAACCCAGCCTCAAGTGCTAGGGCCAGGCAGCTCGGACACCAATATGTCCATCGTCATCCACAAACTTCCCCCGATCCCACTCACGCCCCTCACCCTTCTTGGACCAGCGGACATCCTCGACATCACGCTCCCCAGTCACGCCAGAGGAAGGAGCAGATTCAGTCTTCCACCGACCAATTGTCTCTTCTCCGATCCCAGCAGCTCGCAATCTCTCCTCGCCCTTCTGTCTCCAACGCGCACGGTCCCGTAATGCCTCCATAGCAGTATCCCAATCATCATCGCCAGTCATGAGGCCCGAGACTGCGCGACGGGTGGCCTTGGTTGCTGTGCGTTCATCGTCATGGTCCGGCTGAATATCGAGTGCAGGGTTGTAGTCTGATGCAAAGTGTGAGTCAATATTGCTGGTATTGGCTTTGTAGGCGCCACGGCCTCGTGAGCGAACGGGCGCTTCGTTGGCTGGGAGGGGCCCGACAAGATCTTCCAGGGGATCTGACTCGTCGTCGGACTCAACTGGTCGTAATGTGGGTGGGGTCGGGGATTTTCGTCTGCGGTTTACTGATGGTTCAGGAGGAGACAGCCGGTGTTGGCGAGAGGATTTATTATCATTATGTTGAGATCGTCGGTCCGATTCTCGTGGTGTGCGGTGTGAATGGGATGATCGGTGAGGAGGGGACTCGGATCGACGGGATCGTTCGCTGCGGTGGGATCGGGAGCTACGCTCTTTGCGTGGCGATCGACTGCGAGATCTTGAGTAGGATCTCTCTCTTTCTCTCCGGTCTTTTCGAGAAGACTCGTGTCTGTGGCGTTCCCGTCGCCGTTCGGTGCGCTCCCGATCGGTATCTCTATGTCTGTCCCTTGTATCTTCGTCCCTTCGTCGATGTCGTCGTGAACGATCTCTGTCGGTAGATGTAGAGCGGCTTCGATGTCTTCGCCGAGAGGATCGGTGTCGTTCCTTGCGGTCGTCTCTGCCTGGCTTCTCCGAGTCTCGGGCGCGGTCTAAATGATGCCCTCTGCGAGATGTGGATTTTGATGCAGCGGTAGTCTGGCCTTTAAGCTCCTGCATGCGTTTCTTGGCATCCCCCTCTTCTTTGCGTTTGAGTGCCGTGTTGTGACTATCCGTCTCTTTAATAAGATGACGAAGGAATCGGGTATTTGGCTTAGGAGCGTTGCCTGCCGGTCTGGTGTTACGCCAATTTAGCACGTAGAAACAATCAATTGGACGTGAAAAATTTGGATATGACCTACTTGCGAGGCATATAGGCGCCTACACCCTCAGTCGAGTACTTCTGAGAGCTGTCCCGCGCCTCTTTAGCAAGGACCTGGGCGACATAATCGTCATCCATATTGACGGGTGCGCAGTGGTGCGAAATGCAAAATGCCACTTTCAAAAACCCAGTAAAATATAAACAAAAACTTGAGATTGGAGCTACAGCACCATCGCATTAAACAAGCGCATAGTCTGTCCAGTCACTTCCCCCGTCACATCATGTGGAGAAAGAATCGAAATGCGCCTTCCGGATTGTTCAATTTGCGGGCGACCGCCTTCTTATCGCGATAAGCTAAAAGATAAACAACACCCTCGCGATTAGAGCGCAAAAGACAACCCACTTTCCGTTAATCACGATTCACGACCGACAGAGGAGGCTATTTGGTTCAAAATGACAGCTACCGCAGAACAAGCATTGTCCTTACTCCGCCAGCTCCAAAATGAGCAAGGCGACCTAAAGCAAAGTCTCAGTATCATCCGAATCGCAGAACCCATTTCAGACGCTGGCGACGCGAACCCCTCGCCGTCAAAGCGGAGATCAGATGTCTCGCTGTCAAATCTGCATGATCCGACTCCTGCAACCCTCGAGGATGACTTGGCGCATTACAAGGTCCGATGTGATCCCCAGCCGCCATTATCCAGTATCGCATTCGCTAACCTTATCCCCGGTGGTTATACAGGAGCTTTTCTCCAAACTGCGATTTTCCTACGTCGAGCAAGTCACCAAAGAAAAGTTTTTGCGAGCGATCGTGGGTGACCCACCCCTGATCGTGGGGCACAATGAGAATATGGAACTGGAGACACAGTTGGCGGAGGTGAAAGCAGAGCTTAAGGCACAGAAAGAGGAAGCTCGCATGGTGATCGAAGAAATGGAGAAGATGAGCCGTGACCTTGCCAGTCGTAAGTTTTTTAAAGGGTGTAGTAGCACCTTAAATAGATCGGTCAGCTAACAAAAGTCATGTGTGCGACAGGCTACAAAAATGTTGAACTCCAAGAAGCACAGCTCGCGAGCCTGCCGGAGTCCATCGAGAACCTTGAGAGTACCATTGCTGGTCTTCGCGCAAAGCAAGTTGCCAACATGGACACATCAGATCCACGGTCATCCCAAAATATGCCTCTACCTGCGACAATGGAATTGCTCTCGGATCGCGAAGCAGAATTAGCAGCGCTCAATCGCCAGATTGCTGCGGTCGAGAACTCTTTGCCGCGCAAGACTCGAGAGGCTGAGGCCATTGAGAGGGAGGTCTCGGTTCTCGAGCGCCGAAAGGTGGAGGCTGTTACACAGGCACGCGAAGCGAGACGCAAGAAGCAGGAGGGAGAGACTGATGGTACTGAAGAAATGGGTCGTTGGTACCGCAGTGCACAAGAGACTTTGAAAGAGATGGTGGGATTGGAGGGATGAACATGATCGAAGATCGATCGACGATGACATGACCAAATCATTTAAACTAGTGTGGGGTACTTGGTAATGGCGTTTATGGAACTACAAATGTACTTTTACAGTTGAGCAAGCCTTGTAATAAAGCTTAAACAACATGGAATGAATTTTACGTGATATTGAAAGGATTCGGGTTCGAATTGAAGCCATTGTTTCAGGCTGGTGTTTTGTTCATTCAATTCGCATGATCATACAACATAAAGCGCTCAATGCTGCAGCCATCAGGACCCCCAGATTTTTGATCTGCCCAAAGCGAAACCCGACCAGACGCCCCTTTTCTTTTTTAGGTGCTAATTTATTCCTCATCCTCCTCAGCATCCTCACCGTCACCACCAGCGGCGGCAGCGGCCTTCTTGCGGCGAACACGGCCGGGACGGCCACCACCGAAGGGAGAGGTCAAGGCGAAGTCGATGTGCTTCTGGGAGTCAAGGCGGACCATGAAGGAGGGGACGTTGACGATCTGCTTGCCGACACGGATGTGGCGCTGCTTGATCAGGACACGGGCGTGGTGGATGGACTTGGCGAGGCCAAGCTTGTACACGCAGGTCTGCAGACGACGCTCAAGGAAATCCTCGACCTTAAGGGCAAGGACGTAATCGAGCTTCATGCGGGACTCGTCGAGGACACCGATGCGCACGAGACGGCGGATCAGGGCGTTACCCTCGAAGAGACGCTTGGGGTCCTTCTCATCGAGAGTAAGGAGCTCACTAACGACAGTGTTAGTACACAATTGCATTTCCATTGCGCGATTGACAGTTGTTCCTCCACATACCGAGCAGCACGACGGATCTTGGACAGGGTAAGCTGCACACGCCAAACCTCACGCTTGTTGCGCAAACCGAACTCTCCGACAACCTTCAGTTCCGAGTCACTAAAAAATGGTTAGTTGGAACGTCACGACTTAAACAGAAGCACGCTTCTGATCAGTGGCCGGAGAGTACTAACAGACGAGCCGACTCGAACGCTGTGATGAAGTTAGCGATTTGAAGACTTTTTTTAAAGGTTTTGGTGGGATATTGGGGATTTCACATACGGCGACGGGGGACCTTGTAGGTCTTGGAGTAAACGCGACTATCATTCAGACGGTTAGAATCATGCGAGAATACAATCTGCGATGATTTTTAAGATACTCACGGGGCCATGGTTGCTGAGTTGTCGCGAAGTTGAGCACACTACAAGGAAACGTCCAAAGTTCGAAAATCAGGAAGTTCAACTCCGTAATCGCTTATTCGGCACTAGTCCGAAACGGGTTATATTACTTGGCCAATTCTCGGAGCTAAAGGGCTAGGGCCGCTAAAATCACGGGATCACACGAAGCCCACAAATCACATGACGACACAGAATTAATCGGGTCTTACGCTTCAATCTTGAACAAAGGCCCGCTGTCGCCAATTCTCACCACCAAGCACCAAACACCAATACCGTCGCCATGCCTCACTCGTACGGTCTGCGTGCCGGCACTCGGGTACGTCGCCATATTCCAGTTATTATGATCTCTACGACTCGACCAGCTACGACCTAGTCGGATGAGAGACGAGAGAGAAAACGGAAAAGAGAACGAACGACCATACTGACGAGAATGAACAGTATGCCTTCAGCCGCTCCTTCAAGGAGCACGGTATGATCCGCCTGTCTACCTACATGAAGACCTACCGGTATGCTCGAACCTCTGAACCGTCGAAACTCGATGTGAAAATTCCAAAGAATTGCGGAAACTAACAAATTTTACAGTGTCGGTGATATCGTCGACATCAAGGTTAACGGTGCCGTCCAGAAGGGGTCAGTACAATCCGAATTCTTCCCTTTTGCTTTATTTCCGCCCAAATGCTATTTAAAATGAGCAACCAACAAACTTCCACCAAAAAAAATCACCCATTCGACACTTGCACATCGCACATGCACACACACACACACACACACTTGCCCTTTGAAATATGGAACGCAATAACTGAGACTTTTGAATAGTATGCCCCACAAGGTTTACCACGGTAAGACCGGTGTCGTCTACAACGTCACCAAGTCCTCGGTCGGTGTCCTCCTCTACAAGCGCGTCGACAACCGCTACCTCGAGAAGCGCATCAGCGTCCGCATTGAGCACGTCTCCCACTCCCGCTCCCGCGAGGAGTTCATCAACCGTGTCAAGGAGAACGCCCTCAAGAAGCGTGAGGCCAAGGAGAAGGGTATCCACGTTCACCTGAAGCGCCAGGCTGTTGGTCCCCGTGACGGCCACCTGGTCTCCCAGGCCGGTAACGTCCCCGAGACCGTTGTCCCCATCGCCTACGACACCCACATCTAAGGGACTCGCATGGAAAATGGGTCTTTGGGTTCGGTGCGCGTGGTTATTCGGTGTTATTTGAGAACTGGGTTTACGTCGCTTTCCACGCCCCAAGTGGCTGGAACTGGACTTGGGCTGCATGAGACGACGCGTGATGGGTCTCCGATGCCCTGGCACATCTCAAGCCTGTGCATAGATTCCCCTGAATGAAACAAAAATCAAAAATTTCCGAGTTCACCTGAATCCCACGATTTATGAATCATTTCTCAGAAGAAGCCGGATTCCTGTAAATCATATTCGAAAAATGTATCTGTAGCCTCATACCCATGGATGTCTCGCACATCTGATCTTGAGAACTCTAGGCCCATTCAAACATTTGCAACCTCGTGGCTCTCAGATGATATTGATGTTCTAGGCATTCCGTATCATTGGTTTCTTTTGAATGTAGTGGATACCCTTTGAAGATCAATTGAGGAAACTTTGAATACAATAATCAAATTCAATATATGTACTACTATCAATAGTTGACCCGTATAACGCCCAGTGGCTTTTTCTTTTTCAATGAAGAATGAATCTTCAAATCTAATGTAGCCGGGCACGTGTTGCCCAGGTGGCATACCACTAGGTTCTACATGCCCAGGTCAACTGGCATGTGGTTTATCGGAACATTTCAAACAAAATCTCATCAATCACTAACATTGAATCTCAACTTTTTATTGCAGACATGCATAGATCTACTTATCAACAAATGTGCATTGAGTTGAAATGTTGCTTGTAAATTCCTACATGTGTAGATCTATCAATTTCTTGGCTTTATGGTAAATTCAAATCGAATTCGATCTATCCAGCTTCAAATGTTGATTGTTCAAATGTTCGGGAATGAAAATGTGCATATATAAATATGTGTATGTTGTGCAAGGGTACACTCCCCGAACATTGGAACATTGGAACCTTCAATGTTCGAAATGTCAGAACATTTGAACTTTCGTCTCAACCTTGGAAGTCCTCAGTAGCATACCTCAAGCACTTGAGTGCTCGCGTTCAATGTTTTAAATGTTGTAGTTGGAACTGCCCTATCATAGTGCTCGAGAAAGTTCAATGTTGGCCAGTTGCCCAGCCCCAGGTGGAGAGCGGCCCAACATCAACTTTTGAGATTTTACCCGAGTCATTGATTCTTGCGCCATCGCACATGCAGCAACCTTGTAACAAATCAAGTTGGAGATTCCCGATCAAACAGGCACTTAATATCGAATGAATCCAATTTTGGCATAATCTCGGTTCAATGCAAAGATCTCAGTTTAGCCATGAGAAATATCCGAGGCTCGGGTCTCGCCAATTCTCACGCACGCGTTAACTAGATACTATTGTCTCATTAAGCGGCTCTCTTCCAGGACTAGTCGGTACCTATCACGTTGATTTACGCGGGCCACGAGTTCTGATCAGGAAACATCCGCACCCTTGAATCCATGTCATCCGGCCAATGACCACTTGCAGTATCCTGCAGATGCAATCCCGGTCTGGTGGGCAATGTCCACGTTTGAGGCATGGCCAGCGTATGGCAGCCGGAATGACCGGGTAAGGGGTTATAGTGCATGCGGTCATGATGCCTTCCATAGGTATACTTCGTGGAGCACTCGGAACCGCGGAGCTAGTGCAGGACTCAGACCTGTGCAGTTGAAGAACCCCGTTTCATTCCCCACTTAAAGTGTTACTGTGATATCGCTCATTGATTTAGCGGCGGTGAAGCCCAAGTGGATTTGGCTGCGAGGTCTCGAGTGCTTGCATACTGTCTCTCAGGTGCGATGAAGTACTAGTCCGCAGGCCCGTGGGTTGTGCACAGTCCTTCGGTACTACACCATAATTACCGGTGGTGGAAATTTCCCTGAAGAAAGCAGATGATCATGGAGCCCTGAGGCGCGGAGATGGCTGAAAAAAAGAAAAATAAACTCCGTAGATGTTAATGTATATCCATGAATACTAGTGACGGAGTATGTATACTTCGTATACGGAAATAGTTCAAGTGTTGTTGTTACATCCGATCAGCCACACTCTTTCAGCTTCTGCATCTATCGAGTTCCTCCAATCGCCTTACACCACAATCTATTCACACCGGAAATTTGGACTCAGCAGGGAAGTAAGTGCATAATCTTGGAAAGGTTCAATTTCCCCTGAGAGAAGGATCTGACGTATCACGGCCTGATTCTTCGGCAAGGGGACTGATGAATAAGATGGGGCCCATGTGGCGCAGATCAGGTACCGGGTACTTGGCTCACGCGACCGTCTCTCACCAAAATCAAAGTACCAGATACATTGAACTTTCAACGATCGGGGATGTTCAGGTCCAACCAAGCAAGCTGACGCGTACCAGCCCTATACTTCTGCAAGGGGAATCTCTCTGATTCGAACATTTGTATAAGCCATGAGGAACACAATCTACACAATCCTTTCCACCGCTGCAGGTCCCCGAAGGATCTTCTCAAATCGAATTTTGCATGTCGTGCTTGTATCCGTTCCATGTTGTACTCAAGACTCCACGAGATTACCCTAACAACACAACCGGATCCGCTCTGCTGATCAAACCCCGCAGATTTGTCGGGCACTAATATCAATAGTTTGAATGATTATCGCCAAGCATTAAGAGATTCGCATGAAGCCGACTGCCGACGGAAATCGCGCGCATGATGCCATCACGCCGACCTGGCACCTTCCTCACGATGCTCACCATGTATCGCTTGCCTGACTTATTTTGAGCCACCGGAAAAGACAAAAAGATGAGCAAACACATATCGCGTTCAACGTCATTTTGAGCCTATCCAATACACTCATCCACTCGTTTTTGTCCACATCACATTCATTTTCTCCGCATCCTTATTTGCGCCATCCCGTGTGCCCTGTCACCTGCAAGCTGTTTGGCCAAAGGCTAAATTTCGCTGTCCTGACTCGCTGGCGCCACTGACCGCTGTCGATCTCGCATAGACCGCTGCTTGTTCCATGCGACCCTGAAGCGTCTTTGACCGTATCTCTTTCGCTCGGAGTTAAGAGTCCAGTGAGTCTTCCAACTCAACTGAACCCCCACCCGAGCAAAGAAAGGCTTATGCCCGCCATGATGATCCCTATTCTACCCCTGCACTACAATGAATCCTACCCACCCCTCACATCGCGTCTTTACACCCCTTACCATATGGCAGGTGAGGCCGCATGAGATCTCATCTATTCGGGCACTGACGGAAATCAGCCGACAGCGCGCTCGGAACTTTCGACCTCCATGCAGGTCTGCTGCTCGGTGTAATCACCATTTCCATCGCACTAGACTGGGGTTATTTATTTATTAATTTTTTTTCTTTTCTCTTTTCCTTCTTTTCCTTTTGGCCGTATAGAGTGGAGCAGTGCATTCTGGCATGCGGGTCTGGGACAGATCTTTAGAGTTCCCCTTTATTGGTCTCGCTCGCCTGGCAGTTCAACTATAAAAATGCCCCTGGCATTCCTGTAAACACAACGCCGATCTTTTCCTGCAACTTGCTCTGCCTTATCCAGTGCTCGTGCAGTTGGCTTTCTTGGAGCTTCTCTTGTTTTTGCTCCCTTGTCTCTTCTTCTTTACACTCCTTTCGACAAACAATATCACAAAAGAGGACAAGTTCCTAGGTTGATCGCATTGATCCCGTCCAATCCTTTATTTTCTTTTCCTCGACGACCCCCGGTATAATGCAGCTTTATAATCTTGGTCTTTTGGTGGCCTCGGTGGTGGCCTCGGTGGGAGCAACATCGACGTTTACGCCTGCCCGGCCCCCAGCTGTGCCGTTGGCTGTCAAGTCGCCGTATCTTAGCACTTGGTTAGACGCTGGAAGCGATGGTGGTGATGGTGGATACCTGGCCGGTGAATGGCCAACGTTTTGGGAGTAAGTTTGGGATCTGCAATTGTCTTGAATCCAGAACTAATGTTTGTTTCACAAATAGAAACCAAATCACCGGATGGTGTGGTTTGGTACGTGTTGATGGCATCGCCTATACTTGGATGGGACTGCCTGGATCTACAACTGTTAATCAAACCGCGCTGGAGTATACATCTACCAAAAGCATATTCACCATGGATGTTGCTGGTAAAGTTGAAATGAACATTACTTTCATGTCGCCAATTACGCCTGATGATCTCCGCCGCCAATCTCTTGTCTTCTCTTACCTCAACGTCGAAGTGTCTTCCCTTGATGGCAAGGCACACGATGTACAGGTTTACGCTGATATTTCTGCCGGTAAGCCCTCCATTTCAGGTGTAAAAAAAGCTAGAATTTAGATTTGCTGACATGCGCAGAATGGGTATCGGGAGACCGAACTGTGGTTGCTGAATGGGATTACGGTACTACTGGCGATGTTGCTTACCACAAGGTCTACCGTCAGACCCAGCTTGCATTCTCCGAGATTAATCAACAGGGAGAGTGGGGCTACTGGTACTGGGCTACCGATGTTGCTACTGGCACGACTCACCAGTCTGGCGAGGATACCGTTGTTCGTGGCCAATTTTCGTCTAATGGTACCCTCACCAATGGTGCCGATACCAACTACCGAGCCATCCAGGATGAGTGGCCAGTTTTCGCATTCGCGTCCAACTTGGGCTCTGTTTCCTCCACTCCAGTCAGCACATTGTTCTCTCTCGGCCTGACTCAAGATGAAGCAGTTCAATATGAGGGTGCATCTGCCTATGCTCCTTTGCAATCTCTCTGGAAAGCGTACTTCGATACTGAGTTGGATGCCTTGGCATTCTTCCACGGAGACTTCAGCGAATCCAGCTCTCTTTCTGACACTTTTGACAACCAGGTTGAGAGTGACTCCATTGCTCTTGGCGGTGATGACTACCTTGCCCTTACGTCCCTTGCTGCCCGACAAGTGTTTGGTGCTACACAACTCTGTGGAACGGAAGAGACCATGTATCTGTTCCTGAAGGAAATTTCATCTGATGGCAATGTTAACACCGTTGATGTCACCTTCCCAGCTTATCCATTCTTCATTTACACCAACCCGGAATACCTGAAGCTGGTCTTGGCGCCACTTTACGAGAATCAAGAGGCTGGAAAGTACCCTAACAGCTGGGCTATGCACGATATGGGATCCAGCTACCCTAATGCTACTGGTCACAATGACGGTAATGATGAGAAGATGCCTTTGGAGGAATGTGGAAACATGGTTATTATGACTTTGGCGTACGCACAGGCGGCCAAGGATACGACTTACTTGTCCGACCACTACAACCTGCTCACCCAGTGGACCGAGTACCTGGTGGCTGAGGCATTGTACCCGGCAAACCAGATCTCGACCGATGACTTTGCTGGATCACTGGCGTAAGTCCAATGAGTTTCTATTGCAGCGATAATTGCAAGACTGACTGATTGTGATTAGGAACCAAACCAACTTGGCTCTGAAGGGTATGATTGCTATCCAGGCGATGTCTGTCATTGCCAATGAGACTGGCCACACTGCCGATGCTGCCAATTATTCCAGCATCGCGCACAGTTACATTACTCAGTGGCAAACCCTTGGCATCAACCACGCTGCCTCCCCACCTCACTCCACCCTGAGCTACGGCAACACTAGCAGCCACGGTAAGTTCATTTCGAAATGCATGAAGTCGTTCATTTGCTCATCTTATTTACAGGTCTCCTGTACAACCTTTACGCGGATGCTCAGCTGGGCCTGGGCCTCGTACCCGAGTCTGTCTACCAGATGCAGAGCAACTTCTATCCTACTGTGGCTAACACATATGGTGTTCCTCTTGACACCCGCCACACCTATACCAAGCGTAAGTCATCTTCCAAAATTGAATATTTCTGCATATGCTAACATAGACACAGTTGACTGGCAACTATTCGCTGCGGCCATCTCAGCGGTTGATACCCGGTCCATGTTCTTCACCGATCTAGTAAATTGGCTAAACAAGACCCCAACCAACAAGGCGCTCACTGACCTTTACGACACCATCACCGGAGAGTACGTTATCCCACACCCATATTGGATAGTTTTGACTTAAAACTAACCGACTTCCAGTTACCCCTCCACCACTTTCTTTGCTCGACCCGTCGTGGGTGGCGCCTATGCGCCCCTCTTGGTCACTTCGTAAAAGACCAACACCTTCGCTTCTTGTGCATTTATTTTTATATATTTTTATTTCCGATATTCCTACCTCTCCTAAGAGCCCGCCGGTCATCGTTAGATGATCTGATGGGTGGCTGGGGGCTATGATTTGGTCAATCTGGAGGAAAGGCACGACGCATTGGACGTCATCCGCTCGTTTACATTTGGGATACCACGCTTCGTCGATTCTGTGTAATACCCCTTTCTTGCATCTTTGATACCCATCCATACTGCCGTTCTTGTTCCCCCTGCTACTTGACGGTTCTGTGCGTTGGTACGCGCCCTGGTGGCTTTCGCACTAGGTTGTTCTTTGTCCATACATACTAATCATTCCTATTCTTTGATGAATTTTTTCTCGATCGGACTCGACTCAACGTAGAATCAGCATTCAAGTAAATGCGGCTTGCAGACATTTTAACAATGTATTCATTCAGCACTCAAGCTTGCTACCTCGGTCCATCAGAACTGCGATAGGTATGGCGCTGTGTCAGTAGCCATCAGTTCACGTCGGCCTATGGCGAATGATCCTCTTCTCGGAGCCATTCGTGTTTGCCGACCTACATAACTTCCCCCCTCTCCCCCGACCTCACCCCCACAGAGTTTTGCGTAGCTATAAAGTACCTGAGAAGCAGACCCACCGAGCTCCGCTCTAGACCGACTGCAAGTTCAATGTCAATTTTACTTGATATAAGTGTGCAGGCACAATGACCAAACTGCTTCCGTGGCGTATAGCTGGACATCCCTGTTGAAATAACTCATAATTCCACATAACACATATTGCAAGGATTATGAAACGCAGGTGAGAATAGAATAGGATACACAGCACTTGAGTATACATACTCAAGTGATCAATCACACCAACCTTTTGTTTCTTTCCCACGGAATTTCAACCGAACAATCTGAGCACCAAGCAACATTGAACAATAATATCATCATACACCGTGGGTTCCAAATCCCAAATACAAGTATGCTCCGAACCAGCAAATTCGCCATATATAAAGTACAAGACATGAATAGAAACACACCGTTGAATTGCATCTAATACACGAGACCAGAAAATAAAGAAATTGCAACGGAAAAAAAAAAGAAAAGAGAAAAAAAGGGAAAAAAGACATGAGTGAAATAGAACATAGGAGTAATGAAAAAGAAACTGTGACTCGAATCCTGCAAAACATGACGCCGATCCCTATTCCGAGTGTGAATGAGCCCCTTTCCTTGCTTCAACCGTGACGAACAGAACAAAACCAAAGGGAGCTAGCTTCAACTGGAGGGGAAGTTAATAAGAAAAGTAGGCGAGGAAATACGCTAAGACTGCCAAACTCCGTGTCCAATTCAATGGAGGCAGGCAGGGCGGTTTAACCCACACGACGAGCGAAGCTGCGAGAACCCTACTCCTGGCGACTTCGCTTCGCACCGTGGGGGTTCCAGGATGCATCTCCACCACCACCACCTTGGTTATTGAAAAATCCTTGGTTGAAAGCTGGGTTCGGAGCCTGGAATCCTTGTCCTATCAGAAGATCAGTAAGTCATCTGCCTGGAAGATGCTGGAAGTCTCCGAGAGACGAGGCAACCGGACGAAAACATCATAGATGTCATTCGGGCGACCCTTGCACTCCAAGAAGTACATTCACACTTACCTTGCATTCCCATGTTTCCTCCCATTCCATTCATCATGGGGTTCATACCACCACCCATGGGATTCATCCCCATACCACCGCTCATAGGGTTCATCCCCATACCACCAGCCATGGGATTCATGCCCATGCCGCCTCCACGGCCACGCATGCCCCCAGGCCCTCCACGCATACCTCCCATCATACCCCCACGGTTATTAAAACCGTAGTTTTGCATGCCTGGCATATTTCCTTGGAACCCGCCCATCATACCAGCAGGAGCGCCAGGACCACCAGCGCCGGCCTGGAACCCTCCACCCATGTTGTTGTAATTGGATCGGTTATTAAAGTTGTTCATATTACCACCCATGCCGCGGTTGTTACTATATCCACCACGGCCGCGATAGCTACCGCCGGTAGCCATGCCCATATTATTCGCTCCGCTGTTGAAGTTCATGTTCTGGTTGCCGGAGCTAAATCCAGTAGACACGCCGCCACCACGGGGGTTATCCTTGCGCATTGGGGCATCCTTCGGGAGAGTGCGGAATGGGTTCACGTGTGGATTGGTGTAGTTAACCATGTATTTACGGCCGGAGGCAGCAAGGCTTTCGATCTTGTGCTTAGTGGCGGTTGTAGCCTGGGGGGTGTTGAACTCCATAAAAACTTGACTATCGAGGCGGTACGGTGATTAGCATCAAATGAAGGGTTGGGGGGAGGAGAGGGGGAAGTGAAACTCGATCGGGGAAAGACACTGTCGCGATGTCGACTTACCCTTTGCTTTTTCCGTTTACTTTGTGTTCGCTGAAGGTAATGTCCTTAAGTTCGTCCTCGCAGCCTGCCTGGTTTACCCAACCGCGAATATCATCATCGGTTGTCCACCAGGAGAGGTCTGAAACAAGCAAGGCAGTTGTCGCGTCTGGATCAGAGGGGCGGTCGTCGTATTCCTTTCGCTTGACACCATGTGGCGCGGGTACATCGGAGGTAGTGTTTTGGTGGGGAGCCATTGTGTGATCGCCGTTTGTCGAAGAGGGAGGCGGCTGTGAGTTTGTGGTGGCGGGAACAGGGGCTTTGTTTTCTTCTGTGACAGCGCCTTCATTTCCGGAGGGTTGTTGAGGTTGCGCGCGTGTGGGCTCCGGAGCATCTAACACCAATTCACCATCATCGGCCTGTTCATTGTTGTTGTAACCGCCACCATCTCCATAGATGTCAATATCGAAGTTATCATCTTCAGTCGCCATTGCGTACTATGGCGTCCTGATGGCTGGGGGCACAGCAGGATTGAGAGCAAAGATTCGATTTTGAAATAACGTGATGGTTGGATTTACACAAGCCCTTGTTCCTTTTCAGTCTTTTCTTCTTTTTTTTTTGTCTTCTGGATCAAGGAAAGTACATGTCTGTCAAAAGTAGGCCATTCATTAGCATGGAGAATGAAGCCAGAATTCAAGCACACGATGGAAAATTAATGGAAACCGCGATAAATCGAAGATAGCCATCCAAATACCAGGTGGCGATGGGCGCGTCGAGATCAAGACTTGAACACGCAGATGCAAAGAAAAGAACAGAGACTGAAACAGGAACAGGAACGGAAACAGACGCGACAATACGTACAATCCAGAACGACCTAGTTGCCGTGAAGAAGAACGAGTCGATCAGGCGCGTACAGGCACTCGAGCTCAGACGGATACAGAGTGAAAGTAGAGTCGAAAAGAAAGGGAAAGGGAAGTTTCGCAGACCAGCCGCACAGAGAAAGTAGCTGTAGGATACAAGCAATAAGGAGACAAGTCAAGCAGTCTTGAGTACTCTTTCTTTTTTTTTTTCCTTTGGAGTTGAGTCCGAAGGGGAATGAAGATGGAGCTGTGAAGCTGGGGATCCGGGCCCGGCCAAACAATAATCCGTGGTTTCCCCGAGTTCAGGCCAAATGGCTCTTGATCACGCCAACTATCATCAATTCCCCGTTCCTTATCTTCCCTTTCTCCTTTCCTTTCTTTCCCTCCTTTAACCACCCAATTTCATCCACCATGTCTGACACCTTCCAAGAACTTGCTGATATCCCCAAGGACTTTGTCCGTGAGGGAACCCTGTTCGTGCGCCGCTGCACCAAGCGTATGTCCATTGCCCTTCCCCAGGTTCCCCCATGATCGTCCACAGAATTGCTGACTTTGGTTACAGCCGACAAGCGCGAATTCATCAAGATTAGCCAAGCTGTTGGCATGGGCTTCTTGGTTATGGTATGTTTACTGTCCTACCCTCCCCACCTCTTTCTCAAATCCCCCAATCTTTAATCGCGACTGTGGGCTAACTGGGTTGTTTTAGGGTGCCATTGGATACTTCGTCAAGCTGAGTGAGTATAACTGGTTGAACAAGTGTCAAAGTCTTCCTTGTCGGAATAGTCGAACTGACCTCCTTTCTCCCTGCAGTTCACATTCCCGTCAACCAGGTCCTGGTTGGTGGCGCGTAATCGCATAATCATATCAACCTTCCAATAACTTGTGCTGCGACGAACCCGAAGTTGAGAAATGCCCAGATGGCCGGAAAGTCATTCCTGTCGAAACGGCCTGTTGAAAAAACACCACGAGGTTTCCTTCATGCGCTACGACGGACTAGGGGCATTGTGCAGATGACACAAAACCCTTGAGTCAGCACGAGGGTCCGCGTTATACTTTTGTCTTGCGAGCTATCATGGTCTTGACGCCATGCCTTTTTTTTGAGATGCGATGGGAGACAGTACTTCATCGCCTTTGAGATACCACATACCACATTGTTCATGTACCAATAGGGGTCTTTTTTCCGTTTAATTAACGACCCTCCATTACGGTGGTCCTTTGGGTACACTAGGCCACATCAATTTTGTACCACAAATTACACTAAATCCTACGCCCTTTACGGATGCCTCTAGTACGTACATGAGCAAGTCCACGTGTACATATTACCCAACAGAGGGCGATATTCCAGCCCCTACAGGGATTGACCTTGGTCGATACCGCGACCGTACCAAGCCATTGTAGTAAAGACGACCGCAGCCTGAAGTCCCAGGAATTCTCTTCGGACAAAGCGACTACCATGCTAAATATAGCATACTTAGCGACATCTGTTGGAGGGTCGCTTTCGCTAGCGAGGTAAGACGGGGCGGGACCTTGACTGCGAGAACCCCGGAGTCGGAGTCCTAACCCAGTGAGCCCCCCCCCCCCGTAGCCAATTTGACATTTTATTAACTCCAAAAAAAAAGGAACCAATATAGATATTGATTGAGATACTTACCCATATATCCGAGTAGTTGGGCAACCGGGTTTGTCCCCTTAAGCCCCCCCTTAGCTTCCACGATCAAAACATTGAGGCATAGAGCCTTGCTTTCTCCATACCAGACGCTATAGTCCGGTCGGCCACTCAGAATGACCTTCTTGTGGTTTAGAACCACTGGGCCAACTTGATAGTTCCGTTCACACTGCACGCTTAAAGGCTGTGCATTTTTCAGGTCTCGGGTCGCCTCCTCATATGCTTCAAGAATAATCGCATCGATCACCCATCGTGTACTAGCCTCGTTGATTTTCGAGCTACCGCTAGCCTTTTTAATTAGGCTAAGAGTGCGTACTATATTCAATTAGCTAAATTTCTCTTCTGATCCATATCTTGGATTATATACTAAGATAGGAAGGGAGGGGGAGTGGCTGTATAGCTTCCATCTCAGTATCCTCGACATCAAGTTCGAGGCAGAGGGATTGTTGGACATCTTGCACATTTAAAGTCGTAATGGCAACGGTAGGGTATTTGGTTCTTGAGCATCGATTTGGTCTGTTGCTTCTTGAAGTTGACGGCGGGTAATCTTGTTGCTGAAATAATCCTGTAAAACATGTATCAGGTATGTAGTTTTATTACGGCGATGCTTCGCGGTAACCTCTTTAGCGTCTTCGATATCCATAGTTGATGGCGCAATAAAGGTTTGATGAAACTAGTACGATGGGAAAGAAAAAATGTCAGCGCGGAAGGAATGCAACCGCTGCTCAGGGAAAGGAAAGAACGGAGAGAGAAAAGCAACTGGATTGGCTATGGACAATCTCTCTCGGGGGGATGGAGAGAAGAAGGGAAAAGGAAGGAAGGAAGTAAGTACTGGATCTAGATATACCTAGAGGGGGTCATCTGACCCCTCTCTAATAACGGTGGGGTATTTGGTTTCTTGAGCATCGATTTGGTCTATTGCTTCTTGAAGTTGACAGTGGGTAATCTTGTTGCTGAAATAATCCCGTAAAACATGTATTAGTTAACTAGTTAGTTAACTAGTTAGTTACCGCTGCCGTCCCCTACCCATCGACCTAGAATAGACTCGAGAATGGACTTGGGAATGGACTTGAGAATGGACTTAAGAATAGACTTGAGAAGTTTTTGGTGCCTGATTCTTTTTTTGTAAGGATATGTACTTTTTTTGTAGTCAATTTTTTACGTCTGGCCTTAGAGTTAAGGCATTAAGTTTTGAAGGCGGTAAGATGGGAGTAGAAGGCGGTGAAAGAAGCGGTCATAAATTATTGCTGCCTAAGGCATGACGAGACAAGTTCAGGCATTAATATATCCTGATTAGGCTTAGTAGGTCATGTGGGGGTGTGTTAGCATGAGAGGGGGTGTTTAGATCAAACTCCTAGTTTTATTACGGCGATACTTCGCGGTAACCTCTTTAGTGTCTTTGATATCCATAGTTAATAGCATAATAAAGGTTTAATGAAACTAGTACAATAGGAAAGAAGATTTTAACAACAGATTCAATTCTGTGAGTCTATAAAGGGGGAAGGTTTAAACAAAATCTACATAGATCCGGGAAGCGGCGCGGATCAACCATTCTCTACTTAGTCACTGATAGTGAAACTAGATCCCCTAGTGGGTGTGTTTAGATTAAACTCCGAAATAAAAGCGACTTATATCATGATATAATACCAGAAGAGTCCCGCATGATGTCAAGCACTTAAGAAATGTTTGAATGGAAATAAACTTCAATTGAGACATTTATTATGGTTTTTTTTCTCCCGGAGATCTGCTACCAACTCCGAACGAAACCCCCGTAGCCAATTTGGCATTTTATTTCATTTACAAAAAACAATAGCTGCTTGCTCAAAAGAATGAAACGTATATGCATGTTCGTTAAAGTCATAATAAGGGTGGCCGATGCGAACCGGCGTACCAGTAACCTTGAAACCTCCATGTATGATTGATCAATCCCCAGTGAAACCCGTTTTTAAGTCCGTTAAATGTAAAAATATGGCATTACCATTCTGCCATCTCAGACTCGTCTTCTACACGCATCCGGCGCAGAGGCCGGCTGCGGAGTGGCCGCCTGGCGCGAGGAGCTTGGGTATTCTCCCGGTAGTGATTGAACTCGGGCATATTTCGGAGCTTGTCGTCGTAGCTCTGCCCAATTGGTGGTTCTCCCTCGTCCTTCTCTGCACCATCATTCCATGAATGTACAGTGCAGGTGCCGCTTGACAGGCCCCATCCATTCCACGACGTTGCTATTAAAATCAAAGTCAGATAATGCCAGGGGAAGCACGAGGAACATAGCAACTTACCTGCAAGGACTGGGGCATTCGGGTGCCAGCTTGCATCCCGAACGCATGTCCTCCATAGCATCTCCCCGCTCATCTCCCATGCTGTCGCAAAGAGATCAGGCTCACGGGGCCGGGAGTTAAGAGTTGCTGCACCGACGTCGACGGTCCCGGCCAATGTGGCATCCATATTGTACACGTATATCTTACCATCTTCACTACCAGTATACACGTAGCGTGAGTTTGTGCTTCCAGATGGTGAAAAATGGCAACGAATGAGAGTCTTCAGAACCCGGTGGCCGCGGAAAGTAACAACAGAACAGTCATGCTCATGCGGCTCATAGTAGTCATCAGGATACGGTTGAAAGCGGTAATCAAAACCGCTTGTGTTTGCATAAGCGTTCGCATCAAGATTGTCAAACTTGGCTGTTGTCATCATTTTCCGCAGATCCCATAGCTTCATGGTCTGATCCTTGCCATTTGAAAGAACGTATCGACCATCACCTTTACTGTCCACGTATGTAAGACCCTCAGTATGTCCCATAAACACTCCAGCTTCGCGGCCATCACCCATGGAACGGCGGTCCCACACTCGCAATGTAGTATCGTCAGACCCTGAATAGAGAATATGCGGAGATGATGTATCGCCAAAACAGACTGCATTGACATGGTCTTGGTGACGATCTCGAAGATTGAGAACTGGTTGTTTTGTTTCAAGATCGTAGACAATGACCGAGTTCTCCGATGTGCCTGCAACAACTTCACGTCCGTCCCCAGAGAATCGAAGAGACCATATCTACAATAAATACGATTAGTCATGATTTCAGGGAGCAGGCCTTTCTTGTACATACTCCAAAGTGCGAACTGCCCCAACTTCGTCGCCGTCGTTGACCAGGGGGTAGAGAGAAATCTAAAACCGTTGGATCTCCATCGTCCTCTGGATCGGTCGACGCTAGGTAAGCTTGACTGCGTATTGAACTATAGACGAGGTGGCGATTGTCCGGACTCAAGGTAGCGTCAGTGATTGTCCACTGCCCAAACGGATAGTCGACAGTCTTGTAGTATTTCCACTCGTATGGGTTAGATGTGTCGTACATCCGGACTTTGAAGTCCTGTGCACAACAGAAAAAGAAATTGCCATCATCTGAGAACTGACCCGAGTAGCTTCGGGTATCATAATGGATGATCTTATCAGCTGCAGAGCCAGGGATCATGTGCTAAACCGAAATGTCTGATTAGCTAGAGTCATTTTTTCCCCAGGCCGCTCATTCGTCCTTACTTGAGAAAGTGACTGGTTCGCCCTCTTGCGCACTCCATAAGAATCCACCCCAAGCTCCCTCCACATGAGATGGGACGCAAGCACCTTCTTGCGCTTTTTGAGACGATCCACGTAGTGTTGGCCTGTTCCGAAATGGCCGTCACCCATCAATTCTGTGCCCTTGTCGCTAGGGACTTTCGGAAATTGGTCTGCTGGCCGACCCCGCCATGACCGTAGCCGATGTCTTACATGGCCTGGATAAAGAAAATCTTCATCCTCGTCCTCCTCTTCCTCCCCTTCGAAGTCGTCCGATGCGGTTGTAGTCCATCCGTTGGATTGAAGGACATGCTGCAGGCGATTAGTTGCGAGCAATTCGAGGAGCCGGGCGGTGGACACTATACACCAGTGAGTGACCCTATACCTCAGACCATAGAAACCTTATCAGGGAACATACGGCGCGGGCGGACACGATTGTCTGCGTCCTCGCTCTCCGGAAGATCGTCCATCGTCAACTCAATCTGGATACTTCCAAGATTGATACGCGGGTTTTCTGTAAAAACACCAGTCAGCAGACCTGTCTTGACGTTTTTTAAATCAAGGGTGCTGTAATTCGCAACCTTCTGCAATGCCGAGGCCCATATCGTCATCATCGCGGTCTGCCTCGTCTTCCCATCCTTCATCGTCTTCTTCAGGCCCTTCCAAAGCCGAATGATAATCCATGTCTAGTTCGTCGTCTTCTTCAAGCCATTCCTGTGCAGGGTGTCTGAATGATTCTCCCCTGGCCTCCTCCGAAGGTGATCCGTGAGAACTCATGGCGTGGTTTGATGAGGAGAAGGGCTTATCGATAGCGGGTTTATGGTATCGCGTCACCGCTGCTTCCGGGTTTATGTCATTAAATCTGCCTTAGTCAGCTGCTAGCGGCGTTAAATCCGCTTAAATCCGCAGTGGGTATATACTAATATAGTACATAGTAGTAGCAATGCACTTTCTTAGCTTATCTTGTCTGGTCCTAGTCGCTCTCTTGAATTCAAGCTCGTAAATTCATATTGTACTAACTAAGACTTCTAGAAACAATTTTCACAAAAGAGTAGCTCGCGCAGACTTTAGCAAATTGCAATCGACAAACATAGTACGTTGTTCCTTGTGACACTAACCAATATTCCTCCGAAGCTAATGACCGCATTGAAACAGTGAGCAGTCGTGAAAATGTTCGGCATTTTGAAATTTCCATATTGTACCCTCCTGATGTGCAGTACCAACCACGAGCTCACCTTTTTCTATCCGTACGGGTAAGATCCCTATCATATGTTTCACAAGCATAACATAGCCACCATCCGGGTGTTCTCTGACACAGAAAGATTCCCAGTATCTGTGTCGCTTGGAATCTGCAGTCAATTTCCGGTTGCCGGTAACCCTAAAGGTGTCATCATACATTTGATGCCCTATGAAGGTCCCAGAGACTGTATTCTCAAACCCTAACCACAAGGTGTCGGACTCAATACACTTCCAAAAGGGACCGAGCTGCATATGGTCACATGTATTTCTACTGAGATCGGATAGGAGGCATAAAATACCCTTCCGTAGCCCAATATAAGAGGCGGTAAGAGGATCATAGATCGTGAATGTACCGCCTTTTCAAGGACAATCATTTCTGTAGCGAGTCACGGTTGTTTCACCAAGAGCTTTGACCGATGAAGTGTCGGAATTGTCACCAATAGAGCTATTCGTGGGTGTATCACATCTCTCCTCAGAAGTGAACGACATATCCTTATCGAGGTCGGCAGCGCCGTGTTCCCGGGGGAAATGGTACGTGGACACAGTCTCTTGAAGTCCCGAACTCGAGATTAGCTAGGCGTATTTGTTCACTTCCAGGCTGCTGTGGAGGTTTAATGTACTCGTAATTGCCTCTTTCCTGGTTTTCTTTTTTGTTGATATCCAAATGTCAGTAGATAGAGATTGCTGGAGTGGGGAAAGGGTAAGCAAATTCTCAAATAAAGATTTCACTTCGGCTGAATCCATCGACACACCGTCGCTCTATCTAGGTACATATGAGCGTAAGTGTCACGTAACATCTGAAAGTCCGAACCACTTTTGTATATGTATAGTTCTTTTGGGCTTCCAAGGTTGTCACGGAAAACCTTTTCTGTACTCCGCTTCTATGCTGGTACGTAGTTTGGTACATGACAGGTGCCTCATTGGATGAATTTTTCATAAAAGCTAAGGTTTTGAAGCTTCCAAGTTTAGCGCCGGACCTTTTTATGAACTATGAAATACAAAAATACATGAGGTTGACTTGGCCCCTAAACGGGCCTCCGAGGACCATTGGGGCTAACTTGAAATACTGACCAATGAGATCGGGGTATTTAAAGGCGCATTTCAACCTTGAATGCCAAGCGATGATGATTCGGGCGAAGTTGCCCACTCAAGTCTCATCAAATTGCTTTGATTCGTTTTGCCCGATGTTGGTGAGCCGCTTGCCCGGGGCCGTGCGTCACTAAAGCCCAAGACCCGGGCACTCGGCAAGGTTGAAACTTGAGGCTGAGGCTCTGAGCTTTATGCTCTCCACAGCCCCACTAGCCCTTTGAACTGCCTCACTAGCTTGAGGCATTTAAATAGTACAAATAAATAATTTCTTCTAGAAAATAGAACATTTTGAAAAATCGGTTTAACTTGAACTATACTGACAGTCGCATTTTTTTTTCTCTCACTATGAGACTCGCATGGCTTACGGTTGCAGGGGCAGTTCTATCTACTGCAGCGGACAGCCCTTTTCAACCATCGGCTATTAAATCAAATGACTCAAATGATTCTGCTGTAAGTACCACGTCCCCTTCTAACATTAGAACTATGAGGAAATTAACAATTTTGTAGTTATCGTGTATACAAAACATCGATTACAGCCCCTCATGTGACACAACCAGTGTAACATGCTGGTGCAAAGACACACCATTTATTACTCAAGTCAATCTCTGTACGATAGCTGCATGCTCCGAGCCTGTGATTGGTGAGTCTCATCGGATTCATTGTTATTCAACCCAAGCTCTGTGCTCAATCGCTGACCCGCCTATTAAGCCACTCTGGCCAGGTTTCAAAGCCAGTGCGCCCTAGAACAAGCGAATATACCCCAATTTGATTGTATCCAAGCAACCATTGAGTCCAAATCATTGGCATCCGAAGGCCCCAGGTCCTACATAAGCAGGAATACGAAAACAATGAGTCGCATCTCTAAACGAGATCCATATACTCAGATCGTACCTGGATTTTCTAGGGGCGCAATTGCAGGTGTCTGTTTTGCTCTCTTTGGTATCTTGTTTGTGGCGCTTTTGGCTATATCGATAAGCAAACGTCGTGAACGTACCAACAGCCTGGGTCTCCGAAATATTACCTTCCCTCAGTACGAGTCTCGAGGTACTGCTCATCCACGAGGCAATTTAAGGCCCCGACCGTTGTATCCTCGTGCCACTGCGACGCCGGCAAGCCCAAGATCCCTAACGCCTCCACCGCCATACATCAGGGCACCCGTGGAAGCTCATGTTAAGGATGACTTTGAGGGGCAGGGGCTTCCAGCTTATGATGATCGATCAAGGGGAAGCAATGCTGTCTAGATTTTGTACCAGGAATCAGGATTAATTTAGCTGTATATAGCTTAATTTTGCTTCTTTCTTTTTCCATTCAATTGACTTAGGAATTGAATTAAAACAAGCTCTGTATCCATGCAAATTTTGACAAAGTCATACTAGTATGTATAGTTAAATTCTTATTTCTTGCAGATCCGGGAAGCGGCTGATAAGCGCGGATCAACCATTCTCCGCTCGTGATCACAGTCACTGATAGCGAAACTGGATCCCCCGCTTCCCTCGCTTCGTGCCTTTCCGTGCGGAGACGTGGTTCCTACTCAATCTGCTCTAAAGCTCCGAACATTTCACCCGATCTCCATCTGCACTGATTTCCTTCCTCCCTCAACCCAAAAGTTTTGGCCCCCTCTCTCTCCCGGCTCACAACCACCACCTCCCCTCACCATGCAGCACGTCCCAGAGTCCCGCCAGCAGACCTTCGAGGAGATCTACGGGCCCCCGGAGAACTTCCTTGAGATCGAGGTAAATGACCCCACCACACCTGCCAGCCCCAGCGTAAGCAGGCATGCACCCGCTCTCGAGTGTCGCGTGCCTACACTACCCCGCAATGCCCTGCATCCAATCAATCATCAATTCACCAAGCCCAGCCCAGCCCAGCCACAAATGCAATACAACACCCTACATACATCCACACTGCTCTCACCCCCAACCCAACCCAACCTGAATCAAATCTGTCTAAACTCATGCAAGCTTCGCGATCGATCGTGCCAATGCAGCTGGGTTTCATATAATACCCCAATGTACACCCCACTGACACCCCCTTTCCCACGTGCAGGTCCGCAACCCGCAAACACACGGCACGTCCCGAAACATGTACACTTCGTACGAAATCGTCTGCCGAACCAACATCCCTGCTTTCAGATTGAAGCACTCTATCGTGCGCCGCCGCTACTCTGACTTCGAGTATTTCCGTGATATCCTCGAGCGCGAGAGCACGCGCGTCACTATTCCCCCGCTGCCGGGCAAGGTGTTCACGAACCGTTTTAGCGACGATGTCATCGAGCACCGACGTGAGGGGCTTCAGCGGTTCCTGCAGATTGTCGCTGGACACCCGCTCTTGCAGACCGGGAGTAAGGTGTTGGCGAGCTTTATACAGGGTGCGTGGTTAATTTTTTGAAGAAAGAATATATGATTTCTTTTTTGTTTGCTTTGGTTGAGGATTATTGCTAACTCTGGATTTTGTTTTAGATCCCAATTGGGACCGCAATGCCTGGTAGATTGCAGTTGCGGTTGCGGTTGCGGTTGCCTTGTACATAGGGGCCAGGGCTTGCTTGGTGCATTCCATCATCTTACAGCTTGGGCCATGATTGGATACGGGCTTTATTCTCTTTTTGGCTGTTTTTCTCTTCTTCTCTTCTTTTCTGGTTTTAGTTTTGTTCCATCCACGAAGCAACTTGAGCGCTGTGGCTTTAGCCAAGAGGTTTGTTTTTGGCCTACTTTTTTATTTTCTGGATGATGGAGATCCATTCTGCTATTGTTTTTTTCAAGCACTGGCGTGCTGGGCCACGGTAGCATTCATTGACTTTCTTTGGCGACACTGTCTATGTCTATGTCTATGTCTCTAGGGCTTAAAAGCGGTGGTAGACAGTTGTACGTTATGTGATGGTCTTTATTCCTGACACTTGAATGCTCTTGATATCCAATTACCACTTGATTTCTTCAGTGAACTTTATTGGTTCATCATAGCCTTGTAAACTTGAGGGCGTGGTCCCTGGTCCCTCGAGGACGAAGCCCTAGAGTACTAATTCGTGTAGGCCTAATAAATCTCAAATTCGATGTTGTAAGGATATTGTCCTTTCTGAATTAGCTCCATACATGCATGTTTAGAGAGCGCAGCTTCGGCTGAGAATATTATGTATACAAATTTCAAAGAATGAGGTCAGGAACAATTTGATTGACACCAGACTTACTGTCTGGTTTTTTGTAAAATGCACGCATTGAAAACTATGGAGAAGCCGTCGTGTACTGCGGGATATCGAAGGAGAAACACAAATAATCAAAATCAAAATCAAAACACCCGAAATGCCGAAATGCCGAAATGCCGAAATGCGATGGGTTCGCAAAAATGGATCAAGTAGAAACCAGATTGTAAAATGAAATAAACGCTTTTGTCTTACTTTTGTTTTGTTTTTTTTTGCTTTGGGCCTTGCCCTTTTCTTTTCTTTTTCTTCTATTCTCTTTTTCGTGATTCTCTGTGGAGCATGTCTTTACAACAAGCTTCATCCCAGATCATCCCAGATCATAGGAGCAAGCGTGTTGTCCTCCCAGGGCGAAGAAGGACCTGCAGAGCTCTCTTCCAAAGGGAACGAAAGTGCGTTTGCCGAAGGCTCAAGGAAGCCCTGTGGAGGTGGCAAAAACGACGGATCGAACGGACCAGCGACTGCGTTGGCGTGCGAAGCGCTAGATGCCTGACGGCTGTGAATATGCGAATCAGAGCGCCGATGAACGATTGGCGGAGGACCTTTCGTCGGTGTTGACTCGGTGCTGGCAGGGCGAGCTCGAGTAATTGGCCCAGGATCGCTGTTGGCAGTTTCCAGCTTTGGCGGGTTCATAGCGTTGCCATTAACAGAGCCTCCATCGCGATAGACGTGCGGGAATTTTGTGCGGAAACGATCTCGGAGATCTGTTGCTCTGCGGTGCCCAAGGTTAAGTCGCTTATCCTGTTGGATTAGGGTCCATTGAAATCCGTGGACGGCGTAGCCCTTAAGAAGAGCCTCATCTTCTGCCGTGGTAAATGGTCGGCGTGATCGACGTTTCGCTTTCATCGAGACAAATGGCTCCGGGATACCAAGGGATGCAAGGTTGGCCTGAGATTTGCTAGAGGCTTCTGTCCCCTTGGGTGGGGGTGACTGCTGAGGAGTCGAGCTGCCACTCCCCAGACCCGTCTCGGGCTTTATAGACAGCACGCTATTTGGTGTCGGTAGCATACCCATGACTGGACTTCCAGACCCAGAACTCGGTTCAGAGCCCACATTTGTTGGAGCGGAGATCGGAAGACGAATCTTGCCAGGGGTTTCATTTGATGCCTCAGCTTGAGATTTTAGAAGAGAATTGGCGAGGTTATCACGCAACTGCTTGGTTGCTTCGTTTGGATCAGACGCGCTGCTTGGGAATTAGCAAGGAAAGGTAGGAAGGGGCAGGCGTGGTTGCTTGGCTTACCGATATGCCCAAGGACAACAGACCCGAAATCTTTGTTACAAAATGAGTATAAAGGCAGGATTGTGGGGCGATGATCATGATTTCATACCGGTCCTTCAGATTGGAAGCCGTTCGTTTGTTGAACTTGAGTTCTGGCTGTGCCAGTATCGCTGTCCAATTTCCAATTCCACACTTCACCACACCCCGGAGAAGATCAGTAGTCTCCTCCTCACTCCATTTCCTCAAATTCTTACGAGATCGGCCACGAGATTTGGGGGACAATCGACCACCGGTAGTAGTAGTCGAATGTATATCATTCGGGGTGTTCTCTCTTGCATCAGGGATGACAGATTTTAAAATTGGATTTTCGGAGGGTAGTATTCGTTCGTCTTCAGGATCATGTACATCATCATTGTGGTCATCAAGGGTCGCACTGAGAAGCTCCTCAATTCTTGCTTCTCTCCGCTCTATAGGTTGACCCTCTGGAAGACTTCCATTAGCGGAGGCTATGGCAGGATCGACAGCAGCATCTTCACGGGATGGTTTTGTCAAGAGCTGAGGGATCGAGCCTGCTTCGATAGGAGGAAGAAGAGCAGCATTGGGTGGAGGTTCATTCAATCCATTCAGAATAGCAAAGGGACCAAAAGGAGGAGGACGTTGTTCTTTTTGAGCCTGCGGGATGGGAAGCTGCAGGTGCTCGCTAAAAGACTCCGATAGGTCCAAGCGGCGGCGCTTCCGTGTGCCGTAGAGAGCATCATCATCAAAAGAAGAAGAAAATGGGAAGCGTTCCAACGCGCGCAGATTTACAAATGCTGGCAGAATCGGCTTGGGCGGTGGTTCCACATTTGATTGAGGGTCACTAGCAGACTCGGCCTTTTCTTTTCGTGCAGCATTGAGAAATTCCGTCACAGTTGGCAGACCCGCTTTGGTGTTTGTGGGGGCATTCCCACCTGTCGACGTGGGTTTGGCGACGGCGTTGGACTCCCTGGTCCCGCTTGCGTTTGGCTCCAGGGGAGGTGGAACGCTGAGCGTACGAGATGAGACAGGTTCCCGCAGCGGAGCGATACGCAGAGAAAGCTGGGGAAGTTCGCGAAGTAAAGATTCATCCAGGGGCCGTAAAGCCCCATTAGAATCCATTCTTTCTCATCCAAGGAGGCCTTGTTAAAGAAATTTAGCTAAAATTTGTGGTTTGAATTCCATCGGGCCAGCCATGGTGGACCCAGGACACCTATATGATCTGGGGTGGATTAAGACGAAGAGTTGTGGAATCGCGGAAGTGCATCTCCGAGGTAGCTTGGCCCTGCTGACGTCGGTTTTGCACTCCTGGTCTGTATCCCTACCCTAATGTTATCGCGTCTCCTTATCGAAGCTTCACGCTCTGGTTTCTTGACAACTTCCACAGCTCCCTCCAATCTTACTGCTTCCTTTGGAATTGAGCTTAATTGATACAATATTCAATCACAAAATGTGCGTAAACTCAGAACGCCGTTCAACAAGCATATCAAACCGTCCCCAACTACCTCAGAACCAGCTCCAGACTTCAACCAGTTGACGACACCCAAGCTAACCAACCACTCAACACCAGCTCCTCCATTCTATTCCACATACTTCATCCAGGATGCCTACCATTCTCCCAAGATGGCCCCATATCCTCTTTGGCATCGTTGAGCCCATCTCTCTGTAAGGACCCCTCACACTCTACCAACAGTCAAACAAAAACAGCAGCAGCAACAAAGAACTAACTCAACACTCACTTCCAAATAACAAGAGTCGCAGGTAGTCTCAGTCCCATCTTTGACCTTGACGGATTCATCTATGGCCAAACACCCCATGTTCCGGCTCCAATGCTCCAACATCCAAGCAGTGTAGCGCTCGCCTATCAACTTGGCAACCTTTACAACCTTCTCTTCCTCGTTGGCGTCGGTGTTCTACACGCAACTACCGAGCCCAAGGTGCTGCGCAATTATCTGATTGCTCTGGCAATCGCCGATGTCGGCCATGTTTACGCCACTTACATCGCTATGGGGTGGGAAGCGTTTGTGGATGTTGGTGCTTGGAATGCGCTGACGTGGGGAAATATTGGAGCCACCGCATTTCTGTTTGTGAATCGCGTGTTGTATTTTCTAGGCGTATTTGGAAAAGCCCAGGCGCCCAATATTGCAAGCAAGAAGGAGTAAATTTACCTCTATTGCTTTGATCTAGTCTGGGGAGTTTGTTTATCTTGTTTTTTCTGCCAAAAAAAGAAAGCCTTGCCTCCTTGTGAATTTGTTCGATGGGGGTCTGGTTGATTAAAGTGGGCGGCATTATTACCATATAATCGACAAATCGGCCCGCAGTGATTCGTTTCACAGGTGTCGCATGACGATGGCTTGGGGGGGCTAACAAGACCCTGATTCGACGGCAAAAGCCGACGTCCCGGGATCGATGGATCGGATTTGATTTGTGAGGGCTTGGAGGCCCCGGAAGCGGCGCTAAGCAATTATTCCCCTATGGCTGAAGAAGTTTGCATCGGATGCGTTTCATTGGGTAGATCTCGGGATGGAGCGCAGCGAGCCGAGCCCAATTACGTTGACGATTCTTAAGATGGCTTGTTATAGCGCAAAGAGAAATAAGCAAAAAAAACCTTCACCGAGTCCACCCACAATTTGACACCGGCAAAGAGAAAAGTTAGAAATAAAGCAGAGAATGAGAGAAAAAGAAAGAAAAAAGAAAGAAAGATCCCGTCTTTCTACATTCATGCACGCCCGACGCCCAGTACTGCGGATGCTACATAAGCTAGGGTATAACGAAGACAATAAATACACAGGCCCAAATGAACAGATACCCAGAGCACCAAGGATAGAGTCAAACAAGAATTTGCAGATGCTCTTTTCCCTGTAGCAAGACAGGGACGAAGAATTTGCGGTAAAGACAAAAAAATCCATGTATACAACCCCTGTGTCGTTATCAAACATTCGAAATAGCTCTCGGAAAATTCGTGACAGGAAAAGACATGATCACCTGCATGAATGCACGCCACAAAACCATTTCTTTTTACTTTCCTGTTTTTTATAAAAAAAAAAAAAATTTCAGATGACTCTTTTCTTCTCCCCATTCGGTGACTAGCATGATGTCGGCTGTCGATCATGGGTCCCGATCACGGTACTTTCGAGCTCGTACTCTGTAGATAATCAAGAAGCGGCTGAATGGCCATTTCGCCATGTTGCTGATAGTCGCGGAAATGAGGGAATAGGAACGGGGTCCCAGGATTCTCGGCGAAATGCTGACGATAAGCGGCGTAGTTGTGAGTCGGATTGATGAGGTGGATAGCTTCTAGTACGCAGTTGTCCAGAACAACTGTGCCACTATGTACACCATTCAGACCCCGAGGTCGAGCGGTCCCCGCAGAGTACCTGTGGATACCCTCGAGAATTGCAGTCAAAGAGTAATAGTCACGTTTTGTGAAAAGGATCTGATACGGCTCTAGTCAACAATCTCACGTCCGTTTTCAATTTTTGAAGTTGGGATGCCTCGGTTAATATCCAACTGACCTCTGCACATTCTTGTAAAGACTCAACCATTCCGATTACTCCGCAGCAGGCCTCCCAGACCGACATGCTCATGATGTGCCAATTTTCAAGTAATTGTTTTACCATCGCGTCGCAGTTGATGATGTTTTGTCGTGAGAGTTTTTTAAATTTGAATTCGTCGGTTTTGACCAATGTGCGTGACAGGTCTTTTGGAGAGGTTGATGCTAGCCAGTCATCCATGAATAAAGCCGTAGGGTCGAATGGGGTAAGCCAATCCATTTGCGATTTTTGACTGTAGTGTTGTTTGAAGCGAACGTCCAAAACGCACATTTTCTTGAGGAGGGCTGTGAGTTTAGGAGGATTCTCTAGGAAAAGCTTCTGGATCGGTGTGATAATGAATTCCAAGCCGGGCTTAGTCGGTAGGCGAAGATTGAGTGCTGCGTCTGGTAGAAGGGTGTGCAAACATTGCACAATGGCACGATAAGCAAAGGGACTTCCACCTCTCAAGTACTACGGAAGAGAAAGAACAATAAGCTTCAGTTTTAGCAAGACCTCAACAACAAGTGCAACACACCTTCTCCGCTTCTATGTAAGTCGGGATTTGCTCTGGGTATATAGTCAAATGGTCGAGGAGATGAATATAAAGAGCAGTATGTTGTTGCAGAAACCAATCAACCGAGGGAGCAGAATATCCGAGCGCAGCGCGAACGATATCCTCAAAATGCATCCTCATAAACTGGCAATGACTTTCCAACTCGATCGCACATGCAATATTGCGCGGTTCAACCAAATGCCTCGGCGGGAACCAGCTCCAATGAACCTGGCGCAACGGCGGTATTCTCAGCCGGCGCAAAACCTCCTCCACCCTCTGCAAATGCGACAAGTTAGAGAGATACCGGTGCTCCCACGGTTCAGCCAAAGAGACCAGGAATGCATCGATGGTTTCCGCATTACGGCTCAGAAGCGCCTGGCGCGGTAACTCTTCATCTCGAAAAAGGGCGTAACGGATCAATGTACAAATTTCCGGGATGTTAAAGGCCCACAGCACGGTCGTGGCCTCGTCTTCCCACCAGCGGTACGTAACATTCATGAGACGAGGGACTTCCTGGCCGGGTGCGAAGAGGGACTGATAGGCTGGTGCCATGATTCCTTGGATTCCTAGATCAGACATGTCGGGTATCTGGAAGTGTGATGGGGAGATGTGTCCGGGGATGTATGATTTTGATCTTGGTGGTTCGAACAGATGATCGTTTGTGGCCATGGACTGCATTTATGCGAATATTATGGCAGTTGCTGCCAGGGGACTTCCTCGGGTTGGGTATAACAATAGAAGCTGAAGTGCATGTGACGCGAGGCTTGCGCAAGATGGTCGGAATCGAGAGGAAACGAGAAAGAAATAGAAAAATGGAGAATAATAAGAATGCAGTAAGAAAGGATGAAAGTGGGACCTTCAAATGCTGGGAGAAGAAATCAGAAAATTAGAAAATAAGGAATAAAAAAAATAAAAATAAAAACAAAAAGAGAATAATAAAAAACAAGACAGCTAGGAAACAAAATAATATAAGAAAGAATTCCAAGTATAGGTCAGGATTTCGCGGTGGCGGAAAGAGGAATGGAGAAATGTCGAAATCATGTAAAAATGGAGGTAGAAATCCAAGCCAGCTATGATTCTCTCCTCTTTTCTCGACAAAGTGCCTCGCAATTCTCGGGATAATCGGAGGCCAGAAAACAAGGAATGGGGCTTTCATTTATTCCTTCGAGGACCCATCTATCCCTGACGTTCCCGCCACGTTGGACTCATCACGAGGTTAAGAAATAAGAAAGAAATGCAAAAATCACTAGAATTCTAAAAATTCTAAAAATTTTAAAAATTCCAAAAATTCCAAAATGCCAGAAATCTAAAAATCTAAAAATCTAAAAAATCTAAAAATCATAATGGGGTCCGGCAAAGCGATGACTGGCCGTATTGAAAACGGGGCGCTAATCCTAGCTTCCAAGTCCCGATGGTCGAGAACCTTGGAAAATTCAAGGGGGTAATGATTGACTGTCGAGAGAAAACACGTATGCTTTTCATATTTGCCCTTAATCGATCGGCCGGGGAGGAGGCTAGCTTCTCCACTGTCAAGAATGATAAATGCATGAGAAGCGGACCTTTTTCCAAGGTTACTTACATGTATGTATACTTGGGATGCTGGTTACCGATCCCGTTGTTTAATTTGTTTTAATATTGAAAAACAAAAATTTACCAAAAAAAAAGAACTTTCTTTTCTTTTCTTTTTCGATATCGTTCTATTTTCTATTCCATGCCGCGCACCCGTTGCAGCCCAGTCCGATTCATGATATGTCCTTAGTCTTTGTACCTTGTCTTGATGGTCGATAAGGGAAATCGGTTGGGAAGCGGTCAACTGTCTAAATATTTGTTTTCTATCTTTATTTCAACCATCTCGAGTGTCGGTCAGAAGATCAAAAAAAAACACAGATTAAATTATAAAGGAAAAACCATAAAAAGCCTTCATAGGCATGTTACGTTAGTGGCGGTCCATCAAGGGTTTGTTGAAGATCGATGTCGATTTCGATTCCCGTTTGGTTTTATCCCATGAACCAAGTACCAGTTGACACTTTGAGAGTATATTTAGATATGCTACGATTTGTTCTTATCTTCTACATTGATGTTTCCGTACTCCTATATCCATATCCGCATAAGATGCATGTGACTTTCCAATGTTGATTCCCACCTTGGGAAGTTCTTGATCGAGATCCACCACTGGACCTTAACAACACTAAATCCATAGCGAGGGGCTAACGCGCGATGATCTTTTCATTTTCCAAATCGGTCAGACTCCCGAGTCATTCATTAATGCAGCGAGGCGTCACAAATTCAAATCCCCTTTTTCATCTTTGTTTTCTTCTCCAAGAATGATTTCACGATTTCATAGGGGGATAACATTCCCTTCTCTCGGCCAATCAAGGACATTAACCCCAATCCCAAGCACAAGGTTTCACTACGGAGTACATTACCGCTACTTCTCCACTTTCTCCTTTCTCCTCGATTCAAGTACTAATTTTTCTTTATTAGGTCCATCGATCGTCGATAGTTGCGGTCTGGGGAGTATAACAAACATCCTACACCGCTGGATAATAAAAAAGACTATGATGATTTAGAATTTAAAGTCTACCCCAGTAACCCGCAGGAGGTTCAAATTTTGATTGTTAAAAAAAGGAATTCAAATTCAAATAATATGAGCGGTCGTGTTGCCTTGAACTTTCCCCTGAAGCACTCAGTGCTGATCATTGATTATGCGCCATTCAATACCCGAAGCCTTGGACTTCACATCGGAAAGAACCTTGAATCGGGCACTAAGAATGTTTGGGAAGGTCCATCAAGAGTCAAGACTCACCGCTGGAATGGCATCAGCCCCTGTAAGACCGAAAAAAAAATCATAATAAATTAAAAGAAAAAAAGTTTTATAATCAGATAAAAGGAAATTCAATGCAATATGGATTAATTAGGCATATCATTCCGGTCAGATTTTCGTTATGGTTATGTTGGGCCGTGATGATATACGCCAAAGGCCCCACTGACTTTCTCACTCAAAAATCGAGGTCTTATTCCGCACAGGAACGTCATAAAACTCTGTTGCCACGTGAAGTAAGTCAAGAATTTTGGGGTTTATAGTGAATCCCCGGTCCAAGGATCTGGAAACGGGATCTCGGTAGATCCACATGTCCCAGAGCTTTGGGGTGGAGCTTGAGAACATGGCAGTTGCTTGACCTTCATGATATCCTTTCCGTTTCCCAAACGCATAACTTTTTTGATTTTTAAAAAACAGAAGATCGAACCCTTACACCACAAGAAAAGAAATTAAAAAAAAAAAAAGAACAATCCTTCCCTCGTACTCTGCACAGCATTTCGGCGCATGATAGCGCCATCTCCGAAGCGAACCGTTCTAGACCCACGCGCCACCCGCCTTTTGCGCAGTGATCGCTATTGAATACTACGTATCCCTAAGGGGGGCATTTCAACAACGTACTTTTACTTTTCCTATATCCAGAGCGGGAAAGGGGGGAAATCAAAATCAGAAATCGATTCGATTCCCTTTTTTTCTTCCCGCGTTTTCATCTCTCCTGTGCTCCTATCGCGGATGTACCGGTTATTAGTGGTCGATCGAGATATCAGAGTGCATTGTGGGAGCTGCATAAACCACAAGGGATCAATTTTCCAATCCAATGATTGAAGGGACCATATCAACCCTACATCATGACCTTCGTACGTGCCGCTCATCCTTCTGCATCGCATAGCGGGTAGAAAAAGAAATAAAAATATCAAAATATTAATATCCAGGAAAATGCTTCCTGCAGAAACGCATGCATAATCCAGCCACTTGCCCTTCAAATACACACTACTTACTAGGTTCAGGTAAGGACGATCCTCACAACCTTGGAAGCGAGAAGTCAAAAAATGCATACTAATCTAGTACTAGCACTAAACTACATTAATGAACGTAACACTCACCACTTAGGTACTTACTAGCTAGCCTCTTCGAGGTCCATGTTGCATCGCAGTTGGAATCCACAGATACTATGCTATGCATATTTCGGTTCTCCGGCCTTGGGACTCCGGAATCCGGAAATTTCTTTCCCTGTGGAGAAAAGAGAAAAGAATGGAAAAAAAAAACGGTGGTCAAATTGGATGTATCAGATCCGCCCGCCGCCCAACATAGGTGGCAGACGCCCGAGCACCCACACAAACCGTTGGAGGCAAAGGAAGCACAGGGGAGGGGGGAGAGGAGAGAGGGGGGAGGGGGGAGGGGGGAGGGGGGAGGGGGGAGGGTGGCCTAAAAAAGGTCGAACCCCATCTGCGCGCCGTAGGGAGCTCGAAGACGGGGAAAAAAGAAAACTCGGCATCGCATCACCTCCCTGTCCTTTCGTAATTCCACGGAGTATGTACTCAAAAAATCGACCTATGCGCTGCGCTCGAGGAGGTCCGTGATCAACACCAGCATTGCACGCTCTTTTTCAGGTGAACCTGGTGGAAATTGCAGATCAGAAGCGATTCAAGCGTGCGATACCACGCGATCGTGCCTCTTATACGCCGATCGGGCGCGATCGTTCAAATCCCTCCTGCGACCACGGGAGACCGGTCAAGACTATCCGTGACTCCATTCCAGCACTTTATCGATGCTCGACCAATTGTGGATGAAGGAACGGGTTGCCTTCCTCTCAAAGTACAACCTAGCCAGCCACCCCTTTCCTTTCAATCCCCCACTCCACTCCCCCAACTCCCCAGTCCAGTGAGGCGAGGGAGGGAGGACCGGCCTCTCGTACAGACTGGATTCCACTCCCGACTTTTGTCGCACCCACCCCCCTCTCTTCTAACATGCTCTCTACCTATCTATCTATATCGGGCCTGGCTTGGCCTGCGCAGCGACTACGGAGTACGCCGGAACACACAACGCCTTTGTTGCGCATTCCCCACATCGGGGGGTTTCTGGCGCTGAATCACAGGGGCTAGACCCAGACCCACACGGTGACACTGGATAGATCTTGGACGGTTATTAGCGAGCAGGAAGCTATGGATTTTTAGATTTACGGTGAGCCAGTCGTTGGCGGTGGGTGGTGTTGCATGAATCGCCAGGATGGGGCGATCGAGATCCTGATCCTCCGTGCATCGATTCAAGCGTCTCAAGGATCGAGATGTTTTTGTTTTCTGGGTTATGGATTACGCCATGGCCGACCTCGGCTAATTCATATCCAACAGCACCCGGCACAATCATTTTCAAAATGTCATATCGATCTGGAAATATTTTCCTGGCCATGCTATTGATCGTTCGATTTCAATGTTGCTTACTCTTACATTGCCATTGTGTCCACTGCCTTGTGGGGCGGGCGCCGGGGCGGAACTTTGTTCCCCGTACAGATTGCAATATATATCCATCCTGCGCTAGGACCTCGGAAATGCCGAGGCAACACCCAACCAACATTGGAGGCTGGCTATTGATGGATGTTGGAGGGATTAAGCTTCAATCAATTGATCGTGGGAACGATCGATCGGGTTCAAAGGTTCCTGTGTATGTGTGCGTACCTAACTAGGCATTTGGTCCCTAGTATCTATTCCAAGTACCTACTAACTTGGAATGGACATCTGGAAGTACATATTACCTACACATGCTGGGGTCTGAACAATTTATGTGGTTCAAACGTTGAAATGCCCCATGCTCCATGCCCCATGGTTCATGGAACACTAGACTTGGAAAAATCGAACATCCATCGTCCATGATGGTTCGAAACTTCCACTTTCAGGGGCAGCATGGTCAGCTCCTCAATTGCATCCATGGATGGATGGATACCACATGCAGAGCCTGCCTATGTACTAGCAGGTACCGATTAGTATACAATCATGGAAGAGGTAGGTATGCACATAGTACATAGGATGTAGTAGAGCCTTCAAATGGATGTTGTACATAATCAAACATGTATCAGGTGCTCCAACCTCCAGGGCTTGAAACCCATTCATAGTAAACATGCATAGATAGATCAAATTTCATGCCAGGTGGATGCGCAATAAATGTTATGGATGCACGTCCAAAGGTACCTGGTTGCCTCCAAAGGCTTATCAACATTGGGTACTTTGCGAAGCCAACTTGAAAGGGTTGGTTGGGCCTGCACACAGCGCTTCCAACCTTCGAAGCCGTGGAGGTTGACAGGAAAGCATGATATTCTCGCGCATACTGCATGTTACATGCTACATGCTACAGTCTACAATTGTGGGCGGTCGTACTCTTTTCTCCAAATTCCAACTACAAAGGACAAACCTTGAAAATGGTCGTGGGATGAAGAGGCTTGATGTTGGAAAACCTAGTCACAAAAGAACATTCGACGTAGGAGGGATTGGAAGTCGGGATAAAATAGTACGATCATTAAGTCATTCGAGAAAAGGTAACGTTAAAATAGGTATCATGATCACTCGGAAACGAGTGCTTTGTTTGCTATGGTTGAAACTACGGAACGATGCATCATTGAAGTCCACAAAGCAGACAAGACGCCGTTTCCCAGCTACAGTTTTTGGTTAATGTTTTTTGTTACACCGGAACACTCTATGCCATTGTCATGAGACATTTAGTTGGCAAGAGCGGTGGCGCGGCGGCGGTCACGCTCCTCAGCAATGGAGAGCTAGAAGATCATAGGTTAGCATATGTGGTTATAGAGTGGAAAGTTTTTGATTGTAAAACATACCTTGACACCCTTGCCCTTGGGCAGGGAGATCCAAGGCTTCTCCTGGCCGATGACGAAGACGTTGGACTCGCGGGTAGCGAAGGTGTTGTCAATAGCGTCCTTAACGTGGACGATGTTGAAACCACCATCGTGGCGCTCACGGTGAGTGACGACACCAACACGACCCATGTTACGACCACCGGTGACCATGCAGACAACACCGGAGTCGAACTTGACGAAGTCGGCGATCTTGCCAGTGGCAATGTCGACCTTGACGGTGTCGTTAACCTTGATGGCAGGGTCGGGGTAACGGATGCTGCAGGCCACGAGTTAGCAAAACCTTGTTCTATCGGTGATGGGGCTTACTGTATCCATAAAAGGAACAGGTTGTTCGTTTGTCCTCAACCGATCAACCAAAGCTTGGTCCAACGACTGAATGACACGGAACTTGGAGAGTATGCACTCACGTTCGCGCATCGTGCGTAACCAAGAATGGGATCCCGCCCTTGCCAAGCTGAACACGCTTGACCTTGCAGAGCTTGAACTCAGCCTCCTCAGCCTGGATGCGGTGGACGGTGAAGCGACCCTTGGTATCGTAGATCAGGCGGAAGTGCTCGCCGGTCTTCTCGAGGGAGATGACGTCCATGAAGCCAGCGGGGAAGGTGGTGTCGGTGCGGACCTTGCCGTCAACCTTGACCAGACGCTGCATCATGATGGACTTGACCTCACGACCGTTCAAGGCGTACTTGAGACTATTTGACGAGTACATGTTAGTTTCGGAGTCGCAGTGACGGTTTTATAGATTTATCGAGGAGGATCGTACCGGTTGCGGATGAAGACAATCAGGGGAAGGCAGTCCCGGAGCTTGTGGGGACCGGGGGAGGCCTTGGGAGCATAGGTTCCGGACATTTTGTCCAGGAGCCAGTGCGAAGGCGCACTAAGGCGCTTCTGGTGCTTCTTACTAAAGAGCCATTGAGGTTAGTTATCATGATCGAGAATTTTCTCTTCACTCCATGTGCGGGTCAAATTTTTGAAGTCTCGACGATCGACGACATGTGCACGCGAGCAATCGACAGTCGAGTCCAGAAATTGTTGCACAGGTTGAGAGGAGGAGTCGGCATGGGACTTACGGTCCGCGTCCCATTTTGATGGATTTGTCGAGATGGAGGTGAGTTGACGGAGTATCGCAATCGACAGAAGAGATGGGTCGCGCTGAGGATCAAAGGGAATTCGCTTAGTGCGTTCTGTGGGTTGAGCCCTAGATGCGCTAGTCCACAACGGGAAGTCGTTTTTTCTTTTCCATTTGATTATGTCATCCGTACCCACCTTCCAAACTAGGAAATGTAATTGATTTTGAGTTTTAAAGTTTTCAGATATTCATGCGGAATTGATGAAATGAGTACGAAAATACGGAGTAATTAGAAGCAAATCATCAAGACTTTTTAAGTCTATTCATTCTATTGAATCTTTTAATGATGGAGGTTATTTACCTAGGTATAATTGAGCATCGCTGAGAATCCCACTTTTTCGTATCTACGTTCTTTAGATGTAACCCTTGATGATGGCCACTTCGGCGTTCAAGATCGATGATCCGGCAGCGCCAAGGACTGTGTTGTGAGAGAGAGCAGCAAAGCGGATGTCAAAGAATCCGCCCTTGGCTCCCTCACGAACGCGCCCAACGCTGACAGTGTATCCTCTGTTGATGTCACGGTCCAGGCGGGGCTGCGGGCGATCGGGCTCATCGAAGACCTTAATAGCCTCTGCGGGTGCCGAGGGTGCACCAAGCTTCTGGGCCTCGGACTTGTATTCACGGAGGGCCTGAGCAACCTCTTCCGCGCTGGGGATAGCGGAGCGGTTCTTGAAACGCAATGACACGAATGCCATGTGACCGTCGGTGACACCAACACGGGTGCAGGTGGCGCCAATGCGGAGACCAGCCTGCTCATTGAATCCGGTGGCATCAGCGTTCAGGCCACCGAGGATCTTCTGGGCCTCATTCTCCAGCTTGTCTTCCTCGCCACTGATGTAGGGAATGACGTTGTCGATAATGTCCATGCTGGGCACACCGGGGTAACCGGCGCCGGAAAGAGCCTGCTCTGTGAAGACCTCCACTTCCTCGACCAGGCCGAACTTGGCCTGCAGGGCAGCGAAAGGAATGACAACACCAATGACGGCGCAGTTAGAGTTGCAGACCAGGAAACCCTTCTTCAGGCCGAAATGCTGGCGCTGGTGAGGAATCAGGTCCATGTGGGAGGGGTTCACGGTGGGGACGACGAGAGGAACGATGGGATCCTTGCGGTAGTTCTTTGCGTTGGAAAAAACGGGGATTTCGGCCTTCATGAATTCCATCTCTGCGGAAGTACATCAGTATTGTTTGAAAACCATGGTTTGCCATTGAAGCTTACCAGTCTCGCCAGCAATGTCGCTGTTCAAGCCAGAGAAGACAAGGTCGCAGTCCGCAAACTCCTTGGCTTTGCAATCACGCACAACCAAGTTGCTGAGCTTCTCCGACATGGGAGATGACTGCTTCCAGCGGACAGCATCCTTGTACTTCTTGCCTGCGGAGCGCTCAGAGGCACCGACGGCATGGAGTTCGAGAAGGGGGTGATCGGCGAGGAGGAGGATGAAACGTTGACCAACGGAGCCAGTGGCACCGAGAACACCTGGGGGATGTTAGGATTGATACGGATGAGGTCATTTGAGTCATATGCAAAAACGTACCGCACTTCTTCTTGGAGATTGGAGATGCCATCTTGAACCGATGAATGTAGTAGAGATGAGACAATCTTAAAAGACAGTTAGTTTGACAGAGCCAGAAATAGAAAAAGCAAGAAATTGCAATGGTGAAAAGCCAGGTTCATCGCCGTATCTTATCGTGACTATGGGCCACGGAGATGTGAGTCAAGGCGTCGTCGAGTGCCCCGCATAGTGGATTGGATCGAATCCAAGGCACAGCAGACCTCAACCCTCTCATAGACGCCATGGAGAATTCACAATTGCATGATCACAGGCATAAATCAGTAACAAGAACTCATTTGCACTTACCAATTGCGTGTTGTTCGAGGTTGAAATGTGGCAAAGCCATCCGGATGCGATATCGCCAACCCCGCGATGAGTAAGCCGCCCTGGATCCTGCATTTTCTTCTCCCCGATTGGTTCCTTGCCCCTTCATCAGCCCCATTCCACGGTTTCGTTCGGAGTTGGTAGCAGATCTCCGGGAGAAAAAAACCATAATAAATGTCTCAATTGAAGTTGATTTCCATTCAAACATTTCTTGACATCATCCTGGACTGTTCTGGTATTATATCATGATATGAGTCGCTTTTATTCATCTCACGGTCTTTATTATATACAGCCATCTACCCGTGATGTGAAAACAACTACAGTATCAGGCTGAGTCACTGTCGGGATGATCAACGCTTATCATCGTCCATCCTTTGCTTTTTAGCGAACTTCCTCGATGACCAGGGCTCATTTGTTCCAAACCAAAACTCCCATTACTAGAGTGATGGGCACCGCTTGTTTTGAAAGGAACATTATTGTCCACATTGATAGACCGTGTAGCTCCATCAGTCCGTGACTGCAGTCGATTTTCCGACTGAGTCAAATTGGACTTCGATAGCGATTTGGCGGTGGAGACAAGACCCCTGGTACAAATTTTGACTAGAGGAGCGGTCGTGGGTAGACAAGCTGAAATGACTCCGGCTGCGAGTTCGACAACACACCACGTTTGGGCATCGGCAAGTGTCCAGGCGACGTCGTCCATATTGAAGATAAAGATCAAGCTGAAACGGTAGATGCTCGCAAACACGACGCTATATATGTTGTCAGTGAGTATTCAAGGCCTTGATTTGTTCTTACCAGGCTCAGGTAGCCAGCGAAGAGCTCGAGATGTAAATAAGACGTACAAGCTTCCGGTTAAAAACACAGCAATGACCGATACGCGCTGCCACAAACTTGCTTGCAGTCCCCAGATGAGCCTTGAAGGCAACGCCAGAATAAATATGTCCGTCACGAAATTTGGTACGCCATTCCCAACCAAGGCCCCCTTAAGGCTGATACAATGACCGGGAAGAGTGGGGTTGTATGCTTTGGCGACCGGGGAGCACTGAAAGATGGCCAAGAGATCGATCGATATGACCCAAGCAATAGTAATGGAGCCAAGAATTAAACCACAAATTCTCACATATCGAACTGGAAAAATGCGATGGTACATGAGGAGTACCGAGAGCTTTATGATGCCGGCCGTGGTGATATAGAGGGGCTCGAATGCGTACACAAGCTGTTGAAAAGAAGTGTCAGGAATTTAGCCAGCAACAAGGGCACTGAATAACGATTTGGAACTCCATACCTTGAAGAATGTACCTTCCCTATCCAGGGGAATAGTACTAGTGTGTCGGCCCATGCCATATTCAATACCTGTAAACAATGGTATTAGCTTGATAGTTCGAACTTCGCAAAGTTGTTCATTCGAGACACACTGGCGAGATTAACCCCTGCGACAACCAAAACGCCAAACTAAAGGGACATTAGAAGTTGTTATGCAAGATATTTGGGGCACCTTACTAGTCCCACAATTAGGGTAGTGTCATCAGGACCCAAATGAATCTTTTTCACCCGTCGAGCGAGCAGTCGAAGACATAGAAAAACAATGGCCAGCACAGCCAACACAATTGTTGTAATGCGCTGCTTTGGCTGTGTGCTCTCCTCCTCATAAGAGGTCATTGCTTCTTCCGATGAATATTTTGGACAGACATTAATGAGAAATAAAAAGCAGGGGTGGACCCTGGACAAAAGGAATCGGAGATTGGGTGTTCCGTAGTGGTAGTATGATTGTGCTATTCTCAAAACAATGGCATTTAATATGGGTCAAATGGGTCAAATGGGGGCCAGGCCAAGAGACTAACTCTTAGGACGGTTCACCGCACGGCCGGTGATAGGTACAAAGGCCCACTTTGATATTCGAAATCATGAGCGAATTCCCCAGATTAGCCGTAGCACGAGTAGAAGGGGTTTCTCGGACCCGTACGCGGCTCCAAAGCGGCCTAGTTCACTATCACTAGAAAATTAGCGCTCCTGATTTTCAGGCATCGACCAATCTCAAGTATGGGCTCCTGTCATGCCCGCCAGTAGCATGCGATGAAATTTAGTGCAAAAATGGAGTACGCGTTTTACTTAATCAGTATATCCGGCCTTTTGGCCAGAAACTCCATACAGTGTCCCATAGTATATGCGGGAATTCCCCCTCAACGATTAACGCTAGTATGCCGGCCAACCCGCCCCTGAAATACTTACAATTGCCCTCATTTTGAGACTGGATTTCTTGTTTGAAAATTCACCTCTTTGACTAAATTTCGAACCAACATACGTTTCGATATGAGTAACCCAACATTTGTCTTCTCTCTTGGCGCCTGGATTATTCCGGCTGTCTTTGATGCCACCCGCTCCCGTCTTGATGTCCTCGGATATTCATCTGTGTGCCCCGCGCACCCTTCGATCGGTGCAGAGCCACCTAATAAGACACTTTCCGATGATGTTACTTCCCTCCGCGAGGTCCTAGTGAAGCTCGCAGATGAAGGTCAAGACTTGGTTGTTGTGGCTCACTCCTACGGTGGAGTTGTCACTTCATGTGCCGTCGAAGGATTGAGCAAGGACGACCGTGCCAAAGAAGGCAAGACAGGTGGTGTCATTAAGGTAGTATACCTTGCTGCCTTTGCCATTGATAAGGGACAAAGCTTGCTGGGCATGCTAGGCGGAAACTATCTGCCTTGGATGAAGGTTGAGGTATGTGTTTCTGCTTCCAATGAAATCAACAACACAAGTTCCCGTCTATGTGCAAAAAAAAACATACTAATTCAATATAACAGGGTGACTACGTCCTCGCAGATGGCGCTGGAGAGGTTGGGTGGCAAGATATCTCGCTTGAAAAGCAGGAAAAGTGGAACTCGCTGTCCCTCCACACCTCCCGTGCAGTCTTCTCCGGCGAGTCGACATATGAGCCTTGGAGAGATATCCCCTGTGCCTATATTGTGTGCGAGCAAGACAATGCCCTGCCTCCTCCTTTCCAAGAACTATTTGCTTCCAAGATGGGTGGGCCTGAGAATACCCACCGGCTGCCAAGTTCGCACTCGCCATTCTTGAGTATGCCGGAGCGTTTGGCAGATGTCTTGCAAGCGACCGTGAAGGTATGAGCAATGTTAATGAATTAACTATTTTCTTTAAATAATGAGTTAGCTGGCTTTGAATTCATCAGTCTGTCGATTATCTGTTCAAATGTTGTTGTTCATCGGGCGGTGCCACGTCAAGCCACAATTCCAACCTTAAACAAAAAGCAGTCATAAGAAGCGAGCCGCCTACCAACATGAAAATCTGGGGTTTTTATTTTCCAAACTAGTCAATATGGTAGTTATTCGTTATCATTTAACGTCGATTCTTTGTCAAAGCTTATACCGGAAGCTCGGTGCTTTGTCACCCATATCAACCAATTGGTCCGAAGTATACTGATAAACGCCATCCGCCCCCGCTTCCCTTTTTGCATTCACTCTGCGACATATGAGATAGTATGCAACCATGGTGACGAGTCCCAATCCAGCAAATACTAGCACCAGGGTGTGTCCCAAGCGATACCTCGGAGCATCAGTGCTTCGGTAAAAGTTTGATGCAGCAGCTCCACCCATTGTACCAAAGCCCATCTGGATAGCCATGCCAACAGCTCGCTTTGCATTGGGCGCCCAGTTATTTGACGATAGAGCCAATAGGCCCGGGATTGCTAGAATAAGTGTCAGTTTCATGCCATTGTTGGTCAAATGTCCCAAATATCATGTACCTGGGTATATTCCACAGGCAGCGATAAAGCATCCTGCATATGTCAAGCCAGGCAAGAATGTGGGTGGAACAACAGCGATCAGATATCCAACAACAATAGCGGCATAGCAGCCAAAGGCAAAGAAGCTTCGTTGGCCCGTTTTATCTGCGAAATAACCCACTAAGATACAGGATATGGTGGCGGCTGCGTAAATTGGGATTGTTAAGAGTTGAGCGATCGCAGCTGAATATCCGAGCCCGCTGATTATGGTCGGAAGAAACAGTGACAATGCATACACTGCCACGGCCTGGCAATTATATGTTAGTCAAAGCTATCAGCCGATGATTGCCGTTACTACTTACCACTCCCCAGTATCCAATACAGTGAAACCATGTCTTGAAAATTTCCATATATGAGAAATGGATACGATTCAGCTTGGGAAAAGGAGAACATACCTGCCAATCAAAAACAGCATCCGTAACATGTTTCCATTTGAAAGATTGCTCACTTCCGAGCTGTGCATTTGGCGAGGTCTCAGTTTGTGGGCAGTTTAATGCATCCAGAATGACCCTCTTTTCGGCTTCGGTGAGGAATGTCGCAGTGGCCGGCTCATCCCAAACAAAGAAGTATGATGCGGCGGCAACAATGACTGTCAAAATCCCCTCTAGAATAAAGCTATTGAGTTTTAGTAAGATTATGACGAAAAAAGCACAAGTACAGCTTACATCCACCGCCAGCCTTCTAAACCACCGACTCCGTCCATCATACTGATCAGATAGGCCAGAAGGCCTGAAAACGCACCAGCCATTGAGGCAGATGCGAATATGAGAGCAAGTCGGAACTGCGCATTCGCCCGTGGATACCTGGACTTTGTGAGCTAGTTCGTGCGCTAAACATTAGCATAATGAGTTTCTTACCAAAGAGAGATGTAAAAAGCCAGACCGGGAACTGCAAGCCAAAAATTAGACCCGAGGGGATTCTTGCAACCCTTTAAACGTCTTGAGAGATTTACTTACATAGACCTGCTTCGGCGAGCCCTGTAGGTAGCAATCATTTTATAGATTAGAGAGATATCCCAAGCTTACAGGCTAGTTGTACCCACCAAGAAAGAACCTGGCCGCCAATAGACCAGAGTAGTTCTGGACGATTCCAGTCAAGGTCATCACAATTCCTGGAAGATCTTAGCTTCATAGACTTGAAATGAAGATATCTCATCATACCCCATGCAACCATTATAGAAGGAAGCCACATGCTGGGCTTGAATCTAACCAGCAAGAGGTTGCAAATAGGCTCAGTGAAGGAATAAGGGAAGAAGAAAACTGTAAGGCACCTGCAGAAAAAAGTCAGCGGCGTATGCAATTGCGCCCATGTGCACTTGCCAGTTGTATTGGTTACCAACCAGCCCCAAATCGGTGGCCATTCCTTGAATCTTCGCATTTCCTATACTGCCTACATAACCCAATAGGTCAACACACGTCCAATTAGCCATAAAAACAGAGTGGGTTTCACCTCGATCCAGGAAGCTCAGAAGGTACAAAGTGGCTAGAATAGGAATCACTCGATAATCAACCTTTCGAAGAATTCTGCTGTACTCTGATGGTTCAACGTCAATTAAGGCATCTTCATTTTGCTCAGCTGTAGGCTTTTTATGAAGATCGATATGTGCAGATGTAGCACCATCGCCAGGTAGCCTAGACCTCATTCAGTGACTTGAGTAAACAAGGTCCGGGAACTACCAGTTGATGGCAGTTGCAAGATCAAATTCAACTTTGAACAATCAAGGGTTATCTGATGTTCAATATTAGGAGAGCGTGAAAGCAGTCGAATTTGAAATCGGCCCTTTTCGCTTCCAACATTTAATCTTTGTGCCACGTTGAGTTTAGAATGGTTGAAAGCACAAAACGTGGGGAAGCTGGGGGTGAAGAGCTATAGCGTGCACATGTGGGGAGTTGTCGATCTCCGCTTTCTGGACATGGTCTACCCTTGCATGACTTCGGTCTCCGACCTCGGCTGAGTCGAAGGATGCAGCTCGGCCTCAAAGCCGGACTCTTGGCATTGTGAGGAGTCTTCGGTGAGTACATAGTCGATACTGTAGCTCACCTACAGATACGAATATCTCCAGAGCAACTTGTTCTATTAATTTCTATGTTCAATAATATAGACACTTTTCAGTCCATTCTTCTTGATGGCTGGGATACACGGTATGATACCAAATATTCCATTGACCAATTGGCTCTTCAAGAATCTCTTTCCTGATCAAAGATCTTACCAGGATTTAGCAGCCAGTGCGGATCAAGAGAGCGCTTGATCCCCCGCATGATATCAATAGTATCCTGTCCCAGCTCCTTGGTCAAAGACCCCTTTTTACCAAGGCCAACACCGTGTTCACCCTGCATGATAAATTAGTTTTCAAGACTTGTGTTTTGGGCGGAAGACTGTCATACCGTGCACGAACCCTCCATTTCAAGAGCGCGATTTACCATGTCATACACTACCTTCTCCACTCGAGCTTTTTCTTCTGGGTCCTGGCGGTTGAACATAATACTGGCGTGGAAGTTTCCGTCCCCAATATGTCCGAGAATGCTAGCAAATAGACCGAGATCGACCAGCTCCTTCTTAGAAATTTCTGCAGCGCAAATGTTAGTACACGTTTGAATTGTTGCTCAAGAGTTCTGGTTCGTTGCTTACCAATAATTTCAGGCAATCTGGACAGAGGCACGGCGACATCTGTTGACCAGACCTCGGAGCCTTCAGCGCGAAGCGACATCATACTCCATAGCGACTGCTTACGCGCCGACCAAAGATCATGGGCTTCTCTCTCATCCTTGGCAAACTCAACAGACGAGGCGTGATTGGTCTTAGCGAGTATCGTGGTTAGATTGACACTATCAGCGACACCGGCCTTAGTCCCAGAGAACTTGAAGAACAGCGTTGGCGCAACTTTCCACGAGCGCCCTGTTCCGCCCGCTCGGTTGATCACATCCATCTGTACATCATCTAAGATCTCCATACATTGCACCGGAATACCCTTTTTGATCAACTGCATCGCAGTCGACGCACAGTCTCGAATGGTCGGAAATGATACAACTCCGACTCGAGTTTGCTCGGGGATTGGGGTCAATTTCAGTGTAGCCTCGGTCACGATACCCAAAGTTCCTTCGGAGCCCACGAACATGCCCGTGAGATTGTATCCAGCGGAAGTCTTGCGAGGCCGTTTGCGGGTCTTGATCACCCGGCCATCGGCCAAGACAACGGTGAGATTAATCACCCAGTCCTTCATGGTTCCGTATCGCACGGCGTTTGTGCCACTGCAGTTTGTACCCACCATGCCACCAATCATGGCAGATGGACCGGGATCCACAGGGAAGAATAGACCTGTGTCTTTGATCTGCTCATTCAGATCCATCCATTGGATGGACGGCTGCACAACGATATCCAAATCATCCTCGTGAATCGTTAAGATTTTATTCATCATAGCAAAGTCAATGGTCATCCCGCCGTACGGTGCAGAGAAGTTGGCTTCTAGGCTAGAGCCGCCGGAGTAGGGAATCATGGGCATTCGGTACTTGTTGCAGATCTTTGCAATTTCCGAGACATCTTCGGTCGAGGTAGGGTATGCGACGGCGACTGGCAGACGGTCGGCATTGATGGTTGACCACTCAGAGTAACCGTGCGATTGAAGGTCGCCTTCTTCAGTACTGACAGCATCCTCGCCTAGCTTAGCTCTCAGTTCAGCAATGGCCTATTGATTTGCCGGTTAGCCTTCAGACAGATATGGACCATTCTCCCCCTTCCACGTCATATTACCTTCTCGAAGTCTTTCAGGGATCCGTACTGTGATTTGGTCGCTGGCTGTGATGTTTGGTTGTACGAGGCAAATCCGTAACCCAAGCCTGCAGCAAATGCGGAGACAAGAAGTGTCCGCGTCGGAGTCCAGAAAGGGGGCTTTGGCGACGACCCGGAGCTCGAGGAGCTCGCTGGACCATTGGAGTGCTGAGCAATTGAGCTATTTGGTCGGAATCCGGTGGCAGATAGAAGTTTTGGTTGGGAGACCCGGGGACGGCAATGGGGCATGCGGGGGGTGGGGAAGCCCCGAGGGACTAAGACCGCTCGCACCATGATTGTTATGAATGCTTATACGGGTGCTTGGTGAGGTGTAAGAAAGAAGGTAGAAATCCAGAAGTAAGGAGCAAACGCACGCACTCACTTTCTGCACCAAAATTCCGAGAATCTCTCTCGGTTACTGCTTACGACATATGCAAGCTCTATGATGTCTTGCTACTAACCGCGAATTGGATTTCCCCGCTTCGGAGTTTGGCCGATGGATTTCCTTCCGATACTGAGTTACACGTGGGGGAAGACGTGGGGGTTTATTCAAAGAAAAAGGTACTGTAGGTTATCAAAACGATAATTATACAGCAACTTGTTCAGTGATAGATGGCAAGTGCATTCAAGGACCAGGGATGGATCTGTAGTACTGTACTGTGTAACTGGAGCACTATGTCATCCATATTGAGGAAATGGAGCGTGTTGATTGGTCAGCCGGTGTCCAGTCCCGTTGACGCGGCAACCGCGTCAACACGGTTCTTTCAATCCGCGGACCACGCGCCGATTGTGTCAAGAGAACCAACTTAGGTAGTAGATACTTGTGGGCGCAGAGAAATCGTCCAAAATGTCTCGAGATTTGACGCGTCTGGTAGATGAGATCGAACGGATCGTGACCGCTCCTTACGTGCCGTCGCTGCAGGTGAGGAGTCCGATGACGGAGTAGCGGATGTTCGCTGATGCCATTCCCAAATAGGATCTATACGAGCTAGTTCGGAACGATTTTTCGTCTATACTGAAGTGCTGGGCTCTTCAGAAGCCTTGCCAGATTGGACTACTGGCCGATGTGCTAGTAGAAGGCCTTTCGCGATCGAGAATCGCTCTTCCTCTGCTTTCCATCTTTGGTATAGACTTTAATTTCTTCTTACCCTGAGAATCGTTTCATTGACATCTTACAGCTTCCAAGGTCAGCTTTCGAGATGCAATTCTACTACGTCATCCAGGGATCTTGGATGCTCTTCTGGAGAAGGCCGTTGATAATGGCGAATCCGAGGTGAATTGAGTTTTTAGCGTTGGAAAAGTCTATCATTTGAGCAACGGACTAATGAAAAGGCAGTGTCAGCTGGCATGTATCTCACTGCTCTCCAATCCATTCCCAGTGGGCGTTGTGCCTCCTGCTCGCCTTGCCAACCTTATCACCAGTCTTGTGTCCACAATGGCCAGCAATCCAAGTGCACAAACAACTGCTCCTTTACACAGCCTAATGAAAGGCCTTCAAGGGTGCTCACTCCTCCAACATGAAGTGCCGACTGAAGTTATGTCTAATTTGCAGGTTGAGTTCACTAAGACTCTGCGCAACCTGGACGACCATATGGGCAATCTATTGTGCCTAGCAACTTTTTCACGCATTGCATCAACCCCAAACAATGACCTTACTAACAAACACGGACCAGAAGTCCCACCTTGGCTTCTTAATATTCGGCATTTCTTTGGACCTAAGCGTGGTATGAAAACACTGGACCTGGTCGTTCTCCGTGTTATCCTTGCTTGCTCATCGAATTGCAACAACTTGACCCCGCCACAAGCAGCTGACAGTATTCGCCTTGCCATTTCTATTGCGGATGCTATTGAGCCAGAGCAAAAGCAGACTTGGATATCAGGGAACTCCTCTAAGATTGCTAAGCTTTGTGAAAAGGTTGCTAGAGATGGATTGGATCGGGAGATCCAAATGATGGTAAGGTGGTTTCTACCCATTTTTAATAACCCAAATTAATTTATCATCAGGGGGCTGCTTTCCTACTCTGTCTTCTTCCTGCGGCACAGCTTCCTTGTCATATCCGGGAACTTGGGTTGCACGTTCTTGTTTCCAAGGGCAGCAGAGGGATAATGGGGGTTATGCCACCCCAACTTATTCAACGAATGGTAGAATCTTTGGTCGTGCGTCCATATGCTTGTGTCTACTTTCCCCCGTCATATCTAACTTTAACCAGTTCTCTGAGAAGTCTGCTGTCTATCATTTACTTCGATTTGTCTTCGAAGTTGTGCAAGAAGGTGATCTGCCCGGTCGGAACTTACTGTCAGATTTACACTTGGCCAGTCTGATACTTGCTGGATTCCAGGCGGCCCAGTCCCCAGCATTGGTTGATGCTCTTCTTGAGTCAATCTCTACTAGAGACTCGATCCTTAACCTGCTGAGCAGTTTTCCAGCCAAGCTTAATGCAACTCAGTGCCAGGGGTTGGAAGTTTGTATTTGTGCCAAGATTGGAATGCAGAATCGGGTGCTGATCAATTTGTTTGAGATTTACTTTTCTGCGGCTCTCGCAAGGGGTGGTAACCAAAAAGAGATTCTTATCATGAAGTCTTTTATTAACCACTCTGAAAAGTCACTTATGGGCGAAGGCTGCTCCTTGTCGACGTCCCATCTGAAAGATTTCCGATACTCGGTCTCCCTGCGCAAACAACAAGACTTTTCAAGTACAGATTATCCAAACCGGGACTGGCGATCTGGTGTCACTGACACACTGATGCAAAATGCTCAAAATACCCAAGATAACGTGTCGAAGAAGATTGAAGATGTTTGCGTCGATTTAGAACGTCGCTGTTACGAGGTCGAAGGTCCCTTGCGCCTTGCTGAGGAAGAGCGCGACCGGCAGATTCTTGAATCCGAGCAGCTCAAACGTCAGAATAAGGATTTGGAAAAGCAACTGGAGAATTCAGCCAGCGGTATCTCAGATCTTCAGCAAAACTTAGCTCGTCTAGAGGAATATGCCGCAAAGGCCTGTGCGAATGTCGAAGAGCTGTCTGTTGCCCTTGAATCGGCACGGCAAGAACTCGAAGAACAACGACGCCTTTCCGCGCAAACCATTCATCTGGAGCAAGAGAAGGCTCGGGATCGAGAGCTGGACTTGCTTGCCACATCCACTGCGAAAGACGATCAACTTGAGGAGCAGCAGGAAAAGCTGGATTGCCTCCAGTCTGAGAATCAGCAAATGCTGCAAGCGCTAGAAAGTTATTCCACCGAGCAGGTTACCTCAAATGAGAAATTTACTTCTTTACTGGCTGAGCTTTCACAAACCAAAGACATGTTTGAAGCAAACAAGGTCCTTTGCTCTGAGAAAGAGGATGAGATCCAGCGCCTTTTGGTGGAGAGCGAGCATGCACAGATGGAGATGGAAAACATGAAAGCTATGGTAAATTCTTGTTGCTTCGAAACAGAAAATTCATACTAACAGGAAACAGATTAATGACCAGGGGGTAGAAGCTAAGAAGCTGTACATCGCACTGCAAGAAAGTGGAGAGAATTCGCGGCTTGAAATGGAAGGCACGAAACAAGCATATGAAACAAAGATCTTGGAAGCCACATCAGAGGTAGGGATGTGCATTAATTTTCTTTGATATTGTACTAACAAAGAACGATAGATTCAAGCCCAGAAAGAGGAGATCGGCCGTCTGCACACAGCAATACAGCTTGCTGCCCAAGACGCCTCTAAAGACCATCACTCACAAGAGAAACGCATTCACGCGTTGGAGAAGAAGGTTCGTCTACCAATATATATATATATATATATATATATTTTTCTTTTTTTACTCACAGGTACACAGATTCAATCTCTTCGAGATGAACGGGCCAACAAAGCTCGCGAATTTTCTGAGGCACAGCAGCACATTGGCAGGCTGATGAACGTCATGGGATTCACTGCCAAACCATCGGAGCCGCCTGTCTCTACACAGGTCCATAAACCCAGTGGAGGCATGGAGCGGAGACATTCAAAGAACATGCGAGAATCAACTTCTGATGACTACGAGACCCAGCTGGCGGAGTCGTTTGATGAACTTGCTTCTAATGTTCGGGGTCCCCCCAAACGACCAAGGGCCAACCAGCGCTCAGTGAACCAAAGCACGCTACAACCACCGAAGACACCTGCTCACGGGCCCTCTAAGCAGACTGACCCTGATTTTACTATTCCATCCGCTCGCCAGCCTCTTGGGCCTGGGGATTCTAATAGTCCCCACAGATCGCAGTTGACCCAGGACCTTAAGCAAGGCCAACAATCTAACGAAACCCATCTTCAGAGTATAAATTTGGACATGGATCTGGAATTTTCGAAAGATTTTTTATTCAGCAGTACAGCTTTTTCTGATTCAAACGACTGAATTTGTCAGTCATTGGCAAACCAAGTTCATGACTAGCTGAGAGGCTTCACATGCCCAAATTTGTCTCCTAGTCGCCCTTCTTGTCCACTAGTTTTGACCCTTTTTCCGCTTTATTGATATTTTTCTATTCTACTTATTTCTCTTGCAATGGCTCAACATCTGCCTAACTACTGAATGCTTTTCTGCGTAGTGGTGAATGATAGTGATGATGGTCTATTGTCTGGGTGGGGTATGTACCTAGATCTTATCCTGGGGTCTATTGAGGTGTGTATGTGAGGCAACAGATGAATTTACTCTATTTTTTCACCCCTTTCCCAACTCACGTGCTTCCTTTCAGGCCCTAAATTCTCTCCCCTCTGCCGGTTTTGAGAGAAAAAGACTCGTTCACTTCGACGGCTTTGGCAGACAAACGATCTCATTTATCAACATTGAATAACCATTTTCGCCATTTAGAACAAGATCTAACTCTTTGACTCCCGCCTCAAAATCACACTTCTCACTCTCGAGGTTGATTCTATCTTCATACTTTACTCAAGTCCTCTACCATCTTGTCGCCAGACCGCCGCACCCGGCAATGTATCCTCGACCGTCAGCCTCTCTTCAATCTCCGCCCGTCTATCTAACATGGCAACACTGGGAATCGGTGGCCGTGGCTATTTTGGATCTCCCAAACGAGGTCACCACATATGATCTATGGGGAAAGTTTTCGAAAGAGGGCCCCATATTCTCAATCGACATCTTGGAAGACCGTCATGGTAATCGATCCAGCCGCGGACGGGTTCGTTTCAAGTAAGTATCTTTTCTTCATTTTCTTACCAGTTACTTGGAGAGCATCTTTATTCCACTGTGGTCCAAAATGCAGCTTATCGGGAACAATTGCTGAATTCACTACTATAGACCGCCTCCTACTCGAGACTTCTGGCTAGACAGAACCTACCCCCTGCAGCTTCAAAATGGTCGGACTTATAATCTCAAGCTCCAAATTGAAGTGAACAGTCTTGGCTTGTGGGTGGCCAGCCCTTCTCGTGAGAGTGTATCTTATCCCGCCCAGCTTGTAAGTGTCCAACCATTTCATATAATACGAATCAGGTTTCTAATATCCTCATTTTGTCCCAGGAGCTCAGCCCTTCCGACTTCGATATCGGAGTCTCCCCAGATGAAAAGTCATTCTTTCCACTGCGCTCTTTTAAACAGTCGGACGAGCCAAAATTTCTTCTTGATGTCAGGAATCGGGCACTCTTTATCTTCTTTCAGCTGTCGATTCGCCAGACTAGAAGAACAACAGCTACGGATGTCGCAGATCCTACCTCGTTATTCCGGATTCGAATCAAGTTCTTTGAGCTCTCCAAGGTCTGGGCAACGCAAAACGATGACACTAAGGAACAGACATATGTCATCTTGCTTGATACGCCTCCCACTTTCCATCGGCAATCCTCTACCCCTACTTTTAGCTCGGAAACCAGCTTCAGAACTTCGGACACATGGTATCGTCAGACATCCGTGGTCCACAATCCTCTGACCCAGGCAAATATCACTACCAGTCTTCGCAAGAAGGGTCAGATTATTGACATCGGTCAGTCTCCTTGGCCTGAACAGTTTTGCACCAAGCTAACCATTTTTTTCTCTCAGGTCGATGGAATGTCTTCAAGATTGTCTTCCGCCCAGAAGATAACGACACCTTAAATATTATCCGAGCAATCTTGAATGATCACAATATCATTGTTCAAGATGGAAGCAATTTCAAGGAGTCTACTGAACGCCCCGAGGCAGTTTGGCGGTGGATTGACCTCACAGAGCCGAATAAGGATACTTCCGAGCTCGAAAGTCTGTACGATCCGGATTTTATCCACTTGTCGTTCCCAGTTCGTTATCAACTCGAAGTGTGCCTTTCAAATAATTACTTCTCCGAGTATGCAGTGACCAAGGAGTTTCTTTTGAAACTCGTGGATCTTGGAGAGACGAGAGGCAAAGAGCTCTTGGAACATGTGGCCACAAATAGGATTAAGTATCACAACCCCATGGATATTTTCAACCTGCCATTCTACAGAGGTGTGAGGACCGGCATTCCAAAACGCTGTTGCTTCATGCGCACTGCCAGGGTGACTCCAACGACCATCTACTACAATACGCCTACCGTAGATACCTCGAATCGCGTGACTCGTCGTTACATCGAATTCGCGGACCGTTTTCTTCGTGTCCGGTTCACGGATGAGTTAACCCAAGGAAGGATTCATTCCAGTTTCAACGACACCAATGACGAAACCTTTACTCGCATCAAGAGAACTTTGACTAGGGGTATCACGGTTGGAGATCGTCGTTATGAGTTCCTGGCTTTTGGCAACTCTCAATTTCGCGAGCATGGGGCCTACTTCTTTGCACCTACACCAGATCTTACTGCTGCTCACATACGGGCTTGGATGGGCCAGTTCAATCATATTCGGAACATTGCCAAATGTGCTGCACGACTGGGTCAGTGCTTCTCTACCACGCTCCCTGTTGTTGGCTCTCCAGTGACACTTGTGCAATGTGAGGAAGTCATCCGCAATGGTTTCACCTTTTCCGATGGCGTTGGGAAAATCTCCAAGTTTCTCGCAGAGATGACCGTGACCGACCTTGATATTAGAACGCAGACGGGTAAGCCCCCCTCTGCGTACCAGTTCCGCCTCGGAGGCTGCAAGGGTCTGTTGGTGATTTCTTCTGACCCTAAGCCCAAGGAGATCTTTATCCGCCCAAGTCAATTCAAGTTTGAAGCCGAGGCAAATGGCCTCGAGATTATTCGCTGGTCAAGGTATTATCCGGCAACATTGAACCGTCAAATGATTCTTGTACTTTCGGCCCTCAAGATCTCGGACAAGGTGATCCGCGCAAAGCTTGATGACATGCTCAAAGATTTGAACAAAGCCATGAGCCAAGTCGAGCCCGCGATTAACCTACTGCGAAAGTTCGTCGATCCTAATCAGATAACTGTCATTCTGGCGCAACTGGTGAAGGAGGGATTTATGCAGACGCATGAGCCATTTGTCACGTCAATGCTTCAGCTTTGGAAGGCATGGCACATGAAAAATCTCAAGGAAAAAGCCCATATTGTGATCGATCAAGGTGCAAACCTCTTTGGCTGTATGGATGAATTAGGTGTTTTAAAAGGCGTTTTCAATCACAAAAGCGATCCTCAAAGGTTGACATATAATCAGAAACTGGAAGCTCTCCCAGAGATTTTTGTCCAGATCTGTCGCTGGGAGAACCAACAGCCAGAGGTTATTACAGGTCTCTGTCTTCTGGCCCGGAATCCCGCTCTCCATGCGGGTGATATTCGAGTCGTGAATGCGGTTGACAAGCCAGAGCTCAGACATCTTCATGATGTTATAGTTCTGCCTCGGACTGGCGATCGAGATCTCGCCAGCATGTGCTCCGGTGGCGATCTCGATGGTGACGACTACCTGGTATTTTGGGATCAAGAACTTATCCCAAAGAACTGGTTCATGCCCCCAATGTCATACCCCAGTAACAAGGCACCAGATCTGAATCACGATGTCACCGTTGACGAGATCACGTCTTTCTTTGTCACGTACATGAAGAACGACAGTCTCCCTCGGATTGCACACGCCCATATGGCCCAGGCGGACAGACTGGAGTATGGTGTCCTCGAGCACAAATGCAAGCTGCTCGCGAGATTACATTCTGATGCTGTTGATTACGTCAAAACAGGCAGCGTCGCAAACATGGACCGTGATCTAGAGCCTCAACTATGGCCGCACTTCATGGAGAAGAGGAACAAGCGCCCTGAGCACATCTACCAGTCCAAGAAGATTCTCGGCCAGATCTACGATGCAGTGGAGACGAACGATTTTGCGCCCATGCTTAACCTTCCTTTCGATGCCCGTATTCTGAATTCTGACCTCGTTTCCGCCAGTGAAAATTTTCTCGAGTTCGCAGCAGATCTCAAGGTTGATTACGATAGCGCAATGCGTCGCATCATGGCGCAGTTTGACATCAAGACTGAGTTCGAGGTATGGTCCACATTCGTGATGAGCCATAACTGCCTCTGTCGCGACTACAAGATCCACGAGGATCTAGGTCGTGTGGCCGGGACTCTTCGAGAGGGCTTCCGCAAAACCTGCTACGAAAAGGCCCGGGGACGAACATTCGAAGAAGCCGCACCATTGGCTCTGGCTCTTTACCGTGTGACAAATGATGAGATGAAGCATGCGCTGAGTGCTCAAGAAGAAGGTTCTGCCCATGGCGACTATGATGACGCAGAGTCAGTCGGCAGTGATGAAAGTAGCAAGCCAAAACAGCAACTGCCGCTCATCAGCTTCCCGTGGATTTTCCATGATTTCCTCGGCAAGATAGCGACTGGCAATTTCAGGATGCCAGCCAAGGAAGAGGCTGACAATGGCGCCGCCCCGCGTGCTCAGAATAAAATCTTTACGCAAGATGATATGCAGAAGCTTCTAGAAGACCTTCAAGGCCTCGATCTTGGCAAAGATACCGATGCTCCGGCTCCGCTTGATGAGACTTCCCAGGTTAGTGTTCATCTGGCTAAGAACGTTTTTGCTCAAGGAAGCGATCCTACCGAGTCTGGCGTGCCTGGGTTCGAGCCGCCTCGTCATCTGGGTAAGATCCATGCGCCCGAGGATGATCAATTGAGTGGTGCAATCGACTACCAACCCGAAGAAGTTTATGGAGAACACTACAAGGAGAATAGGAATATCGTGGAATTGTCCGAGCAGGACGAAGGAGTAAAGCCTAGTGCTCTTGATAAATTGCTGAGCTTGGTCGGCGACGATTGAAGCATCTGCAAGAGTCATGGCCTGAAGCAATTAGTCGGCCACCGTGGAGTCCTCGGACTAAAAATGATTCTCTCTCTTCTGTGTTCTCTAATCTTGGGATTTTACATTCTTGCAATCGGTTAGTTTACATGGGTTTAGATTCAAAATGGTGTGTTCCGGGGATCATTGTCACCCCTAAAAACATCCTAACATCAGAAAAGAAAAAAAAGAAAAAAAGCACAAGTACTACCAAAGAGAACTATTTCCTCGATTTCTACGTAAAATGCAGAAGCCGCCTGGGCAATTCGTAAAAAAAAGTAGACAAAATTCCAATTCAACGGTCTAGGGCATTACATCATCAAGGGTATTTCCAAGGTCAACAGGATGAACCAATGTGCAAATCACCAATCCAACCCATCATCTCCCTTTTTCTCCAACAACTCAACAACCGGCTCCAAGACGTCCTTCGAATGGTGCCAATGAGCCGCATCACGTGTACGGGAATAAAAAACAGGACAATCCAAGCTATCACAGCTAACCTCATCAATGGCTGAAACACCCATACAAGATCGGCACACAGTCTCAAGATCGACAACTCGCTTCTCGGCACGTTGCAGTCGCGAGACGACCTCTAAAAGAGTGAGGTGAGGACGCTGTAAACATTCTTTGCAGAGCGTATCGGTGACATCCAAAAGTTTCGCTCTGCAGACGATGCACGTTGATGAACGCATATATGATTCCAGCGTCCGTTTGATGACCTTTGTATTCCTATTCGATGTATCGACGCGCCGAATCCGCTGGACCTTAGGCATCTCATCGTACCATTGGCGAACATTTGCACCAACAAGATTGAAGATGCGCTCTAGGGGCGGAATGATGTTCTTGGTGATGTAGTACTCGGCATCAAGATCAAGCTGGGCATCTTGGAGAAGTTTCTCGGGTCCAACGCAGCGATCTACCAATCGTGAGCCTGGCGCACCAGTGATCACAACGTAGGGGACTCGTTCGCCAATCTGTGGTTCCAGGCGGAAATCTTCGATCATACGCTTCGTGCTGATCATAGCGCCGGCGGGTAGAGTACCACGGTCACTGTATGAGCCTAGTTTGACCTCTTTGGCAAAACAGAAATCCTGGATGGAGACGCGGCCCTGCATGATTTTCATGCATTGTCGCTGGAAGTAGGATTTCACTTGGCTAAGGTCTGCGGTGCGGAAGAGGATCTTAAGGGCTTTTTCTTCAATCTTTTGTTCGGCTGGTGTGCCGTCGCGGCGGACAGTTTCTATGCCTTTGGCATCGAACTCGGGTTCGGTTTGGTTACGATGTTCATACTTGAAGCCGACGTAGCGTTTTTTGGCAAGTAGAAGGCAGGGGTGGTATACCTTTTCGAATTTGAGTTTGATGGGACGTGGGTTCATGTCCGTTATTGCTTTAGCAATTTCTTCGCCGATGTCGAAGGCCTGATCTCGTGTTCGACCCTTCAGGTAAACGAAGAGACTGTCTGTGTCTCCGTATACAACCTCGGCGCCCCATCTCTCCACTGAATGAATGAAAGCAATAGCTTTTTCCAGTGTTTCGCGACCAGACTGGACGATGCTGTCTGCAATTTCGGAGCAGGGCATTCGGCCAGAGAAAGACGCGGAAGTGTAACCATATGTCACGTTGGCAATCAGTTTGAGGGCCAGTTGACGGTTGTTCAAAAGCCGTTGTAGGGCCTTGTCATCCTTGTCAGCCTTCATTCCAGCTTTGACCATCACTCGAGTCTCGAGGATCTCCGTCAGCATCTTTGCCAGCAGTGACTGCCTTACTTCCTGCTTTGCGTAGATCATGCCATTTGGCGATATGTTTATCTTATCTTTAAGCAGTTCCAGCAGCCGTGGCTGCCGCTCGTAATCTAGGAATCCCATCTTATCACGCCCTCGCCAGGAGTTTGCTCTGCCCAAAAACGTCGAATAGCAGTAGTTGTACGCTATCATCACGCTGGGATAGAGAGATTGGAAATCAAGAACCACAAGGGGGCTGGTGTAGAAGTCACTCTGTGGTTCCATTACAAGCGGTAGACATTCCAGAGCATTCTGTTGCCCGACTTGTCTCCTACTTGGGGACACAAGCAAGTAGTTTTCGGGCTTGGCGATTCGAAACATCAGGGATTCAACTTTGAATTGGGATCCTCGATAATAGACAGAAGAGAAGTCTATCCCAAGAAGTCGAGCTTGCTCGCTTGTGCGCGGAATTATCTCGTTGGCTTCGAGAATTTCGAGATTGATTTGCACTCTGGAGGTAAAGTATTCGATGACTTTGAAAATATCTCGAGGTTTTTCGCTGCGGTACCATTTCGTCAAGTCTTCGTGAGAATAATGAGGGATTCGGCGGTGCAGTAGATGAAACACAACATTTTCCATGGTATATTGCAGCAAGTTGAGCTCACCACTCATCGCGCGCCATATATTGATCATATGCCGACCAGTAACTTGAATTGACGAAGTATGACCATGTCCCCACCGGTCATCTTCTTTGCCGAACTTTCCATGAGACTGGGCCTTCACCCTGGAGATTTCATCGGAGAGGTCAAAGTCGTACTTCTTCCGAGCACGCTCAATCACATAGCCCCAGGAGCCGTTATGAACTTCATATCCAGTGATGATGTCCGGGTCGTATTCGCGGACAATGTCAACAAGACGATTGATTAGATCAAGCTCCGTTGGCTCGCATTCCATGTCAACTTTCAGAGCTTTTGAGATCTTGGCCTCAGGTCTCTCACCCTCGCCTTGATAGATAATCCCGACATGGGCACCAGGAAGGTAGCTGTTGACATGCGTGTCCGCATCTTCAGATTGAATACACCAAAATACACAGGTAATCTCGTCTTCGGCGGGGTTGGCTGAAAGATGTCCTCTGGTATTCACGTGCACCTCCAAACTCATTGTGCTCATGTGCTGAGCTTGGTGCTCCACACTGGTTTTTTTGCTCTTTTGGGAGTATTTGAAGCCATAAGGGTTCTGTGTTGGGCCTTCGATTTGCGACAAAATTTCAGGTTTCAATGCAGAGGGACGAGTCGTTGTTTTTGATGTGACATTGTGGGACTCTTGAAGTTGCTCAAACCATTCAATCACTTCAGATCGACTGGGTGGGACAGGAGCAAATTCCCATTCTCTCATAGTGCAAGATTCTCGTAGTTTCTGATCGGCTAGTTCTTGCTGTTCTCGGTTCAAAACAATGGGACAATGCTCCCCAAAAACTGCAGGTAGACTTGCTGAAGGGTCGAACTCTGGAAGAAAGTGAATGGTATTACTTTCCAACCGAAACTCCCGACCTGCATATTGCCGGGGCCTTTCAGGCACATCGGTGCCATCGCTATAGTATGCCTTCTGATACACGACCGAAGGCCGGCCATGGAGATCCATGGTAGAAATTACCTCATTGGTTCCTGGGCCAGATAGCCTAAGGAGATGCAGGGCGTTGCCAGACAGGAAATCAAATGAATCAGCAAGGCTTCTCTTCAATTCAGATATATGAGGATCCAGTGAAGGGATTCCTCTGGGTGTGGAGGAAGAGCCTGGATTTGAGGATGCTGTCTTATGGCTATTTCCTAAGCTGCCTATAGCAGAGCCAGATAGAAACGAGTTCCGCGTATTCTGGGAAGATTGTGATGCTTTCTTAGAAGACTGAGAGTCATGTTGGCTTTGGCTGAATCGAAGGATAGTCAACGGGTCATTCGGATCCTTCACAACGATGCCATGTAGTCGGTTTTTGGTTGTGTGCATCTTGGGGCGAATTGTCTTTTGTGAAGATGATGAATTGGGATCAGATGGCGATGACTTAGGCTGATCCGGTGCTTCTGTATATTCTTCTCTATCGGGGTTCTCTCTGTTAATTGCGGTTCTTGACGGGTTCGGTGATTTATAGCTGCTCCAGAATCTCAGCTTTTTGGCAACAAAGCGGTCATTGGAGACGAATTCTTCGTATCCTCGCTTGAGGATTTTTTGACTTTCGTTGATTTCTTCCAGCTCTGTTTCCTGGCCATCCTCTGAAGCCAATGGCAGAGAGTCTCTGCGGGGATCCTCATTTTCTGGTGGGGTCTGCCCGGATTGAACAGTCTGATCATTTGCAGGATTTTCTACATCGGCGACATCATCAAAAACGCCATCATAGAAGCTTTCTTCCAGGGTATTTTCCTGTTTCTCCTGTTTCTCCAAGTGGTATCCTTCAGCTCCTGCTTCAAGAGCACCATCCAGTTGATCAAACCCTTGAAAGCTTTCCGGTTGAGAGGACAAAGCAATGTTCTCATCAACGAATATTCTAGGTTGTTCATCAGATTGCGAAGCGTGAGTTTCGAAAGTGGATTGGTGTATTTTATCCGGGAAGAAATCCTGGACACTGCTCAAGGCGGTTTTGACACTGTTGGCATGTTTGTCTGTGTTCAAGACCATATCATACGATGCATCCTTTTCATTATCCCCACGCCTCTCGTTTTCAGCAATTTGTTCCACCATTTCCCGAAACTCGTCTTCGTGGATCCAACCTCCTTTGGACTTGTTTCTGGGATCTGCGGACATAGATACTAAATCTTCGGGTCCAAATGGAGTACTGCCCGGGTCAGATATGCCCATTCTTTTTTTGCGTCGCTTCGTCTCGTCCTGCCATAGCCCAGCTACGCTAGGAACAAGTCGCTCGTTGAAGGCAACTGGTCGTAACATCTCTACAAAGTCGTGATGCAGTGGGCGCTCCTTGACATCAGCTCGGTTCATGATATCGTGCACACAAACGTCTGCCTCTAGGGGACAGTAACTCTGTTTTCCAAGAGCAGGGTCATCGGTTATACTCTCGGGATCAATCGACCGATCGTGCCAACGATGTTCTAGATTGTTCAACTCCAGGTATTCTGGTACCGGGGCTCGGAACGTGACTTTTCTGCAATCCATATAATTGCACCCGTACAAATTGTAGTCGCACATCCATTGTGGGACATATTGCATATGACTCTCGTAGGGTTGTAAGGGTCGTTTCATCACTGCGCCCTGGTGGAGAAGATCGGCTAGACGGGTGATATAGAAAGGATTGAGAACGTATATCTTGAAAAAGAATCGATAGCCCACATGGTATCCATAAAAGGGCATCCCTTTCACGAGCGTGATGTGTGCAACGTAGGCGACCTTCTGGTCATATGCATTGCGACGATAACTGACAGCTAAAGCATGGTCGATCGAGATATGAAGTGTTTGAATCGCAGAATTTACTAAACAGTCTCTTAGTATTCGATAGGCCATGAGACTAGCCAGACTATACTCCTATGTACATACCTGCTTCAGCCTCCAAAGACCCATTGTACTCGATGTACAAGTATGGAAATGCGCCATGGACATGAACACAAACCCGTTGACCGATTTCTGTGGCGCCGAATACTCGAATCACGGGTACCCTAGGCCGATAGTTCTTCGCTGATGCACCATCTCGAAAGGGTAATGGAGGGTCCAGTTCCGACGCGGTCGCTTGGTAATGGTCGACGCAGTTGAGGCGCACGCGAAAAGGTTCCATCTGGCCGATGTTGTTTTTCCGGGGCCATAAGCGACATTGCGCAGGAGTACTTACAAGAGTACTGAGAAGGACTATGCCATGAAATGATAGTTGTGAAGTTTATTGGAACCTTCAAGTTCGGGAACCTTGACGCGCTCATCTCGCGTTAACATGCCTTTATGCTGCTTAGGTAATACTTGCATAAATTGCTACGTCGAACTTTGACAACGAACGTTACTTCTGATTTGAGAGATATAAGGCCAACAACAAAAAGGCACACCTGCTCGGCTTGTGGTAAATTGCAATCTATATTATAAAGGCTGCCGTTATTCAGTATTTGAGTGCAGCTTTGGCCGCGATCTGACCGGATGCAATTGAATTGGTGGGTCCTTGAATAGAAAGTCACGTGAATGCGCATCAATCTCCACTGCTCCAGCTTCGCATCGTTGATTGCTTGATCTTTCCTTCAGGCTTCACCTCACTTTCGCCCTCAAAGCTACAACGCTGGGGTACCGCGGGCACTCTACTGGCCTACTCTTGACCTATATCGCACAATCCAACCCATCGCCCTCACGAGGCCTATTTCACCATGTCACGCAAGCCTGCCGATGTGGCGGCCAAGGAACGCAACGAGTACATTCCATCTTTCATCTCGAAGAAACCGTTTTATGTCGACGATGAGGCTGGAAATGACTATTTGGAGCATCAGCGTCTGCAAAAGACAGGAGCCGACCAGTCCAAATGGTACGATCGAGGAAAGCGTACCGGCCCTGCTGCCACTAAATACCGAAAAGGCGCATGCGAAAATTGCGGCGCAATGACACACAAATCCAAAGACTGTCTCAGTCGACCGCGAAAGCAAGGCGCCCGCTGGACGGGCAAAGATATTCAGGCAGACGAGCTCGTTCAGGATGTCAATATGGGCTGGGACGCGAAGAGAGACCGATGGAACGGATACGACGCCAGCGAATATCAAAATGTTGTGAATGAGTACGAAGAGATGGAAGCCATGAAGAAATCGGCCAAAGAAGGAGCCGATCTCAAGAAGCTTATGGAGGATGACGGAGACGATGCCGATGAAGATATTCGCTACGCCGAGGAATCGGATATGGGCCGACAACAAAGCACAGCTACCCGCAACCTACGTATTCGCGAAGACACCGCCAAATACCTTTTGAACCTCGATCTAGATTCCGCCAAGTACGACCCAAAGACTCGCCGAATGGTAGACATGGGTGCGCAAGAAGATCAAGCCTCGGCGCTGGTTGCGGAGGAAAACTTTATCCGTGCTTCTGGCGATGCTGCCGAGTTTGAGAAGGCCCAGAAATATGCGTGGGAGTCGCAGGAGAAGGGCAATGTCCCGATCCATCTTCAAGCCAACCCTACATCAGGAGAGGTGCTTCGGAGGAAAGAGAAGGAGGAATCGGAGAGCAAACGCCAGGCCTCGCGGAAGGCGCTATTGGAGAAGTATGGAGGCAGCGAGCATCTCCAACAAACCCCGTTGCGTGATACCATGGTGGTTGAGAACGAGCGATTTGTGGAGTACGATGAATCGGGTGCGATCAAGGGCGCCCCAAGGAAAGCTACCAAATCGAAATATCCCGAAGATGTCAAGATCAACAATCACACCTCCACTTTTGGCAGCTGGTGGTATGAATTCAAATGGGGTTATGCATGCTGTTTCTCTACTGTCAAGAACAGTTACTGCACTGGCGATGATGGGCGGAAGGCCTTCGAAGAGGAGGGCAACATGCTCATGCTCCCTGAGGAAAACCACAACGAAGACGAGTCTGCTGAGGGCCCTGATCACTCTCGCAATGTTGAGCCTGTTGCCGATCGTCAAAAAGATGATGCGGCAGCGAATGTGAAGAAGCGGACATTGGAGGAAATGAAAACCGGAATCACTGAAGAAGAGCTGGAGTCTTACAAGCGCAGCCGACTGGCCGCCCAGGACCCTATGGCGAACTATGTCGACAATGAGTGATTCCGCCAATTTGCATGACTGTTATACTATTAGGCGTTGATTCGTAACCAAAATACCCCTTGAATCTACTGCATCAAAGAATGGATATATGATAATCTACCTAGATAACCCATACGCAGTATCTTATTTATGATATCTTCAGATTTATGCACACATGTACACGTGCATCCATGGATGTGCAGGTGGCCTTGTGACCTCGGTAGTTCCGTTGAACTTTCCTTGGAAAGAAGTAGTACTAGTTACCAGTGGTTATCTACCGTGATCAACCTTAAAAAAAATTTAGGGGCACAAAAGCAAAGTTCAATGTTTCAAGGTTGATTTCATTTGTATCTATGGCCATGTCTTTCTGAAAAGATCTTCCAAAACAAAAACTCACACCTGGAAAGTCTCTGGAATACACACAAGTCTTTTTTTTTTCTTTTCAAAAATTCCCTCAAGAACCCTGGAACTTTTCAGCCCTGGAGAACGCCTTGGAATTGAGCACGCTAGAGTATTATTGGGAGGCTGCACAGCCACAATGACACAGAGCTAACACCCCATCCTACATAGTGCTTACTGCCTACTGCATGTGTATAAAGCTGTGGCTATCACTGCGGGGACTGACTACTTACTACTACTCTCTCATGCGCTAAGTTGCTAATCATGTCGTACAATCAGTCTCAACGTGAGTTCTGTCTGATAAACCAGGGCAACCCAAAAAACCACCTACTAACACCCTACCCAGAATCTGGACCCCCGCAATACGGTCAGGGCCAGCCTTTCCAGGCTCAGGGCTTCCAGCAGCATCCTCAGCCTCACTATGGCCAACAGCAGCAGTATCCTCCTCATCAACAGAATTTGCCTCAGCAGCCGTATCCGCCTCAACAGCAGTATCCACCTCAACAGCAGTATCCGCCTCAGCAGCAGTATCCGCCCCAGCAGCAGTATCCACCTCAGCAGCAGTATCCACCTCAACAGCAGTATCCGCCTCAACACCCCGGCGGCTATGCTGGTGGTTCAAGTGGCCCCCAGCAGGGTCACCCACAGCCTCAACAGGCCTCTTACGGGCAGCAGGGCCAATATCCTTTGCCCGGACCTGGTATGCCTCCTCATTCTTATGCACCGCAACCACAAATGCCATCCTTGGGTTATGATCCAAATGCAGTCGCAATGGGCGACTACGCGCGAGAAGCAGACTCTCTACGTAAAGCCATGAAAGGCTTTGGTACAGATGACAAGACGTTGATCATGGTTCTCGCACCACTGGATCCTCTGCAAATGGCCGCTGTGCGGGCAGCATACTCGAAGAGGCACCAGCGAGATCTTCACAAGGACATCCAGTCTGAGACGTCGGGACACTTCGAAGAAGGCCTCCTAGCTATTGTGGACGGTCCTTTGCAATATGACGCTGAGAGTGTACGCGATGCAGTCAAAGGTGCTGGCACCAAAGAATGGCTTCTAAACGATGTACTCTTGGGTCGGAGTAATGCGGATATACATGCGATCAGGACTGCATATCAGCACCAGTACCATCGCTCCCTTGCGGATGATGTCAAGGATGATCTATCGATGAAGACGGCAGATCTTTTCACTGCCGTCTTGCTGGGAAACAAGTGTGACGAATTTGCCCCGATCAACCACCAGGATATTGATTCGGACGCTCGTACTATACACGAGACCACAGCCGGCCGTGTAGTGAATGATGCCACTGAAGTCTGCGCTATATTTGCCCGCTCGTCGAATGCAGAACTTCGGGCGATCAGCCACGCCTTCCATGAGCGTTACTCTATCTCGCTCGAGAAACATCTTGAAAACTGCTTTTCGGGGCACTTGGAAGATGCTCTCGTTCATATTCTCCGCAGCGCGATTGATCCGGCAATGCGCGATGCTTGTCTCATACACTCCTGTATCGATGCCTCAAGTTCGCGTCTTGTTAGTCGTATTGTTCGTCTCCATTGGAATCGGGCTCATATGGATCAAGTGAAGCAGGCCTACCGACGGAAATTTGGAAAGGATCTTATTTCTCGTGTGCGAAGCGAGATGGACGGTGATTGTGAGCGTCTGCTCATTGCTTTGCTTCAGTAGTGCGTGTTAGGGCCCTTGTCGTTCTTCTGAGTGAATCAGTTTGTTTTTTTTTGGAAACCCGCTTATCTCCATTCTTACGATAATTAATATTAAACAAATGGCACATATTTGGTATTACTATGAATCTATTACGTACTGCAACCAATTCTGTATGCATGGGGTGGTTTCAAAGTCAAGTCGCAACGAAGTATCCATGGGACCACAACTGATGGACTTCGAAAATTAAAGAGTGCGGTACATACTTATGATGTACGCGCAGCGCGCATTTAAAGAGTTAACTCTAGGTCCTAGTAGCCCTGGAAGTATCCAGCCTTGAATTGTAATACTGCGTAGCACTTCATACTTAAAATTGGCAGAGAATGAGTGCAGGTACTCAGCACTTGAGATAGTAGGTATTGTACTCACAACTGTGCCTACTTTCATCTCTTGCTTTTTAAGCACCAATTAGGAAAATCATGTAACGAAAAAAACCGCAGTTGCCCGAGTAGTGAAGGTGGTAGTAGGTACGGAGAAGTGGATCGTGTACGGTCCACTGGGCCACGACCCACATCAGTTTCTGTTTGTATCTTCACCCAATAGAGTGCAAGCCATAACATGATCTTAGTACGCCGTAGTCATGAACTAAAAGGTATTTAGATGCCCAACAGTTCGTAATATGTCAATCTATACTACTGACCTTGATCGATACCGCGACAATAAGCTAGTACTATAGTAATAACGATTGTAGCCGAGAGTCCCAGGAATCATCCTCGTGCATTCAAAGTCACTAACATACGACTTCCCGCTTTTTAATTTGTAGAGTAAAGAGCTGACAAGTAACTAAAATGATCAACATCAAAAGGCCCTTCTGCCTGTTAGAATTTGATCATCTGGTTTGATGTGCGACCTGAAGTACTTGCCGGTTGTAGATTGCATTAAATCAACGATGACTAATGTAAGCCCAGGCCCACATATGTGGGAGTCACATGACGTACGATGTGCACGGACTATCTTATGTCATGCCATGCTGACTCACACTGGGGCTTGTACCCTACTTTACCCTAAAGGTCCCGTGATGTGCAGCCCACATCTCGCTTAGCCGGCCACTTCACCCAGCGGGAAGATTTGATACGCCTAGCGACGACGACACCGACAACAGCCCTCCAACGGAATCGCCAGGTACGTCCACATATTGTCCTTTGGCGAAGCAACTGTTCTCCTCGCTCCATTTACTAACGTTCGTTTCCATTACAGTTCCCTAATTCAAAATGAGTACGTCCCATGTCGAAACCTCGCACCGCGAATCTGAATCTCCGCAATCTCGAAATCGTCGAAACTAACAACCACAACAGCCAAGGGTACCTCGTCTTTCGGAAAGCGCCACAACAAGACGCACACTCTGTGCCGTCGTTGTGGTGAGTATTTACTCCTCCCTCAAAACTCGTCGACAATTCATTCCCCGGGCCCGAAGTCGCAAAATTCTCTTTACAACCAGTGATGGAGTTGAACGATGAAGGATACACCCAGGGGCTTGGATTGTCGGCTATTATAAACCAAGAATGATAGCTGACCGTTGATGTTTTCGCGACTTTCTAGGCCAGCGGTCCTTCCACATCCAGAAGTCGACCTGTGCCAACTGTGGTTACCCTGCCGCTAAGACCCGCAAGTGTACGCATGACCCCTCCTGAGCATCGGTGATATTGAAACGGATATTGGAGGAAGGGCATTGTCCCTAGATTTCGATGTCATGTTGCAACGATTATGGTCTTGAAACAAACCCGGCTTACGAACTTTTTTTTTCTTCCAACAGACAACTGGAGCGAGAAGGCCAAGCGCCGCAAGACCACCGGCTCCGGCCGCATGCGCTCCCTGCGCAACGTCCACCGCCGCTTCCTTAACGGCTTCCAGACTGGTGTCCCCAAGGGCTCCAAGGGTCCCGAGGCTCACTAAATTTCCCGTTGTCCGATTCGGCGTCGCGTTTTTCGTTCTCGGAGAGGCTGGAAAAGGAATGAGGGGTGATAACCTGGCATGACATGGCCTAGCATTACGAGATAGATTACTCGAAATGCAAACTGGCAATTCCGGAATATTAACGCTTTCCCGTGGAGTTGGTGTGTGTGATCTTCTATCCCGTCCTATAAAATTGAGGCGAGGAGACGGGAAAAATTACGTGGAATGTGTTTTGAGGAGAAGTGGCATAAAATTCAAGGAAAAACATGCATGAATTTCCTTTTTTCTTTCTCGTTTATGGCTGGCAAATATCCCCATGTCGTGACAGATACAAATGTGAAGATCTCTCTTCCTAACTTCTCCGGACTTCTTTTGCGGCAACAACCGTCTCCATTCTTCTTTACTAAACTATCTAGCATTGTTGCCTAGTTTTGGTCATTATCTGCAGTTTGATCTCAGGATTCTCCACGCCCAAAGACTGTGGTCCCGCCATCTCGCTGGATATAGTACAGCAGCTCCTTCTCGTCCAAGCCATTCGCACCAGAGCCCAATCCGCCACCTCGACTGATTCTCAACACCCCGCTCACGTCCCTCGCGGCTCCAGTCTCCAGGGTCCGGAGTTGCATGACCAAATCTGCCCTATGCGCCAACCCAATAGCAAAAGCTGCATGTTCCCCTTCCACCGGTGTAGCTCCCTGGTTTGCAGAGGCGGATGCATTGTGGATCAGCGGGGAATCAGCCGCAAGTGTCAGTACTGTAGAATGAACGGTCTATCGACGAATTAGCCGTTTTGAGTCTTTTATCAGATAAGAGTCAATCTGATGGAGACTCACCTGCTGTAGACCCGTGACCCACTCGCTCATTTCCGTAGCTCCGATCCCCATACTTGTGCCTGTGGCCGCGAGAAGGAAGTCCGGTTGGTCGATAATGAGTAGGACTTCTTCGCCTTCTTCATTGGTAGCCTTTAGTCTCTCGACGACGGCAATGATGTCCTTTTCCATGACATCTAAAGCTGCGGTGCCACGACCAGAGAAATGCAGTTTCTTAACAGCGCTCACTTCGGTTGGGCTTCGTGCCACATTCTCATTTCTGGGTGTTGGTACGGCGGAAGGCGGGCCTCTTCCTGGCACGGCACCAGGGGGTCCCCGAAGAGGAAGCGCTGTGCGTGCAGGAATACCTGCGTTGATGGGAGACGGACTAGAAGCAGTATTTGCTGTTTGTGGGGGGCAAAATAATTCAGATAACCCGTCCACAAAAGCAAATTCTTTCTTATCTGCCAATCGTGCGAGATCCAAGCCCTGTATAAGAAATTAATATCATCCATGCACACATGTATAAAATGACGTAGGGCTTCTGTTTGATAGAAATCAGACAGATATCATTTGTGATTCGTAGGCTAGCCTTGGAACCAAACAGACTGGCCATGATTTAGTAAAACGGCTCTCACTTACCAATCGCTTTGCTTCTGCTCTCCAGAATTCCCAACCCCGCAGGAAGCTCACAAGAACAACCTTCTTCTTCGCACTATCGTGCGATTCGCCAAAGCCTAAAGCGGCATTGGAGCTATTCGAGGCGCTGAGGGCTGAGTATAGGTATCTCAGGACTAGCCAATTGGATGTTGCGCCAAGAATTGAAGAGACCAGCGTCAAAGAAGACTCTGGTTGGGATGATAGATATGGGGTGAGGAGGGGCGGTAGTGGGGGTTGAGAGGGCATGGTGGCACCTCTATTTCCTTTCTGTCTTGAATCTCCGATATGATGCCCGACGGTACTATGTGAGATTCTTTGGTCGTATTTCTTGCTTCAGTATTTCATGCAAGCAAAGCCGGTTTTGAAAGTTGATGTTGATAAGTTATAACGGTGAGGAGGAAAAAAATGTATGACAGCTGTGATTGGCCCGCCGCATCCGCATCTGCATCCACGCCAAGCATATTCCAATGGACAGGCATCGAATCTACTGTCGAGATTTACTTGTTTTAAATATTTACAGCTTAGATATAATTGATAAATTATAGCAAAGGATCTATAAGGACTCTTTGGGCTCGTGGCTAATTGAAAACTTATTATCATCTCAAGATTGAAATTTTTTCACGTCGTTTTATACTTAAAAATGCATTAAAGGGTCTCCATGTAGTTGATACATATATACATTGGTAGATTTTCATGCATGTCTTGCTACGAATCATTTTTCTTACAAATTTCATCAAAATTTGCCCGGATTCTAACCTAAAGAGTCACAGAAGTCACGGAACATCAATTAAGAGGCATTCCCAACATTTTCAAGGTGAAAATTATTGACAACAACAAAAGTACTGGCCAGCAGAGTATCATGCCTCAGGCACCAACGGTATTTTTTTTTTGCGCATCACATGACCCATTTCCCCACCATCGAGGGGAGCAGTTGGATGCGGCATCTCATCCATCGTATCGCATAACTGTTCGGCCAAAGTGGATCGATGATTACTCTAGCGCCGATCGTAAGTTTCCCGCACGCGCAAATCGACATGTCACATTCCCTCACATACCCCGATGCTTGGCTTGGCTTTCCAGAGACATGCTATACTATTACCCCAAACCCCACGTCTGCTGCATAGCATGCTAGCTATCACGTCAAACCGACGATCCAGGATATAGCTAACTCACTACCAAGATGACTCGCTTGTTGTGTCATGATCAGAGCGCATTGGACACTAGATATTGGCAACCTGAATTGTCTTGATAAACATGGCTAGTACCCGTGATTCCCATTCATTCGCTGTATGTATCATGGTTCATTCCAAAGCTATACCGGAGACTGACGGATAGATAGTGCGATGAATGCCGGCTTCGGAAATCAAGAGTAAGCAATGCGAAGTAATTGTACTTCTTCATTCAGAAGAATGCATCACTTATTCAATCATATAGTGCTCAAAAGAGCGGCCGATCTGCGTGCAATGTCGGCAGCTGAACAAGGAATGCAAGTACAGTCCGAAAGTTTCCAGGAGCCCTCTGACTCGCCAGTATGATATTGTTCCCTCCCAGAAAACGATGGGAATACCAGTCTAACAAGCACAGACACTTGACATATGTCGAAGACCGGCTGCATGCATTTGAAACTGCGTTGAGCAGGCTGTTTCCCGGAGGAGATCTAGATGCAACCCTCCGCTCTCTATTGCAAAATCAAGATACCCCGAAAGCACCCTCATCTGTATCATCCTCAAGGCACTCAACCCCAGCAAGACCCGAAGCTGAACGGGACGAACCAGCCCCAGAAGCGCTACCACTGCAAGCCGATGGGTTTGACTGGGCAGAGAAAGAACTCACGCTTGGTGATTTGACAGATGGAATGGCTGCACTATCCATCAAGCCCGAAGGAGCTGGCTATTTTGGTACGCACCTAACAGAATTATCTTTCATTATGGTCAACTGATTTTCGATATTTAGGCGCCTCATCTAGTGTCGTGCCACTTAGAGCCCTCTTTGACCACGGATTTGATTTGAACATGCCCGTCCGCTCAGCGAGATCTGGAGGCATCCCGCTCAAAGCTCAGCTCTTAGAAAGTGCACCATCTGGCCTCATCGAACAAGCATTCATCGATGCGTATTTCCTCAATTATCACACCAGTTATCCATTCGTCCATGAACCCACATTCCGGGCCCAATTTAACGAGCCATCGTTACGCCCCCATGGAAATGCTTGGCAGATCCTTCTCAATACTATTCTAGCACTTGGTGCATGGAGTATTGGCGACGACAGCTCTGATCTTGATGTCACCTTCTACCAGGAAGCAAGGGGATTCCTACAGCAGGCATCCGTGTTTGAGACGGGAAACCTGACTCTTGTTCAAGCGCTATTGTTACTGAGTAACTATGCACAGAAACGAAACAAGCCCAATACTGGCTGGAACTACCTTGGTCTGGCCGTTCGAATGGCCATGAGTTTGGGACTTCACAAAGAGTTCCCTGGGTGGAAGATCAGTTTGCTTCAGCGCGAGATCCGCCGCAGATTGTGGTGGGGTGTCTTTATCTTCGATAGCGGTGCCGCCAAGACCTTTGGAAGACCAATATTGCTCCCAGAGGAGTGTGTGATGGATGCGAAGCAGGTCATGAATATCCATGATGATGTATGTGAAGCGTGAATCCTATAAACCAGAGCTTCGGAGCTAATTTTATTTCAGGAATTGACTCCAGCAACGACGTCACTACCCTGCGAATCTACCGGCCCAACACTCTACTCCGGCTTGATTGCGCAAGCCCGCTTTCATCTTCAAACAAACAGTGTTTATCAACGTTTGATTTCTAGCCCCAGTGTTACCCCAGAAGAAACATTGAACCTCCAGAAGCCCATGGAAGAGTGGTACAACAACTTACCTGCCTACCACCATTATCCTTTACAACCTCTTGCTGTGCACCCAACTCAACCTGATCCCGACAACCTCGCCCTCGTCCGCAACCGTCTATTGTGGCGAAACTGGAATCTTATCATCTTGATCTACCGTCCGATTGTGCTTCGTTGGGCAGCTCGACGCTGGGCACCGCATGGTGGTAGCTCAGATGGATCATCAACCAGTTCTGACGGAGGCACTGAAGATCCCTGCGAGACGGAATGTCGCGTGCGCTGCTTACAGAACGCGCGTCTGACTATCGCTTCGATTTCGGAGTACATGGACAGCCACATCTGCACAAGGATAGGCGCTTGGTACATGCTGTATGTTGTGTCATCTAAGTTATTATTAAAAACACTTTCTAACTTCTCGCAGTTACTTCCTCTTCCAAGCTGGCCTTATTCCCCTCGTCTTCCTTATGACCGATCCCTCTAACCCCGAAGCTCCAATTTGGCTCCAGGATATCGAAACGACCAAAGCCCTCCTAACACACCCGTCATTCGGCAACAACCGCTTCGCCTCACGATGCTCCGAAGTCATCGGCCGCCTCTTGGGACCGGCGAGCATGATGTCCAACCCACCCCCGAACACTCAACAACATCCTTACCAGCAGCCAGCCCAGGGCTTCATGCCATTTCCTGAACAGCTTTTCAATGAACAGGGCTTCCCGGGGAGCTTCTTCCAGCCAAACCAGATCGTTCCCAGTCCGGGAGCAATGGACTTTTCAGACTGGGTGCATTTTCCGACGCAGGAACAATAGTATTTTGCATAGCGTTTTGTGTACAGAAAGCCAGATTGGATACGATTTATGGTTGACGTTATCGCGAATCAATTCATGATCTAATCTTCATAACAACTTAGCACGCATGTAGTTATCTAGCCTCAAAATACACGATTCCAGAAGCAAACTATGCATGCCAGTAGCATCGACGCCTGTATAAATTCATTTTTGACCTAGAATATAGTAGTAGGTATTCAGACTAAACTTTTGCTCTCAAGACCGACGCCCAAAACAAGACGTCAACCACGCAAACCACCCAACCCGATCCAGTCCCCAAGCGACCTTCTCATCCAAAAACTCATCCTCGCCCCGGCCATCCTCCTCCTCCGCCTCCGGACAATCCAAATACCGCCCATTCCCCTTCGCCGCAATCGAAACAATCCCCAACTCAAACGGACCCTCCTGATCCCCAAAGAAACTAAAAAGAAAGAGTCAGCCTCATCCACCCTCATCCACCCTCAACCAAACCCCCCCAAAAAAGTATCCACATACCTCCTAACCATAATCCCAAACCTCTTAACATTCCCCAAATCCAACTCCCCCGCATCCCCCTTATCCCTCCCCCGATAAGTAGCCCTAAAAGCCGCCCACGGCACAAAAATCCTCGTCCGCGTAGCGCGGAAATCAAACTCCCAGCTCACAGAGCTCTGCTCCCGCCCATCCGGGCGGCGAGCCCGTATCTCATCCTTCAACGTGAGCGTGTAAAGCTTGTCATCAGCGTGGCGGGCATCGAGCACGAGCTCGATGCCGTCGTAGCTCGATAAGTCCCAGGTGCGGTCTTCGCCTGTTGTGCGTTGCGAGGCGAAGCCCGCGCCGCCGAGCGCGGTGATGTCGAGCGTGCCGTGGAAGAGGGCTGTGAGGGAGGAGGGCGAGCAGGTGAGGGTTGAGGTTGAGGCACCGCCGCGGACGCGGTCGTCTGAGGTGGTCCAGTCTGATTGGGTCCAGGCTCTGCGCACGGAGTGTAAGTTGGGGTTGGTAAGTGGCTGCTAGTACATGGTGTGGTGTGGTTTGGGTTTGTGGTTAGGTTCCGGGGCTGGGCTGGGCTGGGCTGGTCTTACCTGTTTCCGCCGAAGAGGGGGAGGTGCGTGGGCGCCATGGTGTGTATGTATTGTAGGTGTGGGTGTGGACTGGTGATGATCGCTGCTGATTTACTGGGGGCTTGTAATTGGGTTGTGTAGATGGGTTTTGCTGGGCCGAGGCGGTGGGGTTGCGGGGATGATGTCATGGGGTGTGGTATAGTTGGGCTGGGTATATTTGGGTTCCAAGGCTTAGTAGATGTGCCTTTTAAGTTACCATGCGATGCGATCCTGATGCATATGAGACTGGGCTACATGAGAGCTATACCTTCCTGCAATATCGGCTGTCTTATGACCTGTGCAGTCGATCTTTCATACTAGTACTAGTCATTTATGAATCGGATGCAAGCCATGGTATAATCTCCGTTCCATACAATCCTGCAGTTAGGATGTTAGCCCAAAGCAGGAATCATACCTAGGAGATTTGACTTAGTCGATAGAGGTGGCTACTCTGTTACAGACAAGCAAGGTACGACTAGACCTGCAAAAACAGCTATAAAAACCTTACAGAACAATCCACAAATTAAATCCACGAATGAGCCTCACTACGTCATCCCGAAGCCGAAATCTTGACTCCGAGAGAGGGTTCTACTACTTGGAATCTAGTACATACTGAATTCTGCTTTTTTTCCTTCTCCCTTTTCAAAAAAAATACTTGGAGCTTGCATTACCAGCTTGATTATATTCGCGATTTCACTGATCACCAATTCGAAGTCTAAAATTTGAACAAACAGAAACTTGATTCTCCACCGCACCGAATAAGGCACACGATCATCCATCCAAATGCCCACCAATCTCTCCATCCTCGTCTTCGTCGCCTCGCCACTCGATTACGCCAGATACAGGCACACGGCGCTATACTTTGAATTCGACTCTCCAGAAACGCAATATGCAAATGCGAAGAATCAGCATACACAGCCGGAACCACAAGAGAAAGACTATATCAAATCGTCTATGATGGAGGTGATAGGGTCGCCGGGATTCATGAGTTTCTTTGAGCGTAAGAATTGGGGAGTACCGGTCTCGTCTGCAAGTAAGATTCACTCACTTACTCACTCACTCGTCTTATTATTTGCCTTTACCTGCTCCTACTATACTTTACATACTTGGCTTGGCTTGGCTTAAACGAATATCAAACTGACTACAAACTCTAAAATAGATCTGGCTCGCGTGGTACCCGTGTCTAGACTCCCGGATACAATACCCATCTCGCGGCTCAGGTCTACGGTCTCTGAAACGAGTATACTGGATGGAGACGGGGACACGGATTGGAATAGTCAGAACTGGGTTGGTGATGCGTTAAGTCGACTTGTGACATGTGGGTATTTGGATGCGGGGGCACGGGATCGTGGGCTGGATGCGATGGTCGATGCGGTTATGGAGGCGGAGGATGAGGAGGTTTCTGTTGTTGCGGCGTCACACTGAACATTCTCTTCCCATGTTTGTAGATTGTTGATCGATCGATCATGTGTACTATACTATGTATTATTAGTTGTCCAGATTTTAGATGCCTTGCTTGCCTAGTACCCCGGTATATACGCCCTGGGTATGTTTTATGAAGTTTCCGTACAATTAAATTTGTCAGATTTCAAGAGTTGATATCTCACAAACACTCGAGGGAGGAGCTGGGATGTACTGTAAAATTCCCGTCGAGGGATCACTGTATACGATTTTTTAAATTTTAGTGAACGCAGGTAAATAATCAGACGGGTAGATGAATTTGATAAAGAGATTGATGATACCATAACAATCTGAGGAATAAGAGAAAGGGAAAAAAGAAAGCGAAGCCGAAGGAGAAAAGGGTAGGATAGAGATAAGGGATAAGCGCTTGGGCCATGCAACGCGTTGCACCACGCTAAGAAAACACTTGGAAGACACAAGGCACTAACTAGGAGACTGGAAATACTGAGAAAGCTGGAGACATCAAGAGACTGAGGCTAATTGTAGCCCGGGATTCGTTTCGTAGCGTTAAAATATCAATATGGGCCGCTCCGAGAGTGCTTGTTGAAACTTGAAGAAAATGACAGATCAAAGAACCCCGACATAAGATATTCAGGTGCGCAAGAGGAGTAAAGAGAAAGAGAGAAAGATAAACGGAAAAGGTATGCGCTAAGTCCTTTCTTGGACACAAAGCAATGACGGTGACCCGGCGGAAGTCTTCACATACCACAAGCCAGAGTGCCCATGGCGAGAAGGCTTGGTGTGATTGACTTTCCTCTTCACGGGTCACCGTCGATAATGTTCATTCGGGGCATAATGTATGGGTTCGAAGTCCGAGTTTTGAAAGTGGGCTTGGTTGTACGGCGAGCTACTGAAGAAGTTAATACGCATGCCCACTTATCATAGGAAGCCATTACTCACTTTTTGAAAGGTGTAGTCACCGGAAGCGAGTGACTCAGATTGGGTTTCATGACCAGGGGATTTAAGCGGATCTGGGGCCCATCGGTTGATCGACTGGGCAAAACAGTCATGGGAGGAGGTGCGGATGGCAGAGCAGGTGGAGGTGAAGAGACTGGAGGCATTGCATGGCTCTGCATAGGAGAGTGGTACATCTCCTGTGGGGGCGAGACTCGGTATGAACTGAGCGGAGGAGAGACGGACGGCATCGGGGAAATTTGAGCGCCCATACCGCCGAATGCCGGATCGGCCATAAGGTTTGGAATAGACATCAGGTGGGGGTTGACGTCGAAGGAGAGAGCGCCTTGGTCCCATGGAGAGTAATTGGACGTCATTCCGTACTGAAAGTTGACCACGGGCGCCATGTTGACGGTTGGGAGTTCGGCTCGGTAGAGGATATCATAGTGACCGCTGTAAATGTGGTTAGATGAGGGAATTGGTCAAATTATATGAACCAATACTTACGGTCGATACAGCAAGCGGATGGTGGCTTCACTGGGACGATTTGGGGATAGCTGGTGTGGCGTCACAGCATCACCCTCGCTTCGATCGAGATATAGGATCTCAACCCCAAATCCGGCCCCTTCAATGACACCATCGACCAGAGCTTGCAGGCCAACTTCATCAATCTCAGTCCGAACGGTTTCTATCCGCGTGGCGCAATATGAATCTAATGGCAAAGCCAAGAAAGCTTGGTATCTGTGCGGATTGAGTTTCATCCACGCGCTCGTTAACAACTATATCGGTTTTGAAGTTAGCTCAATGCAAGCCTCCGAAGCCGAAGATACCAAAAGTGGCAAACCTACCCGGAAGTGTGTGATGACCGCACTTGAGCTATAGTCCGCATTGAATGCATTGACCAGAAAGGTTTCATCATGTTCACCATTTTGAATAGCAGCCACGGTTTGTGCGAAGATATCCTCTGTGGCATCGACGAAAATTTCGTAAAGCTCTTCTTGCTGGCCGACCTGATCTAGAAGCGTACTGAGGGACTTGATTCTCGCTAGCTCTCGCTGCACACGCATGATGTCCCGAAGATTGAAAAGAGTTTCGAAATAACCGAAAGCCACCGCTGGGAGACGAGTCAACGGGTGGTCAAGTAAACGAGTTGAAGTACCTACCTCTCCAGCCACAATTCCCATCTCCTTTCATGATACGGCTCATGGGGTGGGTTATTGAAAGAGCCTGATATAATGGTCAGCTTATGAAATCTTTGGGATAAAGAATGAGTGGAGACACTCACATTCGTTTTTGTTGCAAAAGTCGGGTCTGCGTTGGCATATTCCATGGCAATGTTGTGACTTGATTGCTTGGTCGAGACGAGCGGTCCCTATGTGGATGGTTCGTCAACTTCTTGAAATGTTACGTGTTTGATATCCCAAGAGTATCTTACCTGAACATCGGGCTCAAACTCATTGGATAATTTTTGGAATCGCTCCATCTCATCGGCCGAGAGGGCATTCAGATTGGTGGAGTGACTCATTCTGGGGGCAGGAATAAAAGCAGGTCGGGAATGACCTTGGGGAGGAAGGAGTGTTCGTTGGGGAAGGGTGTTCTGGTAAAAGCTATTGGCCTTTTGTTTCTCCGGAAAAAAATGGTGAGGACCGAAGTGGTTCCAGGGAATTGTTGATACGGACATCGCATACGCTGAGAGAGGGGGGGGGGGGAAGTAGGTACTAGAAGATGATCAAGAGAATAGATGCTGAGAGTTCAGGTAGAAGTCGAGAATCTATATCTTCATATGAATGTCTGTGAGAAGGCGTTAGATAAGAGTTCAATTGTCAGGGACAGAGAAGCCGAGACCAGGCAAGTGACCGGGGAGGACAATTGCCGATGACGGGAACACGGACCTGGGTAGTTGACATCTCCTTGAAGATTTCCTAATTGGGAGACACGCGGCAGTGGTCTGTCGTTGTTTGTGTGACACTGCACAAAGTCCCGGAAGTTTGGGGCGAACTAAAACTATTGATCACTTAGCATGATGATCCAAAGATATATGGTTTCAACTCAAGATGTTTTCAGTGAGATGGAGGGCAGTGTGCCAGACTTCAAGGGCTTCTGATGATATGATTGGGTCGGTGACAATATAACAACGAAATATAGACAGTGTGATGAAAGGCCTAGATGGAAGTGGCCACGAACAAGAAAAACAGAACAGGTAAAAGCAGGACAATCTGGTGGGAAGAAGGTTTCCTCAATGATGTCAAGGGTAGGGTAGGAGGGTGTGTAGGACTCTGAAGTTCAAGGGCTTTTCCTCAAAAGAGCATTCCCGTGTTCTATGAGAGGGGGTCCTTTGGTTGAGAGCGGGCCGAGCTTGATGATCTTCCAGTCTTTTTATTCTTTGTTGGAGAGGGTGCACGAACCACACGACGCTCCACTTTCTCCGAGTAACAGGGAAGCGGCACCGGGATACGGGCACTCGCGACTGGATATGTTTTCCGAAGCGAACCGAACCAGCCACAAGAATGACCAGTGAGAAGGAAAGGGCGTGAAAAAAGAAAAGAGAAAAGAAAGAGCCAAAAGAAAAGAAAACTATACAAAAAAAACGAAACGAAACGGAACCCAAGGCAAGCGATAGGATGACGACCAGGGAAGGGGTAGCTCAGACCTTTTTTTTTTCTCACGATCAACTTGCACACGTGGATGATCTAATCATGGGGAAGTGTCGAATTTGATCTTGTTTTGGTTTTTCCCGAAGGAATGAGTGGCGAAGAGGGGGATGACGAAAGGGTTCAGGAAGTGTAAGAGGTGTAAGAAGTGTAAGAAGAGAGGTTTGTGGGTTGATTTTGTGTTTGGAGTTTGGAGTTTGGACTTTGGTGTTTGGCGTTTGGTGATTAGGTGTGGTTTTTGTTGTTTTGGTTTTAGCTCAAGCTTACAATTCCTTTCCAGATTGACGATCAGATGATTTTTCCGTATTTTCCCCTTGCAATCAGAAGAAAAAAAGACGGAAAAGAACCGAAAAGTGTTTGGTAAATTGGTAAATAAATGGGCTTTGGAAAAAAGGGTCGAGTGGGGGTGTTAAGGTGTAAGTAATTGAGGGGAAACAGAACCACAACCTTATCACCTTAAGATATGATGTATAGTAGTCTTCAAGTTTGAATAAGTCCTCCAAGAAGTAATCAATTAAAAGTCCCAAAGGTTAAACAGGTCAATAAGAAAAAAGGAAGGTAGAAAGAAAAAGAAAAAACGTCCCAAGGGATCTGGAGTGTGGCATAAGTATGAAGTAACGGTGCACCGTGCCCATGAAGCGGAATTGAAAGGCGGGAAATGGGCCAAAAGTGACAACACAACCGTACATGAGCAAACAACTTGCATGGCTTTTTTCGCCCTTTACCCTATTCGTTGAACTTGTGGAGAGTCATGAACCATGCGACAATAATCAAAAGTCCCGATCTCTAGCTTCAAAGAAAAGGTCCTTTGCTTCAAAAAACCCCCCAGTAGAAAAAAAAAAAAAAGAGAGAAAAAGGAATCTCTAAACCTGAAGCTCCAAGCGCGGAGTTTCGTAACGCCGTGGCAGTATAGTACGGAGAACATTACCATTCTACTCTGCCCAAACAAGCCCAATGATACAATACACCACAAAACACGAGTAACTAGTACCAGAACAAATGCATTGAAATATTGAAATACTTCGGCTCTATCTCGGACGAATCGGGATAGGGCGGCTTTATTCTATGCCATATCATAATTCATATAAATCATATCATAATTCATCATGTCAATAGTACCAAGTCAGATAGTACTTAGTATTTGATCCTTTTGGGGAAGGAACCGAGGTACGGAGCACTCGAGTACATGCAATCGATCTAGAAAAACAAAAAGGAAAAACCAAACCGTTTCTCCATAATTCTTCCCTACCGTTTACCCGATAAAGGCGGGGGGTTTTTTTACACCTGAATCATGAAATACCAGGAAATCGAGGTTTGTTTGATCGCGATTTCATCGTGATAGACCCGCCATGATTCGCGGGTGATCGAGCGCTCCATGCACCGGCAGTTCGGTCCCCGATGCACAGAGCGAGATGGTGTTGGTTTTTCGCCTTGGTCTTGGACCTCTCAATTCCCAGAATCACCTTCAAAATTCAATTTCCTAGCGACTTTGGCCCCTTTACCCTCCACCCCCCTAACCAACTTGCTTCCTGCCTCGTGTCTGGTCGCTTAGACCCTTGTATCACACCAATGACAAATAAATATCAAATAGATATTTTCCCACTGGCATAATATTCAACTTTTACTAGTACAGATCGGTTGGCTCGATCAGCCCGATCAGCATGGAGTATTTAACCAGACTAATCAAAAAAACATGTGAATTGTAGCTTACCCCCCCACCCACAAAAAAACCCACAAAAACCTATCTCCCCGTAATAACCTTGCAAGTACCTAGAACTTTCAATGTTTCGAGACGATAGATCAATCATACTTGGACCTTGGTATACCTCGTATGAGAGCTGCCACGGCCGGCTCTTTTTTCCTCCTTTCCTATTAGCATGGTTTGTCTTTTGACTTTGGTGTCGAAACAAGGTCTGATCTTGGGGGGGGGGCAATGCGAGCTTTTCCAACCTTCCCTATCACCCGACTCCGAGCTCGATTCGCAACTGATACGTCTGATAGGTGGAGTTTGTTTTGGCCATCGTAATCCCAACGGGGGCGTGCATGGATTTCCCAGCGGCCAGCGAGCTGTCTTGGACGCTACTTGATGCAAGCTAGAAGGTCCTGCACTGCGCCCCGGGTGATATAGGGCCTGGCTGGGGAGGTGCGTTGCGTTGCGTTGCGCTGAGGCTGGCTCCAATGCTTGCAGATGGGGTTCTTTTCCAGATGATTAGTAGATTGGTTTTTTTTTTCTTCTTTTGTCTCTCTTTCTCTTGCTCTGTTATGATCATGGATGGGCATGGCACTGTCAGGTCAGTGCGCTAGTGCGGGTGCCCGGGTGTATCTTCCCCCAGAATATCACGTTCGAAACATTGCAAGTCCCTGTCGGGCTTTGGTCTGCCATATCCCGGATTGTCGATCGAGCTTGGTGTCTTGGATTCTCATACATGTAGCATCCTCTGTTACATCAGTTTAAAGAAATTAGGAACAAGCTGTACCTGCTGCACTAGATCGAGTGCCTAAGCACATCCACGAACTCAAAGATAAGAGGGAGAGAGATACAGGTACGAATGCAGATTACGGGAGTTCAAATGGTCCGAAGTACAGATACCGAACATTCGAAGATTGACGATCATGCTACGAAATCATCATCCCACATGCTTTTTGTTCTTTTGTTTTTTTTTTCCTTCTTAATTTTTCATATTTTTTATATTTTAACTAGGGTTCTTTGTTCGACATGCGTCATGTCACCCGGACTCTCTTCCTCATCCGAAACGCCAAACCGAGAGCGGCTTACGATTGCCAATTGTCCAACCATTTACGATCCTCCACCACCTAACCCAGCCCCTCCCCACTACACGTTGACAATTCCCCGATGCATGTTTGATAACCGCCGTAGGAAAAAAATTCTCACCGGAGAAAATGCAAATCAAGCCAGTGGCGGGCTAGCGACCCCATTTCCGGGATATGGGGGGTACACGGCTCGCTTTTTGCTTAGGCGCTTGCATCCCGCTCGTACTTTATGTCCCATGTACCGGGATAAAAAGTCCTTGTCAAAGTAATTGGCTTGACCAAGCGGAGACTAAAGAAGGCCACGGGACTAAAGAAGACCACACCGATTCAAAGGAACGTTTAGACCCAGGTACTTAGTACGATTTGCGGGGCCCAAATAAATAACAATCAAAAGGACATTGTTGGCTATAACGTCTACGGAGTCATTGCAATAACGGCATAGGACGAAACAAAAGAAGAACAAACATCAAAACTCCGTATTCATCTTATCATCAGTCTTTAGCGTCTTCTGTCACATCAACTCTAAATTGCGGGGCAAGAGCTCAGCTTCAAATGCTGAAGAGGGTTTCAATCCTTTTTTTTCCTTGATTCGAGAAAGAAGACAAAAAGTATCTTAGACCGCTTAAACTGCCAGGACCCGATACCGCGTGGGTCCGAGAGGGGGACCAGCCGCAGGCAACAAAGAAACGGTGTGAGATTTTGGTCACCACCACGTGGACGTCATTTAGCAAATGGGCCTGTTCTAGGTCTTCGTTGATCTTGTCTTTTCTTTGTTCGTTCGCGGCTCAACCGCCAAAAGCAATGAGGGATAATGACCGCACGTAGCCAGCACGTGCAGTTGGATCTCCCCGGATAAACATCGACAGGGGGGAGGGGGAAAGGAAGAAAAAAAAAACTGACAAAGAGACACGAGCCTAGTTGGATAGCAGTGTGATGTGATGGAGCAGCCCTAAATTACGGCGCCCCAGTTGTTTTGACCCCGGGCGCTTTGCCTCGAAACTCCCGTCGGCTACGCGGATTGAGAGACCGCATACCTATAGGTGACTCGTCGCCGAAGCCGGGGGTGAACATGGCGCCTGCGGCCCCGTGGGTACCGTCGTCCGCACGGAGCCCTTCGCCATTGAGAGCTTTCTGCCAAAGCGTGCGTAGAGACGAGCTCCACTCTTGCAATGCACGGATTCGTTCCACGTCGCTGGGACTAGAAACTTCTACAGTTCCGTTCGATTGGTCGATCTTGGCATCCAATTGCTTGGTAAGAATCAGGAAGCCCAATATATCCAAGACCTCCGGCACCGCAATCCGGACATGCTTAGAAATGAATTGGAGGGAGAACCGGGTGTATGGGGCAATCAATTTGAGCACGGCCTTGGTACGCATGTTGCGGCTGACTTCGTCAATATTCTCAGCGATGAATGGGTCGGCCAGCACGTCGGGGTTCTTGCTCAGCACAGCCTCGTAGACATGAATGTCATCACGCTGATAGGCGTCCACCAGGTCGGTCATCACCGATATCCGAGGGTCGTTCTTGTATGGCTTGGTCTCTTGTGAATCGAATGGGTTGATGGTGGACTTCATAAGCATGGTGGTCAGCACCAGATACTTGAGGACCTGAATGCGTTGAATTGAGCCCGCCTCGTCATAGTTTCGAAATGACTCGAAGAAATCGCTCTGTGCCTCTTCCCAATTCTCCTCACTCATGTGCATTTTGCCACCGCACTCGCGGATGATACCCATAATCTTCGGATGCGGTACAGCGGACCGTACTCGGAGGGCTCGCTGGTAGAGTGCCTTTAGACGTTTATTATTCTTTGTTTCCGCGTACATCTGGATCTCCAAAGCGAACAGCTCCAGTAAGTAGGTGCCTTTGCTGGTATCGTCTGTTCCGTCTTCCTTTTGACATGCCCGATGCAACTCTCGCACTTTCTTGCTGAGCTGGCTGTATTCCTTGCGTTCTAGCCATAAACGGGCCAGTTTTATGTTTGTTTTCAACCACAGTCGCTCATTGTTGGTATTCTGGAATGATTCAAGTGTCAAGGAATAGAACTCCTCCATGCATTGGTACGCCTGGCTGTCGGCGGATCCCTTCTCAATGTAGTCGAGCATATTATTGATGGATTTTTCAGAGTAGTTGCGGGTGACGGCGGACTTGACGTAGGTAAGGAGCTCTCGGTAGTGTTCGACGGCCTGTTCATTTGAAATTTGTCAACCAATCTGGTATGTTTTGGCTCGATGCTGATTGCGCTTACGTCGCTGTATCGTCCCAGTTTGAATTCCAACTTGATGGCTTGCTTTAGTCCCTTAAAACCCCTTGTTTTAAAAGTAAGCGTTGGCACGCGATGACGTTTCAGAAGCTCAAAACATACCAGTCGCCCTTATCCATTTCCATCGGTGGTATACCCAAGAACTCATCGACCGCCTCTTCCGGGTTGTCCACCTTCATCTGCTTGGCGTTGTAGTATTTGTTCTCAATTCCGATATCGCCAGCTTCATCGTCATCGCCGGAGCCTTCATAGTCAAAGTCGTAACTGTAAACCAGGTCGTCAGTTCAGGTCTGGAGTTTCAAGGTGGAGTAGGGGCACGTACTCCTCATCCCCAGAGTCTTGCATGAAATCATCATCGTCCGACATTATGGCAGAGCTGTTGGAGGTATAGCTTCAAGTTGTCAAAAGCGGAGATGGCGAAAATGAAGTGCGAGGGGAAGAGGGGAGAAGGGTTTCGGCCTTGTCGTGGGGTGTTGAAGGAGCTTGAAATGGCAGATAGTGAGAGCTGCGCTCCGCCTTCACTATCGCAGCTCCCCGCCCAGTTCGCTAACTGGTCAATGCTCTGCAATGCCATCGCCCCAAATCCATCAGTTAGTATTGTCCAGTCGAGATCTGGTTCAGCAAAGATGCATTTAACTGTGCATAGTAGTATAATATAGCCATCCAATCCATAAAGTTCTTCTCATGGTCTACTTCGTTCTAGAATTTGCTACGGAGCACATAGTGTTGGCTGTAGCCTGTATCACATTGTTTACTCGGAGCAGCCGGCTCTTGGCTATGGGGCATTTGACAACTTCAAATGGATCCAATCACTCCTACTCCATAAATATTACTCTCTTCCAATTGACTACTGAGACCTTCGATGCAGCTCCAAGATTATACTCATATCCGACTAAATCAATTACCTGCCAGTTAAAAATCCAACCAGTTTCTCTAGATCTGTCGCAGAGTAACGGGGTGCACCGATTGGTGCCCACCGTCAGTCCCCCAAATCGCTCATTGGACACAGTTCATGATACCGAAAGGCGATGCCCGAAGCAAAAGGCGCTGACCCCCATAAGCTTGCATCGTGAGTCGTGATCATGGAGGTTTTTCGAGCCGAGGGGCGGACCAGAAGGGGGGGGAAGTGGTACCTTATTTGCCGATCCCTTTCAGGGCGCGATGTCATCGACTCGGGCACTGCTGGAATTCCTCCTCCGACACAATCCCCCACGCGCTTTGCCTCCGAACGACGTCGCCCTATTTATTCGATTTGAATATCGTTTGAACCGATATTTCATATCTACTCGATCAACTTCCTGTCGCCGACAATAATCCACGCTTCTACCCCCTTTAATCTCACCATGGAGCTATGCGGTCGTCAAAAGCTCGTCCAGCGCAAGATGGTGCTGCTGTCAGTCTAGCATCCTGGAGTGTGCTTCTAATCTGGAAGTGAGAGCTAACAGTCCGATAGAGGTGACGGTGCCTGTGGCAAGACGTCTGCGCTGAATGTCTTCACACGAGGGTGCGCAATCCCTTTTCCCCTCCCCACCCCCTCCCCAAGCTTCCCCTCTGTGGCGTCGGACATGATCGCTAACATCGCCCCGTGAACTAGATTCTTCCCGACAGTCTAGTAAGAATGCTCTCATCAATTTTGGAACCGCAAATACACAATTCTAACTGCGATTGACTTGGGCGCACAGCGAACCAACCGTCTTTGGTAAGCTCTAAGATCCTTGTAATCTAGGGAAAACCTTGCTAATAATGCGCTTTTAGAAAACTACGTTCACGGTACGAACCTCTGAGATTATACACGCACCTCCCAGCAGAATACTTATACGCGCATCTAGATATCTTCGTGGACAACGTACATATGGAGCTGTCGCTATGGGATACAGCTGGACAGGAGGAATTTGACCGGTTACGCGCACTATCTTATGAGGATACCCACGTGCTCATGCTTTGTTTCAGTGTAAGCGTCGCAAATGGGACTTACCATGCAGAAGAGAGCGAAAAAAAAATTGGGCGCTGACACGGGTGTATACAGGTCGACAGCGGGGATTCATTCGAGAACGTCGGGTCCAAGTGGATTGCCGAAATCAACGAAAATTGCCCCGGCGTCAAGGTTGTGCTCACCGCACTCAAGTGCGATCTGAGGAAAGATGATGAAATGAATGATAACCCCAGCGCCATTACCTTCGATCAGGGGCTGGCAAAGGCGAAGGAAATCGGCGCCGTCAAATACTTGGGTACGTTCTATGGATTACTGCATGAAATAAGAGACATGACTGATACATTTGATTGCAGAGTGCTCGGCAGTTCAAAACCGGGGAATCCGTGAAAGCTTCTACGAAGCTGCCAAGGTCGCCTTGGATGTCAAGCCTGTTGGCAGCAGTGGCTCCGGTGCAAAGTGTGTCATTCTGTAAATGCTTGAAATTGGCACTGGGGTTCCATTTTTATACGACATGGGTGTCATCATGGCCCGGATCTACCGTTTCCTTTCTCTCTTTGTTGTTACCCCCTATCTTTTCTTTTTTTCTTTCTATCCTACGAGTTTGTTGATTCCCCTTTGCATGTAGGCCTTGACTGACGTCGGCCTGTGACGATTTTTTTCTCTTCTTTTCACATTCCCCATTTTATTACTCGCCTGGGCCCAAGCGGACTCTAACACCCGCGTCTTGAGTGATACCTTTTGCATGGTTCCGCCTCTGTTCGTCGAAGCATTTCAGCGAGGTTGGCTTTTTCTGCCTTTATTTTTCACCACTACCCTTTCTACACTTTATATAATTCTTTTTTTACAGGATCTAATCATTTTTCGCCTCCAAGGCGTGTTTTAAACGTTTTGCCTGTTTCGAATGTCTTATGGAATTTTTGTGCTATGATTTGCGATTCTGCGAGGACCGTTGCCAAAGTAAGAACTAACCATCTTGGGGTAGCAATGGGCGACGTCATAGTGGAATCGACCCGCGGTGCTTTTTAAAGTGGTTCCCATACATGCGCTAGAACATGTATACAAACACTTGGATCTCTGTGCCCAACCAATACAGTTATTTATGTTGAGTACTAGTAAGTGCACTGTAACTTTGATATTTTTGAATTTGAAATCGCTAGTTTACTGCATCTTACGATCAGGGGGAATGTTTACAGGAATGTGGAGACAACTTCGTCATAATGGCTTAAGGGCTTCCGACGATCACCCGTTACCTAGCAGCTCAGTTACAGGGTACATAACAAAACAAGAAAGTCAAAGGAGGAAGAAAAGAAAAGAACACAGCTTCGACAAGTAAAATTTCCGATTAAACTACTATATACTACTACTAAATACTAAGATCGAAACTACATGCATCACCAAACACTTGAATACCCAATTACCCCATGTGCAACTGGTAGCCACAAAGTGGGACCGTACCAGACCAAAACCAGACCAAAACGGAGTCTCACCCATTAAAACCGGAGTCATGAGTAAAGTACATGGAGCTTACCTTTCCCCGCACCATCTCAAGCTCTCTCATACGTCCATCTCCAGGGATTCGCCTCTGATCGAATCAATACCCAGTACAAAGTCAGCGGAAGAATTATTTTCCCTTTCCAAACGGTCAAAAATACGAGCTTTCTGCTGCTTTCCCCGGGTTTTCCATCGACTCTGATACGCTCATACTCTCCGATCTCTCGCGTGTCTTCCTTGCCTTTAATCCAGATCGTTCGCTTTTCAACTTCCCCTCTTCAACTTCCCCCTCCAATTCCCCTTCACTCCCCTCCCTCTCCTCTCTATATAATCTTACATGTGTAAACACTGTCCTTGAAAGTCCCCCCCTTGATCCCTACTTCTTTATCGCCCGCTTTCAAACCCAACGAAAACAACTTCCCCCCCCCCCCTGGCTTCTTTTGAATTTTGCTTCCTCTCCGCATAAACCCAAACCTCCTCCCCAAATCCAATCCAAACAATGCTGGGCCCGCGTTTTCTCCGCCCGGCGTCCTCGCTGGTGCGGCCCTTCTCTTCTTCCGCCGTGGCCTTTCGCTCCCCCTCCATCAGAGATGTAACAGCTGAGTCCGCTGCCGAGTTCAGCCGACGACAGAAGGAGTTCCGCGAGAACCTCGAAGAGGCTCGCAAGAGAAAGGAACAGCAAGAGAGTCAGTCTGTCAATGCTTCTGCCTCTTCCCCTCGTACCCGTGAGTCCGCTCCCACTGCTCCGCATGTGAGCAATGCGAGCATTCTTGATCGAATACGCCCTGTATATGACGCTGCCGAAGCTCTGGATCATAAGGCACTAGGCTCACTCGCCATGCACCGTTTTTTAGGAGATGAAGAACTACAGGAAAACTCGAACAAGCGTGGGCCCCTGTCGTCCCTCATCTACGGTACTAAGGAAGGCCAGCATTTCGATAAGGATATCGAGCGTTCGTTTTCGCAGGTGCTGGCTCGCGGCAAGTACGTCCACTCGGTCGTTTTCCACGATGTGAAGCCCGATAAGGTCGATGAGTACGTCGATCTGGTGGGACAGTGGTACCCTCGCATGGCTGGAACCGAAGAGAACCGAGTCAACCTAGTTGGAAGCTGGCGCACGCAAGTTGGTGACAATGATACTTTCGGTATACATCTCTCTCTCGTTTCCCCCCTTCCTTCCCAACCCTTAAATTTCATCTCATATCGCTGACCGTTTTGGTGCTTTATTTCCTCGATTTCAGTTCACATTTGGGAATACCAACGCTACGAGGGCTACCACGCCTCCCTGCACAACATCTCCGAACACCCTGAATTCCGTGACTTTGACCGCAAGCTGAAGAGCTTGATCAAGAGTAAGAAGACCTCTCTTATGCAAGAGTTCTCATTCTGGCCCACCACCCCACCCCGCCGCCTCGGTGGCCTTTTCGAACTTCGATCCTACACTTTGCACCCAGGCAACCTGCTAGAGTGGGAGACCCACTGGCGTCGGGGCTTGACAGCCCGTCGGGAGGTCATGGAGGGCGTGGGCGCGTGGTTTGTCCAAATTGGAGACTTGAACACCGTCCACCACCTGTGGCAGTTTGCCAACTTGGAAGAGCGTAAGATCCGACGCGAGCAATCGTGGGGTGTTGAGGGATGGGCCGAGACCGTGCACAAGACCGTTCCCCTTATCCAATCAATGCAGAGTCGGATTCTTGTTCCGATGCCCTGGAGCCCTGTCGGCTAAGTACGAGGCTTTGTGTTTCATCTTCAGGGCCGCAAAGCGGAACCTGACTCCACATTCCCCGTTTCGTACTCGATATTGAATCCTTTCCTCCTTCCAGAATGGTTATTTTTTGGTCAAAGAGTTATTCCATGGATACAGGATCTGTATTCTATCTGACACAGACTGCTCCTGCACCTATTGGTATGCTTTTATTGGAAGTTTGTGATGGAGAGAAAGAACTACTACATCACTACCTGTATTGTGTATCTAAGCATGGCGCAAACACTCATACCACACCAAATGGAAATCTCATTACCTGTTTACCTTTACCTACCTACTATGAAGAAAGTTTACTCGTTCTCGAAATCGACGTCATGGGCGCACTCTTCGTCTCTTCTTGTATAATAACCACGGACCGCGCACATGTGCATCTGCGCGGCCCTCTTTACTTGTCCTCTTACAGCTCGGGCACTTGCGCAAAATTTCATCACATGATTCCCGAGTTGGTAGTTGAACAGTAAAACATCCAAGTAGGACCTACTAGGCATAATACTAACCTATCTCAAGCACTGAACAGGTGCTCATCTCAAGTACAAAGCGATTTGATTTTTCTGGGTGAGGAGCGCTGTGCACAGCCCTCAACGACCCAATGAGGCGCTGGATTTGCCCCGCGCAGGCGTCTTACGCTGGCGGCTGAACTACCCACGCGCAGCGGCGCAGGCCAACAAACCGATCAACACTTCTCCCAACCTTGGAGGCTTTGTTTCTTTACCCTCAAGCTTTTGGTCCTGTTCGTACAAGTGGTATTAATAGGACCAACGAGAAGGCTCGACGATGCAGCAAGAAGCCACTGCTAACGGTGGAGAGCCGAATCCGCTGGACAGCGCTGGGCTCTGCCTACTGTCGCTTGATGGCGGTGGTGTACGCGGGCTGTCGACCCTGTACATACTCAAAGGGCTTATGGATCGACTAAACCAGGCACGCCCAGAGGGCTCACCGGCAAGGAAGCCATGCGAGGTGTTTGACCTGATCGGCGGCACCAGCACAGGCGGGTGAGTTGATGCAGTCCGTGTTCGAAAGCTTGGTAGCTGACAGATGGATCTGATGCAGATTGATTGCAATCATGTTAGGTCGATTGGAGATGGACGTTGATGAGTGCATCGCGGCATATATCAAGTTGATGAAAGAGATATTTGGCAAGCCCTCGAAACGGGGTCTATCCAGCATTTTTGGCAAAATTAAGCCTCGATTCGACGCCAAGAAGCTCGAGAGTGCAATCAACGAGGTCATCCAGGATTGTGGGGCTAAACCGACTGACCTTTTTAATGATCAAGTTGATCGGAGTTGCCGGGTGTAAGTGTATGCAAGCCTATGAAGCCGGATTCTGCTAATATCTCCGCTTGTGCAGATTTGTCTGCAGCATCACACAGGAGACTAAGGATATTGTGCGCCTTCGCAGCTACGGCAACAATACTGGGATTCAGGCCACCATCTGCCAAGCTGCCCGTGCAACCTCCGCAGCCACTACCTTCTTCGAGCCGGTGTCGATCGGAGCACGCAGATTTGCGGATGGCGCACTTGGCGCCAATGACCCCGTTGATGAGGTGGAGGGTGAAGCGTCTGATATTTGGTGTGAGGACACAGGCGACCTAAAGCCGCAAGTGAAGTGCTTTATCTCGATCGGCACTGGTAATCCTGGGAAGAAGGCGATGGAGGACAACTTGTTGAAGTTTGTATCTAAAACGCTGCCTAATCTCGTCACTCAAACAGAGCAAACGGAAAAGAGGTTTATTGCTAAATGGAGGCAGCAATATCATAACAAGCGATATTTCCGGTTCAATGTCGACCAAGGGTTGCAGGATGTCGGGCTGGCAGAATATCAGGAGCAAGGCTTGATCGAGTCAGCGACAGAGGGGTATCTTGACCACCAAGCAGTGGTGTTTCAAGTGCGGAATTGTGTCGAGAATTTGAAAGCAAAGCAACGTGTGTATCTAGAGGACTTTTCTTAGTGGTATGCTTTGACTAATGCATAATGGCGAATATAGGTGCAACCAACCTTGATTTTACGGCAGAGATCTGGGTTAGTAATTCTTCAGTGTAATAGGAATGTGTTGCTGATCTCGTTTAGGTACACCAAAAGAGACTGGCTCTTTTAGATCATTGTATGTCGTTACCCTTGATACTTGATCCCGAAGTCCAGTACTAACAGACCTCAAGGGCAGGGCCGTGCCCGCTGGCAGGTGCAGTTTGAACGGAACACCCGATTCACCGGCCGTGAAAACCTGCTTCTTGACCTGACACAAAAACTGAGACAAAAATCTGATGCCACCAGAAAAATCGCAGTCGAGGGCCTTGGTGGCGTGGGTAAGACCCAGCTAGTCCTTGAGCTAGCCCACAGCATGCGAGATGAGTGCGCTATCTGCTGGATTCCAGTCAGCAGCCTCGCCAACCTACAAACAGCATACCATAAAGTAGCTCGGAACCTTCGCCTCGCTGGCTGTGAAGAGAATGGGGTTGATATCCTGGAACTGGTGCAAACATACCTCAGTAATGAGAGTATTGGTCCATGGCTGCTGATATTGGACAATGCCGACGATATAGAGCTATGGACATCTCCACTCCCACCCGAGGCAGGATCCAAGTGGTTGATTGATTACATGCCCCAAAGCAGGCTTGGGACGATCATATGGACAACGCGCGATCGCAAGGTGGCCACGAGAGTCGCTCAAGAGAACGTCGTGACTGTGCTGCAAATGGACGAATATGTGGCCTCGGAGCTGATGCGGAAATATTTGATTGATCCTATCGGAAACGAAGAACAACCAACGTTACTGCGCTTGCTACAGAGGCTCAGTTATCTTCCACTGGCAATTGTTCAGGCCGCAGCCTATATCAATTCGACTCATGCGACCCAAGGATCACTCGGGGAGTATGAGGAACTCTTGTCTAGGCAAGATGATCAAGTGATTGAGCGCTTGAGTCAAGACTTTGGAGACCATGGCAGATATTCAGGCACGGATAATGCAGTGGCAAAGACATGGCTCATCTCTTTCGAGCAAATTCGCCGCCGCAGTCCCCTCGCGATTCAATATATGGGACTCATGGCCTGTGTGGACCCCAAAGCCATCCCGCGGTCGCTGCTGCAGCCTTCTGAAAGGTTATCGTCTCATCAGCAGAGAGATGCACTCGGTATCCTTGACGCGTTCTCATTTTTGACTGAGCATAAAGGGGGACTAGCATTTGATATGCATCGTCTAGTTCATCTGGCGACAAGACAGTGGCTCAAAATGAACGGAGAGCTGCCAGATTGCCACAGACAGGCGGTAGTACGACTGAATGAGCTACTGTTAAACATCGACGGAGCAAACCGGACTTTCTGGCGGCTATATGTCGCCCATGCACAGCAAGCTGTGGCTGGACATGATAAGGACAGTGAAGAAAAGGCCGACCTTGCCATGATATGTGGGACCTGCCTGAATGAAGACGGGCGATACCACGAAGCTGAGATAATGTATCACATAAGCCTCAACTTTCGAGAGCGAGTGCTAGGGCCAGAGCACCGGGACACACTACTCATCATCAGCAACCTTGGCTCAGTCCTTGATCTCCAGGGCAAGTACAAAGATGCCGAAGTTTATTGTCGTCGGGCGGCACAAGGACAAGAGAGGCTACTAGGGCTAGAGCACCGAGATACACTTACTAGTCTGAGAAACCTTGCTGAAGTCTTATGCCATCAAGGCAAGTATGAAGAATCTGAAGCTATGTTCCAGCAGGTCTTTGAAAGGTTAAACAAGGTGCTAGAGCCAAATCATCCGGACATACTTATGAGCATGGCTAGCCTTGGCCTAGGAAATTACTACCAGGGCAAGCTCAAAGAGGCTGAAGTCTTATGCCGACAAGCATTACAAAACCAAGAAAGAGAGCTAGGGCCAAAAGATGTACAAACACTTACCAGTGTTAATAACCTTGGGTCCATCCTTGGCCGGCAGGGCAAGTTCAAAGAGGCTGAAGCCCTACACCGGCGGGCGTTACAAGAGCAGGAGAAGATACTAGGGTCAGAACATCTATGCACACTTTTGAGTCTTGGCAACATTGCTCAAGCCCTTTCCCACCAGGGCAAGTTCAAGGAGGCTGAGGTCCTATTTCGGCAATACTTTGAAGGATCAAAGAAAGTATTAGGGCCAGAACATCCACACACACTTAATGGTGCCAGTAGCCTTGGTTATGTCCTTACCGGCCAGGGTAGATACAAAGAAGCCGAAGCCTTATACCGGCAGGTATTACTTGATCGGGAGAGGGTACTGGGACCAGAACATCCAGAAACGATCGTCAGTGTCAACGACTTTGGTTTCTGTCTTTCCTACCAGGGCAAGTACCAAGAGGCCGAGGCCTTCCATCAGCGGGCGTTACAAAACTTTAAGAAGGTGCTAAGGCCAGAGCATCCAAACATATTTGGTAGTCTTGGCAACCTTGGTTTAGCCCTTTTCTACCAGGGCAAGTTCAAGGAGGCTGAGGTCTCATGTCGGCAACATTTTGAAGGATCAGAGAAAGTACTAGGGCCAGAACATCCAGATACACTCACTGGTGCCACCACCCTTGGTCTCGCCCTTTCCCGCCAGAGTAAATACAAAGAAGCCGAAGCCGTATACCGACAGGTGTTACAAGACCAAGAGAGGGTGCTAGGCCTAGAACATCCAAGCACAGTTAATAGTGTCAAGGATTTTGGCTTCGTCCTTTTCCACCAGGGCAAGTACCAAGAGGCCGAAGCTATATACCGGCGGATGTTGGAAAGGTCCGAAAGAGTACTTGGACCAGAACATCCAGAAACGCTCATCATCATCAGAGACCTCCAGCACTTGCGCAGTTTGAATGATAGCTCAGCCCTCCAGCTTCAAAGCTCCAATGTTGATCCCAAGCCAAGACAAGTACGAAGAACTCAGAGTCTTGGATAAACCGACGCTCGGGACAACCTATACCTAGGGAGACTCAACATTGATTGATTCAGCCAGCATTGAGCATTATCTCTCAAATGTTTAATCACTTACATATGTACTTATTAAATCTCAACGTTGGCCTTTGATCGTTTTTCTGGGGCTGGCCGTAAAACAAATATGGCCGGATAAATTTCCACCTTGCAAAACAAAAGGATCGCCAAGTGGATGCATTTAAATTGATGGCATCTCTTTACCCGTGGAATATACACGCTATTATTCACGTGTGCCTCCACCCAGTTTAGAGAATGCAGACCTGCAAGATTTTTTTTTTAAGGTAAATAAGGAAACACTGGCAAAAGATCGAGTCCAGATGTCTGCATTTTGATCTTTTATGCTTAATCCTCATGCATGATGAATATGAGTCTAAATTCTAGTGTATACTAGTAGTCTATGTGATTCAGTCCCAAGGCGGAAAAGAATAAACAAAGGGCAAAAAAAAAAAAAAAAAAAAAAGCCCAAGACTTCCAAGACCAACAGAAGCAAGAAGAAGAAAAATGGAACAGAACAGCGAATGATAACAGCCAAGTGGCCACTTTACCATCTGTTTACATTAATTAATTCCCAACCAAAAAAAAAACTCCCGCCGATCTTGACAGTTCCCACCCGGTGTTTTCTCCGTTCCAGCGGGAAGACCCATAATAACCCTGCCCGCCCTTATTTTCCCTTCTCCGACTTTTCTTTCGCGACAACACAACCCCCGTCCGAGCGCGCCTCAATCACGCTCCTCGGTCTCCCCTCAACCTTAATACGCGAGTGCATACGATCCGTGCGTCATTCACTTCCAGCAATTTCCAGGGGATATAGCGTTGGACGAATCGAAAGCACCCGAGGCAAAGCGCAACCCAACGAAAACGAAAACGAATCTCCTTCCTCCACTTGCGACTTCTCTTGCGGCACGATACAACTGAGACTACCTAGACGGTTATTTCTTTTCCTGTAGAACGGGAACGAACGTGAACGCATCGGATAAAAATACAACGGCGTACAACACGGCGCATAGCTTTGGAAAATGGTGTACATTCGCCAACATCATCTGCCTAATTTGCGCAACTACAAATATGCTGGAATCGACCACTCGTTTATTAGTCGGTTTGTTCTCAAGCCGTTCTATAATAAATGTGTGATTGGGTGTTTTCCTATGGGCATGGCGTGAGTCTTTTTTTCCCCTTCCTCTTTTCTATTCTCTGGCCTTTATCCAGCTTGGCTGGGCTTAGGTTATGGAGCTTGAACTTCTGTATGGAAGCAAGCCAGTCTTGAGATTCCTCAGATTTATGGTATTGAGCGTTGACTGACCACTTCTTTGCTTTTGCTTTCACAGTCCTAATGCCGTAAGTTTACCCTACCGCCTTGTCTTTGATCGACATTTACATCTACATCTACATTTGGATCTGGCTTTGGATTTTCAATTGCATTTTCCGCTGATAATGCATTTGGGAATTAAATGCTACAGACCAACAACAATTGAGGCCATTTAATTGATATTTGTCATAGATTACCCTTACTGGATTCATGTTTGTGGTTATTAATTTCATCACTGTGATGTGGTACAATCCCAATTTGGACACGGATTGCCCACCATGGGTATATGCGAGTTGCGCGTTGGGTCTGTTTTTGTACCAGACTTTTGATGCCGTAGATGGCATGCAGGCGTACGTGATCTTGGATATACTGGTTGGTTTTGGCCTTTACTGATAAAGATCTTGCAGGCGGAGAACCAGACAGAGTGGACCATTGGGAGAATTGTTTGATCACAGTAGGTTCTTGAAATGGCCTTTGATAATGGGACAGAGGTTAACTTGAAAACAGGTGTCGATGCTTGCAACACCGCATTCGGTGTGTTGATCTTTGCCGCGGCGATGAACCTCGGACAGTCTTGGGCTACGATTCTGAGTCTGTTCGGATCAACCATGACCTTCTACGTGCAAACCTGGGACGAGTACTACACTCAGGTCCTGACACTCGGCGTCATCTCTGGTCCCGTCGAGGGTATCCTCACCCTTTGCACTGTCTACGCATTCACAGCCTACATGGGCGGCGGCAGCTTCTGGCACCAGCCGATGCTGGAGACATTCGGCGTGTCTAAGCCCAGCTTCATCTCGCAACAGGTATACGAGATGCCCTTTACGCAGTGGTACCTGGTGTACGGCGCGTTTATGCTTCTCTTTGCCATCGGCTCGAGCATTCTGCATGTCATGCAGGTGCGCCGCCAGCGCGGTCTGGATCCCATCGCGCCGTTGTGTGGTCTCTTGCCCCTGGTGGCAATTTGGACCCTTGTCCCCGCCTACCTGTACCTCAACCCAGCTGTCTTGGAGAATTACACCGTTGTCTTTGGCATGTACATTGGTTTGATTAACGCCTATGCCGTGGGTCGCATTATTGTTGGTCACCTGGTGCAGTCCGGTTTCCCTTACCAGAACATCCTGCTGTGGCCGCTGGCTCTCGGTGTGCTGGACAGTGCTGGCCCGCTGCTCGGTCTTTGGTCCGAGCCTGTACTTGGTGAAGGTAACGGGCAGACTATGTTCGTGTTTGGATGTCTCGGTTTGGCCGTGGGCATCTATGGCAGCTTCGTGGTAGGTGTTTTATGACGTCGTGGTGTTTTGTTGACCCTTTCCCCCGCGCGCAGTATGCTGATTTGATTTCCCCTTTCTTCCAGTTCGATGTGATTACCACGATTTGCGACTACATCGACATCTGGTGCCTGACCATCAAGTACCCCTTCGTTGAGGAGACAGACGGCAAGAACGGATCGGCGACAAAGGCAACTGTTGAGGGTGCGTTAAAAAAGACAATTTAAACACTGCCTCTTATCAAGCAGTGGTTTTGTGAGAGAGTTTGTCGGGTTCGTGCTGGAATAATAGCTCAACCTTGATCACCACGACCGGTAAAGCTCATCAATTGGCGAAAATGCGGGGATGTCGGTGGTGTTGCAACTCCAGGTTTCAGGATAAAGCTGGCAAAAAGGAACATCTGTGGAGGTAATGATTTTGATTTCAACAAGTACATAACGTTTGAACACCGGTTGCTCCCGAGTGCATAGAAATATGAGTGTAATGTGAGACGTTTAATAAAAAAGAAGAGATTCTGCAAGGAACGGAAGCTTTGGAAGTATAGAAAGCAAAGAAGCACTTGACTGCTTACCCGCTCGAGACACAATTCCGCTGACCTAATCTATGCCGTAGTGGCAAAACCATGGAATGGGATTGGGTGGACATGGATAAGCGGTGTGATTGGCGGAAGCCGCACCAGAAATTCCCCCAAAGAGGCTAGGTTAGCGAGGGTTGTAACCCTAGACGGGCCCATTCGACAAATCCCTTCAAACTTCTCCTGGGTTCATTCCGTATCCCACAAGGTCATCGCCATCAGCGCCATTCATCAACACCCTCTCGATTTTTAATCGCCAAGATGGTAAGCGCTCGCACTCGCTCGATCTGAATTTTTGCCCTCCCGATTTCGACTTTGCAGCCCATCCCGCACCGAAATCCTTGGAATGACACGGCCATAATCAACATCTGCATCAAATTCTTCATCTTCGGCTTCGCTAATCATCGCTCTCTCCTTCAGGTTCTCGCGATCGACCTCCTCAACCCCACCCCTCAGGCCGAGGCCCGCAAGCACAAGCTTAAGGTATGATTCACCGGAATCCCTGATACGCACACGAACACGTCTCGATTCGGAAATGGGTATTGTGGCCCACGGGGTGAAGATGGATTTGGGGACAACCAGCCGGATACATCGAAACCTTTCCAAGCCACAAGAGCCTTATCTGAATCGAACGACTACCTCTGCCTACAACACCTCCCCGAAAAAGAAAAAGACACCACGAGAACCAGATGTTGCAGGATAAGGATGCTGACTCAGATTTCCTCGAATTAGACCCTTGTGCCCCAGCCCCGCTCGTTCTTCATGGACGTCAAGTGCCCCGGCTGCTTCACCATCACCACCGTCTTCTCCCACGCCCAGACCGTTGTCATCTGCGCCGGCTGCTCCACCGTTCTGTGCCAGCCCACCGGTGGCAAGGCCCGTCTTACTGAGGGCTGCTCTTTCCGCCGCAAGTAGACGAGACGCAATGAAATAACTTCTTTTTCTTATTTTGTCTTGTTGAAACGCACAGTGGGGAATAGCATGGAGCAATGGGGATGAAAATACCACACCTGGGTTTTTGGACCTTGCACTACTTCGGTTCGGTTCGGCGAGAGACTGCCGTGAAAAATGTCAGATACCAAATCAACTCCTTTTCTCAATGAACGATCCCCGGTCGAGAATTCGATATCGTTTGAGCCCGTGGGGTTACTTCTATTGAGGAGGCAAATGATATGATACGATTTCCCAACGTACTTCCTTTTTTTTACACCTATTACTCTCTTCCTACACCAAAAATGGGATATCGAATGTGGCTTGATTCCGTCGTGTCTCTCCGCTTAACCGTTCTTTCCATGCTGTTTTCCGCTGTGATGTTTTCAGGCTTTGTTCTTTAAAATCACAGCGTATTTGTTTTGTTGTTTTCTGCGAATGATGACAGATAGAAGATGGAATACCTCGCCAAACCCCAAAAGCATTCGACGAAAGGAAAAATCGATAAAAAAAATCACCACGCAGCATCCAGCTAAGGGAGTTCCGGATATCTGACACGAAGGGGCACTTTGCTAGACTTGTGCCGTATTTTTTGGTTTTGTGATTTCTGGCTTATTGTTATCTCTTGCATCACTGTATATACTCAATCCGAGTTGTACATTGTTCCTGCAGTGATCTTGATCTGGACAACATTTGTAGATTCGTAGTATGGTAGCTGAGCCTGTAGAGTCTAGGCCATACTACCTACGCGGCTCTCATTGACCCCGGACACACCTTGCACATCTATCCTCATGCCGCCCTACCCTCAAAACCCCACAGTACTGACGCCTCCATCTCGAATCCGTCATCTCCATCCGACAAACCTAATTTTTCACTCAAACAGGCATCTACGCATGCGCGCACCTGTCCGAACAACACAGCCCACTACCTCCACGACTCGAGGAAAACCCCATCATCACCATAACCACATACCAGCACCATACATACACTCTACTCCTCCTCTCCTACATCCTCCACGGTCCCAAGCTCCAACAGTCAGTACCAAGCCCAAGCTCAAGCCATTCCCGAAACTACTAGTCCCCTAACCCTAAACCCGCCCCACCCAAACCACGAACACAACCAACACACCAGAACCTCTTATGTAAAGCCAACACCAATTATCCATCCAGAACGTCATATGCACAGCTGACCCCCGCCCGGGCAAGCACAACCTACAGGAGGCGAGGGGTTGTACTGTGCCGCATGGCTGGAGTTGCGGGGGAAGCCGCGAGCTGTTTTGGTTTTCCAGCCGGACGTGCAGAATCGGTTTTTTATTTTTATTTTTGCCCTTGCTCCACTCTCCGGCTACGGCTACGTAACCGTGCACATACATTAGGCGGTTTTCGTCGATGATCCCTCCTGCTTAGAGCGAGGCACCCGGAGTCCCTGGTGACATCATTTTGGGTTGAGTAGTTAGGGGTCTATATGATGCGCCGGGGTTTGGCTTATTTTATGTTGAATTGGGAAGAATCTATTCAATGTTTGGGGTTGAGTTTTCCGGGGCTCCTTCTCGTTCTGGAACCTTGGAATGCAAATATACATTCAATGTTTACTAGTACATAGGTGTATTCAATGTTCATGGATTATGTATTCATGTGCATATATTTTATTTCTAGGTACCTAATAGTATGCACATAGATGGACCTCCATCTGGACAGAGGGTTACATGTGCACGATTTTGAACCATTGCGATGTATAGCTCTGCACAAACATTGATTGAAAATTTTGTCAAATTCATTGGGTATGATGTTTTTTTCCGAATGTAATACATGTAGTAAACGAATGACATTTTCAGTTCCATCAAGAACACATAAGATGATAGATCGAGCAAAGGGAATCATCACAATAAACCATAAGAAAAAGAGGGGGAGAGTAATATGTATATGGTAGATAACCCTCCAATTCAATCAGAATCTCCCCTTCATCCAACGAGACCAAGTATTCAGCTCAGTCAGAAATAAAAATATATCCTGCTTGGGCTCGAATCAACCCAGTTGAAGCATTCGAATCTCTGCATAAATGACAATGCAAAGCAAGGACATACACGCAAGGTAAAAGGCGCAAAATCAAGTCGAAATAAAAAAATTCAGAAAAAACCAGAGTCGTGGTGGTCATTTAAACTCGTTCAATTTAAGCAGCCAGAGCGCCCGCCTTGGCCTTGATATCGGCACCGAAGTCGATTGGGTTCGAAGGATCACCGCCGGTCATGAGGGACAGCTTGCCGCTCGTGTCGTTGAGTAGCAGGTTAGAGAACTGGTTGCGGCCGACGACCTCCTTGACGGTCTCCATGGCGGTGGGATCGCGCGCAGCGTACTTGTCGGCGTCAACAGCCTTCAGCATGCGGTGCGAATTGCGGATGAAATCGAGCAGGAAGAAGGCTGTTGGATGCGGGTTTGGTGGCTGCACCTGGGGGTGTGACTCGAATGCACTATATTTGGTAATAGGATGTTAGCACTTTTATTTCTGTTTCTTTTTTTATTCTTTATATCCCATGGTTTCTGGTGATTTTTTTTCCATCCACCGACGTCATGGGAAATGGATTGCTCAGGAGAATGACGGGCAAATATAGTTGTTTATGGGGAGGTAAGAAGGTAAGACGTACTCGATCAGCTCCTCCATCTTCTGCACAAGCTGCGGGATTTGAACAGTGGACATTGCGTATAATCTGGCGAAATGCTCTGAACTTTTGAAAAATTGAAAGTATCGTGGTTTGTTGATGTGACGAAATCATCCAGGAACAGAAGTGGCCGTTTTTACAGATGACCCCGCCTTATCTTATCGTAGCGGATAAGTCGTCAAACTTCCACTCGGTTCTCCACGCATTGGATACATCTGTACATCTGCATGCATGCGCGCATACTCTCCACGCCAAAATAGACACATCTCCAATCCAGCCGATTAACAAACTTCAGCCGCACACTCAATGGGCTCAGCATCGGCCGCCGGGGCGCGTCAGCCTCTCAAAATCCTCATGCTGCATGGCTACACACAGTCGGGCACCCTGTTCCATGCGAAAAGCCGCGCCCTGATCAAACACATCCAAAAGGCTTTCCCGTTACACGACGTCTCCGCCAGCTACCCCACAGCCCCGATCCACCTCAAGCCCAGCGACATTCCCGGCTACGAGCCCTCGAATACGTCCAGCGTCGAGCCCGAGGATACAATCGAGGCATTCGGCTGGTGGCGCCGCTCCAACACCGCAAACCCACCTCTGTACTCCGGCATGGACGAGGGACTAGCCACAGTTGCTAAGACCCTCACTGAAGAGGGACCTTTTGATGGCGTGATCGGGTTCTCGCAGGGCGCTACAATGGCCGGCATGGTGGCTGCGCTATTGGAGCCGGGGCGCAAAGACGCATTTGCGCATTTCGAGGCTGAGGGAGAGGGCATCCCTTACCCTGTGGCCTTTTCTGAGGCAGCGGGATTCTCGCATCCGCCGTTGAAGTTTGCGCTGTGCTATAGTGGGTTCCGGGCGCCTGGGGCGAGATATCGTGGGTTCTATGAGCATCCGGCTATTCAGACGCCCGTGCTGCATGTGCTGGGGTCCTTGGATGCTGTTGTGGATGAGGCGAGAAGTCGCACGTTGATCCATGCTTGTGTGGGGAATCCGGAGAAGGATGGCTCCGTGGTTTGGCATCCTGGTGGTCACTTTTTGCCCAGCCAGCGGCCTTATCTGGATGCTGCTGTGCAGTTTATTCGGAAGCAGGAGGATAAGAGCAATGTCAAGGGGACGGCGCTCGAAGAAGAGGATGTTAATGACATGGTTGTACCGTTCTGATACGGTCATCTCGCATATACTACCAGCCTTTGCTCCATTTGCTAGATGGTTTGTTTCCAAGCGTTGTTTTCTGTTCTTTGATTCAGACATAGACTTTGTCCTTGATTTGCATATACAAAGGGTTCTATTCCGGATTTAGACCGACGGCCGAGTTTCAGTTCGAGTCTTTGTGTTATTGAGCCTGACTCCATTCTTCTTGGGTACTAACAATAGCTTCTTTGTACTTGACAATGGCATCGTTCTGGATGTCACTTTCTTGCATTGTATATATAATAATAGCCCTAGACAATGCGTTTCTAATCGACTCAGACTCAGTCAAAGGACTCGAGATCTCGATTATAAAATCGAGTCTGTTCCCTCCTACTTGATATTTCTTCCCTCACACCATTACAGGTGGGATCAGTGGGATCATATCCCTTCGCAACCACATAACCAAACCAACCCCCCTCAACCCATCCAAAACCCAAGGTACGTCCAAACCACACACAAGACCCAAACTAACAACCATGGCAACCGGAATCGCCCCAAATGTGTGGGAAGGTATCCTCAAGATCCGCGGCGAATACATCAAGTCACTAACAGCCTGGGAACTGGGCCTAACCAGCAACCCCAAGCTAACACACAGCGCTAATCTCAGCCACAACATCATCATGCTAGTCGAACACATTGAACGCACCTTCCTACGTATAGACATCCTCGACTGCCCAGACAAGCCCTTCTGCTACCAGCCCCGAGTCTACTGCATAATCAGCGTACTGCTAGACACCATCGAGATGCTCCAGACACAGAAGCTTGCTGAGACTGCCCCTGGTGTCCTGGCTAATATTCTGCGTATGCTGATTATCCAAGTTGGTCGACTGACCCTGGCGCATGCCGGAGATGATAGTGCGACGGACATGGATCTGTCTGCGGATATTATGGACACTTGTGTGAGCCTGGGTATTCTGGGCGGCTGTGATGAGCAGCAGAAGGCGATGCTTGCTGTTCTTTGGGGACGCATGCATTTTGTTGGTATGTATTGTAATTGTGTGCAGTGTGGACAGAGACTGCTGATGCCCACATGCATTGAATGAGGTTATTGAGACCAGTCTACATATCCCCGGCTTTTAGAGAGCTAATTAAAATACCTAGTGGAATCCATCGATTGATCAAGTATTGCAGTATTCAATGCTGATCATCAGCCTGTAACACCTAGCCATTTAGATTTGTATCCATGGATGTAGGCAAGCAATTGTGTAGATGTGGTGAAAGGGTGATTCTGCACTGGGGGCTGAGTGGAAGTCATATTCAAGGAATGGAAAAGTTGTCCCGAAGTAGTAGAGATAATAATCTATCATCTACAACCTAACATTCCATCATCTACTAGTACGGGAAAACACTACATAGACATTGTCCACTAAGGTAGTGGGTTCTTCATAAAAGGTCTACCGGCGAGATATTTTTCACGTAAGTAGAAATCCCCACAACCAAACATCCGCAAGGCCAGAGGTACCAACAATTAACGAGCCTTGGCCTTCTCACCACGAGTCGGCAGAATACGAGCCATCATCTCCTCCTTGGTGATGAGATGGTCAATCCGCTCCAGAAGACCAAGCAGGCTCTTCATATCGCTGCTCCACTCATTGAGAACATCATCCGCATCCCGAGGTTTGGCAAAGTTCACCAATCGGGCGGGTCGGTCAATCTTAGCGTAGATAGTCTTGGAGGTGACCAGGTCGCTAATGTACTTCTCTGTCTCTTCTTCAGTCAGGTCGAGAAGCTGTGTAAGTCGACCCATCTGGATGCGAGTGTAGTATTTGGCCACTACTCGGACGTTATGTTCGATGACACGCTTGCGCAGATCCTGCCATCTTTGGTTGGCCTGGTTGTCAGAGGACTGCTGGGGCTGAGCATCGAACACATCGGTGCCACACAGATGGGGGCCGAACTGCTCGGAAACCATGGGCCAGCGCATCAGCTCGGGGATGGTGAACAGCTTCAGAAGACGCGCCTCTTCGGGGACCTGTGATAGGCGCGAATCTTGTTGGATGCGGTGCAGTAGATCTGACTGCTCGTTGTCGTAGGGGGATAGGACAATATAATAGACAATACGTGCGAGAGACTGTTTTTTTTTTTTTTCACATTAGCTCTGACATTCCCATTTTGCTGTGCTCCAGGATAATTCCGTAGACTTACCGCGCGCAACTGCTCTGGGTTGGTCTCAACTGCCTCTGTGTCCAAGACTTCTCGGTAGTGCTTGCACACATCGAGGTACTTGTAGTCGTGGTTGGCCAAGATGATTTGTTGATCGTAGTAACGCAGCTTGAGATCGGTCACATCGTCATCCACCTCCATCGGAGCCTCATCCGGCCCACGAGTCTTCTCTCGCTCCTCTGCCTGCTTCTTCAACTCCTCAATCTCTTCGGGAGTCCTCTTCGGTTTGCGGTTGAAATAACGTTTGTTGATCTTGCGGGTCAGAATCGAAGCCTGTGTCCAATCGCCACGCTCAATACACAAAGCAACCTGCTCCAGAATGAATTCGGTCTTCTCCCGTCTCGTCATCGATCCAAATGTCTCCACCTGCAGCTCGCACAGAATGTCCGCCGCGGCATTGAGATCTCCTTGCGACTTCTTAATATTCGAAAGAATTCGTGTAACGCGGGCTCGCTCGACCTCGACAAAGATCTTTGAACAAGTCAGTATCATCCAAGCGATAATCATGGATCACTTAAACCTACCTTTCCCTCAGTGACTGTCCGCAGAGTTTCGATGACAGACAACTTGACTTCCACGTTCGGGGTATCATCCAAGAACTTCATCACTTCCTGCACCATGCGCGTTGTGGCTTGCTTAAGCTGAGCATGTTTCTTTGAAAGCAGGAGCACTTGGTCATTGAGGAGGGTCCAGTCGCCAGAGTTCTTGCTGATGGTAACGATGGCAATCAAGAGGCGCGACGTAGTAGCAAGATCGGAAGCCTGTTTGAGAAGTGATGTGTGTTAGCGTGGACTTGGATGATTCGAATATCGGGTACGGGGAAACCTACCTGTCGTGATTGCTTCTCCAGCAGCAACAGCTTATCGATCGCACCCTGAACATCGGTCTAGAGTTGAAGTCAGTTTGTGGACATTCTTTGAAAAATACCATTCGAGTTGTACCTTCGCGAGAGCCTCAGTCTCTGGGATAAGCTTGTCGGCGTCCTTGGAGAAGTCCTTCTCGGGCTTCAGCAAGACGGACATTATGACGACAGTAGATGGATGTGTGATTGGTGATTTGGGGGGTTGGGAATCTGAGAAATGAATGACTTGAGCTATACGAAAATACAACAAGTCAAATCAGTAATGGGTGGGAATGAGGCAAAAGATGACAGACGGTGATGATGTTGGAGCTTTGGGAGTGGCTGTTCCGCCCTTGAGCTGGAAGCTCCGGCACGTGATTCCCCAACTACAATGAAGGCTGATTGGAGTGGAGAGTTGAATTCTTGCATTTCTCAATCTTGAATTCGGAGATTCTGGATATTTATCTAGCAACGAATATTCTGGAATGAAACAAATTACCGAAACAGCAATCCAACGTCACCAGTCAATAGAGCAAGTCAAGAGAGCCAGTCAAAAAGCAAGTCAACAAAGCGAATCGAGACGCATATTCTGTAGCATGACCGATATTCTCCTCAATTTACCAGATGCTCAACACTCCTTTTTAATCCCCAGACACCTGACCATTAATGTCCCTGAAAAAGACGGTTAGATGTCATTTGATTGGGGACGTACTTTATTGAAGTCATCCCGTTGCCCGCCGTTTTGCTCGGGCAGAAAAGGGGAACGGCCGGAGCGTGGCCTCTTCAGGCTCTTACTCTGAAGATCATCATCGTCCCCATTTCCCTGGAGATTCATCGTGTGCATGTTTTTTTCAAGCGGCTTTAGACGTCTTTCGATATCCTCCTGAAACCCACTGAGCCTGGAGTGGTGTTCTTCATTTAGCTTGCTGATTGCGTCCCGGATGGTATCCATCACGGATTCCAACGCGTTTAATCGGCGACTGTCGCTTTCACTGTTCTCGGAAACGTGAGAATCTGGACCAAGATCTGAAGTCTCCGAACGAGAATCCAGATCATTGTCCAAGACTTGAGAAGCTTCAAGACTGTGCGAGGCAGGTGGCTTCCCGGCGGCTGGACCGGCGTTGGATGGTGGGGATTTTTTTGACTTAGTGGCAGTTTTGCCATTATTTTTGCCATTGTGAGATTTAGAGCTCTTCCTCCATTTTGAGGTAACTTTTGTCCAGACTTCAGATGGGGTCTCCGGATTTCCCATTTCGCCATCTTGACGGAAGTCCAAGGAAGGCCAAGCCTTTATCCCGATTCCTTCCAATTTTTCCTTTTCACGCTGAATCCACTGGTTGATCATGGGTGGTAAGTTTAACCAATAAGTGAAGTGCTTAAGAGCTTGTGGATCTTTCTTCAGTAACCGTTCCCAGTCGGGAAGAAGAATATCGAGTTTTTCATTGGAAAAATATCGACGACCTTCGCTATCTGTGGCCAGAAGAACAGGCCAGTAAGGAGGTCTCACTATGCGACCATTCTTCATGTTGAAAATGGCTGGATATTTGCTCTTTTCATCCCATTTGCTCTGCTGCATAATTTTGCGAACCTCACAGTCTGGCAGACGGACACCGAACATATCAACCGGTGGATTGATCTCGTCTATCGCCATTTCCTGGGAAAGGCGGAGAAGCTTCGCAATTGTATTCGACATGAAACAGACAAGGTATGCATCTGGATTAGGTTCAAGCTTGGCGAGCCACTGAGAATAACTTTCTTTCATTTCGGGTATGAGCTGTGCCAAAAGCGATTTGTCTGCGGTGTCATCTCCTTTCAAGCTCTGAACCCTCTGCTCAAACTTTTTGGAGTCTGAGAACTCAACAACCGTGCCTAGCACAAGCCGGCAGAGAGAGTAGGGTGGATTTTCCAGCCAATTGTCCATGAGTTGCCATGCATAGAAAGCGATTTGAATCTCAAGAGTAGTGAAGTGTTTTTTGCCGTTCTTAAAACGGTCGATTGTGTCATCAAGAACTGCCTTAACTTCTTTATCGTGCTCAGGCTCTCCGTGCTCTGGAACGAAGAGAGAGTTTTCGAAAGTCGATTTGATTTTCTCAAGTACACGCTCCTCTTTTTGTTTTTGTAGGTTGTACGATTCGCGTTTCAATTCCTTGTCGTCAAGGTATCTCAATTTATCATGAGACTCGATAAAGGATTCTGCAGGTGGCCGACACCGAGAGCAGTCACACTTCGTTGGATGCTCCATTTTCATTGATGGCTCGATGGCCCAAGATGAACGAGAAGAAGGGGGTGATGGTTATGTATGAGAAAAGTAGTGGTGAGGAAGGGGTGGGAAATGAAAAAAAAAAGTGTTTGCAGTTCAGAACTATTTATTTAGAATACGAAGTGGGACTATCCCTAAGGGACCATGGCAAACGTTGCATAAACTAACCAAAATGTTGGAAAAAATCCACATGTTTGTCCAAGCAACAATTTTCCCAATCGTCACTCTAGAGTCATTGCACCAGTTGAAGTTTGCGGCAATTGGAAGTGAGGTCACGAAATCTCAGGAAACTGCCAACACAGCAACGGCCCAAGCCGGCATCTCCACCGTGAAGCTTCCTGACCCTGAGACATGCGTCGTGGATGTGGTAATCGACACATCGTGTGGGTAGTTGCTCACTAACTCACCTCCGGAGAGCATCTCAAGCGAACCAGCCTTGGTTCCCTTGATAGTGACAGTGACGTTTTCCGCGCTTGAGCCATAATTGGCAAGCTTCACATAATAAGTGCCTGACTTAGATGCCGAGGCAACCCAATAAACGGGGCCAAAGGCCGAGTCAGAGGTCACGGGCAGGATGGTGGAGCCACGGTTGACTGAAAACATCTTTTGAACGTAGTAGGATGTTGAACCGGTGATGGAATCAGGACTGGAGTCAAGGCCAAAGAGGTCGGGCTATTGATGGTCAATATCTGACGCTCTTAGGTCTAGAATGAAAAGATTAATACATACCGACCACTCCGCCATGTCATAATGCTCTAGCAATGGAGCAAAGCTGGCCATCTTGACAATGTCGCTGTTTCGCTCCATCCCGATCATATAGACAGCCTCGCTGCAGCTTCCTTGCATATTTGACCAGTATGTGGTGCTGCCGTCATTATCAGTCGTGCTGGCGTATTCGCCAACGAAAATGGGCCAGTCCCGAGACCAGTTGTCCCACTCGTCAAAGAGGTCAATGAACTCCTCGGGAGAGAGATAGTGGTGGATATCAGTGATCACACCGTCGGGAATGGTGGATGGGAGACAAGAAGTGTCAGTGGTAGATGCGATAATGGTCAGGTCAGGGTACGCAGCATGAACTGCATCGTAGATCTGTGTGAACCTGCTTGCGTAGGTAGCGCATCCATTAGAGTAGACATTATCTTCGTTTCCTATTTCGATGTATTTAACGGGCCAGGGCTCAGTCCTGCCGTTTTTGGCCCGCAGAGCACCGTATGTGGTGTGAGTAGACCCGAGGCAATACTGGATAGGAAATTGTGAGCGAGTGCACAAATGTAGATGTGAGATAAATTTACCTCAAGCTCATTGAGAATGTCATCGACATAAGGATCGAGATCAGAGCCCGAAACCGCACTGTTGTCGAGCGTAAGGCCAGACCATACAGCAAGCAGGGGCTCCATTCCCATATCTTCACACCAATACAGGTACTCGTCCAATCCTACAAGAGATTAGAATTGAATATAAATGATGGTTCAAGAAAGGAAATGACTCACCTAGAGCATCGGTGTTTGGGTAGCTCCAATCGCCTAAAAATAGGTTAAATTGAGTGTCTTTTTTTCGATCAATGCATAGTTCGAAACCGTACCTTGACGACCTGGGCGATCAATAACTGCTCCAATTGTCTCATTCCACTTCCAGCGGTCACTGGGAGTCTCGCCCTCACTATATTATCAATGGAGTTAAGATAAAAATAGATGGGCCCGTTGGACAGTAACTTACAGGTTGTTCCCTCCGGGAAACCGAAGAAAAGATGGCTTGACTTCATCAAGAAAGCTAGCTACATCATTTCGCAGGCCATTTTTACTAGTAATGCGATCGTACAAGTCAGAATAAAATTGACGAGGAACCAAAAAACGCCGTCAAGACTTACCGAGAATGATAGGTTGGAGGAAACAACTGTACCAAACCAAAGTTCAAGGAGCTCCCTGCAACAGTCGAGGCATCGAATCGCAACTGCCACGCGTTATCTGCATCAGAAGACTCGGCAGAGGTGAACGAGGTATCGTAATAAGTGAACTTCGAAGCACTACTGTGGACAGTGATATTGTGGTCTGCGTATACCGTGCCAGTAGAGTTGCCAACCAAGCGGAGATTAATGATACCAGAATAATCCCCCTTCATCCAGAAGTAATTGTCATAAGTCGTCTTGAGGACGGGGACACCCTCGTATCCATAATTCGAAAAGCCCACGAATCCCGTTGTGTCAGAAGGCACGGTCACCTTCAAGGAAGAAGTGATGGCGGTGCTGAGGGGGTTGGAAGTATCCTGGGAGATGCTCACGTCTCCCACTGCGTAGTATGCAGTAAGGCCTGGATCATCTCCCTGGAATCCATTGTTTCGCAGTAACTGTCCATGAATACCACCGTCACCTGACTCTATGTTAGTATTACTTCTGGTTTCGATTGGTCGTATTCATTCTACCTGAATTGTTGATGTCCTAGAATGCGAATGAGTAATTATTCCGACCAACGAAGTCTTTTGATTTGGCTTACCTCAAACATTATGCCATAGAGTAGGGGACTAGACGAGTTTCCACCGGTTTTCGACACCGTCAGGTCAATAGCCCAGGCTTGACCTGCAAGCCATGCCACCACGAACGGAGACAATAATAAGGAGAACATGACAACAGCGTACAGCTTATCTCAAAACTTGAGAACGAATGCTTGCGCTTGAAATTTTGCTCTTCCTATTGGGGGTTTGCTAGTTAAATACATCAATCGGCGCCCACTTTTTGTCGCCCACACACCCTATAAAGTCCACATACTCTACTTATTTTAGTCCTCCACCGGAGTAGAGCCGGCGGCACTTCGGCAACTAAAATCACACCCAAGAAAAGTAATGTTACAATATGTATATGAGCCTGCATAAAAGTTATTTCCTTGCAGGAGAATTGCCCTGTTGGGAATAGCAATAAAGAGAGCGCTGATCTTCTGCAACCTCCGTCAAGATGTGGTCATGATTTGTGGAGAAAAGGAACGGACTGTGAAAATGTGGGGAATAAACTGCCACTAAAGTATGAAAACAAGGGGTTTAGCACAAATTCCAGGGCATGTGGATATATGAATTACTAGTGTCAGCCTAAGTAGCGGATAATTTTCCTCAGTTCTTGCATTCCCCTCGCCCCCGCACATGACCCCCGCAGACATGGATTTTGGGAGAGGTATCTGCCTAATGTACGATCAATTGATAAACAGATACTAACACTCCAATCCAAACATTGGAATAGAACACCAACCTGAAAGAAAGAAACTAGATCAATAAATTTATATTGGTTCACGTGATATGTTCTCTGCTATCGACAGAAGGTTCGGGAGTCGGGAGAGCTGGGACCGTCCATCTCATATGGCTCCCAGACTTCTCGGGTGCCCATCCACGTCAGCTGCATCAACCCAGTTGCCATGCAAACCAGCCCTGAGTCGCACTGGAAGCTTGATCGTCGCCACTGGGGTCGACATGTCGCCAGTATCAATGATAACAAGATCACTGGTCATGGTTTCATATCTGTTGACTAAAACCATAATGTAGCCATCCCCCTCTGGAGCCCGAGCTGAGCGTGGCAAAAAGATTGGTTCTTGTACCAGTGAAGTAGGGCCGGCAAAAAATTGACTGTACTCAGCAGTCTTGACATTGAAGTGTCCAATGGCGTTGAATACAGGACTGCCACCACCCATAACCGGAGCTATGACCGGGAAATTGGTCGGCAAGCTCGGATCAAAGATATCTAAGAAGACATGGCTATAGTCCTGCATGGCAAACCGATCGTCGATACGCGGAAACTCGAGATTTAGCTCAAGGAGTAAACGAGGATCACCGAGATCCATGTCGTCCGATTCCGGGTCGATGGTAAATCGCTTTAGATGGCTTGTAATTTCCTCGGGGCTTGGTGCGTTACCACTCGCATCAGGCCACCAGAAAAATGCATTTTTATCACACATTGGAAGGTCGACAACGATATGTCCATCCTTATTCTCAAATGCGTTGGAAAGGTGGCCTGGGAAGGCATTTGGAGAACGAAACCACTGAAAGATGAAAATTAAAAAATGTTAGCACTTTATCCCGAAAGACAAAAATGTCAATTTTGCCATACCTTTACGTCAGTGCCTTTCGCACCGCGACGTGGTAGGACGCCAAAGTAGCATGGGATATCTGGATTCCACTGCCAGTGTTCCCCGCCATCTTTCATCCGTTCGAGGGAACAAGTCTGGGGTATAACAGGGAAAATAACCTGCTTGCTGTCAGCGTTCTATTGAAGTAAATTCATTGACCACAGAAACAGACGTAATTCTCAGTAACGGCAAAATCATGGATCATGGCAACCACAGGAGAAACCAGCCAGACAATTTCGTTGACTTTGCCGTTAGGATTGGCCACATAGTAGCATATGTCTGGTGTGCCATCTCCCTTTGCCTCATAGCCGAAACAGATCATTTCTCTGGTGATAGGATCAAATTTGGGATGGGCTGTGAATGTCATGCTTGGAATCTGACCCTCAAAGTCCCAGTAACAAAGCGTTTCTAGGGTCACAGGATCCATGGCGTAAGGAAGACCATCTTCTTTGCATGCTAAAAGCTTGCCATCATAATAGACCACATTCGTGTTTGATGTGGTTCGGACTTGAAACTCAATAGCGTCCGTGTACTTGTTGCGATATTTGCCTGAAATTCGACTTTATTAACTCGAGAAGATTCAGGAAAGCCTTTTCAACTAACCCATCAGAGCCTTCCTTGCCTTTCCCTCTTTCTCAAACTTCTCTGTTCGAACATAGCGTTGTTTGAAGTCACAATTCCCATCCTCGAAAAAGAATGCGCTCACAGAGCCGTCTCCGTTGAACCACTTTGGCAATGAGTAAAGAAATTATAGAAAAGCGCGCGAAGGGTATTACTTACAGGGTCATTGTCAATGTACGGCGGTAGTGCAGGGTCGGGCATCACGCGGAAGAAGGTGCCGTGAATTTCTTTCGGGATGGCGCCGATCACCTCAAGATTTCGAACATCACCCTCAAAGCGGCACGGCTTCATAAATCCGCTAAATTGAGGCCATCCTTGAAATTTCTGGGATGTAGGGGGAACACGGAATCCTGTAGAATGACCCGCCATGAGTGGATGGATGTTGGAAAGAGTTGTACGTGCGTAGTAAATTTAAATCTTATCATGTTTTGTTCTTCAACAATAAGTTTGAGCTGCGTTTAAGTAGCCAGATGTGAGTGATTTCTCCTCAGCTACCCAGAAATTAGCGCGGTTTCTGGCATTTTTAAACGACATTCTATCCATTTGGGCCAGAGAAGACTCAACCACATGAAATTAGTAATCGGCATCTCAGTGACGGAGGTCATGTTTCCGCTTAGTGATCGGAAGTACTAAAATAGATGTGTGTTTTCCCACCGTATCAACGTCAAGTTAGAACTGAGTAGGTCAACTTCCCCACGCGGCATTGCTTAGAATATGATCTATGCCTTTTGTGTTGTGGGGATCAAGTGTGGGGATAAGCGGGGTTTAACACAAGCAACGTGAGGGTCTCGCCGCTTTCGCGTGAGTAGCTGTTCTAGTCGATCTCCGAATTGGCTGCAATACAAGCTACCGGGTGTTAGCTAGGGAGCTGAGCTTGGTTTCCTTCTTGCTCTCTTGTAAACACACAAACCCCACTGCCCCAATATTGGCTGCAAATTAGCAGTACTTGTAGGTTGTGCCTGTAAAACAGGCGAGAGTAGCAAGATGGGGCGGGAGGGCAGAGACTGGATGGGGCGGGAGGGCAGAGACTGTTATATCAAGTATCAAGCTTTGGACAACAGCAGTTGCATCGGTAAAATCCGAAGCAATGAATCTTGAGTCTTGAAAATCGAGCGTGAAAAGCCGAATGTGATCTATCATGATTCATGTGGAAATTGGACAGATGACTAAGTGGGACCCCCCGTGATGAATCTGATGATAATGAATCAAAGAAAGTTTTTGGCCTCACACAATCATCGTATTCAAAATCAGAATCCTCAAGCTTCTAGTATGCTACCAAGATGCCAGCCACATCCAATCGAGATGCCCAAATCACCTCCAGATTTCACTATCATGCGCAAACCCATTCGATAATCTGCGGTGCGTGTCGTTATATTGTTTTTGATTCATCCATACAACGACATCTTGGCCATCAAGACACCACCCTGCGTGACTCCATTACCCCACAGGCCTTGCTGTCATATTTCAAGAAGAACTTTCCCCACCACGTACGTAACTTTGACGAGCTTGTGATCCCCACAACGATCATACCCGCCATTCCAGTGCTCCCTATAGAGGAAAACACGCTGCAGTGCAATATTTGCGGCCACATTCGCAAATTAACCGACATGCGGAAGCATTTTAACGAAGCACATTATGGGAAACTCCTAACCGCCCGTGAATCTAATGAGCTGCCCTGGACCAAAGTCCATTGCCAGAGGTTCACTGCAGGAGGGATGGGGGCTACATGGTTTGCAGTGCAGCTCCCGTCAGCATTGTCCTCTTCTGTGGCCATTTTACCTCCCAAATTGTCTCCCACGTCTCCCTTCGCCTCAAATGTCGTGTCATCTGTCGCCTCATGCCCCCCGGCAAAGTCTGCACCAGCTCCCAACTCAACTTCTATCTATGAGGCTGATACCGAGGCTGTCTCGGGTGCTGTTATGGAAGCCCACTACAAGGCCATCCCACCCGCTTCTTTTTCCACGCAGAATCTACCCCCAATTGGCTCTACACGCGCATCCAGGCGAGAGCCCCGTGAACCAGCCATTGCGCAGATCCAACTACTTTCTGAGGCACTACAAAACTGGGATAAAGAATGTCCACTGTGTCGCGTGTATAGGCTTCCTGCAGCAGAACGAGACCACTCGTTCTTATGCTGCCCCCACACAAGAGCTAAAACAGTTCAGAGGAAGTACCATCGGGTCTATGGTGTCATCCAAGAGAATGCGACGAACCTAGATCCATACTGTCTAATGTGTCTTCTTCCCCCATCACTGTGTGGTCGATACCATGAAGGCGAGGAATCCGAGGAATCCGAGAATCAATGGAAGCTGGCACTTCTTCATGACCCTCCCAGAGGCTGCAAATTCGCAAACTTGGTTGTGGGTACGGTGTTCTCGATGTATTGTTTCAATCCTCGTATTGCTCCGGATCATACCTTACCGTGGATGAGACGCGATGGTGTTGATGTGAGGGATGACGAGGCGGGCTTTGGATGGCTGGCTAGTGAGAAAGATGTTGACGGTCTTCGTTTGCCAACCATCACTCACGTGTTCTGTCAGTTCTATCGACTTTATGCTACAGCCTAGCACGCTCAACTTATGCTATATCAATAACGCCACAAGATTCCAACTTCCGGCTTGTCTGCAAGGCCCGTGTGTATTTGCTTTTCTTTTTAGGGGGGATCTAGTGATACGAGGTCTGGTAGCTTGGAGATTTGTCGGCGATAGTCCTTCGCCCGAATTTAGGGCTAGGTATTGCCGTATTGGGATGCCAGGGGGAGATGTGAGAAATGAGCGCCTATATTAGCGGGTGTTTTGGCTAACCAAAGGACTGGGAGATCGTGACGATTCATTAATAGAATACAATTATACACACAATAATACATGTACATTACCCAAGAAATAAAACCGAAAAAGGGTTTCGAAAAAAGAGACCTAAATATTCCGAGAAGAATATTTGGTGTTTAGCAATTGCTAGCATTCTATTCTAGTTCCCGAGGCTTGTCTCAAATGGACGGGTGCTCAACACTAAAACAATACCAAAGAAAAGGATATTCGTCGGTTTTTTGGAGTTGTAGCAGAGGCCAATCCCAAAGTTCATCATTGCAACGAAAGGCCTTCTGAGGCGGTGCAAGGTTATAGACTTATAGGCGCTTTGTGACGAGTGAAGAGACAGCCAGACTCTACAAAGCCTCGGCTGTCGAGGTCCCCATACGTCCCTCCTCAACGATTTTTTCCACGATCTTGGTCTCATCCAAATTCCTTGTATCGGCAGTATCTACGAATTTTCAGCGTACATTCATCAGAATAACGACAAGACTTACCAGGTTGAGGCTCCTTGGGCGGCGGGCAGTGAAAGCCAACAGCGAGGCAGATAATCATAAGAAAGATCTCCTCGAGGACGCCCATACAGAGATTGATGGTGGGGTTGGGCTCAAAAAGGTTGAACCGCGCGATGGTCGTGTAATCACCCAAGCAGCCGTAGACGGTGCGCACAATGAGTAGTGGCGCACAGGCGTAGACCGAGTACAGGATGATCTTCTCGTTGCGAGGCATCTCGTTGCGGTACATGGTCAGGTACCCCAAAATGGCCAGCAGGAGACCCAAGCAGACGACGAACATGCCCAATGCGGCTTGAAGGATAGGAGGAATGGTGTAGTCGTCGAGAGCCTTGATAGCGCCGGCGATACCAAGGGCCAGCCCAATCAAGCTGATGATGCTGACGAAGATGAATATCCACTTAGAGAGCTTGTTGATCGAGGCGTTTCTGAACAAGACATGCCTACATCAGTCTCGAGTCATGCGTAGGTGGATATCAGATTGCGACTTACACTCTTTGCAGCAAGCCCACGGCAGCCAGTGTTAGGGGCGCGATTCCCAACAAGTCGCATGTGATTTTTGTGGTGAGAACATTGATCGAGTCGTCCGTGATTGTGATGAGCTGGCATACAGCGCCTGCGATTCGAAGACAGGCGAGGATAATTAGGAATCTCCAACATGATGCCACGGCCTTCATTCCTTGTTGGTAACACAAAAGAATGGCGAGGAAGAGGCAGGGCACGAAGACGATGAGCTGCAACAACGCGATACCATCTTCATAGCTAAAAGCCATCTTGATTCGAGAGAGGCCGGAGCGGCGAGTATATATGGCAGGCAGGCGTCTTGTTGATGGCTGATTGATGGGCAATATAGTATATCACAAGGTCGGGGCAGAAATTGAAGGCCCGGAAAATCGGTACGATTTGATGAAACGAGTATAAATGATAGGATCAGAGTTGAGAATTATTGGAACGCCAACTCTTGCCTCAAGTGCTTGGGAGGAGAAAAAGATATCAGGGTATTTACGTTTTCAATGTAGATCCAGGGGTATAATAAGAGAGCGGTCCTGATGCTGCAGGTGAAAAATGAAAATATTGCAATATTTTCGGGCTGTGTACTTGAACACAAAGCCGAATGAGGCATTCAATGACGAGGGATTCGGGAATCTCCATTTTCTCCATGGTGGAAAACTAACATCGAGCATACCTCATTCGGAATAGATTCAAGATGGGAAACATCGGCATGCCGCATGGTTGTAATTGGTCAAATTCTGCCAATTCATAGTCCCATAAGATGAATTTGATCCCAAATCTGTAGAATAAACGTAGAATAAACCCTACCCTATCTTTTTGTTAGTTATCCTATACTCTGAGATTGTGAGGAACCTGCAGCCCCGGGACGGGTGATTATCCAACTAGGACCAAAAGACCAATTAATAACCGCAGGCTGCGGTTATTCCCCGCGTAACGCTATCAGATACAGTAGTATTTAACTCCGTGTAGCACGCACAATTGACACTGAATAGATTATCCAGTATCTTTATTCTGTTCCACCGAGCAGGCCGTAACATTAAAAGGCTTTGCGATCGAGATAATCGAGATCTGTAGTTTCCCCTCTCTTATAGATCAGTGTTCCTTTGTATGTTCTTCCTTGTTCATGCGCTCTATTCTAATAGGCTTGCATATCCTTACATCTTCACGTTACAATATAGAAGTTCATCTTTCCTTCTGATTCAGGAATCAGAGCACAAGTTACAACAATATCGGATTTTGTTGAAAACCTGGTCATGTGATGGCTCTATAATCACACTTCTTTTTTCGGTTTAGCGCCATGCGTTCATCACCGTCCCGGTCCGTCCGTCACCCGTGTCACGTGTGTATCACTACGCGCCCTTCTCCTCTCGACTGTCGATCTCAAGACTAACAGCCCCCAAATTACTTTGCATTTTCTCCCCTGCTTTTTTCAGGCGAGTCACTTTTACAATTGCTCCATACCTGGCATTTCCGGGCGGCCGCTATTGCCGCCCGTACATGCTAGGCTGTCATCGTGCAGCTGAACTAAATGTTTCGCCTAGATTTTTTGATGCGTTGGGTGACGGGTCTAGTGCCCTTGTCGTCCTGTTCTTCGCCCCGTCAGGCGCCAGTGTCCCGGTCCCTTTATTCTTCAACCAAATCTCCTACGTCCCCTTGGCTGAATCTCTCCGTACCTTACTTTTTGTTAATTGCCCCACCCTATCACCTATCTGTGCCTTGTTCACCGCTTCGAATTATGCTTTAAGGTTACGGCTCCCAACCGCGATTTACATATCAGTAATATCATATCAAGCAATAACAGAATATACTGACCGCTGAAGGGCTAGCGCGGGGTTCTAAAAATAAAATTCCGCATTCCTCCCAGCCACCAGTTGACCCGATCAAGGCTAGGTTAGCGCTACGTGATGGGCAACGATAGGCTGAGGCTGTGTATGCATTACGCACACATATGCATGTGTTTTTCAGAAAATTAACCCTGGTCCTCGGGTTAATAGTTGCCTGGCTTATTTTTTTTAAAAACATGCTCGTTTCTCTTCCTATATTTGATTTCACTATGATAATTGAAAACCTAGTTCAAAGTATGCTGGCAGCTGGATGATGTCCACGAATACAACAGGACACCTCGGCTGGGTCGACGAGCCTGACGGACGAGGAACATGGGATATCATCTCGACCTGCAGTATGACTATCGTACTCTGCTGCTGGTCATCTGTTTATCCCAACATTCCTTCAAGATCAGACGGGAGCTTTAAAAAAGGATTAGGCAAGATTTACCTCTTTATTATCGGCCTTCTTGGACCGGAGTTCCTGCTAGTCATCTCTCTTGGGCAATGGTCGTCCGCTCGGACATCACTTGAGGCACGTATTATGTTTCGCGAGATCCATTATTTGCTACTCTAATAAATTGAGTAGAAATTTCATAATGCTGGCTATGAGAAATGGACTATGGTTCATGCATTCTTCGCCGATATGGGAGGTTTTCTTCTTGAATCTCCTGGAAGCGAACTGTTTCCTATCGACGCGGAGCAGCTGTTTCAGTTGGTAAAAGCTGGATACGTTTCTTATCCAGACATAGAGATGGAAGATATAAAGGATAAAAGCAAATCAGGTAGCTTGTCAAGGTGAGCTTTTCTACATATCCTCCTTAGATTGTGATGTACTATGCGGAGAAAGAATTTTAGAGCTTTACGCTCTCTCTTTCTCTTGAGTAGCTTGTTGCTTCTGCAAGTGCAAGTTTTCTTGAAAACTAAGCGCTGGTTATAATACGAAAAGACTAAAACCTTCTTAGAATTGTTGCGTCAGTACAGGCATCCTGGTTCTTGATCAACTGCGTTACCCGTGCCGCTCAGAACATTTTTATCACTACTCTCGAGATTACAACCTTGTCCTTCATTGTGATCTTCTTTTTCACATCATTCTGCTGGCATTATAAGTCTCAGGACGTATCACGAGCCGTGATTCTCCAAACGAATACTCCTATTGCGACCATCCGCTCGAAATTCCATCCACGCCCCCAGGAGAACTGGCACCGAACACCGCTTGACTTTCTTTCCCGCGATGAATGGCTCTGTAGTTGCTTATGGCGCTACTACATCCAGATTCTACACTATTTGCATATTCCAATTTTTGCCCGACCAAGCACTAAGCTTTACGATTACATACCCTCCGATACATTCTTGCGTCTTGATACACTTGCGGAGGTTATTTTTGTTCCTTGCATGCTATCATTTGCTTCTATGTTCATGTGTGCCTGGAATTTTGAATTTCCCACGTCTACTGAGAGGCTGATTTGGCGTGCTGCAACAGTATATCAAACGTTTTTTGGTTCTGTAGGTGCACTTATATGCTGGTATGCTAATGCGTTCATTCTTCCCAAACGCTTGCCAGTTTCCGAGAAGCCCCCAAACGGTTACTTTCATTGGCTTGCGTGGAAAATGAGAAATATCTACGAAGATCGAGATCCAGACTTGATTGTTCCGTTAAGGGTGCTTATCCCAAATGCCTTTCTTTGTCTTTTATATTCTGCATCTCGGGTCTTTATTCTGTTGGAGGATTTCATTGGACTGAGGAGTTTACCAGAAAGTGCATTCCAGACAGTGAATTGGTCAAAGTATGTTCCTCACTGGTAGATGAATGTTTGGGGCAAAATTTCAATTTTGAGATCTTTCCAAATATTCAAATGTTACGGGAAATAACATTGAAGAGCGAGGGGGACAGACATCTGGATGGTATGGATTTGTATTGATTATAAGCTTTTTTGGCAGAGAACTCTCTTCAAATGTTTCAAGTATTACCTTCCTCGAGAATCGAGATTAATCAATCTCTCGTTAACACAAGACGTCAACTGGTTAAGGAAATAACTGAAAACAGAAAAAAAGAGAGAAAAACCAATTGAACAAACGATATTATCGTGAATATTTGCTATCTAGAGGAAGGAGAGAGAAGAAGAGACATCTGCACATGTGGAGGAGAGCATACTCAAAGATTCAGGACGGGACGGGATCCCAGATAGGATCCTGAACTGAATTGGCGGGTCTAGGCCCCTAGGGCAGCCTGGGCAGGTGATCGTCTCTTGCACGGCGCGCCGCTATTCCGTTTCTGTCACAGTTTCCCGAGCTGTCCATTTTGGGTAACATTTGCCAGCCCCACTTAAAACCTCGAACTTCCAAGCTTGGACTTTGCAACTTGCAAGCCAAACAAGGCTGAGTTGCCGTCGGGGTGTTGCCTAACCTCACATGCACCGATAGCCCCATCAATAAGATTGATCGACGCAACCACCGGACTTGGACATTTGCACCAACACTTGGAAAATTCAAGTTCCAGATGACGCGTTTCCCATGGTTTAGTTCTTGATTTGTGAAGGGATATACTATTATGTTTATAGTTGTATAACCACCCTATATGCATGTGCACAGTGCATGCTCTATATGCAGTTAATCACTGCCTGAAATATCTACATTTGAATGACGCTTCCATACTATCCACTCAATGGTGGACGGAGGTTGCTTGATTGAACAAAGTTGGCGAAATCATCTGCCTGCGCAATACCTGTCTGGCAGCTGATTCTGCGCAACTGAGCGACCGTCCAAGCGCGGATCTCATGGGTGAGGTTGTGCATGCTGCCCACTGTGAGGAGAACCCAGCAGGCAAAGTAGCCGCCGGCGGCCGAGCCGGCGTTGTTCTTGGAGCGCTCGTGCTGCTGCTTCTGCAGATCCTGCGCCGGGGAGGTAACGTCGCCCATGAGCTGGGACACGGAGGCAAGCATCTCATCACGCAGGCGGATGATGTTCTGGGTGGCCTGGTGCAAGCGTTCGGTGTAGTTGTTGTCGAAGAACCAGTTGCTATCGGTGCTAGCGCCGCGGAGAAGGAGGTGGCTGATGGCGTGGTTGGCGAGGATGCGGCAGACGCGCATGCTGTTCCAGGTTGAGGCGATCCAGACATCGTGGTAAATGTGGTTGGTGTTGCGCTGGATGCCAGTCGGATCGTAGCTGTTGCTAGACGAGTTCGATTTAGTCGTGAACTCCCACTCGGGAGGGCACTTGGAGAAGGTGCTCTCGAGGCGATAGTCAATCTCAAGCGCCTGTGAGAGGTAGCGCTCGAGGCGGTCAATGGAGATGTTGGCACTCTTGAGAGAACCAGAGAGCATAGAGGAGGTAGAGGCGGGGGAAGAACCGGAGGCAGTAGATGTGGGGTTAGAGGAATCAGAAGGGGCGGCGAGAGAGGAGGAGGAGGAGGAGTCACCGGAAGAGTTGGGAAAAAAAGAGTAGCCGCCCGGGGAAATTTGCTGGTAGAGATCCAGAAGCTCGACCATGCCGCTGCAGGCGACCCAGTAGGGATCCGAGACGCTGATGGTGTTGGCGGCCTCGATGCGCAGCATACGTAGGCTCGAGGGCATGGGGGAACCGGAGCGCAGGCAGTTGGTGAGGAGCTGGGAGAAGACATCCTTGAAGATCAGCAGGCCGGTCGGGGTGGAGAACTGGGAGCGGCCGCGCAGATTAAGGAGCGAAGTGGCTCCCTCAACATGGTGCTTCCAGCCGTCGATAGAGGCCTTGCTGAACTCGTAGAAGGCGAGGATGAGGACAGAGACGATGGTGCTGTCGCGACGGGCGGCCTGAGGGTCGGCGAGCGCGAGATTAACGCGCTCCATGGTGCGGGTGTACATCATCATGGACCGGGTCAACAGGTCGGTCTGGCTAGTGGTGCGAGCGAGCCCACTGAAGCCGAGAGCCAGAATGGCACTCTCGAGCATGTCATTGCCGCCGTCGTCCTGCGCCAGCATAGCCGGAACGTAGTCAAAGAAGCCGGAGGAGGGGCCGGACTGCCGAACGACATAATGAGAGAGGAAGAAATCGAGACCACGCGCCATGTCCTCGGGCTGACTGCTGGTAAAGTTGCTGTGTCCTAGCTGTTGGCGGTCGCCGCGGTTGCTGTCGTCACCAGGGAACTTATCGAGAGCCATATCGTCGCCGCCTGCGCTAGAAGCGCCGACGCGGGACTGACGCCCAGACACGGAGGCAGGAACAGGAGTAGCGGATCCAGAACCGTCACCCGTTACCAGCATGGCGCTGGGCGAGGCATCCTGATGGAGGGAGAAGAGCCCAGTCTCATCCAGGTTGAAAGGGTCGTGGAAGCTCATCAACTCGGGCATGATGCTGCTGCCGGCGAACGTCGCGACCCCGAGATCGACGTCGCTCATGCCCAGCATGGTCTCGCCGACGACATCGGAGGGACGGCTAGCGTGATAGTCCGGTGCGGACGGGTTTCGTTGTTGGTTCGGTGCGGAGGTGTGGTTCTGTGCCTGTGGTGGGGCCGTGCGCTCCACCGAGTGGTTTGTTGAAGCCCTCTTGGAGACTTTGAAGCGGGCCCGGTTGATGACATGGTTGCTCTCATCGCGAAAGATGAGGCTTGAGGGATCTCTGTACCCAGGGCATATCTGACCCATGCGGCAACATTGGCCGCATTCTGGAACTGCTTTGTCGCACTTTTTTTTTTAAGGTCAAACATGAGCCAAAATGTCTTTCTTTATTTTTCCTTTCTGGTGATTTTATATCTTTCGTAACGAGCGCAACCAATAATGACTTACTCTTCTCTTCTTGGCACGACAATTGTTGCAACTTGTTGAAGGACGACCGCAGTAGATCATGATGGCGATTCTACCCAGTGATGAAGATGGTTGTGGATGAATAGGCGGGGAAATATATCGGGCATCGAGCTCAACACACCTGCGCCGACTTACTACGTGAACAGCTTTGGAAGGGAGGGGCACTGCCAACTAGGTGTCGTGTTCTGGGTCAAGACAAACTTGAGGGTAAGGCTGAGCCGCTGAGGTGAATGCTAAGCGGAACCTACCGGCCCCCACAAAAGCTTAGATAAGGCTAGGTAAGGCGCGCCGTCTTTCGCATCTAACCTGTTGATATAGGAATAGTTACTAGTAGTAATCTTGGAACAAAGGGTTTGTCGGTCAGGCAACTTATTACCAGTAAATTTCCCAATAATATAGCTAGTATCTTCCAATTCTTATAGTATATCGTTACGGTATGGATCCCTATGGTATAATCCAGTAACATATGAAAGGCGGATGGGGGCGATATCTACCCGAGCGGCCGAGCCCCTTCAGGGCTGAGAGATCACGGATATACCCTAACCGTTTCGGGCTTAGACCGGGACAGCCGCACGCGGGTATTTCCAAGGGGTATTATCTTGATTCTTGTCGACATACTCTACTTCCAATCACCCAGGAATCGGATGCTCGTCGTGATTGCTTGGTTGGGATGGCTCAACATGCCCCAATCACTTCCAACGCCATCGAGCATGAGCAGACTTATTGAGGCTCCATTTCTGTCTGGTTTGGGTATTCGGTCTACTCAACATTCAAATTTCAGATTGAGGCAAAAAATGAAGAAATCCTCCGCAGAACATCCGCTATCCCACGCAAACTGCCAGGAAGATATGTGAATTTATACTAATGAATGAAATTTAAGTACGCTGGAGGTGGTATCGTCTCCGTCATGACACTGTGACCATATTCCTGCTCCAGATTCAAGGAAGCGGCAGCAAGAGAGGCCTCTGAAGGAAGGTTGACAATCGTCAGGTACAAAATGTTCTGCAAAAGGCCATGGTCAGCCAAAAAACCAAGCAAAAAGAGTACCACCAAATCAGCAGGAAGAATAAACCATGAGTTAGACTTACGCTCTTGATGGATCTATTACCACCTTCCAGCGCCCTTCTCTTCTTGCGGAACTGCTCCAAACGAGGCTCGTAGTCCTTTTCTAACCGCCTCAACTCCCGATCTGTCTCGGATTGGCTGCGTCGGTCGTTGAAGACGCGCTCCCTCCGGTCGTTGTACTCGTCAAGGACTCTCCTCTCCTCGTCATCAATCCTGCTAGCCTTCTTCTGCGCACGCTCCTCCGGGGTAGGACTCAGCACGCCTCCGGAAAGCAAACCGATGAGACCACCGTTGACGGCCGGATGATTGGGGTCAAGATACCGATTGCTGAAACCGCGACCAGCCGGCCCGCTCAGCACGTCGTTGCCGTTCTCGCTAATGTACTTTGAGCGAGCGCGACGGTCGAGGTAGTCGCTGAAGTTGTCGAGGGCATTTTTGGCCTTTTCTTTGGTCGAACTCTTGCGTCCGGCGGAGGCGACTTCCCTCTTGGACCCTGGTGATTCGGGCGGAGAATCAGACAGGTACTTCTTGTGGTGGCTGCGGTTGTCCATGTAGACAAGCGGTGCGACGGCCGTAGGCAGACCACCAGGTCCCTGTGATTTGCCGGAAATGTGGTCACGCTTCCACGCACTGCCGCCGCTATTGCTTGAGCCGTTGACAGCCAGTGATGCAAGCTGCTTGAGACGGTTGGAGTTCTTGGGCTCCTTGAGTTCAGGCTCATGTTTCATTATCATGCAGAACAGACCGTGAGGTGCGAAGAGCTCGCGGTTGTGCTTGTCCATGACATTATTGGTCCTAACCAGGGGATGGCTTATCAGCATCATGGCTTGAGAGTAGAGTCGTCTCGTTAAACTTACTTTCCCCTGACGTAGCCCTTGTTGGCTACCCAGGCGCCCGCTTGCACCGCCGCGGCAACGCCCATGACGATTAGCTCGGGAGTGAAGCCCACGCCAAGAGAGACCACTTGCACGCCGGCGAGGTACTTGTTGCCCTCTAAGGCCGTGTTAGTCTCATCGATGAAGCGCAAGAAGGACCTTTGGTCGATGCCGCACGACTCCAGAGATGGCGCATAGGCGGCCATGAAGCCTCGCTCCTGGGACCCTGGGCGCTGTTGCGGGATCACGATGGGTAAAGGCAATGGCCCTCCCATGGTGTTCATCCCAGCTTGTGAGTCGTATCTGGAGTCTGGGGTGTTTTGCCCTCCAAATATAGGGCTGGGACCGGGCTGAAGGTGTCCGTAAGGTGTTTGTGCATTTTGAGGATGGCCATATTGTGGCTGTCTATACTGAGGCTCTCTGTATTGAGGACCTCCAGGTTGAAGGTGACCGTACTGGACTTGATCGTATTGATGAGGCAGGTAGCTAGATGTGTCGTATTGTGATTGTGAATGCATGCGGTCCTGCCCATGCATGGGCAGCTTCTCGGACTGCGCGTACATGATGTTGGAGCTGATTCCCTTTGCTGGAGAATCGCGACACACTAGTGAGTATTACTCAATCGACCCTGGCGTCAGATCTTAAGAGGTGTCGAGCAGCACGTTTGAAACTCTAGGCTTGGCTTGCAGTGGACCCCAATCCTAGGCGATACAGCTATTGCTATAGATGTTGCTATAGATGCAAAGTGATAAAAATAGTTGTTGATGATGGTCAAGAGAGGAAAAATCAGATGTAAGAAAAAAAAAGGGAAATAAAATGATTCCTTCGAATTATATAGTTCGAAGATGGCCAAGACGCCGGAGTGGACTGCATCTATAGATCTGATGATGCTCTGAACCGAACATCCTGCATACCCGTTTGGGACGGGGCGGTCCCTTTATCCTGTTTAAGTAAGCAGGGTAGGGATGGCTCTCCGTTTGAAGCTGTGCGGCTGTGCCTACTAGTATTCCATACCTTCAAGTGTTTCTTTATCCTTTTTCCAGTCTTATTGCGACAGCCCCGGGAATTCCACCTAGTTGAGGCAACTCGTGGTCACTGTCGACCCCCGACGGCATGGGCCCCCAAAGGCCCGAAGGGCCGGCTTTCTATGCCCGACGCGGCAAATGAAGATTCCTTACGCCAGTAGTGTTTGGCATTAGCTTTAGCCGTCGGGGTCGAGAGATTAAATTATCACTTTGGTCTTTCCCCTTTCTAATTTGATGGATGAGCATTCCCATTGGTCTGTTTTCTGTTCGTGTTTGACAACGGTACATAGAAACGATCAATAAAGTCGTGTGAATTAAGGCCTTGTGCCGTTTAATTATATCTCAAAACAGCCACAAATAATGAATTAGCATACTTAGAGCTAGGCGTAACAATATGCCCTCAAATTTCTTTATATCGCTACACATTCGGTAGAAGTAGAAGTAGATCTATAGCGTGGCCCGTGGGTAAATTCCCAAGTTCGATAAGCTGTAACCTGCTAGAGTGGCCTTATCGTGCCCGGATTGTCTCCACCAACTCCACCTCGTCAACTTCAACCTCCCTCCAATATCACCAGCCAATAGCTCCAACCATGTCTTCTCAGAAACCACAAACGGCTTATTTTTCCAACGGCCAAGCGCTGACGAGGTGAATAAATCCATCACCTGTTGCTTGAACCTTCGAGAAAGGACATCATACTAACCCGGTCGCTGAATAGCCTCCCTCTCTCAGTCCGTGTTTCGCGATTCATCGAAAGCGCCTATGTCTTCTTCGGCCTGTACATAGTCAGCTTCTTATCGGTACGAGACCCCCGAGTCCGTGATTACAACGCGCAATTCTCCACCTTTCACTGCCTTTTTGCCCAACTCTGTCGTTTCTTAATATGGACTGACCCGTTTTCGTTCCAGCTGGACCCCTACGCCGCCGCACAGAACTCGTCCTTTAACATCCATAAACCTAAGTCCTCGTCCGGATCGCGCGATACTCGTGGTGGAAGCTCCGGTTCCTACGGCCCTGGCGGCGGCGGCGGTCCAGGTGGGCCTGGTCGACGTATTGGGCGTGTGGATGATGTTAGAGGACCGGAATGCCGCAGCTGTCGGTAGAAGAATCGCAAAACCAAGTCGAACCTGAAGGATCAGTAATAAAAAGAAGATGAGGGGGTTCCAAATTCTTGGCAGGCCCAATGGTGGATATTGGCTGCCTGTGCTTCAACCCATTCAACTAGGTGCTTCTCATATGATATCGAATGAACATCCCGGGTGTCTGCTATAATAATATATCTAGTCCCGCTCATTTGCCAGATTTGATCGACGATGTGCATTATCACATATAAGGTTATCATCGCCCGAGCTTCTGATAAGAAGATAAGATTGAAGAGAGATATACATTGCCGTGTTTTATCAAACGACGGCAGCTTTTCACCCAGACAAGCCTCCACGCCACAAATGTGCACCTCTTAGTCCCCGGATAATGTGTCAGAAGCCGAATCAACGGCCCGTCATCATGATGAGCCATTAAGCCCCTAAAGTTCTCACGTGACAACACCCCCTCTTACCCCTCCAGACCAGAGCTCCAGTGCAACAGATTTCCCTGGAAAAGAAAATTGAAAGAAAATTAAAGATCGCAACCACGCCAGGATGTCGACCGTCCCACTAAACGACCCAGACTGGGCAACATTGATCCGCGGCCTGACAGAGCGCATCCCCGAAAGATCTATACCAAAACTGCAGATCCCGCTAAACATCCCGCAATTGATTGACCACACGCTGCTAGCCGAGTCCGCCACAGAAAGCCAAATCGACGTCCTCTGCACCGAAGCAAAAGAATACGAATTCGCCACCGTCTGTGTCCGACTAAACCACGTCGCCCGCGCCGTCGCCAACCTGAAAGACACCAAGGTCGGCGTCGCCTGCGTGGTAGGCTTCCCCGAGGGCACGCACGATACGAAGGAGAAGGTCCGCGAGGCGATTGAGGCGGTCTCACAGGGCGCGACGGAACTGGACATGGTCATCAATTACCACAAGCTCAAGGACGGGGGCTACACGGCCGTTTACAACGATATCATGGCTGTGCGTGCTGCGGCACCTTCGCCGACGAAGCTAAAGGCTATCTTGGAGACGTCCCAGCTCAATAGAGATCAGCTTATTGCCGCTGCTATTGTTGCGTGTACGGCGCGGGTGGATTTCATTAAGACGAGCACTGGGTTCTGTGGTCCTGGTGCGGATTTACAGAGCGTGCAGATTATGCATGTTGTGTCGGAGGTGTGCTTTAATGGTGTCTTGGTTAAGGCCAGTGGGGGTATTAAGACTGCCGATGATTGTTTGCGCATGCTTAAGGCTGGGGCGAGGCGGATTGGGACTAGTTCTGGGGTTAAGATTATGAAGGAGGTTGATGAGGGCGAGCTGCTGGAGCAAGGGGCTTGCCATGCGGTGTCTTAGTTCGTCTTATCTTCGAACAAACTTGGAATGTTTACTCGGTCTGAACTCCATGTGTCAACACAAGACTGGGGCGTGGGAGAGTACTTGATTCTGTTGTGGAACGAACACCTTGATCTTTTGAACGATATCAGCAACAAGCTCTGGGGGGTTTGTAAACGCTGCGCATTCGTTATTGGTCTAGATTTTCATTTTCTTATTCCAATATTATGTATGTTCTAGACGATCCACCGAGGTACCCATTTGATCCGCTTTCCTAATGTTCCGCTTATTAAGAAAACGCATTCATAACTTCAGTATGCGACTCGGGAAAGGAACTCCGTTCGCCCGGCTGGTGCAGAAATCAGTGATCACTAATACATCATCAACTGATAGGATCTGGGTCATCCGTCGGCATAATAATTGTGGAGTCCAAGACTCACATCACTTAGTTATGCAACTTATGCTGATAGATCTGCCGTGTGTCAGTAAATTCCCCGATGCCGATCGGCAGCCGAGATTTTTCGGTCGGGAACTAATTGAATTTTCGTCCGTAACTCGGTGTTCCATAATTCCTTATGTTCCGGAGGTCTTGGGCCGTGGCAAGTAAAGTTTGTTTATATAGTAAACATGGTCGGTGCCGACGATTCAAGTTGGTCCAGATTTTATTTGCCTCCATAACGTATGTAAGGAGCTTGAAGTGTCGAATTCGAAACCAATCTAGAACTTGAGATCCATGGGTAAGGGCAAGACATGCATGTGGCTGTAAGCTGGGCACTTCTTGTTTATGTACATAGTAGGTAGTGAAGAAAATTTCCCAATGGCAATTTCTCCTGGGCCTCGGTTTCACGAGGGAAACTGCCGAGAAAGAATTGGATGCCTGTTTTGAACGGAATAAATTAGTGGGTCATGTTTGTACTAGTGGGTTAGTGCTGAAGATATTGATCTGGAATAGGGGCTTTCCAAGGAGATATCAATATGGATTCAAGGAGTAAGAAGGCGCAACCCTTGGAACGCTCCAAGGCACATAAAAAAGTAGATAACTAGCACGTGTGGAAAAGTTTGTGTTGACTTTATGTACTAATATGATCTATGACGTTTACATTTGGATTGTAAACCGATTGGCTCTTGAGATCCAAAATAGTATACTAGTACTGAGTATTTACCCTACACAAGTTGCAGCACGAACGATCAATCTATATGGGTCTTTTGATTTCTTTTGATTTCTACTCTTGCTTTCAAATCTTTGCTTCATAATCTCTGGTCTCAATTAAATCTGATCGGTGTTTGGCAGATCCGATGAGTCAGCGGCTACCGGGGGATCCGCAGATCGACAAAGGCTGAAGCTGTGGAATGCACGATTCCATGAAAGGAACATCAGATCCACAATTCCCGGATCTGGGAAGGTCCGGGGTCCAACCAAAGCCCGTATATTTCACCCGGGACCCGATCATCTGTCCTTTGGTCTAATTCCGGGCGCCGAGAGGTCCACAGCCTTACTGGCTGTCCGAAATAGTCCAACCGTTGGACCCCCATAGCGTCACCATTATACTGACTTTAAGGTTCACTAGGTACAAGATTACATTCCGTGTCCGATTGACTTAAAAAAAGTATTAAATAAATACTAAGATCTTCCCTACAATTTCCTTGGCATTGGCTCTTTGCTTTTTATTCACCCTTCTCCTTCCAAGACTACTACCGAGCCCTAAGGTCCCGGCAGTCATGTCTACCTTTCCCCAGGAGGAAGAAAAGCCTCATAGGGAGTTAGCTCCAGAAGATGAAAATGAAATCGACAGTGAAAATTCAGTCACCTACGAGCCCATTGGCTTAATCGACCCCAATGAGGTCGAAACCCTTACGCGCATCGCTACTCAACAGTCTCGACGACAATCGATTGGTGGCCCTGCACACCGTCTAGCCTCACTTGCTGATCAAGATCCGACCCTGAACCCATCATCTGGAAAGTTCGATCTACGAAAATGGATTGTCGCTGCTATGCGAGATGTGGGTCGAGAGCGCGCCCAGAAGATGGGCGTTGTATTCAAGGACCTCAATGTTTATGGATCCGGATCCGAGCTCCAGTTCCAGGACACAGTGTCATCCATGTTGACAGCACCTCTTCGCATAGGAGAGGCCTTCCGGAAATCTCCCAAGAAGCGCATTCTTAAGGACTTCAATGGTATTCTCAACAGTGGAGAGCTATTGCTTGTGCTCGGTCGCCCTGGAGCAGGCTGCAGTACGATGCTCAAGTCGATTATGGGAGAGCTGCATGGCTTGGAAATGGGCGAGGATAGTGTCATCAATTACAATGGTAAGACTTCTCTTCACTACTAATATATTACCCTGTTTTACTTGGATACTGATTCTTGCCAGGTATCCCCCAGCGCCGCATGATGAAAGAGTTCAAGGGTGAAATGGTCTACAATCAAGAGGTAAGCCGACATAACTCCCTCTTGTCTTATACTGCGGACTTGGACTAAATCTCACAATCTACTTAGGTCGATCGCCATTTCCCTCACCTCACTGTCGGTCAGACTTTGGAGCACGCAGCCGCAACACGAACCCCATCCCACCGATTCCAAGGCATGAGCCGCGCTGAATTCGCAAAATACATGGCGCAGATCGTGATGGCAGTTTTTGGCCTAAGCCACACCTACAATACCCGTGTTGGAGATGACTTTATCCGTGGTGTGTCCGGCGGAGAGCGGAAGCGTGTCAGTATTGCCGAGATGGCACTTGCTTCATCGCCGCTGGCTGCCTGGGACAACTCCACACGTGGATTGGATTCGGCCACGGCCTTGAAGTTTGTCGAGTCTCTTCGTTTGCTTTCGGATCTCACTGGCTCTGCTCACGCTGTGGCTGCTTATCAGGCAAGTCAGAGCATCTACGACCGCTTCGATAAAGTCATCGTTCTGTACGCCGGCCACCAGGTCTTCTTCGGACCGGCAAATAGCGCAAAGGCCTACTTCGAGAACCAGGGCTGGCACTGCCCTCCAAGACAGACCACTGGTGACTTCCTGACCTCGATTACCAACCCTGACGAGCGTCAAGCGAAGCCTGGTATGGAGTCTCAAGTCCCTCGTACCCCCGAGGAGTTCGAAGCTGCCTGGCTCAAGTCTTCGGAATATAAGCAGCTTCGGACTGATATCGCTAAATATGAAGAGACCTACCCTGTGGAAAATGATGCTGAGGCTGTTGTTGCGTTCCAAGAGAAGAAGCGCGACAAGCAAGCTAAGCACACTCGTCCTACGTCTCCATACATTATTAGCATACCCATGCAGATCAAACTGAACACGGTTCGTGCTTATCAACGGCTGTGGAATGATGCTGCTTCCACCGTCTCCACCGTGGTCAGTAATATTATTATGGCTCTCATCATTGGTTCAACCTTCTACAACTCTCCTGATGCTACTTCCGGCTTTACTTCGAAAAGTGCAGCTCTTTTCTTCGCAGTCCTTCTCAACGCTTTGACGGCTATGTCCGAGATCAACAGTCTCTACGCCCAGAGGCCTATTATTGAGAAACACAATTCTTACGCCTTCTATCATCCTTTCACCGAAGCAATTGCAGGTGTTTTAGCCGACATACCAGTGAAATTTGCGCTGGCAGTCTGTTTCAACATCATTCTTTACTTCCTTGTCGGTCTTCAACGCAAAGCTGGCAACTTCTTCCTCTATTTCCTCATTACATTCATGATCACTTTTGTCATGAGTGCGGTCTTCCGGACACTAGCGGCTGTCACAAAGACGGTTTCTCAAGCAATGGGATTAGCTGGTGTTATGATTCTAGCACTTGTTGTCTATACAGGATTTGTTTTGCCAGTCCCGTCCATGCATCCCTGGTTCGAGTGGATTCATTATCTCAACCCGATCTACTACGCCTTCGAGATTTTGATCGCGAACGAGTTCCACGGACGTGACTTCCCTTGCTCGGCATTCGTTCCTTCTTACGCGGATATGTCTGGGGATTCGTTCGCTTGCAGTACAGCTGGGTCAGTTGCGGGCGCTCTGACTGTCAACGGTGACCGTTATATCTACCTAAACTACCGGTATTCTTTCTCCCACGTTTGGAGAAACTTCGGAATTCTGTGTGCGTTTTTGGTCGGGTTTATGGCAATCTACTTCATCGCCTGTGAGCTCAACTCGTCTACTACCAGTACAGCCGAGGCTTTGGTCTTCCGTCGCGGTCATGAGCCTGCCCATCTGCGCCGCGGTTACAAGAAGAGCAAGTCTGATATCGAGACCACTGATGAGGCCGCTGTAAAGGAGGCTTATGGAGAGAATAATGGTCAGGAAATGGGAGCTATTCAGCCCCAGACTGACATCTTTACCTGGCACGATGTATGCTACGATATTGAGATCAAGGGTGAACCCCGCAGACTTCTGGACAATGTTGCCGGATGGGTTAAGCCAGGAACCTTGACTGCGCTCATGGGCGTTAGTGGAGCTGGTAAGACCACGCTTTTAGATGTCTTGGCGCACCGCACCTCGGTCGGTGTGGTGACTGGTGATATGCTTGTCAATGGTCGTGAACTGGATCAAAGTTTCCAACGCAAGACTGGTTACGTGCAGCAGCAGGATCTTCACCTGGAAACCGCCACCGTTCGGGAGTCTTTGCGTTTCAGTGCTCTTCTGCGGCAACCGGCTAGTGTCTCGGTCAAGGAGAAGTACGATTATGTCGAGGATGTCATCCGTATGCTGCGTATGGAAGAATTCGCTGAAGCGATCGTCGGTGTTCCCGGTGAGGGACTAAACGTTGAACAGCGCAAGCTTTTGACTATTGGAGTCGAGTTGGCCGCGAAGCCTAAGCTCCTTTTATTCCTTGATGAGCCTAGCAGGTAAGACCTACCGTTCAAACATTTCAATTATTTTCAACCGTGCTAACTTGTCTACGAAGTGGTCTTGATTCACAGAGCTCTTGGTCTATTGTTTCCTTCCTTCGTCGTCTCTCCGAGCACGGCCAAGCCGTTCTCTGCACCATCCACCAGCCTAGTGCCATTCTTTTCCAGGAGTTCGATCAACTTCTATTCCTGGCTCGCGGCGGAAAGACTGTCTACTTCGGTCCAATCGGCGAACAGTCGCGAACTCTGTTGGACTACTTTGAGGCCCACGGAGCCCGCGAGTGTGACGATAGCGAGAACCCGGCTGAGTACATGCTTGACGTTGTGAATGCTGGCTGCAACCCGCAAGGTGAAAATTGGTTCGACGTGTGGAAAGGAAGCAAGGAGAGCCAAGAAGTCAAAGTTGAACTTGATCGCATCCACAAAGAGCAACAAGAGAAGGTTCCTGTCGAAAACTCGTCTGAGGGCCTTACTGAATTTGCCATGCCATTCTGGTTCCAGCTTTACCAGGTCACTTATCGAGTCTTCCAGCAGTACTGGCGTATGCCCTCTTACATCGTCTCCAAGTGGGGACTGGGTATTGCCGCTGGTTTGTTCATTGGTTTCTCCTTCTACCAAGCGAAGACGTCCTTGCAGGGAATGCAGACTATCATCTACTCCGTTTTCATGTTGTGTACCATTTTCACTTCGCTCGTTCAACAGGTTCGTGCTTCATCCTATGATTAAAAATTGATTCTAGACTGCTAACATGAATATAGTTGATGCCTCTATTCGTCGCTCAACGATCACTTTACGAAGTGCGCGAGCGTCCCAGCAAGGCCTACTCGTGGAAAGCCTTCCTGATCGCCCAAGTCATCGTAGAAATCCCCTACATGATCATCACCGGCATTCTCATCTTCGGCTGCTACTTCTACGCCGTCGTGGGTATTCCCAGCTCCGAAACCCAAGGCACCGTCCTCCTGCTCTGCATCCAATTCTTCATCTACGCCGGCACATTCGGCCAGATGGCCATTGCCGCTCTCCCCGACGCCCAAACCGCCAGCGCAATCGTCGTCCTTCTTTTCGCCATGTCACTCACGTTCTGTGGTGTCATGCAGCCTCCGTCCGATCTGCCAGGATTCTGGATATTCATGTACCGCGTCTCACCTTTCACTTACTGGACCGGTGCGATGGCTAGCACCCAGGTTCACGGGCGCCATGTTGTCTGTGCCACTGACGAGCTGTCTATCTTCAACCCACCTTCTGGCCAGACGTGCTGGGAGTATCTGGAGAAGTATGCTACTGCCACTGGCGGCCAGGTTCTGAATAAGGCTGCCACATCCAGTTGCGAATACTGCGCCGTTACTATTGCGGATCAGTACGTTGCTGGATCGGGTATATACTACAGCCAGCGCTGGAGAAACTACGGCATCGTCTGGGCTTACATTGTTTTCAATATTTTCATTGCTGTTTTGACTTACTACCTGTTCCGTGTCAAGCGTTGGAACATGGAAGGTATCAAGAAGAGCTTTGCGCGTTTCACTCCTTCAAAGAAGTCAAGTGGCTGATTTGAGGATTCCTGCTACATTCTTTGAAATTTCTTTCTTTCTTGTTTCACTTTTTCCATTCTTCATTGTGCATATTCTGACTGTCGTCATTGTTCCTTATCTCTTTATTTCTACTTTTCTTTAACATTTGATCTTATTCTGCTAGATTTAGAATCGTCCCTTTTACCTGTGGTCACTTTGGGAAATCCCACTTTGTCAATCGAGTCTCCATTATTCAGGTAATTGGATCACTTGAGCAATTACCTACCTTTAATACAATAGACCATCTTATAACTAAACAATGCAATGCTTTGTGATGCAACAGCTTTCTCTCTTATGACAATCGACTTATTATTATTTCATTTATTTATAGAACATGAAAGCAGAATGAGCTGATACCTAATACCCTTGGAAGGTTGGGAATTCGAGCATATAAATCAGCACAATCCCGTCAACTACTAATACCACCCGGGCAGGCTTGAGTGAGTAGCCAGTGACTAGTACACACAGTACCATCCTATACAAAATCTGGAGCCGAAGAGCTCAAAATCCATCATCTCAGGCAAAAATACACACACATAAGGATCGATCACTAACATCTGAACAATCACAGCCCAAAAATGTCTTCTAACCCCACAGAGTTCTACCAAGAGCGAGACAGCCTTGTCAAAAACATGAACGAAATAATCCCCTGCCTAAATGACCACACAATCCCGGATCTAGAATACCGCTTCTTCAGCTCGCTCAAGAGCATCAAGCGACGCCTCAAAAGCCTCATCAGACAAGAAGATGACAACATGGACAACATTAACAAGCTCATAGCTGAGCGCTGCACCGACTACATGGACGTCGTGGCAACACAGCTTTTGTCCGAACCCGTCGATCGCGTGACCGTCTTCCCCGAGCTGCTTCTCATGATCAAGATGCAGATTGGGAGGCTGAGGCTGAAGGGCGCGGGCGCTGATCCGGGTGCGGATGAGTTCGATCGTCTGGCGGAGCGCTTAGATGATAAGTATCAGGTTAGGACGCCGGCGGTGATTTTTGCGGGCGCGTGGATGTATTTGAATTTGTATTGTTCTAGTACTTCTGCTGGGACGTGGCCGTAATATGTGGTTCTGATCAATTCTACTTTGCTTCTGTCTCCAGCTTTTCCCGAACTCCTTCAAATAATGTTGATTCGAGGTATGTAAGCTTGGAATCTCCGAGTCTTATCTAAATCTGATACATAGAAGGTAATGAGTAGAATATAATGCCAATCTCAAGTACGAAATTCATTCTACATATTCTTATCAAGGACCAACATATACGAAATACCATATGTATAGAAGTAGGACGCGCGGCGTCGAAGTCGAGCAGGCTTTGCAGAGCTCATAAATCGCACGTCGGCAACCCCGAGTTAGTACAAATGAACACCGTATCTCGCTGGTGCTCGACTGCTATTTTCCAGCACAATTCCCTTGATGCTCGAAGACCTTATCAAAGTTATCATTTACCATTCTTATCAGTGAATCTTATCAAATGCACGGACCACCCACTCGCGGCGGCAGCACTACCGCAGCATGCTAGCATCTCCATACTAACTCCTCTCCCCAAACATCAACCCCCCATCTCACCCGCCAACCGGGAACCTTGAAACACAATGGATCCGGACGCAAGCATCCCCACAGAGCCCGCGCCCTCCGTCTTCAACTACGTCCTCTCCTTCCTCCTGGTCGGCGTAGCATGGGGCTTCACAACCCCTTTTATCCGGCGCGCCGCCGCAGACTTTAATGCGCGACAGGAGAAGCAAGCGCGGGGCACACACACAGACACAGACACACGCGGCAGATCACGATCACAGGGCCAGGAGGGAGGCGGGGCAGAGGAGCAAGAGCTGCTTGTGCCGGCGGGACATGCACAGAACCAGGATGACGAGGACGAGGGCGAGGGCGTGCGGAGGCGGAGCGGGAGTCAGCACCGGGCTGAGGAGGGCGGTGATGAGGGTGCGGCGGCGCAGCTGAATTCTGAGCTGGAGGGGGGTGTGGGGGTGGATGATGGGCCGGTGCCTAAGTGGAGGCGCCAGGGTTCGTCGGGATCGTGGGTGAAGAGGAAGGTTGTTTCTATTTTCTGGACTGTTGTGAACCTGTTGCGGACGCCGGCTTATTCTGTTCCGTTGGTTATCAATTTGACGGGGAGTATTTGGTTTTTCCTTTTGGTTGGAAAGCATGGTATGTTTTTATTTTGGAGTTCATTGCGTTGTGTGTTGGTGTCGGTTTACTGATCTTGCATTTGCTTTGCTAGAATTGTCTTTGACTGTGCCGCTAGCCAACTCGAGTGCGTTCTTGTTTACTGTTCTGGGAGAATGGTATGTGGAGCGCAAGGTGATTGCGAAGCAGACGTGGCTTGGGCTGGTTTTGGTTTTGGGTGGGATTGCATTATGTGTGCATTCGAAGAACCAGACTGTTTAGAGATGGAAATAGAGATAGATTGTACCATGAGTCTAATTCATTCGTCTATACCAATACCCACTCAACTCGGCTGAAAATGAAAGGTAAGAAAAGGAAAACTCAACTCATATATGCAGGTACATAGAGAAAGATTCCTTTATGCCAATGCATACACACATGCATCGTCTCAAGGTAGATAAAACATTAATGGAACAAGAAACAAACGTCCAACACCATATCAGATACATCAATCACATCAAGGCCAAAGAAGAAACAAGAAAAAAGAAATACTGCCGTCAAAAACATTCATCACACATATTACATGATTCCTTATCCATACCAGACCGGACCTGCCGTGGTATAAGGTTCAGGCTCAGAAGCAATCAAGTCCAACGTGGTGGGATATATTGAAAAACAAGATCGAAGTGGAAAAGGCTGAATGAAACAAATGTTTTGGCAAAAAAAAGAAATGAAATCAGACACCTCGGAACTGAAAAATGTCTAAGTTAGCCAGATGCATCAAATGGGAAGGAAAGTAATGGGGGCGAAGGGGGGGGGGGGGGGGGGGGGACTCACCATCCGAACAATCAAATACCACATTGCACCCATGAATTTGAACATGGAAAGGCCAGCAACACTCCACAAGACGACCTCCATGTAGATCAAGGATCGCTCAGTCTGTGTCTCATCCGTGCTGGTACTATCAGAAGTGGTAGTAGTGTCGAATGTCTCCAGGCCAGCAGCACTGAGAACAACCGCGCCTAGAGCAAAGTTGCAGAATACCCAGGCTAGCACGACTGCACTGCGGAAACCCTTGTAGTAATCTGCTTGTCGCTCTTCTTCCGAAACAACTTGGACCTCCTTGGGTGGCTTCATGGCGAATTTTGCCACTTCGGCTTCATACTGAGCATTCAGATCACCGTCGTCTTGAGGGATATTGACATCAACCTTGCCGCCAGGCTTGAGAGTTGCGGAGGGCAATTTCTCGGCCTTGTCGTCACCCTTTGTGCCCCAAGTGATATCGTGAGTATTACAGAAGGCATAAATGTTGAGGACGTTGATGTAGGTGGGGGTCAACAAGATATATTGTATGAACTGGACGTGGTTAGGAAAACTTCGTAACAGCTACATGGGCAAAGGGAGACATACCGATGTGAACATGTGCCACGGGTCCAAGAAGACGAAAGATGCGACAAACCACATGACATAGGTTGAGCCGAGAGATACGATGATTGAGAAGAACGTCTTGTTGGTGAACAGCTGGCTGACCGTGAAGCTCTTTTCAGCAACTTCGGTTTCAATCGACTTGACCGTGACGAAAACAGCGGCGAAAGACAGGTATATCATGATACAGATCCAGAAGTAGACCATTGTCATGTAAAACTTGTTGGAACCACCGGGCCGATTACCAAGAGCCAAAACGAAACATGTGACGAGAGTCGCAAGGTAAAGCCATTCGAAGACAATACCCAGGACTTTACCAGCAGTCCCTAGAAGATCGTCGTCGCCCAGATATGTCGTCAAAATGTGGAAAACCAAGAAGAAATTACCGATACCGAACCAAGCAAATATCATCGCCACTGTTTGGTAGATGAACTCTATGAACAGGGCAAACTTGCGCATGAAGCTGTGATCACTACGACCAATCTGGTAGAAGTGTGCAATGGCGTACACAGCCGCAAAGAATGAACCGTTCAACCAACGGCGACGTTGCAGAATGAACTCGGCCATCTGATCAGGCACATCAGTCTCACCGGTTGAATTCTTAACGTAACGTAGAAGCCAGCGACAGTTGCGCTTGGAAACAATTTCGAAACACAAAATTCGATCCTCGGCAAGATACATGTTGGCTGTGAAGATACCAGCATTGGCACCGTGCATCTTCTCACCAGCAAAGTATCGTTCAAGGGGACCTTGGCCATTCTTGTCATTTTGTAAGGCGATGAACCGGTAGGCAGAGAAAGCACCAGGCAACACAGTAATGAAGCCGAAAGCAGATTCCAGGGGCTTATCGAGAATGTTGCTGAGTTTGTACTCGAAATTCTGACCGGCCACCAGAGGGTTTAACAACTTTTTGCCGTGAGAAAGCATGACCTTGATCTCACCACAGGCGCCACCGCACATCGGATCCAACTCGAAGGCCTTCCATAAATGGTAGATCGAATCTTTGCCTGGCTTAGTACCAGCATCCAAAAGGACACAGATGTTGGGATCAAGCAGTCGGCCGAACGCTTGGAAGAACCAACGATGGGAGTTGATCTTCTTCTGGTTCTTTTCCTTCAGACAGAAAATGATTTGGACAGGAGGACCCTGACGAGGCTTAAGGTGGACTTGGGTGCCTTTGACCTCCAAACCAACTTGTGTGGTATATTCGTAAATGTGGGCAGTCACATCCTTGCCGTTAACTTGCTGCTTGGCGATTCCATCCTGGTAAACACCCAAACCAGCAAGAACGGCACGAGTACGCGGGTTGATCTTTGCACGACCATCACTGATAATACAAACCACAATCTTCTTCCATGCATCCTTACCCCATGTTTTGCTGCTTGTTCGCGAGCACATGTGGTCGATGTTCTTAAAGACACCGGACATTGTGCGCGCAAAGAGAAAGTCGTCCTCATTGTACATAGTCACCACAATGAAAAGCTCCGTGTGACGCGGTTTTGCGAAAAGCTTCTGACGAAGGGTGAATCGCTCTTCAAAGAAATCCGCCGGGTCACAAGTAGCTGCCGAGTACCGCATGTGGGTGAACTCGTCACGGCCTGGCGCCTCGGCGTGAGGGATTTGGCTCAGCAATTTTGGCGCAATGGGACAATCCAGAACGAGGTTGCCGTTGAACAATTGTACTTCCTTCACAGTCTTCCAACGACGAATGGGAGCGGGACTAGGAGTCGGGCGAAGCTCATCCTGGAGCTCTGTGTCATAATGATCCGGTCCAAATGGATTCTCTGCGGGTACTAAGGGGTCGTTATCGTCGAAGGGAGTCTGGCCGCCCTCAGGGTATTGGCCCAAATCGTAATCATCATGGGGGGTATGTGTCGGCTGGTAGGGTTGTGTGTAGTAGGCATCGTGGTGGGCTTCCGGGTCGACAGCATAGTCATTGTAACCATAGGGTTGCTCGTGTTCGTGGCTCTCGTAAGCTTCATGATGGCCGTAGGAATTGTGAACATTTTCCACAGAGTACTATTGAGCGAAACGTGTCAGTAGATGGTTTCTGCGGGGAATTTAACTAGTGCGCATGCTCACGGTTGGTTGTTCGGCGAGCTGATCGCTAGAGGGCATGGGTAAATGCCCTTGGGGTCCATATGGGTTATCATGTAACTGATACGCGTCTAGGGGACGGCCTGGCGACGGAGTACGAGCGTCATAAGGATGCATTTGAGACTGATTCTGATGCTCGTCCCCAAAGGGATCTGGCGTGCGCATGTTAGTTTTTAATGTTTGATGTTCGATATCCAATGGTCCTGAGTGTGGCCTGCGAAGCGCAAGTGCTGTCTTTGTTCCGTCACAACACCGCAAGCATGCACCATCAATGACCAGCAAGACAGTACAAGAATAGAGTAGCTATGTGTTGTTTCATGGGAGACAGGGAAGAACCAAAGAAAAAGAAGTCCGGGAAACTAACCGAGTCTGTTGTAGGCCATTGCGCGTAATCCCAGTAGCAATAACTAAGGTTCAGCTTAAATTGCGCCCACCTCTTAGAGTGCGTATCTCAAGGAGTGGTTGACGGGAAATTGCGCCCAGGAGTGCGGGTGAGCAAGGACCAACGTCAGTGGTCAGAGAGGGTGACTAGAATCACTAGCCCGACCGACGGATCTAAACTCTCGGCGCCGTTTCAGAGTAATAGATTTCTTAGGGAAGTCGCGAATGGGGGAACGTGCCGGGAGTTCTCAGGAGGATGGATTCGTCGCACGATATGCAAATGCCAAGTTGAAGGGAAATGAAGAAATGAAGGAGGGCCCCCTCTTGTTTGGTGTTTACGAAGCGGGCGATCGCAGATGACGGAGGTTGGCAGACGAATCAGTGCGCATGTGCTGGACCCGCTCGGGTGGATCAAATCGGGAGTGATATGAAGAGGCGAGTTCAAAGGGATTCGGAGAATTATGGTGAAAGAATGCAATAGGATCAAAATCTTTTACAAGTAAGACAGAAGATGATAAATTTTAGGAACAAGCGCCCTGGAAGTTCTGAAACCAATGTGATCCATGGGTTGCTGCAATGAAATGCATGGGAGAGAAGTAAAAGCGGGTAAGGTTGACTTGGCCACATACCATCACTGGGCCAACGAGAGCTCACGGGCCTGAGAATTATGGCCTGTGTGGAGTCCACCAGCCACAAGCCACCATGGTAACTGTGATTGCGCAGCTGTGGCGCGTGAAGATTCTTATTCTTTTTTTAGTTTTCAAGGCAGACAGAATTCAATGTACTATGAATAGATTGGGATTACTTGAGAAATCTACCATCTATGAAACTATATTAATTCTGCTAAATGTCATCTAATGGAGGTGCTAAGATCCAAGCTAAGGCATACATACTAGTATAGTGACAATACATTCTGATCATCTGATGTCAGGGCTCACCCTCTCAGCCTTATCGATAGCCTTGACGTTGATAAAAGAATACATAATCGTACAACTTAGTAACCATTTGTTCTCCACTTGACCACTCCTTCTCACTTACACAACAGCCTGTTCAATCAATGCCAGGCAACCCAATCATGACTTCCTCCGATCAGCGCCCCGTGAGCGTTCTATTTGTCTGCCTAGGAAACATCTGTTCGTCGTTCCCCTCATAGCCCTCACTGCACTGCCCCACCTTTCCCCCGCTACATACGCCCTGCTCCCTGCGCCTCCCTGTACTGACACCATGATGTAAGGCCGTTCACCTATGGCCGAAGGTGTTTTCCGAAATGTCGCCGAGTCACATCCTGCGATTGGTGAGATCGATTCCGCCGGTACAGGCGCATACCACACACTCGAACCCCCCGACTCCCGCACCATGTCCACTCTCCGCCGCCACAACATCACCAACTACTCCCACGCTGCTCGCAAAGTCAGCAAAGATGACTTTTTGAAATTCGACTACTTGTTAGCTATGGATAAGTCCAATCTACGGGATCTGTTGGATGTTCGGGACTCGGTCATTATGTCGTTGCAGCGCAAGGCAAACGCCAAATCTGGGGCGAAGCTTACCCCGGCGGCGATCGACGCTGCATTGAAAGAAAATGGCGTAAATACCCAGGTTGCCGAGGTTCGTCTTTTTGGTGACTTTGGTCCTGGCGGGAAGCTGCATGACCGTGTTGGAGGGGGTGAGGTGGTTCAGGATCCTTACTATGGTGGTGCGAATGGCTTCGAAGAAGTCTACCACCAAGTCGTGCGGTTTTCGCAGGGCTTCCTGGATCATGTCACCAGCTCAGAGTAAAACCATGGACTTCAAGTTGTATGGAACTGCGAATTCAAGACAACTAAATTTAATAGAGCGGTGGGTGGCCTCGACATTTCAGGCAACGATACCCCGGAAGCCCAATATATATATATGTGTATACTATTACGTTCGATGTCAAGGCTGCCTTGAACTCTCAAACGTTGGGAACACGGCCCCCATACACATACTACGTAGACCATAATTTTGCATGGATGTACAGTCAAAACCGTACTAAGTATAGGACCGAAGCATTTGAATCAAGTGGCTTTTTAAACTGTCAAGGTTTGAATGAATGCTGAGGTGGTTGTACATCTAATTTACATACTGTGACGCAGGATATAGTAATACAGAAAAAGCTGGCTTCAAAAACGCCCGACCCCCATGAGATCCATTCATGCCCAGGTGCAGGATGTCTCTTTAAACCTTCTCACTGATCTTGATAGCTGCCCGACAACCAAATCGAATTACATCCACCAATGAGTCGTAGGGCTTAGCTTCCTTGGAGTCATGAGCCACCGCATGGTCCAAATGCTCCAGTTCTTCATCTCGAATTCTTCGGAAGGTGGCCAGCATCTCCTTTAACTCGTCATCCAGTTCCTCCCCACGCTGCTTGGCATCAGCCTCCCAAGACAAAATCTCCCTGACTTGATCATTATAATGAGATCCGATCTCTGTCTCCACGGCCTCGGTACATGCCATCGCAGCTTCGCGACCCAGTGCGGCAGTTGACCAACCCAAGAAAGTGGCTGCAACCCCCCAGAGTGGATACATCGCAGTTGGGCGAACCTGGTGCTGTGCGACAAGCTTATTGAATGTCTTAAGGTGCCCTGCCTCTTGGTCGTACATGTGCTTCATCAAAGGTCGGAGGTGTGGATGCGATCGAACGATTTGGGGAGTTTGAGCGGTGTAGATGAGAGTAGCCGCAAGCTCGCCAGCTTGGTTGACTCGGAGTGAGCTATCGAGGTATTCACGCTGCTTTGTGCTGAGGGTGTATCGGGGCTTGGAGCTGCCGGCCGGACCGGTGGTGGCATATCGGCGTTGAGCTCTTAGAGCTGTCGGAGCGAGGAACTCGAGGAAAACCGGAGAGATGGATCGGGCCTGACGCCTGCATTGCGCTAGAGCGCATCTTCGTAGTGTAGGAACGGACTCCATTGTGCATTAAAGTAGAAGTAGGTCACAGGTGATCTCCCGGGAATTGAAGGTGCCGGAATCCGACAGAAACCGTGGCTTGGCGCAGGCGCGCGCTTGAGGTCTTGGCATCCGAACGTCATGAACGACAAATGTTAACTTCGCGACAGACAATCAACGTGTCTTCAAACGTCCACTCCATTACCGCCCTCCTTCCTGTCGCTCTTTGTACAGCTTGCCTATTTGCTGCCGGGCTCACTTATCCTGATAGGTACAAGGTCTTCAGTGACTTCGGTGCCGGTGATCTCAGGTCTTTCTTCAACATTTTGCGCCTCCTGGTCAAAACGACCTCACCCACGAAAGAACCACCTGTGAATAGTAAGAGGGTCGCTTGGGACGCTTCGAAACAATCATCTGTTTAAAATTGAAATTTCGGACAAAAAGTGCCTGTTGAGGTAATCTATAAATATGGCGGACGATTTGGACGATGAGCTGCTGGCTCTGGCTGGTGGCTCAGATGAGGAACACTCTCCTCCTCCAGAGGATAAAATCGACTCACCCTCGCATTCAACTTCCTCTCACTCTCCACACCACTCCACCATGGGTCGCAAAGGTACTGCTAAGCCCGTTCGTCGATCCCGCAAGGCCGTCAGAGATGATGATGATGAAGATGGCGAAGTGTAAGCCCACCCCACCCCACCAGTCATATCGACTCTTGAGGTCATCGCTAATCTGTTCGAAACCACCCAGATCTGACGCTGAGTCCCAAAACTCCCTCCAGTCAGCCCCAATGTCCGAATCTGATTCGGAAGCTGGGGCTGACTCCGATGAAGAAGACCGTCCCATCTTCCCTTACGACAAACTTTACTACTCTGGAAAAGAAAAGCAAGAGATTATGGCTATGCCCGAAATCGAGCGGGAGACACTGCTATCTGATCGTGCCCAACAAGTTGATCGCCACAACCAGGATCTCGCTCTACGTCGCCTTCTAGCTTCGCGTGAGCGTGAGGAAAAGCGTGCTGCTGCCAAGCAGGCCAAACGCAAGGCTGGCTCAGCAGGCCTCGACGAAAACCAGCGCAAGAGCTCTCGCCAGAAGACGACCTTGGGTGGCCGCAAAGTTGGAGAGACATCTGCCGCCATAGATGCCTACAAGCGCCAGCGCGAGCAGAAAGGAAAGCGTGACGAGCAGCGCCGCCGTGACCCTACCTCATCTCGCCGTCGATCCCGTTCCCCTGGCTCCGGTCGGTCAGATGAAGATGGCGAAGCTGAAAGTGACCTTGAATTGGACGACCGCGTTGGTCGCTCTCCTTCTATCCCCAAGGACGACCCTCCTGCCGAACTCCGTGACCTGAACCGTGCTCGTGTCGGCCGTACAAATTTCGCCCAGGTCTGCTTCTACCCCGGATTCGAGCTGGCAATCACTGGCTGCTATGCCCGCGTCAATATTGGACCTAACAGCGAGACTGGTCAAAATGATTACCGTGTTTGCTTGATCGAAGGTTGGTTACTTTGTCCTCCAAAAAAACCCTTTGGATCACCTTAACTAACGCTCTACATCAGGCTTCAACCAGGGCAAGCCCTACGCTATCGAGGGATCGAATGGCCGTCCATTTATCACTGATCAGTATGCCAAATTGGCCCACGGCAAAGCTGTGCGAGAATTCCCCTTCATCGCTTGCTCAGACTCTGCCATTACCGATGTAAGCAGATCCATGACATATCAATGATCTTTGATGGCTAATCAATGAATAGGCCGAGTACAGCCGTTATAGAAAAACCATGGCGGTTGAGGATATTAAGATGGCCACCCAGACCAAGCTGGCTGGTAAAGTCACCGATATCAATCGTCTGATCAATCACCGTTTCACTGCCGAGGAGCTGTCCGAGAAGCTCCGTCGACAAGGCGCTTTAGATCAGAAGAGGAACGTTCGCAAGCGTTTCGATCTGGAGAAGGAGTTGCAGACTGCCAAGATCAATGGAACTACCGAAGAAATTGAAAAATTGCAGAAGGAGCTCGATGCCATCGTCAGTCCCAATCTTTCATGGGGAACCACCATGAACAAGCCAGTTGTGGAGAAACCACTCAGTGAAGCCGAGCGTGTTCACATTATCAACGTACGCAACCAGAAGCTCAACTACGAGAATGTGCGCCGTGCTCAACTGGACGAGCGCAAGGCCGCCCGTAAGGCCGCAGCCGCTGTCGCTCGTGGCGAGGCGGTCGCTGATCCATTCATGCGTGTACGCACCGTGGCCAAGACCCACCACGATGTATCTGATAAGCCCCTGGATGAGGTGAAGGTCGAAGAAGCTACTCCTACCGAAATCAAGGATTCTAAGCCTGCCACGGACAGCTCCAAGGCTTCCACTCCCAACCCTGGGTTCACCCCGAAGAAGAAGGGCGGCTTCATGATCAGCTACCGCAACACCGATGATGAAAACATTGCCGCTTTGGATATGGACATCGACATCGATATCTAGATCGGCGTGTTCACGGTTCTCAGCTGCACATTGCTTTGCAACAGGGCAACTGGTGCGTCTCGACATGGACATCACATGCGATTTTCAGGTCATAGCTGTTTTTTGTACACTTTAGAGTTATCTACTGCTTGAGATGGGGTTTTATGGTTTTTCATTTCTTTTATTTGTCAACTAGGAATTGGCGTGGCGTCTATTCAAATTTTTGAAAAATTCTCACGGGGCATATTTGTATTATGAGCACAATCGAAACAGAGTACGAGAAGCATAGTACTCAAAAAATGCAATCACTTGTAAATACCAAGACTTGTCTTTCCTTCTTAGTACTTAATGAACTGTACCTTGGCGATAAGATAAGAATCACGTGGTCAGCCTAGCAACGCGAAGAACGCGCGCAATCGCGTCTGGATTATGCACAATCGCCCTTGTTCAAGGACCCGCACTTTCCACCCTTCGAGCCCTCATCGCTATTCCAATTGATCCCATAATGACCCATTCCCTCTCATAATAATACTGTCCAAGATACCCAATACTCATTCTCTTCAAAATACACGAAAATGTCAACCGCATCAACACCGCGTTCTACGCGTTCCGCGTCACCGGGGAACTCACCCAATATGCTCACCCCAGGCCAAAAAATCAGAGCCATGATGGCTGAATTCAGCAGCGACTCGGAGTCTGAATCAGAAAAGACTCGCCCTAAGAACGCTATCTCGAAGCTGGACTTCGGGTCCAAGAAATCACCCACCGATATCCCAGAATTGAAACAAACAAACGATAGTCCCGCCAGCTCAGATGACGATGAGGATATTGTTCAGCCTAAAGGGCGAATGGCCGCCCGTATGCAAGGTGACACGCGCAAATCTTCTGACGAACAGCAAGTCTCGGCCTTTTCTCGAATTTCCAAGGCACTTCGGACAGAGCGAGAACAAGCGAATAAACCCAAACCGCAGACAGAAATGCCCGCAACCAAAATCGCGGAAGCCGAAGCCGAATCAAGCGATGATGACTTTCCTACAGCTGCACCAAGGAGACGAAATAATAATGAGGCTTCACGACAATCACCAGATGCCGACGACCAGTCTCGCAACTCATCGCCTCGCGCTCGTTCATATTCCCCATTATTCGTTTCCTCGCCCGCTGCTCCAACCGATGAGCCAGTCCAAAACGACGGTGCAGATGAAGAAACCGAACAGCCTAAAAAAGGAAACAAGGATAGGTTCCTTGCTCTTGTCGCCCAAAAGCGCAAGGAACGAGAGGAGCGTGAGAAGTTAGAAGAGGAGAGGAAGGCAGCCAGGAAAGCCGAGCTGGAGAAATTCAGCTCTGATATCATCTCCGGAGAAGAGAGTGAAGCTGAGAACCCGACATCCGCACATAAGCTCTCTCAAAAGGCCCGCCAACCCCGCAAGGCCAGTAAGAAGGCTATGGATGAGATAAAGCAAGAAACTCAGCGCATGAGCCGGAATATGCAACTTGCCCACCAGGCCCAGACGAAAAAGAAGATAACAAAGGAGAGCTTCTTTGCTCGGTTCAACTATGGACAACCTGAAGTCCCTTCTGCAGAGCCTGCGCAGGCAAATACTTCATCTACGGTTGGCTCGCAGCAGTCATCTGACGCGGAGGCTCTCAAGGCTCGTGATACACCTCATACTTCCCCTATTCTTGGGCCCTCTGGTGCAGAGAAGCCGACTTCTGATGCTCTAGCCCAAGACCATGTCGAGTCCAATGGAGCGCCTACAACTGAGAAGTCGGCTCTGGAAAAGGTCGCTCCTTCAGAGGAGTCCAGCGTACCCAAGAAGCATGCAGTGCTACCAACTCACCCTGCGATCAAGAAAGAACCATTTCAGCTTACTCGACCTGCCGTCCGAGTTCTCATGTCGAGAAAGGAAATCTCTCAACATCAATTGGAGGACTCGGATAGCGATGACCTTGAGGTAGTCACCTCGCCTGCAAAGGCCCGTCGAATTGCCGCCTTCGAAAATCTCCCTGCGCAGAGAATGCAGGAGTCTGCTTCCATGATCAAGCTAAAGGCTCTGGCTCATCTAACATCCCCAAATCGCAAAACCTCATCCATGACCTCCTCGGAACTCTCCGCCAGTCTACTTTACAAAGCGCGTCAACAAGCCGCCAAGGAGCGACGCGAGCGCATCGAAGAACTCAGAGCTAAGGGTGTTATCATCGAAACCGCCGAGGAGCGTGCAGCAATGGAAGCCGATATGGAAGACTTGGTGACAAAGGCCCGCCGGGAAGCTGATGAGATCAAACGATTGGAAAGAGCGGCACGGAAGAATGGTGATGATCCTGATGATGATGAGGAGGATGATGGGGAATATGAATTCTCCGGCTCAGAAGATGAGGAACCAGGTTCGGGTAATGAAGATGACGCTCGAAGTCTCAATGGCAACGAGGGTCTAGTCGAACAGGAAGCGGATGATGGAGATGATTCTTCCGACGGAGAGAGCGAGATCTTGCCCTCTGATGTCGAAGAAGAAGCCCCTGGGACACGGCGAAAGCGACCGACCCGTGTAGTAGTCAGCGATGATGAGGATGAAGAGGAAGTTCAACAGCAGGTACCATCTACACCTGTTAGAGCACCTTCGCATGCAGCGAAGTCTGCAGAGCGTCCTAGTTTCTTCGGCGTGGACTCTCCCAACACATCCATGGGCCTCACCCAGGCTTTCGCTGGCACATTGGCAGATGACAACGACAGCACAAGCCAGCCAGATTCAGCCACAATCCCATTTTCTCTTCCAGACCCAGGTCAGCCTGTGCCGAGGGCGGTACTTCGCCATGAAGATTCTGAGATCCTTGTTCGAGATAGCCAAGAGCAACACGATGAGCCTGACTTCATGGCCAATCACTACCAGAATATCACTCGCGTATCGGAATCTCCAGCCGGACCGGCTTTCTCTCAGTACTCGCAGCTTCCTGATCCTACCCAGGACGAAGGATTTGTGTTCTCTCCGTTTGACCCGAACAAGCGATTCAGAGGAACCCCGCCAGTTTCGACCGTGGACACAGTTATCTTGGGTCAAAGCCAGTCACCGGTTGTCGAACGAAAGAACAGACACCTTCGACGAGGCCGCGCAGCAGACTTATCTGTGGTTGAAGAGGAGGAGGAGCAAGAAACCACAGCAGGGAACTTTGAAGTCGACCCAAGTGCTTTTGATATCATGAAGAAAACCAAGAAGCCCACTGTTGTCTACGACAAGAAGAACAGTAAGGCAAAGAACATTGTTGATGAGGCCGCTGAGGAATCCGAGGATGAGTATGCCGGCCTCGGTGGCGCTAGTGACGATGAAGACGGTGAAGAAAATGCAGAAGACAAGCAAATGATCAACGACAACAGCGGTGAAACCGTTGACGAGAAAGAGCTTGCTGCACTCAACGCGTAAGTTTCAATTGTCCTGTATAGTCAAAATTGCACTTTACTAACTTGTGAACAGCGTCCATGACCGGAAGCGCGATGAAAAGGACGTTGCCAAGTTGCTCAAAGATATCACGACTGGAGCCCTCCGCCGTCGCCGTGGACCCGATGATGACTTTGATTTGGACGACTCCGACGATGAACATCTAGCACGTCGGCGCGAGAAGCAACGTGAATTTGCCAAGATGCGCAAAGCTCTCCTCACAGATGACAAAGTAGGCGAGCTCGCAGACAACCCCAAGAAAGCAGCATTCTTCAAGGCCATTGAAGACCGCGAGTTTGAGGATGACTTCGAGTTGGAGTTCTTAGAAGAAAAGGATGGCGGCTCTCAAAATGAATCGCAGCCCCTGGGTGAACAGCAAGATGGTGGCGCTGATGAGAACAACAACCGGAAGCGACCCCTAGAGCCATCTAAAGAGGACGCTACAAACCGCCCTCCGCCTAATCTGCGCCGTACTCCTGCTAGCGCCATGTCGAAGAAACCTGCGACCTTGGCCGAGATCCGCGAAACTTTGTCATTCTTGACCGAGACTCCTGAATATGAATCCTTCCACGAGGATGTTTCCGATGACGAAGAAGAGCCTGCGGAAGGCGGAGAAGACGCAAACACATCTGGTGTCGACGAGGCGGCTCATTCCGACGACGCAGGCTCACAGTCTAACGACCAATTCGCCAAACCCAGCAACCCCCGCCGTACTCGTGGCCCTGTTGTCGACCGTCTTGCTCTGCTCCGCCAAGCGTCCTCCAACTCTGCCACCGCAAGCACGGGATCCAGCAACACGAAACTTGCCTTCCAAAGTGGAGGCAACAATGACAGTCCCATTGGCTTCCGACCTCCCAAGCTCATGCATCGTATTTCCACGGGCTCGTCTTCCTCTTCCAGCGCCTCCACTTCTACTTCCAATCGTGTCTCTAAACCCGGCGCGTCGGGACCTAAGAAGGGTGGTGCGGTCAACTCTTACGCTGCTGCGCGTGAGAAGGAGCGTGAGAGACAGCTCCGGGTGAAGCAGCGCAATGGCAGCTCTAACGTTGCGAAGCTGCTGAATAAACATGCTGGTGGTGGATTGGGTGCACTGGCTGGAAAGGGTCAGTGGGATTAAGTGATCTACTACATATTACACATTCGACATATTGTTCTGGGCATTTTACGCATGGGTTCATGTACATTCAAGGCATTGGGGAGTTTCTAGTGTTTCTTTCTCTTCAGTCTGAATCCATTGATGATCCATGGATTCGGAGGTGGGGCTTTTGATTCTGTTAGGCGTTGTACTTGGTATTTAGCGGCGCAAATGAATGGGATATGTGAATATTTAAAACATTGAAAGTTGTTGATTTTGGAAGCCTACTAAGCACACACTACGTAGCAAATACCTACTAGTAAGTACCTAGTACCTACTCGGTACTTGAAGAAGAGTATAAACTTGGTGCTTGCCATGGGTACTGGGCATTGTACTACATACTCACTACTCAGTGCCTACTACTTACTCATAATAGCCCGAGCCATTTCCTCCGCACCACCCAACCACTCATCCCAAGCAATACTCAAATCCACCGTATCCCGCCACACATCATCCGGGTCACTCCCAGGCGGCAAAGCCCGCCCATTCCCCACCTTCCCCTTACGCGCACCCCCCGGAAACCTCATAGCATATCTCGTCACCCCAGTTTTCACAAACCCCATCTTCTCCGCAAGCCGCACACTAGCCGAGTTCGCGGTACTAGCCTTCCAACACACCCTCCGCAAGCCCAAGCCGCCACTCTCTCGACTCGCGAACGCATGCTGCATCATCAGCCCCACGGCATTCACGGCAACATGGCTCCTCTGGTAGGGCGGGAGAACGACGACAAAGCCGAGCTCTGCGCTGAGATGCACAGTAGACGTGTTAATGTAGCTGATTGTTCCTGCAAGTTCGCCCTCGGCATCGTCTGCGGACGGAGGCCGGGTTTTGTCTATGATGGCGAAGGCGAATGATGCGGGGTTCGCGAAGGAAAGTATGTCTCTGTCGTGGCTGTCGTAGAATGCGGCTTGGAGCTCGGAGGTTGAGTGCCAGGGTCCCATTGTTACGTTTGAGAAGATGGATGGGTTTGGGGAGGCGTGGTGGATGAATGTGGCGCCATGGTGGTCTGGGTTGAAGGGTAGGAGCTTAATGCGCTCGTTGGAGATTTCTTGGAGGTCCTGGATGGGGAAGGGGAAGATTGAGGTTTTTGGCATTTTGAATTGACCGTAATGTTTGAGGATGGCTGAAACCTTGGAATTGGCTACTAGTAGTTCAAAGGCGATAGGTTCTTAGTGTACTTGGTTCTAAGTGCTTCAGTCAGTCAGGGAGTATCATTTCATCATATACCAATTGATGTCAACATAGATGAGTCATGATCCGACATCTGGAGCGAGTGAATTTACCAAGAAATAATTGGCATTGTTGATCTTTTGTCTAAAATAGGCATTAGTCCCAAGTAACTATGGCTGTCACCAAAATCTTGGAAACTGAATTTGTCATCTCTACTAGTATGATGCTATTCCATAAATTTACCCTTTACCCCGAATCCTGCCACCAGTAACTAACCAATACCACTAGGCAGCTTCACTTGCCGCTTTATCAAACCACACGCCTGTGTATCAGTGCCCTTGACTCGCTCGAATTTCCCAAATTTCTCAAATTCAAGGTATATAGCGGTATGACTCCAATTTGTCGAAAGTTTCTTTTATTGGTCCCACGGAATTAATTGGGGTCACCGGAACAATTGGAGTCGCTAGTCATAGTATTACAGAATAGACTGTTATTTTATGAAAATGTGTTTTCTGAAAATAAATGGATATTAATGAAGTAAGTAGCTCGATTTTCTGTCAGATCGATTCAAAAATCGATATCATCTCAGCTTCAAACCCAGTCCGCGTTTTCATAACTTGGGAGTTCGACGTCTTTTCGGATGTTGCATGCAGGCCTGTTAGAGCATCTAATTTAATCGTCCACGTAAGAGCCAGGCTGTGGAAATAATGATGGCCAGGCACCGTATTATAAAGAGGGCGAATGACCAGCCCGGTGAAGCGTTTTGCATCCTGACATTCGCGAATATGCGTGAAGAATGCCCGCGCCAGACCCTCGTTGATACAGCAGTTCTTAATGCAGTCCCGAATAAACCATCTCCGGCAAGAATCACGAAATTGCTTGACAATACCCTCTTCAAACTCCGACAACTTACGCGGCGGGACCGGCATCATGTTGTCGTCCATCTCCGGTGAGCATTTCAGCGTCAAGTCGAGCTCCTGAAGGGATGGAAACTGGCCCAATGCATCCCAGACTTCTCTCCCGGGACCTTGAGATTCTTGCGCACAGATGAATAGCTTCTGTAGGGACGGGCACTGGCTTGCGAGCTCTGAAATATCATCAGACGAAAATGCGGGCGCAATTTGTCTTCCGGTTTGTCTTTCAAGTTTGAATGAAAGTCTAGTGATATCTTGACTGTTTCCTGGACCATTGTATAATCTCAGTTCCTCTAGAGTTGATCCATGTTTGGCTAGGACTCCATGATTGAAAAAGGTAGGAGTAAAAGATCCTAGTAAATAAAGATAGGTCAACGGAGGTAGAGACTTAAACATAGACTCCGCAGAACGCCAGAATTCTAGAGCGTCATCCTCTTCCTGTTTGACTAGAAAAAGAGTAAGTCGAGTCAGTCGTTCGAAAGGGTGGATATCCGTGATAGCCTGGAGTAGTGCTGGATCTTCAACACAGCCAATAGTCCATGCTTTTAGAAGGCTGAAATCCGTAACCATTTGCCACTCCTGGAACTGATGGGCTGTCATTTTGCTTTTGAGGGGCCATAGTAGTCTTTGGAGCTTGCCAATAGGGGGGTTTTTCAGGCTTCCATCGTCCACTAGAAGGCCTTTCTTGTGTTTTGGGTCATGAGGACGCATGGTGCCAGAAGGATTAGATGTGGTTTGCAGTGAAGCCTCCTTGATATGCGGCGCCTGTAGTATAAGCTTCTTGAGGAGGAAATCAGAGTGGGTATCATCTAGCCCAGCCCTTTCCTTTGAATAGTCGCTAACATGTACAGCATGTAGCATCGGTGAAAGGGCCCAATGTTTGTTGAGGATTTGATATGATCCGTGACTGGGGAACGGCCAACAGGTGAAGATAGACACTCGACAAGTAGGATGATAGCATGATAAAGCCTCAAAGAGCTCCACCGGACCTCCATGACGAACAAGGATGTTGGCATTGTGCAAAGAAGGGATTTGTCTGATCAAATCCGTAATATGAGTCCAATCTCCCTCGCCGTAATTCCCAACTCGGCGGATGGCAGGGTTATCTATTTCCCCTAGCCTTAGCCTTTCCAAAACATACGGAATGTTGTTGGTTTTTTGTACCGCCACAAGACTTAATGTTTTCACATGTGTGAGAACAGCTCGGGTGGACGGTGGAAGGAGCAATTTGCGGGGAATTTCTCCATTAGAAGGAAGCCGGATGACGAGATGTTGGTATAACACGGAGGAAGCAATTTCATTCCATTGCCGATTTACTTCGGACAAGGATTGTAGATTTCCTTTATGTTTATTTTCTCCTGCCTGGAATCTCGATTAGAGCTGTAAATATAAATGATCGAACATGTTAGGAAACTTACCCACTGGGCGATGAGATGCTTGATCTCCAATGGCAGTTGATCCATTATTATTGTTCAATTCCAAGAGAGGTTGAGAATGATCCAGGGGAGAATGGAAAACAGTAATAGGATAGGATATTCTACCGAGGGAAAGAGGGCGAATGCAATAATGTGTTATTGCTGTAAAGAAGGAAGGAACAAATGAGTTGTACTAAGGTCCAGAAAACACAAGAAAAACACAAGGAAGAAAGGAACAGCCTTAGATAAGCACCGGTAGAGCCACTGATACACTACTATCTTATGGACATGCTCTAAAAGTGGGTCAAATCATCGGACTTCAAGTCTTACCACAAAGGCAGAGTATGGGTTTGAACATATATCGCGGGCAATGCATATATGGAGTCACAGGCGTCTCCATTTCCCATCCAGGACAGAAGAGATGGGCCAAGACAGAGGAAAATGGGGCGCGGGGGGAGCGAGATGCCGAGAGGGAGAGTCAGCCGCTGGGTCTTGACTCTTGGGTGCAGATCTCTGAGTGGAATGGGGCTGATAGCGTGTTGAACTTTGTTCAGGCGTTCGAAGGGGAGAGGCTGTTTTGGAAGAAGCTCGCTAGCCATTGATGGATTTCAAGTTGAGATAGGTCTACCGGACTGGAGGGGTTGTATAATGCGTAACCTTTGAGGTCAATGTGATATATAGTACAGTCTATCGGGTTTCGAGGTTTATTCAATCAATCTCCAGCTCGTGGATTAACTCAGTCAACGAAGAGATAGTCTGAGCACCGCGCTCCTCTCCACCACCTCGACAGAGCAAGTAACTCTGCCACCCGGCATCCAGTGCGCCAAGATAATCCTTTTCATAATCATCGCCAACATGCACACAGACCCAGTCTCCAGGACTGCTAGAAATCCGTGTGCCAACTGATGACGAAGCCAACAATCGAGCTTGTCGCTCCGCAACATCAAATATCAACCTGTGAGGCTTCTCTTCACCAGCCTCATAGCTCGTAATTACCAAATCCAAATCAACCTCAGACTGAACGCTCCGGCCAGACTCATCAGAGTCGTCCCGCCCAATCTTCTTACCTCGCTGCTCAAACCCAGGTAGCTCCATACTGGAAAAATCCTGGTCAGCCCGCAGATCACCGACACGCAGTCCAAGCGCCCTCAGAACAGCAGGAACCCGATCATCCGAGTTAGACACGACGCCAACCAGCACGCGGTCAAATCGACGATTCGTGGCCCCGGCGTTAACTTTGAGCTTTCGCAATCGCGCGAAAAATGGCTCAACATCCTCGTACAATGTGTAACCCTCCGCACCCGCAAATCGATCAACCAACGCCTCGACCATACCAACCGGGAGATGGGGATCGAAATCGGGATTGGGATTAATGCTGGTAGCGGCTTGTGTAGCTCGCGCTGAATTGCGAGACCCGCTCGCCCCCTCAGATAACAAAGCCCGCGAAAAGCTACCCCGAATCACCTCCTCCCACCATTGTTTCGGCCCGCCATATCGACCACGGAGCACATCTGCGCGACCGTAGTTCGGGTAACGGGCGGCCTGTTCGCGAAAGATTGTCTTGAAAGCTGCCTTGAGTTTCTGGGGGGTGATGGCCGTGCGCGAAAGGCCGAATTCATGGGCTGTTGTCGCGTATTGTTCTGGGACGGGCTGGCGTGGGTGGAAGAGGGTGTCGAAGGCGTCAAGGGTGAGGAGGAGGGTGCGAGGTGTCGATGTGGTTGAGGTTACGGATCGGGCATTGTTGAGGAGGTGGCGTGTGGGCATGGTGGGTTCAGGTTGTTGGTTGTTGGTTGTTGGGGCTCCAGGGCCTTTGTTGCGGTGAAGTCGTATGACGCGGTTGGGCAATTCTAGATCTAATCTTATCTCCGTTTTCCGTCTCCACCCAATAGATTTCGGTTGGAATAGGAAGTAGGAAGTGGAATAAATGTTGGAAATTATTAATTGTGGAGTCCGGAAATAGAAGTTTTAGATAAATATGTGAGTGAAAAAAGAAACAAGGTGATTAAATAATTAAAGCAGCTGTGGTGATGGCAATCCATCAGTCGGTCGGCTTGCATCGGCTCAAAAATGCCTCTTTGGACATTGTAGGCTCGCTGTAGGTGAGAGCTATGCCTTGCGACCGAAATTGAAGATCCAAATCATCGATAAAATCCCACGGATAATCTTCATCTTCGGATGTTGGGGATTCCGGCGAGAATTGGATCCTGATTTCCTTCAGTGGCAAGCGTCTCTCCACTGCTTGCTGAGCTAGATTCATGATCCACACCGATTCCCGCGTTCCGAAATCAGACCACTTTTGATAATTCTGGTCGTAAATGGTGAAATCCCAAACGAAGAGTTCAAGACATGGCCCCAAGAGTAGCGATGCAACATTTGATGAAACATCTAATTCATCTCCCAACTGCCATCGGGACAGAGATAGGGTGTGGAGAGCCGAGAGATCCGATAGGTTGGCAAGCCTGCCCCGACCAGAAACAGATAGTGGCCCGATACTCAAAGTAGTGAGCGTGTCCTTGTGCTCGTCGAGCATTTTCCGAAGTAGAGGGAGATCCAGGTAATTTGGGTGCGAGGCTCTGTGGTCTGGGTCGCTGTAGATGTTCTCTATGGAAAACTCGAAGAGAGACTTTGGCCAGTGGATGAGCGTGTTCATCGTGGCGGATGTGTCTTTGAAATCTGATAGATAGAGCTTTGTAACATCCGAGGCTTTAACAGGCTATATCGTCGATTAGTGGAGAAGAGAAAGATATCACAAATCGATACGAACCTTGGCCACCTCAACTCCATCCGACGAGGTGTCGGTGTTCGCTTCAGAGCTGCCGTGAATGTATAATTCCTGCAGCATGGGTATTTGCAAGTTCTGTAAGACATCGGCAAATCCTGGCCCTGTGAAGGCCTCTCTCGCCAGTAAAACCTGCTCCAGTCGTGGCATGTATCGTGAACACCTCTGTATGATATCCCAAGTATGGCTTTTGGAGCCCGGCTCAAAGCCACCATGGACTGTAAGATACTTGACATTCTTCAATTCCGGTATAATGGCGTCAAGGCACTCCGAGTCCGTTTTGCATCGACGGGGACAAACATCGGAAATGTATAGTGAAAGATTTTGACAAAACCGACCTAGGGAAGGATTGGCCTGGAGGGACTGAACTAGCTTCCTAGTTGAACAGACCGGGTAGATCATCCGCCGAGGAAATGCCATATGCAGGGTGTGGTAGTTGAACGAAATTATAATACGACTGAAACGATGACAGGTATAGGCTAGAGCAGGTATTAAGGCCTTGTTGTAAGGCGACTCTTTGTGCCATGCATCAGTTTCAGTTACGGCTAGTTCGAGAATTTGCCTTAGAATTTCATCTGGTAAGCGAAGGATGAAAGATGGACGACGTGAATCGGCGACGGGCTCATAATTGCATTGTTCGACAGTTTTTTGAACTGTCAGATTTCCCTTGACAGACTTGGTCAAGGTATTTTGTTGAGTCTGTCGAAAATATCTCGGTCGCCTGGTCCATCGAGTCTGCATTGCTGTGAAGGAAAGATTCAGCCACTTAGGAAAATAATAAGGAGCAATTGATCACAGAAACGATTTAAGAGAAATTATTCAGGAGTAGAGAGGGAGTACTAACCTGAAGATCACAGCTCAGCTAGCCCCACCGCTACACCGTCCAGATCGCAATTGGTCCGTGATTGGATACATCACCTCGGGGACCAAGCCGCGAATGCTGTATTATGTGCTCTCTAGACAAGAGACACATATCTGCATGTGAAGCATCATATGCAACAATTGATTGTTAGAAATTGCAGTGTTTGGACTGGAGGTTACTGTACGGAGTGGTCAACTAAAAGAAGGATCGCCAATGTGGGCGCTAAAATTAACTATCGGTGAAGCTGACCTGCCTGTCAGACTACTGGAGCCACGAACACTGCATGAGATGTCAACTTTCTTACCCCATGATTAATTTTCTTCTATCCCAAACATTCTAGTCTAGACAGGTGTTTGAAGGATATTTCCCCGTGGAACAAGATTGTCAATGAATCTTCCACCACTTCTTGGCTACCCCGGAAGCCACTGAGCGAGCAACAAACTGTGCCATGAAAAATGAATCATGCAAGGGAGACAATCGCGCTAACGGGGATTATTCATAAATATACCATAGCAAATAAATTGATTTGATTTTCAAGAGGTCACATGATTAGCAGGTGAGCCTGCCTCCTGATGAACTGCTAAATATAGGCTCTCTCTCTCTCTCGCTTTCATTTTTTCCTTCTTGCAGATAACTTGTTTCAGCTTCCACTGATAATGATTGAAGCCCAGTATAATATATCACATTAAAGGTTGAACTTTCAACCTTCAAATGAAGGTTCCATCATAATCGTCGCGCTAAGGAGGGCAACGCTCAGGCGGGCCTGTAGGACTGCCCACACCTCTGCGGTGAGCAGCATGCGTTGCCCTGTTGTCTTGCAGTTCTGGAAGATCTTCTGCGTCATGTTTGTACACAGCCACGAGGCTACCATCTTGGACAATTTGAACCAATTCATGGCATTTGGGTCTGTTTGTTCAGGGTCGTTCTTTGTGCGATCAATGAGATTCAACAATCCCGCAGATTGTAGTGTCATCTCAACACGTGCTTTGAACCCATCATACTCGTCCGCGGACGAGAGAACGTCTTTGAATCGCAATAATGTGACCTTGTCGAAGTCTGGTAATCCCGTTGCTTGGTTCCTGTCTTCGACCTCTGGCGGCAGCGTAAGGCAGTTTCTCTTACCCTCCATAATTCCGGGTGGAACCGCCATGTTGTTGGAGTTGTTTGACACTTGCGTTTGCGGTGCCGGTGTATTGTCGTCGGCGTCACTCATTCCCTCTTCGGTATCCGGTGACAATGAACGTCCGTGGCTGGTTCATAGCGGAGTGGACATTCGGGTCGTACATGGACGGGTTGGACATGTAATAACAAATCACGAGCCTCCTCTCCGATTCGCTGATATGTATCAATTTGATACCACTCCCATTTGCCAAGGCAATTCAATCACCTCACAGATCATGATCTAGATGACCTCCGCCACGAGTCCATGACCTCTGCTGAGCACTTGAGCATGGCTGTAGTCTTGGAAGTCGGGTATACACAAATAAGTCTGTATGACATGGAGTGGACGGTCGGAATGTTCGAATCACATATTTAGAATTGTGTGTTTCCTGTGATTGATGATATCTGGGCATCACCACGTACTTATTTGAACTTGACTTTGCTGCTTGCTGCCTTTAGAACAAGGCTACCATTAATCGTCTGTAAATGAGGACACTGAAGCCTGCGCGAGGATTGATTGTTTGAACGTTTGTTGATTGCTACTAATATAGGAGGTTGTCAGGAGATACGGTTCCCAGGTTATGCGCCATGCGGGAGGTGAAATGATTCTTGGACATGCGTCTGAGTACAGCGCAACACTAGATGAGCAAATTAGCAAATATAGTATAATGGGTCAGATCTAAGGGATCTGGGAGAAGGACAGAGAGAGAAAAGCAACTGGATTGGCTATGGACAATCTCTGTCGGGGAGATGGAGAGAAGAAGAAGGGAAAAGGAAGGAAGGAAGGAAGCACTAGATATACATAGAGGGGGTCGGTCACCTTGACCCCTCTCTAGCAAGGAAAGCTGGATCAATGCCACCACTCGAAAGATAAGAAACTGAGATTTTGCTGGGAACTTTTTTGGAGGTTCGAGTTGACTTGAGTTGCATCTTCATTGATGGAAAAGTGTGGCAAGCGCATCTTGGGGATGTTAGCTGGTCTCTTAAGGCCAACATGTTATCAGCAGTCCCATACCGCAAAATAGTAGGGTATTCCCCAAGACCGTTCGGACTATCTCAAACCAATCAAAGAAGCAAGCGAACATAAGATCTTATCAGAGATGATCATGTCGGGGACCCTGGAATCCGGATCCACCACCTACGGGCCAATCCACTGGTGATCTCCGGGAGATCCCCGGACCCCGGGGCTGGTTTCTCAATGATGGACCCACTGCCACCAAGTATGTCATAGCCGACGTAGTATCTACTTCTAGATACTAGTAGCCTTGTCTTTTCGCCAGGCTGCAACATTCTGAATTATGCACTCACACCACACAGCACGTGATGAGTTGTTTTTTATCTTTTCGCCCGTTGGTAATCCGTGATTGCTTTGTAACACATTTGTTTTTCTGCACTCCATAGCCTGTAGGTAGGCCTTAGACTAATAAACATCCTCTAGCTACGCTCCATAGAGCTGAATCTACAACTTCGCGCTCCATATAGCGCTCCACTCCGTTATCTCTAGAGTATAGTGTATAGTCTTCTTAGTATCTTTGCCAAAGTCCCCCCCACTTTCAAGTTTCATTGTTCTCTATGCCTCGCCAGGGCTCTACTCTCCATTGTCCTTGATTCCTAGTACTCAGTACCACGGATTTCGCGCTCGAAAATCATTTAAAAGTAAGAAGAAAGGCCCAGTGAACTGCCCACAGACACCGGGATTCTAAAAACTTGACCGACAACCATGCTTACTTTACTCTTCCCACTGTTCATCAGTATGCTGCTGAGCTTTTTCCGACCGTGCGAGGGCTCCCCAACATATCAGGACGAATATCGAAATAGCAGCTACGTACCAAATGTTATCGAAACATCATATGGCTTCCAGATTGTCGCACCAGCTACTCCTTATGTAGCAGCAGCCGGCCGAAACCAGCTATACTTTATCGACACCCGTTTTGATAATGACACCGCTCAGCATATCAAGAATCAAATTGAGAGAGCAACTATACCAATTCCAGACGAGTACACCGCGATAGACGAGATTACGGCCACAGCAGAAAAGAGAAATAGGAAAACTGGCGAAACGACATTTGTATTCGATCCTCCCTACGCTAGGGTTATGTTCGCCAAGGGAATGAACAAGCGCAACCCAGAGATCAAACTACCCGAGCATGAGCCTCCTGGCGATTGGCTAGTGACATACGATCTGGATGAGATAACAGGTGAGATAAATACGGCTTCAAAGAATGAAATGAAAACAAGTATTTGTTAGTGCTAGAGGCTTATATCTCAGCAGGCAGTAACTTGACAAGCCGGGTCACCAAACGGGTGGTATGCTCGAATTTTGGATGCTACACCGACGCCCACTGCTTACAACAATCCACAGCGTGTGTCCTCTGCCATGAATACAGAGTTGACAACGAGTGTGACGCGGGCCGCAATATTAATGCTATTGGGTCATGTATTCGGCTTTGTACGAAGGTTGTCGACACACCAAAGGAAGATGGTCAGACCGATGCCAGCTACTATGCACGGATGGACAAGTTGCACTGGCATTAAAGAGACCTTGTGGTCGCTCAGGTGGAAAGGCTGCTATCCAGGGCTGAACAATTTTTGTTCTTGGTGTCGATCTCTGAGATTGGGGAGAGGCATTCTATACAGGCCTATACTAGGGTTATCAAGTTCTGCGTTCTCTTCTGCGTTCCATACTTAGCATAGTTAGTTATCGGACGTTTACAGTGCAGAGTAGGTATAGATTGGAAACTCAGACACCTACGCTACCCAAAATCACTCTCTTAATCTCAAAGCACTTGAGGGGTCGCCGTCTCCGACCTCTCCAGGGCTGGTCTCCCGCGTTGACCACTTGGCGGATAAAGTGTGCGCTCGCAAGGCTCAATCGACTGGCACCTACGCCGTTGAGCCTGCTGCCTTGAGCGTTCTTTTCTTCAGTATATCTGAAAGTAAACTCCTAAAGCATTTTGCCTGTTTTTGAGTAAACCCCTCCTTAGATTAGTAGTCATTTAGTGGAGAAAACTTCTTTCTACCTCTATTGCGCTATCTTCAAGTTGTGGGCAAAGTAGAATATGTATACGTAAAGGATCAAGAATATTAGAACTGGTCTCGTTGAAATTTATTCGATGTCACTATGTATCGGTGTAAAAAGATAATTTTTATTTCCTCTTAAGTAAGGTTCTCCACACGACTTAGTATAAGTGTGTGGCACGACCTCCTGCCAAGTGTAGTGTCCCCCCAAATGGATAGTTGGACCCCCGCTAAGTCGTATTTGGATGTTAAGATAAATTTTAATTCACATGGTAATGGTTGAAATTCGGACCAGGAACGGTTTTACCACAGAATTCGAGAGATAATCACGATGTGATCTATATTGATCACAAGATACTTGGATGACCTCTCCATAATAATGACAGAAATAAAGTCGCGGGTCTTTCTAATAAACTCTCTGCTCAGTACTTACTAGTCGCACATTGTGCGATCCTTATTTTCAACTTCCAACTGGGAGAAGTAAACATGTGAAGTCAGAAGGTTAAGTAGAACGTGGCACGGAGAATTGCGGACGCTAAACCCAATCGCGTAATCCAAGCCGCATACTCGCATACTCCGTTTACTCCGTACAACTTCTATTCTTGAATTAGTATCTCTTAGAAGATCTGCGATCTCCAAATGCAATTTCCAGTTTTTCTATGTACTTTATTTTTGGCCCAAGCAGTTTCGTCAGCTCAAAATATAGTCTCCACCCAATACGCAGTTTAATCGAACAACTAGCAGCCAAGACGACGCAGTAAACTTCTGACAAGGCGAAAAAGTGGATATCCCACCTGGGATTACGCGTCTTATCATCCAAATCAGCCCTAACGCCATCCCATATCATCCAAACCGTCGCCACTAGTCACGGCAACTTTTTTTTCTTCTTTTTCAAGGTTATCCCGTTCCTTCGTGTCGGTCTTTCCCATCAACCCAACAAATATATCGACAACTCACAATAAACAAGAGGAGAGGCCTATCCCTCATCCAACACCAAAATGCGGCCCCACCACACCCTCCTAGCGATATGCTCGCTCCTGGGCCTATCAAACAGCTCTCCAACAGCCCCCGGAGCAACAAGATCAACATCACCAAGCACCGACCCCGTTCTCAAGAACGCAAACCACATTTTCAACGTCATCCAAGACTCCATGCGCCAATGGGGCTCATCCCTCCACCACAACGGCGTCTCCTTCTTCCTCGCAACCGTCCCAGCAGGAACACAGTTCTACCACGGAACCTCCCTGTCCGTCCCCGTCAACGGAACAGAGTGGCTGGCCTTCGAGCCCGAGCACGCGCTTGTATTCGCGCGCCCGCATCGCGGCCCACCACCCGGCCGACACGATGGAGATGAAAAGAAGCCCGACGGCCCACCCAGCCACGACGAACTGCGTCGTCGCCTGGAGCGCCGCGGTAACGAAGACCAGGAAGAAGAAGCCAACGGCTACCTGCACACCTATGCCGCAGCCAAGGACCTGCGTCTCCTCTACATCGACGGCATGTCCGCCGGAAAGACCGACAAGGGCACGCTCGACTCGCAGGACGTCCTTCTTTTCAACAACAGTCTCGGCGAGGGCGACGGACACGGTGGAAACCAGGGTGAGCGCGCACGCGCCATGCGCGCCTGTCAGATGGCCGAGGACGAATGGGCTGGTCGGATCGATGGTCTGTTGCGCATGGAGGCCGGCTTCGAGATCATCCTGTGCTCGTTCGCGCGGGACCTGACCCCTCTCCGCATCATCCAGACACAATCTATTGAATCTTCCCACGGTGACAGGAGCCCTGCTGGCCCCGGCCCCGATGCAGGCAGCGAGCCACCCAGAGGCGGTCCCGGTGGAGGTGGAGGTCCCGGCGGCCCAGGAGGGCCCGGCGGTGGTCCGGGGGGACCGGACTCGTCGCGCTGGGCGCGCGCAGTAGCATCGCGGTACGAAGGCATCGGCGGGCACCGTGTGCGTCTTAACTTCGACAGCTTCGTGACAGCTTTCTCGCACGAGCTGGACCTATTCCCCACCAGCCCGACGATGCCGCGGCTAGCGCACCTGGACAGCGCGGCGCTGGAGCCGCTCCGCACGCAGCTGACGGAGACGATCCTGACGCACGAGGCGCGTGAGGTTTCTTGGGACTGGCAGGCGACGACGGACATGGTTGTTTTGCGGTATGCGGACGAGCTGTCGTACTTTGTTTCTGAGCGGATGGCGAGCGTGCAGGAGCTGCGGGAGCAGATTACCATGCTGGTTGCGCCGTTTGTGGACTACAGTGAGCGGAATATCACGGCGGAGGCGGAGCGGTGTGCGGTGCAGTTCGTGCCGTTCCAGTTTCAGGAGGGGCCGGGTATGGCGGCGCGGGCGGTGCATGGGGTTACGTATAGTGTTTGCTTGGCTTTGCTTGAGGCGGGGAGAGAGGAGGATCTGGGTGCGGCTAAGGCGCGGATTCAGGAGACTATGACTGCGCTTGATTGGACGGCTTGGAAGAAGTGTCGGGGTTGTTTGGATAGTGAGATTTGTGTGGTGCCTATTTGGCCGATGGGGTCCATTAGCGATTATGAGAAGCCTCAGTGTCGGGATGCGTTGAGTCCTTATGATCGTGAGGGGGAGAGTTACTGGGGACATATGCGCCACTGATTGATGATTTTTCATTGGAAGGTTGGATTCGTATACATTTAGCAGTTTAGTTTTTCATTGCGGCTTTTGTGTTTTTCTTATCACTGTCGTTTTCTAGAGATACCTTGATACCTTGATACCTACTACTTCGTTTATCGTTTACTGTTGAGAGAATACCAAATTGTTGTTTCACACACACTCGAGGATTGAATTCACGCTTCCGCGTATAATAGGTACAGTTGAATAAGGTTATATAAGGTGACATAAAAGAAACGGGAACTCCTCATGTGCAGTCGTTTTGCATGCGCCCGGAAAGCAGCAATGGCTCAACTTTCGAAGCGCATGAAGAGAGGACCCATAGAAGCGAATGATCAAATCCTTTCAAAGGGTAGAGGGTATTTAGAGGGAAGTGACACCCTGAGCAGAGGTGACGACAGAGCCGACAGTGGTGGTCAGGTCACCGAGGCCGAGAGTAGACAGAAGGCCAGTGACGGTGGAGGTGAGACCAGAGGCAGCAGAGGTGACACGGACAAGCAGGGCGGAAGAGCCGTCGTTGCTGAGGACACCGAAGAGCTCGTTGGTGGGGAGGCCAAGCTCGGAAGCCTTGGAGGCAAGGGAAGAGACACCGGGGACGGAAGCAACAACGGTACCGACGGTACCCTGGACGGAGGAGAGGTCGAGGCCGTTTCCGAGCAAGTCAGTGACGGTGGACTCGGTCTTGACGAGCATGGGCTGGTTGTCGAGGCCAGTAATGGACAGGACGTTGTTGAGCTCGTTGGAGCGCTTGACGCTGGAGACAACGCTCTCAAGGGCGGAGACAACGGTGCCGACAACGTCACCGACGAAGGAGAGGCCGAGGGTAGACAGGAGGCCCTCGATGGTGTCATCGAGCTCAACCAGAACGTACTCGCCAGCGCTGGTGACGAAGGTGAGACCGGAGCCGGTGTTGGTCAGGCCATCCAAGGACGAAGCGGTCTGGACGATAGTGCCAACGGGGTTGGTGGCACTGCCGAGGTCAAGGCCGGTCAGCTGGCTGGCGAAGCCCTGCTCAAGCTCAACAAGCATGTTCTTGCCAGTCTGCTGGTTGGTGACGGTCATGACGCTGTGGACGGTCTTGTGGACAACGCTGGCAGCGCTGCTGGTGGCACCGGCGGGAACGATGCTGGTGGGGGTGGGCAGAGCCATGGCAACGGAGGCCAGAATGGCGGAGAGTGCGAATGCGGCCTTCATCTTGAATGTAGAGAGTGACTGTGCTTGAAAAAGCTGTAATGAATGGACGGTATTAACCGGAAAAAAGGAATGACTGTAGTAAGAACGAGGATGCAAAAGCTTCTTGGGTTGGAGGAAAAGAAGAAAAGCCAATCGACATGACCTGCTCTTTATACATCCACCTCGTACTCAGGGGAACTGAACTCTATCCCGTCCATTATCCAGGGGATTGACATCGACGAAAGCATTGTTGCTCCACATCTCCCAGTCACCGTGGATGGGGGGAGATTATCCTTGATGTTCCAGTTACTAGTCCAATGACGAACAAAACAGGGGAATCCTGTCAAAACAAAGATAAAAGACCCACATACAGAAGTTAGTGGAGCAAGAATGGACTATCAAAGGGGGTTATGAGGCCCGTAAAGAAGGCCGAACCCACCTTAAACTTCAAAGTAGGCCCATCGTCATTAGCCACCGTAGATCCACAAATTACTCCGCTCTAGTCGCAAAGTTGGGGGGCAGTTCGCCCTATTCAATGGAGACAGAACGCGCCATCAGTTACGGAACAATATTGTGTGTGATCCGCTAGCATTGTTGTTGTTTTGAACCGAATTCGAAGCTATTCAAAAGCTGCATTGAAGCTCAGCAACTTCTTTGATGTCACCACGCATTTGCCACATGGGTTCCTGGATGTGCGGCGCTAGGGAGGTTGATACGAGTGCTTAGGTCCAAGCACACTGGTAGCGGAAGGTTGGATAAAGCCGCTCCGAACCCGTTTTGTTTAGAGATCAGCAACGGCACGTTTGGATACCCACAAACCTCTGCCAATGGTGAGTGGAACCTTTGTGCTTAGGATGCCAAAGATCTGCATACTGCCCGACCCTGCTTAGTGGGACCCACCGGTGCCACAAGCTAGGACGAATAGGCGGCGATTACAATCTCAGTTGGTAGCTAAATGGAGTTAGCTCTGTTGCTATCATCAAATAGTGCCGTGAGCGGAACCTAAAGTGCTCTTCCCCCAGGGCGTGAAGCCGCTCTTTCGTCGTCACAGGCCCCGAAAAAAGGTACGTAGGATTTGAGAAGTTTCATGCGTCCGAGCTCGATTGCATCATCGATTGAGGGATATTGAAATTGGCGCCTGACATAGTTAAATTTTCGGCTGCTGTTCCTTTTTCCCCGAGTAATTTAAACCCGCATGAACTGTTCAGGGGTTTTGTTGATCAATGTAGTACAGTTGTACAGGAGATCCGAGTGATGTTGGTGAAACAGGAACGGAAGCCTAAATCCACTGCCGGGTGGAGGCTCCTTCCCCTGAAAAGCCACCGAAAATCCACTTTCTTGTCAACGTTGAAAAAACCCCAAACTTTCGGTGAAAAGTTTGTTGGCGCGGGGAAGAAGAAGGTAAAGAACCCATCCCGCTTTCAATCCACGCTTGTAACCTTGGAAGGCTTGGCCCTTGGATAAGCTTCCTCAAGTGCGCCAAGGTCGAGCCTTGTACGGAGTAAAAATGAATCACAACACATGCGGATACAAAGTGCTTAATATTCAAATTTGGCCAATGTTCGAGGTCACACACTATTCACATTATTCACATTGAGGCCTGCGCTATGAAGGAATATAGGGTCTCTAGTCCGTAGATCATGGGGGCTGGAAATCTCATTCCAAGCAGGGGGAGACTTGACCTTCGGCCTGTACCTACTAGAGCGTCAAGGTCCCTTCTCTGATTTACCGCCATCCGTTGTTCCAACCAGCCTGTTCCACCACAAATGCAATCGCTAGTTCGGTGAATCGTGCCATGTGCTGCCCCTATGCGTTAGTAATTTACCCCCTATTTCCATAAAGGGAAGGTGACCTACATCGACAGAGAAATAGCCAGTTTCATCATTCACCCACATGGTATCCCGAGTCCCGTGGACATAGGGATCAAACTCACCAGGGAAAAAACCCCCCGCTAAGGGGTTACCTTCCGAGGCAAAGGCGGCCGGGTAATTGAGTTGTGTGTATGACATGTAATCAGAGCCAGCGGAACTTTTTTTCTCTTCTGTCAATAATTTGCTCACACAGAAAGATGAAACAAATTCAACTTACGGTCCAAGGTCATAAATCTTCGCGGGAATCGAGATGTATTTTCCGCTCAATTTCACGGTCCAGTTGGTGAGAGCTGCGTCGGCCTGGGTCGAAATAAATCCGATACTCTCGGTCGCATTGCGCGCAATGAAGGCCGTCATGTCCTGCACGCCGATAACTCAAAATATTAATAATCACTCCTTGCTGTCTAATTGACGAGTTGCCAGGGAACCACTTACGAACTCCATCATCGCACCGATGTTCGCGCCTTGCTCCTTCTTGTAACGAGCAACACGTTGACTGCCCAACAAACCACCCTCTTCGGCTGCATACCAGTGGAACTCCACCGGGCCATTCTGAGGGGTGTAGCCACTCTCAGCCAAAAGCCGGAAGGCCTCGAGAATACTCACGGTACCTGAGCAATCGTCATCTGCGCCGGGGGCTGGCAGAAGGGGGAAGAGGTAGTTGGCCGAGTCTTGGTGTGCACCAAGGATGGTCAGTGGGGCAGAAGCATTGCGGACCTTGGGCTCGAACCGAGCAATGATCGATGACTGGGGGAAGGGGTGGGTGAAGTACTCGAGCGAGATATGGGTACGGAATGGAGATTTAGCGATAATCTTTTTGGTTTCAAATCGCGTTAGTCTTTATTCTGTGCACACAGGATTTTGAGATGAAATACCTCGGCAATGTGCTCATGAAGCCATTCAGAGCTTAGTTCGCCATGGATATCCCCATAGTACCGGTTGTAGTACCCAGTCATATGGTGGAGAACATCAGTCATACGCTGTTGATCAATCTTCGGGAAGAGAGGTCGGATAAGACTCTCATGGATCAGTTCAGGAAGGTCTGGCGTGGGCATATTGTCAGCCAAAGGTCACTCTAGCGAATAAGGAATAGATCAATGAAAACCTACGGGGCTTGCCAGCCGTCAATGTATGCATCTGCTCAGCATAGAAGTCTTCATGATCGGTAATGTCTACAAACTTCTTTCCTTGTCTACGGAGGCGTAGCTTGTCTCCTTCTGTCATCCATTGTGGCTCGGAGTCATCACCTAAGATACGTAGGAGACGGGGCTGAGTAAGAAGCGATTCACTTTCAGGCTTCAAGGAGACGAGCGCTGCGACTGGGTCCGAATGCGCTTTCAAAGCTGCAAGAATAGCCTCGTCAACATTGTGCTCGTGTGTGCTTGGAGTCTCGGAGACCGGAGCGAAGACCACTTGCGCGTCAGCCGCTCTGGCAATGTGGGCCGTGCCCAGGAGTAGTATAAAGAAAGATTTCAGCATTGAAATGGGGAAGGTGGATAGTTTAAGCTGCGAGGAGAGTGGAGTCAGGAGATTAATAAGACTTCCAAGTTTGTTTGTTGCCTATTTATCGTGAGGGGAAGTCAGCACGCGATGCGGAGATAAGAAGTCGAGATAAGAAGTCGAGATAAGAAGCCAATCTGACGCGTTGCCAACAGTGGCCCAACACCCACAGACAGGCCGGGGAAAACAGTTTATATTCAGGTTGGAAATTCAGAGTATGTAGGCATTAACAAAGGCCTTTGTATCGCATTCATCAGCCTACTATATCATCAATATCTCATCTCCCATATTCCGTATGTATGTTTCATTCGACATCCTACTCGTCCACTCTCACGACATCTGAAGTAACAGCCTCGGCCTTTTCCTCGGAGGAACCAAAGTCCAAGAGCCCCAGCTCAGTGTAAATCTGAAGCAAGCGATTCCTGTCCTCAATCGCGCTACCAGCTTCATCCCCGAAGACTTCATCCATTTCCTCAAGAGTCAAATTCTTGGTCTCAGGAACCACAAAATATATGAAAAGTGCGCCAAGAATGCACATGGCTCCAAAGAAGATGAAAGTTCCGTAGCCCATTTTCGCGACCATCTGAGGGGTGGCTTGACCGATCTGAGAAGGGTTAGCGAATTCAGATAGTGACCAAGGTCTTGGAACTCCTTACAGCAAAGTTATTTAACCAGTTAGAGGAAGCACCGATTGAAATGGCCTTGGCTCTGACTCCAAGTGGGAAGATCTCAGCGACCATAACCCATGCACCCGGCTACAAGAACTGTCAGCTTGAGCCCGTGAGATTGTTTAAAGATCTTGAACTTACACCCCAAGAGTAACCAAAGTTGATTTCATAAATCCAGACAAAGACAACAGCAACCCAGCCCGCAGCTTTATGGTGTTGCCAGCTGGTATTAAACTGTCCATCGAGTGCAGCCACAATGAAATGGGAAATGCCCATGCCAATGGCTCCTGCGATCAGAACGGGCTTACGTCCAAGCTGATCTATATAGAGCACCGCAGGGATAGTGGCCAGAAATAGGAGAATACCACCCACTCCACTAGCTAGCAGAGAGGAGGTGTTTCCCGTGAGTCCTAAGTCTTGAAAAATGAACTGAAAATTCTCCATATTAGCAATGAACTTCGACTTATTTAAGACTTTTTTGCTTGGCTTGTGACTTTGAACTTCAATGCAGAGCAGACTCAACATCCACTTACCGCTGCATAATACAGAATAGCGTTGATTCCGGACCCTATGAGAACCCAGAAATGTTAGCCGATCTGTGATATCATTCTCCACAATGTGGACATAAAACATACATTGCTGAAAAACCATGATGAAGACAGCAATGACAGTCCGTTTGAACAAGGATCTGTTCGTCACCAAACTTGCATATTCATGGAATTCGAGTTTGACCTTGTTCATCCACCCAGGATTGTGGTACTGAGGGAACTTTGCCAAAGAGGTTTCCTTTTCGAAGCGGTCTTGCGCCTTCACTTCTAGGTATTCCAGCTGTACCAGCTCGCTGTCAGTGGGCAGGCTGCGTAGATTTGCAATAACAGCCAGGCATTCTTCGTCTCTTCCCTTCACCATCAACCAGCGGGGGCTGTAAATAATTAGATAAATTGTCGATACAAGGAGTAGAAAATGAAGGATATTTGACCGACCTGGGGGGCATGAAGAGGATTCCAATCCCAAGTCCTAGCGCGGGGACAACCTGAATGCAAATTGGAACTAACCATGCTGCATTTGACTGGCCCTCGCCAGTTCCACCGATGTAATTAGTGCCGTATCCTATGTTCCAAGTGTTAATTACCAAATTAGCAGTATATTTATTGGTTTCAGGCTTCAAACGAACCGATCCAGTAGGATACCATGATTCCAAAACAGATGGCAAGCTGCTGGAGGGAAACAAGGGAGCCTCTCAGCTCAGGCGGCGCGAGCTCTGCATTGTACCTAAGCAGGGGCATTAGTCTCCATACTCATTGGCAAGGGGTTGAGAATATTCCTTACAAAGGCACGATCATTGATAAGATACCGACACCGATACCAGTCACAAAGCGACCGCCGAGGATGTAGTCGGCGTTTTTCGCACATGCCTGGACAATGACACCGAGGAGGAAGACTCCAACTCCAGAGACTGTTGCTTGCTTGCGTCCTAGAGCATCTGCAAGAACACCATTTATCAAAACACCAACCCAGGCTCCCAGTTCCAAGATACTATTTATTTTCTGTCAATTCTTGCGCACCATTTGATAATGCTGGCAGAGGGGTTGAACTTACGCCGTGAGAAATCCCCTCAGTGTGGGGTTTGTGATAGACTCCGGGTGCACAGTGTTAGAAAAGGAAGTCATGTTCAGAATCTGCCCGAACATTCCTTGATTGTCTGCATTTTTGTTTTGGAATCAGTAAAAGGCCTTCTGTCAATTTTCCTCCTACACTGGATGGTTAGTAGGATCAGATACATACAGCCATATACAAGGCCTCCAAGTGATGCGAAAACTGCAATAGCAAAGATTCGAAGATTTGACATAAGACCCTTGATTCCAGAGGGACCAGCGAGCCTAGCGCGACGCTGGGAGATCGCAGTGAGCCCCCCGGTGGGTGCCGAAGAACTGACAACCATAGTGTAAATTAATTTAGAGCTTAAATGATAGCTTAAACATCTGTGGGTATCTCTTAATCTCTGGAAAGGAATAAAGTTGAATTAATGTCCTTGGGTGAACACTGAAGATATATTCAGAGTGTGGTCATCCAGAGTAGTATTTCCAATGTTGTTTAGGCTGAATGGGACTTTATTTACCGGCTACAGGCTGCGATGCTAATTAGCCTTATTCAAAGGTAGTAAGTGGCCATAGTTTAATGAGTGACCGGCTGTTTCAGCAGAGCTAGATTATGCTGAAGGTTTGTGGCTTGGTTTATGGCTTCGTATTTCCCGTAGTGCAGGTGGCCTTCTTACATAAAGGGTGTGGCCCATATGGGGTAAAATAGGCTACCAAGTGATATACTTCGACAGCGGCATATAAGCAAGCATTTAATTGGTTTATCTTTACAGGAAGGTCTCAGTCAGCAGTAAGGGGATAGGTTCAAGTGATGCTTCAGTGAGCGGGGGCTGCGGGGCAGGGGGCTCAGGCCCTCAGGGTCGTGCTTACTACTAGACTCAGGAGTCAGGAGCACTAAAACAGAAAGGGAAATCAATTGCCGATTCACAGCCAATAAATCAGATACCACTTTAATCAGAGCCACAGGAAGCAACTAAGGCCTTTCAGAGTTACACCTCTTTACTAACCTCTTTCTTAAGTTCTAGTCTTACTACCCATCACAGAATAGATGGCCCTATAGGGCCTTTCTTTTTCGGGTATGATCTAGGTTGAGTTGGATAAATAAGGGGTACTCCCGGAGCACGCACTAAGCACGCACTGAGCTTATCTTGGATTAGTCATGCATCACGTGACTATACTGAGCGTGATCACTGAATCTTGACTTTTACCCAGTGAGCAGCCAGAGCGCCCTCATAAAAGCGGCGGCCGCCCAGTCAGGAAGGCCCCACCCGGCAGACAGTATCCTGTCTAAATAAGTGCATATATTAACAATCACCCGCCCGCGAGTGCCAATCACTGAATAGGGTTACTAGCTGCATCTTGTAGGGGCGTCCAGAAACTTGAGCCGCCCGAGTTGGAGTCATTTCCAGATGATGTTTGCACATAGTTTCCACCGTCACCCCCACCGCCACCTCCGTTGGCAGCATTCGCAACCTGCAATACAGCATTCAGCACCTTGAAACCTACGTTTATGCCGCTGACGATAGAGCGAGTCTTGCTTTGCCGAGAACCGCGTGGCTGCTGAGGTTGGGGCTGCCGAGGTTGGACTTGTTTGTTTCGCAACATCTCTTTAAGATCAGCTTCCCAGTTATTGATGTCGGCGAGCGCCGCTTCTGCAACTAGACCATCCACAGGGCCCGCGCCGTTGACATTGACTAGGACCCAGAGGTCGCTGTCAAACTGGGATAAAACCACGCCCTGTGTAACTCCGGTTTTCCGTTAGTGACATATACTAAAGTGATAAAGACGGCACATGTCTGACTCATGACCGACATATGGTATATGCAGTCGTGTGCCAAAAGAGAGACGGAACGACGGAGAGAGTGTGTATACTCACAACTCCTTTGAAGCCTTTCAGCTCTTTCAAGATGGTATTAAGCTTCGCCTTCGTCCCACAAAGATTCCAATAACCGCCGCCACCCGTCGTGGTGACAACAAATTGCCCGTCAGGACCGAACGCAACAGAAGCCGGGAATTTTCCAACCTGCCAATTTCCGTTCGGGAGAATACGGTCTTTGCAACATTTCTCCATTCCGACCGGCAGATTTCCTCGAGTTGAATTTTGGGCGTCGAAGGCAAAATACGCACCGTTCGGTCCAAGAGCGCACTGGAGAGAAGCGTGGTCGCGCACGCTGATGTCGTCCTTGATCAGCCATCCCTTGAGGCCAGCTGGTAGATTATTGTGACCTGAAAGAATAAGGTGTAAGTTCAAGTTCTTGATAACCCCAATTATGAGCTTTAGAGAACATACGGAGTTTGTCGGAGCCATCGTGGTCGATGTAAACCACTAGGTAAGACCCGTTTGGGCCGAGGGCCATCGTTCGAACATCTCTTATTTGTGGCCGCTGCCTGATCAGCTCCATCACGCCCTCGGGAAGGTTACCGAATGCCCAGCGATTGGGCGCATTGACGAAGTAGCCATTGTCAGGCCCCAGCTCGATGCATGTAGACATGGCTAAAGAAGGGATCGCTGAAGGCGATATGTATGGCACAAAAAGAGCAGAAATTCAGCTACGAGGCCCAGGTGCCCTTGAGGAAATTCTGAATCAAAAGACTACATGCGCACATCGGAACCAGCTGAGCTGTTTATATGTGATTCCTTTCTTTCCTAGACCTGTAGTTTTCAGTCGCTTCAAATGCTCCTCCATCAATCTAGAGTTTAATGTTCCAAGAACTTCAAGGTGGCCGGCTTACGCCCAGTCGCGTGGCGCTCGTATTCTCGCTTTCCAACACCCTCGTAGTGAGACCCTTGCCAAGAATCCCCAAGATCTTGATTTAGCGCACCTAGGTAAGAACCTGCGCTTTTTTGAGTTCCTGGGCCCGACCATAGATTCGGTAAAGCTTTTCATCTGCAATTGATGCTTGTCCATGGCGGGGCGCATCTAGCTGGCGGCTTGGCGGCGCTATGATTTGCAAGAGATCTTGGTTTGCGGGAACACTCCAAGCCCATTCAAATAAGCGAGATAGATCAGGTTCAGGGTCTTATTTAGCTTGGTTCTGTTCCAATCGTAAATAATTTCCCCCACTTTCCCGCGTATTTAATCCGAATTTCTCTTCTATGATCTTATCTCCCCTACTCACTCTCTCGCTCTTCGCGCCAATCATGTCGCCCGGATTACAGATCGATTACTGGCTTTTGCAGGAAGGGGCTCGTATCACTAGCATCTGATGAGGCCATTTGATTGTGGACCGAGACCTATCATTAGCTGAGGCTTATATACCCAATGCGCTGTGATTGGGAGAGGCGGTACGCCACTGCATGTGTGGTCAGCTTCTTGCCACTGGAGTCAAGGTAAAGGGCAGTATAGAATAAATGTTACCTGTCAATTAATCCGACTTTGAATTGATCACTTCCTTGCGACCTCTGAGACTGCGATCCAAACTTTTCTACTTCTCCTGTTTCATTGGCTCCGTCCAATTTTCGATTTCTTTTTGGCATCCCGCTTTATTGGACGATATATCCGATTCAGCAAATTCTACTTGTCAGGATCCAGAACTTCCACGGGTGCGCTACAGAAAGCAGAAGAACGAGGCAATTCAAACTTGATCGATCCAAGAACGACGATCTAGGACGCCACCAAGATGCTCCGAGTGTAATGTTCAGGTCCATCAGAGAACACATTTTCCAAATTTGATCAAATAGCTTAGATATTCAATATCACGTTGTTCTGCTTCATTTGGACAAGGTCAATCATTAGGTCAATAACGGGGTGTCCCGCTTGGCAGGATGTTACGTTAACTAATTGACTAAACTGCTGTGGTGGCAGACAAACACACGTACGCGATCCATAACATCGCTACATGCTTCTCAAACTTGATTAAGCGTCCAGAGAGTTTCAAGCCCGGCTTGTCTCCCCTACGGTGATATTTCGATTTAACATACATGCTGGAAAGCTTTCATCGACTTGCGACGACAGGACTGTTTACCCCTAAGAGTCTAAGACCACCGACGACAACAACAAAGTTACCGCGTCAACCCCTCCGAAAAAAACGAGGATTGAGAAAGGATTGAAGGCTGTTTGGAACCAGCTGAAAATAGACCCCACGGTATCTGTCTCATGTGCAATAGAAGGTTCAAATGTTGGAGGAATATGTGATGGCTGTTAAGAAAATGTGTTGGAGAATTTGGGGTCGGTGCTACCTGCTGAAGAGAAGAACGCTCCCCACTACACATGTGCACTGAATGATACCTTATAGAAACGAATATTAGTAAGTAGATGCTCATATCGTTATACCATTTCCACGGGCTCTACGTTTACGCACGTGTGCGAAGAATTGGAATTGGAAAGCATCTGTGCCGCGAGGTACCCACTTGGTACCTCCCGACCCGTGTGGCTGGGTCCCCATCTAAGGTTGGGCACAGATGTGTAAATGGGCATCTACTAGTACTACAGTCTACTACGTTCATACATCAATCATTGTCCAGGGCTCGAAAGCGGGGTCACAGTTCTAGGTACGGTAAGAGCCCTAAATTTAACTTTCCGCCCCCTAAAAACCACCTATAATTACAATTTACGAGGCGGCCCCAGGGCCCGTGGGTAAATCGCCCAGAGGATTTGTAATAGATTTCAAAAGACTTGCATGAGAATCACTGGGTGGTGAAGTGTAATTGTCTACAGATGAGTGTGCAGAGCCTCCCGACGCCCCCTCACCACATGGAACGTGCCGCAGTTGGCCGGGGTCATTTGTCCCAATACGGGTTTTACCACCGAGCTACCAATGAAGTATCCGTCAACTGCCGTCTCCTGCATGCGGCTGAAGGCCGACGTGCGTCATGCGCGTGCCGTAGTATCGCGTAGCACGATGGCCTCAAGTTGACTAACGAACTAGTTACTGTTTGTGGCCAGTAGTCATGTCTCTCATAGGTCCGCTACCACAGGGGTATGCAGCCTTTAAGCACAATTGTACGCGAACCGAGCAACATGACTCTTATCCTAAGGGTACGTGCGCTGTTTTTCTGAGTAGAATCAGTTGACATCCGGACATCTTTGACGGATCTAGTAATCTACAGCCGATAAGATGCTAAAAGTACTGCCGGGAAGAAAGAGCATAAGATGAGGCTTTGATCCGACTATTTTGTAGGCCTGGTGGGGAAGAATAGTCAAGTCACGAGTCATAAAGACATTTGAACCAGTTCTTGAAAGCAGAATTTGTTTGCTTTTTTAACGCAAGCATGGTAGGGAGAATTTTCCGAATTCACTGTTCGTCTAGATGTCACTAACAAGGTACAAGTCGTATTTTGGGCGAGAACAAGACCCACACTCAATGTTCTCAAATCGGATAGTGTCGACAGACACGGCAACGGCAGTAAGTGCAATACCTTCATTCAATTACGGAGATCGCCACTTCCAAACTGACTTGCAAAGTCCCTACTAGCGAGCGAAACAGGTTATGTGTCACCATCTCAATCCATCAATCGTGTCCCTGTCGGGTCAAGAAGTGTATCTACAGATTGGAGCCAAACAACCGACTTGAAACCGCAAGGTCTATCAAGCACGACTGCTCCTGTGACCGAGGTGAGTAAAATCAAGAAAAGACCCGGAAAGGTAAAAAACCCTCGAATAACATTGAATCATAGGAGACTCATGAAATGCAAGACCTTGAAATAGCCAAGGAAGAGAGCCACAATGTACGTAACACGCAGTTCCTCCCCCATCTTGAGTCCTTCCTTCATACTTATCATAACCATTTGTTATAGTATAAAGTCCCTCGAACTCTTCTGAAGGGATACTCAGGCAACTTTTTCTCGCCGAATGCTCAGTACCAACGTGCATACCCGCAATCGTATAAAGGACCTGGTGATAGGGATTACAGTGATTTCGAAAAGTTGCCATATCGACACAAAGACCACTTTCAGCGTGTTTACGAAGGTCTCCCGGATGAGAGGTTCCTGGACCCTGTCACTGGTAAAGTCAGGGAGCTTATCGTTCAGTGTGCCGATAAAGTCTATAATGGCCCACCGAATACTACATACAAGAGAACGTTCATACGAGACGTTTCTCCCCTTACGCTCAGGCTGGCTAACTGGCCGATGAGCGGGTTCGATGCTGATGAGATTGATGATGATGCTGATGGTGATAAGAAGCGCTCAAAATCCAACACTCTTAAGCATATCTTGTCTTCTACTGAGCTTTTGGTCAAGTGGCCCATTTCATGTCTGTTGTTATACCCTGTGGTAAGTGGAGCCCCTCTCAAACATTGCCCTTCAAACCTTTTCATTTCAACGTTGCTGTTCATGAAATTGATCAACGTAACACTCTTAGGTGGGTATCCCCGGCCTCGCATCCACGGGCCAGATCGTTAATCAGGGCGGGTACGACCCTTTCCCCTACCGTTATTGGGGATATTGCAAAGTCGCCCGCAACACCCTTGAAGACAGGGTCGCAAAGTCATTCTATGGTTCTTCTCTGACACCTGCCATTGCAACCTCTTTGAAAACGAACCGAATTCTTGAACCACCGACCCTTTGCTTCGACATAGGTGAAGACCGTTCCCAGACTCTGTCGGTCGAGGAATGGAAAAAGAACCCCAAATACAAAAACCCTGACAAAAATACCGCGAAGTACGTTTTCGTCGCTTATACGAGGTCGCAATTTCCTGGTTCAGAGTCAGAAGAAGAGGCTATTCGCACGATAGGCCTGAAAGCAGCTAGAGATGCTGGTGTCCCGGCATATTGGCTGGACTTTGAGTGCATAGACCAAGTCGATAAAGAAAGTGGGGTCTTTTGCATTAGTGATATAGTGCGCGGGGCTCATGCGTTGGTTGTCGCCATCGGTAACCCTCCCAGAAAGATACCGTCCAGAAAGACTCCTACCGGAGAGATATCTGGCTGGGAGACACCTGCCGAAGAGATACCTCCACCGGGACTGTCTGATAAGGAAAGAGCCGATTTCCTTCTGCGACGATGGGGAAAGCGAGTGTGGACGTTTCCCGAGGTGTTGTTGTGTCAAAATAGGGAACTGAAAGTATACGAGCGAGGCCAGGCTGAGGCCATAATGGCCCTGCCAAAAAACCGGCTCGCGGAAAAATGCTGGGACGATTCTGACAGCAGCAGGCAACTTCTCGATCATTTTGCGGGGAATCTCATTCTCACACCCCTACAATTGACCATCATTGCATTTGAGTGTCTCTTCACGAGGGAAAAAAGGGACTATCTAAAAGTGAGTTCATGTCTAGTTTTTCCATCTTGGGCTCCTGTCTAATTTATCTCCTACTAGGGCGATCACTCCTACGTACTTATGGGTCTCCTCCTCAAACGACCAAAAGTCGACAAAGATGATTCAGAATTCCAGGCATTCGCTCGCCTTTCCCTTGCCAATGACAGTGACAGACTTCTTGAGCGCTTGATTTGTCTTCTACCGGAGGATCACTTCCAGAAGTGGCACTGTGTTTCAGATGGATATGGTGTCAATCTCTGGGATATTCAGCCACACTGCCAGATAGCTGGCATCTGTGACGATGACACAGTCCTGATCGATGGAGCTTTCGGCGCCACAATTCACTGGGACAGATTTCGCAAGGTCAATGCCCGACGGTCAGCTTCCGCCACGCGCACTATGACCCAGGTACTACTCCACGGAGCCCCATTCTTTTTCATCGTGGGGATTATCCTATTCAAGACGAGCAGGGATGTTCGCGGACTGCTTTCTGGGTCGCTTGTACTTTCAGCCGTCGGGGAAGTCGATCAGAAGGCGGAGGATAAGATGAGGGCTCTTGGTGACTGGGCGGACTTCTTCTTCGCAATCGGCATCCTGCTTTTGGCTACCGCGGCGACAACCTTTGTCACCTCGCCATATCTCACTCGTCTCTTATATCGCGGCAAGTTCTGTAAGTCCACCTCATCCAAACCCCATGATTTCTCCATTTTAAACTAACCAATGCTCAATCAGGGGGCTCCCAAGCTTGGCTGTTCGGGTTCGAAGGCTACGCAGACATTAAAACCATTGAATCTCAGATTTTTGGCGCGCGGCTCAATCGCCTACGCTGGAGCCCATATGGCTCTTCCCTATCTAAGAGCTATAGGGATAAGTATGGCGAATGCAAGGGAATCGACCCGATGACAGACCCAGTCGTTAGAGAGAAAATTAAAAGAGCTGAGAGAAATGAGAATTTTGGCGAGCTACGAATTTTCACGCTGGTGGACACCAACACTATGACGGTCACCTTGTTCGAAGCCGTGCGACCGCCGACTGTTCTTCTTCTGTGCGCGGCGGAGGGAGGCATGCAACGGGCCATTGCCTGCTCGTATCAGTGGATGACTGGGACATGTCATCGGGAAACGGTTCTCCGAATGGAAACGCCCGTTCTGGAGAAAATGTCTCGAGTTTCTAGGGTGAAACTGGGGGTCATTAGGAAAACCAGGGAAAGCTCTGAAGAATAACCGTTCAATGTTGTTTTGATTATACATATGTCTTTGCCATTTGTCCACTTTCAGCATCTGTCACTTTTCTCAGGTTTCGAAATTGGTTCATTGAATATTATGCATTATGTTATTCCGACTTTGAAACAATGATACTAATTGTGGATTATTTTATTCTATACACAAACTTTTGCTCTATACTAAGTGTGTTATCAATATCCACCACCATAGCTGTTTCGTCGTTGGTGGCCAATGGCAGCCACTCAAGATGGAGATTACCCACTATATGACGATGCCAGAATTTCAGCTTTGCTGTAAGCCAGTTAGATCTTGGGCTGGTGCAATAGAGTTGCCTCTGGGATGACTGACAAGTCAGAGAATTGCTCTGATGCCCCTTTGGAAAGTTTAAGCTCTTCTGGACAAGATAGACTTCAAAGGAAGGATTTTGGGTTAGTCTGCGAGTGGCGCTAATCTGGTGCCTCATCATTGGCGCCCGATAGTGCCCACGTGGATGGCTTCGTACGTGTTTCACGATGCAAGCCTCAAGGTTGTCTTGTAACATGAAAATGTATCATCCTGACGGCAACAGCGAATCTTGCAAAATTGTGGAGTTGAATGGATGGGGAAAAGAAAAGACGTGGGGTATTTCCCGCTGAGAAGCTTGGGAATGGAGGCGCGCGGAATAAACCTTTGGAGAAAGGGATGATAAGTGCCATGGATAGGAAGGGAAGGGAATAAGCGTCAGCAGAGTCACAGATGAACGCATAAAAACTTACATAGTGGCGAAAGATAGAATCAAAACCGGCAGTTTGTCGAGGGCACAAGAACCAGACTTACTCCGAATCAAAGTCCGGAGAAGGCATGTGGGGAAAGGTCTGGGGCTAATGGCGGGGCAGAAGGGATCCGCACTTGAAACACTTGCACAGCAGCACAGTACACTGGTATGAGAGAACAATCTATTTGAGATTTCGTACAAGCCAATGTTCGTGGAATTTTTCTGGGGGGTTGGTTATTAGCTAATAACAATAAAACAGACTTGCCATGCTGTGAAGATATGTTTGGTGTTTGGAATTCATTCCACTTTGATTGGATGGAGATGAAAGGCCGAACCAATTCGAATGTTGGTATAATTTCTCCCGTGTAAGATTCCCCGCATGACTATAGCGTGGGCTATGTATGGCCCATGAGCGCCATAGCGGATAAAGTCCAAGCAGGTTGAAAGACGAAATCCAGACTATCCAGTAGAGCGCGTGTCCCAGTCTGCCAGTGTGGGGAGCTGTGGGATAAAGCGGGAAAAATCTCATCCGCCTTCGTCATGCTGAGAGCGAATGCGACGGCAAAAAGGGCTCGGTGAAGACCAGCGAGAATTTAAAGAGTGGCTCTATCGCTGTTGCTTTTTATTTTTTCCCCCTTACTTGTTTCTTAAATTCACTTCCCTTTAGACCAATTCTTGAAAGACTTTTGTTGCTACTTCTCGCAACTTCTTCCCCCGCCAATCCCCCCCCCCCCCCCATATCTACTTCCCGCTTATATCCGACATAATGGCAAAGACTCCTCAGGATTTGCAAATCGCCATTTTGGGCGCTGGCATGGGTGGTCTTACCACTGCCCTTGCTCTCGCTCAGCGCGGTTTTAAGAACATTGATGTGTACGAGAGTGCGCATGATCTCGGTTTCGTCGGCGCTGGTATCCAGCTTGCGCCTAACATGGCCCGCGTGCTGGACGGTCTTGGTGTCTGGAAGGGCATTGAGGCTGAAGCCGTGAACATCGGAGATACCTCTGTCCGTGGTATGTTTCTGCTTTTCCTCCTTGGCTTCATGAAAAATCGAATATATAGCTAACAATCCTTCTTCCGTGCAATAGTTGGTGCCGATAACAGCGAGCTCGCCCACGTTGAGCTGGGTTATATCAAGGACACTTACGGATACCGTCACATGGTGGGCCACCGTGCCTCATTGGCCAATGGACTCTACCAGGGTTGTCTGAAGGAGTCTGCTATTAAGTTCCACTTCGCTACCACCGCATCAGGTGTCGACTCATTCGGCCCTCGCCCATCATTCACCGCCACTCCCCGCGACGGCGAGGCCGCCTACAAGGTCTCCTGCGATGTTCTCCTCGGAGCCGATGGAATTAAGAGTGAGACCCGCCAGGCCATGCTGAAGCTCCTGAACGTCGACGTCGGCGTCAAGGACACCAACCAAGCCGCCTACCGTATTATGATCCACAAGGAGCAAATCAAGGACGACCCCGAGCTTTTGGCCCTGATTAACAGCACCACTGTCACTCGCTGGATCGGTGAGAAGCGTCACATCATCGCTTACGCCGTCTCCAACAACACCATCTACAACCTGTCCACCACCCAGCCCGATAAGAACTTCGCCACCGCTACAAACGCCACCTACACAACCAAGGGCGACAAGTCCGCCATGATGGAGGTCTTTGCTGACTTCTGCCCCATGGTCAAGCGTCTGCTCGAATACGTCCCCGAGGGTGAGGTCTGCGAGTGGAAGCTGCGTGTCCACGACCCCCTCCCCACCTGGGTCCACGAGCAGGTCGCCCTTGTCGGTGATTCCTGCCACCCTACTCTCCCTCACTTGGCTCAGGGTGCTGCCCAGGCCATCGAGGATGGTGCCGTTATCGCCGTTGCTCTGTCCCGTCTCCCCGATACCACCCCCGAGTCCATTAACAAGGCTCTCCGTGTCTACGAGCGTGTTCGCAAGGGCCGCGCTGAGACTTTGGTCGAGATGGCCGCTGCTTCTGGCCGTGCTCTGCACTTGGGTGACGGTGCCGCTAAGGAGGAGCGTGATCGCCAGTTCGCCGCCCTCAAGGCCGGTGGTGGTAAGGGTCCTGTGCCGGACAAGTGGGCTGATGCCGATGTCCAGCGCAAGCTCTACGGCTTTGACTGCACCAAGGAAACTGAGGAGCACTTTGATGAGTACTTCTCCGAGCTGTAAGCGCGCTCCTTGTTCTCTATTTTAAATTTCCTATGATCTAGTCGCCTCTCTTATGTTTTGTTTGGCGCAAGGTGAAACTACTGGCTTTCACCTATTTTGGGCTGTATATCCCTCTTCTTTTTTTCTCTGCTGTGCCATGTATATCCACGATTTCTGCAGAAACAAGAATTTATGACGATATGTTCAATCTCATCTTACATCGAAACTTGTACTAAGCTTCGATCTCTCTACAGGGACCGAACCCCGCGTGAGAGCAAGCTTGCATAAAAAAGTATAGAATTGGAATGTGAATCCTTCCTTCGTACATAGTATCTTCCAAGAGGAAGTTCACTGGCGAATTAGCCATAAATATAGCCTCATCTATACCCTCAAATTCAAAATATCCCTCGTTAAAAATAAATTCCATAATCAGAGATCGTAGTGAAGCATGACCCCCGCAACGCCTCTAATCGAGTATTTCTCCAATCTCCAATCTCCGCCTTTCATTCATCCCGAGCAACGCACGCCATGCAGAACACCCGAACGCAAGACCCCGGATAAATGCCTTTTCCAGGTGTACGTATCAAATTACACCAATCCATCTCAAGTATGAATTGACAATCAATCTACGCAAGACTCCCTCACCATTCCGCCTCTCCCGCCGCCAACCTTCCACGCGCCGGTCCGGTCCCCAATTCGCCAACACCCCCCGATTCCTGCTCTCACAAACCACCCCCCAAAAACACAACAGTGACGACATAATCGACGACGATGACTACGCCCCTTCACCCAGTGCCCCAGTGGCAGCCACAACACCGGCATCCCAGCGCATCCCGCCGCGCTGGAAGAAGGACGTAATCGAAGACTACGACGACGACGAGCTACCCGCAAGCACATATACAGGCACACCCAGGAGAGCAGGAAGAGAACTAGAGGATGATGCCATCGAAAGCAGCCCGCCCAAGCCCGCGACTCCGGGTTTCCTGGACACCGACTTCGAGGCCCTGTTCGCAGCCGACGACGATCGTCACAAGCGTCGACGCGTCGACGCACAGCCCACTCTCGCCCAGAAGCTACAAGAAGGAAGGGTAGGAGGAACGCAGGATGAAACTAAAGCATCGTCCTCATCCTCGCCAGACGCTCTCCAGCACAACTTCGTCGCGCCTGAATCGCCCGCAACACGCTCAGCGTATAACGCGCCGCCGCAAACTCCCCACCCCACGCGCAATGCGCAAGCTACCAGTACACCGAGCATGATACGACCACCCCGACCACCCGCCAACGCAAGCACGAGCACAGGTATCGCAGCACCGGCACCCTCAACACAAGCGCCGCCAAGCAGCACGCCCTTCCGCAGCAAACCGCGCTTCATGCTCTCCGCCAGACAAATATCAAGCAGCCAGTCCGCCGGCATTGCAACGCAGCCGCAAACCCAAATCCAAACACACACCCCATTCTCCTCGCAATTCCCGTCCTCCACGCCGCTCGAAAAACGCAAGCCGACCTTCGTGCTCCCGCGCTCTCCGTCGCCGTCCGCGAAGCCCGCAAACGAAGATATCCCCGCGCCCTTCTCGCCGTCGTCGCGGACGCTCCGGCGGCGCGGACGACAGCGTGCGGGCGCGGGCGGTGCCTCGAGCTACGTGCCCGGCGGGATGGCGGCGGAGGTGCGCGGCTGGATCCTGGAGACGGGGACGAAGCGCGAGCAGGCTGTTGCTGTGCCACGGGTGCCGGTGGACTACTCGGAGGCTGGGGTGGCGGAGGTCTTGGGTCGGTATCTGGTTGGTGTGCGGGTTGTGAGTGTGCGGCATGCGGTGCTGAGGAGCGCGGGTCCGCTGGCGTTTATTACGGCGGAGATTGTGGCGGGTGCGGGTGGAGAGGGTTCTGGAGCTGGTGAGGTGCTTCATATTTTGGCGATTGGGCCGGCTCGGTCTAGGCCGCGGTTGTCGGTGCGTTCTGCGCCGGGCAGGGTTCAAGTGGGGGATTTGTTGGGGTTTCTTCGGGGGTTGGCGTGGGATGTGGATTTGAGTGAGTCGGGGGCTTTGCTAGACCATGAGGAAGTGCAGGAGTTGCTTCATACACCAGAGGATGATGGTATTGACAGGGCGAAGCAACGCTGGCTGGTGGCGATGGAGTGGGACCTGGTGCAGGAAGCTACTACTTGAGTTGAGCGCTCCTTATTCCTTATATGTATACGGATTTATAGATTCTTAATGTCCGCGATGAGCTATGTGCAACGAGATTCAATTTTATACACATAATGCAGGTTTGATCAGCATGTCTGTGATGGGTATATTCTAGTAGATACAAAACCAACCGCCAGAAAACAGGATCCTCGGGTCCAGGCGCATCGCGCGCAATCATTAATCGCGAATGACCTTCAGAGCGTCCATTGCTACATTGCAGCCCCAGCGAACCTCTTTTTGTTCTTTCTCGGAGGACAGGATGTCGGTCTTGGAGACGACCTTGCGAATGAAGAACATCAATCCCTTAGCGACGTGCGGCGTGTCTTGGACGCGCATGAAGATCTGCATCAGGGATTCTTCATCCTTCACAGGCTCATCTGAGCTAGTCTTCTTCTTGTTTTTCTTGGAGCCCTTTTTGCTCTTCTGGGATTGCTGGATGATAGTGATTATCAAAACTTCGACGAAGGTCTTGGTCTTCGGCTGCAGGTACGCGAAGTTGAGGTTCTTCAGCATGCTGAGGGTCAAGTTACCATCGGCAATCAGCATACCATACATCTTGGCCAAATTGATGACAGCTTTCATGCTGACGGCAGTTTCCTCATCTTCGGGATCAAAGTCTGCCTCCTCGTCATCCATATCTCCTTTCTCGCCCATCCTCTTGAAGACGTTCCAGAGAGCAAACATGAAGGAGACCTTGATGCGGCGTCCCATGTCTCCACAGATTCGTCGTGCGATGAGAGTGTAGTATGGGTTGTGTGCTTCCTCCTCCATTGCACAGTGCAGCAGAACACGCGGGATTTCGAATTCCTGGGCACGCTTCAATCGTAGCTTCATGAGTCGGACGTGCGCATCTTGGAAGTCATTGGCGGACATGATGGCGACAAAGATTGAGCGGCGAATGTCAGTGTTCATACGATGGGCTCTCGCGAGGTCACCAAAATCAGGCTCGGCTTCGCTGTCATCCTCGGATTCGGCATTCTTCATGGAGACATCTTCCAGCTCTTTTCGAGCAGATACCAGCGGGTCTTCCTTCCAGCTTGCACCAACAAGCCACCACTTGCCCTTCTTGGAAGAATCGTGGATATCGGCGCGTGTAATGCTGATAGGCTCCGAAGCGCGAATGACTCGGGAGTTATTTAAAGCACCCAGAATTTTGCGCATTTTTGTGATGTGGTCGGTTGTAATGTTGGCACCGATCGCATTTCTGACACGGTTGTTCTTCAGATCTGTGATGGTGTCGATCATGAACTTCGTGCGAACAGAAAGCTTGTCTTCGCCAATCTTAGCCACGGCCGGCTGGATAAGAAGGACAATATCCTTGAGTGCCGAGGGATCGTCTTGACGGAGTTGAGGACCGGAGATTCGGATGACCTTAAGCAGAAGTTCTGTGTTGTCCTCCGTAATATCCTCGAGGAATGAACGAACGTAGTCGAACATCAATGGGCTTCCGATGACGTGGAAATTGTAAAGTTGCGAAAGGAGAGAAATCAAATTAATGATCTCTTTACCTTCAAAAGTTCCGCGCTCATCACCATTGGCATCGATTGTTTCCACAATCTTCTGAATGATCTCGGCTCCAACGTCCATTCCGAGGAGCTTGTAAAGAGCCGCGATGAAACCGGCGTGAAGGACCATAAATGTGTCTTGCAGAACAGCTCTTTCACAGATAAGCCCCATCAATAGATTGAGCACCGTAGCCGTGACATGCTGGCGGGGGTAGTCACGATACAGCTTCTCGAATTCAGACACAATGGAAAGCATATTAGCCTCCGAGAGCTTGTTGAGCTGTCCTTGTGCCTGGCGCTTTAGTCGAGTAAGAGACTCTGTCTCGGGATCTGATAGGCCTCGTAACGAGGGAGGAACGTATTTCTGAGGTTGCGCGCCAGAAGATTTGGGAGTTGGCGCGACGTATGGGTTCTCGCGTTTTTTGGGGGGAGCTTTCTCGTCTTCGTCGAAACCATCAAAGTCATCGTCATCCCCACTCTCATCATCTTCACTTCCAAATATTTCTTCGTCAAGATCATCCTCGTCCTCGTCACTTTCTTCGTCGCTATCCTCCTCCTCCCCACCCCGAGCCTGAAGTTGTTGAGCCTTCTTTCGCTTGCTCTGAAGCCACTCGTCTGCTTCTCGTTTCCTTTTTTTGCTGTCGTCCTCTGACGCTTCGCCCAAATCACCAAGCAAATCGTCTAACCCGTCGTCTTCGAATTTCTTCGAGACTTTACCCTTCTTGAGACCTAACTTCTTCTCCAAGGCGGCAATTTCAGCGTCGTCTTCCGCTAGCTTGGATTTCACGCCTGATGAAATATGGGGAGTATCGATTTCCTCTGATTCATTGACATCTGACTCGTCGTCGTCTTCATCCAGGTCGTCGATTGTTCCGAAATGATCAAAGGAATCATCCATAGAGTTTTCCTCGTCGCTATCTTCATCAAGAATCTTTTCAACTGTCTTGGATTTTCCGGTATCCTCTCGTTTTCTCTTGAGCGCTTTTTGATCTTCGCCGCTGGACTTCAGGCTCTTGTTGTGGGATTTTTGGTCATCCATTTCGAAATCGGAATCCTTCGCATCCTCCTGACTCTTTTCCGGCTGGCGGGGGTACTCCTTCCAAGTTCTCGCATTTGGTTTCGACTTCTTCCCGTTTCGCTCAGCTTGACGACGGTCTTTCCGTGAGGCAGGTCCGTTGAGTCGACGCTTCTTTTCTCCATACCGATCGCGAATTCCAAGCTCACCTCGCAGATCACGAGGCAAGGAGGTCGTATTGTGCTGCGGGCGTGGGCGTCTCATATTGACGGTGTTTTGTGAGTGAAACTACTGAAGATTTGACCTTGAGGAAAGTAACATTTAAGGCGGTGGATTTACTTTTTTTTTCTGCCTGTCAAATCACAAGGCGGCACGCCTCCAACCCACAGCGGAGTTTCGTCCCCCACGATATTAATGCTAAGTGGTCTCGACACGATATCGCAGCTTAATTGTCTTTCAACCTGCAAGTTCTTTTCACAATGGCCCCTCCTTTGAGCCATGACGAGGTATGGCATTCATTCCCCCATTTTGCTGAATGTTGAAATCCCGCCCATTCGGCCACGCGACCATCACGAATATCTCCGCTAACCACACCGATACTACTAGTTCTTCTCATCTCTTGCAACTCTCCTCTCCAAGACATCCGAAAAAGCTCGCGGCTCTGTCTCCTTGACTCAAAAACCCTTGATTGATTCCGAATCCAATTCCCCTCCTTCAACCCTTATCCGCATTACCGATGGAAACACCAGCGCGCCAAACCCTAAATCGAGCGACAAAGCTGGAAAAGTCACCAAGAACACCTCCTCCAAGATCAAGTTCTCGACAGTGGTGAAGCATGATGAGCTCGAAGCATTCTACACACGCTATGCGGAGCTCTGCAAGTCCGGTATGACTGGAATGAAGAAGCGTGATCGCAAGCGCAAGACCAAGGCCAAGGGTGGAGCTTCTAAGGCTGTCAAGGCTTAGAGTACATCTTGCTCTTAATGGTTTTATGGTCGATTCCTGGGCTGATGGATAAATTGATTTTGTCCAAAGTCCTCTGAAGGCTTTGTTTCATCTGCATTTTCTGGCGTTGATCGGTGGCTCTATCTCACACCTTGATAGCAATGGCTATTCCCGAGCTTCTTTTTACTTTTTGTGTACATATTATGCCCCCATACATTCACATTGCACGAGCTTCACCATTCCCCAATACGCTTTTCTATTCAAGACATTCCTTCCCTGACCATGTCCATCCAGCACTTCACTACTCGGGTACTTACGTCAAACTCATCATATGATTCCCAGTTCGTAGCTTTGAAAAATGATCGCGCAGAAGTAGTAGGCACTGAGGAGAGTGCAATGGCTATTCAAGTACCGATTTTGTGCACATGTGCAGATATGTTCTCACCAACCTGAGAAGTTCTGGAATCGTATTCTACCCGAATGCCGAGTACACAACCATCTCAGGTATCAAGTATGCACCCTTCTCAAGCATTCCTTCTGTGTACCCTGTACAATTACTTGCTTGTTGTGACCATACCTACTGCTAATATTTAAGTATACTAAATCGATTCGAACGAACTCCGCAGCCCAGCTAGGTAAGCTCTCTCTAAATCCTGCCCAGGTAAGCCTATTTTTACCCACCACGACTCATCATAACTCTGGGAATGAATAAATTTCTAAAGGTTGATGAACTTATTGCGAAGCAATGCTTTTACCCCTACCTATCATCCTATCACCAATGGGAATTGGCCCTTGCCTTGCTCAACTTTAAATCCCCATTTTACTCCTTCGAACTCGTTCCGTTTCGTCATGTTGACAGGAAACTCACCTTTGATTGCTCCCATAATCGAAACAACAGCCGCCTTGTTCTCTGGTGGCTCCTTCCAACCTCCACTGACCGGTTCCACGTCATATCGTAAGATCATCATAGTGACCAACCCCAGTATCTCCGAGCTGGCAAAATGGCGACCAGGACAGATGACAGGCGAAATTCCAAAGGTCATGAACCGCCCAGGGCGTCGAGTTTCCTTCTTCAAATCTCCATCGTCTGATGCCACCGGTTTCATAAACCTCCGCGCATTGAATACAGCCGCATTGGCGCCCCATGCGTTTTTGTTATACCCCATCGGACTTGCAGGGATATTGAGCATATTCCCAGCCTTGAGTAAATATTTGCCAGCGAGCAAGGTGTCTTTCAACACGAGACGTGTGGAGCACGTTGTGGTGCGTGTACGGAGCACCTCTTGGAAGAACGATAAGAGTAACGGGCATTCTTCTCTCATAGCCCCAATGTCAATGTTGTGGGTTCCGTCGGCTGCGATGGAGAGTGAATTCGCTTTCAGTTCTTCGCGAATCTCGCTAAGAAGATTCGGACGACTGTACAGGTCGAAAAGAACCCAGAATGCAGAGGGGATCGTATTCGATACAAACGCCATGATCATGGTGATTTCCATTCTCGTGTATTCGTCAATGGTGAGTCCGGCTTCTATCAATGTCTTGTGTCGCATGATGGCTAGCTGAGATCCTTGCTGTTGCCCGTTCTTCTTGGCGTATTCCAGAATGGCTTTGCAGACTGTATTCCGCCCTTTCCATGCTTTGCGTGCCGCCAGCCATGGTAGGATGTTAGCTACCAGTGGAGCTAAATTTGTTTCAAACTCCCTACGAGAAGCCGTGTTAGTGTTTGTTAGTGCTTCAAACTTGTGTGCTAAAGGACTTACCAGAACGCCTTTGCAACTTCTGGATCCCCATATGGATTCAACGGGCCATACAACGAGTCAGTGCTGGCATCCATAATCACATCACGGCACCATCCATATAGATCTATGACTGGGCTATCCGCTAGCCGATCTAGGTGTGGTAGTAACAGCTGAGTCATACGTAGATTCAGTTCATCCAACGATTTCCCAACCAGGGCCGGCGCCATATCGTGCATGACTTTTTGGACGAGCCCTCCACCACCAGACTCTTTTTCTCGCAGCAAATGGAGCGTCGTTTTATTTTCAATACCGCCAACATTGCGAAGACCAAAGGTCACAAGTGGGTCGAATTTCAAAGTCTTGGTGTGGCGTTGAGCTGCCTGCATCAGATCTGGCGATGTAATGATATACGCCTTGTTGAAAATCATGTTTGACGTGAAAATCGGCTGATCTCGATTGTTCGTCCTATTGGATATTAGCTTTTCTCTTCGTATATTGGGTAATCAGGGGAAATACATACGCGAGAGTGGTGAAATAACCGAATCCAGAAAATATGACCCCGAGTAGATGTCCGACCACCGGGATCTTGCTCCTCACTATTGGTGGCTCTCGGGGGTCTTTCTTGCGGTCATTGTACAAAACATAGCCGACTGCGAGCACAATCCCCAAGGCAAACATCTGAGTGGTGGTAAACATATTCCCTTGAATTGAATCAATGGATATCTAGATTCAATGTTTTCTCAGCCAACTTTCACTCGATATCAAAGCTTCAAGAGAATAACTGCAAGAGTTAGCCTTGGAGCTGAGTAATGATTGTTTTTGTTGCAACGTGATTGGAAGGTGTGACGACGTATGCTTTGAATTTGGGGGCTGGAATGTCTTGACTTTTAGTGAGTGATTGCTGGACTGACCCCGCTTAAATACTCACCCCGCTTAGTTCAGCCCTTGCAGCCTTGGTTTTAAGGAAGGTGCTACATATGTCTTTATCTTACATTGAATTGATATAATCAACTGATGACATGGAAACATAAGTTTTTTAGCAAAGAAGTTTCCAAGATTGGTAGAATATCAAATTTAGTAGACCAATGAGGTATATTCCAAGGTAGGCAGATAAAGCTAAAGACCCACTCAGCCTCATCGGACTCATCGCTCCCGCTAGAATTTAGATGTTGTAAAAATGTATTAACTTGTCCACTGGTTCATCCAAGAGGTGATATACCTCTGAATTAAACCATTGGTCACTGGATCCTTTGCAAGAGCCAGCGATGGACTATCTTGAGTTGTGCGTTGTGTTTCGAAAGAAAGTCCCCCAGTCTTTGCTTGCAAAGTGTCACCGCCATATTTGGATTTCCAGAAGTCCACAAGCTTGATGCTGGGATTAATTTCTGGGTCCTGCTCGCTGTTCGCTAACCTTTGAAGCCACTCCTTTGGTGACACAACTTCAAAGCTTGGTAAAGAAGACCCTTGCATCAAAGCTGGAAGTAGGTCGCTCTTCCAACTAAATGTGTGGGGGTTGACCAAGTGATATACTAGGTCAGCCTGTGCTTGGTGGATAGAAACATCCAAGGCAATTTCTGTAATTGCTTGAGCACATTGATCAACAGGGAGCCAACTTGGTGTCTCGTCCAGGGCTGGGAGTGCACCTGTAGTCAATGCACTGCGGAACATAAGAGCCACAGCTTCTTTGTCATTCCATTGGGCGTTCTTTGTATCACCACCTAATTGGCCAATTCGCAAGACTCTGGCATGCATACCCGTCTGGCACATGGCATTATGTGTTATGTGCTCTGTGACCAACTTGGATCTTCCATAGCCAATAGTCTGTGCATGTGATAAATCTTCGATCAAAGTCTCACGAATTGTTGCCGGCTTGGGGGTATTGCTCGCTGTACTCACGCTGGAGCAGAAGAAGAAACGAGCGGGAAGCGGAAGCTTGGAGCGCAAACAGAAGTTGATAAGGTTATGAGTTCCACGGATATGTTGCTGTTCGAAGGATCGAACACCGAGGTTGAAGTTTACAGCCCAGGCGCTGTGGATGATGCTGGTTGCAGTAGAGAGCAGGTGTTCAATCACAAAACTGTTCAAACCAAGATTGGCCTGAGAGAGATCACTTGGTACGGCATGAAGCTTTGAAGCTTCAGAATCTGTGAGTGGAATTTGTCGTTCTGCAAACGCGTTCGACAGACGGGCGCCTGCAGCTGCTGGGCCTGGTGCACGTACAAGCGCCCATACCTCAGACACGGTCGGTCGTTTGAGCAGTTCTGCAATTATGTAAACTCCCAGATTTCCGGTTCCACCTGTCACAATGACAACTTCCGAGGTAGGTTGCAGCCCAATAGTGGGGATATGGTGAGTGAAAGAGGAATATCGTTCAATCATTTCGCGCATGACGTCGATTTCATTTCCCGCCTGTTCAAATTCCTGCCCAGTCCGCAGCTTGAACAGATGTCTAGCAAGAGCGCTAATTGTACCTTTTTCAAAAACGATGTTCTGAGAGAGCTTTTCGCTCTCGTCGCCAAGATCGAGGTCGCGCACAATACATCTCCATATCCGAGTCGTTTGCAGGCTGTCAATGCCAGCAGAGAAGATATCAGTTTCGGCGCTTTCCAGGGGTACACCTAGATCATCCTGGAACCTCGATAGCAGCCAGGTCTCTAATTCGGACACACTGAGCACCAGAGTTCCTTTCTTTTGCCCGTTCCCCTCGAATCCAGCGTAGACGCGTTGGATATCATCTTGGAACTGCTGATAGACCTGGGCCCGGATGCAAGTCCCCTTGTCTGTCCTCGAATATTTCACATCGGCCCCTTTAATGACAACCAGCTCCCTCGGAATTCGTGAGAACGTCTCGGCACGAGCATTCGCAGCCTCTACCGCAGGCCAAATGACCTCCAGAAATTGTTCGTCGTTCAAATGGGTTGCCTTTCCAGGTGCACGAAAGATCAATGCTCCCGGTACGGTTCGTTGAAATCCAAAAACGACACACTCACCCACAAGCTCCTCCTCTCGAACACGGCCTTCGATTGGAATGGGCAGCACCTTTTCACCATTCACAAGGGTAATTCGATCATCCAGTCGAGACATATACTTATAATAATTGCTCTTTTTCGGATCTGGATGTCTTGTGAACAAGTCGGCCGTCCGGAAACTGTTTTCTGGGTTCTTTTCGCTGAATGGGGCCTTTGAATTGGACGGGCCCTTGCTTGGCAGTCCATTCAGAGCAACACACTCAAAGACACCAGGCGATATTTCATCCATCAAAGTATAATCAGCGACAGGGCGATGTAGCCGCATATATTGCCATTCGGTATCGCCGTCCGACCGGAAGGAAGTCATAATCTGACCTGTCTCTGTGGCGCCATAGTTGGCCACCAAGTTGACGCCTTGCGCAACAAGCCGATCGCCGAGGTCATCCGGACAGCTCGATCCGCCATAAAGCACTAGTTGAGGACTGGCCAGTGCTTTGACGCCCTCCTGTCTTTCTGCCAGAAGCTTGATGACATAGGGCACAGCACTGATTTGCTGCGGCTTGGCCACCTTCAACGCGTCGACCAGGTTCTGATAGGTAATGGCGAGGGAGTGGTTGCCAAGATATGCTGGTGCTCTGGTATAGAAGGCTCGTCCAAGCTCCATCAAGGCGTGTGAATGGAACAAGGGACTTATGTTGAACAGACGCAAACCGAAGCTCTTGCGGAAATTCGCCAAACATTGGTAGTTGGTCAAGAAAATCGGCTTAGGGAAGCCTGTACTTCCAGACGAGTGGAGGATCCATGCCATCTTTTTGCTTTCCCGTGCTGGATCCACGCCTAATCGCTGGAATGGAGGGGAGCTGGACGGGCGGTTGAACCAGTCTTCGCGCTGCAAGATCGGGAAACTAGTACAGCCCGGGAGCTCAGTGCGGATGCCGAGCACAGTTGATTGATATTGCTTCGCAATAACCATCTGACTGCAGCCTACCATATTCAACAGACGAACGTATGCTGGGGCTGTAAGTCGAGTGGACAGAAAAAGAACAGCATATCCTAGGCGATTCAAAGCGAAAAAGGTCAAGATGACTTCGAAGCTAGAGCCAGCAAGCAATGCGACCACGGGTGCCTTTTCGGCATTCGGGTCCTGTCCAGACGTTAGTCAAAAGGCTGACTCAAAGACTGCACATCCATGCAACATACCGCGGGGGGAAGCCCATTCTCCATAAAATAGCGACTCGCGATATCGGTATACTTGTCCAGGTCTCCTGCCGTGTGTAACTCAAAGTCATCTGCTTTGTGGACCGGATAACATATCAATGGCCTTGCGGCTTGATTTGATTGTGCCGCATGGCTCTTGACAAGTCCATCAATTGTCATAAACTGTTCAATCGGAGGGAATCCGGCATGAAGGGTGCCATTGAGAAGACGGGTGGCAAGGTCCTCTGTCTGCGACGACGGCACTGCCACCGTCGTCGTTTCAGTCATAGTAGCCATTGTTGATAAGTTCAAAATGGTTTAATCCCCGCAATCGCGGAATTGGAGATTCCTTTATATGCGATTTGACTTTCACTGACTCCAATTCGGCGTCCCTCCGAGAACCGACAAGCTCGTTTTCCGGAAACCTGGAGACCTGATATCCGGTGGGGGTTTTAAAAGGAAAGCCGGAAAACCACATATTTTTCCTTTTCCGCCGAGATCTGGACATTTTAGGATTGGATATCTTTGCATCAATTATCAATCTATATCCGAGCGACGTCATTATGTTCATTTTGGCTGACTTATGAACCTCACGAGTCACAATTCAATACCAGTCGCGCTATCCTGATTGGCCTTGTAGCCAGATTGCACGGATAAAGATCCGAGGCCCACTCAAAATCCGCGCGCTGGAGAAATGTCAAATTGACAACCAAAGTTGAAAAACACCATATGCCATTACAGATTAATTGAAGATGGCTATATCATTTAACGGCCCATGCAAAGGCCTTTGAATATTTCAAGGTACTCTTCCTGCTCATCTTCAAAAATCACCATTATGCTGCTGGCCTTCCAGGCCCTGTTGGAACTATTCAAATCAATTGATACTACTCAAGCTCAAACACTACACAAATGAGAACTTCAAATCAACATTGAATTGATGGAGTTCCTTCTTGATGAAACACTGTCAATTGCTTGAATACTTACATAGCCCGGCAGTTTGAACAGAAAAATATGAGCGCCTAGGTGAACATTGAACATTCAATTCAACATTGATTGAATCAAGCAAATGTTCCGATCGGCGTCGGAGTTCACGGAGAAGTTGGCACGGATGAGAAAATATATATAACCGTATGCAAATAATTTGAAGCCACATGTGCACGTTGAAACAGGCAAAAATGAGGTAAACACGGCACTTGCTCCATCCAATGCTCGCGATCGCAACTGGAACAAAATATTTCGACGACCACGAATGTCAAGAGCCAAAGACAATTGATTGATCATGTTGCCAAGCCTTCACCCTTGGCTCGATGCGCGAACGGCATAATCTCAGGTCCATATACCGGAATTCCGTTAACAAGACTCTGGTTGCCAGAAATTTATGGGAAAGGATGGAGTAACTTCAAGTGCTACCCAGACAGGTCCCATGTCCCCAGACAAAAAATGCTTCGTACAGAAAAAGCATGCGACAGGCAACTATTCTGGCAGTTTTTCCTTACACTGCAATCATTGCCGCCTTGATCGCCGTGACGATAGTCATTCCCAAGTTGGTTACCGTAGATGAAATCCGAAATCATTCCATCATCATATCCTGCAAGTGAGTCATTAGTGTTAACGCTGCAGGTATTGAGTTGAGAACTGACCAGATAAAACAAACCCCATTCCCACAGGAATAGAAACACCAGCTGAGAGCCCATTGTCTCTCAGATTTAGGTAAGGCATATTCATAGACTTGTTGTCATTCACTAAGTGTAAGCAGAGAAGCCCCGCATATCAATGGTGCGAGTGGGTCATCATAAAGATGATAAGATCTTTAGAAATCCTAGCTCATGATACCAAAAAACGCCATCGTCATCCCCAGATTTGCCAATATCCACCGGAAAAGGCCCATATATACCAATATCCGTTGGAAAAGGGGCGGAAAAGGAAAAGAGTCCACGGTTTCCATCCCAGAAATGAGATTTTCCTCCAACCGTAAACTGCGTAGACTTGAACAAAGAGAAAGAAGGTTTGCCCGAGTGGGGGCAGTGTGTGGGGGAAGATGCAAGTTAGGAACGTTTAGAGCCTTTCTCACCAGTCTACCTTACCCATTAAAGCATAGTCGCTTGTCCGTTATTCCAACCGGATATCAGTCGACTATCCCAGACAGCTTATTGGCAAAGTTAGTGTTTCTGAGGCCCATCTCTCTCCACTTTCCCCCGCGTTACCCCAGGCCATGATCTACACGTGCCCAGAGATATCTTGGGGGCTTGTCGACAAAGAAACGGGCCAGTTTCCCTACATAAGATCAGATCTATCTCGCCAAAATGGATTTTCAGAGCCAAGTCGCAGCTTTCTTGCGCATTGACTTTTCATCATGGCACACGGCGAAAATACTATCTCAGATGCGGAGGTGATGGGCGAGAAGGCGGAGATGACACATGAAGAAACCGTTCATCTTGCTGAGTTAACACCCGAGGAAAAAGTTCTGGAGAAAAAGCTCTGCAGGAAAATTGATCTCATGATCATGCCACTGGTTATTTTGGTTTATCTGATGAATTATATTGACCGGTAGGTGATTTCGAGCAACGCGTCGTCAATTTCCAGAAATTCACTGGCAACTGAATCTCTTTCTTTTTTATTTTCTACCACCTTCAGCCAAGAAGCTAACAGTAATCAATTCTTGCTTATCAGAAACAACTATGCTGCCGCGAAGCTCCAAGGACTGACATCGGATCTCAACATGAACCAGCAGCAATACCAAACAGGCCTTTCCATCATGTTTGTCGCCTACATCCTCATGCAGGTCCCCTCCAACCTGTTGCTTAATTATATGGGGCGACCCTCTCTTTATCTTGGGTTTTTCGTCTCCGCTTGGGGCCTTGTCTCGGCCTGCACGAGTCAAGTCACAGGATACGGTGGAATAGTTGCATGCCGGTTTATTCTCGGACTAGTCGGTAAGCCTACACTCAAAGTTACAGATAACCAATTTTACGCATTGATAATATTAACATCGACTCCAGAGGCGCCTTTCTTCGCCGGAGTCCTATTCTATCTATCCAAATGGTACACTCGCAACGAGCTGGCGTTCAGAATGAGCATCTTCTACTCAGGCTCCCTCATCAGCGGTGCCTTCGGCAACTTGATCGCCGCAGGTATCCTCAGCGGACTATCCGGTGAAAGAGGCATGGCAGCCTGGCAATGGCTATACATAATCGAAGGATCAGTCACCTGTTTCATCGGTATTGTGATATGCTTCATTCTACCCGACTTCCCTGAAACGTGGCGTCTCCTTGACCCCGAAATGCGGGCTGTGGCCATCCGGAGACTAGCGATTGAAGCAGCCGAGGCCGATGTTGATGAAACCGAAGGTGCAGGAATGAGCCAGCTCAAGGGACTCAAAATGGCGATGACGGATATCAAGACATATGTGTTCGCGTTTGCGTACGTGTGCACTGCTGCCGGAGGCAGCTTCCAATATTTTTTCCCGACATTGGCAGAGACGCTGGGGTACAACAAGACGATTTCACTGTTACTTGTTGCGCCACCATATGTGTTTATGGTGTTTTATAGTATTTTCCACAGTTGGCTGTCCGATAAATTGGGTGTGCGATTTTGGTTTTTCTTTTACCCTATTCCGATTACGATCATTGGCTTTATCATTTTCATGACGACGGATTCCTTTGGCCCACGCTATTTCTCCATGTTCTTGATGAACTTTACTTTTGCTCAGAACGGCACTTTGTATTCTTGGATTGCGAATGCGTTGCCTCGACCTCCTGCGAAGCGTGCCGCTGCTTACGCCTTTATCAACTCGATCGGAAACTCGGCTACCATTTGGACACCTTATACGTACTACGACTCACAGGGTACTCATTACCCTGTTGCACTTGGCATTTGCATTGCGGTGCAGGCACTGGGTGGTCTGGCGGCTATATTCATGTACTTTAATCTGAGAATGATGAACAAGCGACAGGAGCGCCTGGAGAATGAGAGTGGAGAAGTGCAGCTTACTGAGAAAGAGCTTAGACGGCTGCAAATTACGGCGGACTATGAAGGAATTGATATCGCGGCCGCGCGTCGGCTGCAGAAAGGGTTTCGATACATGCTCTAGGCTGCATGTGGAAGTCGTCAGCTTATTCACGTTCACATTTCGGAAAGCTTATGACAAAGCAACCATTTATCTCAAACATCACTACATGTAGCACTTCAACAGTCTCGGATTTAAGTGTCAAATTTCTATTCAAAACAACTTTAATTGGCTAAAGTATATGACGCCAATGCACCCAATGAATTCGTGAAAGGTAGGAAAGGGCCGAGCCCGCCGGCTTCACTTTCCCAGCCCGTGCGCGTGTTCGTTACCTGTAACTCTTAAACAGAAACAATATACAATAAATGGGTTTTAGTTCGCCAGCGTCCAAATAACCTCCAACAATTGAGGGCTCTCCGGCTCATCCTCTTCAAAGTCAAAGTCCCACTCGTCTATCTGGCGGAGGTAGATCTGGCGAACCTGCTTGTTTTCAGAAACAGCGTCCAAGAGACGGTAGGATACCTTTCCATTGTCTCGTGGACGCAAAGGTCCCAAGCTGTACTCGTAGTTTTCGTCTTCGGTCCAATCAAAGTACGACCACGTCTGTTCCATAGAAGCAAGGTCCTCTGGCGATTGTGGGCCAGAGTACTGGACCAGCGAGAACCCATTGATGAAGTACCAGTCATCCGTAATTCTCCAGCGTTGAAGCTGGCAATTAATGCCGCAGACGTCGGAGACTTTGCTCATGCCGACGATGTTGACGGGGAACCATTGATCGGATTTCCAGTGATGCACAGATAGAGGTAGTTGGCGTCCGGCCTCGTAGAAACCGGATCCGTCCGGGTTGAGGTCGAGTTGGAAGAGGTGTCGGTCCCAGGTGAGTTTCGTAGTAGTGTGTCTGTAGATGCACTTGGACACACGCTTGTCGCCGTGATCCTTGTACTCGAAGCAGTCGTCGAAGTGGGCGTCAATTTCCTGCAGCAAGGGCATAGAGAGGAAAACACCAGCGCCTCCATATGCCATATAAGTGAAGGATGCCATTTGATTCATATTCTCGGTTGGTGCTCCAATATAGTATGGTTTAGTTGCGTCGTAGGTGGCGAGTTGAGCGACTAGGCCCTCCATGTTGGGAAAGAAAGTGTCGTCGTCGATAATGACACCCCACTGTGTTGACTCGTCGTGTAGTTCGTAAATAATTCGCGTGAGTCGATAGTAACGGTCTAGGAATTCCTCGTCGTTTTCCAGGATTTGGAGAGTGACATCTAACTCTGTCGCGTGTTGCATTACTGCGGTCATATTAAGGCTGGGATCGCTCTCAACTAGGGCGATAACTCGAGCTTTGGTACCGCCTGCCCATCGTGCGATGGCTTCCAAGGAATTGTCTAGTCGGTCTATAGTAGTCGCCACACCAAACATCAGGTGCGAGGCGTCCACCGGGGCTTTGCGCTTCGGGGCTTCGATGTTCACCACCCCGGGGACATTGTGCCAGAGGGACAGTATTGGCAGCGGGGTCCGCATCTATCTCAAGGCGTTTGAAGTCAGGTACTGGGACATCCAGACTTTCCGAGAATTCCGTAAACTTCTTAGACTCAGTCACTCGGATATTCCATCGGGCATAATCCACCGAATGATTGAAGCCCAGTGATCTTAGATATTCGAGATCGACGGCGCAATCCCCAACCGGGGCCTTCTTGGAGCTACTTGTTGACTCCGACGAAATGATGGAAATGCCGTCATTTAGTTTTCGGTGGTACACAAAACCACATAGTAACAGCACCAAGAAAAGGGCGCCAGTGAGTGACCTTTGCGAAGAGCTGAATCGATTCATGGTGCACGACACTGATGTCCCATGCAGGCGGGGAAGAGAGAGAGAGAAAACGTGGTTGGAAGTATTTCAGAGTTATACGTCAAAACTTGAAACCAGAACGCAAGAGAGCTTACGTGTCGAGCCGGTTGCAGCAGGTAGGGGCGAAGATCGGATATCAAAAATTACGGTAAAACGGGTGAATTAAGCCTTAGGCGCATCTTGGCTTTGCAGCGAAAGTTCGATCATCGGGAAAATAAGAACGCGCGGCCCGTGGATTGGAATTTAGGGCTTGATGGATCAGCGAAAGGTGCTGCATGCAGTAAAAAAAAGACGTGAAGGTTTGCGGGACCAGCCGGGCCAACTTCAATGTTGGAAATGCCAATCGCCGCATCTGGTATTAGTTCATATCTTCTTGAACCAAGTAGCATAATTCCACTAATTACGAAACCCTGACTCCGTAACCTTGTTCTCGCCTTTTTACCCTGGAGGTGCTACCTTTACCATATCATTGGCCGTTTCAGAATCCATAGGCTCCGCATGGAATACCACGCAATGATACGCGATATATCTATCACCTTGCGTATCGGTATCGGTACATGACGCCTTAGGTGAGAGGCACCCCCATATACCAAAATAGAAATCTGGCTTCCCCTGGAGTTATTTCAATACTCCGCTGTTTGCCTTAAGTCACACGACAAGAAGGCCTTCGTGGGGAGTGAAGGGTTTTCTGTGGTCAAGCAGTGGAAACCGCCCCACCAGCTACGTCTTCGGTCTTGGCATCGGCCCTTGTCTAGCCTTCCCATATTAGTAAAATGGTTGAAGATCTGCGCGGGGGCCACATCATCGAGTCTTCAAACACGTCTCAAAGCAAGCCAGTACATACATGATCCTGGAAATGTTGAAGAAAGGAGGAGGATGAGATAGATGTGTTCATTTCTTATAGACGCACGTGACAAAGCGACCAGTATCATGTTTGAGCCGTTTGCATCCAACATCTCCATTCTCCACTCAACAATCCCCCTGTCGCCCCTTACGGAGTACAACGACCATTGATCCGATCATCCCGGAAGCAGGCTGTGCAACAGACCACCTTGCTCCATACACGGAGTACTCCGTACGTGATTCCGAGATCCATCAATCCGCAAGGCCGATCTGAGCTTATTTTGTACGGTCGGAACCTTCCATTTTGCATTTGATTCAGCAACTTCAAAGCGACAGGTTCACAAGTCCCTCCCCAATACATACAGACTGATGCCGCATGTTCTGAATATTAGTGAGAAATTACTACATCTTCGCTTTAGCTCCAAAAAATGGGTTTTACGAGTTTTCAGCCTCCCGAAACATCGCTTTGAATTTACAAGCGAAATTGACGGCAAGGAAAATGTCTTCCTTCGCCAACCCGATTGCAGGCATGATCTGCATCGTATAGATGAAGTCTCCACACACGTGGATGACATATTAACCTCCAAAGGAAGTCTGGAGAAGCCAAGGACACGTGTTTACCCACCTGGTCATATGGTTAAACCCCTCCAAGGGGTTCTGAATACTGTTCAATATAACTTCGGTTGCTCCTATTTGATGGGCAATACCATTACCCCGCCGGCTTACTTTGCGCTATAGCTACTTCATGTGCTCAAGTGTGCCGATCTCCATTAGATTCAGAAGAGCAGTACCTCCGGGCACTGGCACTACGCACTCTGTGCTGATTTCCGATTTGGTTGATTGAAAGCATTTTTTGTTTCCATTTCAAGCTAGTTTTCTGTCTACAAAGTTACCCTATAAGGATTGATCTGAATATACTTCAGAAGGAAATCTCACATCGACTTCGTGGTTGAGATGCCTCAAGTCCAGGGTCTTTGAGATCGCAAATAATAGGTTTGAACGGATGATTTCAACGTTGTAGGTAATCGATCTTCTTTGCCCAGGTGCAGTAAATTTGGAAAACAGATGAACATTGAGGTACACTAAGTAGACATATTATACGAGTCTATGTACCTCTATATACCAGTCTTAAATCTTGTGAAGCTTGCTCTCGGAGTTACCCTGTGGCCACATAAATTCCAACGATACCCTTCCTAGGGTCCGAAGCTACCATTCCGGTTGGAATGAGAACCATTTCTTGAAAAACTGGATTTTCGAATTCGCCTCAGCGAGCATCCCTGCACGGAAATGCGTACCCAGCCACATAGTAGTGGCGTTCTTTGCAGAGTTTGCCGGCCACTCTGCAAGTCCATCGCCGTTGGGATCGCCGTTCTTGATGAAATTGGCCCAATAGCTCGACATCGTATCCATGATTTTGTAGTCCGTTGAAGTCCAATTAGCACTGGTATCCGCAAAAGGAATCGAGGCAAATGCATAGTACAGCTCCGAGCCGTGGTAAGCGCCACCATCCGTAATGGTTGGTGCGGGCCACGTCCAAAAATAGGTAAAAACATTGCTCTTCGCTACACCGGCTGTGTAATCGTTACCCCAATCAGAAGTGCCAATGCGATTCAAATCACGGAAAATGGCATTGGACTGTTTGTCTGCAGCAGCAGAGGTGTTAGCCGGGTAGAGAGCAAATGCCTCAGACGAAATATTGCCAAACATGTCGGCAAAATCCGTGTCATATGATTCGACAGTGTAGCCTGGTGATACACTCGCACCGGACTCGTCGGCATTATTTCCAGTAAGAATCGGCACGTCCTGGTGTGCGTTTTTGCGCAAGGATTCACCATAGCTATACTTGAGCACATACCCATCAAGCACAGGGCGCCACTCCGGCGGATCCATGAATGCGCTCAGGTTGGCAAATTGGGTGTTCTCATATGTGTCGTCGTTGGTGTATCCATATTGGACCAGGTCTGATGCCGAGGCATTGCGGAGCGCCGAAATACTTGTCAGGTTTTGCTCCTTCAAGAACGTTTCACCATATGTTTCTGCGGCTACTTTCTCACGGTAGCTAGTCGATGCGCCACCCATCATAGGGTCACGGACAGAGCGAGCTCCCGTTTCGGCAATGACTCCAGCTAATCCCAAGTCATCTGTCAAGGGGCTGTACATCATTGAGAGAGCTTGGCAGGATCCTGCCGACTGGCCACCAACAGTAATACGTTCAGGGTCACCTCCAAAGGCAGCAATTTCTTCGTGGACCCATTTCAACGCAGCGACGGCATCTAAAAGACCATAATTGCCCGAGCTATTGTGACCTGACTCGGCGCTCAATTCTGGGTGCGCAAAGAACCCGAGCAGACCAAGTCGGTAATTGAAAGTCACAACAATGACTCCCTTTTCAGCGAGACCGGATCCATCATATGTCGAAACATCACCGGAGCCCATGTAGTAGCGACCTCCGTACATATACAGGTAAACTGGGAGCTTATCATGGGAAGTGGTATTGGGGGGAACCCAGACATTGGCGTAGAGACAGTCTTCGCTCATCTCACTGGAGCCCGTTGTGAAAATGGAAGACCCCGAGTTAGGTTGATAGCACTGCGGGCCGAAGACGGTGGCGTTGCGCACGCCTTTCCAGGAAGTGGGTCCTTCAGGTGCACGGAAGCGCAAGTCACCCGTTGGTGGTGCTGCGAAGGGGATACCCTTGAATACTGAGACATCTTTGCGATACTCGGACTTTGTGCCCAGGAGTTTGCCGTATGAGGTGCTGACGATTGAAGATGAAGCAGAGAAAGCAAACGGGCAGCAAGCTAACGCAAAGAGCAGAGACAAGTGCATGGCAAGGTATTTGAAATAATGAAGGGATATTGAGAACAAAGAACCAGCATTTGAAAGAGGATTTAACGCTTGAGTATGTTCAAACAACAATACACTTCAAGGGTGACTTTAAGGGTCTATATAGACCCGCCACAGGAACCTTGGAAAACGCCAAGTGTAACCTTCTTGTTGACGTACGTCGCCTTTAATCAGACAAGTTCCAAATAAACAGGCAAATGCATGTCGTAAAAGGACCTTTGGACGAGACACTTTAAATTCGGGGGATTTCGTCAGGCACCGGTGCTTGAGAAATCATGGTTTAGGTAGTGCTATGCCACTTTGGCATCTAATAATGAAGCAATTCGTCAATCAAAAGTAAAATGTGGAATAGATTGAAACCTTCAATGTTGTGCAGGACCGAGATCATCAGAATTGCCCAATGAGGAATAAGAATTGTTTGAAGCTCTTGGTCCATGGATATGAATTCTTCCGGACGCAACAATTGTCCTCAATCTTCGCACATGTGCATGAAACACCTAGATGAACTAGACCAGTCAGTGCTCAGTCCTTGCCGCTTTCTGCTCACTGAGTGAAACTGAGCACGGCCCTGAGCGCCCTGATCTGCTCACTGAGCATCACCTGATACTCACCTGAGCGATCTGAATTTCGGGGTCTCCCGGAGAAAAATCGGTTACCCCACTGAATTTATCTCAATTCGTTCAGCCCCCTTAATGGCAGCCTTGGGCCTGTACAAGGCATTTTATCTGCAGATCGGTATTGATATCAGAATAGGCTGGGTATCTGGAAGTTTGGGAAAAGGGACTTCGATTGAACGCAATTCGGGCGGGAACTCTCCACCATGATCATGCACGGACATTAGCTCGTAAAGTTACCACCAAATTCTGTCCAATGATCTAAGATTAGCGCTACCACATTGGCATAGGCCGAGTAATTTTTCCCGGAAATGGATTACACACTTGAAGTCACAACAATGACCTCAACGATGAGAATGTTGTGAATCTGTTATCTATTACCTTGAGCCGACGGGGCCGACGGGGCCGAGGGATTGGCAAGGGATCCTCAACAGAGGCTACAGATTCGCCCACGTATACTGCAACATTATTTGGACTATTAATCTTTCTTCACCCTTGAATGTTCTAATCACTACCCTTGACGGATTCTAAGGCCTACAGCCACAATCCGCACACAAGATGGCAAACTGGGCAATTTGGATCGACAAAAATTGCAAGCCGTCCATTCATGCCGTTGAAACGAACTACGAACCGCTTGACAATGAAGTTTTGGTCAATGTGCAGTATTCCGGAATCAACCCAGCCGACATCAAACATGCGACGATTGGATTCTATGACTCTGTCGCTGGCTACGACTTCGCTGGAATCGTCATCAAATCCGGACGTGAGAAAGAGAGCCAGTTTAAACAAGGCGATCGTGTCCTCGGCTTTGCAGCGCCCACTGTAGACAAGCCACAGCAATATGGAACACACCAGGACTTTCACTGCGCCCGGCACTTCATATATCATGTCCCCGTACACATGCCTATGACGGATGCTGCCTGCTTGCTGGTTGTGACCCATACCGCCGCCGATGCGATCTTCAACCAGCTTGAGCTCCCTCTGTCACCCAACGGGGATAAGTCCCAGCCTCTCCTCATTTGGGGTGGCTCTGGAGCTGTGGGAAGCTCTGCGATTCAATTTGCCAAGAAGGCGGGTTGCCATCCAATCTTGGTCACGGCTTCGCCCAAAAATCACTCAAAGCTACTCGAACTCGGCGCAACAGAGTGCTTTGATTATAACGACAAAGAGGTCGTATCCCAGATCCGCTTGGCCGTGGCAAGATATACTTCAAAGCCACTCCGCCGGGTTTTCGACTCGATTGTAGCTCCAACCGAGCCATCCTCTACAGCCCTGTGCGAGGCTTGTGTCGATGACGCCAGTGATACCCTGTTCACATCCCCAATCCCAGTCAAGAACGGCACAAAGATATGGCGCCGATCATTTGCTTGCCGGAATGTCGATGTGGATTTCAAGCTTCCAAATGGTCAGGTTCTCATACATCGGGCCAATCACGATTTGCAAGATATTATCGACCAAGCTACGAAATGGGCGATTGAAAATTACGGGAAGGAGTACCGCCTTCCAAGTATTGTAGTAGTGAAGGGTGGAGAGGAAGGCATGCAGGCTATGAGAGAATCGGCTAACGGGAAGGCCAGCATGCAGAAATTTGTCATTGAGCATCCGATTTAGTTTGCGAATACTGATTCAATGTATCTTTTCTTTATTTTTATTCCCCCTGTTGACATCAATAGCCGTAGGTGAAGTTCACATACCTAGTCATGACGAGTTTTAGATCTTGAACATTAACCACAATTATATGTAAAATACGATGGTCAATCGAACGTGGAAATCAATTCAACGATACATTCCAAATTGGAGGCCGGTCAACATTACATAACTTCCATTCCTTTCTATTTCGTCGGAGCTACTAAAAAATAGGTGAACATACTTTACATTCAAATGTTTGCTGATATCTCTAACGTACGGCAGGTGAAGGTTGAAGTTGAAGAGGCCAGCTGGCAGTTAATTGAAAGACTCGACTAATGAATATATGTTCTAGCCTTGAATAATGCACTTCTTACATGTTCGCACGTCGGATTTGTACATTCAAAAGCACCTTATTGCAAAAGAAAAAAAACAAGTATGAAGGATTTAATTTGACGTGCCACCTGCGCGTTTTCCTTAGCAGTTTCCTTAGTTACTCAACATTGAACCAACCCTTCTTGATGTACTCCTTCTTGAGTCTTGGTATCAACCTCAATGCATTCCCCGCACGGATCGCTTCAATTTCCTGTGGGGTGTACATGCCACTTTTCTCAGGTCCGTACATCTCGTTAAGTGTCAATGTCACATCTTCCTTGCCAGTAAATGGCCAGTCGCTGCCAGTCAAGATATTTTCCGCGCTGATGCCCAGGCTTTTCAGGAGCACGGTCTGTGAAGCTGTGCCCTGCGAACATTCGATGTAGATATTTCCATTACCGAATATGTGCTGCAATGTTTGGCCATCATTGTGATTTGCGATGCGGTTCACCTGCTTCGCGCCCGGACCCCCAACACCAACCAGCTTAGAGCCCGACAGTGTTCGGATGCAGCGCTGGAATAGGTACGGGAAAGATCCACCGTTATGGCTGAAGATCCACTTGATTTTCGGGTATTTGGTAAAGGTACCTTGGTCAATCATGGACATCAGACAGCGCGACGTCTCTGTCGGAAATTCGATCATCTGCCAGCCATAGACGTTGGGGTCAAGGGGTGGCATGACTGTCTCATTCGGGTGCACAAAGAGCACCACCTCGCGGGAATCACACTCGGCCATGATTTCGTCGTAGGATGGATCTCCAAGATACTTGTTGCCAGCAGATGTTGTTATGGCATACCCATCAGGCTTGGTCGAGCACTGCTCCTCGGCATACTCCAGCATTTCCAGTGTCTCATCCACGTGAGGGAAAGGAAGAGGTGCGAATGATCCAACAGACGCGGGTGCCCTCTCGACCTCGGCTGCTTGGTGGTCGATGAACTTTCGGCAGAGGCTTGCCCATTCCTTAGCGGACCACTCACTGTTGTACTTGCTCCAAATGACTGGAGAGTATATCACTGTTCGAGAATGCTGCATAACATCGGCCGTCAGAATGCACTCGCTAATTCTTTGAAATTTTGCTTCTCACCAGCTTTTCCATCGCAGTTTCGCGCTCATCTGGCGTTGCCATAACAAACTCCCTCGCTGGGCCCAAGACATCAGGCATGAAATAGTGGAAATGGACGTCAATGACGGGAACATCTGGTCCCTGCGTTGTGAACGGCATGTTGTTCGTCTTCTGGGTTGGTGGGTGAAATGTTCAGACAAGGAAAGAAATTACCACGACAATATGTTGGCATAAAAGTGAAATATACAGGCCCTTGAGACAATATAAAATGTCGCAACCAGCATCATCGACTTATGCACATTTTGGTATGTTCTAGTCCCCCCGTCGGCGATTGATCTGCATGTGGGTCCTCTAAGTGGGTACATCCGGCGGAGGCGGAGGCGACGTACGATTTGCGGACGGATTTACCAATTTGCCTAAAGCCGAAATCGAATACACCTCAGAAAGTTGGAACGTTTCAATGGTCTATCGTGTTTCACTCCGTCGGCCCCACCTGCAAGGACACTCCATGCATACGCATTACTCATGGGTAAACATACTCGCCATACTTGAATGTTGGTGACCGGAAGACCATGAAGAATACGCTCATAAATACAATGAATCCCAAGGCTAGTGGATAGAGAATAGTCTCTTTTGAAATTTTAATCACCTTTCACAGCACTATCAAACATGTTTCCAACACTGGAAACGAGACTTTTCATCAACAACGAGGTTAGTAAAGCTGGGGGAACAGGAGTCGCACCCCTGTGCAAGTGGGCACAAAGCCCGGTCATGTATCTTTCTCTGACTGCGATCGTCAATCTAGTTTGTTGAGTCCAAGAGTGAAGAGACCTACAAACTATACAATCCAGCCACGGATGAGTTTGTTGCCGATGTCCAGCAGGCAGGGAGGGAGGATGTCGACGCCGCGGTTGATGCCGCACAAGCGGCATTCCCTGCTTGGAGGGACACCCCTGTTCATATGAAGGCAGCTATGTTCAATAAGCTAGCGGGTCTGATCAACGAGAACAAAGAGGAATTGTGGAATCTCGAGAGAGTAGCCATGGGCCGGTGAGTCAGCTTATGTCCTCATTACTCTCTGGGTTCCTCTCATCTAATCACGCACTCAGAACTTTTGGGTTCGCCCATTTTGAGGTCATGGCCTGCGCAGGCATTATGGCGCAACATGCCAACATCGCTCTCCATGTCCAGGGCCAATCAAGTCTTAACACCCCCGGGATGATCAACTTCACCTTGCGCCAGCCATTTGGTGTTGTGGCCGGCATTTTGCCCTGGAATGTGTCATTGATCATGTTTGCGATGAAGACAGCCCCTGCTCTGGCGACCGGCAACTGTGTACTGATCAAATCAAGCGAAAAGTCACCCCTGGGTGTCTTGAAGCTGGCAGCACTTTTCAAGGAGGCCGGTTTCCCCGCTGGTGTTTTGAATGTGATTACTGGCACTGGACCGTTGTCAGGAAGCCTCGTAGCCAGTCATATGAAAATCCGCAAGATCTCATTTACCGGCTCTGTGGCGACGGGCAAGAAGATTATGGCCGCATCTGCGAACTCAAATCTGAAAAAGGTGACGTTGGAGCTGGGTGGGAAGTCTCCAGCGATCATCTTTGACGATGCAGATATCGAAAAAGCCGCTCGAGCGTGAGTTACCCCATTGGACATACCCTTTCTCTTTCTTACTGATCCCATTCCGTCAGTGTACATATGTCAATTCATCTCAACAGTGGACAGCATTGTCAGGCAAATAGCAGAGTCTTTGTTCATGCTGCCATTGCTGAAGAATTCACGGACCTGTTGAAGAAGTTGATGACTACTCCCTCGATCGGGGACCCCTGCGATAGATCCATTTTCCAAGGACCGCAAGGTGACAAGATTCAAAAAGAGAGAATCGTTTCCATCCTCGAGCAGGGTAAGGGAGATGGCGAAGTGATCTGTGGAGGCCAAGCCGCAGATGTAAATGGAAAGGTTCATCCCCCGAAACTCTTACCAGCCACAGGCCTGTTGACATAGATGTCACTGACCATTTGTTGTTCAGGGCAACTTCATCGAACCGACGATTATTGCGAACGTACCGGATACCTCTATTCTAGCCACTGAAGAAATCTTTGGCCCTGTAGTCATCGTCAACACTTTCCAAACTGACGAGGAAGTACTCAAGCGTGCCAATGACAGCGAGTTTGGGTTATACAGTGAGTTACACAGCAAGATTCATTGCCCTTTGCACCTGGCCCTACAGCCAGCTGATTTTTATTGAACAGGCTCTCTTTATACCAAGGATGTCGAACGGGCGTTGAAATTCGCCAAGTTCCTCGAGGCTGGTGCGGTCGGACTCAACTGCTCTGCCCCCACACAAGGCCTGGATATGCCTGTGTCTGGCTGGAAACAGTCTGGCATTGGTAGCGAGATGCATATGTATGGCGTGGAGAACTACCTGCAAACGAAGGCGGTTTACATGAAGTATGAGGATGTGTCGATGCACTGATCTTGCGAAGAGACAAGTGTTATTTCAAGAGTTAGGAGCTGCAATCCACCACACTTGCTACATGCAAGAAAGACTTGTTTTTTTTTAAAAAAAAGGTCCCTATTCCCTCGGAATCACAAACCTATTTGGAATCATGTATGTGAGGCTCCCAAGGGCGGGTAGAAACTTTACATGATCATTTATCGGCATCGCTGGCTAGGATGGCTACTCAGTCCCACATGCAATCTGGAATCCTTGCAATCTGAAGCCCTCCAAGGCCGTAATTTCATTGACGCGGGATATTTCACAGTCAAGGTAACAAACCAGACAAAATCCGCTGCAAAGAATCACTAATTACACGAGCAAAAGGGCGCCATCCTTGCTCAAAGTCCAGAATCCGAATGGCTTCTTTCAGTATTCGAGGGACACTCTCTTCGCCATTCAGAACCCCTATGCCGGTTATATGGGGACGTAGGATTCGCTCACCCTTTACCCATCTTGATACATCGGAATGCTCCCTATCAAGTCTCAGAACTACCCACGCCCCCAAATCTGCCGGCTTCCCTAGGACCCTGTCAAAAAACCATATGTAGAGCGTTGCAAGTAGCAAATAAAGCGGATCATAAGCATCGAGCCAGTTCTGGTTGCGAATTAGATGGAATAGTTGTGCCGCGTATGTCATGATTCCCCGAGACAACTTTGGGTCAGAGCGAAGCTTCGTTGTCAGTATTTTCAAGTTTGTTTCAGTGTCGTTCTTTGAAGACATCCATCCGGAGGCCGCGTACATCACAGAGAGCGGAATATGCCGTATGATCAGTGATGCGGTAAAGATCTTCTTCATAGCGGAAGACAATCCAGCAGTATTGAACCCGCCTTTGGAGTTCATCTCAAACATGTCTGTGCGTTCAGTAATCGCCTCCATGACCTCTCTAGCCAACTTGATCTTCGCAGCTGAATACTCGGCGATTTTCGACGAGTCGTGTAGGTCGGATTGACCTGGTGCAATATTGAAGAAGTCCTGGTGTAGCAATTGAGAAAAGCTCCTTTCTCCTGCAAAGGTGGCAGTCATGGTCATCAGTAAGGCCGTGTTCCCCAGGTCATCTATTCCACTTTCGCTTGGGTTATGTCCATACAGGACGTCTCTGGCGCCCGAAGACTGTGGGAATGCTTTTGGTTATATTAGCAGGTAAAGTGAGATTGTTCGGCAGGAGATCATAGCGAACCTGTTTCCAAGCTCTCGCAGTACGACCAATCCAGAGCATCGGAAGCTTGCCACAAGGAGTCGTCCGAAGGCAACCGAGCTCGTAAATCCGAAATGGATATAGATGGGTGAAGATCAGATCAAAGAGCAGCCAGAATAGATATTCGAGATCTTATGAAAGATTATTGAATGGTGAGATCGGGAATCACGAGATGGGGGTTTTTGAACATACACCAAACGAAATACGCCACTCTGTCCCAGGATTCAACTTTCACCCATTCAATCCAGCACTTCGAATCTTGAACGATTTCCGGTGTGACAGATTTGTGGGAAATAGTTGAATTGCTTAAAAACGGTCGACACATTGTGCTGAGGATCCCTTTCAAGTATTGCGCTTGAACTTTCTTTTCATGGCTCCCGCTAAAGGTGGAAGAAAAGGTGGCTAAAAGCGTTGCTTGTGCCAGGGAAAGATCATCTTCAAAGGGGGCCTGAAGGTTGATCTATATCCAGAAGAAATATTAGACACTGAGGCTTTCCTTCTCGCGATACAGGAACATACTTCTCTTAATAGGGCGATTTGCAAGATTTCAAGAAGTGTTTTAAACAATTGCCCCCGTATATTGACTCGGGAGTATTGGCAGCCAATAGTTGCAATAGCAAGTATGAGAATATGAGATCTTTTTTGAGTTTGAAATGTGGCCAGATGAAGAAGTGGGAAGCTTGGGTGGAAAAACTCAAAGTAGAGCTGGAGGAATACATTGATCACTTCACGAGGCGGGAAGTTGGATCCAGTAAAATGTGAGCGCTGCTTGCATACATCATCGAAAAATGTAACAAGGGAGTCATAAGCGGAAGCAGACAGTTGTGGCGCGCAGCAAGAGTTCTCTGACGATATTAAATCAAGATCCTCTGGAGAAATATCTGGGAACCCTAACTTCTCCACACGAGTTGAGGTGGGTCCCCCTTGAGTGTCGGATGACGATTCAGCCAGTCTTTCTTCAATGGTTGACCTGTGCGATAGTATATTGAGTGAGTCTGGGCTGGCAATGTCAAAGCCCGACAAAGCGGGTGCGTCACACTGTATTTCTGACTGAATATTTGTTTGGGAGGGGTATGAACTATCAAAAGACCACGAGAATGAATCGTTGACCATATTTGACGAGTCGAATTGGAAAGGAAATGTGAGGGGAAGACTCGATTGGCCCCACCTCAAATCCACGAGCGAATTCATCGAATCAAAGGGAAGATTGTCATATAAGTTGTCAGTCGACTGTGAGACAGGTGCAATACCAGCTCCAAACCAAGGATCTTCATTTAGGCCGGTATCCATCATGGATGCCGTTCCGGTTGATTGCTGATGTGGAATAGGTGACGAATTCGCAAATTGACAAACGACCCCTTTGCGGGCGCAGCGCGTGCATGGCAAAAATCCACTGCACCGCTGTTTTGATTGTGCGCAGCTTGTGCAAGCTCGAAGTACACGATTTGACCCGTCAAAGTTGGACTCATGTGTCGCCTTATGTCGTTTGAGGGTGTCACTAAATGGCCGTTGAGAACTGCTTTGTGGCATTATGTGGCTCAACCGTCTGGGATACTGACTTTCGAGAGAATGATTTGCCACAATCCGAACAAGAAAATGAGGTTCTGATTTGGTGGCATCGAACATGACGAGTGAGGTGATCCTTTCGCTGAAATGCAGCTCTGCAGTGTCTGCAGACAAAGGGAGATATTTGATCCGACATGCGTGCGGCTAGGGTGGTGATGTTTGGGCTGGGCCTCTAGGGAACATTGCCTGGGCTTGTATCGACTGGGAACGACTGGCCAAAATGGAGTATGCTGAATATCTCGAGTATTACGTCAAAAGCTTCAACGTGAAGTGGAAGGTTGGGCTCTAAAGTCTCCTTGGAAGCTCTTAACTCCGCTAGCTCCCGGGTTAGTAAGCGCGCATCTGATAACTAACTGGCATGCTTCACCGCAACCGTGTCACTGGCTATACAAACGTGGACCCATCGCGTCCTTTATCCAAAATTTAACCCAAAAAACCAAGTGATTTCATCAACCAGAACGGAAATTCTAGAGCAATGAATGGGAATATCACTACTCCATGTCGTATATAGCTGGAGAGGGAAGAAACTTCGTTCTCAGGAAATACATTTGGGCGGAAGAGACTTTGACGGGGCAAAACTTTATCTGAGACCGCAGACTCATATACCCTCTCCCGGGGCAGCAATCTCAGACTCATTCAATTGCCGATAGGTGAATTGTGCTCCGGATGATCTATTGAGCATGAACCGGTAAAGATATGCCAGACTTAGTGTTGCTAATAAGATCTATGGAAAAAGTTTGAATGAGGACTTCAGAGGTCTCTAAGATACGAAGCGCTAGCAGTGAATTATACTGATCTCCTGTAAGTCTAGCCACTCAAGCCCCCACCACTAGCTAATCAATAGCCCGGAGATTTTCCCACATGCAATTGTCCGATCATCTTCCTTTTCTACCAATGCTGTTTCCGTGTTTGGAGTCCTAATAAATACCTCTAACATACAGACTGGAAATAAAGTGTTCATTTGACTCTGGCATACAGACCTGAAATATCAGGACATCGTGGTCCAAATGCTATTCCTGTTTGTGGGGCAATCGAGGTCGTAACTTTCCATGAAGCCATACAAGACTTGGTATGCGCCCTCTGTTCTCTAGATGGCAAAGATGCAAAACGCAAGCTACCACTCTTGGACACCATCCTTTGTGATCACAGTGCCTACATCCTTATCGCGCTGGCCTTCTAAGACATCCCGAATAAACTCACCAGCGACTGAAGGGTGCCCTGCTCCCATCTTGCGCAAGGCTTGGGGGTTACCGCCAAGTCCTGTGGCGAGGAAGCCCGGCGAGATGCTCCATACTTTCACCCCATCCTCTTTCAACAACCGGTGCCATTCGCGCATCATCATATTCATCCCACATTTTGAAGCGCGATATGCTGGAACAGAAAATCCGGCTTTGGGCCACCCTTTTGCAGGGGAATGATTGACGGGGATAGCCATATCATCGGTCCTTGTCAGGCTAGACGTTCCAGAGGTGACAAAAAGCAGGCGAGGATCCGAACTTTGAATCAGTAACGGCATAAAGGTCGATGTCATGATTTGTGTTCCCACGGTGTTGGTGTTCCATGACTGATTCCAGATCTGCCTCTCTGTCATTTCCGAAGACGCGAGATAGTGATCAAATGAGCCACCTATTTTAAGCGTCAGGGTCTCACTTCATGGACTTTAATGATGATAGACGCTACCAATACATACCGGCATTGTTTATAAGGGCGTCCAGTTTTGGAAATTTCGATTGGACTGTCTGGAACGCCGCTCGGATTGACTGATCATCGCAGATATCAATCTCAACGGGAATAAGCTTGCTTTGGGAAGATGGGAACTCTTTTTCAATAGCAATGGTGGCGTCTTGAACCTTCGCGATGGATCGTCCGCTCACGATAATTTGGTAAGACTGGTCTGAGCTGCAGAGAGCCCTCACAACCTCAAGCCCAATGCCCGTATTGGCACCAGTAATTAAGACGCTCTTTGTTGCCATTTTGGGATAGGAGAATGGAATGAAAGATCCAAAAACTTATCCAAATACTATCAAATGCATAGTCTTTATATTCGGGTATTTGTGACTTCTCATTTATCTCCCGTCAAGTCCGTGAAACCCGAAAAGCTTGTTCGAGTCGGCGATACAGCCTTCGTCTCATTTTCGATAATGCACAATGGCTTTTGCGTGAATGTAAAGCGGACTTAGTGGGATCGACTGGAGCCGAGGAAGCCAAGTATTGTTTTAGGTTCCGACGGGGCTGGAGGGGGGCCGACGGGGCTGGAGGGGGGCCGACGGGGGCGAGTCTCCACCTTGATATTACTCAAGGCATTGTGGGGATTGATTATCCAATGATAGGCGAATTCCACCGGTTCCAGTGATGTGATCGTTATCAAACCCCGGAGCATGATCGTCGTCAAGGCTGTTGTTAGAGCGTTACATGCCGTGGAGATATGCCGAACTTGAGTTTGGATCCGAACCCGGAAGTTCCGATGGTTCTACGCATCTGCAGCTCTATTCTTCTAGATGGAAGCTTTTGAATTCCATTCTACATCTCAGAAGAAAGTCCACAAAGGTGTTTGCTCGTACCATCAATCTAGCCAAAAATGCCTTCCGATGCTGCGCACGCGTCTTTCCTGGTCCAGGCCATGAAGACAAAAGAGCAGGCTGAGAAGTTTGCTCAATTTCGGCCTGCAATGTCTCCTGATGAACCCAAGGCCCGATTCCCTGGATTCCGGCAACGCGTTGTTGAATACAAGGCAGGGCAGCAAGTCATGGAAGGTGCTAAGCCACTGCCCATCGACATCAACATGCATGAAAGTATCCCTATGGTCCTCTCAGATGGTGTCAAACTCTATTGCGACGTTTTTCTCCCAGCAACTTCAGACCCGTTGGAGAAGGTCCCAGCTTTGGTTGCCTGGTAAGTTGCAGAGATACTTCTCTTCAAAATTCACTCTTCAAGTGGCTCTCTTTACTGATGACCATCGTGACTTGGTAGGAGTCCCTACGGTAAACAGGGCGGAGTCACCATGCTAGATGACTTCCCCTTTCGTGCGGGAGTTCCGAGCTCTTGGGTGTCTGGCCTTCAGAAATGGGAGGGACCAGACCCTGCCTTCTGGTGCACAGAGGGATATGCTGTAGTCAACGTCGATGCTCGCGGCGCATATACTTCCGAGGGTGACTTGGTTATGATGGGCCACCAGGAAGCGCAGGATGGAGCCGAATTTGTCACTTGGGTTTCAGAGCAATCCTGGAGCACCGGTAAGGTGGCTTTGACCGGAAACAGTTGGTTGGCCATGGTACAATGGAAAATTGCAAGTCTGCGACCAAGGGGCCTCTCTGCAATCTCTCCTTGGTATGTTCCATTTTAAGGCTGAACTGAGTTCAAAAGATTCATTCTCAGCATTCCTCTACTCTTGTCAACCATGTCTGACCATCAAACATAGGGAAGGGATGCAAGACCTATACCGCGATGTTGTTTGTCAAGGAGGTATTCCCTGGACCGGGTTTCAGGATTGGATCGTTGGTAAAACCCCTTCAATTGACCAAATGCCTAAGTGCATCCATCGACCTGTCGCTGTTGTTCTAACAGAGATTCAGATCGCTTCAGTGGCTACGGCAAGGTGGAAAATGTTGGTGCCGTGTTAAGAAATAACGAACTCTGGAACGACTATTGGGAAGACAAGAAAGCAAAGTGCGAGCAGATAAACGTCCCGACTTATTTGACGGCTACATGGACGAACCCAGTTCACACCCCTGGTACATTCAGAGCATACAGAGCGTTGCCTGATGATCTACCTAAATGGCTTCGAGTACACAACACTCAAGAATGGTCCGATTACTATGCTGATTCCTCTTCCCGTGATTTGAAACGTTTCTTCGATCACTACCTCAAGGGGGATGTCACCAACGGCTGGCTAGCTACACCGAAAGTCAGGATGACCGTGTTGAATTTTGGGCTTTCAACTCTAGATGATACTGTCAGCCGCCCGGAAACAGAGTTTCCTCTTGCCCGAACCGCCTACACCAAGCTATTTCTCACCTCCGATGGAACCATGACTAAAGATTCATCTGCTGGAAAGGAATTTTCCGTTTCGTACAACCCAAAAGGAGGAAGTGCCATTTTCAGACTTCGCATTACCGAGGCAATGGAGACCACCGGATACTTTCTGGCAAGGCTTGTAGTCTCCTGTTCAGAAGACGCGGACATGGACCTGTTCGTCCAAATGTCCTCTTACAATCAAAAGTCATCGTATCGGCAAGGTACCCTAACCATTCGACCTCAGAGTCATTTTGTGCAGGTGCTTTTGAAACAACTGCATGACTGGTACTTTGGAATGCAAAAAGTGGGGATGCTTTTCCATTGGGGACCGGAGGGCCGGCTACGGGTAAGCAGGGCGGATGGCAAGAGCGAGAATTCAACGCTCTTTGAGCCAATTTACGAGTGTAAGAAGGCTCTGCCGCTCTCGAAGGGTGAGAAGAGACTTGTGGAAATTCCACTTCGGCCTTATGGAATGTTTTGGAAGGTTCGTCTTCGTTTTCTTTGCTTCACCTTGACATCTCAAATACTAACCTCCCTACAGAAGAATGATATCATGGAATTGACAATTGCTGGAAACCCAATCCTTCCGTTCCCAATTCCAGCTGTTAAGAGCGCACATGGCAAAAATACGGGTCTTCACACCATCCATTGCTTTGATAGAGGCAACGATAGCTCTTGCTTTATCATTCCCATAGTTTAGCCAGTGTTGTACTAATTACAGTCAACTCTCGCTTATTGTACGTCCGGTTATGGTAAATCCACAGTTATGGTAATACTTAGGCTTCGACATGGTCCGGTCCCGGTTCCGTCGTTCGGAACCTAGTGCTGGGGTCGGATCATCCGGGTCCCAGGTTCCAGTTTGCACATGTAGAACTGGAACCGGACTAACGACCCTGCAGTATGGCGGCCGATAAGTACCACCCTAGTGCCATAACCCAATTTCAATTTCTAATTTCACCGCCCTGTTTCCCGCCCGTATTGTATTTAGTATCACATACAGGAATATCTCAATCCCAAACCCGTCGAGCTTCATTTATGAATATTGAATGCTTTTATTACGGCGTGCAAGAACATCAGGGCGATGTTTCTAATGCTACTCGCTTAACTCTCGCTTAAATATTCAAATAATGGCTTTAATATCGAAATAATATACTGAGTTTTAGACAATATATATATATACAAGCTATCCGGGGCTAGACATGTGCATTCCCCATGGGTTTGCATAAAGTAGATCCGTACTGTATTAGGAAGAATCTGGAAGATTTTATGTATGAAGAAAAGGGTCTATCTTTCCTAATTTGGGGGTTCAACACCACCGATCCCTTCTAGAATATTACCCAATTAGGTTAGAATCCTTCTATAGAACTACCTAATTCATTCATATTTCTTATATAATCCTTTCTACATGTAATTAGGAAATATTCTCTGTAGATTTGTAACGTTGGTGTATATTGAAGATATATATTTCCCCCGTGCATAACACCACCATCCTCACCAACACCATATATATATATTTCTATGATCCAGATGTCCTACAGATTTGACTAAGTTGAGTATGATGATTCTTTTGGCAGTCGAATTATTAATAAATATTCATATTTGTGAATTTTGCATAAAGATTTATGCATCTTGGGAGTCGGAGTCACACGTCTTGGTAGGGGTCCTTGGCGTCCCAGTCGTCAACGGTAGATTTCCCCGTACTCCGTGCTGTCTTGTAATTCCGCGCTTGGACAAAGTAATTTATTGGTCTCTCAACAGCAGTCATAACAACGGTCATCTCGTTGTCGTGTTGACTACTCTGAGATAATGATCAGCTTGTGGACCGGGAGCAATGACGCTCAAACGTGCAGGTCGCGGCTGTTTCATCACATAGGGCATTTCATTTCACCGGGATGCGGGTTATTATGGGGTAAAGTGCTCCTTTGGGTTTGGACTGAGCGTGGACTGACTGAGTGCTCGATAGGTGCCTCTGATCAGTCTCTGAGTAATCAGTGATGGATCAGTGAGCAGCCAATCATACTCACTGAGCGCTCATTGCCAATTGGACCTCACCGATATATCACGTGATAGGAATGAGCAGCTCACTGAGCCTGAGTCCGGACTGATATTTACTCAGTGAGCCTGACTCTGAGCGCCCTCATAAAAGCGGCGGCAGCTAAGATAGGAAAGCCCCACCCGGGAGCGGAAATATGTTGCGTAGAGTGACCTATGTATAGAAGCTTATGTCTAGTGGAGTTACTGGTTCGGGACTTTTTTCTGGTATTTTAGGTTGAAACCAGAATGATCTGATAAGCACTGAAACGTCATTCTAATGAAGAGTTCAGAAAATTTCTACATTCAAGTCTTCGTCTTTCTACAAAACAACATCCCGCAGGACCCGGCGTGTACATATGGTCAAGAGTTAATAATATGTAGCCATGCGCACCGGCCCAAAATTATTCCCGTTTTTCCATCAAGCCCCCAAATGTTTGATTGGACTCTATTTCGTTGATCATAGTCCAATTCCTGAACTCAATGAAATCCTCTACCCTCCATGTGGAGGGACTAATTGCTTGCTGGAGCTGGCTCGAAAACAGCCCGAATGAACTATCCAGCCGAAGCCTTCGCCGCGATCATTCCCACCGAGAGCGGTGTCTACTTCTACAAGCACGTGCACCGTAGTCTTGGACTATATACAACGATCCTCTATAGCCAAAATATCCTTTTCCGAGGTAAATTATGTTCTGACTATATATTGTTGCCTTGTTTCTCAGGCGCGAATAGCCTACTAGTATCTTGCTACAACTGATGTTTGGAAGTTCTCGCTTGTCACTTCATCTATTGGATCAGAATGAAAGCTTCCTAAATCCCTGGCCAATCCAAACTTCCGTCATATCGGGACTGAACACTAAAGTTGGAGAGATAAAGCCCATGATGGAATGTACCATTTACCCCTCTGCGGAGAAGCACTTCCTTATCTCTTCTGCATTTCCCACTTCCACTCGACCTTTCCTTTTCCTCTGAGCGCATTACGACCTTGTTAAAGTGTCATAATTTAATACTCACTGTCTACCACACAAATTTCATAACGCCTTGAATCAGTCATTTGACAAGTATGGGTATCAAGGGAATCCGTACTGCCTTAAAGGTCGACCTCGAGAAGCATGCCCGCGAGCAGCCTGGCTTACATGTATGGACCATCTCCTCAGATCGCATGGACTACGCAAACTAATTCAGACTAGAATCGATGGCATCCCGATAGTGGGTTAATACCAAACTCTTCAAGGAATCGTGTCACTAACCTTCTACTCTTTGGCAATAGTTCCGGCTTGTGGGCAGATCGCCAACAATGAAGTCGTCAAAATCGAGTGTCTGGACTGGACTGGGGGTCAAATCGGGAACAATGACTCGGCCGACGACGTGAAGAACGTTGATCTTACTGAAATCCACTATCTGTCTGGTCCATTCGACATCGAGACCGCCGAGCCCGGCGATGTCTTGGTGGTCGAGATCCAGGACGTCCAACCCTTCCAAGAGCAGCCGTGGGGCTTTACCGGTATCTTTGACAAGCAAAATGGCGGTGGCTTCCTGGATGAGCTTTACCCGAAGGCGTAGGTTTCCTGTCTCGCCCGCGATTTGACACGTGCTAATTCGATACTCTTAAGTGCAAAGGCGATTTGGGATTTTGAAGGAATCTTCTGCTCCTCGCGGCACATTCCACATGTCCGCTTTGCTGGTTTAATTCATCCAGGAATTCTGGGATGCGCCCCTTCTGCGGAAGTCCTTGCCGAATGGAACCGCCGCGAGGGGGAGCTTATCTCTGCGAATACCATTGAAGGTCGGATCGTTGCTCAGCCGCCAAACCCCACGAATACCCATGCAGGCAGCTCTGCGGAGGACATCAAGGCAAAGGTCGCAAAAGAAGGAGCACGAACAATCCCTGTATGTTTTAGATCGGTTATTTCTATTGACCATGCGGGTGACTAATTGAGAGAAAAACCAGGGCCGTCCTGAGCACGGAGGTAATTGCGATATCAAAAACCTCTCTCGCGGATCCAAGGTCTATCTCCCTGTCCATGTCCCAGGCGCGAAGTTCTCCGTTGGAGATCTCCACTTCTCCCAGGGAGATGGCGAGATCTCGTTCTGCGGCGCCATTGAAATGGCAGGTGTGATTACGTTGAAGTTCTCGGTCATCAAAAATGGCATGGCGAAGCTGGATATGAAGTCGCCAATTTTCCATGCGGGACCCGTCGAGCCCCAATTTGGCCCTGGGCGCTACCTCACATTTGAAGGATTCTCGGTTGACGAGAATGGCAAGCAGCATTATCTCGATGCGACGGTTGCTTATCGGCAGACATGCCTGCGGGTCATCGAATACCTTCGACGATTCGGGTATGATGATTATCAGATCTACTTGCTCCTGAGCTGTGCCCCAGTGCAGGGACACATTGCTGGTATCGTGGATATCCCTAACGCTTGTACTACTCTTAGTGTGCCGATGGATATCTTTGATTTTGATATTAGGCCCGAAGCGGAGGTCACAAAGAAGGATATGGGAGTATGTGCATTCACTAGTACTGATTAAGTTGCCAGCACTTGATCAAGTTTTTGAAATTGAAGTCATTTAAACCTATTTTGCCTAAATCCCTGTCGAATTTCAACATTGATTTATGGTTTTATCGAAAGAAAGTTTGAATGATTTCACAGATGATGGGAGTGATATTAAGAATGACATACTTGTAGTAAATACGGTAGGATCAGTAGCTCACCTGGTGGCTGGACACTCGAGATCTAGCCAGAGAGTTACACTGGGAGCTTCTAAGAGATTTCAATCCACTGGAAGAGAACAGTTGATGAGTACTTCGTTGTATAAATTTTGGAGTGACTGATAATAGGGAACAGGGGAAAGCGGTTCTGGTATGAAAAGTTTTTATCTACTAGTAGCATGCGTGTTGGCGTTTTGTTAGGATACGCGCGAAAAAAAACCATTTTGCGTTTCGTTTTGCGTTTTACGTTATAGCACGCTGCTTTTTGTGCATTTTGCGACAGAACACATGTGCACACAAGACAACGAGTTTTTGTTCATCTTGGGGCTTGAGGAATGAGAGTCAGATACGCTATTGATGACCCTGCTTAGCAGGCTCCAGGGATGCGCCCAAGTTGACTGGATGTCACGCTGCTTAAAATTTGTGAATATTGTGTCTATAGCTTACTCGATTCACTCTCTTCTATCCGAGTCCATTCATTTTCTTTCAACTTCTGAAAGTCCATGACCCTGTCGGGCCCTCCAAATCGATTCTGCGTAGAGTGCCAATCTCGATCCACTGCCGTTTCGGGGCGCCATCTTACAACATGTTTTAGTTCTTTCTGTAGATTTCCCTCTAAAGCATCGGAAATAAAACCGCCAATGGTCGGCATCTGCATCGCTCCATTCCCCGACCCGCCCACCGCAACCAGGAGAGAGTGATACTCGGAATGACGATCAATCAAGAACGCACGATCGGGTGTATCAGCGTCCCAGCAAATCCTTGCAAAGGAGAAGGGCCTATCTGCAAGATGCGGCATCGTATCCTTGAGGAAATCTCGAGCTCGGGCTTCGGCTTCCAAGGGAATTTGATGCTTTGTGAATGGTATGCTCCGCGTCTCTCCATCATGTGCAGCATCGAAAACAAAATTGCAGTATCCGGGGTGTTCATCACAGATCTTAAGCTCATGTTTATCCTCGTCGGGCTCCATGAAGAATCCCTTTGCGATATTGAATAAGACTGGAAGATTTCGATATAGCTTTGCCTCTTCTGCAGTCATTTTAATATGGCTCAAGGTCCATGCAGTGGGGCGCAACTGTTTCTTGAAATCAAGCAGTCGATCACTCCCAGCGCCCGCGGCCAATATGGTATGATCGGCACGATGGCAGACTCCGTCCTCTGTTTGGGCTCCCACTACATCGCCATTTTCGTAAAGCAAAGTGACAACTTTGCCCTCGGGCGTGCCCGTTATAAATTTTCCTCCCAGGCGTTGGGCTTCAGTGTACGCCGAGATCATTGCTTTCTGGGCGTGGATCCAACCCGCTCCACTCTTGCTGAACCATCCTTTCCAGCCTGGAAATTCTCCAGTCAAGACACCGGGTGGCATTGTTTTGCGGAAATCTTCCGCTGTCTCGAGCGAAATGAACTCTGCATCGGATGGATCGATCTCTTCGTCCTTGATATGCTGGATTAAAGCTGGGGTGTGCCCCGAGACAATGAATCCTGTTTCGTGGAAATATGGTTGAAATACGGGGTCGGTTTTCCAACCCTTTAATGCCGCTCGACTGCAAGTTGTAAAAGCGAGACTTCTCGCATCGGGGTTCACGTCTGTGGGATGTCAGCTTTGAATTTCTCCTGGGACATATGTTGCATAAGCTCTGACCTTTGAGTTCCTTGTGTTCCATGATCTTATTCACGTCATTGCCCGCAGCAATTGCTGATGGGACTGGGTAGGGATCCAACACTTTGACATTTGTATATCCCCGACGAGCCAAATGCAACGCAGTTGAACATCCCCAAGTCCCAGCACCAATAATCAGAATCGAAGAGGCATGGCTAAGCGGTTTTTCAGACATATTGACGGTACTATCTCTCTCTCAGCTTCGAAAGGCGCCAATGAAAAGTTGAGTGGAAATGGAAAACCAAATAAACATGATTCCATTTCCGCTCTTTTAAAGTAGCGGAGTTCGGCCCGCTTTGTGTACATCTGCCGCTTATCGATACGAATCCTTCGCTTGGACCTTCCGACCCTCCAAAAACCCGGGGTAATCGACTGCTTCTCCTCACATTCTTATATTTGACCTTATCATGCCTCGGGTCGGCCTATATTGAAGCCAATGGTATCTACCTTTTTGCTGTCAATGCTGTCGCTTGGAGCTTCCATCCCCCCTTACCCCTCACGATGCTCGTTATCTATTACACCAGCAGAACCTTGATCTCAAGCGAGTCGGCTCATGCCGACCAATCTCTCCAATCGTTAGACATGTCACGAATACCACATCGAGAGACCCGGTTGTCTCAAGGCTCTATAAGAAGAACTCGAGTCGCACATTTCTCCAAGAACAAGTGCCAACAACCATCACAATGATTCACCTTGAAAACGGTGTCTCTACCGATGTTCCTGGCACAGTATATTTGGTGGATGGTATGTTCAAATCAAAAAACTTCAAACATCAAGTAATGGTCTAAGAAACCCCCTTTACAGAGTCTCACGCATTACGAAATGCAGCCCATGCCGGGCACCAAGATATTGTTCTGCTACCACAGCCATCAAACTCGCCAGCCGATCCACTGGTCAGTATCGTATATGGTATAACCTCCCAAGGTTAGAAATCAACAACTAACCCCCGGATGCAGAATTGGTCGCGCACGAAGAAGCTATGGTCCCTCATCCTCATATCGGCCTATGCATGCGTGTTCTCATTTGGCGAGAACAACACTGGCGCAAGCTGGACTACAATCTCCGACGATACCGGCGTCAGCATCAATAACATGAACGGAGGATCCGCACTCAACTATCTCCTTTTGGGTTTCTTCAACATTATATGGATCCCGTCAGCGATGAAATATGGTCGCAAGATCGTGTTCATTTTGAGTTTGTTGATCCTCTGCGGAGGTAGTATATGGGGAGGCCTTTACCACGGAGTGGCTCAATACTTTATTGTATCCGCACTGCAAGGCGTAGGTACTGCAGCGTATCAGGCTTTGATTCAACTTACTGTGAGTGTATATAAAATCAGCTGTCTAAAGGTTAGACTAATCAGTTCTAGATTTTTGATGTCTTCTTCACGCATGAAAGAGGCCGAATGGTTGCGTTCTACATATTCTTCCAGCAGCTTGGATCTATCTTGGGCCTTATATTGGGTGGATATATCTCGGATGGAGTTGGCTGGCGCTGGTGCGCTCCTACTGTTGCCATTGCATGTGTATGGAAACCCTCGATTCCATATTGGAGCCCATTCTAACTTCTCCAGGGTGTTTTGATCGTTCTCTTTATCTTCACCTTCGATGACACCATGTTCCCAAGGTATAGATTCAAAACTACACGCCCTGAACCCTCAAACGACAAGGAAGGTGCAGAAGATCGGGTCGATCCAGAGAAAAAGAATCAACTAGGCTCCCCCATCTCTGAGGTCGCAAGTAACACACTTGGAGAAGATATCACACCCCGCACTTACCTGCAGAAGATCGCATTAGTCCACTACTTTGCAGATGACCATACAACCTGGTTCCAGTACTTTCGTCGTCCATTCTACCTCTTCGCATTTCCAAACATCGTACTTGCTGGTATCCAGTTTGCCTTCGGGTGTACCGCAGGCATCGTGACTTTCAACACCATCTCTGAAATCATGACAGAGGCCCCATACAACTGGAGTGCCGGATCTGCCGGGCTAATTTTCCTCGCCGCTCTGGTTGGAAACATACTAGGGTATGTCTCAACCTCATTTCCCGGACATTCGCCCATCGTATCATTTTACTGACGATTTGTAAAAGCATGGGAGTTGGCTGGTTATCCGACTGGGTGGTTCTATTCCTCGCCAGACGAAACAACGGATACAAGGAGCCGGAAATGCGTCTCTGGACGTACATATTTCCCTTCATCTTTGGCGCCATTGGCTACTTTCTGTACGGCTGGGCTGCTACAAACGGTGACCACTGGATAGGTATCGCCGTGGCACTATGCTGCCTGATTGCCCAACAAGTGTCCTTGACAAGTATGGCAACAGCATACGCGATGGAATGTTTCGATGGAGTGAGCAACTACCTACTACCCCATGCACACTGCCCGATCTTTTGTTTCACGCTAATCCATTCCTTGCCTCAGATCTCCGGCGAGCTTGTTGTTGTACTCGCGATTTGTTCTTCACTGATAAATTTTGCAATCTCGTATTCCGTTCAGCCTTTCATCGACGTCACGAACTATGGCTGGGCATTTACCTTTTTCGGTATCCTGGTTGTTCTTGCCACGTTGATGGGAATTCCGATGATAATATGGGGAAAGAGCTGGCGTCGGAATTGCAAGAGTCGATATGAAAGGTTCTTGGCGGAGGCCACATAGATTGGATAGTCTGTCTGAAATTCGATATTAAATTTGATCGAAGATGTGGGCAGCCCAGCGTGGTTTTCTAGTCGGGGGAACTGAGTTTGCTCATGGCGTTCATTTCCTGGGATATGGGTGTAATATGAATTAGCAAACCTTGGAACCTCGTTCTAGAATGTGGTGTTGATATACACATGAAGCTTTTCAAGCCCGCTAAGGCCGTGGAATAATCCATGGAATTCCACCCATCTGGGGTCCAGGCAGTCCCACTCCCCCACTCCTCTTTGATTGGCTTTCTCTCTCAACGTATCTAGTACCTAGTACCGCAGTCGTGTTCTTTATGCACACCGGATTGCCCCACCGTCCTATTTGGGCCGCAGGTGAAGGGGAAAATCCCAACCTTAAGAAGTTTGTAATGTATGTAGTAAATCATGAGATTAAAAAACTGATCCGCTAGATTCAATGGTTCTATATTTTGTTTCAAGAAAAAAAAACAATAAACATAGGAAAAGATTACATGAAATGCTACATGTAGTTTGCTAGCTGTGCTAGGCTAAAGAGGCAAAAAAGTAGTACATGGGTTCAGAGGATATCAAGGTACCGCGACGCGTCTAGAAGTGGATGGGCTTAGAGTAGGTGGCCATGGCAGCCTCCTTGAAGGCCTCGGAGAGAGTGGGGTGGGCGTGACATGTGCGGGCGATATCCTCGCTGGAGGCACCGTACTCAATGGCAAGGGTGGCCTCAGCAATCATCTCACCGGCACCGGGGCCGATGATGTGAACACCGAGAATGCGGTCAGTCTCGGCATCAGCAATGAACTTAACGGTACCCTCGGTGTCGAGGTTGGTCTTGGCACGGGAGTTGGCGCTGAAGGGGAAAGAACCAATGTTGTACTTGACACCGGAGGCCTTGACCTCGGCCTCGTTCTGACCAACCCAGGCGACCTCGGGGTGGGTGTACATAACGGAGGGAATGGCGGCGTAGTTAACGTGGCCGTGACCCTTCTTAATGTACTCGATGGCAGCGACGGCCTCCTCCTCGGCCTTGTGGGCCAGCATGGGGCCGAAGGTGACATCACCAACGACACGGATGTGGGGAACCTTGGTGCGGTACTCCTGGTCGATGACAAGACGGCCACGGTCGTCCTTGTCGATACCGACGTTCTCAATCTTCAGGCCTTCGGTGTAGGGGCGGCGGCCAATGGCAACGAGGACAACATCGGCATCGAGGGTCTCCTCCTTACCACCCTTGGAAGACTCAACGTTGAGGCTGACGGTGGCACCGCTGTCATCACCCTTAACGACCTTGGTGTTGGTCTTGAACTTGATGCCCTGCTTTCCGAGGATCTTCTGTGCCTGCTTGGCGATCTCGGCATCCATACCGGGACCACCGATCTGGCCAAGGAACTCAACAACGGTGACCTCAGCACCGAGACGGGACCAGACGGAAGCCTGCGTATCATAAAGTTAGATAAAAAAAAAACCCACTTGTGTGTATTGTGGAAAGCCTAGTAGCCTTAGCACTTGGAAGGTTTTCTTACCATCTCGAGACCAATGATACCACCACCAATAACAATCATCTTCTTGGGGACCTCCTGGAGGGAAAGAGCACCAGTGCTGGTGATGATGCGCTTCTCATCAATGTTAAGACCGGGGAAGGGGGTGGCCTCGGAGCCGGTGGCAATGATAATGTTCTTAGCGCGCAGGGTCTGCTCACCACCATCAAGCAAGTCGACCTTGATGGTGTTGGCATCAACGAAGGAACCGGCACCCTTGATGTAGTCGACACCGTTCTTCTTCAGCAAGAACTCAACACCCTTGGTGAGGCCCTCAACGGAGGTCTCCTTAGCCTGGAGCATCTGAGCGAGGTTAAGCTTCACCTCGCCGACCTCGATACCGCGCTTCTTGGTGTCGTGGAGAATCTGGTGGTAAAGGTGGGAGTTGTTAAGGAGGGACTTGGAGGGGATACAGCCGACGTTGAGGCAAGTACCACCAAGCTTTCCGCGCTTCTCGATACATGCGGTCTGCAAAGGTCTTCAGTTAGCAACGAAAATCCGGCTATGTTGATCGGCGATTGGCGGCGATTGGCCACGATCCTTTGCGGAATGGAGTAGCTGGAAGCTGAAAAATAAAGGAAATGCATACCTTCAAACCCTCTTGACCAGCCTTGATGGCAGCAACGTAACCGGCAACACCACCACCGATGATGACCAAGTCGTGATCTCCTGTTGTCCGGAGGGCCGGAAAGTTAGCGATCGCATCCGGGAAGAGCAGGAAAAACTCTCAGTCTCTTGATTGCGGAGAATTAAGCAATGACTTACCGGACTCAGAGGCATAGCCGCGTTTTGAGCCAACGAAAAGCATGGGAGTGGCGATGAAGCTGGAAGGGACAGCCTTAGGGCCGCAAGCGCGGAGGCTCGCCCTCGGCGCAGCGCGAGGCAGGACGGCGCGGAACATAGCGATTGGCGGAATTAAAAGATGAAGGATTCAATATAACAAGTTAAGCCTCCACGGGAAATCACCTGGAGGGGAGGATGACAAGGTTGCGCAAAAGGGGAGGTGTGCTTTAGAGGGTACGGGAAGAGAGGACTGAGCTTTTGCGGTATTTTGAGATTGACCGCCGGCGGGAGTTATGTAAGCCAGTCGGGTCGACTCGGTAAGGTGCCTGCACCTTTGCCGGATGACGATGCCGCTTTTGTTTTTGTTTAATTGTTTTTTGTTTTTTTTTTCTTAACGTGTTATTATGGGGTCTTGAATATGTTGGGAAGCGTTATCGGGAAATTGGGGGTAGCAGGGAAAGGACTGGTTTTTAATGACATGAAGCCGCCTGTAGAATTCTGGGTCATTTATACACCAGTCGGCCACGGAATAAGCCAAGTATGACGCCGGGCCCCGGGGAAATTTGAAGACCTTTTCCGCCTCCACCTACCCGGCCAGATCTTACCCCGGGAAGCATTGGAATGCCTAGCGTTGTTTTTAGCCTTGGTCAATCCTCATTTTCCCAAAAGAATTTTGGATACCCGCGGGTTTGCAATGGGGTTGGCCCGGTTGGGTCAGGTTTGCCGTAGTCTCCGCCTCCACGGCTATACTCGGCGGGCTTTGGCCACTTGGTGACTCTGAAGTGCTACTATAGACAACCTCTAATGACGTTCGACCCGAGTTTCCTCTGCTTTATTTTAGCCAGGTTATCCTGTTTACTAGTAGTTAGTAGTTGGTGTCTTTTTGTCATCTGGTTCCCAGGTTCGTTATCTGCTCTTCACTACCTGAATAATTCCAAATCAACGCTAGGTGGGTTTTATTCGTGCCCAGGAAGTGGAAACAATGTACACAACCATCGCAGAGAGGTTATCCATAATTCCCGATGGTCCCATGTTCCCATGTTCCTGATATCAGACCGTGCTTGTCTCGTGACACTATAGCTTGGTTGGTTTTTCAGAGTATACTCTCCCTTTGCAGCTGGATTGGATTTGGTCCATGATCAGTTGCTTGCTGCTGGGCCCATGGCTCCAAGTTGCTCAATGCTGACGGTTGAATGAAGCGCATCGTGGGATCCATCGCAGAGAGCACTTCCGAGACTATTATCGAAGATCGGGAGTGAAGAAGAATTCGGTCTACCATAGTGACGATGACGACGAGAACGACAGGTGAGAACCGGAAACTGTCAGGGAAACGTGCCAACTATTCCTTCTGCTAAACGCATAGTTGGCGCCTGCTAATTGTTTGAAATTGCATAACGCATATGCGCGTGAGCGTTTGCAGATTGATGTTAGCTGGAACGAGTCCGCTGCTCTGTTCTGCTCTATATAAGAGCTCTCCAGACTGTCGCTTCTTCCTCTCTCCTTCTCTCTTGCTCAACTCAATCAAGTCTCATTCTTCCTTCACTTGGCTGCTTCCTGGTACTCATTCGGAAACCCTCCAGTAGAAACAAGAAGAGCAGTGTGATTGAGATATGCAATGGAAAGGCAAAAAAATGAGAAGAGAAGGTAGGGGATTGGAGTGAGAAGGATAATGTCATGAGGCAGTTCGATCCACGACCAAAGGGTCCATTAAACGAGACAGCCAAGACTGGCTATATAAGAGAGAAGTAAGAGGGAGAAGGAGAAGAAGAGAGGAAAACAACAAAAGGAAGTAGGCAGGTCGGTTAAATAAGAAAATCCAATGAGCACCATTTTAAACCGTGCGCAACCCCATTAAATTTCAAAGAGCAGTGAATTGGTGTGGCAGGAAAGGGTCCCTGAAACAAAAGAAAGTAAAAAAATGGCTACTTCCCAGAGGATCTTATCCGTTGTATATCCGTTTATGGGTGGATTGACCTAGACTCGGCGAAACTCCGATATACTTGCCATTCTTCATTACTCCTTGAAAGCAGCCCCCAGGAATGACAAACTTGGCCACTCCCAACATGAATTGAATATTGACGCTATTCAATATTTGAGGTATTCCTATACAGATTGAATGAGCTAAAATCAGAAATCAAGAGTCAACTTGGGTACAAGTGTGGCTCGTTGCAGCCATTTGTTCCGGCGCCCTGGGCGGCTTGCCGAGCTAAGAAGAAAGTCTAGAAATCTCCGCATGGGGTCGCTCTTTCTCCGTTCTGGCGGGGACCCCATATCTTATTGGCCATTTAGCAGAAGATAGGCAGACCACTTTCCCTTTCCCCAGCATTAGCGGAAGGATTGGAACTGCTTTGTCTGGCTTAACAGTGTTCCATTTTCGCCTTTTCGGATTGCCGATTTCAGCTCTGTCCGGCTAAAAGCCAGCAAGCCCCGCCCTTCCGTCCCTCTCTACCAGTCTCTAGTCATCCATACGGTCCACACCCCATACCGGATCCAATGTCCCGACCCGGTTTTTATTCTCCAAGTTGTGGGGATTCAGGTACATTGAAGTCCACCACATGACATTGTACATGTTTGATTCCATGTGCCGCCGGGATGTAACCATATTGGACTGTCGCTCCTTGCTTTCCTGGGATCAAACTCGGCCGATCCCCGTGGGGAAGCTTCCTCACTATTCGCACTTCGGACCGGTCTGGGACTTGGCTGTGCGTTTAAAAGCCCCGACGATCCCATTATGATGTCTGCGCGACTTGGACTTTGGGTTTGAATTTACCCCGCGGGGCTGGACTCTCTTTTGAATCGAGTACTTATTTAATTTATTCAGCTTTGTCCCTTGCCTATACATACACCCACTCGTCACATCGTACCGTCGTTCATTGGTAGCTCATACATATGCAATTTTATTGGAGATCTTATTCCCTTCAAAATGAGTGACAGGATCCACTCTTGGAATGTCGTCCACAAGTTGGAGAAGCGACAGCTTCTCATCGCGATCAATTGCATCGCAGCATTGTCCATTCTATTCTTTGGGTACGACCAAGGAATGATGTCCGGAGTGAACAACGCGGAGGACTATGTCAAACTTATGAAGTTCGGGTATACAAAGATGGAAAATGGCGAGGCAACCGTGGTAGTCACAAATTCTCTCTTGCAAGGTGGAATTGTGGCCGTGTATTACCTGGGAACATTGTTTGGTGGTTTGTTCGGCGGCTGGCTGGGAGATCGCGTGGGCAGAATCAAGTCCATTGCAGCTGGTGCTATCTGGGCAATCGTGGGAGCTAGTCTGCAGTGCTCGGCTCAAAATCACGATTGGATGATTTGCGGTAAGTGAATTCCGCTTAAGTTAATGAACCCACACCTAAAGATTTATAGCGCGTTTTGTCAACGGAATCGGCACTGGTATTTTGAACGCTATTGTCCCCGTGTGGGCTACGGAGACGGCCGAACATACTTCCCGAGGTCAATTTATTGCGATTGAATTTACGCTTAATATCTTTGGTGTTGTCCTTGCCTATTGGTTGGAGTTGTATGTTGCGTCCTTCTGTTGAAACATTCTCCCGCATCGTCATTATCTAACCAGATTATGTGTTAGCGGCCTGTCATTCATCGACGAGGGCAGATCTCCTTTCCGCTGGAGATTTCCTATTGGATTCCAAATCTTGTTCCTCTTGGTCCTTTTCTTCGCTGTTTGGTTCTTCCCCGAGTCTCCTCGCTGGTTGGTTAAAGTTGGCCGAGAGGAGGAAGCCAGGTATATTCTCCAACGCCTTCGTGGCAGCAGCAACCCCGAAGACCTTGTTCGTGCCGAGGCCGAGTTCATCGATATCCAGGCCATTGCAGAGATGGAGAAAACAGTCGTCCACGGCAACTCATATCTTTCGATGCTTTTTGGCTATAAATCGGGTGACCTCCACATCGGCCGTCGTGTGCAACTAGTCATCTGGCTTCAGATCATGCAGGAGTGGGTTGGTATTGCCGGTGTCACCGTTTACGCTCCGACAATTTTCAGCATTGCAGGATTTGACTCCACAAAGAGTCAGTGGATTAGTGGTTTGAACAATGTCTTCTACATGGTATGTCTCAATCGTAATCATGGCAAACAAAAGTGGTCAGCTTATTAACGCCTTTTTTCCAGTTTGCAACGCTTGTCTGCGTCTTTACATTGGATCGTATCGGCCGTCGATGGACTTTGTATTGGGGCTCAATCGTTCAAGGCATTGCAATGTTCCTGGCAGGCGGTTTCTCTCGTCTCGCCATCAATGCTAAGGCAGCCGGTGATACGGGTCACGCTTCCTCCTACGGTGCAGCCGCAGCTTCAATGATCTTTATTTTCACCTCGACCTTTGGAGCGACGTGGTTAACAGTGCCTTGGCTGTACCCGGCAGAAATCTTCCCATTGGCTGTGCGTGCTCGGGGTAATGCTTGGGGTGTCGTCGGATGGAGTATTGGAAACGGATGGCTGGTGAGTTCAACTTCCAGCTTATTTTGTTTGATTGGAAAGTGCTAATTAGATTTCTCCCGCCAGACTCTTCTGTGCCCTGTGATGTTCAGTGCCATTGGTGAGAAGACCCTATATGTATTCGCCGCAAGCAACGTCATCACCATCCCCATGGTTTGGGCTCTGTACCCGGAGAGCAACCAACGTACGCTAGAAGACATGGATCTTTTGTTTGCGGCCAAGACGCCATGGGCCTGGGATGCGGAGAAGACCTTTGCTCGTTTGAAGGCTGAGAATCCGGGTATGGTCCAGGCCGTTAGTCGGAAAGGCAGCATAGACCCAGAAACGGGCAAAATGATTCTGGCCGCAACAAAAAGTGACAGGAACTCGACTTCTGCCGAGCATGTTGATGACGCGTGAGTGAGTTGACATATATATCTGTGTATGGGTCCCGAGATTTTGCGAGAACATTGAAGTAAATGCAATTGGATAGAGCAGTACTAGAGGCAGTACCTACAATAATATTTTATGAGTCATAAGACTCATAACATTTCAACCCTCAAGTCATTCATCATTGCATGGAAAGTGAAAGACAAACATGATTATAAATCGCGCGGATAAATCCAAACCTTGGATCTAGATTGTATGGGCAAAGGATCTGATTGGTCACTTTGAGAACAACATCTCCAGGCCAGAAGCTCTACTTCAACCTCAACCGTCAATTATAATGCGTACTAACCCCACTCAGAAACCGATTCCTTTTTTCTTCTCTTATTCTTCTCAAACACCCGATAATTCTCGTGAAATAATCGCACGTGTCTAGCTACCTATCCAAGTAAGCTCTACTCCCGCCAACGCGTCAAAACGCGTCAACACCAAACTATGACGATAAGCAACTAACAAACCCAGAGCAGACATCATATCACCAACGTACATAGCTCCAAAAAAAGCAACCAAGAACACATAATAACGAGCAACCTCTCAAAATCCCAAACCAGCCAAAATGACAATCACAACAACCACAATCACACCAGACAAGACCCCACCAACCCCACAATCCCAAACCCCAACAAACCCAAAACCACAACCCTCCAACCTCCAAACCCAAAAATACCTCCGCCGCATCTCCCTCCATCCAACCCTAACGCCCTACCGCCGCCGCGTCTACCGCGTCCTCCTCTCCGTCCCCGCCGGCCGCTGGACCACCTACTCCGCCATGGCAACATACCTGCACTCCAGCGCCCGGGCCGTCGGCAACGCCATGCGCACGAACCCGTACGCGCCCGAAGTCCCCTGCCACCGCGTTCTTGCGGCCGGCGGCTCGTTAGGCGGGTACAAGGGCGAGGGGATGGCGGTTAAGCATGTTAGTGATGGGTCGTTCCGGGATGAGAAGAGGACGCGGTTGAAGGGGGAGGGCGTTTTGTTTGATGAGGCAGGGAAGGCGAGGGGGGTTTGTTTTACGGATTTTGAGGATTTGGGGGATAAGAAGGCTTGATGCGTGCTAATAAATTACTGGATTTAAACTTGGGTTGTGACTTTGGGGGTTGGATTGGGCTAGGCGTTTAGGGTGGCGGGTTTATTGGAAGAGCCTCTGGGCCCCGGCCTTGGTTGGGTTTTGAATGCTGCTGGTTTCTGTTTGGGTTGGATTTGGGTTGGGAGCCGCATGTTCCGAGGGTTCGAGGGTTATCTCCGTAATGGGGATCTTTCAAGAGGCTTGGATTCTACTAATATGTACTACATAGTTCTGGATGAGGCGAAAAAAAGGCGTTACTGCATGTGATCTTTACTTTTAATAGCGGTACTCGAAATTGAAAATGGAAGCTCGGGAACATTCTCGAGGTCAGATTGATGTTACTTTTCGCCAAGTTTCACGTAAAGAAGCTTTGGTGTTGTCTTGATTTGTTTTCGGTATCTGTTCTCAACTCGACAGCCAACAGTGGATCCCAGACCCTGGAGGCTGTGTCACAGCTTGATCCACATATAGTATACTGTACACAAAACGACACGATTGCCTCACAGGGCTCACTGGAAGATCTGCAGACGGTAGAAGCCGAACCCCCCAATCACCATCATGGATAATTTCGTGCAATGTTGGTTTCCCCCACTCTTTCTGAACCTTCCCCTTTGCCACAGGGGTATGTAGAGGGTGCCATTTCTATATACGGGATACGGCCCCCATGCGCGACAACCTTTGCAGCGGAGAGATCTACAGGAAACAGCCCCGTGGACGGTCATTGGCCCAATGTGCGTGAGTACGGTCCCCACCTGCCATTAATGGTTGCATGATACTCGAGTATTGTGCTTACATCTGGATTGGCGATCTATGTAAGTTGTACATGTACATTTCGTTGCTATAATAATACCCGTGCTAGGATGGGAGGCTTGGTTGACGGCCTTGGATCGTCGGAATGAGATTCGAACAAAGATCCAGATGTCGATAACAGGGGAAATACATACGCTAGGATGTTCAGCCCTTGTGGATCTAGGGTCAAGGTACCTTACCTGTAATCCTTCGTACATGCATTCGTGTACTTGTCACTATGTATTTGTTGGCACCCGTTGACGTATGACTCGGTATCTCGAATCCATACGGTAAGATATCCAGTTAGTATTCGATCATGCACAGTGACGACAGGAACTTGCTTTTCGGGAAAATGATGAATGTTCCCGCTGTCTTGGCAAATAAGTGGAGTGCAGCACGGTTACCCATTCTGGTGTGTGGAGGATCCGACGATCGACAGCACCTGAGTAAACCCCGGTCAACTTTTTATGCATGACCCGCGCCAGCAGGGTTGACCTGAATTTCCAGCCAAAGGGGAGTCAGGACTGGCTCGCTAGCTTTGGCCTATTCACCCTGTAATTTGTCATTTTCTTTCTTTCTCTGTTTAGCTTTTATTACACGTGTTTCTTTCACTCGCCCTTTGTCGTTTGTCTTCCATTTCAAGCCCAGACGCCATGCTGAAGTTTCCCCATATAGCAACAGCAAGGCACATGGCAACAAAGAAAGTGAAACATAAAAGAAAGAGAAAAAAAACTGATCCCTGTTAGCTACTCGACGTACCTGGAGCCTAATTAAGCAGATGTTGCGACCTGGACAGCTTTTCCGGGCTAATTCCGACCGTGTTACGAGAAATCTGCAAGAGAAGAATTCCACGGCTCTAGCGTCACACTATTTGGGGTTGCCTACCGAGTCATTTGATTTTTATTTTTTATTTATTTTCTCTCTTTGTTTGCTTATGCGTTCAAGTCCCGGTGATTGGTGCAATTCTTTCCATAACCGGGTGTTGTTGCAGGTTCCTGAAATTCGGCAATGCATTACATGATTCGCTGTCTATGGGAGGGTGCGCTTACTACTACATAAGATTAGGTATTGCTTGAGAGGTCCAAGGTAGTGAGATCCGGTAGTGCTGACGAGCTAGTGCAGGACCTAGTGGCGGTTTTTTTTTGCTCAGGTACTCGAGTCATTGTTTGTCGGTGCAGGTAGAGTTGGGTTGTGCCACGAATCACGAAGCCATCCCTGGAAGCTACAAGATTACATTCTGCTGTGTCGCCGTGTGTGATCTAATAAAATCCAGTCTGGCTAAAAAGGTACATAGCGACAGGTAGTTAAACTTGGGTCATCAATACTAGACTAAAACCCTGGAAGGAGGAAAGTGTATGAGGAAAGCAATACTGGTTCTCTGTTATTCTCATGAATTGAGTAGCATGACCATCGCGATCGTCGGTATGAATCATGACACATGTGGGAATTGGTATCCCGTAAACAAAAATTGAAAAAGGACTCTGTCTATCGGCCTTATAATCCCTGTCGTCTATAGTTGCACCCAAACCGAATACCAAATGTAAGCAAACATGGAAAATATGAATGTGTAGAAAGGAAATAGGCACCAAAGGATGCCCGTGGCTGGTGCACAATAACAATCCAAAAACGTAGAGTAGTCTATAAGAATAAGAACAAGGTGGGGATTCGAATAAAAAAAAAACAGAATCGCACCTGGAATGGTGTATCAGGTGTAGCGCCGCCAATGAAGCCCAACGAAGAATTGAAATACAAACAGATGAAAAACACATAGGGGGATAAAAGCGGGCTGTCGTGGAATCATAAAGTCGGTGATGAAGTGTAGCATATAGCATGTAGCGTGTATCGCATAGAAAAAGATGGAAATGAGAAGGGGGCGATGGAATGGCATGGGATGAGGGCGCGATGCGCACGAAGTCGCTGTCGCACACGATGGAAGAAACCCCTCAAGCCATATCCTTAGCCGAGCGTTTCGCGCGCCGCTTCGGAACATCGAGATGGTGGTAAGAGCGCAAATGTTCAACTAGGTGGTCCTGGCGAGGGAAGCCATTGGCGCCTTTGCGGGAGCAATGTTCAACAGGGCAGTTGCGAAAGACGGGGTAATGGACGCTGGACTGATGACGCTTCAAGTCGGCAAAGCGAGTGAAGGACTTGCCGCAATCGTCGCAGCCAAAGGGCTTAGCAGCGGGTCTAATTGAGAACAGAAAAGAAATGGTTAGAAATTCCGTGGTTGTGTTTTCCTTTTTGTTTTGTATATACTTCGTATAGCCGTGGGACAGAAAAAAAAAAGTGGGCTTACTTGGATGGAGCGGGTGGGGACTGGGGACCCGAATCCTCGATCTCGCCCGGGAGGGGATAATCGGGCATAGGAACTTCTTCGGGCATGTTGAAGCTGCTCCCGCTCCCGTACGAGGAGCTTCCACAGCTACTACTCGCGGCGGGACTACTGGGTAATCTGGTCCCCAGGAGACCAGTGGCATCATAAATTGGAGCTTCATTCGTGGGACCATAGGCGTATGAATTTGGCGCACTAGTGAAGGAGTAACTATATGGTTCGGATACGAACTCCGGGGCAAATTCCGGGGTTGTAAATGAGCTTGCATCGACGTCGCACATGTTGTCGAACACGGGCGGGCCACGGAAGTAGAAATCCATACCGCCGGGGGAGGAGGACGAGTAGGATGATGAGTAGGATGAGGAGTAGGAGGAATCGGCGTAGCTGAAGGGGGATTGCATATCGGGAGTAGAAAGTGTGAACTTGGAAAGTGGATTTGAAAGTGGAATGGCAGTCTAAATAAAAAAGGAACTCAGGATTAGAAAGGAAATTAGAGAAAAAGATGGTAAAAAATCTAGAAGTCCAATGCCCAAAAAGAAATTAAATGTAAATGTCAAAAACAGAAAAAAAAAAAAAAAAAAGAAACTAGAAAAAACAAGCGAAAAAAAGGGAAGAAAGAAAAAAAATAAATAAAAATAAGTGAGTTGAATGCGCAGGGGGGGAAACTAGTTAGTGACTAGGGTAGACCAACCATTGTGAGACGAGAAGATGGAAATTCTTCCAAATTTCCCAATTTGAACAAGTATTTGGGGGCGTCGATTGAAGAAGCAAATCGTACAAGAAAATCCAAAAGTCATCAGTAAGAATGGGGGAAGACTTGGCTTTAAGTAACAATTCCAGACATGAGTTGTAAGTTACTAACTAGTACAGCTTGAAATAAAAATGCCTCGAAAAAGACAACAGGAACACGAGCTCTCCCATATCACCCCGCGGAGAATGCAAGAAATGGGCAATCCGGACAGGCTCCTATGGCTTCTGAATGGCTTCAAGCCTCGAAATCATGCATCTGGACTGGTGGAGTTCCACACAGCCCCCCCGCTCTCCAGCGTCATGGAAGGGAAATCAGTGCGGGAATTTCTGCAAACACTGGATCCTCGTGCATTAGTCCAGTGCTGACCCGCGAAAAGAACATTCCACGTCTCTTCCACAAGCCTTCTAGCGGCGAGGGCCTTAGGGTATTGGAAGGAAAGAAGGGGGAGAAGCCAATTATAATTACAGAAATGGCCCCCGATAAGCTGGTCAAGGTATACGGGAGAGTACCAGTACCGTACCAGGTGTTGGCAAATGATTGATCTACTAAGTTGATACCTGAGTTAATGGGAAATTCATTTGGCGGTCAGATGATGCAAATGTGCTGTATTGCGCTCGACCCTCTTGGAACTGATTTCATTTATTTCATTTACTGTGTTTTTTTCCCTCTTTTTGCCTTCGCATCTGTTGATCCTCGCCAGTTCGGATTTAGTGTGCTTCTGGAATTCTGGAATCCTTCTAGCGTCATGACATCCCTGGCCCCTCGTTCTCTTTTCTTTTTTTTCCCTTTTTTTTTCTCGTTTCAGATTACCTCTTGTGGCGTCACCAAAGATGACTGCGTGAATTCTATACATGCACCATATCATAATTCGAAACTCACATTGTACTTGCATTTGTACCTATGAGTTTCAACCTTCCATCACATGGAAGTCAACTCGAAGAAAGTATCTCCCCACCAACGACTATACTCCAAGCTTTCAAGGTCGACTCTTACATGTAAATCCATACCAACACATTATCTGTAGATCATGTTCTCCCAAATGTCCCACTCGGCACCCGCGTGCCGAAATGAAGTAATGAAGTCACCGATCTAAGCAATCACAACGATCGCCAAGAACCAAGCCCTGGTCTAAGCCCGAGTCATTGAAAAACACACACGGGTTACCTGTGTACTTAGTACTTGCACCCTTTACTTTGAACCTTGGAACTCTCCAATCCGGGGGATGTGAACCGGATCGACAAAAGCACCGATGATTTAATAAAAAACAAAAACCCAGTCCCGTGATAATTACTTATATTAGATAAATGCGCTATATTAAATGGTACTACATATTGATTGATTGGATTTCCGATCCTCGATTTTCCCGAAGCCCTGGAGTCCACACGGGGTCCGCACAGCCCCTTCTTCTCTGATCCCAGTCTTCTAGAAATTCTAGAAAAAAAAACACCCAAAAATCCCGCATCCACTAACGGTTTAGCGTGTTTGCCAAGTCCACTGAGCTGAGAAGCACTAGCGGGGAACGAGATGCACCTCGTTCCTACAGGTGAGGCGACTTGGCACCAATCTTCCCAGCCTTTATGACTGGTCGATAGCGAGAGTTTGGCTTCATCATGCATGCTGGTGGATATTTGGGTGGTTGACCCACGTATACAAACGGGATGGATGGCGTACCTTGGCCTATGTATGCTATCCTATCTGGGTTGGTTAGCATACTAGGTACAAATGTCAGAGGAAATTAGGGGATTCCAAAAAAAGCAAAACCAGAAAACTAGAAGAGGAAAAGGAAAAGGAAAAACCAGGAAACGACTCGTGTTTCCCGCAGTTATGTGCGACTTATCCAGGCAGCTTGTTTCATTGGAGGGGTTCAGGGGGGTGCTTAGGACATACGCCTATCGCCCATGTCGGGCGCTCTTAGGCAAAGTGAAGTCATAGTGTCGTTGCTAGTTATGTCTTCGTTAGACGAGTACCTATTGGACAAGTACTATGGAGTACATGGTGAGCTCAATGTTTGTACTTTGAGTCTGCGGGTCCGTACTTTTTCCCGGAGCCTCAGGCAGGTCCAGTCTCTACCTAGCGGCCATGCATGTGTACCTAGCCAGTGGCCCCGTGACTACTGAAGACGACCTACAATCTTGGAAAATCTCCGAATCGTGCACGGGAGACGGGGCGTAACTGGTATCTGTAAAGTCTGGTTTCATTCGCGAATAGCTGGGGATAACTAAAAAAAAAAGCACTGAACTCCCGTTTCCCGGAGACCCATTCATTGTACTCATTGCCCGATGCCGTGTCCTGGCATCCTTGGAAAACAATAAAACAAAAAGATGTAACGAAAACAAATCAGGCACACAAAAACCTTCCAATTCCCAACCCCATGACACATCTATTTGTGGTCGTTCTCTCTCTTTTTTCCCCCCCATAAGAAAAAAAAAATACACTTGCTATGTGGTCATAGCGTAGGGAGGTTAGGGGTCTTCGTGAACCTAGACTGCTACGCCTCATAATAGAAAGACGCATCATAATTCATCCTCGAGATATTTGTACACGAACTTGAAGTCAGCCTTGCGCCGGTTCATCCTGTCGTTCGGGCGAATAGTCAGCACGTGGTGCATCCCCAAAGGGGTGGTTTCCACTGAAATTGGGTTTCCACTCCGGTTTTATTCAATGACGCGTGTGTCGATAACATACCAGGTACTCTCATAGTCGAAGAACCGGTAGGTGCCTTGTTCGAACTCCTCGGTGATATTCTTCGGCTCCTCGTGACGCTGGAACCAGGTTTGGTACTGCTTATGGAATCGCCAACTTTGGTTCTTGAGGGCCTTGGCGGCCAGAAATTGTTGATAGGACCCTTGTCGATAGTAGAAAAGGTAGAAGAGGGTATCGGTATCGATTCGACCGGTATCGTACAGCCGTGGGTCATCAAATATGGGTAAAGGTTCCTGTGGGTAGTAGAGAGGAGTGTTGTATGGGTTTTGCGGCTTGTAATGCCGTGGCTTTTCCGCATCTCCTGCTTCTGGGCATGTTGTAAGGGAGGTGGCCAAAAGTCTAAGCACAGCAGGCGAAGGTTCGTTGGATGAACGCTGCTTGGTTAGCTCGAAAGATTGTACCAGATCTTGAAGACCAGGAGGCAAGTGATATATTGACTCCTGGTTCTCCCCATCCTGTGTTTGTGTTACCTGGCCGTTCGTCGTAGGCTCATTAGGGGGCTCTGATTGGATGACAGGGGCAGGTGACGAAGTACCAGAGATCCCTGTACCACCGGGGGTCTTTGATCGTGCGGCAAAAACGGGCTCTTCTGACAATGAAGTCGCAGCCGCAGGGGTAGGCCGAGAAATGGGCTGCACGTGGGCAATACTGGGAGAAGCGATAGATGATGGCTTAGAGATTGGAAGAGCAGCCGAGAAGGCTGGGCTGGCGCCTGGTGGTGGGGGCAGTGGTAGGATCCCAACACCACTTTTATCACTCGCGGCAGCAGCAGCCGCAGCTGAGGCGTATTTCAGCGTTTCTCCAGGTAGGCGGGTAGGGAGCGGTGCGGGTTTCATGCCAGGGGCGGCACTTGAGATAGCAGAGGGGAGGGTGGCGAGAACAGGGAGCGGAGACTTCATCTGTGTTGAGGGTCGTCGAGCTGTCGGAGGTTCAACCTTTGGTGGCTTGGGTTTCGGTTCTGGCTCTTCGTCCTGAATAGATTGGGCATCTTGTGATGATACCCGATCATTCTCATTGCCCATGCCAAATTGAGCCTCGACTTCTTCACCAATGTTCAAATCGTCATAGAGTGTCTCATCCTCCCCAGAGTAGTCGACATTCCCGCCTTCCTCAACATAATACGTGATGCTTTCTTTTAGGTCCATCACTTGGGTGACTTCAAGATTGCCATTTTGCAAAGAGCGCATGAGAAATTCAAGCTTGTTGACATGCCACTTATGTCGCTCCGTTACTCGCGAAATATCGGCCATTCGGTTCGCTTTGGACATATCCTTCTTGCCCTTCTTCATTTGCGCGTGCAGCGTTTCCTCCTCTGCCTCCATAGCCTCAATTTTCTGCCCAAGCTCATCCACCATAGCAGAAAGGAAATCGGAGGCCTCCACCTTTTCTTTTTCTCGTGGGTCAAGTCGTTGCGCAGCTGATAACCCTTCTTTAGAGTAGGCTTTCGTCTTCATCTCCTTCTCAACGGCCTTGAATTGCTCCATGCACTACTCGAGTCATTAGCCGCCCGGGCCTTCAAGACCGACCAATCCTCCCAGCCGAAACAATGAACACCTACCGTTTCAATCGCTTTTCGCTGCTCCAATAACGGAGCCTTGTCCTTGACTTCATTGCCTGCCGCCCATGATTTAATCTGGTCACGAAACCTTTGGAGCTTCTTGATTTCGCGCTTCAAGTTCTCCTCAAGCTTATCGCGCTGAGTTGGATTTGTGGCAGAACGAATCTTCTCGTAGATGCCCTCAAATGTTTGGATCCCTTCGGCGACTCTCTTGAAGGTCTTCTCAATCTCTTGTTGGGTTTTGCGGGACGCCATGGCGCGTCGGAGTGTGCGGACTGCACCGAGGAAGGCGAAACAGTAGGGCTGTGATCAGAGTGCAATCTCGGCCTAGGGGCTCGACAGTACACAATGGCGAAATGGGGATTAATTTGTCGGGGAATTCCCTGATTGTGACAACAAGGGAGAAAGCGGAGTCGAAGTGGGTTGGATTGATCCATTTGCACTCACTCGCAAAGCTTCCAGTATTACTTGTATAGGTAGGCGGTACATAGTGGCTATATAGCCAAGGCGGTGGGAGGTGGCAGCTCAAAAGCTGGGGGAAAAGATGGGACCAATGAATGCCGTAATTCAACATTTGAGCATTAAAACTGAGTTGAAATATTGACTCATTAAGATATACGAATGTATATACATATGGTACACATCATTAAATAATCAACCGGCAAAGTAAAATTGCAGAAAGTGGTGGCAAAAAGTGACGGAGTCCTACCAGCGGCTTTGCGGTGGACTCTATCCTTGATCGATTAGGATTATAGAACTTTAGATTTCTTTCTTTCTCCCCACCAGGTCGAAATGAAAGGTGTGCATATCGAATTCATTACACCTGCCATGTTTCTCTGCTAAATCCTTTCCAGTTGTTATTCAAAGGGTCAAGTCGGCCTCAGTGACGGTCGACGAAGAATTGATTTCGTCCATTGGCCGCGGATTACTTGTTTTTGCAGGCATTGGCCAAGATGATACCGAGAAAGAAGCAGAGAATCTTGTGAACAAGGTTCTCAAGGCGAAATTCTGGCCCGATGAAGATGGCAAACAGGTTAGCTCCAACAGCTCTGGATTTGAAACCTGCGACCCAAGTCCTAACCCCTTCGCAGTGGAAGAAAAATGTACAGGAAATAGAGGGCGAGGTTCTCTGTGGTATGGCAGCTCCCATTCATGCAAGTTATTCTTATACTTCACTGCTAATATTATATCGTCTCATGTCTAGTTTCCCAATTTACCTTATATGCCAAGATGAAGAAGGGCAATAAACCCGATTTCCACGATGCGGCCAAGCCTGAGACTGCCCGTCAACTCTACGATCACTTCTACAACAAAATGAGCTCCTCCTACAAACCCGAACGAGTGAAGAATGGTGTCTTCCAGGCGATGATGGAGGTGGAATTGAAAAATGATGGGCCAGTGGGTGTTGACTACCGCAGTGAAGACGCAGCGGTATATATTGCCTTCCTGGCTATTGTCCTTCATGCGTCGTTAAAGACTTGGGTGCTAATTACTTTTCTTTCTAGGTCACTATTGAGATCAACACCAATCTTCCGAAAAAGGAGCCCAAGGAGCCCAAGGCTGACAAGGACAAAGAAAATGACGAGAGCGGGGAGGGGGCTGACCCGATCAACCGGACATTTGAATTCCAATTACCTGCAGAGTTGCTGCAATGATGAAAGCAAGAGCTGGAAGACGATAAAGAGTAATTTATGCGATCATGGCCATGTATATACCCACTAGAGAGTTCATCACGTTCTGATATAGACCAGTCATAAAGCGTTATAGCATCGGAGTATGGGTTGATATGGAATCTTCGTGAAGAACCGCAACAAATCTTCCCCACCACAGCAAACTGCCAGCTTCCTTTCTCTCCCCTCTTCTCCATCCCTAGCGATCTTCCCTTCCGCTTCCCACCTTCAATCTTAATCCCCACTTTTTTTTTACTCGTCTCTTCACTTCTCTCGCTGTTCAATCTCCGGTCACTTGACTTAATCGAAGCTATGGCGACCTCTCGTACGTGCCTCAATGCGGGGTCGGTTCTCCGGGCCCGCCCGCAAACACGCAAGAATTTGACTGATGGCTAACCCAGCGCTTAGAGCGCCCCCGTGTCTTTTTTGACATCCAGATCGGTGAAACCCCCGCTGGACGCGTTGCATTTGAATTGGTAGGTTGACATTCTTTGTTTGGTGAAATGTGAGCCCTTGGAGCTAACTCGTATTCTTCCTCAGTTCAACGATGGTACAACCCCGAACCAAATTTGCGCGCAACCACATAACATATAGCTAACCCGCCTTGATTAGTTGTGCCCAAGACCGCGGACAACTTCCGTGCTCTCTGCACCGGAGAGAAGGGCATCGGCCAACAGGGCAAGCCATTGACTTACAAGGGTGTGTCTTGAACCCCGCCCCCCCCCCCGCAATGCCAATGGCAAGCAACAATTCGCTAACCAGGTCCCCGAAAAGGCTCTATCTTCCACCGTGTTATCAAGCAATTCATGATCCAGGGTGGTGACTTCACTGCGTTCAACGGTACCGGCGGCGAATCCATCTACGGCGAAAAGTTCCCCGACGAGAACTTCGACTTGAAGCATGACCGTCCATTCTTGCTGTCCATGGCCAACTCGGGCCCCGGCACCAACGGAAGTCAGTTCTTCGTTACCACCGTTCCCACTCCCCATCTCGATGACAAGCACGTTGTGTTCGGTGAGGTGATCAACGGCAAGAGCATTGTCCGCAAGATCGAGAACATGTCCACCACCTCCGACAAGCCGAAGTTCGACGTCAAGATTGTTGACTGTGGTGAGCTTAAGGGTGCGGAATACGAGAACGCCAACAAGCGCGTGCAGGATGCCACCGGCGACCCTTACGAGGACTTCCCCGAGGACCACCAGGGCGAGGAGTTGACCGCGCCCCTCGCTTTCAAGATCGCATCTGATATCAAGGGTTTCGGCAACGCTGCATTCAAGAGCGGCGATTTGAACTTGGGCATTGAGAAGTACCAGAAGGGTTTGCGCTACTTGAACGAGTTCCCCGAGCCCAGTGAGAACGATCCCAAGGAGCTGGCCGAGCAGATGAAGTCCCTTCGATTCACCCTGCACTCCAACTCATCTCTGCTGGCTGGCAAGGCTCACCACTACCGCGATGCCAAGACCTGGGCTGGATATGCTCTGCAGATTGCGGACGCTGCCAATGTCAAGGATGCCGACAAGGCCAAGGTGCACTACCGTCGTGCTGTCGCCCTCATCGGTCAGCGTGAGGAGGACTTGGCTCTTAAGGACCTCCAGGAGGCTCTCAAGTTCGCCCCGGGTGATGCGGCTATCACCAACGAAATCAACAAGGTGAAGAAGGCGGTCAAGAACCGCGAGGCACAGGACAAGAAGGCTGCCCAGAAGTTCTTCTCCTAGAATCCCTCCCACGGTGTTCTTTTCCTCCGACCTTGGTTCCCCCCAAATATGATTCATGACGCACTTCCGGTTGACTCTACGATGCATGATGTATGATAAACATTTGAACTATCATCCGGCATGGCTCCTGTGCTTCGGTACGCCTGCAGCGACCATTACAGCCAATAGTACAAGATCCCCATGAAATATCCTCAAGCTTTAGATCAGCATTAGAACGTAGAAAGCGGTAGTAAATGGCAAGATACCACGAAGATAGACAAAGTCAGTGGGCATCTGAAAAAGCTCGCAAGATTTTTGTTACTTAGAAAGAGAGGGAAAGTACAAACATTTCGTATTTATGCTAGTATACTGGGTTTTAGCTAAGGATTTCGTCTTATGCTGGATGTTTTTCTTCATTAAGTTTACTAGTAGTATGCGCGGTGGTTGCTATTAGGTAGTAGTAGGTATTTTCCATATGGGCCATGCGCGCCATATGTTCCTTCATGAGAACAATATGGGACTCCGCCTCCTCGTGACAACCAATCTTACACCCGCCAGAATCGTCCTTCGAATTTCCCTCACCACATTTCAAGATAAAGAACCCTGGATATTCCGCTTCATACTTCTCTGTTACATTGGAATGTTCTCTTTTGCCACGAGTAGATTATGGATGGCCATCTGAAGGCACCACTGGTAATGTTAAAGTCATTTCAATATTCATTATGTACATACTATATATAACAATTTCTAATTAAGCTTGCAGATCATTCACAAAAGCAAGGGTATCACGGTTATCGTCCATCAGACGAGCATATTCCAAAAGTAGTCGGAAAACATAGATCTCCATATCTTCCAATCGCAAAACCTGCTCAGCCCAGCTTTTTCCACCCATCGCAATCTTCTCTGCCTGTCTATCATGGCCATTATGTCCTTTATAACCAAGGAAGTATTGGAGGATACCATAGATATCCATGTATAACGAGTCGAGGGGCACAAAGTGTGCCCAGGGGATTAATCGTGAATCGTGCCACTCCTTGTAGACAGTAGCCTTGATGGGCAAAGAGGTTGACAGCAAGAATGCACGGTATCGGCCACTGAACGAGTTGCCGTCAATATCGGGCAGGTATTTGTAGGCATATTGGTCCTTCATGGGCACGGGCTCGACGATGCTGAAGTATGGGTCCTGGTATACGCAGTGGAAGCCATCTTCGGGTGGGAAGCATTTTAGATCCAGGAAACCTAGATCAGTGTGCTCGTCCAGGAACTCGGGGAGTTTGCCATCAATACCAGCCCAGACATTGTAGTATTGGTAGTCTGGCTGGCGGAAGTTGATTCCAGCTGACGAGGAGCCGTTTGTTGTAGCTACCGTTGTACCATTCAGCATGGATAAGAACCGTTGACGTTGGTATCCTGTCCAAGTATCCTCGCGAATGCGGCCACCGCTGGCGATTCCGCGCCAGAAAATAGTGTCCTTCTTCTTTGACCAGGAACCACCCGTGTTCTGGAAACCTCCTGAGTACATGGGGTTGTCGAAGTAGTACATTGGCGGGGGGAGTAGGATCTCGTTGTTCACGGTCAACTTCGATCCTCCGAAAAGCGGGAATAGTTCGTGTGCGGTGGATAACGAGATAGGTTCGATGAAGCTGCCGTGCATTCCCTGCAGTTCGGCTCTCCAGCACGGGTCCTTGGATTTCTCGAAGTCCTCCACATAACCTGTCTTCGAGAAGTTGCGGTAGTTGAAGAATTCGGGAGGGGGGTTCGCAAAGTCTAGGTGAGGAATGTTGGATTTGCGGCCAGGGCTTTCGGGGGGACAGGCATCGCGCATGATATCCCAGAAGGGTCGTCCGGGTCCTTCCCAGGCTGGGCCCCAGGACTCAGGAAGCGCTTCGGGATCGAAGGCGTCAAGCTGCATGTATTGGTCGGTAGCGGTACTGGGGTCGATCGCTTTGCGACGGATCAAGTCCTGCTCACGATATTCGGAAAGTTTGTCCCATGGAATGATGATCCGAGACTCGTCCATTCCGTTCAGTGGGATGTCCATGTCGGGCAGGAAGTTCTCGAATTTCGATACCATATCCATCCAAACCTCCAGCCAGTTCACACCAGTGCGGCCGACAGATGCTACTGTGTGGTTGCGAATAACGATGCGCGGATCGAATCCCGAAGCCTGTCGGCGCATTTCTTTCGGATCCAAACCCCAATATGGACTCACATCATCGTAGATTTGATCAAACAAATCTTCGATGAAAAGAGCATTTTTGGACTTGGCATATTCATACCATTTATCGAAGCCCGGGGGTGGGTGACGCCCGCGGCGCAATCGATACTGCTCGGCAACCTGGGTCAGGTTGTAGACCTGCTTGTTGAGCAAAGCTGCCCATTTCTTATCGGCATCGCGAATCAAGTGGTCGATAGGGTGAGGGACGGCATTCGGGTCATCGTGGCTCGTTAACGCAATGGGATCTTGGTGGATAATTGGGGATTCTTCGCTCGGTTTTAAGCCGTCGCTTTTGTCGTCTTCGTCGCCAACAGTTTGATGGATGATTTTAAGCGGGTAATCAGTTACACGATACAAGCGACCCACGATGAGCAGGAAAAGGAAAGATGAAACGGCCAGAAGGGTGAGACGGGCCTTCAGGCTCAATTTCGACGATAACATGGCTGAAGAAGCCGGGTAATATAAGGCACTACCAGCTCCTTCGCAGATAAAAGGGGGGGGAACATGACTGGAACCAAAAAGTAATGAGCCGTTCTCCATGCTTATGGCCAGTAAGTCCCTTAAACCCTGAATGGGGAATAGTTTGAACCAGCGCCAATGATACGCCATAGGTACTGGGACTTGAACGTGGCTCCGCTTCCGGCCAAGAAAGATCCTGATCAAAGCACCACCAATCATTGGACAGGAGAGTATGAAATATGGGTCTGCACGAGTTCAAGACCACCGGGTTGGACGCAGAGCATAACCGAGTGGGTATCGCGTAGTTTTCTTGGATCCCGCCCCGCTTCCCAGGGCCAATTCAGGGAGCCAAACCTGGAAGGCGAAAATAATATGTCATTATGTGTCGCGTAGTTTGGTGTGGAAGTTTTGGGCCTATTTCAAAGCTATTCCTGTGTATATGATGAACTTGGATGACTGGTTAAATTCAATGAAAACAGAAGATGGTAAAGCTCTGGGGCGCAAGCACTTGGCGGAATTCCCGGTTCTTACCGTATGCGGCGCATGATACGCATGTGGGCAATTCCAAGCTCCATATTTCAGGCTCGCGTAGTGGATATCATTCATCACATTTGATTGGCTAAAAAGCCAACCTCAACTGGTTAATTACCATTAGTATATAACTGTCTGTTTTCCCATCGGTATTTATTGCCTCATTCCTTCCGGCCTAATTTAGGCGTTTTAGTTCAAACTAGGACTTTAGAAGCTATACTATTTAGGTCCATCTCTCCGATATGGGCTTTCAAAGTCAGAACGTATCTAGTATCTACAACAAAATCAACTAGTAGATATCTCCTACCTAGTAAAGAAGGCATAAATCATCCATACCTGGCCGCTTTTTGATGTTGAACATCAACATTGCAACATTGAATGTTTACACATACTACGAACGCACTAGGAAGATTGCGGTAACAGAGAGGATCCATGGATCCTTGCGAGGTTGGAAACTAGTGCCTCTACAAGTATCCATACACCATACACCCGGGCACGTGCTTCCAAGTTGACTAGTAGGTACAGATGTGCACATGTGTATGGACATGGTGACCAGTGGTCGGATTATTAGATAGTTCAAGACTTCAAAAAGAGGTAGAGGTATAGATTCGAAAATTGCATGTTTAGCTCCAGGGCCATGTACCCGACGTGCCCAGACACTGAATGGATACTCCATTCAATATTGAAGGGTGAGGTGGTAGCACATTCAATGTTGGCTCCACCTGTCTGTAGATAAAGTATGCGTAAACTGGTACGTGTAGAGGTTGGAAGCATGGGCTTGCCTGCATGACATGTGTGCACAATGGGGAACCGCGATAAACCTTCCGACCTCGAGGACATAATATTGCTAGAACCTTGGGAGTGCCCAATGTTTCTATGGATACCCCTGCAAGTTGTACAGCCTTGATGTTGTAACAGGCTTGTTGCCGAAAATTCAATCGGTCGGAGATGTGTTTCAAGGTTACTCCGAGTCCGTACGATCGTGGGGAAGGTAAAGTTAAGGCTAATTCCATGTCTCCACTACTAAATCCGAGGATTTTGACGATTCGGGCAATGAAGCATCCGATTTCTCCAATTGAAATTTGAGGAAATGCAGCGGAGAAATAAACAACTGAGTAGATCGAGGAAATTAAAATCCTCAACAATGAAAAACAAAATCAACGCAAAAACCCCAGTTCCTTCCAGCTTTGAATAAACAAATTCGTTACTTTATCACTAACTGGGCCCAAGGTAGCCAAAGTGTGTGAATGCTCACGTGCCTTTTTTGTTTCCAATAACAACCCACCACAAGACATGCGCAAGAAATTGGCATCCACAAAATCGATCAGCAGAATTGCCGGGTTCTCACCCTCCGGACCCTCCACCTGCCGCGGGTAGTCCTTGACGCGTTGAACCCAATCTCCGAAGGGAACAATATCATTCGACGGGATTGAGAGCATGCTGGCCAAGGTAAGGATCATCTCCTTCCAAGCCTGGCGAATGGGGTTGTCGATGTGATAAATCGGGTATGGCGTCTCAGTCAAGGGGAGCGAAACCAAATCAACAAGCGTGCTCGCGACAGTATCTACCGGAGTCCACGAGAGAAGACCATCAAAGTCAGGCAAAGCTTTCAGAGTCTGAGAGGACTTGATTATAAACGGGAGGTGTTCGGTCGGATTCCAGTACCCGCTTGTGCTAGAGCCCGCGACTTGACCAAGACGGACAGTCATTGCTCGGAACCGGTCAGGGTGGCGATGAAGCGTCTCATCAACCATCAACTCACAGGCGTACTTCGCGTCGCCATACCCGGTCGGAAGGACAGAGTCGATCGTCATGCGTTCTTCGGGGACACTTGGTCGCCCGGTTCAAATGGGCCAGTGGCCCACAGTCGCGATCGAAGAAATAAATTGGAATGTAACTTTCGTGTTTTCAGGTCGAACAATGGAGATATCCCGAGCAAAGTCAAGAAGGTTACGCATAATCTGCAATTGGGGTTCAAAATTCTTGATTGGCCACTTGGCATTCATAAGCCATGCATTGTGAACAATATGTGTCACCTTTCGGACGAGGACTTCATAATCGTCACTTGAAAGACCGAGTTGTGATTTAGACATATCGGTCTCGAACACACAAAGCTTTTCAGCAGCTTTAATCGGAAGAATGATGCCTTTTTTGAGAAGAGCCTGGTTCTGTCGTGACCTGGGATCTTGCCGACTGCGCCGATTGAGACAAATTACTTGAGTCACATCTGGCAGGGACGCGAAAGTTGCAACGAGATGGCATCCTAAGCTCCCAGTGGCACCTGTCACAACAACATACCGACTGGTAGAATGACTGGATAACTGCCCCGGCATCGGCATTGAACGATCCTTAATGGAATTACCAAAGCCGATCGTCATGTCATGGATATAACGCTCAACAATTTCTTGCCGCGCGACTAGGTCAGCCGGTGGAACCTTTACCGACCGCGGGGTTTCAAGTCGTTCATACCTGTCGCCCGAGGCAAAGGCCACAATCAGCCGCTCAAGCTTATTTTCCGGCAGTTCTCCGTCTGTCCAGTCAACATGTCCATACCCGGCAGCTTGGAGGTCTTTCTCCCATCGGGATTCGTGCGTGACAGCGTGTGTCCGGCCGTCATCGAAGTACCACCAACCCTCAAATAGGCCAAAAATGATATCCACCCAATAAAGAGTGCCTGTCATTTCGACCATCATGAGGAAGCCGTCATGGCGTAGAGCCTTGCGGATATTTCTGGCAGATTGGCACAAGCTGTGAGTTGCGTGAACCGCGTTGCTCGCAATGACAATGTGCTGTGTGCCAATCAAATCATCTGCTGGGACCTTCTCAATGTCGTGGGTTCGGAACTTCATGAAAGGGTACTGTTTGCCGAATCTCTTCCGGGCTGCTGCAACAAAGGAAGGAGCAAGGTCGGTAAATGTATACTCCACCGGCAATTTGAGTGAGGCCAAGAGAGGCAGTAGCCAGCGTGTGGTTCCACCGGTACCTGCACCCATCTCAAGAATCTTGATCGGGCCACTATTCACGTCGATTTTGGAGACTAGTCGACCGAGGAAGTCCTCCATCTGCTTGTACATCAGACGATTGATGGGCCATTCTGCATATAGACCGGATACCAACTCCCGGCCTTCAGCGGTTCCGAAAATCAGCTTGATGCCATCTGTTTCGCCGCGCAGGACCTCTGCAAGATGGGATCCAGTATAGAAGGTGAGCTTATCCGCAGTGCTCTGGTCTGGGAAACGAGTAAGCAGACCCTCCAGTAACTCTTGGCTGGACTTCGTTGGGGCTGGCACCGCTGTGCGAGTGATAATGTCGCGGTCGACGTTGATTAGACCCGCAGCATCCTCTAACATATGGTAGAGGTAGCTAACTAAACGAGTGTGTTCCTTCGGATGTGGAATGCGCGGAAATTTCTGGCCAGGTTCAGCAGTGCAGAATTTAACGCCAAGCTGCTCGAACGCCTCAAGAGCAAGCGCCACACACATCTCTATTTGCGCGGGAAGAACTGTGTCGACATAGTTAGTTTGATGATGATCGGCGATCTTCTTGTCAGTCAGGCTTTTAGTCTCGTTGAACGCTTCCATAACACTCGCGAATGGAAGACCTAAGCCTGGAGCCAAGTTGAGATGATCAAGTGGTTTGTCAAAATCTACAAAATCCACCGGTGTACTCGGAGTAGTGGGTGTACTCGGATAAGGGTCGTTAAGTGACGATTTCTCATCGCTTTCATCAACCACCTGCTCAGAAACTTCGCTACTCGCCTCACCAGATACAAATGATTCAACACACCTGATCAAAGACGGCATGTCGACGATTTTCATGAGTTCGCTTTCGGGTAATTCGATCTTGAACGCAGCTTCGATCTCATGTGCCATCTCCATCCCCATAAGCGAGTCAATCCCCAGCTCAGCAAGCTCGCTCTCATCCTTGATTTCGTGCAATTCCAAACCAGAAAGATCTGCCAAAATCTCTTTGATTTTAGGTACAACATTCACCTTCGGAGGTAACACTTCCGACTCGTTTGATTCGAGCGACTTTGGCGTATGTACTTGAATGTTAGACGGAGGAGCAACTGCGACCGTTGGATGAACTGCAAAGAGATCTATGGTAGGTCGCTCTACCGAGACTTTGATGCTAGCAGGAGCTGATTGGCCATCCCGGGCAGTGAGACGAGTAAGAAGCTTGCTCATTGAGGCCCTGGATACTCTGACATAGCTGATCCCCAGAATGACCTCGACCAAAGCACCGGTATCAGAGTCGAAAACAAATACATCTGTTAGGAAGGACTGGTTGGAGGGACTATGATGTGTGGCCAGTACGTCATAAGACTCTGGCCTGGGATCGTTCTGCCGAATTTTGGGCGATCGAATCCATTGCTCGATACCATTTGCGATGAACATGTCGGCAGGTGACTGGTTGGTCATGCAGTTGACATATACTCCGCCAACCTGGCAGAAGCTATCGGCCAAGTGACCATCGAGCCATGTTTCTGGATTATACTTCTTGACCACATGTCCAGCCGAATGTGTTCCTTTACTGACAAGTTTTTGGACTCCACGGTACTCCTCTCCATAGTCAACAATCCCGGAGAATATTTTGTACATATTGTGACTGCGGAGGATTTCGTCGACACCACCACTCTGTAACATGTCGGCACAGCGTTGGTGGGTGAAATGACGTTCGAACCGTGCGAACTCCAGCTTAAAAGCTGGGTCTTCGACCGACCGAAAGATAACTTTACCAGTGGTATGAACTGTCTTTGAGACACCGGCACGCTCCAAATCATCACTGAAGACATGGAAGTCCCAAGAGGGGGTGTTAGAGCTCTCGCATGCGGTTGTCCCGATCCATACAGCGCGCGCTGGATTGATGCAAACAGGAGACTGGTTCACCACTGCTTGGATCTGAGGCTCCATCAGAGTATCAGCCAAATCAGGCCTGATTAATTGAACTGCATCAATAGCTAGCTCAAGCTGAATTGTCGCGGGGCAGATAGGTGCCGTTTCAGCAATGACATGGCCTTCAATAAGCTTCTCGTATTTTGGAATCATGGTGTTGATCCGGAATTTTGCGAGGCGCTTGCCATTGTCCTGGTACCCAACAAAACTCAGAAGAGTGTCGGGAAGCTTATTGACATCTGCCTCTGACTTTTGCAATATTGGTGCCTCTGTCATTTTTGGCGGTGCCTTCAACTCAGTCCAATGGCGCGCACCCTCAAATTGATACGGAGGAAGTAGGAGCGGGGAGTGCTCTTTTGTCTGGGCAGATTGATGCGCCCAAAATTTCGCGGTGACACCGGCTTTCCACAAACTCACAGTGGCAGCGGTCAGGTTGTTCCAGGCATTGTCGCTAGTGATGTTGATTGCTTGGAAGTGCGAGCCGCTGGGGTTACCAAGAGCTCGGCTTGCCATGTTGGTGATAGTAGAGTTTGACCCAGCCTCCAGAGCGACACATTCTGGGTACTTTTTGGCTAACCTCTGTAGGGCGTGGTTAAAATACACTGGTGAGCGTATGTGGTCTGGAACAAATTTTGCGCTAAGCTTGTCTTCACTGTGGATCTCCGTCGCTCTCTCCATTTGAATGACAGGCTCTTTAAATGTGAGACCTTGGGAGCTTTGCTCAAGGCGCTTGAGAAGAGGATCAAGTAAGACGGAGTGGAAAGCATTCGACACCTTCAATCGCTTGTATTTAATTTTCGCGAAGGCAGAGTTCGATAACTTCTCCTCAATGCCATCAATAGCAGCAGTAGGGCCCGCGAGAGTGAAGCTTTTGGGCCCATTATAGCATGCAATGCTGGCTGGCTCGACGCCAGCGCAGGCCTTATTGGATTCACTGAGCAGATATTCAATGTCAGCTAGATCACCTTCCACTGCCATCATTGCACCCTTGTCGCTACCCCAAGCATCGCGGATCAGAGTTGCTCGTGCAATAATCATCTTGATGGTATCTCGAAGGGATAGAATCTGCGATATGCAAAGAGCAGTAAGCTCTCCAAAACTGTGACCAACCAGTGCGACAGGCTCGACGCCAGAATCAATCCAGCTACGTGCACAGGCATATTGCATGGAGAATAGAGCAATCTGCAGTTGGACTGTATCAGTTATGGATGTCCGCGTAAATATATTTGGATAGATGCTGCCAACACCGAGAGACTGAGCCACGGCATCAACAGTATTCAAGTGCTTCCGCAGCACGGCCACTCGCTCATATACTAGCCGATCAAGCCCAACGAAAGTGGAAACCTGGCCACCAAAGCACAGAATAATTGGCCTTGCTTTTGGAGAGGGCATTGATGCCAAGCTCGGGCCACCATTTTCGTATGCGACAAGCTTCTCCTGCAAATCTTCCAAAGAGTGAGCGCCGAATATCAGAGTGCGCTCCAGCTGAGGATTACTCTGGTGGTTTAGATTGAAAGCGATATTTGAAAGGGATAAATCTTTAATCGACGCATGTTGGCGGGCAATAAACTTCCGAAAAGCCACAGAGTAATGCCGCAGGCTCAAGTCATCCAACCCAGAGAACCGGAATGGATATGCGATGGCTGACTGGCACTGCGATGGCGTTTTGATATTAGCTCTAACCAAAGTGGTTGGTGGTTGAGTGATAACCAATGATGCATTGGACCCAGATGCACCGTAGTTGTTGATTAACGCAGCTCGGAAGTCGGTGTTCCAAGCCTGAAGGCTGGTTGGAATGCTGATCCTATCCGCAGGGGTGGCGCCGATCGCAGGATTAATAGAGCTGAAGCTAGCATGCGGCGGAATCATCCCGTTCTGAATCATCAGAAGGATTTTAATTATTGACACAATTCCCGAGGTGCACTCGGTGTGACCGATCAAACCCTTGACCGAGCTAAGAGTCAAGGGCTTCGTGCGAACGGATCCGCCCAGGACAGATCGAATACTTCCATACTCGGCAGGATCACCGACAGCTGTTCCAGTACCATGAGCCTCGACAACTGAAATATCTTCTGGCTGAAGACCGGCTTGCTTGGTCACCGTGTGGAACAAATCAGACAGAGAGGGCACGTTCGGGACGAATATCGGGGTACAGTTCTGGTTTTGTTGAACTGCAGAAGCGGCAATGACACCCAAAATCTGATCGCCGTCATCGATAGCAGAAGATAGCTTCTTCAGGAAAACAGACGCAATACCTTCGCCTCGGCAGTACCCATCCGCCTTCGCGTCAAAGGGCTTACACTGACCAGTAGTGCTCAAGAATGAAGCCCCAGACAGATTCTGGAACCATAGTGGGTTTGTCATAACGTGAGTGCCACCAGCCAGTGCAGCGGTGCATTCTCCACTGAGAATAGCTTTGCATGCTGAATGAACAGCGACAGCAGAGGAAGAACAAGCGGTATCAATTGTCAGCCCCGGCCCAGTCCAGCCAAAGAAATGACTAACTTTGCCTGCAATAAAACCCTGAAGATTGCCGGTAGCAGAGAATGCGTTTGGTGCGTGGCAGGCGATATTACTTTCATAATCGCAGGCGCAGACACCGACATAGCACCCGATGTGCTTATTGGAGCTAGCATTGTGGAAGTATCCCGACTGTTCGACTGCTTGGTAGGCAATCTGCAAAAAGTGACGTTGCTGAGGATCCATAGTTGCACTCTCTCTCGGGCTTTTCTTGAAGAACTTGTGATCAAACTCGTCGTGGCCGTTGATAAAATTACCAAACCATTTTCGCTTGGGATCTACATCCCGGAACGGTGTCAGGAAACTGAACCGTTCCTTAGGAACCTCTTTATGCTGCGACTTTCCCGTGCAAAGAAGGTCCCAGAATTCTTCCAGGTTGTCGGCCCCAGCGACCTTGCATGACATACCGATAACAGCAATATCTGTGGAGGTCATAGCGCGTTGCTTTTTATGTGGTTTTTCAAGATCCGTAAATTGAAGGACTTGGTGACCAATTCCACGCAAGATGGACGATGGGACTGAGCGTTCCGGGCCGAAGGATATCACTTTCCCATATTTTTTATCCAGGGTATGTTCGCAGACTGCAGTAAATGTATCGAACCACTTGGGTGGCTCCACTAAGATAGAGCGTATGGCATGGTGGTGCAGTCGACCCTTTGTGATATGCTCACCCCCTGCATTGGACCAAGTGGGAATGATCAATTCGGAAGCATCTGGGAACTGGAAGTCTGGGTGGGAGTCGCAAAAGCTCAATATCTCGGGAAGTTGATCGTGGTGGCAGTCAGCATGGAATCGTCCATGCAGGCTAACCTCGGCTGTAATGACGCCACAAGCTCGTAGGCGCAGCTGCATCTCAGAGATGTGAGATGCCAATGTGGTGATAGTAGCACGATCCTCGTCATAGTTGACAGAGACATATGTCTTGTTCGGAGATTGTGTTAGTCAGAATGTTAACTGACTAGAGCCAGGTTCGTCTACTTACATCTGAAAAGTTTTTTAGGATACGTTGCATCTGGTCGGCCTTTGCGGCAGAGTTCCAGGCTGCAGTCAGCGATTTGGATGGACCCTGTCCCGAGGCTGCATCTTGCGCATCCACAATCATGCCAATAAGCAGACCCAGACGGACCGCAACAGCAGAATAATGCAGGAATTTTGCCTTGTTGCCGGCAGATGAGACGACCAGGGAACTCAGAAGTCCAGTGCAGAGACCCAGTGTTTCTTGGCCGCTTTTTGACAATGCAAAGAGATCAATACTCTGATCCAATTCAGTATTGGTGTGCTTGATGAAGGATGTATACTGCGTGAGATGAATAATAACAACCAAAGGAATCAAAAGAGCATTCGGCAGTGGAAATTCAGTGTTGAGAGACTGGCCAATGGAGAAGGCTTCCTTCAAATCCTCTAACTTGTTCAGCTGAGTCCCAGCCTCAAGTCCAGGAATGGCTGCGACGATTGTCTTCCAATACAATGGTAGACTGACAATGGTATCGAGGGCCCATCCATGCTCCTCGGAGTCGAGGATAGTCTTCCGCAGTTGAGCAAATGAGTCGTTGTTGAAAGACAACGCGAGAGGACCGAACAAGAACACAATGGGTCCTGGTTGCTGGCGGCTGGCAAGATCTCGAAAGTCGACCATTTTGGCTTCAATGTTTGAATCCAAGGATTCTATCAATTTCTCTAATGAATTCGTGTAGTGGTGTATGCGAACTGTAATTGCAAAATTTTCAAGATTCGAGTGGACAGCAGGTCTTTTCCAAGGTTGGAGATGAAGCTGGAAGTATTCAAGGTTGGCATTCAAATTCTGTGGTTGAATGGACTAGCGAATGGAAATTTGTAAAAAAAATAGGGCAGATATAATATCAATAGTCAGGACTTGGCTTAGAACGGCTGAGTACTAGTATCTGTTGGAAACACCCGCAACTTTTATGTTCTAGAAAATGAGTTTCAAGGTTTCACAATGTTTCTCAAGGTTCAAGCTGACGAACATTGAAGGAAAGAACTCCAGGTCTTCGCTATATACTACCTGCAAGGCGATTTTTGATTGACTCAGATGCACATGTGGGCGGCTAACATTGAATGTACATCATCTTGGCACTTGATACGATGCCCCGAGTGTCGAGGATTTTGATAGAATAATATTTATCCTTCTCTTCTCTTGTCTGAAACCGATTGGGCACAAGATGGAGAACTCTAGAATCAATCGCCATATGCTAAGCAGTTGATTCCAAGATCGGCAATTGCCAAGCATGCGGATTATTTCCACAGTACTAGCCCAATGCAGCGAGAAAACGCGACTGTGGAGAAAGCGGTATATGCACGGGCATTGATAGCTTTCTGCGAAACGATGAGCATGAAGCAATAAACTCCGAGGTGGGGATGGGAAATTCCGGTGCGACTATGAAGGCTTAGATCTTAAAATTGGTTTCTCCGTGGGCTTGAGTTGAACATAGACTCTACCCGTGTTGGTCAGCCTATTGAACTCATGCCTAATTGGCTTCCGAGTGTTACACCCTTGGTAATTGTTTATTTGACTTGATCGCTTGCCTAAAACGAGGATCTACAATGAATCCGTCTAGTACTCTTCGTTTTTTTCCCCATAGGGACCAGGGTACTGCTTTCACGCCTGGCCATGTATATCGGGCGCCAAATACTCCGAGTGGTCTGAGGAGGAAGTCATTGGAAAATCAATCTATCTAATCAAAATCCTGATGATAAATCTCCTCTCTCGCCAGAACAACATGTTTCTGACAAAGATTGGAACGCTATATTTGGGGCTATATTTGGTTCCGGGATACATAGCCGTGCTGCTACAGCATCATTCCGCCTTCGCTCAAACACTCACGCAAATTTTGGAACAAGAGTTTTGAAGAGATATTCAAGAATCAGCAGTAGCATGTCGGGCCAAATTTCAGCGGAAAATGAACCCGTGTCAGTGGCCATCATCGGCGGAGGAATTATCGGTCTCGTGCTCGCCGTCGGTCTTCTCCGTCAGAAGATCCAAGTGAAGGTGTACGAGCAAGCGCAGGGGTTTAGAGATATCGGCGCTGGGATTGCTTTCACAGCGAATGCAGTCAAGTGCATGGAGCAAATCGACCCAGATATCGTCACAGCCCTGCGTTCTAGTGGGGCGGTGGCTAGCTCCAAAGGAGACGAGACAGACCCGAACGACTATCTCCGCTGGCTGGACGGTTACACTCAGCAGCAAAAGAAAGACGAACCATACTACCAGCGCATGCTATACAGGTTGGATGCAGGTTACAAAGGGTTTGAAGGGTGCAGGCGCGATCAGTTCCTTGAGGCGTTGGTAAAGACCATCCCTCCCAACGTGATTCAGTGTCGAAAGAGACTGGAGACCATAGATGAGGCAGGAGATGCAAAGGTTCAACTATTATTTGCAGATGGGTCTGTGGAGGAAGTTGATGCAGGTATGTATCTCTTTCCTTTCCCGATTTTTCGCAGAGAAGGCTTCTGAGAAAATCCACCATACTCTCTAGTCATTGGCTGCGACGGGATCAAATCTCGTGTACGCGTACTGCTCCTCGGGGAGGATCACCCAGCTAGCCACCCGGGCTATACACACAAAGTCGCATACAGGGCTCTAATTCCCATGGAGGACGCAATCAAAGCCTTGGGCGAGTACAAGGCCAACAACCAGCATTATCATGTTGGCCCGAACGCACACCTGATCCATTACCCCGTCGCCAACCGGAAGTTTGTCAACGTCGCAGCGTTCATCTCCGATCCACAAGAGTGGGAGGATGAAAAGACAGTCGCAGCAGGCCAAAAAGCGGATCTCATCGCCGCTTTTTCTGGATGGAACCCTTGTGTGCACAATATCATCGAGCTATTCCCCGAGCAACTTGACAAATGGGCCATCTTCGATCTCTGGCAATACCCCGCACCGTATTATAGCAAGGACAGGATATGCCTTGCGGGGGACGCTGCTCATGCGTCTAGCCCACACCACGGAGCGGGTGCATGTATGGGTATTGAGGATAGCCTTTGTCTAGTTACCTTGTTCGGCGAAGTCAACCAAACTATAGCGAAAGACCCATCTTCAAAATGGCATGCGTTGAAGACAGCGTTTGAAACGTTCGATTCCGTTAGACGTACTCGCAGTCAGTGGCTCGTTAACAGCAGTCGGCGGGCGTGTGAATTTTACCATCAGCCTGAGTGGGCCGAAAAGGACAAGAGGGTGAAGGCGCAGACATGTTTCGAGGAGCTGAAGGATCGGTCGCACAAGATTTGGAACTTCGATTATCAGGGTATGATTGAAGACACTGTTCAGGGGTATAGGGAGAATGTACTTGTGTCAGATGGATCTGGAAGTGAAATATGAATCTTTGGTGGATGGAATATTGATTATAGTGGGAACAAGGCGCTTTCTGTATGACCTGATCTCGAGTCTCCTTCATCAAGCACCCATCTATCCTCGTATCAAAACTCTAGATTAGCAGTCCCGCTAGTACTATCAGACAGCCACCAGCAAAGTACTGGTTGTCGATTTGTGGTGCCTTGAATTAGTCAGAATCAGACAGACGTATCCAGGAACTGGGGACGAAGAATATAAAATACCTGTGCCAATAAAGTAGCCTGTCCAATTCCCATTCGTCGTCCAATCCAGACCAGACATGTCTTGAGATAATCGCGAACCTCCATAGGGAATATCTCCAGGTGTGAGGCAATGTATATTGAGTGCATGATCAACAGACCACCGACCGGCCGGCCAGCATTGGTGATCTCGGTATTATCGTGTCTCTCGCGGAGAAAAATCTGCAAGTCCTCTGATAAATGGAACGGAATTGATGCAATGATATCCTCTACCAGATTTAAAGCTTCATTTTGATAAAGATCGTGATTAGTGTCATCATCGAGCACGCCAGAAAGCATGATGATAAGGGTGATAAGTAAGCATCGTGCAATGCGGGAAAAGTTCCATAAGGCTGCGACATAGAGATCGACGTACATATCGATACGGCCATGTCGGTAACCTGCTCCGGGATTAGGTCGAGGTGGCAGTCCTGGATCCATTGTACTGGGCCTGTATTCCGCGCTTTGACTGTCCTGCAAAATGGCGATATCTTGGTTAAGTGACATTGCTTCCAACCTGAGGGCCATAACCTCGTCGAAGAAAAGTGGGCCAGGGGGGCTCAAAAGGAGAGCCTCTGTGCGCTTCCAAATTGGATTCAACTTGATCAGCAGATTATATAAATGCTGATCGACGCTGTCCTCTGGGCTTCGAGAACAATAAACACCCTCCTGCTGAAATATCAACTCATAATCCATGACCGTGGGGGGGGCGAGTGTGAAAATGCCTCACCTGCTTGCCAATGAGAACTAAGGGGTGGCCTGACAAAACTGCCTGGACCAACTCCAGAGGGTTGTTATCGATCTGCAAAATCGCAGCGACCCCGCCAGCATGGGCAGTATGATGGCCTGGATTCGCCTCTTCGGCAACAACCATCTTCTCCATATTAGATTTTCTCGTCACAAAACACGTAACAAGTGGAGGTGAAGATTACCTGGTACATTCCTAAGAGTATGGCAATAACCAATGTCTCGTGACTGCTGGCAGTCGAGGTCTGCATGGAGCTGCTCAGATATCCCAGCAGATCGTGATACAAGGTTTCACCCTCTTGGATCAGAAACTTTCGACGCAACTTTAATCCATTGCTGGCGAAACCAACAGCCTTGCATGCGTTTGCCACGTGTGACTGCGGCCCTAAATCCTGAACGATCTGCTCCAAACCACCAAGAAAGCCTCCAGATATAGAAGAATTCACGCACATGTTTGTGTAGTCATAGAAAAATGCTTGCAGAGCAATTTCCTTGATTTCGTCTTGTGACAATTCCTTCGGCGGGCCATCCTCGGGCAGATAATCAAAACCTGGAACTGGCTCATATGCCGTCAGGCTACATTTGCGAGCCATTGACTTGAAAGCCGGCTTAGCTTGAAGCCGGCTGTCACTGGGATTTTCATGCTGGCGGAAGATGTGACTTGCGATGTCTAGATAGCCACGACATGTACGACCAGCTTTGAGACACCTCAAGCATGACTGCGGATATTAGTTAATACACACGGAGTGGGGCAGTGGCATCATCATTTATAGGCGGCATGCTGAGGAGACATGTCGTGCCACGGAGTTGGGAATATGCATGCGCTGTGATTCGATCACGATTCACACGTACCGGACGGGTCTCATCGCACTGGAGAGCCGCAAGTCAGGATTGGTTGTGTCAGGACCCATGCAGGACTAAAATCCAAACAAAGAAATGAAAACAAAGAAATGAAAACAAAGAAATGAAAACAAAGAAATGAAAACAAAGAAATGAACGTGGACTCGGAAGTATGTGGACAAACCTTTTTCCTTCTCCCCTTGCAGGTTTCGCAACCTTTGGAAGGACCAAAATAAACCATCCAGCCCAACTTCTCCTGAGATGCCTATATGGCACCACCGGTCTGTTTTTTTCCCGGTGGGTACTGATTGTCTGACGATTACCCTACCACGTAAGGCCTAGCAATGCGACCACTTGGAAACGTAAGACTTGAGCGTCTTGAAAGAATGACGGGGATCGGCGGGGTTTTGGGAGTTGCGTCCAACCCTAACCCGATTAGGATTGGTCTAGCGGCTCGAGCCCCGCGAGGCTAATTCAGTGCTGCTTACGTACATGAGAGCCCTGCAGTAGATGATAAATAACAGGTTGATTTGTGTCACCTGGGTATTTCAGCGTATAGATTACAAAATATACCCATGCCAGGTGCAAGCATGTAAATTCCTTGCCAATGTTGATTTTTTGTAGTACAAGACTCTGAAAGCGCCAGAATCTAGGCCCAAAAATTAGTTCCAACCTTTCAAAGGTTATTGGAAGTCCCTGCAAGGCTTATCTAGTCACTGCTGGATAATATAGAGCGGAGTTGAAATAGGAAAGTAGTACTACTACTAGGTATTCACCGAGATAAATTGTGTCAGTCACAAGGTTTAACCTTGGAACGTGAGAATGAGCCAGCTCAGCATGGATTTTGAACTTATTGGTATAGGTAGTCAGGCATAACTTAAAAAAGGTCAAGCATGTATCAATTTAGATCAACAGTGGAAAATATGTAGGGGGTAGAGATTGGTCATGAATGGATGTAAAGAATACTATTAGATGTAGAGCCAAAGTAGCGGGGTCAATTGATAATAAGCACAAAAAGCAAATAAGACCATGGTCGTGGTGGCACAAAGAACACAAAGCGCTAAAGAATTAAAATATCAACACCAAGTCAAAGAATCATGAAAGAGACAGATATTCATAAAGATCTGCTGTGATTCCAAAAGTCAACTCCTTCGCAAGAATAGTTCACTTTGGAATTTACTAGCGATATGTGTGTAAATAGCCTAAGATATGAATTTGTATTAGAACCCACTACTAATTTCTGAACAACTCAAAATTCACCTTCACCATCAAAATTCGCCACTTGCCAAACATGCCATGTAAGATCTCGAAAAGTAAAAGAAAAAAAACTTTAGAGGTTCACCACATGTCTAGCACGCCAGTGAGCTTCGCCAAACTATAAATCTCCTGCACAACGGTATCCACATCCATTCGCTTGATTGGTATCCTATGCTCACCCTCCCACTCAACCAGCGACACTAAACTTTCCTCAAAATAGTTATTCAACAGTGCGCGATGGCTTCTCAAACCCGGATCCTGTAATCCATGAACATGTAGCGTAGGAATCCGTAGTATATGGTCATCCGAGTCAAGCGGAATAGTAGGCTCATCAATACCGACTGATGGACAAGCAGCATCAACGAGACCAGCTGATATTGACACGGATGAGCAAATATCACTTCTCGTTGGAAGAAGCCAGACTAAAGGTCCCAGACCAGCCATCAGAATGGCAAACCGAAAGTTTGGCCAGATCACAGTATTTGCACCTGCACGCTGCTGCATAGATTGTTGGGCATAAAGAATGCTAGCAGCTAGTTTGGCTCCTTGACTGAAACCTAGTAAAGCTACCCATTCGCCTGTTGCACCAGACTCTGAATCTGCATACATCGCCGTTGCGATTGCTGTGTTGATAGATTCAATAATATGATGTGGCTCGTGAGCAATGTCAGAAGATGTGATCCGTAACCATGATTTGAAGGGGCCGTGATTCTTGTAAACCGATGTGACGTCTGAGCCGGGCTGTGATGGGAAGGGTGCTTCAGCATAGACCAGACGGAAGACCGAGCGAAGTGTACTTTCTAAGACGCGACATTGCATGCGAAAAATTCGAGCATTTGTGCCACCTCCATGAAGGCAAATGATTCGAGGCAAGGTAAGGGTAGGGTCTTGCATGATCGTAACAGACACTGGAACATTGAAGTTGTAACACCTGGCTGTATGAAAAGAATTTCCAGCGAGGACAAGCTGTGCATATAATGAGTAATACACAGTAAGCACTGATCTAGAGCTCATCATTATATGTATACCAGTTGACATATTTTTTTACTGTCCGACCACCTACAAAGACTGGACTGTGTATATCTGAGATGATACCTAGCCATGTGGGTTCAAATGTTTATTCTAAACCACGAGATATTAGACTTGCGTGTGAGAAACCCACGTGGTAACTTTCTACGATACCATGGTGCTTGTTTTCATTATGAATTTAGTCGGTCTTTCCAAAACTATTCGCATATGCAGTGAAAAGCACATCAACAGTAGATAGTCCGACTGCTTGAGGGTTGTGGGCTTGAGAATGGCATTACCGCTAACCGCATAAGGCGTAGCGCCGTAGATCCGGGGTCGGATATAAGGAGCAGCTGCCCAATGGAGTTAGGGGTCGGACTTACTACTTCCGGATGAATCCCTTAACTCCGAAGGAATTGAATAACATACTTCCAAACTATACTGATCACAGCGTCGGAACTCTCTGGATACTCTCGCGTCTCTTCATCATTTTCAATCTCTTCTTCCCTTTCCCTTCGTTCCTTCTTCACCCCAATCATTCGTCAGCTACCGGTAGAGCCGAAGACAGATTGAATTCAATCACGCTCAACTCAATACTAACAAACATCACCATGGCCGAGACACCCGAGCTCCATGAGATGGGAAAAATCGAGGATGGGGTCATGCAAGAGACCCCACAAGCCCCGCCAATGATATCCCCTCCACCCAACGGGGGCCTCGTCGCGTGGTTGCACGTTCTCGGTGGCTTCATGCTGTTTTTCAACACCTGGGGCATCTTGAATGCGTTTGGCGTCTATCAAACTTACTACGAATCGAATGCACTTTTCAAGCGAACATCTTCGGATATTTCATGGATCGGTGCTATTCAGGCAACATTGCTTCTGGTCGTCGGATTCTTCACCGGACCCATCTACGATCGCGGCTACTTGCGTTTACTTTTGATAACCGGCAGCTTTGGCATCGTCTTTGGCCACATGATGCTCAGTCTTTGCAAGACATATGGCGAGATCATACTCGCGCAAGGCTTCTGCGTTGGCCTCGGTGCTGGCTGCCTCTTCGTCCCATGCGTCGCCGTACTCCCCACTTATTTCAGCTCTCGACTGGGCATGGCTCTAGGTGTCGCGGTCTCTGGATCCTCTCTCGGTGGTGTCATTTACCCCGTTGTCCTCAATCAACTCATCGAACCAATCGGATTCCCTTGGGCTACAAGAGTGATTGGTTTTATTGCGATGGCTACACTTCTGATTCCTATCATTGTCATGCGGCAGCGCGTTAAGCCACCACGTGCCCGTAGTCTTGTGGACTGGTCTGCTTTCACGGATGTGCAATACATGTCCTTCGTTTTCACAAGTATCATTGCCTTCATGGGTCTCTTCTCGCTCTTTTTCTACATCTCATACTTCGGCGGAGCAACCCACCTTGTCGACTTGAAGATGAGCCTTTACATCGTCCCTATACTTAATGCGGGATCGATCCTTGGGCGAACTCTTCCCAACGCATTGGCAGACAAGACCGGGCCATTCAATATTCTTGCTCCTTCCTGTCTCATCCTCGGTATTCTCGTTCTGAGTCTTATGATCGTGAAAACAGAAGGCGCCCTCATCGCTGTTACAGTCCTGTCGGGCATTTTTAGCGGAACCCTGATTGGGATGCCTCCTCTTTGCTTCGTGGCAATGACCAAGGACAGATCGAAGATTGGGACTCGCATGGGTATGGGATTTGGCATGATCGGTCTCGGGGTCCTTGCTGGTGGGCCTTCTAGTGGTGCAATCCTAGCCAGATCTGCAAGCGGAAACTGGAACGGAGTATGGACTTTTGGTGGAGTCTGTATTGTCGTTGCTTCTTTTCTCTACTTGGGGATCCGGGTGAAGAGCTACGGATTGAAGCTGCGTGTGAAGGCCTGAACGTTTTCTCTTTTTTCCTGGCTGTCTTAGACCAGATATTTTTACGTGGTCCGTTAACAAAAAGTTGCTGCGAAGGTTAGATACCTGATAATATTGTTTTTTAGTTAGTTATTGACCTTTATGTACCTTTTATGATGATTCTATCAGGTGGTCAAAAAATGAAGCACACAACTAATTTTTCTTTTCACCTTTCCTGTTTCCATGCTACACTTGGGTACTGATTATTTACCCACTCAAGCTCAACAAACTCCAAAACTCAATGAAGTCCACAAAAAAACTAGCAAACGGGTGATGAATATTATTTCTTTACAAAAGTCAATATAAACACCACTGGTGAAGTTTCTTTCATGAGTAAAGAGTTAGCTAGGCTCAACTTTACTAAACATAGTTGAAAGCATGCATTGGTATCAAAGCGGCTTTCGAACTACACATTTCATTGGAGTAACCACCGCCGCCTCTGCATTCCAAAATCCAACTTTAGCGTAAGGATCATTCCGAATAATGGCTCGCACAGCTTCTTCACTCTCCGCCCGAATGCACATCACACTACCGGTAACGAGGAGTTCATCACCGGGAGCTTGCGGGTGTTTGGCCAGCGAAGGACCACCCCAGACAAGAATCCCCCCTTCAATGAGAGGCTTGTTGTGCTCAAGGTGTGCAGGGCGTGTGTTGATGCGGTTTTCAAGGTCTTCGGCATTTGCTGGGGTCTGCACAAGCCAGTCATACAGTTGAGGTGCAGACATGTTCGTGTTTTCGGGGTCAGGGTTGAGAGACTCGTCACGGTAAGTAGATGATTGGAAGATGTGAGAAGTGACTAGGAAACTTACTAGAGACTCTAAGGACGCGGATTTGTGATTTGTGCTGGGTGTTTCCTGAATTGGCTTTCAGTCGAGTTGTTCCTCTTCTGGATGTGGGCTTTGAGCTATCCCAAGCCACGGTTCATATACATGAGACCATGTGCCTGCCCTGACGGAGAATCTCCACAGATTAGCAAATTCCAGGTTACTCCGATCAGACCAGGTAGCATGCAGATCTCCGTCTTGCTTGAAGATATCGATGTCTTATCTCCGAGTCTCCGATCCATTTCTTCGGAGTTTCTGGTCCCCGATGCATCAAACCTTAAACCGGGAATGTTTTATATAACGTACAATGCAAAGATTTGTCAATGACATGAGAAGAAGTATACGATGATTATTTCCAGCATCAATTTTCGCTATTGAAAGCTAACCTTAAAAGACCAGTGTGACTATTGAAAATGACTCCTATATCTCCCTCTCTCCCTGTCATCATCGTGGGCGCGGGTATGGTGGGATTGACTCTCGCCCAAGCACTCAAAAAAGCCGGCATTCCTTACAAAATCTACGAACGTGACAGCTCATACGATACAGAGAAAGGGCGTGGGTGGGCTCTCACAGTGCACTGGGCACTCGCTGCCCTGGAAGAATGTCTTCCTGTAGAGCTTTTCGATCGCCTCGAGTCGATCCAGGTGGATCCCACCCTCAGTGACACTCGGCGCTTCTGCTTCATCGACCTGGCGACCGGTAAACCAAAATATGTGATACCACCAACAAAGCGTCACCGTGTCAACCGCCGCCTTCTCGGCAACCTGCTTGGCGAAGGCATTGACATCATCTACAACAAAACACTTGCCCGTTTCGACGCCAAGGAGGACAGGGTCGAAGTACACTTCACAGATAGCACGTCAACTAATGGATGTCTCCTCGTCGGCACCGACGGACGTAATAGTAAAACCCGTCGTCTTCTTCTCGGTGAGAAACTCGGCGGTGTCAACCCACTTCCTGTTCGCAGCCTCGGCGCAACAATCACCATGACCCCAGAGGAATTCGCTCCAATTCGTACAATCGACCCCCTGCTCTTCCAAGGTACTCATCCAGACACGGGTGTCTACATGTGGTTCTCTCTCGTTTCCAGTCCCACAATCAACGGCAGCCTTGAAACGCAAACACCCTATTATGAGGGTCAGTTGATTCAGTCCTGGTTACACAGGAGTGAAGCCAATAAGGTGCCGGAAACGAATCAAGAGCGACTCACGGTGTTCAAGCGAAATGCGCATAGCTTTGATCACCGTCTGCGAGATGCCGTGTTATCCCTTCCAAGTGACACCAGCATACTTGAAATCAAGCTAGTCGATTGGGTGCCCGTGCGGTGGGATAATCAAAACGGCCATGTCACGGTCGCTGGGGACGGCGCACATGCAATGACATCTTATCGGGGCGAGGCGTTCAATCACGGAGTCGCCGATGCGGCGGTTTTAAGCAGAAACATTATTTCGGCGTGGAAGTCGTTGGATCCGCAAAACACTTTGCAGCGTGCAGTGGGTAGATACGAGGAGGAGATGCGCGCTCGCACATCGGACGCCGTGCTGCTGAGTACGCAGGCTTGTTTGGAGGCGCATAATCTGCATGCTCTGCAGGCTGATAGCCCATGTGTGAGTAGAAGGGCGAAAGTGGCCAAGGAAGCAAGAGAGGCAAGAGCCCAGGCTCGGCTCGAGATGGTTGCCTAATTTGCAAGATTGTCTCGGTCCATTTTCTTAAACTTTTTATAAAGTTACTTTGAACCTTTTGAAGTTGGGGGCGCTTAAGGGATATTCTTCTTCAGCTGCTCCAACAACGACGAAATTAGACTTGGTTCCCGAGGTCCAGCTATATACTTCACGGATCTTCAGGCTTGTGATTGGACCCCCAATGCATAAATTATGCTCAACTGCTGTGAAATATTAACAAAGTTTAAACAGACTTTGAGATATCGCAAATCATCCAATCTCCTCATTTGTAATTTCCACGTTTCGTGTGTAGAACATCTTGTTCAGGTGTATTCCGAAGTAGGTATAAACGGCGATTTCAAACAGGTACGGATCTGTTACCACAACATTTGAATATTTCGTATTTCAAACATCACCCAAGAACATTTGAATCTATAGAACCGCGGTCTGCAAGGCCCCCACTGCGGCATGTTCGTCAAACAGCTGTGAGATTCCTTTACCAATATTATTGAAGTTCCTCAAGCAACTCATCGCTTGAATGATATCCTGTAACTCCTTCGCAAAACAATCTCCTGGGTCATTACTTGAGATGAAAAATTCAACACAAAGTGAAAGAGGTATGGGTGTGAGAGGATGAAGCTTCTTTTGTCAGTATAGATGTTGAAAAAAATAGCAGTGGGTAAAATTTGTGCTTACCTTGAATGAATTGAGATGGGACAGCTGGTTGATCAAGGCAACAATCTGCCTGGCTGCCAATGATGCGCGTGTTTTGTTGTCCAAGATTACCGCAAGTTGTTCCTCATCCACCGTAGTGGAAATAATGGATGCTGTAGTTTGGTATAGATGCAGCACAGTAATTCGATACATCAGGCCAATAAACAGAAGCATAGGGTCAATCTGTTGCATGTCTGCCGTGTATTTGGATGAAAATGCCTTCATCCACTGGGTATGAATAACATTGATCCACTGATGCTGTGTCCAGAATGCATCCAGAGCATTGAATGAGATATCCCGAATGGGATATTGGTGACGATGAGATAAAGCGTGGCCACTAATAGTCGCGACAATAATACACTCTGTAAAGGCTGATACCGGGGTGGTGGGGCTAGCCGCAACCAGAGTATCGGACAAAAAGCCCATGAGAATGGGCTGATCATTTTCAAAATCAATTTCGGGGCATGGAAGTCGGACAGCAATCTAAAATTCCCTCGATTAAACCTCATGACCCCCATGGAACCGTTCGAAAAAGGAAAGAAAACAAGGTTTCTTACTGTTTCACTGAACGTGAGCGGAGACCCTATCCGCATACTGACAAATCGGTCTAAGCAATAGGCCATCCAGAATGTTCTTCGCTTTTGCTCTGATTCGATCCAATCGCCCTGTGCCTGGTCTGGGCCATCAACACTATGTCGCCAGCTGAGTTGTATGAGACGGAAGGCTCGGCCGGCACTCATCCATCCCCGCCGAAAGTCTATGCACATGAACTCATGGATGGCAAGAAGAAGCCACGCTTGGACTTGTTCTAGATCTGTGAACTCAAGCTTTGTGGTTTTGGAGTCCAAAGTTTCCAGGGATCGTCGCGTGTACTGGTACAAGGAATCTCCCACGTTCTGGTAGTGAGCCGATACTGAGGCTGCGAGGGTCCACATAGCATATTGTAGGCACCATTGTCCGTCTGTTCGAATCTGGTGTTTTCGCGACGAGAAGTACCGGCCTGGATGCAGGATAGGCATAAAGCTGTGGATTCGGTCGAAGTACAGCTGATCCCTATGGTGGATGGGTTAGAATATATTAAAATCCATGGGTTTGCTTCGAGACGTACAGGTCTGCCTGCATCAAGTCTGAGATCTGGATGTCAAATTCTGGGGGGTTCCAGGTATGAATTGAAAACGCCGCGTCAAAGGCCAGCATTGAAGATACAGGAGTGCCGGCCATTCCCTCAACTGACGATTCGCCTGACGAATTCGATGACTTTGTTCGCTGGCAGCTCTCAAGCAAGGGACCATCTTCATCCATGATGATCGGGAATTCCCATGGTGGTAGATCAACTTGTTCGTCTAAAAGAAGGTTCTCTAGATTGCTTGCATCATTGGGTGGGTTCGTTGTACCATTGTGTTGCTGGAGAAGTCCCTCTAAATTGGCTGCACGTATAGAACCAGTCAGCTGATTGTTAATTGAGCATGGTCGATCAAAAGAAAACCTAGGGAGAGAGGATATATTTCACCGATACGATCTTGCAGAACCTTCAGGTATCCACGTTTGGGACCACGAGGTGGACGGGAAGTGGTATGGCATTCGACACCAGATGTTTCACACAGGCCACACTTCGGTTGCCGACGATCGCAGCGGAGCTTCCGCCTCCTGCATTCTTCGCAGGCCAACCCTGATTTATGCTGTGGTGTGGGCGGCGAGGTAGTGTCTCGGCTATGAATCGATTGGGACATTATCACAGAGAAGATCAACACGATAAATGTAGCCCAGATCTCTAATGCCTGCCAATAAAAAGCTGTTGAATCGTTTCCTGAAGCGAGAAAAGAGTGAGATTGAGGTAATGTTCAAAAAATCCTGGCAAGACTTTCGTCACCCCCAGAGGAAAAGGAAGAGACCGAGAAGATAAAGTAAATAAATAAAATAAATAAAATTACCCGCGAGAGGACAGCCAAGGAAGCAGTCCCCCATTGGAATTTCTACTTTGGATGCTGACAGGACCATATCACAGAGTTAGGGGCAGTTTCGGATATGCCACATGGAACTCCTTTGCGTTAGCGAGCTGCCACGAGATCGACGTCCAACTTCCAAGTTGGTTCAATGTTCATCTGAGGGTTTCAAATGCGAGTTGAACCATGGGAGGTACATGAAGAGCCCAAAGCTATTGACAGGTCAGCCTCATCCAGATGTAATGATTTCCAACCTGAATATCACAGAAATGGGTGAAAGTTCGAGTAAGACGCTGCATGAATTGGAATCTGATGTATGTTTAAAAAAGATTTCTGTAAGTTTAGAACGCCCCGCAGATAGACATTGACTTCCGAATGTCACTGACTCATTGTAATTTTGTAAGCTTTCCATTGCTGTAGCTAATTTTGGCTAGCGGCTTGAGCTGCGGGCTAAGGAATGAGTTGGGAATCGAGATTAGAGTGAGTTCGAACCTAAATGGTTCGGTCGGGCATATTCTCATATGACAAAAGTAAATAAGTTGATTTCTAATTGACATGGTGCAACAATGTCTTCGAATGTTGTCAGTCAGTCAATCCATGACCTCGGCAACCCTCACCTTCTGCCCCGGACGGAGAGAAGAGGAAAAATTACACTAAATCACGTATCTACACTTGGTTGTGGCTTCCAGTGGGTTCCTCCGACCTTGTAACAATGGTAAAAAACGGCGCGTATCCCATACTGCAATTTACATAACGTTCCAATTTACCAGTACATTTACGTGGGCGCCCAATACGTTATTACGGAGCTGATGGCTTGTATAGTATGAGTCAGATGCTAGCAAAATTCTGGGTAATAGGAACATGGAACAAACGAGATCCCTCCCTACGTTCTACAAAAAGCTTGAAAGGCCATTTCCAATCTTGGGAGCTTGTTATTGGAAGCTGTGGAGGGAGTTACCAGAATTAAATTAATTTTGAAAATCGCGACTATCGAATACAGAGGGCCGTAGATGCTCAAGAATGGGAGGCATCTTGATTTCAATGTCAACGACATGATGCACATCAGGTGCCTGTAATATGGATAGAAAGGAAGTAGTCATTTGAATGTTGAAGGTAAAATAGTAGAAAAACGAAGGGCAGGTAGATCTGTGGATCTCTATTTTAGCTTCTCGCCAGCCTTCCCCATCGTCTCCACCAATCTTCCCCGAATATGTTCTCCAACAATTGTCTGGGATCCCGATCCATCAAGCGTGGTACATTTAAGCTTCAACTGGCCATTCAAGAAAAACGGAACGCTGTATCTGTGGTTTCTAGTAAACGTGACAACCCTGTGCCGAGCGCTGCGATAGTACCCGCCTGTGTACTTTTGCATCATATCACCCATGTTGATCACATACGCATGTTCCTTGGGCGGAACGGGGATCCACGTTTCCGTGGGTGGGTACCAGACCTCGAGGCCTTCTGTACCCATGCCTTGGAGTAGTATAGTGACGCAGCCAAAGTCAGTATGATCGCCAACTAGAGGTATATGTTAGTGTGTCCGGTTTCTCAATAATGTAAAATAATGTAAACCTACCTCCAAATTGTCTCTCGTCTCTTATCGGCTGAGGCCCATAGTGGAGAAGTCTCATCGGGATGGATGGGTTGTTCTCCGCCAGTGCGTCCAGGACATCTGGAGGGCAGTTCCATTCCTCGGGCAGACCGCGGGCGAGGATCTTCAATAGAAGCTTGACAAGTTCGACCATGCGAGCCTGGTACGCCATTATCGGGATGCGGAAGTCTTCTTCGGCAAGAGATTTGGGCCAGAGATTGGGGCCGGTGGAAAATGTGCCGCAGTCTGGGTCGTCCTCGGGGACTTCGTGGCCGATAATGAAACACTTGAAAAAATCAGTACATTAAAGACTCATGCCAAATTGCTTTCCAGAATACCCACCTCCTTCGTATCAGGTAGCAGACCTTCTTGGTGAGTCTGAATACCTGGTGGCTCATATCCTCGGAAAGATTTTCCCTTTGATTTTGCAATGCAAACATCCATCTTTTCTTCTTCTGAGAGAGTGAAGAATAGTTTTGCGCAAGCAAGGGCTTGCTCCTGAGCTTCTGGTGGCACGCCATGGCCAAGGAGACTGAAGAAGCCGTAGCTTGTGCATGCGTCGCGCATTGCATCGACTACATTTTGACGGCTCTCCTCCGTGCTGTTAGTGTCAAGCCAGGCGCTGATATCGACCGTGGGGATTGCTCCAACGCTACCCATTTTGACTTTTTGGTATTTGCTAGTTTTGGTATATCAAATTTTGAAGTTTCTTCCGGCTTTCTTTAGTTTGCGTTCGTCGCTTGAGGTTCAGGGTATCTTATTGAACCGTATGTTTGCTAGTCATGATTGTCATATGTTTCTTCGAATTTCATTCTAACCAGCGAGTTGCCAAGTATCTGTGGCCGGATCTTTTAATGGTGAGTTCATCCATCGGTGGTGGGTATGTCCGAAAGTTGGTGTTGATATCTGCTAAACAAAAATCAGCAATCCGCGGGGAGGCGAGAAACTCCGAGCCGGGTGTGTGATGGGACATCCGACTTTTTGCTTTTTCGTAAAACATTAAGCGAGCCCCATTGACACGCCGTGGAAGCTTGGAAGGTGACACGGCGGAGAATCTCATGAAGACTCAAAGGCGTTTGGTGACACCTACCGGTGCCTCAATACTCAGGGCCCAGAACATTCAATCTTGGCACCGCCAATTTATCTTCTCCGGAAACCTTGTAACACCCGTCAAAGATCAATCACATCTCAAAATCAGAGCAGCCTGCTGCACAAATCGCGTCATTTATTCATCAAGTCAAATTCTATCTCAATCAAAATGTCTCAAGAGAACGACTTTCTCGTCCGTCTACCTGACAACCAAAACGTTGTTCAAACCAGAATTGAAAATCGGCCCCTTCACTTGGCCCATAACAAGCCGCACTTTGAATCTGGGAAGATTACATTTGGAGGTCCAATCTACTCCTCCCAGCCCACGAGCGTTGAGAATGGCATGACTAAGATTACCGGAAGCATCCATCTGTGCAAGGCTAAAACTGAGGAGGAGGTATGGGAGATGATTCGGAAGGATCCATATGCGAAACTTGGGGTCTGGAATCTCAATGAGACTGTGGTGACACCAATGAAAGTTCTTGTGAGCACTCCCATGTGATTGATGAGTCTGCGCTCCCGAGGTCTGGAAATGAGGCGGGACATTTCTGTCGCAGATGTTACACATGCGGGAAATATGGGCTTGCTGTTCTCTATTAAAGTTGGCAGCCTTAGAATTGTTGATTACAATGCTGTTTGAGATGACAAATCAATCACAACGTTCAAGTGATATAGGCTAATTTGTTTCTTGGGTTGTCTTTAATATGAATTCGTACTGGTTAGGTCATGTTGAGCCCTTCTAAGATTCTATTGTGGGTGAATCTAAATTATAAGCTCCCCTGGTGATCAGTTCTGAGCAAAGTGAGCTATGTAGTCATTTCTATTGCATGTCTGCACTTCGACAAATATTCCTAAAATAAGCCATCATAAGCTCACCTGGGCAAGAGCTGTTCTATCTCCAGTGATCATCTCAGTTCGCATGGACGCTTTGTCTCGATCCGGTTAGCGTTGCGATCTACCGTTACCCGTTGGCGCTAGCCGTATCCGGTTAGTCTTGCGCCAGGTGTATCGATTCATTTCGGAGTAACGTAGAAGTTAGTAGTAGCAAGTCTAAGTCAGAGCTCGAGGTCGGAGATAACGTTGTAGACTTGTCCTCCGACTTTGAAAACGCCGACACAGCGCAATATAGAGGCGCAGGCAGAAATCCCAAATAATATCATATAAAAGGCCCTAAATGATTAATTCAGATCCATCCTGACAACTCTTCAATTGACAATACTGCTCTGAAAATTGTCTTCATCGAAATCGCAATCAGGAAAGACGTACTCCTTCCTTCACTTCTTTTAAGCACGTTCTTCCCCCCCTCTCCTCCTCCAACCTGCTCCTCTTTCACTTCCTCCCCGACCAACCACATATGAACCGTGTCTCTCTTGCCAACCTCTTATCTCGCTTCACGAGAAGACCACAACCTACTATCCACGCCACCAATCCCACTTCCAATACCCAGCAATTCACGATGGCTACCAACTCCGCCGCATGGCTCACCGAGGCCAAGGCCCACCCTTTCAAAGTCCATGAAGCCCCAACCTACACCCCCGAGCACAACGAGATCCTGGTCAAGAACCACGCCGTCGCTATAAACCCTGTTGATGGTTCCCTCCAGGCCAAGGCCTGGTGGCCCATGAACTACCCCACCATCCTCGGACAAGATGTCGCTGGCGAGGTCGTCACCGTTGGCCCCAACGTCACTCGCTTCAAGGCCGGCGATCGAGTCGTCGGCCACGCCGTTGGCATGGCCACCAAGCGCATCCAAGATAACGCTTTCCAGGCTTACACCATTCTGCAGACTAACATGGCCAGCAAGCTTCCCGATAATATCTCTTACAAGGACGCTGCGGTCCTTCCTCTCGGTCTTTCAACCGCGGCCTCTGGCCTCTTTCAGGACGACTTCCTGAAGTTGCAGCTCCCCACCGAGCCCCGTGGTCGTCCTGGTGAGGCTCTTCTTATCTGGGGCGGTGCTGGTAGCGTTGGCAGCAACGCCATTCAGCTCGGTGCTGTGACAGGATACGAGGTCTTCACCACATCTTCGCCCAAGAACTTTGACTACGTGAAAAGGCTTGGTGCTGCTCAGGTCTTCGACTACCAAAGCCCAACCGTTGTTGAGGATCTTGTCACAGCCCTCAAGGGAAAGACTTTGGCTGGTGCTATGGACTGTGTTGGTTTTGCCGGCACCGCTCTCACTGTTGGGGTTGTTGCGAAGACCGATGGCCACAAGTTTGTGTCGACTGTCAAGGGTGGCTTCCAGGCTCCCGAGGGTATCACTGTCAAGAGTGTTTTCGGAACTAGCATCAAGGATAACCATGTTGGCAAGGCCATTTATGAGGACTTCTTGCCACTGGCGCTTGAGGCTGGATTTTTCATTCCTGCTCCGGCTCCCCTTGTTTCTGGATCGGGCCTTGAGGATATTCAGGCTGCCGTCGATTTGCAGGCTAAGGGCACGTCTGCCCAGAAGGTTGTTGTCACTTTGTGATTACGGTAGAGGGCCTTTGATCTTACGAGTACATTCTTAGATGATAAATTGGAAAACACAAAATGGTGGAAAGGACAATATGATGGATCGAATTTTTCACGTCTCTTCCTGCACACTTAGGCCGCAGTATACTTTCCCCGGCGCAGGATTCATATTGAGTTATCTATCCCGGAGTCTTCCACCTGAGCCGAGCTCTGCACTTACAGATTCTGGTGGGCGTACCTATTACCCCGCAGCAAGGTATTTACATCTAGCCCTGCTTAAAATTCTTGAAGACAATGAAAAATTCTATATTCACTGCATGTGACTATATACTTTAGTATATCTTATCGATTTCAAAAACTTTTTTCGTTGTCTTAAGACGCATCGGAAAAGAGAACAAACGCCAGCCATGATCATCAGGTATATCACTTAGAGAAAGCTCATTCTCCATCCATATTCAGCTCATCAAAGTCATCAAGCAGCTCATCCATGTTGATCTCCGGCACTCCGTTCTCGCTCTGGTCATCATCATCCTCCTCCATGGCATCAGCAGCCTGGCGCTCCTTGCGAACCTTGTAAAGGTCCAGAGTATGCCGTAACTCGGGATCCTCTTCGACATCACGCAAGAAGGTCTCAAAGTCCTCCTCGAGCTTGTTGGCATCTGCCTGCTCACGACGGCTCTTCTGGGCGATACCAGCAGCCTCCTCGGCCTCGTACTCACGGGCCATACGCTTAAGACGCCAAGCACGGTTCTTGGGCTTCTTCTTGCGGGCGTAGTGCTTCTTGACGAGAACAACGTCCGGAAGTGCCGAGCTGTATTGGGAGCTAGCCTCAAGGGCCTCGTAGTTATCATTGTTAAACAAAGTGCCGCTGAGATGGTAGCCGAGCACGGAGTCACCAACGTGCAGAATTCCACCCAAGTGTGTGCGGGTGAAGTAGGTGATGTCGTTGGAACCAAGGTCGGAAGCGCGAGCGACGGTGGCCTCGGCCAAGTGGTATCTGCCATTTGAGAAGCCGGTGGGTTCGATATCCATGACGATGAACTCCTTGAGCTCGGTGACATCAGCAAGGTTCTTGAACGGGTTTCGCCAATAACCCCCTGTTGGGACGTCGGATGTCTGGAGGGTAGTCGGGTCTAAAAGGTTAATGGAGGTACCAACGCGGTAACAGAGTGTGAGGGGTGCAATGTTTCCGATTTGACGGGCAAGCTTGATGGGAAGTGCGACAAGATCATCTTTGCAGATGGGGATAATTTCAACGGAGAATGTGAACTTGTAGGACTTTGTGCTGGTGTGAATATCCATGGAAATAAGTTCCTGGGACTTCTTCATCTTGCAAGGCACGACCGAAGACAAGAAATCGCACATCTTCTCGGCATGGTTTCGCTGGGCGAAGTAGAAATCGAGACCGTCCTTGGCCTCTTTGATGTTGACCGTATCCTTGTGGGCACCGCTCTTCAGGATAAGTTGCTCCAGGTACAAGAAAGTACGCTTGTGGGGAACCTTCTGTCGGACCTGGACGGCAGCGCGCCAAGTGTTATGGGTATATGACTTCTTGCAGTCTGGAAAGGAAAAGAAAGAGAAATATGTTAGTCAATCATGCCTCACTGGTTCAAGGGATGAATATTTTGCATACCATCACACTGCTGGGACGCAACGACGTATTCCACCTCAAATGTCTGCTGAATGATTGTACCCTGGAAGGCCTCCTGTTGAATTGTGATCTTGACCTTCACTCGGCGAGAGTGAGGCTCAGTCCAGATGAAACTGGCGTCGATAATGCGGACTTTGGACAAGCCACGAAGACGTCGCAGACAGACAGCAAGTAATTCCTTCGATTCGGGGTTCGCGACAACCCAGCTGTTGGGGGGCTGGAGCCATCTCTCGCAATCTCTGCAGCAGTGAAGAGTTCCCTCGCGTTGAATACTGGATTGGCGAGCGCATAAGTCAGTATTTAGTCCGCCCGCGGGGTTTGGGGGAATGATGAGCCCTTACCCTTGAGAAACGTCGACATTGAGTCTCAAACAATCCTGACACAAAGCGCCAGCGGAGACAGTTCCATCAATAGGCGCACCACAGTTGCAGCAAAGAATACTGTGATAGCAGATTAGCAGGCATTCCGGGTAGTGGGAAAATCGCAATCCAAAAAATAGTTTAGCGATAAGAAACTCACGTGGCAACAGCGCTGGGCTCTCGCATCCCCGACATGGGGACTGGGGCATCCAAATCCATCGACATCTTGGATTTAGGATACAATCCGATAATCCACTGGAATTCGAAGGCTCACAAATGTGAAGTGATGCAAGATCGGATTTGTAACTTTTTTGCCCCGCCTCGTTCCAGTCAACTTTTTTGCGGCTGACTCATCTGTTTGTCTTGTTTGTACAAGGCGGTGGAAAAAAAGAAGAAAAAAAGAAAGAAGCAGCTGCCCAACCCGCCGGACCGGATCTACAATCCTCCGTTCCTTCATGAGTCATCCAAACATTCAACTGAACTGAACGTGAGAGTCCGTCCTGACTCCTGACATTAAAACTAAATAAAAGATGAACGCTAAATATGCAACAGTCAGGATTCGAATCTTCTCACTCCATAATACTACCCGATTCATTCGCATCCATTGAGTGTATTCTTCTAACTGCGAACTCTCGCCTCCTTGAAAACCATTATCCTTTCTTCTCCTTTTCGTACCAGGTGGTCCATCGTGACTATTGAATTTTGGGGACTACCACTAGGCTTTATGTTATAGGATATAGATAAAGCCCTTTAGTTCTCTATCAGTCTTGTCTTCCGTATTCTCTTCCGGCTCGCCACTTTGCGAGATGTCGTCTGTGATTACTGGTTCTGCGGCCTGCGAATTTCGATACTGCAAATAACATCGCAGGGCTAATGCACTAGCAAAGCCTAATGAAAGTCCTGCCAAACAGCACTTTATTCCGGTCTTTCCCATTCATGGATCTCGTCAGCTATTGAGTCACAGGCCATAACAAAGCGGAAAGTTCAGTTAATACGAACCGGATAGGTAGGTTCCTCGGAGGCCAAGAAGAGCTGTGGGCTTATGATATTCCCAGCACAGTATGATAGGAAAAGCATCGTGCCGACGGTCGTCTTTTTCGTATTTCCCGCAATATTGGATGCGACCATGGACATGCTGATAGGGATGATGACAGCGAATGCACCCATAATTGAGATTCCAAAAAGCTTAACAGATCGATGATGATCGTCTAGCAAATATAAGAGCAGTGTTCCGACAATGCTGAGTGAATGTTCTTAGCAGTGATGAACATTTGAAGATTTTGTATCGATTGGAAAAGCAAATACACCTGGAATCGGTACACCTGGAATCGGTACATACCTGATCAAGCTTAGACTTGCGAGAAGAATGGTCCGGCAATTGTGGATATAGTGTCCAGATAGCGAGCATATTGCGACAAGGCCGATTTGAGTCGCGGATGAAGGAAGCTGGTACAATAGAGCCTTAAGCCCAGAGTAGCCAAATCCAGCGATTATGATACCTTGAAACTAATCAATGAAGGAAAATCAGCCCCGGGTTGGTTTTTGAAGGTCAATTTGCAGGCAAAGCTCACAGAAGAGAACCCTGAGTTCACGAGCATACAACCAAACATATTTGCGCAGAGCAACCATGCCTGTGGATCAGTCAAGGCATCCCAAACTTGGTACACTTTGAATTCCTTCTTGGTTTTTGTCGGTTTTGTATCCTTTGTCCGTTGAACCGCGAGGATTCGTTGGTCGGGCGTGAGAAAGATGGCTTTGTCAGGCCCGTCCGGCAAATACTTCACAAGAACCAAGCCCCATGCAGCTGTGATAGAACCGAAAAGAATAAACATGTATTGCCAGGAGTATAATGCTCCATCGATATGTCCAATGCCATAGGCGAGCAGGCCACCGAATAGCCCTGCAGCCGAGTTTCCCTAATAAACGTAAGCAAGCTATATAGTTTGATGTTCCGAGGATGTCAGCTTGGAGCAACTTGGGGCAGTGACATACTAAGTACCAAAGACCGTGGCTAAAACTTTGTTAGACTCTGTCGAGTAATGCAAGAACCTTTTCAATGGACGCTGACTGACCGTAGAGTTTGCTCTTCGCGCTTATAAAACATGCCAGTCATAAAACTGAAACCCGGGGCAATGGATGCCTCTAGAACACCCAGGAAAAACCTCGCAACGACGAAACCTGCAAAACTAGTGCACGCGGAATGGCAAATGAGGATTATTCCCCACAATACACTATTCGCGTAGTTGTAGGTAAGCACATACATTTCGTCAGCTTCAATGATTGTTTTGAGAACTCACACAACACATGATAAATATTTTCCGATCGGAAGGCGAACAATAAGCCATGTCGTTGGGAAAGACCACGCAAAATAGCCAAAGTAAAAGGCGGATGTTGCCCAAGAGTATTGATCGCCAACAAGGCCCTGTGGGTCATGTTAGTTTTCATCATTCCCGTAATCTGATGTTTCTTTTTTGACGGTTGCATACAAGATCTGCTCGCAGATTCAAGAGAGCTGCATATCCGATGGATACTTTGTCTAGCAATTGTAGCAAGTAGGTGACTCCAAGAAGTGGCAGGATCCTACAGGGAAATAATTGACGTGTTTCGGTCAGTTTCGACCGAACGATTTGGTGAGGTGGACTTTTTGCGAGTTCTCACCATTTATCAATCTGCCAAAGAACTTTTCTTGCAGAAACCATCAAGATCTCTGCAGTCTCCGTATCTTCACTTGTATGCATTGAAGGGTTCTTTCTCGCTGCATCGTGCGTTATATTGTTGATTCTCGACATAGCACGTGTAATTCTCATTCAATGTTCGTTGTATTAACAGATGTATGCCCTCGGGAGCAGGATGTTTGGATACCTGATGTGCAAGCTTTGGAGTTCGAACGTAACATTCGAACTTTTAAAAACGACGCCTGGGCAACCTTTATACTAGATATGGAGAGAACAATTTGAAGGTAAGGTTTACAGCCTTATCGCGTCCAATTGATTCCTCTAGTATAATTGCTGAGAGTTTTGAAGATATCCTAGCAGAATCTACATCGAATTCCTATTCCTCTTCATGTATGTCATTGGACCTGTCAATATTGAGATAGGAAAACCGTGCCCAGGCCGTCTTTACACTTCTCAAGTGTTTGTGCCTATCTTCTCTGTATGCATATATACATCATGTATGCAAATAATATGGCTTTGAATTAGATTTTTCCTATCATATCAAATCATGACGACAAGATAAATGGCGATAAGGCCAAGAAGCGAACGGAATGCGCCAAGGGGGCTACCGAGGTATCTGATTGGCCAGAAGGAGCCGAGGTCGGCTCTTCCACCTGGGCATGGGTAAATTGACGAAAAGGATTTGAAAAATGGGTAGATAATCGTAAGTATTTCTACCGAATGTTAACCGTTAGATGGCTGGAAAATCAACTTTAAAAATTGCAAATGGGCGAATGAATGTGTTTGAGTGTTCCAATGTTGCGAGGTTGGAATTCAATGTTTAATGGGGCACTCGCAACCTCCAGATGTCTTGGAAATTGGTCTCTTTTCCACCATACCCTGTATCTACATTTTGGTCATATAAGAGAATTTAATGGGCTGGCCGCGACCTCGTGCGTCCTTACATCCATCAATAGATACGAAATCGATTGATTAGTATTTTACAAACATCAGCTAAGGTTATTTTATCTCTCAAGCTAAATTGTGAATTTCTCGAAACGGTCATCCTGAAGCCACTCGCTATAACTTATATGCCGGATCGAAGTTCGTTTCTCCAGAAAGACTGTCTGCAAGAGAGTCATGGCTCGTCGTATGTTGTTCCCACTCCTTTGAAGTTGAGCAAACCTGTCAATGATCCAGGATTCATGAATAATATCATCAGTCTCGAAGCCAGCAACGAACATCGCCCATGCCACATGTCTTAGGAAATTCGGGCCCTCGCACTCGTAAAGAATTGCACAGGCTTGCAGAAGGTTGGATAAACGCGAGGACTGAATATCGTATGCTAATCTATCATGAAGAACCACTAGAGCGAGGAATTCTGCGACTATGACGCACATATTGGAAACCATGGAGTTTCTTTCTTTCCTAGGTGAGAAAACAGTTTTGATGAAAGGCGAAAACTTCTGGATTTTTCGTTATCAGCCTTTGAAAAAAAACGAAAAGTACCGACTAGTAGATGATAAGGATGAGTTGAAAAATTTACCTTTTCCAAGAGTTTCAATTCGCGACCTAGTTGTATCATATTGCGTGGATTCTGTGTTGAGTCGCCATTCTCAATCTTGGTGAGTTTGTAACGTAGCATTGTAGTTTCGTGGACCAATTTTGACATTTCGCCGGCCTGAATATCCCAAAGTTCTTCCGCTGCAGGATACATCAAGCCCCAAGCATCTCGCAAGGCATTGCTTGAATCTTCAGATATCTGCTGTATCAGATCGGGATACTCTTCATTCAGCAAGTCTATCATGCTCCCGCCAAGACCAAATGTCGAGGCTTTTGCATCCTGATGAATGGTCCACAATGTAATCTGATTGATGATCTGCGGAGGGACCCGGTATCTGTCTTTCGGTTCATCGGATAAAGAATCAGGATTGCGCTCCGTGGAAAAAGCAATCACACTTCTTCCATGGGACGCAATCACGTCTCGCACACCTCGAAGATGAGCTTGCATGACCTTTGGGTCCTTTCCGTACATTTGTTCGTAGAGTATGAAGAGCCATAATGAGGGGAATGTGACCCATGAGTATGCATCTGGGGTCGCGAGATGCCGAATAAACAAATTCAATCCTTCTTGATGGTGATGGAGGGCTGCCGTAATGAGTCCGATGTCTTCGTCCTCTGCCATATCACGTATTGAGAACGATAATGGTAGATGAGAAAGAAGTCGATGTTTCATGCACATGAATAGCACGTACGTGTAGGTTGACCACCTAACTGTCTTGAGCACCATCCTAGGTATAAAGTTACTGGCATAGTGCTGAATACCCCGACAATCAATTTCAGTAAGAGGAAAGGGCCAGTCTTGGTCTTGAATTCCATATGGTAACTCAGGTGGCGTTGTTTGCAAGGTCGGGGGCGATGATAGCAATGGTGATAATACACTTAGTGGAGTGGAATCTAACTGGTCGGATATTTCGGCTTGGACTGTAACTTGGCCTTCGATTGAGAGTTCGGCTTCGGCTTGGGCTTTACAAGCAGGCGCGATTTCGATCAGTACAGCATTTCTGGACAACTCCTTCCCTGATCTTCGAGTTCCCCTTCTCCTCGCTGTTGGCCGAGGTCCATACTGGCATACTCTATTGCGCGGCAAACATTTCATACACTGTGGTCGAGTCTCATCACATTTAATTTTTCGTTTCCGGCATGTCCAACATCCTGCGAAGTGTTCAAATTAGGATAATAATCCCCAGCTCAGTAAAAAAGAGTAATCCATTCACTCAGCGAGGTTTTGATTTGAGTGGCATACCCATTTTACTGCGTTGCGCGTTGAGACCACTCATGGCTTCGGCTGTTAAGGAGTATCGTTGAGTTCCAGGTGTACTTCGGCAATTCTTGTAATTGGGCGGGGCGAGGCGAGGAGATATTAATGGCGCGGCGCGTTTCATTGTTTCCCCATCGAATCGCGAGCATAGATAAGATATTTCCTCTTTATGAAAGTAAAGAAATTAACCCGAAGATAAGAAAATGCGGGGTTTTACCATTTTACTTGGCGAGATAAGGTACTATTAGAGATGAGCATAAAGAAATTATGAAAAGTTATGTCATACAGAGGTGAGAATTGAAAATTAGAATGATATCCCCTTTCCCGCTTACAGTCTCTTCAAGTTGCAATCAGCCGAAGTGATGTCGGCTTCTATTTTGGTCATTTGGCGATGTAGGTGTACGAGACTGACTAGGAGCAGATGGAGGAAGGAACGTTCGGCATGATACCAGGGTATGAAAATTGGACAGCACATTGAGTCTCGACAAGATCAAAAGATAAAATAATGAATTGACCCCAAAACTACTTAAATGGCCACAAAGCTCCCCGATCAAGACTTTCTTTTGCATCATTCTTATTGAGATCATCTTTCGGCTTAAATCAACAATCAGAATTTCTGACTCTTCAAGATGTCCACTACCGCAACCATTCTGCCGCTCGGTCTGACGAATATTGAGCGCCTCCAGAGTGTTCAAAAGTCAATCGAAGCTGGATTCGCACCCAATTTTTCTAGCCTCAAAAAGGCCATTGCCCATGTCAGTGAATTATCAAGTCTTGGAGCCTGTCGTTCTCGTGCCCGTATTCAGACTTAACTTTGAATTAGATTCACGCCAATCCAGAGATCGCGTTTGAGGAGTACATTGCTCATGACACTCTCTGTGACTACTTGGAGAGCCTTGGTTTTGCGGTCACCCGGAAAGCATTCGGCGTCGAAACGGCCTTCGAAGTCCTATATGGCCAGGGCGGCCGCCTGGTCAGCATTGCTGCGGAATATGATGCACTCCCCGGGGTTGGTCACGGATGTGGCCATCACCTTATTGCTGCGACAAGTGTTGCCGCCTTCTTGGGCCTTGTCCACGCCCTGAAGGATCAAGGCGTTCCCGGCAGGGTGCAGCTGCTTGGTTGCCCAGCGGAAGAGAACCAAGGAGGAAAGGTCGCACTTGTGCGAGGAGGAGCAATGAATGGCGTTGATGCCGCAGTCGAGGCGTGAGTTCTCGCTTCTTTCCTTGTTCCCAAGTCTTCTCATTCTCTAATAAATATTTAGGCACCCCGTCCCACCAGAGAAGAAGGCCGGACCGCGAGGCCCAATCGATATGACTGGCGTTGGCACTCTTCCAAGTTTGGCCATGACGCGCTGGGTCGTCGAGTACCATGGCAGAGCTGCTCACGCCGCTGGCTTCCCGCACCAGGGAATCAACGCCTACGATGCCGCGATCGCTGCTTATAACAATGTCGCCTTCCTCAGGCAACAAACGCTGTCCGAAGAAAGAATCCACGGTGTCATTCTAGAGGGACCTACCGTTCCAAACACGATTGGACACTATACCAAGTCTGTGTGGGTTGCCCGGAGTCTCTCAAAAGGAACGCTTTTGGCCCTTTCAAAGCGGATGGTGGCTTGCTTCGAGGCTGCAGCAACCGCTACTGGGTGCACCGTCGAGATTACTGAGTAAGTCCATATTCCCCCCAATCATTTGATCGGGTAGTTTTTTAATGAAGGTTTTTTTTTCACTGTCCAGGGGAAACATGTATTTGGATCAAGTCATCACGGAGTCTCTGTGCCAGCGGTACGCAGATATTGCCAACAGTACCGGGGGCGAGAAAGTCACTCCATTCTCTTCAAAGGTGGAAACAGGTTCAACTGATTTTGGTGAGGACTCGATTTTCATTTCTTTTGTGTTTTTTTACCGCCTTCAAGCTTCATTGAAGATTAACATGTCTGTCTCAAGGAAACTTCACCTACGAATGTCCTGGTGTCCACGCTTATTATGCGATCGATTGCTCTCCGGAGACAATCATGCACCATCAATCTTTCACGGAGGCAGCGGGTACAGAGGATGCTTACACTAGGGCCACACAAGTTGGCGTGATTGTTGCCCTTACTGCGTGGGATCTTCTCACCGATGATGCATTCTTTGAGGAGATTAAGAAGGAATGGGAAGGAAAGTTGCAGACACATCTCTCTTTATAGGCGTGGCCTGTGAATCTGTGATGATAAAGCGCCCGCTCGTGGGCTTATTCCGACATCTGGAAGAAGATCTAAGGGCATTCGTTCGCATTCTCCTTAATAGTCTTTGGAAATCTCAGCACTTTTAACATCAACTGTGGATGCTCTCTGAGTAATTTTGCATGCTTCTGTATGGATGTTTCTGCGCGCTGTGTGATAGGCTAATAGCTGAGCGAAGTGAGGCCATCTAACCCTTCTAAGCGATCGGTACACGTGACCCATACACGGTCCTGCCCCCTTGATGGCAGCCTTGGGCCAGTAGGATGTATTTTACCCATTAGACCGAAGACATTCTATGTAATGTGTAGTACGCAGCAAATCAGCGAGAATGCTCTGGATCCACTATAGTGACTATAACAAGCGCTAACGGTGGCAGCCTGGTGAGAGCCTTGGCCATTCAGAAAGAAAAAAAGACAAAAGAAAACAAAGAAGACCCGGACCCTTCTTTTTAAGTTCAGTATACGTACCTTCATTTTCGTTTAATCTTGAAGTTACAAAATATTTGATCCAAGAGCATTCAGGTCATCTCTACCTACCCGCACGACAAATTTTTTTCAATCAGCATGATCGCTCTCTATAATGACATTCTCTTCCTGGTGCTTGAGCATCTTCACGACGAAAAAGACCGTCTTCGACTTTTATTAGTATGCCGTGGATGGTACACTATACTTCTTCCCAAGGCTTACCAGCGTATCAACGTTCAAGACTTACAAATCTATGGTTTTGTTTGTTCAATTCAACGAAATCCCGACATTGGTCTCTATATCCAAAATTTGCATCTCTCGTGGGGCTGGTATCCCATGGAAGATCTCAGTATTGAATACGATTTGGAGCCATTCGAGGATACCATCAACCAATTGAGCCTCTCAGCAGGGCACAGAGTGGAATGGGAAACCCAGCTTTTTGAAGGGAAATCCCACGCCTGGCTCGCACTACTCTTGCCATCACTTAAAGCCGTCAGAGCCCTAACTGTCCAATGCCCAGGCTTCTCCGATTCCTTTTTCCTCATGCTAGCTCGAGTAGCTTCTCGGGAAGCGCCATTTGATAAGAACCCCGTATTACAGCGACTGCAAACTGTGCACGCTGAATATGAATCCGTCAAATCACACCACTTCTCCGCGGAATTTTGGGCGGTGATGCAATTTCCAGCTTTACGATCATTCTCCGCGAGCAGGATGTGTGAAGAAAATTATGGCCGTTGGCTGAAGTTTTCTAAATGTAAACCAGCGTTCAAAACCTCTGGGGTTACAAAGCTGCAATTCGACCGGAGCAATGCTCGTGCAGGCATGAATGATTTTATTACGACCTGCGCCAATTTGCAAGTTTTTGAGTATCAGCACGACAACCAGGCTATCTGGAGTCAAGTATATCTCAACTTTCGCCCTGGACAATTTTACTTGGCTCTATATACCCAGAAGCATAGTCTGCAGGTACTTCGGTTGAACGATAAAGGAGAGCATGAGGACATAGACGAGGAGTGGGATTCAGAAGATGAAATGGACTACTCCTCTTTTGGCTCTCTGGAGGACTTCGGGCAGCTGCGTGAACTGCGGATACCCCTCCGTGTGCTCCTTCAATTCGGTCCGAACGATTACCCGGCTGTTTCTCTACAAGAGGTTCTCCCCTCCAGTTTGGAGCATCTCTTACTTGCTGCATACTATGTCAAGGACTTCGGCCTGGTGATGAGCAATGTTCAAAACATGCTAAGAAAACGAGAAGAGCGATTCCCGAATCTCAAAAGACTCGAAATTCAACCAGTCGATGTAGAGTTGGACGAGACAACAACCATTGCTTTTCATACTATGAAGACACCACAGCATATTATTCAGTCATTCGCACCGTTGAGGATGCAATGTGAAGACCTGGGAATCCATTTTGGCTTCATAGTTCACACATGACGTGTAGGAGAATGCCTCAAGTCTTAGGCCCTGGTTTACTGCACCCCGGTCAGTCCTCTCCGTCGAAAATAGTACTCACTAGCCTCACGTATTTTCATTCAAATGATTTTTTTGTTGATTCCCGTTCAAATTTTTAGTACGACAACACTAGCCATCAGATTTGGAGACCTTCGGCTAAGCGAAATCAGTTTACCATTAATCTTCAAATAATACTCTGATTTACACATGCATGGTATACGTATACTACACTGGCAGCTATACTAACCAGGTCTCTTAAGGTTCAAATGCCAACCAATCTAGTTGAAAAGGGTAACCAGTTAAATTAACTCATCAATATAGATGCGAAAAACTATGTTACAGGGTTGAATATTAAAATACGATGCTTGGAATCATTGACTAGGCCAAGATAGCCGCCAGCATCACCATCAACGTGGCACTGATCTGCAGCACGGACAATTGGGAGATCGATGACGCCCCACCGGTGTAGACAGCATAAGGAGCGCTGCTTGTGCTTGAAGCAGAGGCAGAGCTGGCTCCAGCAGCTTGGCTACCCTGTGGCCAGGCGTGGGCGGAGGACGCAGAGGCAGCAGGGTGACCTTGCGCACCGGAGCCGGACGCAGGCTTGTACGAAGCAGAGGTCATGGTGGGTTGGGCAACGGCGACGTTAGTCTGTGTGGTCACAACAGTGCTGACATACTCGGTGCAGGTATCGCCATTGGCACATGATTCCATAGTGTAAAGGGCAGTGTAGACTGCCTCTACGCCCGAGCCCGAGCCCTGACCACCAGTCGAGCCCGAGGATCCAGATTCGGCCCCGGCAGTGACGGCTGGGGACGAGACAGTTGCGGTGCTAGCAGCTTGAGGGTTCACGTTGATAACGGAGGTGGTGACAGTGGCGCCCTCGGAGGGGACGGAAGTATTCTCAGCGGACACTGCGACAGCTGTAGTTCCTACGGCCAAAGTCTCGGTGGTCAAGTAGGTGGTCTTCGACCGCAGAGGGCAGTTGGTGACAGATAGGGGGCAAGCAGTGACAGTCGCGATGCGGGTGCTCCAGACGGTGGAGATGGTTGACTCCGAGCCCTCATTTCCGTTATCATTTCCACCTGCAGTTTGAGCTGAGGTTCCTGACGGATATCCGGTCTGGGTAGCACCGGCAGCCTCCGTGACGGGGCAAACAGTCGTTGACACAACGATTGTCTCAGTCGTAAGGGAGGTGGTCTTCATTCTCGCGGGGCAGTTTGTGACGGAAGCTGGGCAAGCAGTGATGGTAACAACCCGGGTACTGACAATGGTAGAAGTGGTAAAGCCGGGGGTCTCGGAGGTCGAAGAAGCTTGGCCCTCTGGAATTGCAGTAGAGGTGGCTTGAGTGACTTCAGTCAATGGGCAGACAGTTGTTGAATCCACGATAGTCTCTGTTGTGAGGAAAGTGGTCTTCGATCTGGCAGGGCAGTCTGTAACGGAGGCCGGGCAGGCAGTGATAGTAGCAACGCGAGTAGTGAAGACAGTGGAAGTGGTAAATCCAGGGTTCTCCGACTCTGAGGCACCTTGGCCAGCTGGAAGGGAGGTGGATGTTGCTTGAGCACCTGCAGTTTCAGTCACTGGGCACACTGTAGTCGAAACGACAATGGTCTCAGTAGTGACGAAAGTAGTCTTGGATGATGCCGGGCAGTTGGGGATCGACGATGGGCATGCTGTGATAGTAGCTGTACGAGTGGATAGAATGGTGGAGGTAGTTGACTGAGCTCCGGGAGATCCACCAGTAATGGTACTATCTGGCAGCGAGCCAGTCGGCTGAGTGGGTACCGAGCCAGAAGGAACATCGGTGGTAGGAGCTGGAGATGAGGATGTCAAACCGCTTGCTTGCGACACAGATTGCTGAGGCTGAGTTGATCCAGTAGGAGCCGAGCCTGATGCAGAAACTAGAACTGAAGTCTGACGAAGAGGGGTCGAAGTAGGAACTGAAGAGGCTGAGATGGCCACAGACGAGGAAGCTGAGCACGAGCTGCGGTGTGGCACTGGTCTGGAAATATAGGTCCAATGCGGGTGAGAATGGGAAGAGTGAGTGTGAACTGGTCTCGAATAAGGAGTGGAAGAGCTAATGTGCGCCGAAGTGCGAACAGGCAGAGGAGTCGACGATGGGGTCGGGGTTGCCTTGGAGGAAGGAACAGACGACGAAACATGAGCGCTGCAAGGTCTGCGACTGGGCAACTCCCTTGAAATATAAGTCCAATGGTGCTCGTGGTGCTCATGGTGAGTCGCCTGAGGGGTAGGTGTTGTTGCTACAACAGTGGGTGTTGCTACAGGATCAGATAACGTCAAAGCAAAGCCAGTCTGTGCAAGGCATGCAGCGAGGATCCATCCTCGAACCAAAAAGTGACCCATCTTGACCAAAAACAAAAACGCAGGTGGAACTTCAAAATTGATAAAAGAATGACAATGGTGAGAAGGTCAGAGCAGATGCTCGATTAAGTGCAACGACAACGAGAAAAGAATGACAAGTTGTCGGACATGCAAAAAGAGTGTGAGGATGTGAAGTCGCGGAAGGATGGAGCGCGGAGCTCCTGTATATACATCGTGGGCGAAGGAATTGTGGATTCAAGCCCACGGACATGTCCGACAAAATGGAGAGCTGATTTGACCCTGATTGTGCGAAAGGCGCTCGGCTTTCTTGTTTGTTGGTCCCCATTAACCTGTACTATTGACGCCCGATGGGTCTTGTCGTAGATTTCCTGGTGGATCCGCGTGTTGAGGTAAAAATACCCGGCGATCCACTTTTCCCCTGGAAAAACAACATCAAATGTTCAGCTATCTAGAAATAAAAGAGAGAAAAATTCAGTATTTAGAGTACTCCTAGCCAGTTTCTCACTGTAATTGAGAACTCCACATACATACCAAGATGTCTCTACTTCGGTTTGCCCTTGCTGGCCTCCTGCTCCAGCTCGGCCATGCGGCTGCGGGCTCCGTGTCCAGCCCGATCCCCAGCAGCCAAGCCTATAAACACTCAGCAACCTGCCGTACTGTGCTCGGAACGAGTTCAGTTACTTCTGTGCCCACAACAACCCTTACTCGTCGCATTCATGACCCGACCCCTATTGTGGTCTTCTCCACGGTTCAGGATACCGTCACCGTTACTCCGTCAGAGTCGACCATAACGGAGTCTCATTATGAGACCACTACAGTGACTTCTATCGAGACCCCTGTCACCGATACCTTCTCAACAACCTCTACTGAATATGATACAATGACTGCAACGACTGCTCGTGAATCTATTACTTTAACTATATTCTCCACCATTTCGATCACTAGTACTGCTACTGCGACAATTGCTACCTCATCAGGCTTTACTCCTGTTGCCGATACACTCGCTACTCCCTCCACTTATAAGCGATCATTGGTGTTGGAGAATGACTGTTCTCCGTACATTGATGATTTTGAGTATCCACAGGAAGTGATCTGCGAGGAGAAAGTTATCCTTAAGACTACAACAACTTCGACAGTTACTACGGCCCCTGCTACCACCACGGCTGTTACACCTTCCACAACTGTAATAGTGACCAACACCATTACATCCACCTCGGTGTTAGTGCTTGCCGATATATCTACCACCCTGAGCTACAGCACCACCTCAACTATTACTGTGACCACCTTGGCACCCGTTGTGACTGATACTGTGACTGCTACCACTGTGGTTACTGCGGTCACCACCACTTCCCAGTATGCGGCGTGTGCCACCAATAACATTGCCGGCTTCCCTCTTTCTTCAGATTTCGGTAGCTTCGCCGGCCTGTATATCTATGATATTAACTTTGCCAGTATCAGTGGCTTCACTTTGATCGTGGGCAACTCCGATTCCGCTTATGACTGCTGTGTAAGCTGTCAGGAATACTCGAACTGCGCGATGAGCTTCTACCAAGTGGTTTCTTCTACTGTGAATTACTGCTATTTGGCTCAATCAACTGTCTGCTCGGCTACCTCTAACTATGCCACCGCCTATCTCTCCGAGACTGCTAATACTTATGAGATCTCAAACGGAAACTGTGGTCATTACAACGGAGTCCAGGCAGTAGAAATTAATTAATATGATTGATTGACGTTGATTTTGGGAGGCATAGTTGACAAATGTTGATCTCTGAAAGATCACATGTGTATCTTAATTGAATAAACATTTGAAACCTTGAAGCGCGCTGTTCTAATTGTGTGAAATAGTATGCGCCTATATAGACAGGATAGTGTCTGCCGGCTGGGGCCTTCTTGCATGTGACTGGACCCATGTCTACAAACTGTTAAAAGATTGAATGTGTTGTGTGGAAAATATCAATGTCATCAATTGATGATAATATTGGGTGTCTTATCACTTGAGGAGTCATGATTCATGAATACATTGATGATTAATCGATATATTTTCCCCCTGAGTTTCTCTTCCTGGCCGGACTATTCTATATCCGTCCTCCATGTCGGTCTAAAGTTCACCCGAGTGTCCTATGTCACCTGATCGATCAGTCACATGGAAGCCACACCAGTTGACTTGAGTTGTCGAGTGACCACTTTCGAGTCCCGGCATGATGACTAAACGAGCTTCAAGATTGGCAAAATATGAGACCTAAAACATTACGTAGCTGGAAGGCTGAATCGTAAATGGTACATGCATGCACATGTGGTCAACTGGTAAATCTAACTAGATTCTAGAGGAGAGTAGAGGAGTAAAGGAGTAGTGAAGCACTTGAGTAAAAGAGTAAGCACTAAAAGACTAAAGTAGCACTAGTAGATCTGTGGAGCTCTAGAAGCTCACATGCAGAGTGACTTCTCACTGCTACATATTGTAGGTCCATAGGATTGTCCTCCGGATGGAAAAGAATTCCAAGTTCCAAACGAAACAAATGATTGCCCTGAAGATTCCTTTGTGTGCTGGGAGATTCGCATCGATTCAAAGTACCGGTGAGCATAGATATGCTTTCTTCATGAGTTCGACATATATACCGAAAGCTTGCTCGTACCGGTTATGACGGATTTTCACGATGCGGTCGGAAAATTGGGAATCATTGTTGATTTTGTTAAACATGTTCTAATGAGTCTTGCGCAGTCGAAAGACTAACATGGGATTTTGCTATTGAGTAAAAACCATGAACCTTGCTAGGATGGCTTGGAGCAGATATTATACCGGCACGGCTCGTCGCCAATGGCAGACGTTATTGCCCGACTCCCACTCCCGGCGCCCCAAGCCGAGACATCTTGAGGGTAGCCCCAGGATAAATGAACCATTATTATTTCGAGATTCAACGCTATCGGGGTCTCAGATATGACAAAATTCGGACAAAATCCGATTCCGCACCAGCATTAGTGGTGCCAGGCGGCCCAGGCCCAGGCCACTCCCCACGGGGCTCGGAATAGCATCGGCGAAACTCTGCATCGGGCGTCTGTATTTCCCCGCAATCATGTATGTTGCTGCGGTCAACTTAATTCGCCCCTGAAAACTTCATTATTCAGTGAATCCGGTATTTATACAGAAATATCATCCACGAAGGGGAGGTGTACAATACTTTCGCATCAAAAGGGAATACAGTGGTCAGGACTCAGAGGCAGAAGCTATTTTAGTGCCTTTGCGTCTTGCTCTTCCTCATAATAGTGTTCTTCTCTCGTCTAATGGGGCCGAAGACACGTAAAAATAGGGCCTAGGGGATTCTCTATTAGCTCAATGCGTGGTTTGAACCGATATTCAGCTTGTAACGGATCGTTTCCGGTTCGGTTCCCGTACCTCGCTGAGCCGTTGTCGGCTTCGATTTCCCGGGCATTTGTGTTCCGGTCGGGCAGTCTTCGGGGAAATACTAGCCGTGCCCGAGTAAACCACGGTCCCTTTCGAGTGGGGGGCAAAGAAGGTTTACTTCTAAGGGTCAGAGCATCGAGGCGTCGTTCATCCATTACCATGCTGGGTCTTCAGGTTCCGGCCATGCCGACAAATTGCGCGATCGGACTGTATTCGAAAGGCATTTCTAAATGGTCCAAGTTGGGTGTCACAGTATTATTCCGTATCTGCTGGGGCCGCCACTCATGTGCTTAGCAATGTTGGGCCTGCTTCGCAGCATTCCCTATTTTGTAAACACATAATGGTAACCCCACAAAAAAAGATTCAATTGTGGATACTCAGCGGTGTTGTGGGGTCCGGGGCATGTCGGTCGGGAAGTTGGGGAGAGGTACAATGATAAAGTATCCCACAGACAATCTTTTCACATAAATAGCCCTTTCGTAGAGAGAATTGGGTTCATCTCTCCTACCTTCTTCCTCTCCACATTCTGACCCCATAAGGCCATAAGGGTCATTTTTTACCGTGATTGTTTCAACTGTCAAAATGAGGGATAATTTGGAGGAAAAGCCCGAAGCCATGGGCAAAGAGTTCAGTGATGAACTCACGCCCGAGGAGCGTGAGCATGAGATCGAGTCACGCGACTTGCAGAGCCACCAGTACCTCGACAACGAATCACTACACGACAGGATTGCCTTCGCGCAGATACCAGTGCACATGAGGAGTCCTCGCATGCTAGTTATCACGCTGGGTGTGTTCGCAGCCTTCAGCGGCATGCTGAGTGGATTAGACCAGTCGGTAATCTCGGGCGCGTTGCCTGGTATCCGCAAGCACTTTATCGCGTCCGGCGTGTGGACGAGCATGGATGACCCGAAACTAGCGACCGACATTTCACTGATTTCTTCACTGATGCCGCTAGGCGCAATGGCCGGCGCCTTCATCATGACGCCGCTGAACTTCTACTTTGGACGTCGCAACTCGATTATAATCTCGTGTTTGTGGTACACACTGGGAGCGGGACTTTGTGCGGGCTCCCGCAGCGTGAGCATGCTGTTTGCCGGCCGATTCATTCTGGGCATCGGTATCGGTATCGAAGGCGGCTGTGTCGGTATCTACATCTCGGAGTGTGTACCACCAGAGGTGCGTGGTAACCTGGTTTCGGTGTACCAGTTAATGATCGCATTCGGCGAGATTGTCGGATACGCGGCTGGTGGTGTATTCTTTGAAGTCCGATCGGGCAGCTGGCGCTGGATGCTGGGCTCGTCTCTTTTGTTTTCGACGATCCTCCTTGTCGGAATGTGCTTCCTGCCAGAATCACCGCGTTGGCTGGTATCCAAGGGCAAGTACGGGCGCGCGTGGCAGGTGTGGAAGTCACTGCGCGACATGGCGGACCCGAGAAGCCTGGACGAGTACGTGGCGATGGAAGTGACGGTCAAAAATGATGTCGAGCGCTCTGCGAGCGAGAAATGGTATCAAAGGTACCTAGAAGTATGCAGGGAGCCGCGTAACCGACGCGCGCTTGTCTATGCCACGGCAATGATCTTTTTCGGGCAGATGACGGGCATCAATGCAGTGATGTACAACATGTCGAACCTGATGGCCAAAATGAACTTCAACGATCGCGAGTCAGTCCTGATGTCGATGGTGGGCGGCGGCGCGCTGTTTTTGGGAACGATTCCCGCCGTGTTCACAATGGATAAGTTCGGACGACGCGTCTGGGCACAAAATATCCTGATGTTCATTGTGGGCATGGTGCTCGTGGGAGTTGGCTATTTATACACCAACAATGGCGTTGATTACTTCAATGAGCACAAGTCAATTGCCTTGGGGTTGTTTTTCTCCGGCCTGGTGTTGTACATGGGCTTCTTTGGCGCGTATTCGTGTCTGACCTGGGTAGTTCCAGCGGAGAGCTTTGATTTCAACACCCGCAGCCAAGGTATGGCGATCTGCTCTGCATTTCTGTATTTGTGGTCATTCATCGTGACGTACAACTTCGAGGGGATGCAGAAGGCGATGACCTATACCGGTCTGACGATCGGTTTCTTCGGCGGCTTGGCAGCGCTAGGCTTCTTCTACCAGCTGTTCTTTATGCCCGAAACCAAAGACAAAACCCTAGAGGAGATCGACGAGTTGTTTTTGATGCCGACTAGTAAGCTGGTTGCGTTGAACACGAGCAATCTAGTCAAGCACTTTCGGCCGCGACACAAGCAGGAACAAGTCGACACCTGCAACCCCTAAGACTTGAACTTTCCACCTAGCGGGCCAATTTTCATGGCCCCCAGAAAAGCTATATAGCTCAAGTTGAGGCAAACGGATTCCTCGCCGCCTACTACTGTGCAGTTAAATTACCACATTAGGTGGCAGCCTTAGTTAGATTCTTACACACTTTATACAATCAATTGAATCTCCACGCTTTACCTCATTATTTTACATCTAACCGTATTTAATTCACACTAGCAAGGAGCCATTCAAGCATGTAATCTTGAAAAGAACGTTGGATAGCAACCACACTTCGAGGAAGCGCTCATCACTTTGCTTCAAATGTTAGTGATCTTGGAAGCTTTTTATTGGGCAGATCAATCAATAGAGCTCACAATTTATCTATCAGCCTACTGAAAAGAATGTTCATATTCAAATAGATTTCCAGAAAATAGATGATCAGAAATGTGGACTCTCTTAACAACTCGTTTTGTTAAATTTACCAGGATTCCAAATCATGTATACTATGTCGTCATATGAAATATCTCAAAAATACTCACGAACCGTTCCAAGTTGAGGAAATCTGAGCAATTCTAAGCCGGACATTTGTAGTGTCTCCTCCAGTTGAGAAGATCTGAGAGTAGGTCGCACTATCGCTCGGGAAAATTTGGGTGGTCATTGTAGTTTCCCCATCTCCCCCGAAGAGCTCAATGCTAGACCAGTCCACATAAAGGAGCATATTGATCTTTCCATCGACATTAGAAGCTAGCGGGGTACTATAGGTGCTTGCAAATGTGCTCTCGAAAGAAACATTTCCAGACTTGGACCGATCAATAAAGACTTCCTTGGTTGCGAAGTCATAACCGACTCGCGTCTGTTGTGTAAGATCCGCAGTAGCCCGTACAATTATTCCAAATTGTGAAGTCCCTGATGCGGCTGGTGATCGATCAGAGAATTCCAGCTCAATCTTCATTGCTTTACCAGTGCGGCCCAAGGGCTCTGTGCCTTCGTTCATTGAGAGCCAGGACCTTTCACGGTAGTTATGGTCGATGAGGGTGGCCCAATTTTCTGCAGGAGCTTGGACGAGAGCAGGCTTTTCGCCTATGGTCTTCAGAGATAATAGACGAGGAATCGACATGGCACTGCGCCAAGGACTGGTTGGAATCAGACCACCGTATTGCCAATTGTTCATCCACCCTATGACAATACGCTCGGGTGTAGATAAGCCATTGTAACCCTGGGCTGCGTAAAAGTCTGGGCCCAAGTCTACCCAGTTAGCCACTTGGCTTCGCGCTATGGAGTTCGAGAAGGATATTTCATCCACGTTGATATGACCCCAGCCTGTAGTTGCGGTGTCAACAATCTCGATCGCGGCGGTTTGATTTAGCAAGTCGCTGACATCCCAACTCTGCCAGAGTAAGGTTTCGCTGTTAGCACCGGTAGCAGATCGCACAATTTTCCCGTCGACCTTGAGGTATACGGCTGTATTATTGATGTCATCACCTCCACCGATCAGAAAGTTGATGTAATTCATAGAAATCGTGAAAGGTGTAGAGGTGAGGGTTCCTGTTGTGACATCCCCGTTCAAGAATGTATTGACAAGGCGTTTTCCCAAGTAGCCAGTCACAGGGCTTTGTCCCGGCAGGGTACCGTGGGCTGGTGACTGGCCAACCAAGTCTCCCGTGGCATTCCAACCCAAATCCGCGAAGCTCCCAGTGCCTTCAAAGTTGGCGAAGATGATGCTGTCGCTTGGCAGGGGAGTGACTCCAGAATATACATTATCGGCATCCGCATTGAAGGTAGTTCCGTTGAAATCTCCAATAACGTACTGTGTCCCAGAGCCAATAGTTCCTGGGGGTCCACCAGGATTAACCCCGATCATAGCAACCCATTTCGTATGGTTTTGACTTCCATCGACAGGGAGGGGAAAGAGGTTTGGACACTCCCACGCGCCTCCGACCGCGTTCACGGGCCCAAACTCGCTAGCCATCGACCAGTTCTTCAAGTCCTTGGATGTATAGATTACAAGCATGTGTAACTCTGCCAAAGAGAGGACGGCAATCCAATTCTCCGTTGGGGCATGCCAAAAGATATTCGGATCACGAAAGTTGAGAAATTGATCTTCATATGGGGCGGGTGGATCCAGAATGACTGGGTTCGCCTCATCATGCGTGGTCCAGGTCATGCCATCATCCAGACTGTAAGCAATGGACTGGGCTTGTTGGTTTGCTTGGACAGTTTTTCCGCTGGGAAGAACTTGTTCGTAAGGATACTGAAAGTATAGTGTTCATTAGTCACAGCCAGATCACACATCGATGTGGATTCGAACTTACGTATGAGGTATACATGGCAACCAAAGGGGTCTTGCCATTTTTGCCAAATCCACTTGTATTATCATTATCGACCACTGCAGACCCAGAGAAAAACATCTCAGTGACGTTGTTCGGGTATCCGCGGGCAAGTAGGGCGACTGGTTGTTGCTCCCAGTGAGTTAAATCTCGACTGGTAGCATGGCCCCAGGAAATGTTACCCCATGTCTCTCCGCCCAGGTTGTATTGGAAAAAAAGATGGTAGATCCCGTCGTGATACAAGAGACCATTTGGATCGTTCATCCAGTCTTTGGCAGGAGTGAAATGATACTGGGGGCGGTACAGCTCATCATAGGCAGTGGATTGTGCAAACACGGCGCGGAATGCAGTGCAAGCTAAAAGAAGTGCTTGAAGGATAGTGGCCATTGTGAGACCGAGGAAGCAGGGATTGTGGTAGTGAATCAATTGTCATCAGAAAGGTTGGGGGCTATTTAAATCAAGTAAGGACCTGTTCAGTTTCAATTACGGTGTTACATTTCATTCTTCTATGAAGCTTAGTTTACGAAAGTTCAGTGCCTCGGAGAAATCGGAAGTTCAATGTTAAGTTGGGTACCTCGATAGCATTGACTGTTCAGAACGCGAAGGGCCCGTCGTGAGCCGTGGAGGTCGCGGACCCGCGGAGTACTGAACTCCTGCAAGAGAATCAGGGTCCACGTGTATAATTTTGTGCAGAATTGTCAATCTGCATGCTTGCGGAGCTTCGGTAACTAATTCACTAGTCTCGTTCGAGTAGAAGTTAACGATAGTAGAATTTGCCGAAGTTTAGCGACGTTTCGCCGATTCCAACGAAATTTCGCCGATTTTCAAGCCCGAAAAGCGAACAATGCGTTCCTGGAGAGGAGATCTGGCTCACGACTTCCCGATACGGCCCGTTTTCCCTGATTTTCATGACCCGTGCGGGGTCGAACTGCCGTCGCGGGGTTCTCAGGAAACATTCAAGGAAACATTGAAGGAAACCTCCACAAAGCTGGGGTGAAGGTTGACTTTTTTCAGAATTAGACTAGTCTTAAATAGGCAAAGCATCTGAGCTCTGAACCAATCAAGATTCGACAAACCAAACGTAACATTGTCTCATATTTTTCTATCACTTCAATGTTCCTAATGAGTTGGTCAATTTCAAAATTAGAACAATAACTACGCGGTGGGTAGCTCCCCGTGGGGTACAGTGCTCCGAGTACGTGGTCACAGCGGGTCTATATCGGACACAGGGTCAACAACGCTTGAGATTACCTCGGGCTGCAGGTGAAGCTTGAGAATGTAAGATTTTGGAACGAGGGAATGAAGTGATAAATTTCTGTATCTATTCAAACTTTAGAAGGTTCTACCCGAGGATTAGTATTCACTTAGACAAGTACCCTTCATACACCAAAATATTTTGCATCAGTATTCGAACACAATTCATTACGTCGAGCTTCTATAGAGGACCGTGATATCTCGAGGATATCGAACAGACTCTGCGACATAATGAATCAGTTGTCAATGCGATACTTTTTTGGCTTAGACCTACTTAGAGTTGGCGCTACTGTCGTAAAGGGCCCAGAAAAGGGCTTTCTCCGCCTCTTTTACTTCAAACCAACCGATGGAATCACCAAGCCACTTGTATTTTTCAAAATAAAAATAAATAGAATCCAACGATCGTTCTGAAAATCTATAAGACCCAAGGTCCTGTCCAGCTCCAAGAAGATCACTCTTTCAATTACCTACTTTGGCTTTTCTAACCGTTCATCATACTTCACTTTACAAGCGTCATGGGTATCTTGCTCAAAAAACCCAATGAAGTAGCCGGTGCATCATGGCCTGCCATTGCTATCTCTAGCTTTGTCGCCTTTGGTGGTATCCTATTTGGGTAAGGTCTCTAATTTCAATTTACAATCTTGAATTCCTTCTAATCTGTTTCTGCACAAAGATATGATACAGGCACCATCAGTGGAATTCTTGCCATGCCCTACTGGCAAGATCTTTTTTCCACTGGATATAGAGATAGCACTGGGCATCTCAACGTTACATCTAGTCAATCCTCTGCCATCGTCTCTATTCTGTCAGCTGGCACCTTTTTCGGTGCCCTCGGTGCGGCCCCCCTGGGAGACTCTATCGGTCGTCGATGGGGTCTGATAGCTTCAAGCTTTGTGTTTATCTTCGGTGTCATTTTGCAGACAGCTGCTGTTAGAATACCACTATTCCTCGCCGGCAGATTCTTTGCTGGGTTTGGTGTCGGTCTGGTCTCAGCATTAAGTATGTGCTCTCCGTGTTTTCACGTCAATTCTTTCTCGACTGACTGATATAATAGTCCCTCTCTACCAGTCTGAGACAGCACCAAAATGGATTCGTGGATTTATCGTCGGTTCTTACCAGCTCGCCATCACTATCGGTCTTTTGCTGGCATCCGTGGTGAATAATTCAACTCACAATCGAGCGGATACTGGCTCCTACCGCATACCGATTGCCATCCAGTTCGCCTGGGCGATTGTCCTGATTGTTGGAATGCTCGTGTTGCCCGAGACCCCTCGCTTCCTTATTAAAAAGGATAACCATGAGAAAGCCGCTCAGAATCTTGCCAAGCTTCGGCGTCTCCCTGAAGATCATCCTGAAGTTAGAGAAGAGCTTGCTGAGATTCAAGCCAACCATGAATATGAAATGAGTCTAGGCGAGTCCAGCTATCTCGAATGCTTCCAGGGCAATCTTGGAAAGCGGTTGCTCACAGGCTGCGGTCTACAAGCCCTCCAACAATTGACCGGGATTAATTTCATCTTCTACTATGGCACACAATTCTTCAAGAACTCCGGTTTCAAGAACGAGTTTGTCATCAGCTTAATCACCAACTGTGTCAACGTGGCTTCGACGTTCCCTGGTCTTTACGCTATTGATAAGTGGGGTCGCCGGCCCGTTCTTCTACTGGGTGCCATCGGCATGTGTGTTTCGCAGCTTCTTGTCGCCGTCCTAGGAACGACTACTACTAGCCAGGATTCCTTGGGCAATATTATAGTACTCAACCAAGCGGCACAAAATGCTGCTATTGCCTTTATCTGCATCTTCATTTTCTTCTTCGCTGCGTCTTGGGGACCTGTTGCCTGGTAAGTCCGACTTTTCCAACTTCCACACCCAAGCATGGCTAATATTGGAATAGGGTTGTTACTGGTGAAATCTTTCCTTTGAAGGTTCGCGCCAAGTCGCTATCCATGACTACTGCCACTAATTGGCTGCTAAACTGGGCTATCGCCTACTCCACCCCATACCTCGTGAACTACGGCACTGGAAATGCAAATTTACAGTCCAAGATATTCTTCATATGGTTTGGATGCTGCTTTATCTGCATTGCTTTCGTTTATTTCATGATCTACGAGACTAAGGGACTTACCCTTGAGCAAGTCGATGAGTTGTACTCGGAAGTTAGCAGCGCGCGCAAATCCGTTGGCTGGAAACCTACCATTACCTTCAGGCAGATTGTGGAGAAAGATCGAGGATCAATCAGCCAGAGTCATGATCATGAACAAACCCAAGAGAAAGCCTGAACCTTTTCTCTGCATGTGAACCGCCGGATACAGACTACCCGAACACAATCGGTGTCCAAATGTCACTATCCTTTTATGATGGAGCCTATCCTCCCAACGCGATCGATAGGTCCTGTGTATTTCAACTCACTGCTCAGATATAATTAAATTGAGAAATTCCCCCCTAATTATTCAATGTGACTGCTGGTCAAATTTGGTATTTGCGCAGCCCATTCAATTGGTTCATGGCTTGATAAGCAATAAGATATCTCATCAACTGACTGACTAACCATTAAAACTAGTCAAATGATCGTGCTGTGCACAGTTCAAGCAAAATATCACCCCTAAAGAGTGGCAATTTACCCCAAAAAATCATAAGCTTCAAAAGACCCGAGCAAGTAATTCAAACCTTGAAAATCAAAACTTTTTCACCACCGACAATATGATCAGTCCTCCCATTCAATCCGGCACATGGGACATGTTGGGACCATAATGTGGTCCAGCCATTCAGTCAAACAGGTTTCATGGAAGTTATTCCCACATTGAGCTTTGCAATAAACAAGGGTCCGTTCAACTTCTCCGTCATTATCGGTATCATCATAACTACCATTATCGCTGTCACTGCCAGAATCATCATAGCCCCCTGTACGGATGAATTCCACGCCTTGCAAATCCTCCAGACAAATTCCACAAGGACCTTCTATCTCTCGGCGTGTGACATTTGATGTCTGACGGGGAAAAGGTCTCGTATTTTGGCGTGGTACCCTTTCCGCGTTGTCTTCTTCTATACGAAGTGCTCGGTTTCTGGTTCCTAGTACTCTCTCACGTGGGGCGATCAAACTCGTCTCGGAGATTGTCTGTAGTGGTCTTGGGACATTATTTCGCACATTGTACCTTCTGCTTGCCGCTAACCTTTCAAACCGTCCTAGGTCAAGATTTGTAGTCGGACTTGTATTTTCCTGTACACGTAAGATCGTAGCCTCGTTTACTGGTGGTGGAATTGAGACTGAGGTAGTTTGTCGGCTAGTGAGAGGATTGGCTGAAGGCCGTTGAACTCTACGGGTATGAGAAAGTGATTCTTCATCGTAGTTCGAGTGGTTCAGCCTTGACGAAATTGCTCGGGGTGCCCTAATTGGGTTGTTTTGTGTGTCATTTCTTGTTCCTGAATCCAACCCTTCAATTCCGGTCGCGTATCGAATCACGTTCCTACTGTTGCGGCCTTGTGCACGCGGATTCACATCCACATCCACATTTTCAGCTAATGAGGCTGAGAATTGGGATCTTTGTTCTGCCTCGAAGCTTGCCATACGTGCAAGAGCTTGCTCATATCTCTGGACATATCGGCCCAACACTTCATCATAATTCGATTGGATTGTATCCAGAGAAGGTTCAGTAACAGGGCCTCGGGCAAAATCCGGATTTGGAGCAACTCGTCGCCGGGTGGACTGTTGAGTTGTCTCTCTTGTCGGATCGGGTTGAGATTGCATATATGAGCGGACTTGCTCCTGCCAACGTGCAGCGAGACCGGATGCTTGCGATTGATGCAACCTGGTGCACAATACGTACGACGCCAGTTCCTCCAACAGATCCGCGATGCAATTTCCCGCTTCGAGCTCTTCAGTACCTTGGTCCAGTAAATGTAAGGCATAATTCCGACCCTGTACATTAGTCTCATTATCACAGAGCCGGCCTTGGGTTTGGGCGTATCCAACGCACCGGGGCTTATTCTGTGGCTCCAAGTGGATAATCTGCGACAGGTGGGGCACAGACCGGGATTGGCTGGCCGCAGATAATGATCCGTGCAGCATGATAATTCAGTTGATGATGGGCAGTATAGAGAATACTGTTCACGATGCGACTCTGATATGAAGACCGTTATAAATACTGTTTTGAAGTCAAAGAAGTAGAAGCTCTGTGAGAATGTCCCAATTCACTCGAGGTCTGTAGTTGTTTAGTATGTCTTGACGGTCGACAGTGTAAACCTTTAGTGCGCCACAACTCCACGGCGCAGTGAAGCGGAACGATACCTAAGCGCCAAGATGTTTTGGGATCGGAGGTTTAGCTTTGGCTACAATAGTTCCTTGCTCCAAACTTATGCAGTCTTGGGAACTGCGCCGCTGCAATTTTGGAAAACTCGGTGCCTCTTTTGGGCATTTAAAAGTTTGAAAATCGAAAAACAAAGTTGCAAAAAAGAATGGTCCCAGAGGGGGTCGAACCCTCGACATTCGCGTTATTAGCACGACGCTCTAACCAACTGAGCTATGGAACCGATGGAAGGAACCTCAATTATTGGCTTTATAAAGCCGCGGTCATTTTTGCCAGAATGCACACCTAATCCAGTTAGACTTGTGCAATCAAAATTGCCAAGACGAGAAATCCGGCCCTTCGGAACGCGTACCGAGTAAGGACAACCAGTTGACAAGACTACCTCCAGCTATTGTTATTTTTATTGCCCGTTATTCTTTTAATGTTGATTATAACATACCAAATTCCTTTAAACATTGGTTAATCCCTCAAGACTAGTACATATCATGTATGCAACAGCCCTCAAGGCTACATAAGATAACTTTAGACATTATTGGCATTCAAATTGAATATGTAGAATATACAAATATATTTGAACCGAGAAGATGAAATATGTAGATGGACATTGATTGATTGATTCAAAGATATTAGGTATTCAAAATGTTCTTTCATCTTCCAACATTTGAAAACATTTACCACTATAATCGGAAATTAAATATAAAATGAAAAACAAAGCACCAAAACAGTTGCAATGGTCGAAACAGTGTGCTCAAGCTCAAACCAAGCTGCTTGGCCACCAAACGCAATTTGCTTGCTCTTCTGAGTTGGATGAGCAATTCCCGTCTTTGAATCGCGGTCTAGCAATTCTTCCCGATCTGGCATCGTTGGTGGAATAATAGCATAAGAAACTGGCGTCCAGAGCGAGGTGCAAATAAACAAAAAGACAGAAGGTGGCCAGAATGCATGGGTAATAAGGCACTTCACAACGTCCTTGAACCCACTCTCAGAGGCGAAGCACCTGTACGTGGAAAGAGCGACCGCGCAGAGTGTCGCGTACACAAAAACAAAATGAAAGAGCGCCATGAAGTTCAGCAAGACAACCTTGAGACGAATGAACATATTCTTCCTCATCGCTGGGTCTCGTTCGTTCAGCGCAGATCCAAGGGAGCCTGTAGGCTTGAACGCTTGAGTCTGGCCACCAAGCCAGCTAGGAAGCATGAACGAACGAATAATACAAAGGGCAATATAGGGAGACATCCAAAGTTGGAATCGTGAGCCTCGCTGGCCAGTATGATAGCCTGATGGAGTGTAAAGTGTGAATTCACAGAATCTGTTTGCCATCGTCGATGCGAAGCATGCCCAGATGAGCCAGCGGAGCTCCTGCTCGCTAGCATAAGCAACAAGCTGCTTACCCCATAGTAGAATAATAGGAACAGCAAATAGCGAAGCAGTGACCACAAGGGTGTATAAGCTTAGTACAGCATACAGAAAGCCGGAGAAGCGCTGGGCAAAAGACATTTGTCGCACGGCCTCGCCCCACACGCAAAACTTGAGTTTGAACGCAGTGTCGACTGTGCCGATGGCCCATCGCGTACGTTGCTTGAGATGGCCACCAAAGTCTTCTGGGATTGTTCCGAATTGCAGCTGTTCATGGATATAGGCTGTCTTCCACCCCTTACCGAGCATAAGGGTTGAAGTGGCCACATCTTCGGCTAGTGAGCCCAGGGGAAAGTTTCCAATATCTTCCAAAGCCTCTCGTCGGACAACATAGCCGGATCCTGTGCACCAGGCGACACCGAGTGCATCTTTAATTGGTTCAATGACGTGCACAAAGAAGTCCAAGCTTTGCGCGAGGGGGTCGCTTGACGGCACATTATAGAATAGTTGAGGAGGGCAGGCCAGGGCCATCTTGGGGTCAACAAGCAGATGGGGCACAATAGCACGCAGCCAGTCTTGTTCAGGGATCTATATCAAGTAAGCTTTTCAAGTCTTCTTTATGGTTGTTAGAGATCACGTCGAGTATCTTACCATATCTGCGTCCAATGCCGCCATGAATTCACCAGCTCCACCTGGTAGTCCAACAGTATAGTCAAGGCCGTTGTTCAAATTTCCGGCTTTGAAATGATGAGGCTTGCCTGGGATCTTCTCACGGGCAACGTAGAACAAATTAGAGTAAGTAGTGAAGGCTAATTGCTCAACACTCTTTTGTAGGGTAGCTGACTTTCCATCGTCTAGCACAATGACCCGGAACCTGTGTGCCGGATAGTCTTGATCACACGCGCCACGAACGGTATCCAAGACGAGGTCATCTTCCTCACCACAACACGTCACAAAAACGTCGACGGTGGGCACCTCACCCCCTGTCAGACGCAGCTTTGGCCGACCTCTCTTCTTCAAAGCTAACATGGTCCAGCCATTTTGCAAGAGAGAAGGAATGGCAACGGAGAGTTCAATCGCAACGAAAATCCATGCCGCGATGAAAGTCATTGACTCGGCTTTCTGCGCCATAATAATGCAGTAGATACGCAATCCCAGGTAGAAGACATATAGAGCGGAGTTGGCAACCATGAATATCGGCGCGAAGTGGTAGACTGTTCGCCTCCAGCCCTTCCAGGTCTCGGCGTCATCTCGATCGTGTAGGCGGGCAATTGATCCAGACTTGACCCAGTCTTTGCTGAATCCAGCCGTAGCCGGGTTTTTCACAAGGGGTACTAAGCTCTGCTGACTTTGCCACTATATCACAAATTGGTAACTGATTAGTCCCAATACACAACAGAAGATTGTGCTGAATGACACAAGATATAATCGCACTCACGTTTGATGGCATCGGAGAAGGACATTCAGATCCAAAGTTCATCGATGGTCTTTGACTTGGTGATTCGGAGAACTCTGAAAATGAAGCAGTGGACCTGAATGGTCTATCGCCCACAATGGCACCCATGGAAATCGGGCTAGGGTATAATCCGGTCATATCTGAGTAGACAGCATTTTGTCGTGGGACAATTGGTTCCACACCGGTTGAGGCAGGTTGGTGGACTGAATGGTCAGAATCGTCTTCGCGGTCTGTCGAGGAGTCGCGACTGCGATTGATTGCAGCCATGGCGCAAATCGAATGCGCTCTAAACGAATGACGTGGGAAATGTCCGGAGAGTAAAGATGGGTCGAGATATTTGCGTATAATGAATGAACCGCCCTTGGTTACAAAAAGAAGGAATAACAACAACAAACAAAGTGGGAAAAGACTGGATTTTTAGAGCAGAACTCTGGAAATCACCACAGAAAAGAAATCCGGAAATCCACGCCAAAAGTGGTCCGGACAAAAATACTCGATCTAGAGCGAAACTGATCGACAGTGGTTCGGATACCCACAGTTCGGGTACATTCCATGAAGCCATGACGGGGCTCATATCGTGACTAGCTTCTCAAGTGAGGGCTCAACCATAAATCGAACCCTCAAAAAGGCAACCTCCATGACCCCGTAGCTTCTGAATTTGCCTTCTTGAAACCACTGTGCTATTTTCAGAATTTGGTTGTTGGAAATAAAGCAGTGTGGCTTGATTGGAGTATTTTGGTATCCATATGGTGGACGCTCTAATACTGACGCGGCTTTGACCCACTCTTGATCTATTCCACCAAACCTTCGCTACACGGGCCAAGGAGCAGGTGTCGCTATTTTGGTTGCATAAGTCGAATAAACAGTGCTCCGTAACTTTGGAGGCCTGCGGGTGACGAAAATGTTTCATTTTCAGCCACCAGGCTTTTCCATTCAAAGGTAAAGCCGATCTCGGTCACGTCTCCTTTTGTGTCGATCTACGGAGCACATTCTGGATGAAATACTAGTCCTCCCGAGAACTTAAAAGGAGTTCGGTTTATCAACATCAAGTGCTGATCCGATTAGCTAATTCAGAGACTGGCATCCTTCAAAGACTTCTCTTTCGCATCCTCCTCACCCCACGCTTGCAGCATACTTTGTACACAAACAACCTTCCATCAACCGCTACAATGTACATTTTTGGTTATCTTGTCAATATTTTTCTCCTGATTCTGCCCCTAGCAGTCACAATCGGCACGCTAGCTGGTATCGATGCCCACCGCAGGACCCTCGGCGAAGGATCCATTTTCAAGAAGGGTTCTTACTCGAAAAGAGCATACGACAGCCAGACCAGCAGCAGCCCAACGGATGTAGCTGATTTCGCACTTGCACAATACTCCCATATTCCAACCAAAAATCAACCATGGGAAGCTACAGTGGAATTCTCAAGATAGATGAGAGCTTGGTTCTCAATGGATGTTCGTTCTTCGACTCGGATCTATGCCGATCAACGTCATGACAGACGCGGGAGATTGTCTGCATTGGATAAGCTTATTGATATCAACGTGAGTACATGAATCGTACGAAGTCTTCATGTTATACCAACATCTGCTGACTATGACGGATACTGAAGCAGATTTTCCACTCTGCCTGCATATGCTCTGCCCATATTCCAAGGTTCAAATCGTCTTCCCAGGTCAACATCGAGAAGAAAACAAGATCAAGACCCACAAGTCGCCCCACTGGTAGCCCGCGAAATGAATGAATCGGCAAAAGCGGAACCACTTAGTCAGGCTAGCAAATTCCACAGTCAAATCCACGCCAGGGTTATTACCCTTAATGAATAAAAAGCGTGTCTGTCGAACTTGAAATCAGGCGATCGGTCGAATTTTTTTTTGGGTTCACTGTGTACTATTATCACCAATAAATTGAAGAGCGCAAGCTATACATCATGTACCGGAAATGGCTTTTTCCTGCAGGTACAATAAACTTGGCATTCGTAGTGCCGGTTCCCGCTCTCGGGAGACCGCGTGGCCCCGAAAGTTTCAGCCTATAAGCTTAAAAGCTATGGACCGTCCGGGTGGAGGCTCAGCCCTGCTGCCGCGTGCTCAGTTCTACACAAAGGTTTCAAATCGATCAACAGCATTAAATCGTACGATTTGAAAAAAAGATCAGCAGCACTAGATAAGTAGCGTGAGACGCCGGTGGAGTTTTTTTGCAGCCACCGTATTCTGTATTTGTTATCTCTCTCATACGGAGAACAACTGACGGACTCCTCGCGGACTTCTCACCGGATTGTTGACGTAGTCATTTATGGATCTCCTGCGCCGTGAAATTACGACTGAAGCTATATTTAGGCTTTGAGCAACAGGCTTTTGGAAACTTTGATTTTAGATCTCCTTATTGAATTCCAGCTGGTTTTTAAGAGTTCGAAAATTTTACCCCGTACTAGAAATCCGTTGCACGCTACGTAAAATGGGAATGAAACGAGCTAAACTCCTTAGTAAAATTCTGAAACACTTGCACAAAGTGACACTCCGTACTCCATACGGAGTACAAACGGAGTACAGAATAAGAATACTCTTATGCTACTACATTGTCCACCGAGTATTCAAACGTCAAAGCAAAAGCCAAGCCAGCTAGACCCGGGCTTTCTCCTGTTAAGGCATGGCCAATCCATCCTTTGCCAACTACCTGTCAGTTCTGTTTCAGCCACCCATTGAAGAACCCCGTCCGTGCACGAATATCTAGCCTAAAAACAAATCCTTGTCAACTTCCAAAAATGTGCAAGTGCCTTCCTGCCTAGATTGAAGGTGACTTTTGGCCACAGGTTGGGAATTCGGGCATCAAGTGACCAATCTTCTTTCTTTTTTTCTTTTCTTTTTTCTTGCAATTTTCTTGATTTTCCCTTCTCGGATTTCTCTGTAGATAGGGCCTAAACAAGATCACGTAATGATGGCTCTGGTGCGAACTTTGTGGGCAGAAGGATTCTGTCGCTTCCCGGGCACGATCCAAAGGCGGTGGCCACAAAGCTCACAGATTTCCTTTTTTTGATTCTCAATGTTTTCCTCTTTCCAGATTAAGCTTAGTGCCTCTTTGTTTACCTCCATATTTCCCTCGTCCCTCCAGTTCCATGGGTTTATGTATTCTTTCTTCAAATTCGGTCTTCTCTTAATTGGAGCAGTCACTGGTAGTAAAATTATTGGGTTATGCTCCTGATCCAGATATCCGTTCAGCGCGATAAGCTGTGCAGCAACGCGTTGCTCTGGTAGTATGAATTGAAGAAGAATACGTATCACCTGAATTTCGGAATAAGGATCTACCATAGCCACGTCAAACATCAATGACGTCCCTGTCTCAATGCACTCGTAATATACTCGATATGCGATGATGAGGAGCTGAGAGGTAAAAAATGAGCACTTGAGACTAACAAACAGGAAAAATAATGAAAGTAACAAATAACTTCGGAATATCAAATGAGACATCCAAGAACTGAGACTAATAAAGATGCTTGATAAGGAAAAGGACGAAGCCTCGGAAGGGCGTGAGATATGATATACATATTCATCCACCTCGCGCCATCATGCACCTCAACTTGGCGAATCAGGACATAACTTGGTCCTACGCCAAACGTTTATACCACCAGCCGTTTAGTCTAGACACTGGGTCTCCACCCTCATTGCCTAGTCCGACCTCACCCTTGTTCGGAATTCCCTCCTCACCATCACTTAAGATGTCGACATCACTTCCCAGATCGTCATAACTTCCCAGATCGCCATCACTACTCAGATTGTCATAACTACTACTCAGATCAAGATCTTCCGGTCGATCCACTTCATAGGCAAGCAAATCCTGACAATCTTCCCTGCGTTGCCCGTCAGGGTCATAGCCTGATTTCTTCCGATAATCGAAAAAGAAGGGCCGTTTTTCTTGATAGAATTTGCCCATGGAGAGATATTTCTCAGCCACAATGGGGTCCATCTGTTCATTTCTCTGGATGCTGTAAGAATTTCCTCGTTCAGAAATGTAATAAATTGGCCACTGGAGTTGGTAATTGGTGTGAATATTGGTCATAAGCTTCTGGTCACAATGGTTGAGGAAGAGATCGAAACAGATGAACACAATGTTTGCAGAGCCAAGCATCTGGATCATGCTCATTTGAAAGTTGAACAGCGGACAATCCTCTTTGATTTTCTTGGCTATAGCGCGGCAGATTCCCAAAACCAGGTCCCCAGCCCAAGGAATGACATATCCATCACATCGAGAGATATGGTGAACAAACCGGGCCGCGAGCAGGCATCGTATGGTGAGGTTCGCTTGCAATGCCGTTCTAGCTTGGGCAGAAATGTGGACTTTTGGGGCTACCATGGCGCTGATAGTATGGGTGTGGCTGACCAATCGAGAAAAAAAGTTCGGGGGGACCGTAGGCTTGGGGTGAGATACTTCAACAGATCAATTGAGGGGTTGATCGGGTTGAGAAAGTTGGAAAAATGAAGAAGGGTTTGAAAGGAAGAAGAGTATAATTGATTCAGTAACTCCCATTCGTAGTTCAGCCCTGAATTGAGGAATTGACAGGATTGAGTTTGAGCGTTGGAAGAAGGAAGAAGGAAGAAGAAGTTGAAAGGAAGAAGAATACTATATGTATGTACTTGACCCAATAACCCCCGTTTACAGTTGAGTCCTGGAGGACCTCGCTCCGAATCCGACCTTTTATTCACTTCATTGGGTCTTCTATTCTCTGAGCAACGCCTGTCTCCAGTATAAATACAATGGAAACAACATGAATCTCATTCTCCACACCCCTATCTTCTGAGGACTTCTCCTTCCGACCAATCTTTACCTTCCCTGAAGACTTCCTTTATCCCCTTCTGGTAATCTTTATATGTCTTGATTTCATAGGTTGCTCTTCAATGTTTGGAAGAGCTTCTCTGTTACACGGCAAACATAAATTAAAGAATGAAATTGATCCGGAAATACGAGAAAAACACAGACTACGAAGAAAAGGCCAAAAAGAGAGACGGGAGAGAAGAGACAATCTTAAGTAGTTGGGGGCGGTCATGCATGAAAGCTTGAGGGTTATTTAATTAATTTCGAGTACTATCACATGAATCCCTCTAACTATTTCTTCCTCCGAGTGCGCCTTCTGTGTGACGAGGCAAGCAAAAAACAATGTATTGTTCTAAGGTCCGAAAAGCAAGGAAAACAAAGACAGAGAGAAAAAAAGAGAAGAGAAGGAAACAGGAGAAGAAAGCCAGCCCTTAAGTACCCCGTACGTTAAGGTTGGCGAGAACTAAACCTAAAACCCAACCCTAACCTTCTCAACCGAACAAAGAGAACTCACTGTCAACTCGTGACTCATGACTGACACATGTCAACACATGTCACGATGTGTGACATTCTGCGTGCGGTTCATGAATTTGACCCATTGTGATGTCTCAATCAAGCATAAGTCCCCATAGCTCTGGTCAGACTCTGATCCATTCTCCAGGTCAAGAAGCCCTTCATCACTCCACCGAACCCCAATTGACAATATGATATTTGAGCAAGTCCTGGTTCAAGTGATGTTGGGCTTGACTTATCCATTGAAGGAAGGCCGCGCGCGCACAAGCCCACCATGGCTTAAGGGATCACTGGGAGAGCCCAGCTGAGCTGTCGACTAACAGGTGGCACTGCCGCTGGAGTGCAAGCTGGTGCTATGGTTCGATTCGATGTCCATATTGTCGAGGACCTCGCATCTCGCACATCGGCTGGCAAGAGTGATCTCGACTGTGTTCGCTGCTCTGGCGGGATGCGGCTTACTCCCTTGTCGCTGTGGGCAAATCTCAGAAACCTTGTAAGATACCACGCAGCCCCGTGCAGGGCAGAAAGTCAGCTCCCAGAGGCACATTTTGATGTCGTGGAATGTGAAAGCGAAGAGTGATGAAAGTAACAATCGATGATTTAGTTTTGAAGATCTCTCGTAGTAAATGAGATGTTGAAGAAGGTAAGCTCAGCTGCCTCTGAATTCAACCTTTTATAGTGGCATAATTCACTTCGTTCTATTGGTTTCTGATGATGAGTGAGGACTGTGACTTGATAGAGAGAAGAGAGGGGGGAAAGGAAACAGAAACACGTCGTGCTAAGGCACCGATAGGCCTAAGGGAACTTCCCGAGACACACAATCACCCCCTGCCCGTCACGCGCTCTTGATGAAATCTCTAAGGCTTTTCTGCAAGATTGGCAGAGCCTGGTTCTGCTTAGAATATTCAAATGAAGGCCGACTGACAGCCTAGACGTCGACGGGGCTTCCAGCACTGCCTATTTATTAACATCGTAACTTCTCATGCCTTTATTATACATTGCCTTGATGGCTATATTCATCACATCCACGAATCGCTCAAAGTCCAAATAAACATCATCAGAATGCCAGTCACCCTGCTTGACTGACGGCGGTTCATTTGCATGTGTACTGAAATAGTCATGACCTCGCAAAGAAGCAACATTGCGAAACCCCTTGTGATTGAGCCCAGCTGGTAGGATCTCAACCATCGCCGACCCAGGAGGCAAGAAAATCCCATGTGTGAGACCAGCTCCATGGACGCCTGCTAGGATATCCGATTCCCGAATAATCTTCAACTGCTCTTCGTAGGAAATCGCTGCGAAATCGATGGACTGAATGATGACGGAAGGGATCTCTCGCTGGAGCCGTTTCAGGTATTCCTCTTGGTTGGCGAGTCTTCGTCCAGAAACTCGGTTTATGAATGTCAAGGTTATTTCTTTGTTCTGCCGTGGGATGGTGCCATTGAGTCCATATAGAGTCAACGCGCGATCGACAAAAGTGTTCAAAAGATCGGACTTTTCGCAAGAATTGATCTCCCAGTCACCCTGCCAAAGTGTATTTGATGCACCAGCAAGGGGTACGATTATATTTTCAAATGTCGCGTTTGCCGGGAGATCGTTCAGACGGAGGACTCTCTTCTTTGAGAAGAGCGACCATAAATCGAAATACGGTCCGTCTGGGTGGTCATCAAGTATGACGACTTGAGTGTTTGGAGCATCGCGCGCGGCGACGTAGAAAGGAGTATAATCTGTCGATTGGGCTGTAATTTGAAGTGCATCTATACTCAGTGTCATGGAGTATATTTCCATCAACGAGTGCCAGTGGTTGGTGGCGCCTTCCCGCTTGACTAATATAGTGTAATTTTCGGTCTTTGTCGAAGATGGTTGCGTCTCGTTATCCATTTGAATCCAGCCATTGAAAACTACGGGCAGACCAGTGTCATACCAGTATTTCTCGAGCTCATCAAAGCTTGGATACTCCGGGGCACCCTCCAGCACAGTTTCGTTTAATTCCAGCTCTGATTGTTCCACCAAGTTGCACTCTAGATGGAATTGACCTTCGTCATGGTCGTACCTGGCCCCCTTCCCGAAACAGAAAGAATCCCATCGCTTGCCCGTGGTGTGAGAATGGAAGCAGGTGAGAGCGGACGACTGGTTGCAGTACTGTCTTGCTGAATCGCGCAGGTTTTCAAGAAAAGCTGTTCCAAATCGCTCAGCACAAAATGTTGGTTCTGCAGGAACGGTGGTGTATTCGACAGGGAGACTCAGAGGTTCTATTTTTTCGCCAACAGCGACAGACGGGGCGATTAGACGGTATGCGTAGCTTGGTATTGGTAGAAATGAATAGTACGTTAGCAGCAGCAGTATTGTCACCAGCACAAATGATCCAAGCAGTGCTAGACGGCGCTTTTGACGGCTGCCGTTCAGGACGGCCGCGAGCATTTTCACTCAAGCCTGACAACGTGGACAAAAGCATCGAGGAAAGATTGGGTTGCTCGGGACTCTAAGGAAAGAACAAAGACACCTGCTGCGAGTCCAATCACACATGGCGGCGGCTGCACGCCTGCGCCCCACGCTCTGCATAAATGAGAATGATACGCTGCCCTCTTTGGCGCTATTTGGTGTTTGAATACTTTATCAGTGGGAAAGTGGACCGGCGCTTATCTGGACTGCCAATAGAACATCATGGTTGATTTTGTCGCGCTGCATTGGTGCAGCGTGAAGATTTATGTTGAGTGTATGTAAATACCTTCGATTGCCCAGGTTGACAAACACGGAGCAGCCAAGGTGTTGTTTTGCCCGCATGTCCTCCAATTATCGGGGTGAAAATTTTGATTAGCTCAATAACAATGGATTACGCGTCTTCAAGTGAACGTGGTCCGTGAATTCACCGGCGGGAAGTGGGGGCGGTTCGGGTTTCCCCCTGGAGGCTGAACCGGCGAGAATCATCAGCCAACTTTCTACTTGACGGGAGAAATCATATTGAAAATTGATCAGATATCTCGAAATCTGATATTTTTCTATATCCCAACCTGGGTGCGAAACATCTCCAACTGCTATGACAGCCTTGGAATTTCCTGAACTAAAAAGATTGATTTAAGTCAAGATGTAAATGTCCGATCAACGGCTTCAAATTGTCGCATCACTGCCATTGTGATTACGGGGTATCCCATGATTACATCATGCAACCCAGTCTTCAATATTTCCTCTCGAATAACCCCATTATTCGTTCTCCATTCCATCATGGATCCAGCAGCGCCAAGGTCTGTTCTTGAATCCAACTTCTTCCGTTCGAGCTCATCGTAGCTGATTCCTGTCGGAGTTGACGCATTAACAGCATGCCAAAATAGAAGCTGGGAGTGGTGCCACGGAATATCATAATCGTCTTCAGCATGAATTATCGTCAGTCGGTATTTTTCCCCGTTGAACTCGTTAGCGCGAATATATTGGGCAATGGAGTCTTTGCTCAGCCATTTGTCCCGAATGAATCTTTGAAGGTATTGGAATACCACCGGGAACCTGGCAAGTGGCGAGATGATTGGAACGGTGCCCGCAACACGGTACGTTGAGACCAATGTTGCAACGTCGACAAATGGCGCAACAAGGACAGAACCCGCAAATACCACGGGTGGATTTTGCAGAGCAAAGTGTTTGGAAACAGCAACGTTGACGGCCGTCCCCATCGATTGAGCGAAAAAGAGAATCCGAGACGGAGGAATCCCTGCTACATTCATCGCCCAGTCGACAACATCAAGGGCATCAATGATAAGCCCAGTCTCGGATGGCGATCCGGTGCTTTTTCCAAATCCTCGATAATCAAATGTTACAACATGGATTTTCTCGGGATTCCCAGCAGAAAGTGCTCGGTAGTTGGGGACTCTGTACCCCGAAGCGACAGTTCCACCGGCACCATGCATGTGGATAATCAGCCGAGCTTCGGGGTCATCTCGCAGTAACTGAAAGCTGACTCGAGACTTAATATCGGAGACAAGGCCAGCGGGTTCTTGAAGGAGAGAATTCTCATTCTTGCGATACAGCTCCACGGGGAGAATATGCCATGCATAGAGGTGTTCCCCATCTGTAGTTTTGATATAGAAGGGGGTGACCTGGTTTCTTAAAAATCCAAAAGTTTCCGGAATATTCAGGTCTTTGAACCATGTCATTTGAACTGCGTGGAGGTACACAACATGAGACTGGAATGTCGAAGTGGTGAGCAGCCCTAGTAGGATCGCGTATAACCCGACCGCGACTGCCAGTGGGATGGAGGCATATTTGAAGAAAGTCCCCGCTATGTGGCTGGCCGTCATCTTGAATCTCCAAGGAGACGCAAACAGAAGCAGCGATTATATCGTGATTCGTGAGAAGAGGCACCTGGGAGATGCGAGGACGTCGATCTTGAAAGCTGACGGCTGGGGAGGCACTAGGACTGTGGGGCAGGCTAACCCATTCAGTGTTGTGTACAAGTCTCTCCCACTTTGAATGCTTCTATGGCTGTTTTCGAGTTTATTTTTGTCATCGAAGCTATTTTTGTAGGATGTGAACATTGAAATCTCAAATTTTCACTTGGAAAATTTTCATGAAATATAAATCGTGATTACTACTGTTCGCTATGTGGCAGATTTGGAATGAGGGTACTTAACTACGTGGCTCTAATGGCAGCGGTTAATACCATCAGTTGATTGGTTAAAGTGGAGGGGATCCCTGTCAAGGGTCAGGCTCAGCGTTTGTAGTCCCCGCTCAATACCCATTTTTCTCAAATCTTCAAAATATTCGTTTTCTTGAAACCGGCCAGCGCCAACGAAAACATTTGAATGCCACCTGCAACCCAATCAATACAAAAGACCCCGTTCCGCGCAGCGTGAGTTTCCCTTACTCCGCAGAAAAACATACAAAGAAAAGAAAAAAAAAGCAGGAAAAGCAAATACAGGTCTCAGTCATATGAACAGATCATAATCATCGTATAAACGAATAGTTGTCAATTCTAGGTAGGAATTGACGGGATAATGAATTTCAAACCAAGAGGTACGAAAATTCGTAAAGGCTGTGCTCCGAAAAATTCACAAAAAGGGCAAACCGTAAATAGAATATTCGTAAGTGTCGTAAATAGCGGATTCTTCTCCTCTCAGTGCCGCAAAGACCTCTCCAATCATCACAATGCGCGTAATTAAATAGATCGCTGGGGATGCCAAGCTGATAATCGTCAAAATACCATCCCATCGCACAACAACTTTCTTGAAGTGCATGAAAATGAGCATCGACACAATTGAAAGAAATGCAGAAGTGCGCCAAAGCCATAGCTCGACAGTTGTTGGAAAAACCGTGTTCCAACAGGCAAGATGAAGGGCTCCAAAGGAGATACCGAACAGGCACGCCAACGGCCAAATTTTGGATCTATATAAATCTGGATCCCAGTGAGCGATGACAGCATCCTTGGGAATCGTGACTTGGCTTTCCACTTCGTGAAGTTCTCTTTCGTCGATTATGGTCGTGTATGGTTGTTCAGCAGTGGGGCAATTTTGCGCCCGGCTTCTCGCGAATTTCTTAACGACGTTTGATTCGGCCAATCGCCTCACCCTTTCTTCCTCTTCTTTTTCGAAAACGCGAGGAGTGAGATAACACACATTCCAGTATGAAATTTGGTCTTTTGATCCTTCGTTATCGAACTTGTCGCTGACGGCCATCGACTCGAAGACCTCGAACTGTTCCTGGCTCATACCTGGAAGCTCCACGAAAGACGGTGATCGTATATCTTTTGGCTTGTTCCACCAAAAGAAATATGTGACGATAAACAACGGGATATAGCCAAGTGTCATTGACTCCAGCTGGGATAGTGGAAGGGAATAAGAGACGCGCAATATACACTGCACAGAGAACCAAGTGACTTGTATTACAGCAAGCAGCTTTGCAGCACTGTCCGATTTGCTCTTGTCGCAGATATCTTCCAAAGATAAGCCCCAGCTCGAATGGTCATCCCAACGGATCAGCCCTTCATTGAGTAGCCAGGTATACTGATTTGGCCAGATGACGCGGTCTCCTTGCGGGGTTCGGTATCTCAAGGCGAGCATGCTTATGTAGAATGCATGGATAAATTTCAATTCTCCTCCTGTGGAAATTGCGCATTCCCTTTCCATTCGTCGGCATTGAGACCATTCCTGAAGTCCCTCCACCGCGATGAACTCTGGGGCGAGAAGTGCCTTGAAGAAGAGGGCAAGTTTGTGTAGCGTGGCGTATGACTGGCGTTTATAAACTCGGGGATGTATCACGACCCATGTACAGAGGAGAATCGTGGCAAGGCATGTTGTGATTAAGCTGATCGTGCTGCGACCAGGGCTATCCCAGACCCAACCTACCAGACTTCCACTTGTCGCTGAGCCCATGGACCTCTTCCATACATGGGCACCAATGGCGTTATTTTTGTGAGGAGGAAAAGGTGGCAGAGTGAAACAATAATATTTCAAGTGTTATATCTGGTGTTTTTTCTGGGAAATCAAAGCTTTCTATACTCAAGGAGAGGCGTCGGTGATATAACCCAGGCCTTAAATGGATGCCAGCACCTTGGAACTTAAACAGATTCAGGAACGAAGAAACATTTGAATGCAGGTGTTCGCGTTTGAGAACTGCCGGGGTAGGGCTGACGCCAGCGTACTCCAGGCATTGAACCAATTTAGATGCGTATCGGGCGAACATCTGGATAGCATATAGAGCTTCAATTGGCTGTACGTAGTTGAATCCTTGTAGGTCTGGATATTGAGATAGTTGGTCTATTTATCCCGGGCAATAGGGAATGCTAAATAGCCGCCCCTAAACGGGGGCGCTTTAGTGTGCAGGAGGCTTACGCAAACTCCTTTCTGCCCCAACCGATCACTGAATCAGTCAAGATTTTGGCCTTGGCCTCGATAAAAAAAAATCATGAACACTAAGCTTGGAGGTGGAAACTGTCTAAACTATTACCAGAATTCCGGACATTATTGTCGCTGAATTTAACACTGAAGGAAGTTCAAATTCCAAGTCGACAATCTAATAACGAGAATTAAAAGTTCGCAGATATCTTCGACGTGCAGGGTACGAGTATGATGCTTCTACGGAGGCCCACAGCCGCTGCTTAAATTTCAAACACGCTAAGTGTCAGAACATGCAGCAATCTGGCTAGATTTGCCTGTTCGCTGTCCATCGCCTGGCCATTGCCCTCTGTGCTTTTTCAGTGCTTAATCAAAGGCTATTTTATGCCGGGATATGTTTATTGGTTTATTTATATTTAATTTTAATCTTACTCCCGTTCTTGTTTATCAGTGCACATGTGGGTCGTATATGTAGAGTGCATATTGAACATTTGAAGGCGGCATTCTCTAGATTGTAAAAACAACCGGTATAATCAATCAAACAGTTAACTGTCCAGGTGCCCAAGTCAACGGGTACCTGGTTAGGTAGCTGGAAGTCTTCTTACTTTTGAGATTAGGTAGATGCATGTGTCCTATTCTCTACAGGGCTCTAGTTTGGTCTTGGTCTTTCTGGCATTAAGGGATTAATTGAGCTGGTTCGTAAAGGAGTGACGGGGTATGTACAGTAGCAGAATGTGTTTTTCGTTTTCTTTCGCACATCCCTGCAGGTCGTCGAGTAAAAGAAAGACAAGTAGGTAATTTGAGCATTAACGTTGCAATATGAATCAGCATTCACCGGGAGTGGGACTTTCCGATGCCAAGTCCTTCGTGCTCTCTGAAGCTTCATCAATCCTGCTGAAAGGTCTTCCTTTCTCCACATGCATATTAGACAAGGCGATTCTTTGTGAAAGGGGCCTGTGTGCGAAAAGAGACGCCCAAAGTTTTCGGCAGGCGCCTAGAGATGTGGTGATATAGATAATACAGTTCCAGAATCCTTGGAGAGGAAGCACAAGGGCCTCGAAATAACAAAGCGCGAAGCTGTCATCACCTTCGGCGATCAGGGTGTAGACACGATTGATCGTTGAAGGCACCTATTCAAATCTGCATCAGCGATCATCATCATCATCAATTTCCCAGTCAAGAGTTTCTTACCCAAGTAATGAGAAGTGCAGCGAAGAAGAGCATAGCACACTTTGTATAGGCCCAAGCGGCGGCATCGGAACTGGACATCTTCGGACCGGACTTGAGCGCTTCCGAGGTTTTCACGGCGGTGTGGTCTGCGGATGAAACGAAAGCTGCGTATTGAGAGAATTTTCCATCCCGTGGGAAGTTCTCGTGTGTCGCAGGGGATGAGGCGTCGCCAATGTCGTAGTTTTCCCTGGCAATCTCGGTGGTGATTTGGACTTCGACCCTCTTCATACTCTGAACGGTATCGAGACTTCGTGAAGCCATGCTGCGAAGTTGTCTCCGCTTTTGGTAAATTTCTGTTCCAACAGAGAGGTAGATAAAGCTTGTGACGAGGAACAACATCCTGGAGGACTAGTTAGAATTTGATGACGTTAAGTGTTTGAGATCCACTCACCAAACGGGGGCATAGAAAGTGGCAATTCGAAGCGGATCCCACTTGATATCAATCCAACACCAAAGCTGTCATATCAAGTTAGCGGTTAGTCGATCGGGCTGAAGCTTTACTCTTGAACTTACTGTGGCAGGTCCGTAGATTCTTCCTTTGGATTGCGTTCTCAAGAAGGCGTAGATGATGGATGGGATAAACGGGATTCCGTAACAGCCCACCAGGTACTTCCATTCCAGACTTCGAAGCTGACTTGATGAATATCTATGACGGAACGTAAGGTAGACGTTGCAGGCCATTGCCAGGGTCCAGAGCGCATCTGCAGGCATGAACCTGTTGACATTCGTTAGTATTGTCAACTTCTGGACTGGTAGGTAGTCTAGACTCACATCTGAATCAAGAAGCCCTGTGATTGGCACATCACCGAATCTTGGCCAGCTTCTATGCCGGATAAAGATATCATGGTCGCGACATTGGCGAGAATATTTCCGAAAGACGCATAGAAGAGCATGCGATTGACGGGTTTATGGAAGGACGAGAATGCGCTATAAGTAACGATAACAAACAAAGCACCGCATATTGAAAGTGCAGAGGTAATCCGCTCTGTGATTTCAATGGCTGTGTTTTGCTTGGCAGTGAGAGACATGGTCGCCAAAACCGAAAAAAAAAGAAACACGAACACGAAACGACAGACAATTTGGCAACCGGAATGAAATCAAGTTTCGGCCCCCAAATTATAAGAATAAATGAGAGTAATGAAAAAGGGAGAAAAGCCAGCTCTGCTGCAACTCCTGAGAGCGGGGAGAAAGATATTACATTCGCGGATCCAAATTTTCGTGCAGAAATGAAGCCCCTTAATCCCCGCACCACCAACGCCTGGGCTAAGGCTAGAGAAGCTTGAACAGCGAATAGCCTATCCCCACGAGCCGTGTGCGGCGGATTCTGCTTGCAAAGCACACGCTAGAAGCCCATGTGCCGGCACCAAAGTGGATTTCTCCGACTCCACATTAGCCGAGTCTCCATTTTTTCCTTGTCAATAGCGTTGAAGAGACCCCCAAAAACGGGAAATGGCCAATGCCTATCATTATCAGTCGCTACAAATTCCCGAAGTCACAATTGCATTGAAGCATAAAAGTAAAATGCCATTGGCTTCATGTTGGAGTTCGTTGGAAGGAACTCCATCTTTGGTCGGCCCGGGCCAACCGGGCCAGTGACACCATGTCTCCGCGGCGCTTGGGCGTCAATTATTGTTGCGAAATGACTAGTGGGGAAAAAGATCGGCCCCTGAAAATCCAGTCTTTCCATTGAACTAATCGCATAGTCTGAAGAAACTAGTACTCTTGGTTCTACAGACATTCTCTTTGTTCTGAACTCAATATTCCTCAGGACTATTGAAACAATGTCGTTTTTTTTTTTGCATAAATCTTATCCCCCGTCTGTTCCATCCCTTTCTCCTATAGGCCCCCTCAGTGGGGATCCACGAAGCCAAAGGTTCCAGGGTTGTATCCCAGGCCGTGGGGTCAGTGCACATGGCTTTGCATAGTCGAGCCAGATCCAAAGACCAAAAGTATGGGCAATCAAAGATCCAATCATTATGTTACAGCCTAGCTAAGCTTTAGAATCTTTCGGCACGAGTTGCCCATGCGGCTAGAATCTCTATTCAATCCAATGGCGTACCTGATAAAGCCTAAATTGCATTCTCTACCGGCAGAATGCGAGTCAATTGGTGGATCTACAAGGTCATGATTGGTGTAAACCGCGCCAGGGCACATAGTGGTCGCATGGTACCAGGGAACAGACCAAATCTGAGATCATAAACGGCAAAATCCCCGTCCCTGACTTTCTCTCCATAAATTTAAAGTGAAATCAAATCCATGAATTGTTGGGGAACTATAGTGCTCGTTCGCTCACACCGAACAATCCACCCAGGGAAACGAAATTGCGTACTCACGCTGCGCAAGATGCCTTCCAGCACAATTTTTTACCAAACAAGCTTCCTTTCAACGCGCGTTTATCGCTGATCGGTATCTAATCTCCCCCTTTTAGCAGTTGTTCACGTTTATGTATGAGTTGTCGGAGATAAAAAGAGGGCGAACGGAAACGTTCACCGGAAAGCTTCTCTAGCCAATCAGTCGGTGTGAAAACGATGCTACAAATGTAGACCGGATTCTGAGTCCATTCATCATCTCATCCTTTCAACAAATTGATCTGCCGACCGAGAATTTTTGGAGGCTAGGCTGGCACAGAACATCCAAGGGGATGGGAGAGGTGTGGCGCACATATGATGCGTACGATCGATCTTTGCTGCCCGTAAACAATGCAAAACATAATTCAATGTCACGAGTGACTGGGTTTTTGTCGTAAAGTTTGTGGTGCGCCCGAGAGTTCCTTTCGATCAGATAAGCAACGTTTACCAAGTTCGGTTTTCCGGCCAATTCCAGTGTAAACAAAGCAAGCACCTTCGCCCACGGGCAACAAGGCCGGGTGCGACCGTTATTTCCAGGCGTGGTTCTGTTCAGAGAGAACTTCAGGCCATCCGGTGCCCAAGTGAGGACCTGTAAAAGGAAAAAACCTCAAGTGCTGGCAAAGTCTACAGTTATAGCGGAACATATTTTGCTGACTGTCCCGAAACCTCACTTGCCCCCATCTGGATTGATATACAGTTTTGGCCCAAGGCAACGCTTCGGGCCCCGAGCCAGCCGAGAAAGCTACAAAACATATGTCTTGACTAGACCGAGCTCAACACCAATCGGCCTCATACATAATCTTCAAAGCAGTCGTCAAGCTAGACTGCCGGAGCAGGTGGGGGAGAGGTCCGAACATGCCATGAAGGGTCTTAGGTCATGTAGGAACAACATTTGAAACGTTTATCCGACCTTGCAAGGCTAGAGAAAGACATGTTGGTTTGAACCACTCAAGTGCTCTACTTCAAATGGAATTATTTTTCTTTTCATTTACAATAAAAATGGAGGGCTCCACACATGCATCCACAAACCCCGCGCCTAAGCGTGCACCCTCCCTTCCTGCACATGTGGCTACATTGAAGGGGAATGCGGAGAAAGCTGGCCTTGTGAGTTTAGCCAAACTAGCATTCGATGCTCAAGTGAGAATATTTTACAAATACAATGCTGGCATCTGGAGGTGCACTTTCAACGCCAACGAGTCACATCACGGTCACTTTGCGATGTAGGCTGCGTCAAACCAGTTACTCTTTCCTGCGAGGTATTATCACTCTGACCGACCCCCAGCTGTCGTAATTCTATACCATCGGTACCGATTGCAGTGTCGCTGATGACAGGCCTCGGCGAGCCTGACGCTGCTACAATAGTGCTGGGATTGCTGGAATCCGACGCCGAGCGCTCGTTCAACTGGCCTGCTGCCAACTGTGGCTGTGGCGTACCATTCCAGTGGCCATTCTCGAACCCATTTGGGTACGATTCAAGACCGAGCAACTTTGCAGCTTCGTCATACCAATCGTGATCTAGATGGTCTCTTTCCCCAGCACGATAAGCCTCAATCTCGGGGCTGTTCCACCAGTCTGGAGGATGTTTGACACCCTCGGCTTTGAGTCGCAGCCCGAGGCAAATAATGTCAGGTCGCTTAGCCTGAGCTAGCTCATGATTTCTGCGACCTAGTTGTTTGTCTCTCATATTATTTATGGAGATGATCATCGATACATAGCTCGACTCGTAATGAGCACGGAGCTGATGGGGGGTTGCCTTGAGAGATCTCAGAGTTCTGTTTATCTCAAAGTTCTGGTGTTCACATGCTGCTTTTAGCCAAGCCGCAATGGCTGGTTCATCAGCATCCATGAGTATTAAGCTCAATTCCACCGCCGCGCTCACAAAGTCCTCTCCTAGACCGCCGTATTGAGCTTCAAGTGCTTTTTTGTAGTAGCTCCGAAGTGTTTTGGACGGTCGTGGACGCCAAGCAGACTTTTGTTCAAGACCAGGCGAGATGGAAGAGGTCATTTTGAAGACTATATTTTTGGGCTTGAGGCCTTTGTTGCGTCCAAGAATACCCATGGCAAGACAGAAACCCTCCCCCGCATAGCCTTCACTAGTGAAAGGTTGAGATCTCAAAAGGCTAGCGGTCATTGCTGAGATGGATCGGGAAACTCTAGGCTGGAAGCCCTGAGCTTCGGCTCCCCAAAGCAGCGAAAGTGTTTGCAGCTCCGGATATCCATCGTCATAGAGAAAGTCAATCGTGCCAGAACGATCCGGTCCCCCAAGTGCTGTGGTGTTAATATCTTTCAATATGTCGGTGGGGTCTTGTGAGATTCCCGTCAATGGAAAAATATGCCAACCGTAGTAGTCGGAAGGAACATCCTTGCCTTCTGCTATCACAACCTCCTTGGATAAAATTCGCCAGTCGTCCCTCGTGCCACAATATGTCCTCTCGGTTTTCATGATTGCTGTTCGACTTGGACCGGACCAGGCCAGCCAACGGTTTTGGATGAAATGTCGAGCACGCCACGAGGGAAGCATGTACCTCACAATCGTGAGAAACGTCGTTGAGGAGATGACGAGAACGGAGATTGACTCGTTGCTGTTGCCTGAAGCAAACGAAAAAATATTCAAAACCAACGATACAAGCAGAAGGGCAGATACGGTTGTCCACCACCAGTGCTCGATCTTTGCCAGCCGAAATCGAAAGGTCCACTGATTAGATGATTCCGTCATCAATGCAAGGGCCGTAACGAGACCTTGAAGAAGCGCTGTTAGTACAGCAAGGCCAATAGATGACCAAAGAAGGCCCGTGGCAGTTGCGTGGGTGGGATTGAATATGGCCGAGCTTGTCGACGTAGAACTTGTTCCCTGACGCCGGGAAACCCCCTGGCTACTGGGGATAGTTCTGGAATTTGCATGGCCCAAGAGCATAGAAATAAACAATAAATAAAGGTGATAGCTTTGAAACTTCATTTCAAAGAAATTATGTAGGAATTGTATGACGAACAATAGTGGAGGCTGTGGAGCTAATCAGGGGGGAATGATGGGGTGGGGCAGTTAAAGAACATGGTGAGGCCCCGAATATAACTTAGCGCGGACCCTGCAGATTACTGCATGGTTAAGGCTGAGGGGTGAATTTTTGAAAGAATAAAAAAAGCAAGCAATGAATTCACATGGTGAGAAACCTGGTTTGAAAGTGCTTCTACCCAATCCAGTAAAGCGGTTGGTTGTAAGCACAGCACCCGTCTACAAAGTCAATTTAAGCGATTGGGATGTGCAAGGGCCGCGGGACACCAACTCGTATTTGATAAACGAGAACTGGAAGCCAAGACCGGTCATCAGATCACCGCGTCCACGATTCGTCGCAATTCTGGACCGTGTTCATCTAATTCCCGCTGTCTTCGTACCTCGATTTCAGGTGAGGCTGCCCAGGTCGGCTGCTCTACCCCTTCGAATTTACATACTGCATCAAAAACCGTGATTTCCGGGCGAATCCAAGTGCCCTTTCGATAAAGACACAGACTAGCAAGCATGACTGCATACTGGCCCCGATAAAGCCGCCGTAAATCCTCGTCACTTGCCCCCAGAGAATGCGCCTCGAGATTAAATGATAAGTCTTGATGCTCAAAATTCAAGTTCAGCCACCCGTCAATCGAGGCATAATCCTTATCAGCGAGTAAAATCGCAAGTTCAGTTGCAGCCGTGACATACGACGAGCCAAGAAGGGAAAATGTTCGATTGAATTCCGAGTAATAGTACCCACGCAATGTTTTCGCCGGGTGTGGCCAAAGACCGCTTTCTTCGAATTCACGGAACGAATTCTTTGCTCGAAGGTTGCAGATGAGTGTTCCTGGCTCGAGACCCTTGTTTCGCGCCAAGATCCCGTATGCAAGACATACCGCATTTCCACCCAATCCAGATTTCAGGGAAGGTGATGTTTTCAGCAAGCTGGGAGGAACAGAGATGATTCCGCGACTGCAGCGTTTTTGGAAGCCGAGTTGTTCACCCCACAGTAGCGACACAGATTGATCTGCAGAAATGGGATGGTATACACCTGACACCTGTTGAAATCCGGGTGGCCATGACGGCGCTTTGTTTCCATCAAGTGACGCTCTGGCACGAAGCAGATCTGTCGGGTCCTCAACCATGCGCTTGTTTCCCCATAATTGCCCCGCGAACCTTTCGACCGGATGTTGCTGGATATTTTGTGTGCGTCGGTGAAGTTCAGGCCAATCCTCGGATGTGCCAATGTATCTTGCTAACAATGGTGGTATCCCTGTTCTGCTTGCGCCTGTCCATGCCTTCCATCGCAGGCGCATGTAGTGGCGTGTCTCGAATGTAGCCAAGGCGAGGTCGATTCCCAGTATGAGAATGACAACACTAGCAAGCGCTATTAGCACGTCCGACAGAAAATCTCTCTCTGTCGAATCAAGAGCTGTCCAGCGAAAATCGTATAGCGCAACTATCAAGGTGACTGCTGTGGAAATGATCCATAACGACAGGAAATAAGGTTGCCACAATGAAAAACGAAGGCGCAGAGTCCACCATTGCTGTCTCTCAGCATATTTAGTGGCCCTCCAAGCACAAAGTACACACAGGGAAATCAGGATCGGGATGGCGTAGAAAACACGGAAAGATACCATTTTTGATAAGACTCTAGGAGCACATAATCCGCGAACGAGAGATCTTAGGAAGCGGGGCAATCTCAAATGACCTGAAGGTGTCGGATTCCTCGCTTAAATTTCGTGACGCATGAATATCCCCCGTCTTGAAGTTAATATTATGAAGAGCTGGAGGGAGAATCCCTGAGAGAAATATGCACAGAAGACGTGCATGAACCTGATTGGATCAGTTCTTTCATTTGAGGATTTCGATCGATTTCGATTGGGTCGCAAGTTGCCTGCTCCGGTTGCAAACCACACCAATAAAGATGCTGCGAGGCCGCCATTTCTTGGCTTCGCTTGAAACTTCCACTCCCGAATTCTGACTTGAAGCACAAACAAAAGGACCAAACACTAAAGAGCAAAGAAAGAACTCGACAAAGAGGTTAGTTGTCAACCTAAGTATCAATAAAACAACTATTACGCCCAAAGTCTTTAACAAAAGGAAATCAAATCTTAGTCATCAATAGACACTTGGGCATCTCTATCATTTCAACAGGGAAAAAAATAGGATAGATCTTTCAGCATCAAGGACATCGGAGCCTCTACCTAGTTTGCCTCTATGGTGGTAATCACTATTGATGAATCCAATCTTGGACATCTGGAAGACGCGCCTATGTACAACCAATAAAACCCACTGAGGTAAAGTGTGATGTTATTTTTGGTGACTTATGTCCAAAATTAAAGTGAATGCTTCAGATGCTCCAAACTTGACCACTCTACTTTGAGATACGTCAACGTGCCATTCATTCCCCCGTCATCTGGGCAACCCAGCGGGAGATCATGGCTCCCAAGGCCCCAGGGCCCGACTTCCTGTCAGGAGCTCGGGACTTTCATCTCCCCGAACAAGAAGTATATCTTCATGCCTCACCCCGAACTTATCCACCAAGTAGATACCAGGCTCCGAGGTGAAAGTCATGCCGGTTTTCAACAAGTTCGCGGTATTCCCCTTGTTCAGATACGGGCTTTCGTGAGCTATATATATCGTCAATTTATCAAATTTGGCTGAATGGATTGCATGGCACAAGACCTTTGATTCCTATACCGTGCCCGACACGATGAGTAAAAGCTTCACCATAACCAGCATGGCTGATGATGTCGCGTGCAGCAATATCCACACTTGCCGCTGTCGCATTCTCACGCATTTGTTCAATTGAGCGAGTTTGAGCCTCGAAAACGATATCCCAAACCTGTACTACCGTCAGTTTTCTGAGTACAGAGAGGAAAAGGAACGGAGTGGCTTGCCTTCAGCTTCTCAGTCATGCGCGGGGAAAGCACATCACCCTTGGAGGGTTTCTGCAAGAACGGAGGAAAGAAAGTGCGACAGATATCGGAGGAGTATCCGTAAAGATGTGCACTATCACTGCGTTAGATTGTTAGATAGATGATAAGGTATGAAAGTACGAACCCGACGTCGATCAAAACCAAGGTCTCGGGCTCCAAAACCTTTGATCCATTTGTTCCACCATGCGGGTTGGAAGCATTTTCATCGAAGAGCACAATATCGAAGAAGGGATCCATTCCAGCCGCTCGGAGAGCATCGTCAAGAGCAGCAGCTATCTCATTTTCCGTCAAACCGGGGTACAGGCATTTTCTCATCTGTCGCACCGCTTCCACAGTCCCGGTATTGACAGCGCGCAGAATGTCGACTTCACTAGAAGTTTTGATCTGCCGCACTTCCTCAACCTGGCCTTGTAGACCGACTACCTCAAATCCGGCAGATCCCAGCCCGCGCTGGATGAAGTCTCGCATTTCTTCGTCCACCATCAGGCGTGCGGGTCGTCGAAGGCCAAAGAACACATCGGATTGCCGCAGAATGGCATATGGATCCCAGTGCTCCTCCCACGGAACAATTGATATTTCTTCAGGGAAGGGCATTCCAAGTAGACGGGCGCGTTCGGCCTCGAAAGATGGACAGAGAAATGTGGTGTTCGCTTTGACTTCTCCTGTGGCCTCGTCGTGAAATGGGCGGACTACCATGAGGAAAGGACGCTCTTCGGGCTGAATTGGTGAGTTAAATAAATTTTCGATGAGCTTCATGAATGATCTCTTACCTCCCACACTTCCCACTCGGGCTGGCTCACATTGCCATAATATTTGAATGTATACCCAGGTTCCACCACAAATGCATCAGCTCCCTCAGCAACCAGAGCTCGCGCCAATCGGTCTCGTCGCTCTACAAAATCCTTGACGGTGATGGGTTTGACATTTTCCATGAACGGAAGTCCTGTCTGCAGAAGATTGTCTATCGCGCATTGACGGAAGTTTTTCACGCGTGCGGGGTTGTCCGCGTCATTCCACACACTTTGCCCGGCGTAGAGCTTTTTTTGGCTCCCAAGAGAAAATGAGGGTCGAAAAAAGTTGTAGCTTGTAGCTAGCAAGCCAGCGCCAGCTATAATCCATGCCAGATTGCGAGGGGACCAGCGATCATGAGGCCTAGCTCGCACCGCACTGAACGGTAGTTCTTTCGACATGATCCGGGAAGTTGGAGGAGTAAAAGTGATTGAGACAATTTGCAGCTCAGAAACCCGATCCCCCCTCCCGTAAACCCTGTCCTAGAGTGGGGGTTCTTATCTCGTGTTGACCTTCCTACTTTCGCATCTGCTTCCCCGCCTTTCGTTAGCGCCAAATCCCAATCTCAGTCGCGTTAGTTTCGACTCCGATAGATTCTTCGGTGTCTCTTGATTGGTGCCCTCTGCCGTGTCTAACTATAATGATATCGGAAAAATCAGGCGTTTGGTGTTGCGGGGATAAGTTATAAAGTGGGAGTTGTGTCCGGATCTGCAAGCTGCAATTCGCAGAAGGGTGCATTCAACTCGCAGAATGAGAGACCCTACAGCAGTCGAGATGGAGGAGAAAAAACCAGCATCGAAGAGTGGGGAGGCTCAAACAGCCACTAAAATTTTACCTCCCCTAGATGCGCCACCCCGAGATGTGGCAGATGACCCCTACAACGGTCGAGGCTACTCTCGCCTCTCTATGGTTATGATGGTAGTCTTCAGCGGCCTTGCTATCGGTTCCGACGGCTTTAACGCGTCAATCATTGGAAATCTCGAATTGATCATGGCGGTCATTTATCCTAATTCACTGACCACCGCCGTGGCTTCTCGACTGTCCAACGCATTCATGGTCGGCATGATCATCGGTATGCTCTCGTTTGGTTATATTGCTGATAAACTGGGCCGCAAGAGTGGTGCTGTTCTGACAACCACCATTTTGGTACTGGGAATTGCGCTGAGTGCCGGCGCCAGTGGACTGACTGAGGACGGCATGTTTTGGATGCTAATCATAGCCCGAGGAATCGCAGGCGTTGGAGCAGGCGGGTGAGTAATTATTCCTTCTTGTCTTAGTTCCGGCAACCAACTAACGTGATTTTAATAGGGAATATCCTGTGGCAGGAGCGGGTGCCGCCGAAGCCACTGACGAGGCTCCGGGCATCCGCAAGCGGAGAGGATTTATTTTTGCAATGATTGGTGACCTGTCGGCATCTCTTGGATTTGCCTTCGGTGCCCTGGTGCCACTTCTTTTGCTTCTGTGCTTCCACCAAAAGGTGCAACATTATGAAGCTGTCTGGCGAGTCTCCTTGGCCATGGGGGCTATTGCTCCACTTTCCATCTTCTGGTTTCGATATCGGATGGTCGTAAGTTCTGCATATCGCAAGAGCTCCATGAAAAAGCAGAGACTCCCCTATTGGTTAGCAATCAAAAAGTACTGGCGACCATTGCTAGCCGTCTGTAGCACATGGTTTATGTGAGAGACCCAATTCCCTGCAAATTCATCGCTGTGGCTGACCCCGGGAAATTCATTAGCTACAATTACATATCCTATCCCTTCGGCCTGTTTTCATCAACTATCGTCGATCGGGTGAATCCGACCTCCTCCTTAGCTCTAACAATGGCCTGGGGAACGTTGATCAACTGCTTCTATATTCCCGGTGCATTCATTGGTGGTTTTCTCTCGGACCGTATTGGCCGCCGCCGCACCATGGCTCTGGGTTTCTTCCTTCAAGCCATTCTTGGTTTCATCCTAGGAGGAGCATTGGGTCCGATCCAGACAAACCTACCACTGTTCATTGTGCTATATGGCGTATTTCTTACACTGGGAGAAGTTGGCCCAGGCTCCACGATTGTTCTCACCGCCAGCGAAAGCTTTCCCACATCAGTACGTGGGCATGCAGTGGGATTAGCTGCTGCTTGGAGCAAGGCTGGAGCGGCAATCGGAACTCAAGTGTTTAAGCCAATTTTGGCTAGTTGGGGTGATGATGAGCTTCGTGGCACCCAAGCCGTGTTTCTGATCGGATCAGGCTTTGCCGTTCTTGGAGCCCTCCTGGCTTGGTTTGTGCTCCAGGATAGCAACAAAATCTTGGACCATGGCGACCAAGAGTGGAAGGATTACCTGGTTGCCCATGGTTACACAAATATTGAATGGGGTGCTGGAGAACAAACAGCTATTCAGGATGAAAAATTGGCTGACTAGACTCTTAATTCATGAGAGCGAGCCCGAAAATATAATTAGTCCACCCAGCCCTGCCAAATGTCACGAATATCATCTTCCATATTCTCGCGAAGGGAAATCTGATTTTGGTTGTTTATTGTTTTGGGGAGGCAGCTTTGCACATGACCGAATTACCAGTTGACTGTAATAAATTGAAGTCAGGCAGAGAGTCCACTATAAACCGTATTGAAACATGTATCTTTTGGCCAAGGTCCACCTCTTCAAAATTTACGAATCACGCGTGGGTCACCAAACGGAGGCACGTGACTTGTTGCTTAATAAGGGGTGGTTCGTAAATTTTAAAGAGGTGGTCCGACCAGCTCACCTCACCCCTAAAAGTTCACCTCACCCCTTGTGGAGCAGTGTTTACAGGTCGGACCACCTCTTTAAAAAGTTCACTTCACCCCTTGTGGGTCGCCAAGGAAAGTCGGGGTCGTCCGTAATTTTCAGAGAGGTCGGCCGAGCTTTTCTCTGTATGGCTTTTCCTTGACACCGCCGACCAGGGATGAGGTGACCTGTACATAAACACCTCAAAATTCAAATCTCATGAGTCTTTATTCTCATCAGTTATTCTCATCCGGGCCGAGATTTTCCACAAGCGTTCGTCCTTTCGGGCAGGGGCCGCACATAATTACCCAAAATGGTCGAGCGTTGCGGTCTAAGGCGTAAAGAGAAAACAAACAATTGTCAAACTGCACGCGGCGCGATGCGAATTCAATTGCCGTACTAAACAATACATCCAAAGGCAGCACTATCCGATTGACGTGCGCATAAATGTATCTGATTCTGCATAGTCGGAGATTCCAAAATATCCTCCATAGTGAATTTGAAGCCAAATTGCTCATATGCCACCACGAAATGCGCTGCAGCTATGAGAGCCTCCCAGTGGGCGAAAAATGGTGTATCCAGTTCGTCACTCTGACCAATGACCGACTTCCAAACCGACTGCACCACCTTTGATAATCGCTCGTCCTTTTCTGTCGGTTTAATTGAAACTGAGAGATCCACGGACTTGCTCGTATTCTCGCAACCATCTGGCAAAGGCCAGCTGTCAATAGGACCTTCTCTCAAATTGGCCAGAGATGATGTCAAATCACTGGTAAATTTGCGAATGGTCCTGCAGAAACGGTCGAGGATTTCACGCGCGAATACAGGAGGGATGCTGTTCTCGTCAAAAGTCATCTCGACTTGGAAGTTGGCATCTAAATCCGACGTGACATGAAGAGGATGACATTGAATGTTCAAATCCGAGCTTGGATTCAGTTTCCCGTGAATGCCAGTGGGTTTAAATGCCTTGCCCGCGGTGTAATTCGTTGCCGGTAGTGGGATATGATTGACCACAGAGCCAAAACGCGTCCACTCGGGCCAAGATGTACACTCCTTCACTATTGAGGAGTCTCCCACAAACTCGAATGGCATGCTGGCGAGCTGCCGCTCTTGAACGCTCTTCAGGAGCTCGATCACTGTCCATGAAGACTTGAGCTTGACTCGTAGCGGAGCTGTCGATGCGCAGACAACATCAAGGGAATCAATCCCTGACACAGCCATACAGCGACCGCTCACAAGTTCACCAAAGACAACGTCATCTTTTCCATGGAGCTGGGTTAGAATGAAACCCCATGCAGCCTTTACTATCGTTGCAGATGTTATTCCATGTGATTTCAGGGAACCCATGTGGAAATTTGAGGATAGAGTGCGCTGCTTTCCATGTCGGAAGGGGGGCCTCGATTTTGTGACTATTTGATCCGCAGTACTGCCTTCGAGATACTGAGACCAGTAGGTCAAAGCTTTCTGGTATGATTGCTTTCGATAGGCGGTGTATTCTGAACTTTTGACTGGCTGTTCAAGAGCATTGGTGCTGAAGTACGCTTGCTCTAGGTCAGAGACCAGGGAAGCCAGAGTGGATGCATCATACAAGCAATGTGGTACTCGAATCACAAGAGAGTCACACTCATCTGATGGGCCTCCTCGAATGAGCTTGAACCAAACCATAGGTTGCCCAAGGCGCAGTTTTATCTTCCCGTCATCTTCAATCAACTTAGCAAGCTCAGGCTGGTCGGTTCGGTCCACCAAATCCACGAAGCTTGACTTAAGGGTAACCTGGTACACTTTGCGTTTGTGAGAAACAAAGACGCTGCGCAAAAGTGGATGACAGTTGACAAGCTCCACGCACGACAAGGCCAAGCGCGTGAAGTTCACAGGTTTCGGAATCTCAAATGTGTGGTATGTCAGGTCACCGCGGAAGTCGAGTAATGTTTGCTCTAGTGCTGAGACTTGGTAGTCTGAAGCTAGCACTGCTTTCTCAACATTTCCTGCCTTAACAGAAGCCTGGTCCAAGATGGTATCATATAAGTCGTCAGATATGGCTGTCTCCTGCGGCGATTCATTTTGAACTGAGGTATCAGCGACATCCCCGTGTCCAAGCCGGTCAGTCGAATACATTGGCGTGGATGACGGGTCTGCAAGATGAGCAAGCTCTGATAGTGACTTGCAAACAAGTATGTCATGAACTGATATAGCCACGCCCTCTGTCCGACATTTGGACACAGCCTTCATAGCAGTGATTGAATCTCCCCCAAGACGCAAAAACGAGGCCGTGGCGCTAATTTGGTCTAAAGGAATCTTTAGGATAGAGCTCCAAAGACTCTGTAAAAAGAGCTCCATAGAAGTCTGGGGAGCTTCAAAGTGGCTATCTGAAATATGATGAGATGCTTGCTCAAAGTCGTCTTCTGTCAGATTCTCCACAAATGACCGAGCCTTATTGCGGTCCAGCTTGCCGCTCGAATTTGTGGGCAACTCATTCACCACGATCCAGAATGTTGGGATCATCCACCTAGCTAGTGACTCCGTCAGATGATCGCGAATGGCAGCAAGCTCAGCAGATATCATAATGCGATGAGAGGTGCCAACTATTTGCAATACTCCCAATCCACCTCCGACGACATCGTGGAGAGAGAGGACGGCAACACATCTTCCTTGACACAAACCGACCTTAGGGAGTACTGTCAGACATGCCTTGACTTGTGGCATCTCTATAATTTTGTGATCCACCTCCGCAAGTTCCAATCGCTGGCCGCGAAGCTTCACCTGTGCATCCCGTCGACCGACATAAACAAGAGTCCCGTTGCTATTGTATCGAACAAGGTCACCAGTACGGTACATTCGTCTTCCGGCCGTTGTCCCAGTTGGTAACCATGGGGGATCACTGACAAATGACGAATTTGTCTTTTCGGAATCATTCAGATATCCACGAGCCAAAACAGGGCCCTCGACAAACAATTCTCCAATACAGCCAATTGGAGCCAATCGTGATTCACTGTGTTGATCGACAATCCAGGTACATACACCACCTCCCAGCCCGATATTGGATGGCTGCTGTGTGTCCGACAGAACAACATTATGAGTAACCCAGTTTGATGTTTCCGATTGACTATACATGTTGATGAGAGTAACTGAATCGCCCCAGCGACGAGCAGTTTCTGTGGTCACTGGCTCTCCACCAACGACCATGCTTCTCAGATCAGGCACTTCCTCGGGCATGAGCAGATTTGCTACAGTCGGTGTGATATCAACATGGTTGACACCTAGCACGTTCATTGTCTGTCCCAGGTTGCTCATACGATCCTCCTCCGACGGGATACAGCAGCATGCACCGGAAATCAGAGCCACAAATATATCGGTAATATGGACATCAAAGGCAAACGAGGAGTATTGAAGGCAACGTGAGCCAGGGCCAATGTCGACCGCCGCTGCGTAGGCGCGTGAACTGGTGCATGCAGCCTGATGCTCGAGCTCGATTCCTTTGGGACTTCCTGTTGATCCAGAAGTGAACACAATGAATGCACGGTTGTGTGGCGTCACAGCGTTCACCTGCATGAGATCGCGATGATCAAGCGTCTCGAAGAGTTCTTCACCAACAAAAATCATTATATCGATACAGTCTGCGACCTTGGAGGGCGGCGCTTTCCCGACGAGCATAATGCTGGCATTCGATTTTTTCACCATTTCACAAAGACGATCTGGTGGATGGGACACATCGAATGATAGGCAAGTTCCTCCAGCCTTGAGAACAGCTAGAATGGAGACAATTGCCCACTTTGACTTCTCAAAGTGAAGCGGCACGATCATCTCTAGGTCAACCCCCAAATTTAGCAGGTGGTTTGCCAGTCTGTTGGACAGAGAGTCAAGATTGGCATAAGTCAGATCTCCATCCCAAGATGCTACAGCTGGAGAGCTTGGGCTGCGTGAAGCCTGTTCCTCAAAAGCTTGGTGCACGGCTTCTTGAGCTGATAATGGGGGGAGTTGGTTCCAACTTTTTATCTCTTCTATGTCCTGGGTAGTGACGTTGACAAATTGGTCGAGAATGAGATCCGAACTCGCAATACCGATCTCCCTCAGGGTCTGGTTGAAGGTGTTCATGACACGCTTGACTTGAGATTTATCAATAACATTGTTGTCGAACAAAACGCCGACGACCGCCCCATCCTTTTGCAAAGAAACCTCGACGTTCATAGCGTAAGGTTGATAGGAGTCATGCATGTCATTTACACGTCGACACCCAAGAACCTCTAAGCCATTGGCGATCTCCATTGGCTGCACTATCAACGCCGTCTGGAAAGAGCATGCTCTGTGTGTTCCGGCTGTCAGTTTTTTGATTCGGTGCATTCCAGCTTGCTCATAGGCTATTGTCGTCGTCGACTGCCTCTGCACTTGCTGTAAAAAGGCGCCCAGATTTGTGTCCTTCTGCATTTGCAGGCGGAGTGGGACAGTAGCCACTGTTGGACCCATCATTTCCATGATTCCTGAAACTGGTGCAGCCCGACCGGACACCGTCCACCCGAAAGTTATATCATGTGAATCGGCATACTTCGCAACTGTCAAAGCCCATGCGGCTTGTATGAGAGTGGATTGCATAGTAGAGGAGCCTCCGTTTCGCTGAAATGAAATATCCAGCTCGAATGTTTCATTGGGAATGGGCTGATAGTTCGCCGCCGGTAAAACTGGGAAGACGGTTGCGCTGGCATCGTCTAACTGCGTTTTCCAGAAGAGATCCATCTCGTCGGGATCTAAATCTTGCACATACCTGACAAAGCAGTTGAATGAGGCTTTCATCATCGCTGGGCTTCCATCAAAGTTTTGCTTTACACGGTCAAATATTAGGTCAAGTGTCCAGCCATCGAAAAGAGCATGATGCATGGTCATGACCAGATATGCTTTCTGGTTACTTGTCCTGCATATAGCGTATCGAAAAAGAGGTTCCCCCCATAGCATGAGGTCCTCTAGATCACGTTTCACATATGAGTCCAGGTCGGAAAATACCTCACATGACGATGGCTGAGAGACGACAACCTGCAAGACCCTTAAAGAGTCTGTCATGAACAGCCTAGTTCTCAGCGTCGCAGACTGCTGAGTGGTGGATTGCCAAGCCTTTTGGAACCGGTCAATGTCTATGTCGGAAGGCAATTCAAAGATATCTTGCTTCATGAAGGCCCCTGGTTGCTTGTTGGAGAGAGCAAACAAGCCCTCTTGCATCGGGGTGGCAGGGTAGATGTCCTCAATCATATCCAAGCTTACTCCACAGGCGGATGCCGCTGCTTCTATAATTTCTCCGGTTGTTTCATTCGAGCCAAGGAGGCTAAGAGGAGGCACTTCTTCAATGAACCCCTCATTGCTGTCGTCTAACTCCGTAATATCATAGTTTGCCTCTTTTCGTCCACAAAAGACATACTCATCGTTCCCGAGATTCCTCACAAGATCACCGGTCGCAAAGAAGCGCTGATCATTGCTTCTCGGGCTCGGCACAGCCCAGTCAGGATTGACAAAAAAGCAGTCAGATGACGCTGTTTCACTTTCGATATACCCAAGGGCCAATGTCGGACCACCAACTACCAACTCGCCGATTGAGCCGATAGGGGCCAATCGCTGGATGTTTCCTTGTTCGACAACCCAAAACGACTTCAAATAGGGAGATCCTATATGGTAGGGATCAAATAGATATGGCGACGGTGCTTTGCATGCTGAGACGGGGACACAGGTCTCAACAGTCCCGTACGTTCTTATCAATTCTGTTTCCAGGCCCCATTTCTCGATCTCCTCTGCCGTGAACCCTTCACCCGCAAATGTAACAGTGCGAAGTTGCCAAAGATCCATGGGCTCTAGACTTCTGGACTCGGTAGGCGTGAAACATGCGTGGGTGACGTCTTTCTCATTGATCATCTCAGTGAAAAGTGCTGGACTTTCCATTTCTGAAACGATAATCACACATCCGCCGTGAAACAATGTCCCAAACACTTCGGAGATTCCCACTGTTGTATTGTATGGATTTGAATGCAGTACTCTTGAATCGTTGTCGTATCCCAATTCCTGACAATGGGCTAATATTCCAGTGTGCAAACCCGAATGCCCTTGCTTCACACCTTTGGGTGATCCTGTCACCCCGTCGGTATATTGGATGAACGCGACATCGTTCTTGCTCATGGATGGGCATTCTGATTGCTGATCGGGAATCTCAAGAGAAAGTAACAGATCCGGGCTCACAATTACAGTCTTCCCATTGAAGTCGGTGTATCTATTGCCATAGGCCGCTGAAACGCAGAGAAGCTGGGGATCTGTCTCTTTGACAACTTTGTCGAATTTTCTCTGTGAATTGATTCTATGGATTTGGAAGATGAGCAACGGGGCATAAAACATTCTCAATGCTTGAGCAGAGAACTTACCCAGGACTAATGGGAACACATGTAAGTCCCGCTTTCAAAATCGCAAGGAGTGCAATAATCCCGGTAGATGAGTTCTCAAAACAGAACAGGGCTGTGCAAGATTTCGACTCATGGACTTGCAAACGTGCAAGATATTTTCTCAGGCGAGTAGCAGCAAGATCTAGTTCGGCGTACGTCCAGTCTCCATCCCAGCTCGAGATGGCTTGAGCGCTTGGATTTTCCAATGCTTTTTCAGTGAAACCGTTATGGAGTGCTTGGGTTGTTGTTGGTCTTGAAGCCATGAATGCTGTCTCACACGACTTCGGCCTTTCCGAATTTCCGATAATATGGATTCAACCTTCAAATGGAATATCAACCAAGTTATAATGTGTGCTCAATACAAATTTTGCGTGCAGGTATACTTCAAATGTTGTAGAGCTCCAAAGTTGAGCTTACTTAGGCACCATCAAATCCACAGCTCCAGACTTGGAACCTTCAATGAATGTTGGAAGTATCGGGCCCGAAATCCTCTGAACCTATCCCGAACCCGAAACTTTCGGTCGACTATGATCCCGAAATGGGTCTCGGCTCCGGTCCTCCCCCGAGGTCCGAACTTCAATGGTAAATGACGATGAATGCATGGAGGATCTATATGTAGTACACTTGGAATTAATCTATACTCACCACTCAAAATCAGTACCTACTTATTCCTCAAGAAAAGTACCTACTGAATACCTGAGATAAATATTATCTCTAATGTTCATTTTGCTACTCAACTCCCAACTGGGGAAATCATCAAATTCATGTTTATGCCGAAAAAAAACAGCAAGCATCCATGTAGTAGAGGTGAATTTGGAATTAGGTGGCCTATTCAAATGTTTAATTTACGTTCATCATATTATCTATGTATATTGGACCTTGTCATGTAAAATCCTGGAATAAAGCCAACGACCTTATAGGGGCAGGATGGGAACGAAGGACTGTCATGTGAGATGGCACTTTGGGATAATTTTAAATTCACACAGCACTTCATCTTAGTAAGCCCATGGATAAACTTGCAATGGTTTTGAAGACATGTCATATTAGGCGATCGATGTGATCTCCTTCGGTCTCCTCGGCCCTGGGGACTCAACCCCCTTGCACGTGTAACATACAGAAACGGTTTTCAAATATGTAGACACATGGGACTGTTGGGGACCTTGAAGAGATTTCTCAAACCCACAAACCGGTTGAGGTTGCAGGTGTGCCGGAGAGCAATCTGACTGCATGAATGGTTCCATTGAAATCAGTTGAGAAGGGAAATTATGCGGCTTGGCGTTCTCGGTTTGAGTAGGTTACTGTAGGTATGTGATTGTGGGGTCCAGAACTGCAGGGGAATGTTATGTTTCCTCTGTAGATCCTATCCAGGGATCGGCTGTTTGTCGTGTTTGCATAATGAAGAGTACTAACCCGATTGGGGTTAATTGGGTGGCGTTCAGGGTTCGAATTTGGCCCCTTTTCCCTGCCCGTATCCCTATTCCGCACATTACCCTTCGATTTTAATTGAACGACAGTCAAATCTAAACCCTGACGATAACCCGTTTAGGCTGGAACTAACCGGACGCCCAACGGCCCTTCCGACCCGAACTGCGCTAATCAAGCCCCAAAGTGGAGATGGACCAACCAGATGGTGATCAGTTAGAGGATGGACGGCGCGTTCACGTGTAGAACTTCAAGAACAAGGCTTTGTCTCGAAGGATTGTGTACCGACAGTTTGGAAGTGACACATACTGCACTGTCATACCAATTTAATCAGCCGAAATGAGCCCATCCCTTGACTCGCGATACATGTTGAGAATGTCGGTGGAGTAGACTTAGACCCCAACTGCCCACAGGGGCCTGAACCATGCAGTCCCATCTTCAACATCACGATATAACCTTGGCCGACATAACTGAAATGGCGAGATATTGCCAATGCATCCCGTGATTGTCAAATTGAGGCATGCTGAGTCTTCATAAGGCCCCCGAGGCCTGGGTCACCTCATGCCACGTGAATGGCCAATTCACGTGTATGTTGACGCGCGACAGACCTACCCGTGGGCCGTAGTTGAGTAACACCCCGTATCATAAAGACCCTTTTCCGTGTCCCCCACTTTACACTAGCCAGTTGAGGCCTAGAGACAATATGTCAAGGTTTGCGAAGAAAATCCTTATGGTGTTAAACTACCTGGGCGGATACTAATTTCTGGTTTGCTTTGGTTAACGATACCAACCATGAATAAGAAGTGGAGAGGAGAAATAAAGCACCGAGGGATTTAGGGCGTAAAACCCTTGGAAGGAAGGTCACACAAACGTTTCAAGACATGCCATGTGCAATGCGATCATATCGAATGAATGTTTGCTATTGACTCGTGAGGATCGACCATGCGTTATTCGTTATGCGAGTCTCTCACCTGGGTTTTTTATTTTCGATACAGACCCTGCGCCAACCCCACGTTCGGCAACCCGCGACGATCATTAACAGATGCCCAGGGAGTTTGCAGAAATTCAGCCTCTAGTTGTGAAACAAAATGGCCCCAGAAAAGGTGAGACTTGGAAGTCTCGAATGAACAAAATTGTGGATGGTTACATTTCTTCATACCGCCAAGCCTTTCCTATGCACCAACAGGCCGCCACGATGATCATGCTCGCTACAAAAAAAGTACGTGTCACAAGTATCGGCCAATCCGGATCAAGGGGGCCTCTCAAAAATTCATCAAAAAGAAGGCAAATTGGCCATCATAGGTAAGAACGTGCCTTATGTCCAGGTGGCTTACCGGGGCCCCGGGGGGCCTTGGGGGCTTATGTACTTCTAGCCCTTGCTGATAGGAAGCTTATTGTTACAACTGCCTCATGGAATAATCCTTGTTTTATTTATCGAGAGTATAGACTACCTGCTGCTCGATAAGACACCGGGATACGTCTGGCCCGTCGCTTGCCAGGTCTCTATTTGCAAGCTGTGCTCACGGCTTCCCTCACTCAAAGTACTTTCCAAGCTGGCTTTGCTAGAACTTTCCTGTCCAATCCAATTGCTTCCAACCCGTCACACCTCTTTATCTTCCAACATCCCAAAGCGCACTAAAAGCAATGGACATGAACAATCATCGACAAAGTGCCTGTGATCGATGCCGAGGTCAAAAGCTTCGGTGCGTCGGGCTTGGAAACCCTATCCTCGACCGACACAACAGATACGTCCGAAACCAGACCCCCTGTGATCGTTGCAGAAAAGCCCAGGTCGAATGCTACAGCACCCGGCCGATCTCCAGGAAGAGAGCTGCCTCCAATTCCCTCTCCTCGGATTCAACTACCGGTCACAACCCCTCCAATTACCCTAGACCATTCGCCGGGCTCCACTCACCACAATCACCGCTTACCCATCTCGACGTTTCATCGTGGAGCGAAGATGGCGATCTTGATATACCCCGCATGGTTTCTTATACAGGGGTCTCTCCCCTTGATAGCTTGCATGCCAATGCAATCCCAGACCCTGCAGGCCATAGTGATTCCTCACAGAATCCATTTGACTTCGCAATTGAAGACTTTTTGTCGGAGGAGCCTAATCTATCAGAGACTTCGGGAGTGATTTCTGATGAGACGTCATATTCTGCTCCCTCGAAGAAGGTACCCAGCTCAGTCCTGGGTTCTGCTTGGCTGAAGAAGTTGGCCGAACTAAATGACACATTGTTGCACAACCGAACGAATCGTCATGAAACGGGGCGCAATAATCAAGCAAAGCACTATACGTCCTCCACTCGAAGTGGTTCATCTGTATCACTCTCGATCGGCAAGACTCTGCGACATTGCCAGCACTTTCTGGCTATACTACAAAACATCCAAAGATGTGCAACCCCGCATACTAGCAACAACCCATGTCAAGCCAGTGGATCGGAATGTGGACTTGATTTTCCGTTGTCGGGACTCAGTTCGGAGCCTGCATACCGTGACAGTCGTTCCTTTGAATTGTTGGATCCCCCTTTGCTTTTCTCGATCCTTGCGTGCTACGCACACATAACAGAGGAATATGAGCACCTGTTCTCCTCGATCCTGGAATCAGTGACTCGGCAAAATCCCGAAATCCCGGCAACTTTGATTGGTACCAGCCTAGATGGTTTCAAACTGGATGGAAACAATATCTTGCAACTGGAATTTCTTCTCTATGTTAGTTCAAACCTTCTGGGAAAGATTGAAAAAATACTCATTGGATCATCGGAGGGAATGGATGGCGTCTCGAGAAACGAAGGCCTCTTGAGCGGGAAAATGGCGGAATACCTAGAATCACTGTATAACCATGATACCAATTATGAAACAGGACAGACTACTGGAGAGAGGGAGGCAAGGGCGAGAGTCAGAGTTCTCATACGAGAGATCCAAAAAGTACTGAAGACATTGGAATCCTGATAGGTACTAGCAGATACATAGTACCCGCTGGGCGATGCTTTCACCTGTCCGCTTAACAATACATACACACATGCCCATGATGCAAAATTTGAACGAAAATATGATAACAACACACATGAAATATTAATTGAACTTCAGAGCTTACTTGTAGATGGTATACGTGGAAATTTCCAAGCCTCGCGTAGTGCAGTCAAATTGGCATCATGATCGGAGCCAGATGGTACACCCCGACCTCTTAGGATAATACCAGTGACCTTGTCTCCGATTACCGGTAAGAACTTGAAAGCATGGTCCGAACCTCCCGATGCCACGAAAAGCGTCCCTTGCGAACTAGGGTGGTAATCAACAATGAAGTCTGTCGATGGGGTATCAGTGTACCAGCACCGACGAATCTTCGCGAACGGCCGACGAGCGATAGTCTCGGGGCGTTCTACCTCGGTAATGCTGGGAGGTTCGAAAAGCTCATTCAAGAACTCTCTGTAGTCTGCCAGGGTCTGCTGCTCCCGCTGATCAAGTTTCTCGGTCGGCTCAATGTCCCCTCCCCAGCCAAATTGCGATTTTTTCCATTGCTCACGAGCCGGGAGGCGGCTTGCTCGAGGTCCAATGGTCACCCCTGCGCATTGTCTGACATCAATAAGCCCGCTGTGTGAGAACTTTCCTAGTTTCAGGAAGCCCTCGCGATCTGGGGCGATCGCAAACACACAGCGATCTGCATTAACGATGATAGGAAGTTTTAATTGTTCGAAATGAGCACATTCTTCTGGTGACAGCCGAATGTAGGCTACTATCTCGCTATACACATCGCAGAGTTTGTCCATTCCAAGAATTCGAGGAGTGTGGCTACCTGCAGCGATGACAGTAAGGTCTGCAAACAGTTCGTGCTCATCATCCAATCGGACACCTCTAACCACGTAGCTTTGTTCGGCATAAACGAGAGACTGAACAAATCCAGTGCGGAAGTGGACGCGACCAGTCCGGAGAACCATTTGGCGCAGCCAGGCTATGCTTGCTCCGCTATCGGCCCATCCAGCATCCAGCGAGACATAACCCCGCAGATCCTTTTCGACAGCCAGGGAAGGCGTGGTCGACAGTCCTAGCTCTGAACGAATATCACGCAGCGAGTCAAGAACTTTAAGGCCATCCTTGCCCCCCTCAGAGAGCCGACAGCTGAGGTCATACGCGTTTTTCACATAATTGACAGTCTCGCCAGTTCGCTTCGGGCTTTTCAAAGAACTGCCCTGTGCAGAAAGCAGAAGTCTTCGCTCTGTGTAGCGGCCATTCGCGCCCCACACTCCTCGCCATTGCTTGTGAGCTTCCTTTGCAAGAACTGCATAAGGTCCGTGGGGATATTCGCTCCTAATGATGCGGGATGTGTCGTGGTTGGCCGCGCCTGGGTTGCTGACCGAAATGCCCGGGCTGGTGGAAGACTCAAAATTCCATGAATCGACCAATGTGATTTTTGTCTGGGAGAAAGCTGGATCTCTGGCCATGGAATATGCTGTGGATACTACCAAGAAAGACAAAATGAGCTCGTTATGCATAATAGTTATTCGAATGAGGTCACTCACAACCAAAGACACCTGATCCCACAATGATGATAGACTGAGGGCACGCCATCTCGCGAAGATTTAGCAAAATGACGATGGGGTGGGTTGAGTTGGAAAATTGGGAAATATAACTGCACAAATTAGGTGAAGAGACGTATCTTCATTTCATTGGAAGGCTAAAGGTCAGCCAACTCTGCGGCAAGCTCATCTCGCCTTATTCTTTTCTGAGTGCCGTCTGATGATTTCGGAGTCGGTATCGGCACAAGAGACCGAAGATCGCGGACGCGCGGAATTTTGGGGCCTTTAATTCGGCCTTCGGGGGGCCTGTGAATTTGTCTCCCGCTTGTGTCCTATGTTGTCTTCAACCGAAATCTGCGAACCTTATGTAGCTCGAGACTCTCAAATTCACTGTTAGATCATTCAATTGAAGTAAAAGTTCAGCTCGAGAAATTCCAATACCAAACTCCGAATACTTCACAGTTTGCCTTTTTTTCTTACATCAAATTATGGCTCCGTCGGCTTCTTTTCTTGTGCAGTCACAACCCTCGTGGCTCGAGGCTGAGACCCATCGTCCACGACTTGATTCGTTTCCTCCAGCCACTCAAATTCACCTTCATGATATTCGCCGACATACAGATGATGAAGGGTTAGTGACTCAAATTGCAACTGGCCTCAAGTCTGAGGAGAAGTCACTGCCGTCTCTACTTCTGTGGAATAAACGTGGCTTGGAGCTTTTCGATGCTATCCTGGACTCTGGAAAATACTATCCAGCAGTAAAAGAGCCAGAGTTGCTCTCCACATGTATGCCTAAGATTGCACATAGCATTCCTTCGGGTGGAAGAGTCATCGAGCTTGGTGCTGGGTAAGTTTAGCTTCATTAGACCAACGGACAAAGACCGATCTGAATCATATTAATAACAAACAAACTCACAGAAACATGAGAAAAACTGCATTCCTTCTCCGGAACCTGGAAATGCAACACAAGCACGTGGAATATTTTGCGTTGGACGTTAGTCATTCCTCTCTCCGGTCCAGTATTCGGGAACTGTTAGAGCTATTTCCCTGGAACCCGATGACCAAGATCCAAGGTCTACTGGGGACATACGAGGATTGTATTTCTTGGCTCCATAGCCAAGGTGACCAGAAGAGCCCAGTAACGCTCTTGTGGCTTGGTAACAGTATTGCCAACTTTACATCTAGCGAAGCATCGGATCTCATTGCACGCTTTTTCACTGCTGGTCAAGCATCCTCCGTTCCTGTCCAGATGATTGCGGGTATAGACGGTTGTCAAAGTGAGGATGAGATTGTTGAATCCTACGAGAGCGAAAAGTCAAGCGATTTCGTTCTTAATGGATTGGAATATGCAAATAGCCTTCTAGGCACGGAAACATTCTTGGCCGAAGATTGGGGGTTTTGTGGTGAGTGGAACATGAAGAAGTCGATGCATGAAAGCTTCTACGTTGCTCAACGCAAAATCTATCTCGAGATTGAGGAAGAGCAATTCCAATTTAGACCCGGGGAGCGAGTTCGTGCCATCCAAAGCGGAAAGTGGCCCCAGGACAAAGTATCGGATATCTGTGCTGCAGCAAAAACATCGATTGTCAACACTTGGAGTAACCAGGATGGATCTTACGGTAAGTTCAACCTACTCGTAACTCCTTTTCACTCCAGGTAACCTCTTGGCTGACTTTTATCCACGTTTTAGGGGTGTACTTAATAAAGAACGCGTTTAATTAATGGTGATAGTGTTTATAGTCCGCTGAAATTATACTTGGAAATTGGAACTGATTGATCAAGTTCGTTTTTGAATACGGTATTTTTGGTGTTTCATCACGTCAACGTGTTTCGTGTTTTGCGTTTGCACAAAGGCGCGCGCTGCCTCTCTGGGACGAAGACTCGACAAATCTTTACTAGTAGGTAGTAGTCCTTTCAATTTTCCTACAAGCTTGCAAACAAAGTCGGCACCATTTTGTCGCACTTGAAGAAATTGTGCCTAAATGCCACGTATTTTTGTTCGCGTGAAAACTCAAGTCACAGTTAGATAGCAAGGCGTGTATATTCAGCCTGATACAGTTGTACAATTAAATGTTAGTAGTATTCAAACAGGTTGTGGTAATCGTAATACTAAAATCACATTTTCTCATTTCCTAACTCAATATGAAGAGAATTAAGAAAACCACCGAGATAAGAAAAACTGGGCAGGTCATAATCTAGCTGACCCGCTGGCCACGGCAGAGTCTCTCATATAAAGATCCGCAAAAAACATCGTAATCTGGCTTGTCTGTTCCATAGTACAAATGAGACTTGTGTAGCCATCCGGGCGCATCACAACCACATAGCCACCGTTTTGATCAATACCACAGCGCTTATAAGCCTGTCCATGGCCATCGTGATAGCTCTCATCGTCGGCGTAGATTCTGGAGTAGTCCCACCCATCAGCATCATTCCATGGGTGAAAAACCTCTGGTAACTCCATCAGTTCAATGGTAGCTCGCTTGCTGGAATGAACAGTGATCGCCTCCATGCCCGGATTGAGACGCAGAAAATCTGCCAACCACTGGCCAAATTGCAGAAGTCTATGGTATAAAGGTTCTTCGGAGATATCTCCTGCGAAAATCAAAAGACGGAATTGCCCGTTCATGGTGAGTCGGCGATAGAGAGTTGTTGGCACGCCGTCTGCCTGGTTAACCATCTGAAAATCAGGTAGTCGCATTCCGGGTGCGAGTATTCCCGTAGGTTTGTCAGTCTTATTTTCTGGTGGGCATGATTGCACAATCAAAGACGGTGAATATTGGATCCCAATTCCGGTGGTGAATCTCATGGCGGTTTTGTATGCCATCAAAAACTCATCAAACTTCAAGCTCGGGTTGGCAAATAATTCAAGGTATTCACGATCGAAATTGATCAGCTGCTGGGCGATTGGCCTTCTTTCCTGCTCGTAGGTTGCGAGAAGTGATCTCGAGCAATTCTTTTCGAGGTAGAATCGTAATTTCCAACCAATATTATAAGCTTGAAAAATCGGTCAGCGTCGTCAGTAGCACATTGCAAAAGAATAACGTACCATCTTGGATGCTAGTGTTCATCCCTTGCCCTGCTTTTGGTGAATGTGTGTCTAGCGACGAACAGAAATTATTAGCAGTTTTTTTGGAAGTAAAACGATTTTGTTCAGAACTTACGGACTGCATCACCGGCAAGGAACACCCGATCGTCCCTGGAGAAATTGTCTGCGACGCGCTGGCCAACCTTATATGCTGACCACCACGCCACCTCCCCCACCTCAAACGTATACGGACTCAAAATAGAACGCGCAGCATTGACCACGTGGACAACGGTCAGAGTCTTTTGGGACAAGGCAGTCGGGACGTCAAGATCAGTTCCATCCATCGCGATATAAAATCGTACCAACTTCCTTTCGCGAGGAACTGCCATAACCGTGCCTTGCGCCGAATGGACGACGCACACCTTACGAATATCGGGGAAGTTTGTCTTTGGCACGGCATCCATCACACCTAACAATATAGCTTGGTTAGTTTTGATCAGTCTAGAAGAATTTTCCATCTGTGACTAACCCCATGTCGAATCCGTTAGGTCACCCCTCAAAGGAATATCCAGGTGCTTTCTAGTCCAACTGCGTGCTCCATCACAGGCAATCACATATCGGGCCTGGATGAGTTGCATTTCAGAGCTTCCACCGCGCTCAACTTTCGTCGTTACAGTGATGGGATATGCAAGGAGATCCCCGACCAATCGTTGGTTAATTTGCAAATCAACAGGCTGTGTCCGCCAGGAAACCTCAACACTTCCGTGTCGCTCAAGGTTTGAAACCAAGTGGTGCTCAATTCGGCCTGCAATACAAATCAGTATCATTATAGAGATCCGAGATCATTTTTTGAAAAGAAAATCTCTAACCTTGATCCAGGGTCATTTCTCTCGGCTTTCCCAGCTCTGGAACTCGATCTGCAATGGTCATGGACCGCTCAACTCCTCCCTGCCCATCAGCTTCCCACAAAACAACTTCTTCAACGCGATGAGACTCGATTCGGACGATATCGCCGATCCCAAACGTATCGAGAACTTCAAGAGATATGCTTTTTAATCCATCTGCTTTGCCGGTCTCCACTGTTCCTGACTTCTTGTCAATCACCCGCACTCGTAAGCCACTGCCGTTGAAGCAATTGGCGGCCGTCAGTCTAGGCGAAAATCAGATTTCCGGTTGCACAAAATAAAGCTACTACTATGGAGGCTTGTGTGTTTACCTACCCTGCCGGACCGGCCCCAATAATAAGAATATCGACCTTGTCAACCACGCTCATGACGATTGATCACTGAGATGAATAGAATCGCTGTGAAAATGGGATTACTCCCTCTACTTCGATGTCTTCGAGTTGCTCTTTTAGATACATTTGAAGCTGTCCGAGCACGCACTGACCAGTTTATGTGAGCAACCCGATCTCCGAATGACTCGGGGTCCCGACATATTTGACCCCGAATGCGGACCGAACTCTTTCCGACAACCCCAGCATAAGCACCAACCGCCCCCAACCCTCCCTTGATAGCCATCAAAACGAGGGCAGCTAACAATATGAAATAGGAGCAATATTCTACCGCAATTTTTGACTATCATTTCTTCAATCAATCAAACACTAGCTGTCGTTCGCGATAATGACTACCGAAAATATCAAATTAGGCGAGAGCCAAGCAGTCACCCAAGGATTGAAACAGATAGATTACGACCAGATTTGGGAATGGAACAAAATTGTCCCAGCTGCTATCTGCACCCCGGTTCAAGACTTCATCCAAATCAACGTCGAGGCCCATCCCAATGCCCCGGCTGTGTGTTCGTGGGACGGCAACCTAACTTACGCGGAGCTGGATGATTTCTCTTCGCGTTTAGCAAATGTGTTAAAAGATCGAGGTGTTTGTTCTGAAGTCATTGTGCCGTTATGTTTTGAGAAGTCAGCCTGGACGATCGTGGCTATGCTCGCTACTATCAAAGCCGGCGGCGCATTCGTACTCCTCGATGCGAAACAACCTGAATCTCGTCTTCGAGATATTATTTCCCTTACAAAGGCCAGCTTCATGATTTCTTCGCCGCAACAGCAGGCTTTAGCATCCAAGCTCTTGCCCGACGTCATTACTGTCTCTCATAACATTCTTTTGGCGATGCCAATGAGCGCAAGAGGCACTTCGGAGATCGATCCCGAGTCCACCCTCTTTGTGGTCTTTACATCTGGAAGTACAGGCCTGCCGAAGGGCGTCATGAGCTCTCATAGAAGCTTTGTGTCAGGAGTCCACTATCGAAAATCAATTCTGGAAGTGCCATCTCCACGGGTCTTCGATTTTGCTTCCTATAGTTTTGATGTCAGCACTGATATCATTCTATCCACACTGATGATCGGTGGGTGTATCTGCGTGCCGAGTGAGTTGGAGCGACAAAATGATGTGGCCGGGGCGATCAACCGTCTTGAAGTCAACTCAGCGGATCTGACTCCGTCCGTGGCACGCCTGATCGACCCCGACACGGTGCCTGGGCTCAAGATTCTTAAGCTCGGTGGCGAGCTGAGCAGTGTTTCCGACGTCGCTCGATGGGCCCCAAAGCTAAAGTTGGTCAACGTATACGGGCCCTCCGAGTGTCTGCTTATCGCCATCAATGTTTTGACTGAGGGAAGTGACCCGCGTACCATTGGAAAGGGTCATGGCGCGGTCACCTGGATTGTTGACCCCGAAGATCACGATAAGCTTGTTCCCATCGGAGCGACAGGAGAGCTCGTTGTTGAGGGCCCTATCGTGACAAAAGGATATCTTCATGATCTGGAAAGGACAGCCAAAGTTTTTATCGAAGCCCCAGAGTGGTTACAAAAGGGCCAGGATAACGACCGAAGATCCGGGCTGCTATACAAAACTGGCGACCTCGTGCATTACAATCCGGATGGAACTCTCAACTTCGTCGGTCGCAAAGACACCCAAGTCAAAGTCCGCGGACAAAGAGTTGAGCTCAGTGAAGTTGAGCATCACATTCAACAACAAGTTCTTGCACATACAGGGAAACTTGTGAATCCCGTCGTTGACCTGATAACAGTGGGCGAAGCTCCAGGTCGTCCGACTCTTGTAGGATTCCTTGATTTGAGTCAAGTTGAGCTTGTGGAGCCAGAACATGAACAGCAACTCCGACAAGCAATGTGGGACCTGACTCAGGATCTCAACAAATCTCTTCTCAAGACTTTGCCCCAATACATGATCCCTTCGGTATATATTCCGATCTGGAAATTTCCTCTAAACGCATCTGGCAAAACCGATCGACGAAAATTGAAAGAAACCGGATCGTCATATTCACGTCAAGAATTAGCGGCGCTTCGATCACCTCCTTCATTTGTGGCAAAGGGGGCTGCGACGGACAAAGTCCGGTCACCTCCACGCACTATCACAGAACAGAGAATTCAAAGAATGTGGTCAGCTATTTTGAATCTCCAACCATCTGAAATTACCCGAGAAGACCACTTCTTCAAATTAGGTGGGGACTCGCTCAATGCTATCCAGCTTGCAACTTTGGCGACCAGTAAGCAGCTTAGTCTTACAGTCGAGGCCATATTAACGAACCCAGTCTTGAGTCGCATGGCGATTGTTGCTAAGCCGCTTTAAGGCTGACTGAGATTGATGTCCTGGACTACTCTATACGTTCAAATTATATCGCTATTTTTTCTTGTCTGTTTTTTGAGCTTTTCCGATATCCTCATGACTGGTGGGGGTAAGCATTTTGGATACATATGGGCTAGTGAAAATTCTCAATTGAACTGAATAACTATCAAAGTCGCGAGAAAGATTGGGCAATAGTCAAATTAGAAGCTTCATCACACTCGTGACATCGTTCAGTACCAACATTTTTCTACGATCCAAAAATCCAGTCATTGTTTTCTTTCTGCGGTTGGCTGGGTTGCTGTTGGCTGGGTTGCTGCTTTGCTTCGGGGTGTTGTCCAGATTGAAACCCCCAACCCCAATGGCGGCGGTGCTTCATTGGATGGTCAGCAGCATCTATAAGATGTTGTCAGTGTATATCGGACTCGCACAACTCAAGCCAAAAAAGGTAATATCGTACTGGTTGCCGTTCCAGCAACAGGATCTTGAGGGTGGGAGTCGGGCTGCACAGATTCTGTCTTTTGGGTGATTGGCTCTTGCTGGGGAGGCTTTGCAGCATTGGGAGACGCGGTTTCATCCATTGAGGCGTTCGAGCCGGTCGAGTCTTGACGCTGGCGGTTGTGGAACGCGTCGGATGCCCTGCGAAGGAAGTCTGACATTGTGGAATTCCAAATTTCTCGAGTTAATTCAAATGTTGGTTTTGGTAGGTTCGTGAATAAAGCTTTCGCGATATGTTTTGGGAGAACTCATTTATGGCTCACAATAGCACTATATATAGAGTTGGCCGCCAATTTGAAGAATCATGATATCATGTGGCAAGAAAGGTAGCGAGTCCTCGTGATCATTCACAATCTCGTATTCTCACGGCAGATAGACAAGGTAGGAACGCTTAAAGACCTATCATAAACACAAGGGACAGGGTCCTGGGAATTCGAACCTTGGAACCCAAGAGGGCACGGATTTGAATGTTAACGTTGACCACACTTCTGCCTCATCCCTGCGCGCAATCAATTGGCTAAGGTTAATGTGCTCGCTTGAGTACCAGCCCTTTATAGCAAAGTATCGAAGGCTTCAAAGTTACAAAATAATTATTGATGAGCTTTTTACCTCATACTAATTCGCTAAATTTATCCAAGAATCCACTTGAATCTACCCCGTAATATCCAGAGTTCAGCTTCTAGACCTGTATCGATTATTAGTAATGGAGTAATGGAATGGTCACCTTTAGAGACATGAATTTTTGCAGCCCCATGCAACGTAAATACTAACTTCCACCTTTGACTTCTTTTCCTTTGCCAAGAATGCAAGCCAATACATCCCTTGAATCCTTTCATTTTGACCGAATTTTCGTACTTTTGTCTTCGCAGGGTTGCACTGGCTTGTCACCGCCGGACCACTTCGGACCCCCGGATTCGGTGTGCCCGATTGCCATAGATAAGGCAGCTCTGGCGCCGAAAGCCCATCTTCTTCCCTCTCCCCGATTCACCATACTCCAAAGCTCCTCTCCACAATGGCAACTAAACAGGCGACATTCAAAACCTCGGGCACGATGCCTGATGTGAACGGCTCTGCGAATACAACCGCAGAGCCTCATCTACAATCACGGTTGGTGATGGCTTCTCAAGTTGAAGAAAAGAACGGCAATGCTGATAACGGGGCTCTTCTTTCTTTCTCCAAAATAGATCAGGGCACAAGTCTTGATTCTAAATTGGAAGATCATACCTCGCTCCAGTCTACTCGCAGTGTCCCGCCTCCCTCGGACGACGATAACGACGACGGTCGCATAGCCACCGAAGACGAAGTGCGCGATCTACTCCACGTTGTTGACAATGTTCCCGGTCGCGTTTGGGCAGCCTGTATCGCGGGCATCCTGGAACGCTTTGTTTGGTACGGAGCGACTGCTCCGCTGCGTGCGTACTTCACTCTATACCATCCCTGCAAAAATAACGTCTCCTCGCTGACGAGTTTACAGAGAATTACCTACAAAATGCTGCCGGCGGAGAAGTCCCTGGAGCCCTTGGACTAGGCGAGGCTACGGCTACAAACATCGTCAATGCCTTGTTCATTCTCTCGTACATCGCCCCCGTACCTGCTGCCGTTGTTGCCGATAGCTGGCTGGGTCGCCATAAGACAATGATTTACGCTGCTATGTATAACATCCCTTGATACTTCGCGATCTCTTCCCCATCGATGTTCAAACGCTTACCCTGTCATAGTATCGAGGCTGTCGGAGCCACTATCCTCTTCGCAACTTCACTGCCTGTCGCCATCCGAGAAGGGGCTGCCTTGGGCGGGGTAATCGCTGCCTGCATTCTCATGTCTCTCGGATCTGGTTCATTTAATGCTACTGTCGTGCCTTTCATTGGTGGGTTTTTTTCTTTCGTCAACACGTACAAGCCGCGAAGATGAAACTGATTTCAAGCAGCCGACCAATACGACGAGGAAGAATTCCGCATTAGAACTAAGAAGGGAAAGAAAGTTGTCGCTGACCGGGAGTTGACCATTACATACATCTACAACGTGTACTATTGGTGAGTACCAGCTTTCTGTTCGTCATCTAGAAATATATCATTACTAATGAGAAATATAGGACGATCAATATCATTGGTTTCTTGGCCGATTCTACACCGTTGTTAGAGCGGTACGTTGGCTTCTGGGTTGCGTACTTGGTTCCGTGCTGCGCTATGTGGCTAGCTCTTCTTCCGGTCATCTTTGGACGGAACTACTTTAGTGAGTCGGCAAAAACTCAGCTGTGAAGATGGCTTGCTTGCTAACTTAAGAATTCTCTAGTTCGAGTTGTGCCCACAACAAATATAATGCCCCAGGTATGCACCGCGCTGCGTCTCGGAATCACAGGAGGCTTCAAGATGGATGCTGCAAAGCCGGACGCTCAGCTTCAGAAACATGGTCGTCAAGTTCCTTGGACAGATTCGTTCATCGAGGACATCAAACTGAGTCTACTCACCACCCGAGTATTGTAAGTTCGTAAATGCTGTATTCTGTAATCAATGCTAACGTTACCCAAGGATTCTCTTCCCCATCCACTGGCTCTGCTATAACCAGACTTTCAACAACTTGATCTCTCAGGCTGGGCAGATGCAAACATACGGTATCCCGAACGACATGATGAAGATCGCAGGTGCTATCTCCGGAATAATCGTTGCTCCCATAATCCAGAAGGGCCTCTATCCTTTCCTCACAAAGCGCAGAGTCTCCTTCGGACCAATCGCACGCATGACAGTTGGATTTCTGGTTTTGGCATTCGCAATGGCCTATACCACTGGTATTCAGAAGCTTATCTACCAGACAGGCCCATGTTATGATCACCCCCTAGCATGTGCTGCGGCGAAGGATCGTACGATTCCAAACCGCGTCTCGGTATTCCTCCAGATTCCCATTTACTTTGGTGGTTCATTGGCCGAGGTCTTCTGCTTTACCACGGGAACTGAATATGCCTACAACAAGGCTCCGAAGAGCATGAAGACATTGGTTCAGGCTGTCTGGCTTGGCATGGGTGGAATTGGAGCTTGTCTTGCTCTTGCCTTCACTCCCCTTTCTCAAGACCCCCACTTGGTCACAATGTACGCAATCTTGACTGGAATCCTGGGTGGCGCGGGTGTATTGCTATGGGTGATCTTTCGACGCCTGGATATGGTGAAAGTTAAGGAAGAAAACGAATAGAGCGCCTGTGCAGAATTTGTGCCTGGCGATAGGAAGCTTCTAAGCAAGGTGGGATGATTTCATAAGAACCAGCTTGCGATGGAGAAACTCAAAAAGATTTCTGGAGAGGAGGATATGGTACCCAGATTGACGATGATAGTTTGATATGAATTATAAGAAAAATATCGAGTAGTCGAATTGGAACTCCACACCCATACTTGACCTTGGAATTTTGGTCGTAAATTATTGTAGGTCTCGAGATTCAATAGACAGCCTGGACGCTTCAAGCTCAGAAGGTGAAATTTCCACTGTGTGGTGATTATTGGTTGCGAATCTCATTCCAAACTTGACTCTTTTTTTTTTTTTTTTTTTTTTTTTTACATACTAGTGTGGCTGATAAAATCCATTTTCAAAATAATCAAAATATATTTTTATCGATTAAGATAATTACCATAGCTATTGCGATATTAAATAAAAATGGAGTAAAAGTTGCTTCGCATCCAACAAAATCCGGAGAACTGTTGTTGTGATGTCTCCCCCAATTCAAACCACGAACACAAAAATTGGCATCACCTAATTATGTTCAGCATGGAAAGTACAGAAATCTGGACAGAAGTGCAAATTAGGAGAACACTAAATTATGATCGAAAAAAAACTGAAATATAAAATGGCTTTCAACACACGGTGATGAACAAGCCGATGCTGGTTATAAATTAGCAAAGAGCGCAAAAAAGGCTTCCAATGCATGGGCAATATGACTTACGGAGAAGGGTTAGAGTCCTCAAAGAACTCCAGCTCAGTACTGCCAGCATTCTTCATCTCAAAGGCAACAGTTTGGCCAGCAGGACAGGAAAAGGTCGAAATGACGAACGAGTTTCCAGGTGAAACAGTGATATCACCTAGGTCCTTGGACACAGACGGGGCATTATTAAAGGTGGTAGAGGCGGTAGCTGGGCTGGAGAGTTCAGAAACATCGATCTTGCCATCTCCGCTGAACGTAAACGACGATGTCTGAAGATCAGCCTGCTTGGGGAACAGGAAGACCAGGCTGCAAGTCTTTCCAGAGTCGGCCTGGGGAATATCAAAGTTGAAGATGGTCGACACGGTCGAGGAGACCTCGCCATTGAACTTGGTGCCTTCGGCGGTGTTCGGGGAGCTTGAGTCAATGGGGACAATCAGGTGCGGGAATTCGAAGCTACCCGCTGTCAGGGTATCGGGGCAGCTGCTGCTTGACGAGGAGGTCGAGCTGGAGGTAGAAGTAGAAGTGAAGCACGAGCTGGCTTTCAATTCGACATTGGAGCAAGTTCCCAGAGGAATGGGCTCGGCCGTGTGAATGTTTTCGCCGCCGTTGTCGCCAGTTTCACATGCAATGAAGACGGGGCTTCCGTTGAATTCCAGCAGGCCGGAAGAGCTGATGGAGAATCCGGGGGTGGGAGTGGCGCCCACGTCGCATTGGAACTGGGTGGTTGGTGCTTGGATTTGTATCAGTCTGTATTCTTTTCCAATTTCATGTAAAGTTGCACATACGGGTAAGGATGCAGCCACGGCCGCTGCCATCCGTGATGGAGCCATCAGAACTGATACAGAACTCAGCAGCAGCGAGACTGCTGTCGCCAATTCGGTTTTGACCGTCGCTCAGTTGACCCACTGGGGAGCCGTTGGGGCCCGTGAGTTGAAAGCAACAGCTATCAGTGCGCCCGACGAGGGCATCGACGCCAGCTGCCAAAGCTGCAAAGGTGATGAAAGCTTTCATTTTCTTGGTAAGAGTATGACTCGGGGAGCTATTGTGGGGACAGGAGATGTCTCAGATGAGAAGTAGATTAAGAACAAGCCGAGGAGAGACTGTTGGAAGAAAGAAAATCTTCTCAGTACTAGTAGATATGGACCGTATTTATAATGAAGAAGTGCCCAGTTCAGTACCAAAACTAGACAGAAATAATTACGAGACTACTCGGCGAGTTCAAGTTGTTTACTACACGCAGGAATATAGTAGACGTCATCCTGAATTTTGGCCCATATGTTTTTCTATGCCTGGAACAGGACTATTCAGAATCAGGATGATTGATCTCCTGGCTGCATTAACTAAACAGAGGTATTAGCTAGTAAGTAACCTGTGGGACGGCATTTAGTTCCACGGCTCATGCTCTGAATGCACCCCCCAAGCACCTGGCATGAGGCTGTGGCTGACTAGATCGCAGGGGAAGAGACCTCGGGAGGAGGGGGAAATACGAGTGCTCCAAGACATACCATGCGTTCAACCCGACGATTAATAGCTGGTTTAGAGTTAAAACTTGGAAGTTTGGAATAAAATGGACGCTTGTTGAGTGAACACTTATTCTATTCTATCTAGCTTCAACCCGACTGGTGATGATGTGACCGAGTTGGTCGAGATTGGCGAGGTTCCAAGGTAGCTTGTGGACATTGGATAGCAAACAATGAAGATGCGATCAAGGAAGAGGAGCAAAACAAAGCCTATCTGAGAGAAATATTGGGGGCAGTTCTAAACAAATCTCCTGGTAGGTATAGAGTGGACCGTGGAAGCACCAGCCGACCTAGGCCAAACGAGGCATAACGGGTTGGGAGGTTCTCACAAGGGCAATTTAAATGATCATTCAACGAATGTCGTTCGTGGTTGACCAACCAAAGTCAATTCGGTCGCTATTTTTGGATTTTTTGGCCACTTGGTATGAACCTGCTTTTTGGGGTACCAAGTTCCAACATTGAACGGCTTTACCCTCAACCAGTCTCCAACTTGTATATTATACCATGACAAATAATCGTGCCGCCAAAATGTGCAAATAATACGGTATATATTACCGTATTTCGGTTTTACTTGGCGGGCTTCACATCCTAGATTTCTAGATCATGTTACATGTAGATGTCTGGGTCCGAAACCGATGACAAGATACTACTCACCATGAACCATCACCGAGAAATCTGGGTACGATCTTTTCGAAGTCATGACGAACACGTTTCGTTGGGAATAAACATATTCACCCCTTCAGAAACCTTGGCGAGTCAAACATTCATTCAGGCTTCTGTTGGAGACATGTCGTGTAAATAATTGAAGAGAGGACAAAAAAGACAAAAAGAGAAGTGGAGGAAGGCGCGGGGGTGCGGCAACCTCCGACAGAACCTTCGAACTATACTTGTCATCGCCTGGGCATCACAGAGATCTCAAGTAGCCTGAGGATCCATAGATCACCTTCCAGTTCGGTCCGACCGTCCACTCAGCTGGGGAGTATACTAGTAGTGGAGCGGCGAGCCGAGTTTCTGGCCCCGCGGCTTAGGTGCCGGAGGCCAACTACCCGCTGAATTTGGCGGTAACATTCGCTTGCCGCCCGGGTGTTCCCCCCATGATGCCACCCCACCGCGACATCATAGCTCTCCCTTCTTTTCACTCCTAAATGTCCAAGTTTTCCCCCACTGATCTTTTATTTATTTTTTATTCAGGACAAGTGAACAATTCTGATCAGGTTGATTACTCCTTCAGTCTTGGAAGCCCTTTGGTCCTGACACAGCTATCGCCACACCTACAGTAGTGCTTTTCAATCCAAATAATTCCCAAATAGACACAGGATTGGCATTTCGATGAAATTTCGACCGCATTATACATATTATTAATGTAGTAGCCAACATTGAATGCTCACTTCCACCAGGCTGGGCGGGATTGAGTTTGCCAATTGTGAGCATCGCATTCCAAAGCTGATTCAATGTTGGTTATATGCAAAAGCGTTTCAAATTGTAACATGGTTCTAATCGAAGATAAGTTACAGAAAAACACAGTTCAAAAGAGCCACGGGGGGTAAAAGACAGGAAACATTGGAGGAAAATAAAACAGAGTGAAATATATGGAATAGGAAAATGGAAGCAGAATGCAGAGCGGGACATCAAAGAAAAGAAAATAATGAAGGGAATATCTTCGACCTTCATATATATGTGCATGCAACCTCGCTGCATGGTAGCGAGAGCTGGAGAAACCAATAGCACAGTCGGTGACGTTCCAAAATCGCATATTACAACTAGGATTTTAACTGAATTGCTGCGTCGCGAATCGTTTCAAGGATGCCATGAATATCTTCCTCATCCCCTTCAACATGATATGCCTCGCCGCCAGGCTTTGCGTTAAAATCATGCATTCTATCGTTCTTATGTTCAATCACGTAGAATCGAACAAACCTTCCAATAGCCACTGCACCATAAAGAGGGCCAAGGGTGCCCGGCTCATTTATGAATGTGGCCTGTAGATAACCCTCGAGTTGATCCAGAGCTTCTTTCCATCGAGCAGTGCGGCCCTCGTATGCGCACTTGCTCTCATAAACCAGAAAGCGCTGGACAGTAATTTCGGTGTGCAGTTCACGTGTAGAGTCTGGTCGTGTTTGTGTGATGACGTCAAAATTATAATTTCGGGTGAAATATTTGTTCAGAACATTCACCCAGAAGCGATCAACAGCCGTTTCCCACGAGTTGATCGGCACGATATGTATGTGAGCAAAGTGGGCCTTTACTATCTCACAGCTCATATACTAATCATAACACAGATTCCAAATCATTTCAGATGTCAGAGGTTGAAGGCGTCAATCAATGTATCACTTACATATTCTTGGGACATCATGCATATAATTAATATCAATCAATTGATTGATCTCAACTGATTAAATTCAAATGGTTCGGTGTCAATTGGTTCTAGATTCTTATTTTGATGGTCGTAATTCAATGTTGAAACACTTGACGGCTATATTCAAATGCTACATCCTTTATACATACTCGAGGACCCATGCAGCGTCAACCCAGGACCAAAATATCAGTTCATAAAACTTTCCAGCATATTATTAATAGATATATCCCGCTGAATGTATCGTGAAGGTGGGTCATCATATGCACATGTGAAATAACCCCTCGCTATTTGAGCTGCGTCCAAAAAAATTATCCATTCAATGTTGGATATTCCGAACCTTCAAGTTGGGTGCCTGGCGATCGGCGGATATGTTTTGGTAAGCGCTGGTGGCCGATGGCCCGCGGGTTAAGGAAGGCGCCATTATCTGTAAATTCAATATTATTGGCCAAGAGTGGGTCTGGGAAATGGCAAATCACTATGATACTATTCTCAATCCAATAAATAGCCGCTAGGAAAAGTGCTACTAGTATACCCGAATTCAAATGTTGCGAGTGCGAGTGCGACGTGTACGGAGTGAATGATGCCGGGGGTTTGCTTAGCGTCAAATTAGGCAGCACTTGTGAAAAGGTGACTGCGGGCGCGCGATGGCGGGGTGTCTAACTTCCATGCATTCGACTACCATCAATGCCTCTTCACTTGGTTTTTCAAGTCCCTCGCATTTCTGTCGGATCTTCCTTTTCTTTTCCCTTTCTTTCTTTTCATATTCCCGTCAATATCCAATCTGCCTATCACTACCATGAGTTCGCGTTTCGAATACTGTGTGGTCTGCGGATATGACATTCGCGACCATCAGACCTTCTCGGGAAAGTGGTTAAACGAGTTTCGAGCCATTATGTCTACTCGGAGAAATTTTTGGGATTTAATTCTGAAATAGGCAGTCTCCAAAAGCCCCGATGGGTATTTTACATCCGGCGTTGGCCTTTATAATGATCGTCAAGGCTCGGTACAAGCACCATCCGACCCTACAAAGCGAGGCGATGACGAGGATTATGATCCGCAGGTAGCGCCAATAATTTATGTGGGCTATCGCTTTGGCCGGACTTGTTCGTTCTTGTCCCACGATATGTGTTGGAAACTCCTGGGAGAAGCTTTCAAACCGAATGATATCCCTCTGGAGCGATTTTTCGACATTTGTGAATCATTGCCAGTAGCTTCTGCAAGGAAATACTTACACTGGGGTCATAACTATGGTGGCATATATGACTTTAAACCACATAAGAACTTTCCTTGGAAGTCTACACTAGGCAGTCCTTCAAACACCGAGGCACTGCAGCTAGCTACGGAGAATCCGTACAACGTGCCGGAGATCGAAATGTTGTTACTGATGACAGCCCATGACCCAATTCCATCGAAATCATCTTATTCAAAATTGGAATCCAATGATTGTTTCGCCAATCTGCCTTTAGAGATTCGAGGGAGAATCGTGAAACATCTGCCCACCCGTGATGCAATGTCTCTACGTGCCTCCTCGAGATCCTTTCTTCCTATTCTTGACATTCCATCATTCTGGGCCTCCCGTTTTCAACCTGGGGGAGACCGTGAGTTTCTATTTGAGAAACGAAACACCGCGGAGCCTCGAGATTGGCTATCATTATACCGCATGACTAGTCAATGTCGAAGCCCCCCGGGCCTAAAGAACCGAAGAAGAATTTACACGCTAATTGAATACATAATCGAATTCATGGACTCAGGATTGGCTGATAAGAATGAATCTGCAACTGAATTTGATTCAACACCCAGCGAAGACGCAAATCTAATCATAGCTACTTCCAAAATTGTCCCGCGAGTCATTGTCGATCGCCATGATGCTACCATTTCACTTTTGAGAGGCGAAGGATGCTTCTTCTTTCGGGGCCAATGCGCCTTTATTCCTGGCGACTTGAAGAGCGTTACATTGTCGTTTGTTGGGATTGGAGACCATGAACATCTCTCTGGCCTGGATTTCAGATCAAAAACCGGAATGGATGCCGAATTGGGCTATCTATCCACGAAAGTAACACTCCTATACGATGTCGAAACTATCACGGGATCTGTCTTCGCAATCGATCCTCTGGGCATTCGAGCCCTCCAAATTGTGGACGGCAACGGAGTCAGACCACGATGGTTTGGGTCATCCAAAAATGTGCCAATAACAGAGCATCTTGTGGCTTTTGACACCACAGAGCCTTTGCGAGCCAGGGTTGATGTACGTTGCCAAAAATCTTTGAAATTAGTCCAATCGCTGATCCGTTGAGAACAGATGTACAAAATTATCAGCATTACGGCTACCGCGATCAAAGAGATCCCTGGCGAATCTCGTCCTGGTCTGAGCTCACCATCTCTTCACACTACAGATTTATGGTACCCTTCCATACCCAGTGCAGACTTATTATTGAATGACAGGAGCTTTCAAGATATCATGAAGCCAGAACACGGGTACATGCCTCTTCACTGGTGCAAATTTGGTGGACCCAAAGGCGCGTATCTGAGACACATCGTTGAAATTGCCCTGGACGATGGACTCAGCCCTACCGCGATAGAATTTCGTTACTCGGACCAGATTTCTATCGAACCGGCTTACTTCAGTTCATATAAACGATCTCCGGAAGAAATGGAATCAGAGCCCATAGATGGGCCTGAAGGAGAATACCTACAAACTGTTCAAGTGGTCAGACGGGGTAAATGGATTTCTGCTCTTAGGGTCAGTCACACGCCGGCGTTACAACATTTCACACTCCAAATACTAACTTCAGTAGCTCATCACCAATAAAAAAAAATATACGCGAATGGGGCATTGTTGATTCCCACCTTTTCGGCAGTGTTGGCAAGTATGAGGAGGCTCCCGCAGAGTTCAAGACGCTCGAGGCTACCCCTGGTTCCACTATTACTGGATTATACAGATCCCTCCGCGTAAGTCTTTGGATTCCACGGCTGAGAGAAGATTGTGAAGCCTGATCATTTTACAGTACACTTCGAGGGAAGAAGAGGATAACTTCGGTGTAATATCCGAAATGCTAGATGATTTGCCAGCGCTTGAGTAAGAAAGCCGGGATGGTCCATTCAAATACAAGTAATTCAAATGTACCTAAAGATATTATCCCATACTTCCCCAGCGTTAACCAGGCGAAGCTCGGGCCGGCATTTACTCCGTTCCTCGGTCAAGGCTCCATCCACTAAATCCATCCCAAATTGCGGGGCCGGCTCGGGCAGCTATGAAAAGATAAAAATATGATGTTGGACTTTCTGTAGTTCCTTGGAAGGGTGCTTTTGTGATAGCCAAAAATTCCCTCGCCATCATGAACTTGGGTTGCAATTGTTTGCTATCCACGTCAGCTTCCTAGTGGCATATTCCCATGCGTCATATCTTTCCTTGGCAAGGATTAATTCCTCCTATGGTTCTCGCGTGGTGAAGCGTGACACTCATGCATAGTATCTAGCAGGCTTATGCACCTCGCTGAGGTTCGTTGGGTATCCCAGATAGGCCAATCGTACTCGTTTGTGATGGTTATCTTTAGTAACCGCTGCACGCTGTCTCTTATGTAGTGTCGCCGAGTGATATCACATCCTCACCAATCACCGACCGCCGATCACCTTGCTTTTTTTGCTCCGGGCGTGTCAGCTCAAAAGAGCACTACCCCCAGCTTGAAATCAATTCTTTCAAAGTACACCCACTCCAACCAAGGATTGCATCCCGAGATCCCCTCGTTTCCCCCTTATTTTATCCGGTATTTGAAGTCTTCTTTGAAATCATGGCAGATACCCCCGACGGTGAGCTCCTTTCATAAACAACAGCTCAACTCGATTTATTCTGACTCAATTAGATCACCAACCGGAAGGTGGCCCCACGGGCATGAAACGCCCACAACAGGGCGTCAATGATCTTATTTATGCCATCAAGGAGGGGCAGAAGGAAACCGTCGAGAATCTCCTACAAACACACAAGGAGCTTTTAAACGCTGAATTTGATTACTGCTTAGGAGGTGAAAAACCTCAAACCGAGTCGACCACTCCGCTGTTTCTGGCGATAAAGCTAAGCCGCCAGAAAGTGATGTCTATCCTTGTAGACAAAGGTGCAGATCCTGATCTGGCGGTCTCGGAAGCGAAATATGTCGATTTCGACGACGACCTGGTCCAAAGGCTTAAAGTGGCCATTATCCGAGATGACGCGAAAGATTTACATGAGATTCTCGCCACGGAGGCTAATCAAAGTCTCCTGAATGGTCGGTTTAAGTACACCGTGGAAGACAGTGAGGGTCAGGTGATGGGCATGACACCATTAATGCTCGCCGCAGCCTTGGGCAAGGAAGAAATTACGGAAATCCTACTAGAAAAGGGGGCGGATCCCTATGCATTTACGATCAGCGGTGGCTCAACTGCATGTTCGCTTGCCGCATACTATCATCATCGCAATATTGTCAAAAGTATCTTGGGTAAGGAAAACGTCACTAAAGATATCTTGGAGGTGAAAAATTTCTTGGGGGCAACCCCTCTTCTTATCGCAGCCGAGAGAGGAAGCGTTGAAATTTTTGAGTTCCTGGTGAGAAAAGAAGTGGAATTGAGTGTCGAGGATTATCGTGGAAATTCATGGTTACATCTTGCAGCCGGGGGTCGGAACGAACATGTTTGTTCAGACAAGCCGGGGCAGGGTTATTTGAAGATGATTGACTCCAATATTCGCAAAGATGATTTTAAACTACTGGAAAGAAAAAACCGCGACCAGGAGACAGCCCTCATTCTTGCTGCCACCCATGACAAAGCCGATATCATCAATCTTCTTCTTGCAAAAGGCGCGAATATCGAGAGTGCAGACAGATGGGGCTACACGCCTCTACTCAACGCAGCTGCATTCAATGGCAATCGTGCCATTCTGGTTCTTTTGAAAGATGCAAACATAACGGCACGATCATTCTTTGGGCAGAATGTGCTACATGTTGCTTGCGTGGAAGGCTCCGATGAAATCGTGGAAAGTATTCTTGAGCAGGAACCTAGGCACATAATCGGTCTTATTCGCTCCAAAGACCTTTCAAATGAGACTCCTTTGCAGGCGGCAATTTCCAGTGATAATCCTTCTATCGTATTCAAATTGCTAAACTCGAATTATTATATGCCGGTCGACCCTCTGCAGGGTGAAACACATTTCTCTCTCTTTGACGAACAAGCCTCAGTGAGCGACTACCTTTTGAAGCGAGGATCAGATATTCTGAATCATATTACCCCTGTCTTTTACTGGGCATTGCTGAATGGGAACAAGGACCTGATTGATGTCGTCATGAAACAGGAGAAGCTTCCAGAGTTACAGAATCGCCAAGGTATCACATGGCTTCATGTAATTGCGCTCAGTAGTGCCACTGAGGTATCTACATGGGACACTGAAAAGCTCAATTTGAGCGACGATATTCTAGCCATGTCCAGCAGTGGAAAGACACCATTGCATTTTGCAGCGGAGAAGGGGAATTTCAGGCTGGTGCCATATCTTCTACGGCTTCTTCTTCAGCTTGTCGGAAATAATGAAAGGAAGAAGGAAGACAATAACGAGGTTTTTCACCTTATACTTGGGGAAGGAAAAAGGCCTACGGGCCTGATATCATTGATCGTCGATAAAACGAATATGGGCGCCTTCGAAGAAGAGCTTTGGAAAATACTACGTCGCATAGTCAATCATGGCTCAGGGTTTGACAATCACTCAGAGCGTGCTGAGCTTGTCATGGGAGCTGCATTTTGGAGGTTTACGACTGGGGAAGAGAAAGCCTTCAATGATCTGAGGAAGCAGATCGAAGGGGAAGAAGCAAACATGCAGCCGCTCGAATTCGCCATCAAACACAAATACCCATTGGCACTTTGGTGGCTTCTATCCAGCGGCGAATACTTTGGAGAAATCCACATTAAGAAGGGGGAAGACTTTGCAGATAATTATTACGAAAAGCAGGCAGACAGAGCGAAAGGTTCCCGTGAAGAAGTGATTTCAAATCTTTTGAGCAATCCTCCTCCGCTGCGTCGACCAACGGATGGCAAACTTCCTCCACAGTTCATGTACGATGAGCACAGTATTGCCAAGGATGAACACCACGGAACAGTTGTCGATGTTGCTTTTACAACGAAATCCGGAATCACGATGAACGTCAAGCGTGCCCCAATCGCCGATATCATATATCAGAAAGGGCCTAAAGCCATAATGAGCGAAGTCGGGATCAGCGATCCTCAACAAATATTTGACATCATCTATATGGAAAGATCTAAATATGCAAAGAAACCATTCGTTCCAGACAACAAAAATGCACAAATAACACCCAAAGAGCTTGAGCAGCAAAGAAGCAGCAAACTAGAGCAAGCAGAACCGTCAGAGTCAAAGGAGGCCGATGAAACCACGAAGAAAATTGAATTTCGATGGATTCATTTGCCAACAAACAATGTAAGTGGCAAGTAGAGTTTGCTTAATATCAAAGACACTCTCGAGGCTAATTATACTGCTAGCTTCAACATGTCACAGTAGGGAGTTCCCAGTTTTTCCTTGTTCTTCAATCGTGAGTGCTGATATCATTTAGGAGCTGATGATCCGAGTTTCCAAAGAAAGAGGTGAAAGCAAGGAGGTACATCGCCGTATAGCTGGGTTAGTGAGAAAGAGTTGGTCGGAAATACCCGCTGGAGCAGCCACTCGGTATATGAGACCAAATTGTCGTCTTGAAAGGGTCGACAAGATGCAGGTTTTTTCGCTATATGTACGGATACGCATGGCAACCATTTAATCAGGCACTGATGGTTTATTCACAGATGCCCTATATTTGCTGGGCAAAGGAGCCAGATCAAATCCCGGATGAAGGAAATCCCGATGCTGTCTTCTTGTCTTCTTCGGATCCAGTATCTCACGAAATTTCACACAGCTGCCTTACCCTCGACCAGTACTATTATGAGTCACTTGATTATACAAACAACAGAGATCGCGATCAAGTTCTTGGGCGATTGTTTAGGCAAACTGCAGAAAAGACAAGCAAGGATAAGACTACACAAAATATAACCATCTTAAAAAAAAAGAAAAAATCGATTAATGGTAAGACAAAGATCCAAGAGGACCTGGCGCGAATGAAGACCATATCTCCTGTTGTCACCCAAAGCCCTGTGGAAGAGAGTCACTTTGATAGGGGTGGCGAGGCTCAGCATGAAATATCAGAAGCCGACACGGCTCAACTTGAAGTCCAACAGCGACCACAGAACAACCAAAGAAATCCACTAGCCGAAGCTCAACACGAAACACAACATGTCAAGACACCTCATCCTGCTGTTCCACCAGAGCCGCGAGGGGGTCAAAAAACCGATGGAGTGATTGGAACTGCAAAAAGCTCGATGCCCGATAAAAAGTCCGCAAGTCAGGGAGAAGAGATGGGAGAAACCCAAATCCTAGTTGTGAATCAATTGTGGATATGGATTATCTACGACGGTGAGTAAACCTGGAGCTGACACCTTTCCCTTCTGTCCTCCTGAATAAGACGCTAAATTTACATGTGTATATATCAGGTACAATCATCACCAGTGTGACTAAAGAGGTTGAAGATAGTGATAATACCTTTTTGCAACGAGTCCTTGACAATATTTATCAAGCTGATTTCGAGACTGTCGATCAAGGCAAGAGCACACGCCAGACCAATGACCAAGGCCAAAGCACCCAAATGCTTCAAAATCAAATTTTACAAGTAATATTAGACACCGCCCAAGGCATGTTCAATGCGCGGGATATCAAAGTTTCTGCAAATATCAAGGTTTCACCGTTGGATGCCTATCGGAAGGCCATTCAAAGGATGGTAAGTGTCCATGAATGTTACCAAGCCGCAAGAGAACTGACTGGAAACAGCGCGACGGCGAGATCAACCTCTTTTCTGAGTTTCAAAGTTCTCTTGATCACAAGAAAAAGGACCCCAGCCCCCCAGAACCGACAGAATACTTCGGAGATTCGAGAAATTCGAAGAAAGAGGACAAAGAGGACAAAGAGGACAAACCAGAGAACCCATACGAAAACATATACGATGAGACGGAACTGTTGAAGGAGATCAAGGACATTTTGGATGAGCTGAACATCTTGAAAACTCTGGCGCTCGATCAGGACCACGTCAACAGTCTCCTGAAGCACACCAGATTGAAGGGTAGAAGTCAGACCCCGGCATTTTCCTTGGGAGAATTCAGCTCAGAGATTGAAAGCATGGCCCAAGATGCCCAAAACCTTCAGAGCGACATCAACACTCTATTGAGTTTGAAACAACAAAAAGCTGGCATTGTGGAGGCTCAGGCGACTCGGAGACAAAGTGATACTGTCATGACATTTACAGTAGTGACCATAATTTTTGTAAGTCACCTCCTAAGCAGACTCCAAGAAGGAACAGCAAAAGGCGATATGCTGATGATAACATTAGCTACCTGCTTCTTTTTTGACTAGTCTGTTTGCATTGGACATTTCAGATTTCCCCCACGAAAACGGAAGCGTCGCATACAAAGGGTGGTGGATATTTCCAATTATATGTGAGTCAGCCTTGGGAAATTTCACGAAATCATCGTTTAATCTTTGCTTTTGGTTTAGTTGGTGTTTCTTTTCTTGTTTCAGCATTCTTCGTGGCCCTTGCCTTCAACGCGAACCTGCTCAAGCATAATCTTCCTGCCTATGGACCGAATTTCTTCCATCAATCTGAGGAGACGGACATCGGCAAGGAAGTGGAAGATAGCAAGAGCATGGTTAATGAAGTTTCTCCTCCGCTCCATGCTACTTCTAGTCCTGAGAAACCGGTGTTGAGAGTGAACAAAATATCCTGGCACAGAAGGGGCCTTACTAGACCACCGGATCCAGAAGGACAGCAAGTTCCTGGCGGATCTGAAATAGTAGAGGTGGAGAGGAACGCAGTCGGGTGATGTTGGTTGGAAAATATTTACATCGGGAACAATTAGATACAGACGTGTTTTGACTATTTTGATCTTTTTCCCAACATTTGAAGGCTAGGAGTACAGATATTTCCATTATCGAGCGCTTTCATCGTTCACTCCCAATACTGTAGACCCGGAGCCAAATTTTGGCGTGAAATACCCCTTTAAGACTCGAAAACATCAATTAAAAGGTGTATGCAGCTGAAAAGGCTGGAAATTGGAGATTCTTACAGTGGTTGAGGATTGAAAATTTTGATTCAGAGTAGAAACCATGCGTTTTTCATTATGAAAACTCGGTAGTTGTGATTTAGAATATAGTCAACGTGTTGAACTGCTATCTTATCGCGGAGCCTCATTTTTCCAGGTTCTTCTTTCGGCGCGGCTCTCTCTCGAATGTTCTATATCTTGTCTCTATCTTCAACCATTATCTGATGCGTTCCTTTCTTTTTCTCTCAAATCCACCGTATGCACCTCTGTATCTTTGAAGCCTTGAGGTTCAAATCACACCTTTGATGATATCCGCACCTCTTTCAGCGATGGCATACACGGCCGTCATGATGTTGCCTACCGTGACCAACGGGAGGATACTAGAGTCACAAACCCGCAAATTTTAGTTCCATACACCCGGAGGTTCTCGTCAACAACACCACCCTTTTCCCGTGGCAGCATAGCCGCAGTACCACAAGGATGGTATGTAGTCGTTGCAGTATCAAGCAAGTACTTCTTAGCAGATTCGATATCCGTGATGAAAGCATCAGGATGATTCCGGCGCCCGTTTGACTTAAGGAAATGCGACAGTGGGGCTGCCCTTTGAGATGCCACCACGTCCAGCAGATTGCGCGCCATGATTTCCAAGTCTAACGGGTTTGAGAAGTATCGAGGATCAATTGTCTGCTTATCCTCCACGTTTGAAGATGAGATATGGGTGCTACCACGAGAAAATGGAATGCCCTGGATGATTCCAAGGCTGACAAAGTTGCCAGGGAGGAGATCCTGGCCAACAAAGCTCTTCCCAGTCTCATGCAGATTTGCCTGGCAAAGAAACATGAAGTGGGAGCAAGTAGGAGAATCAGGCTGTTCAAAGATACTGCGAATAGCTTGGTCCCGATCACAGATATTTGTGCCTGAAAAGAAAGGATCCATCAAATCTTTGATGTACTTCTCATTTCTGTCTCCATTTTCGTCTAAGCAGGGCATAAAAGCACTTGACTGGACACCGCCAATAGTAAAAGGACCCGCTTTATGCTCAGCATATAGCTTCATAGCTTCTTGGATGGCCTCTGGCTCTTGACGTACGAGAGCATCTCCTGTCATTGTCCCATCAACAGCCTCGAAGCTAATGCCGGACATAAGGTGGTCTTGAAGGTTTTCTCCAACATTTGGATTTTCCACAACAACGGGGATGTTGTATCGATCTAGGATCTCCTTATTGCCAATCCCGGATAGCTCGAGGAGCTTCGGCGTATTGAAAGCACCCGACGAAATAATAACCTCTTTATTCGCCTTGATAGTGTGCGTTTCTCCGTCGATGATGACAATGACCCCTGTTGCTGTGGTTTGGTCGAAGATAACCTTGCACACCAATGCCTCTGTAAGAATCGAGACGCCTGGGCGTTGTTTTGCGGGTATACCATACTGTGTTGCAGCATAACTCCTTGTTTTTGTCTCGTCATCAACTGCAGCCATATTGCTATAGCCACCGATTGATCTGCCAGAGAATGGGTCCGCGGTTATATCGTGACCAAGACCTTTGTATGTCTCCACCCATGCTTTGGCCAGTGGATCTTGAACCACAGCGGGGAAGGAAATCTTCAGTGGACCGGATGATCCTTGGGCATCGATATCCACCCAACTGTCAATACCGAGATGCAGGCGAGTGGCGGGATCGGGGAGCTGGATGGTGTACGACTTCTTATGGTACGGGTGAACGTTCTCCCATGTCCATCCCTCTGCGCCCAGTTTTTCCCAAGAGTCGTACACGAGTTTCGAAGGTGCAATGAAGGCCTGGCCATTGATTGCAGAAGACCCACCAAGAAGTTTTCCCTGGGTTGACCTAATAACCCGATCTTTCAATCCAGACTGTCGCGATGAGAAACATCAGAAAGAGTTAACTTTCGTTGTTAACTGAACAGGGCTACACTCACCTGGGGAGTAGTTTTCAGTTGCCAATCCCCCTCTGATCCCATCATCGTTGTCCACATGGCTGGAATTTGAACGCGAGGATCAGCCGTCAAATCCTTGCCAGCCTCCAAGACCACCACTGACTTGGTGGGATCCTCAGAGAGTCGACAGGCGAGGACTAGACCAGCAGTACCACCACCCACGATGACATAGTCTGCCTCCAATGGAATGCTCGTGGAGGCCATTGTTGGTGAAAATTTCAATCACAAAAATAATCGTCACAGTACAATTGTTTAGACGCAGGAGAACAAAGTAGTAGCTCAGGGAAAGGGGCCCCGTTCCTCATATCTTCTGACAGCCAAGTAACTTGACATCAAATCATCCATTAAAATGCCCCACAAAGACTGCCGGTGGCAGCTGACCCACGGCTTACCTTCAATCTTGATGCCCCACTCTTTGGCCCCATTTTACGCCGCAAATATCTTACTGCTATCCATGTCCTGTACGGTGTACCATTACCGCCATGAGGACTTTTCGCTAATTCATCTCTAAATTTCATCTGACAGGAAATTCACAAAACAGAATTGCAGTCAAACGGTAAGATATGCGTGTATCCTTTAAAAATCCTAGATGACGAGAAATCATCGTTTTTGAAGCTATTGGGAGGAGTTGTCCAAGCTTCGATAATTTGATGAATATCATGTGATTTGGGGGCCGTATGCTGACAAATTGCATAAATTTGACCAAATACACCAATTAAATACAGGGTTGCAGGGCAATTTATGCAAAAGTCCGCATGGCGGGAAAGGTACACCGTAATCCTGCCTTCCAAGGACTAGTGTCTTGTACTGGCCCCCGAGCTAGATTTCTTGCCCCCAAATCGTAACCCCACCCTTGCGCGAATGAGCTGTGTGGTAAATCTAGCTTCTTCATGCCAATACTACTAGTAGGTTGTGCGGGAAATGTGCTATTCATCCATAGAGTTGCTACTAATATCTACAGAGGTAATGACAGGGTCACAGGGATATCATGTTTAAATGCCACAAAATATATTTTCTACCAATGAATGCCAGCATCAATCAATAGCATGTAGTATCAATGTACATCCCCACGCCCTTCAGACTTCCTATTTCGTTTGAAGGCCACAATGTTTCTTGTAATTTCCCCTTCTTTCGACCAGCGTGTCCATCATCGATACCCTTCAAAACCTTGTACCAAGTCTCATTCAGTTCCAAATGATATCTTCCCCTTATTTCTCAGTCTGGCGGAACCGCTCCATCTCCTCCTCAAGTCACGCAACACACGGTTCCGCTACCTTTTGTACCTCTTGAAAGGGCATCAAATGCCCCAGCCCCACTAATGTCGCCTCACGAACTCTCCCCTCCGACAAACCTCCGCTACCTCCCACTCCAGTTCCACAAGTTTTTATACCCTCGCGAATCTCGTTCAGCTTCAAATAGGTCGAGCCACCAAGGACCCAGACACACGAAGGTCACAGACTCGGCAATCGTAAGAAGATACTTCTTTGTACTTTTGGATAAGTTGTTGAATATTGTAGGTTTGGTGGATTGGGAGCTTTCTTATGCGGCCCCAGTTGAATTTTCTCATGCGCCACCATGGTGGCTTCTAATCGAGAAGCCTGAATACTGGGAAAGGGGGCTTGAGAACTGGTGTTAGGGGTTTGAACGACGACTTTGGACCTTTCTTGAGGCGATTATGCGCCGTGAGGATAAGGAAATTGAGCAAGGGAAACTGGAGGAATATCAACGGCTTTCCAGTTCAATGCGTGATAGTTGGAAGAGTGGTGATTTCTGAATTGATGACGCAGCAAGGAATAATTTCCCGTTTGATTTGATATACTTGGAGAAGATCGACCGACGGTTCTTCGGTGCTGTTACAGGCTCAAATAGATCATACTAACAGTTGCCCTGAATCCATGCTTATTTTTTAGCCAACATCTACCCCTCTTCTGAGGCTCCGCAGCCCCGTGCTTGAGAAATGGGGGCCAACTCTAGTTTCCCAGTTCTTGCATGCCAAGTATTATGTTACGCGCCTCCGCAATAAATCTTTACGGGAGAAAGGCGGCTAGGGCTATCGCAAGATCGTCGGCCGTGTTGGCCACCTTTCTAGTTGATGCTGAAACTCATTGGCGGCGGGGTTGGGCGTCCTCACAAAAAAATCCAGCTCGTGACATGGTGTAGAATTTAGATCAAAAACAATTGGCACCACTTGGCATGCGAGAAATAGAAGGCCAATCAGATTCTGAAAACAGAGGGTATCTTTGTACAGCCACGTCAGGTCTGCATGCATAATAAGCAGCCCAGTTTCAAAGTAATGCAGGTAAGCGCTTCGATGTTCGCAAAGGCATAGGTTTAAAAACAAACAGCAATCCCCTTATATGCGCTATACTTCTGGAGGGGTCACCTGCTATGGAGTGTCTACTGGTGGTGGGCGATGACTAGATATGATTTGCCCCTGTGAAATGCTCGTGAAACTCGCCCACACCTCCATCATTAGTCACAGCTAGTTTAAGCCGCATTACATGATTTCTATATTATCAGTGACGATTCCCATCAATCTCAAATCTGAAGTTCATTTTCAAAATCAAGAACGGGTCATTACTTGGTTGACAAACCACCTTCCAAAATGCCTAGATCAAATACACACTTCGATGAGGAGAGGCAGCAATTCTATACCACCATGCAATTTCATGGACGCACAGGTGAGCGAAGTTCCGCCCTCGTGATCAAAATCGGCGAAGCAGTGGCTAAATTCTCTACACTTACTTAAATGTTTGCAGTTAAACTGTACCTAGATAATGGAAGTGGTGCCTGGGGACCTGGAACCATAGGTTCTAAATACACCGACTATTATTATGACCCTGGCAACAGGGTATTTCGCAGCATTTTCTTTCCGCCAAATGGTACGTTGCCTGTCGACCAGATGATCTATACCTACTATATTAATGTGTAATATTTTTGACCTTTCCATTTCTTGTATTCCAATAGGCCTCCCAGCGGAACAAAGTAGAATTGCGAGAAGAGACGTGCATGATGGCTCAGGCTCACACCAACGTCTGACGTTCAATCAATGGCGCTCTAATTCGGCTGGCAGACATTGGCTTGACCTTCAATGTCCAAATAGTAAGGATCCAACCCACTAATGGTCGATTCAACATTGTACTCAGGTGCTGATCATATTGGGTTTTCAATCGCAGGGCAAGGAATGCGGAGATTCTGGTTTTCGAGAAGTCAATGGGCAGAAATAACCCATCGGCATTAGGCCTCGGCGGGCCCCCGTGGGTTGAGGGCACTTGAGTGCACCGGGCTCTACTGTGTGCTCGTGCACAGGGCGAATTCCACGGACTTTACAGGTTATTACAGTTTATTGAAGAGCATAGTCATGTATGAAGCGCGGTCAACTGGTTGCTGGCATGTTTTCAATGTTGTGGATTTCCGGGGTGTAATGTTGAGCAATCAATCCAGATGTCTATTTTGAATGTTTATGGTCGTTCAAATATTTTATTTTTCTGGTGCTTCACAGCAGAGATTCTAGTCCCTTCAACCAGTGTTGCCCCCAGGTGCCAACATTGAAGTTGGCCGGTGTTCAAAATGTCAGAACCTCAATGAGGATCTGGGGGAAACGAATGGTAATGAGGAGGTAAAGAAAAGGCAATTGTATGCACATGTGGCATTCTTCACTACTGAGCGGGATGGAGGGGAGAAAAGAAAGGAAGGAAGGAAAGAGAGAAGCTCTCACTTCCTGGACTAACTACCAACCCTAACCCTCTCACGGAAACGACACAAAACCCACACGCGCTGGAACATGCTCAGGAGCGGACCATAAGACCAGAATGGGTCATATGGTCCACTTCTCCTAACACAAAATATATAGTACTAGCTAGGGTAATACTATCCATAGTATCTGATCTTCGGGTGGCATGTGTGCTACTAGGTAAGATGCTAATGCTTAGAGGCATCACTGATTTCTGCTTTGAGAACCCGGAGAAAATCTTGACTTTGAATGACACAAAATCGTGGCGGATATCTATCTCCCCGTCTCAAGTACCGGGGGATGGGCTCGGGTTGGACTTTGATGTCTTTCCAAGGCTTGTTGGTGTTGGTAGAGTTGGAGAATTATGTACGAGTATGGGGAATTCTGGCAGTGCTATGGCCATTATTCTTCACGAAATAATTACGTTCAGCACTAAATCCCGATTATAAGAACACTTCAAATCTTTAAAAGTGATGTGGTAGTTTGAATATATTTCTACCATTTATTTATGTCGTGCGATAAAGCCTCCAAACGAATTCCTGTTGTCTTACTTGATATGCAAAATGAACTTCGGCAACATGAATCGGTCCTTCCCAAACTGTGTGGAAGAGTTGCCTGCGGTGCAAGGAGGCTTTTTTATCTTTGAATGCTTCAAATATACTGCCAGTGCTGAAGCGAAGTAAAAGGTTAAGTTACAAAAAAAAAAGAAGTAAAAGAGAAAATGGGGCGAGCCGGGATTGAACCGGCGACCTCACGATTGACTTTATCAGTCAGACTGCAGTGAACTTCAGTCGTGCGCTCTCCCAACTGAGCTATCACCCCTGCTTACGAAATCAGTCTTTCACAATTGCTATCAGATGTTTGATGTATCCATTACAAGAACGGGGCCTTCTTCAACGTATCGAGTATGGAAAATATGTGAGATAAATTAGATCAGAATTACTAGGCATGCTTCGACAAAAAACAATTAATAAGAGGGAGCAATAGTTTTCTGCACAAATTCTATCGGCAAGTAAGTAATTGCCACACTTCCGATACCGTCTCAAATGCAAATAAAAACCATGTGCGAATTGATGATATTACCAATTTTTTTCATAACCACTACCTTTTCCATTCGGAAACAGTGTAATGGCTGACATAGCCTTTCGAATCCACATGGGCCCCTTGGATGTGAAAAATGAATTCGAGGTTTGCGAGTTCTGGCAAGTGTCACACGTCGACACTGTGAGTGTCATGTGTTGACAGTCTCTGGGGTTGAGAAGGTTTTCCTCAAGGTTCCCTTTGTCTGGTTGAGAAGGTTAGGGTTAGGGTTAGGTTAAGCTGAGTTCCTGTCGTCAAACCTTAAAGTACTTGGGTACTTAGAGGTTGACTCTTCCCTGTCTCTTCCCCTTCCCAAGAAGATGAAGCTCTGGCAGCCACCCGGCAGAAGAGAGATGTCAGAGAGATCCTAGCCAAAGGAACTGGAGACCTTCGACAATTTCAGCAAGATGCTGAACGACGGGATCGACTAGACAAAGTGACCATGCACGCGATGAGATCGCGAAGATGAAAGCAGATATGCAGGAGGAACGGCAGTCCCTTCTCAGTGTCTGGAATCTTCAAGAGACCGAAGTCGACCCCAAGTCACGACGAAATATATTACCGAGTCCCAGACCGTCAGAAACATGTGCCATGATTGGTGTGGCTGGTTTTCGACGACTCATGCAGAGTGAGAACAACAACATATTTTGGACATGTCTGGCAGAGATTGACATGGTGATGCACAAAACCTCTGAGAAACCACCTGAATGTGAGAAACAGGAGTTGCTTGATCAACTTCCCAAGGAGTACCATGAATTCTGGGATGTTTTTTCCAAAAAGCATTCAGACACACTACCTGAAAGTCGAGGCAAGGACGATTTCCGCATTGAACTCACGGAGGATTTTCGACCAGCATCCTGCCCTTTGTACAAGATGTCGCATGAAGAGCTGTAGACCGCTCTTTTTCTCCTCTGTCTGTTTTTTCCTTGTTTTTAGGACCTTAGAACGAATACATTGTTTTTTGCTTGCCTCGTCACAGCAAGCTTGCTTCAAATCTCTAGTTCTCAATATCCTCATAATTCTGGGCATGTAAAAACCATTCTAAATTACACTGATCCACGTCTGGGATAACTAATCCATCCCTTTCACTTGAAATCGGCGTGTTCGGGGCGTTGACTACATGAAGTTAGCCCGACTGAGCACTAATTTGTGTGTATCGTATAGGGATGTATTTTCCTAAGGTTGTTCTTACCTTGGGCATAAAGTTATTTCAATGTTCGAAAAGAAAAGTATAATTTTCTCAAGGTATCTGGAAGCGCTATAAATCTTGGCATCTATCTACTATGTATACATACCTCCACCCTGTGGATTTGCGATCTGTTTTATCGAGATGCAAAACATCTAATTAGAAAACAATCTTAGAATCGCATGATCATGATTGATTGATCATCATGATCGCCGGTCATCCCCGGCTTCATGTGCTTCCTTCTTGTTCTAGATAGCAGGCTGCGTCTCTCTTGTTCCTTCCTCTTTCCTCTCTCTCTCTCTACACAATACAATATTCATATTCATTCCATTGCTTGTTCCTCCCTTCTTTCCTTGATTCCATGAGGTTATGAGCCCTCCTTTTCTTACTTACTAACGCTGTAAATCGATAAGATTAAGCGAAATTCTCTTTCCCAGGGCCCTGTTTGATGCTCTTTTGACAGATTCAGGTCCCCCAACCCTCATCACAAGACGGCATAGCGCTGTTCCCCCCCCCCCAACCCAACCATGTCGGCATTCACGATTGACTCTGACACGACAGGAGTCGATGACGTTCCATTCAGTACTCGAACCGACAACAACTGGGACAACGTCACAGCCGTTACTCGAATTGACCAATCATCGGGCCTCCCTGCCATCAAGATAACCCTCAATCCCCTCAAGAATCCTCTACAAAAACCAGAAGATTATGACTCCTGGAAGAGAATCGTACAAACCAACTCAAACTTCGAGGAATGGACGGTCTCATTGACTACAAGCTACCAAGACCAGCTCAGAACAGCAACAACTCAGAAAAGTGGTTTAATGCGTCAAAAGCGATTGGCGAGTGGCTCATTGCCAATATAAGTACCGAAATTCACAGCAAGATACAAGCACGAAGTACGCTCACTCTCTCTTTCGCGGATGTCATTTGGAAGGGAATTTACGAGGAAATGCGCGGATGCGGCATTTATGAAGACATGAAGCAAATTGGGGCATTCGTCAACCTCAAACGAACCGACTTCCCCACCAAAACTGCGTTCATCGACGACTATTGTGCTCGATACATGAGACTCAAAGAGCGTGAGATGGAAGTCAAGCCTTACTTTGCAATGATGACAATCTTACTTCAAATCCATCAACTTGACGTCCGAGACTCGGTTCTTCAATCAATTAAAGAGAAGAATCACACTGCGCAGACCTTCACATACAATGTCTTCTGCCAATATACTCAGGATTTGCGAGGTCGTGTCTTAATCAGAGAGGAAGACGAACCATTTATCTAGGCGACCGACATATGGAGAGCATACACACGACACCTGGTTGTCGGGCTGGATCTGATTTTGAACATTCTGGAGACCGGACCTCATTCAATGTTGATGTTATTAGGGCAAATGATTTCTTATACACATGTGCAGCCTTGGGATTTGCTCCAGAAAGCTTCTCTAGTATACATCAAGGCTTAGTGGCATAATGAATGTTGAGCCTACAGCTGTAATTAATCTGTAAGATATATTAGAGATTACAAATTTTTAAGGCAGGTCTGGCTCAAATACTGGATGTGGGGTGGGCAATTGAGGACTTTGCCAGTTCAATCCTTTAATTGTAAGGTCATCCCATGGTCTCTTTTTTCTTTCTCTTTACAACCGAACTTGTTGCCTTTTGTTTATGACGGCAACTTTGGTCATGCACTTTATTCAAAGGGGTGATAGCTCAGTTGGGAGAGCGCACGACTGAAGTTCACTGCAGTCTGACTAATAAGTCAATCGTGAGGTCGCCGGTTCAATCCCGGCTCGCCCCATTTCATTTTTGTTTTTGGAGCTATCATTGCATGTACAATAGTAGATAGTGGAGTGCTATACTATACAGATAGGATGAACCTTTGAGCTGTATCTATATCTAATAAACGGTCTGCCCAATCGCTTCCACATAAGTGTTATAGCTTACGGTCCCACAGGGGGCACACTGACTTAAGAATCAGCGAGACCTAACATTGAATTGATCAGTCTGGCATAAGGGTCGCATGAAGGGCATGGTTCCTGGAACCATAGTCAATTCTGCAGTGCCCAGACAACGCCAAATAAGAGATGGGGACAACGAACCACTTCCCTACGACAAGGGTCCTCGCAGGACGAGAAGTATCCTACGACAGACCACCAGTCATGTTACCCGGTCACCACCCTATTGTTACCTGCCGGGCGTCACCGCCCCGTATCACATGATAGCATGTATCTTAGCGGGCGATCGCCCGATCATAGTTAGCGAATCCATCCATGTACCAGATTACGCTTTCTTGCAGTAACAAGTCAGTTGTGACTACAACTATCTGGAACCGAGCACATGCATCTAGTTGATAGCCATGCATACCCTTTCGAGGCGATACTCACTGTGGCCAGAGAGCGTTGCTTAACAATAAGGGCGGAAAACTCAAGTAACTGATATACACGTATTTAAACGGAAGACAGCCTCAGATGTATCTATCTGGGTAGCCGTCTCGTAAGAGCTCTCTCTCTCTCAAGCTCTTTACAGATTCCACTAGTATTATTTAAATCACTGTAATTACTGAGTGGAACACCAGTATAGAGATGAGAACAATTATAATGAAACACGTCAAAAAAGCAAAAAGAGAAAATGGGGCGAGCCGGGATTGAACCGGCGACCTCACGATTGACTTTATCAGTCAGACTGCAGTGGACTTCAGTCGTGCGCTCTCCCAACTGAGCTATCACCCCTGATTATGTAATAACACGTTTGGTTTGGCTGTCTAACCTTTTCAAGTTTCACAGGCATAAGATCCGTAACTGAACTATTGACTACTACTACCTCGTATAATGCCAATACTCAGACTTATGAATCTTAGCTATCTATGTTGGCAAATTGAATGATTTGGAAGCGCTAGATTACTTGTGTTTGTACGAGCCTGTTCAATAAGGCCGTACGGTAAGGTTGGAAGACTTGGCGATCGATTGAGCGATCAATGGAGTGGGATCTGATGTTTACCTCTCTTGGTAGATCAGATAGATCAGCGTTCCTTTGCATGTTCTTCCTTGTATCTGCGCCATTTATTTGTGTTTATACGCATATCCTTAAATTGTGATGTTACATTTAATGCGCTTATCTTTTTGTTATTACATCAATCTGTTGAGATATTTGTTTATGTTATTGATTGAGATATTGATCTTTTGTGCTCAAATACTCAATGAAATTCCGTACTTCTTGCGGGGTATCAAGCCAAAGATAGCGAATTCTCCCAACATTAATCTTTGTTCATAAATATATATTATTATATCTTCAATTCTAGATGTCTCTAGGTATCTTGATACGCAAGACCATCTGATATTGCTCCAGAGCTCTAAACCCCTGTCATCTCCCTTAAAATAGCCACATGTGTAACACCAGTCGCAATATTTTCAAGAATCATTCCAAGAGATACAGTATAAAATTATTATGTATGTGTCCCAGTAGGCTTTAACTGCGCTTGTTTTAGTTTGACACTTCATGAGAAGGGGGTCCCTGCCTAGTGCCCTCCAATGAAATCCTGAAGACCCCTCTCTGGATAGAATCCTCCTTCCTTCAAATGTTCTTACCCCACTGAGTTCCCGTGTTCTTTTTTCGTTCCTCTGCTTTCTACTCCCTCTTATAGGACCACTGACATAGCCTCATCTGTTTGGTCACTCCTATCTTCGTTTTCACGTCCGGTTACCGCAACCCGCTTTCTCGAAATGCAGTCATTTGGGGAGGAAGCATCAGATTCCAAGGAAGTTATCATGGAATCGACAACTGCAATAAACAATTTCGCACAAACATGCCAGATCTCTGGCTAAAATATGCCTGCAACCTTCATGCTCTCTTCCATTATTTCACCAGGGTCTTTGACTTCAACATCAGTGCCAACTCTTTCCCACTTCACGATCTCTACGAAACAAAAGAAACCGCCCGACCACGAACACAAATTGTATCGCGACTTGTCGGCAGTGTCTATACTCTGTATGGCCACGCGGGAAACTCCTGGAAGAATGACATCAATGAACTCAGAATGCTCAAGCTCGGAACAACAATGATGTTCTGGTATATTAATTCCCCAAGTGCAGCCAAGGTTCGCGAAGCAAAGGAGCATCGAAACAAAAGAAGGAGTCTAGAACATTATGACCTTGGCGACGAAAAGAAGATTGTGCACACGACACTTGGCTAGCAGTCTGAATCGGATTTCGAATGTTCGACCTCACTGGTGTGGTCACACCCAGGGGTTCCTCTACCATTCTCGGGGGACCAGACCCTGTATAGGAATATACGATGTCGATGACGCGAAATTGATTCTAGAATGGCATTAGACATTCGAATGGGAATCTGGGAAAGGTAACACTGTGTCCCAACTGGAAACCAAGAGGGAAAACTCACCAATCCCAGCCTTCGACGGTTCTGGTGGTGATAATCTATCCCGAACTTACAACAGGCTCAAGCCATCTAAGTCGAGTGGCAATGGCGTGGTTGAATCGCCATCTTTGAAATATGAGTATAAAATCTCAGATGATCGGAAGATTTTTATGGGTCTGTAGGAATCGGCGCTAGGTAAAAACCCGAAAGAAGAGCGCACTCCTATATTGTCAAAGTGTCAACAGAGAAAGCCGAATATATCATTGAAACGCGGCAAGTCCAAGGATATTCCCCGGAATCTCGTTCAAAGGTTGGACACCAGGTACTCCAACACCGGCCGCCTTCGAACCATCTGAAGAGGCCTCGCCCAGGGTACCTGCACAACCTGGAAAGGTAGATCACTTTTGTATCCTGGATAATATTTTGAGGGTAACAATGGATGACCATAGTGCTCGATGCACATGTGCGGAAAGTTCCTTGTGTCGGAGATCGGGCAGAATGCGGAATATATACTCTCGGCGGCATTGAGCCACACCACCATTCAAGTTACCAACATTGAAAATCAATTGATGAAATTTTCAGTGTGGGCGACCTTATAGCAGTAGAATATTTGAATACAGAGCAAGGCTTTAAAGGGAATTCGAAGGCTTATCTTCTCCAGATCTCAACTTACTACATACATATGTAGAGATGTACCCTCCACACTCTACCACATGCGCAAAAAACTTTATTCACAAGTTTCTGCCATCCGATTCATGCATGTGTCAGACATGGGCTGGAAGACAGCTCACCATTGCTTCCCCTCTTTTGCAAAGATTCCCACGCGAAAGCTGGGATCAAAAGCCCGAGCTCACTCGAGATTCCAGATGTCATTTGCGGAGCTCTTGTTCTCAGAGGATCCAGCCTTTCGTCAATTGGCTGCACATGTGCAGAGCTCAGTACCTCTAACCATCAGCTTCGTAACTCCAGCAAAAGAAATTTACAGAAATAATACTTCCCTTGAGTGGCAGGCCGCAGCCTCTGACAGTGCCAAAGCTGCACATGAATCAAAAGATGTTGATTTTAGGGTACCAAGATATCCTTCGAAATGGCAGAGGGACAACAGTCGACCAAATTAACGCAAAGTAAAGTTATTTCGTTCGCTGTCGTGGCTATGATCTGACGGTCGCCCAGTCAATACTCCCATTGGATTATCCATTCAAGGCAGGCGATCGTGTGGACATTGTGTTTTTCTTAATGAAAAGACCGCACCATCTGAGATATGCGGTTGATTCTCTGTCGACTGATCCCGCCAGTCGTCTGGCCGTAAGACTGAAAAGCCTTAATTTGCTACCATAGTGGAAATTGTGTCTTCGCGCGAAAGGAGATGGATACGTGAAACAAATCAATCAGCTTGTTGATACTTTTGAAGGCGTTTCTTACGATGAGTATCAACAGCGTGAAGAAATCAGGACACGTTGGAGGAAGGCATACAGACAGAGAAAGAGAGAATGATAGCATTAAATGTTTGAGTTAATAGTAGAGGCGAGGAAACCAAGACAGCATGAGCAAGGATTATCTTTGGCTATTAGGGTATGTAGTATGCACGACCGTCAGTCACTATAGACATGGATCTCCTCCATCCTGCCTGATACAAAAATCAGGAGATACATAGTAAGTAAGAAGTACTAGTCCACCTACCCACCATTCATTCACCACTAACTCATGTCGATATCTACACATAAACACTCCGTACTAAGTTCAACAAAAAGAAATGATATGGGGCGAGCCGGGATTGAACCGGCGACCTCACGATTGACTTTATCAGTCAGACTGCAGTGAACTTCAGTCGTGCGCTCTCCCAACTGAGCTATCACCCCATTGGATAAGAAAAATGAGATTTATTTAGCATCATGAGAAAAGATTACAAAATATTAGTACCTAGACTACTTGACTCACTATATGATGAGATCGGTCTGGATATACTAGAAGCGGATTTTGTTTTTGTTTATAATAACAAGATTGACCTCATTTTCCATCCAATGGGGTGATAGCTCAGTTGGGAGAGCGCACGACTGAAGTTCACTGCAGTCTGACTGATAAAGTCAATCGTGAGGTCGCCGGTTCAATCCCGGCTCGCCCCATTATCTTCTTCTTTTTTGCAACTTTCTCCTGCAGTCACTTTCACTCAACCAAATGACTGATCAAGGTCGAATTTTGAATTGCATTAAAATGACATCAACAGGGGCCGGTACGAGATAATTACTAACTACTAACTAGTTGGTTACTATTATCATGGTTAATTAATATGGCATTACCTCAATAGACCCCCAGTCAGTAGTATGAGTGTGTTAGGGTCCTTATCACAGTCTGTTTGTTCCATGAAGCATTTTCGGAAGTGCTCCATCCTCCTGGTTCAGAGCCCCTCTATCTGCTAACCGAGTCAGGGGACTTTAGGCTGGAAGTGGCCAACTTCTCAAGGTCTTGAAGGTGGGGAAGTCACGAAATTGCATGGTAAGTTTTTGAACATTCCATTTCAATACATAATAGTAGTTGACTTTACGCTTTCAAAGAACCCGATCCAGAGCTTCTTGTTAACCATCTCTAGTAAGGCTTAGCTCTGTCATCTGCTGCGCAGCTTTAAGACAAATAGCTGCAGTTTCTTCAGATACCTCTCCAGCCCTTTCTCCTCCAAACGCACGAAACTTTACTTCCCAAAAATCCCAAGCTTCTCGGGAAATGCCGGCTTCACCTTTATAAAGAGAATGATCTGCTGTTTCATTGGGCTTCTTTTGTTCTCTTGTCGAGAACTCGAGTTCTGCTTTCTGGAACATTGCCCCTCTAGAATGCTCGATCCACTGCGCGGCTGCACATACTTGATAATCCCGGTTCTTCCATTTATGAGTTACGGGATCGGCAGGTCGGTCTTCAAAGGCGTAACTCATGGCTGTGACAGAGAAGCGGAACCATCTTTCTGTAACGGAATGGGTCAACCAATTTTCTAGGCCCGTAAACCCTGACTGGAGGAGTCGCGCTGAAAACGCGAAGAAGTTGATGCCTTGCTCAGCAGGGCTATAGTCGCACGAGTCAGAAGTCCCTATTGAGGATTAGTGTTTTGGAAATAATATCAAGTGAATCTATGCTCAGTGCTTACCATCCCAGTCATCCCACCAACACTCCGGCATGAAAGGCAAATCTGCCCAAATGCGGGCCTTGTTCTAAAAAACCGGATAAATTGGTAAATCTGATTGAGAAATAAAAGACTTTTGTCTCACCATCTTCCATATATTGAACTCCTCGGATGGTAGCAGCGTCAATTCTCTTATCAAGGAAACCAGCCTGTCCTGTGATTGATGGTCCTGAGGAACCTGCTTGCAAATGATGATAAAGAAAGCCCATATCTCCCTTAAATAGCTTTCTGGTTCCTCGACATCCTCTTCACCCCGAGCCTCTCGCTTCATGGGAGTGAGGTCATTCATCTGAGTAGCCGCTTCGGCGACAGAAAATTGGCTGTCTGGTTGCAGGAGGTCATTGATGATAGCGAAATTCCTCTGCTCGATGATCCAGGGGTCATCGTCTTCGAGAGACTTGAGGTGAAGGCTTAGCGTGGTAGCCATCGTAGAGTTGATGTATGAATTAACAATCTGAGCAGCAGGTGAAGAGAGTAAGTCGAAATTGAAGCAAGCCTGTAAGGGTTACGTGGATCTAAAAAAAAGGAAAGGAACTTTGTTCAGTGCGGGGTACCTGAATCACGTCGCGCGCGCTTAATCACAGCAACCATCCAGATGTCCTGAACGAGCGGGGCTGAGCTTGAACTATTTGAAGCCATAACCACAAATGCCCCCTTATAAACTCGTTTGGCGCTTAATTGTAATCTCAAATTAAACACCTGGATGCACGTGGCATTGGTATATTCTTAAATCCCAAGGAGATACTCATCACCAATACTGTGTGAATATCAATCCTAAGTAATGATTAAGTAAGCACATGTGCATGTACTGTGACCCCCTATGTATGCTTGGCTTCGCTAATCCAAACTTAACATAACAAGCCTCCGAATATTCAAGTTTATCAACAAGTCTTTTCTTTTATTCAAATGGATAGTATAGAAAAAGAGGACCAGGGAGTTTATTAAAGTGAGGGTGGTAGACTAGCCTCTTTGATGCTATCTCTACTTGATCTTATTCGTGCGTTCATCAAGTATCTGTGGCGGTGTCTTCCCATTTGCATTCCGGGAATCCATCGTGGCCCCAGCGTCCACCAAAACTTGGATCACCTCATGTCGTGCTCTGGCCTCTGCACTTAGCTCAGTCGGTTTAGCTAATTTGCCTCTCATCACCTCATGGAGAGGTGTGTTTCCTTTGTTGTCGACTGCGTTGACATTCGCACCTTGGCTGATGAGGTGGCGAATGAATTTCACTCGATTCCAATACCGAGCGACATAATGGAGTGGTGTACGGCTGTAAGAATCAGTGTCGTTGACATTGATAAATTCCAGGAATCTTTCCAAGATTGCAACATCCACAGAACCACTGGTAGTATCGGCGAAATTCAACGCTTGGGTATGTACTAGATTGCGCCCTTTGTTATTACATCTGCTCCCATCTGCTCCATTGTCGAGTAACGCTTCAAGTATTTCTATAAGCCGCTTATCAGCAGTACCACCACGTATTGTGTGATAATCCATTGCTATATTTAACGCTGTGTTGCCCATGTTGTTGTGGGCATTGATAATATAAGGAAGTGGCTTGGTGCTTGAAAGTAAGTTAATAACTGATATGATACTCTCTGAAGCTGTATGGGATATTACTGCGTAATGGAATACTGTTTCCCTATTATTTACTTGTATATTCACCGTAGCCAGATTAGTATTCAGTAATAATTCTGCAGCACAGACAGTATAAGTTATGATCTCGTCTTGGTCATGATTGTTATCTGAACCTAGATGGTCCCGACCACAACCACGTAGTGCACAGTATAGTAGGGTTCGACCTTCGCTATCAATAATCGCGACCATGCTCGCTACACCGGACTCGCCGGTATGATCTATAAGCACTTGCATCCCCTTAAGATTTAAGTGAATGCTTGTAATATGCATGGCGGTCGCTTCGCCGTTGGACATTCCATCATCCTACCCTGCTAGCCAGGCATAGATATTAGCACCTTCGGTGATCAGACGTGATACCAGCTGGTAGCTTGTGTGGGGAATAGCGGCAGCGAGCACTGTATCTAAAAGCACTAGCTCTGTTTGTAATTGGCCAGGCTTAGTTGTATTCACTTTCATGTAAAGATTCGAGTCTTGAATCGAACAACCTTGATCCAGAAGGAAGTGAATGAAGTCCTCCATCTAGGCAAGTTTCTCGCGGCTATCATGCTTGATCCGGCCCTCATTTTCAATTCTCATTGATTTGGCCGCACTGAAAAGGGGTGTCTCACTAGAATCATCCTCCCGGGCGTGCAAATCCCCCAACAGTGGATCATGGCTTAGTAGGCGCTGCACTATACCACGGTTTGCACCTCGACAGGCCAAATTCATAAGAGATATGGGAATGTGGGCTAGATACTGGTCAAGTGGCTCAGTAAGCGTCGGATTCGCCACGTAAATATCCAGCAAGGCGTGGAGCGCGTCGAAACCATTGAGTATGGCGGCTTGGACGAACGGATGATAGCACCACTGCCAGTATGCATCACTGCCCAAGTCCTGGAATATCGTCATATGGGGGTTGTCGTTGTATAAATGGAGAGATTTAACGTCATTCTGTGCGAAAACCGTATGCAAAAGAGCGAATTCGGGAGCTTCAAACAACGGAGCCCCATCTTGGTCATGGAAGGCGGGCTGGTGACCCTCTTCAGGGTGCCCTTCCTCGTCCAAAAAGTCAACATGCAACTCACGAAATCGGCTATAGGCCATTGTTTGGGATGGCTAGTTGCTGGATAAATGAGGGCCAAGAAGGTCAGGAGAGAGAGAAAGATGGTGGGGGAGGGCTATATACAACCACGCACACACGGAGACCGGAGGCGCTAAACCAAAACGGGTTCATAGAGGCAAAATTTTCATCTTTCTCCATACAACATCCGATATGGTGTAGTGGCTAACATCGTCGTCTCTCACACGACAGCCGGGGGTTCGATTCCCCCTATCGGAGATTTCTTTTTGCTTTTTGCATGAATTCATTCCCTGGAAAGGTTTCCTTTTCCATTCGATATATGGACAGGGAGTGGACCAATCAATATTCCTTTTGGGTTCTGTTTCTGCGGATCCTACTGGTACTCGGGAGGTTGGAAACTCGGTACTTGGGACATGAGGCTCTGAGACGTTTTCTCATTCAAATCAAATTCTGCGAAATTGAGTACATGGATACCACAAGCGCCCAAGTAGTAAAGGGGAGATACAAGACTGGATGCTGCCAGGTGTGATGTAGCGTGCTAGGTCACCATATACCATGAAATCATTTGTTCAGACTCTCCTTCTCCTGTGGGTATTTCTCTCATGACATATAGCAAGTATTGGTAAAGGTGGTCCATATCCCCACATCAAATCTTCTTCGCGGATATGTGCTCGACGTTTGTTATGGTCGGGAGGAGTTGATCTGCTAGAACGATGGACCTCTTCGCGCTCAGGAGGCGTAACTCTGTGGTGAGCGGCATCCTGTGCAACATGGACATGATGGTGGGCGTCGGGATGATGAGTCTGAGTTTCTGTTGGGACGGTATCGGGCGCGTGGTGGTGGTGGTGATGATGGTGATGAGGTTGATTTTGTTGTAAAGGACTTGGCGGGTTTGTCTGGTGTCTAGCCCTAGGTTGCGTGAGATTGTTGCAGGTGCCCCGATGCACGTTCGATATGCTGTCTCGCGCGCCTGGACTGGCAAAGTGAGGGATATTCGCCGGATGGGTGCGTAGAGGTACAGCTGGGGGGTTGGGGATTTGGTGAAAAGGGCAGCCTGGCTTTGGTGGTTTGGGTTGTTGGCTCCTCCTGAATTGCAAGAATTATTAGAGCCCCGTTTCAAAGTCAAAATCCAAGCAAATATCCACGCATGCTCTTCCACGTACATATCATGGGTAGAATTGTGTGCATGCCCTCTGTGGGCAGGGTGGTTATCCTTGATCTGAGAGCTGACCCTGCGAGGATTTTGATGTTTCTCAGTCGGCCCTCTAGCAGGAGAAGCCATTATATGTTCACAGAGTGTGTGGGAGCCATCGCTTGTGTTGATTGTATCAGCATGCCCATGATAGTGACCATTTATGACCTGGTGGCGAAATGTTTCCGCTGGAGATTGATTGGCACCATTCGGGCACACTAAAATGTGGCCATTCCAGACTGGAGAAAACATGGTGTGAAGAATATTTCAGTCGTCGATTCCACGAAGTCGTGTCATTCAAAAAATTCCAATTATTAACCTTTCAATATCTGTGTATGAAGGCGCTTGTGTAGATATGGGGTTGATTCATGGCCTCGGCAGAGGGGGATTATATACTTTCCTGACTCACGATTTTCTTTTTTCTTTTGTTTTTGAAAAAAAAAAAGTGTTTAATCCAACGGGATCTGTGGGTAGATTCCAGTTTCGTGTAACACCAGATGCAGTTTGTCTGTCTTTGAATGCTCTGGCGTTGAAGTGTCAATGCTTAAACATTTGAATCTTGAAACTCTTGGGAAAACACATGTGTAGGCACCTGGGCATGAAGATTTTTGGACGTAACCTTGAAAAACGGGGACCTGCAGGACGGGCCTTGGAAGGGAAGCCTCTCTAGGTTATGGACTGGTCTAAGTATCTTTGTTCTTGAATTACTGAGGTCCACATCTGTTCAGAATTCGAATGTTTCAACCAGTGCCTTACATCGCGGTTTCATAGAGCCGTTGGCTTCGAATTCGGGTCAACTGGTTGATATATCAATGACATTTGAAGTGTCAATAAAATCCTATCTCGATGCTTAATACATACTATTCTATGTATCATTTCTCATCGATTTCAAGAACATGACCTGACGAGGTGGGAAGCTGGTTACTGTGGGTCATGGAAGGGGTATATTTCTGAACCCATTCGGTCAAAATGGTGACGAATGTCTCACAGACAGCCTTAACAGCGTTGTCACGAGAGGCGCCGCAACTTTCGATATAGACTGGTGGCGCGTGTCAGTCTGATTCATGATCTGCGGCCAAACCGAACAAAGAGCGATCAGGAGACAAAGAACGAAAGGCAACTTACATTTGACTTTTGGCTCAGTGCCCGAGCCTCTAATCGTAAAGCGTACACCTCCTTCAAGCCAAAGGGTCAACATTTGACTCGTGGGATCTTCTGGTAGATCAGGCTTATTATCTGAAGAGGCGGAATCAAATCCTTCTGTTAGGTCTCTCCAGCGGAGAATTTTGTATTTGCCAAACTCTCGCGTGGAAAGAAAGGAGCCGCTTCGAATCCCACGGAACAATTCAAGCGTCAGGTCTGAGCTGGGAGACCGAAAGTAGTTGTTCAATGTCTCGTGATGATCGAATTCCGCAAATAGCTGGTGAAGTTTCGCTTGTGCAGTCAACCCCTGAGATCTCCATTTTGCATGTGCTACCAGAAAAACGGAGGCGGCTGTGATTCCATCCTTGTCGTAGCAAACTGCAGGAAACATGTACCCGAGTGCCTCCTCATAGGCAAACGGAACAGTCTTCCCAGTCTGTTCTAGGTCTCTAGCAACGTTACCCATCCATTTGAAGCCAGTTAACGTTTCTTGAAACTGAGCTCCTTTGGACTTTGCCATTTTTTCCAGCATGCCACTAGAAACAGTGGTGGTCAAGAATGTAGTCTGGGACAGATCTTTGCTGCTGTCCAATGAATCAAGTATATGAGATCCCAACAGAACACCCATGTGGTTTCCAGTAAAAAGAAACCATTCGCCACTATTCAGGTGAGCAAATACTCGTTTACTAAAAGGGAACAAAAAACATACTTCACCTTCTCTGCCGCTGCAAATCGATCAGCATCTGGGTCATTGGCAATGATGAGAGTCCTCCCTTCCTGGTCTGCTGCCTCTATGGCCAGGTCGAGAGCCCCAGCCTCTTCGGGATTGGGAAACTTAACCGTGGGGAACTCAGGATCCGGCGCTGCTTGAAGACGGACGGGTACAAAGTCAACCACACCAAGTGAGCTGCATACGTCAGGAAGCACTAAGCCTCCCACACCATGAAGTGGAGTATAGATGAAGGAGCTGAGCTCTCTCCACTTTGAAACTGTCGAAATCTTTTTCAATAGTCAGCTATCTTAAACGAAGACCATTGTTCCTATTGGTAGTACAAACTGCGTATTCTTTGACTTGGGCTCTGTATGGAAGGATGAGAGCTTCGTATGCGTCGCCATGCAGGTATTCGCCAGGTTGAAGGTCATTCCATGCACCTGACCATGGTTCGAGGTTTTCGAGAATAGATTGGGCTATCTCTCCATCTTCTGGCCGATTGATCTGGGCCCCATTGCTAGAATAACTGAGCAGGGCCAAGTCAGCTTAAATGTCAGAGCATTGTACGATAGGGATTTCTTACACCTTGTAACCTAAGAAAGTGTCAGTAGCTGATAGTTAATGATGATAGGAAGATACATACCGTTGTCTTGAGGTGGGTTCTTCGAATTTGACTGTTAACACTGCTTCTTCCATGGCGCTGCGCCAAAAAAAAAAAAAAAGGAAAGAAAGAAAGAAAAAGGGGACAGAAGGGGACAAGAGGGGACCTACATGGCTTGCTGTCACCATTATACCTGCAGCGGCTTTAAAGTAGTTGATACCAAAAGGAACCATCGGAGTTGGCGATGTTTGAGAGAAAAAGTAGACGGGGATCTGCAAAGCAATGAAGGCATTGGCAGCAAGCTCAGCAAATCTACGAGAATTATGGCGCGCGTCATATCCAATGACCACGCCACTGGCTGCAATTTCAGGCCGTTGATTGCGGATAAAGCTCGCCAGTCCCTGAGAGGCTTGAATGACGGTCAAGGAATTCATGCAAGAAAACCCCGCTGCCATACGGCCACGCAAGCCCGCCGTACCGAATTCAATGCCTGGCAACCAGAATCAGCTTTGCGGTTTCAGCCCATAAACATACATAACATACGGTTTCGGAGGCACAGCTCCAAGGCGTTTTCATCATTAGCATCTCGAAGGTGCTCTATTTCCGCTCGAGTATTGGGGTTCTATATCCGAATATCCGAGTGAGATGGTGATCAGGCCATAAGCATAGTCATCGGCCATCTTACCTGGTCCCACTGGAGCCATTTTTGAACGAGCGATAGAAGTGATTCCTAAACACAAAGGTCAGGCGAAAGTCAATATTTATTTTGTAACCAAGTATACCCCAGTACCTGAGCCATGTTATGCGATTGTGTACCTGAGTACGTGGTCGTCCAAGGTTCAAAGTTGCAGGTGTCTGCGCTAAGTGTAGTAATCACGGAAGTCCCGTGGAAGGACCGCGGTCGATCGCTCCCCGCTTGTTGATCCACCTCCTTGATACATTTCTGCTGCCTTGACCCCATCATTTCATTTTGTTTCTTAATGCAAGCCTTGAGCGACTGCGCCGATCATACAATGTATTGAACTTTACCATAAACTTGCTCTTTTTTCTTTCCTTTTCCCCTCCAACAGCATTTCCCCGCATTCGCTTTCTCCAACTCACCGCATCTTCCCACGATGGAGAAACCCGCGCCCCGACCGTCCCGGAAGGACACTCTGTTGAGTCGCCGGTACATTGAGGGATTGATAGCAGAAGGAAACCATGTTATAGTCTACGAGGACCGTGTTCTGAAGGTAGATGCCTTCATTAAATTTCACCCTGGAGGTGAAAAGCCAATAAAACACATGGTGGGCAGAGATGCGACGGATGAGATCAACGCGTATGGTCCCGACTCCAAATCGCTTGCCATTGACATTCACTGACCATATGGTTTCTACCTTAGTTTGCACTCAAGAGAGGCGCGCGACCGCATGCCTGCCTATCAGATCGGTCGAGTCGAAGGGGTCTGGATCAACTTCCTTCCCCCAATCCAAGGCGGCAAATTCCGTCTCTACGCTGAAGAAACATGCTCAAGCGAGGAGGACATGACAAGTCAGGACAACTCAAGCCAAGAGGGTTCCATTCCGCCTTCTCCTATCTTCGATGCAGTCGACTCCAAATCAGTAACCCGTCGAAAGAAGTCTTCACAAGGAACAGACACCGACGCTTCTACACCCGTGGAGTCGGAGACATATTCTCATCCCAAGCCAGCTTTCCTTGATGCACGAACAAGGGAAGAAATTGTTTTCGACACCGCAAAATACCCCTCGTTGGACCAGGCGAACCAAGAAAGCATCAAACACAAATACCGGGAGCTGAATGTCCGTATGCAGGCCGAAGGACTTTTCAACTGCAATTACTTCTCCTACTTCATTGAGTGTTGTCGGTATACTCTCTTTGCAGGGCTTGCATACATATTTCTTCGTCTTGAGTGGTGGGCACCTTCCGCGTTCTTCCTTGGATGCTTCTGGCACCAACTTGTCTTCACTGCCCATGATGCTGGTCATATGGGTATCACCCATAATTTCCACGTGGACACGGTGATTGGAATCATTATTGCCGATTTTATGGGTGGATTGAGTCTGGGTTGGTGGAAGCGGAGTCATAATGTCCACCATATCGTCACCAATGAGCCGGAGCACGACCCAGATATCGAGCATATTCCCTTTTTTGCCATCTCACATCGCTTCCTCAACAGTCTTAACAGTACCTACTATGACCGCAACATGACCTTCGATGCCTTTTCTAAGATCATGGTCAAAGTCCAGAACTATAGCTACTATCCTATTATGGCGCTGGCCCGTTTTAACCTCTACCGGTTAAGTTGGGAGTACTTGCTGAAGATGCAAGCTCCACGAAAGGGACCCGCCTGGTGGCATATCTGGCTGGAGTTTGCTGGTCAAGCTTTCTTCTGGTATTGGTTTGTTTATGGTGTGATGTATAAGACCATTCCCGATTGGAATAGCCGACTCATCTACTTGATGATCTCTCATATTGTGCCCTCGCCTCTGCACGTCCAAATCACACTCTCACATTTCGCCATGTCTACCGCTGATATGGGTGTCCATGAATCATTCCCCCAGAAGATGCTGAGAACTACCATGGATGTCGACTGCCCTACCTGGCTAGACTTCTTCCACGGTGGCCTGCAGTTTCAGGCTATCCACCATCTTTACCCTCGCATGCCCCGCCACAACTTACGCCGAGCGCAGAAGTATGTTTTGGAGTTTTGCAAGGAGACTGGAATTCCTTACGCTATTTTCACTTTCTATGACGGGAACAAAGAGGTCATCAGCCGGCTCGGCGACGTGGCGAAGCAGGTCCGCCTTATGGAGGAGTGTCGCAAGTCGATTGCTTCAGAGGGCGTTTTTTCGCATCACCACTAAATTATGACTTTCCTTGAGCTGTATGATTCTACGCCTTTACATATACTACGACCGAATTGACTTATTTGAGTTCTGCTTCCAATAAATAGCCTTGCTTTTTCCGTTCTAGGGCAAAACACATAAATTGTAGGCCATCATCTGGGCAAAGCAACAATTAATGAAGGTCTCTATTTGCAAATAATCTTTAAAGCCGTCCATGGACCAATTGAATAAGTTTACATATCAGGATTTACATCGATAGTTTATCCTGGCAAACCACCTCCCCGCGCTATCTTCTTTGCCCTTTGCTGGCGCCGATTATGGTTCGCTCGACTAGCCTTGTTTTCCTCCTTCCTCCTATTCGCCGCCGGGTTACTCTGCTGCCCCTGGCCCCCGGCTTGGGATGTTCCACCAGGTCCGCCAGGTCCACCGCCTCGTCCACCTCTCCCACCTCTCCCACCACGACCTCGTCCACCTCTACCTCTGTCTTGTCCTCCACGAGTCGCAGGACCACCAGACGACTCGCCCTCGTCACCAGAGTCCTCTCCGTCATCTCCAGCGCGCGGTCTCCGATATGAAGTCGAGGAAAGAGAGGGCTGGTTTAGCGATCCACCCGTAGAACCGCTAAGATCATCAGCAAGTCGGTTCTCGAGTTTAGCAAGACGTTTTGAATCCCGCGCAAGCATAACAGCCCAGCCTTCGATTGCCTCGTCCATCATATTAGTCTCACGCTTGAGTTGTGCACGAGGCTGTGAGCGACGTGTTACTGCATCCCGAGAGAATATCGCCGGGTTTGACTTGTATGCCCGGAGAAGCGTCATGTCGAGATTATCCGCAGCAGCACGCTGGTTCTTTGCTTCGGCCTCAGTGTCTGCGGTGATAGCGTCAACTGTACCGCCCACATCTGCGGCGTCGTATGTATCGTCGCGCTCGTCCTCGTCTGAGTCGAATGCCGCCAGAGCGGAAAGAATGGCTGCTTTGTTGGTTGCGTGTTGGCTGCGGTCCGCTAGAACCTCATCTGCGGTGAGATCAGGGTCTGCGCGGCCGAATCGTAATTTGCCCTTTGCATCCCCTGAGATGCTGAGCTCTGCAATATCCACATCTTCGTCGAAGATGTTTTTGCGTGATGGTATAGGGTCTAGTGGTGGCGAGTACATTGCGGGAGGTGTTGGGCGAGGTGCTAAGTGGTCGTGATTGGGTTCTGCTTGGGGTGGGAGTTGTTCGGCTCGGTCCAAGCCTTGCAGCTCTGGGGAAAGTGAGTCGTCCAGGAGGTGGGAAATCACTGTTTCGGGGTCGTCGTTATAGACGTCCAGGAGCCTCACCACAAAGGCGGAGCCCAGATCTGGGAAGAGGTCTTGAACCTGCAAAACAAGAGACATCTTGTGTGCATGAAGCTCGTCATCTTCGATTTGTAGACCTGAAGCTGGGCTCTTTCCTTTGTCCACTTTCTTTCGCCTTTGATACCGGTGATGCAAGTGTTTTGACTCTATCTGGTAGACACGGAGACTGGAAAGGAGGTCCTCTCCTCGTTTTTGAGGGTGGATAATGAGATACTTCTCAAGCCTCTGGAGCAGGTCGGAGCTACAAATAACATCCGAGAGAATTGTTGCTTCCTTTTTCATTTTTGATGTGCCAAGTCCCGCGGCAGCCTTCAAACTGAACAGCTGGTCCAGCAATAGCGACAAGTTGGGTGATGACTCTTTCAATAGCGATATCAGACCAACATAGAGATTGGCAACAAGAATCTTTCGAAGCTCGTCTCGAGCCTTTGGTGACTGATAGGTTTCTGCAAGTGTATCCAGATAGTCCGAGCCTGCCATCAGGACGTGGCCGCAAGATGGCATTACCGAAGCCAAGATTGTCAGACGTCGAATGTCTGCGACTATATCCGCTGTTGCAGATGAACTCATTGAAGACAGCTGGTCAATAATAAATGACTTGGCTTTTTCTATGCTGGATGATATCTTTTCCTGGTGCAAGCTCCATGCTTCTGATAAAGATGCCTTCAATGTCGTACTTGACGGGTAACAGCAGCACATATTTCCAAGCAATCGCCAATTGAATAACTCAACAGGAGGATTTTTAAGGGTCAAAATGTACCGCCTTGTTGTGAGAAAGCAAAGTTTGCGAAGCTTTCGAGCTTTGGGTCCAGACTGTAGACCCTGGTCCCCGGACGCGGCATTTTGATAGAAAGAGTCCAAGAATAAAACAGCCGAAGGATCTTCAGCAGCAGCAAGGGTAAAAATCTGATCATTCGAATTCAAGCGAACGCTAAGAAGCATCATCCATGCGTCCAGACATGCTTCCCAGTCATTAGATGGGATGGTCCTCCGGACTGCGGGGGAGGGCACCGGGGCCAATGGCGGGAACCCCGCCATTTTAAGGTGCGCTAAAAAAAAAGAATGAGGGGAGGAATGGAATTATCTCCAATGAGGAGTAAAATGAAAAGTGAAACGCAGGCAGGAAATAAACAAAGCGACCATAAATTAAGCTATGTCGTGTAGATAGAACTGCATTGGGTCCCCGACTTATATGGATGACTCAGCATCAACCCAATACGGACTAGCGTCATGATAACCGAAGCACCAAGCGTTTTCCCACTAAAAATGTTCACAATTCTCGCTCCACACCCACAATCTCCATCGGCCATCATCACATTACCGAGCCCAGCAGTTCAGGTCTTGATTGGCAATTAGCTTCTTTCAACCACCACAAAAATCTCAAGATGTCTTTCCAGAAGCCAGAGAAGGAGTTCGGCGAGGGCCCTGTACGTGAAATCTCATTCTCTATCATCTCCCACTATCTATCTCCCGCCACCACCCTCCCCGCCGTCGCAAAGCCCATCGTGCAATGCGCCGTCGAAAAAAACTCCCTCCACTCGCTTCCCATCTGGCTATGATATGCCCCCATGCCTGTGCAATTGCTAATACCCCTTATAGAAGGTCCACAAGATCCGCATCACCCTCACCTCCCGCAAGGTTGCCTCCCTCGAGAAGGTCTGCCAGGAGCTGATCGACCGTGCTCGCTCCAAGTCCCTCCAGGTCAAGGGCCCCGTCCGTCTGCCCACCAAGACCCTGAACATCTCCACCCGTAAGACCCCCAACGGTGAGGGTTCCAAGACTTGGGACAAGTTCGAGATGCGCATCCACAAGCGCTTGATTGAGTGAGTCTACCCGGATACATATACATGACTATGGCAGGCGGCATGCTCGTGCGCTGCATTGGTCTCAATTTCTGGAGCATGTTACTGACTCGGATACAGCTTGCTCGCCCCTACCGAGACCGTCAAGCAGATCATCATCAACATCGAGGCCGGTGTTGAGGTTGAGGTTACCATTGCTGCTTAAATGCACTACCCTAAGTAGTAGTTATTGCAATGGATCAGGGAGGGTCTTTGGACCTGCCGTTTCGTCTTGTCGAGTCTCATTGTCGGATTTGTGCTTGCGGAACAGTCGGTCGTTCGCTTTGAGCCTGAGAAGGATTTCGTTGTGGATACCCGCTATACCTGACATACAAAAAAATGGAAACATCTTGAGAAAGAAAAAGTAAAGATCATTCAAGTAAAAACTATCTAGATTTGCACTGCACTCTTGCCGTGGCAAGCGTGGAAAAGTAGCCTGCTGAACTCCATGCGCCATTTTTATGGGGTACCCGAACACTGAACCACAAAAGCAGGTTCACATCAAAGAACAAACAACAGCTGGCTGTAGGATCGATAAATGCATGCTGGAAATAAAAAGATACTGACGATAACCAAGGCGGAAGAAATATGAAAAAGCCCACGAGGTTCAAACAACGGGCGAAACGAACGGGCTTAGAAATCAAAGCTGATCCATTCTCGCTTGGGTGGCACCGCTGGGACAATGCCATCCTTGAAGTATCCATTAATGAGGAAGAATTGGTACATCTCGACGACTTCGGGTGTGTACTCATCATCTTTTCCTTGAGAGTCCCGTAGCGTAGCCGCATCAGGTGGCCCATCAGGAAAGTTGATACGAGCCAATGTCTTTGGATCTTGCGGGTGTTGATAACACGGGTAACCATTGTTGACGTATTGAACCGGCTGGCCTTTCCACATCGTGAGTTTGTTTGAAACCGGGTCACGTCTTGTCTCGCCCTGAAGACGTGGGAGGGGGTTCAAAGTTTTGGGATCGTCAGCTTGCATGTATGCAGGCGGGCCAGCATCCAAACTTGCTACCGGCAATCCTTGAGGGGCTGCAGGCTGACCAAAGGGAGCAGCAGTAGCTTGCGGCGCTCCAAATGGCGATGCTGTGGCAGCAGGTTGGCCAAATGGATTTTGAGTGTTGGCTTGCTGAGGTTGGCCGAACGGCGATGGGTTCTGAGAAGGTTGACCAAAGGTGCCTGCAGTACCTGATGGTTGGCCGAATGGCGAGGGTGCAGCAGGTTGCTGAGCTGCTGGCTGTCCAAATGGCGACGGGTTGGCATTCTGGTTCACGACACCGAAAGGAGAAGGATTGGGGTTCTGTTTCACAGCACCGAAAGGCGAAGGATTGGGGTTTTGGTTCACAGCACCGAAAGGAGAAGGATTGGGGTTCTGACGAGCAGCGGCGAACGGAGAAGGATTGGCATTTTGGTTCACTACACCAAATGGGGAAGCGGAAGCTGGAGCGCCACCGAAGGGTGCAGCAGGAGCCGTTGGCTGTCCAAAACCTGATTGACCGAATGTGGGCTGGTTGGTGACAGGTTGTGTTAATTCTGGCTGGCCGAAGCCAGGCTTTCCGAACGCAGTCTGTCCGCCAATAGCTGAGGGCTGCCCAAAAGGCGATGGATTTTGGCCTAGGGTTGATGGCTGACCAAAGGCAGAAGGCTGCCCGAGACTAGAAGTAGGTTTCCCGAATGGTGACGGCTGCCCAAATGGTGCCGGTGTAGCGCTTCCAAATGCATTGGCCGGGGCAGGGACAGATGGTTGCCCGAAAGTTTGACCAGCCGATTGCGCCTGGTTCACATTTGAACCAGTGTTTCCATTGACTATGTCGATGCGATTTGGATGTTCTTTACCTCCTTGGATGATGTACTGGATAGCACCGTTGGGGTCATTCAACGCATCTTCCATCTGTTTCACCGACTCATGGTAGAGAGCCTCGGCCTCTTGTAAGGCCTGGTTCGCGTTCCCTGCAGCAGCAGCTTGATAGTGGCGAAGACGCATTTCTTCCATGCTCTGCTCTCGCCGATCGCCACCAAATAACTGTCGTGGGAGATCCTTCAACGGCGCATATGCAGAAAAAATCCATTGTGGTCGGCCTTCGCCAGCTGTCAAATCCAGCTTGATGTCTTTAGCATTCAGGTTGTAGCTTCTAGAGTGTCAGTCAAAAAATTGTGCGGATTTGGATTTGGATTTGGATTTGGAACTGGATACTTACTCTGCTGGTTGGTTATTTTGGCGTGAACCTTGACCTACCACGCATGGCGAGTTAGCACTTGTAGACAATGTGATGTGGATGTCAGAGGTGGGTAAAATCGTTCTTCTCGCAAAGGATGAAGGCGCCATGTTTTATTGGGAAGGGGGTAAGGATTCGGGTTTTTGTCGTGGGTGATATGTGCTATGGGATATGAGAAGTGCAGGGTGCGAAGTATGTAGGCCGTGAAGTGTAGGTTGACGTGAAGGGTAGTAGTAGGTTGACGTGAAGGAAGGTGGAGTAATTGGTGGGTAGAATCCAAATTGAAACGTTTCCCTCAATTTGGACTCTTGTCTTCTGAGTTCACTTACTTCCAAATCCACCGGCAGCGAGAGCACCAAACCGGTTGCCCGATGAACCGGCCGTACCTTGGCCAGGGTGCTCAAACTTGCAACGGTCTAAATGATTATTAGCGACCAGTTGATATTCATACCAACAGTTACCTACCTCCAAATTTGCATCGGCCCTGCTGGAAGAAAGTACAGACAACCATCTTTGAGTTATGGCTGCATTGGCACTTGCTTTGTCGTGCTTGATATTGGGCAGGTGACCTCGAGTCAGGGTAGCAGTGAATTTGCGAATTTGAATTTAGGTCCAATTCACTGTAGAGTCAGTTGGAAGGTGAGGACTTTCCAACCACTTTGAATCCTGGAAATACGCAGGAACCTTGGGAAGGTAGAGGAGTAGAACGCGTATGAACCGGAGATGAAGCTGTTTTCCGCGAATTTCCAGTTCGGTTCACATCTCTTATCGCACCTTATCAAAGCTTATCGCACCTTATCGAGTCTTATCAGTTATCGGCCCCTCAAACCCTGCGATTTTAAGCAAAATAAATTTATTTAGCGATCACTTTGACGGTTTAATCACTATGTTTCCAAATTTTTGGTGATGTCTAGTAATTATATAAATGCCTAATACTTGCAAGAGGCCAGTCTTCCTGTCTACTAGTAGTTCGAAATGTAAGTGGCTGGTGAAATATATCTAAGAAACCCGTGCACACGTGGAATTTACAAAACATCAATCAATTGATAGATTGATGTGCATAGGCACCTAGGTAGATCAGTGCTTCTATGGACATGGTATCTACTAGGTACTTCTCCACATCCGCATGCATATACCCCTAAAATCTTCAAGACTGGTTGGAAGGTAGGTACTAGATACTAGTATGTATATGTACCAGTCTAGTATGTAAGTGTGGGGAAGTATGATCAATTGAAGCACACATGCATGCAATACCTTCAGGACTGGAGATCAACCTTCAAATGAATATTCCAAGATTGAATCTGCCATGTCTAGTAAGTAGCCTATGTAACATTCAGATCCAACATTTGAAAGCTCCAGCCTTGCCCGAAAGCTGCATGTGGAGGATGTTGGAACATCCATTTTCCACCTGTGCAAGAATACCGAGCTTTTAATATTTCGAACTCCCGAGGTCCAGGTGCCCAGGTGTTGTCCACTGTTTCCACATGTGCAAGGTTTCAATGTTCAGAGCTCTCTCTCATCAATCACACCTTGACGTTTTATACCTAGTAGCCTTGGAACCTGTGAGAGCCCTAGATAACTATAGCGCTTTCAGAGATCTGTTCTAACCAAGGTCAGTCAATGGATGTGCACTTAGGCAATAGACCTTCCGAGGATACTAATCTCGAGAAAATAAAACATTGGTTAACATTGGTTCCAACTTTAGAACTTCAAATGAAAACATTGAAACATTGCACATGTGAACATTTGAAAGCTTCAACATTAAATGTTGGAAGGTGGTGCATGTATTCTATCAATTTCAAGCCCGAACTCCTATTATTTATTGAACATTTAATTTTCAAATGTTGCTATCAATCATTAAATCCATGAATATCATTCCAGGATGGCACCGCCAGCTTGTGTATCACGCATACTTTGGCGAAGGTCATCCCAGTTAAGCCCATCCACCTTTTTCCCACCCAATGCCTCAAGCTCTGTTGACAGACCGTCAACTCTGCCTGTTGCTAAGCGCCGCATCATTAAAGTATCCTTGGCGCATGGGAAAGTGCTGGCACTTCCACCGAGCAGAGAATCTTCAAACCATTCCTCCTCATCTTCATCGAGTGGCAGCCCGACTAATTCCATCGCACGCCTGCTGCGTGTTTGACCGGCCCCAGTTTTGTGAACGAACTCCACCAACTGTACAAAGTAACTTTGACGCTTCAGATCATCGTACTTTCGAGAAAAGAAGAATGCCTCAGTGATGCTTGACCGGCATAGAGTCTCGTAGAAGGATCGCTGCACCTTTTCGGTTGCAAGAGGCGGCGCGGCGCTGAGATAGTATGCGATCGCGAGACCATCATCGTGTTTGGGAAGTTGAGAGAGAGTGAGGGCGTATAGAATTTCATCGGGAAAGGTGGGGATCAGGGAAGGTTCGGCTAGGTATTCAATTGCGCGCTGTTGTATGTTAGCGCTGGCTGTGCATCTCAAGTTCAAGTGGAGCAACATACCCGGAAGTCAAGACGATCCATATGCCAAAGGCCTTCAATAAAAAGACGGTATTTCTCGGGCAAGTGACATGAGCGCGCATACTGGGCGGCTGCGTCTGGCGCAGCGCGACAATCCTTGAGGAGGTAATAGATCAAGGCTTGCTTGTGATGGATGTCAAGTTCAGAGGAGACGATATGATCAATTAACGAGCGCAAGTCCGCATTGGTCTTCGGAGGGTAAACGTTTGTCACTATGAAGAGCCTTGTAATTAGTTTGACCCTCACCATTGGGCTACCAAGCTGTTCATACCTCCTTTGATACCGAGGAGCCCCAACAGCCGATCAGCAAAGAGATGATTCTCGAGCGCACGGCGGTTGGAGTTGATCTGTTCAACTATCTTGGCCTCATAATGGAACTTCTTGTTGAAGCTGAAGATATGATTGAAATCCTCCCAAAGCGCCATTGTCAGGAACTTAGTAGATGCTTTGGGGAATAAACAGAGTATGTGAGTTTCAACGAAGTGCTTCGAAGGGAAGCGGTGTAATCTTGGTAATGAATTTAGTATCGCGCTGGTGACGGCAGTACGCGGGAGAAATCAACTTTTAATCACCGCCCAACCTACCGCCCAGCATCGTAATGTTCCAGTTACAGCATACATCAATTAGTACTACTATTGCATGTCGCATATATTGCCGATGCTAATTGGGTTTCGCGGAATATTGCGACCTTTATTCCGAATATAAAGCTGGAGAACCTTGACTTCCCATGATCATCCATACACCATATAGAGTTCAAACAGTTTTCTTTTTGGAATAAACATAGCGGGTATGCAATAAAATGGCGTTAGGCACGGATTAAAACAATAATTTTACTGGTAATTCGTTTTCTGCCAATCTAACATGGATAAATTACTACCATTCAGGCTACGTACCGCCGGTAAAGATCTGGCGGTGAGGGCTGTGTTGTGGCAGAAAAGTGCCACTATTCCTATTTGGGCCTGAGGTAAACAACCCACTTTCTTAAGGTTCCCGCAGCTTGCTGCGTCTATCTTTCATCATCTCATCCCCCGCCACCCCCGCGCGCCCATGAAGCAAGCGCTTCAACCGATTTGCGCATAATGGCTTCACTTACACAGGGCCGACCCACTCGCCGTTCAGTATCTAGGAGGAGTTACGCAGCTGAAGATACTTCCGATTCAGAGGATCCGGGTAATGTAACGCCCACGGCCTCGACGAATGACGATGACGACGAAGAGGACGATGAAGAGGAGGAATACACCCCAGTACCCCAGAAAACGAAACGAATCTCGCGGGGCCACGCGAGACTTGAACCGTCAACGCCCTCTACTGCGCGACCAGGGCGCAAGTCTCGGCCCGCGGTAGCAGACGAATCGGACGCATCGCAGGTCACCGATACGGACGAAAACGACGAGAATGACGAAGGGGCCAGCCTTCTCTCCGTAGAGGCTGACCCCGAGTCCCCTTCCAACAACGCGGCATTGAAGAGAAAGAGTATGGAGGCTGTGGAGGCGGATCCCAGATCTCCCTCCAATCAGGCGGCATTGAAAAGACATAGTATGTCTCATCCCCGCAAGAGTCGTAGCTCAACCACGCCTAAATCGGTCAAGGGCTCACTTCCCACTCCAGAGCCATCCGCATCACCTGAGCCTGAAGCGCGCGCCCATCGGGAAAGTGTACCGCCTCTCTCCGACATTACCGAATCAGCCGTCAACCAGTCGCCATCGAAACAACCGGAAGAACCGAAGTCTCAGGTCTCTTACATCAACCCCAACTCTACGGTATTGGAGAAGCCAATGGACATCGTCATGAAGTCGAGAAATGTGGTTGCGCCCGCCCCAGAGGAGCCGGCTGAGGCCAAACCTCGGATGATCATCCAGAACCTGATTTTGACCAACTTTAAGAGTTACGCTGGACAGCAGGTCGTTGGTCCTTTCCATGCATCCTTCTCATCTGTGGTTGGACCTAACGGATCGGGCAAGTCCAACGTCATTGATTCCCTTCTCTTTGTGTTTGGTTTCCGTGCTAGCAAGATGCGACAGGGCAAAATCTCAGCCTTGATTCACAACTCAGCTCAACATCCAAACCTACCTTTTTGCGAAGTAGAAGTCCACTTCGAACAAGTCCTCGACCTACCAGAGGGCGGTCACGAAGTCATCCCAGATTCCCACCTGGTAATCTCTCGACGAGCTTTCAAGAACAACAGCAGCAAATATTATATGAACAAAAAAGAGACAAATTTCACCGCTGTCACGACTTTCCTCCGTGAACGCGGCATTGATCTTGACCACAAGCGTTTCTTGATCCTACAAGGTGAAGTCGAATCGATTGCCCAGATGAAAGCCAAGGCGACAGGCGATCACGATGAGGGTCTCCTCGAGTACCTGGAGGATATCATTGGAACTTCTAAGTACAAGACACCTATCGATGAGTCAGCTGCCGAGTTGGAGAATCTTAACGACGTGTGTGCGGAGAAGAACAACCGCGTGCAGCACGTCGAGAAAGAAAAGACTGCACTCGAGGACAAGAAGAACAAGGCTCTAGCGTACATTCGCGACGAAAACGAGCTTTCACAAAAACAGTCTGCTCTCTACCAGATTTACATTGATGAGTGTGCCGATAATGTCCGCGTTACAGAGGAAGCAATCCTTCAGATGCAAGAACTCTTGAACATGGAGCTTGAAAAGCATGAAGGAAACGAGTCAGGTATCAAGGAACTCGAAAAGGCCTATAAGCGTGGACTTCGGGAATATGAGACCATGGAGAAGGAAGCGCAGGGTTTGCTGAAGGAAATGGCTAAGTATGACAAGGAGTCTGTCAAATTCGAAGAGAAGAAAAAATTCTTGGTTGGAAAGCAGAAGAAACTCGAGAAGACTATGCAGACAAGCCGCCTAGCCGCCTCCGAGTGTCAAAGTTTGGTCGAGAAATTTAGTGACGATATTGAGAAGAAGACTGGCGAAACAACCGACTTCGAGAAGGAGATGAAGTTGGAAGAGGAGGAACTGAATTCTATTCGTGAGAGTCTTAAAGGAAAGACTCAGGGCCTTTCGGATCAGATCGCCGCTAAACAGAAGTCCCTCGAACCCTGGAACGAGAAGATCAACAAGAAACAATCTGCTGTTGCTGTTGCTCAAAGTGAGCTTGATATTCTACGCGAGCGTAGCAATGCTGGCGCTGTTTTGCTTGAAGAAGCACAAGGCAAGATCGCCACTATTGAAGAGACTTTGCAGAGCAAGCAAACCGATCTTGAAGAACGACAAGCCCAGAAGGAGACCCTTGAAGGTGAGGTGGAGAAGTTGAAGCACGACTTGAAGAAGTATGTCGCCCGGGAACCCGAAGTTCGTTCTCATGTTTCAAGTGCTCGTCAAAAGGCCGACGAAGCACGCGTCAGTCTTGCAAGCACACAAAATCGCGGCAGCGTCTTGACAGGATTGATGCGGCTGAAGGAATCTGGTCGTATTGATGGATTTCACGGCCGCCTGGGTAATCTGGGTACTATCGATGAGAAATACGATGTAGCCATTTCTACTGCCTGCCCAGCTCTGGACAATATGGTGGTAGAAACTGTTGAGGTTGGCCAACACTGTATTGATTATCTGCGGAAGAATAACCTCGGCCGAGCAAACTTCATCCTCCTCGATCGTTTGCCTCGTCGTGATATGGCCACGATCTACACACCCGAAAGTGTCCCTCGACTCTTCGATCTTGTTCAGCCCAAAGACCCAAAGTTTGCACCCGCCTTCTACAGCGTCATGCAGAACACCCTGGTGGCCAAGGACCTTGAACAAGCGAACCGGATCGCCTATGGTGCTCGGCGTTGGCGTGTGGTCACTTTGGATGGACAGTTGATCGACGTGTCTGGAACAATGAGTGGTGGTGGTACTCGTGTTGCACGGGGTGGTATGTCTTCAAAGCAAGTTGCAGATACCACCAAAGAACAGGTCACCCGCTTAGAGGCAGACCTCGAGGAGTTAGAACGCAAGTTCCAAGCCTTCTCCGAGAAACAGAGAAACGTGGAGTCCCAAATACGCGAGAAATCCGACGAGATCCCACGGGTCGAGACCAAGATCCAAAAGATCATGATCGAAATTGACAGCTCTAAGCGCAGCCTTGCAGATGCCCAGCGGCGCGTGAAAGAGATCAGCGCCGAACACAAGCCTTCCAAGACGGATGCATCTCAAGCAACTACTCTTGAAAAGCAGATTGAAGCCATCAATGATGAGATTGAAGATCTTAACAGCCAAAAGAGCGGCATCGAGGAAGAGATTCAGACCTTGCAAAACAAGATCATGGAAGTCGGTGGTGTCCGTCTTCGTGGACAGAGAGCTAAGGTTGATGGCCTGAAGGAACAGATCGCCTTGTTGGCCGATGAGATTTCCAATGCTGAAGTTCAAAAGTCCAAAAACGAGAAACTAATCACGAAGCATTCCAAGGCTCGTGATGGGTCAGAGAAGGAGATCAACCAACTCGTGGAGGAATTGGAAAAGCTAGAAGAGGATGTTGAAAGTCAAGCAAATGATGCTTCTGGCTGGAGACAAAAGGCCGACGAGGCCGAATTGGTAAGTAAGACCCATATAATGACCGACTGCACGACGCTAACAATATTTACAAGGCCCTTGACACGAAGAAGGAAGAGCTCAAGGCTCTCAAGCAAGAACTCGACGAGAAGGTAGCCGAGCTCAATGCGACACGTGCTACTGAGATTGAAATGCGCAATAAGCTTGAGGAGAATCAAAAGGCTCTATCAGAGAACCAGAAGCGCAGTCGCTACTGGGAAGAGAAGCTTTCAAAGCTCTCTTTGCAGAATGTCAGTGACCTGGGCGAAGAGCAAGAATCTACAGATCTTCAAATGTACACCAAGGACGAGTTGGATGCGATGAACAAGGAATCTTTGAAAGCAGTCATCGTGGCACTGGAAGAGAAGGTTCAGAATGCCTCTGTCGACCTTGCTGTCATTGAAGAGTACCGTCGCCGGTCTGCTGAGCATGAATCGCGATCCGCAGACCTTAACACAGCCTTGGTGGCCCGAGATAGCGCCAAGGCCCGCCTAGATGGACTTCGGTCCGCTCGTTTGAATGGCTTCATGGAAGGATTCGGTATCATTTCTCTCCGCCTGAAAGAGATGTACCAGATGATCACGATGGGTGGTAATGCCGAGCTCGAGCTTGTCGATTCTCTTGATCCTTTCTCAGAGGGTATCCTTTTCTCTGTCATGCCACCGAAGAAGAGCTGGAAGAACATTGGAAACTTATCTGGTGGTGAGAAGACTTTGTCTAGTTTGGCCCTTGTATTTGCCCTGCACCACTACAAGCCAACTCCGCTCTACGTCATGGACGAGATTGACGCTGCTTTGGATTTCCGAAACGTGAGTACCTGACAATCCCCCCACCTTAACTAAAACTAACAAAGATGCCACAGGTTTCTATCGTTGCTTCCTACATCAAGGAGCGGACCAAGAATGCCCAATTCATTGTCATCTCTTTGAGAAACAATATGGTATGTGCTAATATCTCGCCCCGTACATAATGAGCCTCTCACCTAACGCAATCTACAGTTCGAACTTGCCTCCAGACTTGTCGGAGTTTACAAGGTCAACCATATGACCAAGAGCGTTACAATCGAAAACCGAGACTACATCGAAGGTCGCTAACGATTGAAGAATCAATATTGCATGTTTTGTTTCTTGTTAACCTAAGCATCCATGGATAGGTACCTGGCTGGATAGGGTTGCCTGCTCGTTTTGATGATATCATGGGTTCGGAGTTTGCGGATTTTTGAATAAATTTTGTTTTGTTTCTTGTTCATTTTTTGATGGCCTGAGAGTCTTCTAATCTCACAAATACTTATTCTTACATCAAATTTCTCATTTTCAATACGTAGCGCTGAAGATGTTAGCACCTACTGTCTATCGATGCATCATCGGCGTTCAAGAATAGCGCACGTCCGGATAATACTTGGGAAATTAACCTTGGAAGGCGCTGTGGCTTGAGCTCCAACCGTGACTCCCGCACTGATCATCAAAGAAGCTTCCACCAGTCCCACTTTCCAATTTGGAAAAGACCACCATCAACTCCAACGTACCATCGAGTGTAACATTTTATTTGCCGATCAAGCATGCCATACTACTTGACCCCACTGGGCACGGATTTCCGACTCCTATATCCCGTATCCTTGGACACCAACCATGCAGGATGCGGGGTAAAGCGAAGAAACCAACGAAAGACAAGACGATCCTGCCAATCCGAAGCTCCAAATGTACATGCGGGGAAAGAAAACCTGCGGCAGAAATTGGACGTCTCAATAACGGATCTTGCAAAGGGATCGGAGTTATCCCGCGCCGGGGAATGTATAAGAATCGAGGAGGCGCAGTCAACCATGCATGTTATCCCGTTTATCTACCTGAGCATATTTTGATGCAAAGAATTCTATCTGAACCTTTATTCGACCGAATCAAGCTCTCAACATTAGTCACAGTCTTGCACATAGCCACAAATGCGGTGGAAATCCAGATTAGCACACCCGCTGGGCCTGTTGCTACTCGCCAGCACTGCGACGGCAACATCCGCAGTTGATCTCTCGCAATATGTGAATGTATTCATCGGCTCCGAAGGTCCTGATGGAACGGGGGCTGGTGGAGGCGATATTTTTGTGGGCGGGGCACGTCCGTTCGGAGTCGCGAAAGTGGGCATCGACTCGACGGCTGTGAATTGGACCACGGCTATCTTGAATGGCGGGTGGACGCCCGATGGAAATGTTACAGGCATTAGCATGATGCATGAGAGTGGGACTGGCGGAGCGCCGAAGTATGGTTTGATTGCTCAGATGCCACTGACTTCTGTTGAGTCTCCTGTCAATGTTCTTGATAACCGGACTTATAGCCAACCGAGGGTAAGTGGTGGGATTTATTCTTGAGTACTACTGAATTGACCTCACAATCTTTGGATAGATTGGACATGACGAGGCGAGCGTGGGATATTATAAGACTCAGCTGGAAAGTGGAGTTACGGTTGAGCTATCTGCTTCGCGTCATGCTGGAATTATGCAGTATGCATTCCCGGATGGGGAGAAGCATATCTTGGTCGATGTGTCTCATGTAGGTTACCTACTAATTTACACTACAGAATTGTTTGTTGTGAGAGAAACTGATAATCTTATTTAGTATCTACCTGCATCACCTGGCGACTCAGGAAGTCAGTTCTATGTCGGAGGAGAGATTGAAATCGAAAATGACGGAAAGTCATACAGTGGTTATGGAAGTTATATCGGTGGATGGAACAATGGTAAGCCAACCTGTCCCAATGCACGGCAAGATTTGAACCTAACCAGAGAAAAAAAATAAACTCATAGGTGCTCCATTTACTGTTTTCTTCTACGGAGAGTTCTCAGAAACTCCAGACGAAGCACAGACATTTTCTGGTATCAATACGGACCCTATTGCCAGATATCAAAATCTAGCAAACGGGGGAACAAGTCAACCGATATATGGAAACAAGACCAACAAAGTTAACTCGGGACCAATGACCAGCCGGATCGGTGCATTATTGAGCTGGAAGTCCGGATCTGCTTCGAAGATTGTCTCACGAGTGGGGATTTCCTCCATTTCCACCGCCAAGGCTCGCTCCTACATTGAAAAAGAGATTCCATCATGGACATTGAATGACACCGTAGCTGATGCTTTGAATGAGTGGAACGAGGATGTTTTCAACAAAATTCAAGTTCCACTGGATGATTCAGCAAATATGACACATGTCAGACTGCTGTATAGCTCTTTATACTTCATGCATCTGATGCCGTCTGATCGTTCTGGGGAAAATCCACTGTGGGACTCAGATGAGCCGTTCTGGGATGATTTTTACACCATGTGTATGTTACCCCTTCGCAAGGGACGATATTTATGTACTGACAGCCACAAGGGGATATCTTCCGCTGCACGGTCAGCTTCTATCATATTTTCCAGCCAGAATACTACGAATCTATGATTCGAGCTCTGATAGATATCTGGAGGTAATATTATCTACAAAGCCAGAAGCGCACTGCAAGTTTCTTTTACTTACTCATGAGTCCTACACAGACACCAAGGCTACATGCCAGATGGTCGATCCGGAAACTGGAACGGCCTCGTGCAAGGCGGCTCGGATGCAGACAATGTCCTAGCAGATGCATACGTAAAAGGACTACGAGGAGCAATCAACTGGACAGATGGATATGCTGCAATGCTCAAAGACGCGGAGGTGACACCGTACAATACATTCGACCCGACAGATTTCACCGCAAGCACAAAAGAAGGTCGCGGTGCCCTTGACGACTGGAAGGAGCTCGGTTACGTATCCGAGGACCGCAACACGCGTTGTATCTCGCGGACGGTAGAGTATAGTTTGAATGACTTTGCGGTCAGCCAGGTTGCGAAGGGGGAGAGACCGGATGATGTGCAGAAGTATTTGAATCGTTCTGCAGGGTGGCAGAATATTTGGGATACGAGTGTGGAGAGCTTGAATTTTACGGGATTTTTGGCGCCCAGATTCTCCGATGGGGCTTTTAATAGCTCTGACTATGATCCGCGGTTATGTGGGGGCTGCGAGTGGTCTTCCTATACTTACGAGGCTGTTCCGTGGGGTACGTTCTTCTTCTTCTTCTTCTTCTTCTTGAGGGGTTTGGTGGAAACAATCGATGGAGCTGACGGATGGCATGCCAGAATACTCTTTTGTTGTCCCTCACGATGTTGAAACTTTGATCAAGTTCATGGGAGGATCGAAAACATTTGATGAGCGGCTTGATATGATGGTAAGATGCACGCATGATTGGTTATTGTGATCTATCACTAAATGAGGCTCAGTTCGCGCCGAACATGGCCATTCAAAATCTTGGTGACAATGGAGCTGGAATTACAACGTTGATGAACATTGGGTGCGTTACATTGGATCTATCTCGTTGGAAAAGTCTAACAAGTTTCAAAGAAACGAGCCCGACTTCGCCACTCCTTATTTGTACAACTATATCAACAAGCAACATAAGAGTGTTGCACAGTCGCGAAGCCTCGCCAACGAATTGTAAGTCCAGAAACTTACCAAACCGCAGCATGTGATTCACCACTAACCAAAACACAGCTTCAAAGACGCCGCCTATGGCATACCGGGCAACAGCGATGCGGGAGCCATGAACTCGTGGCTCTTGTGGCAGATGCTGGGCATCTACCCCATCGTCACGCAACCTGTATACCTACTATCGTCTCCGTGGTTCCCTGATTTAAACATGACAATCAACGGCAACCAGACGCTGCGGATCTCGGCGACTGGACTGGATGAGGGATACTATGTGCAGAGTGTGAAGATCAATGGGGAGCAATGGACGAAGAATTGGTTTGAGCACGACGATATCATGACCAATGGCGGGCGCATCGAGTTCGAATTGGGCAGGGATGCAAAGATGTGGGAAAGTGGAGATGTACCGCCCTCGCCCGGCCATGTGGAATTGAATTAGAGCCGACTCTTGTATTCAAATGTTGAGGGCACGAGAGGGGAGGCGCATGCATAAAATCATATGCAAATGTATAGAAGATGGGTTGATTAGCAACTCTCATCCACTATTTCATGTGCGTCATCTTTCTTTGACCCTAATCTCTGGGCGTCCTTGCCCCGCATCTTCCTCGTGTGACATGCAGGGCTTACTGTACCATTTCTTAGTTGAACCTGTACGGTTTAGTGCCGGTCTGTTTCTGCACCAAAGAAACAGGATAAAGAGAATTGAGTTTATTTTCGAGTTGGCAACCAATGGCTGATAAGAAAAATGAATCGTTGCAACCAAGTTTGTACCCTTGAATAGGCAGATCGCTGCTTTTTCAAGCCGCCAAGGCCGACGTTCCCTTGACGTCAGAGCGGGATGAAAGGAGGAGGTTGGATTTGAGAGTGAATGTTAGTCCCCAATGAAATAGCAAGTGTATATAAAGGAGAACCATTGTCTCGGAGCTATCAGTGGATTTAGTTTCCCCCTTTTCCGATCGGCGGATGATTCATTGAGATCTTGTATTCGAATCCATTGAGCTTGGCGATCCATTCCAGACCCACCGCATTCAAGTCTGTATACAACCTAAAGCATTATCATCTTCAAAGCTTGATCAGAATAAAACATTTGAAGAGGGACAGTATCCACCTGGAGAAGAGAAGAGTCAACAAACCAAAATGGTTAGTGCATAGTACTATCTATACTAGTACCCACGGCCCAGCAATACATGGATCCGAGGTCCAGTACCATGGCTCCAATCTGAAATCCGAAACTGATGCTTCCCTCTGTTCAGGCGCCCGTCGATTTAAACTTGAAGCTTCTCGCAACGCGAGCAACAGACGGATGTCCAAGCACAGTCTCGAGCGGTGGAATCGCGGGTATTGTGATTGGGTCCATCGCCGGAACTCTCCTGCTCCTGTGGCTGTGGCGACTTTGCCGATTACCTGGAGCATGGAGCGGTGGCGGTGAACCGGACGTGGGCTATCGTCCCCCAGTGACTCGGACTCGAGGTCGCAGAAGAAGAAGCACTGGGTCTTATGTTGACGTGATTGAGAAACCAAGAAGTGTCCGCAGTTCGCGACACTATCGGGATGATGTCCGGCGACCAACTAAGGTGTATGTCACCTAAGATTAAGAGGCGATCAATGCCAATCCGGAAGCTGGACCAGCATGGGGCGCAGGGGGTAATGCCTACCATGGTTATGGTGATTTATGGGGGAAAGGGAAAGTGAAAAGGGCGGAATCCGCACGTGCGTAATATTTGACGGGATCAATTGATTGGGTTGTGGAACACGAGATTTACGGGATGCACGACTTCTACCGGCACACGATTCATGCCCACTGGCATTTTCAGGTCCATGACAATGAACTCATGAATAATGATTTAATCCATTAATTTCGAAGCGAACCACATCATTTCTAATTTTCAAAATTAAATGTTTCAATTTTGGGGTGTGATCTCGGTTTAAATTGCTGAGAGTAGATTAGTCTCCGCAAGTGAACCAACCAACTGAAAGGACAGAGTGAACAAGGAAGGAAAAAAGAAGAAAAAGAAAAGAAAAGAAGAGCGCCCAGGGGTCTCGGGGTTCTCGGGGGCCCGTACCGTCAATCCCCTACCAGGACCCTCTTTGCCCTGAAGCGATGAACGAACTCGGGAAACAGGGCTAAACTTCGGTTGCCGTACCACATCCCGATCTCTCCAGTCCTGATGTCAGCTTTCAGCCAGGAGCGAAACTATTTATCTGTCCACGTAACGACCAAGGACCGGCGCGACGCCACAAAGCTTCGCCCAGGTCATTCCTGTCAGAAATGGACGAATGAGGGTGGTTGAGTGGTACCCCCTTTTTCAGGTACGGATAGGGAGTAGCTTCAACTCGCTTGTTGTGAATCGGACCTGCTTAAATTAGGCCTGAGCGGATACAACCTGTGAGGCGGGGACTGGCAAAATCCAGGGATTTGATAACAGGGTCTCCACAGGGTCGCCTTAGCTTGTTGACGGCGTTGATTGTGGATTATCAAAGCGGAGTCAGAGTCCGGATGACTCGGTTCGTGAGGGAATAAAACAAGAGAAGAAAAAAACAAAGACCCATCACCCATCCACTCCGATTACTTTTCCGATGTGAATACGATCTCAAAATAGCACTCATTTTAGGATTGTGATGGGGCTCCGGAAGAGTGTTTTTAAGTAGGTTGCCTAAGTACGAGTTTTTTTTTGGGGGTTTTGGTAATAGGGGGGATAAGGTCCAGATAAGGTGTACCGTACACGAGGAAATTAGTTTGAAAATGAGTAGTAGCTGGTTCTTTGACATTTGCCGATCCGCTAAGGTTCGATATACGAGAATACGAGAGGCTTGGTATAGTCAACTTAAGTGTTTGCATTGGCAGCATATGTACTACTAGTACATACTACAGTGCATACAGTTAAGAGCCCAAAGTCTTGACAAACCAAGTTGGACTCTCTCTGCATTCAACCGTGGATCAGTTGCTCTTATCGGGAAAGCGCGATCCAATCAAAATCCAAGACGGGAAGGTACCAGAACATTGCAGATTCAGTGGCGGTGGACTCTATGACCCAAAGGGTTCTAGTCCACTCCAAATGGGGTTTAGAGTCAGGCACGGGGCCGCTTGATTAAACCTGCTGTGGTTTTAGCTTAACACAGCAAATAATCGTGCACTTCTCTCCCCTTACAGTGAAAGCTCGAGAAAGCCACAAATTTAACAAATCAAATTTTAAATCTTTTGCTTTTTTTTTTTTTTGCCCCAGAGCGCTAGGACAAAATGGCGAACCCACTTCTGGCGTGTTTCCCCCCCCCATTTCCTTTGCTTCCTTTCTCATAATCTCCCCTGGGGCTGCTCGTGGTTTCTTCCACTTCCGATCATTTCGCGTGTGTATACACACTTCCACTCATTTGGATTAGAGGGAAACTGAGATCTTGATCTTGATCTCGTCCATTCATTGTTTCGATCTGTTTTCCGTGGAATTACCCTTTTGGGCCCGATATTACTTCACCGTTGGTTTTAGGAGATAAGAGACAGAGGAGAAAAGAGACCTGCCCATTTCACCATGAGAACTACATTCGCTTTCGCCGCTCTGGCTTTGGCTGGATATGCCACTGCCCAGACCTCAACTTCCTGTGATCCCCTCAATACAACCTGTCCTGCCGACTCTGCTCTTGGCACCTCGCATACATGGTATTTCAACGAGACTCTCGACTCCACCATCTGGAACATGACCGACGGCTCTCTCGATTATACCGACGACGGAGCCGAGTTTACCCTCAAAACAAATGGATCCTCTCTTCTACTCCAGTCCAACTTTTATATTTTCTTCGGTGTCGTCGAATCATGGGTCAAGATGGCCAAGGGACCTGGTATCATTAGCAGTGTGGTTCTCGAATCCGACGATCTCGACGAAATCGACTGGGAATGGCTCGGATATAATACTTCACTCGTCACCACCGATTTCTTCGGTAAAGGCAACACCACCGGATACGATCGTGGTACTTATAACTACGTGGAGAACGCCGACACCGAGTTCCACAACTACACCACCCATTGGACCGCCGAGAAAATTGAATGGTCGGTAGATGGCACAGTTATTCGCTCACTTCCCTTCAACGACTCCCTGGCACTTGGTGGAAAGAACTACCCCCAGACTCCCTGCCAGGTCAAGGTCGGTATCTGGGCTTCCGGCGAGGTGGGCGAATCTGCGGGTACCATCGAATGGGGTGGTGGTCTGGTGAACTGGACCAATGCTCCTTACACCATGACTGTCCAGAAGATCCGTGTCGAGGACTTCAGCAGCGGCAAGGAGTACAAGTATGGCAATCATTCAGGTGATTGGCAAAGTATCGAGGTTATCTCGTAAGTCATGGCAAATAAGCTTCTACGAGAATAAACTAACCGTTTTCTTCAGGGGTAACTCTACCACCGTCACCGAATTGAACAAGAAGCCCAAGGAGACATTAGCAGAGAAGTGGGATGACCTCGGAGAAGGAGCCCACATTGGAGTTTACGCCGGTGCCGGTGTAGCCGGCGCACTCATGATCGGTGCATTCACATGGTGGTGCGTACGTCAACGCAGCAAGGGCCGTTTGGAACACGCCCTCGACGACACCAAATATGAGGACCAGCGTACGGAAATGCAGAACTATCAGAATAATTGGAAGCAAAGCGAATGGCGAAACAGTGGCTATAAGCAAGTCACCTCTTGATTTGTTTATTGTTTTTGTTTCGATCGCTACGAACGGGTTCCGCGAACCTGTTTCGTCCTGTGCTGTCGCTCTCTCTCAGACACCACCATGACTTGACTTGATTTTCTGACGAGACTCTCGTGTCCCTTCCGTGGGCGTCTGCGATGGCCATGGAACCCATTAATGACCATTTCCTTTCGCCTCGGCTCTGCCGGTTCTTGCATCATGCATCTGCCCTCCATTTCCGTGCGCCTCTTTTCTTTTCCCTGTTGATATCCGTTCTTTGGTCTTTATACTCCAAATTTCCTCGTTCTTTTTTTTGTACGGTTCAAATCCACCGGCGTTATAAATGCCTGCTGCCTCTGCCTCTGTTCCGTTCTAGGCCATTCGTTCATATACATGATTTGTACATATTTTTCTCTCCAAGACATTCTGTTTCTTCCCTCAACATCCTCCTTCTCTGATTGTTTTTTTATTTATGATTTCTCAAACAGCCCCGCACATGCAGGACTTACTGCACGCAAGGTGTCTGTCCCCAAAAGGTAATCAAGAAAGGGATTCGACATCTCCACCCTTACATGCCAGTGAGAATGGTCGCGTCGAGCCAGTCTAGACTAGAATTAGTCCCCTATCAGATCGCCCCGCGACCTGCAAGTCTTTCTTGCAAATTAAAAAGATGACCTCATCAATGCCAAGGTTGTCTCTCATCTGACGTTAAGATAAGCTGACTGCTTTACGACGTGAGAGGAATGCTGCGGTCGGCCCGAACGGAGCTCCCGCCCCCGATCGAACATTGGCATTACGAGTCCAATAGCTGAGCCAAATTACTCAGTTGATGACGATCGGGCCAATTATTGGCTCAAGAATCAAGCCGAGGTTCCAGGGTGGACCCAACGGACAGGAATGTCTCTCTCAACTCCGTGACTGTTTGAGCCACAGGGTGCAGGGTGGACGGCAATTATTCCTATTCTGTGAAAGAGATTATGTCGTACAGAAAACGTTGGACAGATTATAATATCCTCAAGCTTGAAAGGTGGGGTTAGGGATGCACCGCGAATCAGCTTTCGAACTGGGGAGCTACGGGCGTACGTAGTGGAAGCTTCACTGCTGACCGCGGGGCTCGCGGTACTACCGCATTGGCAAACTCAAATCGGACTTGGGCATCCTCTAACCCCGTCTTTAGGCGGACTTGATTTTCTTTCATATATAGAGTGGCCGGATTCTTCCTCTTGCCTCGCTCTCCTTACATCATTTTCTATGCTTGCATCCTGAATCTGATTGAAAATGAGTTCCAAGGAGGTTCCTATTCCGGGACCCAAGGGGGTCCCACTTCTGGGTAACATCTATGACATCGAGGCTGAAGTGCCAATGAAGAGCATTGAGCTGATGGCTGATAACTACGGTACATATCAACTCAAGTACCCCGCATTCACTGGTCTTTGACACGAGCTAATACATTTCCTACCGTCTCTAGGCCCAATCTATCGACTTACGACCTTTGGCTCCCCACGTGTATTCGTCAGTTCCCACGAACTGGTCAACGAAGTTTGCGACGAAGAAAGATTCGCAAAGGCAGTCACAGGAGGACTAAAAGAGATCAGAAATGGTACCCATGATGGCCTTTTCACGGCAGATGTGCCGGGCGAAGACACCAATTGGGGCGCTGCACACCGAGTGCTAGTCCCCGCCTTTGGGCCATTGGCGATTCGTGGAATGTTCGATGGTAAGACCAACGCAAACACAGCTACATGTGTTGAATTTACTCGGATATTCTACCAATTACGTACTAATGATTGACTAATAGACATGTACGATATTGCGAGTCAGCTCGTAATGAAGTGGGCTCGACAAGGCCCGAATGCCAACATCACGGTCGCAGATGACTTCACCCGCTTGACGCTGGATACCATTGCACTTTGTGCCATGGGCACTCGCTTCAACTCTTTCTACCGCGACGAGATGCATCCGTTTGTGGAGGCCATGGTGGGCCTACTTGCTGGGTCGGGGGCACGGTCTCGCCGTCCGGCTCTTCTCAACAATTTGCCCACGAGCGAGAACGCGAAGTACTGGGCTGATATAGATTATCTGCGCAATCTGTCACAGGAGCTGGTTGAAGCGCGGAAAAACCATCCCGAAGATAAGAAGGATCTTCTTAATGCCATGGTTCTAGGGCGAGATCCTCAGACTGGGAAGGGCCTGACTGACGATTCGATTGTCGACAACATGATTACTTTCCTCATTGCTGGTATGCCACTTCATGATATCTAATTGATGGGAGAAAAAAAGGAACCAACTAACAATATTTATCATAGGACATGAGACTACGTCCGGCATGCTATCATTTTTGTTCTACTACTTACTTAAAACACCACATGCCTACAAGAAAGCTCAAGATGAAGTCGAGCAGGTTATTGGACAGCGCAAGATCACAGTGGACGATATGTCCAAACTTCCCTACATCACAGCCGTGATGCGCGAAACGCTGCGACTGAGGCCCACTGCACCATTCATCAGCGTACACGCCCACCCGACTAAGAACAAGGAAGAACCTGTTACCCTTGGAGGTGGGAAGTACGTCCTCAACAAAGACGAGCCCATTATTGTGATGGCCGGAAAGATGCAGCGCGACCCTAAAGTATGGGGTGCTGACGCCGACGAATTCCGACCCGAACGAATGCTGGACGAAAACTTCGAAAAGTTGCCCAAAAACGCATGGAAGCCATTTGGAAATGGTATGCGAGGCTGTATCGGACGGCCATTTGCGTGGCAAGAAGCCCTACTTGTCGTGGCGATTCTGCTACAGAACTTCAATTTCCAGATGGCTAATCCCAGCTATGATCTGCGTATCAAGCAGACCCTTACTATCAAGCCTAAGGATTTCGAAATGAAAGCATCTTTGCGCCATGGGCTTGATCCGACACAACTTAGCATCGCATTGGGTGGCACTGCAGGCGAGGCGAAGGTGGCTGGTCTTGAGGATCGGGAGAAGAAGCCCAAGCAGGCTCCTGCGAGTGGCGAGCTTAAGCCGATGCATATCTTCTTTGGAAGTAACACGGGTACTTGTGAGGCGTTTGCGCGCAGATTAGCAGATGATGCTGTGGAGTATGGGTTCTCGGCCTCGACCAATTCTTTGGATTCTGCTCTGCAAAATATCCCAAAAAATGACCCTGTTGTTTTCATCAGCGCATCTTATGAAGGGCAACCGCCTGACAATGCGGCTCACTTTTTCGAGTGGCTGAGTGAGCTTAAGGGAAGCAGCTTGGAAGGTGTTAACTACGCAGTCTTTGGCTGTGGACATCGTAAGTGATATTAACCCCCGACTGATCAATAAAGTGTGCTAATATTGAATATAGACGATTGGGCTGCTACTTTCCATCGGATTCCAAAGGCAGTCGATGCGTTGGTATCGGAAAACGGAGGAAACAGACTCTGTAATATTGGACTTGCCGACGCCGCTAATTCAAACATGTTCACTGATTTCGATAACTGGGGAGATTCCACATTCTGGCCCGCTATCACATCGAAATTCGGCGGAGGACAAGACAAGTCAGCCAAATCCAAGACATCCCTACAGGTGGAGGTATCTTCTGGAATGCGCGCTTCGACACTAGGCCTCCAGCTAGAGGAAGGGTTCGTGTTGGAAAACCAAGTCCTGACACAGCCTGGTGTACCTACAAAGAGACAGGTGAAGTTCAAGCTCCCAACCGAAATGAACTACCAATGCGGCGACTACCTGGCCGTCCTTCCCGTGAACCCAACTCCCGTGGTCCGCCGAGCAATCCGCCGCTTCGATCTACCCTGGGACGCCATGCTGCGCATCCAAAAGCCATCAAAGACTGCAGCCGCCCCCTCTTTCCCGCTCGACACTCCAATCTCCGCCTTCGAGCTCCTGTCCACATACGTCGAGCTCGCCCAACCTGCCTCAAAACGCGATCTGAAGCTCCTTGCTGACGCCGCGATCGAAGATGCCGAGACTCAGGCCTCCCTCAACTACATCGCCTCGAGCCCCAGCAATTTCACCTCCGAAATCGTCCAAAAGCGCGTCAGTCCCCTGGACCTACTTCTCCGCTACCCTAACATCAAGATCCCGATTGGCGATTTCCTCGCCATGCTCCCACCCATGCGCGTACGCCAATACTCCATCTCCTCATCTCCGCTCTCGAACCCAGATGAATGCACAATCACCTTTTCCGTCATCAACGGCCCCGCTCTCTCGGCCAGCGCCTCAGAGCCCAGCGCTGAAGCAGAAATCCAATACATGGGCGTCGCATCAAACTACCTCTCCGAGCTCCAAGTCGGTGAACGGGCACACATCTCCGTCCGCCCTTCGCACTCGGGCTTCAAGCCCCCAGTAGCCCTCGAAACACCCATGATCATGGCCTGCGCCGGAACTGGCCTCGCGCCGTTCCGTGGATTCATCATGGACCGCGCTGAGCGCATCCGCGGTCGGAGCAGCTCGTTCTCCGCGGACCACGACGGCGAGAAACCTGCCAAGGCAGTTCTATACGCTGGTTGTCGGACTAAGGGTCAAGATGATATCCATGCTGCTGAGCTGGAGGAGTGGGCTAAGATAGGCGCTGTTGAGGTCCGTTGGGCATATAGTCGCCCGGCGGATGGATCTGGTGGCTGTTATGTTCAGGATCTCATGCGGAAGGATAGCGAGGAGCTTTGCGAGTTGTTCGAGTCTGGGGCGAACATCTATGTCTGTGGCAGTACTGGGGTTGGGGGTGCTGTGAGGGATGTTTGTAGGGAGATTTATCTTGGACGGCGAAAGGAGAAGATCGAACGAGCTAAGCAGACTGGGGAGGAGCTTATTATGGATGCGGAACTTGAGGATGATGTCGCCGCTGATAGATTCTTTGAGAAATTGCGCACCAAGGAGAGGTTTGCTACTGATGTGTTTACGTGATGGGGGGATTCAAGAATCTGTTTCTTATGTATATTCCTAAATTGCCAGTGCATCACTTGTGGAAGCCTCAATTCAAATCTTCTGACGGTCATCTCAACTTCTGTATCTGTGTCTACTAATATTTGAAGTAAATGCCAACGGGGTAGGATGTATGTGCCATCCCTCAGCATGGCTGAACCGTTGTTCACAAATTGGTGTGGAGCGTTGAACTCACCGCGTCGCGGCGTCTTGAAGATATGTGCCCCGCCATTCAGCACATTACTTTCTTTTCCTCAATCGAAATAGCCCCAGGCCTTGTTACTAAGTTTGAACCGCCCTCTTGTGGGGCCAACTAGTAATGACTACTAATGTAGACGAGGAGCAATGTGGAGAAATGCGGGGAAGACAGGACCCTTATTCCTACCTTTCCCCATCCTTTTTGTGTTAGACTCACCAATAAATAGTAATTCTTTAGTGAATGAACTAGAGATCCCTGCCACCAGTAACTCCCCTGTTGCCTCAATGCAATTGCTCATTTAATCATGCAGAAGATCAACACCGATACGGCCAATAGGCCGCATCTAGCACACAGGTAGGCCCTACCCTCGCAGTACGTCAAGATTGTTTTAACAGTGGAGAAAAGTCAGGCACATGAAGGCGACATACCGGGAACTGTTGATCTTAGCGCTGCTGAAGGTGACGATACAGCGTACGGACAAGCGCTTTACCCTGTTCCTGCAGAAGATCCTAATGATCCACTTCAAGTATGTAAACAATGTACCAGTTCCAACAGCAGGCTCCTCGCTTTGCGTCATGAAACCAGACGCTGACTCTTCCCTTGTTTTTTCCATTGCTCTAGTGGCCAAAGTGGAAAAAAAACATGATATTGATAATCGTTGCAATTTATTCTTTCCTTGGAAACAGTGCATTGACTGGGCCCTCTGTCTATATCACGATATACAGTGAAGAATTTGGAATCTCGTCGGCGGAGGCTTCTGGTCTCATATCGTATCCAAACTTGGCATTTGGGTTTGGTAAGGAAACTTTGACGATGATGATGGTTTTTTGTAACGAGGATTTGTTGCTGATTTTACCCAGGTTCACTTATCCTTGTGCCAATGTATCTCAAGATAGGCCGACGACCAGTGACGCTATTATCGATGATGACAGTAAGTCGAGAGATTGAGGATAGCCGAGCCTTGCTAGCGCTGACAATATTTAGTTTTTGGCGGGTCTAATCGGTGCCTCTCGATGCACGACCTATACTGGCCTTATGGTTGCGCGCATTTTTCATGGATTTGGCAGGTAGGTTTGCAACCCAATACAAAGGATACAAAGTACAACCGAGATCTAATTTCTTTTGACTAGCGGTGTCTGTGAAAGCCTGCCAGTTCAGCTGGTGAATGATATCTTTTTCATTCATGAACGGGGGAAGAAGCTGGGCTACTACACAAGTAAGTTCAAGCTGCAAAGTCACGCCAGGAATACGAGCTGATAGATTAAATTCTCAAGTCTGTCTCTGCCTTGGAGCAACAGGGCCCTTGTATGCTGGCTATATGCTTGCAAGTGGTTACTCCTGGCGTCTATTTTTCTATGTGGAAGCTGCCTTTGCAGCAGCTCTTTTAATTCTCGCTTTTATCTTTGTCGAAGAATCCACCTATCACCGAGCTGAACAACCTACCTCATCTCAGCATATATCAGTAGAAAGCGAAAAGAAAGAAACAGACCAACTCGAAGAGTTGGAAAATGTATCTTCAATCGAAATACCTCAACGGAAGAGCTTCATTTCAACACTCGCGTTATGGAGCACCGTTGACCCAAATGCGCAGTTTTTCCTGACCATCCTGCGCTCTTTCACATATTTCTTTGTGCCTGCTGTCTTCTGGGTGATAGCTAGTTATGGTATGTGTATCCGCTGATCCAAAAACTAATCAACTTTTAATCAGATATGTACTAGGTCTCTATATTGGCCTTGGTGCCCTAGCTTTCAACTACACTTTCCCGATCAAAATTATTGGGCCACCATATAACTGGAGCGAGGTAAACTATTCCAACTCCCTTCAACTCTGTGACGGATTCCTAATCCTCAACAGACAAATTCCGGCCTCATAGCCATAGCCTCATTCATTGGCTACCTCCTCGCCCTCCCATTCACTTCAACGTCCGACCGACTTGCAGCATATCGAACAAAACGCAACAACGGAATCCGCGAGGCGGAAATGCGTCTCCCAGCTCTATTCCCAGTCATGCTACTTCCTCCCGCCGGGCTGATCTTGTATGGTTTCACAGCCCAACGCAACCTACACTGGGTGGGGTATTTTGCTGGCGTTGCCATGAACATGTTTGGCGCGTACTTTTATTTTACGTTCACGCTGGCTTATGCAGTGGACTCGTACTATGCTAATACGTCTGAGATGCTGATTGCGATGAATCTCGGGAAACAGGCTATCTCGTTTGGCATGGGGTCTTATCTGCTAGATTGGATCTTGGAAAGGGGGTATGCGGTGGTGATATCTGGAATCTTTGGGGGTGTTCTGCTTGCGAATAACTTGATGGTCATTGTATTTGTTCTCTTTGGGAAGAAAATTAGGATTTGGACTGCCAATTCTTGGTTAGGAAGGCTGCATAAGAGATCGGCGACGAGAGATATGACTCAGTGAGCGGTATCTTGTATGGCGGCCGATAGAGGCCACCCACGGGTGAGACTCCCATCCCAATTTCAACTTTCCGACTGGCAACATTGAAGAAAGGGAGGTAGAGATCCTAGTATATAATCCATTCCCAAGTCTATTCTCAAGTCAATTCAAATGTTCTAGAAGTGACCCGCATTTAGATCAAATCCCTTAAGATACAAGCTGGAAACCCTCACTTCGCTCGGGTGCTTGCTTCCGGGCATGTTCTTTCATACACACCAAATCCCCGCAGAAAATCGCTCAGAATCTATCAAATTAACACTCCATTATAGGGGTAGGAAGACCGAAAGTATAATAACTGGGCCTATCGGATAAATAAACAGACCGGAAAAGGGCTGAGAACTGCCAATCCCATCAAAAACCAGGTCCGTATACAGTTCTCAATAGTAAAAGTAAATGAAATCTTGATAAATGCAATACGGGAAACAGGGCGGTGAAGTTAAAAATTTAAATTGTGAATCTCAAAGTGCCAAGTCCGCAGCGGACTCAAGTGCTGCAGGTGTGCATTGACTCGAGTCTTGGCGAAACAGCGGGGTCTCTCAAAAGTGAAGATTTGAGTAGAACTGACCCAGACCGCTAGATTCCTACGTTCTTGGGAATTGTGCCTGAATTTCCATGGCCCATTCTGTATATTCTCATACGCAACAAGAATAATCACTTAAAGCTGTCAGAAGGCTCGAAGCCCAAGGCCTAGGAGCCATTTCACGTTAGGACTAGCGTTGTGGATCAAAACAAATCAATAATTACTTTTACTACTTATAATTTAGAACTTGTCGTACGCCAAAAGCTGTTGTCGTGAGTCGCAACTCGTGTGCAACCTATTAAACGTAGCACACACGATCGTATGCATTTCCGGTCAGCAAATCAGGGGGAAGGACTTCAGATCCCCCTGTCGGCATTTTCCCTTCATTTTGCCTTCCTCCCTTCTTTAGCAAGGGATCGCTGGCCCACAGGCGCGCTCAAAGCCGCCGCTAAAACGCCACCCTGAAGATCTTCCCCCTCAGTAAAGCCACGCCCCGCGTCCAGGAACAAGAATTACTACGTGTAGCGGGGAAAACCCGGTAAATACTCAGCTAGTTTCTGGCGCGGCGCTTTATCGGAACGACCCCTCATACTTGTCACATACTACATAAGAGGTATCTGATCTGCAGGGTCTGGTACTTCGCGTTTTTCTGCAATTCCTTCTTGAACACCCCCAGCTGAGAGCGCACAGATAATATGATCCAATTGAGCAGAGCACTAGCTATAGCCAGTGTAGCCTCGCTACTTGGTCACTGCTCTTTAGCCATTGCTCAAGAGCCCACAAGTACAAATGGTGAGAGGCTTTAGCTATGTGCGTAACTTTCAATGGCTAAATACTAATAATCATGTGGTATAGCTATTGTTGTGGAAGGAACTACCTTTGCGTTGAATGGCGATAGTGTCTCTTACCGGTTCCATGTCGACAATAGTACCGGGGATTTATTATCAGACCACTTCGGTGGCAGCGTGACGGGCCCAATTCCAACTGAGATTGCGAGCGCGGTAAACGGTTGGGTTGGGACACCTGGTCGCATCCGCCGGGAATTTCCAGACCAAGGTCGGGGGGATTTCCGTATGCCAGCTATTCGCGTCAGACAGACTGAAGGATACACTGTGTCGGATTTTCAGTACCAGTCCTATGAGATCAAGCGTGGAAAGCCGGCTTTGCCTGGTTTGCCGTCGACATTTGGAACCGTGGACGATGTCACTACGCTTGTCGTGCATCTATATGATCAATATAGTGATGTTGCGGCCGACTTGTCTTACTCGATCTTTCCCAAGTTTGATGCAATTGTGCGCAGTGCCAGTATCACGAACAAAGGGAAAGGCAATATTACTGTCGAGTCGCTCGCGAGTATTAGTGTGGATTTCCCCTATGAGGACTTGGATATGATCAGCTTAAGAGGGGACTGGGCACGAGAGGCGCACCGTGAACGAAGAAAAGTCGAATATGGAACCCAGGGGTATTTTTTTATCTTCCGTTCAGCATCTATTATCCTCCACAAGACTAACTAGTCGTTCAAATCAGCTTTGGAAGCTCGACAGGCTATGCCTCTCATCTTCATAACCCGTTCCTGACACTACTAGACCCAGCTGCTACCGAGTCCTCTGGTGAGGCATGGGGCTTCTCGCTCGTCTACTCTGGGTCCTTCTCTGTAGACGTGGAAAAGGGCTCTCAGGGCTTTACTCGTGCCATGCTTGGATTCAATCCCGGTCAATTGTCGTGGTCATTAGCCCAGGGTGAAACCCTGACCTCTCCAGAATGTGTCGCTGTCTATTCCAGCAACGGAGTCGGTGGGATGTCTCGCTCTCTGCACCGCTTATACCGCAACCACCTTATTAAAAGCAAGTTCGCAACCGATGACCGTCCACCACTTCTCAACAGCTGGGAGGGACTTGGGTTCGACTACAACGCGACCAGCATCTACCAGCTGGCCCAGGAATCGGCCGAACTGGGCGTCAGAATGTTCGTCTTAGACGACGGTTGGTTCGGTGACAAGTATCCTCGCACCTCGGACACCGAAGGTCTCGGTGACTGGGTTCCCAACCCCAACCGATTCCCCAGCGGCTTAGCAAATACCGTGAACAACATCACTGACCTCAAGTCCGGCAACACATCTACCAAACTCCGCTTTGGCATATGGATGGAACCCGAAATGGTCAATCCGAACTCCAGCCTCTACCGCGAGCACCCGGATTGGGCGCTCCACGCAGGGCCGTACCCGCGCACAGAGCGTCGAAATCAACTAGTACTTAACCTTGCTCTGCCCGAAGTCCAGCAATTTGTCATTAACTCCGTATCCAACATCCTCAACACCGCAAATATTACATATGTCAAATGGGACAATAACAGGGGTATCCACGAGATGCCTTCCCCTTCCACTGACCACGCATACATGCTGGGAATGTACAAGGTCTTCGCAAACCTCACCACCCAGTTCCCCGACGTACTCTGGGAAGGCTGTGCCTCAGGCGGAGGCCGCTTCGACCCAGGCGTCCTACAATTCTTCCCTCAGATCTGGGCCTCGGACGACACCGACGCGATCGAGCGTATCACCATCCAAATGGGAACGTCTCTCGCCTACCCGCCCAGCGCAATGGGCGCACATCTATCTGCCGTCCCGAACCAGCAGACTGGTCGAACACTACCTGTCGCTTTCCGTGGGCATGTCGCAATGATGGGTGGATCTTTTGGGCTGGAACTTGACCCGGCCAACATGCCTGAAGCTGACAAGGCTGCTCTGCCTGGTTTGATTGAGCTTTCTGAGAAGGTGAATCCCCTTGTTTTGAAGGGTGATATGTACCGCTTGAGTTTGCCGGAGGATTCAAATTGGCCTGCTGTTCTATTTATTTCGGATGATGGCGACCAGGCTGTGCTTTTCTATTTCCAGATTAATCCGAGGGTCGACCATTCTATCCCTTGGATTAGGATGCAGGGGCTTGTTCCGGGGGCCATGTACAGTGTTGAAGGGAAGGGGGTTTTCTCTGGTGCTACGTTGATGAATATTGGCTTGCAATTTCCCTTTGATACGGATTATGGTAGCAAGGTTGTTTTCTTTGAAAAGCAATAAGGGTAGCCATATTAGTTTCCGCAATCGGGGATCTAGATTATCAGGTATATAGAAATCAATTAAATGTGGGGTTCCGATAGATCCTCTTTTCAAAAATAATGCAGGGTTTGAATTGTAAAAGTCTATTTGTATCCCGACATCTGGACACTCCAGATGCCCCTTCTAAGATCCAAGTCTATAATTACTGGCAGCTGTCAAATCGCATGAACAAAAAATCACTAAAAAGCAAGAGACCAGCTCTCGCAGAAAATCCGTACCAAACCAGCCGTCTATCGACACCAAGTTCCAAAGGTCAAAACACTCAAACATTGCTCAGAAATGCATTGCTTAACGGCGTCTGGGAGTCACGGTAGCACTGGCACTAGCGCTCACGCTTCCACCAGCACTGGGCTGGCGCTGAATAGCAGCCTTGATATTGCGGATAGCCATAACATCATGCTGAACCCTAGCACGAAGCTGTTCTTTCGCCTCGCCGGTAGCAGCCTCCCATCTAATGTAGTCGGTGTGGTAGTTTCTGATCGCCGCACGGACAGCGGGGGGCTCTGTAGCGACCGGGACTTCAGAGGGCACAGAGGCGAGGGGAGTCGATGAGGGTATGATGGAGGAGGTTGCGGTGGGGGTCACCGAAGCGCTTGCGTGGCTGTAGGCACGGGGGGCCTTGTAAGCCCCGGAGGCGGGGGCGATGACGGAGCTGAGCCCCACGATGGGCATGTCACGGGCTCCGTTACCAGGAATACTCAGGGCGTAGGTAGTGCTCATGAGGCTGAGAGTGATGAAGGAGTGGAAGTGCATTTTGATGGGTTGTGGCTTGGTGGCTTGAAAGATAGATAAGATGTGTGGACTTGATTGTATTGGGTTGTTGATTGTGAATGAATTTCGAAATGCAATGTTGTCTTTGACCTGCTTTATATCTTCAGATTCGATGAGTACATGACGACGGAGCGACTGAACGGGTAAACACCACTAAACGGGTAATTGGGGCTTTTGATGAGATTCTTCGAATCTGTGAAATCCATTGATGGCAAGATCTTAGGTTGATCAATCATTTGAAACAAGATCGCCATGTGTAAGATGTTCACGCAAGTGGCTTACTTGATGGTGGGTGGCGTATACCTAAAAAATGTGGAGCACTGCCATCTGCAGAGCTTCGATTAAAGTAGGTATCGGCATTGCGTATTGGGGCGGCTTCATGGATGTTCAGAGGATCCCGAGAATGTAGTATCTTTTAATGTCGCGAAACGCAATATTTTCCAGCCTTTGGCCCCCGTTGAAGTGGGGGCAACACGGAATCTAGACTCTGGAGCTCTAATTTACTTCTCTTGTTGTTTTGGTTCATGCAGTATACCAACGGAAACCTTCAGGTTCATATCAGCACTTTTCGACATTGAACACCAATTTAGGTACTGTTAATTATAGTCCATGTAATTTTTATTTCCGCAGCATCAAACCAATAGCGAAGTTTGATACTTGATATTTTGTTTCGCCACGCCGATTTCATGTTTGGGGGCTAGTATTGGAAGCCACGACTTTCTAAATTTCGCGTTTTGAACAGATGATATCCGAAATCTACTGAATGTCAACCTTGACTGATACGACCTAGAGATGGGATGTATGTAGTGAGCTTCTATTTTTACAATGATTGCGTGAGGTCATTTTGGAGGATGTGGCCTTTGTGTAGTCTGAAACGACATCTGGGTATCCTCGGGGCCAGCTTTCGTAGATTTCTTATTAGTTTGCCTCATTCTATTTCCAACCAGGAAATCCGGACCCTGGTTACAACAATCATGCAAAGTCCATGTTCATTGCCCAATGGGGAAGTAAATCGGTGTATCATTCTTGTACCTCTGAAAAAAAGAAAAATTGGGAAACGGTCCGTACCAATCCTCAGGGCAAGCCTAGAACAAAATTCCACTCTAAGATTGTCGCCCGCTTTGAGTCCTATAAGTTGTGACGGCATTATTTGCGAAAGAACCCCACGTTCTCATTCTAAACGAGTGAACAAGGCCTTGTTTCCAGTATCTCGAGTTAAAGAATACTCTTCCGTATCCCACGGAGAATGACGATCCTCGTATCGAACAAGTGAAGCCACTTTATGAACCGTCAAAAGGGCCTGGATGATGGTGGCACTCCATGCCATACCAAGAAAATTATGGTTGTGTCGAGCCGAAACATTGGGGTCGCCGCTTGCACGGATCAACGTGATGAACTTTGTAGCGACCACCGAAGTGATAATGGAGGCGATCAGAAGCGTCATCGTGCTGAGCTTTATAAAAATGTTAGTTGGCGAAACTTGACAAGATCTCAAGAACATTGAACTTGTCGCATACCATTAATGTAACAAGTTCTAAGTAAGATGGAGGCGTTTCGAGGTTGCCCCGGATTGAATAGTCCGGGTGGCCGGGCAAAGGCCGTGCCTTGTAGTCGGGTATGCGGTAACGTGCAAACCGCCGTCTAAAGTGATGTGCGGCGACACGTATGAAGGTGGAAAAGATGACAAAAGCGGTGCCGATTATGAAAAACACCGTCATGGCTCGACTGGCCGGGGCCAACGCGTCGAATTCATTGCTCAGCGTAGTAGGAAAGTCTCCCCCCTGGGGCCTCAACGCAGTTCCTATCGAGTCTTGCATGGCCTGGAATGGTTTGAAATGGAACGAAACACTGCGATCAGAGCATTCGCTCATGTCTGTTATGGTTGTGGTTGTATTTGTGTCCGCCTCGATATAATGACGCTCGTGTCCCACACAGTAGGACATGAGATAGACGTTGATGAAGTTTGGAACATCTTGGCTTGGTAAATTGGATAGTTCAATCTACGAGGACTGGGTTAGACTGCCTACATCGCAATTATTTCGCTGCATGTGTTTCAACTCACTTACCCTGAAAATCTCAGCATCGATAAGCACCTCGCGTGCGCTACCTGCAATTAAACATAGAAGCAGAAGGATCAAGGCCACCACCGATCCAAACACACGTAGCAGAGGATGTAGGTAGTAGGCACTTGCCATTGGGACACATCGCGGCCTCAAAAAGCTCCAACAATTTTCCTTAATTGCAACCGTCCGATGCGCGTCAATCTAATATACACTTTGACTTTCAGGAACAATGAGAGCATTCCACGCTGAAAGAGGACTTTCATTCATCCAAGACCTCACATTTTGATGACAAGCCTCACATTTCTCAATGCTTTTCGATTTCTGACACACAACCATCAAGGTGTACTTGTATTGTACAACTGGAGGAAGGGATGATGAAACCTCGAATGCCCATGTTCCGATAGATCGGTTCTTGAAATGTGAGATCGACTTTTACGGCATTTTATCGGGTTATCGTGCCCCCAAGAATGGGCTAACTTACCTCGGTAAGAAGTGTGCTCGCATTATCCCGTTCGCTTGGTGGATCATGCATGAAATAAAATTTTAACAAACCAGTTGACGTGTTTGCTGTGGAATGTGGCTGCGGATATCGAATGCAGGGGGCGGAAGCGATCTCGAATGAGAAACAGAAAGGAATTAGGGTTTCAGAAAGGCATTTCTGAAATGTAAAGCCGGCATGTACAGAAGTCTATAATTCTGTAAGGGTCAAGGTCTCGCTTCCCATACCCTCGCCCGACAAAAGTTGATCATCGTGAAGTAGTTCCTTAGGCGTGCTAAATTAACAAAATATCAACTCGGGCCTTCTCGGTGGCAGAATAAGGCCAAATTTCAGGTATAACATGACCCGCGCCTAATCGTCGGAATATTCTTTTCTTCTCGTCAAGGCATTCAAGCATCAACGCTTGAGACCGACAAATGAGAGCACACCAAACGCCGGGATAGGCAGTTTGTTCATCCTCAATGTCAAAATTTGCAAGAGCAATAGCCCGCTCCTCGTTTCCTAGGCTTGCAGGGGCAAGCTCTTCCAGTCCGCCGCATCTTTCTTTCGGAGTATCCCACAGCAAAGCTGGGAACTCATAGCCCAATTTCATATTTGCGCTTGTCCTTAAACCCTTGTATCGCGAATCTGTTTTGCGAACTACCGAAGTGTAAATCAGTGGAGCATTGATCTGCAGCATTCCATCGCTGTTGACGATCTCTCCCGCGATATCCACCTCGTAAGAGTCCATACAGACTGACGCCACGGGAATTTCATCATCCCTTGTATCATTATGCCGCCTCCAGAATTTGTGTCTCGTGGACCCATCCACGGCGGCCCAAGACCATGAGGGAGCGCGTGTATTTTCCGGCCTCCTCATCTTCCATACTGTTGGTCCAGCTCCACCGACCGGGTAGCGCCACGAGTTCTTTGATTCCCACAGCAAGCCCCACGGTAAATCGGACTCCCAGATGCCCGCCACATACCGCCCTCCGATCTCTTCCTGGAGACGGAGGGAGATACCGTTGATCGCGGGTAGTCGATCGCTGGTATAGGTGAGCATCCGAGTTGTGTATACATCGTCAATTGCTGAGTACCATGTTGAGAGAAAGTCCAGTCGTCGATCGGGAGGAGGGCTAGGTTTAGCCAATCTTGCACCAATGTACTTTCGCCAATCTCCAGGCTTTAAGAACATTGGCGTTTCAGAATGGCGAATATTGGTTGAGTTTGTTCGTAGACCGTCTTCATACTGAATTTCTTCTCTACATTGAAAGATAATCTGATGTTCCCCGTACACTAGCAGTCGGTTTGGTAGAACGGACTCTTGGAATACCCAAGCTCTTGTTCGTGCTGATCCACCAGCTACGCGACTTGGGGTATATCCTCTCAGGTAAACATGGCTTTCGTCGTCGTATTTGAGCTTGAATGGCCTTGGAGAGCTCCGGGTTCTCAAAAAGCTTTCTTTGACAGTCTTCACATTCCCTGCCTGTACCGTCAAGTAGGAATTTCCATAAATGTTTTTCATTTGGCCGATCTGCTCTTTCTTGAAGTCGCCGTCATCTTGGACAATGCAGAGGGCATCGACCCACACATATTGCACACCAAGACCTTGAGCAACCTGTATGACATCCTGTATTGTTTTGGGTAGTTCATCGTAGTCGATTGAATCTTTCAATTTCTGGATGTTTTCTTTCATCAGTTGAACTGGCTGAGGTCTGATCCCCCAAATATAGCTCAACGCAATATAAAGAGCTTTCTTGTTTAGAAATTTGTCATTTTCGAAAAGCCGCAAACTCGGTTTTGTGTCGGCATTACTATGAATCTCGATCGAAAATCGAGGCAACAATGCATCCTCATCGGGATGGCAAGAAGAGTGATGGCGGGAGCATGAGGCAATCCATCCATGAATTTTAGCAAAGACCTGATCAGACGTCGGGCTGGGATCGATCGCTCTTGCGGGACAGTTTTTCGCTATTGGCTCATCTATGCAGGGTTAGTTAATTTGGAAGACCATGATAGAAGAATCGGACTTTCTTCTTACCCGGACTGACGAATATTGAGTACAGAACGGGATGGTCGAAACCATGGGTATGCTCCATTAGCATATTTGGGTCTGCATTTATCTGGGTCGGAACTAACGGGTTGTGGCCATTCCATTTGAACGAAAATGGTGGTCCGGGGTCAAGGTTCTCTGATGCCTCGAGGGTATCCCATGCGATGCGTGCACTTCCACTATAAAGATAACTACAAAGTGGACAACCATTAAGGGCGGAGGACTTGAATTGCTGAAAGCTAGACCAGTTTTCGTCATAGCCAGAGGCAATTTCCTTGACTGGTGGAATAAGACTGCATGAAGGGCATAGCTTATCACGGTCCTGCATAACAGCCATGATGACGATAGATATTGTTGGTGTTTGCGAACTGTAAGTCTGTAGATGCATCAGCGGAAAAACATCAGTGGTGGGGTAATTACAGCGGGGGGATTTTGGAAGCATTTAACCGGACTGGCCAATCACAATACAGTTCCTGATCCACAGATCACCAACCAATGACAAGCACGGGAAGCAAGATTCCAGACGGCTCGGGGATTGAAATTTTGGATCAACGCCTTCGGCATTTAAAAATTCGGTAGTGACAGGGCCGAATCCATAGAAATTGGTAGGTTTGTCAAAAAATTTTCCCCAAGGCCTCAAATCCGTGGCCAATTGTGGATCCGCTATAGAAATTTTTCCGTGATTCGATTGGATCTTGCGTAAGAGGAGGCCCGATGGCGTGACATAGTCTAACTTCACCTCCCCCAGATCAACGACCCCTGCAATATATTGAAAGCTGCATTGCTCGGCCGAGAGATTCGAGAACGGTTTGATTAAAGCGCATCGTCCGCACATTTTTCACGGAATTGTTTATATATTTGTCCAAAAAACGAAGCCTAAATCAGCATGGTTTCAGCCGTGAAGAGTGTAGCCGTGATTGGTGCCGGCCCTTCGGGTGCTATTGCTGTTGATGCATTGATTCAGGAGAAGGCTTTTGACGTGGTTCGAGTTTTCGAAAGACAGGAAAAGGCTGGCGGATGCTGGTATGTCACCCCCAAATATACCAGACGAAAATCCATGTATACTGACAAGAAAAAACAGGGTCTCAAGAGATGATGAGCCTCCACGGCAACTCGATTTTGACGGGTTAGCAGCTCGCACCGCAGATGCACCTCTGAAGATCCCAGAGCAGCTCCCATGTCGGACCCTGCCAGGAACTCAGGATCGCTTCACTGATTCCCCTGTCTATCCCGGACTGGAAACGAACGTGGATGCGGGAGTCATGTCTTACTCCCAAGAGCCGATCCCCACTGTCCGGTCTCAATGGTCGATTGACCGCCACGGCCCAGAGACACCGTTCCGGCATCACACTGTGATCCGACAGTACATCGAGGATCTCATTACTAAGAAGGGACATGGCGAGCTTGTTGAATACAACACGACTGTTGAGCAGGCGATCAAAGATTCAAGCAGCCAGAAATGGACCCTAACTCTCCGCCGTAGAGAGCTTCATAATGAGAGTCCCTCAGATTACTGGTGGACCGAAGTATTCGACGCAGTGGTGGTTGCTTCGGGTCACTATGCGGTGCCATATATTCCTGCCATTCCTGGACTGGACGAGTTTGCAAAGGCGTACCCTCGAAGCGTCGAACATACTAAGCATTATCGAGGACCCGAAACTTACCGGGGAAAGGTATGTCGTCCGACATCTCAAGCTGATCTCCTTGATACCGCGTTAGTCAATTTACTAACACTGCCACAGAAAGTTATCACCGTCGGCGCATCAGTCTCCGCCGCAGACACTGCAGTCAGTCTGATTGACAGTGCCCAAACTCCCATTCACGCCGTGGTCCGTGGTCGCTACAACATCTTCTTCGGCGACGAAGCCTTCAAGCACCCAAAAATCCAGCGCCGAGCCCCCATCTCGCGCATCACCACCGAAGACCGAACAGTGCATTTCGAAGACGGCACCTCAGTCAGCGACGTCGACCACATCATCTTCGGAACAGGCTTCACTTGGACATTACCTTTCCTCCCCCAGGTATCAACACGCAGTAACCGTGTGCCCGATTTGTACCAGCACGTTTTCTACCGTCACGACCCCAGCCTCGTCTTTATCGGAGCGGTAGGCGCCGGTCTGACTTTCAAGGTATTTGAGTGGCAGGCCGTTGCAGCAGCACGCATCCTTGCAGGCAGGGGTGCATTGCCCTCGTTGGTCGAACAGGAGAGTTGGGAGACGGACCGGATTGCGCAGAAGGGTGATGGGCCAGCGTTCACGGTGGTCAACCCTGATTTCAGCGCTTATTTTGAAGAACTGCGCCGGATTGCTGGGGAGCCTGATGAGGGAGTGCCAGGACGGCGATTGCCACCATTTGATCAGAAATGGGTGGATGATTTCGATGCCGGCCACGAGCGGAGAAAGAAGATGTGGAGACGGGCTAATCAGGAAGCCAGACTTTAGGTTTGGTGCTCCAGTGTATATAGACATTTGATCTTGTGAATATTTTCAATAGAACAAAGTACATAATGATGCAAGTATTGTCTTTAGTCATTATCGAAGGGGAAACGGCCTTCCAGAAGTCTGAACCTGGCCCTGTTGGAAATAATGACGTGTTTGGGATTTCGTCTCGCTTGAAAATACCATGTGAAGTTGGAAAGTCGGGCCATACACAAAACGTCTACCAGCTGGCAACGTTTGGATGATCATTGGCAATTTTGTACGTTCAATTGCCTATGGATCAAGAGAAGAGAAGTTCGGCTGTACTATGTCCAATTTATGGGTCCCAGCCACCATCCACATTATACACTTGCCCAGTAGTATACGACGCAGCATCACTCAGCAAAAACACGACCGTCTGCGCCACCTCTTCGGGAGTCCCAACACGAGGAATGACACAAGGCGGCACATGCGAGCCTCCCTGAATAACAGCAGCCTGATCCAAAAGAGGGGTCTGAATTGACCCACTAAACAATCAAGCCAGAACCGCATTAGCAAAACGAACCCCATAAGCCATCTCCAGCTCAGCTCCAAACGAACGGAAGACCAAAGTCCCAGTACTCACGGCGCAACAGCATTAACCCGAATCCCAGGCCCAACCTCCTTCGCCACAGACCTTGTCATCCCAACAACCCCATGCTTCGTCGTCGAATAAGCCGCATGCAACGGAAACCCCCTCACACCCTGAATACTCGACGCATTAACAATACTTCCCTTCCCGTCCGCAGATTCCATGATCGCCCGCAGCTCCGCCCGCAGACAATACATCATCCCCGACAAATTCACCCGCACCAGCATGTCCCACTCGTCATCTTCTATGTCGATGAATCGCCCCACGCCGTGGTTCTTCCCAATGGCCCCGGCCATATTGGCCGCGCCGTCGAGACGTCCGAAGCGCTCGACTGTGCTGGCGATCCAGGCTTTAACGGCGGGTGACGAGCTAATGTCGAGGACTGTGGTCATGATTCTTGTGGAGGTTGAATTGGGGGAAATGGCGCCCACGGCTGTCTCGAGTGTTTTTGCGGAAATGTCTGCTAGTGAGAGGTATGCGCCTAGGGAGTAGAGTTGCTTTGCGACGGCAAGGCCGATTCCGCCGAGGCCTGTTATGACGTAGACTTTGTCTTTGACGGAATCCATTGTTGATGGAGCTGGTCGTGACTGCTCTTTTTGGTGTTTAGTAATAGTAAGTAGGTGTGACGAGGTGCGTGAATGATTGATTTGTAAAAAGTAGAATGGGGAAAGATTCTTTGAGAAGTCTGTCATGGGGGACAAAACCCCGCCATCATGGAGTCGGAGCTAGTCCGTGCGAAAATCATTACTTAATTGACCATTTTGTGACACCTGGAAGTACTGTATATTGAAGTGGAGCTGTCTTACAAAGTTAGGATACTCTGTGGCGGCTAAACGGGATTAATCTCTTCACTTACTCCGTGAGCGAAAGATTTTTACCAAGAATCAGTGAGACATCATAGAATTTAATAGAGAGCTTTTTTAATTAAGTTGGCCGCGTGGCCTAATGGTGAAGGTATCCGCCTCCTATTGCGAGTAATCGTGAACAAGAAAGCGGGAGATTGCCGGTTCGAGTCCGGCCGTGGTCGTTTTTATTTATTTTTCTTGTTTTTAAAAAAAAACTTCCCAAAGTTAGCAACCACGTACTAATTAGGTCTACGCTCGCCATGCGGTGGATACTGGTAGGCTTCGAGAATTGACAGGTGGATCAAAATGATGATAGAAAATTGCAATTGTTCAACCCGTTTTGACGCCATCTATATATGCTGGTGCAATCGCTTAAAAGAAAAATTCATCCACAATAGAGGATGAAAGAACAGGGTATCTTAAATGATCGATCATGTGCATAGCCAGAAACCTTTTCATCAAGTTAGCACAGAACCATAAATCTAACATGTCATTGTAGCACATACTTAAAGTCATCATCAATACCAACCAATTTGGGACTGAAAGAGTGAACGCCGCGTTCGAGGCGCTCAGATCAATTCCGTCCACTACCACGGGCCACCCGTCGGTATAATTCAAGTAATTCCAGCCCATGTGGGCGTCCTGTAGAAGTAATCAGCTAAAAGCTCACTATCATGAAATGGACATGCCCAATAATGCGTGTCAACTTACAGTATCCGTAAACCCAATACTAGTGTTCAAATAATGGTAGTAAAGAACATCGGGCGTGGATCCATTTCCAGCCAATACTCCCAGCCCACCAGGGGCATAAACAACACCATGATTCGAAGCATAAATCACCGTACCACCCCCATCAACCAACTTCTTCCCATCCTTATCCTCAAACGGGCCGCGCACATTAGTCGATCTCCCAACCCGAATCTCATACTCGTCCCCGCGCGCCGGGAACGCCAGCTTAAAATTACAGCACTTCCCATGACTAAACCACGCATAGTAGTACCCATCCCTATAGCTCATCCAAGAGCCCTCCTCAGGCTTCCAGTCAGAATCCGGCACAAACGTCAACTGCACAGCATCCGGATTATCGGGATCCCTAAGCGAGAGCAAATCATCCGACAGCGGCACTTGCCAGATATCATGCCAGAAGCTGCCGTAATTCAGATAGCTCTGGCCGGTAGCGTTGTCCGTGATGAACGACGCATCAATCGCATTCGTGATGGTGAATGGGTAGATGTCCGATCCGTTCCCGTGCCCGGTCCGGATTACGGCGCCGTGGTCCGTCCAGGTTTCGCTGCCGTCTAGCGAGGTGGTTGTTGCGACGCCGATCGCGCTGTTGCGCGAGCCGTGCTCGCTGAGCGTGTAGTAGCAGTAGAATGTGCCGTTTGCTTCGATGGTTGTGGGGGCCCAGGGTCGCGTGCGGTTTTGCGTGTCGATTATTGAGGGTCCGCTGAGCACTGTGCCGACTGATTCCCATGGCCCGCTGAGGTTTTGGGCGCGGTGGATGGGGATATGCACGTCGCCGTGGAATAGGTAGTAGTAGTCTTCCCAGAGGAGGATGTTGGGGTCATGCGCGACGATGTTGCCGAGATTTGGGAGTGGGAGTTGATCTGTTGTGTCGTAGACTTGGGAGGCCTTGTGGGCTGGTTGTGAAGATGGGCTTGCCGCCGCTAGTTGATTGATTGGTAGGGCCATGCTGGTGAGGAGCCAGGTGGTGTAATGCATTTTGGTGTGAAATTATTTGCTTGTTACTGCTTGCGCAATTGTCGTTTGGTCAACTTTTGGGGCGAACTTTTTTTTTTTCTCTTTTGCGCCTTTTCGTTTTGAGCCGTTATACGTACAAGGCTGTGCTGATGTGAGACTCGATGACTTTGATCAAGTGCCTTTTACCCAGGTATAGAGTCTTGAGCGGCGCAACTCGCAAGTGGGGTAGAATCGAATCCGTGGGTATAGAAAAGAGCACTCAAGTGTTACGGTGTTGAAGAGCACATGCTGCGCTTTAATATGACACAGATTAATAAAGCGCTTTCAAAACAATAAAGTTCAGGGGACAAAGGTCAGAATAAAAATAAACCCAAGGCAAAGTTAGGGAGAACACATGGTAAATAAGCAAGGGAATTGGAATTAGCGGAAAAAAAGAAAGGGAAAAGAAAACAACCATGGAACCTCTAGACCAAGCTCGAATCCACAGGGTCCGAGTCTAAACAAAAGCCAAGTGTTTTAGGGGAAAGTCTTAGGCTGCCATTTTTCCTGGAAAGTACGGGGTCGGTACCTGATCCGTGACCAAAGACAAGAACCAACCCCAAGTACCGCGCAGGTACCATACCCGAGATCCATTCTCTTTTTCTCCACCCAGAACCCCCTAAAAACCCAAGGGTTCCATGAACTTAAGACAGCCTGTCACAGGTCGAGTTGACATCACGCAGGGGAAAGTCAAGTGGCCAAAGCTGATTGGGTCGATTGGAGCGATTGGCTTTGAGGAAATCTCCAAATTGACGCTTATCCCCTTTTTGTCATTCATGGAGAAAATGTCGCTATCTTTTCCGCTACGGGCGCTCGCTTAATCAAGAGAAGCTTTTTATGGCTTTTTTTGCCGGGCTCGCATTGACTGTTTTTGAAATTCACTGCTATGCCGTGCATCCATGATACATTGCATGGTTCCACATGTCCGGTCGGGCTTAAAACTCCCCATGTGAGGGTGCAGTATGGGGCTATACTTGTACTCCGTCCAAGCGCATCACTTTGCTCCACTGACCAATCGGGGAAAATCTATAACTAACCTCTATAAACAGCAACCGCAAGGCTCTCGCTACCATATGATTATTCCACAAACTATTGCTCATAGTTGACGATGGTTTCGGCCCGTTTCGCAGGTCATCCATTCATGGGGGATTTGCGATCTTTTTGATTTTGCCAAGCGCCATGCCCTTGCAGCTTCGATATGATCGTCGCTCCGATCATGATCTCACTGTGGAACTAGCGGAGCAAAAACCCCTGATCATGTTTTTGCGGCATGCTCATGACGAGCCATGACGAGAGATGCACGCAATGTGGACAATTCGAATCAATACCTAACAATGATGTGCTAGTTTATCATCGCAACAAGAAACTCATAAATTGGTTGAATATACAAGTAGATAAGCAAACATTTACAAATATCCCCTTAGATCCACTGCGAGTTGTCATTATCGTAGATTGTACACAGTGCACCGCACTATACTAGTACGGAGTACTCTAAATTCCCATGCCGGTCAGATCGTCCCAATCGAAAACATCTAAAAAGGGATCGAAATCTCCAGGTGGCTATTGAAAAGAAAAAAAAAAAAAAATCAGTATCAAGAAAATCAGACTTGCAGAAATGTTCAGCTTACCGTAACACCGAGATTGGACGGTGGGAGGATGCCACTGAAATCGGAAGCCATGACGGGCGGCATGCCGGGAGTTGCAAGAAAAGCGACTACCTGGTTGTCTTTGAAACTTCCCATACCAGGATTCCCAAGGTGCTCACATGTCGCGTGTCGTGAAAATAGTGTCTGCGCAAATGACAGAACTCGCTCCACTACCTGTTGCTTGTACATCATCGCCTGGGCCGGCCAAAGCTTCGCCTTCACTAATGCATTAATTGTCGATAAGAAAAAATAATCTTTCGCGCCCTTGACGATCAACAGGAAGCGGACTTCCAGTGCCATAAGAGCGGATTCAACGAGAGACATGAGAGAGTCAGGAAATCCTGCTAGGTTGGCGAGTTGGAAGGTAATAGTCGAGGGATGCGTGTTACCAGCTGAAGACAAGGTTAGCAAGAGCCATAAAATCGAGATATCATGTGGAAGAGGAAGAAAATTTATCTTACCACCTTGAGAGTCTAGGGAATGCAACACTTGACAGACAGAAATAATTGCTTGGAGCGTCCATTCCCCAAGAACGCACAATGACAACAAAGGTGATGTTTCATGGAGTCGACGTTGTGTGGAAAGTATCATGACGGCTGCATCCAAGCGCGACCGCGCTGATGGGGCAAATAGTGCCTCGCGACGAGCCTCAACTGCAAATGGTGTATGGATAGACAGCAGGCTGTGTGCCAGTTTTATTTCCATAAAGGCCTTCCACAAAGTCACCTTTTGTTGTGTGAGAGGGTCGCTGGTTTCGGTTAAGTACCACGTGGGAATCTGAGACAGGTGGCGGGTTAACTCCCAGTCGAGGCGTTGAATTTCTTCGTATCGACAGGTCAGCCGTGGAGAATGCATGAGGTGACACGCCTTCAGACGGACGGGAAGGGACTTGGCAAAAGCAGTCTGGTAAGAGCAATCGGTAGCATCGCCGATGGGATGTTCCTCAGGAGCTTCGCTGGTAGTTTCATGAAGCTCATCGTCGTTTATATTTAATGGAGGAAGGGTATCGTAGTCAGAAGCTTGAACGCTTGGAGGCATGCCGCGGTCAAGGGCGACCTGAAGATCCAGCTCCACGATCGTGAACCAGATGCGCCGACGCATTTCCTTATTGAAAGCAGTTATCCTAACATACTTGCTCGGATCTCGGTGATAACCCGACATCATAGCCGACCTGACCATCTGGCTGGTAGCCAGCCACGCCTGGCTGCGTTTCATGCCGAAAGAATTTTGGGCGGTGATCAGTAAAATATATAGACGCAAGGTGGTGATATCAGCTCGCTTGATACGGGCGTTGATGATCCATTTCTCGGCATGTAGAACCCATTCCAGTGCGGTATAACACCTGAGAGGTGTCGGAGACTTCTCTTGGAGACTGGTCACATCGGCAAAATTCCATGCACACGCAAGAATCAATAAGAGCTGGGCGACGAATGCAGCGGAATGGATAGACGGGTTGTCGAAACTTGACCAGAATTCCTCAACATCACGAAGGAAAGTCGGGACGTGGATGATCCGTTGAGTTGACTCGATGTAGGTCAGATACAGGCCAATAAGCTCATCGGCCACCGCTCGTGCTGGGAGCAGAGAGATCAAAGATGTCGTCGTAGGGTCTGGGAATGGCTCATTGAGCGGCCGTCGCTTCCATAATCCTCTCTTGACTCGCTCTAGATCTGGGCGAAGTCGTGACATGATCGGGTTCGATAGCCGGATGTCCTCGGCAAAGGATCGGATATCAGGGAACTAGATGACGCTGGTCAGTACCCAAGGGAGATTGTGGTAAATGTTAACACCTTTGACATGGTGTCAAAAAAAAAAGAAAGACTACATACCTGGGCCACCAAATTGGCATATATCCCAGAACCGCTGAAGCGGGTTTTGGTCTCTCGTCCTCTTAACATGATGCGAGGGGAAATGTCCAATTGATGAGATGGGCTTAGGGGATTACCGGGACCAACGGCATTAATATCTTCACTGTCGACCTGCGACGAGAAGCTAGCCTCGGGTTCAGGCTGCAGACGTTTCGGGCGTTGCAGGAGGTCCGTGTTCACATAAGTCTCCTGATTAACGGCAGCTCTTGGTGCACCGAGAACAGTTTCCAAGAAACAATCACGACGCTCCTTGCCATGACCGTGACCGTGACCATGACCATGACTGTGGCCATGTTTCCGAGGATGGCGGGGGCCATCAGAGGGAGCTGGAGCCGAGTCGGGCAGGGTTGTCGAAACGAGTGTTTCCGACCGAATCGACGGCGCCCCTAAACCCGAGTCCGGGGGTGTCTGGAGAGTCTGATCAGTCGGGGGCATTCCTAGAGTGGATCCTCGGTCCGATGGAAATGCAGATGTCGAGACAGTTGTGGGCTGTTGCCACAAGAAGCCATCCTCGTAGGTGCACTTGGTGGGCGCTCTGCTCTTCAGGCAGCGGCCACAAGTAGGATACTCCCGGTCGCAGCGCAATTTGCGACTACGGCACTGCGTACAGGCCATGGTACGACGGCGCCTTTTACGCGGCCGGTCTTGCGGTACACCGAATGTATTTACTTCTTCCATTCTGGACAATTCAATGGTAATTGAACAGATAGGGAGCACCTTCACCAGACTGTTCATTTGAAGAGTTGGAGGGATGACCTGCTCCGGCTTACGTGGTAAAGACCCACCAGTGTTTACCCGATACGGTAAGTGTGTCCGACCACGCTAGTTTGTTAGTTGCTTAGTACAATCTAAACGGAGATGGAGATGACTTGGCTTTCCTACTGTTTATTTTCTATCTTTGTGGAGAAATCTAATCATCTTATGACTTAGTTGTCATCGATTTTCTGGAGAGTTTTTTTTCCCTCTAAAATTAGTATTTAGAACCTGGGAAGTTCTGATCAGAACTGAAAAACTTGTCATGAGCATTTTGATAGGTGTCAGACTCACCTCTTTTACCTTGGCAAATTTCCCTTATCTCTGCACATGTGAGACCATTTCAAGGATTAATGTCGGAGTGGTCATGTGACAATATAACATCCATTGCAGTTCGCTTTCTGCCTATAGTGGCCAACATGTGGCCATTTTTCACATTTTGTACATACAAAGTGCTGGTCTTCCTGTTGAATGGATCAAGAATACGACTAAGTGCTCGAACAAAAAAAGCCATGATAGAAAATCACGTCTTGTTCTATCGTATCTTCAGAGCTCGCCCTAATGTAAAACTTTTGCCAGGGACAGTCTCATGACTCTCATCTCCACCAAGGTGGGCACGCGAACTGGTCAACGTTAAGAGAAAGTGAGAAAAGTGAACCGTCATTCAGTAAATAAGGTACCGGAACTTATAGCCGACATTAATTTATGGGATTTTTGGGGGGTTTTTAGTAGATAGGATCCAACTCAATACAACAATTTTAATCAGTACAATAAGTGCGCAGCTGGAAAAAAAGGGTGTGTGTGGTACTACTACTCCGTACATGCTACTACAGTACTAACAACTTTGTACTTCAGTCAATTAGAAATGACTAAGCGGCTATCAACATGTCAAAGTGTGAACCCTGAAAATCCCAAACAAATGATTGGCACGGGCACCTGGTTTCTCTCTCGGGGCATGCAAATGCACTAGATCGGAGCCGTGTCGGGCTTAACGGTTCGGGGCGAGCACCGTCGGAGATACTGAACGGACTTGAAGACTATAACTACCCCCAAGGCAGCCGCGACTCTCGTTGCGAATTCTTACTCACTTCTTCTCGGAATATTTTCCTTTCTCCTTTCTCCTCTCTCACCTACATCACCTTGCCCATCATGTTGAAATCACTTTTATCTTTTGGCCGCACACAGGAATACTTGTTTCCCCAAGTGAATCCCGCGGAGGACGGTCCCGATTGCCTGAAAGACTGTGCCGATTGCACCATCACGTACCCTTCAAAAGTGAAGATTGAAACTTTGAGGCCTCTTTACGGTCAGATCAAGGAAATCCAAGCCCATGTCCTCGTAGCGACAGGTCGCTCTGACTGGAAGGAGAAGGTCGGTCACGAACATGGCTCCTTAATGGAGGCATTTGACCAATCTTCCGCTAAGTCTAAACTCGGTGTATGTGATAATCCAGTTTAAAAAAAGCTTCACATCTAACCGTTTTCACCAGCGCATTATGGTCTCGGCCTCCAATCTTCAATCGCCAGATCACTCTGGAGAGCAAGACCCGACCAAACCTACAACAGTGCTCATCCTGCCCTCATTCACCTTTGTGGACAAAGTTTCTCAAGCAGATGTCCCAAGCCTAATTCATCGATTCATTGACAACCCCGGCGATGAAAAGAAGGCATCCAGCGCCAGTTCGGCATCCGGAATGACAGCCCGCCCTTGTGAGTTGGACTACGTGATCCTACTATGCTCACACCGTCGACGAGATGCGCGCTGTGGAATCACGGCGCCACTCATCAAGCGGGAGTTAGAGCGTCATCTCCGTCCTCTTGGGCTTGATCGCGATGCCGATGACTCGCGGAAGGGTGGCGCGGGGATCTTCTACGTCTCGCACGTTGGAGGTCACAAGTTTTCGGCCAACGTCTTGGTGTACCGCAAGAAAGAACAGCAGATGATCTGGTTGGCGCGAGTACGGCCCGAACACTGTGAAGGGTTGGTGAAATACACTCTGCTGCAGGGCAAGGTGGTTCATCCCGAGTCACAGCTGCGGGGTGGGTTTGATCGCGCACGGGGCCTGACGAGCTGGTGAGAATGCCTTTGGCATGAAATCGCTATTGATACTTCAGGGGGTTTTTTGTCTTTTTTTCGGTCATTCGAGTCAGTTTTCCAGCGACAGAAGCAAATCTAGCGTTGAAGCCAACCTTGACTCTCGTCACCCACGGCGTGCAAAACATATTATTTCTTATCAATCGCACATTCCCATTTGATGGATGGATTTCTCATGCCGCAATCGCCAAATGTGTGCTCGTCATCTTCACGGACAATACATGGTGTCCATGGCTTTTTCGTACCAAGTCCTGGAGCCGCTGCCCACGGCAAATCTTCCTCTTCCACATATGTTATGATGAAGCTAGCTCGTCAGTAGTTCACCGGTGGAGAGTGATCTGAATATCATGCATTTTTGACGATTTCTCCATTTCATTAGTACATAATAGAATATCTAGATGTCGGCTCTAATATTCTTGTACCGAGTATATGCCTAGACAACATCCCGAAGCTTCTACCTGCTAGCACTATATGCAGGTAGCCACTAGGACTCGCAGGCCAGGTGATATTTTAATTGCGCTGTAACTATAATCCATCAACTACTAAAGTCCGATATTGAAATCTAACAAAGAACGCCATCCTGTCGTTTATTGAATGCGAGATTGGAGTAAATAAAAAAGTACAAAATGCTGTACTTTGTACTATGTAGTATGGGGATGTGGGGCCGAGCACGCGACGTCACCGCGTTAATTGATTTGGTTTCGCGTTTCGCGCATTCAACTCTTCTCCGTCTTGTCTGATAACACCACATTCATCCAAAAATGGCTGACGAAGCCCTCAGGTCTCGTGAAGAGGTTGCAGCGCAAGCTGTATCTGTTCGATCAGAGCTGAAATCATGGGAGAAAGACTTCTCAAAAGCCAATGATGGGAAAAAAGCCGGTCGGGAGGACATCAAGCAAAGGCCGGATATTGGTGAGTTTGGTTTTTGTCGCGACACGAGGCAAAACATTCAAGATAAATAATATTGATCTAATACATGTTGTTCTAGCCGCGAAATACAAAGAGTATTCCCGTCTCAAGAATCTCGAGGCTTCACTGATCCGACGCGAAAACCGTAAACAACAAGAAGCCGCCGACCCTTCCAGGAAGAGAAAACATACATCTCCCACCGGGCCATCAACTACAACCATTGAAACGACTCCACGCAAATTGAGCCGAGGACTCTTTGCCACACCGTCCCGTAATCGCACCGGAAATCAGCATTCCTCCCATCTAGATCTGTACGATTCGCCAACGACCCTTCGCCGATTGTTCAGTCCGAGCGCCCATCGGCAGAAAATGCCAGAACCGTCACCTCTCAAGCCTGCAATTGGTCCGACACCACAGCGCGATGGAAAGGCTCTTGGGCTTTTCGACATGCTGTCCGAGTCTGGTGGCAGCCGAGGAACCCCGTCGGCGAAGAGACAAAGGGATGTGCTAGCGGCAGGATTCCGAACACCCTCTAAACCAAAATTATTTGAGCCCATTGCAGAGGCGCCGGAGGAAGCAGAGGAGGAAACATCACGACTGACACGGACACCCGCATCCTCGACCAAGCAATTCTACCTCGCAAACCTCTTTGCGACTCCTACAACAATGCGCTATGCGGCGATGGTCGAGGCCGAGGAAAACAATACTGCGCAGGGAAACAAACCACAAGAAACCGAAACCACAGCATCTCAGCATTCAAACCCATCGGGAACACCGTCCTTCTTGCGTCGCTCCAACTCTGGGCGTTATCCACCTGCCGCTCCACATGAAGGGCCAGGCCTCAGTCCTATTGCATCTCGGAAGCCACCGCAGCTCGCTGGTCGAGGACTATCACATCTGGTCCAGGGTCTGCGGGCTATGGAGGATGAACGCTTGGCCATGGAAGAGGAGCAATTAGAAGATGAATGGGAAATGCTCCGCGAGATTGAGGCAGAGCAAGAAGGATTTCACTTCGAGGTTCCTGAAAGCCAAGGTCCCGTAGCAGAGAAGCAACAACCATACAAAAAGAAAGGACAGAAGCGGACTACAAGAAGGGTTAACATGCGGCCTACTATCTCCAAGTCTAAGCCCCAAGAGGAGCTCTATCCGGATTTGTATTCAGAAAGTGATGAGGAGCCCACTGCAGTCCCGGAAACACAAATACCGGAAGCTCCTCAGAAAGCCTCAGATGACGCACCTGGAGAGGAAGGTAATAATGATGATGATGTTGCCTCTCTTCATTCCATCTCAGAGCCCGAATCGGACTACGAGGGAGCTACAGACGTGGACTCCGACGACGATCCCGAATATGGCGAGAAGGCCAAAACTCCGCCGAGACCAAAAAGTTTCTCAGAGCGCATTAAAGAAGCAGTATTGGCGGCCAAGCCGACTGCTATGGAACCCCCTTCTAAACCTTCAGCAAAGCCTTCACAAAAACCAGAAGAGCCTGAGAAAGAGAAGAAGCCTCGAGAGTATAAGATCAATCCTCAAGCCCATGCGAATTATAGGAGATCTATGAAGCCTAAAGGTAGAGGCGGTGGACGGTTCCGCAGAAGATAAGACAATATTCTTGTCACATTGTTCACGACATGACGACTGCATCCATATCAAGCATAATTCAATTAGCAATTTCATTCTCAATTTAACTCCCTCTGCAGACATCACAGTAAACCAAAATCGTACGGCTTTCATCTGTAAATCAATAGTTTAATTTCTATAATGTAGTAGCTCGTATCTAGTAATTTCCCTCCTAATCTGGGATATATCGATCGAGTAGGTGTCGCGGTGGTCTAGAACGGCGATTGTAAGGCTGAGACCGGGGCCGTGTCACTCTGGGTATAGCGCCCAATTGAGTATTAGGTCTTGTGATCCGATCAAACAAACTTCTGTCAGTATCCCGAGTCGGGGAAGCACTTCTGCCTCTACCACGAGCTGAGGGAACTGGACGAGTTGGCCGATCCCGACGATTGGATTCTCGCTCATCCAGATTGGTAGACCTCTGCGCCAGTCTCGGATACTGCACATGGCGATCCCAGTCCTCCAAGGTTACATAGGGACTCCTCAGCCATGCTAGTAGTTCATGCAGGAACAAACGAGCTTGGTCTCGCCCAATGAAGTCCCGTAGCAGCTCTTCAGCTTGACCAGCGCTGCCCTTGATATCGACAGTCCGCAGAATCGCAACAACGTACTCGAGCAGGAACTCGGCATTGTTAGCCCTTCGATCCTCCAATCTCTGGGTCCCAGGGCGAGGTACTCGGCCCGGTCCACGTTCTTCATCCATCTCTGCTTCCGGGTTCAAGAAACTAAACACCTGGAGCTCTCTCCGGATCCATTTCCGCGCGCGCGACACTAACGCCTCGTCTCGGTCGAAGTGTTCTGGTGTCACCTCGCTATACTGAGATAACCGATTTGATCCAACCCGGAGAGAGTATGTCTGGTTGCGATACACGTTGCGCCGAGAGGCGAGTCGGTCTTCGGGGGATGTTTGCTGGTACTGAGGGGGTCTTGGGTGTCGAGGTCTTGGTCTTCGGGTTCCGGTTATACCACTGCGGCTCGCGCCAGTGTCTTCGGATGGTTGTCCGGTTCGATCATGAAGAGGCACATTGTATGTTTTGGGACCCTGTGGGGCTTCAAGGTCATACTGAACCTCGGTGAGTTGAGTCTTACCTACAACACCATCAGCCACACTCTATCATGGATAAAGACTGGGATTCCGTACATAAAGGACAGTTCGGCTGTTGCTCCAGCCAGCTGACAAGGCATAAGAAGTCAAAGTTCGTATGGTTGCACGGCTTTGCGATGCTGGGTTCGGTGATGAATTCTAGGCAGATCACACAGGGGTCAACCTCTCTGTCTTCTTCCCCCACCTCTCGAAGCGTTTTCTGGAGGATCTCCTGTTGCAAGCCCCCATCGTCTGCCATGAATGGTAGACCTAGTAGGTTGTACTAACAAAGCCCAAATCGTGGACGGTGAGCGCTTATCGCAACCAGACCGCCCGATCGTCGCCGGCAGAAAAAACGGCGGAGCCACAGCTTCCTGACTCGCTTCCAGGGCGCTCTAGTCGCGCAATTTACGTCACTTGGAAGTTGGTAGAACGCTCTCAATCTTTGCGGTCGTGCCTTCCCAGGGAATATCGCTTAACCGTGAAATGTACTAATAGAGCTAGATATTTTTCACCTTGCTTAATCCCTCCAGATGCGTTCTGCCAAAGCTGTCGTCTCCGAGAACCTCGCGCGTTACGGGAAGACGGGCCCCAACATGTCGTACGGGGGGTCGCAATCGGCGCATACTCTTACATCGCTCAAGCGATGGTCGGTCGCAAACGCGGAATTACCTGGTGCGAGCGAATTATACCAGCCCACGAACAACTCAAGCTAATCATGCTTATGCCGCAGCGGTCTCCCAAATTAAATCCATCCATGTGTATGACTTCGACAACACTTGTGAGTGGCCTTCCATACAACTTCATGGGACTCGGAACCTGATCCTCAACTTTCCTAGTATTTCAGACTCCGTTGCCAAACCCACAGCTATGGCACGGAAGCACCATTGGCCACCTGCAATCGGAATTCCATTTCGCAAATGGTGGGTGGTGGCATGATCCGAATATTCTCTCTGCTACAGGGAAGGGATTGGAAGATGAGGAGGCACGAGGATGGAAGGGTTGGTGGAATGAGAACATTGTGAGGCTACCGGGTGGCGCCAGGAGATTTCGATTTGTTTTACTAACCCAAACTAGCTCCACTTGGTAAAGCTCAGCATGAAGCAGAAGGATGCTGTTACAGTGCTCTTGACAGGTCGAAGTGAAGCTGGCTTTGCAGAGCTAATCAAACGCATGGTGGCAAGTCAGAAGCTGGAATTCGATTTGATTGGCTTGAAACCTGAAGTTGGTCCAAATGGACACCGGTTTAGCTCGACTGCTGTCTTCAAGAACAATTTCTTTGAAGACTTGATCCTCACTTACGACCAGGCTGATGATATCCGGGTATATGAGGACCGTCCCAAGCAGTAAGTTTTTGATTACTTTCACATAACCGAGCTTTCCTGTATTGATTTTATTGCAGCGTGAAAGGCTTCCGTGACTATTTTGAGGACCTGAACAGAAGGTTACAATCTGGGCAATATGCGCCCCGCAAACCCATCAATGCCGAGGTCCTCCAGGTATTTGAGGGAGCTACCTTGCTGGATCCAGTTACTGAAACTGCCGAAGTGCAGCGCATGATCAACTCGCACAATCTTGCTCTCCGCAATCCATCCTTGGGCAGGTTCAAGGGAACAAGGCATTACATGCGCATTAAGCGTACAATCATCTACACGGGTTACCTCATCTCACAAGATGACTCAAAGCGCATCATCGATGAAGTGCTGAATTCACTTCTTCCCAATGGACTTGCTGAGTCGAATGATATCAAGTACATGGCTAACAACATTCTGATTGCCCCTCGCCCAGCCCCGCACTCTGTCTTGGACAAGGTGGGTGGTATCGGAAAGAAAGTAAAATGGCAGATTACTGGAACATCAGTGCTCGAGAATAGGGTTTTCGCAGCTCGTGTCGCACCGATTCCGTCAAATGAGCAAATCTACTCTGAGAATCCGGTGCCTCTGATTGTTTTGGCAGTTCGTAAGGGAGCCCGGCCAGTCGAAGCATCTAGAATTACAAACTGGCAACCGGTGCCATCCAGCCAAGCGCTGCAATTTGACACAGTGGTCGGAGAAAAGGCCATACTGCGCATTGAAGATGACGAGAGAGGCGGGGCTCCAATTGCACCCAAGCATCCCAAGAAACGCTACGCACAGGATCAGTATGAAGATGAATACTCCCAACCAACTCACCGCGACAGCTGGGATAAATCGTCCCACGGCTTCCATCCTTACCAGCGACCTACTGGAGAGAACCACGGATCTTACGACGATAGTAATACTCGTCGTGGAGCTTACCGGGGTCGGGGGCGTGGAAATGGAAATGGACGAGGTCGAGGCTATGCCACACGCGGTGCTCGTGGCCGGGGTCGTGGTGGCCGTGGTGATTCCAGCTCAAACCCTCATTATAAATCACTAGATGACTACAGCAATGGGTATGATGGGCCTCAGGAAAGCAAGGGTGGTAATCACAACAGCAGTGGATACTCCATGGACTACTGAGGGAAACGATTAAGGATTTTGTGATATATCTTTATTACTTTCATGTTCACGTCGGCCAATGGGGCATTGCCTCGCTGGTCTCGAATTCTAAGTGCATCAAGCAGGCGCATACCGGAGTAAACAAATATCTGTTAAAAATCCACTTCAGTCTTACTTTATGTATTTGCTAATTCCAACAAGTACCACTTCTCTTGATTTGAAAAGTTCCTTGTATACTATGTACGAGTATGTACATCACTATTCAATATTAAGTAGATAGGGTATCTATATCATTAATCTTCACCAAAACTTGAATTGATCCTTCCACACATGTGCATGCAACATCAAATATCATGCCTCGCAAACTTACTCGCCATCCGAATCCTCTTCCCGCGGAAGAACAAAATGAACGGAAACGGCACAAAAACAACAGTCAAGCATCCCAACAAAGTACACGCCCACCCAATCCCCAAATTATGAAACATAGCCGTCGCAAACAGCGGAAACCCCGCCCCAAACGAAGACCGCAGAAAATCATTTCCCGCAAGCACACTCGCCGCATACTTCGGATAAGCATGCGCAAGATAACAAAAGATAGAATTGAAAATCAGACATCCTCCTATCGAAAAAAGCATCGAGGCAATGATCGGTACAATCCAATGTATGCTGGCAAAGTTGCCCGTCCAACCGAACCAGAATAGCGAGATTGGCAGCGCGAAGGCGCCCACGCAGGCCGGTGGCATCTGCCACTCTGGTGCGATGTTGCCGTCTTTGTCAAAGTGCTTGGACTGGTACTTGTATTTCCAGTAGAAATAGCCTGGGATTGCGAGGCAGACTGTTCCGACTAGGATGCCCATGAAGGCTAGGCCGCTTTCGCCGGGATTGAAGCCGTGGACTTCGGAGAAGACTATGGGGAAGGCTTCGAACCAGAGGTAAAGGATGCCGTAGATGAGGGCGATGTATAGATTGAGAAGGAGGACGATGGGTTCGAGGAAACAGAGTTGGAAGGGGCGGATTAGAGCTTCGAATATAAGGTCCTGTGTAGGTAGGTATTTGTTAGTATATATATATGTCCGGAATAATTGATTCAAATGTTCCAATCAAATGTTTAGACTTGAGGAATTTTTGAATCCATGTCGATAGTCCTGGATGATGCACATACCACTGTCTTGATCTCCTGGATCTCAATCTCCGACTCGGACATATACTGCGAATTACCCGTGATGCGGCGTACACGGCGAGCACGCCTCGCAAGGATATTCGGCGCAAATGTCTCGGGAAGCCCGAAGAACAAAAGAACAAAAGCAAAAGCAGACACCCATAACAGCTGCCAGATAGTCCAGGTCCAGCCTTTGGCAGAAAAGGCAAAGCCGCCGAGCATTGGACCTAAGACTGGTGCTGAGATTGCGAACATGCCCCAGACGCCGATCATGTAATCGCGGACTCTGGGGCTCCAGATATCGCCCATGGATGCTGCGCCGGTTGCTAGGGCAGGCGAGCCAATGAAGCCGGTGAGAAAGCGGAAGGCCAAAAGCATGCCGAAATTTTTGGAGTAGATGACGCCGAAGTTGAAGAACACGAATACAAAGAGTGTTAGGACGTATGTTGGGCTTCGGCCGATCTTGGGGATCTCGGATAGTGGAGCCCAGATCATTGGTCCTGGAGGGATCTGGGTTAGCCTTTTATAAGAATTCGGCATTCGAGGATAGGATTGATTGACGAACCAACTCCATAGCCTGCGACAAAAAGCGTTAGGCCCAGAGTGCCTGCAACGCTGCTTACGCCGAATTGTTTTTCAACGCCTGGAATACCTGGCGTGTAGATTGAGGAACCGACGTAGATGGCAAATGTCAGAAACCAAATTAAGCTACTGACAAAGAACTTCTTTTTCGTGCTCCAGTTTTGAGGGTTCTAGATAACACAGTTAGTGATGCGTCCTCAAATGTTCATCATCTCCCATCATAATCGGCTCAAATCTTACCTCGGGATCGTCAGGCCCTCGCCAACTAATCACGATAGATGTATTAGGACCTCCAATTGTTGAAGCAGATGACATCCGTCGTGTCCGAGTCGAGCACTGAGACATGACAGTATAAATGCCGGTAGCCTCCAGATCTTCGAAGTTTTCATTGTCAATCTCTGTTGTCGAGGATTCTGCTTCGTTTTTTGTTTCTGTCTTCAGATATTCAGTCCATACAGAAGCATCTTGCTCCTCTGGGTACTGCATGCATTTATATCGAGTGGCTAAACGAACTAGTTTGCCGAATGCTGTGTCGCGCAAGGTCTCCATAGTTGGAAGAGCTGAGATGCTGCGGGACACAGGCTATACCAAATTGCTGCGTTATAAGTTAATAAAAGCTGAGTGACAAAGAAGCAAGGAAGCTTGAAGTTGAATGATTATTATCATCATTTATATTCTGAAATTTTCAACGTTGTTTTATACTTTTGTTAGTTTTTTGGATCTGGTCGTGAAATGACATAAGACTTGTTTATCCGTGAATAACTCCGTAAACCCGTAACTCCGAGATCGTGGCAATAGTTCAATATAGACAAAATTCATTGAACCCGGGACACGATCTAGCCCTGTACAAGATAAACTTGGAACAGCTATGAAGATCCGTCGGGTTATTGATTGCACAATCGTTCTTATTAATACGAATTTTGTCGCTATCAGCTGCGATTATTTGAAGCTTGAGATCCATTCTCGGCTTTCAGGGATGACGTCATGACAGAGTAAAATGTTTAACAAAAGCGCGATATACAACTACTACATACATGTAGTTGACCGGTTCAATGCCTCTAGATGTTATGCAAAGTGGTCATATAAACAACACTTAAATGTTTATTTGAGCTTTCGGTATCTATACAGATGCAGGGTAAGCTCTACCTAGTAGCCTCTAAATTATTGATCATACATACTATGTACAACTTATATTAAACCATTCTCAAATAGAGAGAACTTCAGACACCGGAAAGCACTCAAACATCGGTATCAGTAAGCTGGTATCCAATCGGGCCAGTCTGGTAGTTGTACTCGGTAGTGGTGTTGTAGTCCCAGAAGAACTTCAAGTGCTGGGGGTAGGTAGACGGGTTGTCGCACTTGGCCTTGTAGGTGGGAGCCTTGTCAACGATGGCAGAGAAGCTGGCCAGGGGGCAAGAGTAGCCAGGTCCGCTCTGGCAAGAGCTGTATGGCACAACTGCCTCGTTCAAGATAGCACGGACGTAGGTACCAGCCTTGGTGGTAGTGGTGGCGTTGCAGGTCATACGCTCCAGGGTAAGGTGACCACCCATGGGGACGATATCAGCCACGCGGTACGGGTTGGGGAAAGGAATGGTGGTGTTGGGAAGAGCATTCTCGGGCACATCAATTCCGAGGGCAGCGATGACCGGGGTGATGTCGGCATCGTGGGCACTGAGTGGCTGTTAGAAATCCCGTTTAATCTGAATAGATGTTTGATAGGGTTGACTCACAAGCTCCAGAACATCTTTCCGGAGGAAGGTCCAGATTCAAGCAGGACACGAGTGGCGTTGGCGTAAACTTGACCTGCGGCAGTTTGGTACACGCTACCGGCTCTGTACGATGGGTGATTAGCAGTGGACGTTGAAGATGCTGAAGATAGAAATGACTTACCCGAAGCAGTAGTAGTAGGCCAAATCCCAGATGTATCCGTAGGCGACCCACTCATCCATGGTAAATGCATCAGCCCATGGGGTGTTAGCACGGACGTTCAACTCAAAAGCAGCGGTTTCTAGACGAAATTAAAAAAAAGATCAGTATTATAAAAAGAAATAGCAAGAACACAGGGGAGTCTTACGCATAAGCTGGAGAACATCGCTTCCAGTAAGGTTGAGTCCAGGGTTCTGAGAGTTGAATCGCGCAGCGGCAGCATCCAAAGGAGGCAGTGTCGCGTAAAAGCGGTCCACATAGCAAGTGTCGTACTCAGTATCAGCCGGGCAAGAGGGAGTCAGACTATTAGCTCCCTGAGTAGCAGCCTCAGGAATGATGTTGATGGCCGCACTGGTGGAGTAGTTGTATCCGAAGAAACCCTGGCCAAAGTAGCGAGCAGTCTCAATGACACGCTCGTAACCAGAAGCGAAGATGGGGACAACAGACTTGCCATCCCAAAGATCGCCATAGCGAAGGCGGTACTCACTACCGCGAGTGTAGGCATCAACCAGACCGGCGTACGGACCAGTGGTTGACTCCTGGGAGTAAAGGCCCGCATCCTCGACGTAGTAGGTCCAGTCATTGAAGAAAGCGAGGTCTCCTGCCCAGGTGGTGACATTGGAGTCCCACATCTTGTCCAAGACCTCGACATAACCTTCCGCGAAGGTTGCGTCGGGGTAGCGCTCGCCGTGACGCATTAGCATGTGCACTTGGTCAATTTCACATCCGGCCGGGGTGTTTCGGTCCACACCGTACGAAACACGATCGGAGTAGGGTGCGAAGCTGCCCATGTGCTTCAACAGGTTGTATCCATCGAGGAACTTCTGATCGAACTGCTTCTCTCCAAACTTGGGGAGAGCACTGGAGCTCGCAGAGGCCAAGGAGGCCAGGGCCAATCCGGATGTCAACAAAGAGAACATTGTGGATCATGGAGATAGTGATCGACGATGGTCTTCCATGGAGAGAGATATGGATGGGACTTTATAGTCAATTGTCATGCTCTGTATACTACCAGGGTCCAGGCACGCCATCTCCAGTATTTTGCATAACCGGATACGGAGCTTTGGAATACGATAGCCAAATAGCCAATTTGACGTATGCTGAGTGATATTTGCCGAAATAGATATTTCATGGAAGAGCATGCATAGCGTGCACATCATGCACATGGGTGTGAAGTCACTTCTCATTGGACGAAGCTTAGATTGATAGCGTGGGAAATTTCCTTCCAGAATCAAGCTCCCTTCTTTGCCGAAGTGGTGTGGAGATAGCACTTGAAGCCAATTGGGTGATGGCTTGTGTTGACTCGTGCGATCATTGTGGTACGTTCAAACCAAGCTGTACTCCGCAGTTATAAATGTCCAATCAATCGAGGTGGCATCAAGGTATAGGGAATTGACGCTGAATATTTCCCCTTGTAATTAAAAGGCGCATAGAAGTTCCAAGATTGTGAATCAATTGGAAATTATTCTAGCCAGAATTCACGCACGTGGGCTATGGGGGACTTTAGACATCAAGTAGAAGATGAGGTGCATTGCACTTCGGCACGCGGCATTGGCCGGCTTGAGTGAGGGCGCACGTGGGCGGGCTTGGGGTTGGCGGAAGACGCATATTGGACGCATGTCAAGAGACTAACCTTATCTAATCTAGGCTTGAAGTCGGGGTTACTACTTGGCGTAAATACGATGTGCTTGCGACCTCAGTATTCGAATTCGTATCCGTATCCGTGTTTACAATACATTCATTGGTCAAATCAAATAAAAAAAAGGCATTGTCACACAGCTAACTTCCAAGGTTGTACTCAATCCGAATAATTGTGAGGCGTTTGACCCCGGGAAAGCGGGGAGTGGGGTAGTGTGGACGGCTGATTTCGGAGTACGGACTACGGACTACATTAATAGACGTGGAACCTTTCATGTTAGGTGAAGGGGTATTGAATTGTTCATTCTTCGGGGTTTGACTATCTAGTATGCAAGCCTTTGGCTTCCAGAAATTGTATGCAAAGAAAGCGGCTGCAGATCAAGCAATACGCAGCTAGATTTGTGCCACAGGGACGTGTTTTGTACAAAAAAAGCAATCAATAAAATAAAAACGCCGGGGGAACAAATCCCAAAGGACAAGCGGAAGAATAACCCATAGCACCGACTGCAGAGCTGTACAAAAAAAATGGCATATCACGTTTAGGATATGCCGGCTGGCGGGTGCAATGTCCATTCAAACCACCTCCGGGACTGAGTTTTTTTTTTGTGTCAGTCACCAAGACGAGGTGGAAGAAGATGATCCAGATCCTCTCCAATATGTTCGCAGGACTCGCATATTGTTCATTTCCTAATTCCCATTCCCATTTCCCATGACCTTGTGTAAGGTCGTATTCCATCCCATAAAAACCTTGAGCCATTGCCGTGTGCTCGTAGATATTAATCATTTCCCATTCGTGTCGTATCGGATATAACAGGTAGCGTGTAGTCGGATATCAAAAAATTGTGGCGTAAAAAGAACAAAATGTCAAAAAAAAGCAAGACAGAAAAAAAAAGCGCATGGTCAATACGGTCACTCCTCGTCTGTCAACTTCCGTATCATATTGATACTGAGAATCATGACGAGAAGACCTATTGTGACGACGACCATGAGAACAAAGCCGAACCAACCCAGCACCATAGCTGAGGTGCCGACTCCGCTCTTGACGCTGCCATTACCCATATCTTGGGCAATGGTACTTGCTGCCACGGACGCTGTATGCTGCCATAATACAGACACAAGGACGAACACAGAGGACACAAAGATGAGGGCAAGCGCAGTTTGAGAAACAGGGCGCGATGGGAAAGGCTTGACTTCGACGTCAGATCCCGCGTCATCGCGTTCTTCATGCCAGCCGGGGAATGTGGCTAGCAAGATGAAACAGAAGAAGGCGAGAATCACAGCGACAATGCTAAAGTTATAATTAGTTTGATTTGTTCGTGGTAGTAGGGGAAGAAATATGGGGCAAGCTTACAGTAGATAGGGAAATACGACTGCATCTTTGAAAGTTGCGGCAACCCAGATCAAGTTGAGTGGGTCCTGGTCCACATTGACAATCTCGGCCAGAGCGGTGGCGTTGGCATTGCAGATGTATGAACCGTGATCGGGTTGAACGCAGATACCGAAGTATCCCACACGGACCTCTAGCTCGGCATTGTGCACAATGTTTGCCAACGCCGTGGTAACTCCAGGGTCGACTTGTGCCAGAGCGAAATTAGGTGTGTAACTCTCGTAGTAAAGCGATATTAAGAAGATATCGGGAATTTGTGGTGACGAAGAAGAACAGCCAGCCAACAGAAGTGCTGTATAATGTTAGGAACATTCCAATGACGTACTTGAATCCCTTTTGCAGGAATAAGGGCTTGACCTACATAATAAGATAATAGCAAGTGCAATCAGAATCATCAACACATGGTGGTATCCGATCATGGGAATGAATCCTATATTCTAGTTAGTGGATTTGCCAATGCTTGATACATAGGTGTATATGTATGTTTATTGTGGAGGAGCTTATGACATACGAGCCCATCCTGCAGCGAAGTTGGTAGCCATTATGACTAACGATGGCCCGCTACTGGCCGACCTCTTTCACGTTCAATCGACTCGCTTCTCGAATCCCCGAGAAGGAGTAGTTGAAGATAAATGCAGAGTCAGAGCTTGGTAGTTTGTCGATTTTGCGACGGTGGGGTTGACTTCGTAGATCGAGGATCTTCAGTAGATGTTGGTCGATTTCGATGTCAAGATCGATTGGAATGCGGAGAAAGAATGTGAACGATGAGGTGCGAGATAATGATTCGAAAAAGAATTGGACGTAATGTCGGGCTCAAGAAAGTACACCAAAACAATGAAATTCTGGGACCTTGTTTTGATTCGATTCGCACCTAAGAAACAAGACTCGAATATGGTTAGAGATTGAGCTTCTTACACCACCAGTGGTCACCACAGGGGAGTTGTAGAAGGAAGAATGTGCAGAAGGAATGGAAGGGGGGATATGAAAGATCGTAGCTGCAATTCGAAAAACTAATGTCAAGTTGGAATTCCGAAAATGTTTCCCTTGGAGGCTGGGGATGGAGACCAGGTATGGGAATATGGGAGGCTGGGCCAACAGGCTTTGTTTACTCTCCCGCTTCCAGGGTAACCAAGATTTACCGCCTCACTATTCGGGCCATTCTGCCTCATCTGGCCCGTGATTCAGTGGCGCCTGGTGCCTGCACTAAACCCGATCGGGATTAGCCTGAAATCGCTTTAAAGTTCAGGTTCCACATGCAGCGCCACTTCATCCCCAGCCTCCGCACTTGAAGATCTACTATCTACGTGGGTCGAATAAGGCACATCAAAGTATTAAAGAAATCATTGGCAGTATCCTTTAACGACAGAAGAGATAAAAAAAATGAAACATATCGATGCAGATGCCATTTGCTCCACGCCAGGGAGGAAAGAAAACAAGACCGTAAAATAAAACAATGATAGTACCATACCATCCATGAAAATGCACCCCACATAGGCGGTTGTGTCCGTCTAGTACCACCTAGTCCACACAGAAGACTCCGTACCCAAAAAATGCATAGATGCCCAAACTTGAATTCCACCCTCATTTGGCGGCAAACGAAAACCGCTTGAAATCCAGCTTGGGGGTCTTTCCAAAGCTGGTGTCAATCTCTTCTTCCGATTCATCGCTATCTCGGGCAATAAGGTCCTCACTGCCCTGAGGCGTGTTGGTTTGGGTGACGACCGGTGTTTCATCCGACTGAGAGGCCGAAGAGTTGGCATGTCGAATGGAAGTAGGGAAGTTGATGCTACGTGAGCGAGTCAGAGCCGATTGACCTAGCCGCGCCAGCGGAGTAAGACGGTGTCGTTGAGGTGTTGAATTCCGAGGAGCGACTGCAGGTGTCTGAGGGGATGACAAAAACGTATCTCCATGGCTCGATTGGATCACCGGAATTCTAGTCATATTGGAACGCTGCACAGGAGAGGCTGGCTTGGATCCAGACCTGAATGTGAATTTGGAGATAGTCGAGTTCTGCCGCTTGACATGGTAATCAAGAGCCTCGTTGAAATTGCTGTCCTCGCAGGAGATGCCGGACTGGTCTGTGGTCTCCTCTTGTGCTTGAGCATTATCGATCTTCAAAGCCGGCGCGACATTCGCATCCACCTCAACTTCAACCACCTTTGTCTCTGAAGTTATGTCTTCATGATGTATGTCCCCTTGGTCTTGCATACTCGTGTTCACCTTTAGATCAGGATCAGGAATCTGTGAGAAGATGTCTTCCGCTACTTCATCCGAAAAGATGTCTAGCATTGACTTGCGTGATTTTCTGGTTCGAGATAATTTCTCACCACTGGGGCTCACTTGCTCACCAGCAGCGAAAAACCGACTTTGTACATTGGGAGTAGGAAGCGAGTCATCTTCAACCTCTGAGCAAAGCCTCTGCCGCTTAGATGGTTGCGTGGCCGGCGCCCGTGATGTTTGTGCCAAGACTGTATTTCGCCCAACACTCCGAATCATAGGGCTGAGGTCAGAGAAGGCCCGAACGGGTGTTGCCCTTACTGTGTTAGAGCGCAAGGGCGCCGAGTTGGGTTGCCAAGAGTTGTTCGCATTTCGTTCCAGCAGTCTCTGCTGGCTGGGCGATGGAGTCAGGCTGTTCGGGTCCAGCTCGGCCAGAGGCTTGCGCTTCGGAGTAAAGAACGAGTTGATGGACTTGCTGGACTTCAGCTCTGAAGATGACCCCAAGGTCTGGCGACGACTAATACCGAGGGGCACTTTACCTGCAGCCAACGGTTTCATTTGAATAGGTTCCTTAGTGGTCGGGTCTAGATCCCCGGAAGCGACCCCAGCCGCAGTTTCTGGGTCCACATCAGCCCCGATAAAGGGCATTTCCTCGAGATTTACCCCATCTTCGGGGAATGTTAAAGTGATCAGTTTTTTAGCACTTGGACAAAAAACACGCTGGTAGAGGAAAGTATTCTCGGCCTGCTTGAAGTTGGTCAGGTAATCAGCTGGGACCCTGTACTGGCCTTCAAACGGAAGCATCCGCAAGGCCTTTTCCACGGTCCGATGCTTGCGAATGCTCCGATATGCCGTCTTCAATCCCATCTTAGGAATATTGGCCAAATAGTCACACCCACTAAGTATGCACATCCGACGAAAATCTGCATCACTCCATCCGACCAGACTTATTTCTCGACAGGCAGTAAAGTCTGCTCGGTTGATTTCAATACACTCACCATGCTGGTCCAATTTCGACAGCAGGCGCTTGGCACCAAATACCAACAAATCCGAGTCCTCGGAAATGATTCCATGTACAATCCCCTGTTGTTCAAGATACACCATCTGGGGATCGGCCTCATATGGTGCGACGACATACTGCACATCCATTTTCTTCAATTCTTCAATCAGTTGACGAGCCATGTATGGTGTCACGTCGACGGCTTTTTGAAACTCCTGGTAGGCCTCCGGTATTCTGCCCTTACGTTGTAACTCCAGTCCTAGAGCCTTGCTCTCTTGGCGGCGACGGTGTCGATCTGCTTCGGTAGCTGCCTTGCTGGGGAGGTCGTCGCCATCGAATACGAGGTAGGGTGTCACTCCGAAGTAAAGAAGCATGCGAACTCGATGAAGAACAAAATCAATATGTCTATTATTGTCAGCATCATTGTCTTATTTATCGTGACGGTGTTAGGATCGATACTTTCTCGTTGGTCTGTCCAAAACTAGATCCACGGAACAAGCCACTGTACCACGGTGCAGCCATCCGTAGGCGTCAACCGCGAGAGTCTGGCCGGCAAACTTCTTGAGATGGCATGGCTTTTGAATGGATTTGAGGAGTCCGTGGAGTCCTATGAAAGGTCAGATTTATTCGAGGCATCCCCCTTCGGTCCAATGAATTTACCTTTGATACCCATTTCGAGAACCGGGGTCGAGACTCAAGCGGGTCCTCGGGTGGAATCGATAAACAATAACATGCGGATTAGGAAATTCAAAGGCTCAACGCGAAGCGATCAATGTGCGGTAAGATATTGAGGAAGAACCTGCACTGAATCATCGAGTAAATAGCGCCATCGTTGGTGGAATGTTTGTTCAAGTTTGTTCCCTTCTTGACGCGCAGACGCGTTTGAAACGATTTAGGTAAGGCGGTGGTGGGTCATACTGACCGCCTAGTTCTGCCACTGCCAAAAAAAATTATCAAATCTAATCTGGTTGCTATAACGATAAACCACTACCACCACATACACACACACACACACACACACACACACACACACCTTTAATCATGCCTCGCACCCTTACAAAAGTACACAAGCAAATCTCTAAGAAGCGCGGTGTCATCGACTCGCTTCATGAAAACAGCCGTGATGCCATCCGCTTACGTCGTGCGGGTTCTCGTGATGATCGACTGAACCGCCATACCGGAGCCGTAATGAAGGCCCGCCAACCTTACAGTGAGCACCAGTCGAACCCGAATTACCTGCATCTTACCGTGAATTCTAACTTTCTATCAGTGGAGCGCATTGAATACTTCCACAACGCCGTTCAGGATATTGAGGAGCCTTTGACTGACGAAGGATTGGCCGATTTGGTTAAGCAGTATGTACTATTCTACTTTAGCTGAAATTTAACAGCGGAATTCTAACTCTCGGCAGGTGCATTAACCGAGATGGAGAGGAGCTCGCACAGCTTAAGCAAGAAAGGCGCAAAGGCCGCCCACCAATCCGCCGCGAGGAGGCTTTGTCACAACGGACAGAAACAGAGGAGAAGGAGTTCAAGACCGGATTTTGGATGCCGGATCTTAGCGACGAGGATGCTTTCTTGAAGTTGAAGAACTGGAATGGAGAGTGGACTGCTCTCAGCTCGGCCAAGTTCGTTCGGTTGGTGATTGGTGGAGAGAAGCAAGCCTCCAGCTTCCCACCCAAGGGCATGTCATGATCATTTTTCATGGCCGTTATACATGATCGTTTTTTTTTTTTTTCATTTCTTCTCTCCTTTTAAGTTGGGAGTTGATTGGCGCAATATGGGATATGCATCGACGCTTGTTTTCTCACGAAAAGTACCGGCTGATACCAATTATGACATATACATCAATTCAAGTATTTAGATAAAAACAGTACAAAGTGGTCAAAAAAATACCTAATGAATACTAGTAAGTAACTAGTAGTTGCATGAATGCCAGGCCAGTACAATCAATAGTAACCAAGCAGATGCTCCGTAGTTGTTCGTCCAATAGAAACGACGGCAGATCTGCGGAGCCAGAAAAGGGCCGGGCTTGGCATTAACATCATCGCGGCAGCTCTCATCTTTTTCTTCTACAGCTTTTCCCCCATCACAATCCATTCCATCCACACATTCACAATGCTTTCTCTCCGTGCTTTCTCCCGTTCCATCCCGCGGTTCTCCCGCTCCATTGCCCGCACTTCGATGCGCCCGGCTGTCCTCCCCAAGCCTACTATGCTCCAGCCCTGGAAGCAGGTCAGCAAGCCCGCCTATGCTGCTTTCTCGACTTCCAGCGCCTTCCGGGAGCCCGCTGCTGAGGGTAAGTCAGACAACTATCTATGACCTTGATGAAAATTTGATTCGAGATCCAATGTACAACCTTAAGAGCAAATTGCTAATGTTTTGATTTTTCATCTTCCAATAGGAGACGTCGAGCTTCTTGCCAAGCTTGATGAGGAGGTCAAGCACGAGAAGGCTTCCGGCGCTGAGGATGCCAAGGAGCAAAAGGCCAGCATCGACTACACTCTGCAGGCCGGCGAGTGGACCGTTAAGGATGTTGCCGGCGAGCAGGAGGTCGTTCTGTCCAAGAAGTTTGGCAACGAGTCGTATGTCACCCAGTCCATCATGGAATCATCGGAATTAAACATTTGGCTAACCACCAGGAACTCCCAATAGTATCCGCGTGACTTTCACCGTCGCTGACATTAACAACCTCTCCGAGGACCCCATGGATGAGCTACACGATGACGCCCTCGGTGACGAGACCGACTACCAGCAGAACGGCCGTGACATTGAGAATGATGACATCCTCCCCCCTACCTTCCCCGCTCGTCTTGATATTGCCATTGAGAAGGCCAACAACGGTGCCTTGTTGATCCAGGCTGTCATCCAGGACAGTGAGCTGCAGATTGAGGAGATCTCCCACTTTAAGGATGCCGAGATCGCCAATGCCCACTCCGCTGAGAAGGACTGGACCCGCCAGAGCCTGTACTCCGGCCCCCCTGCTGAGAACCTCGACCCCGAGCTGATCGCCTTCTGGGGCCGTTACCTCGAGGAGCGTGGTCTGAACGTTGAGTTCCAGAACATGATCACCGACTACATTGCTTTCAAGGAGCAGAAGGAGTACGTCTCTTGGTTGGAGAACGTTCGCAAGTTCATCGCTGCGTAAATTATGGATGCCCTTTAACTTGAATTTTCCGAATCGCCTTCCCGGCTACGTGAAGCTCTTTGCTTCTACAATTTTGACGATTTCGTCTTCGCGCTTGCGATGTAATAACCCCCTTAGACTTTCCATTCTGACGTTACTCTGAATGGTTAGTTATGTACCAATAACTTCAAATCAAATATATGAACAACTCTCCTGGTCCTGATATGGCACTCTACATAGTACTATGTAGACACCGTAACTTTGAAGCTGTCTAATGCCCTCCAGCGCTTGCTGCCAAACTCAGCCTTCAAACATGGAAATTACCTAGTAGGTAATGGACATTTGAATTAAAACTTCAATGTTCGCACTTGAGACCTGAGTATATCATTTTCCATCTGACAGCTCAAGATATCAGATCTCCCTGTGCCTATAAGATCAGTACATGTAGGTATATTCTCCTACATAAGAGTAAAGGCTTCATGTACGTAAAGTATACTACCTACTAGTACCACTAGATCCACAGAAAAGGATTACTGCTTCCAACATTCTCCGGATTTGAAGACTCTGGTAGATAATGTATGCACGTAATAAATGGCAAATATGATTATAAGAGAAAGAAAGATCAAAAGCTTGGGGATCATGCAAAGAACCAAAAACGCCTCAAAAAACCTGCTCAAGTCACCTCGAGACATTTGCAGTTTGGTCTACCTTGAAAATCACAGGGCATTAAAGTCATAATTCACAGCAGTTTCAGAGACGCTCAAAACTCCATCGGATCAGTTTTGATTTTTGCGTCAGTCTCCTCACGCTCTCGCTTGCCGGCCCGTTCTTCCTTGATCAAGCCTGCAATAAACGACCGGAAGAAATCAATGTAGGGCTTCAGACTAGTTTTCTCATAGTCTTGCATTTTGCGAGGCCCTCTGATGTCAGAACCATTCACCGCGCTGCCAGTTGCATCAGGCATCTCTGCCTCGGCTGTACCGACGGGGTTCTTGGCATCATATTCATCAATCTCACCAAGGAGACCCAGCACGGTCGGGACAGACAGAGGATCGAATTCTTCGACCTTCTTCGGGTCGATGGGAACACAGATTCGACCAGTTCCAGGGTGAATAACAAAAGGACTTTTCAGCAAGTGAATCATCTTCTTACTGACCTCCGCATCAAGACGGGGGTAGGTATATTCCAGTACAATATCCTGCTTCGCATCGCGCAATGCAGAAGTGTTCAACGTGCCGCTCTTTCCAGTCTTAGCCAACGCATCAATGTCGGCCCATTTATTCGCACTGGGACGATCTGGAGACGAATTCCATTTCCTCCGTAGCGCGTCGTTGAGCGACTTATCAGGTAGCAGTTGGAGAAGTTTCTCGGCCCGTTCATCGCTTGTAAAGGTGTCTTGGTCAATAAGTGTCGTTTGTGCGAAATGGTTCTTGAGAATGTCGAGACTGCGGTTAATGTGCGGGTGCAGAGGTCGCTTGATATTGACTTTCTTGCCACTGGAAGATCCTCCCTTGATAACTTCCAGGTAGCCGGCAATCGCCCTTCGTCGATCGTCAGGCATATTGCGGGCGCGCGGGTCACAGACCCAGGCGTGAGCACCACGACGACCGGAGTATACCCATAGGATATGCTCAAAGCCAAAGTCCTCCCGGAGAGCCGCGTCGATAACCTTAATTGCCATAGTGACGAATGCCCAACATTTGTGACAGATGCTAGCGCCTGAGCAGCATGTTCGGATATCATCGTAATCCGTCATATCAATATCGAAAACAAGTTCTTTCGAGACGGGTTTCATCTGGGCTCCTCTGAGGGTCTTGCGGTCTCGGGGGTTGGTGCTGTACACAGGTCCGATTTCGAATCGAGAAGGGTTCATTTTAAGGATGTCTCTTCGGAATCTGGAATTGGCTTTATTAGCCTACATGTCTCTTAGTTACCGAGGGAATTATGTTTGATCTCACAGGTCTGGAGTGGGGTATGATTGGTATCGGAGATAGGCGTCGTTTTGTAGTGTTAGGGCGAATTCACGATTTCCGAACTCTTTGGTAGGAACAATTCCATGGTTTAGCCATTGGAAAAGATAGCGAAATGGGAACAGGCGCTGGTAGAAGGCGAGCATAACATGCGAATCCACGCCGGATTGAAAGAGAGCTGGTACACTGGTCGCGCATTAGTGGCAGAACGCAGAATCCTAACATTTGGCAAACCTACGGTTCTGGTTCTGGGGCCGGAGAACTCTCCATCTTCACGTCTCGCGCGCTCGATGCAGGGAACTCCTCGTCATCGTCATCGTCGAACATATCCTCCAGTTTCACGTCATGTCCCTCTGCGGGGGCATCTGGAAGGGTTTCGTCATCTTTCTGGGCAGGCGGTTCCATTGTTGACAGAGAATGAGGCATGGTACAGTGTGTTGGGAAAACAATTGAAACCGTTGATTACATGGGATATCGAACCCGAACGGGAAAGCCCGAACGCGCGACGCGTCGAGGAACGCGCGCCCTAAGCCCTAGTCACGTGTTACTCATATTGCCTAATCCGGATACCCTATCTACGTACTCAGCAACTCTGTACAACTTTGGAGCTCATGAAGAACTTTGTTCAAGTCCAATCTATCAAAGCTGCAAGAATACTAGTAACAACCAACCCGCCTTCACGATGGACTTTTCCCCCTTGCCGTTTGCGGCATTTCTCTCTTCTTCTTCAAAGTGGTACCTGTTACTCAATACAAACCTTGGATGACAACAAGACTATCCAAGTTGAGTCAAACTCTGAGCGATGAAAAGGGACGGTCTCATTAGCCAAGGACGATGAGTAACATGGAGTCCTTTGCCACAGGTTTCTATCCGGAGAATGTGACAACTTTGGAGCTCTTTCATAGGCTGGCCCTACCTTCCCTTGGTGGAGAGCCCATCTAATCCGGTGTCAAGTCAAGAACCAGTTTACATGGATCAAGTCCTGTAGAGTCACATCTACAGTGGACTTGAGAAAATTTTGATCGCGTGTCCGTGCAGAGTAAACGCCGCTTTCTATGGCAAGAAAATGAAACTCATCCGCATTCCTCGATTCTCTGGCCAATCACAAGCAAGGAGACACATCCATCTACATTCCTCAGCTTCGTGAAAGAGCCTCCCACTTGCCCCGGAGTCTTTAGCCAATCCTTTCGATCTCAGTTTTGCGCCCTGTCAAATAAGCGTGCACATACCGGAGGCAAGATCCCGTTATGCTGCTGCATCTGTGATTGGCGAATACGAGATCTCCCCCACATGTCATCGTCCGCAGCGTGGTGAATCCTCATGCACCGTTTCCGGCTTCAACAAGATCAAATACTTCCTTCAACTTTTGAGTATCTCCTTCAATAAGATTTGATCGCTCAGTACTTTGAAATCCTATTATTGACTATACTTTTGTTTGACATGCCCATATACTACGTTCAACTTCAGTCAATAGATCTCAAGCTACTTACAATTCTCTCCTTGCTCACCACCAGCCAGACACCAGTCCCACGCATTGCACTTCCGCATTGGGAGCTCCTGTGGAGAACAATTCAACTGTTGAGTAAGATGAAACCACAGCATGTCACGTTTGCATCTAACTCGACCACACGGATGCACCATTACCCCAAGATTTCTGGCCTATGATAATCAATCAGTGCCTTTGCTATCCACGGCTCGCTGTCACAGTTCCTGCATTCGGCCATAAACCACCGTGATGTGGATCAGGTCAACCTTTGCTCCCCTATGCACAACCATAGCAGCCATCTCCGTCATGAATTGGACAATGCTCCTCGAGTCAAGCATATAAACTCCTTCGTGGCTGCCCCCTCAACAAATTTTTTCTCACCCTCTTCATCATCTTCACTCGTTTTATCTTCTTAAGCTTCTTTTTTTTCCAAGGAAAAGTTTTCTTTTAACTTCTCAAAATGTTCCAATCTCTTGCTCTTCTGGCCCTTGCCAGCCCTGCCTTTGCCGGTGTCATGCAGGCCCGTGGTGAGGCTAGCATCCACCCCGCTGCTGAGAGCTCCGCCTCTGCTCACCACGTTGAGGAATGGGGCCACAGCTGGAGCCGTCCTGCTGAGGAGCACACCTGGACTACTCCCTGCACCACCAGCACCACCAGCACTCACCACCATGAGACCAGCACCACCCCCACCACCACCCCGTGCACCACTCCCACCCACAGTCACACCACTCCTCACTCTACTGAGTCCAAGACTACCACCCCGTGCACCACCCCCACCCCTGTGACTAGCTCTCACCACACCACTCACACTCCCGTGATCCCCGGCACCACCAAGACGATCACTGTTGTGACCACCACCTGCCCTGGTAGGCATATCACTTCTGCACATCTCTGACCTTGAACCATTCCATTAACAAACTTTAGTCACCTCGTCGGTTGTCACCTCTGGCACCTCGACCTTCACCATCCCGATCACCCAGACTAGCACCATCACCCTGACCAAGACCACTGTCTGCACTGCCTGTGAGGAGAAGCCCGTGACCTTCGCCAACGTCACCGTTGCCAGCACTGTCCCTGCCACCGCTGCTGTCGTCACCTCCGTCCCCGCTGTTGAGACTACCGCTGCTGTTGTCCCCGCTTCGTCCCAGGCTGTCTCCACTCCTCTTGTGGTTGCTTCTTCCGCCGTTGGCACTCCTGCTGTTGTGGCCTCCAGCGCCGTCTCCGTCCCTGCTGAGTCCTCTGCCGTTGCCGTCCCCGCTGAGTCTTCTGCCGTTGCCGTCCCCGCTGAGTCTTCTGCCGTTGCCGTCCCCGCTGAGTCCTCTGCCGTTGCCGTCCCCGCTGAGTCCTCTGCCGTTGCCGTCCCCGCTGAGTCCTCTGCCGCCGCCGCCTCCAGCGCTGTTTCCGTCCCCGCTGAGTCCTCTGCTGCTACCCCCGCTGAGAGCCAGGCCGCTGCCCCTGCCGTCTCTGTGCCCTCTGAGTCTGCTTCCACCTCCGCTGAGAAGCCCGAGTCCACTGGTGTCTTCACTGGTGCTGCTTCCAGCGTCAAGCCCGCTGCCGGTCTCCTGGCTGGTGTTGTCGGTCTCTTCGCTCTGCTGTAAATCTCAGCTATGAGTGTATGAGAATAAGTGGTTGTGGCTGATTCCAGCTACGATATACACTGTTCTTAAGGACTGTCCATCTTTCTTGGTTCTTTAGGTCTTCGTGGTGCGGATCTGAGAATTGTGGGATTTGGAGATTTGATTTGTTGTGCTTTTTGCTTGCTTGGCTTACAGTGCATCGATAGTAGATCCGCTTGGTCTCCCCCATCCAGGGTTGGGAGCAAGAGTTGCTTGGTCATTTCGAGAATTTGTTCGTTTTTCACTATTGTGTCAGCATGTCATATAGTAATGGTAATAAATACATGAATTTTTGCTTGGATTTCTTCTTATTGCATCATTCTTCAAGTCGAGTCATGCTGCCTATATACAGAGGCCTTTGGGTTGTTTAAGACATCATGGTCTCCACTACTATACATGGAAATCCCAAAACTACTAGATACTAGTAGGACTTCCAATTAGTTACATACACGAATTACTTGACGCATAATTTGCTAGTATCGTGTTGAATTTTAAACGCACATTGTCAAACAAATCCTCTTCACAACATTGAATGTTCTTCCCTCCTGATTGATGTAAGCACTGCCGTTGAAACCTGAAATTGCATGGTCCCTCTGATTCACACGGCGATGGAAAAAAAAACAAAGATAAGGACAATTAAGAAAGGAGCTCTTCAATAGGAGCTCTATCATTCTCTCGTCAATTGATGATTGTCTACCAGCACTGCAGCACGGATACGATTGATTCTGTCTATCCATCTCTTCATTCATTCATTCGTTGCTCTATACATTCACTCTATATATGTTCTATGTATCAATCCAACTTCATATTTACTCTTCGTTGACCAGCACGTAACGGTAGCGCGCATATCCTTCCTCCATGTCAACGATGGCCTTGTTGGCATCCTTCATCGGAACCTCCTGGATCCAAGGCTCAATGCCCTTCTCCGCCACCAATTCGAACATCTCACGGATCTCATTGGGGCTACCAACCAGGGAGCTCTCCAACTTCAGGCGACGCATCAAGCTTCGAACGGGGGCAAAGAGACCACCGTCCTCAGGAAGGCCAACCTGAACCATAGTACCACCGGTACGCAAAAGACCCAGGTAGTCAGTCATGGGCATCTGCAAGAAACGAGTCAGTCATCACCCCTCTCATGTTCATTTTCATTTTCATGTTCATGCTCATGCTTACCTTAGTAGAAGAAACAGTGCAAACAATCAAATCCAAAGACCGCGCATGCTTGCTCGCCCACCCCTCGTCCTCATCAGTCGCAATATAGATATCAGCCCCCATCTTAATCGCATCCTCGCTCTTCCCGCTCTTCCGTGAAATAGCAACAACCCGATCAGCACCCATAGCCTTCGCAAACAGCACACCAAAGTGTCCCAGACCACCGACACCAATGATGCCGACCGTCTTGCCGGGTCCGCACCCATTGTGCTTGAGCGGGCTGTACAGCGTCACACCACCGCAGAGCATCGGCGCCGCGGCAGCAGAGGAGATGGAATCAGGGATCTTGACGGCAAAGTGCGCGGGCACGCGGTTGTACAGCGCGTATCCGCCGTACGTCTTGCCGCCGTTGAAGTGCTCGCTGTTGTAGGTGCCAATGACCTTCTTGCGGCAGTACTGCTCCAGGCCCATGGCGCACTCTTCACAGTCGCCCTGGCGGCCCTGGCAGGAGTCGGACTGGGCGCCGACACCGACGCGATCGCCGAGCTTGATGTCGGTTACCTTGCTTCCTACGCGGACGGCCTTGCCCACGAGTTCGTGGCCGACGCAGCAGGGGTACATGGCGGGGCGCTGGTGGATGTTAGTATGGGGTTGATATGTACTTGGGTTTTGGTGGGTTGGTGTGTATGATTTTATGGCGCAGAGAAAAGAGATGAAAGAATAGATGCAGGATATATCCAATGTTGGAAGCGACTCACCCATCCACTGCGCAGAGTGTGCAAATCCGAACCACAGATACCACAGTGCGAGATCTTGATATCGACATCGGTCTCCTCCCACTCCTTAGGCTCGAATTCCTGCCAAACCATGTTGCCCTGGGCGGAGCTAGGGTCGAGACCCATCCAGCCCTCAAACTTGTAATCGGTCTGCGCCATTGTGATTGTAATTGTGATAGTGCAGTGACTTCTAGCGGAAATTTTTTCTTTTCAAACTTGAATCTACTTTTTTTTTTTGTCTTGACCCTTTATTTAAAAACCCCAGGGGACCGGGACTCGGGATAGGAGCCCCATTTATCTTTGTGCCGGTCGAGTTTTTCTGGGTCCCGAGGAACGAACCGGCCACAGGATTGGCTCTAAGGCCCACATCTTTTTGTTGGAGATGGTGGAAAAATCGGATTGGATTAATCAATTGGTAAGCAGGTTTGGTTCGGCATATGATGCTTTTTGGGGTATTTGTAGGAGAGTGGGGGTTTGGATGGCTTCTTTGATGTAAATGCCTTGATTTGCTTGATACACTAGTCAACGGGAGAGGCTTAATGTATGCAGCTGAGTGGGGAGAATGAGATACACAATGATTGAACAATTGATAAACTCCTTGATGTACACGGCTCGTTAATTTTTAATTTCTTTAATTTAGTTTTACTTTGCTCTCTGCTTTTCGGTAAGTATGAATCGTTGGTATTTTATTTTTAAAAAAAAAAACCTGAGGGTTTCTAAGACTATTATTTGAAGCATGAGTGTTGAAGACGGTCAAGCGGAGACTTTGCCTATATGGGCGTGCACAAGTGAGAAGTTTAATTATTAGTTGAAACTAGCGTGGAAAGATCTAGAAGTCCAGCAAATCTGGGCAAAGTGGCAAACTTGAAGTATTCAAATGTTTTTCAAGACGAATTTTCAAGTGCAAAAAGATGTACATGCGAGCCTTTTGGAAAATCCGGTACAAATGAGTTAGGAATGCAAGAGGAGAAAGATAAGAAAAAAAATTAAACATGTAAAAAAAAACACCATTCTATCTCGTTCTGTTCAGATCCTCGCTTGCGAAACATGGATATAATAAACAACCAGCAGAGTTCTACACTGGGCTGGGAACGCTATACCCTATAACAACCGTCTAGAAGAGAGACAAAATGTCCTCGTTAGTCTTCTTGGACTGGTTGTCATTCGCTGGGGAGGTATTGCCGGACAGGTCGAGGCCAGAGAACCCATTCATCAAATCACCAGCAGCACCCCCGCCGTTCGCACCACTGAACGAGGGCTGGGCTGCTCCAGAATCTCCAAACACTCCTAACAAGTCATCCAAGTTATTGCTACCTGAGGGGGCGGGGGCCGAAGCAGGTGCGCCAACGGCAGGTGACTGCACCCGGACCGGAGTACCAGCGAGACCCTCCAAGCCGGACATACCACCAGCTTCGTTATTCTGCGCGGATGCCGGGGCACCGCCGTCGAAATCGATGTCCAGCAAGTTCTCGACGTTGTTTTGCGCTTGCGCAGAGGGGGTAGTGCCGCTGACTGCTGCAGCGGCAGCGGCAGCCAGTGGGTTCTCGCGGGCATTCTGGAGTTGTTCCCTAAATTTAAAATTAGTATATGTGTAGTAAGATTAGACAAGGGTAATTGGGTAAACGTACTCGATAGCGGCGCGTTGAACGGCATCCGCACCGAAGCGGCCTTGTCCAATAAACTGCTCTGGGGGCTTGTGGTATACGGATGATAGGGTAGAAAGCTCCTGGAGGAGTTGGTCCAGAAGGGCTGGCGGTAAGGAGTGGATGGTTGTGACAATAGGGGGCTTATCGGAGAGAACGATATCCTTGGTAGCGTTCTGGTCGCTGGTGTTGGACAGAAGACGCCAGTAGATGTAGGCTCTGTCACGGACATCCGGGTTGTCATTCTCGGCGGTCGCGGCCTGGAGAACACGCTGTACCAGGCCTTGAGCCTTCTCAGGTCGCTTAAGGAAGAGCTTAACTACAGCTGTAAGAATTTGTAGCTGAGTCTGAGAGAACTCCTCGTTGAATCCATCCACAAAGCCACCAAGAATATCACCTGCGTTGCTGATCTTCTCGGCATATTGTCCGACAATCCAGATCAAGGCTGCGCGGGCATTGGGCTCATCCAATTCGTCAATGCACTGGCACAGAGTCGGAATGATGCCCTCATAACCAGGGTACTTTCGGAAGATATCCCGGATGACGACAATGGCCTCCTGGACAACATAATTCACCTTCAAGTTGATTAAATCCAAAAGCGTGTTCACGCACTTCTCACTGGCGCTTTCAATCTTAATGGCAACCTGGCCAATCGCCTTGACGGCGCGCCGCACAAAGTCCATGTCAACCTCCATGGCGTATTCTTTCAATTCGGCCAAGAGTTGGTCCACGTTGCGATCATTGGCTATCCGTACCATAATCTCCAACTTTTGGAATTTAACGTATGGTGGATCGTTGTATTTGCAGAAGAAGACGCGCAGCTCCTTGTTTAGAATATCAGGCTGCTTCTGCAGCAAAAGATCAATGTTTCTCAAAGCCACATATTGGACTTCGTATTGAGAAGATACCAATGTCACTGATCGTTTTTTGGTTAGTTTCCGGTAATCTGTGGGACGGGTTTGTGTTTTTACATACCTAGAGGAGGTGCCATCTTTTTGAGATATGTCTTCGCCAACTCTGGGCCGACATACTTCATGTGCAAGAAAACAACCTTGACTGCCGCAAGAACTACACTGGAGTTCACATGCTGGAATTGGGGGGCAACTCGCTCACAAATGTGTTCCGACTCTTTTACATCGAGCGCCCGGTACTCAGCTAGTGTCGAGAGAATGGTCACACGACCCCATTCTGTGCATTCGTTCAATGCCATAAGCATCTTTCGTAGTGTATTAGCTGTAACTTGAAGAGCTCCAAGTTCAGTCGCCGAGTGGTGGATTTCCGCAAGTGCGGTCACCGAGTTGGCCACCACCATCGGGTTGGGGTCACCGATCATCTCCTGCAGCATCTCCAAAAATCCATTTTCGAGACACAAGTTGGGGTTGAGGTCAAAGAGCTTGGCAACGCAAATGGCGGCAGTTTTACGGACATACGGCGACTCGTCGCGAAGGGTCTTGCGCAGCGGTTCCTCCATGTAGTCCACCATCTTCTCCACACGGATACAACCCATGGTACGAATGGCGAGTGCGCGAACCAGGGGGTTAGGGTCCTCCGAGTCCTGGACGAATGTGTTGACAGCGAGAATGCAGAGATCGGGGTGTGACTTGGCGTAGTTCCTATACAATTCCAGTGGTCAGCGTATGCGGTCCCCCTTATGCTTATGGTATCCGGATAATACCCACATGAGGTAAAGGTAGACCAGCTTCTTCTGCTCCAGATCGGCAGTTGCAATATTCTTCAGGACATCGGGGAAGAGAGCAGAGACGTCCTTGCCGAGAGTCATGGCCATGATTGTCTTCTGGATAGACTCTTTCCTGTTGGATGTGTTAGCCTTGCCACACCATCCCCCCCAGACAAATTCATAACATCCTCGAGTTTGGTGAGTATTCGTACCGTTCGTAAGCATACTGGGAACTATTCTATCAATTAGCATGGTCGCTCATCCATCATGGCTATGCAGCCACGTATGGTCGGATGGGGGTAACTGCATACACAAGGCCAGCTCGCAATTCAAACGTCTCTCCTTTCCGAGGCACCGCAAAGGCGCCGCGAATTTTGTTCATCGCCATAATAAAGGGTGATTAGCTTCAGCTCCGACTTTGTCGTGCTTCCACCAGAGGGGTCGGGGATGTCGGGGGTCGTAGGGAGTCGAGTAATTGGGAGACTGCGGGGAATTAATTGCGAGCTTCCACCGGTCGCGCGACTTCGGAAGTGAGGAAAATGCGATTGGCGAACAGGATTTAAACCATTCCCCCCTCTGCGGTCAGGTACATTGAAAAAGGAGAAAAGGAGAAAAGGAGAGAATGGGGTTGCGGGAGGATTTTCGGATGACGAAAGAAAGAGGTGAGAGAGTGTTTGGGCAATCAAAAGTTGTCCACAAATGGTGGGCTCTGGACCTTCCCGCTTTACCAAAGCTTTGGGCTTATACGTTCAAGGGAATCCTTCTTTCATCACTTCTCCTCTATCAGCCTTACTAGTTGCACTTGTACTTAAATGGTCAGTCTGGTTGCTTTATTTACAGCATTTCTCAAAGTTAACATAATTTCTAGGCTAATCTTCCTAACCTGCGACGTCTCTTCGTCGAGGCGCGCACTGAAGTCGAAGAGAATGAGTACTCTCGGACAGCGGTATATTCCTCTTTCTATGGCTTGAAACCCATACGCGGGCTCTGACAAAGATGGCAGTTCTACAACCTAGTCCTCTTCATTTCATCCATCGCGGTCTTTAGCTTGGCAGCTCAGCGCATGAGTGGACAAAAGGCCTGCCGGTGAAGCAGTATAATACTGCGCGCGACAGGGGGAAAGCATTCGAACAAAGATACCCATGGCATTGGTCATTATGAATACAAATGGCTAAACACAATTGATACAATTGAAATCACGCTGTTGATCCAGTGATTTTATCAGTCCGACTCCTCACCATCGCTCTCCAGGAATGCGAGCGCCTGTCGGCCTCGGGCGGCTGCTCGGCGTCGAGGCGGCCCCTCGTCTTCTTCTGCGTCTCCGCTATCCTTTCCCCATTGTTTCGCACCTTGTTGGATCTGCTCCAGGTCCGCCTTCAGCTCTCGCTCTTCGCGAATCTGATTTGCTTTCTCTTGCGAGTACCGCCCTGTCATGCCAGCACCCTCGAGCATTCCTTTGAGATGCTTGATCTTCGCCTTTGCGGTATCATAAGGCGCCAGCTCGCGGAACCACATCTTGCGAATACCACATTTCACCAGCCACCCTTGTAAACGCTTGATCTCTGCGTGATCTGGATTGTCCTCGTCCTTGGATTTAGGTTTGGCTTTGGGTGCAGGCTTCTTCTTTTCTTTCTTGGAAGACGCCTCGGTGCTCTTTCGTCGCTGACGCTTGGGCTTGGGTTCTTCGTCCAGGACCACAGACATTTCGCTTTCGGAGTCTTCTTTGACAACTTCCGACGATTTCACCGCACCGGAATCTTGTTCACCACCCGAACCATCTGACTCGGCTATGTCCGGTTTTGTAACTTCTTTCTCACTATCATTATCAGATTGCGCCGTAACCTCCTCATTCTCATCATCCGAAACCGGGGTCCGGGTCTTCTGGCGCTTTCTTGGCTTGGGTGCACTTTCACTCTTGGATCGCTTAGGCAGCGCGGTATTTTTCGGTTGCGGTTTCGGAGGTGGAGATGGGGATGGAGTTTTTTGGGCTGGCTCAGCTTCGGCGTCTGGCTCATTTTCCTGCACGTCCTATGTCATCAATATTCTATGTTAGTACTGGTCAAGGACAGGTGACGTGCATGCCAATTGAAACGTAAAAACATTTCTTACCACTTCGGCCTTGATGATCTGTTCGCTTCGTGCCTTCAAATCTGCTGTGCTCCTAAAGTACCCCTCTGTGAGACCAAGCTTCTTCTCCACGGCAAGTCGTACACGTTTCATAGTGAGCTCCTCCAAGTTGCCAGATTTGTAAACCCCCGCGACTTCATCGCGCAACGCCTGTTCAATCTGTTTATTAGAAGGCGTCGAAGAAACATCTGGTTCCGCCTCTGATTCAGAGTCCGACAGCTTGTATTTGGGTGCCATGGCGTGTCTCGCCAGTCGTCGCAAACGTTCTTGGTGGGGCGTCAAAGGAAACCAGTTCTGATTTCACTATGATGCGATAAAAGCGACTTCTCCGAGGAATGCGAATGTCGCGATAGGCCAATTTTTTGGGATTGAAGAGGATTTTTCAAAGTTGACACGTTCAGTCGCGTGGTCCTGGATGAACGTTGGCGTTGCAGGAACGATGACAAAGCTTATCGGCAATCAGCGCGTTTGCTTGTCTTATCCATCAACTGGCCAAAATGGAGGTCAACCCTACCACATACTAGTAAATATTGGCCAGAACGACCTTGTCTTCAAATGTTCATTTAATTATTTATAGTACTTTCTTTTGAATACAGTGTCGTTTCGGGTCTTGGGAGGTGACTAACTAGGCAGAGTGGCTGGAATATCCTTAAGTGTATGTACATAGCCATTACTTCAGGTATATGTTCCATGAACCCATTGGGTTTGTACATTTACATAGCCCGTATCCATACAATGTTTCAATGTGCAATTGATTATACCCAGTACCTACTAGATATTCAAATGTTTACCATCTACACACGTATTCCAAGGTCCTCGAGGTCAATATTTAGAATGTATTGATAGTTACCCATTTACATACTATATACAAGTGTATTTTAAAGACATGTTGAAAATCACACCTGCTTGAGCATCAGTCCCGCAATTTAGAAGGTTCAAGCCCTCTAGGGAGGTCATTGACACAGGAGGATACCCCCAACTGCATACAGTTGACTGTAGTAGCTACTAACTTCTCCACAAGTCGTATGAAAAATGTGGGAGTTGAATGTTTATCCAAAATCTAGTATGGAAATCAGGGTTTTAGTGTACCTAGTACGGGCACCAATCTGACACCATGGGCTGATGGACCCTTAAGTGGATCCTCTCTAACTAGTAAAATTACCCCGCCTAAGCACTGGTTCAAATGTTAGCGAAAAATAAGCATTACCTATCCTGCCAAATATCGGGTTGATAAAGATAACTTGTGCATAGAGAAAAGTCTGGATAAATAGTGCATGCGCTTTGGTCGCACATCACACAACAATGGCCGATCCCATATCCATCATAGGCCTGATTGCGGACGTCAGTGATATCATATCGTCTCTTATCAAGTACGCCAAAGCGGTACAGAGTGCAAGATCCGAGATGCTAAAGTTGAGCGAAGAAATGTTTGCCTTGCGAGGCATCCTCGACCACCTGGCCGCACAATCTTCGTCGGAAAAACATCTAGAGGTCTATCATATCGAGTCAGAGGGTTCAGTGCCCTTCAACGAAGACATCATGAACAGAGTCCTCCAAACGACCAAAGACTTCCTCACCTCCCTCTTGAAAGAGCTACAACCAGCTAAAACTAAGCTGCGGAGCTTGAAGCAGAAGCTTGAATGGCCCTTCACGCAGGAAACAATCAATGGTCATCTTACGCGACTGGAAAGAGTGAAGTCATGGTTGATACTTGTTATTACTGCAGATCATGCAGCCCTTGAGAGGGGTATGCAGCAAGAGATTGGGGCCCTGACCAGATCTTTGACTGAGGATTTGAAAATTCGAGAGCAGGAAAGAAAACAGATAGCGAACCGTGAATTGTTCGAATGGATTGCCCCAGTAAGCCCTTCTAATTCGCATCTGCGCGCAACTGAGGGACACAACATTCCATCTGGGAAGTGGTTCATTGGTGGACATCTGAAGCATTGGCTGCGGTACGGTGATAAGAAGCTCTTCTTTCTTGTGGGAAAATGTATGCTGGTCCCGTTTCATTCACCTCGAAGATACCAATAGAGAGTTTGCTAATAAAATCTTAGCGGGAACTGGAAAAACCACCTTATTGTGAGTCACCTGCTATTGGCTGAGTTGCAAGATTACATTCAAGTGGATTCAATTAATACTATTATAGTGCTCAGTGTGTTGACGAACTTGTCTCCATGGCTTCGCATGACGAAAGCATCAATTTTGCCTATTTCTACTGCACTATAGGCAATTCGGCCTCTCAAAACCTAGCCAATGTGTTAGGATCGATAGTGGCTCAACTTTCCGGGAAAGACGACTTCATACTCGACAATATCCGACAAATCTACCACGGTATCCCCAAATCTCAAGCCCACAAGCGGACCATTGATATCACTGCACTGGAAGATGCTATCATCAAGTCTGCTTCCGGAAAGACGCAGATCGTCGTTCTGGTTGATGCCATTAACGAGAGCCATGATATCAGGCATATAGAGATATCTCTGTTGAAGCTGGCCAGTCTGTCCCCAAATATTCGTATCATGATCACAACAACATTAACCATGGTATACCCTGGAGACGTTGAGTGGCTCAACATCAACGCGGAGATGATGGCCGGCGATATTAAAGCCTACATCGACCATCGACTAGAATATGATGAGGCACTGAAGGACAGGAAGCCTGAGTTTAAATCCGAAATTCGAAAGACATTAGCGGACAATGCCGATGGATCGTAAGTTGTCAATTTTTATATTCTCCTGTTATGTAAGGTTACTTATTGTCGAGCAGATTCCGTTGGGTACAGCTTTCTATGGAAAACATATGTGCCCAGAGAACAGCTAGATCAATGCATAACGCTCTACGCAATCTACCGGGAACGCTTCGTGAGATGTACGCCAAAACACTAGATCAGATATCTCTGGATGACAGACCATTTGTCCGAGAGGCACTGTTCTGGATTAGCTTTGCCCAAGATCACCTTTTTGCAAGTCAAATGCTCACACTGGACGTCCTGAACGAAGTGGTGGTCCTAGATGAAGAATATACCACACTGGACGAAGACATGATGCTGGTTCCCGCTCAAGTTCTCCTTGATATATGCCAGGGCCTCATAACCCAGGACCAAGCTGGCAGCGTCACCCTCGCCCATTCCTCCATCAAAGACTTCCTGACATCTGACTGGATTAAATCTTCGCGCGTCAGTTACTTCAGCATGGACCCACAAACCGCAAATACCATCATAATGCGAAAGTGTCTTGCCTATCTATGCCTCGACAACTTCCAAAGCGGGTATACATCAAGAGGGCAAATATTCCGACGCTTGAAGAATTACAAATCCCTCAAATACGCATCGTTCATGTGGCCCAAATATGCTGCCGCGGCCGAGCTTGGAGATAGCGAGCGGCGCTTAGTGCAGAAGTTCTTTGATACCAGACATCTTCCTCGTCAAGGAAACTTTGGTACTTGGATGCAAGTTCTGATGCCTTCGGTGGATCCCTCGAGAGTCGAAACCACGCATCCCTTGTACTATGCCAGCTCGTATGGCTTGACTTCTGTGGTCAAGATGATTCTTGAATTCGATACCGATCTTGATATCAATGCCCCAGGAGGTCGAGTGGGTGCTACTGCTGTTTTCGCTGCTAGCAATCGCCAAAACTTTGATACGACGGATCTACTCCTGAAAGCAGGCGCAGACCCAAGGATTGTGGATCCAGGAACAGGTTGGACTGTTTTCAACTTGTCTCAAATGTCAAAATGGTCTGGCCTCAAAGGTCCTTTGTCTGACTGGTTATCTGGTCAAGAGAGTTCAGTGCAAGAGGAGTATAGAGCGAAATATAGTATTTGAAGAAAACTATTTGCCATATGACGTCCGCCGGCTAGCAATGCGGTTTTCAACATTTGAATGTATATATGATCAATCCCATGCAGAAACCATCCTTGGATTCTGGCAGTAGGAATGGATCTGAAGCTCGGGTGGCACAATTGGCTAGCGCGTGGAGCTTTTACCTTACGAGATTGTTAAATTTCAAAATGTTCAAGGACCTACGGCATAGTTCCTCACTTCCTTCCCAGGCCAATTCTTAATTTCACATAGTTCCACAGGCTCCTAGTAGTTATAGGCCAGGTCTTATTTCCACACGCCTAGAATCGCGCATAGCTTAATAAAGTCTATAGTTTCAACTTCACAGTATAGGCCAGGTCTCATTTCCACACACCTAGAATCGCGCATAGCTTAGTAAAGTCCATAGTTCCATAACTAGTTACATTCCTACTATAAGCCAGGTCTTATTTCCATACGCCCAGAATTACGTGTAGCCCTGAAGACCAGGTATAAGGATATGTGCTTCTAATGACTTAATATTCTAAACATCGTATTAGGCAATGCGCAAAAACTTCAGATAAAAATAATTCTATATTAGAAAAAGTGACTTAATATTCTAAATATTTAAAAAATTCCATGTTGGACAAGTGACTTCAAATGTTAATTTTCTAAATATTTAATTTAAAGTAATTGATGAAAAATATAATGTATTTTTGGTAAACTCAACGAACACCTCCAAATATTGTTCAAATGTTTCAGGGGCCCAAAACTTAAGGTATCACTGCACCAAATATGGCCAATAGCTCATACTCAACTTGAAGACTTAAACCAGATTTGATGTTTTGTGGTTGAGATATAGGATCTACTTTACTATGTATTTCAGGGTTGGTCGCATGCTTACACTGGCCGTGAGCTTACCGATTACGTTATGTCATTTTTCAATAAAAGTTCGCATTTTTACTATATACGGCCCGTTTGCTAACAAAATTAAACGATTTTTCTTATCCTCAACTTCAATGTTTAAAGGTATGCAACTCTACTAGCAAAAAATATGCCAGAATTTTTAATCATAGAAAGTACTCATTTACTAATTATTTATAACTTAACAATGATCAGAAAAGAAGTTTACATATAAAGTTGTTGAAATAATTGTAACCACAGAGGGCGAGTTTTGCCATTTTTTGCGGGAAAAAGAAAAGTGGGGAAACACTTTTGTCACCCTATGTACGAACAAGTGTAGAAACAAAACACTAACTCCGCCGGACCGCCGATCCCGCCGCAAACCGCATTAGAAATCACCAACTTACCTCTTCAACTTCCTTGTGAAAGACAACCCCCCTGCCCACCTTCAAAATGGCAGAAGTCTCTCCAGAGCAGCTTAACTCCCTGAGAGGACAAGCCCACCTTTTCACCCAACAATCACCCGCAGCCCCCGCCAAGCAATCGCAAGAAGGCGACTCAGCCCTACCGAAAGGCGTTGTCCTAGACAAAGATGGCAAACCGTAAGGAACCAACCAACCCTGCAAAGCATTCTTGAATGCCCAAAAACACCACCTAGCCTCAATAAAGCTCACATATTCTTCTCACCTTATCAGCTGCCGAACCTGCACCTCCGTCTCCTCATGGCGCGCCTTGACAAAGCAAGCCAAAGCCGACTCTCCATCTTCAAGCGCAAGCACAAACTCAAGCGCTGCAACCTCAACAACAGCCCCCACAGTCCCCCTCGCTGCACCGGCCTCTTCTTCCGCACCCTCTATCCCCGCAGACTGCCCGCCCGATGTTGAAGCGCTGGGCCGTTCTACCTGGACTCTCCTGCACACGATGGCAGCGACGTACCCCGAAAAGGCAGACACGCAACAGCAATCTGATATGCAGGGATTCTTGAGTCTGTTCTCAAAACTCTACCCCTGCTGGGTATGCGCGGATGATTTCAAGTCGTGGATGGCGCACCCGAGTGGACGGAATAAGCCGAAGGTGGGCGGGCGTGCGGAGTTTGGGTGGTGGATGTGCGAGGCGCATAATGAGGTCAATCGCAAGCTGGGGAAGAAGGAGTTTGATTGTCGCTTCTGGGAGGAGAGGTGGCGGAGTGGATGGAAGGATGGGAGGTGTGATTAGGTGGGGATGTGGATGGAATGAATGATCGTCTGACTATTGCCTCGGAATTGATCACTCTAGATAGATGGATAGATGGGGCGGATTGGATCGGACTATGGTCCTTGATCTTTGCTCTTGTGGTTATAGGATATCTCCACCCTTTGTACAATATGCATTCTGAAGTTTTTTATATAGACCTTTATATTATTTGTATACTACTACTCAAATCGACTCAGCGGGAAATACTTGTTGCTGGAATCATTTTACACGGATCAATGATAGTGGCAATAACGTTCGAAAAAGAATAAATTCGCATAAACCTGAACCGCTAAACAATTATAATCCGGGTACAAAGACGTCTAGACAGGGTGTGAAAGCAGGATATTTTGTCTCCCAAAAAAGCGCCGCCAAACACACAACTTCTCCCACTGCACGAAGATGGAAGAGCAACCCATTTTGTACCTTCATGCCAGGAGAAAGAAAAAAGAAAGCTAGGGGAAACCGTCAAACTTCATCATGTTGAATTTAAAGGCCAGGGACGAATAGACGCAGGCCACTGGCTGGGGCGCCAATCTCAGTGACCTCGGATATCCGGCAGACGCTGCCCTTGTACTGTTCGTGGTACTTGGCACCTGTGAAGAGGTCGGTGACGCAGGGCGAACCGCTGAAGATAGGGGTGTAAGAAGCAGCGCAGATTTCGAACTCAGCGAACTGATCAAATTCGATGTCGATCGCATCCGACGGGTTGCGTTCACACTGGGCCTTGATCCTGCGGGCCTGGTCCAGAAGCTTGGCGGAGCCACCGTTAGCCAGCATACGGTTGGCGAAGCCCAAGGCGGAGTTGTAGTTCTTGTTGGCAAATGAGAACTTCATAGCAGCCATCAACGCCAATTGACGGTGAGCAACCTCCAACTTAGGAATGGTAAAGTAAGCGGACAGTTCAAGGCTGCGCTTGAGGCCTGCTTCGGAATCGGTAGAAACTGAACGGCGCTCAAGCTCAATAGACATGGCAAGGATGTACTCCCGGGCAGTGGAAATGATGCTCTTTGCTTGTTCCACCTCTTCCTCAGAGGAGACGGTGTTGACAAGAAGCGTGTGCAAAATACGCTTGAAGACCTTCACGCCCTCTTCCAACTTGTTGGAACGCATGGCAGCGTAACCTTCTTGCAGGTCAACGCTAGCAATGGTCTCTAGATCACGGGGAATGATGGGAAGAACCTTGCGGCTATCTGTCTCTTCGGTAGTTCTTCGGACATAGTTGACCAGGGGTGGCAAGCCGGTACTGGCAGGAAGATAGGTCTTGGAGGCCTTGTAGACCTCAAGGAATCGATCCTTCAGAGGGGCAAATTGCACAGCACCCACCTGTCGGTTGAGGAGCTGCATAGCAGTGTCGAAAGAGCCAGCCGCAACATGGTCAGCTGCCAGTGGAGAGTTACGAGCCCACAGATCAGCCTCGGAACTCCCCGCACCAGCCTCAGCGCTTTCCACATTAACGAACTCAACATCTTCCTCAACATTGACATCATCACCCATGTCCCAACCAGAGGCATCTTCTTCCTCATCTTCCAGGGTATCCTTAGCAAGAGTAGCCTCTGTTTCATCTTCTCCAAATTCAATGGCATCGCCAACAGTCTCCTCATCGCCAGCACCAACCTCTCCGAGGAGGGCCTTTTCGAATGAAGAGTGACCGGCAGCCTTGACAGGCCACTTTGACTTGAAGGTAGAAACAATAGGGCGAGGGGTCTGGAGGGGCTGTTCGAGAGCGGGCAGTCCAATCTGGTCTTCAGTCAGGCCACAGGACTCTAGAATGGACTCGGCCTCTTCGGTCAAGCCATGTGACTTAGCGGTGAGGTAGGCTAAGGGATACAAGTCAACCTCCTTGAACATCTGGATGCGGTCCTCAACATCTCCCCGGTAGAGGGCGTTTTGGAAACGAGAAGTGAAGTCGCCCCGGTGCTCAGCAATCTTAGCCATGCGAGAAAGTTTCTCCTGGTCACCAGTCGCAAGATAGAGGAAGGAGAGCTTGTCGAAGTTTCGCTGCTTCTGGTAGGTCATTTCGACGACCTGATGGTTACCATGAGCCAAGGCCTCGGCGCCAAGTCGGCTCCAGAAGTTGGGACGGTCAAGCTCGCGGGCCATCTCGATAGCAACATCCAGGTTTCCACACTCAAGGGCCAAGTCGAAGCGGGTTTGCGGGTCTTGAACGAACTGCAGAGCAATCTCCGGGTAACCCTTCTTCTGTAGGTAAGAGATGATACTCTGACCAACCAAGCTGGAGTTCTTAATAATCTGCAACATCTCATCGTAGTTACGCTTGACCAAAGATAGCTTGAAGCGGTATTCGGTAGGATCGATATCGAGAATCTTGGGCTGGGCGTTGCGGTCGAGGCAGTAAACGCTACGTCCCTTGACGCGGACAAGGTAGACAGTTTGATCCAGAGTGCGAATAATTCCGTTGTCACTGTTAAAAAAAATATTAGCATCTCGTGTCCAAAGAATGTTCGTGTCGAATACATACCCGTTCAATAGAGAATACTTGATGTGGTTCAAGGTGGAGTAAATCAGGACACCGGCATCATCCCAAGTTGCGCTCTTGATGCGAATAGTCTCATGCAATGTGCTGACTTGCTCTAGGGTCTTGGTGACAATGGTCACATTGTGCTTGCTGAGCAGAGCACAGTAGAGGCCGTCGTTGGACCAGACAACGTACTTCACGCCGCTAACGGTAACTTCTGCAAGTTGCTTCTTTTGTTGGATATCGAAGAGAACAACAGTGGTGGGGGTGATGAACAGGAGGCAACCAGTGCCGCCGAAGTAGATGTCAGTTGTGCCAGCAGGTGGTGTGATAGTCTTGGTGGTGGAGTTGCTGAGATCCTTAATGTCAACCTGCTGAGTCGCAGGGTTGAAGACTGCGAAACGGTTACGGGCAACAAAGACGGCAGAGGTAGCCTGGCCACGCTTAACATCGGTTGGCTCAACCGCGCCAGTCGCATCACGGGGGAGGTGGATCAATTCGTAAGTTCCGCTATCGGCAGGAGATGTGACAAGGATGGCACGCTCGGCCGGGTTGTAGGAAACGGTACGTGGGGGGATCCAGGGCGAGCCCAGCTTGCGCAAAGAAAGCATTGGGGGTGACTCGACATTCTTTCCAAAGTCGTATGACTTGACATGCTTCTCCTTGGTGATGTAGAACAACTGGTTCTGGTAGACGGCCGATGCGGGTCGCTCACGCTCCAGCTTGAACACCATAACACCAGTGTCGTGGCCAGCGGCGAACAGGTTGATCTTGGGGTGGGCAGCAATCACCCAAAACCTATCGGAATCGCGCTTGAAGGATTGGACGGAGGTTCGCTTGTTGAGGTCCCATACACGAATGGTCTTGTCTTCGCCGACGGAAAGAATGAGGTCCTGGTGCGGGTGGAACAAAGCGGCAGAGGCGTTCTGGAAATGACCACGGCAAGTGTCGACTTCCCAAGCCTTGGTTTCACTCATTCGCCAGAGCTTAACTAGACGATCATCTCCTGCTGAGACGATCAATGGCAATGTGGGGTGGAACGAAACCCAGTTTACTCCGCGGTCATGGCCCTCTAGAACGAACTTCACAATAGCATCTGTGTTGCCGAACATATCTGCCTGGTTGGGGTTGGCTCGCGCCATCTGGTCTTCGAAGGAAACGGATGTTGGGGCGGAATGCTTCTTTCGCAGGCCGGAAATATCCCAGATACGGACAGACTGATCGAGCGAAGCGGAGGCGATGAGGTCGTCGGTGGGGTGGAACTGGGCGCACATAACATAGTGGTTGTGACCAGTCATAGTACAGACTGAGAAAGGAGCGCAGCATTAGTAGAGTACTGGGCTATGAAATAGAGAGCTTGCACCACTTACTCAGGGAGCGATTCTGCCAGTTCCAGATTCGAATGGTCTGGTCATCAGAGGCAGACAGAATCCAGGGGAGTTCGGGGTGGAAGAAAACGGTGCGCACGTAATCCAAATGACCGTTCAATGTGAAAAGACATCTCCGGGTCTGGTAGTTCCAAACCTTGATCTTATAATCATCACCTCCGGACACAAACAGGGGTTGAGTTGGGTGGAAATCAACACCGCGGACTGGGCCATCATGTTCTTCGAACCGGTCAATGAGGGTTCCCATGCGATAGTCCCATAACTGGATGGTGGAGGAGTGGAGGGAAACGAGAATCCATGGCCTGGCATTGAGGTTAGCGGATATGCTCCAGCTTGTTGGTGTGTAGGTGTCCCCGCGGGACGGACTGACCGTGTCGGGTGGAAGGCAATTCCCTTGGCTCTGGAGGATTTGGACTCAAACTGCGCGACAGATGAAAGTTAGCAGATGCAATTGAGCCAAGGGGGCACAGCACGGTACAGTGGAGATGGCTGCTCTAGCATCGGGGATATCGAGGGGCGTTTACCTTAGTGAGCATGTTTGGGGATGACTGCATCTTGAAAGACCTGGCCGGAGCCGCACCGAACAGTCGCAAGCTCCGCACGCGAGATGAAATGAAATCAGAGAATCAACCAGTGCATCCACTTGCCAGAGTGGAATAAAAGGGCAAGGCGCAACAGTGGTTGGATACCTATGCTTGAGCGTAGCAAGCGTAACAAGGTAAACTAAACGTGGACTTAATGTGTAAGCGAATCGTGCCAGCCAATCATGCCCGCGGGCGGTGAGCGGTCAGGGGGAAAAGGGTCCGTGTTAAGATCGAATCTATACACTAGTCACTATTTTGTATATGGAGCTTTTAATTTGTGGTGTAAAATCATTATTGGAATTCTAGAAACCGACCAAGGCTCGATTTCAGTAGCTCTTTCAGCGTTGGTTTCTTTATTACTGGTTGCGGCGGTTCTTTATTGGTGAGCCGGGGCACCTAAACATCTCCCCGCTGCTGGAAACATCTGGAACACGTACGATTTGACGATCATACCAAAGAAACTTCTATCTCTTTTATATACTGTCTCTACCCCCTTTCCCTTTTCAACTGACCTAGACTCTGCTTTCTTGCATTCCAAATATCACTATTTTCTTTGCCTTCTATAACTGTGATAATTGGTAGCGAATCTTGACCTACTGGTGACGTGATGCTTCCCGAGTGTCGTGGCGCCTAAAGTTATACATATTTCGATCACATACCTCAAAACTCTACTACCCGATCGTATGAAAATGGAAGACCTCGAATCAAGCAATATTACATTCGAGCCAAATAATTCGGCACAATCTTCACCATTTGTCGCCACGGACGATGCATCTGATTCTCCAACGGACTATAGCGGACATAGTTTGAATGGGTCGGGCCCGTCCACGCCTATGACTGCCGATTGCTTGGATATAGCACCGGAAATACCGAATATAAACGTGTATTATCCCTATGATATCGAGGAGCCAGATGATGCATGTGAGATCGACACTGCTGCTCAAAACCTGGGTTTGCCAGACTCCTTTGAGAGGTGGCAGCGCGACCTTCTAGAATACATGAATGACCTGGGTAACAGCCCACCAAAACGAAATATCCCAAGGCCTTTGATGGGTCCTATGAGAGGCCAGAAGCGCAAATCTGGGAGCATGTCCGGAGTTGGGCACCACTCATCGTTACACACCCAGCACTCGATATCGAAAGCCGGACCAGGCGAAGGGCCAATACCCGTGCCTGGTTTGTGTCCAAAGCGACGACGGAGACGAAGTAATCCTTCGGGTGGCTCTACGAAGGTTCTGCATTCGGTTAATTTGGATGAGACCCATGAAAATGGAGGTGATGGGAGCTCGAGCTCAGATCAGTGGTCAACCGATAGCAGTTCCGATACGACACACGAGCCCGCCTTAGCCGACGAAATGGACATTGACTGAATCGGAGAATTCAGCATTTAGAAATCACCCGACTCTCTCCAGTGTCATCCCATTGGTTCCTTTTGTGATTGACAAAAGATGATCAAACGCGTCGTGAGAAAACATGACGTCATTTACATATCATGAGGTTCTAGCCATGAGCCTATTTCCACCTGTGAAATATATCAGTGGTGGTCTGTGGAGAATTTATGAATCTTTCTTTCTTCACTGTTATATACATGTGATTTATCATCTATGGTTATTGAGATCACAATTCAATACAACCATGACAACTCGAGCATCGGCACGCCAGGCCGCACAGAAGGCCAAGGAAGCCATCACCAACATGATGGGAGGCGGCGGAAGTGGAGGCGGCTCTTCTGAATCTAAGCACGAAGCTCAGGTACAGCAGCCACCTCAGCCCTCTCAGCCCAACAAACAAGCAGATATCCAGGAACATGAACCGCCGAGAGAGGACAGTGCAGGCCCGTCGATGGGTGGGATGTCTGCCACGAAACCAGTTGAACAGAGGATGCCGGGCGGTATTCCCGGAACACACGATCCAGTCGACCCTTTCTTCCCTCCAGCTCATGAGCTTGGGTCCGTCCCTAGGCCAGCCCCACATGACCTACCGGAAGTTCAACCAATCCCCAGAGACTCCAGGATGGGCAGTATCCCAGGAACCAGCTATAGTGTCGAACAGCCTGCCGAGGCTGGATTGTACAAGGAGTCTGGCGTTCGCAAATCGGAAGTGAGGGAGAGTGCCGTCTCATCCAGTATCAAGGAAAAGGGCATCATCTACTTCTTTTTTCGGCCGCGTGTCAACATAGAAGATCCGCAGGGCATGGGCGACGTTGCGCGGAGTTTCTTCGTGCTTCGTCCTACTCCCCTCGGTGCAGACTTGGATGATGATCAGGGGCCAATGGATAAGGATGCCCGGTGTCGCTTGGTGATGCTTCCGAAAAAAAAGTTTCCTACCTCAGCCAAGGAAAGGGACATGGCATTCGTGGAGAAAGCAGAGCAATCGGTCATAGATCTCCAAGATAGCTTCATCGCGGGTAGCACATACCAGACTGATACTCAGGGTGAACGTACCATTGAAGAGGCCAGACCCTATGCAGAAGGAGTTTATGCGATCACATCATCGAAACATGCATCCCATCTCGCTTACCAAATGACCATCCCTACCAAACTAGGTGAAATTCAAGAGAACTTTGGTCTTTGCCAGCGAGGAAGCTGGATCGTGCAATCAAAAAATCCAAAGTTCCCTGGTCCACCTCTTGGTCAACCACCCAAGGATGTTGATTACCCTGAATCGTAAGTGCTATTTGTCCCGTACCATGCACCATCAAGCTTGTTCTGATCAGTTCTTCCAGCCTGCTCGAGAAATTCGGCGATCTCAGATGGATTCCTCTTGAACCTGAATTCATCAATTACCCCAATGCACAAATCCTGATGATCGGGGGCGAAATGGACAGATGGGGCAAAGCGGCGACAGCTGAAGGGCATAAGCAGGCAGATGAGCCAGAGCCTGGACAGGAGATAGAGAAACTCGCCGAAGAAAATGAACACCGAATCGAGCATCTACGGGGTAAGCTTCCACGATGAACAATTTTATCTTTGCTGTGGCGCATCTAACGATCATATACAGGCAACGAAACGGTGTTCCAGGATCTTGGCATGTGTGCAGATCACTACCACGCCCTTCCCACCACATGGAGCGGTGTTTAATTCGGCGACCTGGTTAAACCAGGATGGAGGTGAAATACTAGGCTAAAAAAGTAGCAAAATAATCATGTTAAAAGGGTTCAAGGCTGTTGAGCGCCAGGGCCAGCTTGGAAGGTCACTTTGTATCAACCAAGAATTCTCGATAAAAATAATTCTGCGCGGAGATGGTTGAGGAATAAGAATATGATATCGACTTCGGGACCTTGTAGCTACATGTATGGATCCATTTTACGCGACTGCCAGTCACCTGGGCAGGAGGTATTTGCATCATAATTCATTCCCTCGTATTGCTAGAGTAGTAAATCAGGAATATCATAAGAAAAGTGTAGATTGCCGGCTAATCAATCAACTGATTGCGCCATACAGTGGACATCAAAAGATAATAAAACCCTGGAAGCAAATAAGCATGACATGGAATAAATAAGAAGCTAGCATTCAAAGATATTGGCCGAGCGTTGCAGTCGATTGAATTGAAATCATCGGTTACGTGACTTTTTGATTTTGGAAAACGGTTACTGGAGTAAGAAGTTGAGACGATACTTATCCCTGCACAAGTTTGATGGCTCGCAAGATATCGTCAAGCGACCAGCCCGGCCCGCCGGGAACGATCTCTGTCCATACTTCTTCTGGTATAGCATCGCTTGGGTCCAATAAGCTCCAATTGGGGCTTGGTTCGGGTTTGATCCATTTGAAGTCCTCCACCTGACTCCAATGGTCTTGGTGATCTGGGCGGTCATGATCCAGAGCCTGAAAAAGTGAATACCAGTTTAGCATATCATCTTGCCCAGTCAAAACGCAAACAACAAGAAATCAAAAAAACTTACATGGGCTTTGGGAGTCCGGCCAAAGCGAATATCCGAGCAGTCCTCGATGATCGGGTTGCTTGAGCAGCTGAGATAAACATCGACATTCTTGCAGTGATGCATGCGGAACTGGCGGCAAGAGACTACTATGACGCTATTCTCAACACCAGTGATGTGGGCAGGACCATTGACTTGATTGCAGATTAAAAGACTCTGCTTGATATCCCTTATAGTCAAGCTGGCATACGGCTTTCCATTCACGGTGGGAATAGACATGTCCACAATACAGTGTCTGAGAGCAGTCATCGAGGCGGGAACTGAAGATGTTGATCCCGAAGCCGGAAGCATGATGTGCAGATTGTGGTGGTTATCCACCGAGACCGAAGAAATGCCACTGGCTGCGAAGCCCGATCGGGGCTTCGCATCGGGTGATGCCTTCTCATTGCCTCCAAGCAGAGTTCCAGAGTGTGAAGTAGGCGTGATCTCGGGTCTTGCCCAATGCTGTTTATCCGGCTCATTCAACGGAGTGGAGGGATAGTTCGGGGTGTGGTTGGCAGAAGACCCAACCGAGGATGCGCCTGGGGATCGATAACCGGCAACAGTCCGACGGCCCTGGGCAGCCAACGTCGCTGCATCATGCAAAGAAATAGCAGACGCATTCTTCTTGGTTTTGAAGCTAAATTTTGAACGAGGCTCGAATGATGCACGGATCTCGGTCAATTTGTCTTGTAAGGCTTTGATGGCCTGGGAAACAATGGTCAGCTACGCGACTCAAATATTGATGATTTCAACGGAATACCTCAGCGTAGACTCTTTGATCGTAAGTCGGGATGTAACTGGCGGCATCCTTCACTTCATTTGAAAGCCGCACGATTCCAGCAAGGCAGTGGTCTGTCGCATCGGCTCGTTCTCCGCCTACTAGGGACGTGTCGGCGAGACGGTCCATCGAATTCTGCAAGGCTTAAGGATTTGTGTTAGTACTTTCATCCGTATTGAAGTGATTGGGTGATGAGAAATGGGAACATACAGGTGATTTCATGCTGGAAGTACCGGAAGAACCGTTCCTTCAAGGGAATATCAGACTTCGAGATGGTTTGGTTGTCGGCCGATAGCCGGCGAGCTTGCTGAGCTACTTCCGACTCCGTCATGATAGATGAGATGATATAAGGTAAGAAATGTTGAAAGTTGGAAGTTGGAAGATGAGAATACCAAACCAAGACGCGGAATGTAGTTTAGTAGGAATGACGTCGACTCGATCTCAGGCGAATCATGCCACCCCGCAATTTGAAGATGATTTGTCTGGATATTGACCAGGGTTCAAGATAGATGATTTGTTTTGAAGGACCAAGAGCGGTTGAGAAGGATTGTGATTAGTCGTACAGATTTTGTCAAGCTAAGTAAGACCGGTCAACCTATGCGCAATCTCCACGCGCGCGGCTTATAACAGAAAGCTGATAAATGTTGATAACTGACAACGGGCAGCTGAGCTATTCACCACATCAAGATTCAGCATGGAAACGTACCTTCTGGACTATCTCTGCTGATATGTTGTCAAATCACCCAGGCCGTTTAAATGTGGGGAGTGAGACACCGCTGCACACACTTAAACTCTTGCATTGGCCGTGACGTCGATCATCCCGCATCTCGGAGTTTCGGATGATCCGCAATTCACGTCCTCAGGCCACAAGGCATCAGGTTTTTACTTCTCACTGATATGATATATCCGACTAGCAAGGCCAATTTGTGAATATCTCAGCTCACGCTCAATTGCAAGGAGGTTCGGTTGCCTACTAGTATACACCCAGGGCTGAGTCCCGGAAGATACTGGAGCTTTTGAGATGATCTCATCTATGGCTATTTTCATGTTCGACATTCAATATAAGTGTTATAATTTTCTATATCTAGCCAGAGCCCGACATGATTGTCTCAGCGATCCGGTCCATGAAAACATAGACCGAGATTGAATCATCCTTCAAGTGAAAGTAGCTTCAATCCTTGTCTAATGTGTACATAGAGCTTTGTTCAATTTCAATGTTCAAAGGGGTGGCCCTCGGGTAGTACCCGTGGACCCCGCTGGGGCCATCCCCATGTAGGTACCCACAATTACCTCCAATCAACTTAAAACACCTCTAGAACTCATCATGCTGGCTTTACTCCGACATAGATATGGATGGTGACTTGTCCTTTATTTTTACCTGCGGTACTCCGTGAACGGAATGTAAATCTCAATTCTTTAGCCCGAATAACTAGACAATGATACATAAACTGTCACCATTGTACCACTTTTTGAAGCACACCATCCGCTTGTGTGACCCATTCGCAGGGTCCTTCTTACTAGCAGATATTGGAAATTGGCAGTTATAGAGAGATCTCCAGACTGGTTTCATTTAAAAAGTCCAGATATCCGTCAGTTGTGCAGAGAACCATCTCGGATTATTGCAACTGGTTGAACCATTACAAGCGTACCTATCAGTAGGTCGACATGATGTTCTCCAAATTTAAATTTCACGTATTTCTTTTTTGCGGCATCAAATTGGCGTTGGCGGGTGCTTCGACCCATCAAGTTGTCGAGCAGCTAGAAGATGCCCCGTCTGGTTGGATTAAAGGCGACAAGCCATCGCCTGCGGCTATGATAAGATTCCGCCTCGCGGTGAACCATCCAGACATAGCGACGTTTGAACAAGACGTCATTGACCTTTCCACGCCAGGCCATCCTAGATATGGTCAACACATGAGCCGTGAGCAAGTGAGACAATCGCTACGTCCATCTTCAGATGTGTCAAATCAGATTCTTTCCTGGTTGAATTCGGAAAACATCTCACCGGACTCTATTGAACTTGACGGGAACTGGATCATGTTCCAAGCTGCCGTTTCTCAGGCAGAAAGAATGTTGAACACCGAATTTTGTTCCTTCAAGAACAAAAATAGTAACACGACGGCTGTAAGAGCTCTTGAATATTCAGTACCAACTGATCTTCACTCTCACATTCTGTTAATTCAACCCACGACCCGCTTCGGAGACTGCAATTCCCTGCGCGGCTTGGGCGATGAGCCGCCTCTCCTTGCAACGGCAGAAGACTTGGCTGCGGGATGCGGAACAGTTGTTACACCCAGTTGCTTGCGATATTTGTACGGCCTTGATAACACAACGGCAACACCCGATCTTCGGAACCGACTGGGAATAGCGGGTTTCTTGGAGGAGTATGCTCGCCATGGTGACCTCTTTCAGTTTTTGCAAGTATATGCGCCTGAGCAGATAGACGCGAATTTCACCGTTGTTTCTATAAATGGCGGCCAGAACGACGAGAACTCTTCCAAGGATAGCATCGAGGCCAGCTTGGACCTCCAGTACGCCATTTCGATAGCGTATCGGGCATTTGTGACAATTTACACCACTGGTGGCCGCGGACCCGTGGTATCTGATGGCGAAGGAGTAACAGCCATTTCCACCAATGAACCCTACCTCGAGCAACTTCACCATCTGGTCAACCTTCCAGACAATGAACTCCCAGCTGTTATAACAATGTCGTACGGCGAATCCGAACAGAGCGTCCCAAAATCGTACGCTACCGCAAGCTGCAATCTATTTGCTCAGCTCGGTGCACGAGGGGTCTCTGTCATTTTCAGCAGCGGGGATTCTGGACCTGGAAGTTCATGTCAAAGCAACGATGGAAGCTATCGAGCCAAGTTTCTCCCTACTTGGCCGGCATCTTGTCCATTTGTTACATCCGTTGGTGGAACTACCGGGATAGGACCAGAAACAGCAATTGGCTTTTCTGGGGGTGGGTTTTCGGATTATTTCGGTCGGCCATCATATCAAGATCGTCCGGTCCAAAGTTTCTTGAACAGAAATGGTGCTCAATGGAAGGGCCTCTTCAACCCTGCTGGCAGAGGTATTCCTGACATTTCAGCCCAAGCGGCCCGCTTCATGGTTCGAGACCATGGCGTATATGTGGTTGTCGGAGGAACAAGGTTCGTACACCTTTAGCCCAAATGAGTGGATAATGCTGATGGTCATGTAGCGCTTCTGCACCGGTAATTGCCGGGATAATATCTCAGCTAAATGCAATTAGATTGGCACATGGGAAGTCTCGGTTAGGATTCATCAACCCATGGTTGTATACAACGGGGCAAAGTGGTTTGACAGATATCATAGAAGGGGGATCGCGAGGTTGTGCAGGATCTCCTGTCCACAATGCTGGTTGGAATGCCACAGTTGGGTGGGATCCGGTGACAGGCTTGGGTACACCGTTCTTCCCGATGCTAGAAGAGCTGGCAATGTTCTGAGGGGGTTCCAGGGGATGTCATTGGATGTGATGAATGGAGTGTGACAGTCTAATATGTTGGGGTAAAATATCTCCCGATTAAATTGAAGCCTTTTAAATTTCGAAATAACTACAGTAAGCCAACTGGCTAGAGATTTAAGGGTCACGTGGGGCCAAGCTGACCGCCCACGGCAGCTCCGTCATGTCATCAAGTGCTGGGCCAACTCACATCATCCACAGCTTTCCATATTATTTCGCTTGTTCTTGCAGTCTCACCCTTGGGTTGTTTGGATCCATTCCCCCCTATACCCTAAATTTACCCTCACCGCATCCTCCACACGCATCATGTCCGACCTCAACACTCTTGTCCCCGAGCTCCAGAACGCTCTTGAGCGCAAACAGCTCGATGCCGCCAACACTCTCCTTAGCAAAGCCAAGCGCGCCCTTCTCATCCAAAACGCCTTGATCCCCACTCCCTCCACACCCTCCCAGCTTGTTGTTCTTGCCCGGCAGGTACTTGAGCTTGGCGCCCTCGCCTCGATCCGACAAACCGATGCCCAGACCTTCACAAGATATTATCAACAGCTGCAACCCTTCTACGACCTCGAGCGACACGTTGGTGGACCAGGGCAACCCGCAGCCCAAGTTGATTCCAGCACAAGCAACCGCAGCAAGATCACAGGATTGTACCTGCTGCTTCTGTTGAGCAGTGGTGACAGTGCCAACTTCCACACTGTGCTGGAGGGACTGGTTGAAGAGGCTAGCTTGAAGGGTGGCCGCATTGAGGATGATACCTACATCAAGTATCCCGTTGAGCTGGAGCGGAACCTGATGGAGGGTAGCTATGATAAAGTGTGGCGGGAGACTAAGTCCGAGCGCGTGCCGGATGAAGATTTCGGCCTTTTCTCCAATGTCAGTCGTCATTATTCGCCTTTAACATGAATTACTGACTAAATAATTCCTTCGTTTAGGTTCTTATCGATACTATCCGCAGCGAGATCGCAGACTGCTCCGAGATGGCTTACCCCTCCCTTCCTATCTCCAACGCCAAGAACCTCCTGTTCCTCGAGTCGGAGGGCGCAGTCATCGAGTTTGCTCAGCAGCGTGGATGGATTCTCCGCGATGGACGGATATACTTCCCTGTTGAGCCCGAAGCTGCCACTAGGTCCGAGAAGGATATCCTGGTGGCCAGCGGAACCGTGATTGAGAATACACTAGGCTACGCTCGGGAGTTGGAGACAATTGTTTAATATGGAACACCACGAAGATGGCGTTTCAGCAATGGATATGAATGATTACATTGGTTCTTTTTTTCGATCTCGTCCTGGTCTTCGGGCGCATGGGTGTTTGCACACCGGTTGCATTTATTGTAATCTGATCTGGCGTTTCTATGGGAAAGGATCTATTGATAGAGTCACATTTTGTGGTTTGGAGCGTAGTAGTAGATCATGTGTAACCAGAAAGCCACTATTCCATGGTTTGATTGCAGATGTTTCTCATTTTGCTATACGGTGACTCGCCAGACGCAAAGCCGACGATCATAGAAACTACTCGACACACAAAGCAGCTCGGACAATGCTTGTGATGTGTCCGATTGTTCCGACTTCGCGCCCTTCCACACATCACTTGCGTAATTCATACTTTCATGCTCTGTAAACTCCGCCAGAACCTGAATATCCCATTCCGCTGGACCTTGCCCTTGCTTCTGTTGAGTAATTTGCACCACTCTTGTCCCAGCGTGCATACAGCTCGCAAGGACAACGAACTGGCGCTCTAGGCTATCCTCGGGGCCAGGAACTTCAGTTGATGATAGTAATTGTAACCGCCATACGCCGCCACCTAAGCCCTGCTCGGCAAGTACCTCACCTCGCCGGGACGCGTGGTATACCCGCAGACTTTCGTCGTAGCTCCCTGTCAACAAAATAGGTGCTTCGTCTACCATGTCGACCTCAAGAGGAAGGATTGCTGTTACACCAGCCGTGTGGTGACGAGCCCGGTCGTCATGCTCAAGCAGGAGTGGTGCCAGTGGCTCATCATCATCGTCCGACCCACCATTGTTATTCTGGAAGCGGCGGGTATGGAGCGACCCAAAGTCATTTCCTGTAAACATGAAAGGAATAACCCCGTCAGTGTGTTCCTCTGCATTCACAGGACCCTGTTTGATTGCGGCCAGCGCAACAAACCAAACCTCGATCATTTGCTGAGCTTGATACGAGCCCCATTCTTCAATCTCATTTTCATCTGAGATGTTTTCATTCGTGCCAAAGACGGTTGTCTGACTGTCAGAGAAGGTAACGGCGAAGCCGTCAGATGCCGGCTGGGGGAACCAATCCTGTGGGGCCCATACGAAGAAGAGAGCCGGGATGGAGGTATCTTCGTGGATCTGTTTAGACCAGATATGATTTATGGTTGGTTGTGTTGAATCATCAGAGACGCTGAACAGGGCTGCGAGGCCAGTGCTGCCCACGATGGCAAACTTGTTTTTCTCCCTTGGGTGAAAGTGGAGATCGAAGACCGCGTAGGGGAGTGCTAGTCTATGTTTCAAGGATCTAAGGAATGAAGGTTAACTTAAATTGACCGATATCAAGCCTGGAACTAGACCCGGGGGTGGCGAATACACCGGGGGAGGGGCTAGACTGCAATGCTTATGCTTACATACAGTACATTGGTGTTCGGGTCTAATTTCCATAGTTGCAGGCTTCCAGTCTTGGTCTGCTGAATTTCTCCACTTTCATTCTTTGTCTCAGAAAGGAGATAAGTGCCCACCACAAAGTGGTCACGGATCTCTGGGCAGAATTCAAGACAGCTGGGCGGCTGGTCTAGAAAGACCGTCGTCTGGGATTTGGGCTGGAGAATGCCAGCCATTGTGACTTTATTGACAGATTTCAAGGGACCAAGGGTTAAAATTATCTCGTGCTGGATGTTGATGACACGAGGGGCAGGAGGTTGAATTGAAAATTGATGTCATTAGACTGGGTCAGTCCCGTACCCACGCCTCTTCGGAATCTAGTAGATGAGAGCGTTTGGAACTGAATGGAAACCACCCTAGATACCTCTGATGATCTGATGTTCATCAATTGATATAAAGTGGTGCGGTGTTTCGAGACAGAAAAGATATGTGAAGTTATCCGAGTGGGGCGGTGAATGCTCCACAGTCGAATCAAGCACTTTTTGAGGTTTTAGATCCCTTTCAAACGCGAGGTATGCTGCCGTATGCAACTATATTTGGCTCGAGTTTCTTGCATGACCACGCAAGGGCCACAAGGCTGGGTGGGCCACAGGGGGAAGAAGATCACTAGGTGATAATTACCACTTCTCGCATGCAAGCCCGAGGTATTTTCCACACCTGCTAATCATTGTTGTACGACATAGTTCAATGCGACCAATCAGAAGCCATTGTCAATCAGAAATTCACCTCAAAGCCATTCTATTGGTCCCATAGTTACCAAGTCAACTGACAAGAATGGAAGAAGTCCTTGCAGATGATCTTATCGGTGTTAGGTGGTCTAGGCCGACCCTGGGGGAAGCTCGTCTTCATGTGTTTCGCCTCCGCTGCGGGAATTGAATGCACAACGCAAGAATGGAATGTGAGAATCAACACCTTGTTGGAGCCGAGTTCCGAGTGTCTGTGAGCTCACCAGGGTTCAAGACATTGAAAAAGCTTGGCCCGTCGACATCGAGACTGAAGAAGTGACTATACTTAAGCTTCTTTTGACCCCAGTTGCAGCTGTCGGATTACGCGTCCTAAAGTCGATCACGCCGATCCCTTGTTCTTTTCTGGGGAACGAAAGTCTTGGCTTTCTTGATCTACGTACTTTTTCTAAGCATGGCACGATTTCTTGGTCTTCGGGGCACTCGCCTCAGTGTCATGGCCATTATTGGAGTATTGATGCCTGGAATTATAACGGTTGGCTACAACACCGCTTCACTTGGAGGCGTTTTATCCTTGCACAGCTTCAACACCACTTTCCCTCAAATTGATGTCCACCATGCAAAAGACAAAGACTCCGCATCATCTCTGGAAGGTACTGCCGTGGCCGCTTTCGCGATTGGCTCTTTCTTGGGAACATTTGCATGCATCTGGCTAGGCGATTGGCTGGGCCGTCGCCGAACGATCATGCTTGGGGCAACAACTCAAATCATTGGATATATTTTGAGCACCTCTTCTTTTTCATTGGTACAACTCATCGCTGCACGGATAATTGTGGGAATGGGGACTGGTACCCTCCTCGCGACAATTCCTCTTTGGATTTCGGAAACATCACCAGCCAAACAACGTGGCTCTCATGTTGTGACGAAGGGAATCTTTACTGGAGTGGGATGCGCAACTGCTTTGTTTTTGGAATTCGGAATGTCCTTCAAGTCACACACCACACTTGCATGGCGTCTTCCATTTGCATTCCCAACTATCCTGTCTTTCTCCGTACTATGTTTCATATTGCTTCTCCCGGAATCGCCTCGATGGTTGATTCAGAAAGACAGAATCCCAGAAGCTCGGTATATCCTAGCAGCTCTCGCTGATACATATGTTGAGGATGAATCCATCGAAGCTACAGTCAGCGAGGTGCAAGCTTCGCTCAGTTTGACGGGTGGAAACAAGGCATTCAAGGAATTATTCCAGATGGGGCCCCAAAGAACCTTTCACCGAGCATCTCTCGCTGTCGGTGGCATGCTGTTTCTTCAATTTACCGGAGCCACAGTGACCACTTTTTATAGTAAGTTTCCCGCTTGCCTTGACTTATCCGGGTTCGAAATCCATAGTAACATATTTACTAACTCCACCCCACAGCTACTGCCATTTTTGAGAGCAACCTTGATCTTGCACAGTCGACAGCCAGACTCCTAGCAGCTGTGTATCAACTTGCTGGCCCTCTCGGAGCTATATTATGTGTATTTCTAATTGAGGGAGTTGGACGACGCCGTCTGATGATGTGCAGCGCCCTCGGCAACATGATTTGCTTAGCTTGCATCGCCGGCCTCGGGTCCCAGGTCGAAGATATCAAGGCCTGTCATGCTGCTGTCTTTTTCCTGTTCCTCTTCCATTTCTGCTACATCATTGGATTTGGAGGTATACCATATCTATATGCCACAGAGGTTGCTCCTCTCCATCTCCGTGCCACCATCAATTCGGTCAGCATCAGTGTCGGAGGTGCTGTCGGCATCTTGATTGCCCATGTGACTCCACTTGCTTTCAACAAAATGGGAGAGAAGTACTTCTTCGTATTTGCAGGCTTGAATGCCATTATTGTACCGTCGGTCTACTTCTTGTTCCCAGAGACATCAGGACGCACCCTCGAAGAGATAGACGACATCTTCACCCTGTCCGATGGTGTTCTGGATACAGTTCGTGTGGCACGAACTCTTCCATGTCTTCCGGCTCACGGAGAAATCGAATCACCGATCGAGTCAAACCCGAAATTCCAGACAATCTTGAAAGAGAGGGAGTTTACGGTTTAGAAAGGAATTGTTGTACTTATTGACGGTCATTGCAAGGTCATTTTGGGAGCGTCGCAAGCCCTGGGGGCTGGAATTTTTATCTTATTTGCAGATATAGAGGAGCGGGATCTTCCTACAGAACATTGAATGCATCTTAGAAATCAAGCAAACTGCTTCTGCTGCAAGAATTGGGTTGGCAACTAGCTTGGATGAGGTGTCGAATCTTTACAAGTTCATCAAAACTATTCAAATATAATCGATCAAAATTATTCTTTATCTCTCCACCATCCCAGCCCAACAAACTTGGAAGGCCGAAAAAGGATTTGAAGCATTAATAGGACAGGTTTCAGGAGTGCAAGCAAGAGTAATAATGTCAAATTTTAAGCTTTCAGATGTCTGCATACCAAGAATTGCATCGCAGACATCGGTTCCAAGTACTGTGCCAGCATCAGCCTCAGCATGCTGGCTTGATGTGTCAGCGGAGTTGAAGATATTCTCATGGGAATGAGACTGAGGTGACTCAGACCCCGACACACAACGGGGGCTAGTGTCACCAATGTGCTTCGATTAAGATAATCACCTCCCGAAGGCCAAAAACGTGTGGCCTCTTTGAACATTTCGGGCCATGGTGCTATTGGAGCCCCAGCTATTTGCATGCAGGTATCTGAGGAGTATGAAACTAAAAAAAGTAGTGTCTTGGCCGCTTGTCGAGAAGAAAAGTCAACGGCTTACATTATTGATGTGCTGTTGGTTGTGTAATTAGTAATGAGCTTGACTCTCACTCTTAAAGTACTAACCTTCAATTTAGTAAGAGACCCATCCTCATATGTAGGAATAATATCTTCTCACTTGAGTTCGTCCAAGACGACACATCTCCATTTTCAAGGACCAGTCATGGCACCAGGCATAAGCACAATTTGGCCAGGGCGGATGAGGTCACTATTGATGGCATGAGCGTATAATAGAAGCGCGTTTAGCGTCCACCGGACATCAGCTTGACGAAAAGGGCTGGTTCTCATCGTGTTTTGGACTAATTGCAGATGCTGAAATGACAGAAGTTAGTCTATGTGCCATATAGACTGAGTCCATCACTCAAGCTTACTGAGGCCTAAGTGAGACCTAATAATTATGTATAGGTTGGCAATATCCTAGCCCACAAAAGAACATTCTTACCGTTGCGAAGGTTCCTAAACACACGATCATCAACCCTAAGTAGATGTGAGACCTCCTTAGCTGTTGATGACTTGGGACTATGTCCATGTATTGAGTATGTTGGTGTTTCAGTTCCGACAAGCAGCGATGATGTCACCAGCATTGAATGCAATCGAAGCAAACCTCAAGACGACACAACTAACAAGGATCAGCCGAGACGACAGTCTCAAGTATGAGCTTTAAGGGAGGGAGGTGGAGCACTTGAGGAGGAGGCACAGGAGGAGGAGGAAGTGGATCCGGATATTGAACTTTCAATGTTAGCACAAAGATGATTGTTGAGACCACATATGTGCACACATGTGTAGTTTATGAGATTTTAGCACTTGAGGACTTGAGGTATCTAACCTTGAAGTATATTTACTAACTACGAACTGAATAGTACCTGTGACGGGTATATACCCGATACTTGATATGAGTACGTACTTAGTATGAAGAGAGGGTATGAACAAGAGGATGTGAGTAAATGCGTATGATTCAAAGGCTATGCAAGAGAGAGAAAGGAAAGCTACTAAGTACATGTAAGTAAGATGAAGAAGAAGTGCTTTTGCTTTTCGGTTGCTTGCGATGCGGACTGTGTGGCACCTACTACTTAACCGCTGTACCGATTTCAAAATTGAAACTCACATGCGTTATTTCTTCCGGCTAGGGTGGAACCTCTGACAACTCATGTACGCCATTAGATATTTCTTTTCTCAGCATCGGGCTCTTCCACCGCAGCAACTCTTCCCATTCTTTTCAACCAGACCCTGTCAAAAATTCCCTCACTCAAATCCTTTCGATTCCCGTTAAACTTGAATGTATATCCGACATCGTCCACGGGCTCCTTCCCATCAGTATAGCGGACATCTGTGACAAAGGCCGGCTTGGTAGTTTTGTGTTTCATATGCTGCAAGCTTCTTCCCATGCTCAACGGTTTTGACATCATACACTGCACCGTCAACCACGGTGTCCGGACAATCCAATAGTGCAGGGTATTGTCCCCACAACTTGCATTCGTAGCCCGATAATTGTGCTGGGCGTAGCTCGGGCTCGGTTTCCAGCCCCAAAATTTCACGAAGCATGGACGGATCGGCCAACGTACCATAGAAGAAATAGGGCCCAGTAGGTGCGTCGAATAAATCCACGTACTGGGGCGGGTTCGGTGCCTGGAAGAAGTGGTCTGGAGGAACGGTTCTGAGTTTTGAGACGTAGCTGGAGATTTTCGAGCTGAGAATTTCGGGTGGTGGTGGTGGTGGGGGTGATCTATTGGGATCCATCTGCTCTACTACGGTATTCGACAGATAGGAGTTGAATAGAAACAAGAATTGTAATTCCAAGAGAAACACATGTGCATATGGGCGTATTGAGACTAGTGCTGCGAACGAAGTCTCCAATGGCCAATTTTCCGACACCCTACTTACTGCGGGGTCTGGGCACTACCCGTCTATCCACAGGGGTCTGGAGTCCGTGTGACGTGTCGGTGTCTGATTTTGATTCTTATCTTAGAGTGGATCAAGGGCTAAGCCCAATATGGGATCACAGCTGAGATCGACAGATCAAGCTTAACCTAAAAAAGCATTTGGTTGGAGATATATCGAGTCTAACCAGGAATGGAACTAAATTAGAGAAATTTAGATATCATCTACTAGAGATGTCACAAAGCCCACGAAAAACCTTGGAACTATGAAATCACTTTGATAAACACCGGAGTGGAATTCGACATTTCATCCACAGCGCGTAATTTTCAAGGCTGCCGTGGTAGACTCCTCTCCAACAAGAATTTGAGTCATACATTTACTTTAATGTCCATATAAAGCGCGCAGAAAGTTCTCAGTACCTCGTCATATTCAAAACTTCAAGTTCCTCACCAAACTTACACATCTTCCCATCTCATCAGAAATGTCCGTGCTATCTTTCTCCGACATCCTCGCCCAAAGGCAGAAGTCGGCACGCCTGGCCGGAACAATCGCACCAGTCACAACTTCAGAGATGTTCAAGAGTCCAAGGTGTTTTCAAAAGCCACCAGCCAAGTCCTTTGAACATCGACTGAATGTCGAATCCAAATCTCGTGGTGCAGCAACCCTAAAAGCAGCCGGCGCTGAGCTTAACGCCGATGTCATTAGCCTTGGAACTGGAAGACCCTCCCCAGAATACTTCCCATTTCTCAAAATGTCTTTAGAATTTCCTGTCGGTACTGCTGGATACACCACCGAGAATACTGAATCTTACTCAGTGGGCAAATACGATATTCAGAGCAAGAAGTCCACATTCGACCTTGCGGTGTCCCTCAACTACGGCTATAGTGCAGGGTCCGAGCAACTCATACGGTTCCTGACTGAGCACGTCGACGTTGTGCACAATCCACCCTACTTGGACTGGCAATGCTCTCTAACTGCTGGAACCACTTCAGCCATTGACTGTGCCTTTCGAACATTCTGCGACCGGGGAGACTTCGTCATCACGGAAGAATATACTTATTCTGCAACACTTGAAGCTGCACGGCCTCTTGGAATCCGCACTGTCGGTGTTCCGATGGATGATCAAGGTCTGTCAGCAAGCCATCTCGATGCATTGCTTTCGCAGTGGAATCCATCCGAGCGAGGCGCAAGAAAGCCTTTCTTGCTTTACACTATCCCAACAGGTCAGAATCCCACCGGTGTCACACAGAGCATTCAAAGACGCAGGGAAATTTATGCAGTTGCCGAGCGACACGATCTGTTTATAATTGAAGATGACCCTTATTATTTCCTACGCCTTGGACCCAAAGCACCTGTTCCCGCAACAAATGGACACCAGTCAAAGTCCGATGCCGCAGATGAGGTCGAGTTATTCCTGCGCGACCTCATCCCGTCCTTTCTTTCCTTGGACGTTTCCGGACGCGTACTCCGCCTCGACTCGACATCCAAAATCCTTGCCCCCGGATTGAGATGCTCATGGATGACAGGATCCGCTGAAGTTATCTCTCGCTTTCTCTATCTGCATGATGCGACTATTGTGTGCCCAAGTGGGCTCTCTCAGCTGGCCGTACATACGCTTTTGGATGAGGTTTGGGGCCACGAGGGTCTCATCAGATGGCTTGTTCACTTGCAGAATGAGTATACTCAGCGACTCAATGTGATGCTTCAGTCATGCGAAGAACATCTTCCTGGAGATATCTGTTCTTGGCGGACGCCTGAGGCTGGCATGTTCCATTGGATCAAAATCGATTGGCGAGCACACCCGCTGGCTTCTAGCTCTACCAGGTCCGAGCTCGAAAGGGTGATTGATATAGAAGATCGACTTTATTCCAAGGGATTGAAGATGGGGGTCATGTGTTGTAAAGGAAGTGCATTCCATGCGGATGAGGCGGGAGAATGCGATATGTTTTTCCGTGTCACCTTTGCGAGCGCTTCGCTTTCTCAGATAGCGGAAGCAATTGCGAGGTTTGGAAAGGCTATCCGTGAAGAGTTTGCGAAGGCAACTTGATAAAATCAATTATAACGATATGGGGAAAGACCACAACACTGGCCGGTATGTAGTCAATCTGTGCAAACAGGAATCGAGGTCACTGCACCAAATTATGGCAATTATTTCCATAAACATTTGAATTCATAGTCTCAGTGCTCACCTAAACCTTGCAAGGACAACGATTAGGAAGAATATACGATGTAAAATAGTCAAGGAAGAAAATTTTTTTATTAAATTTCTAACCTCATTTTAACCGTGGCTCGTCTTTGATGCGCCATTGAACAGCCGAACACAGAGCGTATAATGTAGACAGGACGGGCATCGCCACTCCAAGTCTTTGGCCCTCTCTCAATGGCTCCCCAATAAGATACTCATACTCAATCGAATTGCCCTAGCATCAGTCAGAAAACATCGTTTCAGCAGGGATGGTCACATGAAATACCTTTCTAACATCCTGAAGCATACTCGGCGCAAAGTGATCCTCGACGCGATCAACATTTGACATATACTCCACAATATTGGGTGGAAGCTCATAGCCTGCAGCCTTTGCCGCAGCTTGAATCTCACGCATGGCGTCCTGCACCAGATTATAAATGGAGTCACCCGCCAATCTAATTTGACCCGCGTCTAGTCCCGTAAGAGCGCATATGGGATTCATAGACGAGTTGTAGACCAGTTTCCTCCATCGGCTCCAAAGGACCACTCCATCATACTCACAAGAAGTCTTACCACCAGCAGAATAGATTCTGATGAATCTTTTTGCCTCTTCAGCTTCCTGGAGTCTGTCCAGATTGGGGTTAGGGAAAGGCCCGATGGTAAGGTGGTCGGTGAATGTATGTTTGATTGAACCGGGCGTTGTTTCCTCAGAACCAATCATGCTGACGCCAGATAGAACTATATTTTTCGGGAATCTAGCAAGATATGGACGCTCGATGTTGAGTCCATTTTGTACCAAAACAATAGTTGTGATTCCAGGAGTGATGGAAGGTGCGATCTGGGAGACTAAGTCGACCTCTTTGCTTGGAACGTTTTTCGCTGTTACGACGACGAAGTCGAAGGCATCGTTGGCGCATGAGACAGTTGGGATTTTGTTGACAACTGAGAACGCGTAAGTTAACAATTTGCTGGTGGGACAGGTAGTATGAACTTGAAAAAAACTCACTTTTCCAAGGTCGCCAGTGAATTAGTTTGCCATGATCGCAAGAATCAATCTCATACCCATGCTTTTCGACGGCTGTATAATTGGATCTCAGGACAAGAGTGACTTCTGCTTCACATCCGGATTGCAGATTCAGAGCAACAATCGCACCAACGCCTCCGCCTCCAATCACCAGAATGTTGAGTTTCTTGATCATTTTAAAAAGGATTAATGCAGTGTTCAAATGGTTAAGTGCCTCGAATTTATCCTTGCAGTAATTAATGTCTTAGAACAAAGAGCGTTGCTAGAAAAACTCACGTCCCTCATAGTAGCTTCCCACTTGTTATATTCCCACCCTTATATATGGCACAGGCTTTCTTGAAATGTTGAAATGGCTACTAGAATGTTTTGAAGCCCGGGCCTAATCTCAATTTTGGTACCTTTTGGAGCTTCTCACTTTTAGTGCCTATTCAGGTACGATCTGCAAAACTTATCGGAAATCGAGGATTCGAGATTCGAGATAGCCATTTTGGAACTAAACCGAAAGTAGTATTCAAAAAGAGAAAAAATATCAAAAATATAAACATTTGAACAATACCTATAGGCTATGGTATTAATATCCAAATGCAATTGATATGTTTCCATGTCAGGACCAAAGACCCGATAAAACACTGAGCACTGCCCAGGTGAGTACGTGAAGATTAAGACGCGCCAATACAGCATTGAGGGTCTCGCGTTAACTCGCGACTGCGAATGTATTCCGTGCGCGCCACACCCCACTCCGGAAGAACCATCGACAATGGTTGCGGCTCCATGTCTGGACCTTGACAAACATCAGGATCGAGTGTCCGGATCTTAGCGGCCGCAGGAAGGAATAAATTATCCTCATTGGGTAGTCCTTCCGTTTCCAGCCTGTCCATTTCGCACAAGATCTCCGGAGTCGCACTCCGACGAAGCAACGCCCAAAAATCCTCATCAGACAGAGTCCAGAGCGCATCATCATCCACATGTCCAGAAGCCGCCAACTCACGGATAATCTGACCTGTACGCTTATAGATGTCGGCATGGGCACGATTTGACCAGACGTCTCGATCCGTCGCCAAGTATGATCGAGCAAGGGATAACGCGAGATGGGCATCATCAAGAACGAGCAAACGGTTATCTGCAGTAGCTGATGGATATGCCTTGAGTGTCGTATAGACCTTCTGGGCTTCTGAAAGACTGAGCTTGTCAAAGGCTACTGCATCACGGAGCGAGTAGTCAAGCCGGTCGGCACAGAGCTGGGGAGCTGACCTTTCGACTAAAGGGAATAAATCCTCGTCGAACGCTTCCAAATATTTGACATCGTACCGAGCGAGAATTTGATCGAGGTTGGTTCTCTTCAGAAACCGGTGCTTGTGGGCCTCGTGGTAACTGCCCTCACCAGGCTTGGATAGCGCGAAATCCACAACATGACTCAGGCTAGTATGACTGATGTCATGGAGCAACGCAGCGATTTGCTCCTGCACGGTCGCCCCGACTTTTCGGACTAACAGAAATGCACCGACGGAGTGCTCGAAACGGGTGACTATCGGGCCGAAGCCAAGGAGAGCGGTGACCCCATGCTGACAGACACCCTTGAGACGAAATAATTCCGGGCTTTGAAGAAGTTCGATGAGCACTGGCTCAGTAATTATATGTTCGCCATATATTTTGTCTCGGATGATGACTTGGCTTTCATTGACGGTTTCGAGGGTCTGGAAATACCCAGTGTTTACCAGTGACGCCATAGCTGATTGATAAGAGAGGAACCGTTAAAGGTTCGCAGAAAATGGGAATTTGGGTGTAAATGTTTGGGCTTATCGTTCAGCTTTTATAAATGACGGACACGTAAATTAATGATGACAGGACAGAATTCCTCAAGGTCCCGTCAATGTTGGGTGAACCTTGGGCTGAGGTGTGAAGCATCATCAAGGGCCTGTGGCCCTGTGCTATGATGTTTATATGCATGACCTAAAACGGAAAGGATCTCCGGGTGGCTTCAAATGTTTTAGGCACCAGGCCACAGCAACAAATAGATGGTCATACTAGTATCATCCAGATATTGAATATTCCAATTTTCATATGCACCTGAGTAAACAACGCTATTTAATTTGAATCAATTCCTAATTTACGATTTACCCACAGGTCACGAAGAAAACCAAAACCAACCCTCTATAACCTTCAATCAATACGCCAAAATCCTTCTACCCGATGCATCCCAATTCCTAGCTAAAACTTGCCAATCAGAATCGCTACCAGACCAAAAAGTATTCAAAAAATCCAATACATCATGGTAATGCCGCAGGCCCGTGATATAGGTGACCCTCTCGTATAGCTGGGAGATGGTCATCTGTCTCTCATGGTTTCCGTAGCTTTCAGCGCCTGCTATGAATAAAGGCCAAGGTAGATTTTGGAGCCAATAATCTATATCCTCCATCGCGTGGATCTGCCTTAGTAAGTCCGAAATGGCCGTCTGCGTTTGATCAAAAGAACTGGGTCCAAGGCACCTGGAAACATATAAAAGAGCAGCGTTATAATGTATTTCCACGATGCGAATAAGGTCTCGACGATGAGCGGACGTCTTTATGCAAGAATGTCTGCCGATTGCCATCAGGGTGATCCCTCGTGCAATTTCAAATTCGGCTTTCCAGTCGCGACTCGCCCGGGAGGCAGCTGGGGCACATTGCCTTAACATGGTAACTTCATGTATAAGGTTGGTGTATCCAGAAAAAAGAGTTGTCTCATCAAAGCCTTCCATTTCATCTGCAGGGTCAGAAAGTACCGCATTTTGAATATCCTGTAAATCGAAAGATGTCGTACAGCGGAAGACTTCGTAGGTCGACAATTTGTTTCTCATTGAGGTGAAGAACTTGCTCTTACAGTGGTCAGTTGTAGAAAGAGTTGCCACTAGAGAGCGAGCTGCTTTTCGGTGAAATTCAGCAGCTTCAGCACCTGAGTGGGCCATCTCGTAACAAGAAAGGACCAGCATCGAGGCCAGGATCCATTCAGCCGCATCGACGTCGAGGCCCAGCTCAACATCATGTCCGCCGGTAACTCGAGTTGTGACATCAGTGATATAGTTGGTGATCATGGCCACTGCCTCATTCCGTGCATCTTCGGAAATGTTTCGATCGCCTCTATTGCAGGCTGCATGTTGAACAGAAACCGCAGCGATAGCAAGACGAACAACTTTATTTTTCTTCGCCAAGGGAAGGATATCGTGACGGTATATATTTCCTGCGGAGTCAAACCAAACCATGCGTGGGGCAATTGTTGTATCGTAGTAGTCAAGGAGTTCTTGAAAAGAAAATCCACACAGCGAATCAATATCTGGTGCCGCGACTCCGCTTAACAAGCCCCTTTTTACTCTTAACGATTGCGCTATTGCTTGAGTTTGGAGCCCTTTCAAATCGCCGCGCACAGCGGGTCCACCAGCCCACCGGAGCTTCGTTCCATATCCGGGGCAATTGAGGCCCTTTTTAGCGCATTTCTGGCATAATGGCTGGGTACGGTCACATTTTATGCGACGTTTGTTGCAAGTGGAGCAGCCTTGTTGAAACATTAGTGAAGAACAAACCGAGAATCCACGATTCGAACTTACGAACCTTTGCTCAGACTCATGCTTCCAATGTAAAGCCTGATGTTCTGTGTAAGGGGCGTATTTTGCGGTTGACCTGGCAATTCCCGGTGCAATATTGTATAGTGGGTTCAATGATTGATGAGATGCTAGCGTATGAGTCAATTCTAGGCAGCGTAGCCCACTTAGCACTAGCGACGGCTTATCCGGAGCCTCTCAGACAAGTCCCGGTAACCTTTTCCAGAAATGCGCACGCCCGGGCAAGGAAATATTATTAGTCGAAATCTGTACCTCACGAACTTTCATATACACGGGAAAACACCCCGCATTGGTTATCACATGACAAGTCAGGCCATCCATCGGTCCATCCATGGATCGCGGCAGCGGGGAAATTCATCATTCACATCGCCCACTAAATAAAAAACATCCAATTACCAGTTGACGACTTTGGTCAAAAAGCTACTTGCAAAATGTCTCAGCCGTTCGGGAATGTACCTTCCACCGCGAAGGTGCTTCCAACCCCATTCACAGTCTCGATTCCTGCGGTGAAACTGGAGGAGTTGGGGACGCTCATCAAATTGGCGAAGCTTGCCCCGCCTACATACGAGAACTCTCGGATAGACGCAAGATATGGTGTTACAACTGATTGGCTGGTCACTATGAAGGACCTATGGCTGAGGTCATACAAATGGTTTGATTCCGAGTCTTGCACATGCATTTGGATCACAGATTGATCGACATGCATGCAGCATAACTAATTATTTTCTATCGTGACAGGAAAGCTTCCGAAATCAGAATTAATAGCTTCCCACAATGGACCACGGAAATTGAAGGAATAGATATGCATTTCGTGGGGTTGTTTTCGGAGAAACAAGATGCGATTCCCATTCTCCTATGCCATGGATGGCCAGGTGAGATTTAATTTCATAATTCTTACATTCCTGCGATGAATTTCCTTAAGTTGAAGAACTCGACACTTAAAAAGCTCACAGGAAGTTTTCTGGAATTTTTACCTATACTGGAATTGTTCCAGAAAGAGTACACACCTAGTACTTTGCCGTACCATCTGATTGTTCCCTCGCTGCCAGGATACGCCTTCTCGTCTGGTCCACCACTTGACCGGAATTTTGGCACTAAGGATATTGCTCGTGTCTTGGATCAGTTAATGAGAAACCTTGGCTTTGAAAGTGGATACGTTGCTCAGGGTGGTGACATTGGCAGTCGGATTGTCAGAGAATTGGCCGTGGACTACGAAAGCTGCAAAGGTGAGCATTGACCCGATTTCTACTTGCTTATTTGTTCCTTATACTAACTGAGCCGAAGCTGTACACCGTGAGTGATCTTGATGTCGCTTAAATAACCGACATAAATGCTGATGCGGAAAAGTCAACGTTACTTTCATGGCACGACCCGTGGGTATGACGGATGACCACCTCAGTGATGCGGAGAAACGTGGTGTTGAAAGGCTAGACGAGTTCAAAATTTTCGGTAGTGGCTATGGAATTGAACACGGTACTCGACCAAGCACTATTGGTCATGTCATCTCTACAAGTCCAATGGCACTTTTGGCATGGTAAGATTTGCATCCGGAAAATGATAAAATCGTTAAGCTAAATTGAACAGGGTGGGAGAGAAGTTCTTGGAATGGGTCGATGACCCTTTATCTCCGGAGCATATTCTCGAGTCAATCACTTTGTACTGGCTGACGGACACGTTTCCTCGTTCAATCTACACATATCGCCAGGTATGTTACATTTTCTCTTTCAACTTCAAACTCATACGATCGTACCGAACGTGGCTAATGAGATAGAATTTTCCGCCTCCGGCAATTCCTGGTCCAAATGACCCTCGATGGTATATTCGGAAACCATTTGGTTTTTCGTCTTTTCCCAGAGAGCTGGCGACTCTGCCTAGATCTTGGATTGAGACCACGGGCGACTTGGTCTATTGGGGAGAGCATGAAAAGGTATGTTTCTCGACACTGGTTATTGTTTGATACACTCGAATATGATTATTGACAAAATTGATCATTAGGGCGGCCATTTTGCGGCACTCGAGCAGCCTGAAGCGCTCAAAGCGGACATAGTTCAGTTTGTAGAGCAGGTTTGGCCGGGATTTACTGGTGCTAATTAATCAATCCTCTTCAGAGTGAGTTTCTCTGATCTGCACATACGTTTGCATTTGAATGGTTTGAATATGTTTACACATGTGTTGTAATCATATAACATAAGTGATAGATATATTCTGATCGACTAGTACAAACATTGCATCTATAGAACATTGCCCAAGTCCAGACCGAGGTCTGAATTCCTGCGAACATTTGAAGAGAACCCTTTTTACACTTTGCATAGTTAAATGGCCAATGTAGAGTTATCCAAAAGAGGTAGTTATCAGTGATTAACCACCAAGTGCCTTGTAGAGCTCTTCCACATCATTTCCAATCATCCAGTGCAACTCTTCAATCTGGCGTTGATAGTAGTCCTCGTCACCGCCCATTGAAGCCACCATGGCAGCAGGTGCAGCTTCAAGATATTCCTCCTTGGATATGGCAACTGTTTTCATCAGCATTGGTTCGATTTTCATGACAGGGCCAAATCTTACCGTGGGCATTGACAACAGCACGCTTGGCACTCCACATAGCATGGTAGGCGTTAGTGCTGCCATCGTTATTGGCATCACCGACAGCGTAAATTCCGCCAACGCTGGTCTCCATGTTAGGTTGAACTTTAATGGACTTTCCATCCATCTGCAGATGCAATTGCTTGTGCAAGCTGGATGTCTGCGTAGTCTCGGCACTGATCATGATGCCATGAGTGACGAGAGTCGACGGCGCGCCACTCAGGGTGAGTTTGTATTCGTCATCACCAGGTTCATTTCCTTTGGCAGTTCTCTCAATCTTCGTCACATCGACTTGATAGACCGGAATGCCATATGTCTTTTGTATAACAGTATCCCACCCAGGCCATCTCTCTTCCGCAGCCTTCTTATCAGCCTCGGTGAGGGTACCGCCGACAACAATTTTAATGTTTGTCGTCAGTTTTCTCAAGTTCAGCGCGGAGCCGATGGCACTAGCAAATTTACCAGGCTGACCAATAACCACCATTGGGCGTCCCTTGTAGTCAAATCCATCACACCAGGGACACCAGAACAAGCCCCTGCCAAAAGCATCCGCAAACCCTGGCTTATTTGGCAGAACGTCCTTGATTCCAGTAGCCAATATAACCTTCCGAGCAAGGATTTTGCCCCCTTTGCTATCGTAGATACGGAAGCCTTTGGTAAGAGGCTGAATGGCAGTTACTTTGCTCCCCCGAGTCGCACGGAAAGAGTAATCGCTGTAGTGTTCATCGATCTGGCCACGAGCGGCAATCCGGAATTTCAGAGGAACTTGACCTGAACACGCATAGTATTTTAGTCGCAGGTTAAAATGAAGAAGAGTGGAGAGGGACTGGAAGATTTACCATCCTGACCGAGAACATCGTGCATGTAACGAGTTCTCTCATTACGATATTCCTCCGAGTCATACATGACTGATGTGCGGGCTACCCGGCCAAGGGACATGGACGCGGCCAAGCCAGCAGGGCCGCCGCCAATGATCGCGACATCGTAGTCCCATTCTTCTGGGTCCCAATTCTCACACGAGCGAGCATCAAGAGCCGAAACTTCGTACTCTGTGATTTCAGTCGCATTCAATGAGAAATCTTCGCCAGAGAGCTCGGATTGGGCATTTTGATCATCCAGTATTTCTTGTGGGACAATCAAGGAAAAGGCTAGGCGAGCTGAGAGCAGGCTAAGAAGCCACAGAGAAGTCCGAAACTGTAACATGTTGCCTTTGGTTCAATGAACCTGAAGAACGTCGGACTGTAGAGAGACAATTTTGGACAGCTTGTTGCGCAAAGTATTTATACCACCAAAAACCGGGCTTTGCATCATCCCTCACGACTTGTCCGTGCAAGTTCGCCTTCATATCACTCCTTGCAATTTGCTCATGCAGCTTCCCCCTCATAAGACATAGTCGAACTATAATGATGCCAATCCTTTCTCTGAGAGGAAAGGTCGAGTGCCACAGTGTACAAAGATGATAGTTCATGCAGGCGACAGGAACCGAACGCGTCATGCAGATCGACTCCATGGACAGAAGTCCCCGAGTTCGCAGCAGAAATCAGTGATGTAACACCCCCCTTCCTTACTGATTCATACGTAGATAGTAGTAGGTATGCATGGCGATGCATCGTCATACAACCATCTGTTTTGTTTCCTGCTCACCATAGTAAGGCTCTTTTGTTTCGTTCTAGTACAAATAACTGGGTGATACACATTCAGGAGATTATTCTGAATGCCCGATTGTAGATCGGTGGGTCCCCGCCAATCGATGGTTTGCCCGCTTGGCTTCAGCTTCAGCCCGCCACGGCTGAATGTGACGAGTGAGAATCATGCCGGATCATGCAGGATCGGCAATCATGTTCATAATCTGATGAATGGATATCACAATATCAATGTAGGGTAGTCTGTACCTCGTACATTTCAAACCCTCACTTTAAGGTCAACATTGAATATTATTGAGAGGGAAAGTATGTCATAATGTCATACATGTAGATGTTGTTTATGCTCCACAAACCACATAGTTTCCCCGCACCGATAAGACAAGCTCTTATCCATCTCTTACACCTGTGATCTCGATTCTCCATCTTATTAAAATGACTAGCAGCACCACAGATCTCTCTGAGATATTCTCGGACGAGTCCAGTTTCTACGGTAAGCTCCAATAAAGCTGCCAAATCCGACAGCTCTAATGTTTCCTCCATCCAGGCGACGACGACGAACAAGCGCGACTTGAAGAGCAGGTAGCCACCTACGATCCCGAGCCATACTGGTCACAGTATCACTCAAAGCTACTCTCAACCATGCAGAACGAGCTACTCGCACCTCCGGCCCTAGGAAAAGCATCACCAGACCCAGACACTCCCATGCCCGACGTAGATGCAAGCGATCCACCCGCACGACTCCCCCGTAACAAACGCGGCGCCACAGAATCCCTTGCCAGCTTCCTTGCTCGACTGCCACCATCAAGAACAGTCCTCCCACGAGGCCAACCCTGGATTTGGGCACGCGGGAGCTCAAATCTAACCAACAGCCTCAAAAAGCGCGACGAGCCAAGTTTCCTCCAGAAAGGAACCGAGCTCCTCCACGGATTTGAAGAAACGCTCTCTGAATTACGAGCCGCGCATGACAAGTCTGGTGCCAAGACTACAGCTGCATTGACACGCAAGCTCAATCCGATTCGCCGCGATCTGGAGCAAAATATATTAGCGCTTGCGCATGAGACTGGTGTGACTGCTGGCAAATGGATGTTGTTCCCACCAGTGAAGAAAGTGGATTCAACGTGGGAGACTCTGGTTACGGCGCTCGATACTGGTAAGGTCCAGGCGGATGCAAAGGTTGCGGCGGGGGATGGGTCTGGGTCTGAAAAGAGCCGGTTGATATGTGTATACACGGAGAATTTTGCGGATAAAGAGAACGTGAAGAAGGTCTTGAGGATGTTGCTCAATGAGGGCATTTTTGAGCCGGCGGCGACAGGACCGATTTATTACAAGTGTGATGCTTTTACATTGCTCAACATCAATTCGAAGAATGAGTACGGGCTCAAGGCAAGTATGTTTTCAAGTCGGGATTTCGGCATGTGAGAACTGCATATGCTTCTTAAATACTATTGATATGGTACGAATTTTATGATTGATGATGGCATGTTTGGTCTATTAGTACGATTGCTCGAATTGCTTGGGTATCTATAAAAACAAAATAATATCTGCTTCTGTACGGCCGCGTGGCATGTAGCCCAAGGCACTGCATGTCTAGCCCGTATATAGAGCGACAAATGTCCGACATGGGCCATCTCCGCGTCGAGCGACGTGAGTCCTTAGACCTGGATGGGTGGTTGCTCAAAGGAACGATTGCACATGATGTCTGGGGCCTTCAAACGGCGATTATCATGGCCGAACCTTCACTGCAGCTTATTCAATCGTCTTGGCTCTGGCTCATGACTTTGTTGCAGGACTCGCGGATTTGAGCAACACCCTTAACCTGACCCCAGGCGTCAAGCAGTCGCTGAACCTCCTTCCAATCATTCTCCGCATCCTCCCGCCGCCCATTGTCCAGAAGAGCCCCTAGTCGCTCAGGGGCTGCAAGCACCCACTTCACAGTCTCCTTCTCGGCTTTCTTCTCCGGCGCTGGCTCATTGGCCCGTGCCTCTTTAATTCGTTTTCGCTGCTCCTCACCCTCCTTAATTAGGCCGCCAGCCGTCTCAGCCACGAACGCAATGGCCGGACCCAAAGTTTTGGTCATTGTTAACGGTGCACCTCGATCGTCCATACTCTTCCGCATTTTGCCGATTGTCTCAACAGCACGAATCAATTTAGAGTAGTTGTCGTAGACGAGCGCCTTGCGCTCTCCGTCAAGGGTACGGATATCGCCGACGAGGGTATTCTCCGCCTTAAGAATAGTGGATAGTGATGAGGTAGATAGCAAATGCTCCACGTAGCGTTGTGGATCAAAGTCGGCATTGTCGAGCTCTGTCCCTGAGGTCAAAGACGTCGGGTTCGAAATATCCCCGGCATCGGTGTTTCTTGGGACACTGCGAGATCGAGAGGTAGGTCCAGGGCTAGACGAGTCGGCACCCGGGGGCTTAAGATTATAGTAGTCTCGCAAAGCTGAGCGATTCCGTCGGGGATTCGGTGAAATAGCGCGGGCAGTGGATGGGGTGGAAGAGGCACTGAGACCGCCACCGACGTTTGTATTGAGAGTATCGAGGGACGGACGGGATGATGGCGGCGCAGGTGAGACTGCTCGCGAAGACGCAATGGACGGGCGCGGGGAGGATATCGTAGACATTGTGTGTTTATGTTTGTTGAGCTGGTAGCGGAGAGTTGCGGAGTTGTCGCGAGAGACCAGGTCAACTGGCTTTAAGCGGTGGTCCGAGCTTCTTTGTTTCCTTGCTCCAACTTTCACTTTTTACTCCAACTCTCCTCCACCAACATTGCTTTTTACTTTTTATATCAGCGTCGACTGATCATGTCTACAGCCGAACAGATAATCGCTCACGTTCAGAGCTCCACGGGCCTCTGCATTTCCCCGGCATGGCTCAGCAGCTTCATAAGTTCCTCTAGCGCACAGCGCAACATCCCCGCCTCCACACTCACCAAGACAGCTCTATTTCGCGTCCTCGCCTCCGACTTCCGCGAATCCCTTTCCAACAACCCCACCTCTCTGTTTCCCCTCGATACTTCAGATCCAAAAATACAAGAACGACGCCTTCAAGGTCCCATCCCAGTACAGGTCCTCGATATTGAAGACATAGGCACTAGTCTTTGGAGCCAAGTCGAAGCAATCGAGCGAGTGGAGCGCGGTGAATCGATTCGAGGACGTGAAATTGTGCGCACAGTCAATGTGGGTGAGGATGCTGCTGAGGCCGCGGCAAACAATGGATCGGGGACAAATCCAGGCGCGTCGGGGAGTAGTGGTTCTGGGCCGCATCGATTAATTCTTCAAGATGCGGCTGGGACCAGGGCTGTTGGAGTCGAGATGAAGCGAATAGATGGTGTTTCGCTAGAAAAGCTGGCTATTGGAGCAAAGTTCTTACTACGAGGCGCGACAGTTGCGAGGGGGATTATCCTTCTGGATCCTGGGTGCGCTACTCTACTCGGTGGGAAAATCGAGTTGCTAGATAGGCCGTGGAAGGAAGGGAGAAAGTCCAGGTTGCTTGAGAGAATTGCGTCTATGCAAGTGGAGGATACTCAATAAACAGGGTCAAGTCATCCATGGATACTTTCTACAAGCAATATATCGCAAGGCTATGCCGTATGTTTCTTTGGGGGCTGGACTTGGTTTTACTAAAAGGTACGTTTATATTGGAAATGCAAATCTAGTTATGCAGTGTACTCTACGGGTTTTCTCCCGAAAAGTGCTGATCATGCCCAATCCTTCAGAGCACAGTTCAAGCTTTCCCAGCCATCCTGTCTCCACGGAGAGAACATGATGGATCTGAAAGCATCCCCAAGCTTGCCAGTTTGGGCGTACGCCATGCTGAGATCAGTGGCGTCAATATTGCCATGCGGAGGAGCGCAACGTAAAGCTCGGCTGATGGCCATTTCAGCTGGATGCGCGGATTCCGACACCTCAGCAAGCTCCAACCAGCCCTGTGGCTGGCCAGGACACATCATGATGGCTGAGGTGGCTTCTTTGATCTGTCGCAAGGGCTGAGGGAGAAGAGAAGCAGCATCTTTGTTCAATCCCTGGGCTGAGATTGCAGCCAGAAGCTTGAGAAGTTTGGCTTGATCGTGCATGTCGATGTCATCCCGACTGAAGTTCTTTCGCAGATCGGACTCAAGTGCCTCAATACAAGCCCTGTCCCCGTCTACTATCGTAATGGCTCCGAAAAGGCTAATAATACCAATATGATCTGGGTGTTCCTTGATACAATCGTCAAGCTGCTGACGAGCGACCTCTTTCTCTTCCTTGCCACCCTGGGCCCATAGTACTTGGACGAGGAGACAAACCACATCGGGAACATCCCGGGTATTGGTAGCTTCGGCCAAAGCATCACGGAACATGTCGATGGCACGGTCCATGGACTGTGTAAAGTAGTATGCCAAACCAGCCGTCAGGTGGGCAGACAGGCGAAGCTTGGTCCGAGCTTCAGGATCAAAACCACTGGCATCTTCTTCGCCTGAAAGTGACAGTGCAGTTTCGGCCTTATCCGCCGCTTGCTCATACTCATGGCGTGCAAGAAGAACGCGAGCAAAATCCGCATTGGCTTGAGCAAAATTCGAGAGCGATTCCAATGACTCGGATTCTTCGTACTCGGCTTCCATGCCCGTACACACCATTTCCAGACTAGACTCAGCATCGGCTGTCTCGCCCATTCTCTCGGCCAAAAGGGCAGAAATGTGCATGAATGGCAGGTCGAAGGGATCCTGGATACAAAGTTGATGCAGCGCAAAGAATGGCTGGATCAGTTGGGAGACTTCGTTGGAAACAGAGAAGTCGGAAAGGAGGTGGTCGAATAGAGTCAAAGAGTATTGGCGCTTGGGAAGCATATCAAATGAATTCGAGATATCGAATGCATGTGCAAAGAGGCCTCGTGCCTCTCTAGCCTCACCAAAGAGAAGTGCGACGAATCCTTGGCCAACCCACGCTTGTGAATAATCCGGATCAATAGACTGACCACGGGTGAAAGCCTCGTTTGCCAGTGAATAATCGTTGTGCAGAAGATAGAGTGCACCAAGATTGGTCCACACCTGTGCACTACGCTCGTTCAAATGTAAGCTGCGCACGAACGAGTGCTGGGCAACCTTGGGACTTAAGCTCGTTGTGACCACACCAAGCGCGTTCCAGAACTCCGAGTTGCCAGCCTCCAGTTCAATAGCCTTCTTGAAACACTGCATTGCCGCTTTGAGAAAATTGCGAGACTTCTTTTCCTTATTTCCATACTCCGGCTGCACAGTTCGGTATGCACGGAATTCCGCCCAACCAAGATTGTACCATCCGACGGCCTGGGCATGTTGATCATTGGCCGAAACATGCATAGCGCGTTTATAAGCAAGAATGGCCATGTAGATACAAGTATCTGATGAAACGGCGCTTTCGCTACTGGATTCAAGCCACTCGTGGCCCACGCCATCCACCTCGGACATGATATCCAGCGCCGCCGGATCAAGTTGAGCGTTCAACAAGTTTATGCAAGTAGTCAAGCACATTTTGTCCGCTTTTTTCTTGATGTAGGAGAAAGTTGCACAGGCGTCGCCTACTGCTTTCCACAGGTTGAAAATATTAATGCGAACTGTTGCTAGTGAGTGCGCGACTTGAATAGTCTTATTCGCAAGTTCTGCTGCATCGTTGAATAAACCGGAGTGCAGACTCTTCCACGAGCTCTCTGCCAGTGCCTGAAGCAAGGCAACTGTGGTACCAACATCACTGGGTCTCGTGCTCAAGATGTCTTCGTAGTCAGTGATGGCAGCGTCGTACTCCCCAAGCTCACATTTCACGTTGGCCAGCATGTATCTTGCAAACCAAATGTGCTTCTTTTCTTCGCTCGACAAAGTCTCTTCTAATGCCTTCGCGTGCTCAAAAGCCTTGGTCGCAGCGATGTATCGACCAGAGTGGTGATAGCTCTCCGCTAAACCCACCCAGGAGTGATAGTCAGTAGCTGAGATTCGCAAAGCAGCTTGAAAGGAGACTATGCTCTTTGAGTATTGCTGCTTGTTGATTTGTACGGTACCAAGTGCCGCAAATGGCCAACTGTAGCCCTTACGCTTTGAGCCAGGGGCAGGTTTAGCCTTGCCTGAGTCTACGACTCGCTGTGAAATGGCCTCAACCAGGTCCCACTCCTTTTGGTCAGCGAACCCTCTGGCAAGGCGCTCAGCTGCTTCGATCTCTGATAGCGACAATTCAAACGCTTTGTGGAAACACCGACGAGCTCTAGTCTTATCGCCCTTGTAATCTGCGTAGTAGAGACCGAGGCTCGTATATGCCGGCGCAAAGTTCATGTTTAGTTGAATAGATGAAAGGAAGCTAGCGTATGCCCCTTTGCGGTTCTTCCTCGCAGCCGGAGATTGGTCTAACTCCCACTGACAGTATCCGATGCGGTAGTGAAGTTCACTCCTAAATTCGGTGTTTGGTTCTTTCTCTTTCTCGAAGCGTTCCAGTGTCTCCTGGAGGCCATTAAGACCTGTTTCAAGATCACCGGTAAGTGCTTTGCACCAGAAAAGTTCACCTTGAACCAAGATGTTCGATGGATCACGCTTCAAGGCACGCTCTAAGAAATCCGCAGCTTCTGGGTAATTTTCGTCGACCTTCGAGATCAGCCCAATACCCAGAAGGCAGTTTGTAGAAGTTGGTTTTCGCTGGAGGATTTCTTCGAAAATTTTCTTGGCCTCCGGATGGTGCCGCGGAGACTGGTGGGATATGAGAGAATTGGCAAGTTTGATGTTCAAGGAATCTTCTGTATTGGCCAGACTCAGAGTGGTAAGTTTATCAAGTTCTTGGACATTGAGGAGACCCTTCCGAGCAACCTCCACTGTACTTGCATGTTCACCCATGGAGAAATAGACATCAGCCATAATCCGGTGCGCAACGACTGAGGAACGAGCCAAATCAAGGCCCTCAACCATCAGGGACACCGACATGATGTCAGAACTCGAAGCACCGGTCGGTTCTTTATCTGTTTGGGTTGTCTCCTCCGGAGGGAATGGTGAGAGGTCACTGGCTAGGAAACCTCTCAGAACCTTGGCTAGCCCCGTCTCAGGGAAGAACTCGACGAACTCTCTTACAACACCTACGTCCCATTCCGAGTAATCGGTAATATCCTTCCACTCCAACACGATCTTCCACGCAAGCTCAAAAGGATGTTTGATGATGACCATGTCCTGTGCAGCTTTGATGATTTCGTTTCGTTTCGACCGCTTTGCTTTCACAGGAATGACCTCAAGCTCATCGTATGCTCGTTGGAGAAGCTTTTCCTCGCACTGGCGCCGAACTGCATCGTCGTTCGACCATTGGATCATGCCTGCATACAGCTTGGCCAGTTCACTGTTTTTGAAGGCTTCCCGTTTGACTTCCATGGTAACTTTCTCGATCCGTGCCCCAAGGCGGGTTCTGCGCTCACCAATTTCTCGGTTGATGTATTCCTTTTCTTCGGGTTCGGCGAGTTCAATCAAGCGGAGGTAGGTCAGAGAGGGATGGTGCAGCCGTCCTTCAAGAATATCGTAGACCGGGGAGGTTGGGAGTTGTATTTCCAGGCTTTTCTTCTTCTGGGCAATCGAACCACTCCTTTTAGCAAGCGAGATGTATTTGTTTATCACTTCTTGGCACAAGTCGACTTTACCCTGACGCTCGGCAAAAATCAGTCCGAGGGCAAGAGCCGCATCATGGTAAGCATCGAGCTTTGCACTGCCCAGCTTATCGTACAAGCCGATCAATCCTTGCCAAGCGACACCTTCCTCAGGCTTGATGCGAGTTGCAGCCAAATATGCTTGTTCGGCATCTTTTGACTTTCGTAGTTTATCGTTTGCGACGCCTAGATATACATTGCTGTGGATGGGGGGGGGGAAAGAGGTGAGCTTTAATCATCAATTGCACGTGTTGTTATAGGTCTTGACTCTTGACGTACGCATAATAATCTTTAGCATCTTCCTTCACCAAATCTTCGGCCTTCTCACACGCAATGTCAAACTTTCTGGCATCAAGAGCAGCTCGTATAGCTTTTAAAGCAGCTTTGTTCGACATTGTCGGTTGGAGCTCATGAAAGGAGCGGGGTGAGGTGCAATCGATATTCAGGTATGTCACGTGCGCGTGCGTACAGCAAGCAAAGTGGGTGCGTGGTTGCAATGAGTGGAGCGCGCGCGTGTGCGTACAGGGTTGGATGCGTGGTTACAGGGAGTGGATCAGGTGTGTGGTTGCAGGTAGTAGAAAAGGTGCGTGGTTTCAGTGAGAAATAGAGTACGCACGCGTGCGTGCGTACAAACAGTGAAGGGAGTGGGTGCGTGGTTTCAGGGAGTGGTACGAGCGCGTGGTTGCAGTGAGTGGAGTAGGTGTGTGTACTTTTCAAGTTGTTATCGATAGTACGTCACCCCTTATCAGTTATCAGGCAGATATACCAACCCCGGGCCCGGGTCCCCCATCATCCATGTCCCGCATGAGCACCTACCCCATCCTCAGCTTCACCGCTTGATTCCCTTGTCTCCTTAGTCTATCTCGCTCTGTGACACTATCGTCTCTTCCCTTGATTTTGCTCCACTTGCCTAGAACTGCCCAGTGGGAAGGAAACCTTATTGATAACCGTATCGGTGCCTGTTGCTTGTTATACTCTCGGCCAACAGGTAGGCTTGCCCGACCGTGGCTTTTTTGTGCTGCAGATCTATGCCAGAGCTAGCTGAGCTCACCTGCTATCTTTTCCGTCAGCCGATTCCTATACTGAGTTGGTAGACTTTGATTCAAAGTACAAATTCCACTCCTTTGTCCTCTCTACCACCTGTTGATATCCAGCCTCCAAAGATGGGCTCCTTGCGCCTTCATGTCGATGGGAAGTCGTTTCGTGATACGCAGGGTCGAGAGATTGTACTCAGGGGCATTAATGTGGCTGGCGACGCCAAATACCCCAAGACGCCGGATATCCCATCATTCCAATCAGACAAATTTTTCGATGCGGATGATGTATCGTTCATCGGAAGACCATTTTCTCTCGAAGACTCGCATTTACATTTCAAACGGCTGCGCAAATGGGGCTATAACACGATCAGGTACATCTTCACTTGGGAAGCCATTGAGCATGCCGGACCAGGTATATATGACGATGAATGGATTGATTTCACTATCCAGGTCCTGAAGATAGCCAAGAAATATGAGTTTTATGTCTTCATGGACCCTCATCAGGATGTGGTAAGTCTCAGTAAATCAATCAAACAAGCAGCTTGTGACTAACTGTGAAAAGTGGTCGCGGCTATCTGGGGGCTCCGGAGCACCCATGTGGACGCTCTATGCGGCTGGGTTTGATCCTAAGAGCTTCAAGGATACCCAAGCAGCTCTTGTTCACAATACATTTGACAATCCGGCTGAGTTTCCAAAGATGATCTGGAGCACGAACTATACTCGACTGGTGTGTCAAACAATGTTCACGCTCTTTTGGGCTGGGCGAGACTTTGCGCCTAAGGCCATAATCGACGGCGTGAACATCCAGGACTACCTTCAGAATCATTTCATCGCTGCCTGTAGCTATTTCGCAAAGGCAATCCACGAAGCTGGTGATCTCGAACATGATGTGGTTATTGGTTGGGAAAGTATGAATGAACCACACCGCGGTTTAATAGGGGTGCAGGATATCTCTGTGATACCGCCTGAGCAACAACTACAGCTTGGAACATCACCCACAGCTTTCCAGGCAATTCTAACTGGTTCTGGGCGAGCCTGCGAGCAAACAACTTGGGCTTTTGGTAGTTTTGGACCCCATCAAACAGGCAGAGAGCTTGTTGATCCAGAGGGGGTAAAAGCATGGTTAGACGCTGACTATGATGACAGCAAATATGGATGGCAGCGAGACGAAGGTTGGAAGCTTGGTAAATGCATTTGGGCCCAGCATGGAGTGTGGGATCCGTCAACAGACACTCTACTACAAAAGGACTACTTTTCCAAGGTACCTACGACGGGAGAAAGGCTGGACTACGAGAAATTCACCAACACATATTTCTTGGCTCACTATCGTGCATACAGAGATGCGATCCGCAAGATCTGGCCGAGAGCTATCATGCTGTGTCAACCGCCGGTGATGGAAGTCCCACCGGATCTGAAAGGAACAATTGATGATGACCCAAACATGATACATGCGGTCCACTTCTATGATGGCCTGACCCTTATTACAAAGCATTGGTGTGTGCATGAAATCCACGTGACCCTATACAAAACCATCATGTGTCTAATTTTAATAGGAACCGACTCTACAATGTCGACGTCATCGGTGTTCTTCGAGGGAAATACTGGGCCCCGGCCTTTGCTGTCAAACTTGGCGAAACAGCCATTCGTAACTGTCTTCGCGATCAACTCAAGTTCCTTCGTGACGAAAGTTTGAAATATATGGGTGACCACCCGATGGTCTTCACGGAGATTGGTATTCCATACGACATGGATGAGAAACACGCCTATCAAACGGGGGATTACAGCAGTCAAACAAGTGCCATGGACGCCAACCACTTCGCTATTGAAGGCAGCACTAGCAATGGATTTACCCTTTGGGTTTATGCAACCGAGAACAACCACGAATGGGGAGACCAGTGGAATGGAGAGGATTTGTCCATCTATTCCAATGATGACCTGGAGCTCCCGACCGGAATCGGTAGCCGGTCGCTCAACCCACAGTCACCTGCATACTCAGAAAGTCATTCTGGCAGTAGTGAGTCTGAGGTAGGACCACGGAATCTCAAGGGTGCTTTAGCATCTCCATCGATCTCAAGTGAGGAACCCACACAACCCAAGGGCTACCGTGCCGCGGAGGCATTCATTCGCCCGAGTCCAATCTATGTTAGTGGGACTTTGGGGAGTCACGTCTTCGACCTTCAAAAATGCAAGTTCACCATGTCTTTAACAGCGAAGCAAGCCACCGCATCCGACGCCCCAACGGAGATTTATCTTCCCGATTTTCATTTCCCGGGAGCTGAGACTGTTGTTGCTGTGAGTGGAGGCAAGTGGGAAATTGACCTTTACGAAATCCAGAGCATTAAGATTCAACGTCTTCGATGGTGGCACGCCGAAGGAGAACAGAATATCCAAATTGAAGGGGTCAAACGTCAACCGGGGGAGGTCACAAATCAAACTTGTGAGGGTATGAGTCTGGACAATTGCCACCGAGCTCAATGCCTTATTATGTGATTTTATGCTTCCAAGGTTCGATTTCAAGATGGCTATGGGCGTCTAGTTGGTTCAAAACATTGAATGACATCAATGCGCACACTACTATGTATATTCATGGATGCACCTACGTACTGGATTTCCACTCCCAACTCTTGACTTTCCACTTCCGGATTTGTGCTCAGTCCTTGCCGCTTTTTGCTCACCGAGTAAAACTGAGCACGCCTCTGAGCTCCCTGATCCGATCAGTGAGCATTACATAAGCGCACTGATCTGCTCACTGAGCATCACCTGATACTCACCTGAGCGGTCCGATCCACTCACTGATCCTGATCTGAGCGCCCTGATTTGCTCACTCAGTCTGAGCTGAGCCTAGTGAGCGGCCTGAGTAAGCTACATCAATAAAATGCAACACACTAGTACTATCACGTGCAGCCCTCCTTATTTAGATTGTCCCCATCATCCTATCAGTGATTAACTAACCGTATGGATCTTATGTCAGCTGTATAAGAAACAATGTCATATGGGCTCGCTACAGGAAGGCGTTAATCATTTTCCAATCAATTGGATTTGATTCATTCTCATGAGATTTGTCTCTTCTTACCACTCATTCGTAGAAAGCTCATAGGTCAATATTGCCTGATTTTTAATGGGCTTTTGAGAAGTTTTGACCCCCAGGATGAGCTCGGTAATCTTAAAATAAAGAATCCAAAAAGAACCTAAAAGCTGAATAATCCACTTCGCCTTTTTCCGAATGGATAGATTGCCAGGGCTGCAATAAAGAGCCCTACAGTGATCCCAATCGATACCTCCACCATGCCGAGCCCTAAATCCGCGGTGTAGACCTGGGAAGCTTCCATGGAGTATACCGAAGAGCTATTGTGAATAATCGCACTGGATATATTAGACCGTGTCTCATCGGCAGATTTGATACCACTAATGAGAGGCCCCGAGGCTGCTAGACCCGACGGCACGAGAACGAAGATGCCCGGTAAGATAGAAGTCGCCGCATGGCCATGCCATACTCGACTATAAAGATTGCCTAGCATACCGATGGTGAAGGCACCAACAGTATTGGCGACTTGCGAGCTGGTACCGATGCGTTGTGTTACAAAATAAGTAACAATATAACCTGACTCCGCGATGAACAACATGACTGGTGCCTGCTTCCATCGACCTTGGTTGACCACCAATAAACATAATACGAATGCCGCCACGAATGGAAATCGTTGTAAGTATTCGTTACCCCATACTCCTCTAGTTGGACATGTGATGACAGAAGTGGCTCCGGGGTCGATCAACCCATATATCGTGAAGCCCACGGTAATTCCATAACCGAGGAAAAGAGAGTAGATGATAGCATACACCATCCGAATGGATCCAGCAACAAGCTGATGTGATTGAAGCTCTAGGCTACTGCTGAGCACAGTATATCCCGGTAGAATCAACGCAACCGATGACTGGGCAACTGCTGAGAAGCAGAATAGATGTTCCCGGTTTCCATCATGTGTGGTAAACTGAATGCTCCCTAACCCACGGGCAACAAATGAGGTGAGAACAGACGCAGTTACCTCAAATATATTAGAGTATAGCACGGATCGTGGAGCAAGTACATGTTGCAGGATTCCTAGAAGGGCCCCGTTGAAGAAAATGATTGGCATATCGATCGGTCGAGCGTTGAAAGCGAAGGGGCCGACCATAGCAGAAGCTATTCCGTAAACCATCACGATGATCCATTTATTAAACCGAGGCTTGCTGGTAGTGATCCTGTCCAGCTCTGTTCTAGCCTCTTCAATTCCCATTGCGTCGTGGATCACATTCTTGTAGACATCATGGGTGTCGGCTAGGAGCCCTAGATCAATGCCTTGTGCTACTCGCACCAACTTTACCTCCGTCGTCCGCGTGGTCGGATCATCAAAAGACATTATCATACATCCTGGGACGTAGAGAAATTGACAGTCCATTTCAAGGACGGATGCGGTCTTCTGCATGTGCTCCTCCAGCCGATGCATCGGAGCCCCAAACATGATGAGAGCCTTGCAGAGCTGGATAATGTATCTTCGACGAGATATAATGTCGGCAATCTGAACCGTCACACGGATCTCATCCTCTAGCCGTATGTCATGTTCTCTGTGCTCGCCTCCCCAGTCAAGAGTAGCATTGGGCGTCTCTTTCAAATTAGCAGGACTGTTTCTGCTTGGACAGGCGCCATCATTCACTGTCGTATTCATTGATGTCCCTTCCTCTTCAAGCCATCTTGGTTTCGGCTTCCAGTGAACTGCCTTGCCTGGTGTTCTCCATCCAGAGGGGGTATTTGGTGTTCTGGCTGCCGAGAAGCCCTTTTTGTGTGATTTTGTATCGTTCATCGGGACATCCACGCTTCCGTAGAGCTTAAGCAATTGAGCCAAAATCCCCCCCTCACTTTCACAGTTCGATGGTCCGCGTTCTAATGGCTGTTGTAATTGCTGACGAGTAGTGGATCGCTCGTTTGGCGGATTATAAACTAGTCCCCGTACCAGCTGCTGAGCTTCCACACTGGCTGGGAGGTTTTCATTCTCGGGGTCATCTGGATCCAACACGTTGGGATCACCTTCGGCTCGCTCGGCGTGAAATAGAAATAATGGGTGGAATAGGCGGGTGGCTAAAGTCTTGGCTTTCTTCGCAATCGAATGTTTTTTGTTCTTTTGGTGGGCCACTGATATCTGTTGGGTCGAGTGCTCTGGCTCACGAGCCGCTTTCTCACATAGACCCAAAGGCTCTTGACTTTGTGAGCTCTCACTAGGCGGTTTCTTCCCACTACAAGGGGTCTCCATTTTCTCTGTCGGTTGACCATCCGATGGCGCCGTATTTTTATTGATAGTCTCTCCCGTCAAATCTTCATGCTCGCGTGTCAAATCCGGTAAAGAATGTGGCCGTGATGGCGATTTAACTTTTGGGGTTCCTTTCTGCCCCGGAATATTCGGTCTTGCATCATGATTGTCGTTGTTGTTGTTGTTGTTGTCAAGCTCTGGTCTTGAAATCTCGAAACTTCGATAGCTTTTGAGTGAGCTAATACTCTCCAAATCCGTAGGTCCGGTGGGATACATAAATTGAGAAAAGGGAAATGGATATTCAAAATTTCTGCCGAATGGTTGTACAGGGCTCGTTTTGAACCAATTGCAGAATGGTTTCAAGTTATAGGATGCGTAGACTCAGAGCACGTTGACCTTAAAAAGACTATTTTCGGTGCCGAGCCGGCAGTAGAACTCTAGATAAGAAATGGAAAGACCCAGAACATTTTGACTACCAAAATACAGAAAGTTAGTATTAACCAGGTGAATGGAGTTTGAGCCTGTCTTATTGCGCCATCTTATACAAAGCCATCGGGTTTAGCACTCTCACCAACAGAATCAATACTGCGCTTATAGATGAAAGGTTAACGAGCGAAATATATCATTTAATCCTTTCACAATCCTATAAGTTTAAAGCGTTTCTCCAAATTAACCCCAACAAGAAACTGACGGCGTACGAAAGTGTTGATGTCATAGAAGGCATTTGAATAGAATCAAGGGAAAGCTCTCGGGAAGTCCGGCGTTGAACTCTGAAGACCACCCCGCTATTCGAGTTTTAGGGGCAAAGATGACAGGGTGACTCGGTCAGCTCCCTGGTAACCACTGGTAATTATTAGTAGGACCTACTTGATCATAGTTAATCTGTCGGTACAAATCGTGCTTAAATCAAGGCAGTTAGCCAATGGGATCGTTCAATCGTCTATGTAGTACATGGTATGATAGGGGGTCCCTTCTTGGCATGCTTAGATAAGCCATTAAAGCAACTAACCACCCGAACGAGTAATATTCAGTCTCCAGGAACTATCAATGATCAATATATGATATATGTTTAATCAATATAGATACAATTTGTTTCTGAAAATATTTTAACTGAAAAAGTTCAAACAAATTCAAGGAGTTCCGTCCATATCTAGTCGTTGAAATTACAATTCTGCTTCTTTATCTGGTAACTGCCAACTGGTTCCCTATTTTCCACTGATCAGGATTCAGATTAGACTAAAAACTAGCCTATATATTCAAACAAACATACAGATTCTATATAGCGCCCTTTTAGCTAGATATGACTAGTAGCAGGGTGAAATACAATCATATGACTGTTGACTGAGCAGGATTATGAACGGCAGGCCTGCTAGAATAGGCTTTCGCGGTGGCCATTCTGGGACGGGGGTTGGGCTTCGGGCCCAAGGTTTGAACGCAAAGTTAGGCTTTGCAAAAATCTAGACGCTCTTGTACATTTAATACATGTAATAGACTGTGGCATATTTATAGTCTTACTAGTTAGCGCGTCATCCACATACTCATGACCGCTTTGAGTTTCCAGGCCCTCGCAAATAGTAAATATAGAATATGATCGACAAGATGAGGATTATGAAGTCAAGAGAAAATAATATGAAACTAGAGTTATTCTCAAATATGAACAAAGATTATTTTTGCCCATCTTTCATGAAACTGTTTGTTGATCGACCCCGATTCTTGTATTCCATCCTTTCCATCAGCTCCTTGATGCTAATTAAGCACAAAGTAAGTTTCATTTGAAAATCAGATATGTATCAAAATTAATAATCATCTATGGATGAATCCGCTAGACTAGTCATAGACTCATAGCGAATTTATGTTTAATGGACGTCATAATCTTTTATGTTACTAGCCATTAACTCCAGGGGTCCGAAATCGAAGGGTTATACGCGAGAGAGATAATCTAACGACTGATTCATATTCCTGGAGCTTATAAGTGATTCTGTCTTGTGGGCCTGGTTGTTCAATCTGAGATTTGAATAAATGATCTGAGAAGTATTAGAACCTGGTACCCACATAAGATTTTGTCATAGTTTATGGGTAACACGTGTTAGGAGAAGTGAACCATATGACCCATTCTGGGCACATGGTCCGCTCCTAAGCATGCTTCAGCGCATGTGGGTTTTGTGTGTGTGTGTTAGTTTTGTGCGAGAGGGTTAGGGTTGGTAGTTAGTCCAGGGAAGTGAGAGCTTCTCTCTCCTTTCCTTCCTTCCTTCTTCCTTCCTTCTTTCCCCTCTCCATCCCGCTTAGTGAAGAAGAATGCCATACAATTGCCCTTTCTTCACCTCCTCATTACCATTCGTTTCTCCCAGATCCTTGTGGATCTGACAACACGTACGTGCGCTGTCCATTTAATCCTATATATGACAAAGCTCCATGTTCTCAAGTGCTATCTTGCCGTAGATGAATGTATAAAAAGTGCACAATTGTCATTCTAATGTCCTACCGACCAGCAGGCTGAACAAGAAGCCCATTGATCAGATTGTGCCCAAGGTTAACATTTTCAAAAATACGTAGGTTCATTATAACTGCCGACTATGTACGCGATAAAAAGCGCAATCCGGAATCCTTATGGACACAGCTTAGGATATTTACTTGGATCCTTCTGATAACCAGAGAATCTTAGCTTCAAATATTTACATCAAGAGACGATTTGTAGAGCTCACCACATTTAACCAGCTGACATGAAGCATAAAGCTTTTGCATGATCATGTCTCCGAGTTTCGCTGCATATATATTCCCCGTGTCTCAACACCCATTACAAGGCTGTCGATAAATCACGCCATCAACAGTAGTTGTTAAGGTACCATTTGCATAAAACTTGTTTTGCTCAATGTCAATTTCGAAATGGAACCCACCGGGGCTAGTGACTTTCGTACTCTTGCTAATCCCAGCAACATCTGATAGGTTGGAGATCCAGTCTACATGAGTAAGCGTAGCGTTGGGGTACAAAGCAGTCACTCTCTCGCTGCCTGCAATAAAGTTTTCGCCATTGTCAGAGTAGTTGTGGTACGTGACGGCGACTGTCTCCAGTGCAGTCCCAAGGCTGTTGGCAGTGAAGGTCACATCAGCATAGCCGCTCACTTTACCAGCTAAAGTGAAGTTGCCATATGAAAGGCTTAATGCTGCCGGTGCTGTGCTACCTGGGACATATGGAGAGCCCCAAGGTATAGTATCGGAGACGGGCAGGACCTTGGTGATTTTCAGAGGCTTACGGCTAGTGAGAGTGGCTAGCATGAGCCGAGCGGTGCGGCCACCCGAGGCAGTGGATACTGGGCATGTTAATGGATTGCTCCCCCGCAGTCCGGGGCTACGGTAAGCAGTTGGAAATATGCAATCTTGGTACCATCCGGAGACCATCGAGGATCAGCGCCTCCGTTCCAAAAAGGATCATTCACACTGCCCGGGCTCCCATCACCGGCAGCATTGACCTGCTGGCCTTCATAGCTACGGTCGGAATTGACGTATGGAACTTCGCGATCGTAAACCCATGGCACAAAGAACCGCCGTCCGCCATTGTTCCGGATGGATGCGATCGCAGCAGTAACAAGTGAATCAATAAGAGGTGGGATGCCCCTCATTCCTGACAAAAACATCATGCGATTGGTAGTTGTAGTGTCCATTATAACGGCCCATTTCCCATCCGGGCTTATATCAAACGGGTCAACATACTCAGGGCCGTATGTCATTCGAGCAACTTTTCCATTCTTCAGGTTGACGTCGAATATGTCAATGTTGCAAGATTCTGCCGAGGATCCAAGGTACTGAACCTCGTCACCCAGTCCATTCAGGCCCCGGGCCTCGCCTACGGCGATGGCCTGATCATTGATTGTTACGTTCTTTCCCGTGAAGGAGAACGTTGACGTAGCCTCGGGAGAGTACAACCCAGTCACATTGACCAGGTCGTATCGCGGTGTGAGAGGTGTCCCGCTCGTAGGTGCAGGGTTGAATTGCAACCGTGCAAAATACGCATACTGGGATGCGGTGGAACCCGAGTAAGAGAGAGCGTTAAAAGTCAGGTGAACATCGTCAGGGTGTTTTCGAAGTTCACGAATGGACCCCCCAGCCCCCGAGTCAGTGGGGGAAGTATTCCATCGGAGTGGATAGATGTGGACCTTGTCCGGAGTACACTGGGGGCTAGCCAGCTGGGCACTCCCGCAGTCGATGATATAACTTCCCGCCAAAACTCGAGTACCATCTGTGAACGCTTGGGGATACTGGTAGTCCATAGACGATGTGAACCCATATTGTTGATTCGCCGGTACGCCACAGGTGATACATTTCCAAGCGTCGCCATTGGGGAACAGCGTTCCATTCGTACGAACAATGATGAGATTAAGGCCGGTATAGATACTTCTTGGATCAGGGGAGGCCGGTGCCCCAGTGAACACCAAGGAAGCTGTTACATGATTCCCGTCCGGAAGAAAGTTCCCGCTCAGCAAATTGGAGGAGTTCGCCCCAATACATCCAGTGCCATGCGGGTTCACCTGTCCGGTACATCCGCCCTCGGTCTCATTGAGGGTGACGGGAGGCAGGGGGAGCTCGATCACCTTGATGGGCTCATGTTTGCTCGCAGGCTTCGTCACTGGGTATAGGTTTTCCTGGGGGGATGGGCTTGCTTGGACAACTGGTGTGAGCAAGGCTCCCAGGAAAAAGATGGAGAAATACATATGGGGATGTTGGGTGACAGTCTCCGATCCATTTTGAAGAATGTAGCAGCAAGACCACGCCTTTATACCTCAATTCCTGCACGCCGATCGAAATCGTGATGTTTTCTTGACAGACTTTGCCCCAGAAAGCCCAATCGAAGAGGGGGCTTGGCCGGACTGCATGATTGGCGACCAGTATGTGCAGAGTCCAGACTATACAAGCGTATTCGCCTCCGGTTTCGGTTGAGGGCCGTGCATACGCGTATTCCCTTTTCTGCCGCTGTTTGCTGTTCCACCGCGGATTTCAATGGATCAACCAATGGAAGAAAAGACCGGTTGACGCTACCGGGAAGGTCCGTGGACAATCTGTGATTCTGAATTTCCCCGGTTTACACAACTTCCCCGCGGAATCTTTGAAGAACGATCACTGGCCAAAGATCCGAACCAGGGCTTGTTCCTTGTTCCTTACACGCGATGTGGAGACTCCCGGTCGGTTGTAGGTCGGCATCCGGCTTGAGTTCTTGAGTTCCGTGGGGAATGATCAGGTGTCCCGTATATCTAGGTAGGCGTTTGCAAATACAAAAGTACTTGTTAAGTATCCCCAGGTCGTGTCGTTTCTCTATCCTTGATTAAACGCTCGACATGTCTCAAGAGGCTGGTATGTTTAGTGCCGGCGATATAGTTGCAACCCACGACAAGCCCGCATTTTATCCGGAAGTGGAAGCACTTCCATTGCCGCAACACTTTCAATGGGGAACCGCTACAGCGGCATATCAGATTGAAGGCGGTGCCAGCCAAGATGGGAAAGGTCCATCCATTTGGGATACGTTCTCCCACCTGAGCCCTTCTCGCACCAACGGACAGAATGCAGATATTACCTGCGACCACTACCACAGAACCACAGCTGACATCAAGTTGATGGCCTCCCTGGGGGTGGATGTGTACCGTTTCTCGATTGCGTGGTCCCGCATCATTCCACTGGGGGGTCGCAACGACCCAATCAATGAGCAAGGCATTGCATTCTACAGCAATCTGATCGATGAATTGTTGGCCCATAACATTGCACCCGTGGTGACCCTCTACCACTGGGATGTGCCTCAGGCAATATACGACCGATATGGAGCCTTTCTCAACACCGAGGAATTCCAGGCCGACTTTGAAAACTACGCGCATCTATGTTTCAGCCGATTTGGAGATCGCGTTCGGAAATGGGTGACATTCAACGAACCGTATATCATTTCCATATTTGCCCACCTCAATGGAACTCTGGCTCCAGGACACTGCCGTGAGGTCGGCACCGACACGAAAACAGAGCCCTGGATTGTTGGACACACTATCATTCTCTCCCACGCCACAGTCGCGCTGATGTACGCAAATACATTCCGTGAGTCCCAAAAGGGAGAGATCTCCATCGTACTGAACGGGCATTATTACGAACCGTATGATCAAGCGAGTAGCCAAGATCAGGAAGCCGCCGAGCGCCGATTGCTCTTTTACATTGCCTGGTTTGGGGACCCCGTTTTCCTGGGGAAAGACTACCCTGCTGCCATGCGCACCTACTTGGGGGCCCGCCTCCCTGCGTTCACAGCCAAGCAATCCGAGCTCCTCCAGCGAGCTGCGCCGGTCAACACATACTATGGAATGAATCACTACTCCACCAAGTACGTCCGTGCGCTATCTGATCCGCCGGCTGATGATGACTGGACTGGCAACACGGAGGAGCTGTCCATGAACAGCGAGGGTAAAGAGATCGGGCCGGTCTCGGGCGTGGCTTGGCTTCGGGTTGCTCCAGAAGGCTTTCGAAAGTTGCTGAATTGGATCTGGAAGCGGTACCAACTGCCTATTATTGTCACGGAGAATGGGTGTCCTTGTCCAGGCGAGGACGATGTCTCCACGGCCGTGGATGATAAATTTCGACAGTGGTACTTTGGCTTGTACCTAGATGCGATTTCTCGTGCTATCTACGAGGATGGGATTGCCGTTGATGGATACTATGCGTGGAGTTTGATGGATAACTACGGTACGTTTCCTGAAAATCACACAGAATAATTATATCGGGCTAACATACACGCGTCTATGCAGAATGGTCTGCTGGTTATGGGCCTCGCTTTGGCATTGTGCATGTGGATTTTGAGACTTTGGAGCGGACGACAAAGAATTCGGGATATTATTTGCGAGATACTTTCATCGAACGTAGAAGGCTATCATTGTAAATAAACCGTTTGCTACCTGGGTGTGTGAAATTACAATAGACAATTTTGATTTTTCTTTCCATATACGGACTTACGCCATTACTTGGTGCCTGTGATCTTAAGCCGGGCATTCTTAGTGCTTGTCAATCTTCCAAGAATAGAGGTCGTTGAAGATTGTCCCAAGATCTCGAAATATTATACTTACGCCATAGGGTGCCGTCCAACCACCGCTGCTTGCTGACTGCGGGGTATGGAATGAAAGTGTGGAGGATGGGCGGTGGTGTATTTGTGGGGAAATCACATATTTTCCCGCGGAATTTCCCTCCACTTCTTTCCATCTTCTGTTGCCCCCCGGGGGATTTCTCGAAATGACACCCCCGCGGCGGCGTCTAGCGGCAATCCGTGCATGCGATCCCTGTCGGCGTCGAAAGGTCAAATGCGATGTGAGTGCGGAGTCTCTTTGCCCCAGATCGAACTAACCTGGCAACAGGCGCTGGAAATTTGTGCAAATTGCCGGACTTCTGGGCTCGCATGCCACTATACGACACTCCCCAAAAAGCGGGGACCCAAAAGTGCCCAAAGGCCATCATCAGAAAGATGGAACGCGGCGCCTGTATTAGACAACAATCTTCTGGATTCGTTATGGGGGAATCCCAGTCCCGCAGGGAATACAGCGATTTCACCTCCCGGAGAGCAAGGAGACATGCCATTGTCACAATTGGCTGGAATCGAGGAGACTTCCGCAGCCCTGTCCGCACAGAACATCAGGGATCGCTTGCTACGCTCAATGAGCTCTGTGGCACCCTCATCGGTGCCATTGAACATTGTGGACCGCTGCATCCATCTTTACATGCAGTACACGTTTCCCACGGCTCCGATCGTGCATGAGCCCACTCTGCGGGAGTATGCGACCACCTTCTTTTCTGGTGCCAGCACGAGGCTATTCGCCGCGCTCACAACCGAAGAGGAGGTGGCGCATATGCGGGCGTTTGCCCTTCTAAGTGGATTATGCGCGTCGGTCGCGTCGGTAATACCAATCTCCCTATTACCGTATCGGCATTTGATCGCGAAGCCATGTCTTGATGCATCACGCGAAATGCTGAGACTGTTTGAGGACTACGATGTAGAGAACCCGAATTCATCTTCAATCGTCACGCGCATCTTTCATACCACTGCCTTACAGAACATCACCGGCAAAACGAGGTTGACTTACCACATTCTTGGTCAAGCGGCGCTTTTCATCACAAACATGCGTCTTTATAGGGAAGACGTTCTCCAATCGCACGATCCCCTTGAGGGCCAATTGCTACGCCATATCTACTGGCAAATATATGCAGCTGATCAGGCATCGTTGTGTTTGCGCAGTCGCCCCTTCCATCTACATCAGCTGCTATATAACGAGGAATCAACCATATGCCCCCCAGGGAGAAAACCAGTCGTCCCTCAGTTCGATACTACCACCGGGTGGTATGACGTAGTGTTTGAGGAACGCATGCTACTTTCCTTCCATCTTATCCCTCGTCTTTGGTCGACGGCAGCCGCGTTGGTGTCTGATATGAGGAAATGCAAAAGAGAGGTAAGTGACGCCGAAAAGTCACGGTTTTCACAAGCATACATGGAATTTTTGGGTATCATGGACGACCTTCCATATTGGCTACAGGCCTCTCATCTGATATTCTCTCCCAATGACGGGGATGCGGTCCAGTTTCACAAGACAGCATTTTGGGTTCAAAGGTGTACGATTCAGGTATCATTCCAGTGTCTACGATTGGTTATTCTACAGCAGTGCATTGGTTCTGAACTATGCGATATCATGGGGTTAAACAACCAGCCTGTGACCTTCCAAATGACAAAAATCGGGATGATTCAAGATGTGGTTCAAACTCTGGATGATATTCCATTTGTCTTTTTGTTAGTGAAAGGAGAACCGACAGTGAGCAAAGAAGCATTGACCCTCAAGATGCTCATTCGCTAAATTGACGGTTTAGGTCGAAAGAATTCGTCTCGTCGGTAGTATCCTTCTTGAGGTCCTGGATCAAGTGGAGGACGGGCATATCCGAGTACGTGCGAACCATTTATTTACGCGTCTTCTAGATATTTTGTCCCGATTTGATTCAAAGTCGTCTGATGTCCTGGTCGAGATGAGGCAATTGGGCGAGAAGACAGCCGAGTCGCGGCGGGACGAAACCCCCAAGTGATTCCTATACGGTGCACATGTGATGGATTGAGGTACATGAAAGCGCAGATGTGATGTCTACAAATACATGCCCTGATACTCCTTCTAGACTTTTTTATTCCTTTTTATTTCTTTTTAGCTTTTCAAATTCTCGATATTGGCGGACTTTGTGTCCCAAATTTCCTTACAAACGCTGTACAAGGACAGTACATTATACATAGTATACACGTCCCGTTGGCGTACTTGGCCATCAATGGGCATTCATGGATAGATTCCGATGGACTCAAACGCCGATGACAAGAAGAGTTTAATTTAAGATCCACAAGAGGTCTAGAGTCGAACCGCAGCTTCCGTCAGCGACATGTGTCGTTCGGTTGTGAATTTCTCCGCGGAGAAATAGGACCTTCAAAGAAGGTTCAGTGGCGCCACAAAGAACATTTGAAATTCTGTCATGTTGATCGGCTTTGAAACCCCCGGATTCCAGCCCTTAAGTGTATTCCTCGTGACGCGGGGGTGGGGACTGCAGTTCTGGAGATGGATGGCCTTGCCTATGTATATATATATCCTGCCGAGAACTTCATGCTGTAGTCAAGTTATTCGACCACATGTGCACCCATCCTTATCATTCATAATGGCAAAGATCTGGGAAATAGGGAAAGGCGCCCAGCATGCTGAGCATTCTAGCTCACCTGTTCAAGTCGATGTTGACGAGGCTGCTGAATTGGCCAATGATGTTGGGAACTTGAAGCCCTCGCTTTGGACCCTGAGCATGATTCGCTTGTATGGTTGCTTGTTGATTGGATACCTCTGTGCGACGGTGAACGGCTTCGACGGTGCTGTCATGGGGTAAGTAACGCTTCCTCACATGGCGATGATGATCTCAACTAATGGGTGAAACCAGTGGAATCAATGCCATGACTTCTTACCAAGACTATTTCCATATGTGAGTTCCTCCATTGCCGATACCGCTTGTGTGGCCTGACTTACAATATTTCAGGGTAAGCGCGTCCTCCAGCACCGGTATCATATTCGCCATATACAGCATAGGTATGTTCAGTTTCATCTGGATATGAACGCAAGCCTCTAATCAAATATTACAGGTACTGCGTGTGCGGTCCCATTTGTTGGCCCCGTTAGTGATCGCTGGGGAAGACGAGCTGGTATGTTCGTTGGTGCAATCATCATCATGCTTGGGACAGTGATTGCCTCTCGAGCAATCAATCATGGAATGTTTTTAGGTGGGCGTTTCGTCCTAGGATTCGGCGTCTGCTTTGTCAACGTCAATGGACCGGTATATGTTGGTGAGATGGCCCATCCCGCCTGGCGTGGTCCTCTGTCCGGCCTTTATAATTGTTTCTGGTGAGTGAAGAAACCCAACTAAAACCCAAACCCCCATCACTCATTTTTGTCCAGGTATATCGGATCTATTGTTGCGGCCTGGGTGGTATACGGAACGAAAAGCCAGCCGGATGGATGGCGCACCCCTCTGTACTGCCAATTTATCGCAAGTGGCATCATTTATCTGGCCGTCTGGTTCTTACCTGAGTCCCCTCGATGGCTCGTGAGCCATGGCCGAACCGAATCAGCACGGAATGTTCTTGCAAGGTATCACGGCGAAGGTAGCCCGGAGCACCCCTTCGTCAAGCTTCAGATGGCCGAAATGGAGCTCCAGATCTCAACGGAGGGATCGGATAAGAAGTGGTGGGACTACCGAGAGTTGTGGAAGACTAGATCTCACCGGCATCGCCTAATCTGTGTTCTCTCGATGGCTTTATTCGGTCAATGGTCTGGCAACTCATCCACCAGCTATTATCTTCCCGTCATGCTCGAGAACGCAGGTATCACCTCAGAGAGCCGGAAGCTTCTGCTTAATGGTATCAATGCACCTCTCTGCTTCGTTGCTTCGGTCACAGGAACAATTTTCCTTGACAAGGCCGGTAGACGTCCACTCCTCATGAGCAGTCTCATACTCTGCATCGCCTTTCTCGCCATTTTGACGCCTCTTTCGAAGATCGCAGCTGAGCACCCAGAACAAGGGTCAACAGCGAATGCAAGCATTGCATTTATTTACCTCTTCGGTATTACATTCTCGTTCGCGTGGACTCCGTTGTCTCCTATGTACGTTGTTGAGTGTCTCGACACCAACACACGTGCGAAGGGAAAGGCCCTGGCTCAGTTCTTCACAGCCTGTGCCTCTGCCATCATCCAGTACGGCTCCGGTCCGGCTTTTGAGAACATTAAATATTACTTTTATATTGTCTTTATCGGCTGGGATCTGTTTGAGGTGGTTTTCATCTACTTCTTTTGGCCGGAGACGAAAGGCAGGACCTTGGAAGAGCTCGACGAGGTGTTCCAGGCAGCCAATCCTGTCAAGCGGAGTCTCGAGGCTAAGGATCTTCAAACTGTGCTTAATACTCTTCATGTCGGGGATAAGCATTCGGATGCTTGAGTGTTCTAGCTGAGGGGTTCTAAGCAAAGGATGTTGTGAATTTTTGATATATAAGGAGACTTAAGCACTTGAGAGGATGAAATTATAATCGTGACCACTTTCTGCTTCATGGAGGGACAGTTCATGTCGAGGCCGGCACATTGAAACGGGGTATTGTATAAGCATGTTTAATCGATCACTGGTTGGAGTACTCATACATATCAAATACATGATCGCGACTATGGACTATGTTCACCTTGTTTTTATGCCAATTACTCGCAGCACTTGAGTATATTTATACTGGTTCATTTGCAGACCTCTACATAGAAAGGTTACATTCATAAGACTAGGCCTTTCCGTGACTATGAATACCTTATTTTGCCCTGTCTGATCCTTATCATGCGATATACATACATCTCTTCAATGTATGTTGTTCGTCTAGCCTATATATACATATATGTATATCTGGGGGCTCAGAGCACAACATTGAAATGATACGATTATAGTTCTATCCCATACTTTCCTCCAATGTTATCAATTTAACTCCATGGTACTAACATAATTGTCAAGAGTTAAAATCGGTCGTTTTCAATGTTGGCGGGTGGAAGAATTCAAAGCCACAAAACAATACAGATTTTCAAGCCTTATCTATCTATTAAGCACAAATATACGGTAGTTTAGATTGATGGCACAAGATTGATATAAAAAATAATTATTTTCAAGCCTCACATTGAAGTCGGCTTGAAAACAAATGCGAACCGGCTTTCGCGACATGGAACTCGGTACTTGTCAAGCGTCGCAGGGCCACATCGCGCAGTTCCCAAACCTGCGTGGGCCGCATCGAGCCGAAGAAACACGTCTTCCCGCCTTTCTAGGTCTGTCGGGTGGCGTGCGTCTGTTATATTATCGCCAGTGTAATGAAGAGCCGCGAAGTCAAACTCCCCCCCGCATTCCCAGATTCGTCCACTCGCGCAACAATTAGCCCCACATTCCGATTGCCTCTTAGCCGAAGCCAGCGCGTTCCTGCACGGTTGCCATTTTCTTGTGGGTATTCATATGCTGTATAAAGTTCATCGGGGGTTCTACTGTGTAACGACACTTTTTGAGAATTGCGCTTGTCGGCATAGGACTCCTCTGGTCCACATCCAAACCAATCCACAGTCTCAAAATCAGGGGGCAGCTGCATATCAAGACCTAAGCGGGGGAGGATAGAAGGGTGGAATCCGCGAGGACGAATCTGGTGGTCGATGATCATTGTCCCGTCTCCGTGAATCGAGTACGTGATTGTGGTCACAAAGCCCCAATCTCGAATGGCAGCGCCGATATAAGCCTCGATGATGATATCCAGGCGGTCTGGACTGGAGAACCGCAGAGAAGAGGAGATCACGCGACGTTGGAGATTATCCAAAGCGTAGTCGTTCCATCGTGCCGCGTCGTACTTGGTGTCGTTTTCTGTTGGGGGTCTCCAGGCCCCAAGGACTGGTGCTGACGTGAACACCGATTGGCCTCCAAGTCTCCAGTCCACTAAGCATCCTCTGATCCCGTCAAACTGAATAAGAAAGTTGGATCCTGTAGTGATCCAAAAGGTCTTATATTCTTGCACCTCAATCGACCTATCCTGGACCACAGCGGGGAGGGTTGGCCACTCGCGTCTTGTGACTAGGTGCTGGCACCATGCGACTTCGTGGCCATGTTGTGCCCATACTGTAGGATGATCTACCTCAAGGCTAATGTTCACGTGGCATTCTACAACATCTTTCTCGATATCAGGAAGCTCAGGGAGGAGCATGGTTATCGTCTCAGAGGGCCTCACTGTAGGACATGGCTTGCGATCCAGAAGAATTGTCTCTTGTTCGCTGCTTAATGATCAGTATTGCGAGCTAAAAAGAACAAGCATGACTTACCGGCCGTTGAATTTCGATAATTTCACAGTCAGCATCAGATTGTTGAGGCAATCAAAGTCGTGTAGGTTAAGAAGCGACAAATTACCATCAGTGACACTGATTTTAACCGGCTCGATGACTTTTTTGAACTCGATCATCCCACGACCGGGGGAGTGGTCAGACAGGCAAAGTCCGTCCAAGGCGAATGTTGCATCGTTTGGATAATCGCCAAAGTCTCCCCCATAGGCGTAGTAGCCTTTGTCTTCCTTCCACAATCCGAGATTTGCAAACTCCCAGATGAACCCTCCTTGCAGCCGCCGATATTTATGAAACATTTCTTGGTATTCCTCCAATGCGCCCGGTCCATTCCCAAGAGCCATTCCGTATTCACACAGAATGATGGGCTTGGTGAACTCATCACCTTCCGCCAGTGCCTTCCGTTCCATGTTATCAAGTTCAAGGTACATGTATGAGCACATGTCTGTTGTTTCGGCCTTTCTGTCTCCTTCATAATGGACGAGCCGTGTGGGATCATGCTGTTTGGCGTACTCGTACATGGCGACATGGTTGCGTCCATACCACGCCTCGTTCCCGAGGCTCCAGATGATGATGGAGGGATGATTCTTATCTCGTTGAAGCATTTGTCTGATACGGTCCACATATGCTTCCCGCCAAGCCGGGTTATCGCTGGTGTACTTGGCTAATGTAGGACTGAGATACTCCTCAATTGAATCGGCGCCGTCTTTCTGCCAAATCTCGCGAGGCACATTCTTCATGTCCACATTGCCTCGAATGAAACCGTGGCATTCTAGATCAGCTTCGTCGATCACCCACAATCCGATCTCGTCACAGAGGTCGTAAAATCTGGGATGAGAAGGGTAATGAGAGCAGCGGACCGCATTGACGTTATGTTGCTTCATCAAGACAAGGTCATGTCTGAGAAACTCCAGCGGTACGGCGCGTCCTTTTAAGGGGTGAAAGTCATGATGATTGACTCCTCGAAAAAGGATCGCTTTGCCATTCACAGTTATATTACCCTTCAAAAGCTCCACCTGCCGAAATCCGACCTTGTGTTGAATCACTTGAGGCTTGCAAGGTGAGGAGACGAGGGTAATCTCAAGGTCATATAGATATGGTGTTTCTGCTGTCCATTTCCGAGGATTCGATACCGGCAGTTTGAGCTGCCAAGTTGGAGATCCAGCAGGTACCGAGTCATGCTGTTGTCCAATAAGGGAGGCATCATGGTCTCGGACCTTAATTTCGATTGTCGATGCTGTTTCGATGTGAAGCGCAAGGCCAACCTGCAATGTGGCATCTTTGTAACCTTCATCCAGCCAAGTCTGTACAAAAAAGTCCTCGATTCGCGCGGTAGCTGAAAAAGCTAGAAGGTAGACATCCCGGAAAATACCTTGAACGTATCAGTACGGGGATTTCAAGCTCTTCCCGAGTTTTGGATCACCTACCTGATAACCACCATTGATCCTGATCTTCCAGATACGACCCATCGCAATACTGGTAAACCCGAACGATAACTTCATTGGCGTCCTCGAGAAGAACATGTTCGGTAATATCGAACTCCGCGGGGTTTCGACTTCCCTGGCTATATCCAATCTCCTTTCCATTGACAGATAGGTGGAAAGCACTGTCAACGCCATCAAATCTCAATCGAATTTGAGAAGGAACCGTCCAGCTCGATAGAACCCGGAATGACCTTTTGTAGGTCCCGACCGGATTCTCAGTTGGAACGAACGGTGGATCGATCGGGAACGGGTAGGGTACATTGGTATAATGAGGTCTCCCGTAACCTTGCAATTGCCAATGAGCCGGCACCTCGATCGGTTTCCACTCGTCGACTTCGTGGAATGGCGTTGGTGCGTATTGGAAATCCCAGCTCCCATTCAAAAGAAGAGCATCTTCAGGAATCCAGTAAGATCGCGTGGGCAACCGATTACGCTGAAAAACCTGCTCATTGCAGTATTCAGGCTGTTCCGAGGTGTATGAGCCCATAATTGCGATATGGTGGCTGTGATCCATGAAGGAATGGTCGCCTTTAAATAGAATCTGGAGAGCTTCAAACTTGCAAATTCGCCAAGATTGATTCGAAATAAACGCCCGCGGAGGAATCAGCGGTGGTTTAGAGTCTCTCCAGGCTGTTGACAGATTGCTTTCCATTCAGTTGATTTGCCATTTTTTAGATAATGCCAAGGTTGCCTTGATTGGTGTATCACCGGTTGGAAATACCCCAGCGGGCCAGCCAGCGGGGCTCAGAGCCCGGTGTCTCCACGTGAGGACCACGACTCAATCCCCCGCGGAGAATTTATGGAGCACATCATCCCGATTCCCAACAGTCTACGTCTGCACGGGGATGTGGGATATTATTATATCGGAAATAATATGGAGGGGTGCGTTTCGTTCGCGTTGGTGAGCTTTCGATTTTTTTCTTCCCTTCCATTCCCCCCCTTCTTCTCTCCGAAGTGAAGTGCCGTATGTTAAATGGACGTTAATTCTTCTTTGGAAGTATTTCGCCCCTTGTCACACCTGACTAGATCTTCTTCATAGGTGGGAGCCAAGAAGAGAGTGGTTGTTATCTTGTTAATAGTTATAGTTGAATCATGGGATCATTGCATGCTAATAAGAGACACCATAAAGAGACTCATGAGCATTACTCTCTCTTAGTTTAATCCATTTTTTGCCTCCGTCGTCCTTCTCTGTCGGCTTATCACCCAAATTTCAACGACGTCGTGGCTTATACTACTTCTTTCTACTCTCTTGGCTGTGTCTTCTTCAAGAATCCAGTTGACACCTTACACAGAAGCTGCCCGTACGTCACTCCCTGGGGTCCAAAGACCTTGACTTTCTGTGCGCCATGCCAAGGTCCTGGCGTCACCCGTTGTCTTGATGGCTGTAACGGGGTTCCTCTATGGATACCTGTAGCGCGAAACCCAGAGCACTGATTTTGAGCCAATCACTCGCCACTAGGACAAGGACAAGAAGTGCAAACCTATCGACCCACCCCCGATCATCCAGCTCCGGATGCGCAAGGAGGGGGTCTTGTTTTACTTAAGCTTACCTCTAAATACCCTAATATTCTCCACTACAGCTTATATCAAGCTGCGATGATCATCAAGTGCTGGTCATTCTGTCGACGGCGCTTGTAAGAACTCTAGTCTCGTCTCTTCACCGATCGAAGGATGTGGACAAAACTGATAAAGGATTCTTCTTCCTTTTTTTTTAGAGATCTATCGGTGCAAATTAAAGTTGAATTTTAATCGGGATTGACCAGGTTTGGCATGAAACGATATGAAGTCACCTGCTCTCTCCCTCCCCCCCCCTCTCTCTCTCTCTTTCTCTTTTTTGGTCAGTTTTCGACCAAGGATTCAAGTTTCGTGTTCGTTAGAAGCCCTATGGTGCGTGTAGCGTGTACGTGTCAGGTTTGTTTATATATGAGCGTAACGAAGGAACGGGATTCGGACCTTTTGAGGCTTAAACCTCGCGGAATTTAACGGCCCTAAACCCCTCCCCAGTCGTTAAACGGGTAGCCTGGCATCGGAACTTTCATTCCATTGCTAGAGGCTACACGCAACAAGATTAACTCCTGGAATACCCACTACGAAATCAAGCTGTCCCCCGAGATTCTGTCATTTCAACCACACACACCGTTGGAACTAAGCTCCAATTTAACCACCTTGTCATCATCATGGGTGACAATATTGAGACAAGCATCCGTGCCGCAATCGATGCCGGCAAAATCCAAGGTGCCGTCATCTGTGCAACCAGCTCCGATGACTTTTTTGTCTTCAATGAGGTATTTAGCACGCGAACCCTTTTATCAGGCGAGACGTGACCGCAAAAACTAGACGATGTGCTTTTTTTAGTGTCGGCCACTAAATTGCTTACCACCATGATCCATCTATGCCCTGTAATATGTTGATGATGGGCTTCTGTCTCTTAACAATGATCTAGTGTCTGTTATGCCTGAACTTGCTACTAAGTTGGTCTTGATTGGTTTTGTGGGAGATAGTTATATACCCTTACTTAAATCTATAATAAGGCCTATTTAGTATTAACCTTAATATACTACTTATATATAGCTTACATATGTAGGCTAGTCATATAGTTAAATAAGTTACATATAGAGTATATTAAAGCAGCTCACTAAGCCTGAGTCCGGACTGAGATTTACTCAGTGAGCCTGACTCTAAGCGCCCTTATAAAAGCGGCAGTAGCTAAGATAGGAAAGCCATACCCAGGAGCAGAAATATATTACGTAGAGTGACCTCAAGTGCTAGGTACGATGTTGCGTGAACAACCAAGTCTCTAGGACTTTCCAAATATTGCCCCGGTCAACTGGTAGCATTTATTACTAGTTCAAAGTAAAGTACAAGTGTATCCATAAGAACCCAGAGCGCAATTGTAGTAATTGTATACAATCATGGCACTTGAAACCAAAGCTCGATGTTTGGCGCTTAACAGGCATAGTAGCAACCATGGATCGCGCGTAAGAGATAAGATAAACAACCGGTGACGATTGAGGGGCATTGCTATGACGAGGTGAGATTTCGAGAGGAAAACAATATAAACAAATAATTTACAACCCCAATTGCCTTTGCTAGAGGCTACTTATCAGCTTGATGTCTTAGGGATATCGAAGACCTGGCGAATCTAGTGTCAAGGGGAGCGGTGTGCCTATCACTAGGGGTAGTGGTGGTAAAATTCTCAGCCCGGCAATTCCCAAACTTCCGGCTTCCTTCCCGCATCACCTGGAGTCTCGCTCACCCGGCCGCAAAACACACCCCCCGCCATATATCCCATCTTTTGATCGCCAACACTCCTCCCTTTCTTTCCCACCTACCCCTTGTGAAGACTCGACTTTTGCATTCGAATGGCCGTTGCTGCTGTGTCCGACCGCTAAATATTCCTACGGACTGGGTCAACGGCCATCCCAACAAACACCCTCCCTTCTGTCTTATTCCCTCAATTCATGGAGCGTGACCTAACATTTTGACCTGCTATATCGACACATATAATATACTAGTCACGAGTCGAAGCATCAAGAATCGCCTTTTTCTGCATCCAACGATTCGAGAGAAAAAAAACCACCCCCACCTTTGTGCTTTATCCACTTCCTTTGAAACTCGGCGCGACGACAAGATGACCACTGAAGACCTGTCGGAGGCCGGTCTGGCCGATATAATTCGAGCTCTTGAAGCTATCCACAGCCCTGCTTCTTCAAATGAGCTTCGCAAAGAGGCTTTGTCCTTTGTTGAATCCCTCAAAAATAGCGACGCGGCAGCTCGTAATGGCTTTTTACTTGCCTCGCGTGCTGATCATGCCTACGTCGTGCGATACTTTGGCCTGACCTTGCTGGACCATGTTCTCCGCCATATGTCCTTCTCCACTACCGCGTCCAATACCGAAGAATCCGCGAACGTGCGCTCGATGATCCTACAACTCGCCGAAAACATTCGCCCCGAAGACCCTGCATATTTCCGCAATAAAATTCCCCAGCTATGGTCAGAAGCTGCCAAGAAGAGCTGGACATTGGATTGGGTCGATATGGATCAATCGCTGGTGAAGTTTTGGGGTTCGTCACTGGTACACAATGAGCTAGTGCTCGCCGTTTTGGAGACTCTGTCCGAGGATGTGTTCTTCCGCGAGGATACTGTCTCTTCACTGCGTGGCTCTGAACTCAATCGTGCGCTGGTGGAGATCTTCACGCCTGCTGCCATTGTTGAGCAAATCAATCCGGACAAAAACAGAAGTGCGGAACGATGTGGGGATGAAGGTTGGCTTGTTCGAATTTGCGAGTTCTTGGACAATTGCATCCAAAATGCTTCCAGCTCTACCCAGGCTCGTGATTCGGCTGTTAAAGCCCTGACAACTTTGCGATCTGCATTATCTTGGTCCATCTACAAAGCGGTTGTAGCGTCGCAAGTCGTATCCGCAATTTTCAGGTCATTGACCTGCCAAGATGAGCAAGTTCTGTTGGTAAGCGTGCTATCTATCTGCCCGTTTTCAAATTCCAGAGATGGCGGTTTTAATAAATACATATTATCTAGGCCGGTATCGAGGCACTCCATGCGCTGTATGGCAGGAGCAATATGGGCAACGAAGAGTCCCAGGCTCTTGTCTGTCTCCTTTTCGAAGCCGAGTATCTCAGCACCCTTCAAAGCTTGTACCAATGGTCAATTGTGGGCCCAGATGATATCGATGAACCCAAATATCTCATTTCTAAGAAGCTCTCCGAGGTAAGTTGTCATATACGAATTCCACTGTCAATATGGGCGTATGACTGACACAGGGTTTAGATGGTTTCATATGTTGCCGGCTGCTTAGAAGATGATCGCTTGCTGAGGGACACTATGCACCGCCTGGATCTGCCCACGTTCTTCAACTTCATGGTGAACATCATGCGACATGAGAGTTTGACGGTCTCGATTCCCGTCTTGCATTTGTGGTCAAGGCTATTGGCCATCAACAAAATCGGCAGATTGGACTTTGTGGTGGCACAGACGCCAAACCTTTTGAACATCTGCACCCAGAGATTGATCCGCTGGGAATCACTTCCCACTGATTCCGACAACCCGACAGTACAGTTCCTCGTAGAAGACATCGATACGATTCCGGAACGTCATGCCTTTGTTGGAAACTACCGCCGCTATTGCTCATCTATCATCGAAACCATTACTTTCAAGCGACCCCATGAGGCGGTTACTGAGATTTTAGGCAGGGTCGATGGTAATTTGGACAATCTTTACAATGGTGCCGAGCCATTCAGTATGGAGACCTTCAATAAATCTTCTGTTCCGCTTATGCGAGCAGATGCGCAATTTGCGGTGGTCGAGGCAGTTATCAAGGGCTATCACAAATGGATCGAGGCCCATGGTAAATCTCCACAGCAAGACGAGCAAGAACGGAATGGATTGGAATTTGCCGTGGAAAACTGGGCGTCAAGTCTGATTCAGAGGTCTTATGATGACCCTGTAATGAAACAGCGAGTCATTAAGGTCGTCGTTGATGTTTCTTCCAGGGCCTTGGACAATCACCCTGCTTTTGCTTTGAAAGTCCTCGAGCATATCCTGATGACCCGGCTGCAGGACCGGCCTGAGTTCCCTGCCTATTCCGAGGCCGTCAAGGAGTTACACGGATTGGCGAGCCATGAGCTTCGCCGCCTAGCAATTCGCTATGCTGATTACTTTTCCACGTTTTACGATCTGCTCGAACCCAAGATCAGAGAGATTACGCAGGCTAATCGTGTCGATGATAAGCTTCAAATGGAACTAACATCCATTCTACTTATCATCATGCAACGAGCGAACAACATCGATCCGAATTTACGTATCAGTCGCCTGGCTTCGTTCCTTGAACCAATCCGAGAAGCGTGGCAGGATGAAGAGTTCTGTCGCATGAGTTCATCATTTGAAGGTTTCTGTTCAATGCTTGGGCTTGAGAATGTTGGATCATATATGCAAGCCCTGCAAGCACACAAGTTGTCGGACTGGGCATCAGCTCCTTTGGACAGCGAAGGAAGGATCGTCCAGGAGGAGATGACCAAGAAATTCCAAATGCTCCCACTACGGGGTACCAAAACAATGCTCGCAGTGTCCACGGACAAACTAAAGACCTCATCTCCGGCATACGCTATTGCTTGCAACATGTGGCATGATTTAGTTCCCCAAATTCTACGGACTCTCCTGCCTCTGCTCAGCAACGTACATGCCTTTCACAATCCATCAAACTGGACAGTGGGTGATGAAATGCGAGCAGTGGTTGAGCGCATTTTGACGGATCGTTTCTGGCAAGCTGGTATATCCAGTGGGAGTCGTGACGACTTCTATGCCCGAATCACCGCATCCAAGTCAACGATTGAAGGCTTTGCTTCTTCTGTCCGAGGAAAGATCAGAGCAGTTCGCGAATCTTGTTACTCTATGCTTTTCAGCATGAGCAGGATGCGGCATCAGTTCTATGGATATGCCGAGCTCCCGGGTCCTTTATCCGAAGCTCTTTTCAAAGATGCGGAGCATCTATCTTCTCACCAGTACTCTGTTCTGCTTAATATCTCCCGTTGCCTGATCGATGACTGCCCTGTGCAGTACCGCAGCCAGTTCCTCCCTCCCATGCTCTCCACCTTGTTTAGAAGCATCGACCGCAAAATCACCACCGAGTGGGAAATCATTGAAGATCGAAAGAACGGACTGGCCGATGGTGACCTCACCGATGAGATGAAATCTGAGAGCGTGCTTCGTCAGTTGACATATTCTGCCGTTATAATGGTGGCCAGCTTGTTCGATCCACAGAGAGGAGGTAAGGAATCAAATAAATCGTCACTGACAATCAAGGGTTTTTTTTTTTGCTGCTGTCTTTCGGATATACTAATGTATGTGATCTCTTAGACCCTGATAGAGCCGAGGCAGACCCCAGCGCCCCACAATCCACTCCTGACCCTTCGGATTCAATCCGCCACTTTGTCCTTTCTTCGCCAGAGATTTTTGAGCCACTTATGCTTTTCTGTACACATGCCCTCCGAATGCGGGATACCCGATGCTGCAGCATCATCACTCGTGTCATTCGATCGATCCTTCCAGACTTTGCTCCCCCTCATGACAGCCAAACAACCCTGACTATCCGCGAATTCATCTGTACGGATGTCCTCAAGGCATGCATCACATCGGTCCATGAACCGTATTTTGTCGACATGCAGAAAGATTTAGCCCAGCTCATTGCCTCGATTTGGGTTCTATATGGAGTGGAAACATCCACCCCTCGATCTATCTTCCTCACATTACCGGGTATCACTGAAGATAAGCTTGCACAAACAGAGAACCAACTTCATCGGTGTGCATCCCCTCGCCAGCAACGTGCTTTGGTACTTGAACTCCTCGAGTCTCTGCGAGGTGTCAGTATTGCCGAGCAAGGCAAGATTCTCGGCTCACGCGAGGAGCGTCGCAAAGCTCGTTCTGCCCTCCAAGAGCGCTATATGACCAATGAGATGGAAACTCAACAGTCTAATCACCGGGTCGATATCAATGACGGTCCCGATCTTTCTGGTGTGGCCGATATGTTCGGATGAACCGCTTCACGGCCCCCAAATTGCATTATTTAGGGTGCTTAGCCTTTAAACTCCAGCTGCATGGTGATTGCCCTGCCTCCACAACACGAACCTCAAATTCGCACTTGGGCAGACTTGACATAACGCCTCTGCATTTTCCCGGACCCCTGGGTGGCATGAGTGTTGACCCCCAAAATTCTTTTCAAATGCACTTTCCTGCTAGGTGCCGTGGCTTGCTGCATACAACCATTACATATTTTTCTGATATCGCTATGCTAATCTGCCGAGCTGAGGCTACCGTCAATTTTTTTTTATGTTGCATCAATTTCCGTGGCAGTTTGAGTGTATCAAGACTTGGATCTTGAGCGCCCTTTCTCATGCCTTTTCTGCGCCCTTTCGCCTTTCTTATCTTCGCTTGCGATCTTACGGACTACCCTGGTGGCGGCGCTTTGAGATCATTTCCATAGACAAGCCTCTATACCCATAGACGCCTTAAAACATTATGAACGTGCATCAGCACATTACATTCAAAAGTTGAAAATATCATTGTAGCGTAGAAGCCCTCAAGTGCTCAAGTGCTTCTAAAGGTATGCAAATATTCCAAATTTACTAGTGACAAATACTGTATGGTGCTCGATTTTCAGAGCCTGAGCACCTGGCACTTTTGCTCCCAATCTTAGAACGCATGAAGAAATAATATTGCAACCCAAACTAAAACCGTCTTAGAAATATGTATCTACATTGTTTTTCTCGAGCATCACGAGATAAGACCCATCTTCCGATCGCTGATCTTTTGACCATGACCGCATCGTCCGCAAAACCAACTCCAGTCCCTGTACGAAAGAAGCAGGGGCTCAATCACAAAAGGCCCGAATCACGACGAAATCATATAGCTCCGTCTATTGAGTGACATGGCTGGGAGTAATGGCAAAGGTAGGACGGATGAAGCTGTGAAAGAGCAGAGAAGTCAGTAAACGATCGAGAGGAAGGAAGACATCGGAAGATGCATAGTCATAGTCGTTCAAAACATACCGGTCAGAGTTGTAGACCTTGTCCTCGATACCGAGCTCCTTGGCGCGGGCCTGGTCGGCGTAGTAGCGGCGGACCTGGTCGCGGTCTTCCTCAGCCTGGAGGAGGGGAGTAAGGTACAAACGGGCCCACATCTTCTCGCGAGAAAGCTCACTATATACCAAAGCCAATCGTTAGTATCACTGTCAATTGGGCATTTTACGGTGTTAAATTTGAGGCCACAGTTCCATGGTAAATTGCGAGTTTGATCTTCTCCCTTCGTGGGGATGGGGGAGGCGAAGCTCGTGCTCCCTGGAAACGAAACGTACCGTTGCTCACGGACACCGTGGAAGTACTTGTAGAAACCGTAGGCCATGATCGCGTGCATGCCAACCATGTAAACCCAAGGCTTGAAGCCACGGGCAGGGAGGTTCCGCTATAATTCGAGCGAGAGAGAGCATTAGCGGGTTCCGGGCCCTGGACGAGGTGAAGGTAGGGCGGGACTGCGATGGTTCGGCAGAGTCTGGAATGGGCGCGAAGCTGCGTCAATGGCATACCTTGTACTGGACTTGGGCGTAGCCCCCCGTTGGGGGCATATCCTGAGGCATGATGGCGAGAGAGTGGGGGGTATTTGGGGTTATCTGAAGCAATCGCTCAAAGTCGAGAAACGGAGAAGTTGATCGAGTGACGGCAGTCACGTGAGTGGGAACAGTAATGAGGGCTGTGGGGCCGGTGATTGGTCAGTTGGTCTTGGATGGGCTTTTTTATCCGCTCTCTGCGATCTACATGTGAGTCCTGACAGCCCGCACTTTCTTCCCGCCGGAACACAACCATTATACCATTTCTCGCCCGACACACCATGACGGACGACGAGAGACCCAGGAAGGTGGCGAAGCTTGGCCACGATGAGGAGGCTACCCATCCAGAGCTCGGGCCTGCCATGACTGGTGCCGTGGATGTTGCGCCGCCGCAAACCGAAAACACAGTTATTCCTACAACCGAAGATGCGAAACAAAACGTCTCGGAGACACTGAACAACAATACCGAATCAAGCACTGCTGCAGCTGCTCCGACCGAAGGCGGACAGGATGATGCGCCGAAGATGTCCAAGAACCAGCTCAAGAAGCTACGCAAGAGAGAGAAATGGGATTCGGAACGCGACCTACGCAGGCTCCAACGGAGAGAAAAGATGGCCGAGAAGCGAGTGCGCCGACAATTGAGGGTGGATGAGGCCCGGGCGACTGGTGGTGAAGAGGCCGTGCAGGAACTGCGTAAGGGCTGGGAGGGCCTGCGGGCAAAGCGACGGAAGTCGACCCTGCTACCCTTGGCGATTGTCATTGACTGTGGCTACGACGAGCTCATGAATGCCAAGGAGCGTGTTTCTCTCTCATCGCAATTGACTCGCTCTTACTCGGAGAACACTCGCTCCAAGTGGCGGTCGAACCTGATGTTCAGTACTTTCGATAAGCTTCTCAAAGAGCGATTCGACACCACCCTCGCGGCACATAAGAACTGGAAGGGAATAAGGATCATCCAGGAAGATTTCATGGTAGCTGCTGAAATCGCGAAGCGCAACATGGCTACTCCACGCGGCGGAAGGCTAGCCGGCCCTTTTGCTGGCATGACCGAGGCCAAACCGGAGGATGGAGAGATTATCTACCTTAGCAGTGACAGCGACAATACTTTGACGGAACTCAAGCCATACGACACTTATATTATTGGTGGGCTGGTTGACAAGAATCGACACAAGGCTATCTGCTATAAGAGCGCCATGGCGGCCGGCATTAAGACTGCTAAACTCCCCATCGGCGAGTACATCTCAATGTCTCATCGTTCAGTTTTAGCCACTAACCACGTGGTGGACATTATGCTCAAGTGGTTGGAGCTGGGCGACTGGGGAGAGGCGTTCATGAAGGTCCTGCCGCAGAGAAAGGGAGGAAAGTTGCGTGCCAACTCAAATGAAGAGGAAGATGCCGAAGAGGCAGAGGGGGAGTATCACGAGGATGAGAATGAAAATGAAAATGAAGCGGATCAAATTGCAGCCGTCGAGGCTGCAGCTGATGATGAAAGTGAGGAAGAGGAAGAGAATGCATGAAGCCCATTGAAATGGGTGCAATGGTATTTCGCTCACCTTGGAGTGAGCCAAGGACAAAAGTATAGAATCATGAAATAATATATAACATCCATGGTCCTTCTAGATGCCCATGAAATACGTACCATGTATCGAGTAAATGTGAGTATTCATTCGTCTACTGTTGGCTTTCGAGGTTTCAAAAAGTTGGGCCTCAGGCTGAATACTAGAAGTGGATGTGGACCAGGCGGTCAGATTGTGTCATGATTGGCCGACCGCCGCCCCCAGGTCTTCTGGCTTTCCAGGGACCAGAGCTGACTCAGCTGAGACTCGAGAGCTCTTCTTCCGACTTTCAAGGTTCCGAGTCACGACTCACAATGCATGACCCAGTCGCGTTGACACCATATCTTACACTAGACAAAAATTAGTCACTTTTCTCATGATGCGATTGATTACTACTATCTTCAAAATCTCTATGAATATTACAATTCTTTCTCCGCGCCTTGGCATCGGCTATTTGGGGAAAGCCCGATGTATCACGAAATCGAGATAACCTTGGAATACAAAACATCCATATCAACACACGAGTTCGTAAATCCGACAGGTCAGTTTCCCCCAGCAGGTGGCTTTGGCTCCGGAGATTACTGTGCTTTGATTCTTTCCGAAGCTCTACATAGCGACTCTGTATGGACCACGTTAGAATGTAGTATCCCGGTGGCACGGGGCTCAATACCTAAAGGATGAATGATCTGCATTTTTGCGGGTCAACTTTCTACACTTTTCCGGTAGCGATAGACCATAATGGGTCTGATTTCAAGCTGAACTCTTATCAATGCATTATCCAAAAGAATCCCTCTTAACTTTAACAAGTGTTGAGACCCCTGAAGAATCTCGGAAAGGGAATCTGGCGGGATAATTGGACGATAAGAGCGGGGGTGGCTTGTTTACTAGTTCAGGGTCACATCAGATGTGGATCTACAGTACTTGGTGTATATCGCGGATATAGGTATATTGGTCCCTTGACTAGAAGCTTGGAAGAATTAGGATCATGCAGGGTCCACACGTGCGGTTAAATCTTACAAGCGTAGATTAGTTGATGTCTCGGAGCTCCGTCGGGATTATTCTGTATACCTGACTCGATCACGATGCAAGATTGCGAATTTCATTACGGCATTTGATGTTTGAATTATTTACAAGACAAATTTTGATTATCAGGGACTGAGATAAAGGTGGGAAATGTATGAACTACGGCTCGTAGACTGTAGACCTGAATGTTTGGGGGTTTCGACTGATTCAGTAGTAAACAAAAGCATTAGTACCAGTATCATTGTTCTTTCCCCACTAGTAAGGCTGTAGCAACGATCTATAGTAGCTCACGTTGATTGGGTGTTAAGCTTTCAGCAAGCTTTCTTTGTTCATCTCGCCAAATCAATGCCCGGTTATCTCCGCCTTCCAAGCTTGATCCCAAATTTCGGTCGCTCCTGATATTGTCTGGATACAATATGGATTTGAAAGAATACCTTCAATGTGGCTGTTTCTAGCTGCACCTGTTATTTCTCAGCGGCCATTCCGCAGGCCTAAAATGTTAGTGCGGTTCCACCCCGGTCCCTAGTATTACGCCACCAGTTCAACGAGACCCTTTGATCTAGCGTTTCTTACTCTCTTTGGCTCCCCCCTCACCAAAGACGCCTGGTCCATACCCTTAGTGCCAATCTGGCCGATGGACTCCGTGAAGATGGCGCATTATTGGGTTTCGAACATGCATCTGCAGAATTCGGGTTAGGAGTAGTTACATCGCTCACCAATCGTGTCATGACAACCTTTGTTGGTGTCATTGGGGGCTTGAATCATTTCATGTCTTGATAACACGATGGACAAACATTGAGGTGGATGAAAAGCTATAAAGAGTCCTTTGTCGCCGAGGATTTCTATACTTTCATTCCATCCATCAGCATCAACATCCTTCTCTCCAGTCTTGGAATCCTCTCCGAGTCGCCATCATGGTCATTGTCAACAAGGTCCTCCCCGTTCTCGCGGGTCTGGCTTCCATTGCCTCTGCTGCTCCTACTGCAGGCAAGTACTCTGTTAAGCAGGTTGCCCGTCCTGCCACCAAGGCGAGCAACTTTGCTGCTCAGTACGCCCGTGCTCTTTCGAAGTTCGGTGCTACTGTACCCACTCAGGTCCAGGCTGCTGCTGTTGCCAGCGGTGTTGCTACAAACACTCCTTCGACTGATGATGAGGAGTACTTGACCCCCGTGAACGTGGGAGGTACTACTCTGCAGCTGGACTTTGATACCGGTTCATCTGACCTGTGAGTAATCCCGACTTTCCCTTAATGTATCTGGCTTTCCGAAACAAGATCATCAAGTTAACTTTCTCGTAGATGGGTCTTCTCCACCGAGTTGTCCGCTGCTGATCAGTCCGGCCACGCAGTCTACAAGCCAGGCTCCAGCGCCACTCTGCTCTCCGGATACACCTGGGATATTTCCTACGGTGACGGCAGCTCTGCTAGCGGCAATGTCTACGACGACAAGGTGATTGTCGGTGGCATCACAGTCACAAAGCAGGCTGTTGAGGCAGCCAAGAAGATCAGCTCTGAGTTTGTCGAAGATACCAGCGACGGTCTCCTGGGTCTGGGCTTCGACTCTATCAACACCGTCTCGCCCAAAGCCCAGAAGACCTGGTTCTCCAACGCCCAGTCCCAACTGGCCGAGCCCCTCTTCGGTGTCGCCCTGAAGCACGGCGAGCCTGGTGTCTTTGACTTCGGTTTCACCGACTCCTCCAAGTACACTGGATCCCTTACCTACACCGATGTCGATAGCTCCGAGGGCTACTGGGGCTTCTCTGTCGATGGCTGGACCGCCGGCAGCGCCTCTGGTGATGGCTTCTCTGGTATTGCTGATACCGGCACTACTCTTCTGCTCCTGGATGACGCCACTGTCTCCTCCTACTATGCCCAGGTCTCTGGTGCTTCGTACAGCGACTCTGAGGGTGGTTATGTCTTCTCCTGCTCCGCCACTTTGCCCGACTTCAGCGTCACTATTGGCAGCTACACAGCTACTGTCTCTGGCAGCCTCATCAACTACGCCTCTGTCGGTGGTAGCTCGTGCATTGGTGGTATTCAGTCTAACTCTGGTATTGGATTCTCTATCTTCGGTGACATCTTCCTGAAGAGCCAGTACGTTGTGTTCGATGCCAGTGGTCCCCAGCTTGGCTTCGCTCCTCAGGCATAGGGCATGTTTATTTAAACATCGCTCAAATTTTGGCGAAGCGATGATTCGCAAGAAAGAGATTGAATGTATAGCCTCACTTTTGCCAAGTGGACAGTTTGGTTTGACTTCCAACGCTTACTTTTGTGCACATGTGGATAATTATTACAAACATAGTAGTCTCAGACGTGATGGGATTCATATATACCAGTGTAAAATTGACTTGGAAACTCAGAAATTCGACTTTCATACATTTTAGGTATTCAATCTTAGAGTTTGTAGCATCCATAGATCCAATTCTGGGAAGAACCTTCGACATTGAATGTTGGAATGCAGCTGCCAAATTTCATGCACAGCTTATTGTAATCTGTACTAACCTTAGGGAACTTTGTGGAAACAAAAGATTACTTAATAGTTTTTGAAACCGTAAAACCACATAGGAACCCATAATTGAACCTATAGATGGGTGGACTTACTGCGGGTCTCTGTGTAGACGCATCTCTAAGGCTGCGTTAAAAGATACAATTAGGAATGGACTGTCCGCTCTAGGATATTAGACTGAGGGATTCAGCATCCTTGTGCTAAATGCAGAAGGTGCAGTAAGGTCATTGTAGATCTGATTTCCCGTTTGGACTAAAGCCATAGATAGAAACCGACCAATCACAGTTGATGTATGGTATAAATGTTCTGCCTTGCATTAAAGGTGTCAATGGAGCGGGGGATGACATAAGGCATTAGCCACAAATGCCACAATTTCGCCACAATTTCCAAGGTTCGATGACGGAGGCGATTATTTCCCTAGTGATGAACATCTTCTATCTTTCCTTTTTTTCTTTTTTTGGTCTTTATCCAGTATCCCTGTTCCGGTGGCCCTAACCGTCTTTGTTTCTTTCAGACTCAAGAGCCTTCACTTTACTTATTACCCCTCTACCCCCTAGGGCTCACCTTTCCTTTTCTGTCGCATTCCTTCCTTCCGTTGTTTTGTTGTTGCTTGGTTAGCTGCCCCTCGCAACCATGTTTATGCTCCGTAACGGTAAGCAAAGGACCCCGCCAAACCCCTCCATACTAATAATTGAACAAACTTCAATCGTGGAGAAACATACTGATCTCTCATTTTTTCTTTCGTTAGTGAGCAAATTCATTTTCGGTGATACCTCGAAGGAATCCATTATCGAAATCCCCCAGGGCCAGCTGTACTTGGTTCGACCCCTGTCGCCTAAAGGCTACTCCGAACTCATCTTCAAAGACGCCGCAGCTACTATCCGACGTACCGGCCAGGACTTCCAGTATCAGCTTGTGGTTCAGAGAGCCTACGAGGAAGGAGAGGAGGAGCTTGCTGATGACGAAGACGAGCAGGGTGCGGCCGACAGCTTAGACAAGGACGAAAAGGTTTTCCTGCTCGACCAGACTCTTCACTTCCGCTCCGAGGTTCGTGACGGAGCCAACAAGGTTTTGGCTTGGGATGATCTGAGCGGTGACGAAGGTGATCTTTACGAGTTCATCTGTGATCCATCGGTCCCATCCGACAAAGTTGCCACCTTTGAGTTGGCTGCCCTGCAGTGTCAATACGAGCGCAAGTATCGCTCCAGCGCCCAAAAGGCTAGTGAGCAGGATTTACAGGAGTTTTCCTACCAAGAGGAGAAGCCCATCCCCTCTGCCAGTCCTATCACTTCACCCACTTCCCATTCTCGTGACCATTCTTTGACCGCCGAAGAGACCGCCGCAGAGATGGCCAAGGACGTGAAATATGCCCAGTCCAAGGGTCGGGCCAAGCCCACTAGTACTGATGATGAAGTGACATCAGCACCCCCTTCCGCCGCTCAGCCCGATGCGAAAGAAGTTCTCACACAGGAGATTGCCGAACTCCATCTGTTTGACTTCTCTACCGGAACTTTCGTACTACAGGAAACCGACGTCACTGCTGCTGTGACAGAAATTGGAAACTGGCAATATTGGTTGCAAATCACCGGCGAAGAGAAGGAATGGCTTGGTCAGGCCGTTGTAGGAGACATCAATCCGGTCTTCAACTTCGAATACCTTTCTTTCATCTTCAACCACTACGCCGAGGACGGTTCCGCATACTCGTGGCTTCTTCGATTCAAGAACCAGCCTTCAGAGGAGCGCTTCCAAGAGGGTCTTATGCAGGCTCTATGGGAACAACTCAATGAGATGAAGTGGACCAAGGTCAAGGAGAATGACCGTGAATACGTGCTTGATGCTTTCCAAGATCTCACTATGGAGGACACCGAAGACCAGCCAGAAGAGGAGGAAGAGGAGGAGGAAGAAGAGGAAACCGACGCAGATGATGGCCAGCGCAGTGAACACTATGACAGTGATGAAGAGGAGGAGGATGTCGTCACCCGCGATGAGGATGGAAATGTGAATTCTCAACTGGCGGTCGGCTACAAGCATGATCGCTCGTTCGTGGTTCGCGGTTCCAAAATCGGTGTTTTCAAGCACACAGACAACAACAACCTCGAGTTCTCAACCACCATCTCAAAGGTGGCAACTCCTGGTGGAAAGCTGTTTAGCCCTAAGAAGGTCATGCTCCATGCAGAGGATTCGAACATGATCCTGCAGAATGGCGACGACCCCAACTCTCTCTTCCGTATGGATCTGGAGTATGGTAAGGTTGTCGACGAGTGGAAGGTTCATGACGACATTCCGGTCGAAACTTTCGCCCCTGAGAACGTAAGTATACCTTTCCAAATAATTGCTTCAATTTTTGTTCGCTAATAAATTTTGCAGAAATTCTCCCAAATGAGCGCCGCTCAACCCTTTGTCGGTGCTTCCAAGAACGCTCTCTACCGCATTGACCCTCGTCTTGCTGGCAACAAGCTTGTCGATTCCGACTTGAAGCAGTACGCTAGCAAGAACGACTTTTCGGCAATGGCCACCACTGAAAAGGGATATCTGGCTGTCGCATCTAACAAGGGTGACATTCGCATGTTCGATCGCTTGGGCATCAACGCCAAGACCCATATCCCAGCTCTTGGTGAACCCATCATTGGTCTTGATGTGTCGGCCGATGGACGCTGGGTGCTTGCTACATGCAAGACATACCTTCTCTTGATTGACTCCTTGCAGAAGGAGGGCAAGAACGAGGGTAAGCTTGGTTTCGAGAAGGCTTTTGCCAAAGATTCCAAGCCCCAACCCCGTCGCCTGGGCTTGCAGCCTGCGCACGTCGCCCAATTCCAGCACGAGACCAAACAGCCCCTTGCATTCACACCTGCCCGCTTCAACACTGGTGTTGACAAGCAAGAGACTTCCATCATTACCGCTACCGGTCCCTTCATCATCACCTGGTCCCTGAAGAAGGTCACCGCCGGTCGTAAGGACCCCTACACCATCAAGCGTTACGCCGAAGATGTTATGGCCGATAACTTCCGGTTCGATTCAGACAAGAATGTCATTGTCGCTCTTCCTAACGAGGTCAATATGGTTGCCAAGCGCAGCTTCCAGAAGGTCACTCGTGAGAGTATTGCGGGTCCAGTTACTCCCCAACGTGCTCGAGGCGGCAGATTCAGTAGCCACCTCGGTCGCAACGATATTGTGAACTCCCCTTATTAGTTCACTCATGCCCCATTTCCCCCCTAGTATCGTCTTATATTTCTTTCCATGATCTGTACCATTACCCATACCCCATGTTGTTTATGCTCTTATTTTCTGTTCTTTTCGTTTTCATTTTCTTGTGATCCCAATTCTTTTCTCCTGGTTTCTTTGAGATCGGCTTTGTTTCTGGTGTTTGCCTTCGTGTGTCTTTTTCTTAGGCCTCACGAGCTTGAGTTTGGCACTTATGCAGGTACTGTAGCTTAGGTATTAGCTTTCAACTAATCGAGAAACAATTTTCATATTGAGACTATCAATCGGGCCCACCGTTATTTCCCTCAAGTGCTAGAAAATTGAAGGATCTACAGCTTCCGATATCCATTGGTTCCAGTCTTGCTTGCTTGGGGAGTTTTACATTCAAGGATGCATGTACTAGGTAGGAAAGTAGAATTGCACCGCGGGTGTTGATATCAAGACGGCAACACATCCTTTGATTGGAATATTCAATGAGCGACTAAGCTGGATATTTGGAAAGTAACAGGTACAAATTCCAAATTCCCCTTAACGAACGGTCCAAAATCCCAGGAGCAGACACTGCCCAGTCACACACACATGATGGAATGTTGCTGGATGTCATCCTAACCGATCAGAGGGGGTTCTGGGTAAGATGACAACGTTAGAATAAAGATATGTCCATTTTATTATGAGAGCAAGTGCACAAGCAAAAAGGGAGGGAGATAATCCTTACCGGAATAAGGTTGCCAACCAGACAAGCCTTGTCGACAACACCCCCAACGACTGCAAGCGTACCCCCACGGTCATACTTGTTAGCAACGGTCTCAAGGCAAGTCCACAAAGTGCACCCGGCACTACTTCCGGTCCGGCCAGCGCCGAATCCACTGAGTAAGGTGCTCATGCAGGAATTCCACTCGTAAATCTCCTGCTGGGAGGGCCCTGTCGATGAATCAGCATAGACGGCACTGGCGAAGATGCCAAGGGCGATGATGGAGAGCTTCATGATGGAGGTCCTGGGATATGAGTTAGATTGGAGTCGATGCTAGGGTATGTACTAGTACTCACGTGGCTTGCGTCTTGGTGAAAGATCAATTCCAAGGTTCAAAAGAAGGTCTGCTGGGTGCTTTGTTGGTGCTTTCAGATGTTGTTCTCGATATTGGAGAGTTTGAGCGAGCGAGGTATGGGGCATTTATAAGTTTCGCTCCCTGGAGGCTGCTTCCAGTTTAGTAGGCACTCCAGTATCAGTGTTCATTTTTCCTCTTTCATATTGATTGCTCTACTAGGTAGCTTGTTCCATCCTTGCCCCTAGCAGCTTCATATTCGGTATGACAAAACTTGGAATTAAGGCTGTCTTACATTGACGATCCATCATGAACTCCTCATCTAGACTGCGATCTTGGACATTGGCTATAAGCGTGATCAATTGTAACCAGCAGACATCAATTCTAATGGATTGAATCACTCTTTGGCCTCTCACTGGATCTCATGCCCAGTTATTTCGAGTGGGACGATAGACGTTCTGTCATACATGCTAGTTCCATCTATCTTGCCCAACCACGAGGATCTATCTGCTACTTTCTTGACAGCGCTATGTCAATTGTGTTGATTATCCGAAGGTCTTTCAATTTTGGCTTCTAACACCCAAAACTCTCGAGGTTCCCAACAATGAGTGTTCCTTCCCACCCTTCAACGATAGTGTTGAATAGACAGATATGTTGATGTCCTATAACCTTGGAAAGCATGATTGGAGAACTTTTAGAAAGCTGGATGTCTACTCCATCGATTGGAACGAAATAGATACTAGGCACTTCCCCGCGTTTTCAGCCTCCGGTTGTTCCGTATGGCCAAGAACGTTAGTCTAGGACTTAGTAATTCTGATGGTTCTACAGCATCATTCTAAGGTTTTCCCCGGATTGCTTGGGAATTACCCACCTTCGAAAAAAGAGTATTGGTGCATCAGATAATAGTGGGTATGCTCCATCCAGACATGGTTTCTCAGAAGCCAGCCACTCTACATTTGAAGCCTGGGGGTTCAGGCTTCTCGAATTTAATTGAATTGTTCAATTGAATACATGACAGATTTTGTCTTCATCCAGAAGCATCTAGTAAAGCCATCGGAATGATGCCGCGGGTGAAGTTCCGCAAATCTCATCTGTGAGGACTCGGACATGGTGGTGGAGTTGATGAAGAAGACCATTGGTGCCGCAAAATTGACATCGGCTTCATGTTGGGCCACGCAGGGCAGACGACACGTATCCAGGTGCGCATATCACAAAGTGTTAGACCTGAAAGACATGCTACATAGTAGGCAGGAAACGACGACTTCATCTTTGTCGGTAACACAGACCTTTGCTGTGGAATAATAATCGCCCTCTCCAACATAGCAGTCGTCATCCTCGGTGATTGGGGAGTCACCACTGAGCTTCGGGAATACTCTTGAAGGCACCACCTCCTGGGTAGATGAGTCCTCAAAATAAACGAAATAGTATTGTTGATGTTTTCATTTCTCGAATGAAGGAGACTTGCTAGAAGATTTCGGCGACTTTGGCGAACCCTTTGGTGGAGGCTTGGGTTTGTTCACATTCTGGATCGTTCACTTCTATGGTAGAACTTCTTTTTCCAGTACTCCCTCATGATGTGATAGGCGATGGTCATTCAGTGTATGCAGGAGTCGTTGAAAATATGACCTTTTCCTAGGCTTTGCAGTAATGGATTGAAGGTGTTCAGCAGGTTGGGGTTGAGTTAGTCCACCAATTGAGAACGAGGCGGGGTGTGAGGTATGGAGATCGCGGGTTGACAAGAGGCACTACTGGAAGAGTGTTCTGATCAGTTATTGAAAATTTCACCCATGTGCATTTCCAAGGAATATCATAGATACTGTAAGCGGTATGACAGGTGCAGGGTATAGCATGCATGGTGAGTACTTGAGCACTTGAGAGAGGTTGGACATACTCAATCCCTGGGATGGGTATATGCTTCGTCCTCTTGGGGGTTATAAACCCAGAACTTGGCAAATGTACGAATTGCATACTTGATATATGTAATTTATGCAACTGTACCGGAAAAGTGATGATATAAAGGGTTCCTTGGCTCATGAAGCCAGAAATAATGCAGACACAGGGAGTAGCTCTAAGCCTTTCCAATTCTGGGTTAAGCCGTGGGCGCGTGTAGCAGGCCGTAAGTAAAAACTAGTCCTACTAGTACACGCCCAGATAGCCCTTCATCCGATCGTACACAAAAAAGCTTGTTGCGACCATAGGCACAATTTTAATGTACCCGATTGTCAAGCCAAGATAAAAGCCTTGGACACCTCTTTGAAGGTATATAGACCGAGCCGTCTCAATAATACTCGCCCGACGACGACTCTTCATACCAGTCCTAGTAACCTGCATCCGTCGCCGGATAATCTCAAGGGGATATGAAACCGTCTGTGCAACCAGCCCAGCCAAAGCTCCAGAGCTTAGCTCTGCAACCGCAGTCAACTGAATACGCTTAGCGCCGTCTGGACCATACTTAGCTGGCTGGGGCTCAAGAGCCGTGTACGGAGCTAGCTTTGGCGAACGAAACCAGTCCCCAATCACATCGTGGATGAAAAATGAAGTGCCTGCGTAAGGCAAGATCCCCAACAATGTGGGCGCATATCCCCGGTAGAAGTTGGCGAGTCCACCGCCGTGGTAGATATTCCGACACGTCGTGACCAAGGATGTATCTTTGATCTGCACGGCCAGCTGTACGCGAATGAGCTCAAAGGGATAGGTACAAGTCGTCGATATAGCGCCGGCTAGACTGCCAGATATCAAGCGACGAAAGGGCGTTTCCTGATCACGGGCCGTGATTAGGGTGGCTCGGATCTGGTCATAGGCCAGGAAGTTGATAGCGGCGTAGGGGAAGATTCGCAGTAGTGTCACGGAGTGGCCCTGGAAAAGTGCTTGATTTCCGTAGCGGTGGCGGATAGCTTGGATGGCATGGACAAAGCCTAGCCAATGAGTTGTGTGCCGCACAAAGCCGAGGTGAGCTGTTTGGAACAGAATTTTCACTCGTTCTAATGGTGCTACCACTGTTTTGGCCTGGTATATATCAGTATTATGAAAGTTTTTTTTTTTTTTTTTTTCAAAGTGTCGAGGATTCTTACAGCGCATCCTGCTATCCCTCCGGCTAGTCCCTTTCGCCAAATCTGGCTTAGATTACGTTCATTTGACTTTTTGTCTTGTCGCACATCGTTATGGGCTGTTTTTGACGTTGGGGTAGTCATGAAGATGCTGTTATAGGTTATCTCGAAAGAGTGAATTGAAGGCCCGCGCGGGTGTTCATGAAGCTGCGCGGGACGGGCGGATGATGGAAAACACCAGGGTCCAGATCCGCACCTTCAAGGCGGGTTGACGGAATAGAATGTCTTGTATCTGGACAATCAACCTTGCAAGGCTTCAAATGTTGAGTTCCGATATTTTAATCAAGCGTAGACTACAGTGTGGATTTATGGGCCCCGTCTCCCATCCGTTTCATGCTGGTACGGAGAGTCTGACTTGATTCACATGTTATGTAACTTATGCAGTTGAAATCCCCGAAAACCGAATCACGTGCGGGGCTTTGATTCTAAGAAATGCCATCAAATAGATGCTAAGTAGTAAGTTTCTGTATAGTACTTGATCTAAGCTCCAGGTACTGAGTACATGTAGATACTCTTCTCAAGTGCATACTCACTATATACCCAATATGTATGTTCCAGTACAATATGTCTTCCCGAGGTCATCAGTGAAGTCCCGATAGTACTAGTATACTATACTAGTATGTAGCAAGTGCTTGAGTATTAGCGCCTACTATCTTTCATCACCGAAACTTTCTTCTTCTTTCTCTCTCTCTCTTCTCTCTCTCTCCCCAGGTTAGTTTCTTTCGCTTCTTTGTTCCAGTCCCTTTTCACTCTTTCTTCTTTCCAAAATGTTTCTTATCTTCTCATGTATTCCGAAAAGCTGTCTGTTTTTTTTTTTCTTTTGAGAAAACAAATAAAGAGCAGGAAGACCGCTACAAAGGCAGTTCCAAAGCACAAATGGGACCTCCACGATACGGTGCCCGGAGTCCGACCGCGTTCTCAAATTGCGGAGGCTGCAAAACTCGCTCGACCTGCCGGTCAGCTCGATCATCTCATCACTAACATACAACAATTGGAAGAATCACAAGTCGATCTGTCCAATGCGTACCGGGTTCTATCCCGGAAGGCAGAAGGATATTTGCGAACAATTCAACAGTTGGAACGTATGTTGGACGAAAGGGATGCCGATCAAGCAGTAGAAGAACCGAGTGAAGAAGATGACACACCACACCACAAGGGGAAGTCAAGATTCCCACCCTTCCAATGTTCGTCTCTGAGAGCTGGGTGATGATCCACTCCTTGAAAGGAGGGAAATCGGACAAGTTTGTCTGAATGTACCAGATTCAAGGGTTCCGGCTGGAGGCGGCTAATCCGAACACAACATTTGGACCATGGCCTACAAAAGGTGCAGAGAGGAGAGACCCCAGATGAAGACTACGATCGCCTCGATGGAATGTCTTAGGAGGAGCCAATAATCCATGACCTCGAGAGTGATGACTCCGACCACAAGGAACTACCCGCCTAAACTGTCGATGAAAATACCAGTCCTTCTGATGACAGGTCTGCTACTCCCTCCAATTTACCAATATCAGAAGACTTAAAAGAGATGCTTCTTCCACGGGTTCGAAAATGACAACCGATGAAGACGCATTCCTGCTACTAGACCAGTTCAGGGATAGCCACACAATTTCACCACCAGTTTGGGCTTGAAGAACAGATATCAACACTAATATCTACACAACTTTGAAGTTCCATCACAGATGCAGCGAGTTTGAGCAAATATATATCAGTTGTTGGATGCTCTGTCGAAAGGTGTTCTACAAACGGTGGAGGTAGAGGAGAAATCTATATTCACTATGCTCAATTCGGATTGGGCTCGAAGTGTCACAACTCTCTATCAAAAAATTGAACAGACAAGGGGGATCTATACCGAGATACAGAGTAAGCGATGGGCCTTGGAGAAACAACATGGAACCATGGAGGAAGGCGGCATGGCTTTTAATCAGAACAGCTTTTTTCATCCGAATCACCCAAATTGCTTTTTCATTCATCCAAGCTACCCAACTTGAAACTTTTCTTTTACTTCTTTCCTCGGATGAGTTATCATAAAGGGTCGCTGTGCAAAGAACCACGCACTGTGTTTGATGGCCTACAACGACCTCAAGTTTCTGGCCTGATGAACTCGTTATTCTCGCGCGATCTAATCGTTTCTCCGGAACGTTTCTTTCCGACAAAGATGGATGCACCGTGGTGGAACATGGAGTTGGGCTCGGAAGAACCAGAAAGGGATTCATGCAGCGGAAGCAGTTCGGGGTCTTGGACCAACCCTCTCGACGAGTGAGGTCGTCGGTTGGCCGTGATATATTGTTGCCGGTCTTCGCCTGTATGGTCTCTTAACGTCGGTATCGTTTGCTACCAATGTGCCTTGTTTTTGTTTTATTTTTCTATTCTTTGTTTTCTCATTCTCTAAGCGTCTTGGGCGACGACGACATTTTGACGACATTTTTTCGAGACCATCTTGCGATCAAATGACTACCATCATGCTATTGATTCCATATTATTCATTCCCATAGTTTAGAAAATCCCTAGTTTACATAGAGAATGCATCCTGATGCAATATCCACCCAGTTTGTATCAATGGCGTGGATGTATCAAGGTGAAATCAATCTGATGACTTATAGTGGTGTCATTTCTGCCGTCCCGGTTGACACACGAATGAAGAATGCCGACAGAGGCAAGGTGCTATGGACCAGCTGTTGCTCAATGTTCTGCTTCGGCAGCGAATATGTGCCTCGTTCCATTTTTAGAAAGCAGAATTGACATTTTTGAAACAGAATCCTCGCTGCCTCTGCCGGGAACATCTTTTCTTTCAAGGGTCATCTATTGTACCTAGCTAATGATTGATGAAACCAAACTTAAAACATTTGATTGCATTCCAATGTTCATCATATTCTTTGTATTAGGGTATGAAGCGTGTCTCTTGTCCAGGATCAGATCACTTCTGCTTAATCTCCGCAATCTCCCGATCAAAGTTAGAAGCAAGGTTACCTTGTGCAATTCGAGCAGGCAGATAACCATTTTCCTCAAGCCACAACATTGGCCAAAGAGCATAAACCCCAATAATACAGAAGAATGTTGCAAAAAGGTGCCAGGCGGTAACAATCCAGTGTCCAACGTGAGGCAACAAGAATTTAATAAATTCTGAAGTCTGGTAGAGATCCTCCTGCTTTTTGATGTAATATAGTGATTTGTTCTGATTGCTCTCGCTGGATTCGGTCGTCAAGTTGAGAACCGTTGTAAGAGTCACTGGCGCGACGTGGAATGGTACAATCCAGATTGAGAACACTTGGGACATTTGAACAAAAAGTTTGAGGTTTTTCTCATCAAAGGCTAAGCGTTTTCTTGTGAGTGGAGTACGGGTTTGAAGTATAGGCTGTAATGGCTTACCGATAGAATGGACCTCTAGTTCAATTCGGGGCGACATGATTTTGTACCATTGGAAGATCTTGAGTACATACCATCGGCTCCCTTCAAAGCTAGGAACTATGCAAAATGGATGGTAGAACGAGGCGTCCTGAGTAAAGAATCTCTCCAAACATTTTTGTTGCAAAGATGGCGGAGACTGGGTAAGAAGGCGGATGACCTGTCCTATCTCTTCCACTGTACTGGGTTAGAAATGGAATTGCTTCATGGGCGAGACACATATTGGCATACCTGGATGCTCCATTGTTTCGGATATGTTAAGAAGATGAAGATAGAAGATTGGAAAGAATATGAAGGTGTTGAACTGGTTGGTACATTAGTAGTTGTAACTTGTTGGATATCAAGGTTACGACAACTTTAAATGACGTCATGGCAGATGCATGTGATAGAGCATAGATGTGTCCCAATTGGGAATAGCGTATATCAGACTTCAACAGCCGACCGTTTCAACACTCGCTATAGCTACTGCTTCCTTGGTGAAAAATAAAGAAAAATACAACGGATATGGTGAAATTGGGCCAGCTGGAAATCTGGGACTCATTGACATCCGATCCATATCTTTGCTCTTTCTTTTTTCTTTCCTCGTTTTTGTTCACTGATATGTACTAAGATCTCGACAATAATCCCCCGACAATTTCCAAACACTATCTAGAGTTGACTCTATTTAGTGTCTTACCTCGGGGGTCTATTCCAACCTCATTTGCTTAATCATGAATGAATTACGGTCGCCGTATGTGGAGTACGTTGAGTCGTTTGAGTCGTTGGACAAAGGGGGCCAATCTATTTCCGCATCCTACCGGACTTTCACAGTTCAATGTTATTACGATAATAAGAGTTAAGAGATTCCAAGCCATCAAGCCTCCTTTTACTTGCCGACGAACTCCTCCATACTGAAAAGTTCGGCGATGAGCCCTGGGCGTTGGAGTGAAACCTTGGGGTGGTCTTAATTGGGGCCGTATTTGGGGGCAGTTTCTATCCCAGTCAAGTCAAGTTGTAGGGATCTGCGGCTAACTTGATAGCAAAGTCTTCGTAAAACCAGTCAGAAGACTGTGTCCCCTGATCCTTCAAGGGTCCTGGGCACAAACCATGCAGTCTAGTATCCTTTTCTTTTTCAGCCTCGCCATTCACGAATCATATTCTTGCATTTGTGCTATTTTCACTCCTGCCAAGAGTAAGGACCCTTACTCTGGGGGCCAATGCCTTCCAATTACTAGATTTGGTGGCCACTGTTACTAATTCGGGTTGATTGAGCTGTTGCTACTAACGTTTTCAGGCCATGAGCTATGGTTTAGGACTTAGTACGTTTTGTAGATCAATCTTGGGCTTGACGCCTATAAAGAGAACATACAATTTGCTTCGATTTCAATTGTTCCCACTATATTCATCCAGCATCACCTCCAGGTCCATAACAACCCATCGTTCAACTTAACTACTCAGCCAATTCCACCCATATCGATCATCTCCCATCTTTCTCCACATTCAATATGCAGTTCAAGCTTGCCCTCGTCTCGGCCCTCTTTGCCGCTTCTGCTATTGCCGTTCCCGTTGCTTCCAGTCAGGCTAGCTGCTCCCAGTCTGTAGTCGCCGCCCTCAATGGTGCGACCAAGGAAGTTTCTGACCTCAACTCAAACCTCTCGGGAACCACCAACGCTGCCTCTCTTGCTGCTGCGATCATTTCTGGATTCGCCGACAACATGGCGACTTTGCTGAGCGGAATTGTCCTTCCTTGTGATTACACCCTGAGCTCTCAGGACCAGCAGGACATCTGTGATGCTGCCACCACTGTATGATCTGACTCTGTGCAACAAAGAAAGTACTAAGCTAACACATTCAAAGTTCATTGACACCGACAAGGCCCTTGTCTCGACCGTCAGCAACAAGGCTAATATCCTCTCTGCGAGTCTCCTCTCTGTTAGTGTTCACGCTGCCATCAACAATCTTGAGGTCGCTACTACCGTAAGCTACTATTTGTATAAGTGTTTACAAAAAAGATATGCTAATCTGTCTTAGAACTACCTGCGACCTATCATCAATAACATGTCTATCTGTGGTGGTTCTATTCAGTCAGAGCTTACGGTTCTGGAGTCAAAGATTAACAGCGCCGTTGCTGCTTTCTAAATTGTGTACTAGGCGCCGAAGTGGTACATTTGGCTGGTAAATTTAGCTTGCTGAAGTTATTAGAGACTATAAGAGGCTGGACCTGGTTATGGCTTGATTGCATTCGGAATATTTGATTGTTCGAGAGTATAAGATATCATGCTTCGTGAATAATGTAGCTTACGTTGTTGTTGAAATTGACTATTTGGGATTTTTTTTATTTTTAGGATCGTGGAAGATCAAACAGCTCGAGGCCAGGTAAGAGATTAACAAATAGTAAACATGCTCTCTTTGAGGGATATCATTTATGTACAATAAAAACAACAATCAAGGCTTTGGAAAAGGTTAAATTCATACAATTTGGTCATGAGTAAGATCTCAGGGGGTTTCGGTGCTCGGTGGAGCTCGACGACCCCAACCGCTGAAGAACCCACCACCGCCACCTCCAGCATTGTTTGAGGCACTTGGGGTCTTGACGGGTTCAGTCGAGGCTTTCGATATGCTATTCTTTGAACTATGCCCGAAGAAAGAGTGGCGATTGTCAAGCTTCGCCTGGGATTGGGGCGCGCTAATCATCTTTCGCAAGGAATCAAGTTTGGACTTGACTTCTTCGAGTTCTTGTTGAGCCACGGCCTCTGCTGTCTTAGACGCAACAAGCTCCAGAAGTAAGGCATCCTCGGGCGCGGGTTTGTTGTTTTCCGTGGACAAAATAGCCTGAAGGCCCAGGCTACTGGAACGTTTACTAAACGCGATACTCTTCTGGGAGTTACTCCGGGCTAGCTTCAGTTCACGAAGTCCCCGAGGGGATGCCTTCTCGCTCGTGTCAGACGCGGGGGAAACAATCTCCGGTGGTGTTCGTGGCTCGGAGGTGTTGGTCTTAAGGGTGCGGAGCTCTTGGTTCTTTCGCTCCAGGCGTTGGCGATCACGATAACCATCTTGGATTCGACCGCGGGCTTCGCGAAGCTGATCCTTCAAGATTGTGTTTTCTTTTTCATAGTCATCCATGCGTCGGGAAAGATCCATGCATCGACTGGCCTCTACCTCGTGCATTTCTTTCCACCGCGTCAAGTCATCATGAAGCTGGTGTTTAGTCTGAGGAATCGACGCGTGCTTGGGTTCGTTCGAAGAGTATCGGGCTTGTGCTTTGGAGACAAGTTCCACAGGTCGGGACTCTTCCGGTAGCTCCTGAAGGCAATTGAGCATTTCTTTCGCCAAGGCGTGGTCTTCTTCGCGCTCTTCACGTTCTTGTTGCAACTCTCGGCTCAAATCTGCATGTTGATGTTGAAGATCGCCCAATGCCATCAAAAGGTCCTCAATCTGCGTATGGAGATCGCGATCTTTTTGGTTAACAGACATGCTTGATTTAATTCGTGATTTTTGACCATCCAGGTTTGTTGTGCCAGCTGATAATTCAGTAGGGGCGGTGCTCGCGTCAGAGGTGGTTTCAACCGAATTGAGTGTTGACGTCAAGCTTTGTTTTGATGTGGAGCGCCGAATTGTGCTCGTGGGGCGTGACGGATTGGGGTTGGGATTTAAAGATTTGACTGAGTTGTGGTTATTTGAACCCGCCCATAGCCGTCCCAGAAAGCGAGATGCTGCAGCCTGCATTTGTGGGAACGAAATCCCGGTTGGTACACCTTGCGATTGATTGTAACTAGCTTCCAGCGCCTGTAAGCTCTCTTTAGTGACGAGGGAAGTCAGTGACACGAAATCATTAACAAGATCATCCGCATTAAAGGCATATCTAGTAGATTTTGGGTTAGTTTTCTGTGTCGCGCTCACTCAAGATTCCTTTTTTTCGATCAACTTACGTATCCCATAGACTGCGCGACAGTAGTAGTTGCATAACATCCTCAAACTCGGCACATGCCAAGATTCGCTTCTCGTTTCGCTGCATCAGAGAAAGTGCAACACGCATCAGGGTCTCACAAGCGCCCTCGAGGAAAATGACATCGTAAATTCGAAGAAGCATGGGCAACGGACACGCCACCGCGAAGAACGACAGAAACCACTGTGACACATAGACCGGTTCAACATTCAGCGACTCCAGATGCTCGAACAAGGTCGGTCGGTGCCTCGCCAAAAGGTTCTGGAATTGGTAGACATGAAGGTGAAGGCCCGACAGATCCGGCAGATAGCACTGGCGCAGATTATAGTGATCCATCAAACGAACAAGCACACAAAAAGCTTCCGCATCCGACATGTGCATGAGCAAAGGTCCAACCACAAATCCCAGACCTTGGCAGTACCCGATTTGAGCATCGTACAAACTGAAGCATCTCAACACGCGGGCCAACATCTGCTGCCCCTCGCCATTGGGATCCCGAAACATCTCGACATTGGGAAAGCTGCGGCCAATATCCTTACCGATCAGGCCATCATAAGGGCTACTCTCCCCCGAGAGTCGCTGAAACTCATCCAATAGACTAGGATCGCGAGCCCCGGTCAGACTGGGCCATACCACCCCTCTTAGTGGCGGCGGTACACCTCCTTGAATTTTGTTCGATGTCAAGGTTGGCAGACGCTGAGCTGTCTGCGGGTAGTCTGCCACAAGTGCTGCCCAGAATTCCAACTCGGTCATCGGTGGAGGTGGAAGTTGCGAGTAGCGTAGTTCAGCCCGAGCCGGGTCACGGATCAGCCGCTTGATTTGGTGTAGTGACTGTGATCGAGACTGACGGTGATGTGTCTGGATCTTCGGGGCATTTGATAAGCCGGCCTTGGGATCGATAGCCAAAGCATTGTTCTCTTGTTCCAATCGGGCCAATAGCAGAGCCGTGGAATCGTCCGAACCCTCTCCACGTGGCTCCTGTTCCTCCGTTTTATCCAAATTCTCCCAATCGACCTCGTGCTCCATATCTTCATCTAACTGTCTGGGCTCTGTCGCAGTCGGGGTCGAAGGCTCCGTGGCCAGTGGGTTGGTCTTTGCGGCATCTCTGAGGGGTATGGGACCGAATGAGTCGGCGGTATTCCGGTTTGCGTCCGACCTGTAGCTCGATTGAACAGGTGTGGATGGAATGTCGATTGTGCGCCAGTCTGGTTGAGTGTGTTCCGAGTTGGATTGTTTGTCGGACAGGGCAACGGTCACCATTGAATCGTGATTAGGGGCATGTGGCCCATGAGGCGAAGTGGGCGTTGTGGGAGTGGAGTCGGCCATGGTGGTGGCAATTGAATAGGAACTTCGAGTATGATACAAATTCACCAAAATAGGTCAATCAGATACAATCTGCTAGTAAGATGGTTCTCGAGGCGATATGCAAGACCAGCTTCATGTCTGTTCGAGAAACAAAAAAAAAGTGGAGATCAGTACAGGAGACAGAAGGTTCTCTCTCTCTCTCCGTTTTTTTTTAACTAGGAGGGGGATGGCGAAGAGAAGGTATATAGGGGGGGGAGCACATACGAAAATAACCTCGAGGTGAGCCAGCACCATATAGTAGCAAAGTTATGTACAACTAAAAAGAAGAGGTAAAGCAGGTGGCAGGCAGAAGAGAAAGGGAGGTTCAGGAGAGAGAAGTAAACTATTTGACTAGCCTCCCCTTTTAGCGTTTCCCCCCTCCCAGAGTCTCGCCCCCCGCCGATCTCATACACCGACTGTCTGATGACCGTTGCATGTTGTTATTAAAGATAATCTTGGTTTAATTGTGGCGTTATATTCTCCCCCTAACGTCAAATAGTAAATTTCCAATTTCTAGATTGTACAAATCAATATACAAATCCAAACAACGCGTTGCGCGTTTCCATGGATCCCCTTGAATTCCATCTCGATCCATTTCCCCCACCATTATGGATCGTTAGTAATACATGGGGTCCGTAATGGTGACTTATTCTCAAGCTTCAAAAATTGCCACTTGGAACAAATTTTTCCTGATAAAGTTAACCCTGGCCCCTTGTGGCTATTGAGAATAACAAAACAGATCTCATCAAATCTCTTTGCTGCAGGTCATAATGATATTAGAAGGGGGCTGCATTTAGTAACCATAAGACCAGCGTATTGTAATCTATTCCTCGATTCATTGGTTCATAATTCTACTTGCTGGCTGTGATTGGTCAAGACTCAAGAGTCACGGACCACGTATGAAATGTACAAATGCCAAGATGCAGTGGCACCCAGCAGTCACCCAGGGTTGTTTCACCTTAACTGAAGAAACAATCAGGAATCAGGGGCTGGTAAGCCCTGATCATGCCTTTTCTCTTTTGCTTTTCTCCCTTTTCTCGATTTCCTGAAATGTCCATATAGAAAGATTTCTTTGAATATTTCCTCTTCAAGTAATTCTCATCTTTCAACTGGTACCATTACATAGCCCAGAAATCTCACAACTATTATTACCTGTGTGCCACTCCCAACTAGAAAGTGTACTCAACAACGAGCCCTGGAGTATACATAGCCCTTTGCAGTTGTATTGGCTGGCATTGCTTTTTCCCAATAAGTATCGAGTTTCATTCACGTCCAAACTCGACTGATAACCGACACGTCCGATCCGATATGCCCCGTCTTCATACGAGTCAAGTGGAGTGAGTCTCAACTCTTGTCAACCAGATGATCTAAGTTCTAGAACTGCTCCTTTGCCTCCACCCCGACATGGCTCTTCCCGCAGTCGTCGATACATACTATACACTCCCGAGTACCTACATGTGTACCTAAGCATCTCTCATCGGCCTCGTTGGCCGGATTGGGTTGGGGTTGGCATAATGAAGTTACAATTCATCTTCTTCGTCTCGCTATCTACGGTCCCCTTGATCGGCACCCAAGACCCAAGACTCTGGTAAGTCATCAAGGCAAAATGCTGACAATGATGCTTCAGAGGTTCAAATGTTTGACGCCATGTTTGATAAAAAGATTTGTGGACTGAATCAAAGTGTGGGTCGAGCTCTCAGAGCCCAGTTATGGCTTGCCATTTCGGGCCTCTTCTCCTTGTAACGCAGTTTTACTATTCAAACATGCAGGGTGGACCGCATTTCGTTTGCCAACAATTATTCTCTTACCAATGCCTAACAAGTGCCCGGATTTATTCGAGTTTTGGGAGTTATCGTTGGTCCGTCTGGTTTACACAACATTTAACAAACCAATTCAGAAGAACTTTTTGATTTCAAAGCTCGTTTCAAGTTTGTGCATAAAAGTACTGAGCCAAAACTGAAAGGAAGGAAATTCTTTTGATGGTTTAATTTTTTCAAATCTTGAGATGACGAGTGCTCTCATATTTCTCTCTCTTTGACTTCTTTCTGTCCAGCTTCGGTCCCTTCGTTGAAGATTTATTTTGAGTTCTTTTCCTAATAAGAGACCGTTTAAGTAGCCTCAAGTGCCATATGCTAGTATTTGCGTCTCAAACGTGAAGTTTTGGTATTGTAACTTCGGGACTCTTTTCAAGACTCGGGCCATCACGGAAAATTATAATAAATAATCACTATCCTTTAAACTAGGATGCAGCATACGTACCGTTCACAATTAAACATTTGAACAGGGGGTGAAGAGCATGAAACTAGTAAAATTTCAATAAGTATAGTGGTTTATCTCTCAGTGGTAATTTTTGAACACTTGCTTATTCCCCAGGCCATACAAGTCTTCGGCGCCCAGGTGCCGTAACCAATGTTGAATCCATAAATGTTATTCATCAATAACATTTGAATGTTCAGCTGCGGGGAGCATAAATATACTACTAGTCAACTTGTATGGGCAGAACCTCGGGACCTCATCCCATTTCAAATTGAGCTTAGATTTTATGCCACTTGGCCAGTATTTGAGAAGACGATATCCTCAGAGTTCAAAGCTATTACCGTATGCGGATACTATGCATAGTACTCGAGGAGGTTGCTTGAAGCGCTGTACTTCCAATCTATTAGCGAGAGCACCAAATTAGTATTTGGCATTCCCCCCACCCCCTTTATTACTTGTATATCGCGTGGTGTTGTAACTTTGCAACTGCCAACTAAGAGGAAGATCACGTGTGAATGTGACAAGTTCTCTCGCAAGTACCAGATTAATCCTGAGCGACTAGAGGACTACATGCAGTAGAGTGAGCGCAACAGTCCTGCTTATCTTGTCGCATACGTGACCCGTGACGGAGTTTGTTTTGGAATTCCCGCATTGGGCTGGGCGGTGAGATCAAAACACGAGCAAAGCAACTGACCGCCCGAAGTTTGGTAGGCGCGCTCACTTTTTTTTGCGAGGAAAACAGTGCATTCCTTCCCCCTCTTCCCTCCCATCTTCTTTCCTAGCTTAATGATGCTGAGATTCTTTCCTCTTGGTGTAACTCCTAACTAACCCTTTGCTTCCAACGAAACTCAAATCTGTCACTCGTTTTCTATCGCGACACACTCGTTATCATCGCGGCTTAACGCCCGATTGCACCTTCTCAGTCGAATCTTAAATCCTTCGCCATGGACGATTCAATCATGGACGACTCGGTCTTCGACATTGACAGCGATGGGGGTAGCTCTGACTTTGCCCCAGAAGTCGCGCCGGTCAGTCTTTGATTTGATGGTTGAAACTCGTGAGCCTATCCGCTAACCCGAGATTATCTGCTACAGAAGGCCAAGGCTCCTCCCAAGAAGGCGCCTGCTGCCAAATCTGCGCCCAAGAAAACAACTCAAACAACCCTCAAGAAGACCGCTGCTAAGGCTGCCCCGAAGAAGAAAGCTAAAGCCGATATTGAGGATGAAGTATCCGACGTTCAAATTTCCGATGACGATTCCCTCTCCCAAACCCCTCCAAAGGCCAAAAAGCCTGCTGCCACAAAAAGAGCGGCCTCGAAGCCTCTTGCAGACGTGGAGAATGAGTCTTTTGGAGGAGATGCTCCCCCTGATTCAAAGACTGGCAACGCCTCCGACAAGTACCAGAAAGTGAGTTGCATCACAAAACTTTTTTTTGGCTGTGTTTCAGAGAAACCTGGTTGCTAATACGAAGACACTCCGTACTTTTTAGCTTACACAACTTGAACACATCATCAAACGTCCCGACACGTATATCGGATCCATCGAAGCCACCACACAGAGTATGTGGGTTTACAACTCTACCACAGAAATGATGGAGCACCGCCCTGTTACCTTCGTCCCGGGTCTCTACAAGATCTTTGACGAGATCATGGTCAATGCTGCCGATAACAAACATAATGACAAGAACATGAACGAGATTCGGGTGACTATCGATCGTGAAGCAGGCGAGATCAGCGTATGGAATAACGGACGTGGTATCCCTATCGAAATCCATGCAAAGGAAGGAATCTATGTCCCAGAACTTATTTTCGGACATCTTCTTACCTCGTCCAACTACGATGATACCCAAGAGAAGGTGACCGGTGGTCGCAACGGATTTGGTGCCAAGCTTTGTAACGTATTCTCCAACGAATTCACTCTTGAAACCCAGGATTCGCGTCAAAAGAAGAAGTACAAGCAGGTCTGGACATCGAACATGTCCAAGGTGGGCAAAGCGAAGATCACGGACGGTAAGGGGGACGACTACACCAAAGTTACTTTTAAGCCCGACTTTGCCAGATTTGGCATGACTGGCATTGATGACGACTTTGAGGCTCTGGTCAAACGTCGTGTCTATGATTTGGCGGGTACCGCCGGCGTCACCCTGAAGCTCAATGGAACGCGCATTCCCATCAGGAATTTCAAACAATACATGCAGATGTATACCAAAGCGATTCGGATGGAGCGTGGCGATGATGGCCCGCCCGCCAAGGACGAAATTCTCACTTGCAGCCCGGACCCGCGCTGGGAGATTGGTTTTGCTGTCTCCGATGGTGATTTCCAGCAAGTCTCATTCGTCAACTCCATTGCTACTACTTCGGGTGGATCTCATGTGAACTACATTACCGACCAGATTTGTAACCGATTAGCGGATGCTGTCAAGAAGAAGAACAAGACCGGCGCCACACTGAAAACCGCTCAAATTCGGAGCCACATCTTTATCTTCGTCAATGCTCAGGTTGTGAACCCAGCCTTCACATCGCAAACCAAAGAGCAGCTGACCACGAAACATACACAGTTTGGCAGCAAGTGCATCCTAGAAGAGGAATTCTTCAAGAAAGTCCTCAAAACTGAGGTTATGACCAACATTCTGCATTTCGCCGCCCAAAAAGCAGATCAAATTCTCAAGAAGGGTGACAGTGGCCGTCGCTCCCGCATGACCAATCCCAAATTAGTCGAGGCCAACAAGGCGGGAACCAAAGATGGGCACCAATGCACCCTTATCTTGACGGAAGGTGACTCGGCCAAGGGTCTAGCAATGGCCGGACGTGCTGTTGTTGGGCCGGATCTTTTTGGTGTTTTCCCCCTGCGTGGAAAGTTGCTCAACGTTCGAGATGCGTCTTTTGACCAGATATCAAAGAACGCTGAAATTCAAAACATCAAGAATTTCATCGGATTGCAACACAAAAAGGAATATACAGAGACCAAGGGTCTTCGTTATGGTCATCTTATGATCATGACTGATCAGGATCATGACGGCAGTCACATTAAGGGTCTACTTATCAACTTCCTTCAAGCGCAGTTCCCTAGTTTACTCAAGATCCCCGAGTTCCTCATTGAGTTCATTACTCCCATCATCAAAGTCTGGAAGGGTGACCCGAAGAACCCTTCAAAGTCACAGGCGTTTTTCACCATGCCCGAATACGAAGCCTGGCTGGAAGTTCATGGAAGCGAGCGTGGTTGGGATCACAAGTACTACAAGGGTCTGGGTACCAGCTCTACGGACGATGCCCAGGTTTACTTCCGAGACCTTGATCGTCACTTGAAGGAATTCCATACGATGCAAGACCACGAGGCAGAACTCATTGACTTGGCGTTCTCAAAAAAGAAGGCAGATGAGAGAAAGGAATGGCTTCGTCAATATAAGCCTGGTACCTTCCTCGATCACTCCGTATCCAAGATCTCTTACACCGATTTCATCAACAAAGAACTCATTCTTTTCAGTATGGCGGATAACCAGCGCTCGATTCCTTCCGTTGTTGATGGCCTAAAACCTGGTCAGCGCAAGGTGCTGTACGCGTGCTTCCGACGTAATTTGAAGAAAGACATGAAGGTTGTGGAGCTGGCTGGTCTTGTCTCCGGTATGACAGCCTACCAGCACGGTGAAACCTCGCTTCAGCAAACTATTGTCGGTTTGGCTCAGACCTTCGTCGGCTCGAACAACATCAACTGTCTCGAGCCCAGTGGAAACTTCGGTAGTCGACTTCAAGGCGGTGGCGACTGTGCCAGCGCTCGTTACATCTACACTCGGTTGTCACCGTTTGCACGCAGAATGTTCCACCCGGCTGACGACGCTCTGTTGACATATAATATGGATGATGGCAAAAAGATTGAGCCCGAGACCTACATGCCTGTTGTTCCCTTGGTTCTGATCAACGGTACCGATGGTATTGGCACTGGTTGGAGTACTTCCATCCCTAATTACAACCCTGAGGATGTTGTGAAAAATCTCAAAGCCTTAATGGATGGTCAGCCCACCGTTCCTATGCAACCTTGGTTCCGCGGCTTTACTGGCGAAGTTGTGTCCATGGGTGGAGACCGTTTCAAGTTCAGTGGTACTATCAAGGAGACTGGAGACAAGGAGGTTGAGATCACCGAATTGCCCATCCGCACCTGGACTCAGGACTTCAAGGACAAGCTGGAAGATATCATCAAGGCTGACAAAACGCCTTCGTTCATCAAGGATTACAAAGACTACAACACCCACAGCAAGGTTCATTTCATTATTCAACTTGACGAGAAGAACATGAAGGCCGCGCTCTCCGGCGAGGGCCTTGAAGAGAAGTTCAAGCTCACCAAGACCATCGGCACCAGTAACATGGTTGCATTCGATCCGGAAGGTCGCATCACCAGATATGCTACAGTTGATGACATCCTCAAGGAGTTCTTCCATGTTCGTCTCAAGTACTACGAGAAACGTAAGCAGTATCAGCTGTCAGAGCTCCAGCGAGAATTGGAGAAGCTCAGCAACCAGGCCCGCTTCGTGCAGATGATTATTGATGGCAAGTTGGTCATTTCTAAGAAGAAGAAGCCTGTTCTTATCGCCGAGTTGAAAGAGAAAGGATTTAAACCCTTCCCTAAGACCATCGAAGCCAAGAAGATGGGCGAGGAGGAAGAGGTTGTCGAAGAAAATGAAGAAGGCGATGATGCGGAGGTCGAAAACTTGTCAAGCGCCTTTGATTATCTTCTCGGCATGGCCCTATGGTCTCTGACCCAAGAGCGCGTCGAAAAACTCCGCCGCCAGATTGGTGACCGCGAGACCGAGATCGATGCCTTGATCAAGCTCTCCAAGGAGGACATTTGGCGGAAGGATCTCGATGAATTCATTGATGAATGGCGCTTCCAGCTCGAAGATGAGGACCGTCGTGCACGCAAAGCACTGCTACAGGGCCGTCGCGCTTCTTCAAAGCTTATGACTGGCGGAGGCCGTGCTGCAACCTCACGCAAACGTAAGGTTGCCAACGGTGATGACCCAGACGATGAAGATTTTGGCGGACCCAAGGCCAAGAAGGCAGCGGCAGCCAAGAAGAAGAAGGAACCAGCAGCACCTAAGACGAACAGCCTTGCTAATTTCCTCAACCAATCGTCAAGCAAGCCAACTCCTCCATCGGGTGATGGAGCCACCAACTCAGATGATGACTTTGACTTTGAACTGGAAACTCTTCCCAAAAAGGGCCGCGGTGCATCAGCAAAATCCAAGCCCGCTCCCCAACCCAAGGACGAAGATGATATCTTTGACATTGAGCTAGAGACTCTCCCCAAGAAGAGTCGGGCTGCGTCGACAAAGCCTAAGGATGAAGATGGAGACGTGGATATGGAAATCGACCAGGCGCCAGCAAACACCGCTTCGCCTGCTGACGACATTTTCAATGTCGACAGCGAGCCCGAAGAATCTGCCCCGAAGCCAAAGCCTGTCGCAAGGAAGCGAGCACCCAAGGCTAGACCAAAGGTAGAGGACTCAGACGATGACTTCCTTGAGATTGCAAATGAATCCCCAAAACAGACCTCGCAGTCAAGCCGTGCCCGCAAACCTGTGAGTTATGATGTCCCCAGCGACTCTGACAGTGACAATGGGGACGACCTTCTTGGAGATGTCAGCCAAATGGTGAAGGGCATTGGCGGTGGCGATTCGGATTCTCGACAGCTTTTCTCTGAGCGCTCCCGTGCCGGAAGTAGCGCTAGCCTGATGGCTCCCGCTAAACAATCCAAGATCAGCGATTTCGATGTGGACGAGACCGATTACAGCAAGCTCATCCCTCAGAAATCACCCCGGCGTTCACCGATACAAGTCAACAAGTCCAGAGGTGTTTCTCGTATCGAGGATGACGAAGAAGAGAAGGAAGAGGAAGAAGTGGGGGAGGAAGATGAGGAAGATGAAACACCAGTCAAGCCTGCTGCTCGAGGCAAGGCCGCTTCCAAAGCCAAGGCCGCTCCCAAGCCCAAGGCCGCTCCTAAGCCTAAGGCTGCTCCTAAGCCTAAAGCTCCCCCCAAGCCCAAGGCCGCTCCCAAGCCAAAGGCTGCTGCTGCCTCTGCATCGAAGGCGAAGAAACAGGCTGAGGCTGATCACTCTGAGGATGATATTGATGCCATAGCCAACGACATCTTGGACTCTCCTGCCGGAAAGGCAGATGCCTCGGATGATGAGTCTCCTGCTCCTCGCCGTGCTGCTGCTGCCGCCCGTCCTTCCCGTCGCGCCCAACCCAAGAAGAGCTATGTCATCGAGGATGATAGTGAAGACAATGATGACTCAGTTGATGATTTCGAGGAGGATGATAGCGAGTAGTTGATTTGTGGGCGTTGATGGGCACTTATTTTCAATGGTGCTTTTTTTACATTTCTGATTCAGGGCTTCCTTCAATTTTCTTAATCTGTTTCTTATGGCGTCCAGGCAGAGCCGGCCATGGTATTTTCATATGCGAATTGAACTTCTATTTTTCCCCTCTTATCAAATTCCAGTAGTCTGCAGAGTTGTTCAGACCTCGGGAGTGAGTAAAAAGAGGGCGACTGTATTTGGGTCGGTCCTTTACTGTCACTCTGTCTGTCTAGTAACTTCCAAGGTAAGCCCTGGAGGTTGAAGCTGAAGCTGCTACTAAATACTACAAAAAAACTCTGTCGCCGTGGACAGAATTCCCTCGTTTTTTTGGCGTTTGAAAATCTTCATTCACACTACCTTCGAGCAATTCATTCGATAAAGAAAACCTCCGGAAAATGACCACATAAAACCAACCCACATTTCTGATACATCAACCGAAATTCGAATCCCATAAATCCCGACACCGTCCTTCTAGCAGATAAACCCCATTTCAAAAAGACCAAGTAAGATAAATAAGAAATAAAAAAATAAAAAAGGAAAAAAGGAAAAATCGTAACGAAGAATTCCAAAACGCAAGGTAGTCGTGATAGCTAATCGCAGATGAATCATAGAGCCTGGATTACACAGAGCTGCGACGTTTCTTCCCATTGTTCGACTTGGATTGCTCCAAACCGGGACTCCAAACAGACTCATTCATTGGCACGTCCCCATCGTCACTGTCGGGCCTTCCCAGCTTCTGCATATGCAGACGAACCAAAGCATGAGCTGCTTTGACCTCATTCAGAAAACGGTCGTCTCCCAAGTCAGCCGCCCGGTCACGAGGCTTGGCCCTAAGAGAACGACTCGCAACACCCTTTCCCTTTTCACGACGCAACACTCGCTTCGAAGCCCACTCCTGGTAATCCTCATCATCACTATCGGAGTCGTCGCTATTGGCCGGAGAAGTGGCCATGCTTGACTCCCCATCAACGCTCAACATATCCAAAGTTGTAGTGACGATTGCATCATCTGCGTTCCCGGAGCGCCAATTTTGGGCTAGGTTATCCATTCTAGATCCAACATCCGCGATCATGCCAGTGGGATTAGGCACGGGGACTATGCGCCGGCTGTGGTGACTGGTCGACCCTTCCGGAGAAGGAACACTAGAGCGGGGGATGTTCTCGAGTGTACGAGGTGGGTTGACGGGTGTAAAGCTGTGGGGGACTGTGCTAAGGGGCGAATGACAGAACGAGGGCTCCGAAGATGAATCGCGAGCGCTGCTTACACTATCTGGGTAGCTGCGGCGAGGCATCTTGGGGTGGATTTGACGGTATGGAACTCGCTCTGTGTCGTGAGAATCCGCGCTCTCTGAAGCGGGAGTTCGGGCGGGAGTTGAGGCTCGGTTGCCTGCGCTGGAAGACGGCGCCTCTGCCGGCTCGAGACTGCGATACTCTCTCGCAGTCATGTCGGCGTGGAAGATATCTCTGGGGTCGAGCGTAATACCATGCGGGAAGTCGCGCGCTTTGCCGTGTACAAATGGGACGCAGGTTGATGGGAAGTCAGTACCAAAGAGTGGTGTCAGAACGTGACGAATGTTCCAGCAGAATGTAGCCGCCACGGATTTGGCGATGTCGAAGGGCATCCAGTAACCTAGGAGGAATCAGTCAATCACTGCTCTCAAGGGGGATAGTTCTTGAATGGGATATACCTTGAGCAGCGAGGGCGCCTCCAGTGATGCTGTGGCAGACGTTGCGCAGGCCAGGGATGTAGTTCATGACTTTTCCAGGAGCAGTCTGTTGATAGGGGGAGAAATTAGAATAACTTGAGAGAGTAAAGCTTCTTGGTGGGTAATCAGCGTACCTTTGTGTATCCAATGCATCTGAACAAGTGGGTAAGGCGTACTAATCCAATGTTGTAGTCCCACATCACCATCCACTTGTAATCGTCGCCCGGAATTTGAAATGTGTAATGGAAGACTAGATTGTACTAAGTAAGTGTTGTCAAAGTTTAGACGGAGTTTTATAAGGCAGCCATACCATTGAAGTAGTCACGCCCCGTCTTTTCATGGAAGTCTTTCTTCTGGCTTTTGTAGGGAATATGACGAGGGTAGTCGGCAATGTTTCCTAGTGGGTAGAGTTGATACTCCCGGTGGATTTGAAGAAGTTCTTCATCACGGTCCTCACAAGGAGGATAGCGGACTTCACCTATGGGCTTGCCGAACTTGAAAATAGCACCATCCTTGGGAGTTTTGAACTTCCCTTCACGTGCCGGTTTTACCGCCGGTAGATTGGGCTGACTGCTACGAGAAGCCTCGGGAACTGGAAACCACTTCTTGCTCGGGGATGAGTCGTTGCTCTGAGATGGCTCGGTACTCTGAGACGGCTCGGTGCTCGGAGTGGAGATCTTGGGAACCGGATCCTCAGGCAGTGGATTCAACAAGTCCTTGATAGACGCCATGGGTGTGGTTCATAAACGGTGTGAAGGGAGGGGAAGGGAAGGGCAGGGAAAGAGAGATGATACTGGTTTCGAGTGGATGAACCTTGGAGGAGTTTGAAGGAGAGCAAAACAAGGTCGAGGGGAAAAGAGGACGAGTTAAGTGGGAACAAGTGGAACAAAAGGCGTCTTCCAGAAAGCTCGTCGAAGAAGGGGGGAAAAGCCACAACCTTTCAGTGGAAGAAACCCACAATCAAGCGAGACACAGGCGGTTTGATATGGGATTGTCCTTCAAATCCACTCTTTGTTTCCGTGGGAGTTTGTTTCGCTCCTTTCTTAGGGTTAGGGTGAGTACAGTTGTTTGCGTGCGATGACACGATATCTTCACCAAAGAAAACGAAAGCGAGGAAAAACAGGAATGCGACTGGAAAGAGAGAGAGACGCAGAGAGGATGATGCGTGGAAAGAAAAAAAGATATACAAAAAAAAAGGCGATTATATCTTGTTTCACACCTCGTCGACTCTCGGGCCCAGGAGAATGAATCATTGACCGTGGCCTCATCCATTTAGGGCATCACGAGGGGCTCCAAAGTCGGACGAGTCCCTCTCTCCGTCTGTTTGTCTCTCGAGCCAATATGTTTCCCATGGCGATCTTCGACTCTGGGCTGACCGCCATGCACTTGTGGAGGTCGCCATCTCGATCTCTTGATGCCCCTGGGGAATTAAATCCGGTGTCTTGAAGCTTCGAGGCTTCGTTTCACCGTTGTGGATGTGGGTACCCAACACCTGAAGACCGCCTTTATTGCCTGCTTATGGGGCATTTCTGCGCTTGACTGGTCGCCATGTGGATATCTTGTGGCGGTGATGAAAGTACTGAAGCAACCGGCTTTCATCACCTCTTCCGCCCAAGCCTTGGTATGCATACAAACAGGCCGTAACGGCAGTCTGCGCCATACATAGGTCAAAGACCTGGGTAAAACGACCATGCCTATTCCAAACTGACCCCACGCTCATTCTCAGATCGGGAGTACAAAATGCAACCCTCGCACCCGCTTGATCCCGACAATCCAGCACAGAATCCTCATTGACAAGAAGATGGGTGGGAAGAGCAGAGCGCCCCCCATGTCAGAGCCTTGGCCTCGGCACCAGTAGAGACGGCAGCTAAGGTGCTGCAGTCACCGGAGATTTTTAGGTGATCATCCGAGCACCAATCACAGCAGGGATCGCTTTCAAGTGGCTCGATGAGACGGGTATCAAAGAGGCCTGAGACCAGCGGATGGCTGCAGGGCAATCTATTCCTTGTATAACGGCGTGTTGCATGGCTTGTCGGCGAGTCCTTTGGAAGTTCTGCAACGTTTGAGGATGCGGTGCGGTGTAAAGAGATAACCTTCTGACCGGATCAAAGCTATCAACCACCAGGGCAAGGTCCTTTCCCAAAGGCACATTGATATCAAAATGCTACAAGAGAATAGATTCAACTTGGTATTTGTCAAGAAGACAACGTTACGCTCCTTTCACGCAAACAATCGCAAAAATCCAGAGAAAACAGGAATAGCCACATGTTGCAGAGACCCGCTCTTTGAGAATATTGAATACCGCTTTGCAAGTGAATCCCTTTTGTCTTCCTACTTTCGTGTAGCTCTCATCGGCTAGAAAGCCTAGAGAAGCTTCCATGCATGCTTCGATACAGACAAGAAAGGGCCCACCGATGTTAGACTGCATCCACTTTTCTCTCCCCTGTGTCTTATTCAGATTGTCTAATCCCAGCATGCCACTCTGACTTATACCTGGCAGTTCATTTTCAAACGTTCCCCCATTGTATTCACTCTATCATGCAGTCAAGATTATATTTCAGCACATACAAGGGGGTAGAAGGGGCTCTATTCCATTCATTGATATTGAGAGGTATCTTGCAGCATTAGAGCCAGAGCACAGCATACAATGGTGCAGATACCACATGCATTGCACTCTGTTGATGTAAGGCGTGTTGATGTAGTACATTGGTGAGATATTAGCATATAATTCAGTGTGAGTGAGCGGTATCGACAGCATATCCACAGTAGAAGACCCAAGAACTGAGACTGCGGCCCAACCAGACGAGTCTGAGACCAAGCCCAGAAAGTTTGGAAAGAAAAAAGAAAAAGAAGACAGAATTTGGATGTCTAAGACAGTGGCTTTGAATCACTGGGTTCAAAAGAGCGGTAAGACCGAGCATCGTGTAGGTTTCCGTTGGTGTTCCTTTTTGCTTCTAGAAATGGGGCATTTAACTTGATGTCTCAATTGGGATGTTGCTCTTAATGCTCGAGCCCATTCAACACGATGTTGAGCTATCAGAAAACATTTCTTATGGAAGCGTGTGTATACCAAAAGAAGAATTCCAAGCTTGCTTGAATGCCCTTAATGGAAAAGGTCTGCAAGGGTCACGGTTGATTGACCATGTGTATTGGACTGCTATCCCGATAGGTTGAAGAACAAACAGATATTTGGCCCCAGATTCACGGGCATGCTCCTAAGACTCGACATTGAATAATTCTCGATTATCATTGCTTGAACGACGAGTCCCTGCGAACTGGAAAGACTTGGCCCATATGCACCTAGTAAGCTCTATCTGAATATGGGTTTTGGAGTACTCGCACAGACATGCACTCATAGAGCTTATACCAAAGTCTCCTGATCATGACTGCAGTGTCTCGAGTTTGGCCTGGTGGCCAAGACCGCACATGAGTAGAGATGCCATACGTGACAGATAAACCAGATAAGAGATGCGATTTTCACTAAAAGCAGCAACTCTTCAAAAGAGGGAACCGGAGGTTTGGGTGAAATACAGCAAGAATGAAGGGGGAGATGCGCCTCAGCCCAGCCCGAATCATGATGCGGAGAGTTGGGGATTGGGGGAACAAGATAGACCGGGATGAAACTCAACGGCTGCACTCCTACAGCGCGGGGGCTGCTTGTTACATCAACACATGCGGGAGCGCAACATTTGAAGATAAGCTGTGTGCGAGGCTATTTAATATGGCTGAAAGTAAGAGCTACCTAGTTGGTCGAGGTCGAGGCTCCAGCGCATTCATTGATTCAATGCTGTTCTATGGTAGGGCACACAAGAGCCGTGCTCCAGCTTTCATTTTAGACGGTGGGGGTAATGCTGTACTCTTCAACACTGTCATGCCACGAAATTTCAAGGAGACACAGCAGAAGAGCTTAATAATATTACCCAGGAATTAACAGTGGACGTTGACAAGATAATAGAATCCGAGTCAATAAGTCAAGTCGAACTCGTCAACCATCTTACGACACAATTATTAGAATCATATGAACCCGAAAATAAGATGCACAGAGAATAGATTAAAATAAACAGGAGTTGAAGAAGACTGCATAGACATGTAGAAGGTTAAAAGAAAATGTAGAAGGTAAAGGGGGTGAAAAGGTGAAGAAAATAGAAGGGAAGAAGCGCAGGGGGAATGAACATCAATTCATCGTCCGAGCATTCAGCATAGAGTTTTTTTTCGTCATTGGGATGAAAAATCGACATGTTGAGAGGGGTCCAATATACATTGCAAATGTATCAGAAAAGGATGAGAGGCCCCACTGTCGATCTTACGCGCCAAGAAGATCCTTTAAGAATTGAAACCGTTTTCAGATCTTCGTCAAGGTTGCCATTGGCTAACATGAGTCCCGAGATCACAAGAGAACAACTGGTGGGCATTTAAACAGCCAGAAGAGGCTCACGCTCCGCAGCCTGTGGGGCGGACTCCACGGACTCCACAACTTGGGCTACCGGCTCAACGTTGGGAGCTTCCGGGAAGTCCTCGGTCTTGATGGCAGGCTCGGCAATCGGCTCAGTCTTCACGGGAGTGGTGACCTTGGTCATCTCGGGAGAAACAGAGCGGCGGCCAATGTATTCTTGGGCCTTGTGGCTGTAGTCACCGACATACTGCTTCATCAGTCCAGTGGCGTGCGAGGTGCGCTCGCCAGCCAGATCCTTCAGCTGATTGGTTTGGGCGTTGACAATATCCTGAATGTTCTGGATCTGCTCGTCGATGATCTCACGGTTGCTAATGTACACAAGAGGACCGATGTAGGCGGTGGTCACTCCGATCACGGCCAATCCCCAGACCGGGACGAAGCGGATCAACCAGTAGCCGAGGAAAGCAGCTGTGAAGGCCTTTTTGAAAAAAGTCAGTTATGCCTTCAAGTATTATAAGCCTTCGATTAACATACCGCAACGGTGTGCGCGACATTCTCAGCAAACAAGATACGCTGGAACTCGATCAGGAAGAAGTCCAACAACTGGGAGAGGTCCTCGAGCACAGCCTCGTGGGTCTCCTTGGGGATTGTGTAGTATCGACGGGGGCGGAATGAGCTGGCGATGCCCTTCTTGAGAATAACGTGTCCGGCAATCTCAACGGCAGCGGTAACTAAACATAAAAATCAGTCGCGTGATCTTAACAAGTGCGGGTCACGCGACCAACTCACCTCCCAAAGACATGTACAGAAACTTGAAGGCCCAACGGAGGAGGGGTAGGTAACGGGCGGCAAAGATGAAACCAATGATGCTGGCATAAGAAACGGCGGTCGCGCGCGGTTGTTCCCACTGTAGATCGGAGGGGCAGTTAGTATACATTCGAAGGCGGAAGGCAAAGTGGCCGATCTATTTCGCGTTCAATGAAATATTTTCCGACACAAGACTCACGCTCAAAAGACTGTAAAGAAGAGAGTGGTAGTCTGGAATATGTTATGATTAGCTTGGTGAGCTATTTTATCGGTTTCAAGCGAACACATACGGGTCAACGGCTGGCCATTGTTGGTGGTGGTCGAAGGGGTAACGCGAGTGTTCTTCAAGTCTTGGAACTCCCCAGTGGTCTTGGAAACCTCAGACTTGACGTTATCGACAATCGGGCCTAAAAGAGGGGGGCGAAAAAGAAAGCGTTAGATGGACCATGTTCTAGAACCCCTAGCACACACGACTGCCATTTACCCTTGGTCACGATATCTTTGATACCTAATCCCAAAGTTCCAGGTCAGATCTGATAGCTGCATGGATAGGAAAGGCTCGGGGGGAGGGGGGTATGAATACTGCAAGAGAAAAACGATGGTCAGCATCATGATTCAGGGTCCGGGATGAGTCGGTTGTCGCGGCCGAATGTTTTTTTTTAAAGGGGAGAGGGGGTTGACATACCTTACTGCCCGTGATGGGATAGCTCACATCACCAGATTCAGCCATGGTGAAAGTATTTCAAGTTAGAATCACCGGAGAGAAAAAGGAAAATGGCGTGTAAAAGTTGGTGGTGGAAAAGGATGAGAGGAGGGAAAGATAAGGAAGTTGTTTTGGTGGATGATTATCATGTGCGTTCGCCAAGGCTTGTTTCTGCCGAAAAATGATGTCAACTACAGTGTAGTCAACCTTGGAACTTGCCTACCTGCAACATTTCCAGCTCATTCCTTTCTTTATTCCCGGATTCTCGGATACGTGGTGTTTGGAAGCTGCGCGCCAGCAGAAAAGAATCTATTAACATATTGTCATGTCCTGGCGATACTCCAGACATGGTGAATCATGGTCGGAAGTGGCGCAATAGACACGTCCTAGTCCAATCCGAGCAATGGGACTATAGCTGCTCGTATCCCTGGCCTGAATATCCAACTAGGCATACCTACTAGTAGTATTGGTCATATTGGTCATATACGCCAAAGACTTAAGCTTCCAAGCTTTGAAGGCAGTAATAGACCCATGCGATTTGGTTTCAAATGCATTTGTTGTAATAGTAGCTACCGCTGTGTCAATCCATAGTAACCCTCAACTTTCAAGCATCATAAATGAACAGCTGGCTGACGCATCGAGCAGCGTAAAGTCTTTCTTTTTTTCATGTCACAAATTTAAAGTGGCTCTTGATTTATTAATTATTTCTTGATCACAACCTTGAAACTCGCTTGCTCTGTCAATTAAGGGCTCTTAATATTCTGATCTATAAATGTCTTGTGGGTATACTCTGCACGTGACCTACGCGTTTCCTGATTGGGAGGTCTGTTTTGATCCTCGACCCATTCCCGGACCACACACACATACACACCCAACACCTTCCTTGACTACTCCAACTTCCCAACTTCGACTCCATGGTTGGCTATCAGCAATAATCGCGTTTACGACAACTGTTCTTTGTTTCGTTCTGTTTTTTGACCGCGCCACAACACTATCTCCATAACCCCACCTCGGCGCGTTGTTTACATCATGGCCGCGGCTGGCGCGAGGGCTCAAAAGCCCGTCGGTTCTGCCGCATGGATTGCTGCGGAGAAAGAAAACATGGCGGAATTAGTTGAGCAAGAGATGGAGGAGGTAGAATACCCCGTTCGGCACGAGATGGACTGGCTGAACGAGCATATGGCCGAAATCTTCTCCAAAGGTCAAACGTGAGTTGCGACCGACTTGTGGTGCGTATCGGGTAAGCTGCTAACCCGGGATACAGGAACTTTACCGATGTCTTTAAAACGCCAGGCAAAATGAGAGGGAAAACACCTCGCACGGCACGCAAACGAAATGTGGAAGAAAGTAGAGTGGTGAGACTATCTATCATGCTGGATCCCACGACTATTGCCAACTAACTCATTTTCGCCAGCCATTGAGTGAAATATTTTCTTCGGCTCACAAACACGGAGACATCAGAGCAAGCCCTAGTCCCTTCATTCATCGTGTCATCTCCAAATCTACAGCCGCGGCAATGCCTGCTTCTCCTCGCCCCCGAGATGCAGAGAAAGAGTTGCAACCATATTATCCAACTCTTCGTTCAAACTTGAACTCCTTCCAGACCTATAACACTGATTCGGGATATCATGGAATGGAAGGTTTTGACGACGTGGTTCTACCCGATACGCAGCCGAATACCCAGGTGTCCACACAACAGATGGAAGTGGAAGTGGAAGTGGAAGAGCCGACAGTGTTGAGTCCTCAGGTCGAAATCTCACTAAGTCAACAAGCAGCTGATGACTCCTTCCACTCCGCCCAGGAGAATGTTCGTGCACGGGAAGAGACGGTTGAGCCTACGAATATGGAGCCAACTCCCGTGCAAGAACGCACTCCAACACCTCCAGAGACGCTTTCTAAGCAGGTGGAACCAGACATGAGCTTCACTCCAACCCCCAAGACACAACCCAAGGCTAAGTTGAGCCTCGGAAAGCAGAAGCAGCAGGAGAAGCTTTCAGGTCCACAAGATTCTATCACCCAGAGCGAGGTCCAAGTTGAGCCGGTTTTGCAGGCCGAAGATAACGACAACTCCCCGGAAGACCCCCAGGATGAAGCCCAAGACGAGGTCCAAGACGAGCTTCGAGATGAGCCAGTTTTCCAGGCACAGTCCTCCCCGGCGAAGCCAGTTGCTGTTGAAACCCCCAAGGTACAAGAAAGCCCGGAGCATGAGGATTATCATGTGGACATGGACACAGATATGGAGGATCACGCCAAAGAAGACACAGTGCTCGACAGCTTCGATGATATTGGTTCGCCCTCCGACAACTCTACACCGGAAAGAGGGCTTGTTCGGAAGAGTAGTCTGAGCTTTGCCTCTCTTCCAGCACGGGAACCTCTAACTAAGAGCATTGGGGGCTCACGACTTTCCCGTACTAGCCACATCGATCTCCCCAAGTTGAGCAACGCCAGTAGACTCAGTTACATTGGGAGACAAACTGGTAGTTATAAAACTACTCAGGTCACATTGGACGATAACCTTCGCAGTTCTGGCTCCATGGATCTTGATGAAGAGAAGGATATGGGCGACAAGACGTATGCGGAGCAGGCCAGCAAATTTCACAGCACAAAATCTACTCAGAGCCTTCATGAAAGAATCAGCATGCTTGGAAAAGCTCAGCCTTCACGACCAAAGAAGTCAATCGCAGCACCGGCAGTGGGGCTTGCATCTGCCAGTCAGGTCGCCTATCCAGACCTACCTACCACCAAAGTCGAATCCAAAGCCGAGATTTCAGATTCTAAGACTCGTGACATTCTCACCTCGGATTCTGCGGCAGCCGAAGATGATTGGATTCCCGAACGGCCGACCCTTGAAAAGAGCAAATCTGCAGATGTTATGGAAAACCTTAACTCAGATATAAACTACCCGGTGACCAAAAAGGACGCAGCTCCCAGCAAAGAGAAGCATTCTGCTGAGCCGGAACGTCCCAAGTCATCATACTCAATTTTCTCTTCGCCTCGCCCTCATGGCCATCAACAAAGCGCCTCTCTATCAAATATTACTCCCGCAATTTCAACTACTCCTACCGGGTCTCCTCGGCGATACGATGGTCCAATCAGCGCTTCAAAAACACGGTTGCAATCGATCATGAAGAGCGCCAAGGGATTGTTTACAAGCACTGGCAGCTCGGCCCGGATTGAAACATCATCACCTGAGCAATCTCGTATTCAGCGGAAACAGCAAGTGACTGCTGAAAAGAGTGACGATGAACCAGATCACCGCCGCAAACAGGCACAGCCTCGTCAATTGACTGGTTCCCCGCGACCGGAAGGTCGTCGAACACGCAGCTCCACTGAAAAGGAGCAGAAGCAGCGGCAGAAGGATTTGGAGGACCGACAACTTGAAGAGTCTCGTCAAGAGAAGATGCGGGAACAAGAAAGGCAACACGCTATTCAACTAAAAGCTACCCATGACAAATCATCCGTCGAGCCAGAGGAGCGAATGAACACCCAAACTCAGAAGCCCTCGCAGTCATTACGACCGCAGAGCCGCGAGCCTGAACCGGTTCAAGAAGCCTCAAGAATTGCTATGCCTCAATCCAAGCAAAACGATCGACGCCCTAAGCCAACTCGTGAACCCATGCAAAAGCCAAAGCCACAACCCGTATCTGTTCGAGTTGGTAGCACCCTGTCTCGTGCAATCCCAATGCCCACGGCTTCTACCAATGTTCAAGAGTCGAGTGTTCCGTTACCTGCATCAAAGCCGGGAACTTTGAAGAAGAAACCCAGTAACAATTCTCTACACACTGCCTCTTCCGCCAGCAGCTTCAAGAGCTCGGTTTCGAGCCAGACTCAGGCTCAGCGAAAGGCTCAACTTGCCAGCGATAGGAAACGGGAGCAGGAAGAGAAGAAGCGAGAGCAAGAGGAGAAGAAGCGGGAACAGGAAGAACGAGAGACTCGTCGGAAAGAGGAACAAAGGCGAGAACAGGAACGTAAGCGAGCTTTGCAACTCAAACAGCAGGAAGAAGCCCGCCGACAAGCTGAAAGTCGAGCTGAGGCGGACCGAGAGCGCCGAGAACAGTCCGTTCAGGAAGATTCCCAAAGAGCAGCGAACAAGCAGGCAATTGAGAAGTGGCGGATGGAAAACATGCGGAGACAAGAGCCGGGTGTGCCGCGGCCTGCTTCGCGTTTAGGTTCTCTTCAGCCCTACGGTCGATCAGTCAACACACCTGCTTCCAATCCTGCTAAGCCACCCAAGAGAGTGATGGAGGAGGATGCAGGTCATCGACCCGCCGTTAGGAAACCCAGCAATGTGCAGCCCTCTGGCGAGGCCAAGCGCGTCAAGACCGACGACGAGCACGGGCAAAATATCCGAACAATCGGCCGTCCAGTCCGCCCATCCAACACGATTCGCAAGGTATGTTATGCAATTTCTCCCTTTATTCCCACATTTACTTCATACATATACTGACCCATAAATCCAAACAGCCTTCATTGTTTAGCCAATCTGGCATGGGTCATCAGGGTGGCTCTTCGGTGTTGAAAATTGGTCAACCTCAAAGACCCGGACCTGGTCACCCTATGGATATGTCCTCGCTAGCGACTGGCAAGATCCCCTTCGCCGAACCTAACCGCGCACCTCCACCATCAGCACACAAGCCTTCTGCTCCTAGCTCCGTTCACCGAAACCCTGCTCCACCCAAGCCCTCCCCCAAGTACCCTAGCGGTGAAAGTATCCACCTTCCCGAGATTGCTACGGACAGCGAGGACGAGGATGACTCGGACTCGGAGATGTTCCCCGTGCCGAAGTGGGCGCAGGCCAAGGAATTGCAAGACCTTCTTGTTGAACAGGACGGAATGGAGGTGGACTCCATCTTTGGACCTATCGCGCCTTTCTCTTTGGAAGACACCTTCAAGGCCGACAAAAAGATTAAGAAGTACCGCGACCGAACTAGCAGTGCTAACTGGTCTGGTCCAGATGGTCTCACTCAGGAGGAGATTCGTAGAGATGTGGCCGATCGACAAAAGCTTCGTCGTAATGGCGGATGGTCCTTCAACGCTTGAGTTTGACGGAGTGAACATTTGTCGTGAACTTTTTTCCCCTGCATATCCACTTGGATGTAATAATCTTGGAAGGCTTCGAACAGCACTGGCAGTTAAGGCGTTGGTACCGCATTCTCAAATCAGGCATTAGGCGTTGTGTGTGTGTATGTATGGAGGCCTACATTATTTTATCGGCGTTTTGTATTTTTATACTGTCCCTGGATCTGTTAGACTACAGCGACATATGAAGCATCCAACAATCTGAATGCAAATGACTCCAATTCTAATTAAAAACTTTCTAATACACTAGTTTTCTCGAATTGTCCGATGTTTTTCCAACTCCATGCTCCTTGTCGTTGAATCATCAATGATTAAATGTTGGTGTGGAGCCTTCAAGTTCGCAAGTGCTCAGTCTGCTATCAGTAATAGACTGTCTCTTGGATTATATAGCGCAAATGTGACACCTATTACATGAACTAGCATCATTGGTCTAGTGGTAGAATTCGTCGTTGCCATCGACGAGGCCCGTGTTCGATTCACGGATGATGCATTTCTTTTTTTGCCATTTTTGTTCTCGATAACAAGTAGTTTCAGCACTTGAGAGTCCTTTCTTTTTTATTTCTTCAACCTTTCGACTGGGAATAACCTTGGAACAGTGCTTACAGGTGGAATAAGGCTGAGCTTTCAATTGGTGCCATGTAATCCTTCATTAATTATACTTTTCGCAACGTGGTCGATTGAAAATCCATCATGTTCCTATGCACATGCCAATAGCCTTTATATATACCCGCACCTACATAGTCCACATGCACCTCCAGGGCTACACCCTCAGGTTTCTACATACATGTGTGGCTCTATTCCGGGCCCTGTCAATCCATGTCTCAAGCACTTGAGTGGATCATGCACATTCAAATGTTGTCTTAATTATTGGAGAAGGGTTGAGTCTGCATGCACACATATATGTGGGCACAGGGCTGTGAATCGACAGATACATGGAACCAGTTGTGAGTGCATAGTGCTGGAACCTTCCCCTGAACCACGCCAATGAGGTGAGGTGCATCAAACATATGTGAGTTTCAAAATGTTCAAAAAGACCAGTACATAAGAAAAAGCTTCAAATGTTGGAAGAATGATGAAAGTAAACATTTGAAGGTAAAAAATATTGAATTGATTGAAACACAACCCCAAACCCCAAGCCTGACCTGGTCGCGCCGTCCATACATACCCAATATTGTACAAGACTACCTACTACCTAGTACATACCACATAACTTACCATGTATAGCAAGGAAAGTATGGATTTATTCCATATCAGGCTCCATGTCGCTGGCCCCACCTTCCAGACCCTCATCCATCGCATCTGGATTCAAATTCGCTGCATCAGGTGCAACACCCAGCTTTTCATCGGTCTTATCGTGGGAGATTGTGCGCCAGCCGGCCGCTACGGAGGGATCCTTGAGATACTCAGACATGGGGAACTGAAGTCATTGTTAGTCATTGGACACGTGCATAGATTGGTGAGAGCTTACGTAGTGATCGTTCTTCTTCATTGTGACAACCCAAGGGACATTGTCGAAAGTCACAGCACGCAGGCGGAAGTATGTATTATCTGGGATCTTGCGCACTTCATTGACAAAGAGATCAAGGTTGGGGGTCGGAGTGTCATTGACGGCAGTGATAAAGTTGGTTGGCGAAAGACCATAGTGGTAAGCAGGAGAGCCACGACTCTATAGGGAGAGAAAATAAAAGGTTAGTAATGTACAGAGGAAGACATGGAAAATGAAGAACTGGCTTACCCTCGCGCTAACATAAACTTCGCTGTGGAGTTTGGAGATTTGCTGTCTCACAGCATGATGAGGCCTCTGAAGAACAGCACCGCAGAAAACAACAGCACGGTCTGTTTCCAAATCTTCTGTTGGCACAGTGGGAACTCGAATACGCATCTCCTCACCGTTTCGGACGATGAGGGCCTCGAGAATTTCTTTTTCGTACATCACATCCAGCTCGGAAACCCGGGTAATAAGTTGGCCATCCAGAGTGAGAATAATATCCGCCTCTTGGAAACTGTCCGTGTCGGTTGTCAATCCCGCTGTTGGACAGTCAACCTTACGCACCATGAAGAGCTGGTGGCGCGAAGGATTGGCCTGAGCGACTTTCTGAATCCACTCCTCGGACACACCCATGATGCGGGCCTGGCTCATCTGAACAACATAGCTCTCCATGTTCAGAATGCGTAGCTGGGGAGTAAAACCCTGCAGAACCTTTGAGGTGACAGGGAGAAGCGAAGGTGTGGCAAATCCTAAATGGTATTCAACATCCTTATGAGAACTGGGGGTCCGCTCGCCAAGATAATTGAGCCACAGAGCCTGTACCACGCCGTCCTCGCCGATCAAAACGCCGTTGGTGCACTGGCCACTTAAACCGGTGTCCACTGTGATGGCGTCCAAGTTAATGGCTCGATACCGAGGTGCAGATGCGTTGGCTGGAATAGAAACTGTAGTGATATCGGTGACAGCAGTCTTGGCAACCACGATGCGGAAATTCTGGTTGAAACCGACAAAGATGGTATCTTGTCCTTGCTTGATGAAATCGGTGCTGAGTCGGGCGCTCTGAACAGGTGCCTGCACTAGACTGGGGTCGTATTGGATGATGGTGTAATTTTGGAGCGGGTGCAGGAAAACAACCTTAGCGATAACAATGACCGAGTCCGCAACGGTGATGGTAATATCGCAAAGATCATAGGGCACAATAGCGCGGGAGACAACCACCAGGCCCTTTTCAGCATCTATCACCAAACCGAAACCAGTCTTCTTGGCTTGCGGATACCCATCGAGCTTCAAAGGCATTGTGCAGGAAACACGCACAAAGCTACGCACAATCTCGGCTGCTGCAGGTTGGCTCACGCCATCCAGCTGAATGAAGTCTGCTTTGCGCGCCACGGGGGCCTCTGCAGGAATGGCATCGGCAAGATCGGAGAAATCCCAGAGTCCAGTTTCATCATTACGAACTGCGAGACGCATTGTCGGGTGCCAATGACGGTCGATATAGACAATGCTGGTACCCTTGGTATGAAGATCTCGAATGTGGCGATAAGAGATGACCACGCGAGAGCGATCGGGAATGGTTCTCATCACCCCTACAAACTCATCTAGGTTTCGAGTTTGTCGCTTGTCAACCGAGTCGATGATCCACCCAGACAGGGTGTTCTCCAGTTTGAAAGAGCCAGCAGCTTCGCACACGTATACTCCACGAGTGGGGATGGCGTAAAGCCGGGCTTGCTGGTATGATAGGTTATGGAAAGTACCACCGGCAACGGTTACAAACCGATCCGGGGTGATGGCGTGTAGATCACCAACTTGACACTCGACCTCAAGATCTTTGCCTCCTCTTTGAACCAACAGCTGAACTGTTCCCCCCACACTAGAATCTAGGATATCATCAAGACGAACAAATTGTGTAAGAAGCTCGCCATTCACCTTTAACAGCACATCACCTTCCTGCAATTTCCCATCACCGGGGCCTTCAGGTAAGATGATCTCAGCCGCAAGCATATTAGTCTCTGCAGGGGCAGCCTTGCGCACTGCGGCCTCCCACTCTGGGGTAAGTCCAAGACGACGACATTCATCAAAAGGCTTGAGAATCCACTGTGTTTGGATAGTGCCTCGAGTGACGGGCTTGCCCTGTCGGATACATTCCAATGCGCGAAGCGGGCGATCCAGAGGTAGGAAATAATCGGTGGCAGCGCCATCTGCTCGGCCTCCAGCTTGTAAAGCTACAGCATTGCCGTCGAGGTTGACGACGGGACTACCGGAACTACCACCGCTGGCAGCTGCAGCAGCCTGAATGTAGTTGGTGTTAAAATCACTGTATCCCTCGCCGTACTCGGGTGCATTGCGATCCAATCGACTGATCACACCCGAGAGAATACTGAGCTTTTCACCAGCATCATTACCAACTACCCGAATTTCTGTACCGACTTGAGCTGCATTGGGCTGGAGCTTGAGCTCAGTGAGCTTCATATACCGGATGGCCTTTGGGTCAAACTTCAGAATACCAAAATCATGGACAGGATCCCGATACACAGGGCGGACGTCACACTGCCAGGCAACGAGTGTTAGCTTTGCCTGTGTCTTGTTGACTTTTTCTTTTGCGACTGCATTCTTTTCAACCCGTGCCGACCAAACATACCTCTTCATGGTTGTCAAAAATAACATATCCCCAGAATGGACCAGCGCACACCACGTGCCGATTGGTCAAAATGTATCCTCGCTCTGCATCCACAACGAAACCAGTAGCTTGGCTGCTCATGGAAAGGTCTGTGTCGAAGGAGCAAGTCTGACAAAAGTGGATTGATACCACACTCTTCACGACTGTCTCAATTGTAGCCTGCCACTCTGGCGAGTCTGCTTGAGCAGGTCCAACGGCGAGCATGTGTCCCGAATCCGATTCTTCTTCGACGTCATAGACGGTTCCATTGGCCGGTGTTGAGTCGCCTGGAGTCAGAACTGAGCCTTCGGGCTTAAGATGTTTTGAAGGTCGCTCAGCAGCACCGGCGACAGTACTGCGCTTGCGCTTGACACCAGAATCACCATTTGCATCCATTTTGTAGGTTTGGAGGGAAGGTCGAGGAAGGTGGAAGGAAGCTCGAAGCGGAGGAGGAACTTGGAGGAAGAAGCGGCGATGCTCGGGGAAGCGACGATGGTTAGAAAGCAGGAAAGTGCAAGTGGGTCGGGAAGAAAAAAAAGAAAGTATTAGGAGTAATAGGAATCGGCCAATGCACCACAGCAGAAGCAGCAGTAGTAGCAAAACCTTGGAAGCTCCTGGTCAACAAAGACATGCGCGCAAGAGAGATGAGAGGCGGAGAGGAAAAACGGCGGTGCTGATTGGTGGGCGCACCCGTTCACACGATACGATCCCATGCCCGGACCACGCGCCCCATACGATGATCTTCTTGCTAAATTTACATGTATTAGTTGGCTCTAAAGTACGGACAGAAACAAATGGGGAGAATAAAAAAAGAAGAATAGATTGTAGAAATATAAATTTCCGGTGTAGAGAGGTCTGATCCAATCCCTAAACGTCATAGAAATGTTTGTGAACTGTCTTTGCGATTCCCTCAAGTATTATGAGGATATCCCGCATGTTTTCTTTTTCTGCGCAAAGTCGCCAGGCGCCAGGCGTTTTTGAAATTCCAAATGTGTTACACTCATTAAGCCCAGGTGTTTCATGCCCTGGGTGTACTACAAAAACCCAAGAATCGGAACTTGGAGGGCGCAATAGATAGAACAGGGCGAGGCGCCTGTTGACGGGAGGCGCCGTCCCCAACCCGGTTGGTGCAGTAATGGGGGACCGTGATCCCTTTCCATAATAGCTCATCTGACTGGTAGATCGGGCACGACCAGAGATCAATGCAAGACCAGCAAAGGAAGAAGGATGAGGAGGGTGGGGGAGGGGAAAAGATATGAAACCCCTCCTTGTCATAGCATAAGCATTATCGATACACACGGGCAAAATACCCAGTCATCAGACGAGTGACTCCGGCATGGGGGAAGGACTAGGCCCGCCGTTTCCCTGCATCATGGCGGGACTAAACCGCTGAGGAGTGGGGGCCTGACTAGATCGAGGAAAGAGCTCGTTTAATTTTTGGTACGACTCATTCAGGATGGGCATACTCGGAGGTGGAGTCATCAAGGCCGGTGCTGGGAGTCGTTTTTGCTTATCGGTGATGGACGCGAGGTACGACAAATTGGCCTGTAGTCGTCGCATACAATCAACGTACTCCTGACTCGGCTTTTGTGGGGCAATGGTCCCATCATTAGAACCCGAGCCTGCCTTGCCCGACATCTGCAAGTTGACAATCTCCTCTAATAATGTCGAGTTGATGTCAAGGAGTGTTGTCATGCGAACCTTCTCTCGTGCCATGGCCTGCGCCTGCGCTTGTATTTGAGCCGGGGATGGTCCTTGCATCTGAGTCTGGGATTGTTGGGCCTGCTGAGGCTGGACCTGGCCTTGGACCTGACCCATGTTGGGAGTCCCCGGCTGAGCGGACCGGGGGGAGTTTACTTGAGCCCGTGGCTGGTTGGCTAGCAGATTGTTTGCGGATATAGAGGCCATGTTCTGGGAAAAGGTCTGCGCGACGGTGGATGGGGTATTCGGGGCGGGATTGGCTTGCGAAAATTGGGCCATGTTTGCGGGGAGGGGAGGTTGGCTAAAGGGCGCAGAGAAATTCTCCATCGGTGCTGCTACCATATTAGCGACCAGGTCCAATGTCAACAGGCGTCAAACAACTATCGGCTTGCTACGCGGGGTGCGCCTTTGTCCCCCAGATAAAGAGACCGGCAACACAAAACGAGTGGGAGCGCCTCAAAATGCCAAGAGCCAGTCGAAAAAAATCGTAAGCGCTGCAGGTCTCCAGAATGGACAAGAGAGTCCAGGAAGGGGACACTGAAGGCGAACAGCCCTAGCCTAGGCCTCGGATAGAAGAGAAGCCTTCAGCCTCTGAATAGCTAGAGCTAGAGCCAACAGGATGACCCACAGGGGGGGAAATGTGACATGAATACGGCGCTAGTTGCGATAATGCAAAAGAAAGAGAGAGGGAAAAAAGAAATAGAAAAGGATGGACTTCAAAAATGGGGGTGGAAAATTGACCACGTACCGGAAGACTGTTGGGGGAAGCCTGAGGGCATCATAGCTCCACCGGGAACACCTGGCTGCATTGGGATGGAACCAAAGGAATGCTGCTGCTGTCCAGGCTGTGACGGGGGCTTGGACTGGGGGAATTGTTGGTTTGGATAGAACGACATCGGATTCGAGGGGCTCTGCGTCGGGACGGGAAAGCCTGCCGGGTTGTAGCCAGAGTTGGGGTCCATTGGATAATAAGGTGTGCCCATCACGAAGACAGACTATCAACGTTAAAAAGGGGCCGGGGGCGTCCAAGGTTGGCCCGCAGTCAATTCTGTGCGTGGGGGGATTCTTTTTTTCTTCTTCTTTGAACCGCCAAGATAAAGCCCGGGGAAGGCTGTCAATTACGCACACACCGCACGGATAAGAGCGAAGGGCTGAACGGGGGGGTTCCTCGCTCGCGGGAATCCAGGGATGGGCAGGGGAAATGGGCAGTTGTATTGGAGGTAGTGATCTAGACAACAAGACACCGAATGGAGAGCAGTGATTGGCTCGGATCACAATAATGAAAGACCAGGGGGGATAGAACACGATCGACCGCTGCTTTGACAGAGCTGGACTCGGAGCAAGACAGATTTTGGTGGGCGTTGGTCCGGATTCAGAGTGATCAGCCGTGGGCGGACGGGCTAATGCAGCGGAGCCTTTTCGGTTGGAAGTGGGGACACGGACCCAGTGGTGGATATTTGCTTTCTATTAGAGGATTTCTTTATGATTGCTGGAGTATTGCAGAATAATTTAGCAAGATGCTTGGATTTTGAAAGAAAAAAAAAGCACAATAGATCCGACATTAACGACAAGCTTAAGAAAGAAGAGTTCTTCAAGGACGATAACGGTCACGGGACTCGCAGTCCCTTGTATGATACAAGACAGTATCGATTGAAATAGTTACACAATACCCGCTTTAAGCCATGAGAAATATGGTGACTTGCAAGCCATAAATGATGAGAGAAGCACTATTAGCATGTATTAACACATATAAAATGCGTACCACAGAAGTATCAAAGCTGACTTGGGAAGTCAATATGTACTATACAGTAGTATGATGGTGCTAAGCACGTGGACCTTGATAGCCTGAGGCCCACGAAATATGCAGTTCTTAGTCAGCCCAATAGTTTGTACGGAGTAACTAACTAAACATCGAACCTGTTACGGAGTAATCCGATCTGCACTTTGAGTCTAACTTTCCCCCCCTCAAAGGATATTACCAGTGCATATCATTGCATCATGGCAAGGGGTAGATCGGCATTGAGTCGGTCCTTACCGCTCATCCTCAGCCGCAGTTTGTTTACAGTACACTCTGTACTCCATTCTCAGCCGCAGAAGACCAACTGCGCCACACCAATACCTATGGCTCAGCCCACATGGTGTGGTTCAGTTATCTTTCCTTGTACGGAGTGGCAGACGCGGTGTAAAAGATAACATTCGAATAAGATCAGTCATTTTCAAATCTGGTTCCCCGGCCCTCTAGTTCTATTCGATATGCATTCGACTTGACGGTGTCTTGGCATTTCTTTTGAAGTTGAATCCCGTCCAAATTACCTTGATGCATTGTGATGCGCACATGTGCAAAACAAGAGAAGAAGATGACAGGAACACTGACTTTGGAGTATAATAATCAATGAACCGCCTCCTCCCCGTCTCCAACTGAGATTATATAGGTTGACACTGACAGATTCTACTACTGTAGTATCGAGGTTCGGTTCTCCGTACTTGGGGAATATCTAGGTACCTTCCCAAAATCTGCCAAAGAAAAAAAAAAATTGGATGTGTCGTTGGGTCGCGGGGCGCTAACGGCGACTCCGGGTGCATCTGATATCAGATTCGATTACCAAAACCGTTGAGTGATCTAGCAATGGGTACGGCCAATCCAGAACGTTTGATCAGCGATGTCGATCTGAGTAGTTTCCAGGGAACAAGGGCATGTGACGCGGTCGAAAATATTAATCCAAAATCCAAAATCCAAACCCAAAAACCCCCAAAAAAAACAAAAAAACAAACCGCAAGTCATCCATACGGGGATTGAGATTGGGAGGGGCCCACAATTGAGGAGACGGAAGTCATCTGGAACGGGCGACCTGCATTTCGCTAAGAGGGGCACAATGGATCAGGTATTTGGACGCCACTAATGCGGTTTGGAAGGATCCATTCTTGCCCAGTTTCCAGGAAATGCAAGCCGGTGATCTTTTCCTTTGCCTCAAGCCAAAGATGAATACGAAATGAGCCCTGAAAAAGGTTGACAGAGCACCCCAGAGAAGAATGGCAGCAGCCACTTCAGCCAGCCACAGTAGACTCAGTGCGGAGGATGCCTCGGAGTTCTATTTCCGATCAGGCACCGCATACAGGTTTTCATGGATCAATGTACGGAGTACGGATTGTACAATGATTTGTATCTGTCGGTTGCCACTTGCGGAAAGGGCAGCATTTGAGGCTTTGAGCTCCAAAAGGCAACTGGGCTGGGTTTGCGACATAATGTCAGCAGAGACCATGCAACTCTACTAGTATGCTTCGAATGTTTGTTTCCGCCCTATGCAGTGCGTTACACAGCAGTACGAAGCAACCTGGTACGCGGTATTGCGCACGCCTACCGTAAACTTTCCCCCCTGCCCCTCCTTCCCCCAGGGAAACCAAGCGATGAGTCTGACAGCAAGATGGGGGCTCTACTCCACATCCTACTATCTAAATACCTGTAGGGAGTAGATAACCTTCAGCAGTCCAACCACAATTGGATGAGTTCGTGAAAAGATGATGAGATATGTACCCCCGAACCTAATCTGCAGCCCTGAAATGTCATGATAGGCCCTGAGAATTATTTTTCTTTTCCACTGTGGACCTACATATCGAAACATGCATCAAATCCCGAGTGTCAAATCCCTGTGCTGAGAGAAACCCCCGCCATGCACGAGAATTTGTCAACCCTAAAAGTCATTAACCCACCTCGGATTGCATGACTTGCATCCGGAGAACTCTGGTTTGTGTTCTCCGTTACAGTCTAGTGCGTGGTGATCAGTTATTTGATTGTCGATCTCCGAGGCACATGTCCAGATCAATCTACCCTAGGGGGAAGGGGAAAGGGAAGGGGGTGAATGAGTTTCGGGAAAGCCTCCCAAAAAAGACCCTAAACCGAGTCAGCAGGACGCTACGAATGAACATGGACGATGACAAGCTTTGAAAAAGAGACCTAATTTGTCTAATTTGTCTAAATTGTTGTGGATCTCGGGGATTAGGAAATCATCCGAATCTATTGAAGTGGATACGGATTAGGATGCCGTACCCCGTAAGGAGGATGTCGTTTTCTTTTCTTTATCTTCAACAAAGGCATACATACTAGTAGATGCAAAAATTTGCTCCATGTGGGCCATTCGCGGCGTCTGGTTCCACCCCAAAGAAGAAGTTGCTTCCAGTGCGATTGACGATTGATGTTGATTGATTTTTGACAAGCCTCTCCAGTGGATTTGACAGGAAGTGACGTTCGGGTTGACCCTTGACTGGCAAACTTTGGTGGATCCTACAAACGATCCTAAAAACGAGATTTTTGCACAGTAAGACATTCAGATCTCTTGATGAGTTGCCTCAATTGGACAATTATTGAATCAGGGCTTTCGGTGAATTGCAGCCGAATGTTGCAAAGACAGCCAAATGGGCCCAATCCAGGCCACCAAAGACTGGGACCGAGCGGGGTCCGGTCAAGTCATCTTGTTAGGGGTGGCAAATGATCCATAGTTGGATTGAACCGAGGAGAGGAAGAGAGAGAGAGAAAAGAAATGAGAAAAGAAAAAGAAAAGAAAAATAATGGAAGAAAACAAGAAAAAGGGAAAAAATGGAAAAAAAGAAAAAAAAAAAAAAAAAAACTAGAGCACAAACCCACCGTTGCATTGATTCTAGGGCATGTTCCAGTTCTCCTCACGGGGAAAAGAGAGGCATCATCCGATGGGGCTAAAACCCCACGGACAAAACCTGCAACTTCCACGATCATGTTTATTCTTACGGTGAAAGGGCTGAAGGAAGTGAATTGATCGACCGACTCAGCCACAAAGTGGCGTCGAGGTTGTACCTGCTAATAAAACTTACCCAAACGCCATGCACCTGCACAATGCGTATTCTTTCGTAACATTGAAGAGAAACGTGCAATCCACGGATACGGAGGGTATGTACAGGTCATGCATGAACCATTAAGGAGTCATTGAAAAAAAAAACTTGAAAATACCGGAAAATACTTGGTTATGCCTAGAAATTGGAAATTGATGGGGTTTTCTTTTTTTTTTTTTCAAACATTTGAAATGCTCGATTTCTATGTACCAGGTCCGATTCCATCAGGCATTTGAATCCATCCCGATCTGTCTCGTCCTACCTAGTGGGGGCAATTCGAATAACCGTGTTCTATAGAAGACCTCATAGTCTTAAGACCCGCGTCGGTACCTACTACTAGGTAATGTAACTCCCGGGAGTGGTATGGCCATAGGTTTATTATTATTATTATTATTATTATTATTATTATTATTATTATTATTATTATTATTATTATTATTATTATTATTATTATTATTATTATTATTATTATTATTATTATTTTTTATTACCATTTTGTTGTTGTTTTTTCTGGCATCATTCTGGAAAAGGAAAGTCCATAGGTCAATCTCGGAGCTCAGAACAGAGAGAAATCGATAGACCGGGAAAGGGATCAGCCTTTTCCGGTCATGATCTAGTGCATACTCATATTATATTATGGTATTTGTCAAAGGGCTTCAAATCTAGACATTCTGATCGAGAGAGAAGGATGTCTGCTTCGTCATCATACATTGGAATCCAGTCCAGTATATCATGTCAGAATAGAGCTACCAATCAGAAGCCCTGATTGTGCCCTGGGTAAAAATGTGCCGGATTCCAGCCTCTAACTGTGGCGGAAATCACCTGCATTTCTCGGACTTAGTCCCCACTGAACCAGCCTTACATAGTCATATAGTCCATGTGGGTGGGCACGGGTATCGTACAGATCTGATCGCCTTGCATTGGGAAAATGCGGGCCGGAGCAAAGGAAAAGAGAGAAAAAGAGCCCAAAGAGTGGAAATAGCTGGGAAAAAAAAGCAAAAAAAAGCAAAAAAAGAAGAAAAAAATAGAGCAAAAATCAAATAAACAAGTAAAAAAAAAAGGGCAGAAGATGTCAATGAGCCACCGTCAAACTCAATCTGCTGCTCTTGTTTTCGCCTACGCCACACCGGCATTTACAGGCTGTAAAGATGTCTCTCAGCCCTCATTCGGAGTAGTCAAGGGAAAAAAAAGGCTGCATGATACTAGTTCGACCTATCGTTCGTACTTTATGGCAAAGGTGCCTGAATGTCAAATATCTGGTGATCCTCATGCATCAAGCTCAAAATAGAGATGAAGATAATTCTAGTCAGTTTTATTGTTTTGTTTGACCGTACTTCTGACAACTTGACGGCCGGTAATTGATCTACATTCCACGTCTCCGTACCGGCCGGAAAGAATTGGCGTAATCTAATGGATCCAACCTTGCTTGAGGAAATTCTGGAAATTCTGGAAATGGGAAATTTCGATTTTTTATCTCAAATCATCAGCTCGCTTGACCGTTGGGATACTAATGAGATCCTAGTTTCGGCTTTACTAACTTCTACCTTATCCACCCTTTACGCTAGTAATGTCTACTATTGACCTGAATCTGTCAACACTCTACCGAGTTCTTTCCAAGGTATTCTCAATGTAACTGAATTACATGATCTTACATGAATCATGATCTTTAGAAGCAACTCATGATTGTTTTACTGGAGAATAAAGGCCTTGAAAAGAAGGAATGTAATCTAACATAGATCAACTGTGAACTATCCCTTTGTACGAACCATGCGGCCCAGGGAACCGTTATGACACCCGGACCCATAGAATTCGAGACCGTCAAATAATCCAATCAAAAAATCACAAAAAACACAATTCAAATCCAGAAAGAAAAAAAAAACCCCAAATCTGCATGCAATCTGTACCTGTAGGTCAACGGTAAGGCCAATACGTAACGTAGTGTGGATAGTGCGTGGGCATAGTGGGCCTTGGTTTAGAGGGGGGTTTCTTTGCAGTATCTGAACCAAAAGTCCCGTGCTTGATCTTTCACGCTCTTTCTCTCACTCTCTTTCCCAAGCCGATCTCTCCACACTGTCAACAGGCCCCTTCGGCCCTGAGCGCCACAGCCAGGGCTGGTGGAGGACAGACAACAACTATAAAATCTCCGGGGCCAGGTCACTATTACTGATTTCTCCTGGTGGGACCTTTGGTGGTTAGTGATTTCCTTTATATTGCTGGGTTTCCAATCCCACACAACAATGCTCCCTGCCTATAAACCTTCCTGTTCGTCCCAGTTCGTGGCTCGGAACCCCTTTTATCCCTCCAATTCTTTATCAAAACTTGACCTTTATTCCCAGGTACTGGCATTTGGTTATAAGGTATGATCTTCACTGATTTGTTACAAAAAGGTTCTCGGACAAATACTGGGATTGGGCACCAAAACCTTGAATCTGACCATCATCCATAGGTACCGCCAACCATGTCTAACCGGCAGGATGAGTTGGCTCATCCACATTTTGCTCTTATTTATATCGACCGAGATGGCAACCTTCGTCATGAAGCGTCGCCGTCCATCGCCAATAGCCGTGAGGCCATCTTATCTCCACGAGTGACCGACGCATTTCTGCAGGCAGTGGCTATGTCTGGGGAGCCCGGCCCATCACATTCTCAATGTAAGTATCACATACTCTCCCTCGCTATCACTGGCGAGAATTAAGAAAAGGCAACGTATTGATCCGAATGCAGTTGAGTTGGGATCGGGCGCGTTAGCCTCCCCACAAATAACGGTCGGTGTACAAGGCTTGCTTCCATCTCAAATGAGCCAAGTATCTTCCAGTTCCGAACCCAGAGGCATGGAAAGGCACAGGCGAGTGGCACCCGCACCTCAAGGGTCATCGAGAGACCCGACCATATGGCCCGCGCAGCAGCAAGAACCCTGGCCACCAGGACCATCACAATGGACTCCAAGCCCACAGACTACCCAACGAGCACAGCCATGGAATGAAGAGACTACCTTAGCTAGCTCTCTCAAGTCCCTCATCTGTGTTCGAGACAAAGAATTTTTGCTTCGTTACTATGAAAAGGTTTTTCAAAACCTACAGCAAACCAACTGTCGTGTCCTAGCCAAGGCTTACGTCAAGTTGGTAGAGCCACGCAAGCAGGTCAACTATCCATACAACGGACGCAAGATTGTGGATGGCCGGACACAGCAACTGAACCCAGAAGAGACCAAGCCCCCGTGGTGGCCATTAGGGGTAAGCCACCGAGAGCCCGATCACCTTCCAAAGGCTGGTAAGAAAGACCCCCCTTCCCCTTAGCTTCTCTGAGCAGCCCTCTACTCCCCCTCTCTAGAGATGCTTACAATCTCACTCTTTGAAGAGCGAATTAGACTTCTTGTCTATCTGCTTTGCGAGCTGCGCACTAGCTATGGAATCACCGCCCGTCGGCTGAAGGAGGCAGACCAGCCGATACGACGTCAAATCACCCCAGTCGAACGGTTACAGATGATGGACGAAATCTACGAGGTTAGAGAGGAAGAAGAGAAGTTTTTAGATGGAAAAACAGGTAAAATATTGCACCGTCATGCTAAAATGGGAAAGAAAGAACGAAAGCTCATCAACTTTAACAGACGGGAGAACCCTAGTATCCATCGCACGAGCGAACCTTCCTGACCCTGTGAACTCACCAAGTAGCCGCAAAAATACCCCGAATGATGAGAAACCCCCCAAGGAACCTCATTACGAAACCATGTGTATTCGCAGCGGACCCACACGAGCCCCGAATGACCCCCAACCTGCATTTGCAACGGCCAATGTGTCGGCAAATGTGTCTCCAATACTTCTTCCTCCCTCACACAGCCCTATCCAATACGTCAAGACCGAGGCCTCTATAAACCGCGGTGTCGACGCCATTCAAGTTGCCATGTCAGCCCAAGATTTGAAGAGGAAGCGTCAGTGTGTTGAGGCAGGGGTACCTCTCCCTACCAGCGCCACGCCCAGTCCTAGTCTAAACCCGAATCCCAATCCGAACCCCAACCCCAACCCTTTGGAGTATTATAATCCTGTTTACGTGGGGGCACCACCTTTTATGCCGGAACCCTACCATGAGCTCCAAGGTTTCCCACCTCAAGCAGATTCCACCCAAGCGCAACATCCTAACGAGCCATTCGGAGAGGACATGGACTCTTCTGCATTTCCTTACTATTTCCAGTACTAGCGTTTTCTTTCTCATTTTGATTTTGGCAGCTATCACGGATCACGACTCTCTTTTGTTTGATGTTGATATGAGGAATGACATTCTAAGGTTCCCGATTTACTGAAATCTAATTAGCGCTGATATAGCAGCGTACACACACGCAGACACACATACATACACATGAGCAAGTGTCACCTTTTGATATTTAAAACAATGCAAATATCAATCCTATTGCAGTCAAAACCTAGCTTCTTCCTTAAGATTCCCAATCCCGTCAGATACAGCACAAGGCTCCAACTAAGCTGTCACACACTGCGAATACCAATCATTATAGAATGTACAAGTATAGCCAGTCACACAAGTCGTTCCTCCTGTCCAGTTCTCACCGCCACATTGGCCATAAGCAGCCACACCAGTCGAGCTCGAACCCGAGCTTGTGGTAGTAGCAGTCGTAGTAGCAGTGGAAGTACTAGCAGTAGAAGTAGCACTACTACTAAGCGTGTAAGTAGCCGTACCAGTCGGCGTACCACCCAAAGCAGTCAAGATACCCGTATAAGCAGGCTTCTTGACAAACTCATCATCCCACGGACAAGCCGCGCCCTCCCCGGAGAATGTAGCCGGAACCCAGGAGTACTTATCCGTCCAATCCCAGATCGTGATACCCACACACCCACTAGTAGCCACGCAGGCAGCAACTGTGCTCGCGTAATCGGTCTTTTGCTGCGCGAGCAACGCGTTCGTCTCCGGGAGCGTCATGCGGATATCCAGCTCCGTGATTGCGACCTCGACGCCCAGAGCAGTGAAGGCCGCCATGTTGCTTGCCTGGCTACTCTGGCTCGGTGTGCTGCCAACGATGAAGTGCGATTGTAGACCCACGCCGTCGATCTTGGCGCCGTAGGACTTGACTAGATTGACGATGTTCTGCGCTGCCGTTGCCTTGGCTCCTGCGTACTCGATGTTGTAGTCGTTGTAGTACAGCTTGACGTCTGGGTCGGCGGCGGCGGCTGTTGCAAATGCGATGGGGATGTAGGCTTCGCCGATGTATTCGTAGAATAGGTTGTCGCGGAATGTGCCGTCGTCATTGAGACCTGTCTCGGTGAGTATGGTCCATATTGTGTAGGGAGAGAAGGGGGCAGGGAGCAATGCTTGATAGTACCTTCGTTCACAACATCCCATGCATAGCATTGTCCCTTGTAGTGAGTGACTACGTTTGTGATATGGTTTTTCATTGCTGCGAGTAGAGTCGCGTTGGTCCAAGTACCACTTGTCACTATATCGCCCCAATAGTCAGTTGACGGAACTTTGCCCAAGGTTAATGTAAACAAGGAACTTACCCCAGGTTGGTAGCTGTTCATACCAGACAAGATTGTGGCATCTCAGTTTCTGGCCATTGGCCTCAGCCAGATCGGCAATCACATCTCCTGCGGTGAATGTGAAGACATTCTGGGTTGGTTCGGTTGCGTCCCACTGGAATTAGGCTTTATCAGTGTCTGAACTTTATTTACGAACTTAATATCTTTGAGTTTCGTACCTTCTGAGAGTTTCCAGGTGTGATCTGTCCAAAATCCTGAGTATTGTTCAGCTGCGTTTCATAGGCAGTGTCCGTCAACTCTGGGTTATCGGTTGCCGTTCCAAAGTATAGCTTTCCCACAGCGACAGCTGCTGTTTCTAGGCCGGATGATTGGGCCCTGAAGGAAATAAAAAAAAGGAATGATTAGACTTGGCTCAATTTAGTGGGTTATAGCAAGTATGATACATACAGCTGTGGAAGAATGCTGGCTGCCAATGCCAGGGCTCTGACAGATGGATAAAGCATATCGAAAGTAGTATTTCTCGGTATCTCAGTACTTAAGCTTGAGCTACATGAAGAAGACAGATAGGATGGACCATTATGTGGGCTAGACATATTATATACCAATATTCCAGGCTACTTGCAATATTAGCCTGTATCAGTCAGTCTCAGATCATCAAGTCCGGACAATTACCCCGTGGCGGAGTGGGCGCGGCTTTCAGTGAAGAACACAGCGCCATTCAGACATTTACTTTGGCTTTCGGCTGGAACCCTAACTTACAACCATCCATACATTCTTATTTTACGACCCATGGAAAGGAACCAGAGATACTTTTATACTGCAAAGTAATTTTTATGTAATTTTTTTTTTCAACTTTCTCTTCCATTTTCGGGACGTTTTTAACCAACAACACCACATGTGCAGATGGTCAGTGCATCAGGTCTAAGGGTCCGAAATTTTAGGGCCAAACCACCAACGTTTCAAGTCGCAGATGACAGTGTAATCAACACTGTATTTCAAACGAAACAATTACTAACACCATTTTGTGGGGTAAGTTAAAATGAGCCAAAATGCCAGGTTGTTCCACCCTATTACATGTCTAGGTTTGTCGCTTTGACGTTCGAGTTCTGCAGGAAAACGCCAAGTCGGACACGTCTCCGTCTTCCACACGGAACACAGGACCTGCATGATTCCACACCCCCTCATTTGGCACAAATCTGGTGAGCCTAAATTAGCTTAAACTCCCCTGTCATTCTTCAGGTGAATAGGCTAATATCAACACTTGTAACCGGAAAGTTGGGAGGGGGGAAAGACTTGATTCCGTACTAGTAACAGTGGAATTTTTGACAGTCAGAGAGGGAGCTTCCCCCGCTTTGTCTAGTACTATGTAAATAGAGGATATATACAAAAGTCCACAAAAAGATTTTGAGAGGGTATCGAGCTTTTCAGTGCGTAAGCAAACTGGGAAAGTGCCGGACCGGAGAATCATGAAGCAAAACTCGAGTCTTGATAGAAGTCAGTACGACACCGATGGGACCGAGTATCAAAAGCATACACTTGGTCAAGGCGATAAATGAGGTACTGATGTCAGGGCTTCTGGTACAACCAATGATAATTGATGGGGCCCCCAGAAGCGAGGTTGGCATACTTGCTCCGGAAGATTGGGCGTGCGAGCAGCGCGGTGCCAAAAACAGGAAGCGTATCAGAATATGAAAGTATCACGATATCCGATCTCAACCGGTCTTCCGAGCCTTCATTTCCGCAATGAAAGCTCCAGTCTTGCTGGTTGGCACGATGAAGATACGAACCATCTCATCCACAACCTCGACCTTTCCACCAGTCAAGATCTGCAGCAGGGGCAGCTTCTTGCCTGCCTTGATCAGACCACCTGAGACGGTCTGCATGAAGCACTCAACATTGGGAATGGTGTATTCCTTCTTCGTATCCCACGGCAAGGGGAACATGTATTCCAAATGGTCCGCAATGCAGTGCAGTTCCGAAAAGCTCTTGATAAAGTCCGATTGGGCATCCATGGGGTACAGGAAAACTGCAGGGAACTCGACAGAACTCTCGGGCGATAGTGGGTCGGGAACCAGTCGAATCTTCGCATCCTCCATCTCAGGCGGTTGGTCAGTTTTGCGGGTTCTGATCTCACGGGCACGAAGAGCAGTGCTAAGAACTAGGTTTTGCTTGCGCAGAAGCTCAGCTTCGGCCTTCTTTCGGGCGGCAGCCCGTGCCAGATTTGCCTTGCGCTCAGCAATCTTAGTGGCGGCAGTCTGCAGTGACTTGTTCTCGGAGTCAATGGCCAATCCTCGTTTCGCGGAATCTTCAGCTTCGTCAAGCTTCTCCAACTTCAACAGGGCCATGGAAGAACGGTAATAGGCCTTGACGTTCGCAGGGTTCAACTTAATCGTAGCGGCGCCATCGAGGATGCAAGCACGGTAGTTTCCTGTAGAAGCTGTCAGCAATTGCGTATCACAACATCGAAATGTGTAGTCCAAACCTACCTAGTTCCAGGTTACACAAAGCTCGGTTGATATGCGACAGCTCCTCCATCTTAAGAAGCAATTTCTTCTCCACAGCAATGTCTTCGGGCTTTTCCCATTTATCTTCCTTGGCAGCGATGACTGCAATAGCCTTCGTGTACATCTCCTTGGCGTCAATCCACCGTTTCTCTTGAACAGCTTCATTTCCCTGTTCCTTGAAACTCTGAGCAACCTCACCCCGAGTACCCTCATTTTGCAATGCCGTAAGCGCGTCCAGCATAGCGTTATCACCATCTATGAGACGAACGGTTAACATGGAAAGAATCCAACTTAAAAGGGCAGATCAAACATACTCTCGTCACCCGCATTCTCAATATCAGTCATGAACAACGGGGTTTTGTTCATCATATCCATCAGCTCGTCGGATGTATGCGACTTGATTGACGCCATTGCTGGTGGCATATCAGGAGCAGAGGGATCTGTCTTTGCTGCTTTCAGGCGCTCCTCATTGATAGGGAACGGCACTTCGTTGGAGGGGGCAAATGCGTTGAACCCAGGCTGGGGTACGCTCGGAGGAGCCGCAGTGGGCACCTCGTTGAGATTGAGCGACTCATCGAAGTCATCCGGGAGCTCTTCGATACGTGACATTGTGAATGGATTTGTTGGTCTGCAAACTGTAGGGAACTTTTTTTTTTTTCTTGATGTCACTTCCGCGGGGAAAAAATCAAGACAAACAGGGCAAACACGAGGGGCGATTGGTGAGTGACAAACAGTTACGCCTGGTGGGTTCTTTCCAATTCTACATTAACATCTATGGATCATTCGACTTCTCCATATTTTATCTCCATCCAATCAAACCAAGGATATGGAGTGAGAAAGAGATATCATTCTGATTTTCTCTTCATGATCACGTGGAAGCAGAGCCCTACGCCTTAATTATGGGCGAATAATTAACTCCTGATTTACCAGGTGTCAATATCATTGATGCCTTAGGGGAACAAGGATCCACTTTCACGCTAATTATAGAAACTTGTATACTTCTTTCAGTACAGGAAATAAAAACTGCCTGGATCATTTGATATTCATACAACTACATATGTGAGCTCATAAGTTCGGTAGGCAGCTGAGGTAACACTGTTTTGATGAGCCCCATCATCGGATACTATGCCATCGGGGCTCGCCCGAAACCAACCAACCCCGCATTCATCGGACGAAAGACCGAGAGACGCCTATATCGGCTCAATACATCCTTCAATAAATTATATAAGACATGAGCTAACACTCAACTTTACTTCAAGTATAGGTATATGAAAATTTAGTACAAATACTTGTCTACAACATGGCCCAAACACACAAAATCCTCGTCCTCCCAGGCGACGGCATCGGCCCTGAAGTGATGGCCGAAGCCATCAAAGTCCTCAAGGCCTTTGAGACTCCCCAGCATACCTTCCAGTTACGCCAAGAATTAATCGGAGGCTGCAGCATTGATGCAACCGGGAAGTCTGTCACAGACGAAGTCAAGCAGGCGGCTCTAGACTCCGACGCAGTGCTCTTTGCTGCAGTCGGTGGACCAAAATGGGATAACGCACGAAAGGGGCTCGATGGGCCCGAGGGGGGCTTGCTGCAGTTGAGAAAGGCCATGGATATCTATGCGAATTTGAGGCCTTGCTCGGCGGATTCGCCGAGTAGCTCCATTGCAAAGGAATTTAGTCCGTTTCGGCATGAGATTATTGAGGGAGTGGACTTTGTGGTCGTGAGAGAGAACTGCGGAGGTGCTTATTTTGGAAAGAAAGTCGAGGAAGAAACCTATGGTGTGTATTATCCCCCTGGCTTCGATCTTCGGGAAGAGAGTTCTGACGACAGGCTGGACAGCAATGGACGAGTGGGGCTACAGTGAAGCCGAAATCCAGCGCGTAACCCGTCTATCCGCAGAGATTGCACAGCGACATAATCCCCCATGGCCGGTGATCTCACTCGACAAGGCAAATGTTCTAGCGTCATCCCGGTTGTGGAGGCGGGTAGTAGAGAAGACGATGAGGGCCGAGTATCCGGATGTGAGAATCGTGCATCAGCTTGCCGATTCGGCATCTTTGATTATGGCGACAAACCCGCGGGCTCTAAACGGTGTGATCCTGGCTGACAATACCTTTGGAGATATGCTATCCGACCAAGCTGGCTCGATTGTTGGAACTTTGGGGGTTCTTCCCAGTGCTAGCTTGAATGGTCTTCCCGGGGACAAGACATTGAAGACACGGCCATACGGGTTGTATGAGCCTACCCATGGATCAGCACCGACGTAGGTCCAATATAAGCCAAGTATCCATATCCCGAACTAACCGATGCCAGAATCGCTGGGCAAAATATTGCCAATCCGGTCGCTATGATACTGTGCGTTGCATTGATGTTCCGTTACTCTCTGAATATGGAAGATCAAGCTCAGAGATTGGAAGATGCGGTTCGAAAGGTTCTGGACTCTGGACTGCGGACTCCTGATCTGGGAGGAAATGCAGGGACAGATGAAGTGGGCGATGCCATTGTGGCTACCTTGTGAACAACCTTGGAAAGGATCCCGAGTCTCCAAATTTTGAATCGTCAAATGTTGTCCATGTCAGTTTGTCGTACTAGCAGCTATAGTACTACTACACCCTGAAACCTAAGGGAATGCTTTCATGTCGTGGGGTTTAGATTCACATATAACTACCCTAATTCCCTAACCCTAACCCCGACCTACAATATTCCAAAATTGTACTGTGCCTTTGGCTTGGGTAGAAAACACAGAGACATAAAGAAGATTGGAAACAATGCGATCAAAGAATCTTACGCAAACATTATCATCTATTTGAATCCCACATCAATCAATTTGCTCTCAATTTTATCCAACTTCTTCTCTTTCCTCTGGACGGCATGGCATAGGATCAGACTTGCCTTCTCGCTTTTCTCGCTTTATTTGTTCCTTGCCTCTTCAGCTGTTTACGCCAAAAATTCACCTTACCTTCAAAAATTCAAGACTCATATCCACCACGGTGTATTCAACCCACTTACTATCGTCTCCCCATCTCAGCGACCCATGCTAGGTAGTCAAAAGTTTCTCCTATGCAAATTGACAAAAAATACTTAGACGTTATTAGAAGCCACCAGAAAGCCTCAATACCGAGATCAAGACAATGGCCGGTTCCTACGGCGACAAAGCATCGGTTCATCCAACGCCATCTACCTCAGAGACCCACAAAATAGCGCTTACTGCAGGGCCCACTCCGGGGCCGATGGCGAGGCGCCTGGAAGGGCTAGAGAATTGGAGCTCAGCAACCAAAATCAAAACTCTAGACTCCATCGCCAATGACATTGCCGCGACCTTGGTGATTATAGGGAAGCACACAGAGTCGGGCCATCTGGACGAATCACACACAAGCCCGATAAGTGACGTTCTTGATTCCATTCTTAAAACGCAGGAGCGGTGGGTGGAGGACAAAAAAGCACTCTTCCGTGAGCATAACCGTCTTAGGCGACGGGAATTCCAACGTTATGCGGCAAGCTCGTCAGAAGCGTTGGTGGCTTATCAGATAAAGGTGTCTAAGTTGAAAGGAGAGGCCCACGAGTTACGACGAATGGTTGCTGAAGGGAAGGCGGAGGAAGAGCTCCTGCGTTTGCGGATCCACCACATACAGGGAAACAGTGATAAGATGTTGGAGAATGGGGGAAATGGGGGAAATGGAGGGAACGGAGAGGCTGGTGGAAAGGTCAAGACTCCACAGGATCAAGAAATGGTGGATGTCTCGGATAGAGATTATGAGGACGAAGATCAGGATGGCGAATGGGAAATTGATGACGAGATTGAATAGGCGGATTTTGTTTTTTACCGTTTGTATGGCTTGGTCCAAATTCCAATCCATCGCGAATTCATCCTTGGGTTAGAAACACGGGGAAATTGATCGGCTTTCAGCTTCCGAGGTATCATGTCTCATCCCGACGGCATTTGAATGTGGATTTTCTGTCTCTCTCTGCAAGAAAATCCGTATCTACCAGTATGTATATCCGATCGGAGCCGAGAATCGGGATTGAATTTGTTGACGATTGGTGATTATCTTCCGAGTTGTCATGTGCAAAAATACCAAAACAAAACAAAAGCTCATGAAATTCTTCCAGTGGCGATTGATAACGGGTTTATCGTAGACGGACAAAAAAAAAAAAGGAACCTCGGCATCAGCAACGAGTGCGCGCTGATTCGACCTGTGGATCCACTCCCTTTCCCTTCATGTGGAAGTATTGTCTCCCCAGAGTTCCTTCTCCAGACTTTTCTCTTCTTCAAACCCCCTTAACTGTATTTCTTGCACTCATCACAATCATCAAGATATAGTTGGTGTGCATTTGTGGTGTTCCTGAACCAATCTTTTTTTGAGAAACTCTGTATCGACGTCACGTATCGGCCGAAAGAATGAGTGCTCCCCATGACTATGAGGCGGTCCGTAAGGACATTGTCGCCCAGCTGAAGAAGCCCGACTATGACGACGGAAGCGCGGGACCAGTGTTTGTGCGACTGGCATGGTAAGTTGGACATTATGTTCTTGCCCTTTTCAACTTTTCTCTTTTGCGGGGAGAATTCCCGTGGTCTGCCGGGTCTGGACCCGCAGGGGGAAAAGAGTCATTTGCGACCGCCAGCGTTTTGGAAACATCTCAACTAACCACATCACCTCCCCAATAGGCACTCATCGGGCACATATGACCTGGAATCCGACACCGGTGGTTCGAATGGCGCCGGCATGCGATATGAAGCGGAGGGTGGCGACCCAGCTAATGCAGGCCTTCAACACGGTCGGGCCTTCCTGGAACCTGTCAAGGAGAAGCACCCATGGATCACATACTCGGATCTTTGGACATTGGCCGGCGTCGTAGCTGTCAAAGAGATGGGTGGACCAGATATTCCCTGGAAAGGCGGACGAACCGATTTGGTAGATGACTCCAAGGTGCCCCCGCGAGGACGTTTGCCCGATGGCGCACTAGGCGCAGACCACTTGCGCTTTATCTTCAACCGCATGGGTTTCAATGACCAGGAAATCGTCGCTTTGGCTGGTGGACACAACATGGGTCGATGCCATGGGGATCGCAGTGGGTTTGAAGGGCCATGGGTGACAAACCCAACGCGCTTCTCGAACTCGTTCTTCAAGCTGCTCTTGCAGTTGGACTGGAAGCCACGCACTTTGTCGACGGGTATGACCCAGTTCGTTTATGAGGACCCGGATGCCGAGGAGGATGAGGAAGCCTTGATGATGCTGCCGACCGACATGGCACTCAAGACCGATCCCGCATTCTTACCTTGGGTGCAGAAGTATGCCGAGGATAAGGATCTGTTCTTTGATCACTTTGCCAAGGTTTTTGCCAAGCTGGTCGAGCTGGGTATCCAGCGTGATGAGAAGGGTGTCATCCTCAACACTGACAATGTGATGGGTGGCTATGTCTCTGCGCCTAAGAAAAGCAACACAGCCACTGGCCCCAACAAGAAGAACAAGAGCGAACCTCGTGCTCGTCTGTAGGAAGTTGCACTTGGGTTTTGCTTTTCCCTTTTTGTTTGTTTCTGCGCGTTATACGGTTAATTCCCCCTTGTGTTGATAGATCTGGCGCTGGTACATCCATGGATAGAAGCCAGATTTATTGTAAATAGATCATAGATCATAGATCATAAGCGAAAGATAGCTTTTCCTTTTAGCAGTCTTCAGGCAGTCGGCAGTCAGTCTCTCTATGGGTATCAGTGGAGATATAGCAGATTCAAAGTAAAGGCACAGAAGCCAATAAAATTCAGAATAGGGAACAAGGATGAAGTAAAAGAAAACTAACATGTAGATGATATATACTAGTATATAACGAGGAAATGAAAGAGGGAAAAGAGGAAAGAGGAAAGAGGGAGGGAAAAAAGAGGAGAAAGGGAGAGTCTGGGGTAATTTGCGGGGGAAAGCAAGTCGCACGGACTCCAGGGCGACATTGGACAAGACGGGATGTTTAATGGCGTCGCTGTGATTGGCACACCCCATTTACTAGTAGTAACGACTTCAAGTTGTTTTGTAAACAGTTCAAGTTCAAGTTTCTAACATTTCAACAGAAGATAAACAAAATATTTCATACGTAAATCAACAAAATTCAACAAATCCCCCCAAAAATACTGTAACATCCAAATCCTAAGAAAATCCAAAGCAAAAGCAAAACTGTCTAAAAACTATCTACTACTCGTCCGAAATGTACTATCCACTAACCCCTACAGCTTCCTTCTCTTCGACGGCCCCTGTTCCAAATTCTCCGCAAACCGAGCTCTCTTAGAAGGCGACTGTAGCATCGCGTTTCGAATCGCTGTTCTCCGTATCTCACCCTCTCCTGAAATTGACCTGGGAATCACAAAAAGTTTCGGCTCACGAGGGCCTCCATGGGACGACCTCGCTACCCTAGTTTTCTTCTCAGTATACACCTCTTCCTCGTTTCCCGTGTCCTCTTCGCTATCTTCATCTTGCTCAGACTCGACTGGCACAGCGGCCCCTTTTCTTGGACGCAGAGTTCGAGTGTGGGTCTCCTTTGCTTTACCGCTCACTGCAGTCTTCCTGGATGTTTTCTTGGGAACCTTCTTTACAGCGTCCTTGGGAGAAGACTTCTTCTTGCGCAGCTTATTTTCGATTTTATCTTCGGCCGCCATCCTCTTCTCTGCCTTCTTCGGAGTTGCCTTGGTAGCACGCGGGTTGCGTCGGCTCACACCTGAGATCTCCACACTGACGGCAGGGTCTGCTTTCTTCGGCTTCTTTTTAGAAGGGTCTCCATTTCTCAAAAGAAGATTGGAGGGTTTCCCATTTCCAGTGCGTCGAGCTGCACCAACATGTGGAAGCCAATCCATTGCATCGTCATTGGCGCCAGCATCGGATCCTCCCCAGTGTATAAAGTCCATCATAGGACTTTGGGGTAAGCTGAAAGGCAAGCTGTCTGCCTCTTCGGCCCGAGGTAGAGCCGGGAAATTGAAGGCGCCGTTATCTCCTGGAGGGCCATCTGGCCACATGTCGGGGTATTCGGCGAATCTGGAGGGTGAGTTAAGCATTGAGTCGAACAATTCTTGTTGGGCTTGCATGTTTGCAGGATTCTCAGTTTGTGGATTCCCTAGAGGCCAAGTTTCAAGGAAACTGTCTATATCAAATTCATCGAAAATTTGGTTCGGTGAAGATGGCGGCAGTGATCTCGCTCTCACTTGGGGTGTGGGTTGCAGTGGAATAGGAAGTTGGTGAATATTCAGGCTCCGGAAGATGTTGGTAGCCACGGGTATAACACGTTCTTCTGGAGGTTGACTGACATTTGCGCGAGATGGATCTTCGGGCACTGGCGGGCGTACATTCTCCCATGGAATGTGGTCGTTCAGGACCGGTCGATCCTGACTGACCAGATCTTCGAAATAGGAGACCGTACCCATGACTTCAGTCAGCATATTTTGGGACGGGTTGATGACACGTTCATAGATTCCAATCATGAATCCACAATCGGTCCAGTCAAGAGGAACTCGATCAGTGGGGTGCTGTGGTGTGATGCCACCAATGATGACTCCTCCGTTGACCTCGTCATCGTACATGCGGATTGATTCGCCGCTGTTGTCGCCTCGCTCTTGATCAGCCCAATAGACACGCACATGGCCGTCCTTGTGATATATACCACCGAGCCAGCGATATGTTGCTACCATTTGTTTTCCCTGTGAATCGTAGTAGCGGAAACTGACATTTTCAGTGTGATTGTTGATCCGGACTCGAGTTCCTTTATAATTTGACACAACCATTCGAAGAGGGAGCTCATCAATCCTTGTCTCTGAGATGTCAACTCCTTTGTCACAGAATATACATTGGGACTCAGTCTTCTTGAAAAGGGTGTTCTCAAGCAAATCTGCCATCCATACACCATTGCGGTTGCTCCCATCAATAACTGGTAACACACAGTTGGCGTGATTTTCTTTCTCGATGTACTCCTGGTTGTTACACGGGCATGATTTGGCATAGGTCGAAAATTTGTAGTAGAATTGCGCAATGTTCCTCGTACACTCAGACCAAATGGCCCAAGCGGGGGCAGGCTTCCCCATCTTGAAGGAGGGAACGGTTGCACAAAGCTTTCTTGAGAACAGATCACGCATCTTGATATTGGTATCCATATCAAGAGCCGCCCAGTTGACATTTGTGATCTCGATGAAAGCCTTCTCAAGCTCAGTGATCTCTCCATATCTCCAGCTAGAACGGTCTATATTGGTGCATCCGATGTCAAGCAACATTCCGAGTACGATGACGGTATCAACCGCGCAGCTGTTTCCGGACCATACTGGCCCTCTACCTCGATAACTATAGAGACTAGTGGAGGTCTGATCGAAAGCGAGAGAGCGCGGGTTGAGTCTGAGATAAGCATGTGCAGGGAAAGTCCCAATCTGAACGGTATCCAGGTCGGTCATGTGGGAGGCAATGGCAGATGACTCTGCTATCCGAGTTGGTGCATTGGGGTCTCGCTGGAGGTCATGGTAGGTATGCTCCAAGATAGTTCGCTCAATAGCCTCCTTGAGCTTTCTGTTGGTTGCTGATGCTTCCCCACCACTTGCCACCGAGCGACGTCTTTTGTTGTCTGCTGCTCGGTTGGTCTTGCTCTTAGGCTCTTGGCGTATCGGCCTTGCTGGCCTTTTTCCCGGTGGGGTATCAACCTCCATATTAACCCCTTCATCATCATCATCATCATCATCATCATCATCATCATCGGACACCACAATTGTCGGGGCTAGTCGTCTTTTGTCTTTTTGTCTTTTTTCTCGTTGGCCTTTATCTTTCTTCTTTCCCTTGCCAGAATCAGGCGTTTTTCTGGGCGGTGTACTTTCAGATGTTATGGTTTTTTGGGGTGCTGATCTAGGAGACACCACTGGCATCATGTACTGTTCAACGATACTATCTGGAAGATCATCGGATGCGTCTGGGTTGCGAATCCATAGAGGATCCTCGACTTGAGAATAAGGATCAGGTGGGTCTGGATAGTATCGACTGACTGGTCCGACAAGTGGATCATGATGCTCCCATCCCATGAGACGGGGCCCAGTATCTCGGCGGAATGTCCATAAGTCGCTCATCTCTTTTGGGCGGTTTCTTTCTGGCATGTAGTAGAACAGTTTCCACAAGCCTTTCAGAATCATTTGCTTGGTCGGAGATGGTTGGTCCGTCCAGTAGATTCCCCAACAATGAAATGCAGCGAGAATCTTTGAGATATTGGCCCTGATGTTTCTATTATTATGGCAATTGTCATATCGTATATTGAGAAAAGACCAATCTGGAGGAGGCGGGGCGAGCAAGGCCAGGTTCCAAGGTATACCTGGCTCCGGAGGAAGATCGAGATCTTCCGCGCGAGTTGGGAATGGCTGGGAGGCACTGGAACTCATTGTAAATGAAACGGAAAGATAGTTTGTGGAGGAGAAAAGTCGTTTTCAAAAAAGTATCTCGAAAAGATGGAAATGATTTAGTTGAAGCTTTAGAGCAAGGGATTTCTGGATAAACTGGAAATGTTGGAAAAGATGTAATAATTTATGTCCAGGCAAGAATCTCCATCTCGTACTTCTCGAAGCAAGAGCCATGAAGACTTGAGGACAAAGAATATAATGTGCGTCCATGGACTCGAGCGATGAAAGCGCCCTCGTGGGGTTGGATGATTCTAAAATTGGATATCATTCATGAATCCATCAAAGAAAGGACGATGAATATTCGGTCAAATGTACAGGGGGGGGGGGGTTTTTGACCAGGACAAAGGTTTTCGGATTTACCCATCCCCATAAGCTGATATACTTCAATCTGCTGACCGGACTCGAGTACATGGCGTTTGATAGAATATCTAGATAGTCCCCCGCCTCCTCTCTCTCGGCCTCTCCCCTTGAGATCAACTGGCAAGTAAAATGTGGGTGACTAGCAAGGCGCTATATGAGGGGGGTTTTTTTTGAAGTGGAGACTTTCTTCCAACAACTTTGGTGAAATCAGGTATTCTGTGGGTGTGGAAACTAAGCATCAAAGAGTGAATGTGGTGTGGCTGGTCCTCGACTGGATCAAAGAGAACCTTAGAAGAAACTTGCCTGCACAAAGTATGGGGCATCTCAGACTTGACCATTGGAGAAAGAAGAAAGAAAGAAGGAGAAAGGTTAAATCAAAGAAGAATGGCAAATACTTACTTGGGGGAAATACTTTGAATGGCCTCATTCAAGTCAAGTCTTAAATTAGCTACGATTCCAATTCGCCATCTAGCACACCAAACTCCATGAACAAAAGGTAACTAAAACTTGAAATTTAGAGTGTCAGTAGGGAATTATAGCAATGAAAAGGAAGATTGAAAACTGGGGGATATTTCACAACCTACTAGTACTAGTAAGTAGTACACAAGTAGTTAACTAGTAACCGTCACATGACTTAACCACTAAGTGGTGTGCTGACCCAATAGAGGGGGAACCTCTATTGGGTCAGCCACACCGCAATGTAAAACCACACCGCAATGTAAAACCACACCGCAATGTAAAATTTCAGACCAAATCCTTTTAATCTCAACAAACAACACCTCAATATGTCATCTGATATGGAAGAAAGATACGCCAAGGCCCTGGCTACAGTATCAGACCAAAAGAAACCCAATTTGTCTGAACTAGCACGGCGATTTGATCTGAACTATCCCACACTTTGGCGTCGTTTCCACGGTCGCAAACCACAAACTTCAAGGATTCCTACCAATAAAGGGCTAAATCCAGTCCAAGAAGCTGCTCTCATCCGATATATGACATAACTTGATGATCTTGGTGCTGCTTGTACGCTACCAGAGGTTGAGCGTTGTGCAAATTCAATTCTTGCACGTTCTAGCTAAGGCCCTGTGAGCAAGATATGGGCCTTAAGATTCATATAACGTCTTCTAGAATATTATAATTGGATTACATAGAAGCTAATTGACAAAAAGTGCAATGATTCGGAGGTTTTGTCTGATATTATATCGTGGTTTCATGATATTGAACATCGGATTAAAGACATTCATCCTAAGAATATCTATAATTTTGATGAAACAGGCTTCCAATTAGGGCAAGGATAGAAGTAAAAAGTGGTGACTCGATACCTATATAGCTCTTAGAAGATGGGAGTAAAGGACCGAGGTCAGATTGTAACCTTAATTAAGTGTATTACTGTAGATGGTTGGGTTATGGTCCTATATCTTATCTTTAAAGGCGCTATATATATAGAGGATTGGTTTAGAGGAAACTAATCTCTATAATAAGACTACCATATTCAAGTCTCACCAAATGGCTGGTTATCCTATCTTATTGTGCTTGAGTGGATTTATCTCTTCTATAAGCATACAAAAGATCGGACGAAAGGGAAACGAGTTCTATTCTTTGATGGCTATGGGTCTCATCTGACCTTCGAGTTTATTGAATTTTGCGAAGAACATCAGATCATTCCTATCCGGTTTTGCCCGTATACATCACATTTTGCTCAACCTTTAGACTAAAAGCCATTTTTGAGCTTAAAACAGCAATTCCGGAAGCATAATATGCTCTCAAGTGCATGGTTCCGGCCAGATTCGGCAAAGCGGCAATTCCTCGAGGATATTACTTCAATCCGAAATAAGTCATTTAATGCACGTATCGTCCGAAGTGCATTCCGGGATACTGGAATTTGTCCTTTTGATCCCAATATAATAATCGGACCAATTCAAAAAAAATGGGATGAAAGGCTACAAAATGAGCCAGTTCTTGAACTCTGGGGTCATTCCGTCACCCCAGAGCCACTCTCTTCTACAGTGAATTCACCACCTCAAACTATTGAAAAGCTTAATCGTGCTGGTGCTAAGCTTCAAATCCAAATTGACAAATTATCAGACCAAAACATTAGTCTGATAAATAAATTGGAGAAAATAAGGGCAATTTGCGACCAAATCCAAACTGGGGCTTTAATCACAGCAGAGGTTACTGAAGAGCTTAAGACCAAACTAAGCTCTATTACTGCTAATACGCGACCAAAAGAAGTTAAGAGGAATAAAAAGCAGCTATCATACGCACATGCCCTAACTCCTCGAGACATCAATACTCGAATTTGGAAGCGTGATGAGGAAGAGAAAAAGAGGCACTATAAGAGGGGTCTTCGAGATGCAGCAAAGCGATCGGTCTCAATTCCGCAGCGATCGGACGAAAACATAGATCCTGGGATGAATGATGGAGATTTGGCAGAGAAATCGGATGAAACACTTTTTTGGCTAGATACAGAGGGTGTAACGCTGGAGAATCTGAAGAATGTGTAAATATTTACATTGCGGTGTGGTTTTACATTGCGGTGTGGCTGACCAAATGGGGCCTCCCGCCCCGTTTGGTCAGCACACCACTTAGTGGTCAAGTCATGTGACGGTTAACTACTAGTACGTCTTTGTTCTCGACCTCAGTAATACACCTGTTAAATACGAGTAACGTGGGCGTCCCACTTTTGGTGACAATTACACATTGATTTTAGATGACAATACCAGGTAGAATCATGTGATTTCGCGATGACAAAGTAGGTCACATGATATACACCTACCTTCCGTATCAGGACTAGCGGCAATCAAGCGAGCCCTCACACACTAATGCCAAAGATGGTTAGCGTCCCAATTACCCGATCCCACAACGGACAGCAAAGTCACTCGACACTTTCGAGACTCTGCTCCTCTCCATCCCTTTGTCGACAATATCGCGAGCCCTCGCGCCCATCGCCCATCATGTGTACGTTCTTTCCCACGCAAGCTTCGACTCCCTGATACGCATACAACACAACAAAAACCACCGTTCCTGGATTTTTGGAGATCGCACGACAAATCCCCCAGAAAGGAATGACCTGGCTAACATGTCGCTTCTTTTTCTGATACAGCGCTCGTGTCCGGCGAGAAGACGAACTTCCAGTACATCTTGCGTCTGCTCAACACCAACGTTGACGGCAAGCAGAAGATTATGTACGCTCTGACCCAGATCAAGGGTGTCGGTCGCCGCTACTCCAACCTTGTCTGCAAGAAGGCCGATGTCGACCTCAGCAAGCGGTACGTTTCGAAACAATCTACAACTGCAATCCTGGAATCTCTGCAATGTCTTTCCGCATCGAATCGTTGTTTTGGATGGAAATCAGGATGGAGGTGGGGAATAAGGGTTTTCGCCAATCATACTACACCGGGAGGAAGCGCACAAACTGTGTACTCGCGATTTCAAAAAACATGACCACGAAAGCACACGGCAAACGATTCATTGGAGAAGACATTGCAGAGACCTGGGCGGGCTTTTTTTTCTATTTGAAAGATCAACATTCTGGCAGAAATGCTGACGTTTAATCACAGTGCTGGTGAGCTCACCACCGAAGAGCTGGAGCGCATTGTCACCATCCTCCAGACTCCTACCCAGTACAAGATCCCCTCTTGGTTCCTCAACAGACAGCGCGACATCACCGATGGCAAGGACCACCAGGTTGTTTCCAACGGTCTTGACTCCAAGCTCCGTGAGGATCTTGAGCGCCTGAAGAAGATCCGCTCCCACCGTGGTCTCCGTCACTACTGGGGTCTGCGTGTCCGTGGTCAGCACACCAAGACCACTGGCCGCCGTGGTCGCACCGTCGGTGTGTCCAAGAAGAAGGGCTAAACTATTCGTGTCGTTTTTCCGGGGGCCTTTTTTGGAGGGATTCCTTATGGCCGGTGTGTTTCTATGGGCATCCGTGGGATCTTTTTCCCCGCTGGCTGGGTGTGATGCCAGTCTTTAAAATTGAAAATGAATCATACCAATATGAAATGAACCGATTGATCTCCTTCTTATTTACGTATGTTGCCCATGATCAGGCATGTTTCTGATCAAGTCGTCTTTCTTTGGAAAGACTACCTGTATCTGGTCACTCGTGGTACACAGTATACCTGGATCACTGCACCTCCATGTAGTATGTAAGGGAAATGTCCAAGCTAGTACATAGCAGTGTATCCATTTGATCCATTCAAAATGTTCGAGACATTGATTTGGGAGACAACTCAAGTGTTTCTAGTATGTAGTTCAAATGTTTCGGATGCCTACTAGCTACATAGGTGGTGGGCTGTAACATTCGATGTCTACTACCTCGAACATTGAATTGATTGTACTACTCAAGTGCTACATTCAAATGTTGCCCTAGTCCCTATGCAGGTACCTACTATGTATGTACTACTGTGCATGCTATCCAAACATGCTATCCAAAATCAATTGATCGAGACCTGGCCTCCGTCCACATGTGCATGTGCAAGTGAGTGGATGAGCGTATATCAATAGAGAACAAATCTAACTGGGCATACATATACGATATTCAAATATTACTTATGTCACATAAGGAGTCGGTACCATGAATCAAATTCGATAAAGAAAAGTTCATTGAAAACATTCGAAACATGTATATATACTTGTAGTTGAGCTACTAGCTATCAGAGCAAAGGGAGCCAGAAATTTCAAATCGATCGATCGATTTTCAAACATCTTTCCACAAACATTGCGTAATGCCAAATTCTATGCGAAGCAAATCCAAAGAATAGATCAATGCATATAGGGCAGTTTCTGATAATCGAGGGTTACTTAGAACCACTCGCCACCCAACCAGCGGTTGAAGAACTCTAGGCTGGACTCAGGCTGGTCCATAGGGACCATGTGACCACCGCCGTAGAGCTGCATGAAGGTGAAGTTGCCGTGGGACTTCACCTGACCGATCTTCTTGCCCTTGTGCTCTTGGTCCTTGATAACGAGGTCCGAGGGCTCAAGGCCAGCATACTCCTTTTGACCAGACCACTCGAGAGACTCAGTCCAGGCCTTGTTGCCAAGCCAGTTGCAGATGAAGTCTGCATCACCGGCGTAGACAAGCACGGGAATCTGCTCGATCAGACCGGGCACCAGGCGGTGGAAGGGCTTCATCCAGTCACCGTGGAAGAGGAAGTTGCGGTTGATGTCGAAGTTGCAGGAATCATAGCCTTCAACCTCAGCACCCACGGCCTCGCGAACACTCTCCTGGTTCAAGTACTCGCTGACGTAGCTCAAGCCCTTGTAGCAAAGGCCGGAGTCGTCCTCACACTTGCTGCGGACATCGTAGACGTTCTGGCCAGTCTGCTGGTAAGGAGCCAGAAGAGCGTTGTTACAGTAGATAGAGGCCGGAACACAAACCCAGGCACTCTCGCTGTTGTAGCAAGACTCAATCATAGATTTGCAACGAGGCAAAGCGTTGTCCATGGACTGGCAGGCGCTCTCGCTCAGAACAGCTGGGTAGCCACCCTCGCCGCATGCCATGGGGCGGTAGTAATCGTACTGGGTAAGAGGATCAGTCAAGCCGTTGCCGATGAGCACGGACTTCAGGTTGATGTTGCGGTTCTTGTGGGAGAGAATCTCAGTAGCAAAGACCGGGATGTAGTGGCCAGCATAGGACTCGCCAGCAATGTGGAAGTCCTGCTTGGCGTACTGGGGGAACTGCTTGAAGAACAGAGTCATCAAGGCGTAGACATCCTTGCCAGCAGCTACAGTATCGCTGACAGAAGAGCCACTGTAGGAGTAGCCAACGTTGACAGGCTGGTCCAGGAAGATCACAGAGGCATTGGAGTTCCAGGAGAAATCGTTGTAAACAGTCTTGATCTCGGCGTTGATGGAGCTAGGTCCAAGTTCCATGAACAGGCCAGTAAGAGAAGAGCAGCCGGGACCGCCGTTCAGCCAGAGGACAACGGGATCATTCACGGGGTCATTTCGGGACTCAAAGAACCCTGAAGAATGGGGTTGTTAGCAATCAATCACAAAGGAAAATTTGGTTGAAGAAATCAGACATACAGTAAAAGAGGTGCTTATCATCCTCGTTGTTATCGAGATAACCGCTGTACTGCTTGACCTTAGGGTCAATACCCAGGGAGCTAGGGTCCACCTTCTTGACACGAAGATCGTAGGCTTCCAGCTTTCCATCCAGTTCACGGTGCTTGGAGCCATCGACGCCCTCCACCCAGACGCTTTGCACATCCGCTCCACGGACGACAGAGTCCCAGTGAGAGTCAGGACGGCGAGTGTGCTTCTTGGGAAGCGAAAGCATTGGGGTCTGTTCCAGATTGGGGAAGGCATCTGAGACTTCCTTCCACATCTTGCGAGCCTCATAAGAGAGGGTGTTGAACTGTCCCTGAAGCTTCTCAAGGGGCTTGGACAAGAAGTCGGTACTCTCCTGGACCAGCGCATGTGACTGTTCTTGGAGGCCACCCATGACCTGTTGCATAGGTGGGACAGCTGCCGAAGCAGCTCCCACCAGCAAAGTGGCAGGCAGAACTCTCATTCTGGACGGTCTTCAACGAAAAGATGGATGTTGAAGATGGAATGGGTGATAAGGTGATGTGAAGGGCAGTGGGTACCTGACGGTCTAGACGGTCTCTTATCAGTAAACGGTTCAGAGGATAATTGTCGTACAATGATATCCAGTTAAGGTAGATAGAAGCAACATACACACAGAAAAAAGATAATTCAGAATACAGTGATGAGACGTAGGATGAACCGGATAACAGGAGACTGCAATCTGGTGAGGAGAAGAGGAGGTTGGGGGGAAGGGGAACCCTGGAGACTGATGACGCCGGACCGGGAACCGGCGTGATAAGAGGGGACCAATCAACACACGCTGGACCATGAGTCAGCTATCCTGCGGGGTCACGAGCCCTGCAGTCAGGAATGGATGACTCAGCGGGCAGATCTTCAGATTTTGGAGCGAACATTCAAGTTAGGAAACATGCAAATACACTACATCGTCGCTCTTTCTCTTGGATTTTTTTATTGAGTTTTTCGTGATACCGATACCCTGGTACGGACTTATCACAGACATTCCTCATACACACGTCCTTTGATTTTTTTTAAAAAGCCATTTCAAGTCCGCTCTGAGCGGCTTTTCTCACCATGCCGATCAACCAACCCTCTAACCAGATTAAATTCACAAATGTGTCAGTTGTTCGCCTAAAGAAAGGTATGCAGCTTACTGTCTAGTCTTTTTGTATTGGAAAGGTCTCTCTTTTTAACTTCTCTTTCCTTTCTTTTTCCAACAGGAAAGAAGCGTTTTGAACTAGCTTGCTACAAAAACAAATTGCTGGAGTACCGATCTGGTGCTGAAAAAGATCTCGACAACGTGCTCCAGGTCCCAACCGTTTTTCTTTCCGTATCAAAGGCCCAGACGGCCCCATCCGCCGAACTCGCAAAGTCTTTCGGAGCAGACACACCCCGCGATGAAATCCTACAAGAAATTTTGCGCAAAGGCGAAGTGCAGGTCGGCGAACGAGAGCGCAAGGACATTATCGAGCGGGTGGAGAAAGAGGTCCTTGATATAGTGTCTGGACGACTGGTCGACCCGACCACGAAGCGCGTGTATACTTCGGGGATGATCTCCAAAGCACTAGACCAGCTGACTTCGGCCAGTGGGCAGCAGCAGGGCGCAGACACAAATGGTGCAAGTGAAGATCAACCCAAGAAGCCGCTATGGACAGGTGTTTCTGCCAACAGATCTGCAAAGAGTCAGGCACTTGATGCCATGAAGGCGCTCATTGCCTGGCAACCCATCCCTGTGATGCGCGCTCGAATGCGCCTACGGGTCACTTGCCCCGTATCGCTTCTCAAGCAGTCTGTTAAGGCCACCCCCGGTGCGGCTACTGGCAAAGAGAAAGAAGCGCCTTCCGGTGGATCAAAATCTAACAAGAAGGGCAAAGGAGGCAAGAAGTCTGCTAAGCGAGGAGATGATTCTGACGCTGAAACCGGCGGTGCCTCTGATGCTGAGGCCGTCCCCAAGGCCCCAGGTACCGTTAAGGACAAGATTATGGCGTATATTGAGTCGGTCGAATCCCAAGAAGTGATTGGAGGGGATGAGTGGGAGGTGGTTGGATTCGCTGAACCCGGTGCCTTCAAGGGATTAAACGATCTCGTCGGCAATGAGACTCGAGGCCGAGGACGTGTGGAGGTTTTGGACATGTCGGTGAAACATGAGGACTGATTTGCCTCGGATACCTACATATCTCACCGCTAAGCATTATTTATTTACATGACGAACCATGCCCCAATGATTGATGATCTTGATAGAAAAAGCAAATAAAAGTTTCTCAGGTTCTTGAAATAAGTTTCAATAATGCCAGTCTGGTTCACGTTTTCTGCACCAGGCCATGAAGATTGATTCCAAGGCTGTTGGTTCATCGCTCTTGGGTGTTTGTGTCGTACCCCTGCGCGCGTGTGCAAATGCGATACGATCTTGATCAATATCTAGTCCAGACTGGTAGAAATGAGAAATACATATACATACCTGCATGTGATAAGAGGTCATAACAGGTTCCCACATGGGCAGCAAATTGAACTTTGTAAAATAAGCCAGATGACAACATTGAACCTTGGGAGGTTGACAAATACGTACATAACCATCAAAAATTGGTTGTATGAATTCAATGTTAGCCTTGGAAGTCTTGGAAGGCTCGGACGTCGTTATGATTTGATTGCCAGGCACATATGTAGGTAGTGTGGACATAGAATATTCAAATACTTTGATACAGGTATATGCATTTAAATGAATAATGTAAGAGCTCCATCGAATACTAGTAGCTAACTGGACTGCCATTTATATATGGTTTAGTCATAATATACCAACGAATAAATATAGGCAAGGACTCAAGAGTCAAGGCACAGAACAAAGCCAACGCCACAAAACCAACGCCAAGAAACACTCCGGGTATAACAATCATGAAAAAAAAAAAAAAAAAAACATAGAGGGAGAAAAGCCGAAAGACAGAATATCAAGACATGCCAGAAAGAGGCAAACGGGGAATAAGACGCGAACTCCCCAGCTAGTACGCGCTTCTCAACCCCTCATCCTTTCCCGAACAGGAAACACCCCAAGTATCAAACATCCAACCCAAGGCCAATAGCATCACAGCCTGTCACTAACAGAACAAGATTCTTGCCAGGTCCAAGTTCTTTTGCCAGATCGATGGCTCCGCCCACCGCGTGACTCGAGTCCAGGCCAGGCAGGATACCCTCGTGGTATCGCATTGTTTTGAACCCATCCAGGGCATCCGTATCTGTCGCGGCCTTAATTTCAACTCGACCACATTCTTTCCAATGAGCCACCTCAGGCCCCACAGTGGAAAGATTGAGATCAGGTGAAATGGAGTTGGAATCGAGGATCTGTCCATCCCAATTCTGAAGCATCAAAGTACGTGCCCCGTGGAGCACACCAAGGTCTCCGTCGGTTAGGGCGGCCGCCCCAGCGGCTTCAACAGCAACCAGTCTAATCTTAGCGCTTTGGAGGAAAGGCCTGAACATCCCTACGGCGCCAGTGCCGCTACCAACGGCAGTGACGACAGCATCTGGCTGACAACCGGCCGCAGCGCGCATCTGGACCGCAACCTCCTCGCCAAGGAGAGCCTGGAACGTGCGCGTGAGGGTCGGCAGGGGGCTTGGCCCCACTGGACCTCCCATCAGGTAATAGGTGGACTCATAGTTGCAGACGGAATAGCGGAGTGCTTCTGTGATTGCAGCGCGCAGGGAACCCATTCCTGAGGGGGCTCGTGCGGTCAGGACCTTTGCGCCCAGCATCTTCATCTCAAGGACGTCTTCACCCTGTGCCAATGCATCAGCTGCTCCCATGACAACGACGCAACGCAGACCCAGGCGCGCGCACATCGCCGCGGTGAAATTGCCATGTTTGGCCGCTGCGCAGTCCGTGACTATCTCCGTAAAGCCCATGCGGCGGGCCAGCAGAAGCTGACCGAGGATGTTGCGCGTTTTGTGGCTACCGTATTCATTCTGGTCCTCTCGCTTCAGCCAGATAGTGGCGCCTCCGGCCCAGGATGTGAGCTTGCTTGCGATCTGCAGTGGAGTGGGTTCGGCCCGCTGGTACGTGGCGTACTCGGACCAGAAGGAGGGGTCTGAGACAGTGGCCTCGAAGAATGAGGTCAGATTGTTGAGGAAGTCTATGAGGGATTCTGGTGCAAACCGGCCCCCAAATCGTCCGTAGCCGTCAAATGTGATTGGTGGCGGTCTTAGGGTGCCATCTGTTTGCATAATTGAAAGATACGGTGTGCCGCTATCCAGAGATGGCATGGTGGCAGGCAACTTGCCAAGCGCTTCGGTTGATGAGGAGGCATTCTCACTGGTTGCAGAGCTGGCTGTAATATGGGACTGTGCATCAGATAGGAAAGATGAAGCGCACGTGCTCGTGGTATCGGTTGGTACGGCAGTAGGAGTAGTAGTAGGGGTAGTATGCGTCGGCCGAGATACACTATTCTCTCGAGAAAGTGTTTTCTCTAAAACCTGACGAGGAACTCGAGCATAGTAACTTGCCCTTCGGATCGACCGTAGGCGAGGTATATCGTGTGCATTCTTTGTAGAATCAAGAGGCTCGGAATTTCGGGACGAAAAGCAAAGAAAACGCAAGGATTGTAGCATTGTATAGACTTGATACCCTGAATGCAGGGGCAGTGATATGATACTTCGAGAAGAATCAAAAACTCATATAGAGAAGACGAAAGCCACTCTTTTTTCCAATGCTGGTTCTGGACCGAGGGAAGTGCGAGGCAGGTAGTAGGTATAAGAGTATTACCACTGAGACTATATGAGGCGATTTCCACGTGGAATAACAGACCATGAATGAGGTTATACAACATGATGCTGACGGGTGTGTGCCTGGTTTAAATACCGAGCACAAATTACGATCTTAGGTGCCATTCTCATGAGATTCCTAGTTATTATCGTAGTCGTTATGTTTCGACCTCACTCGCTGCTTAAGCTCGCTAGTAAACCTTCGCCTTTGCGACAACATTCTCTTCCACCAGGAACCAATGAACACATGTTCCCCTCAGTTGGGCTTGACTTTGGGTATTCATTATCCTCGATTTGTTTGCGATTTGGAGTAGGTATTTTTGGTGTTCATCCGTGGCCGACTTGCTTATCCGACTGCCAAAGGTAAGTGTGTGGTTCCACAGTAGCAGCGCTTACTATGGCCCCTCAAATAGATAAAAATAAGTCCTGTAAATCATACTGTAGCATCTATGGTACCTTGGAAGAGATTCTTATACTTTATGAACGTCCAATGGCAAGGCTGGGATTACATTCAAGGCCGCCACCAAGGCCTTGAAATAAGCGAGGCTTCGCAAGACTCTCTATACTACTACATACAAGACTGTAAGCCGATATTCAGCTCAAGTGCATACATGTGGTTGAAAGGCCTGTACTGTCTAATATCAAACTGTGGCAGTCTGATCAAGCAATGTGGAGACCCAGAAATACGAACAATTGTATTGTTATGCATCAATTGGGGCGCTATAGTCGAAACCGATGCATGCAGCACTCAAGTGCTTGGAGGAAAGACCCACATCTTCAATATGAAAACGATATAGACATTTTCCAAGTTTTACTTTCTCTACGATTCTGCTCTTGTGTTGTGCTTAGTCTTGTAATTTAACGTCTTTAATGTCTAGATATTGCGAACTTTGTGTATTATGACCACAATCCCATTCTAGTTAACGGGGCTCATAAACTGGACTAGGGATCTGCGACTATTGATTGCGATGCATCCCCGTAGCGTCAAACCTCTGTCACAAACCGGCATTTGCGATTCAAGCGAGGGTAAATTGATCGTCATTCTTTGTCGCTTGAATTTCTTTGCAAAGAACTTCTGCACTCGAGCATTGAGAAAGATGCATCATCACATCTCGGGCATCTTGAGTGATAACGTCACATCACTGAGCATATATCATCCCAGGGCATCGGAAATGAGGCGATGTGATGAGAAGATCTCCTCCATGAGATTGTCCCACAACATCCACATGTGCATGGATACCACTGAAATCAGGTTCAGTCCATCCAGATGTCTATTCCACCACGTGTGACCCATTGTGCCCAGCAATCATCCGATACGGATACATACTAGTACAACCACTATACCTTCTCTCCTTCTCCCACCACGCATGTAGTTTGACATTTATGCCAAGCACCCAGCTGAACAATGTGTCACGCAACAAGGATTGGATCAAGCCCAAGATGAGGCAGAAACGAGGCCAAAATACCCGAGTTGGGGCATCAAGACTTGCCCGAGCGGCAGAGTACCTAGTAGTAGGTATGGTGGATCCTTACTTTTGTTAACCGCTGGGAGTGGGAAAGGTCATTCGTATTTTCATGTGGATTTTTAGTCTTGCAGCAAGAGCGGGGAATAGAAAAGTTGTTCTGGAAAGGTTGGAAAGATGTAAATCTAAAGGAACTTAGGTATCGTATTTGGGTTCACTTTTCTAAATTGACATCTATTAATTCCAAATTCCAAAATTTTATTTAAGATGCTGAGATTTCGGGCAATGGTGGCTGAGATGTATAAGATCTCGGCATAAGCAACTGCTAACCGATTAGGCAACAGTAAGTGACAAGTGATATCCAGTAGAATTTCAGCATCCACCAACGTAATCAGCTCAGCTGGCTTCTACGTCGCTATTCTTACGAACTTGTGATAACGAGGATGGGTGAGATCACACCCTGTTCAACTACTTTTACATCCAACGAATATTCAAATATTTCGAAGGAAACAGGAAGTAATCCCTGAAGGATCCTTCTAGATCACTCAAACATGGCAAATTTGAAAATTTGAAAGTAACCACCTACTAGACACTACAAGCAGCGTGTTTTATAACAAGGTACGCTTGGATCCCCGACACTTCCCCGACCTCGCAAAAAAGACTTCAAACCCCTGTACAACACACATAGCGCCCCACAAGGGCAGCCGTACCGGACAACAAGGAACCACGACAGAGGTACAAGGGTCACCAAGATCCCTGTACGAGCCCCCAGCACCGGGAAGCGGAGAATTTGTGCCTGCCAGGTGGTAGATGCAGCCAAGTGCACAATCACGCATACGAGGCAGGGGTTGTGAGATGGGGGGCAAATTAGTTCTTCTCCGTCAGCTCAGCTTTGAAGAATAATGATAAAAATGATAAATGGTCACTTATCTTCTGGCTGATCCTCCAGCTCCAGCTGTGTCTACTAGTACAACCTCTTCTCGGCTCCCATGATTACCAAACCATCCCAATCTGTTCCTCGTGGGCTGTGATCTCCAGCTGCTCAGAGTTATTTGCAATATCAGATTCTGAATCAACATGGGCGAGGACGCTAGAGCTGTGTATGACAAGAGCAGCGGCAGCAGTACAGATGCCCTGTCAATGTTCAATATTGGCGGATTGATATGTGCTCTTGTTGTGGATCTGAAATTCGTTATTTGGCTCTCTTATAAAATTGCGACGAATCTTGTTAAGAGAATAGGCTTGTTGCTACAGTCGTTCGCATAGTATGTGCCCTTTCGTGCCTTTTTACCTCATCGCTTTCGCTAAGAATTTTTTAACTACCACAGGGGCGAACTATACTCTAATTTTCACCCATCTCACATGTGAAAATTTCCACACAACTTGAACGTTGCTGCCATACCACCGGCATTTTTCACGATTCTTCTTGTTACCCCAAATCCACTACCGATGAAAAGCGGAGGTGGATGAACAATCCAGGGGAATGATCGACTTTTAATGTTAACAATTGATTTGATATGGTGAGGGATAGCAAACTGGGAAACAACTCTTATACTCAGTAATTCTGGTGTCATATAATTGATTCGTAGTGGAACAACAGACCCAGGCTAGTGAGAAATCTATGGGAACGAGTATGGCATGTGATTTTCAGAATGTATATACATGGATATAATAATCAGTCATTAATAAAACCTCAAGCTTGGAAATGAGCAACGCCAAGGCCATTATCGACGTAGTTGGGACGATGATATGTAGCGCCATTAACCTCGCAATAAACTTATCTAACCTCAAAGAGCCTGTCGTCATACCCTGAACCCAAGTTCAGATGACAGCCACTCAAAAAAGAAGAGACAAGGATGATAGGTCGGATCATTACCTCGTTGGTTCAATGCCGAGACTTAATGATGGACCAGTGTGGGCGCTAGAGGCTTGGCTAGCGGGGTTGACAGGCACCAAATATCAAGTCTAGAACTATAGCCAAGTCTATTGTTTATTTAGAACTAGTGTAGCTATAGTTTGATTTCAAATTTGTGATTCAGCGACTAGATTTGTTATCTGTTCTAATCTATGTATGATATCGGTCTGTGGCGCGATGATGGATCGCGCAAAGCAATAAAAAAAAACTCCCAACGGGTATTCGCTCAAATGCAATGCAGGGTGGAAAAGCCCCGAAGGAGCCCCCCCAAAAAAAAGATAAAGGCACTGGAAACCCTTGATCCTGATCTCAAGTTCATCTAGAATATGGATTTAAGGACCACCGCTCGCTTGGAGCTGGTACCGATGTGGAAATGATACTCTCCGATCGTAAGGATTTCGTGTCATGGTCGTGGATCAGCGTCCATTCGTATTTCGTAGTGATACGGATCCAAAGCAAGAAGGTTATCGAGTATGGACGATCATGGAAGAAAGAGAGATCACGTGTACACTCTCCGGGATGTGTAGCAAGATATTAGGTGAGAATAAGTTGTTCAAGGTTAGGCGCAGACTTGCACGGCGGCCAGGGCGCGGCTGAGGTCCTCGGGGGCAAAAGGTAGCTGTTTTGCACGGGGCGACTTGAGAGCGGGGGAGATGGCGCGCACAATTGGCGAGGTGAAGCGGATTGACTCTTTGAACTGGGCGATGGGGTCTTCTGGAATCTCGTAGACCGAAATTTCCGGGAGGAGGGTCATCATGGAACCATTGTAGCTGTCGGAGTTGACGATAGTCGACGACTGGGAGCCCGTGTGAGCGGGGCGGGGGAAGTCAGTCGAGATAGTGGACTCGGGAGTGTGAGAGCGAGCTGCGACTGGTGGGCGCTAGTTAGCACAGGGTTTGTGAATGGAGTAGTCCGCATTTTCCGAACTCTTTTTTGCTTCTTTTTTTTTCTTCATTGAATACATACCTGGATCGATAGGGACACCATCATCATCGGGAGAAATATCGCCAGTATCATCGGAATCAAATGGTGAAATTTCATCAGGAGCACAGGGAGACATGGATAGGTCGAGGGAACGTGGGCGTTCCACCATGGCGCGATCGAAGGACCAAGCGGCTAAGCGCTTTTGGTGTTCCTTATCGAACGGACCCCGGAACTTGGAGGGGGGACATTCACTGCGACGATAGTATTCGATTTTGGGTTTTCCATTCAGTTGACTGGTGCTGTTGGAAGAACGGTGGAAAACCCGCTTGAATCGATCACGGAGATTCATGGCTGGTGGAAACAATGTTCAATGTCCAGGTACGGAGTTAAGGTGTGCAGACCAATCCCGGATTCGGAACGGACGCGGGGAGTGCAAGCACTAAGAGTAGGAACGCTTCAGGAACAATATGACCATGCTCTTGAGGAATTGAAGAGAGGATGGGATTTTAATGTTCTTGAAAGTGATCAAGAAAAGAAAAACGAAAAACGAAAAAGAAAAGGAAGTCGGAGGGAAAGATGGGGCAAATATGAGGAAATTGGGGGTAAACGAGGAAGGTGGATGCAACGCGAGAGATAAGCCCCAGGAACCGTGGGAGAGGCCAAATCCGAACCAGATCCGGTGAAGTTGACTATGTCAATTAGACGGAGCACTTACTCCGGACAATACTACTCCAGTTTCCAGAATCCCCTCTCAATTTACACCAATGGCAAGAGATAAATTGGGGTAATGCAATACCCACTGTCTGTGCGAGACAACCGATACACTTTTGGGACACATTGACACACCGGGGCCACCATTATAGTCCCAGCAGAGGGAACCACTACGAGAACGCTGATTAGTCCCAACGAGGGGGCTCCACGACAGGAAAAGGATCGGGCTAACGCGGGAAGGGGGCAAAAAAAAAATAATGATGCAGGACGATAGTAATGACTATGACTATGACCAACTTGTAATTCCAATAGCCACCTACATACATAATGCATACATAATACTAATTGTATGTACTAGATCAACCTACAGCCACCTACGCGGGGAGTGAAAGGCCGAGATAAGAAATGATCAAGGTTATGAATCATGGAAATCCCACTTGTGACCTTCAAGTTTTGAACAAAGACTAAACTTCAAGTTGTCTGCACCAGAGCCACGGACCACCTTCACCCCGTGCGTCCATCGTGCCTGGAGAGACGAGTTGGAGAAGGTTTGACGATATGCAGCGAAGGCTTCCAGAAGGCTAGGAAGGCTTGTCGGAGCAAGCGGTGGTCCGATCGGGGCGAGACGCGAAGGCGCCCAGTTGCATCATGTGGATAGAGAGGCGTCAGCAGAGAAGGGCCATTGGTTCTGACTTCTCTGATTGCACCGGAGAAAGACGTAGATTTGCATGAGGGAAAAAACCGGAATCTGTCCGTCCAGGAAAAAAAAGAAAAAAACACAACTTATCCCGGTTTTTTTGCCCCAACCAGCAAGGATCCACTCGGCACAATTGTGCCGAGTTGCACAGACTAAGGAAATCTTCCTAAAATGGGATTTTCAAGATTTTTGTAATTTCCATCATGTCGTCTTGAGGGTTTATGAAGCATAACATCAAGTCTTCTCATACAATTCGGCCGGCTGGCCCAATGGCAAGGCGCTTGACTACGAATCAAGAGATTGCAGGTTCGATCCCTGCGTCGGTCAATCTTTTTGTGTTTTTTTTTTCTCTATTTTTTTTTCTCCATCTCATTCATCCTTTCATTATGTTGGTCTCGTTATATATATATCTTTGCACTTGGTATACATGCATCAATATCTACATATATTCCCAACTTGAAGTTTTCCAACTCACCGTAGACATCTACGTAGATACAACCGTGGAATCTCTGAATATGCTCGGAAACGTTCGGGGCCTGATATATTATGATCATCTCTAGGCCCCACGTCACACACGTGTTTCTCGTGCCCATTTGGGTCTCTGGCCCGTTGCCTTTGATTAAATCACAGTGTGCTATTTTTATTTTTTGTGTATGTGATCACCAATGACATAAGTTAGTAACTACTGTAACTTATCCTATTGTTGACTCACTCGAGCCATTGTTTATTTCTCCCAGACCAAGCCAATGATGTCATCGGACCCAGCCCGTCCCAAGAATGAGAATGTTTCCTTTCGAAACTTGTGAAATTGGAAACATACCAGATTTCGTATACTAGGAGAGAATATCAATTGATTGGATTAACATTTAAATCTAGGTATACATTGTGTCAGGGATAACAGTAAGGATGGTCTAAAGTCCTTCTCCTGTCTAAGTGCACGGATGAAGGGTCAATAACGGTTTTTAACAGCGGAGCCCCAGATCGCGCCTTGATCCCTTCACAGTTGACGCGCAGCAGCCCTATTACCCGATCCGGCTTTAGGGCTGCATTCTGGCCCGAGTTCACTGCAGGAGGCACACGACTGAAGGCGGAACTATGAAAGGGAGATGAATGCTATTCAATGTTGCTTGCAGGGGACACATCCTTTCTAGGCAAATTCAATCTTTATATGCACTGGCAAGTTAGTACCTAATGTGTACCTAGCCTGAGTCTCATACAAAGACCATATCGACGCTCGCGGTCAGAGAATGCCAATGTGTACTAAAAGTGGCGGGTTGAGTAAACACGGCCAATAGCAATGACTTTAGAAAAAAAAACCCCCAAAAAACATATTCCAAAAGCAAAGATAGAGCAGTTCCCTTTCAAAGAAGCCAATTGTCCTTTCAAGAACTCCACGTAATTAGCAATTCAAAACGATCATCTCGACTTTGCCAATTTCCTGCGTTCCAGAACTCAAGTGCAGTGGAAGGAGAACCACGGATCCCCAGGGAGCTCAATCCAGCATACCGATCGCCGCCATCCCTTACTTGGCCCACACCCGACACACTTCTTCTTTTCTCGCATCTTTCTGCTTTTCAACCAATTCCATCTAGAGTAAGTCCGCATACCCTGCAACCTGTCAAAAGTGTCAGTTTGTCACTCGTCAGTCGCGCGACATTCAATTATCGACATTTCCCCAGTCAGCTATCCTCAGCGCATTCTGTCGTCATACCCAACGTGGCAATATTAACCATCTGTCGCAGAACCGAACAAACCCTCACGAATCATCACGACCATGGCTAAGAAAGGTGGCAAGAAGGGAAAGAAGGGTGGCGCCAAGGCCACTCCTGCTGCTGCCGTTGTCGACAATGTCAATGATGTTGTGTAAGTCCGCTCTCAGATAAGTTTTTTTTTTTTTTGAGTGGTCGCGTGTGCGCCAGCATAAGCATTTGCGCAGCGCTAACGACGTGACCCATCAGAAATCCCACCGAAGACACCACAACCACTGAGCCCAAGGCTGAGTCTGTCGATCAGACACAAGCTCCCGTTGAGTCGCAGGCCGCCGAGACTGTTGCTGCACCTGCTGTGACCGAGACAGAGAAGGTCGAGGAGCCTGAGACTTCCGCACCCGTGTCAGAGATCAAGGATGACAGCACAGTGCAAGATGCCGTGAACAAGGTGGAGGCTTCCAAGGCCGGCCAAGTCAGCCAATTGGATAACGGAGAGTCACAGGTCAACAGTAAGTCATCCCAACTGCCAAACAGTAAATTTGGGAATCCCCAACATCGACCTGTACTGACATAGACCTCCAGATGTTCTGCCAGAGAGCAGCGTCAAGGAGACCAGCCTCGGCGCAGAGACCTACCCCTCTACCACTGAGACTGTCGCCGAGGAACCCGCCACTTCAGTCGCCGCAGCCCCATCAACATCGATCCCCGAGCGCCCCAAGACCGCCGAGTCAGTCAAGGCTCCCGCTCTCGTCACTGCCCCCGTCACTGCTCCTGCCGCTGCTCCAGTCGCTGCCCCCTTCATTGCCACAGAGCCCGTGACCACCTCGACCGAGACCGCCGATGCGGCGCACGCCAAGCGCCCGTACGAGAAGCCCATCTTCTCAAACGACGAGGTGAAGCCCCCCAAGATGGCCCGCACCGAGGAGGAGCAAGCTGCCGCCGCCGACAAGAAGGAAGCCGTTTTGGCCGGTGCCGGTCCTGCTTCGACCGCTGCCTACACTTCCCCGGAGCCTGTGCCTGCCACTAGCCCCGTCGCCGAGGCCCCCAAGAAGGCCGAGAGTAGCACCAAGGCCAACCCTGACGCTGTTGCCGCTGCCAACGCTGCCATCAACACCTCCAAGGCCGACAAGAGTGCCTCTGCCGTCGCAGAGTCCGAGGTCAAGAAGCCCGAGGCTGCCGTCAAGCGCGGAGAAGAGCCCGAGGCCCCCCAGACCGAGACCGCGTCTCAAGAACAAACTGCTGCCACCGAGGCTGTCAACAAGGCTGAAGAGCCCAAGACTGCCGAGCAGACAGAGCAGGCGGCCGAGAAGAAGAAGGGCGGATTCTTCGCACGGTTGAAGCGCATGTTCAAGTGATTTCTTTTCCCATTTGCTTCTCTTTTGCTGACGGGAAACGGGATGTACGATATGCGTGACGCGTGACGTGTTTTGCTGTTGCCGGATGAGATAGGAACGGAATGAATGGATCTGGAGGGTGTTTTTTTTATTTATTTTTCTTTTGTTTCCCGGGTTTTGATGATACACCAACCGAAATTTTATATATCATAGTGCTTATTGACTGAATTTTCCTCTCAGAGAGTTTGTTTTTCTCAGACCCCTTTTCGTAATGGATGTTATTTTTTCTTGCTCTTTTCCTTTCTGGTGTCTAGTCACACTTCACCGCTAGTTGGGTCAATGCGGTGGCCCTGGCTTAGTGGCGGTGGGTAATAATGCGGCTTAGTGTGCAGCTGGAGCTATCAATTGATGATCATCTCGTCATTGCTCTGTGCTTCATCAAGATCTGGATATTGAGTGGGGGCGATGACGAGTTTTGGAGGCTGTGATCGGTAACGAGGATGGATCTACATCGTCAGCGCGGAATACGGGGTACGAGTAAGGAGTAGGCACAGGAGTTTGCCACAGTTCATATTGCATAGAGAGAATCTGCATCGGATATGAGATCACGATCTAGTTATTTCATGATAAATTGGAACTCAGTATTGCTACTACTATGTATGTCGGTGAAGATGATTTTTGGTGAACGTTGAATTCAAGCTTCAAATGTTGGGATTGTACGGATTGTTGGGTGGAGCAGTACTGGTAGCAAAATTAGATAGACAAACTTTGACCCATTGCCATTCTACACTAATCTTGGAAAGTGAACCCTGGAGACCTTTCCATGGATGTAATAGTAGTATGTACAAGATAACCTACGTAGCATATATCAAAGGGTATACTAAAGATTGCATTCCATGCTTGATCCGAGGTAGAAAAACACACATCAAAGCATGCATGTGTTCAAAACAAATCCTGCGTCTCCTCGACAAGCGCCAAAAGAGTCGACGCCAGACTCTGAGATATCTTCCAATGACTGATCCGTTGCAGCAAGTCAATAACTCTAAACAAAGACCCCATCGCCAGCTTAGAAGGCTGCAAACCACCAGTCTGCTCCAAAAAAGCGCCAATCCCATCAACGCCCTGCAACCTCAACTCATCAAACTGTAAATTGTCGCCTGCGACCACAGTAACCGGGTCTTGGTCTCCCCCAAAGCACATAAAGCACGACCAGACAAGCCCACAATAATACAAACACATTGGAACATGGAATGCCGGCTCTGCGCCAGCGGGAAGGGATTCGAAGTTTTTCTGGATAAGCATAGCATGTAGCAAGCACCGTTTCGCGTCCATGGAGTGCACCCAGGTTCGCGCATAGGGGAGATGACTCTGTGCAGCCTCGTAGCCTTCACGGCCAAAGGCACACTCTATCGCATTGAAGTCTGCATGGAGCGTCATGAATACCGAGTGCCAGAGTATCATAAGGTACGACCAGCTTGACTTTCCGGCCATGGTGGGCTGGTAAGTAGTGTGCCATTTCGTGAGGAGGTGGTGGCAACTTGGGCTTTGAGAGGGTTCGAAAGAGCTAGAGTCGCGATTTTTTTCTCGCTCTTCGCAGGCGAGAGCACTAATGCACTCCAGCATGCCGCATAGTTCGAAGTCGTCTGGTGAGGTTGTTTGAAGGAGGTGATTGTGGGATTTATTGCGGGCTGTTGATGAGGGTGGATATTGATGGGAGGATTCTGCGGGAGAAGTCCTTGTCTGGGCCTCTAACATTAGGGATTTCCAATGATTTGCACTGGGTGCTGTGAATAGTTCATTTGAGGAGAGCTTAGGGACCCGATCCAGAGAGTGGCGGAGAAAAGGGTCATGGTTATGAAGTCTGGCAAGCTCGGCGTCGTGGATATGTAGGCCGAGGGCAATTCTGAGGTTTGTTATTAGTAGCTTCGCTGATTTTCAAATTGAAGGAGGTGAGCTTACCTCTTTCCAACCTCTGCTTGAACCCACGATAGCCACATATCTTCTAGAGCTTGCCCGTCGACATCGAGAATATTATATTCCAAACGAGGCAAATTAAAGAGCTTGGCTTTCCTCGCCCACTAAGAAGTTATAAGCTTCACTGGTGACTTTGGCCAAAGGAGAGAAACTCACTGCAATAAGGGTTCCATGAAATACATCAATTCCGACAAGGTCCCTCGGTCTCTGTCAAAGACGTGGTTAGTCTCGTATCACAAATTTACGGACATCAGTGAATCACTAACACCCAGCAAAAGACCAAATGTCTGCCCCAATGTACATGCTTGGAGAGCAACCAAAGAAGAGCCCCCTGATTTTGCCATGTACGTATCCCACTTTGACAGTCAGTTAAGTCTAATATCAGCTTTTTGGTTCGAGCCTTACTGAGGATAGAATAGCTTTGTTCAGCCTTTCAAACATGCTGGTTCCATGTGATATTGCACGAGGTGAGCCCACCACCAGACTCCCTGCAGAACATATGGACAGAAGAAGGATCGAATTCTGAATCCCCGGTCGAAAAGTTGGCATGTGCACTATAGGAAACAGAGGGTGAAATTTGGAAAAGTATGCTTGAATACATAAGTCCTGGAAGATTGTTAGCCCAGCGTATTAAATTGCGAAACGAGAAGCCATACGAGAAATGGGGTGGATGGTAAAATTCCATGCTGCACTCGTTGCTGGAGACCTTCTGCGAGCCGTTTTCGATAGGATTCGTCAATGAAGGTGTTGCCTCCCGATGGCAGAGCTGGAGTCGTTTGACCAGAAGATTTCACCTGAGCGAAAGTATGCCATTTCACCTGAACCAAATTGGTAGGTCTTTCAACCAAGTCTGCGTCAAAATTGGCAGGTGGTTCTAAAGGCCGACCGGCGTTCAAGTCGAGCATTGTATCTGCCGGCAGCGGATAGTCTGATGTTGCACACAGAAGAGACATGTTCACCGCATCCAAGTCAAAGTTCTCGCCCGTGAGTAAAGCATCCCAATCTCTGCTATCTCGCAAATAATCCCAGACTGGGGGTGGAAGAGGAGAGGATTGGTCCTTCCAAACGTCCCCATCAAGGGGTAACAGTGAGGTCAAGGAGTCAACATGAGTGGGAAAGGTGATATTGTCTTCAACACACATGTTTGGAGTTCGCTTATCAACAGACGTGCTGTTTGGGGGAGACATTAGAGCCATTATATCACCGGTCATTGAAGTAGATTCCGGTCCAATCACAACTGACGTGTGGTCTGCGGGGGTGATGGAAGCGGCCGGCATGAGTCTGGGGTCAATCTCCGTCCCATATTCTTCCCCAGACATGGGCTCAGGTTCAGTTGAGTCAAACTTCCTACTTCTTGAGGAATGAGATCGTGAATGTCGCAAAAGGGTGTCCCTGAAGAGTGATTAGCTACATGTAGTATCTTCGGATAGCGCCGAGGAAACTCACTGTCGAGCAAAGGCCTTTTCGCAGATTGAACAGCTGAATGGTTTCTCTTTTGTGTGAGACCTGACATGACGGGCCAGATGCTCCGCTTTGTTGAACTGGTGTTTACAGACCGGACACACGCGCTCTTCCTTCGACGTCTTCTTTCGTCGGCGATGGACATATGGTGACTGTGTAGTAGTTTGATACATTTTCTTTTCACGATGATGAGAATTATATGGGTTACCAGAGGGTTTCAAATACTCATGATGTTCTGGTAATTTTTCTCAAGATTTCAATACAAAGGAGAGAGTGGAAAGATCTGGGGACTTTGCATTTGCCCCGGATGCACTTCCCCGGCTCACCGGTGGCGATCTACAAGACTACGAGTACACTGTACACTATAATTTTCCCGGAATTGAGATCAAACTTCAGCCAAAGTGGATGTGACCAATGAATATTTCCAAATTTTGCGTGATCTCTATACAATTCGGAAAGTTATTTTCCTGCAAAAGATGGGGTAATGTCATAAAATGTGGGATCTATCATGATTTCATGCGGGGCTTAAGTCCTTGACCACTTCTATATCCGAAATTCCGCAAAGCCGAAACTCGACTCAGCAATTCAACGATGAATGATCTTGTTGTTGGTGTTTCCAACCCCATCAATCTCTATCTCCACAATATCGTCATGCTTCAAGAATTCTTTCCGGAAGAAACCAACGCCAGAAGGAGTTCCCGTCATGATGAGCGTCCCCTTGCGAATCGTCGTTCCACGAGAGAGATGGCTAATGATCTGTCGCACGGTGTAGATCATGTCTCCTGTACTGGTCTCTTGCTTGACAACCCCGTTGACTTTGGTCCTCAACTGCAGCTTCTGGGGGTCCGAGATCTCCTGTGCCGATGTAATAGTATGGCCAATTGGCGCAAACTTGTCAAAAGACTTAGCGTAGCAGAATTGGCCACCGGAGACCTCGGGAAGTTGGAAATTACGCGCAGAAATATCATTTCCGGCAGTGTATCCTAAGACATAGTCGAGCGCGTCTTCCTCAGAGACGTTCTTTGCGTCCTTGGAAATCACCACCGTCAATTCTCCCTCGTAGTCTAGGAATTCACGCGCGTCGGGGTGGATTTCAATAGCCTCGCTTGGTCCGGCGAGTGCATCGGCGGGCTTGGTAAAGACACTGGGGTATTTGGGGATAGGAAGCTATGCAATGTCAGTTAACATGTAGATTTCAAGTGTCTTAGATCCGATACAACTGACATTTGCTTCTGTAGCATGTTGCTTGTAGTTTAGCCCGATGCAGATGATGATTGGCGTACTTTCAATCGGGCATAAGAGCTACAAAAATTCAAATTTCAGAGCGTTAGCTTCCAGTCTTGCATCGGCACGATTAGACTTACCGAATCCACTTCATGAATTTCTTCTGTGGGTTGGAGACTGGTAAATGGACTTCCATCCAATTTCTGAACGGTATATTTGTTTCCTTTGGCCTCAATCAGATCCCCATAGTAAGTTTGGGTGCCATCGGCAAAGCGCACGAGTTTCTTAAAAGTAGCCATGGTGGTTTAATCTGGGAAGAGTGAAAAATTAGTTCAGCTTTGAGGCACGGATTTTATAACATGATCAATAAGCGGGGAAGTGTGACACCTGTGTTAGTAAAGAAGTGGGATCAATCCCCACTGGCACATTCCTGCTGCATGCAAGATGTCGCGTCGCGGGGCCTCTTGAATGTTCCTTCCCACATGTGCAGACCCCTCCCCCCACTAAACCTTGGAACCTCTTTGCAGTATAAAGCTAAGAATATACCCCCTGGGTAATATTGAGAACCTTGAAAGACGTCACGACGGAATCACATAATTCCTCGGATCTTCTTTCTCTATCGACTTTATATCAACACGCGCTTTCAAAATGTCTACGACTATCGTCCAGCCTAATCGCGGCGCATCTGTGCCAGATGTGGTCGCTGTCGGCGATTCAAATGAGTCGCAGGCGGAATGGCTTGCGAAGCAGCAGATCAACATCGAGAACCGCATTAACTTGAAGAAACTGTCCCACATGCGATACCAACATCCTGACCTGGACGAAATCCAGACATTCATGATTGGTATTTTTCTCTCAAAGACTATCTTTAGGGTGTTTCCATATCTAACATGTATAGATTTTGGAATGCAAATTTCAAGAAAGACCGATGAAGAACTCTGGTTCAAAGGATATGGATCCGACCAATATGTTTACTACGCTCGCAAAGGACCAAAGAAGTTCCTTGGTGGTACTTTTGAGGCTCAAAGCAAGGAAGACTTTGACCGGTAAATTCTCGTCTTTTCTCAGAGTTTACCCCCGGAAATTTCAGAGACTGATTGCCTGGATTAATAGAGCAGCAAATCTTCCTACGGCCAGCGCAGTGGAGGATTTGAGCCATGCCCCCGGTGGTGGATCACTAGTGACAATCACTGACCCAGAAGGGTTCCCAGTAAATGTCATCTTCGGTCAAGAACCTACGAATGTCGAAGTTTCTCACCCGGAGAAGCTCATCCTGAACTACCCCGGTGAGAAGCCAAGACGCCGTGAGTTCAACCGCTTTGAACCCGGACCAGCTGCTGTCCATAAGGTACTACCGTCCTATCCAATTCCCCTCTTCACCTACTAAGTACATGGCCACAGTTGGGTCATTTCGGATACACGACGCAGCAGTTCCAACCGCTACTCAAATTCTACACCTCCACCTTCAATATAGTCCCCTCGGATCTATTGTACGTCGAGCACGGTGGCCAGAAAATCCTTGTGGCAATGTTCGCTCATCTCGACCTGGGTGAGACTCTTGTGGATCATCATTCGATCTTCTTCAGTACTAATCCCAAGGGCGCGCATGTTCACCATTGTTCCTTTGAGGTAAATGACTATGATACCCAGCAGCTGGGTCATCAATGGCTGGATAAGAAAGGATATACCTCTGTGTGGGGAATTGGTCGGCATATTCTGGGTTCGCAGATTTTCGACTATTGGTGGGATACTACGGGAAACATGGTGGAACATTATGCTGATGGAGATTTGGTGAATCAACACACCCCCGTTGGCTATGTCCAGGCTGGAAGCGAGTCTCTAGCTGTATGGGGACCGGATGTCCCCGCTGAATTTTTGGAGTAATTTGTATCAATAGTTATTCGGTATGTAGCTTTATAAGGCTTCAAATTTTATCCATGGATGTTGCGATTCCAAGATTTTAATCATACATTTAAATTTTCCCAAAAAAAAGCAATTCAAAACCGCATCAATCTATTGAAAGAACTCGGACTTATTGCATGGGCCTCAAGCGGTTTAGTACCTTACATAGACTACATACATCGAGCACCCATATAGGTGGACATGCGCAGACGGCAGACCCAAAATCGGATAGGCCAAAATGCCCATACAAGGCTGCACAATTACTGATGACGAGTGTGCATCTTCATAACAAAAGTCCCCACAGGATTAACCCCAATCTAAACGAGGCAGCTTCCAAGATTTACGGGACTATGCATGTTGCTTCAAGCTGGTACTTTTGTTCGTTCAAAGGCCCCGCATTTACGGCTTCACCGCAACGAAGGGGGTACGTAAGTTTTCACTAACCCCTTGAAGCTAGAAAGAGATAAAAAGGGAAACTACAAATCATAATATCTCTATTTCATTGTAAAGTTTAAGACTCAACAAGAGATCCCAAGTCTATTCAACATGTCTGATCAGGTAGAAACCACAGACATTCTGATCATCGGCTGCGGTCCCACTGGGGCAATGTTGTCTGGATATCTAGGACAGCTAGGAGTAGCCAACATTGTCCTCGAGAAAGAAGCAGCTATCAACACTGATCCGCGTGGTATTGCCCTCGACGATGATGGCATTCGACTAGTGCAAGGCCTCGGGTTGTATGAGCATATTTTCACCAAAATCGGGTCTAGTGAGAAACATGTCCAATTCAGATGTCTTGAATAGCTTTGCTGATAAAATGATGATTATAGGCTTGGAAAAGGTTCGATTCGTGAGTGGGACTCATCAGAACCTCAACGTGAACCCATTTCTTGTTTTTGACACAGCATCGGTAAGTTCAATAAAAGCTTGAATATTACATCTTGCGGAAATTCAATCATCGCCAGAATCGCTAACCTGCTATAAAGAGCGAGGGGCATACGGGCCATGTGGGTGTTGTTGCGCATAAGCAGCCAGTCCTCGAAAAGTATCTCAGGGAAGCAGTCGACAAGGCAGAAACCAGCGAATTGAGAAGTAATTGTACTCTTACATCGATCTCCGAAGATGCAGATTGGGTCTACGCGACCTACGATCAATCTGGCACACAGGGAAAAATCCGGGCAAAGTATCTAGTGGGTGCAGATGGGAAGACGGGTTTTACACGCAAGAATTACTTAGAGCCTAAGGGCATCCAATTGGAATGGGCTGAAAAGTATGTGCAAATTATCAAAGAAATAAGAAATACGGACTAATAGAGCACTTAGGACCAAGTATCAAGAGGTATGGGTTGCGCTCAACTGGAAGCTACACCTCCCCACGAAAGAAACACATCCTTCATTCCCACTGTGGGATCGTGGATACACGCCTCAGGATGTCTATGATCTTTTCTTTCCCAAAGACTTTCGCTTTCTCTGCAATCCTGCTCGGCCAGCTGTGTGCGGCCGATTCGGTCGCCCCGAAGACCGGCTTTGGCGATTTGAATTCGTTGTTTCAAATGATGAAGACTCAATGGAAATGGCAGGGCCGGAGAAAGTTCGTGAGGTCGTGTATCCATATTTGCGACACCCGGGCAGTCGTTATGGGTTAGTTATTTGGCCCTCCACTACTAGTTACTTGAGATATGCTAAGATGAGAAAACTGGCAGACTTAAGGAAGACGTTGAATTTCCTGAAGACTGCATTGAAGTCCTCCGATCGCGGCCATTTAGCTTCTCTGCCAGAAGCTGCAACAAGTGGGCCCTTAACCGTGTGATTCTGTGCGGAGATGCAGCTCATGTCTTCCCACCATGTACGTGTTTTTCTTTATCGGACGAGAAAGATTCGCTAATCTTGGAGTACAGTCGGGGGACAAGGAATTGCCTCAGGATTCCGAGATGCTATCTCGGTCGCCTGGCGTCTGGCTATTGCAAGCTCATCAAAGCAAAGCCATGACCGCCTCTTCAAAGGTTGGTACTTAGAAAGAAAGCAGCAGCTCGACAAATCTCTCGCCACGACGGTCCGAAACGGTGACATGGTCAATGGAAAAAGCCCTGTTCAAATCTTCCTTCGCGACTGGGGACTGTGGGCGCTTCAGCTACTCCCTTCTTGGAAACATTGGATTTCTCGCGGGCCTCGAAGCGACGGTCCCACTCGCTATACTCATGCACCCGGTCTACCTTTTATGCCCGAGCTGGGTGGAGGGGAATCCTTTCCCCAGACATTCTGTGTAGGACTCCAGCAGAACTCGGTGGTGCAATTTACCGACGATGCGATCTTCGGTGGTAAGAAGAAAATGTTTCAGATCGTGGTTCTACTGGACGATCCTCATGGCTTACAGCAAGCCATTCGCGATTTGGATGGGATCGATCAATTTTGCGATTTGTTATCGCAGGATGAAGCCACATTTTTTGTTCCCCGTGGCCAATGCACTGAAGGTACAGATCAATGTGAGCCCCGGCTGCATCGAACTGCGACTGGTGATGAATTTGGGAAGTCGCCCTTGTGTATGTCTCGGCCTTTTCCATACGGCTATGATGAGAACCTTATGTGGAAGAGCGTGGAAGGCAAACGATATGTCATTTTGAGGTTTGACCGCTTTGTTTTTGCGCTTTGTAATACGAGGGAGGAGTTGGAAAAAGCCGCCTCTGAAATGCTAGATAGTCTCTCATAGTCATTTATTATTAATGTATCGATTTCGGTTTCTCTATTGACATCTTGTTTACGCCGAATATACAATATAGATACCAGGACCATTATCTAATCCAGGGCCCAGACTCATAATCTAGTTCTTATTAGATCCCACAATGAGAAAACAAGCGGGGCTTACTGTAAGTTCCCACGGGGTAACTCACGGGGTAACTTGCAGGTACCGGATCCCCCCGCTCTAGCCGCCCGAGTTACCCCAAGCTTGGCGTATCGGGGCCCGGGGGCCTCGGTAAGTTCGTGTTAAGGAATGTTGATAAGCCCAACTTTGTCATTCCACAAGTATCCCAGACTTTCTCTAGAGCTGTTCTGTTGCTGATTCCTAGATTCTTTCAAGCAGAATATACAAGAATCCCTCACAATGTCGGTGTCCACCCCTCGGAAGCTATGGCAGCATCCAGACCCCGAGTCAACAACAATGGGCCGGTTTCAGAAAGCGCTGGGACAGTCGGCCGGACACCAATTGAAGGTGAGATTCCTCTAAAATCCACAATCAACACGCCTAGTACCCAAGGGGCTAACAAATAACGGAAACACGAAAGACATTCCACGACATGTACCACTATTCCATTCAGAACCGAACTGCATTCTGGGACTTTTGCTGGAATTATTTCCCGATCATCCATGAAGGATCTTACTCGCAAATTGTGGATGAGTCCGCGCGTATGGACAGCGTGCCGGAATGGTTCTCGGGTATCAAACTCAACTTCGCCGAGAACATGCTCTTCTCAGGTGCCATGGGCAATACAAAGGGCAAGGAGGACAGCTGTATAGCAGTCACCGCGGTAGGCGAGGGCGCCAACAAAGATGCCGTCCACATGACCTGGGGGGAGTTGCGAAAGAAAGCTGGAACTTTGATTCAAGCAATGAAGGCCAATGGAGTTGTGCGAGGCGATCGCATCGCGGTCTGCTCGGCAAACAGCATCGACACCTTGCTAGTGTTTATAGCGACGACAGCGCTCGGCGCAATCTTCTCATCAAGCTCGACTGATATGGGTGTCAAGGGAGTTTTGGATAGACTGTTGCAGATTAAGCCGCGATGGCTTTTCATGGATGACTTTGCCGTCTATAACGGAAAGACCATTGATTTGCGAGCCAAGATAAAGGAGATCGTCAAAGGCATGGATTCGGTGTCTGAGTTTCAGGGGATTGTTTCTCAACCACGATTCGCTGAAAAGCCTGCCGAGGTGGGATCGATTCCGAGAGCCTGGACTTTGGCAAGTTTCTTGGAGAAAGCCGCTGGAAATTCCCGTCTTGAATTTGAGCGCGTTGCTTTCCGGGACCCCTTCCTCATTGTCTATTCGTCCGGCACGACTGGGCAACCCAAGTGTATTGTTCATTCAGTGGGCGGCGTGCTCATTAATGCTCACAAAGAAGGAAATTTGCATATGGAGCTTACGGACGAGAGCGTTTTACTGCAGTATACGACCACAGGATGGATCATGTACCTTACGGCGGTACAAGCTCTGCTGTTTGGGTCGCGAGTTGTGCTCTATGATGGTAGTCCATTTTTACCGAGCATTACGACATTGGTAGATTTAGCAGCTCAAGAGAAGTATGAACCGACACCGAAAGCCCGTCAGAAAACTGGCTAATAGAGCGTATAGAGTTACACATCTAGGAATCTCCCCACGGTGGCTACAGGAGCTTCAGCAGGCGAAACTCAAGCCTCGTGAGCTATTCGACCTAAGTTCCCTCCGCGTGGTCACCAGTACTGGTATGGTCCTCCGCGATGCATTGTTTGAGTGGTTCTACGACGAGGGATTCCCATCCCACGTGCGTCTCAACAATATTTCGGGCGGCACAGACATCGCCGGGTGCTTCGGCTGTGGAAATCCCATAGTCCCGGTCTATGTCGGTGGGTGTGCGGGATTCAGCTTGGGAGTTCCAGTGGAAGTATACGATTCGACTATTGAGGGAGATGGTGTGAAGGGCGCTGCCGTGGCCGAGGGAGAATCGGGGGATTTGGTGGCTACCGCTGCCTTTCCTAACATGCCTACCCAATTCTGGGGCGATCACAGTGGTAAGAAGTATTTTGATGCATACTTTGGAAGGTTCGATAGTAAGTCTTCAAATCGGTGTTTTTGACAAAGCCATTGACTTATGACTTCATAGACGTGTGGACCCATGGTGATTTTATCTATATTCATCCTATCACGAAGCAGCTCATTTTCCAAGGTCGCGCAGACGGGGTCCTCAACCCTTCTGGAGTCCGATTTGGTTCTGCGGAAATTTATCGAGTGATCGAGGGTCTTTTCTCGCAGGAGATTGCCGATTCCATTTGTGTTGGTCGACGGCGGCCAACCGACAACGACGAGCAGGTCTTCCTCTTCCTTCTCATGAAAAAGAACGTCGCCTTCACGGTCGACTTGGTAAATCGAGTAAAAAAAGCCATTCGATCCGAACTCAGCGCCCGTCATGTTCCAGCGTTCATCTTTGAGACTCCTGAAATTCCGGCAAGTCTCCTTTTTATTTCTTTTTTTCAACCCACTCTTCCGTTCGAAACACAAAAAGGCGGACATTACTGATGATAATTCATAAAAAAAAACAGACCACGGTTAACTTGAAGAAAGTGGAGCTTCCTGTGAAGCAGATTGTATCAGGAAAGCGGATCCAGCCCTCCGGCACTCTTCTCAACCCGAACAGCTTGGAATATTACTATCGATTCGCCGAGGTTGAGAAGCTCGTGCGCGAGAGTAAGCTGTAAATGGACATGTAACTATGGAGTGGGCGTCAAGCCTGCCAGCGCATCAGCCCATTATTTATTTCCCTTATTTTGATCAACACTTATTCCAAGTTCTGGACCCACAGCGCTAGTTGAAACCTGAGCAAGAACGTGGCTCCAGTAATAATTGGCAATGAAGAGGGGCTGGGTCGGATATATCGGGAGTCCGAAAAAGCTGAGGATCCCCCTCAGCTAAGCTTTCTTTAGTTTGGGAAAATCAATGCCGGGAGAAATTTCAAAACAATCAATCAAATTTCCGGGTGCGTAGTCATGGCCCTTCATTGGATTCGTATGCGTTGATCTCGTAAAAAAGTGGCGCTCAGAAGCACAGTAGAGAGCCAATTGGAGGGGAAGATAAAGCGATAGCCGATCTACTGCGTCACTGCGGGGGGACTTGGAACTTGCGATGTTGTTAGCTATAACTTATAAGTAACTCCCTCGTATTTCCGGCTTCTGTATTTTCCCTTCACATTCCCCCCTGACTTCCTATTATCTCTTGGTTTAATTTCTCCTTAGGAAATTATACTTCGCCCATCATGGTTCACCTTGCTACCGTTAAGAATGACGACGAAGTCTTCCACCCCGCTACCCGCGAGTTTGAAACCATTGGCAATGCCCCTACCCGCGATGACATTACTTCCAACGTCTACGGCAGCCACTTTGCTGCCGATCACATGCCCCAGCATGAGATGCCCGAGGAAGAGATGCCTCGTCAGGTCGCTGCTCGTATGATCAAGGACGAGCTGAGCCTGGATGGCAACCCCAAGCTGAAGTACGTTCTTGTGCTTCTTGTTATTCTAGCTAACGACAACACGGGCAATGGACAACAGCTAACCCAATTCTTACAGCTTGGCTTCTTTTGTTACCACCTACATGGTATGTGATCTTGTTAAATTTCAATTTCTCCAATTGCCTGAAAAAAACAAAACAAAAACAAAACAAAAAAACAACAAACAGACAGGCAGGGAAGTAGAAAGAACAAAACAGCTAATATGACCGCATTAATATAGGAAGAGGAGATTGAGCAGATCATGACCGACTCCTTCAGCAAGAACTTCATCGATTACGAGGAGTACCCCCACTCTGCAGAGATCCAGAACCGCTGCGTCAACATGATCGCTCGTCTGTACAACTGCCCTACCGACCCCAAGGGCGAAAATGCCATGGGTACCTCCACAATTGGTTCTTCCGAGGCGATCATGCTGGGCACGCTCGCTATGAAGAAGCGCTGGCAGAACAAGCGCAAGGCCGAGGGCAAGGACTGGTCCCGCCCTAACATTGTCATGAGCAGTGCCGTTCAAGTCTGCTGGGAGAAGGCCGCACGTTACTTCGATGTCGAGGAGCGTTATGTCTTCTGTACCGACTCCCGCTATGTCATCGACCCCAAGCAGGCCGTTGACCTGGTTGATGAGAACACCATTGGTATCTGTGCCATCATCGGAACCACCTACACCGGTGAGTACGAGGATGTCAAGGCTATCAACGACCTGCTCGTTGAGCGCAACATCGACTGCCCCATCCACGTCGACGCTGCTAGCGGTGGCTTCGTCGCTCCCTTCACCGTGCCCGAGCTGGAGTGGGATTTCCGTTTGGAGAAGGTTATCTCCATTAACGTCTCTGGTCACAAGTACGGCTTGGTCTACCCCGGTGTCGGTTGGGTCATCTGGCGCTCCCCCGAGTACCTGCCCCAGGAGCTTGTCTTCAACATTAACTACCTTGGTGCCGACCAGGCCAGTTTCACTTTGAACTTCTCCAAGGGAGCCGCTCAGGTCATCGGTCAGTACTACCAGTTGATCCGTCTTGGCAAGCACGGTTTCCGCTCCATCATGGTCAACTTGACCCGCATCTCCGACTACTTGTCTAGCGAGCTGGAGAAGATGGGCATGATCATCATGAGCCAGGGTAAGGGTCAGGGTCTCCCCTTGGTGGCATGGCGTCTGCCCAAGAGCGAAACTCGCGTTTATGACGAGTTCGCCATTGCCCACCAGCTGCGTGAGCGTGGCTGGATTGTTCCTGCCTACACCATGGCCCCCCACAGCGAGAAGCTGCAGCTGATGCGCGTTGTTGTCCGTGAGGACTTCAGCATGAACCGCTGCGACAGCTTGTTGACTGATATCAAGCTGGCTATCCAGACCCTTGAGGATATGGATCAGTCTATGATGACCAAGTACAAGGCGTAAGTTTCACTTTTAGCATCCATTTACCTGAACCCGTTCCTCTTTTGCTCTCTTCTTCTTTTACTGACTTGGGTTTTTTCTTTCAGGCACATGATTAGCCACCGTGCTCACCCCCGTCACAAAAAGACTCACCACGCCTACCAGGATGAGAAGCACTCGCTGCAGGGCAAGACTGGCAAGTCTCACGTTGTATGCTAGATGCGTCGATCGGCATCTTGGATCACGTTTTCGTTTCTATGCTTCGTTGCAAATGTTTCCTTTTGGCTGCCAAGTTGACGGTATCAATTAATTTTGATTCAGTTGATGTAGTAGTGTCGCTTGCAAGGGACTTGTTCTAACCCTGGAGGTTGTTCGTCACCCGCCACTTGTATGTATTTTCTGTCACATAGCGGGGAATGTCCGTTACGAGATTATTTATCGAACTGAAATATTCGATATCTTATCAATTTTGAATTTCGCTTGGGAATAATTTGTATCACCCGGCTTCCAAGGTCAACTGGTCCAAATGAGGGCTGAGATGAAGCTGAGGTGTGAACCGTAACCTTGGAATCAATTGTAAAATAATTTTTAACTCAAGTGCCATGTCCTTCAAATGGGAACATTCCATTGATTTGTTGGAAATGTCAAGTGTCGGACACAGACCACGGGGGCTAGAATTCATGTGTTGATTGACGAGATCTCCATCGCGCTAAGCTTCATTGGGTAAGGAAATATAAATTTCCAGGCGCATCATCCAGTAGCAGCTCATATAACCACTCAACATAGCCAATCTCCATTCACCAGCTCCAATCAACAGGAAACTTGGAAAGAAGAACGAATTTGGAAAAAAAAAAAAAAAACCCACAGATCCCCGCGTGGATCTGCTCACATTGAGACCTTAATACCACCAACCTTCCAAGCCAAAGGGGGCGGGGAAAAAGGCTTCCAAAAAGGGCCATCACAAATCTGAAATCAGAATGAATCCCACAATGCCAGACCTCGACATGGCCTCATTCCACCCAGAAAAAATGCAAGCCTGGCTCTACTCCAGCACAACTGGCGGAATGGAGAAGAACCTTCACCTACACGCGTCCACGCGCACACCGCCCGCTCCTCGAGGCAATCAAATCCTAGTGAAAGTGCTCTCGGCAGCTCTAAACCCTGCAGACTACAAGGTCGCAGAACTAGGCCTTCCTTTTCGCATGTTAATCGGCTCGCCCGCCACACCCGGCATGGACTTTTGCGGCCGCGTCACCAGCACAGGCCCACTTGCCAAACATCTAAAAGAAGGCACGCTAGTCTACGGGTGCTCGGCGCGGCCGGTCCAGTTTGGGTCGTTGGCGGAGTACATTACCGTCGCTGCGGATACGATATCCGTGGTCCCTGAGGGGTTGGGGGTTGACCATGCGGCTGCTGTGGGTGTTACGGGCCAGACGGCATATCAGAGTTTAGACGGGTATGTGAGTGCTGGGTCGAAGGTATTGATTAATGGGGGGTCGGGTGGATGTGGAATTTTCGCGATCCAGATTGCAAAGGCATTGGGGTGTCATGTTACGACTACGTGCTCGACAAGGAATATGGAGTTGTGTTATCGGTTGGGAGCGGATGCTGTGATTGATTATACGGCCGAAGAGAACTTGGTTGAGAAGCTTGCGTCGAGTGGTGTTGTGTTCGATCATGTTCTTGATCATGTTGGAGCTCCTGCGGATATGTACTACCAGTGCCACCGGTTCTTGAAGGAAGGTGGGGCGTTCGTACAGGTTGGAGCTTCATCGGTGATGACCTTTATTGGGCGGCTTTTATGGCCTGCTTTTCTTGGCGGTGGGCAAAGGAAGTATGTGACTTTGGCTACCAGGATTGATCTGAAGCAGCTTGGCCAGTTGGGAGAATGGCTAGCTGATGGTACTGTCAAAATGCAGCTGGACAGCGTGTTTGAATTCAACGATACTGTCAAGGCCTTTGAGAAGCTTCGATCGGGTCGAGCGAGGGGCAAAATCGTGGTACATGTCAGTGATCGGCATGCTCAAAACATGGAGCCATTTGGAATTGGACTTTGAGAGACATTTAAAATTTGAAGTACTGCAGTGGCTTATAGCACTCGTCACAGGAATGTGAGTGATCAGAAATAAAAGGGGTATTATTCGGTGTATCGGAATGTGCTTCATGACATGTCTCTCGCGGTATTGGAAAACAGCCCTGGAGCGTGCCATCGGACCATTGTAATATGTATAAGCTTGAATGGAAGCTGGGCAATTCGATTGGTCGTTCGGCAATCTCAAACCAAATCATAATATGATCCAGAGACTCGTCACATGTGTATATGCAAGTCTCCAAATCAACGGATTTGTAGAGTCCGTGGTATCTGGTTTGCGATTGGCCGTCATCAGGCCACGTGAATGTGGCCTGCAAGGCTGCAAGGCTAGAAGTGATTTAATACTCCGTAGTAGAAGCATGGAAAGGATTGTATCTGGGAGAAGTTGAAGGTATAAGGAAAAGAACTAGTAGTTCCAAGCACTTTATAATTTAATGTCTCCGGGATGCCTTATGCCTCAGTGAACAGTGGACACTTAACTATAGGTACATGTATTGGTCCGTCAAGTGTACCTTGAGCTAGTAATACTAACCAGTTGACCCATCTTGGCTTGCTCCTGCGGCAACTACAGCGTCAACTGGTTGGGATGAAAGCTTCTGTTCTTCCCCTCTTTAAGTTATGCACATACAGTGACATACTAGTAGGGTATTTGAACTGTTCATTCTCACTGGCTGATTTTATAATTCATTTCCTATTTCCTATTTCCTGTTTTTCTTTTTCCTATTTTATCTTTTATCTTTTCTTTGTAACCTCCCCCCCCCTTGGGCGCTTTTACCAGGGTTTTGACTCTGTTGTTTGACCCTCGGGCGTTTATATATAGAAAGTTCTCTCATCCTCATCCAATCATTTACCGTCGATCACTCCACCCTTCTTTGCCCTCTCCCCTCATTGCAGAGAGAGAGGGTCACTTCTTTTTTGCCTTGTCCTTGCCCATCACAAGGATGCCCCTATTCAACTTGAAGAAATCCAGAGCGCCGGCCAACCAGTCTGCAAGTCGCTTCTCTGCCCGATCCGTTGAGAATCTGGTCCACCCCGCGTCTCCACAGGACCACAACTCCAACTACGTGGACCGCCATCACTCAAACAACCGCCTCGCCTACGAAGAACCCACCAGTCCAATTCCACAACCTCAGCCAGACTTGTCTCAACCTGCATTACGTCGCGCTCAAAGTCTCCGTCAACAACAACAGAAACATCCTCACCAAAAGCCACTGTCTCAACAACGCGACCGACAGATTACCACCCCTGAGGACTCACAGCCTCGTCGTATAGGCTTATTCCAGCGCCCAACCTCCGGCTTTATTGATCGCAATTCCGCTGTCACAGGGATCAGACAGGTCTCGCAACCGCTCTCCCAGCCAAGCTCCCCCCGACACCCACCACCTTTTGAATCCCAAGAACAACAGCAACATCAACAACAACAACACCAGAACATCTTCCCAGAAGAGGAATCACCGACAGACCCACCTGCCTATGAGCCGCGATCGACGTCACTAGCCTACCAACATCAACACCTTCAACACTCACAACGATCTCTCCATCACTCCCACCCCTCTGTCAGTAGTGATATTCAGGAGTGGTCGCCGCAACAGCCCGTTGAACCACAACAGGGCCAATTACTCATTCCGCCAGGGCTCAGCACTGACCCAACCCTGGTTCAACAGTACGGCCGACCGTCCCCGACCGACCGTACTCCGGATTCTCCTCGCTATCTCCCCGAACACGGCCACCGGGGCCCGACGTTGTCTCGCCCCGAGTACGATCTGGTATTGAACACTTCCCGGCCCCCTTCCCGACAGACTTACGAGTCCCTTTCCCCAAGTCGTCTTCAAACCCCTCCTGACGCCATGCAGCAGGCCTCCGCACAGGCAATACCTCAGGGCCAGTCCACCGATCGACTATCGGGGCAACAAGAGCGCAGGGGGAGCACCACCCAGAACATGCCGACGGAACAACATTCCCGGAACACGCCAACGGGGCCGCGGACACGCGATGAGTTAGAGAACCTTGATATTCGAGCATTGATCCAAAAACATGATGAACTACGTAAGTCTTTCCCCAATACCGGATCTATAAAAAATGTGAGAGATGGGCATTGACCGGGGAATAATTTTCACAGAGAGTAAATACTCCAAGGTGAAGCGGTACTACTTCGAGAAAGAGGCACAGGTGCAGCATCTCCAGAACACCGTTGCACATCAACGAATGGCCGTTTCCCGTACTGTGCTAGATGACAATGAATATACAAACCGGTTCCAGCGACTGGATGGGGCCATCAAGGACCTTGCGTTCTCCGTGCGCAAGGACTGGCGGATCATTCCATCATGGCTGCAGGGGCTGACAACGGACGATGCCGTGACGGTGGGAACAAAGGAGATGATGGCACTGGGACGTGCAGTGGTCAGTCGCTGGCTGATGGAGGAAGTCTTCCAACGACACTTTCATCCAGGGCTGGAACCTGGCCTGAGTATTCAACTGAAGTCGATTGAGATGAATCTGCGCCGACAACAGATGCGACCAGTCACAGACGAAGACCGTGAGAACGCCATTGCCAAACTCTCCAATTGGCGTCGCACCACCTTCGACGGGCTGGGCGATACTCTTGCAAACCCCACTGCTCAAGAACATCGTGCCGAGCTGATCGAGCACTTGACCGTGGAACTGGCCACCTTCCTCAGCAACCAGCTGCAGGACCAGGCGCTCCCGGGCCTGGAGGCCGGCGTGCGGATGATCATCGAAAATACCATTAACATCATTGAAAAGATCCCGTTGGAAGCTCGCGATGTCTGCGTCGAGTACTTCCCACCCAACATCTCCTTCCACGACAACTACATGAAGGTCGAAGGTCAACTGCCTCACCTCACGCAGCCCCCTCCACCAGCGGACCAGGAAGTTGACGACGAAGGTGATTCCTCGCCCGCCTCAAACTCCACCGGACCCGGTGTCGACGGAACATCTCCAGCTCCACGTGAACCTCGAAGAAGATCCGTCTTCGGCGCCTTGATGGGTCGTCGACCCGCTGCCGACCCACCTGCTCGCCCAGCCGCTGGAACGGAGAAGACAGAGCAAACTGAGCCGTCTCGGATCCGCTTCGCCTCATTCCTTACTGTCGAAGTACGCGGCAAGGGACCCGCGACGGTGTTGATCAAAGCACCCGTGTGGCTGATCGAGTAAACGACCAACGAAAATGTCGAGACACTTCATGAAACCCCCTGAGCGTTGTATATAGTTGATAGTTCCACATTGCAAGTGGCATTGATGACAACCATGATGATTGATCGCATTCAAAGATATCCCCATCGAGTTTTCTTTTTTTATCCTTTTCTTTTGATGTGGCGGTTGTTTGATATGATCTATGGGAATTAATCTTTCAAATTTCTTTATTTCTTTCTTTCCAATTTTTTGAGGGGCAAATTTAGCACACGGACTTTTTAGTCCGGTCTACCGCTTCCAAGGCTTTCTTAGCGAAGATTTCTCTCATTTACATAGTGATAATCACAATAGATGGATGTTTTGTATCTTCCATTTAAAAGTAGATGCTGACTTGGCACTGTTTAGTGCAGCCACATTCCTAAACAGGTGTAGTAAGAACATTAGATGACAACTACTACTAGCGCCACAGACTCCACTGATAATTGAACTAGCTCGTGCTACTATAGAAGTTGGCATTACAGTACTATTGAAAGTGAATGGGGCCCACCCTTGGCGTTGGGGAAGTCAAGATACAGTACGAAGTGTCTACTGCCGAACTAAAATGACATCATTAATACGTTCTACTGAAGTATCACGGGAGTATCCGTAGTCCATTTTATAGAAACAAATCAGAATCTTCAATAAGAACCTTACGAAAAACTTAATTCCTACCTGGGGATTGAACATTTCAATATCATTGATGAATCGATTGATGAATCGTGGATTAGAAGAACGTGGACGAACTACGAACCTTGATATGAAATATGGACCATGTTCCTTCCCTCCGTCCTCCACGGTTACATCTATACCCTCCAATGTTTAATCAATGAAAAAAAAACCCTAACTCATAGATCGGGAAAACGCAGTTCTCGAAAATCATATATTCAGTCTGGATTGCAGTATCTACCCAAGGCACTAACAAAATGACGATGAAAAATGACACCCCACCCGGGATAATAACAAATATAATATGTACAAGAACCCAAACCCAAACCAAAGAACATGCTTTTAGAAAAGAAGCGGCAGGTCCAGATGCAAATTGCTTGGGGAATCAAAAGAATTCAGAAGAGAAAATAGTTTCCCGGGTATAGCGCCTCGCTGATGTGATGAACGAAAAGGAAACTCCCCAAAGGGAGTAAAATCGAGTAAATGAACCAGCGAGAGGAAAAAGAAACAAGAAACAAGAAACCATGGTAGATGCTGAAGGGCAGATGAAATCGCGAATTCGCCAAAGAAATGATGAAAGCAGGAAAAATGCTCAAAAGACAGAAAACAAATATGTTGGGCTGGATGAAAACTTCTTTTTTTCTTTCTCTTTCCTGGTAGAGACGGAAAGAGAGAGAGAAAAAAGGCTTCATCTTTAAGCCTTCAGACCGTGCTCGTTGGCAGCCTGTTGCAAGACACGAGGCCAGCGAGAGATAAGCTCGACATCATCCAGGATTCCCTTGCCCTGGTTCCGCACGTACTGAGTGCTGGGGTCAACACGGGGTTCCCAGTCCCAGACCTGAGGGGTACCCTCAATCAAGGCAGAGTAGACCAGACGACGGCGGCGCTGCGAAGTCAGAACATCCTGGCGGATCTTCTCCAGGTCCCATTTGGCATGGACTTCCTCGGTGAAGTACGCCAACAGGGTGACGGGATCGGCGCTGTCGGGTAGAGTCTGGAACTTGGCGGGGCTGGGAGTGCGTGGGGGTGTAGGCGTGGGGAAGGGGTAGGAGTTGGCGTTGTTGTTGTTATCACCGGCCCGCTGGGGGATGGGAGAGAGGCGAGGGGTCTCGCCGGGGGTGGGAAGGGATGCAGGCACGGCTAGAGGGTTGGCGGACTTCACTGGGAGAGGGGCGCGTGTGGTGGAGGGAATGGAGAGACCGGCGGCCAGGTTGATCTTCTCCTCTGGGTCGGCGGCCACGTCGAAGAGCATGGGCGGGTCGATGGTGGAGTAGATGAACTTCCAGCGGCCGCGGCGGATCATGATGAGAGGAGCCTGGGTACCTTCGCCCATGTACTCGCCGTACACGGTGTCGGTGCGAGGGCCCTCACCACCGGTCAGGTAGGGCATCAGGGAAACACCGTCGAGAGGTAGATCCTTGATTAGTGGTGCGCCGACCAGATCAGCGAATGTAGGTAGCATATCCATTGTGGAGACGTTCTCCTTGATGCGCTTGGGCTCGAACATCTTGGGAGCGTAGAAGAGCATTGGGACGCGGGCCGAGTTCTCGAACCAAGTCATCTTGTACCACAGGCCGCGCTCGCCAAGCATGTCTCCGTGATCACCAGTGAAACAGATGATTGTGTTTTCATCCAGGCCGGTGTTCTCCAAAACCTTCAATAGCTTGCCGATGTTGGTGTCGACGTATGTGCAGGCGGCATAGTAGGAGCGACGGGCAGCACGAATGCGGTCTTCCGGCATCTCCTTGCCCCAAAGATCAATACACTTCAGGACACGTTGGGAGTGGGGGTCCTGCTGGTCGTCGGGGACGTTTCCGTTCTTTGGAAGCGGAATGTCGACATCCTCGTACATGTCCCAGAACTCCTTGGTCATGGCATATGGGTCGTGGGGGTGGGTCATGGATACGGTCAAACAGAAAGGTTGGTCAGTGCGCTGGCGGACGTGGTCGTACAAGTACTGCTGCGACTTGTAGATGACTTCCTCGTCAAAGTCCAATTGGTTTGTGCGCACAACCGGGCCAGCATCCATGACCGAGGCCATGTTGTGGTAGTAGTCCTGGCGGATTTCCTGGGAAACTAAGTTAGCACCATGTCTCAAATGGCCGGGAAGAGAATCTCTTCTTGGGGGTCTTTTTTTACTTACCGGCTCATCCCAATTGACGGACCAGCCGTAGTCACCAGGGTAAATATCGCTTGTCAGACGCTGTTCATAACCGTGCAGCTGGTCCGGACCACAGAAGTGCATCTTTCCAGCCAGGGCCGTGTGGTAACCCTCTCGTCGCAGGTAGTGGGCGTAAGTGGGCGTATCGGCTGGCAAATCGGCAGCATTGTCATAGGCTCCAATCTTCGAGGGCAGTTGGCCGCTGACCATCACGTAGCGAGAAGGAGCACACAGCGGTGAGTTGCAGTAGGCCGAGTCAAAAGTCACACCCCCGGCGGCCAATTTGTCCAAGTTGGGCGTCTTGATGGGTGAGTTCTTGTCATGCAAGGACAACAAGGGCGCGGCCATCTGGTCGGCCATGATGTAAAGGATGTTGGGCTTCTTCTGCGCCATGGTGAAGGATGGTATTTCTTCTAGATGGCTTCAGGACAAAAGGTTGACAAGATTATAGAAGAAAAGAAGAAAAAGATTGAACTGGAACCATGGGATGGGGGGGGTTCATATAAGAATCCCGAAACTGGCACGTGTGGGGATGAACCCCCGAAAAGACTAAGAAATCCAAAGAAAAAAAAAAGTTTTTTTCTTTTTCAGTATTTTTTCATTTATTTTTATTTTTTCTTTTACTTGACAATGATTGATAAGAAGGTCCGAGAGTATCTATCACATTCGAGGTAGGAATAGATTAGCAAGTGGGAATGTATTGCGCTTACAAGCGCGATTGTACGTTAGTCCGTACAAGCCCGGGGTCATACTTCTAAAACCCACAGCCCCATACTGTTACTCGCTCCTTACTCCGCCACGGAAGATTCCAAGCAAAAGAAGAAAAAAAGGCCCAGATCTTTCCCCGATAAGTCCACAGTAGCGGCTGTACTACTGCATTGAAGATCAGGGGAATGATCTGGCACTGACGTACCCCCGAAGGCGCAAGATAGCACAATTTGAGAGTGCGATGGTGTGATTGACCCAAGAATGGAGAAGATTTTGTGGGGAGATCAGTTGTATTGTATTGTACTCATTCGTAATCGTATTTGAGAACCAAACTAAAGGGGTCATGTGGCTAATTTCCTATTATTGATTGTGCAAGAGGAACATGATCATTGAGAAATAAAATAAAAAATAAAAAAATCGAGAAATTCCAACAAAGTTCAGGAATCAGTGTCCATGTCAAGAAATACAATCCCATCCAGTCAGAAGAGTATTCAAAAAAGATTGTAACAAGTACTGAAGAGAATCAAAAGAGTCCGCATTGGCAAGTCCCGAAGCCCCGTGATTGCCGAGTTGCCACCTTGTAAAGCTGTGACGATACCAGAACGCAGAATTGGTAAGATCAGGATTTGCCATTGAAGGAACAGAAATAACTACGAAGCTAAGAATTTCACTCAACATTCTACACCCTATCTGATTCTGTCACTCTTCTTTTCACCATGTCCACTCAACCCCGGAGTGGACAGCAAGCTTTGAAGAGACGGACCCATGTACCTACAATTCAAGCCTGATCACCCAAACTTTCCGACAGGAAAGTCTCGACTCCACCGGATCGTGTCATTCGCTTTATCATCCAATCATCACGACTCACTTTGCCCCTGGTATTACCAAACTCAGTTAGTCGGATTGCTTAGGAGGGATTAGGGGAAGGTACTCCACTTGCTTATCTTAAGACCCAATCAAAAGATGAAGAAAACAACCACAAGAGAAAAAAAAAAAAATAAAGAATACGAAGGAGAAGGAGAAAAAAAAAAAAGAAGGCCTAGCGAGGGAGCCGAGGAGGCCGACTAGACTAAGTGGGACAATCAGCGGTGTATGCACAAAGTACTCATCACGACCTCATGAACTTCTTGTTTTTTTGGGGATTTCTTCGATTTTCAGGAAATAACATTCGAGACATTCGAGAGATCCGCAAAAATCCCCAGTTTCATACATGTACTGGATGAGCAATCCCCCTTTTCAATCACGTCATGTGCATCTCCCCGGATTCATCAACCTTTTCACCGCCAGTTGGTTCAACTTCAGCTTCAACTCCACATGAGAACACGTTTACATGCGGGACCGAATCACCCGATGCAGAATGGCGCAATAAGTACAGACGAAGTACCAAGTCCAAATACATTCAGTAGTACTATGTACATATTTACTACGGAGTACATACTTGGTAACTGCTAATGTCGATCAACCTTACATTTCACAAACCTTGGAACCCTTGCTACTTAATTCAACCTCGATCCAACCCCATCTACTACTAGTACAAGGGAAATAGAAATCCATCCTAACCCATCACAATTTTGCTATTTTTTTGGTAGTTTGAGCTTTTTAGAAAAACAATGAACATCAAGAAACATCAAGGACCAATCTTTGAAAAAATCATCAAGAAGCAAAAGAAAACCATCAACCGAAAACCTCAAGGCCAGATAAAAGAGATAAAAGAGACAAAACATGAAAAATCAAGAAACATCAAGGACCAATCTTTGAAAAAAAAAGCAAAAAGCAAAAGAAAACCATCAGCCGAAAATCTCAAGACAAGATAAAAGAGATAAAAGAGATCAAAGAAATAAAAGAGATAAAAAAAAGAAAATTTCCCATATCAATTCGCATCCATCACAAATTTTCAAGACTCCATTCTGTCTCATGATGATGCCCCTTAAGACGAATCACCATGCATTTCTTCCATAAGCATTGTTGTGGCGAGCTTGAGCCGTGCTGGGTGGCTTTGGCCACTGGTCTTCTTCATCATTGATCCCGATACGGCAAAACGTCTTGAGCTCCTGCTCGCCAGCTTGGGGATCTAGGCTGTCAGCTGGAGACCATCCCTTACTTACATCCCACCATAGCCAACGTTCATGGTCAATGTCAAACATCTTGTCACGTGGCAGACTCTCAGCCGGTAGATTCTTGGCATACCAGAAGACGAGATCCCGGATGGCCATAGCATCCTCCAGGCTATCCAAGCCGAATCGGGTCCTTTGGATGTCACGAGACAGGTGCACCCGGCTGAGATTCTTCAGACTTCGGTTCCTTTCAGGAACCTCACGCCGGCTTTCAAGCTCATAGGTGTCGATAACTCTTTGGCGCTCGAATCTCCATCGTAGGTGAATCATGTCGTCGCGGCCTTGATGGAGAACGATATATGTGAACCTGTTAACATAGTCCCAGAGACATTTCTGGGCTTCTTCGACCCCGTCTAGACAGAGACCTTTCTTGTGTGCATCGTTCATCATTGTCCAGGTGATGCAGCTACGCGGGGTGTCCAAATGCAGCATGGGGACCTTGGGCCACACGAAGTGGTCGAGGAGAACTTCGCCGCTGTAGAGATCAACGGCACTCAGTCGGATGAGCTCATGTTCACCCCGGCGGTTTATTCCTGTCTTGCAGGAGACTACCACTCCAGATCGGTGGGTGGGTGTGACGATCCGCAGTCTCTCGTGAATGTCGCCATTGTTGAATTTCCAATTGTCTCCGTAGCGAGGGGTGTAAAACGGGCGGACTACTCCTTCGTCATCGTTCGAGTCGTGCTTCAGTCTAAGAAGACACCCGCATGAAGTTGCGGGCCTTTCGCAACAAGTGAAAACCTGTTGATTGGTTTAGTATTGGGTCTCACAATGATTCAAAGGCATTTGACTCACATCATTGATAGGTTTACCAGGGTGGTAAAGGCACTCCGGGACGTATCCGGTCTCTCTCTTGACCCACAGCTTATGCTCAATTTTAGTGCTTCCCATGAACCAGAAGCCATGCTTGCCAGGAACCTCTTGAGTTTCGAAGAAAGGAAAGTAGAGCAATTTTGGCTCATCGTTTCCGACTTCGGGCTCTGGAAGCTCCCGCTTCGTTGGATCCCACACATACTCAGGCTCGACTTTTTTGGGAGCGAGCACAAAGCTCTCTGGCGGAGGCACCGCATTCCGAGGAGTTGAGTCCCGTTGGAGTTGTTCCAAACCCTTCTTGTTATGAACTTTGTAGAGTCTGTAATCCTTTCTGAGCACTGTAATCTGGTATCAGCAAAGCCGTCTGTGAAAAATAGCGCTTAAATCATGAGACAAGATGAGAATACGTACAGTAACAATAGAAGCAACGAATCTTGTTCTTGCTCAGGTAGCTACTCTCGTAACCACCAGGGAGGTACCTTTGTTCATTCAGTGTGTTTATACCCATCCATAGGCCTCTCATGGCTTCCATGAGAGCGGGAGTCTCGACAACCTCAGCAAGGACTCTTGGTACCCTCTCCGTGTTGAAAAATGGATGGGTCGGCTTGTTTGGGTCGACTATGACAGGCACATTGCGTTCTTTATTCCATCGATCATTGTGAAACTGTGTGGAAATAGAGAGGGTCAGAATCATAAGAGGTACACATGCACTGCAAGTTGCTGGATAAGAGAGAGAGAGAGAGAGAGAGAGAGAGAGAGAGAGAGAGAGAGAGAGAGAGAGAGAGAGAGAGAGGGTGGGGGACTGCGTGAGGGAATATAGGCATATAATAAGTGAAGGGGGGTAAACATACCATTTTGGATTCCATTATTTGAAGCTAAGGGGCGGGTAGATGAAAGGATAAGAGTAGGGAAGATGAAGAATTTTGAATGAACGAACGTTCAGGAGGACAGAAAGTGCGATTCGAGTAGTCACGAAAAGCTGAAGGATCAGATTCGGGAAGGCGAAGAAATTTTGAAAGAACAAACGTTCAGGAGGACAGAAAGTGCGGTTCGTCCTCCTGAAAGTGCGGTTCAAGTAGTCACGAACAGTTGAAGGATGAGATTCGGGAAGGCGAAGAAATTTGAAGGAACGAACGTTCAGGAGGACAGAAAGTGCGGTTCAAGTAGTCACGAACAGTTGAAGGATGAGATTTGAAAGAACGAACGTTCAGGAGGACAGAAAGTGCGCTCTAAATGGCCACGAACAGTGATAGTGCTAGGCACGATATCACATGTGCATTCACGACGACAGTAGTAGCTACTAGAATAAACGATCTCTAGCGAACCCCTGTATCAGCTGACCATCTTCACTGTAGCCTAAATTTGCCTATTGAATAATTCATACACTATCAGATTGAACCCTAGGAAATCATGAAGTGAATGATTGAGGGAAGGGTTAAGGGAGAGGATGGGACAAAGAAATTAACAATGATATTCTCCTGATGAATAGACACAAGTCGGTTACTAAGGAATTCAAGAGATACAATAAGAAAAGAAGACAGTAGTAGTAGTATACGCCGTGGTAGTCAATTGGCTCACCGATGCTTATCAAACAGATTATTTCGTTAAGAGACGTGGTTGTTTTCTAGGGAATTTGGGATGACAACATCAGAATGAGGATTAGTCAACCTTGATCGCGCTATAGACACGACGCACAAAGGCATATGCAGCCAGGAATCCGACAGTTCCAGTCAGCAAGAAGTACACTGTGCAGGCGAGAAAGCTGTAGCTGAAGAACAGCAGGGTAGAAACGAATCCAGTGACGTGCAGCTTGAACATATAGTACCAGATGCAATAAGCGAAGATCCAGAAGGCACTGCTGCCACCTGTCAAGAAACTTTGCCACCACCAGTGGTAATTCTAGCAAGTTGGTGAGTTGATGTTGTACTAATAGAAACAAGTCGGACTTGAAGAGAGAACTTACCTCGGAGCAGAGTTGGCTGTAAGTTGCAATGACGGTCACTTCGACGATGGTGACCATGAGAACTGCACATACTACGCTCAGGAAGCCAAACACATAGTAGTAGCCACTCTTGTCCTGCCAGAGATTCTTGAAAACAAACAACAACTCAATGAAGAGAACGGCGAATGGAACCAATCCTGTCAAAAGAGGGCCGGCAGGGCCACTCAGATACCATGGCTGGGGTGGAACTTGGCGGGCAATGGCGTTCGTCTTCAGAGGGTGCTCCCAAGGCTTAGCTCGCACATATCCAACCCAGCTACCAAGGTAGACGAGGGGAACCTGAATCAGCAACCAAAGAGCAAGCAGGCCAACCAAGGTGCCGAACGGGATCGCCGTGCTGGAAGCCTGAGTCCAGACAAACAAATTCAAGATCAAGATAAGGAAAAATGTCAGTCCGGGGAAAAGTAAGGCGGTCTGCAATAATCAAGTCAGTTCAAACAAGTACAACAAACGTCATGCCACTATTAAATGCACTTACAATCAAGGTATTCTTTCGCCATGCGGTTCCACTGAAGGTCTTATAGAGTCTGCCGGAGAAGTAACCAGAGAATAAACCAGCAAACACAAACAGTCCCATGCCAACGCTGACAAATCCACCGCGGAAACTTGGGTTCAAGACTCCCAGGCAACTAAGTGCAAGCAAACCAGTTGCCATAAATAGCAACTGCATACCTGACCCAACAAGTGGTGCTAAAAGGCCACTGTAGGCGGGGATTCGGAAAACATCGCCATGAAGAAGCTTCCAGCCGCTAGTGTCCTCGAGAGGTTCATCGTCAGAGGACATGTCTGCGTCGTTTTCCACGTCGGCATTATCCAACAGTCCCTCCGTCTTCTTCTCTCTTGAACGCTTCCGGTGGGACTGGCCCTTTGGTTTCCGATCCTCCATAGCTCCATCGCCACGGCCCTTGATGTCGCCTTGTACGGTCCGACTCCATATCACAAAAACGGTGGCACCTAGTACGGTGGAGATGATCAAGGAGTTGACAATCGCCAGCCAGTGTGTCATTGAGCCTTCTTCTTGGTTGGTGAAATACAGATCCCAACGGTTAGCCCAATCAATCTTCGGTTCTTCGCGGAAGTAAACCGAGTAGGTGTACGGGATGCTCAAGGTGGACCCGTCATCATCGTCATCGTCATCCTCTGGGATGTAAGACAAGCCAGCGTATTTCTCCTTAAGCTTCGATTTGTCGGGTGCAATGTACAGACCGAGTCCTTCGTGGTCCGAGTGAATGTCCTTTGGACAACCGCCTTCTTGGCGGTCCGCCGAGGTGACACTTTTTGGATATACTTCGAATCCATTGATCACCTTGCCCCCTTCCGGTGCGCTCCGCCAGCGGATAACGATTGTGAAATGGTTGTTGATGAAATAGCGGTGTTGGCCCGTAGAAGGGGAAATATCACGGTAACCCAGCTTGAATCCGGAGGCGTAATATTTTCGGCTTCTATCAACGGTCACAAAGCTTGTTGCGCCAGGCAGATTATCCACAATCCATTCAATCACGTAGTTCTCCTTGATCAGGTTCCGAGCCCATTTGATATTTGAGCGAGTGACTTCACGGGTGCAGAGTGCTTGGCATTCCACATCTTTGCCCATGGTGAGCTCAAAATCGGAGGTCATGATACGATCGCCACGCAGCACTTCACCTAAATTAAGTGATATGCTCTGACCAGATCCAAAGGGCGAGCCGCCATGAGTCTTGCCACTTGGGGGGCAGACAAAAGGGAGGTCGAAGTAAGCATACTGGAGCTGCGTTTGGTCGGAGAAAATCTTGTTGACAAGGAGGGGGATTGGTTCTTTGTCATTGTACCGAGTGACTGAGTATCCTATATCAGAGAAGAGCAAAGTCAGTATCGGCTGAGTTACCCTAGTCTTGTGTCGACGAAGCTTACCAGGGATGTAAAAGGCCCAGGCATAAGAGACAAACGAAAGCACAAAAAGTGACCAGGTACCAAGACCTAACGACCTTGAAGATGCCATTGTCACTGTGTTATTTGTATGGTTTTGTAAGGTTTCCTATTAGCTGAACCGAATGCGCTGCCCCCTGGTTCCTCATACACTTCAAAGTTGAGCCGGAAGTGCGTTTGGAGGTGATCGCACGTCAGCGGACAAGCGGAGTGCAGATCTGCAACAACCGATCGGGGCAGATCCTTTTGGTTTCTAGCAAGACCCCAGATTCCTCACGGACTGCCCTAGAGGCCGGTATATAGGCAGTCGCCAACAAGGCGGTAGGTAGTTGAGACTCGGTAGGGTGATGCTTGGCAGGCGCTAAGCTCCGGGTCAGTCTCGATCGTGTAGTATTGACACAGAGATGAAAATGAGATTTAGAAAAAGGAATCGTGGAGAGATGAGAAAGATTAAAGATAACGAGTGTAATTGGCACCGAATGCCGCAGGTGCCAGCAAGATGGGGATTCGGTGCTCGTCCAAGGAGTTAGGGGAGAGAAAGCCCCCGGATTACCTCTAATCTCCAACGTGTCAAACGTGGACGGATTATCTAATCGGAGACCCTTGAAGCTGCAGCAAATTAAAGTTTCCTAGGTCTGAATCGCCAATCAATGCAGAGTGATAGATGTAGGAAATACCTTTAGCGTAAAGGCTTGTAAGATGATGAATTCAATTTGTAAATATTTGAAAGATTTGAGTATTGTAATCCAAGGTCCAAACTTCGTAAACATGACATGACGCATGCAGCCGGGGTCGGCCACTATTCCGTGTTTGTATATTTACTAAGTTACTAAGTATATTTCTGCCTTGCAACCTTGGAACTAGAGTCCCGTTACTTCTATCCATGTACTCAAGTGCTACTTAGTAGGCACTAACCAGCACTAGTATACTATACATTTGTCACGGTATATCTGCACTGTACCCATAATTAACACCTGGGCATTTTCTTGGAGAGACAACACATCCAATATGTAGGAGAAAACCCCAAAAACCTGGCGCCAGTAATCTTTGACAATTGGAATGAGATTTTCTAACATTGAATATGTAACATCCATACATTTGTAGATCAATATTCATATATATGTGAATTCCGTGCTTCAAATGTTTTAATGTTGACCAGGTGAAAACCTTGTGAGAATTGTATGTATGTAGCACTTGAGTGTGAGTCGTGTACTAGTAGGTATCGTTGGAACCCCACATGCATACGGGGCCGGCACCTGCCACATGTGCAGGCGGGAATGACTTCAATGTTGGAGATAGTAAATCGTCACGAAATGCTAAATCTAAAACCTATTGACCTATTAAGTTGGAGGAGAGAGGACATTGATATCACATAAGTAGGTAAGAATAAATATCCACATCCAGAAAAAAACCAAGCAAAAAGGGGGAATGTAAGATGTCGTCAACTTGAAGAAAGGCCGGTCGTTAGTCCTAAGCGAAACAAGGCCATGGAGTAGATGGGGTTAAAAAAAAGAAACACTATAAAAAGAAGATTGAGTGGGGGATTGCATCTTCAGGCGAAAAAAGGCCCCCTCGCTAACTCAACAAGTATTCCACGGCTCCTTGCACACTACCGCCACTTCGTCGCAAAGCTTCAATATTTCGCTCAAACTCGAAGAATCCCATATCATTCAACTGGCGGAGCTGATCAGCATATCGCTCCTCAGGAGGCCGGTTATCAGTGGGAGCTGCTTGAGAGCCAAAGCCACCGCCCCCGAACAGTGATGCCAGAGGGTTTGCACCAGCAGCACCGGCAGCACCGGCAGCACCGGCAGCACCGGCAGCACCCTCTCCACCTTCTAAACCCAAAGCCTGCAAAAATGTTGCCCTTAAGGCGGGATCACGAAGGAGTTGCTGGGCATTGGAAAATTGGTCATTGGGCATATTCATATTCGCACCCGCGCCAGCGCCTGCTTGGCCTGCACCTCCGAAGAAGGCTGGGTTGAGAAGAGCCGAAAATGGGTTCGCCGCCGCCTCTCCAGTGTTTGATCGGGTATTGGTGTTTTGTGTTCCTTCATTACCTTCAGCCTGGCCTGCTGCGCCAGTGGCAGCTGGCTGGGATGGAGGAGCAAAGGGGTTGGCCCCAGGAACGCCCCCGAAGAGACTAGCAAATGGGCTTGGACCATTCCCGAGATCGAATGGATTTGCAGGCATATCTTGTTGTTGAGCACCCTGATTGCCCTCGGGGGTTGTGTTGGTGACACCTGGAGCGGGGAAGGCATTCTGGTTGCCTGCGCCGCCTTGTCCGCCTCCCATCATACCCATTGCCTGCTGCATTCGCATCGCCTGGCGAATGGAGTTGGGGTCGGTCAACATGCGACGGAACTCGGGGCTCTGCATCATGTGTCGCACGCCAGGTCCCATGTCTCGTAGCATGGGGTTTTGTTGGATCATCATATCGATTACCTGTGGGTTTTGAAGTGCCTCGTTTATGGAAGATTGGAACTGAGGATTCTCAAGCATGTTCAACATCGTATCGCTATCGGGAGGTGGGCCCATCTATGATGAAGGTAAGAAGTCAGTATATTGGAATAATTCACCGGCGTTTCACAAATGATCGGGGTGTTTATAGTATATGTGAGCTCACTTACCCCACCATCCGGGCCAAACAGACCTGCGCCAGGTAGTTGGGCAAACCCGGCATATCGAGCTCCAGTTAAGCCTGCTAGAGGATTGTTTCCAGTACCTGCAGCAAGATTGGTTGGGACACCTGCCGCAGGCTGACTCGGCGTTGGGGCAGCCGGGCTTGCTGTTGAAGTACTAGATTGACCGGATGTGTTGGATCGTTGCTGATTGCTTGCAGCACTCTTCACCAAGTGAATGGTATGCCCATCCTTAATCTTGTATGACTCTAGGGTCTCGTTATCCTTCAGCACTCGGCCGGAATAGATCAGGCGCTGACGATCAGCGGGGGTATCGGCATATTCGGAGCTTGAGAGCTTCTGCTTCAACTCCAAGACTGGAGTGGAAAGAGGCAGGGTGATGGTAAATTTGGCATCAGTTGAAGATTTGACGGTGAAGGTGATAGGGGCATCCTCCGTAGCACCGGTGTCGGCCATGGCTGTCTGGGTGGGAAGCACGCTGAATTGAATGAGGGGAAGCTGGGCTAGCAACTAAGGAAATGGGGGTCCAGAAGAACTTTGCCAGTGAAAGAAGCTGAAGGAACAAAGAGGAGATTGAATGATATAGAGGGAAGGAAGGCAAATATTTGATGATGTACTGTCCAAATGGTTTCAAGTCGATTGCCGGTGTTGTCCTGGAGTGGGATCTATTTGGTATTGGGGTCGTGGTTTACCCGGGAAGACCATTACATAAGGGTGGTGATGACAGAAGGCGGTCGAAACCGATGGCCAGAATTGCCACGTGACTACGGCAATTGCTTCGCACTGGAATTTTGCATTTCTTTCGTGTTGGAACTTCCACTTCCACTTCCGCACGTTCGTTTCTTGAGCAAAAAGTGGCCCCAACCACGGAGTCTTTTCTTTACTAGTGACTCCACCAGGCAGATATGGGATTGATGTGATTGTTCCACTCCCCCCTGGACTGCAATTGATCATAATACTCCGTGTCTTTTGCTAGGTGTCAGAGCTGGCAAAGCTCTGCGAGCTAAGTGCCAACAATGGCTACCACCTCGCACATGTTCATGTACTCCTTGACAATCCAGCCTCCAACTGCGATCACACAGGCAGTCCTAGGGCAGTTTTCTGGAACCAAGGAGCAACAGGTCATCACCGCGTCTGGCTCTAAGCTCACTATTCACCGACCTGACCCGACCCTGGGCAAAGTTACCCCAATCTTCTCTCAAGATGTATTTGGCATCATCCGCTCTTTGGCAGTATTTCGTCTGGCAGGTAGTAACAAAGGTATGTCTTTTTTTAAACAAAACCCCATCCCCTTGCATTTACGAGTTCAACTTAGTGATTCTTGAAGCTTCCCGGGTAGCACGGTCTTGGTTCTTTGACCCGACCCCTTGAAGGGCGGGGGACCTGCCCTGGCCAGCAACGTGGACGCTGTCAAACCCCATAAATAGCGAAACTGTGCTGAGTCATTTCCATTGCAGATTATCTGATCATCGGCTCTGATTCGGGTCGCATCACCATCGTTGAGTATGTCCCCTCCCAGAATCGCTTCAACCGGATCCATTTGGAAACATTTGGCAAATCCGGGGTTCGCAGAGTCGTTCCAGGACAATATCTTGCGGTGGACCCTAAGGGCCGTGCGTGCTTGATAGCCTCAGTTGAGAAGAATAAGCTGGTCTATGTTCTCAACCGAAACTCTCAGGCTGAACTCACAATCTCGTCGCCCTTGGAAGCCCACAAACCCCAAACATTGGTGTTTGCTATGATTGCCTTGGATGTTGGATATGATAACCCCATCTTCGCTGCCCTTGAAGTGGATTACTCCGAGGCAGACCAAGATCCCACTGGTCAAGCATACGAGGAGATGGAGAAGGTTCTTGTTTACTATGAATTGGATCTGGGTCTCAACCACGTCGTCCGCAAGTGGTCCGATCCAGTGGACCGCACCGCAAACATGCTGTTCCAAGTGCCGGGTGGTGCAGATGGACCCAGTGGTGTTTTGGTCTGTTCCGAGGACAATATTACCTACCGCCACTCAAACCAGGATGCATTCCGTGTGCCGATTCCACGTCGCAGCGGCCCCACTGAAAACCCCGAACGGAAGCGAACAATTGTTTCGGGTGTGATGCATAAAATGCGAGGCGCATTTTTCTTCCTTCTTCAGACTGAGGATGGTGACATCTTTAAGGTAACACTTGAGATGGTCGAGGATGAGAATGGCCAACCGATCGGTGAAGTCCAAGGCCTGAAAATAAAATTCTTTGACACTGTTCCTGTTGCATCGAGTCTCCTCATTCTCAAGAGTGGATTCCTCTATGTTGCCAGTGAATCAGGCAACCATCACTTCTACCAATTTGAAAAACTTGGTGATGATGACGAAGAGATTGAATTCAGCAGCGACTCGTTCTCTGCGGATCCTTCCGCCCCGTACGAACCTGTTTTCTTCCGTCCTCGCCCTGCTGAGAACTTGAATCTTATGGAGTCAATCAACTCACTGAACCCATTAATTGACAGCAAGGTTGCCAACCTTACTGAGGAGGATGCCCCACAAATTTACTCTGTCTGTGGCACAGGCGCCCGCAGTACATTCCGGACTCTCAAGCATGGACTTGAGGTCTCTGAGCTTGTGGACTCGCAGCTCCGTGCCGTGCCTTCTGCGGTCTGGACAACCAAGTTGGCACGATCCGACAAGTATGACCGATACATTGTACTCTCTTTCACCAATGGTACCATCGTTCTGGGAATTGGTGAGATAGTAGAGGAAATCACCGAAGATTCTGGTTTCCTTTCTACAGCACCAACGCTCGCTGTCCAACAGCTTGGTGAAGACTCACTCATTCAAGTACACCCTCGAGGTATCCGCCATCTCCTCGCGGACCACCGAGTGAATGAGTGGCCTGCCCCACAGCATCGTTCTATTGTGGCTGCTGCTACTAACGAACGTCAAGTCGCTGTCGCCCTTAGCTCTGGCGAGATTGTCTACTTCGAAATGGATGCCGATGGATCTTTGGCAGAATATGATGAACGACGCCAAATGTCTGGCACGGTCACTTGCCTTAGTCTCGGACAGGTTCCCGAGGGCCGTGTACGAAGTTCGTTCCTAGCCGTTGGCTGTGACGATTCAACTGTTCGCATCCTCAGCTTGGACACAAAGAACATGTTGGAAAACATGTCTGTTCAAGCCCTCACATCGGCGCCGTCTGCGCTTAACATCATGGCCATGGCTGATTCCAGCTCCGGTGGCACCACTCTCTACTTGCACATCGGTCTCTACTCTGGTGTGTACCTTCGTACTGTGCTGGATGATGTGACCGGTGAACTCTCAGACACCCGAACACGATTCCTTGGAGCCAAACCCGTCAAACTGTCACAAGTCTCGGTTCAGGGTCAAACGGCAGTCCTTGCTCTAAGCTCCCGCTCATGGCTTGGGTACTCCGATATTCAAACCAAGAGCTTTATGCTCACTCCATTGGACTATTTCGGCCTCGAGTGGGGCTGGAACTTCTCTAGTGAGCAATGCTTGGAGGGTATGGTCGGTATTCAAGGTCGAATTCTACGGTACGTGACTCACTTTGTTGTCAACCCCCCCCCCCCCCTGCCATTTCCAACTATGATCATATGATGAAAAAATGGGAACCGAACCTCCATGTGGATCAAAAACATGTTTTTATTTTTCCAATTGTTCCTACTGAGATCAAACACTTGTTATTTTTCGCATTTTCCGAACTTTGCTATTGAAATGTGAGCTTTCTCGCTGACACAACCATAGGATCTTTTCCATCGAAAAGCTCGACAACAACATGCTGCAGGAGTCCATCCCGTTGGCTTACACTCCCCGCCGCTTTGTGAAGCACCCAGACCAGCCTCTTTTCTACGTCATCGAGTCCGATAACAACGTTCTATCCTCCACTACACGCGAAACCCTGACCAAGGATTCAGAAACTCGCAATGGCGGCGGCGACGACGCTGCCAGCCTGCCTCCTGCCGAGTTCGGATATCCCCGAGGAACTGGTCACTGGGCATCATGTATCCAAGTAGTCGATCCCATTTCCGAGAAGGCCGTGGTCTTCAGCCTTGATCTTGAGGATAACGAGGCCGCAGTCAGTGTTGCCGTTGCTCCTTTCTCCAGCCAAGATGATGAATCGTTCTTGGTCGTTGGTACTGCCAAGGACATGGAAGTCAGTCCACCGAAGTCGAAAGGTGGCTTCATTCACATTTACCGATTTTCCGAGGATGGGCGCAAATTTGAGCTCATTCACAAGACAAGCACAGAAGAGCCACCTCTTGCTCTCCTCCCATTCCAAGGAAAGCTATTGGCAGGTGTTGGTTCCATTCTTCGCCTGTACGACCTCGGTGTGAGGCAGTTGCTTCGCAAATCTCAGGCACCTGTGGTGCCCCAAACCATTGTTGGTCTCCAAACCCAAGGTAGCCGAATTGTTGTTAGCGATGTCCGAGAGAGTGTGACCTATGTGGTCTACAAACAACAAGAGAATGTTCTGATCCCATTTGTGGATGATTCCATTGCCCGCTGGACTTCCTCCACAACAATGGTGGATTATGAAACCATTGCTGGAGGTGACAAGTTTGGTAACCTGTGGATGCTGCGTTGCCCAAGCAAAGTTTCCGAGGAAGCCGATGAGGATGGATCTGGGGCTCACCTAGTTCACGAGCGAGGCTACTTGCAGGGAACTCCCAACCGCCTAGAGCTGATGGTTCACTACTACACCCAAGACATCCCGACTAGCCTGCACAAAGCCCAGCTAGTTGCTGGCGGTCGTGACATTGTCCTTTGGACTGGTTTCCAAGGAACGATCGGCATGTTCGTCCCCTTTGCGAGCCGTGAAGACGTTGATTTCTTCCAAAGTCTGGAGATGCAGCTGGCTGCGCAGCACCCCCCACTCGCTGGCCGCGACCACCTGATCTATCGTGGTTACTATGCCCCCGTGAAGGGTGTCATCGATGGGGATCTGTGCGAGATGTATTTCCTTCTACCCAACAATACGAAGATGATGATTGCCGCGGAGTTGGATCGATCTGTGCGGGAGATCGAGCGTAAGATCTCGGTAAGTTGACTTCGATCATCCTCATGATGCCTTCCCCCCAAAGTTGCATTGACTAACCGAAATCCAGGACATGCGAACACGAGTGGCGTATTAATTTCGGACCGGTCTGGCATCATTCATGTTGGCGTTTTTCTTTTGGGCCCTCTGGGGCTTCACATACTAGGTACTTAGGTTTTGCTAATCGATATCCCAATCCGCGGCCCAGACCGCATTTTTCATTCTCATGGCGATCCCCCTAATCCCATTTTGTTTATCCCTCTCCCTCGACGTCTCTTGCCTCGCTCGGTCTGCCGCTTTTCTCGGCTAATCTTGAGCTGGATGCAATTTGATCACCTTTTGGTGGTTGAGCTGTATGAGACAAAATTAAGCGTGGTTTTGCTATGCGTCGACGTCTTTTGAGTACGGTTTTTTCCGCTTCCACGGTTCTCACCGTAATTTATCTGTCGGGACATCTCGTAATCTCAATGGTCATTTGATTTTTGAGAAGAAAAAAATAGTCTCTAGTCGTGATTATGTATTGTCAATTGAATCAAGTTTCACTTACAATTTCTAAAAATTCATTTTAAAATCTCCGAAAACAAAAATCATCGAGGTCTTGTGCAGCTTGTCGTACTGGAGCCACAACTTATGGAGTACACACTACAAAGTACAAACCGCCCGGTCGGAATCAGATCACGTAAATCATGCCGATCTCAACTTCAGCCGAAACAACACGGCACCGAGATTTCCATCCGTACGCCGTACCTGCATAGACCACCTGAGTTCCCCGTCTCGCACGCCGAAAGAAAACCCACTCGGCATCGAGAGCGCTTCGGCTATGATCGGTAAAATCTGGATCCCCGCGGGAAAATCCCTGATCTCGTCATTGTCGTGGGGAACTACTCCGAAAGTCGTATGTCCAGCCCCTGGGCTCCAGGTTGGAGCGTGCTCGATGTTGAAGTTCTAGCGGCGGGTGGTAAAAGCATACCAATTAGTATTTAGCACCTACACTAATTGAAGAATATCGAGAACCTTGGAATGATAATTGGGAAACAGATCAAGAATATTTTGAAGTATGCACAGTAGTAGTCTGTACTGTACACGCTAGCTCTGTCCTAGGGGTTGAAAGTTGAGACTGCCGTGCTCGACCACATACCTAATATCGCAAATGCAATATTATATATAGGCCGAAGCTTCGAGTGAGATATTAAACACGGATGGCATCTGACTTGAATGATTCAGCAGCTCAAGTCGCAACCATTTAGGGATTCCAGTCGAACCTTGGAAATCCATGTGATGGCTCAGGCAACTACTAATCTCAGACTTGAATTTAGCAGAGGTAACGAAGCGGAACCTTGGAAATAAACAAAGGAGAAAAGAGTTGAAGAGATGGGTTAATCATGACGACTTGGACGGTACTAAATACCATACATGTATCTATTGACTAGTTACTAGTTATTTGTTGGACAGTTAACAAGATGAGTCATGCGGATAAGCTTAACTATGGCAGCAGGACTCTTGATTCTTGAAACTGATAATTACTAATGTACTAACTAATTAATTAACTAACAGTACTAACTACTAGTCAAATCATTTCAAGTGTTTGCCAATCCCGTGTTTGGTCAGCAGGTCTTTCTTCCTTGATTAAACCGATTGGTCACATTCAAAGCCATGACGCCCTGCACACGACATCGGGGAATGTCAGAAGGGCCAAGTCGTCCCAAATGCAGGAGTGGAGCCCCCAAGGGCGTACATGTCGGCGTAAGGCGCTCTCCACCAGCTTCTAGGTCCACTTTGGACTTTTGATCCCGGTATCGCAGATTCCGTATACAAATGCCTAAACTTCAGAGATTCAGAGATTGGGGCTTTTGAAGCCGGGAGAAGAGTCCAGAGCTTAGGATACGAGTGGAAAACTGGCATCCATGGTAAAAAATAGAGTCCTCGTTTTCGTGTTTGATCGGCCAAAGGAAAAAACCCCGAACGTATACCTCTACGGGAATGTCAATCCAAGGGCGTGTGCATGGACCAGGATGCAGAAACCAATCATGCACGATTGGGTACGGTTGTTTTTTTGTTATTCTATGGATCCCCCCAAATTTCGCATTTAACCTATGGGGCTTTTTGTGGTGTTTCTCCCCATGTCTTCCCCCAAATGAGTCACGAACTAGAGATCGAAAGACTTTAAAAAATCAAGGGAAAAAAAGGACTTTGATTGGTAACTTTAAGAACTTTTGTCACGTATCTCTGACGCGACTTGATGCATTCCAGTATATAAAAGCGGGGGATCCCTCTGATGTCTGGAATTTATTACTGAAGCTGCTATTGTATACTTCCAAGCTTCTTGTGCGGTTATCCACGGCTCCACTTCCTATTTTTTTTTCGGAGCTAAGAGTATATGCTTGGGAAATTCATTACTGGAGAAAGTATTTTTTTCTACTCTTTCTCTACATTCTGCTGGAGAAGGTGACATTTCCATTCTACTTGCCTTAAGGGAGGAGGAAAAACAAACATTTGAAGTTCTTCCAAAGTTCCGCCCTTACTACCTTCCACCACAACAATGGCGACCTCTATTATCAGTCGTGGCTCGGACACGCTAGATGTTTTTGCTCGTCGCTCAACCCCAAAGATCGAAATTAATCTCCAAGGACAGAAGCCTGGTCTGGTCAATTCTTACACAACCGGAGATTATATCGAAGGCACCGCCAACATTACTGTTGACCAGGAGACGCGTTTCGATGAGATTGAAATCATTCTGCAAGGTGATTTCCTCCAGCTTTAAAGGATTCTCCTGGTTCGTATAGATAACTAACCCCTGTCATACGCATTCAGGAACATCCCATACAACAGTAGAGCGAGCCGCATGCCCTGGTCGTACAGGTTCGCAACAGATGTTCCTCAAGCTTCGTCAACCGATTGAAGATGCAGAATACCCAACCCCACGAATCATGGAAGCTGGCCACACATACTCCTTCTCCTTTACATTCGTCGTACCGAATCATTTGCTTCCACAAGTATGCTCGCATACAAAGCAGAATGATCACATCCACCGATCCCACACAATGCTCCCACCAACCTTGGGAGACCCAATGGCAGTGAGCGATGCAAAGACCCTCATAAATGACATGTCCCCGGAGATGAGCCAAATTTCATACATTGTCAGTGTCTCGGTATTAAAGAGGGCACCTCACCACAGCTCGAAGACATTGGCAAACGTAGCCAAAAAAGTTCGCATCATTCCTATCGTGGAGGAAGAACCCCCTCTCAACACGGTGGATCATACCAGCTATTGCACTCGCAAGGAAAAGACCGTGAAACGGGGGTTCCTGCGAGGAAAGCAGGGTCAGCTGGTTGCTTCGGGCTTACAACCCAAGCCGATCGCATTACTTCCTCCAAGCTGCGAGACACATGATACGGTCAGCACAGTGGCAAAGGTGCAGCTGAGATTTGATCCAGTGGGAGATGAACAACCTCCACGACTAGGTTCGATGACTACCAAGATCAGAGCCAGCACATTCTACAGCGCCAACCCCTGGGAAGACTTTCCCTGTCAATCAGGTACATCTGTGTCGCAGGTCGGCCAGGGTCTGTATACCGACTCTATCCCTCTATCAAACATGTGCGTGGCTTCAGCAAAGTGGGAAAAACACTCCATCCATGATCGTCGTGATTCAGTGAACTCGACCTCCTCGACCTCCTCGGACTCTTCCGATGACTCAACTGGCCCCTCTGCATCCTTCACTGGTGATACCTTCTACACTGCCTCCCTGGTAATTCCAGTATCGCTCCCAAAATCAAAGACATTCGTGCCCACTTTCCACTCTTGTCTGATGTCTCGCACCTACTCGCTCGATTGGTCTTTGTCTTATCACACCCCAGGAGCCAACGTTATGACCCCATCTATCTCCCTTCGACTCCCAATTCAAGTGACCACGCAGCCTAGATTCGCCGAACCAACCAAGTCAGATCTAGGTCTCGTTGTTACACAGGAAGAACTAAATGAATTCTTCCACCCACGATCTACAAGCCCACGATCTCTGGGCTTAGCTTCTACAGACTCGACTGTGGATTTAACGGCTCCGCCTGAATATTCAGAAGCCATGTCTCGACCACGCCGGCGCAGGGTTCCAGCCACCCAGTAATTTGGTTGCCGGTCTCATATCTTTCTTCTTCTTCTATTGTCGCATCAATACCCTTATTGTTGTCATTGTTTTTGCCTGGCTCTTCTAAAAAGTTATATTTTTTTCTGGTTTCTGCATGGCACTTACGACTGTTACGGACTTGTTTCCCATTTATGTTTGAATATACCCCTTTGATACTGGTTGATAATGAATGAAATCTAATTTACCTGCATGCTTACTACGTATTATTAACGAGATAACCTTGAGGTCAAGACCTTGCGAATAATTATTGCGTGACCTCACCTCCAGGGCCCGATCCCTCTTTGTCATCTTCCTTATTCCAACCTTGGAGCACTTGAGAGAGACTAAGATGTCTTAGCCTTGGGCCCATCTTCCAATTTCCTCTCGTGTTCCCGAATCCACGGTCCGTGCGGTGCATCGACTTCCATCTCCCTGAGCTTTTGTGCATTCTCCCGACGCTTGATCGGGATCTCCCTGCGCTCCACCTCCATATCCTCCAATAGCCATTTATCCTCAGCGACAAGGTCTTGCTTGCGGTGCAAGAGACCAATCTGCCGAATCAAATCCATCTCCCTGTCCCGCATACCTCGCTCCTCGTTTTCCCGAAACTCCTTTTGCTTGAGATATTTCAACTCTCTTTCACTGGAGTCGTTGAAAACGCCGCGATAGACCTTGGAAATAGAAACACAAACACTGAGAGCTTGGGTCCGCCCAGCGTGATGGAATCGTGACTCCAGAATCTCGAAGAGCTTATCCGTACCAATAGTACCCGTAATGGCTAGTTGAATGAAGACCAGTAGCAAGCCGGATCCGATGAATGCAATCAGTGATTCAATGAACGTGTCGAGCATGGCGACAATGACCAGGAAAAAAATTTCAACGTTACTCAATGCGAGCACTTCGAGTGATGGGCTGTCGAGCTGCCGCCATAACATGAATAGCAAGAGCATCGTTGAATGTTTTGCGAAGGATCACCTGGAGAGCTGATGCGAGAGACGAATGTAGATGTATGCGCAAGGGCTGGATAAACTTAAGACCCGCTTGTAAGTTGTGATGTACGCAATTAAGTGAACTGGAAGAAAGCAGTAGTCAGGACAATTTACATTGGAATTTGGGGGCCTTGGAAGTTGGCCCCCACTCAAGGATCTACGCGTAACACAATCATCTTATTCTAGGCCCGGTGTAAGGTGGCAGAACACGATGACTCAGCAAAACTGTATTTCAGCCTCATTGAGTCAAGTTGTTGAGTTTCGACCTTGAAAAAGATCGATACAGACTCAACGTGAAGGACTGGGATGTAATCGATCAAATATACAGATTCCTCTATTATACTAGTATATATTTACGTATGCTGGTCTTTCATCGATCACATGGCCGGTTTTTGGCCATTTTAGCCTTCTCATTGGAGGACTTGGATGGCTTCAAATGTTCTGAAGTTCTAACTTCTGATCAATTGGCTCAAATGCCATTTTTGGTCGGAGCTGATTGAATTGATCTTTGAACTGTATACTGACCTGAATTTTGATGGGGGTTATGACCGGGCATAAAGACTAAAGTAGCAGCTCCGGCGTAACTTAAGTTCGCTTAAGCTTACATATGTAGCTGCTCTTCCGCTTTGGATTTGGGGGCCTGTGAGTAGTCTAGAGGGGGTAGTGTTGCTGACTGAATGAGGAAGGCGGCGAATCTGGGTAGGATTGCCGGTTCTTGGTGTTCCTTCTTGCTGTTCTGAACTTCCCTTCTTCAAGCATCCATCACCCAAACTCATTATCTGACCCACATTAATTCCATCAAGTATTCCTTGTTTTTCATCTATACCATATTCGAGTCGATTCAGTAGCAGAATCATGCTTAAAACCCCATCAAATCTCACATGCAGAGTTCAGTCAGCACTTCTTTGGTTTTCTATAATCACTATACTGCCTTATATATAGCACTATACTTCGCGTAAATTAAGCCCTTCAAATGTTCCCTTCAATGTTACTCCTTCCCGCTCACCTTCCCACTCTCCCTATTACTCTCCCTATCGCTCTCCCTCCCTGTCGGATGAAGAGGTCATCAATAACAGCGATGTATTTCTAACCAATACTAAGCTAAGGTGACTCTGAACAAGTGTCTACTCACGCGTGACCTCACATGTGTCATGTGAGGTGGGGGACGCGACAATCCCCGCAACAAAGATCTCGGCATCCTCGTCGAGAGCAAACATGATGGCAGAGCTCAATAGAATTCACGAAAGGAAATACATTGGTACAGAGAGTAAGTCATACGAAAACAAAATGCTGATACATAACCCATGGCGCGTGATAGGAATCAGCACATTTCCAGATTCCAGAACCGATCATCTTCGATGTTATCGTCCGCAGCGATCTCGTCAGGCATATGCGTGGGGGAAACGGGTTACGCTTCGGGGGCAGCGATGAGTTCTCTCAACGGTGTGTTGTGTTCCGGCGGACCCAGACGAAGTGACGGGGGTTCGTAATACAAGAACGCAACAGCAGATCCGAAGTTGGCATACTGGGAATTTGGAACCGAACGAGCCAATGCTGAGCGATCGCCGCAGCGCGAGGGTTCTCCAAGGCTCGTTTGCGCACTTCGCGCCATCCGGCATCGAACTGTTTCGAGAGCAATGCGAATTCAGACTGCAATGAACCAGAGAGAATCTCCTGCCGCAAGTCTTCATCACGCTCAGGGGTGTCCATGGCTGTACTAAGGAAACGAGAGCGCATAGCGCTACATTTGCGTGGCACTCGAACCAGATCTTCGTCGTCTACAGAGGCAGTGCGTGCAGTGACCTCATATGTTAGCGCGGCCTCGATATCGAAATCGATAGTCCATGACTCTAGTGTCCAGGCTTGAGTAGTTCGCGACACTCCCGCTCACCTCCCGCTCGCCCTCCCGCCCCCCTTCCCGCTCTCCCTCCCACTCGACGAACCTGCCGCCCGCAAAAAGGACACGACTGGAGCCAGTTGAGCCTGGGACGGTCAAGGTGAAAGGGGAAAGGGCCCCAAAGCACAAGCAGGACCTACACGACACGGTTCCGGGAGTTTGATCCCGGGTTCAAATCGCAGAAGCGGCCAAGATAGCACGTTCAGCTGGGCAAGTCGAACATTTAATCACGAATGTTCAACAATTGGAAGAGGCGCAAATCAACCTGTCACAGGCATTCCGGAATCCGGGCACAGTCGCGGAAAATGGAAGGATTTGTTGGCGCAATCAACCAAATGAAAAAGATGTTGGACCAGCGAGATGCCGAGCAATCGGTCGATGAACCCGGGACTGATGATCCAAAACAATGCGACTAGAACATATTGCACTTTGACAAATTTGTGCGCGAGGGCCCGCCACAAATTTCCACGACTCGGGCCCGCCGCCCCTGTAGCGGTGACGAAGACGGGACATCAAATTGAACTGGATTGAAGGAGGACGAACAAATTGACATTGACACGGAGGATCCAGTTTTCACGGGTGGAAGGAATTGATCAGATGAATTATTTGTAAAACAACATGGCTATTTCTGGTTGGGGGCCCAGCTTTGGGCGACACGGGAGCACGGGTTACGGCGGGCGATACCCGCCACCCCTCTGCTATAACCCAATTTGGATTTCTAGCTTTACCGCCCCAGGTGCCTGTTTCTTGCCTGTATTGTATTTATTATGTATAGGAATATCTTAAGGAATTTCATCTAAATATGGGTTACTTTTAGAATAGACTTGAGAAGAGACTTGAGAAGAGACTTAAGAAGAAACTTGAGAAGAGACTTAAGAGTAGACTTGAGAAGGGACTTGAGAATGGATTATACGACTAGGATCTCCGCATTACCATTTCATCATAACAATGGTAGCACGTCCGGACGGTTAGATTCCTTGTCCAAAAGGAATTTTTTCCCGTTCCGGGTCCTGTGTGTTGATGAGGCTATTGCCGTGCTACTGGAATATCGACTACAGAAAGAGATCGTGCCAGAGAAATGAGCTTCGGGTGATTATACTACTGATGCCTTCAAACTCTTCATCGTGCATGCTGCGTCATCATCGAAAGATTCGGCCTTGTTCATGTGCATTGGGTGTGTCCTTAGTTTGCGTCGCTCACTCACGAAAATGGTAGCGGAAAGCGGTTTGAAAGGCCGCGAGTTGCTCGTTTCCTTTGAGAACGGTTCCCTTACCTCCGTCATATATGCTTATGTTAAGGAATATAACATAGTAAGGAATTTCACAAAAGCCCGAGTCTATTCGAGCACCGGCGTATCACTTATGGCTCACGAAATACTCTACCAGCAACGAGTCCCCGACATTGACTTCACTCCTGTTCTCAACGGCATTGTCGGCGATGCGGATATATTCTGCCCGTCTAAGCATGAAACTCTATGGCTGTAATTGGGCCTCGGCAATATTGAGGAAATTGACGACGACGATAACAAGGAGAATGAAGACAACGAGAGTGTCGAGGCCAACGAGGAAGACGATTCGGACTCTGAGTGGATCAATCCCTTTGACTAGGACACGTATTATGTTACTCGTTATAGGTTTTACTTTGCCTTTTGAGACTGCCTCTTTCTGAAATCTTGACTCTTGTATTTGTTTTACACGGGTCGAGGACGACGGTGTCTTCGATGGGGGGGACTGTCACATGAGCCCCCATTAGGTCACCTGATCAGCTCGACAGGATTAGAAGTCTTAGAAATGCATGCCCATTACTTAGTACTAACCAACGGGGTTATGTAATGATAGTATTTTCTAGTATCGTGTGGGCAGGGAACTTCTTTCTCTCTTCCCCTTTGCATCCCCAATATTATCCGTTTTCATTGCCAGTTCGTTTCTTGGTCCAGTTTTCTCTCGAGACTAATTGTCCCGAGTTGTTTGTTTGTGTGTGCGTGTGTTTGGTTTCTCTCAAGTTTCCCTACTACTCTTCCTCCCGCTCACCTTCTCGTTCACCTTCCCGCTCACCCTTCCGATCACCTTCCCGCTCCCCTTCCCGCTCCACTTCCCACTCGCCCTCCCACACTCTCTCCCGCTCGCCCTCCCGCTCGCCTTCTAAAACCACTTATCCTATTTCCAATGTGCCAAGAGAAGAAGAGGTTAGGCTAACTAGTAATGATTCTTCTTTTTCAAACCGGAGAAATTCTCCAGAGCCAGTAAAAAAGAGAAAAAAAGCGCTCTAAGAGGTCCGTCACTACCTGAGATGCAGTTAGCCATACTAACTATAATAGATTGAATTCCATTGTATGTTGAATCCCTGCGCTCCCTTACATGTTGAATTCTTGAACTCCATCAATTGATTATATACAGTACAACGCCGCATTAAATGTTGAATCCTTGAACTCCATTATACGTAGAATCGATGCACTTCCTTTATGTTAAATCCTCGAACTCCATTATACGTTCAATGTTGAATCCTTCAACTCCATTATACATGGAATCCCTGTATTTCCGTTTTTAGAATCCTTAAACTCCATTCAATGTTATACGTTGAATTCCTCAACTCCATTATATACAGAATTGATCGCTGCACTTCATATTAAATCCCTGAACTCTATTATACGTGGAATCCCTGCACTCAATCAAGGTTCCTTGTATAAACCCTCGCTTCGCTCGGAAGCAAGCGCCCGAGCGAAGCGAGGGTTTCAAGCTTGTAAATAGTCAATTGATGATTTTTACAAACGAAAATTTTAAGCACCTTCAAAGGGGAGATATGTATGCACAGACCACCTTGCTCTAAGATCTTGGAAGCCTTGGGTGCGGTCACCGGTGCGTAGTATGTATATACGCCTCTGGAATGAATCAAGACTTTTGGAAAATGACGAGTACCGGAGAGAGCATGGCTATTCAATCAATCACTACCTATTGGAAATGAAGAGCTGATACTCGTTTAGAGAATATGTACATACAGTCAATACTTGGAACGAGTAGTGCAGAAATCTGCTAGGACTTCCAGATCAATACCGTAATAGTTCAATGTTACCTACGCAAAGACCAATCCATGTTGATGGAAAATTGGATATCTTAATGAAGCTAAGAGAGACAGCTAGGCACCCGAAGTTTCACCGGACATTCAGAGAATGGGTTGATTGATTGATTGATGTTGATTTACGCCCCGGGGGCCACATACGAACCCTGAGTTCTGACACCTCCCTTGGTGTAATTATAAGTACCAATTCCAGGGTTACATACAGGTATTGCACAGAAAGCAGTGCATGTTCATGTTGTGTATGATGCCATCCGACAAGAGATCAATGGCCAATGGGCGTTTATGAAATGTGGAATAAGGAGCACCCAACGGGGATATAGGGATCGCATAAGATGGAGAGAAAAAGCACAAGAAAAAAGATAGGAGAGCGTGTGCTCGCGAGGGAAAATGAAGGGCGGTAGGGGCTACCTTGTGCCCATGCCGACGTAAAATGACGTGCACTACACAGTTGTTGTAAAGTCCCCGAGTTCAAGACCACAGAGAACACTCAGGGCTTTCAGCCGCCACGATGAAGAGGCTAAGCGTCTGTACTCTGAACAGCTCTCCATCAACCTCCATCAACCTTCACGCTTTGTCGAAGATGGCAATGTGCCCTGGACACCTAATCCTGCCACACGAGCAGGTGGACCCAGCATCATCAAGACCTTATCGACGGTGATACCCTTCAAAGTCGCCATGGATCTCATGAGATCAAACTCGAGGGCTGCTTTGACCTTATACTGAGCGCACCAATTGTAATACCGCTGGAGGGGTTTGGCAGAGGCAGAAAGCCCCCATTCCCGCCAAGATGCCTTCCAAAGCTGGCTGAAGATCAAGCAGACGCCGCTGACTCTTGGCATGGACGTCCAGTCGTGGTATGCTCTTTTGCATCAATCGGCCATCAATCAGGTCCTGGACTCGAGAGAATGTCAGAAAAAATCGACCATATCGTATAATATTCAATCCCGGAGCTCAATCACTTTACCCAGATGCGACAAATGTCATTTTGCATCGGTTTTGAAGGAGCTTTCATGGGTTTTGCTCTCCCCATGTCATCAGCCTTTTTCATATCCTTGTAACGGCAAGGTTGAAACATTTGAACAAGGTAGTTCTAGCAGATCCCCAAGTCTGGAGAGCGAGATGTACAGATGAAGATAACCTGCTCGATTGCTGTTGATTTAATTGAGCTTGCGTTTCAGGTACACACCCTTCGAGTCGATTTCGCCCAGTAAGATCTGTCGATTTGTCGTTGGGAAAAAGTTGCGCATGTCGCGGCCTAAAATCAAGCAGAAGCAAGACTGTTCTCTTTGTATAGTACGAGATGTTTCGAGTCGATTTCGGCCAATGACGCTTGTCGATTTGTCGTTGGGACCCGCTACGTGCTATTCTCAAATTCTATAATACCCACGCTCTTCTTCCTGTTTACGATCATTCTTCTTTCTTTCTCATCTCTCTGCGCTTCTGCTCTTGCTTCCTCGAGTCGCTTCTTGCCTTTACGCTACTCTGCCACGCTTCTTTGAAGATCCCTTTTTAACACTTCTGTGCCAATTCTTCACTGTCTCTGTGTTCAAGTTTCTGCTTTGCGCCTCTTCACAGATCTTTTGTTAAAGTTTTTGTGACAATTACTCACTACTATCTCTGCGTCTACGCCTCTTCGAGTTACGCTTTCTTTCCAAGTTTCTGCTCTTTGCCTCCTCACCACCGTTTTCCAAAGTTTTCCAAACGGCGCTATGGCAAGCACAGCCCCCCTTACCGCAGCCCAGAAGGTTATGACTTCAAACCATCTGATCACTCAAATTCTCATTCAGCATGATAAGCTGAACGATGTGGATTCCGACGACTTGAGCTACCGCCCCTCGAGTTCCAGCTCTTCGAGTTCCAGCTCCTCGAGTTCCTGCTCCTCGAGCTCTGAAGACGAAGATGATGAGCCTTCTCGCTCGCAGATGTTGCTTAACTATGCTCGTATCAACCGGACATGGTTCTATGAATCAATGTCTCGGCTTTGGGCTCATGGAACGGCAACAAAGTCCGTCGACCTCAAGCGAGCTTTACGAAAAATCAGTCGGGCTAGACGGCAGCTCTATGCCGACCTCATTCAAAGCGGCTGCCTATGGAGTCCAGTCAGAGCCAACCACCAGCTGAACAACCGGTTCTATCGGGGAATTCAGTTCCCGAAGCTCCGCCACGTGGTAATTCTGATCAAACAGGAGATAAGACATGGCTTCCAGATGCCACTTATCAATGCGCCGCTCCTGGAAGCGCTCTACATCCGGCTGGGGGTGATGACCCAGCCACCACAAGCCGTCAGCTTCACCCCCGTGGCGAGAGCTGGCAACTTTCAGTCACGGGTGGCGATCCTGCTTGCTGCCCATATTCAGGTATGTTACAGATGTCTTAACTATTACGCAAGCACAGAAACTAACATGATTCGTGTGATTTGAACAGAGAGCGCAGCAGAGCTGTCGGCTGGTGGTGATCGGAGATGAGCTGCGGGTGAAAGACTCCATCCGCGCAAGGTGGGAGGTCAGTCTCCCTGGGACCAAGCTCGCTCGTGGGCCCCTTTACAGCGACGAGGAGGGTGAGCTCCTCAAGGACTGGATCGACCGGCTCATCTCCGGGCAGGATGTGGAGCGGGAGGACGGGGAGGAGGAGGAGGAGGTGTGAGGCCCCGGGTCGGGGTGATAATGGATGTGTATTCTTACTCATGTATATTAATTTATGTAGTATTATTACAAAAATAACATTATTATTGTTATTTGTAACATGTTTATACCTGGCTTCAAATATTATTATGCATATCACCTCATGCACTTAAAACAAACAACATGCAGTTGACCTGTGATGAGCTTCAACTTACAGCTATCTACACTGTAGTGCATCTGAAAAGATAGTCAAATATATGAGAATGTAGCAGCATCACTAATAATTTGCTAAATATTCCCATCACTTTATTGAAGTTTAGCTCCATCTAGTGATTGCTCAGCTGAAGACGACTCGGGAAGTTACTGAGTTTACTCAGGGACTCTATATCTCTTATACTGTACATGTTTTTTGAATATAGAATTGAAATAAAAGTCAAAAGCAAAAGCTGCGAAAGCCTCTTCCTGTAGTTCTGTTTATTCTCATTTATGAAAAGCAAGGATACTATGCAGCCTGGACCACAGCTTCATCATATTTCGTCCTATGCATCTTCAGTCACAATTTCAATTGTATGAATTTTTTGCCTGAAAGAAATAATACACTAAGGACCGCAACTTATCTTTCTTGTACATTTTCTTTGTAGAGCATGGATGAGCTAGGGCAGGTTATCCACGTGACCCCACGTGACCCCACGTGATCGAGATTCGAGGCCCGAGCCTCGAGTCTCGAGTCTCAAGTCTCAAGACTCTCAACTGCCCCGTGTCAGTCATACGAACCTTGAAAGTACCAATTACAAGGAAATCCTTTTTTACACAGTAAGAAGTGGCATGTCTGACAACTTTGGAATTATTTGGTTCAAATTAGCATCTGGAATCCCGGGTGATGATCCACCTGGTGGGCCTGTTCCGGAAAAGTGGATAACTGGACAGTGCTGTGGAGAGTCGAGACCTAACGGCGTAGTATGTGTGCATATGGGACGCTCAAGTCTCGATAACCCATAACCGCCAACTATCTTGGTCAACTGGTGGATCCATGTATGTGCATGTGAGTGGATATAAGTCAAGAGCGCTGCGCATGCGGCATACGTAGTTAAAGTTCCAGGTATAGTGACCCGGGATGTATCAAACCTAGAAGTTTACATACACTGGTGGTTGATACTTGACTGGGCATATAGTCTCGAGTACTCAAGATGAGTACTTGAGATAGGTTCCTAGTAGGTATTGTACTCACTGCTTCCGAGGTCAGTTCCTACTTTCATTTCCTACCTTTCAATTACCAACTGGGGACATCATGTGAGAAAAAGATTACAGGCACCCGTGTAGCAAAGGGGGATAAATCCTGAAAGCATTTCATACATGTGTGGGGTGCGCAGACATGAGTTCAGGAATGCTCGGCAACATTGGCAGTCCAACTGAGAAAAAAGGATATTTGGGGCAGAATTGATTGATTTTAGTACAAAATTCAATGTTTCATACATTTGGCCAAGTTTATTTCTGCGATTGAGCTCATAATTGACCATCAGCGGGCGATACGAGTTGATTGCAGTTTCCCAAGGAGCATCGGAGCTTAGAAGACGAAAAAGGTAAACAGGCCGATAATAAGGGAGAAACGTGGAAGCCCCCAGATATCCTCAGCTGATACTTTTCCAGCGCGCTATTAAGGCTTTCCCAGTCACACATTCGAATTCATTTCTTTATTCAACATGATCTCTGCCTCATTCGCAAAAACCCAATTTTCTACAAGACCCCTTCTGGGTAGTCAAGCACATGCCCGAGGTGCCCGCTCCAGTCGCAGATCCGCATGGCTGGGTGTTACATTGACTGACTGGCTCAGCAGGTGATAGTTTCCGGCAGCGAACCTCGACCTTTTCGTCTCGATCCTCTACAAACCTCCAAGAGCACCGGCTACGCGGAACCTAACGGTCAATATATCGCTCAAGCCTTCGAGAGTCGGCGGGCCTAAGTTACATCAACATTTTAGGACAAAAATGATCTCGGGCAGACAGTTCGGGAGGGTGTAACGACAACGACGTTTCTTGCTCAGCATGCCAGCGACGGAAAATGCTATATACCTTCCGAGGACCTTCACTCGATCGAATCTGGCGGAAGGAACAGATGCCAATGTCACCATCCCCGGATCTATGCAAAAACCGGCTTTCCGATTGGTCGAAATCGAGCCGAACCACGAGGCAGGACACAAGGCATTAATTATTTGGTAAGCAGTTCAGCCATATCATCGTCACACGAAATCAATCTAGATGTTCTCGAAAGCCATCGTTGGCTTCCTGAGTCGGCTCTGGCGCTTTTGCGTTTAATTTTCCAGTCGAGCGCCCTGCTATTTTGCCTTGCTGATGATCCTTCGAGGGAAGTTTTGGTTTTCCAAATCTATCATGTGCTTGCTTCAAATACTCCGTCTTGCTGATTCTGAACTCATCTTGAGCCTAGGTTCCTTTGTTGTTAGGGATATGCACGCGCCCAAAACCCCGAGAAAGCTGTTTTTACCGGTCACCCTGCGTGATATTCAGAGTCACGAGTCCTTTCCATCGAAATGACATTGGCAATGCTCTTACCATGAGCTTCGATTGGCTTTGATGAGATGAAATAATTTTTCTGGAGGATTGTTGGGTTGGGCTACAAATAATGACGTTGGTTCCCCTCGACTTTTGTTTGATACACTCGATTTTATTGGTGCTGCAACAACAATCCATAACCCCACACCTGCCCAAGATTCAAGATGCGTTTTATATTTCCCTTTTCCCCTTTTCTCCTAGTATTATGCTGGCTTACGCATGCTGCGTCTATCCCCCCTCACGATGACAATTCTACAACGATCGAAGCTCGCGACCGTGGTGGTTACCGCTCGGTAGCATACTTTGTCAACTGGGTAAAGACAGGTTTTACCACTATAGTTTATCCAAACTGATGACTTTCCTTAGGCCATTTACGGAAGAAATTACATTCCTCAAGACCTTCCTATTGAAGAACTGACACATGTCCTCTACGCATTTGCGAACGTCCAGTCCAGCGGACAGGTTGTTCTATCAGATACCTGGGCGGACACTGATAAGCACTTTCCTGGTGATTCCTGGAATGACCCAGGAAATAATGTGTATGGCTGTGTTAAACAACTGTACTTGCTCAAGAAGAGAAACCGCAACCTGAAAGTGCTCTTGTCTGTTGGTGGATGGACTTATTCCCCTAACTTTGCAGGGCCACTTAGTACCGCAGCAGGGAGGGCACAATTTGCATCTTCAGCAACCACCTTGGTCCAGAACTTGGGATTCGATGGAATTGATATTGATTGGGAAGTGAGTCAAATCAGCATCGCACATTAGCGGTTGTACTAAAAAACCAAATATAGTATCCTTTCGACAGTACTCAAGCAGCCAATATGGTAGCTACCTTACAGGCACTACGACAATCCCTAGATGCCTACAGCTCAGCAAATGCAAATGGATATCATTTCCTAATAACCGTGGCTTCACCTGCCGGTATGGTTTTTCTATGTCTACCTGGTGAATGCAAACATTCACTAATAATATTTAGGCCCTTCGCACTACCAACAACTCCAGCTGTCCGCCATGGACAAATACATCGACTTTTGGAATCTTATGGCCTACGACTATTCGGGAAGCTGGGACACCATCGCTGGGCATGACGCAAATGTTTACGCATCCAGCTCTAGCCCGAGTAGTACGCCTTTCAACACTGAACAAGCCATCGAATACTACACCTCCAATGGCGTAGCCTCGAACAAAATTGTACTAGGAATGCCACTTTACGGTCGATCTTTCATGAACACAAATGGACCAGGTACTTCTTACAACGGTGTTGGTAGCGGAAGCTGGGAAAACGGGGTGTGGGACTACAAGGCCTTGCCTTTGGCCGGAGCATCCGTTAACTACTTGGATCAACCTGTTGCGAGTTACAGCTATGATGCTTCAAAGCAAATGATGGTCAGCTATGATACACCACAAGTTGCACAGAAGAAGGCACAGTACATCATTTCCAAAGGTCTTAGTGGTGGAATGTGGTGGGAGAGTAGTAGCGACAAGAGCGGCTCCGACAGTTTGATCGCTACGGTTTGTTGTTTCCCATCGCGCCGAAAACACTTTAAAGTTCCGTACTAATTATATCTCGTACTAGGTTGTCAACACACTTGGAGGCACTGGGGCTCTAAGACAGAGCCAGAATCAACTTAGCTATCCGGCTTCTGTGTACACCAACCTGAAGACTGGATTTCCAAACAACTAGACGGTGATTATTTATCGTCCAAGTCTCGAGCTTGCAGATGAAGAGCAGACAGGGTGGAGAAATCATGGATCTCAAGATACATAAGAGGAGTATGGTATGGTCTGTGTCAGCATGGGCAAATGGCGACTGTGGGTGAAATATGGCTTTTTTTTTTATCTCTAGATCATCCTTCGCTTAGATCTACTGAATATTAGGTATCAGAATTGATTGACAAAGCCGAGATAAATAGTCGGTTTGGATTTATCCTAGCCTTTGAGCCCGGGCACTGAGCTTTCAAGAATGTTTCAAACATTTGAATGTTCCAACTATGGCGGGCGATAGAGGCCACCCAAGGCACAACATTGAAGGGTCAGAGTCCAGACTCACATCCCAATTTCAACTTTCCCACCGGCAGAAAGTAAATTACGAGTAATTCCAAATTCATATTTGTTTTTGAAGTCCATTATATCATTTATATGCAGCGCTGCATTATGTGATAAATACAATACGGGCGGGAAACAGGGCGGTGAAGTTGGAAGTTGAAATTGGGATGTGAGTCGGAGTGACCCTTGGCCTCTATCGGCCGCCATATTCCAACGAATCACGTTATTGTTGAAATGCATTGGAATTACAACTATGTATCTGTACTAGTAGTACATACTGATGTAGTGCAATCTGGATTTCTCAAGCTTCTCGGGCGAGAGATTAAGTTTGCTTGGCAAGCTTGCCACTAATTACACGCACAAAGGTGTTACATTAAATCATAAACGCAGCACTTGAGGGAAGTATTGGCTGTTTGGCCCGCGTGGAAACACTAGCTGATGACCTCAACAAGGGACACGCACCTTTTCATCATCGTCTGGTACGTAGTAACCTAGTACTCCGTAAAGGTGCAGAGATACTTAAAATGATCCATTCTTATTGGTCGAAAAGAACAAGGATAATTCCCATTGAGCCAATGATCTGGCTTGTTTCTCCTTTTCTTCTCTATTTTTGTGTTTAACTCCTCCATCGCGTCATCCCGCCCCACATTGATGCTATATACTTCCTGACGCACGCGGGGATATCCATGAATGGTGTGCTTGTTGATCATTTGACGATGGAATTTGGTAAAGACTCCACCTATTTACTTATATATGCCTATAGAGAATTATTATAACCCTTAGATACAGTTCTTGGAAGCTACATTGTGCAAATTACCCAGGTATACTGCTCGCCGTGTCTGCTATCTACTTCTAACAGGCAAGCAAATCGGAGACTTTATCAGCCATGTCAGAGACTCAGAATCCAGCTGGCGAGAAGCCCCGAAAGTCAATTCTACTTACCGCGTTTGTGGAAATGTGCTCTGGTCATCAAAGTCCGGGGCTCTGGCGTCACCCAGAAGATGAATCTCATCGATTTAACGACATCGATCACTGGGTAGAACTCGCTCAATTACTCGAATCAGCCAAGTTCCACGGAATTTTCATCGCCGACGTTCTGGGCAAGTTGATTTGAAAATAAGTAATGCATTTGCCTGATTATTAACATGTGCTTGTAGGTGGCTATGATGTCTATAAGGGAAACTTGGACTCAGCAATCGCCTCCGGCGCTCAATGGCCAGTCAATGAGCCACTAGCTGTAGTGTCCGCTATGGCTGCAGCAACCAAAAACATTGGCTTCGGAGTTACTGTCTCGACAACATACGAACAACCCTATCACCTGGCAAGACGTCTCTCTACCCTTGATCATCTTACCAAGGGACGGTAAGTACAGAAATCCGAGTCATATAATTTTGTGATAAATCGCTAATGTGATACGGCTTAGACTGGGGTGGAATGTGAGTAACATGTGCCAACATTGAAGCACCACAAACAATACTAACGAAAAATTAAAGGTCGTTACCGGATATCTTGATAGCGCAGCCAGAAACATGGGCCAAGATTCCCAGCCACACGTGAGATTCTGACTCCTCGAAGCAACAAACTCCCCCCTGCTAATCAAACCCAGCATGACGACCGATATGCCGTGGCAGAAGAATATATCAAGGTAACTTACAAGCTCTGGGAATCATCCTGGCGCCAAGATGCCGTTGTTCTAGATCGTGAACGGGGCGTCTACGCTGAACCGTCACGGGTGCGACAGATTAATCACAAAGGAGAATATTTCTCTGTGCCAGGTCCACATCTCTGCCAGCCCAGCAAGCAACGTACGCCTGTCATTTTACAAGCCGGGACGTCCAAAGCTGGTAAGAGATTCGGCGCAAAGAATGCTGAGGTTATCTTCGTCGCTGGGCACAGCCCTTCCGTGGTCGCTAAGAACGTCGCCGAAATTCGCCAGCTTGCAAATACTGAGTTTGGACGTGATCCTCAGAGCATCAAGTTCCTAGCTTTGCTTTGTCCTGTGCTTGGTAAGACCGAGGAGGAAGCTGTCGAGAAGTTCAACTACTACCGTAGTTTGGGCGACATTGATGGGGCACTGGCTCTGTTTGGTGGTTGGACTGGCATTGATTTGGACACCTATGGAGATGATGAAGAACTACGACACGTGGAAAGCAATGCTATTCGGTAAGGAGAGGGATGGTTACAATCTTCCAAGGGCCTCAACTTACTGATAAAATGTTTAGCTCTGCTGTTGAAGGATGGTCCAAGGCCGCCACGGGGACCAAGAAATGGACGAAAGCTGCTGTCGGACAACATATTACTGTCGGTGGTTTGGGCACCACCCCTGTGGGGACAGCTTCCCAGGTAGCTGATGTAATGGAGCGTTGGATCGAAGAAGCCGATGTGGACGGATTCAACCTGGTAGGATCTCTCTTTTATATACATGGTTGGCCCTGTTACTGACATGAATTTTAGGCTTATGCGGTCAAGCCCGGGTCTTTCAAGGACGTCATTGACCTGCTAATCCCCGAACTACGTCAGCGTGGTCTTTTCTGGGAGGACTATGCGGTGGGTGGAGGCTCATATCGCGAGAACTTGTACGGCAAGGCCGGTCAATCTGGTCCTCGAGATGACCACCCTGCTGCCAAATACAGATGGCATGCGGGAGTTGACTCCGCTGACCATCCAGTGCCGAATTAGTACCGCGATTGAAGATTCAGAAAGTTACCTAGTGTAGCGGGAAACCATGGATATCTTATTTATTGTGCTTCAGGCGTTATTGCTCGGGGAATGTGATTTTGAGCCGTGTTCTGCCTTGACTCTTGAGAACGAGGCCTCACGGACAAGGTAGATAAATGAAGTTGGGGTAGTTGGAATAATGATTTACCCTCTTTCTCCTCTCTAATATGACCTCCTACGGTGCCTTTCCTCGATTGTGTGATTGTAACCTGCGGTGCTGGTGGTTGTTATGCGGGAGAATCGTCCAGTGCAGCTTCAAAGCTATACGAAAACGCCCACCAGCGTTCTCGTGTTCACTAGGTACGGAAATGGCTGCAAACCCTCAATACAAGAGAAAACCCTGGAATGCGTGAAGAGAAATGTTCAATGCTTGAAGTAAATATTGAAATACATGAGAATATCTTTTTAGTCTAGGTCCTCACACTTGCAAGACCTATACTACTGGTCTATTTTTGCGAACGCCATAAAAATGCGATTTTTGTACAAAGCCAACCGTAGACCCTCTTAGGTCAACATATCATCCAGTCGCTCACCCAGTACACTCTCAATTTGCTTCACCCACTTGCGCACTTCCCGCTCAACACTCTCATCCTCATCTTCCATGAGTTCACTGATGTATGGGAGCATCTCAGGAAGAAGGGCAAGCCATTCCTCACCAAGCTGCTCAGTAAGAGCCTGCTCGGCCTTCAGGGCGGCAAGGCGAGTGAATGGGTTATCTCCACCAGCTGACTTGGCGTTTGGAGCAGTTGAAGGGCGGAGGTATCTCATCAGGGCAACATTAAGCTCCTTGTGGTTATCGGTCGAGTCAGCGGCGGTAGCAAGCTCGGTAATTGCAGGGATAACCTCTTCGACGACGAGATCCGCCGACTTGGATGTAGTTGCATGAGCCAACTGTGAGATAAGAGGGCCAGAAATGCTGCTGAGGTGGGAAGGAGATTGCCAGAATTCTGAGAGTTGGTTAGAATGTGAGATTTTCGTAGATAAACATAGGGAGAAGACATACCGTCCTGATCATGTTCAAATGAGTTGCGCAGAGTGCCAAGTGTCGCCAACCAGAGTGTCTTGGTAGCTTTAGCCGGTCCGGTTGAGCCCAGGATCTTGACGGTGTTCTCCAAGATGTAACTGGAGTAACCAGTGACAATAGACTGCAAAAAATAATTAGTAAGACATTTTTCAAGAATGTGAAGGGAGATAAGCATACCTGAAGGGTACCGAAGAACACTTGGAGGAACTTGTAGAAGGTTGTGAGGCGAGCGACTTGACCTTGCTCATTCTTCTGGGGGCTTGTAGACCATTCGACCATTTTGGTGAACAGAGGTCGGAATGTGCTGTCGTTAAGCTTGTAGATCATCTTAATTGCAACGTCATGCATGGTAGCCTCGGCTTCATCCAAGTCACCGGCGTCAAACTGAGCACGGTCACCAAGCACAGCTTGCTCCCGTCGCAAGTCAAAGGCCTTGAATAGAATAGTCGTGAGAACGCCAATATTATTAGACACAGTCGACTTGGGGTTCTTCTCAACAGCAAGGCTCAGAACCTGCAGAACCTCGGTGGTGGCAGTTGGTCCAGCCTCGACTGCATTTTGCCAGTTGCGGTTCATTGCACCCAGAGTGGCAGTGAGATCCATCTTGCGAGCGGCCATCAGGCGAAGAGTCTCCTCGCGACTGTCCTCACATGAGTCGTCGAGGTTAGCATTGGTGGACTTGAAAGCCAGAATCAAAATCTTATCGAGGGTAGCAGCCGAGATCATGAAGGGAAGGTGATCAAGGAGCGCAGAGAACAAGGAGAAGACAGCGTCATGAAGACGCGAATTCTCCTTTCCAGGAAGCAGGCTGATTTCCAGCAGCTTAACAGACTGGTTCAGGGTGTCTGGAAGGGCTGGGATCATTGCCTGGCCCAGAACCTCGGCCATAGAAGCCAGACAAAGAACGCCCATGATGCGAATGCGCTCATCATCGTAACCAAGACAGGATGAACTAGCAACAACCTTGGCAGCATCGATGACCTTGGACGGGTCCTTACGACCATACTTCTCAGTAATTCGGTCGATACAAGCGACAGCGGCATGCTTGAGCATGATGTCGGGTGATGATTCAACAATTTTGACGAGAGTAGGCAAGAATTCAAGGACCCTGATCTGAGACTCGTTGTCACGCTCGGGGGTCTGGCGCAAGCGGTTCTCCAAAAGACGGAGGACCTTGCGACGGAGATCATCGTTAGGCTCCTGGAGCAGGACCTCAATTGTATCCAAGAAGTCGACAAGAGAGAGGGTGCTGAAGAGAGCACCAAGAACCTCACCACATGCTTGGCTAACGGGCTTCATACTTTGCACAGATTCACCAATGTTCAGAACTTGTCCCAAGACACGAGAGAAGCAAGCGCGAACTTGGCCTGCGACCTCATCATCCTTCTCGAAAGCAGCCTCCAGCTTAGACTTAAGAGAGGAGTGCTTAAGCAAATGAGCAAGATCATGGAGCAGATCAACAGCTACCTTCTGAGGATCACGGCCGTCGTCGCTTCCGATTCCAAGCAGAATCTGGGAGATACCGGCCTTGGGCTGGAAGGCATCGATGACGAGGTTGAGATATTTGCTGTAGGTCGTGAGTTCAACCACAGGAGTGGTGTCCGAAGCCACTCCAGTCATCAACGTGAGAACATCCTTATCATTGGAGTATCGATTCGCAAGCATAGCCAGGACGGCAAACAGGAAGTCTTGAGTGCCGAGCTTGGTGATCAAAGCGTGGAAGAGTCGAAGACGGCGGTGTGATGGAATATGCTCGAATGCTGCAGTGAAGCTGAGGAGAAGCTCCGAAGTTCCCGAAACGATGTCACGCTTCTGGCTACGCAGTGACTGGATGAGAGCCGGCACAACATGGTCAATCGTTTGATCGATGACAGAAACCGAATAATCATCATCTTTACGGAGAACACTAGATCCCATGAAAGTGAAAATCGGCATCACGCTGTGAAGGACGAGCTCCGGAGCAATTACAGAAAGGCCTGCGACCAGAAGAAGGGCGGCGTTTTGAACTTGGGGGCTCTCGGTTGTGCGGACGCAGTCAACCACCAGGTCAGCCCGGATGGCAGCAGTGTCAAATAGTGGCTTAGGCGATCCCTTGGATTTGTTAACAATGGCCAATAGACTGCCGAGGGTGAGGCTGAGGAGATAACTCATTCCGGACTGGATCTGCGACTTGAAGTGATGAAGAGCAGCAAGAGTCTGGAATAGACCACCTGCAAGCTCGGGATGAGAATCAGGGTTAGAGCTATCCACAACTTCAAGGATGAAGGTCATCTTGTCCATGAGCTTGCTAAACTCTGCCTCATCCTTGACCGTCATCGCGATCATGTTGCTTTGACTAGTCCGTCTCCGCTTGGGAGCTGGGCCAAGGCTCTCAATGTGTGTCAACGAAACGGGAATTTTGTTAACAAAGCTTAGGAGAACAGCACCCGATAGCTCGACGCTGCGAAGCACGGCGCGGCAGTTATCTGCAAGAGAGGAATTTTCGTCCGACATGCCAAGGGAGATGTCCAACAGCTTTTCGGCCGCTGTCAGCTGGTTATCCTCTGAGATCTTATTCCAAATCTCCTTCATGCGCGAGAAACCAGCTGCCACAAAGGAGGATCGCACAGACGCGGGGCTAACATTATGCAAGAGAATTTCGATCGCGTCACTGTCCTTGGCGGTAACAATGGAAACAACATCTTGCTCGACCTCGGTAAGAGCGAGACGCTCCGAGGCGCAGATCTCCTCAACTTCCTTCTGGTTGAGTCCGCGCCAGTACTGGAGAAGAGGTAGGAGTTCCTTGCCACGGGTAGTTCCTGAGACCTTCTTGACCTTGTTGACCAACCGGAGAAGGCCGAACTTGGGTCCGTAGACTGGCATTTGAACTGTGTGGGAAGAAAGGAAGGTGAAAAAGCCAAGGCGAAGGGACTTCTTTAGCTCTGAAGCACCGGAGTCCTCCGACAAAACAGATCCTCGCATTGTGGCATCAAGGACCTTGGCAATGTAGGTAGGATCCAGAATGTACTCTTCAAGACCAGGCAGCAAGGCACGATCCAGAACCTTAAGCATATCGGCAGTTGACAACCATGAAACGTTAGTAGACGAGGTTCCCTTGCCATAAATCAAGTCGTTTGCCCAGGGCTTGCCATCTGCTTTCTTGTTGTTCTTGTAAATACTCACAACGAGAGCGAGGACACCAGTAGTCTCACGGCGAATTCGCTCCGACGGGTCACTGAGAGCCACGAGCAAGAATGGCAACAGAGCCTGAGGGTCGAAGAAATCGCCTTTCACGGTAGACAGAACAGAAGCAATGGCATTCAGTGCCGCAATCTTTGTTCCCATAGGATAAGGCCCGGAAATAACACGAGTGAAGAAGGACAAGAATTGTGGGGATTTTGTCGCATCAGTCTTGCCCAGAATTGGAAGATCAACGAACTGCGCAATCTTAGCTTCAGTTTCGACAGCCAAGGCGAAAACCTGAACAAGATTGTTGAACTCCGGGATGTGCTGCTTGGCCAGGAATGATGAAGGGAACTTGGGTTCCTTGGACAATGACTCGAAAGCAGGTGTGAAGTTATCGATGTCTCGTTCATCAACATCTTCCATTTCCACATCTTCAATAAGCTGTGTTTGGGCTGCTGGAGCCTCAACAACTGTCTGTAGGTTATGTTCCAACGCTGAAACATTGAAAGATGATTCGGCAAGAATAGTTTGGAAGGCGGACTGAAGGGGGCTAGTAGACCGGCTGAAACCCAAGACCAGCTCAGAAAGCTGCGTTTGGGTATCCAAAGACATATCATGGGTTTTTTCAATTTCACTTGCTGACTTGAGAACCATGGTCATGGCCTGTTTCAAGTCGTCCCCTTGGAGAATGTTTGCTTCAAAGATAGATGACAAAAGGCCAAGCTGCAGGCTGTTCTTCTGCAAGTTACCAGAAAAGCCATCAACAAGTCCGATTAGGAGCTTGGATGTGTTGTATTGGGTCGCAACTTCTGACAATTGTTGCATAGGACGTTCAAGGCGGACAAGAGCTTTGAATACCTTCTTGGGGAGTAAGACGGTTGGCTTCTGTTGAGCAAGAACCGACAAACAAATCAATCCCGAGCTTAGTGTTTCTTCCGTCCATGAAGACACCACGGTCTCCATCAAACCGTCTAAGACATCGTCAGATAGAGAGGCTTTTTGAGCTAACACAACAGAGATCATGTAGCAACTGATAATCAACTCCGATACTTTCTTCAATGCAAAAGCGCTGCTCAAAATTGGGAGCACACGAATGATGATATCCTCATGCTTTTGTTGCTCGATCTCTCGTCGTCCAGAGCGCGCACCGTCCAGCATGCCTGCAACAGCCTCTGTGGTGATACCAGCCCAGAAAGAAAGCAGTGCATGGCTTTGAGCGCCTTGCTGACACGCCTTCAACACATAGTTGTTCAATGCAGAGAAAAACGACTTGTTTGTAGTAGCAGTGTGCACAATCGGGTGGCGTGGGGGGTTGATCAAGCCAGTCTTGTAAGGATAGAGCATTTTCAATGTCGGTGTAAGATCACTGGGCAAGATTGAAAGTAGGTTGAGGAAAAGTGGTGTAGTGTGATAAGGTAGGAATGTCATAACCATGAAGGTCGTGTTGTACTCGTGCGATCTGAAGGCAGGCGTGTTTGCGATTAGGTCTTTTTCTACCCCCCCCCCCAAAAAAAGAGTAACTCAAGGATTTTTAGCTACATACCTGAACCGTCGTACCAACCAATCTACCGCCTTCACTGCGGGACTGAGTTGTAGCCTTCCGCCAACAAGTGCGAGGAAATTCTCAATGACGGCATCCAGTTCCTGGTTCTGAGAGGCGTTCATCTGTGCACGATCCTCGGCCTTGCTCTGCTCACTGAAAATTGAGCGCTCAAATTCCTCAAACCGGCCATCTAGGGAACAAAGCTCCCGGAAGCCGTCATAGCAAATGTCATAGACGGTATCGAAGTCTTGGGTTCCAGCGACACTGTAATCAAAGATCAATGACTGTGAATGGGCGATCCGCTGGGTTTTGAGATCAAGCTCGTGTGTCGATTTTGCTGCGATTTGCGACAGCTGCGCAGCAAGAGAGGAAGCCATTTTCCAGGGTGATTAAAGGTGATTCAACAGAAATCACAGAAGCCCATTTCTAAACCCAGATTAAAGGGCGTTGATTTGAAAGGTGGGGAGCGGCGCAACCTCTTATTTGAAGCCGGTGTCTCAATCGCAACAACCTTTTTTTTTCTGTCCCCGCTGACCGCCCTATGATCCACGGAGCAACCTTTCTCCGCTCTAGACTGACCGCCTTCGGACCAACAACCAATGTATGTACTGCAATCACCATGGCCTGATAACGCGACGATGGACTTGTCCAGTTCAAAGGTAAGATCTATGTCCTTCGCCTCCAAATGAAAGACCCTGACCCCAAGAACCAGGAAAAAAACTCCATCCCAAAATTTGGCAGCTTCAAGCTTCCTTCATCTACTACTGATACAGTAGATACCGCCAATCACCGCCCGCGAAGAGATTCTGACCGTACTGATCATACTAAGTCTCGATCATCTCGGCGATCTGACAGAAGTCTGCATGAGAGATCGTCTGGTCGCCAATCTCGCTCACGATCGCCCACACTCCAACAAGTTCGAAAATATCCCGAGTCTGCTGCTTCCAAGACATCTTCCACCCAGCGACGTGATCGTCAATCCCGCTCACGTCATAGTCATCGCGATCTATCCAAAGATCGTCGGCATTCAAGACAGCGCGCCGAGTCTAACGAACACATCCTGTCCTCTAGAAAGCGCCTACCTAACAAACACGATCTGCCCACTGAACAAATTCGATCTACCGAATCTAGCGGAATCCAACATGGTTTACTCCCCGACCGAAACAATCTTGCGGTCGGCACGCCGACATGGGCGCAGGTCTCAACCACAACCAAGGATTCGTCCTTAGACTCCTCTGTTGAATTTGTCCTTGATACCAAGGGTGTTGGAAATACCGTGTGTGTGACAGGGGACCACTGGAATCCCCAACGTTACCGCCGATTCGGTGGGGGCTTTGTCCTTGGTCTTGGCCGAACACACAGGATTGAACGTGGCCAGTCTTATGAAGACGATATAGTTTTGCGCCCTTGTACGATTGCAGATTCATCAATCAAAGGGAGAGAGGACCGTCTCTTTGCTGGAGAAGATAAGAACTTATCTGGAGGCCATTTGCTACCCCCGCCCGAGTACCGTATTCATGGCTCGGCTGCCAATTTGCTTCAGCCTGACGAAGATTTTGTTTTCATTGACGGAGAGGATTTGGGTGAGTCACTTCCTTCGCCTCACTGACAAAATTGATATTTGGAACTCTAATGCTGATTGAAAATGGCCACTAGTCCCATCAGACACGGAACAGACCACTGAACAAGTCGATGTCGATGCCGAAAGCAAAACCCGAAATGCAACACTATGGAAGGAAGTTGAAAATAAGCCGCAGGATATCGATGCATGGCTTAAGTTTATTGATCACCAAGATATTTTAATCCTAGGATCAAAAGAGGATTCCCATTGCTTCACGCGCGATGAAAGAACCAGCCTTGCCGATGTGAAGCTGTCCTTATATCGAAAAGCTCTCACGAGTGCCAGCAACAGTCCCCACAGAGACCGTCTTTTGCTAGGCAGGCTGCAAGCCGGGGCCCAATTGTGGGATTCTGAAAAGCTGTTGACTCAGTGGGAAAAAACTCTTCTTGAAAATCCCGAATTCATTAGTCTATGGGTCAAGTTCCTGGACTTCTGTCAAACTGACTCGCCAAATTTCACCTTTGGGGAGTGCGTCGCTACTCACGAAAAGTACTTGAGGCATGTTTCATCCCTGATCCCACTTCGACCCAAGATGGTTCAGGTTCTGGTTTATATATTCCTTCGCCTCACCCTTCTCTTTCGGGAAGCAGGATATAACGAAATTGCAGTCGGTCTCTGGCAGGCTGTGCTTGAATTTTGTTGTTTCAAACCCGAATCCCTCGTCGACTCTGACGAAATTTTATCCTCATTTCGCCAGTTTTGGGATTCAGAAGCACCCCGTATCGGGGAAGATGGAGCAAAGGGCTGGAGCAATAACACAAGCTCAGGTCCGGATCCCACCACTACAAATTATTCGTCCAATGTTCAATTTCCGCCCGATGTGGCATCTTGGATAGAAGCGGAAAGGGAACGAATCACTGAATCCCAATTGCCATGGCGCAGCTTAGATGGATCAACTCCAAACGTTGACGATCCACTCAAAGTAACGCTCTTTTGTGACATCGATCACATACTGCCGCTTTTCTGTAATTTGACCCAGTCAGATGAGCTGCTTGATGGTTTTTTGTACTTCAGCCAGTTGCCACACTTGACATTTCCGAGCAACATCCAGACAACCCGAGTTTGGGGATGGGACAACCTTCTAAGAAACGAGTTTGTGGCAGATCATCGGCTTGGCCTTTCTTCTTGGATCCCGCCTCGCGACGAGGAGACCAAAAAGCCACCAAAGCCTTTCCATTATCCCCTTCAGAACTTTTTGCATACAACTGAGACTCTTTTCGCTTCGCCTGATACTTGGTTCTACTCATTTCAGTGGTGGGAAAAATCCCGTTCTTTTAAACCACCTCTTAAGGCCCATCAGTTGGCACTGCGTGCGTTACGAGCCTTGGTAGATCGACATTCGGATGATGATGAGCTTGTGGAATATGCTTTAGCGTTGGAGTTTGCATTTGACCCCGCCATCGGCAAAAAGAGTGCCAAGAAAATTGTGAAGAAGAGGCCATCATGCTTGAGGTTATGGAATGCATTGGCTTTGATGGAGTCAAGAAGTGAGGGCGATGAAAGCAAAAACAAAGCGAATGGTATTTGGGCGACCGCTCTTTCAATGAGCTCTGGTTTTACACAACCCGAGGGAAAGGTGGATCGCGTCATTCTTTGGCAATCTTGGATTTGGCACTTTGTGGAAAGAGGCGACATGGCCCAAGCTTTGTATCTCCTACACCACATTACCGATGAAAAGGTCGATCCGGAGCAAATCCCGAGTCAGTCGACGTTCTTCAATCCCACCGCAACTGTCAAGATACAGAAATTCCTGCGAGAATGCCAGGAAAAGGCTTTGGCGGCCCGAAGAGCTCAGGCATACGTTGCCTACACCGATTGCTTAGGCCTTACTTTTTACGTCGGAAAGTGGCCGTTCTTATGCTCCTTGGATGTCTACGATAACGCTGTTCTGCAACTTAAGCAGCTAGCTGAAGACCAAGAGGCCTTCAAGGCTTTCACGGCAGAATTACTCCATCAAGCCCGGGCAAGGGTTATATATAACTGCATGTGCAAAAAAGAGCAAATATACAGCCCCATGGAATTCCGGGCGCTCTGTCAGGAGAGCATAACTCTCTTTCCCCATAACACGATTTTCCAGTCGATGTGCATGTGGAACGAGTTCAACATAATCCAGCTCGATAGGCTTCGAGATGTGTACAAGATGACCAAGGGTGGTATGGACAGCCAATACCAACAGGGCAATGCCTCCTCGCCCGTCATCCCTCCTCAACTTGTGCCAATCTCAAGCTATCTCCTGCCGATCTGGATTGAGCTCGTGAGCCCGCGACCAAATGGCCCCGTCAATTGGAACGTACGTCCAGCCTTTGAGAGGGCCCTAGGCGAGGTTCTTGACCCTGCATCATTCAGAGGCGGAGTTGCTGTACGGAGCCGCTTCGGCGTTGACAGTGCTAGATCGAACCTCACGATTTGGAAGCTGTACATGCTCTATGAGCGTTACCATGCTAAAGACCTCCAAGCTGCCAAGGCCGTGTTATTCCGCGCGATCCGTGCGTGTCCCTGGTCAAAGGAGCTGATCATGTTCGCCTTTGAACACCTTCGCGATGGTATGCCAGTTTCATCCGGGGTAGACACCCTCAACGGCGATGGCCTGAAGGATGACGAGCTACGTCGATTAATCCTCGTCATTGATGAGAGACAGCTTCGGCTGCATATCAATCCATTAGATGAATGAGGAGGTAGGCAGAGGCTGAGGGTGTGGGTGGACGCTTCTCATCTGAGAACCGAAAGCACGCCATCAGAAGCGATGATTAGATGTGAATCAGGTTACTACTAGACAAATGGGCCTCGTATGGAAGAGGCCATGGCACAGACTATGGAGTCAATCTTATACTCGAGAAGATTGATGTAGCCATCACAATTGAAAGAATAATCAACAGGCAATGCATGCTCGATTAAAGAAGAATAGTCATACTTTGATATAGTAGTATCATATGTAGCTTTTGATGAGACCCCACAGTATCATCAACTATAGTACAGGAGAACAACCAGTCCGTCGTATGTATGGCTCAACGAACGGGGTACAACGTTAAGACAACGACATGAAACCAGTAAAAAACGGCCAAGAAGAAGAGGGAACAAACAGAGAAACTCGTCAATCATAAGGTCATGCGATGTCATGGACTTCGCTCAAGAAAAGAAAACAAAAAGGGATGATAAGCAAGAAACAGAAACACAACTAGAAGTTCTCCTTCCAGAACTTGAACCGAATATCCTTCGACGACGCAAATCTTGCCGCATCATCGATCTGCAAAGCCGCAGTATTAGGTCCACAAAAGTAAACACCAATCTCCGTTGCCGGAGTCTGCAACCCCTGCATATAAGTTTGATTCAACAAACCATTCCGCATTGCAGTAAACAAACGCTTAAAGTCCGGACGCCCGAAATTTGTCCGACTCCGCAACTCAGTAAGCGGATCAAGAGCCTGACCAACAGAATTCAAGTAGATATTTGCCGCAGTATCATCATCGAGCCGCTGCGTAAGGTAGGTATGTATGCGCAAGAACTCCATATTGCCCTCGAAAGCAGCCGCGCTCGCAGACTGCGACTCCAGAGAAGAGAGCAGAGCCTGGAACCACTCAAATGAGGACGTATCCTTACAGATCCAGATGAATTCCACACGACGCAGACGGCGAGGCGGGTTGGGACCGGAGCGCATGTGCCAGATATTTTTCAGAATGGATGCCCAGGGGGTGACTCCGATACCTGTTCCGATTAAGACGGCGATTTCGTTCTCGAAGACGTCTTCGGCGGGGGCTCCGTAGGGTCCATCGATGCGCATCTTTGGCATTGTTTGGCCATTTTGGAGAGCAACTTCGTACATTCCGTTTGGATCTAGACCTTCAAGATCCTTTGCTTGTGCGGGACCACATCCGAGGGCATCTCCGAGGGCGCGAGTGAAGTCGCCGACTTGCCGAACGTGGACACTCATGTATGGGTCGAAGGGGCAGGATGTGATGGTAAATGGGTGCCATTGGGTGGTGGAGACGTCAGGAACCTGAAGGAACAGCCATTGTCCTGCTTTATATTTCATGCTTGGCTTTTGAAACTGGATTTCCATGGCGGCTGTTTTTTTATGTCAGTATAAATTTCTAGGAAGCGGTTGACGTGGGGGGGTTACAGACCATATGGGTGACGGATGACCTTGGTAATGACAGTCTCCCGCCGAGCTCGAATCTCGCGATACAGCCGTTCAAAGAGGTACAGGGCGCCGGCTACGAGCTCCCATCTCCATCCTTCATAGCCCACACAGTGGCTCCAAAACTCCTTACCTGCAAAGGGGGAATATGGTTCAGGGCTGTCTCGCACAAAACACCCGGTTGCATGGGTATAAAGAGCGAGCATGAATGGAATGAAGAGATGGTGCGTATACCAAAAAGTTTCGAAAGCTTGTTGTCGGATACGTGCGTGTGCGGTTGTGTATATCAGCAACATACATAATAGCATAACATGGCCCGTGATACCAGCTGCGGACTTATAGTGTAGTTCCACCGCAAGTACGGGGCGGATTTGATCTTTCTCGATATTGTAAAAACTGAATCGGTCAGCTATCGAGTCAATCAAACTGAGGCGTACACACTTACTTGATGTAATGGGCTGCCACATGAAGGAAGGTGAAAACCAACATCGCATATGCTATTTGACGATGAAACCATGCGGATTCATCCAACGGTAGCCAGCGAATTTGAGGTCGGAGCCATCGCAGTGCATTCCGGCACATGGGCAAAAGGATCAAAGTGGCATCAATAGAAAGGACAAGACCTGCCCCTCGAGATATCCATACGGAGTACTTGAGGACATTCAAGGCTGCCAGTTGTTTATCTCTTTCTTGTGCCCACCTAAAATCCATATTAGCGCTGCTTATCTTCTGAATTCAGGTTCAATTCACGTGTCTTACCATCCCGCTGCAAAAATGCCGAAGTGTATACCCCAGAAAATCAAGTAGAACCAAAGTTTTGACATAGTGAGCTCGGCCCTTCGGAGTCGAGACATATTAGACGTAGCCATATTAGACGTAGCCATATCGTGTGGTTTTGGGTGTTGTCGACCAGCGACAATAGTGAATTTATTAAAGGAGCGACAAGCAACGTAGGTTGACCGGCAACCAGAAGCGATGTATAGAAGACCTCAGAGGGGTGATCTTAGAGTCTGTTTTGTTTTTCTCAAATGGTATTCCAAACTCTTCAAGGTCGAGTGTTATTCAGTTGAGGTAATGCGCCTGGGAGTTTGCTGATCCATGGGCTTTTACCCGGATTACAATCTGACCGACGAGTTCGAGACCCGAGATTCTCTGCGGAATTGACGGCTTCTTGCCGTATAAGCCAGGCACTATATGAAGTCTTTGTTTTTTTTCGCTGTAGTTCCAGGTGACTGCGATGAAATTCGCCAGCGGGGATTTAGGGGGATTTCGGCCCAACAAAAGTGGCGTTGTTGTTATGCGAATATCACGCAGGAGCCAACGAACTCCTCGGATATCTTTTGTTTTCAAGGAAATGTGGATGGTGTCAAGGACGAGTCATGACATTGAAGACAAAGCCAAAAGGTAAGAAGTTCAGAGCAGAAAAAAATCCCAGGGTTGTGGTTTTAGCTGCAGGGGTGTGGGAGAGGGGCCGATCTATAATTACGTCGCTTCCGTGTCCGCCAATCTGGCTTTGAGTTGGTCTAATATTGATCTATTTTTCTCTTCTATTTTCTCTCTAGTATTCCAATATTTCCAATATTTCCTCTATTTACCTTTTTATTTTTACCTTTTCTTCCTTATTCACCGAGTTTTCCATGATGTGATAGGTGTAGAATGTCTCTGTAGGTCAAAGCAACCCCGTGATAACCCCGTGACCCTACATATCAAGGCTCATTTGCATCTCCCAAAGTTCCAATCCCTTCGTTTAATATTACCCTCGTCTCTATCTTTTTTTTCTTGGCTTCTTCTGTTTATAAATAGCTCTGAAAAACTTTGGAAAGCCATTTTCCTAGATCGGCCTAAATCTCCACATGGCAAAAACGAACTGCAGTCAAAAGCCCATGATCCATCGCGGAATGGTCCACATTGTGTAAAAAGCATAAACTTGATTCCGACACCTCGGTTCCTGATTATCGTCCAGTGAGAGAGGATGGTTCATGATGAACTGTACTTTTTGCACTTGACAAGGATTCTACAATTCCCACATTTTCCAATAGTGAGGGGAAAGTCTCCGGGTCAAGATTCACGGGGGCTGGTGAGTGGTCAGCGCCAACTGAAAAGCTCAACCGTTACTGTGGGAGTTTGACCTATGAGAGTCAATCTGCAAGCGCTCATTTCCCATCACACGGGATCCTCTTGCCAAATTCTGGGGCAAAGTCGGTGAAAGCATGTCATTTGGTTGATTCACTTGAATCGGTTCGGTCGCTCCGTACCAAAAATAACTTCGTTAAAAGCTTATGGTGTGATTCGGTTCATTGTTATCTCTCGTTCTCGCTCTTGAATCTATCATGTTGATTCTCGACAGGTATCGACCCACCTGGCAACGCATACCACTTTAGGCGCAAGCTGCACTGTCACAGCTTTCCCGAATCCCGCTTATTTCCTACAGTTGGACGGTGCACGGAGTCCCAATTGACTCTAGATTGAATGGCAACATTTTGTACCAAGAAGTGGGTGTGATACCAATCCCAGCGGGGGTTGATGAATCTGAAACCAGATTTCACCATCTATACGATCTCGGATGGCCTGGTAGGGACCAGGATGGAGTGGTAAATTGTAATTATATCTACGGCTGTTGGTCTGGATAAAAGAACTTCCTCAGAGACATTGGGAAGCGAAGCAGAAGAGTGAGGAGAAAAGAAAAGAGTTCGAAACCCAACCAAGCCAGCTCAAGCCACTTGAAATCGTACAATTCGAATTGTGCGTGAAACTCCTTGGAAGCGCGTGCTTTCACCTGCATCTCATCACGCCAAGCCTTTCCCTCTACGGCTTTTGATAGGTGCATGTCCATTTCAAGATCCGCTCCGTCACATCCCCAACCCCCAATCACACCGCACCCCGACTCCGTGAAGAATTGCCAAAAGAGGGGGTGGTCAAGGATTCTGATCATTCCAGGGTAGTGATTGGTCCAGGGCGCTTTAATGCATCCGTGCGGATCACGAAGCCCTGACTTTTTTTTTAGTGTCATGTACTCCGTACATGGGTGGTGGACTGCCCAGAGGTGCATCGGTCACGTTTGGCGCCCAGTTGTCACATACCACATTTTATCCACGGGCTATCTTTACCGTGGCGACCTCCCTCTACGGAATACGCTAAGTATAGATGCATGTCCTTCCCCCCGCTTGCAGAATGACTGTACCATATCACCATCTTTCCCCAGATCAATCAAATCATGCCAGCGCAATAACACTGGGAAGCTAGACTCTATCAGTGTGGAGTCTTCTGTGCATTTCCAACCGATATACATCATCCCCCCCTCCATGCATATCTAAAAAAAAAAAAACCTTGGGTCGCAACGCACACGCTTCACAGGCGAGCGTTCCCTCAACTTGCCGAGTCCCTCGCTGGCCGAGAGATTCACGTATATCGACTCCTGGTTTAATTCACCAAAATGGGCAGACTGATCAAAAACCATTGGGGCCGCTTGCTCATCATGGTTGCTTCGGCTTGTACGTATCATATCGCAAACCCCAATCTATGAACTTATGCGCTAACACATACGACATAGATCAAGTCGCCAGCGCAATCCAAGGCTTCATCTGGCCCAAGATCTTCTGGGATTTTTTATCCAAAAACCTGGACGCCGCCGTCAATCCAATACCCATCCTCCAAATACTCAATTTAATCATGGGATTAATCGGTCTGGCCTGGGAATGGCCGCTGAAACCACTGGCGGGCACATTTCCGCATCGGAGTATCGAAATTCGACTCATCATATATCCACTCAGCGCCTTACTTGCCGCGCTTCTCTATCAAGGTACTGATCCAGCGGGATATTATCTCATTGGCATTGGTGTCTACTTCTGGGCATACAGCGAGGGAGAAGTAGTATGTCCGGAGCCTTGGACATTACCCAAACGGTCCACGATCCTCAAGGCATAACCTTCAAATGTTTGTTTTTTTTTCGATGCATTGATTGTATCGAGCATATATTATGTATATACTAATGATATAATACGAATGAAGACATTATGAGTGAATACAATGTTGCCCAACCCTAGAGGTGTATGATTTTGATATTATGGCCCGGATATGGCTTTTACTCTGTGCAATTTCAGATCAAATTTCCATTCCAATACTCTATCCAGATGTCACTGGAGCATTTACGACCCATCTCGACATTCAAGCGAACATTTGAAAGGAAAAAGTACAACTTCGTACTCACATCGGCTTTTGTGACTTCAAATTGAATGCCTAATTAACAAGGTGTGGCGCGAGGGCACGTGATGGCCTTGTGATGGCCTGGTGACGAGTCTAGACCGGACTGGTTTCTAATTCCATCTTGACAGTAAACCAGTGCTTCTTGTTAACCACAAGGTTGCGAGTCAATCTTGGAACAATATCTATCCTTACGAAAAACTAACCCTTATTTTTCTTGCCGATTATAGCGTATAATATGGCACCACCCACTGCTTCTCGGAATGGCTGTGAGCTAAATAATGTCGACATTCCCATTGGGGACGAAGACGTACCAGTCAACAAAGCTACCAGCTTCAATGGCTCCTTGGCTCATTTCAAGTACCCAAGCGGTCTTGTTACGCTAGTGCCACCAAAACCATTAACTTGTTCATCAAAGCAAAACCCCTCTGCAATAGACACAACAACACCCACCAAAACAATCCAAAGCCGCAGTGCCACCGCTAGTCCCAGGAGCATGAAGACCCAGCGAGACATGTCCATGCCATTCAAGTCAACCATCAACACCTCCACACGAACCACCCGCTCTCGTTCTCGTTCCTCTTCAACCATCGCACCTTCACCCTCGCCCTCGCCGGCAATTCCATCCCCAAACCGCCGCAAACGCAGACCAATATGTCCATCCGACACCCCACCCGCCTCATCCTCTCTCCTCCGCGACACAATCCCACCGAATCTAATTCTACTCCTCGTGGGCGTGAATCCAGGTCTCATGACTGGAACAACCGGCTTCGCCTACTCGCACCCTTCAAATCGCTTCTGGCACCTCCTGCACTCGTCGGGAATAACCAGCATTCGCCATCCTCCCTCGGACTGCTATAAGCTTCCTGAGCTATATAGCGTAGGAAACACGAACATTGTCGTGCGGCCCACTCGAGACGCAAGCATGCTCACCAAAGCAGAAATGAACGAGGGCGTGCCCATTCTCGAAGCGAAGATTGCGGCTCAGCGGCCCGAGGCCGTGTGTCTTGTTGGCAAGAGTATATGGGAGGCTGTTTGGAGGGTGCGTCATGGGCGGGCAATTCGGAAGGAGGAATTTACGTATGGGTGGCAGCGAGAGAGTGAGAATATGGGGCGTTTACCTGGAGTCTGGGGAGGCGCTCCGGTTTTTGTAGCCACGACTACGAGTGGGCTTGCGGCGTCTATGAGCATTGCCGAGAAGGAAGCTGTTTGGGCGGAGCTCGGTGAATGGGTTGTCAAGAGGAGGAAGGTCAGGGCCAAGGAGATTGAAGTCATTGCTACCTGATCACGTATCATACTTGTAATTCCGACCCGTCTTTACGGGCTTGCTTGGCTTTTAGCTTGATCTGAAATGGCTTAATGATGTTACGATATTGCGTCATTTGAAACTAGTATCACGCTGTTCGTGATTAAATGGGGACGGATCTCAGATTCGAATCTTGGTTTCAATATTGGTATTTGGTATTTGTATGATGAGGTCGAAACCCCGTCTCATTATCTCATGGTATAAATCAAAGTATGGAAACCAGCCACTGCTCTTATGCAATACAACCAAGAAAAGAAAAATAGGAAACCTTCCCGTGGGAATGTAACATGCTCTCGTGCACGATCACGATCATAATCAACCATGTCAAGCCCCTTGCATGAGTAAATTGGGTAGACGTGCATCATCGAGAGATGGTTCATGTGGAACGGAGAAGCGGGGAAAGCGGGGGAGTAGTAGCACCGCAATGTTTGACCCCGAATTACTTTCAAAGCAGAAGGGATTTACCGGCCAATGTTGGCACCGCCCTTGGAATCGTTCTTGTTGCCCTCACGCTCACGGTTCTAAGGAAGGTATATTAGTAAGGAAGCTCTTGGAAGACTAGAAAAGTCTCAAATAGGAAATGGGTCACGAACGGTGTTGGCTTGGAATTCACCACCTTCCAAGATCTTGGTCATAATTGCGTCCTCATCCTTGGTACCAAACTCGTTTTCCAGAGCGGCTTTGCTGGCAGTGTCCAGGATACCCTGGGCGCCGTGGCTATAGGGTGATCATACGTTAGTCGGGGAGGTTCGGATGGTCAGGCAATGTCCATTGCCATGGTGAGCTTAAGCTTACCTGTGAGAAACAAGAATCTTCCAGCCGTTCAAGACATCAGAAAGAGCGATGCTGCGATCGTTCTTCCACTTCTGCAAGACATCGAGGTCGTCAACGAAGACGATGAAGTCTTCAGTCTTGCCCTTGTAGAAGACCTTGGCAGCGGTATCGTTGGCGCGAGGCATGATGGAAATTTGAGTTGATTTTGGTTGGGAGAAGTTGGGTAGTGGTAAAATTGAGGCAAAAAGTCAATTCAATTGGAAGTTATGGTTGAAGTGAAAAAGAAGAAATGGGAGAAGCTTTAAAGACCTGATGGTGGTGTATGTCATTGTATGACGTCACGGGACTACTCAATGGAAGTGATCATGTGTCATGGAACAGCTCCCTGCTACGACGTCATTAAGTGGAGTAGCTGTGCAATAATGCAATACCTTCCATTCTTTGCCCTTTGCTTCGCCAAGCTATGTAATAACAATAATATGTCCTATTGCTTCATCAGACTCCATCCACCCTGTCCCACTTCCAAGCTTCGATGATCTCCCCCATTCAACCCTCCGTCCCTGTCTCCGCACGAGACCGGATGAGATTCTTCGGTGATAATACACTCAACAAGGTCATCGGTGAGCTCCACTTCTTGCGTGGAGGCGTTGTTTCCAAGTTGCTCTCCTGGCTCGGACGGTTCTCGCCGCGGGGTAAAGTCAGTGACTTCTTGCCCGTATTAGGTCCAAACCGGACGGTCCTGGAGCGCCCGAGAATTGATGTGGGTGTTTTGGGCGATTCACAATCCGTCATTGGCGAGTACTGGTCGCCACATCCGTCCTGACTTGTGATCAATTCCTTTTCCTCCCCGTTATAATCGTCGATGGCTTGTGTTTCGGTGACTACGGGCCCAGAATGAGTAGAGCTAATCGAGGTGGACCGCCTGGCGAAGCCTTTGTGCAGACTGAGATGTCTCATGATCGACCCACGACCGAACAACATGTCCCCTCGGCCAAGGATCATTCCTGGCCATGGCAACACGTCGCGCGTATAGTACTCCGAAATCAGCTTCTCTAGTCGGATCCGATCCACTCGCCTTGCAGTCACAACCCATGGAGTACGTGCAAGTGAAGACTTGGGTCGGTCGATCTCACTGCTAGTATTCGTGGACTCGTCATAGCTGCGTGGACAACGCGTCTTCCGAATGACTACGTGCTGGGACGTGGACCTGCGTGAAATTGACACAGCATCCATGGACCTTCGTGAAAGAGAGCCCGCTCCGTACGAGGCCTTGTCCAAAGGTACAAGAACAAGGGTCAGGAGAGAGTACTTGTGGGGATTTCGTGCTTCGGGAGGCACTGGACATTTCAACATTTCCGTGCGCCACTGCTTTTCTTCAGTGGCGGAGGATGCGCTAAGCACAAGTTCGAAGTTCCCATCTTGGTCCGAAAACAAGATCTTCCAGGTGAACGGACAATCGTAGTAGTAGATTCCTAACAAGTCAGATAGATTTCCCAATTGTGGTGGAAAGTCTGGAATGAACCTACCCTGTCCAGTTGGGATAACGGTCGAGCATGATTCACGCACATATATACAAGCCACAAGTTCCAGTCGATTGGAATCATCAATAGATTTTGCGATGAGAAAATAACTACGGAATAAAACGCATACCATGAAATCACCAGTGATGAGTTCTGGTGTCTGATAGGTGACATATAGCACCCCGCATAGAGTCATTGGCCCAAGGTCTTTGTATATATCTTGTAGCACGTACTGCCCATCAAAAGGTTATTGACCATTCAAGTTCCAGTATCCTTGGGAGACATACATACCGAGTCACTGAATTGAATTCTCTTCTGTAGGGCCAAAGTCTTTTTGATGCGATCCTGGTTAACTGGATTACCAGTAGCTGCATTGATCTGTTGAACAAGGCCCCGTATGTTGTCCAGGATATGTTGGATTCCTTCATGAGAAGTTGGGCAGTCACCGACAGGTGTCTCCCGGAGGAGATCGTTGAGAAGCAGTGGGTATTTGCACAGGCGCTGGATGGGCTTTTGAGTAGAAGGTTAGCGCTTGGAAATGACATGAGGAGAAGATGGTTTCAAACCTTCACCATCAAATCAGCCATTGACATTGACCTGTTCTCCTCGTGTCTGAGACTATTCATAGAAACAACAGACTTTGACAACGCTTCAATGCCCTGATCATAGATCGACCAATTCGGGATTGAACGACGCAGAATGGCGACATCCTCTGATAGAATTTCATAGTTGCTGCAGAACTTTTCATACGCCGAGAAAGATGAAGTCTTCTATATGGTTAATGATTATTCTTCCAGATCTAAATATTTTCAAACATACCACAAGTCTTTCAATTTCCCGTGCTACCTCCAGAACTTCAGCTGGATCCGCGAACAGACTTCTACAGTCTTGATTGATTCTTGCTTTGAACTTGCGGGTTCTCAGCGACCCAGTCTGCAGAGTCTTTAGTCCTCGGAAGCCGCTCGAGCGCTTTGACGATGCACGGGAAAGAATATCGGAGGCCTCTTCTGGAGTTTGACGACTCGATAAAGGTGACACCTCCTGTAAACGGCCTTGAAAGTGATCGTGAATTTCACAGATCTGTTGAATGTTGTGTTGGATCTGCATTCTGACATCGAATAACGAGAGTACCTGTCGAATGATTAGCTTTGTCACAACTGTCATTCTGTTGAAAAGATGAACATCACTCACCCCAGTCAAAGCCTTGAGGCCAAGTACATAGTCCTCCTCAGTCCCGGTCAGTTCCTGGAGCGCAAGACGCCTCTTGTTGGCTCGAATTTTCGATTGCTCATCCGCATAGGGGCTAAACTTTGGTCGGGAACTGTCTCCGGAATGCCGCACAGAGAGTTCGCTTTGCGTTATTGTGCTTTGTGTTGTCGCCCTTGATCTCGCTATACTTTCGCTTGTAAGGCTCATGGTGGGGGTGTTGCATTCCTGTTGTGACCAATTTCCAGAGCTTATCCCCCACTCCAAGTCCAGTTCCAAGAGACGTTCACGTCTTTGTTTGGCAGTTTCTATACGAGAATCATTCGGCCAACCCTCCACGAGTCTTTCGGAGACGTATGGATTCGCATATTTGCGTGCTCGGAAGCTATCCACCCACTTCTTGAACTTGTAGGTAGGGACTGTCGCCTGTGTTGGAGTTTTTTCGCCCGTTGGGCTTTCGTTTCTGTCGGCTAGCCCATCATGAGCTATCAGGTTCTCTGCCTCAACCTCATCCTTATTCTCCATGATCAAGCCTCGATGCGGCGTGCTGGTATGGGGTAGGCGCGGGAATCATGAAGATCGACGACAAGGGTTGTGCGCCCCAATCAAACCACACGCGGTGCCCAAAACAAATTTCAAGCGTCATGGTTTGGCAGTCGCGACGGACTGGACACCGCGTGGGAAAGAATGCGGACTCTTGTTCACAATGGCAAGAAAGATGGCTCTTTCTTTCCTCAGGACGACACTCCGCCCAGTTCAACCACGGCTAATGAATTTCGCGCCATGGGAGGCAACTTTGTCGGTTCCAGGCTGCTGTTTTGCTGAGGTATTAGGACCCAGCAATTTGAATCCCATCCATGTACGTCATGAGATGAGGCCACTAGATAGGTGGGATTCAAATTTATTTTAAATCCTGCCCACTTCTAGGGTCACAAAGCGCAGGGATTGAGTGGTCACTCGAGCCTTGGAAGAGGAAATGACTTTGCTCTGCATTTTGAGCTGGAGAATTCCATGATATTCCAAGGTTGGGTCATGAACACTGAAAATATATAAGGTAGCATGCAGCGTAAGGATGTAGGATGTATCAATCAGTCAACCCTGGAGAGTTTGAACTTCCAAATTTGAAAGACAAGTTTGCAAAAGTGATCGGGATTTTTCCTTGGAAGGACGAAAGCGGATAGGGAAGACCGTTCAAATATTGAATATTGGAATGTTGATTGTGCACATGGATGAGTACTATGTATCCATCCATTTGTGCATAGTGCGGCTGCGCTTATATAAAACTGCTGCCCCACCGCCCTGGTGATTTACACGCGATGGTTCAAGCTTTCCCCCCACCTTGCTTTTCCCCGATGACTTATTGAACTTCCAACAGCTATGGGCGACAACATTCATGCTCCTACTGTGGCCTCTGGACCGACATCCGGGGGCATCCAGCGTGACTGGTCCAAATTGTCGATGCCTGAATTGATGCAGGAGAAGGAGAAGATCGAAGAGGAGCTCAAGGCGCTCAGCGCAGTGCTGACCTCGGTGAGTTCCAACTTCCAAGGTTTCAATTTATTTTTCTTTTAAATCTTCCAAGATTCTAATGAGATTCGCATTATCTAGCATGGAGTCACTATGCGCTCGACTCTCACAACCTTTGACGGCTACCCTCGCGACGATATCGACATCCCACAGGGTACTTAACTCTGAACATCCATTGACCACCTCACTTTACTGAGAATTTTGATAGTACGGATTACGCGAGTACGCATGATTCACATTCAAAACGACCACAAACAAATTATGACGTACCTCGAGAAAGGTCTGCATGCACACTTTGCGCAACTGCAGAAAGCCCAGGCCACTGCCGCGACCAATGGTACTAGTGTATCTTCCCACGCACCACCTCCTGTTCTTGAGAGCAGCATTGCCGATGCGAGTGTTATCGGAACACCATTTGCCAAGGTCAACAGCGTTGAATCACGAAGTCCGGCGGATCAGGCAGGTCTTAAAGCTGGCGACTTGGTTCGGGCCTTTGGAAGTGTGAATTGGTTAAATCATGAGCGTCTTTCCAAGGTCGCAGAGGTGGTTCAACAAAATGAAGGGGTATGTTGAACTTGATTTGCCTTCCATGGTTAATTTGTTGCTGCATGGGGATTTTAAAAGCTAACGAATATGGATGGATAGCGACCCGTTGTGATCAAGGTATCGCGCAAGGAGGAAGGTGGATTACGTACTACCGAAGTAGAGCTGCAGCTCACTCCTCAGCGTAATTGGGGAGGTCGGGGACTTCTAGGATGTCACCTGATTCCGCTTTAGAGAGGCTGGCCCTCTTTTCGCTTTTTGTGAACATGGTAATCTGCCTCTGGTTGTGGTATTCTCTGCCAATCCATAGAGCTATGTGTAGTGGTACTTTCATACGCTTTTGAATTTATGAATAATGAATTGATATATTTGCAACTAAAGACAAAATTAGACAAGGAGTAAAATGAGAATATAATAGCAAAGTAACAATCCAAAAGAATGATGCAAATGCTACCCTACTACTATATAGTCAGGCATTGTTATACACAGGAAGAACATTTCAAAGAAATGTTTAGAACAACTACGTCAGGCTTTCAGGCACACAGGCACGTGACCGCCCGCCGACCGGGCAAAAATTCCCTTTGACATTATCCACCTCCTTCCCTTCCCCCCTTCGAAACCATCCTCTTTTCCACAGTCTCAACTTTCCCCGCGAAACTTCCTGCGGCTCTGTCCTTCTCTTTTAAAGAGTTTACACTATCGCCAGTTTTTCGCAATGACTACTCCCCAGGTCCCTACCTTCAAGCTCGTCTTGGTCGGTGACGGTGGTACTGGAAAGGTAAGCGACCATTACTGAATATCCAGGCGTCGGGCGGTCTTCAAAAGTACAAAAAGGGTCATTCCAGTGGAAGCGAACAATCATTGAAACCCCGAAAAGGGCTATGATAGCCTTGCTACTATCGAACATCCTCTCCTCCTCCCCCCTCTCCCTTGCCCCGCCATTTGTCAACAAAGGCGGGAAAAAATATCTGCCCGACGACCGCCTCATTATCATCCACGAATCACTCGATCGCTAACGGCCAACCAAATAGACCACCTTCGTCAAGCGTCACTTGACTGGTGAGTTTGAGAAGAAGTACATCGCCACCCTCGGTGTCGAGGTTCACCCGCTTGCTTTCACTACCGTATGTTTTATATATACCCCGCCGAGAGCCCCGCTTCCAAACGGTCCTCTCATTGCCTCATCCTATGAGAAGCAGACTAATCGGAAATTTTTCCATAGAACTTGGGTAACATCCAGTTCGATGTCTGGGACACCGCTGGTCAGGAGAAGTTCGGTGGTCTCCGTGATGGTTACTACATCAACGGTCAGGCCGGTATCATCATGTTCGATGTTACCTCCCGTATCACCTACAAGAACGTTCCCAACTGGCACCGTAAGTAACAACAACAGCAATAACGAAGCCGATTTTTTTTTCAACCATCTCACATATATTCCAGGTGACCTCGTCCGTGTCTGTGAGAACATCCCCATCGTTCTGTGTGGTAACAAGGTCGACGTGAAGGAGCGCAAGGTCAAGGCCAAGACCATCACCTTCCACCGCAAGAAGAACCTCCAGTACTACGACATCTCCGCCAAGTCTAACTACAACTTCGAGAAGCCCTTCCTGTGGCTCGCCCGCAAGTTGGTTGGCAACGCCACCCTTGTACGTATTCCTTGCTCAAGAACTGTGATTTTCGGAACATATTACTAATTCATTTAATAGGAGTTCGTCGCTGGTCTCGCCCTTGCTCCTCCCGAGGTTACCGTCGACCACGAGCAGCTCGAGAAGTACCGCCTGGAGATGGAGGCTGCCGCGCAGCAGCCCCTTCCCGATGAGGATGACGCCGATCTGTAAAGGACCAATTCCGACCTGGAAGACACAAGTCCTTGCACCCTCCCCCCGCCTTGATATCAGTCTTCTAAAGACACCAAGGAGGGAGGGTATCATGATTGCCTGATTTTGTTAGAAAGGCAAAATAGGTTCTCAAGAATCACGATACAATGAACGCGGTTGGGGCAGTGGCGGTTTGAAAGGGACAGCACGATTATGCATTTCGTTTTTATTTTGTTTTTCTTCCCCCCCAACCTTAGTAGCTAGACTCTTACCATCTCAATGCCTTTTTTTTCTCCTCCCGAAACGAGCTGCTGCATAAAAGCAAGTCCCCTTTCAACGGGATCTAAAAAAACCACTTTGTTCTTCTGTTATCTTACCAAAAGGCACATTACATGACAACAATAGGCGGAGCAAATAAAATTAACTTGTTTCTGATTCAAACGCTTATTTTGCCAAAAAAAAAAAAAAGAAAAAGAAAAAAGAAAGCAAAGGGGAGGGGGAAATGACATGAAACTCTTGCCAGACAGTCTATGTGCGCTTGTAAATGAAACAAAGGGGTATAACGGATGGCCAACAAGGGGAAAAAGCGAGGCAAATGCAGAGCACGCCGTGTCTGGGACTTGGGAATTCCATTCAGAAAATAGCAAGAAAGGGACATTGGACATCTATCTCTCTGTGAAATAAATCTCTTATGAAGCAAACCAATGTTGAGGAATAGCGAAACTGGCATGCGACCCATGGTATCAGAAAGTACGAGAGGAAGAAGATCTGGTCTGGTTTCAAACCGACACACCCTGGTAAAATGATAAGAGAAGATGTTAGCAAAGCGCAAACAACAGAAAAACCAATCGAGATCCTTGATGAAGGTGAAGTCGAAAGGAGGGAACTTACAAAAAGGTAGGCAAGCTCTCTGGTGCCGAGCCGAGAAACATTCATTGTACCACCTTCATCCAGTGCACCTTCGATAAGCTCACGCTTCTTCTCCTGCAACTCAATGATACGGTCTTCGACTGTCTCCTCAATGAGCAACCGGTGCACGAAAACATCTCTGGTCTGCCCGATACGATGTGCTCGATCAATGGCTTGGTCTTCCACATAGGGGTTCCAGAACGGGTCAAACAAGATGACATGGGACGCGGCAACGAGGTTCAAGCCCGCGTTTCCGGCTTTCAGAGAGACAAGCATGATCTTGCAGTCCGGGTTGTCAGTGAAAGTGGCCACGGATGCATTGCGATCATTTATATTCATTGTACCATCAAAGCGCACGTATCCCCATCCACCCCGGCTGATGGGAACTTCAAGCAAGTCAAGGAGCGAAGTGAATTGACTGAAGATAATGGTTTTTTCACCAGTGCCGCGATCCTCATTTGCCTGAAGGATCTCCATGGCTTTGGTGATCTTGGCGCTGGGTGTCCAGTATTTCTCAAGGCGGCGAAGATACTTTCGTTTCTCGGTCTTGTTCCTTTGGGCGGCAGCGCGCAGTTCCGAAAGAGATTTCTTCTTGGGCTTTTTACCCGATCCGTCCGTCTCAGTATTGGAATCATCAGAGTCAGAGCCTGTTACTTCGGATTGCTCGGATTCCTCTGCTGGTACGGCATTTGAATCGTAGACCTGCTTGAAAGAGACTTCATCTGTGACCTTGGTGGGATCAACAACCCCACGGCAATTTTGGCACCGGACGACGCCAGAATCCTGGTGGGCAAGTGTGGCAGGGTCGGAAATACGAGCGAAACATTCTGAACAAACAGAGTGTCCACATGGAATGTAGATCACTGAATTTTCCACACTGTCCATGCAGATAGGACAAGCGCCATCATCATCCTCTGTGTTGTTTTTGATTCGTTCCACTGTCTGTGCATCCAGGAGCTTGGCATTAGCAACTAGGTCCACGCCTTGGACGGTTGTGGAACTGTCGTTTTTGAAGCCTCGGATTAGTAGAGGGTGGTCGCAGCATTGTCTGAGCCGAAGAAGAAGAACCAGCACATGGCTGTAATTCTTACCCAGAGTACCTGCGTCCAAATATTTGCGAATCTGGTTTTGAGAGTCCGAGTTCAATTCAGCGTAGATCGCCTTTTCCTCCTCATTGAAAACAACATGGACTTTCTCAATGACCTTCGGTGGAAGCTGCAAAATTGGTTGCCCCTCAATCTTAGTCTTCTTTGTACGACGTAAACAGACTGACTTGACGAGAACACGGAGTTGTTTCATGACATTCTCCTCGCCCCATCCATTCTTGATGGGTCGAACAAAGTCCTGTTTTCTTGATGAGCCCCGGTGCATTATTTACCGCTTAAAGATATATGGCTTACCCGTTTAAACTTTTCCTTGTTGTTATAAGGCCGGATGCGAAGGAATCCCAACAAAGATTGGAAGTCCTCCAGTCGGTTCATCATAGGCGTTCCAGTCAGGCACCACCGGTAGGTGGCATCCAGCCTGGTGCATGCTTTTGTCGACTTTGCATTGGGGTTCTTGATATTTTGAGCTTCATCGAGGATGACACGATGCCATTTGCTCACCGAGCTGAAGAGCACCGCTGTATCTCGAATTTGTTTGACAATGCTTGCGTCCTTTCCCTCGCTTTGCATTTTTTCCGCGTGCACAACAATCTTATGGTTAGCAGTCAAAGTACCAAATGTCGTAATGACTACATCGTGCTTCTTGAGCTCCCTCCATGTAGGACGCTGCAGACCGTGAAAGATGAGCACTGATAATTGGCTACGACCAGGATTGATATGTCGGCCAATCTCGAGCCTCCACTGATCCATCAAAGCCTTTGGAGCGACGATTAGACACGGGCGACGGTCATCCTCCGGCGGTGGGCGAGCAACCATCAGCGCGATTGTCTGAATGGTTTTCCCAAGACCCATGTCATCTGCCAGAATGCCGCCCTTGTGATTACTCTCTTCTTTTGCCTTCATCCACGCCAGACCAATCTTTTGATGTTTCATCAACGTTACTTTGAGCTCCCGGGGTGAATCATCATCATCTGCATTTGTGGCTTGGTTAATATCCTTGATGCCCGTGAGCAAGTTTTTGATGTCATCGGGGAAATCTTCTTCCTTGTACATTCTGCCAAGACCACGTTAGTAGTTAGTCTTTGGGGGAGGGGGGGGGGGGGGGGGGAGAAAGCCGGATGATATAGAAGTAGAGAGAATAGTGTACTTACTCAAAATCAATGGCATCCTCCTCCATGTCCTGCTGTTCACGAACAAGATCAAATGCCTTCATTTCAGGATGTTGACTTTGCATCCAAGGAAGACGTCTAGGTGGCATGAGTGGTGAAGGGCCCATACCCATGGCAGAAGAAGCCGAAGGCCACCCAGGAAGAGGGTATCCTGTCCCTGGCGGTCTGAATCGGGCCGCACTGGTAGGAGACATGCCTTTATATGCCTGCATATAGGGTGTTGTACCATAAGGATTTATTTGGGGAGGTAGGTAAGAGCTCGGCAAGGGAAGAGGGTACATCCCTGGCGGTTGAGTTGAACGGAAAGAGTCGGGAGTAATCTCTTCGAGATCATCATCCGAGTCACCACATTCTGGCCGAGGTGACCGGTAATTGTTTCCGGGCTGCTTAAATTTTGAGACTGGCAGGGAAGAAGGGCGGGGCAAGGTGCGATCAGGAATATTAAACCTTGGATATGGCTGCAGATGCGGCTGAACCTCCTCGAACTCATTATCTTGAGCCTGGATTAGGCGAGCAAATTCCTCATCCTTCTCCATCTGATTCATTGAGCGAAGACTCTTTTCAGCTTCAAATTCCTCCTCTTCTAGTTCTTGAAGGACTTGCTCTTCCGAGACGCCTTCAAACCTGGCCGTCTCACGAACCTTTTCGCGCGTTTTCAAAGCGCGATACTTATTGTGGAGCTTTTCCATTTCTTGGTCCATCTTCATGTCAATCGCATGGAGACGGCTTTGAGAATTGCTGACAAGGGCCTTCTTTGAGGGCTGTTGAGAGCCGAGAGAGCCGATCGACCCTTCTCGCGGACGTTTGCGAGATCCTCCGCCAGGACTGAACGAGGATATCGGCGGCAAGGATGGCGCAATGTAACCATTCTGCTGAAAACCAAAAGGAGATGGTGCTGACGAAGGCCAATACTGACTCGAGGTAGAAAAAGGCTGTTCTGGCCTGGTCGGAGTGGTTTGTGATGTCATCTGAGAAGGTGGCTCTGGAGTGGGTTGAGTGTGTTCATGTTGGGGATTAGAATGGTGATCGTGTGGTGGGGAGCTTGGAGCAATGTTCCCAAGGAGTTTGTTAAGTTGAGCTTGCATCTCCTGGATCCGCTGCCTTGTCTCCGAGATCGCCACATGGTCATCCGGTGTATTTTGTTTTTGATCGTCCAAAATGAAGTTTTGAAACTCCACCTCATCGACAATATCTTGAATTTCCTTGTCCGCCATTGTGACAGATGGAACGAGCAAGGTCAAATTCAGATTTGATGGAACAGTGGCCAGGCCAGCGGTAGAAAGTGAGAAAGTGAGGTTTAATAGAAGAGAGAAAGAGTTGAGATCCTGAATCCCTTGACAAGCAGGACCAGTAAGAGTAATTCAAGCAAACAAAGTCACCACGGGGGTTGTATAACTGAGTCCAGAGTGATGAGTGGGTTGTATAGTGACAAGAAGACAATATTGTCGTGGAACTGCGCGTTCTGTATCAGTCTTAAAAAGCCGACGTTGCAGGTGCAAACGGGAAAGCGGTGGCTACGCGCGGAGCAGAATGAGAGTGAAGTGAGAGAAACAAGCAAGGCCTCGGGTCTCTGCACGTCCAAGATGGGGATGTAGGTGTGTTTGTCCCATCTCGCGGGGTGGGGTTGATGTGATAACTCACCTTTCTGCGGAATAACTGCACGGGATTGATGGCGCTTGGCTCCGGGGGATTGGGCATCGGGTCCGCAGTGGAGAACGGGGAAAAGCGCCCGGGCAGCGAGGGTGAAGCTCAGGGATTATGTACCCTGTTTGTCTTAGAAGACTCTATCGGACATATCTTACGGACCCGTGAGACTTGAGGGTGCGTCCGCCAGTGCTGAAGATCGTTGTCATGTTGAGAGTTGCCAAGGCGTCCGACTCTTTTTTTTTTTTGGGAGGGGGGGCTTAGTTTGACAAACCTTTAGTTACATACTACTAATGATACTATACAGTGCCATATACAATTGGGCTCCGCAATATTGCTTTTTTTCATCATTGAAATTAATTAGAGATACATATATAGAACGTGAATTTTGATGCTTTCTAAAACCCCTTGAAATATTATTTTCTACAGTACACTGGCGGCTGTATACTCATCGCGTCAGATCGGAAGTCGATGGCTTACCTATCTCCACGTGATGCAGCGATAAACATCGTATACATACGCGTCACGCGTTGTGTGAGTCAAACATTACAAACAGGGTTATGTGTAGTAAGCCCTGAGATCTGATTTGGTAATTCTTGATACCTCAGGCCAGAATAGTATCTACCAACTAGTATCATGTAGTACTGGTACAGTAAAACCTACTACTAGCAGGTATGATGGATCGGGATTCGGACTAGGCAGTTGTCATTGCAATCCCTAGTTCTCAGATGACTCATGCAGTTGGAAGCGTAACCGCCGAGATTGCAGACTTGATAAAGCCCCGTGAACATTTGATGACTTCACGGTACAGCCCTAGAGGTTGGGCTTTCCAATGATCCCCAAGTACCTATCCTTAGACTGGCAATATACAGGTAAACTATAATCATGATTGGCAACCCCCATTAGACTCGATGGGGAGACAGTATCTGCTGTTTGGAATTTAAATATCAACATTGAAGGTGCCTTTTAAAAATCGGCCAGAGATTCATGCCCCCAGCCTGGCTGCAGCGGCTCAGTGATAAGATCATCTCGAGTATGTATCGATCGTGGTCAATGCACCTACCTAGTACTAGGTAGGCACATTTTGGGTAGGGGCTTACTTCAAATGTTGGCAAGTACCTACTACTTGAGTACAAGGTAGGAACGGTCATTGATTGGAGATATGAGTTGTATGTATGTCTATATGTATGCACATGTGTATCGTATAGACAGTACTGCCTAGATCGGTACCCAAGTACCTGTACAGGACAGTGACCATTTGAAAGATCACATATTCGAAAATTTCGCTTTGGAAGATCCCAATGTCTCATCAGTGCTGCCTATTTCAAATGTTTACGCTATATGATTGATTCAATGTCCAGGCGCCAACTTAGAGACATTCAACAGCTAACATTTTGTCCAATAGATCTACTTGATAGTCACACAGAAAGGACAATGATAGTACATAATGCTGAAAGAATATTCAACGTTAGGAGTTCAATCCGAAAATACGCAAGAAGCATTATTACTAATAGCTATACATCCATAGATTTATCAAGGGTATCATGATGGCGGTGTAGTCAACTAAGATGTGATGGCCAGCTAACAGAATTCATACAGATCAGAGGCTGGAAATCCAGCCCTGAAGAAAGCTAACATTCATATAGACATTCCTCGAAAGGAAATTGGGGGGTATCTAGATCTTTACAGCTTGGCCTTAGCCTGGGCCTTTTTGAGGACGGGCTCCATCTTCGTAGCCTTCATAATATTGCCCTTGATCTTGAGCTTGCCACCCATGAACAGACGCTGAGCGTTGGCCTTGCCGGAGACCAGGGAGGCAAAGTCGGCATCGGAAAGGGAAAGGGTGACTATACGTGGGACATATATCATCAGTATAACTGCTCATTTACCACACTGCCAATGCGCAACTTACCGTCAGCTTTGCCGCCCGCAGGAGCGAGGCCGTGGCCAACCTCGCCCTTGTTCTTCAGATCGAGGTGCCAGCTCTCTTCCTTGCCATCTTTGTTCTTGATGTTGAAGGCGACGATAGCCTTGGCTCCGTTAATGGCCTCCTTGCGACCGGCCTCATCGCTCTGTAGGGTCTCGTTGATCGCGTCAAACGCGGCAGAGGACGGGTGGGAATCTGCGGTGGCTTATTAGCGGCATGAAGTTGAAAACGCGTAAACGGTTTGGGCTCACCTTTCTTGAGAGACATGATGAATACAGATTTAGGTTGTGGAAATCTAAAAGAAGAGTGAGGGCGAAAGGCTGACGTTATATAGCGATGATGAAATAGACTGGGGACCGCATGTGAACCGCCGCAGTCCGTGCCGAGGCCCCGTGAAAGGTGGCTTTTCTCCACACGCCATGTTGATCACTTCTCTTATTATGTTCTCCGGACTCAACAGTGGGTTGTACACTCCGCAACTGATGTGACTCTTGATTGGAGCGCACCTGAAAATCTTGATCATCATCTTGGTATCGAATCGATGATTTCTGCCGCTTTCGCTCTCTCACTACGTACTAGTATGAGCTAACGAGAAGGATTTTACAGTAACCCGCGAAGTCGCGACCATGAATCTTTCTTCCCCCCGAGCTGCCTTTCCGCCCCAGAGAAACCCGGGGGATCCACATGCGGACCCAGCCCTCTCCGACAGACTATCTGATGGGTTGTACAAATCCGGCATTCATCGCGAACAATGACAATCGCTTGCTTCTCTCCGGAAAATCTCGTGTCTCGGCCTCCACACACGTCACTTTCAACTTAACACCCTTGATATGATCGGACCTTTCCCGCCGTTCACTAGCTTTTGTTTTTGCCAACCTTCCTAATCCGCGTCGCTGCCCTTTCGTGTCACAAATCACTCGTTGAAACTGTTGCTGGCTGACGCCTGCTGGATTCAACATCGTCAGCAAGCCAGCAGAGTCTGCTTCTGGGTATTCTCTGCAAGGCCCCAGTGACAATGGAAGAACTATACCCAGAGAAAGCCCCTCTAGAAACTGCAACGGAGTACGCTTGACAGCTTGATGGTTGAACCTCGCAGTTGATTCGAAGACGACGCAAGTTTCTCGTCAAGGACAGCGTCTGTCAATCCATTCGATACTGCGGATGAAGGGTATACAAGATGAACTACTGCCGTATTGGGTGTCAATGGTAAAGAGATGTCTGCGAAGAAAAGCAACGGCATGAGATTATCATTCTCACCGTGTAGAATATTAACCTCCTAGGAAAACAGCTTTATCTTTCTGCGTGGGTCATAATTATAATAAAATTACTAGGCGAAGAGGAACGGGCTCTACTATCATTTGCCTCTCAAAGAAGATATCTCAAAAAATAAAATAGTGGTTCATGTATCAAATTTTCTACTAGTCAAAATTTGAAACAATGAATCAATTTGACCAAAGCGCATCTAGAAGCACACCATAATCCTTTTTTTTTCAGTCTCGCACGGCTAGGCCGTTAGCTGCAGGCTGCTCAACTTCCAAGGGTGGCCTTCAGCATGCCCCTTGCCGAGCTACTCGGCCCTGGTCCAGGATCACAAAATAGTCCGCATCCTTCACAGCTTCAATACGATGCGCAACTGTGATGACAGTAGATAGTTGAAGTTCCTGCCGAACAATCTGCTGCAATTCGAGGGAAGTTTCGTGATCGATCGATGCTGTAGCTTCATCCAAAATAACAACTGAACTTCGGCGGAGTACAGCTCGAGTAAGAGCCACTAGCTGACGTTGACCTTGACTCAGGTTTCGACCGCCAGCTTCAATATGCGTATCAAGACTCCAACCATGTCGACCGCAGATACGTTCTAAGACGTCAGCGCACTGCCTGTCTGAAAACTCTTCAGTTGGGTCGAGATTAAGACGAATGTTTCCAGGGAAAAGAACTGGGTCTTGTGCGACGAAGGTAACTCGCGTTCGAAGTGCCTGGGTATTCACGTCGGCAATGTTAATGCCGTCTATCTTGATACAGCCTGTTTCTGGTTTGATGACACTGAGGAGAGATGTTGCCAGCGTGGACTTGCCGCTGCCTGTACGCCCGACAATGGCGGCGGTGGAGCCTCCAGGAATTCGGAGAGAGATGTCGGTCAGAGAGGGATCAAGATGAGGTGCATATCGAAGGGTGACGTTTTCAAAGGTGATGTCGCTGCCATATATAGGCCACGCAGCTGGGGGCTCGATGGTCCCCGGTGATTCTTCTTCAATGTGAAGTAACTCGTCAACTCGCTCAACAGAGACAAAGTCCATCTGTAGTTGGCCGTATTGCCTGCACAGGCTGTGCGTTGCGTCTACAAAATTATTCGCTGCTATTAGTACAAATGCCGTCATTCCAGGTGTATTCGAGTATAAGGCCAAGACAGTCAGGATGAAAGTTGCGCCTGCTGACACACTTTCAAAACGGATGATGAGCCAGGCCTGGAGAGACCAATAGAAGTGATCCATGCCTTGGAACTTGTCAACAACCGATATGACGCGATTTTGGAACCGCTCCTCTGCACGAAAAGCACGGACTGTCGTCAGTCCATGCAGGAGTTCTCCAAAATTGGACAAGAGCGGAGTCAGGGATACCATTTCGAGCCTCCTGAGACTTTGGGAGGTTGGAAGGAAATGCAGGAATATTAACACAAAAACGGCGGTGAGAGCAAGCGAAAAGACAAGAAAAGTTGGTGTTGCGCTAGCAATTACCAGCACTGAAGATACCCAGGTGATAGCCTGAAACGCAATGATTTGGAATTGTTCACTGATGTTGCCATCTACCACACCAATGTCTGATGTCAAACGGTTCATTAGTCGACCAACAGGGGTGACATCAAAAAATCGGAAAGTTGCGTGGCTGACTCGAGCCATGACCTGCTTGAAAAGACTTTTGCCAGAGTAGTAGATGATGACCAGCATCAACAGTTGTGCGATCAAAAGAGTTACTGCTTGGAAACTGACGATGGCCAAGAATGCCCATAGCCAAGGACGTACATCGTCGTGAGGAGAAGGCAGGCGATCTGTTGGATCTTGAGAGACAAAGAACGCATCGACATCAAGATAATACGCAGTACGATTGTAGGCCTCGCCCCATCCCTTGAGGAACCATGATTCACCAACATTGGCAAGTCGATAAATGGTCAATATCAAAATCAGAAGAATCCACCACCGGTATTTCCCAGCCTTGATATAAGTCCAGTATACATGGAACTGAACGCCCCCGGTGGCACGACTTTCTTCAGTGAGCAGCTTGTCTGGAATACCATTCACATGATTATTGACATCGGGCTCCTCTTCAACCTCAGCTCTAGAGTCCTGGAACGCGAATGTATTTTCGGCAGCGGTGTTGTGGGTTGAATTAGCAATAGTTGTTTTATCATGAATCGCAGCTCGTCCTTCATTCAACTCAATAATCTGATCGGCAATTCCTCGAACAAGTGAAACTCGATGCGTGACAAGAATTACAGTGCGCCCATATACCAAGGGGCCTGATAAACACTTCTGGACCACGAATTCAGCAGTGTTATGGTCGAGAGCTGATAGCGGATCGTCCAGTAGCAGCACTCGAGATTGGCTGTAAACAGCTCGAGCCAGAGCTACTCGCGCCTTCTGCCCACCGGAAAGACCGATACCATTTTCACCAATGAAAGTCAAGTCACCGTGTTTGAGTTGTGAAAGGTCTGGAAGAAGGGCACAAGCATCTAAAGTTTGCTTATAACGTGCCTCCTCATAAGGAGCTGAGAACAGAATATTGTCGCGGATGCTCATGCTTTGCAGCCAAGGTGTTTGTGCACAGTAACCCGTCATTTCGTTTGGAATGTGAGATTTCCCCTTCAATAGGTCGAGCTCACTCATGAATGCTTGTATTAAAGCACTTTTACCAGCTCCGACTTTCCCAACGATGACCGTCAGACCTGGGGAGATGGTCACACTTATATCATTCAGCACAGGTGACAGTTTCCCAGGCCACGCAAAGGAGCACGACTGCATTTCAAAATTTGCATCATTCACTTGAGTATCAAGTGGAATAATCTCTTTGTCTGGTTCGGCCATGAAATCTTCAATTCGTCCGAGGGCGATATAAGCATTGATCATAGTTGTAATGAGCCTAGGGAACTCGCGCAAACGTGTTCCCAGCATACCGAAAAGTTGAAGCGCGGGAAAGATGATGTCAATGCGTAGTTCATGACCTGCAAGCATGGTATAGGCGTAAAGAGCGATGACTGGGAATACGCCACTGGAGAACGCATTGACAGAGCGGATCAGGCAGTCAAACAGGCTAGTGACAATGCGTAAATTCAATTCATGCTGCCGGGCCTCCATAACTTGGCGAAGCCAGTGATTTTGCCAGCCATACCATCGCAGATGGCGGATTGCTTCGACAAATTGCGATGTGATTTGTAGTCGAGCATCTGTTGCCGCTCGTCTGATTTTCTCCCATTTGAACAAATACCGAGTGATAACTGCGTTGATGACCTGACCTGACAAGACAGCCAGAATACCAAGGAAACATGATGGTCCAAAGAGTGACCAGACAAGGCTGACGGCTATAATCAAACCCACGGGCCCATCAATTAGTGTATCAACCTCCCAAAATCGTTGAGCCACTTCATACACATCTCCTCGTAGAAGATTGAAAATCTTGCCAAGTGAAGCAGCCTCCTTCGGTTTCACGGGCTTGCTTTTGCGCTTTTTCCCGATAAGACGGCCCCATATATTAGATTTGGAAGAGACCAATTCGGTGTCTTCGTATGGAGTATCACGTTCACCAGCCATCTCGTCCTCGGCTAGAGCCTCATGTTTCTCAATTCTTAGCCCGATAATATTCTTTCGCGATAACGCTTTCTCATAAACCATCATCACCATCTCGCCCCGGGATCTTTCGTAGCAGCGACGACCGTACCAGAGAGCCAATACTTGAGTTTGCGCTGCAACAAGTCGAGCTATCAGGGCAAAGACTGCGTATGTCAAAGGTACACGTATGGGTTTAGTCGTATCTTGCATCGCCTGTAGGAGCAGCTGAAGCAGAGCTGGAGTGGAAAATTCTGGAACCAATATCAGTCAAAAGGCAATCATGAATTATCGGGGGAGTTGACCATACTGCATGCCAGTTGCACGATCGAAATGGCAGAAATAATGAGAACATCTAACCCGTTCGCCGTCAGTGCCCGAGCCAGCACAGATCCTTTCATACGGCGAAATTTTTCATGGAGGCGCTGATGTTGAAATTCAAATCCGAGAAACCACACGTCAGGCTCATTCAGCTGTCTTTTCCTGCCAAGTGATATGAGAGGCGCCATCCACGAAACGGTGAGAAACTGCCAGAGTCGCAGATCGTCTTCCGGGCTACGGTGCTTGCTGGACGGCGCTTGTCCCATGGTACTGATTCCCAGTGACAGGGGAGGTTCCTCGCGGAAAGGCATCAGGAGAATAGCAAAACACCCTAAACATCCTAAAATAGCAGAGAAAACATGTAATACTTGCGAGCGAGCATCAGTGTGCGCTGCTAAAATCATTTCGACCACGAATGTTAACCCGAAATACGCAAGCATCCATATGGAGCAGGACCTTGGCCTCTTGAGGGCGACGAACAAGCATATTGCAGACTAAATCTGTATAAGCTGACTAGTAGATACCCCTTTCTGACACGGAAACTGACCCATGATGCGACAAATGCCAATGAGGCAATATCGACATTCGGAGAGAAGCATTGCACAATTTCAACAATCAATCCAGCGGTTGATAGAGCGAGAAGAGTGACGGTCCATTGTAAAGGTCGATTGGGTCTTTCCAAAGGGATGTCCATCTCCGGTTGTTCATCCAACTCCGAGATAAACGGACGCGTCCATTGGGGACTCCATCTTCGAAATAATGAACCAAATATATAGCCTAACAAACACAGTAAAGCGACACTCGCTGGAGCGATGACAAGGTATGGCAATGCACACGGAGATATAACCGCATTACCCGCGTCCTGGATCCAGGATTGGTCAGTTCAGACCGAAGGTGCCACCTGCAAGGAGTCTCACCCAGAATTGGCGACAAACGCGCTCGTCGGTATTGGAAAGTGGAATCTGATCCATGATTCAGTCCATTGGAACTAAATCAACTTCTCAAAATCCCATGAGAACCGAGTGAGAACACCTTTTGGAATGCACGCAAGTAACAAGTTACATTCGTGCCGAATCGTACGCGGGGAGAGTGGGAACAATGTTCCTCCGGTGGAGCCCCTCAAACATGAAACAACCAGGACGATTACACTACGCCTTTTCGCTTTCATCTGGGATTTTTCTTTGTCAAATCGTTTTGCGTTTCAACATTCTTGCATTGCTACATTTCTTTTAGGTCACAATCTACTCGGAGCCTCGGAGGTGTCTAGAAGACTAGGACTGTGCATGACATAGCGTTCATTCAATAAAGACCGACTATGGTTGGTTGCCATCAAGAACTATGCCATAATTATCAATTAACCTCCTAATGTGAGCTCCACTTTACCGTATGTGAGGTTCATTGTCAATTAGGGCAATGAGTGCAGCTAGTGCCAGCCACCACCATAGTAACCATTGCCCCAGCCACCACCATATCCCCAGCCAGGGTGTCCCCAACCCCATCCAAATCCACCACCAGGATACCACTTAGCCTCCTGGCCATTCTGAGCAGCTTGAGCATTGTTCTGAGCTTCTTCGGCTCGGCGCATCATCTCTTTATCATGAAAAAGGCAATTAGTGACTGATATTTGCCAAAATAGAGGTTAATTTAAAATGAGAAGAAACAGCCTACCGGGCTGGGCCTCGGGCTGGGGAGCGGCTACTGCGGTACCCACTAGGCCAACGAGAGCAATCAAGGTGCTAAAATGCATGATGTTGATGTTGATGGATGACCGATAAGTCTTATCTGCTCTGGCTGTTAGTTGACTTGGTATTTCGCAGATGACGAGAAGGGTGCCAGGTAAAGCTTGCCAGATTACTAGTAGATATGGTGATGTAGTTCCTGAACCTTGGAATGTTTTGTCTTGATGAAGTTTCAATCTGGAGAAGAGATCTGCTTTCTTTTATGTTCCAAGTGTATTCAATCCATCCATAAATTTTCCGAGTCTTTGCCTCTGCAGAAATTCAAGATCAATGACGAAGGTCCATGAGTTGAACATTTGAGCTGTGATTCAAATACACCCCGAGATCTTTAGAGCCAGAGCCATTGATAGCCCCTCCAATGCATCCGAATTGAAACCTTGGAAGTTTCTAGGAGGAGGGATCTTATTCCTTGCCGCTGATTGATGTCCACGGGCGTATCCCATGTTTGGCTACATCTCTTCTATCTTACCATGTACTGGATAATATGAATTCTTAGTGACAGCATGATCATAGCAGATGTGCCAGAGGTCTAGCTTCCGTCCATTTGTCACCATTCCTTCAAACCCGAAACCCAGTGTGTATCAAAGTATGACTATCTTTTGACAACAATATTGCGTCAATTGCAACACCACAAAGACGAGGAGACCTAGGAAGTGAGCGATACCTACTAGCAGTTATTACTCTCAGACCAAATTATGAACGTCATTTGTGAACTGTGAGACCACTGAGTTGGAGGACCTTCCAAAATTTATGACAAAAATTTTGAAGGATATGATTCAAAGGATCTCCAAAAATTGTCTTTCTGCCTCTCTGCTCTGGGGAATCCTTGTAATTTCCGGAAACGTGAATTCTCAAGGCTTGCTATTGCCTAGATAATTGACCAATACTACATACTGATCGTGGATTTTATGCTTATTGAAGAAACCATGTGGAAAGATCTCAATCATGTCTGACAGTGTTACTCTAACCTGATGATACCACCATGGGTCTTCAGCTCCATCGGTCAATATGTATTACAGCTCAGAGGCTAGAATGATCCATGTCCAGGTGGTTGTATCTGTATATGGATTATAACAGTCTTTGTAATTTGTAAAGACTTAACTGTTACCACGCAGAACAATCTTGGAAGGAATAGCACTTGAGTCAACCCAGTCATCTTAGAGTTAATCAATTCAATGTTGCAAAGTGGGACGGTAGAGAATCATTGGCTTGAACATTTTGTTTCGATACATAACCTTTAAATGTTGAAAAGTCTTCGGGGTATATGCTAACAAGCCCCAGTCGTACAAGATCCCGAGCCTCCGAGATTGAGTCAAAAACACTCTGTGTGGTGAATTTCACTCTTGAAATGAGCCATTTGTCCGTAAACCCACAAATAAGATGTTTCTAGCAATATCCTGGAGACTAAGTCAGTTGAAATTATGATCAACACATGCAAGGATAATATAGAGCAAGTTGAGGTTCACGAATGTTGGCAAGGTGTCTCCACTTGGTGATATTTTGATGATTAATTACATTGATGAAGATGGCCAAAGTTATGGACTCATTCCGAAACCTGCTTCATATTTCTTATGTATGCCATGTCTCCTGTTTATGGCTCGAAAGAAAATGATTTGTTCAAAAAATAGCGAAAGCATTTGGGGGGCTAGCAACTCCACCAACAACCTGATTTTTGTTAGTCAAGGGCTCATTTGTATTCAAAGAGCAACGGAACGCACCTTTAGCGGCATACTGGATAGGAAGAAGCTATATCTTCCTGTAGCTTTGCAATGTGCAGAGAGCTTCTCCAAATCAAACATCTCACCAATTGGCGTACCCCAGCCCGCTAGAACCCACTCGTGCAGATTAAAGTCGGGGTCCGCATGGCTACCCCGGATTGGAGCTCGCTCAAAGCTGGGAGCGTCTCCACCAACAGCAGCAAATTGATGTTCCCATAGCCACCGCACCATACCCTCGGTAGCTTCTACTCCGCTGAAATCAGGGGTTGGGCGATTTGGCATATCTATCCGCTCCTGAACACTCAGCTTGTTGTAGGCTGCGGTGAAGCCACTGCGAATTAATAAGATGTCGCCCTGTCTGAACTCAAGCTTGTGGTCTTTCACAACTTGTTTGAGACTTTCCAGAGTAATAGCTTCAGACTTTAAAGCTGAGACTGAGATGGAGTTTGTTTCGGCCCAGTCGGCAAAGTCTAATAAAACAGCACGACCGGTCATACCACCGTGTTCAGCGACAGCTACGCGGCAAAAATGAAGATTAGTATGGAAGTCACAATTTTTGGGCAGAGGGGGTCCTACTGTGAAGACCAATCACGTCGGAATTCTCGATTTCATCGGTTGTGTGACCATTATAGAACTTTCGTGCCTTTTGATTAGCTGTGATTGACAATCAGTTCATGCTTCGTAGGTGGCATTGTAATATTTTGGCAAATCTAACCATAATGTCTAAAACCATCCCACTGAGAAGATCCTTGACTGTTGAAAGTCAAGATATCATCAAACACACAATTTGGATTCCTCAGCACGAGCTCTTGCTTAAATGGATTCCGGTCGAAACTTGGGTAAGAAGGCATGCTGAGCGGCCAGTCCAGCGAGATGCGCACACCCGTTTTAATCTCCTTCGCTGCCTCAACAATAACTTCTGGTGTGAGGAGGTTTAATGTTCCCAATTCATCATTGGGTCCGAATCGGCCCCAGGCGTTTCCCCGAGGGCCGGTAGGGTCCAGCGGGAGAGCTTCGAAGGGTATCTGGTTGTTTGATGCTGCCATGATCAGTTCTAAACGTGGGAGAACTGAGGTATGTGGAAAGAGATTTTTTCAAGGTCAGTTTTGGAAACTTCGTCTTGTTAAATATCTGGCTCTCGGTGTATCTTTACCCCCTCCTTTTCTCATTTTCTTACTGTCTCCACAAAATCCGCCCCAATTTACCCCACACTCCGCCATTTCGGATTCATTTCCGTGAATTACGGAACTATGGCCCTCTTCTTCACCTCGGCCTATTTTGCATGACAAGCGAAGGATGAATTCCCCTTGTCCAGAATTCTAACTTGTACTTGTTGTTGCAAATTGTTCATCTAAGGATTCCTTTCCCTCTCTATTTCAAATTACTTTTGGAAAAAGGCTGGAGATAAAATGGCCATTTTAATTTTCATGCTAGCCCTGCTGAAGGGTCTCTTTCATCCATGGGATATTAAATACATCCATCAATTGATTCAAAAATGTTTATAGATGTGTACCTCGCGTAAAAGAATAAATCACCTGGGATGCTCTTGTATGTTCAGCTTGTAAGCAGCAGCTCTTTGGCTCTTTCTGATCGCGGAGTAATGACACACGGAAAACTATCAGGAACGCCACTCAAACCATTTGAGAAAGTCACCCTTGGCTCGATTCTTTCACCACTTGTTTCATCGACGGGGCATCTCAGATCCATAGTTGCCAGCAGTGTTGCGACAACGATATACACACCAGCAAGAGCCAAATGCTGCCCGGGGCAAACTCTCCTTCCAAATCCAAAGGGTCCCTCTGGGAGGGGCTCCCCCTTTCCACTCTCAACCTCTGTACAAGGAATATATCGGTCTGGGTTGAAATCATCCGGTGATGAGTAGAAGCGCTCGTCCCGCGACATAGCCCAGGCATTTGCAAATACCACTGATCCAGCTGGGATGAAGTATCCATTGTAGGTATCGTCGGCAAGCGAGGCATGGGGCACACCAAGTGGAGATAGCGGGGCCCATCGTGTTGCCTCTTGAATAACATTTTCAAGATATTTTAGGTGTGCTCGATCCTCAAAATTGGGTAATCGAAGAAGGTCCTTGTTGTTGTCTAATCCGACCACTCTATCAATTTCATCTTGTACCTTCGCTTGGATTTCCGGGTGCATCATAAGATTCAGGACACACACAATCACGGTCGACCAAGTCGTATTACCACCGGCAATTGAAATAGCTCCAGCGGCGCCTTTAAGGTCGGCGATGGTGGCTTCATTAACTTTGCCAAGTTTCTGGTTTGAAAGATACCGACCGAAGTGATTTAGCATAAATGATGGCTGGGTAGCTGTGCCAGACCGAATCAATGACTCCATTGCATCCCAAGGTGCATCATGTAACTGCTGAATAGTAGGCTTTGAGCGGCGGGCATGGACCAAGGGCTGGAAAATTGTAGAGAATCTCTCAGAAATGTTGGGTAGATAGCGGAATATAGGAAAGAAATCGACAATTGACGCGCCCGGGACACCACCTTTGCCGGTGGCTTCTTCGACGTTAATTGCCATTTGGACATAGGGATCATTTTCTTCTTTGACATCAATCCCAAATCCAATCCGTAATACGACAGCAGTAGAGAACTGCCGCAATAGTAATTCCCAGTCCTGTGGCTTGCACAAAATGGCTTTGACAGCCCGCCGGGCTTCCTCCTGCTGGATAGGTCGATATGGCTTGCAGGCCGTTTGGGTGAATGACTGCTGAAGGAGCTTCCGATGGAGCTTGAATCGAGGCGACCACCGAAGAAAAGTGAGAGTGACGCCCCATCCCATGACTTCGAAAAGAACGAAGCGGGGGCGATCAGAATAGTTTGCACCTTTCTTATCCATTAGATTATGGGCCGCATCCACGCTGTTGACCACAAGGATTTTGCGACCGAGAACATTGAAATACAATACATCAGAGTTGTACTGCTTCCCCCATTTCACGAATTGATGCTCGGGGTGATCTTTAGGGATGACCTGTAGATGGCCCCAAAGTGGATGCCCTGGGGGACCGGGGGGTAACGGCAGACGCTTACTTAGTTTATTGACGTGTACCAAGTATAGAGTGATCGCGATGAAAAGGAGGACTAGTCCAAGTAACGCTCGGGTTGTGGATATAGCAAACTCCATTTCGAATGCCTGGTAGAATGATACCAGGATAACCGCTACATGCAAATTCTAGGTGCTCTTGAGGGTGGAATTTGAAATTCGGAAATGCTGAGGGTAGTGGAAGTTATGGAACACGGATGATTGGCGCGCATCCAGCTAAGCCGTGCCTGCCGCCTTTCGCCTTGGAGCCGGCAGAAGAGAGAGACGAAGAGTCAGAGGGACAGCTTATCGATACTACACACAGCAAGAATCAAGGCAATCAATCTGCCTGCCGAGTAACTGCAGTGTGGCTGATAGATAAGAAGATTGGGGCCAAAGTCGCGGTTAACGGTGGGTTAAAGTGGACTTAGAGTGGGCTATCCGCTAAAGGTGGGTTGAAAGGTGGGGAATCGACTCCTTCCTAAAAGGTTAAACTACTCCCAGAGTCCAGGAACCTTCATTTTGGAAAAGCCTTCACTTTCTCCCTGTCATTCATCAAGTAATCGACATGCCTCGGGGAGCATCTGCAACTGCTTCGTACTCATCCACGCCAACAAGCGAGGATCCCTATTTGTATCAAGTGGGCTTTGGAAACCGGTTCGCATCGGAAGCAATCCCTGGCACGTTGCCAAGAGCTTGCAATACCCCCCAAAGATGCAAATACGACCTCGTATCCGAACAGCTTAATGGCACGCCTTTTGTATCTTCACGAGCATCCCTGCTCAACGCGTGGTTTTATCGAATTCGACCATCGGTGGTTCACAGAAAACTAAACCCACTACCGAAAAACTCGGACATCGAAGCTAACTTCTCACCCGGCAATGAGAAGGTCACTTTTACCCCACAGGATATGGCATGGGATGCATTTGATATTCCCGAATCACCCAACTCGGTCGATTTTATTCAAGGGTGGAAAACCATCAGCGGCCACGGCGATCCAGCCTCAAAAGAGGGTCTAGCCGTGCATATCTATGCCGCCAATTCACCAATGATCAACAAAGCATTTTGCAACAATGACGGCGACCTTCTAATCATCCCCCAGGAGGGACGCCTGGATATTCAGACAGAGTTCGGGCGCATGATGGTTCGCTCGGGTGAGCTAGTTGTAATCCAGGCCGGTATGCGATTCGCAGTTACCTTGCCAGATGGCATTGCTCGAGGATATATTCAAGAGATCTTCGGTAGCCACTACGAGCTTCCAGAGTTAGGCCCGGTCGGATCTAATGGCATGGCCCTTCCCCGTGACTTCGAGATCCCAACCGCCAGTTTTGACATCCACCAGTCCAAGTGGGACATTGTCGTGAAGTTGATGGGAAACATGTTTGTCTACGAACAGCATCATACCCCTTTTGATGTCATTGCCTGGCATGGAAACTACGCTCCATATAAATACGCCTTGGAAAAGTTCATCAACACTGCTACCGTCAATCGAGACCAGAGCGACCCTTCCATCTACTGTGTGCTCACAGCGAAATCAAAGCGAGCGGGAGTGGCCTTGTCCGAATTTTTAGTTTTCACACCGAAATGGAGTGTCACGCATGATACCTTCCGACCGCCATATTATCATCGGAATGTCGCGACAGAGATCATGGGTATGATTCACGGAACGTGGTCGGGCTCTGCTACCCCCTTGCATCCCGGGAGCCTCACCTATGAACCAAGCTATATGCCACATGGAGAGTCCTACGAGCGATGGAAAGAAGCAGCCAGTATGGATTTACAGCCTCAGAGGGTCGGTGAAGGGGCCATGGCATTCATGATGCATATTTCATCGCATGTCTCCTTGACAGAATACGCACTCGAGCGCAGCGGAAAACTACACCACCAACCGGACGAATTCTGGAATGATTTCAAGGGTGGGTTCATGGATCATTTGGAAGAAGTTGATGCAGATTTAAAAGCTGCTGGTCGACCCGGTTTGGGTGTGGAGCATCCAGATGTCACGAATAAGCTGGAGAGTGAAGAAAATTCCTAGCCAATTTTACAATGTATATACTTCCAAGTTTCTACGGGTCAAAGGTTCCAAGTTGGTATGGGTGTATAAGGCAACTAATCAATTACATAGTTGAATATGGATCCCGATTTTCCAAAATTTGAACAGACGATCTGTTTAAGCTTCATTCCACGGTTGGAACATTGAATAGACCTGGCGGCGCTTGAATTCAGAATTCCGCCTGCTGCATAGGCCTAGACATTCTATGAGGGAACTCAACATAGCACTCCTGGAAAGACAGTAGAGATTTGAAACCTTGGAAGCAACTTGAAGATTTGAAAGCCGACAATTTATCGGGAACTTTAGAGATCGAACTATAGAGACGCTATGTAAGATCAGCGCTTGGTTATCGCTTTGAGAACTTGAATGTTTCCGGCAGGCAATCTTGTTGGTTCTTATCGCATCCCTACTAGTACTAACTATCCCTATCTTACTATTCTCAATCTACATGTGCAAGCCACTAGGCACAAATTAAATGCATTCGATTTCAAACAAATATGCTGCATTCATCTGTCCAGGTATCTATCTTCCCTTGGAAATAATTCTGAGGCTCCACATCTGCCATGGGGAAATCTATAGAGAAGCCGTCAGAGATATCCTACAGTGATGTTGCAACAGCCGAGCTTCAATCCTATCACTCCCCAAGGGCATGGCTGTCCAAATTCGCCTCCTGGGGTGTTGAGCTACGAGGTATTGCTCCGGTGCCTATGGAGGAACGAACCGACAAACGCTACATCAACGTTTTCTTCGTGTGGTTCACTATGAGTACAAATCTACTCCCGTGGGTCTAAACATTCTTTTACAGCATTCAATTTCATTATCTAACTTCGACTGTTAGAATCGTGACGGGAATGGTGGGAACACTATCATATGGTCTCAGTCTTCGAGATTCATCTCTTGTCATCTTATTCTTCAGTCTGCTATGCACAATCCCACCCGCCTTCTTGGGCACATTCGGTGCCAGGACTGGGCTTCGGCAGATGCTACAAGCACGTTTTACATTCGGGTAATTCCCCAAAAATCCCCTTGCTTTTGACGTGTTTACTTAGATCCATGGGTCAACTGACAAAACCGGAAAATGCTATAGCTATTATCTGGTCTCTATAATTGTCGTACTCAACCTCTGTACTATCGCGGGCTTCGGGGTCATCGATTGCGTGCTGGGAGGCCTGACATTGGCCGCGGTCTCAGATGGAAGCATTAATGCGACAGCAGGAATTGTTATTATAGGCCTCTGTGGAATGGTAATATCCTTTGGCGGATACAGGTTTTTGCACCAGTTCGAGCGGTATTCGTGGATCTTTGCATTGGTCGCGATCGTGATTGCGACTGGAGTCGGCGGCCATCATCTTTCTACAGAGTCCACGACTGAGCCACCGGCTGTTTCAACCATCATATCCTTTGGAGGTGTTATTGCCGGATTTCTCATTCCTTGGGCGGTTTGTGATCTTTCCCTTTTCAATTGCCTCTCGAGAAACTGACCTGGGAGGATAGGCCATGGCTTCTGATTTCGCAGTATATTGTGACCCGACAGTTTCTCCATACCGAATATTTGCATATATCTATGCTGGGCTTCTTGTTCCTTCGGTTCCTTTGATGGTCCTCGGTTCCGCCATAGGTATAGCTGTGAGGAGTGGAAATATCTCATCTTGGTCGGCTGGTAATACAGAGTACAGCGCCGGAGGGGTTTTGGAGGCGATGCTTCAACCAGCTGGCAGATTTGGCAAATTTGTTTCTGTTATACTCGCGTTTTCTCTCCTAGGGAATCTAGCAGCCGCGATGTACTCGATCTCGTTGAACTTTCAGCTTGTTATTCCCATTATGGCACGCGTTCCACGATTGGTATATACTATCGTCTATACAGCTGTCGCGATACCGGTCTCTATTTACGCCGCCAATTCTTTCTTTGACAGTCTGGAGAATTTCCTCTATGTCATTGCATATTGGTCTGCGGCCTTTGTTGGTGTTGTCGCAACCGAACATTTTGTCTTTCGCAAAGCTGACTGCAACCAATATACGGCAGAAGATTGCGGTAATCCAAAAAAGCTTCCGACTGGAGTAGCTGCTATTGCGGCTATTGGGCTTTCGTTTGGTTTAATTGTCCCGTGCATGAGTCAGATCTGGTATACAGGGCCTCTCGCTGAGAAGACAGGGGATCTTGGGTTCGAAATCGCTCTTCTATTGTCGCCTCTGCTATACTTGCCACTTCGATTTATCGAATTGAGATTCCGGCATTAGTTAGCAGATACTCTGGTTAATTCAACGTACCACGCACCAAGAACATTGAACTCGTTTCAAGGTTTTCCCAATGTTTTAGTAGGAACTTGGTAGTAGCAGCTAAGCCACAAAGCCCTTGAGAGGATTGAAAATTGAATAGAGGTTCCCACTGGCTGTAATGTACAAGCTGAGCTCGTACTGGACTAGTAGCTTCAATGAATATGAAGCAGCACAAATATACGCTGGAGTGGATTAGCATCAATAGCGGGCGGTCTACAAGGCGGTATAGAACGAGGTTGAGGAATTCTGGGTTCTGGCATCTGTTACCGCCTTTTAATACCGAAGTCATCGTTAAAGGACCCCGCAAGCCGGGGCCATCAATGCTTGCCCACTTTGTGCAAGCCTTCTCTCACGATCAAACTCATTTGCCCTCGGAAATTCTACTTCACGCCGATTTATAGCCATCTATACGCGACTTCAGGGCCCATCTGACATTCTTCTTGCAAAACCCGCTTGAAGCCATTCTCAAATTAGACGCCCGCCAAGTGGGGTGGTGAATTCTAGCCAAAATGTTGAAGCTATGGTCTATTGTATGTTGACATGACCTTCCCCCGCCTATTTCTTCCCTTGGAACAGTAATATAACTAACACTAAATAGAAACAAAAGCAGGCAGAGGCTCAGAATGCCGAAGCCGTGGGCAAAAAGAAGAAGAGGGTCACAGCCGCACAGCTACGCGTGCAACGAGGTCGATTACCCCCTCCCCTTCTATCTCCAACGAATCTCGCACTATCGAGAACCATGGCTATGTCACAAACCCTCTGTTCTTGAACCATATCTAACTTCTGCGCCGTTGGTACACAGATCTCCAAGAACTCACCCTCGGCAACACAATGAAAATGGACTTCCCAGACCCTGACGACATCCTCAACTTCACGCTTAGCATTGAGCCCGACGAGGGAATGTACAAAGGCGGCGTCTTCCACTTTACCTTCGTGGTAAACCAGAACTTCCCACATGATCCACCCAAGGTCAAGTGTACTCAGAAGATCTATCACCCCAATATCGATGTTGATGGGAATGTCTGTTTGAACATTCTCAGGGAAGATTGGAAGCCGGTCCTTAATTTGAATGCTGTTATTGTGGGCATGCAGGTAAGACTTTATGCGTTCTACCATCTTTTTATGGTGTTATATGATGGTCCTTTGATCTCGAAGTATAACGTGGTGACCAAGAATTTGGCTGATGTATGTTTTTTTTAAAAAAAAAAGTTTCTCTTCCTTGAACCCAACGCATCGGATCCATTAAACAAGGAAGCGGCCGAGGATTTGCGTACCAACCGTGAAGCTTTCAAGCGCCATGTTCGTTCCGCAATGGCTGGCAATGAGGTTCAACGTATCACTTATGACCGAGTCCTTCGGTAAACGGGCTTAATCTATCGCCTGTTTGCTATGGGAGAGATGAACGGGAAATGATGACCGGTCTCTGACGGGTCAGCTAAGAATAGAGGAGTATCATTATCCTCATATTGTGGGCATCTACCACATCGTTATTATGATGGCTTCAAGGGTTTGTGTCGTGAAAGAGCATGCTGCGTCAGACCCCATCAATAGAGGGTCTGATCCGATTGGTTGGACTCAAGGATCAGATGGACTGTCCCGGTTTGCCTACCTATGGGAGTTTGGGAATATTCAACTTACATTTACTGGCGTATTTAGCGTTCAATTAACAATAGTTTGAACAAATCAGACCTACACCTGAGCACTCTGGGCATTTATTAAGTAGGGGCCTAGTGGTCTACGGAGATATTCCAAGATATGCAACCTTGGAAGTGATATTGCGCATGCAACAGCATTTATAAGGTGCAGGTGCATGTCCAACCCACTCAAGTGGCAGAACAAATCAAACAAAACAAATTGATCACAGCGTATATATATACAATCAATGCAACACATCATCATCCTCAGAGAACACAGTCGACACCTTCAACCCGGCGAATGTTAACAGGAGACGAAACGAAGGAAGCCGCGGATCTAGTCTGCCTTTGGAACGGGTTGGATGATGAAATTTGAATGTCTTTTGAAATTTAGATTGACAACAGGAGATGCCGACGGGCGGAACGAAACGAAGCGAATTGGTTCAGAGGTGGTGATCATCGTTGATCGATTTAAACGCGCCCAGCAGCGCGGTCGGCCTCGAGGCGAGCGTAGTAGACATCACGCTCACGGACGCGGGGAAGGTGGAAACCTGGAACCAGTGAATCAATTATTAGAATAGATTTCTCGAAAAGCAAAGTGTTTGATATGCTTTACTTACCGTACCACCAGAGGTAACCGAAGGTAGTACCGAAGCCTGTCGGAGGAGAGTGTTGGTTAGTGAGCCGTTTCTTCCATGCCCTGATTCCCTCCACCGGTCGTTCAATTCCAGATTCGAGTATGTGTCGCATGCGGTATGCCGAAGTTGGTTTTGCGAGTATCCTTTGATCGCGCCAGGTTGAACCCAACTCATTTTCTAGCGGATCATGCCACCCGACCATCCGACCATCCTCGATCTCCAATTGTATCTTGAAATGACTCACCGAAAGCGACGCTCAGGTCCAGGACAAGACCCCGGCGGAGCATCTGTAGGCGCAAGTTAGCTTCCATTTGTTCTCTGTCGCTGCGATCTATCCGACCAGTCCGATCGGGGCAAGCCGGCTGGAGGGAAGGGAGGCACTTACGCCGGTGATTGGGGCGATGGCGGCAGGCATTGTGACTGGAAAAGAATGTTAATCAATGACCGAGGCGATGTTGACCTTGTAAGGTGTTGGTGGGGACCTGCCTCGAACGTTGGGGGTTGGAGAGGGTGGAGGGGAGAGAGTGTCGGGGTGATGTGGACGGGAACTGAAGTTGAAGCTTTCGGGCGGTAAGCGAGGCTCCGGATTGGTCGATTGATGTTGGAGATTGGATTGGGACTTGTCACTCGATGTATGGGCTGATCTAGGAGTTTACTATGATGCATTCGGTTTTGTTATCACTATTCACCTCAAAAATACGTTGTAATCATTCAATAAACTAGAAATTCACTCATAGAGCTGTGAGTCTACTGTGATATCAGAGGTTAACTCAAAGATCATTGACACCTTATATCTCGGGCACGAATGGTCACGTGCTAACTTCCTCCCCGATTCGATCAACAACTTGGCAAGCTCCTTCTCTCCGGCTTCTTTTTTTGCTCCGCAGCTCCGCATAGGCTATGGCGTCGACGGGCCTTCAAGTGAAACGCTCTGCGTCTCACCTCGAGGCGTCTGAAAGCAAACGCCCAAAACAACATTACCATCACCATCACCGCCTGCAGGAACCTGTTAACCTGCCACCTTCGTCCGAGCCAGCTCTACAAGATGAGGCCCACTTCGACCACCTAATGAACCGTTCAATCGGCCACATCCTCAAAGACGCTGGATTTGACATAGCAGATCCCGCTGCGCTATCTGGCTTGCGCAGCGCTGCGGAAACATGTACGTTAGAGAGACTGGGTAGCAGACAACCCAGTTATCCTGTGAGGAAGATTTAACTGACATCATGCGCGGTTGATTAGATTTGACTCGTATCTCCACATATGTTCGCCAGTCAATGATGGCGTCTCGTCGGATCAGTCCCATTCCTCCCGACTTCGAACACGCCCTGAGCCGCGTCAACCTGTCTCCCGATGATCTCCGTCCATATCTCACATCACCGAAAACTTTTGTCCCCATCCCGACCTTCCTCCCATCACCTCCACCAGAAGACGAACTGAAGCTGAAACTTCCATTTTTGAACGCGTTGCGCGGAGAGGAGACGGTAACAAACCGCTCCTATATCCCGAAACACTTCCCCGATTTCCCAAGCAAGCACACCTACTCCGCCACTGCGGTATTCACTGAGCGAGACAGCGACCCGCGGAAGATCCGTGAACGCGCCGCCGAAGACGGCCGTCATGGGGAAGAAGCATTACGCAAGCTGGCTAGTGCCGCGTTCCGCGATAACCCGACTAGCTCAAGTGGGAAAGATAAGAAGCTCTGGGGCCGGCGGCTTGAGAGCATGGAAACTATGTTTGAGAAGACAGTAAAGGGTCTGGCGAAGAAACTACAAAAGGACCACAAGGATCCCGCAGCGCCTATGCTCGGTTCTGCTATGGATATCGACTCAGGTAAACCGAGCGATGGCGACGGCAAAGCTCGCTCGGCTTCCTGGCATTTTGAGATGGGACCTATCGTCAACTGTGAGCGGGATTCATGGCGGCGTCCGGCGACGGGTTCGCGAGGGAAAGAGAATAAGTCATCAAAGCCGCCTGTCAGTGCTGAGCCAATGGATGTTATGGGCACCTGAATATGTACAGGAGGATCTTGTTTGATTTGATTCGGGTTTGGGATACTGGCGTTTAGTCTCGGTTCTCTATTTATGGGTTGGCGCTTTGTTAGGAGTCGTTCTTATGGAGATACCCCATGGCAGCAAGTCATCATAGTGACAATCATTTATATGAATTCTCGATGCGCTCTGTAAATTGGAAATATAATACAGTTGTAAAATCAAAACTCCGCCCGATGCACAAGCAAGCATTCGCGATGTCCGTGGCTTATCTTGTCTCAATATTCAAGGCTTAGACCCAGATGCCAACTTCTCCTTTGCCTCTTCAACCTGCCTCAAAGGTTCCCATGATGTCGTCTCAACGGTCAATCCACCGGCGCATCTATTACCCACACACAAAAATCAGCGCCTGGCCTCAGCACAGTGAGAATACTCCTCCCTTCCCCAGACTCACCGTCGAAATAGCCGCACAATAGGCTGGCAAACAATCACTCCCGGCTGCGGAATCGCTTCTGAAGGTGGATTGCATGAGTACTGTATCAATTCTGCCAGTGCACACTCCTTCAGGTCCACTGGTTCGCCTTTGCGCTTCTTTTCTATAAAATTGCGGCGCACGATATTGACGTGGTCGGGGAGTGTATTGGCGGAGAAGACGGGGACGAGGGGGGCCATTTGGGCGGTGGGGCGTGTGCGAACTTGCGTAGCTGTAGTTCTCGGATCTGGGATTTCCGGCTATGTTTAGCCTTGGGGCGCGATCAAGTGGCCGTGGTAGCTGTGCTGGTGTCGGTTCAAATACTAGATGTTTGGGTGAAGCAAAGTTCCTGCGGGTCCCAGTACTTAGCAGTGAAATTGGAGCTCCGGGTTGCCGAGTCTCCGAGCTATCACTTACTTTTAACAACTTCTCTTCACTTCCCAAGATCTCATCAGCAATACCATATAATGGTGCGCCGTTGAAGCGCGGTGCTACCTGTGCTTCATATCTCCCTTCATGCATTAAGACTTCAAGATCATGAGTTCATGACTTTCGACATTTGTCCGCCATGGCTGCCAGCTTAGGTACCACAGCACTAAGTGAAGTACACCAGGAGGGGTTGGACGAGGTACAGTCTATCTCAAATTGCATTGAAATGTGTGTGATTGTTAACTTCAAGTTTGGAATAGCTTCTACACGATCTTGCAAACATATATCCAGCAAGTGATGATTTCCACGGACCATCACTAGGGGTCCCGATTCTCGATGCGCTAATCGAGGTCTTCATGCTGAAGACTATGGGCCCTATTCCTGATCATCGACATTATGATCCACAGGAAACACCCCTAACATCGCCACAAGAACAGGAGTTTGAGCAAGAGCAAGTGCAGGATATCCCCGATGATGAGGAGATACTCTATACCGACGAGTTCGGCGATGCCGCATTTGAAGAGCAAGAAGCCCAGTCCAATCTCTTCTTCTCCGATTCTGCTTACAGGAGGAAGCGACCCATTCCCACAGTGGAGATTTCTAGCAGTCTTTCGGGCGCTGGCAAATCACAATTACTGTATTACCTGACTGCGCGTGCAGTTCTGCCTCGCGAATATGGTCAGATCCCCATCGGCGGTCAAGATTCGGCAGTTGTTTTCATTGATGCCGATGATCGTTTTGATGTGCATAGGCTACAGACAGTAGCCCGCGGAATTATGCAACAGGCGCAAGATTCTATTGATCCAGAGAGGACAGAAAATGAGGCTATTGCAAAGATACCTGACGATGAACTTGAAGCTCTGCTTTTCTCTGCGTTGAAACACGTTCATGTTTTTCGACCACAATCGTCTTCTGAGCTTCTAGCTACACTTGCCAGCTTGGATACGTATCTCTACGATACGTCTCTCCATTATTCTGCATCACGGCCTCTGCAGATGATTGCTATAGACAATGCCACCGCGTTCCTTTGGCAAGACAAATTGTATGATAGTATCTCTCGGACGGAGGAAATAGGAGTGCCTCGAGAAGAAACTGACAAGCTACGCGAGTTGAAGCAGAGCTTCCATTTCGTCGATCTCTATGCTGAGATGGTCAACGAATTGAAGCGCCTACAAACTAAATTCGGCTGCACGGTTGTCTATACAACGACCCTCTCTGGGTTCCGGCCGAAAAACTTACAGGCCGAGCAAAGTAGCTCCCTTGGCGTTTATGATACTCCCTCATTTCGAGCCCCGGCGTTTCAACCTTCACTTCCAGCACCTTGGGGAGAATTCCCCCTTTTGCGTCTGGTTGTCCAGCGGGATGTTGTTCGTTCATTCCCTCCTGCAATGAGTGCACATGATGCGAGGAAGGATGCTCCTATGAGGCAAAGCGCGGTTCGCCAGGGCCTTTTCTCGGCCTATGTCAATGCCTGGAGGCAAGAAGAGTGGCCTCGTCGGGTGGTAGACGGGCTCAGATCGTGTGGTAATGGAAGCTTTGTCTTTTATGTTTGGGAGAATGGAATCAACATCCCACTACCTGAGACATAATTGACCAAGGCATGGACTTCCTTCTTCATCGACTAGTCCACATAGTACTAGTCTATTATTATTCTGTCAGACTAACTCCCCTTTTAATACCCGGCTACTTGCGCAAGATTTCGTCAAATTAGTTCCCCAGTTAGTAGTGGAAAAGTAAGATGAAAGTAGGCACTGAGTACTAGTGAGTGCAATACCTATCTCAAGTATCTCAAGTACTACTTACTAGTAGGTAGGTTTATACTCTTCTCCAAGTACCGAGCATGTACCCTTCTCAGCACTGGCTATATACCCTGCACACTGGCAGGACTGCTTACTATGTATGGTATCTATGCTCTTCCTAATTGGAAGCGTACTAAGTACTAATCAACCAAACAATTTCGCAATGGCCTCCACGGTCGTATTCCCTCCGCTGAAAACAATTCCAATATCCCATCCTTCCTCTCCACCTTCAACCTCTATGCGCTTCCGGAACTCTTCATCAAAAAGACAAACAGCTAACCCGACTACAGCACTAGGCTCAACAACAACCTTCATTCGCTCAAGCACCAACCGCAACGCAGCCTTGATCTGCTCCTCCGTAACGGAAAACACGCCTTCAACCTTCTGCTTATCAGATATCACCTCCCAATTCAACACCCCGACCGGCGTCCGCAATCCATCCGCAATAGTAAGCGTCGAAACCTTCTCTACCCGCTCGCCAGCACCGAGTCCCCGCCGGCAATCGTCAGCGCCTTGGAAACTGGGCTCGGCACCAAAGACCCGCGTCGGTTTATCGGAGAAGTATGTCGCGACACCGGCATTCAGTCCACCACCGCCTACAGGCGTGATTGTGGCGTCGAGTCCCGTCTTCTTTCCTACCTCGGCAAACTGCCTGTCCATTTCTAGGGCCGTCGTCCCTTGTCCACAAATGATATTGAAGTCGTCATATGGTGGAATGAGGAACGCGTTTGTTTTGGCCTGAATCTCTGCAACGACAGCTTCACGCTCTACACTCGTTGAGCCGCTGAATGTTACTTCTGCGCCGTGCGAGCGTGTTCCTGCAATTTTGGAGGCTGTGCTGATCTCCGGCATGACGATGTAGGCGGGGACTTCGAGGGTAGAGGCAGCGAGAGCCAGGGCTTGGGCATGGTTTCCTGCTCGGGACACAATAGTTAGATCTCTATTCGCATTCCGCTTCTTTCGCTGCTTCTGTTCATAGTACAGACAGTACAGAGCACAATTTGTCTCCAAGTGCCTCGAATGATCATACCGGAACTGTGCGTTATAACGCCCCGCCGCTTCACCTCCTCCTCACCCTGATCCTGTATCAAGCGCAGAAGTGCGTGGTGCGCTCCCCGCGCCTTGAACGCGCCTATACGCTGCAGGTTCTCGCATTTGAACCAAAAGCGGATTTGTGGGTTTGCGGGGGTTTGCCCTTCGTATGGGGTGCCGACGAGGGCTTCTGGGGTTTGCGGGGTCGAGGCAATCTTGTCAAGGGTCTTGCAGGTGAGGAGTGGGGTGAGGTGCACGTATGGTTTTATGAGGTCGTAGGCTGCGTGGATGGCTGCCGGCGTGAGGGCCTGCGCTTGTTCGGAGGTGGTACTAGGCATTGTGGTCTTGGATTCGGGCGTGAGTCTGTCACTCGTGAATATGTTCTGTGGTGGTTGAGAGGAAGGTGTTGGCGGGGAGAGAAGGACTCGTGTGTTCTTTGTGCTCTGGTTGATTCCCGGACAATTCTCCGCACCGTCGATCTTCCGCGTCCTTTTCAAGACGGTGTTTGCCTTGAATTTTTGCAATTGAGCTAAGACTACGGATTACTTTTATTTGGAAGTACGATTAATTAGATGGATGAGAAGCATTGAAGTGGTTTTGAGAGAAATTTGGAAACGGCAGTGCCGCGATGATATTTTCGTATACCCGGACCCAAACAAAAACAAGTTCATAGTACAGTCATAACTTTTTATCCAAACCCTCCCTTCGAAGCGGGTATCACGATAATTATTTCATTTATTTCTGGTTCTCGGGGCGGAGGGAGCGGACGGCCTTTCCGGCGCGCCAGATCTCGAGATCACGGATCTCCTGCATCTCCTGCTCGTACTTGGCACGGTAGTCCTTCTGGGAGTTGTAGTCGAGGGAGCGCTTGGTCTCGGTACCGTCAATGACGGCAGTGTAGAGGTCGTTGAAGACGGGCTTCAGGGCATCCTTGAAGCGGGGGGACCAGTCGAGGGCACCGCGGCGGGCAGTGGTGGAGCAGGCAGCGTACATCCAGTCCATACCGTTACCACCGATGAGGGGGTAGAGAGACTGGGTGGCCTCCTCAACGGTCTCGTTGAAGGCCTCGGAGGGGCTGTGGCCACGCTCACGGAGAACCTCGTACTGAGCGAGGAACATACCGTGGATACCGCCCATAAGGCAACCACGCTCACCGTAGAGGTCAGAGTAGACCTCCTTCTCAAAGGTGGTCTCGTAGAGGTAACCGGAACCGACGGCAACACCCATGGCGATAGCCTTCTCCTTGGCCTGGCCAGTGACATCCTGGAAGACGGCAATGGAGGAGTTGATACCACGGCCCTCACGGAAGAGAGAGCGGACGGTACGGCCGGAACCCTTGGGGGCAACGAGGATGACGTCAACGTCAGTGGGGACATCGACCTTGGTGAGGTCCTTGAAGACGGGGGAGAAACCGTGGGAGAAGTAGAGGGTCTTGCCCTTGGTGAGGAGGGGCTTGATAGTGGGCCAAGTCTCGGACTGGGCGGCATCAGAGAGGAGGTTCATGACGATGGTACCCTTCTCAATGGCGGTGGTCATGTCGAAGAGGTTCTTGCCGGGGACCCAGCCGTCCTCGATGGCCTCCTTCCAGGAAGCACCATCCTTGCGGACACCGACGATGACATTGAGACCCTGGTCACGGAGGTTGAGACCCTGGCCGTGACCCTGGGATCCGTAACCGATGAGGGCAAGAGTGTCGTTCTTGAAGTACTCGTGGAGCTTCTCACGGGGCCAGTCACCACGCTCGTAGACATCCTCCTTGACACCGGCGAAGTCAATGGTCTTGATACCACGGACGGGGGTCATGGGGGCAATGACACGGGGAACGACCTTGGCCAGAGCAGGACGAGGAAGGGCGGCGCTCACGACGGAGCGAGGGGCGGCCACACGGGCCATGCGGAGGGCACGGGGAAGACCACGGGAAGCCATTGTGAATGTGAATTGGGGGAGTGGAGAGTGAAGAGAAGAAGAAAATCTTGAACTCGGGGGAGGAAATCTGGAGACTTAAATGCAGAAGCCGGCTGGGGGTGGGAAAGCTTTCTGGAGTCTCCACTTATTTTTTACAATGCGAGTCACCTCACGTGATCTCCGGAGAGGTGCTCTTGCTCCCCGGTCCGACACCGGGGACGATGTGATTGGTTCTCAGGGCCGGCAAGTGGTTCACCGCACGCAGTCGGTGACGATCTAGGACCCTAAGTTGAGTTCCGTTACGTTGTTTGCAGATCTGCCAATCGCCACCAGCTTGATGGTAATTTGTTTTTGGGTGGATTTCTTTTAAGTAAAAATCTATCGAACTACGTACATGGCTTCAAGTAGTTTCCACATTCCATCTTTTGGAAGACGGTATGTTGAAACAATGAATGCAGTCAATTGTATATGTAGCTATGTATGTCTACTCCGTACTGCTATGACGCAACCTACCAAGGGTCGTAAATAATTTGCTTTATGCCACCCATACAGAAATCAATTTTCAATTTTAGTTTTATGAATAGAATTGAGGCTTCGAAGTCTATGTCCAATTTAGGACATTACTCGTAAAGTATGTACTCCGGACTTTCAATGTTGCATGTGTACTAGTAAATATTGACATGAGTGCATATGTGGCACATGACATGGTACATCCGGGGACAATCTGGTGCGGTCCGGATCTCCTCAATATATTCCGTGACTCATTCCACTTCAACCTTGGATCCTCAAATTCTCCGGAACATCAAACTTCCCCATATTTTTTTTATTATCCAAAATCGAGCTCTCCAATTCAATCTGAAATCGGACCTATCAAATTCGCTATCTCTTTTTTTTTATATAGATTCTCAAGTCTGGCTTGGTCACCAGAAAGACTGAACTCCATCACACTTAATGGCCAATGACGCCCGTTGAATTGTCCCGACACGGCGGACACCACGCTTGTTGGCAACGCCGGTCAGCATCGTGCTCAATCATTGTCCCAAGCTTTCTTTTCCCCTCTTTCTCAAGTGCCTGAAAGTGTTTCCATAAACTAGACGATTCGCACCCTTTTTCGGGAGTCATTTGAATTTAATTCGGTGTTCATTTTCCCTGCCTGAGGTGTCAATCTCCACTTCAAAAGCTCCCCACGGAACCTGGGAAGTCAAAGTAGAACAAACCCGCTTCTCCAACTTCTTATCTCAAAAAAAAAACCCCTCATATTATAATTCGGATGCGTCTCCGGACCATGTCTATACGATGAGCTTCTTCTCATTTAACGACATCCCCACTATCAAAACGCGCAAGGCCCTCTTGTTGCTCGACTTCCAAAATGACTTCGTTCGCCCGTCCGGAGCCCTCCACACCCCCAATACCGCCGAGATCCTTGAGTCGTTACCTCCCCTCGCAGCCGCATTCCGCAAAGTTGGCGATGTAATTTGGGTTCGTTCACAATATGAGTCCCCCCAGTCTATCGCGGACTGGAATTTCGGTGATCGCATCGTCTTGGCAAAAGAGCCGCCCAAGAAACATTCTTTACCCAAGTCCGAGGTAATCGAAGTTGGCTCCGATCGCGATTCTCCAGAGCCCGTTGATGCCGAGGCCTTTTTATCATCTCAATCACCTATCTGCTGTGCCGCACAAACCGCTGGTTTTCAGTTTCCCGCGCCCGTACTTGCGGCAATCAACCCCGCTCATGATACCGTGTTGGACAAGACTGGGTACTCTGCTTTGGAGTCGAATGACCTCGTTCTCTCATTTCGGACTCGATTTGTAACCGAAGTTTATCTTTGTGGTTCCTTATCAAACGTCTCGGTATACGCCACTGCCCTAGACGCCGTACGCAATGGCTTTTCGGTCACTCTGATTGAAGATTGTCTGGGATTCCGCGATTTCGGGCGTCATCGGGAAGCAATGCGCCGCATGGCAGACATTCTTGGCGCAACTGGCTTAACCGCCGAGGAGCTCTGCCAGGAGTTAGACTGGGAGGAGACAGATGCTATTGCTCGGGGCACACCACAAACCAAACGACCCGCTGGTGCATCGCTTGGCCTTGAAAGTGTTTTGGATACTTTGATGGTTGAAGCGGATGGACCAGAAGAATCACGAGAGGAAGATCCAGAAGAGACATTGAGTTTAGCGGGTATCGCCTCTCTCACCCGGCTGCATCGGAGCGCCGCAGGTGCTGGGCGGCATCCCGCCGAGGGAAAGAAGCAAGTACGCTCCCGAGTTCGCCGAACCAAGCGACCTCCGCCCCCGGATGCTTTAGACGGAGCAAGCGATGCCATCAAACGGCCGTCTACAAATACAGCACGCAAAATTGATGAACCTGCTATTGGCGAGGGTGATTCGCGTCTTGTCCCGGAACTTGATATTCCCGGAGATGTCTTTGAACGCATTCGAAGCGAGGTATCTTGGCAGAAAATGTATCATCTATCTGGCCAGGTGCCCCGACTAGTCGCGGTCCAGGGCCAAATTGAGACCAACTCGGCCATTCCAATCTATCGACACCCTGCCGACGAGTCACCACCCTTGAAGCCATTCACATCTGCTGTTGACGAAGTTCGCATTGTAGTCGAGCAGATTTTAGGCCACCCACTGAATCATTGTTTGATCCAACTTTACCGAGATGGACAGGATCATATCTCCGAGCACTCCGACAAGACATTAGACATCGTCCGAGGCTCTTCTATCTGCAATGTCAGTTTGGGGGCCCAACGAGTCATGGTTCTTCGCACCAAAACCTCCTCGGAACAGAAAGATGAAACCGAATCAGGCCGAACCACACAACGTGTGACACTTCCGCATCGGTCCCTCTTTATCCTTGGCCAGAAAACCAATATGCGCTGGTTGCATGGAATTCGGCCGGATAAACGCTCAGAGAGCGCCAAATCTACAGAAGAACGAGCTTACGGTGGAGAGCGCATCTCATTGACTTTCCGACAAATCGGTACATACCTTCATCCAACTGCCGGTTTGATCTGGGGCCAGGGCGCCGTGGCGAAATTAGAGGATCAAGCTCGACCCGCTGTCCATGGGAACCCCGAAGAGACAGACCGAATGATACGTGCTTTTAGCCAGGAAAATCGCTTGTCAGAGTTCGATTGGAGAGCCGTTTATGGTGGTGGCTTTGATGTGGTCAATTTTGTGACTGCGTCGCCTGCGAAACTGACACTATGTGCAGATTCAATGGCAAACCTACGAGTGTGCCTTGGCCTGAGAGAAAATGGCCTTCGATACGAGATTAACACCAAACCAGAAATGGAAACCAATGAGAACCCATCCAGACTTCCTACTTATGTTGATTCCCAGGGAACAACTGTCACTGGTGATTTGGCTATCTTGAGACATCTTGCTTCTCGACCCACCGAAAGTTCGCGACCTGGAGTCGATATCTTAAGGGGTGGGAGCCATCTTGCGCGGATAGAAGATTTGCAGCTAGAATGGCGTGAACATTATGCAAGCAAGCCCATGGAAGAGTTCACCGGTGGTCTTCGACATTGGGAGCGTGCGCTAGAGGGGCAGCATTATTTGGGAGGCACGGTGTTTGGCATCGACGATTGTGGACTTTGGCCGATCTTATGGGAGATAGTTCACACTCAAGGCTCTTTAGATGCTCGATTTGCCAACTTGACCCAATACTATTACCGGGTTGAGAAACGGGGCATTGTTCGAAGCATCTTGGAGTCCCGATAATTGGTCTCGTGACTACTGAGATGGCTGCGACATTGATACCCACTTTATGATTTTAGCTATGCATGTATTACGAAACGTGATGAAACTATCGGTGCTTAGCCGAATCTCCATGAATATATTATATTCCGAACTACCGCTCAAGTGCTGTCTTGGCTATCCGCACGGGGTATTGACCCCCCAATCGGCTTACAGACAATCCCCAGGGAAGACAGTAGTGTTCAGAACACTCTCCAGTGCAATACCCCCACAAACTACACCCTTAAAAAATGCCTCAGCGACCACCAAGGCCCCTGCAGGGCTAGTATGGGTATGGTCAAGAGGATAATAGCCATTGACAACATCCGATCCAAGAGACTCAAAGATACTTGCAACATAGGCTCCGTGGTCAACGTACGCCACGCCTGCCACCTCCGCTGCCAACTCCGCATACTCCACGAAACGCGATGGCGTATAAACAAAAGAGCCGGTCTCCCACGGATTATCAGGAGTCTGACTGGAAATCAGCACCTTCGCCCCAAGCGCCGTGAGGGTATTCGCTGCATTCTCCAAGTACGCGGGAAACGTCAAGACGGTCTCATTTACCCCATCATACACGGTAGCGCAGGTTTCATCTCCTGTCCCAGAACAATCGGTGCGGCCATTGTCCGTCGGTGTAAGGGACCCACCATCGTTATGCCCGAATTCGATGACTACCCAATCACCAGATTGGACCTCGCTGGCGATGGTTGCGAATCGGCCTTCACGGGTATATGATCGTGCGCTGCGGCCTGCGATTGCCTGGTTCGAGATTGTCCACGTAGTAAACGGTGACACATATTCAGCCCATCCTGATCATGTTAGTTGGATCTTTTTGCGAAAGCTATTCATATGTACAGAGATGGTATCTATGATTATTAGTGCGTACCATTTGTGCCGGTCCCACCTCCACCATTCGCCATGGTTGAATCACCGGCGAAGTATATCGTGCTTCCAAGCGCACTGGGGATAACCAGGGAAAGAAGGATAGCAGTCTTCATAGTTTCCAATAGATAATATAGAAATGATGTTTGAGTTGTATGCAAAGATCTGGGCTTGATTTTCTTCCCAAGAAACATTGGGCGTAGGCGCTTAATATAGCCACGACCTCATCTTCAGGATCCTTGGAAGTGTCAAACATTCAAAATGTTCCCTCTAAACATGACTCCTCCTACCGGAGATACTTCCTGTTCAATATTGCGACACGCGGAAAAAGAGATCCCATAATGCCCCGAGAGCAGTGCACGCCAACATCATCAGACCCACGAATACCCGCACACGGACGCTCGGATCAACGGAAAAAGAGGGTCTACCGTGCAGATTAGGTGCGTTGGCGGCAACAGCAAGATGCCAGGACATGACCGAATTGACGTGATCGACAGCGCGGGCACTTTTTTATGATTCATGGAAGCTGAGTTTCTGCGATCCACGGTGGAAGCTCCTTGGTTTTTTCGGAGTAAGTCTTCTTTGGAGATGCGGAGGGAATGTTCGATGCTGAAACCTGTCGTGTTTCGGGGTAGATCAAGCCGGGCGGAAATTTACCTCGTCAGAGCTGGCCAAGACAGAGAATGAGAGGATGAGATGATGTCAGTGGGAGCAGCTTAATTTATTTGCTAAAGCATCTTTTGGTATGTTTTTTTGACGGAGTTTTGAAAAGTTACTAACACATTTTATTGATTGAAACAACATACTTAGTATAAGCAAATACAAAACTGACATTCATGGATCGATCTTCAACATTAGAAATCACATGTGCAAGAATAAAACGCAAGATAAAACCCGATATTCAGTCGAAGGTTGACCATTCTCGAGACCCCGGCTCCACATCTATTAATGGATTCCAACCGCTTCACTATTAAGCCCGAGCCAGTGAAACTATGCTACTGCTTCCATAATTTGCCTAAACAGTTCGTCAGAGTCAGGACCAACCGGGTTGGCTAGCACGATTGCCTTTTCTATATCATCAGGAGGATAAATCAACTTCTGATTGATATAGCATTTGACTTTCTTTGCCTCAGCTCCCGTCAGACTGACCTCCCTACCCCACCCTGCAGAAATGACAGCACCCCAAGAACCAAGATCCAAGCAGCAGTTATACGCAGCTTGTTGATAGTCAATTAAAGACTCGCCAAGAAGATCTGCCGCAGCATTGTGCCCGGATACGCGACCAAGTGAAAGAGCGTGCTGACAAGACATCAACGCGTAATGTCCTTTGGTATCGGCAAAGACACAAGCTGCATCACCAGTCGCGAAGACGTTACTGACGGATGGCACGCGCAGATGCTGATTGACATGAAGACGGTTGAGAGGATCTCTTCCCCCCGGAATCTGTTGTGTCAAAGGCGTGGCTCTCACACCGGCCGTCCAGATTGCGGTTTTTGTTGGAATACGTTCTCCAGACGCAAGGGTTACGCCTTCTGCATCGATAGCCACCACGGCAGATCCAAGCTTGAGTTCGACTCCGAGCGCGGCCAAAGCTTGCATGATAACGGGCCGAGGGCCAGGTCCAAGATCGGGACCAACATGTTCTGCGTTGCCGACCAAGATAATGCGGGCATTCTTGAGTCGTTTGGGAAGTTCGGTCGCGGCTTCGATACCTGTGAATCCGGCGCCGCATACAACGACTGTATCGCGAGATGGACTTTCCGGAAGAGAAGCTAGGCCTCGGAGGTGGACATCAAGCTTCTCAGCCGAAGCTAGAGAGTCAACGTCGAAGGCATGTTGTTCAATGCCAGCAATTGCTTGAGGGCGCACGACGGAGCTACCGGCGGCTAGAATCAGGCGGTCGTATTTGATTGTTGACACAACGCCATCAACAGATTTAGCATGGACCGTGTTCGTCTCGGTATCAATTTTCTGGGCGATTCCCTGGAAAAAAGATACTCCTGCTTCTTTGAAGAGGAGACCGAGGGAGTGTGTCATTTCGGATGGGTTGGCTTCATAAAGTCGTGGACGCATGACCAAAGACGGCTCAGGAGCGATGACTTCAATTTCCAAGCTGTCCACCTTGTTCGTAAGGGTAGCTAGTCGTTTGGCCGAAAGGGCGCTCCAGACGCCGGCAAATCCAGCCCCGATAATCACTATTTTGGCCATATCTTGAGGTTCAGAATGATTGTTTGAATACTGATGGGATGAAGATGAGGATTAACTCGAGGATTTGAGTCTTCTTATATAGCCTTTATGCCGTGCGACCCGAATTTAATATCCGATAATGTGGCACAATAAGTTTCGACAGGCTAATCAAGTCTAAGAAATAAGAAAATAAGCTTCCCGAGCCTAAAATCGGGCAACCGCCAACCCGCGCCCGCAAGTGGATTCCCGGATACCCGGATACCCGCATGTCTTGACTCTTGACTCTTGACTCTTGACGACCACGAACATACACGAACTAATCTCCATGTCAGCTGAATACCACCTTGACATGGATATCGATAACAATAAAAATAATGAAAGACTGCCAAATGGCAGAGCGACGCGTTCTTCGCTAGCGTGTCTACCCTGCCGCTCGCGTCATCTCAAATGCGACGCCAAAAAACCGCGGTGTACCCGCTGCGCCGAATTCTCCAGAGAATGCCAGTATGCCCAATCACGCAGAGGGGGGCTGGACCGCGCAGCACTGAGTGAGCGGCGTAAGCGATTAGCAACCGCTGAGGATCCCGTGAATAACAGTAGCCCGAGCCCACAACGGTCGGCAGGGTCTCAGGGTCGCCAGGACTTCGGCACCGGGATTATTGACGTGGATCTCTCGAACAGTTATGGACTGCTCCATGGAAGCACAAGCACTGGAGACCAAACTTCTAGTACTGGATCTCCAAGCACAATCTCACTGCAGTTCAGCAGTATTGAGACCGATCCTTTGATTGATTTATACTACAACAACTTCCACAAACTTCATCCGTTCATTTTACCTCAAAAATATCTGACAAGAGCCTATCAAGATCCAACACGTCAAACCTCTTTGAACGCACTTATCGCTGTGATGCGACTCGTTGGAAATATTTACAAGTCACGCGAGTTATCGAGTTCATTAAAGGACCATGCTGAAGCTGGTTTCTTACAATTACTACCAACGGACCCGATCCTTGTACAATGTCGACTCCTATACTCAATGGTATTGTTTTGGTATGAGTACAAGAGTGAATCAAAATTACAAATGGATACAGCGGTTCAAGTCGCCCGTGAATTAGAGATGTTCCGAGCAGAATTTGCGGTGAAATATGGAGGCACCGATCGTGTTTTGCAAGAAAGCTGGAGGCGAACTTGGTGGACGTTATATACTGTGGAGGCTTACTATGCTGGGACTTTGGGTACTATGAACTTCGAAGTTGCCAAAATAGACACCACAGTAGAACTTCCTTGTGAAGAGTCGGAGTATGAACTTGGAGTAAGTACATCATTCCGTTCTCGAGCTGATAACATGTATATCTAACTTGATTGCAGGATATTCCCGCACCGAAAACCCTGCACGACTTCGACTGCCGAGAGTTTGCCCCCGATGATCTCGTTTTCTCATCCTTCACTTACCTCATTGGTGCTGTGCGCTGTGCTGCTTTTGCAATATCTACGGTCCCCAAGACCGCCATGAAAGAGGATTCCCCGCAGGTGATCCAGACTGCAGACTCAATATTGAATGGATGGCTCCTCTTACTGCCAAAGAATCGTAAGCAGGTCATGAGTAGGACTGGCGAAATTGACGAACTCATGTTCCAAGCCCACATGCTTATTCATGTGTAAGTCATTCCCTGCTAAAAACTAATATAGCCTTCTTATTGAATCATATTCAGCGCGAGTATCGGCCTCCACCGACCATTCTCAGACCTCAAATTCAACCCCATTGAAGAGGTGTCAAGCTGTGCTAGGGAGCCCCCTCAAGATACACCCACACCAGACCTGGTGAACATACATACCGTCCGTGTGTTACGGGCTGTTGAGGGACAAATCCGCCTTCTAGCATTATCGACAGGTGACTTCCATCACACTCCCTTTGCGACTTGCATGGCCAGCGAAGGAACACTAGCTCTATTATCTGCGTCTCACTTTCTGTTGAAAGGGAAAGAGCTTGCGATCGCACGAGAACAAATACGAATGACGATTGGATGCCTCAAAGCACTTGGTGAATATTGGCCAAGAACTGCAAGGAATGTGAGGGAGATACAGACAATTGCGCAGCATGTTCTTGGACTTGCATCAAAACCTAGCCCACATATTACAAGTCAGTCTCAGGAAGGGCTGAACTTATCTAGTTCTCGGGAACAGGAGGCCTTGGCTTCTGAGACTGGAACGTCAAGCGATGATTTTGACATGGTGCCTTCTTTGGGATCCATAGAAGATTTATGCGGGTGGTATAATATCGGTGATTTGGACCCAAATCTTACTTGGGATAACTAAGCCTCTACTGTTAGGTGGCATACAAATAATCAAATGAAGAATAATGACACGACCGAAAATTAGATTCGGATTTCTAAAAAATCCGGCGAATGAAGGATGAATCTATCTAACTTATTATGGGGCTCTCCTCGATGAAGTCGATCACAACTTTGTGTCCACGATTCCTTTGCTGAGCATAATCCCACGCTTGCTTCGCTTCTTTAAATGGAAATGTTTTGACTGCAAGGAATTTCAGGGAACCTGCATCGATCATTCGAGCAGCCTCCCCCAATCGATCCGCATGAGGGGACACGATGAAATGCAAATATCGAACCTTTGGGTGATCAACAGACTCCGAGGCATGACCTTGGCCAAAGGCCCATGCAGGAGCAGGATCTCCAACGGTCACGATAACCCCATCCTCTTTAACGCATTTCCAAGTCTTTGTCAAGATATCTCCACCAACAGTATCAAAGACCAAGTCGACACCATCGATCTCTTTATCCCAGTCAACTGCCCCGTAATCGAGAACATCGCATGCACCGAGCCGCTTCAACATCCCATGATTCCGAGACGAAGCCAACGCAATAACATGCGCACCGAATACTCGTGCAGCAAGCTGGACAGCAAAAACACCAACTGCACCCGATGCTCCCGTCACAAGGATTCTCATCCCATTCAAAAGTGCTCCATGATCTAAAAGTGCTTCCCAGGCCGTAAGAAGCGGGATAGGCAACGCGGCTGCTTCGGCGTGTGATAAAAATGTTGGTTTTAAGGCGACTTCAGTGGGCAGACATAGTACATAGTCGGCTTGGCCTTGGCCTCGGTCTGCGCCCAGAAAGCAATAGACCTCTTGCCCGATTTTGAACGGGCCTTCATAGTCTGGTCCGGTGGAGGATATTATGCCTGAGATGTCGTGGCCGGGGATTCGGGTTGCAGTGGCGTAGGGCTCTGGCCAAAGTATTTCGTCACCGGTTATTCCGGCGGCGTGGACTTTGATGAGGAGCTCGGAGTTCTTGGGAGTGGGTTTTTTTATTGAGCGATTTATGGTGATTTCTGGCGAGGAAACATCGCCTAGGATTTGAATGGCTTTCATGGCGGCGTTACACCTTTAATTCTAAATCTTTTTCTTTGATGATGGGTGTTTTGGTTGAAAGTCAAGTCTTTTAGATAATTGAGAGGAAGGTGGCGATTAAAGACCTTTTATGGGCTGTTACAAGCAAGTTGCTCTTATCACTTACGGGTGCTAAGGAGATGGGAAATCGGAGTTGGTGGTGGAAGTGACTCAGTGAGAGGCGATAGACTGAATCCCGGATTCCCGGATTCCCGAAACGGGGTTCACGAATTACTACCAGTACTACTAGGTAGTACTAAGGATAAACATCGGTTACCCGTTGACGCGAATATCCAATTACAAGGCTGAAGGTTATCAAAACAGTTTTGCAGAGTTGATTGATTTTACAATATGTACATGATTTGTAATTGACTGTCCACCCAGGCGCGTTGACACCCTCCATTCATCAATGGCTGTCCACGACATCAAATGAGACACTCCACTCTGATTATATACGGAACATTCAAGCTTTCAAGCGACTTTATAACTTCTCAAATGTCGGCTTACGCTTCTGAATCCCAGACAAAAGCGCCTTGGAAACATCCTCGGTCTGGATGGCTGCAGCATTCCACACTCCGGTATACCGCAGCCCATCCTGCACCGGGTGATCTCTTGACCAATTCAAGATCTCCTTAGTCCCCTGTACAGCGATGGGACTTTTAGTCGCGATAAGTGCAGCCATTTTCAATGCCGCAGCGACAGTCTCCTGCTTATTCTCATAAACAGCATTAACAAACCCAACGCGCAGCGCTTCCTCCGCTCCAAAGACCCGAGCTGACAGCGCAACTTCTTTCACCCATCCAAAGTTCCCAACAACCTTAGGAAGGCGTGTGAGCGTACCAATATCAGCTGCAATACCGATATCAACTTCCTTCACTGAAAACTTAACATCGCGTGAACAGAGACGCACATCCGCTGATGTCGACATGTCAATTCCCAATCCAAAGCTGTATCCGTGCATGGCGGCAATCACTGGCTTCTCGCATTTCTCGATGGCGCTGATGCAGTTTTGGAATTCGGCGACATGGCGGCGGAAGTGGGCAGCTTTGCGGGCTGGGTCTGTCCCGGTTATACCGTCATTGCCGAGGGCGCTGCCCTCTGATGCGGCTTTCACGTCGAGACCGGCTGAGAAGGCTTTGTCTCCGGCTCCGCTGAAAACGACCGCGCGTACATTGGGGTCTTCCGAGAGGTGGTTGAAGAGCTGGCCCATTTCAACCCACATGCTGTGATTTCAAGCTCATTGTTAGTTGTTGCTGGACCTGCTTATTTTTGGGTGGCTTGTATTGAGGGGCTTACGCTTCGAAGAAGGAGTTCAACTTGTCCGCTCGGTTGATTTCCACGTGCGCAACATAGGGGTGATTATCCGGGAACTGCACCGTGAAGTATTTGGGAGAGTAGTTTTGCGCCATGGTTGAGTAAGAACTGGATGTAGGAGGTGGTGGAGTGGAAAGTGCGGAGAAGTGACTCGGATTTGCGAACTTCAAATGTTGCGATCGTATGCCTGGCGTCGATGGGTAACTTTCTGAAGCCTTATTGAAAAGACGAAGTCGAAAATATCAGAAGTTTGATCATGAACGGGCAAGAATTGTTGGTGGACAAGGGTCAAGGTTGCTGTTATGTATTGTTGAAGGTGCGACAGCCGAGCTCAATGTTCGGCATCAGACAGTGGACACTGCGACATGTGCCTCGGCTCAGATAAGTCGCGATAAGGTCTCACCGCCCGAATGGCAGAATGTGACAAATTACTACCAAAGGTTACAAGCCTACAGGCCAACAGCTCAGGACTCAGGAGTGAAGAATCTAATTTTGTGAAATTGAGATGTAGGCTTAAAAATCACAAAAAAAAAACCATATATGAGAAAAAGGCTTCAAGGTGTGAAGGGTCAAAATCCATCTTTTGATATTGAAGATCAAGGGGCCTCTTTCAAGGTTAAACATGGTGGTTGAGACTTGAGAGTGAAGCTTGAGACTTGAGAGTGAAGCTTGAGACTTGGATGGGTATAGTATCAGAGGTCAAGAGAGCCAATGCACATCATCAGAGAGATTGAAATGTCGTCAATTCCGTCTTGGCTTTTTTATTCACTGCCACCGGGTGTTCTTAAGTCCACAATCCGAGTGGTGTGGAGGGTATCATGAAAGTGGCTTGCACTCGAGATGTTCATCTTCGCACGTGGGCCAAAATTCGAAACGAGGGAATGAATCTCCACTCGCCCGAATATGGCGTGAATGGGCCAATACTTGGACGTTGGCAAACATTGGTATTAAATATGTTGAAGTCGTGCATTTCGAAAAAGGGTAGGGGTCAAAGGGGGCGATCTTCGCAAGAACGGTGACTTTATTCGGACTCTGATTCATCGAGTTGTAGGATTTTCTCATCGAGGTCCTATTAGAATCCATGTTAGTGCATTGAATACGCGAAACTAGCGGGGGAGCCGAGTCGGCGAGGCAAAGCCCAACGGAGACATACATGGTCCAGACGCGCCTTCAGGTTCTGAAGCTGGCTTTCCTTAATTACCAGGTGGTTCTCATCGTCTAGATCTTCCACAATATAGTCATGTCGTTCCTCGTCGTACTTCAGGATCATGGATTTAATCGAAGGGTCGCACTCGATGAGCAGGCCTTGTGTTGCATGTAAGCGAGGGCTTGGTCTTCGTGAGGCTTTTTCGATCTTACCTCTGACTGCGCGCGGCATTTTGATTTTGGTAGTGGTTGTTGTGGTGAGTTAAAATAAGGACACGAACGACTCGGAACGAGTGAGCGTAGTGTTGAAAGAGGTGGAATTGGAGGTGAGCACTGAGGACTGATAAGATAACAAACCAGGCAACAAGGCAGAACATCTGTCTATCTACAATTTCAGTCACAGATTTTCATTTTCGATACTTATTTATCTCGAGACAAAAAATTATTTCGTATGCACTAGCACTACTTCTATGACGATTTCTCATTCCAGTTTCTTTAGTTATCAAGTATGCTGTTCCGGATACCGAGTCAAGCTGTTCCATTATCTACTACATATTCAAAAGAAAAAAAAGACTTTCTTCTCATTCATTTTTCTGTACAACCAAGGTTGCTAATTCAAACTCTTTCATGGGTTTCAAGTACCCAATAACGGTCCTTGTACTTACTATTACCCCACATTAATGGCTTTGAGAACACGCCTTGATGATTACGTACTCTCTTCTTCCCATTCATTTGTCTTCTCCTCGCTTCCTGGTGCCCAGCCGGCCCCCGCCTGGCACGCTGTAGCCACCAATGTCACGAAAGTGCCCGCTAGAAAAAGCATACGGAAGGCATGTTCATAGCTTTGTATAGCAACCAATCGCTCAATACCCTCCAAATGGGATACCGTGACAGGGCTGCCAAGAAGAGTGCGAACAAGATCTGGCTTCGGCGGGAGTCCCTGCTGCGCGAAACCTGTTTCCAAGGCGCCCTTGAGAATCCGGGTGAAGAAACCTCCACCGACGGCAGACCCGAAGCTACCTGCAAGCCCGCGGAACGTTGTGAACAGCGCACTGACAATGTAGTGCATGTGAGGACTGGTGAGATGCAGTAGGTGAGATAAGGTGTAGTTCATTAGTGCACCAGCAAACAAGCCGTTCAAGAATGTCGCAATCATATACAAGGCTGCTGGGGAGTCTTCTGTCGAGAGAATTGAAAGGCCAACAGTGGCGAAGGCGAAGAGGAAATAGAGAACCAGGCAGGATCTATGTCATCTGGGTAAGCTAATGACCTGTTCTTGAAGGATGGTGAGCAACTCACACATAGTAGCTACCTCCTTTCCGGATGTGAAGCCATCCCACAAGCAACCCGCCGGTTCCAAACCCTGCATTAGTCGGAATAAGAATGAGTCCTGCAGATGCGGGAGCCCATCCCCGAACTGAGATTGCATAGACGGGAGTGAAAAAGACGACCGCCCAGCGAGCCATCATTAAGCCAACGCCAGAGAGGCATGAGAGCAATACGCCGCGATTGAGAAACAGATGAACCGGAATAATAGGCTCGCTGGCGCATCGAGATTCAATCACAAGGAAGCCAGCGAAGAACACAGCTGCTAACGGAATAGGCCAAATTAGGATCTGGGGAGAAGCCAAGCTGGTGAGAAAGAGGACGACCGCAATGGTCTAACTTGTCAGCTATAGTCTATGCCATTATCAGCAACCAACCCAAACTTACAAGTGTCAGAGCGCCGGCATAATCTATACGAGCAAGACTGCGAAGCAATGTTCCTTCCATTAGCGAGCTGTGGTGGGTGGACGGGGGTGGAATAGCCAAGAACAGAAGTGGCCCCAGGACAAGTGCAGCTGGAGCTTGAATCCAAAAGATGAGACGCTACACACGCAAAATATCAGGGTTAGTTACCATGAAAAGCGTGAAAGAGAACACCAGACATACCCATCCGATAATAGGCGTCAAAAGACCAGCCAGAACAGCACCCGAGGCAAGTCCCACCGTATAATTAGTGCTGACAAGCCCAATAAACAGTCCTCGTCTACGGGTACTGGCGAAATCCAAAATCAATATGATACCAATGCTCATCAATCCACCGCACCCCAAACCTGTAACGGCACGCCCCAGCAAGAAGATTGCCAGTGATGGGGCGGCAGCAGTAATGAATAACCCAATGGAAAGTATGGTGGTTGAAATAACCAAGCAGACACGTGAGGTGAAGATTGCTGCAAATCGTCCTGCTAGGGGAGTTACACTCGAGGCTGCGATCTTCAAATAGAATTAGCTACGGCATTCATTACCCCAGAGAGTCCCGGTTTCTTACCATAAATGCTGAGGTAAACCAAGTGGCCTCGGCAAAAGCATCCAAGTCCGCTGCGACTTCGGATTGAGCGGTTGTCATCATTGAGATATTGGTAGCTATTGGAAATTGGAACCAATCGATCAGTGTCTCGTCTGACCAAGGATATCCGACCCGGATTTCAAGCTGGAGTCACCCTGGATGAAGATAAGAACGGCCATTAGAGCAGCAACCAAGAACCCTCTCAGGGTAGTTAGGCTCGCAAGAGAGTCATCATTGGATGTTGGCTCGATAAGCGGAGTTCGTTCAGATGCTGGTGTTTGTGTAGTATCTGACATTTTGACGATGGAATGTATCTCATCCAAATGTAGGAGGATGGAGATTTGAGATAGAAAGCCATTGGAATAAATGGAATAAAGCAGTAGGATAAGAGGAATTCGGAGTTAAGCGGATGCCCGATTTCCAATCAATGCAATCATAGATAGCGGGAAACAAGGGATGCGGGGGAATCGCTCAAAAAGGTAAACAACGCCATCTCGCCAACAATGACATCAAGACGAAATTAAGCGATGGATCATTTTGAACAGAATTCTTGAATTTGCCATCTTAATTGTTACTCGCACTGATCTTTTTTCGTGGAACATTGGAATTCGAAAGTAGATTTTTATATGATCGTCTAAGTAAAACGGCTTTTTATCTTGGCGCCGATCCATGCGCTGTACGGTCTCGACTCTCACGCAGTAAACACACTTTGCCACCGTTGCTGTACCCCTGTCAGAACCTTCTTCAAGTCAGTCGCCTCAGTTGATTTTGCCGACCACTTTTGTGTCTGCCATGCAAGTTCAAATCCCAAGAGTTGGTCTCCCAGAGCCGTCGTATTGTAAGAAGACGCAGTGGTTGACTCTAAATATTCCACAAAAATCTTCCATCGCGGGATATAGTAAGAGGACACGAGACCACCCCACTGCTTTGAGGCATAGTCAGTGATTTCCCCACGGGGACCCCACAGTGTGATCTGATTACGAGCATTGTACTCGTAGAAAGATGCTAGGCTTTCATTGCCATGCGCCCAGGAGCGAGCAGAATCAATCCAAGTCGAGAGTCGGAAATTCTCATTCGTCAAAAGGACAGAGTCAAGGTCAGAGAGAAGCTGGATCAGCTTCTGTCCATTTTCTGAAAGGCTCTCTTTGCTCGTCTCAGATGAATTCCAGCCCGAGATCAGTTTGCTATATAGTGGGATGAATGCGTTAGCCATGACCTGGCGGGTCACATCAACCATGTCGTGCTGATAGGCTGAATTAGTCCACAGCTTTGGCTCGGAGTTGGCAGCTTGGAGCATGGATTGCCATGCCCGTACCACCACAGAAGAATCATAGGTAAGCATTGTGCCATGGTGACCAGTCTTGTTGATGAGACTCTGCGCGGCGGGCTTGAGCTCAAAAATGGACTTAATCACAGCATCGATATCCGCGAGATTTGTATTGTCGTAAACAGGCTTTCGCATAGTCTCCCAAGCATCGTATAGTCCCTGCGGAATAGACCCGGAACCACTATACCGACTAGTCACCCAGTTGTGGAAGTACTCCTCTGTGTCAATGGGAGCCGAAGACCAAGCCTGATCCAAAAGCAAGTCGTACACAATTTCATTGCCTTCTTGGCCCTCTGGGCTAAGTCCATAGCCGACCATAGAAGGAGAGTCGATCAGAGCCTGAGACGAGTTCTGCGTGATGTTGGAAATCTGGCCATAAAGGCCCATGTTGCCACCATAGTCGTGTAATTGGCACCAAATCCAGGGCTTGCCATAATATGAGTCCGTTCGACTCCATTGAGGCTCTGACTCGGAGAAAAGGTCTAAGATCAACATATCGCTATCATCTTCAACGCCAGAAAGGTAGGCTTCCACCCGCTCATCCGTCCAGAAGTCCTCCGAGCTGTAAAATAGCCAACCTTGCATCAGCCATATCGCGTCCGGGTCAACATTTTTTAAGCTCTGCCAAGTGGTGCTGGTGACATTGCGGAGATAATCCAATTCTCCTGAATAAGGATCCATCTCATTGTACTGATCCAAAGTATAGATGTGGGTCACATTTCCATAAGCAGCTTGCTGCTTTTGAAGGAAACTGGTCTGTAACGGCGCAAAATGATCATCGAATGGCTCAAGGAATGAATCATTAGTATACTGCGTTTGGAAACCATTCCACGATGATGAGCGAACGACGCTCGCATTTGGATATACACGGGTGATGCTGTTGGGGACAAATCCGGTGAAAGCAGGAAGTACGGGTGTCATTCCAAGCTCAACCATGCGGCCGACAATCTTCTTCTGGAGGGCGAATTGTTCGTCAATCCATGCTGTGGGCAAATCGCCACCCCAGGAGCCTTGGATATTTCCGAACCGGTTCCAGGCTTGGAAAGCAGGTCCACTGAGGAAAGTCGCAATCTCTGCGTCGGTGAGACCAACTTCCTGGAATACCTCCACCATGATCTTTTCAGCACCGACCCAAGCAAGGGGGAGATTGATTCCACGCAAAGCCATCCAGTCTAGCTCTGTCTCCCACTCCTCCCATGACCAGAAAGCTGTGGTATAAGAGAATGTAACTATCAACGTCAATTGTCAGCTTCCAGAAATGAAAATCCAATGCTGGAGTAAGATTTACCTGTATTGAAGTGGTACCTCCAAGGAACAGTGCTCGAACCGTTAATTGGTGAATCAAGACGAGGGAGTTCAGCAGGCGCGTGATCCAGCCGACTTCCAATGAACCAATAGATGTCAACATGGGCGATCTTGCTCAAATATCGATGAAGACTAAAATAGTGAGTGAGATTTCCGTATCAACCGATTGTAATTAACATACCCCGAAGCGAGAGCACTGAGGGTTGTTCCGTGCACGATAACAGAGCCATCTGGGGCATCTTGAACGGTAAATTGATCATATCCACTGTTTCCAGTTATATTTGACACCAATTTAAATTGGAATTTGTCAACGTGATTGGGCAGTCTTCTCTTGACAAGATTGTAGAGACCATTGGTGGACTGTGCAGCGCCTGACACGGCAAAGAGCCCAATCACCCACTTTGTCCACAACATCGTATACCAAAACAAAAAGCCGCGCTCGTTAGAGAGACAATAATTAAATAGGAAAAGAAAAAGAAATAGCAGTGACTTTAAAATAGAAGACAAGCTTGTTTATGCATTTCCCCTTGAAGCTATCGCCAATCAAAACAGACGCAACTGTTGCATCCTTGCAAAACCCCGCACGGCGCACGAACTGCAACCAACCAATCCTACATGTGTCGATCTATTATCTAAACCCACGCTTTACTTATCAAGGAAAGATTGTCCCTCGAGACTTGAAATTTCAAATCAATTATAACGAGATATGAAAGGTGGGGGTTATCGAGTCACAAAATCCTGTTGTCCCTTTAGAGCGGTCGCCAAAATATCCGGATAGAATCGTTCCCCAACATCCTGATGACTTGTGATTCGCGCTATGAAAGTACCTTGACCAATACTTGTCTGGAACATTGAGTTAAACGTCGCTTCGGCATCAGATTTTACTTTTTCATCCTTGACCAAGTCTCGGATGTGTTCCGGAATAACGAGATCTATATTTGAAGCAGAAAGATCAAGACTCACACCTTGAAAGAGCGGGAATGAAAATCGAGGACCAAGGGAGTTTCCTTCAGCATCCACAAAATTCTCGGGGTGGAGGCTGACACGATGAGTCGTCGCTGTACAAATGCCCCCTGTCAATGCCTCAAGAGCTCGGCCAATGTTGACGACGAAGGAGTTTGGAATTGGTGGTGCAGAGACCCAGGTTCCGGCTTTATTTTGAACCTCTAGACCATGATGTGAGGTTGCCTGAAGGAGGAAGGTGACGAAGCCCGAGTCTTTGTGTGCACCTACGCCTTGGAACCCACTATCATTGCCATTGGCTATTGGTGGTGGGTATTTGATGAGTTTCAGTTTGTGCTGCTGGGGGGTTTCGAAGGCTTGGTTCAATGCTGTCGGTGGAAGGTCTAGAGCTTCTGCAATGAGGGCCGTGAACGATGTTGCAAATTGGCTGACCTCTTCGATATACTGTTCCACTATAAAGCGGAATTCCGGGATGGCTTCTTCATCCGGCCACTGAAAATATTTAGTCTTTGAAATGAAATACAAAGGAGAATTAATACAACACACTTGATTCGGACCGACAATATTTCTATAAAGCGGTTCATCGGGACGAGGAGCAGGAAGTTCAGTAGCAAACTAGGAAAATTAAGCACGAGCCAATCAAGTCAACCGGAGGAAGAGCAGACTAACATCAAATTGTTCGCGATGATCAAGTTTCCGAGCGGTGATCTCGGCTCCAAGTCTTGAATAGCCTAGAAAATGAGGGCTATTCACCATTTCGATTTCCAACTTCTTTTCCAGGGGCAACTCGAAAAGTTCAAGTGCTTTATCGATAAATCTGGACCGGAAATCCTCAGAGAGGGGTGGGTTTTTGAGATAAAAAAACCCAACATTAACTAGAGCTTCTCGAAGTCGATTCAAAAATCCCGGCTTTGTCAAAGGGGACTGCGTCTGGGAAAAATCCAGAATTGGAATTGAGGTGAATGCAGCAGAAACTGGATGTGGTTGTGTTGACTGGTGTAGTAGTTAGCAGGCTTGATACCTGTTCAACAGAGGAATCAACTAGTAGGTACTCACCATTTTGGTGATCGGAGCTGTGCTTTCCCTTGGATCCAAGTTTCTATAATGCTGTTCCTCCCGCGCATACGCAGCAAGGCTTATGACGATTCAGTGGATATATGCGTTGCCAGCCTAACAGACGAATCACTAGAAAAAGAAAAAGAAAAATCAGTAATTTGAAAATAGAGGATAAGAACGCGCTGTTCGTGTGCAGATCGGAAAATGGCTGAATGGCAAACACTCCGCGGCGGGAAACGGGCAATCTGATTGGAGGGCGATGACACAACTCACCAAGGATCACGCGGCATGGCTCTTGTGTACCCCGCTTAAGATATGGCCATTGGAGTATAGGAAATCATATTGAAATAATTATTCTTTGGGTATATTCTAACAAATTTGCTCTATCCGATACAGTGTGACAACAATGGCGGAGTAAGGAACCCGAATCCTTGTAATCCATATTGTCAAAGATTTAAAGAATATAACGGAATCCAACAACACGACTATCCGGATCATCTGCACCCACAGAGGGAAGATCATGCGAAGTCTCCGCCTCTTCTAGCCGCTTGTTCATCTTTACATGAACAAGACGAATGACAACGGCCACGATCGCGACCAATAATGCGATCACCGCAGTAGCTGTCCCGCCAGGGACATATCTTGGCCCGTCCGAATCTGGCCACATATAGCTTCCGTATATTGAAGCTGTATTGCCAATCATATTGGCAAGCGCAATTGCAGCAGATCGCTTGACCAATGGTCTAGGAAATGAGTTGGCAACCCAGGCTAGAATGATCTGGTATGCGGAAACGGCACCCATTGGCATTCTGAAGGCGTTAGTGACACCGGCCAGAAGAATCTGTAGGGGGGGGTTAATAAGACTTACAGGAACATAGCGAAGAACCTTGCACCCGTATTTGTTGTGGCAGTGCAGATGACTCCTCCAACAACACTGACCATCATCAAGCCGATGATATGCCAACTTCGTTCATTCGCCTTGCCGGACGAATAGGTGACTAAAAGGGACACCAAGAAAGTGGCAATCCAGACAGGTGCGGTTATCAATAAGGTCTGAATGTTGTTGTATCCAAGCGTTTTGACAATGGTCGGGAAGAAGTATTGGAAGTTCTGTGACAGGAGTGAAACATGCTGAAGCAGGATGAACAGGTAGATGCGTTTATCAGCAAATACCAGAGTTAATGCCTCTTTGATGCCACTAGTACTTGCGTCGTCTGCTTCGCCTGCATCGTCAATTAAACGCCATTGAGCATATGCTTGCTCTTGGGGATCTAGCCATGAAGTGGTTGCAGGATAGTTCGGAAGAAAAATGCTGGCGAGTGTCAGAAAATAAGACATCGTAAGCAATCGCATAGGAGTACTTACGCCGCCAGAAGAGATATTCCTGTAGTAATACTGCCCTCTATTATGAATAACCATCTCCATCCGGCCAGATTATGGACGCCGTCTAGATTTCCTAGAACGGCAGCTCCAATCAATCCGCCAAAAGCATTCGCCAAAGAACTACCGGCGTAAAACCACGCGATGCGGACGCTCAACTCTTTTCTGGTGTACCAACTCGACCTAGAGCAAGAGTTAGAAGCTATTATATATGGTATTCTTTAATGTTAGAACCCACATCAACATCACAGCGCCTGGGAAAAAGGGAGCTTCAACAAATCCGAGGAAGAACCGTGTCACCACCAATCCGGTGAAGGATTGAGTCGCTGCTTGGCAAGCAGAGATGACTCCCCTATAAAACGATGAGACTTTCCGCGGTCTTTTATTTGTAAGCTCGGCTGAGCACTCACCAAATGGCCATGGCGATCCCCAGGAATAGCGAAGGCCGGATTTGAGTGAGAAGGAGATTGGATGGCAACTGCATCAGCAGATATCCCACGAAAAGAATACTGGTAGCCAAGTTATAGTCCGTCCCTTTCATTCCCAGGTCTTTCTCGAGAGATCCCAAGCGCGCCTGTGACAAATTGCTAGATAAAACTCGATCAGTGTGTATACGTCGAGGAGCTTCTCGGACAGGGATTCGTACTTGCGGTCCAAGAAATTGAGCAGATACATGAGAATCAAGAATGGCAAAAGATGTAAATCTACCTTGCGTAAAAGGGTACGAGTCGTTTTCTGATGCCATTCAGGACCTTTCGAGGCATATGCTTGATAGAGGGCATCTTGTTCCAGCTCAGAGTCCTTTGCTGATGCCCTCTCCTGGTACTCAATTTGTTCTGCGTCTGATTTGGCCATGATTTCGACCTGGAAATCTGTACTTTGAAGCAGATTTGTGATTATGATACGCTCTTTATAAGAGACCTAGTCGGGAGGGAGGTCAATGCAGGCCTATCGGTGCAACTCCGATGTGATACCAAGAGCCCCGAGGGGAAAGAAAAGCAAACACAAGCTCATGAGCTCTGGAGAGTAACAAAACTCTGTCTTTCAGGGTCTGCAATGGGGGAGGGGCGAGCGGCTTGACTGAAGGCCTTTGGGGACTTCTATTGGTTGGTTACACATGGGGAAATCCGGTGGGATTTAGCATCCCGAAGTGGGACGCGGGGAAAGCCATCCCTTAGATTCTCACTCGGGGAAGCGAGGCCCGAGGGGGTTATTTGATCTAGAAATGAAGATAGTTGCTGGGCATTCTTATTCAATTTTTGGCTTCGATCTTAGCTTGGAAAAAACATGATTCCAATTAGGTTAAACAGGGTGATGGGTTTGCGAATTCGAGCAGTCAAGAACGCCAACTTCCAAGGGCAAATATACTCCGTATACAACCTTGGGCTCTGGACCGCGGGCATAAGGCCCCTGAACGCAAAAAGGTCGGAATTCTCCGCCTCGAGCGATCCACCAAAATGCCCAAGTGAGCCAAAGAGGTCAAACTCGGAGCTAAGACCCGGATCTGCTGAGTCATTGGTAAAAAGCGTCACGCGTTTTATGTCACCTCACGTGACTAGAGGCTGTTTGCCTAGTTTGTCTTTTAAGCCTGAGGCATAAGCTGCCAAGATACTCAGCCTGAGGCCGCCATCGCTATCTTTGGAAAACAACTCCATGACGTCAGCCAATGTTGGCTCTCCCTGCGCCACATCCAATGAGCCCATATAAACCTGATCGGATCGGCAACGATGACCTCAGATCCAAAAAAGTCTAGCTGATATGACCTAGCCACAGAAGACACAGGAGACAGACAAAGAGGGGGTCCGTGGGGTCAATCATCCAACAATATCGATCGATCTGAGCGCAGCAATGACGCTTCCAAACCAAATCGTTGTATGGATACCATGATGTAGTTAGACCAAAGTTTCTATAAATTGAACCTTTTCTCCCTCATCTTCATGCCCATTATCACAAACAAAAACCTCTTACTCTTTCAATCCAACTACAACCTCATCACCATTCATAATGGATAAGCTTTCTGGACTCGCATCAAAGCTCAAGGGCGGTAGCTCCTCTGGCTCATCCTCAAACAACCAGGCTGGTGGACAGGAAGACTACGTCGACAAGGGTGAGTGGCTCTCATAAACCAAAAAAAAGAAGTCTCGATTTCTGATATCCTTTAGCTCTCGATGCTGGTGAGCGAAAGTTCGGCGGCGGCAAGGTCGACCCTGCTAAGATGCGCTCCGCCAACGAGAAAATCACCGACACTGCTCGTGAGAAGTTCGAAAGTGCCACTGGGTGAGTATTTTGACCCCACTATTCAACATAACATCATGGAATCTGGTGCTAATTGTTGTTTCAAAATGCAGAAAGAAGGTTCCGGAGAAGATTTCCAACTAGAAACGCCATACGATACCATCGCTCGGCAATAATGACCGGATGTTATGATACCACTTGATACGAAAGACTAGTCATATTATTATTATTAAGGACATGTTACCCCGCAGCTCATCACGCGCGAGGTACATGAATACCAACATATTCATTACAATTTTGAACCACTTAAGTTTTATCGTACTGAGTAGAACGCGTGCATTGATTAGCTTAAAACCCAGAACAGCTAAACCGAAAACTAATGTCGCTGCAGAGCTGCCAAGAATGCTCCGATTCCCCCAGGGTTGGTATACATGGTATTCGCCCGACAAAGCTGCAAATTAGTACTGATGCGCTGTGTCACAGTGGAGGTCGTACTCCCATAAGCAGCTAAAGCGCGCTCAAAATATTTCTGAGCTGGTGCATACTCCTGCGCCTGGAAGTGCACGTTCCCAAGCATCTCTAAAATGATTTGCGTTTCTGGGTTATCTATACCCCTGCGCCGCTCCGTCCAGTCAAGGTAGCGAACCAACCATGGTAGTGACTCGGTCCGCTTGTTCGCACCCATCGGAATCTGAGGCCCCTGGAACATGTACATTATTCCAATGCTACTGACAACGTCCATCGTTTGTGGGTGCTCGGGGCCGAATGCTTCTTCGGAGAGTGCCAGGGCTCGGCGAAGTGTCTCGGAAGCTTCGACGGTTTGCTGAGCGCGCGTCAGTCCTCGGCCGAGTATTGAGAGGGCCCGGACGGTGAGGGGGTGTGACTGTCCGAGAGCAGTTTTGAGTTCTTCATGCACATTTGGCAGCAAATCTACTGCTTGTCGCACGTCAGGCTGCAGGCGGAATGTGACATAGACACTTTCTGAATGATTGTAAAGGATCCACTCAAGCGTGTCCAGAATGGCAGCATATACTCTAATGTGGTTATCGCCTAGAAGACGTTTGTACGTCTCGGAGATCTTTTCTGCGGTCATGAGCGCGTTTTCTCGTCGATTCAAGCCGTTGTATGCCATGCCTAATCGGCGACGAGTCTCCAGGGTGTCGAAGTGGTCTTCCCCTATAGTCATCTGCTGTCGGGCTAGCACGTTGGCGCAGATCGACTCAGCTTCAGAATAGTTGCCTTTTGAGCAAATAATCTCAGCCATTAAGCTCTCTGTCTTCATTGACAACGGATGTCGCGTTCCAAATACCCGTTGTGCATTCTCAGAAACCCACTGGGCCCATTCGGTGGCCTTGGGGATGTAGTTGCCTTCCAGCTCCACTTCCGCTAGCAAGTATCCAACTGACAAGGTGCTGGAATGATCCGCACCCAGTGTCCGGAGATGTTCCTGGAAAAGCTCATAGTCGATATTCCGTGCCTCTTCCCATTTCGCGACATTTTTCAACTCTGCCGACCGGATTGATCGGGGATCTCTATCTTGAGCCACGAATAACGTTCCCGAAATCCTAGATGCTGGCTCATTCGATCTTCCAGGTGGTGCATACGCAGAGCTGCTGTTGGAATGCATACGCGGTGGCACCGGTGGCGGAGACTGAGCTGCTGCTGGATGTGGAGTTTGCTGAGGAACGAACCCCTGATCTGCCAACAATGCCTGGTCTACCAACTGCTTAATATTCCCCTTGATTAACTTATACATAGGCCCCCGGCTTGCTACCTTGCACATCTGGGAATGGTCTGCGTCAAGTTTCAGTTGAGTCTCTCGTAGTCCCGACAGGCCGAGAACAGCGGACTCCTCATCCACAACCAACTATTTCAATTTCAATCAGACATCCGCCACACTTATCATGTATAAATCCATGCACTTACATGGCTTATAGACGCTGGACCCACACCGGCAATTGGAACTTCTTTCCCTTCGATGAAACTGACAACGCGATAGTCCTCCAGTTGGTGTCGGAATCGATCGGACATTTGACGCGTGAATAGAGAGTTATGCTCCAGACAGTTGAGGAGGTCGTTACTAGCTTGGCCTTTGGAGATGAATCTGGCAACCCTGGCTGCGATCTTTCCCAGCTCGACTGCCTTTGCACCGCGGTGTGGAGTGCCAAAGAAGACAAGCCCAGATGTAGCCGTGCGGATGGAGTTGTATTTGGGATCTTCCTTCGCGTTGAGAAGCGCCTATGCAAGTCATGATTTTGGTAAGCGTCGTGCATAATGTTCACAGGTGAGTGCTTAATGTTAACATACCTGTTTTATGACCAAACCACCGAGACTATGTCCAATGAATATAATCTTAGGCGGCAGGGCATGCTAATGGAAGTCAGCTTGTCATTACCTATACTTACTCCGCTGGGTGTGATATTACCATCGATGGGGCCCGCTCCATATCCAACAAGTTCAATAGCGTGTTTGCATGATCCTTGATACTGGCAGTAGACATAGTCTGAGCGTTGGTGATGTTCGAATTATAGCCATAAACAAAGACGCGTGCGAACGGCATATCCTCTGCCAAGAAATCTGTTGGCCAGAACTTGCCGTTCTCGTGCGTCCATGTCTTGAAAGGATGATCATTTCGACCGCGAGCATTCAGACCATGAACGAACACAAAGCTGGAAATCTCCAACATTAGCTCTTCTCTATACCAAGGTAAGAGGGCCTCGAAGAGGAAGAATCGTACTCGACTTTAGCGGCATCGCGTGGTGTATAGACTTCCTGTAGAAAAGGAAACTCGTACAGTTCCCCTTCCTGTCATTCAATGAAATACTTAGCTTCAAGCTCAAATAACAAGACGGGGTATATCCCATACCATTTTCAAAGTTAAAACGTGGATATGTGTATATGGAAAAAGGGAAATGGCAGATGGAGAAGAACGTTTCTTGGATTGGGGCTTCTCAAGTTGAGTACAGCCTGCAGGCTGAATACGAGGATGACGGCCAGTGTGACCCTTCGTCTGCCAGTTCTCATCCCTCTTGGCAATGAATCCCGCGATGATATGCCTTGGAAACAACCAATAAATTTGACTGTCAGCAATCGGCTAAAATTGCCCTGGAATATCCGCTGTGGCAACGCCTTGGCAGAGCTAGGATGTTAACGGAATGGGTAGACGAGGGTCTTGCATGAGGCTGACGGGCCAAGAAAAGTCATCTGCCAATAATATTATGCTAACACGCCGAGGAGACTCATTTTCAGGACTCGTTTCCATATGAGCTGTGTCTTGGCACCAAGATCTACACAGCCTTGGACCCTGAATCTTTTATGCATGTAAAATTTGAAGGAATAAGAATAGTGAGATGCCACGTGAAGCTAAGCCCCCCCTCAGAAGTTGATAAAATCAGTTCAGTTTCCAGGACCTGGTTTGCCCACTTCTTCGACCACCAGCAGCACCAGCAGCATAATCGTTGCTTTGTAAAAGGGAGATGCGATCTGCTGAATTTGAATCCAAGACTGACATGACAGCATGTCAGAATAATTTAAACGACAGGCCATCCAGTCGACCAATCAATGACGTTCCAGCCAAATTGCTTCTCATCATTGGCATAACCGATACTGGTGTTTGTGTAGGCATAGTAAAGCACAGTACCGTAGGTAGGGTCGTCATATACACCCCTATGGTCGATTAGTCTCGATCCAAAATCGCCGGTGAAATTTCCCAGATCGTCACTTACTGCCCTCCAGGTCCATAGACCTCCCCATGGCTTTCTAGAACAATTGTGCCGCCTCCATCGGTGCATGCAAGGTCATCCGCGTCGACCTGGTAGATGTTAGGGTCAATATCACGAGTGGAAGGCATTCATCAGGCATGGAAACTTACAAAGCTACCCGTTGCAGTCTCCGAGCGACAGACCTTGATGTGATACTCCTGTCCTGAGGCAGGCAGATCCGTATCATAGTCACAACAGTCACCCCAGGAGTAGAATAGGTAATAATAGTCTCCATACTTGTACATGTAAGATCCTTCCTCTTGATGGGTACTATCCGGGTAGTAGGCAATGTTGTACGAAGATCCGCTGGCAGCAGTTGCCGCAGAGTTCATCTCCACTTGATAGATGTCATCCCAGAACGAGCCAAAGTTCAGGTAGTAGGTGCCGTCGACATCGATCAAACTTGGATCAATCGCATTGTAGATCTTCGCAGACGAAGATTCAACACCAACGGAGCCATGGTCGGTCCAAGAATCTAGATCCATTGTTTCGGAGGTTGCGAGACCAATAGCTGAGTCCTGCGATCCAGAGGTAGAAACGGCGTAGTAGACATAGTAAAGGCCGTCGATGTAATGCGCATCGGGGGCCTAAGGTACATTGGAATTCAAAATTAGCTTATGATAAGACCAGAGAATGAGGATCCATTAACCAAATATGACGCGACTTGAGCACGTCAGGTATTAGTCCCAGAAAAGAGAAGTAAACTCACCCAGAGGTCCGTGTTTCCAGCGAGATCAATCGACGAGCCATCTGGTAGCATGGATCCAATGGTCGTCCATGGTCCTAACAAGCTCGAAGCGCTGGCGTATGAGATTTCATTTCCAGTGGAAAACCGAAAATATAGGTCATCCGATGCTCTTTGAATGATTGTAGGGTCATAAACAACGCATGCTCCAGAGCAGCCCTCCGGATTTGCATATCCGGACGCTAGTGCTGCAAAGAGCGCCACCGGTACTGTGACTTGCCGAGGATGCATGGTCGCAAGTTTTCATATAGAAAAACACTTGGAGATAGACACTGAAGTCATCTTCAGCGGAGAATGAACTATTTATGATCAAAAAAAACAAGCTTCTGCATGATCTTGGGCCAAGACTCATTCGTGGAAATGGCGCTGTCTGGTTGACGCGGCACGGGTGGTCAGCCGTTCTGGAAGAATGCTTAGATGATGCATGAGTGAATGAACAAGGCTAAACAGCATGTGGGGTTGATCTCGTGGAGTTTTGTCAGGCACAATCAACATGAGAATGGATGACGGGTGGGCTGAAACTTGGCTGAGAACTGCGCCGAGTGGTGGATTTGTATGTTCCTGGCGTCTGTGCCGAAGCGCCCCAAAACAAGGTTTCTGCAGAACTTGGCTGCCAAAGAGGGAATATGCCGGTCTCAAGTCCAAATATTGTCGCGCCGGGGATAAAACATTCTGTTTTCGTGACTAGCTCGTTGCTAGACTTGCAGACTGAAACATCTACGATGCGCGGACAACTCCGTGGGCCTAGCGTATGTACATACGGAGTGGTAGGTATCGAGCTTGGATGAAGTGGACCATCAGCCTCATTCCACGTGCATGGAATTGCTGTAGTATTTTGTAAAGATTGTGTAGGTTAAAACTTGAAACTTCCAACGCTTCGAAGGTTGGGAGACACACAATTTGAGGTACTTGGAGCCTTGAATGTATGGATAATTTAGGATATTTTCATGAACGCTTGACAGGTCCGCTTACCGCTCGAGATACTCGGGATGTTGATTTATCATCTTCCCCGAAGAATCCAATGGATCGGAGATAACATAACATCGTGAAATTTAGATCACATGAACTTCTATAAAAATTGGTGCAAAAAGTAGCACAAAGAAATTATGAGAGATTATGTAATTGAAAGTTGATGCAAACAGTGCAAAATAGCTGCGTGGGAAAATCCGAGGTTGGAACTCCCCTATTTGCATACTGGTACCCCGGAGCATTCACAGTATGCAGAGATCTGTGTTTCCTCGTGCCCGATCAACCACATTTGCAGTAAGCAGTGCTCAGATGGGGTACTTGCAAAAACTCCCGTGGACTTCAGCGTTCCGCCGGGGTTTTGCCAGACAAGGTTGCTTCCCCAGCTGATCTACACTCCCACCACGCAATTAGGCATGGTCGCAATATGCAAGAGACTCTGCAATCTGCTTCAGAAGCCGAGCTTGACCCAGCATCACTGGCTTTTCCCCTGATCTCGGCTTGCTAGCTTAATAAGAAGTACCACATAGTTAGTTATCAGCCACCGGTTTGCACTACTGCCCCTTCAATAAGCCACCTCTTCGGCGTCCATTACCCTACATGATCCAATCATCCTACAGACTCATATAATCCGCTGGGGGATTAGCCATGTAAGCCAATTTCCATTCAACCTGGTCCTGTTCAATTTCGTTGATGAGGGAGCCATTTGGCTTAAGCCTTGGATACTTTGATATGTAGAGGACTGATTCCTTGTGATTCTTTTGTTTCATTTCATCGTAATAAATAACAACAGAAGACCCATCTCTATCCTCTAGTATATGCGCAGTAGACTATAGTTATCCATTATTTGGTAAGAGCCGTTTCCAGGTATCCCATAACTTTGCCAACAAGGAACTTCCGGGGCTCGGCCTGGTCATCGTTGCTCAGCGCATGAGAAGCGTTCGGGATAATAGCACTGTGCTTATCATCCCACATCTGGAATTTATCGCCGTGATTAAGGGCATTCTTCCAGCGGGCCAGGTTCTTGTCCTTATCAACCCAGCCAGGGACGGCCTGATCAGCCCCAGAGTACAAGACCATCAGCTTGTGCTTCAACAGACCCTGCTGCTGAATCAAACCAAACGTGGTCGACAATTGCTCATCACTCAGATCCGCACTGAACAAATCATCCTCTCCGGGAATGTGCGGGCTCTCGGGGCTATAAAGACTCAAGAACCGACGACAGCTGATAGGTGTATTGGAGGGATAAATAGCTGAAGTCAACTCAAGCGGCAGCATAGTATCATATTTGCTGTTCGTCCGAACAGCCTCCTTTGCAATAGCTTCCATCTTATCACAGATATCCCGCATTTGATCTGATGAGTTGCTTCCGAATCCATGCTCAATGCACAGCTGAACAGCCTCGCGATCCGAGACGGGAGCTTGCATGATCGCGCCGTCCAGGGGTAAGCGGTCGGCGTGCTCGAGACCAGCATCAAAGGCTGGTGCGGAGAGGTGCGGGTTTGGTCGGTAGAGATAGTGCATCACGCACTGACTACCTGTCGAGTGACCCATCATGACGATCTTGCCCTCGCCGAACTTTTCGGTCTTGTAGTCCTTGATATAGTGGAGGCATTCTGCGATCTCATTCGTATCGCGGTCTAGGTGGCCGAGGCCCCAGGATTGGTAGGAGGATGTGAGGTTTAGGGTGAAGAGGGACCATTCGGTCGGCTGGAGGGCTTTGGCCAGATCGGCCATGTAGGATGTTGTTGCGAGGCCATCGCCGAGACCGCCGACGAAGAGGAGACTGTGGGGTTTGTGCGCAGCGGCAGTGGTGTATTCAAATGTGACGAGGGATTCAGTCTATGATGAAAGGAGCATTGTTAGCTATTCTGCTAAATCCGAATTGGAGCAAAAGAATAAAACAGAAAACAAAAGAAGAGCCGAGACTAACATAATGGTGCAGAATTCCTGGGAGACCGCCCTTTGGCCAGAACTTGGAGTACATTTTCAAGGTTGTGATTGATGTGATGGGGGAGGGATAACTTGAAGTTGGGAAAGGTGTCAAGTTGCGGTGTGTCAGGTGGGCTTGTAGCAACTAGAGTCTTTGAATGGGGTTATGTATTCAGCCGCGGGGTTCATGCAAGTTTGCCGTTATCAGATCGAACTAAAAGACTAATTTCCGAGACCGGCTCTGTGTGCCGTCGGCATCGCAACGTGCAGCTGTTTGCCCTAAACCTCTTCCATAATTGACCCCACTAGTAGGCTCGGGTTGTCGCTTCACCGATTGACTTCTGTTGGGCCTGCCATCGCTAAATTTAATTATGGGGGAGAACGATGGAGTCCGTCGGAGTGAGCGCTTGAAAACGGAAACAAAAAAAATGTCAAATGTGTTCCAAGACATCTGGACTTATTGGTGGGTCCAATTTTGAGGTAATTTTGTAATTTGTACAGAGCACATGTATGGCGTTGTATATGCCAGGTACGAAGATACCGGTATGCGCGGTATCGAGTGTTTGGCAAAGACCGTAACATGAAACATGGCGTATCCATACTTGTACATCCATACGTATTGTCATCCGTACCCATATTTGCGTTAGGTCCACAATGTGGGTCTACCTCCGCTCCTACATAACACGGTCTCTTGGCGAAAGATCTTTCTCCGTACAGAAAGAAGATTAGATTTAGGAGCGGCAAGACCGGAGAATAATCAAGAATAATCAGATTATCGGCGCGCACGACCCTCCCTTCTCGGGCTTGAACGGAGACCAATTGCTAGTCAAGGGTCAATGATCACACTACTGTAACCCCATTCATGCAGGTATCAAGGAGACTGTGCTAGCTTGGCATGCATCAGAAGACCTCGTTTAAATGAAGATGCATGTTTCATCAATGGCCTGTATAGCTCGTTCATCCACCGTGCCCGAACAGGAACGAATTGTACCTGGCGCATTCGCCCAATGCCCGTTGAATCGGTAATTCCCGCATCAACAAAACTGGGTCCGATGGGGCAGCATAACCCTCATGCCTGCTGATGGCATTCTGTGTCAGCGAAGGGTAAAGACCCATATTTGAAACATCTCGATTTATACCGACACCATTGATCCTTCGATCGGGGCTTATATGATAAACCCTGGACAATGATCTGGGAAAGAAGTCTGGTAGCCAAATTAAGCAAGATAAACGAGGAGATAGTCAACTAGGGTGATAGCTCCGTCTACCTTATTAGTGGGTATAAAGAGGCGAGCTCAGATACCTGACAATGGCGCGAGGCGCGCCAAGTCGAAACCAGAAAAAGATTAATGTTTTCCAAAACATTTCGGTGTTTCGTTTTTGTATTATACGGATTGAACATGCGTTGTTTAATACGGCTGGTAATTGGTACAGTATATTACGAACTCTAAAACATGACGAATACGCCAATCGGATAAGATTGATATCCACCATCTGCTGCGGATCTGATAAAAAAAATTTCCTCCCACCAACAATCAATATTCCGGTTCTCGTCATTTCAACTGTGGATTAGGCGGCCCTTGGGATTTCCTTGGTGTGGATTAGTGTAGACCAGTCAAAATGATCAATGTCATTCTTTACCGGAATTTTTTTACGGTTTCCTGCTGCAGGATACCTCTCGGCTAGACCCAAACCGTGCAAAAGCATCATGGCGAATCCACCCACACTTGCCGATCTCGCACTGTATACAGTAACTGTGCGGAACGTTTCCTGCAGCCCCGCGGTTGACTCGTCAGGGAAAAGAGACAGTTAGCATCATGCAAGCTGCCTGACTATATATTCTACACTATACCCTTTCGGTCGACTACCACTTGCGCAAAGCTCACGGATGACCGAGGGTCGACTCCTCTTTTCCCAACTTCAATCGGTTCCTGGATTTCACGGAGAGGTCGGACGGTCGCAAATATGAGTATCACTCACCAAAACGATCTGCGCGATCAAAACCTGAGTAATGGCGTGGACTCGGAGTCGCGTCCGGTGGATTGCGACGGCTTCCGCTGCTTCCAGGTCGCTGAACTTGCGCCCGACGCTTCGACACCAACAGGCATGAAAGAGGAGCTGGTACTACTCGCGTGGCTGATTGTGCTTATGCGCACCCGAGAGGGTACCTTGCCTCGCTTTGAATGGGCCTACAAGAGCCGCGATGAAGATACCAGCTTTAAATCCGTTCACCACGAATTACCCACCGAGACTCTGGTGCCCGGACTGGACAGCAGCGTTGAGCAAATTATGGCAGCTATTTCACAACAAATCAAAGCAGTGCTTCCGGCAGAACTGGAAACTGCGCCCAACTCGGTGTCACTCATCTTGAGCTCTGGTTCTTTGACTCACGACGCAGAAGCTAATGAAGAAGTGAGTTTCATCCTTTGCAATGACAATAGAGGGGTATTTAGGGACTGACTGAGATCCAGGGAGCAATGCACTTCGAAGTTCGCTTTGAGAACGATCAACTTCACATTCGCCCGATATGGCAGACCGATAATATGCTACAACATACCGTTAAACACACCGTCGAGCAGTTCGCGGACACTATTAAAGCGTGCCTCGCATCCCCGGGCGCATCTATCGAAGAAAGCTTAAAACCAGTGGAGTGCGACATCGAGGAAACCTGGCGCATCAATCATGAGCTACCTCCAACGTACAGCTTCGGAACACATGAATTATTCTCCGAGCGCGCTCAGCAAATTCCCGACAAAGTCGCCATCGATTCATGGGACGGCCAATTGACTTACGGCGAGATTGATCAGTGGTCGTCATATGCTGCGTGGAAACTCAAGGAAGAGATGGGAGTTCAATTGAACGATGTACTGCCAGTGTGCTTTGAAAAGTCCAAATGGACTATTGTCGCAGTACTTGCAGTCATGAAGGTGGGCGCGACCTTTGCGCTCATGGACCCCACTCTCCCACTTGCTCGGCTGCAAAATATGGCAAAGCAAGTTGGCGCAAAGGCAATGGTGTCATCTAGAGGTCAATATGAATTCTCGTCGGAGATCATGCCAAGCGACAAGATCTTTGTTGTGGAGGCGGAGGCCTTCGCTCAGATCCCGAAGACGGAAGTCATCGCCACATTGCCAACAGTTCCCCCACAGACATTAATGTACATCATCTTCACATCTGGAAGTACTGGTACACCGAAGGGTGTCACAATCTCGCATGAAACATATACCAGCAGTTGCATTCCTCGATCCGAAGCAGTTGGCTACAAAGAAGATTCTCGCGTTCTTGATTTCGCTTCGTACGCCTTCGATGTCAGTATCGACAGTATGCTTTGCACTTTGACCAAGGGTGGCACTCTCTGCATTCCATCGGACGAGGACCGCTTGAATGATATCAATGAGGTGATTCGGAACATGAAAATCAACTATGCCGGCATGACACCTTCCGTGGCCCGTATTCTGGACCCGGATGTGATTAAGTCGCTCACAAATGGCCTTGGTCTGGGCGGAGAGGCCGTTCCTGCCAGAGACGCCAATATCTGGGGCCAGGATGCCCGTATCATTATTGGATATGGTCCCTGTGAGTGCACAATCGGCTGCACTATCAACAGCAGTGCTGCCACAGGTAGAGATTATCTCTCTATTGGTCCCGGTAACGGTGCAGCCATGTGGATCGTAGATCCAAATGATCACGATCAGCTTATGCCGATCGGCGCTGTGGGCGAATTGCTCGTTGAGGGACCAATCGTTGGACAGGGATACTTGGGCGACCCAGAGAAGACAGCTTCTGTTTTCATCGAGAACCCCCCTTGGCTCGTCGCTGGATATAAGGGCCATGCGGGTCGCCAGGGACGTCTTTACAAGACGGGTGATCTTGGACGATACGATCCCGATGGATCGGGTGGCATTGTTTTCGCTGGACGAAAGGACACCCAGGTCAAATTACGTGGTCAGCGTGTTGAGCTTGGGGAGATTGAGAGTCAACTTCGAGCTATCTTGCCTGCTGAATCAAATGTCATCGCCGAGGTTATCGTGCCCCAGGGAACAGGAGGGCAAGCGACACTCATCGCATTCGTGACTACTCCATCAATGAAAGAGCAGGATGGTCCCGGTGTCAGCTCTGCAGAGCCTTCTGATGATCTGCGCGAGATTCTGCCTAAGATCAGCACGGAGCTGGCTAAGGTTGTCCCCCGATACATGGTTCCCACTGCCTATATTCCTGTCAACGATATCCCCGTGTTGATTTCCGGTAAAACCGATCGCAAGCAGCTCAGGGCATTTGGAACCACCATCGACCTGCGCCAGTTAGACTCTGGCAATGAAGCTACAGCCAACCGCGAGTTAACCGATCTGGAAAAGCAGTTGCGCGATGTCTGGGCCCAAACACTGAAGCTTGACGTGGAAGGCATTAAGCCCAACGATAACTTCTTTGCCTTGGGTGGTGATTCCGTGGCAGCCATGAAACTCGTATCTATCTGCCGGTCTCGGGGCCTTGATCTTTCTGTTATTGGCATGTTTAGCAACCCATCGCTTGGTGCAATGGCTAGTGTTATTGAGACACTGGATAGTGCAACGGTAACACAGGCCGAAATCCCTGCGTTCTCGATGATTTCCCAGACTTCCGAGAGTGCTTGTGCGGAGGCTTCTGAAGTCTATGGATTCAAGAAGACTGCCATCGAAGATATTTACCCTTGCACACCCACACAAGAGTCACTTTTCACATTTTCTCTCAAATCTGCCAAGCCGTACGTCGCTCAACGAATTGCGACTATCCCCTCTAATGTTGAGGTCGCTGCTTGGAAAACAGCTTGGGAGAAGGTAGTAACCAACAGTCCTATCCTGCGCACTCGGCTAGCTCAGCTTCAGGAACCCGGCCTGCAGCAAGTTGTACTACAAGACACTATCTACTGGAGGGACTCGGATAATCTTCAAGAGTACCTGACGAAAGACCGAAATGACAGGATGCAGCTTGGAGATCGTCTTGCCAGATACGCTATCGTTCAGGAAGATGGCAAGACATACATGGTCTGGACAATTCATCACGTTGTTTACGATGGATGGTCTGAACCTTTAGTTCTGCAACAAGTTAGCAATGCTCTGAAGGAACATCCCGTTGAGATCCAAACTCAGATGCGGGAATTCGTCAAGTGGGTCAAGGATACTGACGAGGACGCCATGGAAGAATTCTGGAGGCGTGAGTTGAAGAATGCTGTCGGTCCTCAATTCCCTCGTCTTCCCTCGAGAGACTTTGTCCCCTTCCCCGATGGAAATGTCGAGCATTCAATCTCGGTGCAGACAGGCGCCGGGTATCCTTTTACACTGGCCACCTTGATCCGTGGTGCTTGGGCGCTCGTCTCCTCCCAATACTCGGGAAGTGATGATGTTGTATTTGGCGAGACTCTCACCGGTCGCGATATTTCTCTTCCTGGAGTCGAGGGTATCGTCGGACCTTTGATCGCCACAGTCCCAGTGCGCATCCGCGTCAACAGACAGACCACCATCGAGTCTTTCCTCCAAACCGTTCAATCCGGAGTGCTCGCTCGTACCCCATACCAGCACATGGGTATGCAGAATATCCGCAAGGTCAGCCGCGATGCTCAACATGCGTGCGAAGCTCCCACCGGTTTGGTCATCCAGCCCGACCCAGACTCTGCTGCGGTCGGTGAGCTTGGTTTCGAGCTTGGTGATGTTGTTCGTGAGGCTCTTCACTTCAACCCTTACCCGCTGATGATCGGCTGTGGAATTAAAAAGGGTGGCTTCAGGATTCGCGCCAACTTTGATAGCACGCTGGTCAAGTTCTCACAGATGGAGCGTGTTCTTCAGCAGATGGAGGCAGTTTGCTTCCAGTTGACCCGGAATCTATCAAGGAGACTGGATGAGATTTCTTGTATCCCTTCCACGGAGCTTAATCACATTTGGAAATGGAATGAGACTCCTCCTTTGTCGGTCGATGCCCTGACTCGAACGCTTCGTGCCAACTCGAGCATCAAGGCAGGATCACCTTATCCTAATGCCGTGGTACCCTGGGTGGTAGATATTCGAAACCCGTCTCTTCTTTCCCCCATTGGATGTGTTGGTGAACTGTGGTTGGAAGGATCCTTGCTTTCTGGCGAGACCGTAGATTCTCCATCATGGCTGGTGGCTGGAAGCTCGACCTTTGCTGGTCGGACCGGTCAAGTCCAGGCTACAGGAGACATTGTTCTTCTGCAAGAGGATGGAAGCTTGTCATTTGTCGGTCGCAAAGAGAACTTGATGCCTCTCCAAGGACATGCAGTGAATATTGCAGAACTTGAAACTCACTTCACCAAATATCTTCCCCCAACAGTTCGTGCTGCTACTGCAGTTGTTCAATCGCCCTCGGAAGGCCAGAAGGACCAACAACCAGAGCTAATTGTTCTGCTTCAGCCGCGCGCTTCTAAGGAGAAGACAGTTGAGATCATGGACGAGAAGTACGAGATTGGATCAAAGGGCTGCAAAGCGACAACCTGTACAGATGTTTCTTCCAGCCTTGCTCTGGGACTGAAGAAGCTCGACAAATTCATTCACGATTCTCTTCCCACCTCCTTGGCCCCCTCGGCCTACGTAGTCCTTGAGAAACTGCCAGAAGAGTCTGAATCAGTTGATTACCAGACGCTTCTCAACCAGCTGGCCTCCAACATTCCTGCACATGTGCTTGAGAAGCTGCGTGAGGGCTTCCAGGAGGCATGGAAGAAGACCTCAGCACAAGCCAACCTGACTCCCAAAGAGAACATTCTCCGAACTGCCTGGGCAAAGATTCTTCGCATGGAGCCAGAAAAGATCGATCTCGACGATAACTTCTTCCGCTTGGGTGGTGACTCGGTCCTGGCAATGAAACTGGTCTCCAGTTTGCGTGCACAGGGCCATGGTTTGACCGTTGCAGATATCTTCCAGCATATGCGCCTCGGAGATGCTGCTCGTGTCTTGAAGCTCGACCAGGCTTCCCAGCAGAACATCAAGCCATACATTCCATTCTCGACCCTGGATCAGTCCAATCTCGATGCATTCCTTGCCAATGACATCCGCCCGAAGTTGGCCAATCCCGAATGGTCTATTCACGATGTCACCCCGGTCACTGATTCCCAAATCGTGGATATCAAGGCCACTGTCAACATCCCTCGCACCGCCATTCAGTACACCATGTTGTTCTTTGATGGAGGTATTGACCGGGAGAAGCTTTTCCACGCTTGCGATGAGCTCATCAAGACCCATGAGATTCTGCGTACTGTATTCGTCGAACATGAATCCAAGTTCTACCAGGTTGTTTTGAAAGAAATGGAAACACCTTTGACCAAGCACTTGGCAGATGGGGATCTCGAAAAATCAGTCAAGGAGGTCTGCGCCGTTCATGCCGAATTGGACTACAAGCTTGGCTCATCCTTCCTGCAAATTCTGCACGTCGAGGGCCGAAACGGTGACGAGTGCCTCGTCCTAGGCCTTTCCCATGCTCAATATGACGGTGTCTCTCTCCCGAAGGTACTCCAGGATCTGGAAACATTCTATACTGGCGGAGAGATCACAGCGCATGAGCCATTCTCTGTGTACATGGGTCGCGTTTCCGACGAGCGTGTCCAGAAGACTGCCATCAACTACTGGGGCAACCTCCTCAAGGGTTCTTCATTGTCCATTCTCGAAGGAACAACAGTCAAGCCTGGCGACAAGGGTGTCTTCAAGACGAAGACCGTTGAGAATGCCCAGCCACTAGAATACATCACCACCGCAAACCTTCTCACAGCAGCATGGGCGCTGGTTCTGGCTCGTCGTCTCCGCAAGTCCGATGTTACTTTTGGAGGTGTGACTTCTGGTCGAACGATCGATTTGCCTAATGTGGATAATATCGTCGGTCCATGCTACCAGCTCACACCCATCCGCGTTCTGTTCGAGTCTCACTGGACGGCTTTGGATCTGCTGCAATATGTGCAGAAGCAGAGTGCCGAGTCAGCGGCGTATGATTTCCTCGGGTATGAAAAGATTTCTCGAGAGGTGAATTGGTCAACGGGCCAATTTTATGATTCTCTTGTTCATCATCAGGATTGGGATGATTTTGATACTATGCCTTTCGCTGGCGGAATGTGCAAGGTTGACATTTTGAACCCCCATGGTGACTCTCCTTACCCGATGAAGGTTGTTTCATTCGTGAAGGAGGGCAAGGTCAATGTTGGTCTTGTTGGAAGTGAGAACGACTCCGTATTTGTTGATGAGGCTTTGGATGAATTGGCCGCCACTGTTCAGGAACTGAGTGGTCAAAAGGTGGAGGCCTTGCTTGATGCCGAACTTTTCTAGTTGGGGACATAATCATTGATTCACTGTATCTATTTGTTTTCTTAGCTTTTTGAGTTCTTTTTTTGTAGCCAATATCGATTTTGTTCTTTGTTATCGCTGTTTCAAATTTTCAGGATGATCAAGCATAAACAATGTAGATTCTCCCTCCTTTCTTGACGGATACCTGAAGCCCTGGAGACAGTACGGCCACTGTGAAGAATGTGGCTACAACACAACGTTAGGAAATCTCCGAATTAAATTCAAACAAAGTAATAAAAATAACAATAGACAATAGAGGGATTTACTATAGAAGTTACCCGTGGACATGTTACATTATAATAAAAATCAAGAAAAAGTAAATTGAATTGATATGTCTATAAGACTTCTATAATGAGAAAGAAAATTAAAACAACGCTATGTACATGCGAAGGTGACGGCCCAAATCTGAGCACCGCCAGGTATTAAAATCAAAATACAGAGTTTTTTCCCCAAAAATATCACCAATTAAGTCGCCACAGTTTGGTGCATGACATTGGCCCGATAACTCTCGGATCTCTCAAGCAGCTCCTCGTGCGATCCACGATCGGTGCATCTTCCACCATCAATCAAGAAAATGACATCAGCCTTCCGAATGGTATGCAAACGATGAGCGATCGCAATGACAGTGATACCCTTAGCAGCCTTGCTAAGACCATCTTGAAGGAGCTTCTCAGACTCAGCGTCCAAAGCACTGGTCGATTCATCCAGAATCAACAGCTTAGGCTTGCGAACCAGCGCACGCGCAATGGACAATCTCTGCTTCTGACCACCAGAGAACTGGTTACCGTTTGGTCCACACATGGTGTTGTAGCCTTCGGGTAGTGATTCAATGGTCTCATGGATGTTGGCAAGCTTGCAAGCTTCGACGATGTCCTCGTGAGTTGCATCCTTGCCGGGCTTGGCACCGAGACCAATGTTGAACTCGACAGTACCCTCAAACAGGACACTCTCCTGGGGAACCAGCGAAATGTTATCGCGAAAAGAGGGGTCGCGGGTCTTTGTCACATCAAGACCGTCGATCAAAATCGATCCAGACTCCGGGACGTAGAGGCGTTCGGCGAGGGAGATGATGGTCGATTTACCTGCACCACTGGGACCCACTAGGGCGCAGAACTGGCCAGGCTTGATATCGACGGACAGACCGTTCAGCACCTTCATATCCGGGCGAGCAGGGTAGGCGAAGTGAACATCGCGGAGCTGAACACTCGACGCGACCGAGTCAGACTGGATCGCCTTGGGCTCGATAGATGACTCGTCATCTCCATCTGTTGGGGCGACATTGGGCGCGTGGGTAGGAACACGACCACGCATTTTATCCGAACCCTGTTCAATGAGATCCAGGATTCTGGCCATGGCAGCCCGAGCTTGGGAAAGTTCCGGTGCAAGGGCGAACATTTGACTCCACAGAAGAGCACTGACAAGAAGGGAGAAAACGACAATCAGGAATTGAGTCTGGGTGTAAGTTCCGTTGATAATCTGTTTGGCACCCCACCAGTATGCCAAAGCATTGACACAGTTACCGAGGAAGTAAGTGGTCGACTGCCAGGCGCTCGCTTGCAGGGTAACATTAAGGGTTTCCTTGCGAGGACCCCGGAGAGACTTGCGGTAAGTCTTGAGAGTCTGGTCTTCGAGAGAAAGGGAGGCAATGGTCTTGATGTTGGAAATTGCCTCAACACCAATGTCCACAGATAGAGCGTAGGCGTTCTCATGGCGCTCTTCAAATCGACCGAGAATGAGGAGCTCCATGAAACCAGCACCCAAGAGGAGGGGAACCAGTGCAAGACAGACCAAAGCGATCTTCCAGGCGATGATATGTGTCAAGATGATAGCGGCGAAGAGGTTAACGGTAATAGAGAACAAAGTACCAATGATGGAACCACTCAAGCCAGCAAGAGCGTTACCATCTCTGGTGATGTAGGAAAGAAGCAAGGGGGGAGTACGTCCATTCGACTGGTGCCATTGGAGATCCTGCTCGAACAAAGATCGGAAAGACAGAACTCGAACAGTGTATACAACCTTCTCTGACACCCAACCAAATCCAGCCCAACTGACGACGTTGGCGAAGAACTCAATGATGGCCAGAACAAAGAACATGAGAGCATAGAAGTCACCCTGGGTTCGAATGTAGGCCGCACTGTTGCAAGGATCAAGACTACCGACAGTGTTTCCAAAGATGACAGCCTCGCCAGAGAAAGCTCCTCCGACAATGACCGAACCAAGTAGGGCAAGGACGATGACGAGCATATGGGGGCGCAGAGTGGGGGCAAAGCCCTTGCAGAGAGCCCACAGGGACTTCCTAGGGGCCGGAAGCTCATCTTCTTCCTCGGCTTCATCTCCAGAATCACCGACCGGGGTTTCCTCGGTTGTGGGGACCTTCTCCTTGACATTTTCAAGAGCAGAGCTGGACGACTCAACCTTCTCAATATCGGTAGCTGTCACGGAGCTTCGATCGGATTTGCTGGCAGTCTCCACGCTGATCGTGGTTTCGTTCTTGTCTGGTGTGCTACTGAGAGTCTGCAATTTGACGAGTTCGGCATATGTTCCATCCTTGGCCATCAGTTCGGCATGGTTGCCCTGTTCCAAAATGTTGCCCTTGTGCATAACGATAATGTTGTCCGCTCCAGTAATGGTCGACAGTCGATGAGCGATGGTGACAACAGTTCGGCCGGTTGCGATGTTGTTGATGGCATTTTGAATGCGCTGTTCACTGTGTGAATCCAGAGAAGCTGTTGCCTCATCGAGGATGAGAACGGCAGGATCACGGATAAGAGCCCGAGCGAGAGAGATACGTTGCTTCTGACCGCCGCTGATCAATCTTCCACTAGATCCAACGACCGTGCCAAGTCCATACTGCAGGCGTGAGATAAAGCCATCGGCATCAGCGAGTACTGTAGCCTTCTTAACCAATTCCACAATCTCAACAACATCAGAGCCGAGCTTCTCGGCTTCAGTCATAAGATCTTTACCCTTACGCAGATCGGTTGCAAGCTCTTCCAAGTCAGGGCGGATGAAAACCTCCTTGAGGTGGGCATGTCTTGGGTTGCTGGAGTTGATCAAGCCGTGTGCGATGTTTTCCAAAAGAGAGCGGTCAAGGAGAGAAGGTTCCTGTTGCACCAAGCTCAGGAAACTTCTCAGGTCCTTTACATTGACTTCCTGGATATCATGGCCATCAAAGGTAATCTGACCCGAGTTGGGGTCGTACAGTCTTGTAATTAGGCCTGCGATTGTGGACTTTCCACTTCCAGAGAGACCGACCAGAGCAGTGTGCTTGTTGGCTGGGATGCTCAAACTGATGTTATCGAGAACGGTGATCTCAGGACGAGAGGGATAAGTAAAAGATACGTTCTTGAACTCGAAACCACCTTCGGCTTGAGTCATGCGAATACCAGAATCAGAGGTACCATCGATTTGGGGCACGCGCTCAAGATCCTCGCGCAACTTAGAGTATGAAGCAGTAGCTTGGACGAACAGATGCAGGAATGGCGATACTTGACTGAACAGCAAAGTAGCTAAATTATAAGTCAGTATATCATTTCGATCCATGAGTAGATTTCATATCACATACCTTCGATCAGGACAAAGATGACAGTGAATGTTGCACCGACAGTGACACCCGAAGTTCCAGTTGCCACAGACTTGGCTACCGACTTGGCGCCTTGCCAGAAGGCCAAGCCGTTCGCACCGTAAGCAACAAAGTAGAGCACACCAGACTGGATGCCAACCACCACAGCCTTTTTGAGGCCTTCCTTTTCCGAGAGCTTGAGCGCCTTAGAAAACTTTTCCTCCAGACGAGTATTGGCACCAAAGGCCTGCACCACGACAGTGTTGGATAGGGCCTCAGAGGCAATCGATGCAGCGGTAGCCGCATGATCAGACATAAGTCCGGAGTACTTTTCAATATAATGGCTGCCAACGAACGACATCAACATATAGGCCGGAATCAACGATAGCAGCATGCAGGCAAGTCTCCAGTCCTTGATAAAGGCAACGATATACGCGGTGATGAAGAATGAGATTGCCGAGAGGACAATTCCGACTTTCTCAGATGTACCGGAACGAATGGTTTGAATATCGCTATTGAGACGCGAAGCGACCTCACCGGGAGGTAGGTTATCGAAGTATGACGGCTCCTGTCGGAGCAAGTTTTTCAAGTAGCTCTCGCGGAGTCTTTGCGCCAATCGTGCGCCAGTCATAGTCCAACATGTCAGGTGGATATAGATAGTGAAGAATTGCGCGATGGCTAGGTAGACGATCAGGAGAATTTCGCTGTTGATAGAGCCTTGGTCGGAGGACTCGGAAGAGGCAGTAGCGGTTCCATCCTTGGCGGCGCAAGTGGCAGAGTTGAAATCGTCAAGCAATGAACCAAAGACAATACCAATGATGGGAAACGGGACACCAGATGCAATTGCACTGAAGAATCCCACGACTAGCATGCCAATTTCACGTCTAGATGGGTTGCAAGCCACCAAGAGCTTGCAATAGCTCGTGAGTTTTGAGAGGCCCTTCATGGCGATTGGCAGGACACAGCCTTTGTTACCAACCGGGGATATAGTCGACCTCGGGCGAAGATATAGTTTACTTGAGACGAGTCACCAGAGGCGTATGCATTGATTCCTCGAAAGAATGAAGGGGAAACGCGCAATGCACTTTTGAAAGCGAGTGGGTTGCTAAAGCTAAGGAGAGCTTCTCCGAAGGAATCGCAAAGCCGAATCTTATCAATCAGAGAGGACTAATCCTGAACGGGGGCCTGCCGAATCCACTTGAACGGTTTCTATTCGATTTTGAAAAAAAAGTCTGTCCCGGCTCCTGGCTGGTCCGATGTGGGTTCTAGGAGAAAGAAAGAGAAGGAAAAAAACACATCAGGGGCGTGAAGGCTTTCGGATTTTTCCGACATCGGTCCACATTTGACTGTCAATGATGATGATCAGATAACTTTCCCCACTCACACCTGTTTTTCTGCATCGAAGCGAGGTGGACACGAGTTACGACGCAGTTACAACGGGTGACGATATGGATTCGGGGGATACCGCCCATACATGATCCATACCGGTATCAAAACAAGTACGGGTCCGGTATGAACCCGGTATCAGACGCCCGTTACGAGCATTTACTAGTGTCATACTAGCTCATACACAATTCCCCTACTGGAGTTCCACTCCGAAGTTCAAGAAAAATGCCCGAGCGCTAAAAACAAAACAAAAAAAACATCTTTTGCTCGTTCAGTCTCGTCCGTGTAAAGGAACACACGCCACAGGTGGATATGTGGATCGACTCACTTTTTTCCTGTTTTGCCTCACTTATCGACAAATTAGATGTTTCCCTCGCTATTACACCCTAGGTTTGGGCTTGCGTGGCTTCATGCGGTGGGCGTGATTAGATCCTTTCCAGACTAGCGAACTTCGGCCTTTATCAATCTGTGGATTTGGGGAGCTGTACAGAGACTATAAGGGACAGAGTTTTTCCCTCGAAGCTTGGTCCCTCCGATCTTCATCTTATCTTTTTTTTCATCCATCTCGTGAAAAGATCGTCCATCATGGCTGGATTCCGGACTATGTTTAGTCGCCAGTCGGCCGAAGATGTTGTCAACACGGTCAACGTTCAGGAGTCTAAGACTGAATACGACCAGAAGACAACTGCTGAGTCGGACAATGCCAGCTCCGAGAATGCTGTCAATGAGAAGGGTGCGATTGACACTGAGAACCCCGTCGTTCCCGAAGAGGATGGCACTCGCTTTGAGGCGCCGGATGAGCACACGCAGCGTGGTGTTGCCGATATGGAGGCCATGACCCAGACTTGGTCGAAGGGGGCTCTTATTATGGTCTTTGCCAAGTACGATCTTCATTTCTTGATTATAATATCTTTGTTGATACTGACTTCTGCACAGCATCTGGCTGCTGTACTTCATTAATGCCTTCCAGAGCTCTGTCCTTAGCAACTTGATCCCTTACTTGACCAGTGATTGGGATTCACACTCATTGCTGAGTGTCATTTACGTTGTTGCTGATGCCGTGTCCGCTGCTTGCTATGTCCCGCTTGGAAAGATCATGGATATTTGGGGTCGTGCCGAAGGTTTCGCTTTCATGGCCTTCTGCTCTACCATCGGTTTGATCATGATGGCAGCTTGCAACAACCTGCCCACTTTCTGTGCTGCCTACGTATGTTCATGCTTCTTGCATTCAGTTTGACGTTAGCTAACAATTACAATAATAGGTTTTCTACACTCTCGGTTTCAGTGGTATGACCTATACTGTTGATGTCATCACCGCCGATGCATCCATGCTCAAGAGTCGAGGTCTCGCATACGCTTTTACCTCTTCCCCCTACATCATCACTGCGTTCGGTGGTGCCAAGGCTGCCAATGATATTCTCGACCAGATTGGTATGCGTTGGGGATTCGGTGTTTTCGCTATCGTCTTCCCCTTCGTCGCTGCTCCTCTGTACTTCACCCTGAAGTACAATCTGCGCAAGGCTGTCAAGGCCGGTCACATTGTCAAGCAGAGCAGTGGTCGTACTTTTATGCAGAGCGTCTGGTTCTACATTGTTGAGCTCGATGGTAAGTCACAACTACGGAGGCATAACCGTGTTTAAAAGCTAATCTGTTGTCCATAGCCCTCGGTCTTCTCCTCTTCTCCGCCGGTCTTGTCCTCTTCTTCCTTCCCTTCGATATCGCCGGCGCCGCTCCTAGCAGCTGGGGTACTGACTACATCATCGCTATGATTGTGGTCGGATTCTGCTTGCTTTTCGTCTTCATTGTCTACGAGTGGAAGTTCGCCCCCAAGCGTCTGTTCGAGTTCAACTTCCTTTGGAACCGTACCGTGCTTGGTGCCTGTTTGCTGGATGCCACCTACCAGCTCTGCTACTACTGCTGGGACTACTACTTCACCTCCTTCCTGCAGGTTGTCAACGACCTCACCGTTGCCGAGGCTGGATACGTTAGCAACATCTTCGACATGGTCTCTGGTTTCCTGCTCCTCTTGGTTGGTTGGATGATCCGCCGCACCGGCCGCTTCAAGTGGCTTCTCTGGATTGCCGTTCCCTTGTACATCTTTGCTCAGGGTCTCATGATCTACTTCCGTCGCCCCAACCAGTCTGTCGGCTACTTGGTCATGTGCCAGGTCTTCATCTCCATCGGTGGTAGTGTGTTCATTATTATCGAGCAGCTTGCTATCCTTGCTGCTGTCGACCACCAGCACGTTGCTGCTGTCTTGGGTCTTCTCAACGTCGTCGGTACCGTCGGTGATGCCATGGGTGCTACTATTTCTGGTGTCATCTGGCAGAACACCTACCCCAACGCACTTCGAAGACTCCTGCCTGCGGATGCCATGTCCAACTTCGAGAACATCTACGAGGATCTCGATACCCAGCTTAGCTACGCCGTTGGAAGCGCTACCCGTATTGCTATCCAGGATGCTTACGCTTACGCCCAGACCCGCATGTTGGCTGTAGGAACTGCTGTTTTCGCTCTTGCATTCATCTGGACCATGATGATCCGCAACATTGACCTGAAGGCTGTGCCCCAGGTCAAGGGAATGGTCTTCTAAGCTCATCTTGGAAAATCCCTGAAAAGGCATCCTTATACCCCATTCCTTTGTCTCTCTTTATATACCCTGAAACCTGTCTATATCACTACCTTAGGTAGTTTCACAACAGGATGAGATCGAAGAATTATTGATACGATATGTAATGGCTGCTCACTTAGCGAGTGTGCTATAGTTAATAGTTAGTTTTTCCATGGTTGTTGCACAGTAGACTACTCCTACGATAGAGTGCAACGACTTCAAAAAGAATCTTTGTTTTTGTTTACATTTCTTTTCTAGATACTCCAGTTCAAATCCTTCAGCATCATCCATTCGTGGATGGACATCTGGATGGATAAACCAATAGTAACGTCTAATGTATCTAAGCCTTAGAAAATTTACAGTATTCAACATTTGAACATTCGATCGCACGTTGAGAGCCTGGGTGTATCTAGCGAGCAAAATTCGTTTCCGATGAAGAATCAATCTAACTATTGGGCAATTGATATTAGCAGTGGATTTAATGGGGGAAAACTGGTGAGGAACCTTCAAATGTTAGATCTGGACAAAGCATCTACTGCACGGTACCTCCACCATGGCAACCTAGGCAGGGTTCAGTAAAGGCACACAGTAAGAATATGAAAGATCATTGATAGAGAACAAAAACAGGCTTCAATTTTAAGAATAAATCATGGAAAAGTTATAAATATACCCGAAACTGACTATACATGAAAGGCGACCGTAGCAAAACATAAACCCCCTAGCATCCGATTATAGCTTTGCATTCCAAGCCGCGCGATCAGCAGACTCCAACGGGCGCTCCCGCCCATCCCAGAAGATGGGGCAGAGCTGGAACCATTTTTCCCGGCTGGCGATTGAGTGCACGGATCGCTTGTGTCCCAAATCAACGTACGAGCCGATAGTAAGACCCTGTGCATTCTCATAGGACAAGATGATCGAGCCTGTGGCGCGGGGCTCGCCCACAACATTTGCTGTGCGTGGATCGTCAAGGAAGCAGTAGTGAATGCAGCTGGAGTACCAAGCGTTCACGCGCTGAGAACCACGGAAAGAAGCATCACCAACAAGCGAGTGGCGGCCGCGGTCGTAGTCGCCAGCATTGTAGTGAGCACCATAGTGATCCTCCTATAAACAAAGTTAGCACTCAATTACACTTAAAAAATTATAAACAGAACGTGGCTTACCTTCGCCCAGTACAATTCATAGTACGAGAACCGGGTCTCGTTGAACCGGCCAAACAAGCACAGAACGTGCGGGTCAACATGCAGCTTGCGCAGGTACTCCCGGTGCTGATCCAAGGTACCGGTCTCATTCCAGCCCTTGGCCACACGGGGATCATTCTGCCAAGTGTTGAAGAGCTTCAAGTGCTCCGCATCTTCCCAGTTCACAACCTCCAAAGAGAAGTGCTCATCAATCTCGGGGATGTAACGACTGTACGCAATGGAGCCGGGAGCGGGCTTAGGCCGACGAACCGGGTGGCGGGTGTAAACTGGCTCTTCAGGGAACTTGTTTGTGATTTGATAGTTCTCCGGCATGAGGGGGTACCGAGCCAAGGATTCGCGCGCGGGAGTGTCAATTCCGTCGCCAGCAGCCCAGATCGCGCGTGGGCCCGCTGGAGAAGCGGCGCCTTGCCAGAAAGAGCTTCGCAAGATCAGCAGTTCATCTGCTTGCTCTGGAGCGATCTCCTTGGAACCGAATGGCTTGGGGTGCTGAACGGCCAGTCCGGTCGCCAGCAGCTCACTCCGTAGAGTCTCCTTGCCTGTGCCGTCAAGAGTCACGCGGAAGTATTCATTTGTGGGGTATGCCAGGTAGATCGCATGGACGACGTTCCAGATCTGGCCCAGAGAGGGGGTCTTCTCGGTCCATTGGAAGATGGTCTCGGGGCTGCGGCGGGCTCGACCCCAGGCGGTGTTGTTGTTGGAGGGTGGTTGCTCCGCTTCGGGGCGGAATGTCAGGTCACGCCATGAGAGTGGTTCGAGGTGTAGTGGTTCAGACAACGGTTTGCCAGCTTTAGGCTGATCTTGCAAGATCAATGCACGCTTTGTTGGAGTTGCGTCGTCGACGGCGCGCACTTGGTAGGCGGTGAGGAAGGGATGGGGAAGCTTGACAGCGGGATATGTGTGACCGGCCATCTTGTGTTGGTGTATAGTATCTTTTGTCGCACTGACAGAGGGGAAGCAAATGCCAATAGAAAGTAGTATCTTTCAAATTGGGAGTATAGAAGATTGAAGAGTGGTGAAAAAAAAAAAAATTATCAGATTATCAGATCTAATAAACCTCCGGGATTGGTTTGAAAGGATTCAAGGAAATGCCGGGACAAAGTGCAGACCCTGAAAATAAATACGAAGCCGAGGTCGAATTGACTATTCCTCCAAGGCACTTGAGACTGGTAAGCGAACCTTCAAATATTCTTAAGCTGACTAGACCAAGAAAGGCATGTTTGAGCAGAAACAATTTCCAAAAAAACCAGCAAAAGGACTCCGAGTTACCCTCGGTTCTCCACCTGGATTATCCATAGCGGGTTTATCATTGGGGTTCCAAGGCTGACCCGGCGCCACATTTCTTGCTGGTTAGACTCAAAATTTCACGGCTTGTCCGTTTAACTCCGTCATCTTGGCTCTTGGACTCTTATAAAGACAAAACGGCGGGTCTTAGAGGAGCCACATTTCTGCATATCCTCATAGATTACCATGTCACTTCGATCACAATCCTTATCCTATCGGCATTTCAATGTCTCTTTCCCGCATGAACGCGTGGTGCAGGTCACCCTGAACAGACCCGAAAAACTAAATTCCATCAACAAAGAGACTAGCGTCGAGATCGCAAAGATCTGGGAACTTTTCGATCAAGATGACAGTCTTTGGGTAGGCATCATTACAGGCAATGGGAGAGCTTTTTGTACAGGAGCCGATCTAGGCGGTATGTCACGAGACTCCTTTTACAAACACTCATACACAAACTGTTGCAGTTCTATTTCTGTTTTCCCAGCATTTAATTGGTATACAACGTGGTACAATTTACTAACGTCCAGACTTAGAATGGAACGCAATGGTCGCAGCTGGTGTAGTCAACGATATGTCCCCGCCCGGTCTCGCCGGTCTCCCACGTCGCAACGGCAAGAAGCCGATTATCGCTGCTGTGAACGGCATCTGCATGGGCGGCGGCTTTGAGATGGTGGCAAACTGCGATCTGGTTATCGCGTCTGCATCAGCCGTCTTCTCTCTCCCCGAGGTCAAACGCGGTATCGTGCCCGTTGCCGGTTGTCTTCCCCGGCTCACTCGGACCATCGGTCTTCAGCGGACCATGGATCTCGTGTTGACGGGACGTACAGTGCCCGCCAGCACTCTCTATGACTACGGTCTAGTCACCCAGATTGTGGATGCCGACAAGGACATCGCCCAGGCTGCAGTGAAGCTCGCGGAAGAAATGTGTAAAAACAGCCCAGACGCGCTCATTGTGGGTCGTCTCGGGGTTCGGTTAAGCTGGGAGGCTGGCAGCGCGGAGGACGCTGTGACGAATCTGGCGGATCAATGGTATCCACGTTTATATGCGGGCGCCAACTTTGCCGAAGGAATCCGGGCGTTTGTGGAGAAGCGACCGCCGAATTGGATTGATTCCAAACTGTGATGGGGGCAAAATCCAGATCCAACTTGAAATATCGGAATGTTCGATGAAATTATCTTATCAGTCTAATCAGATGAGTGATAAGGTGTGGCAGACGCTAGTAATGTATTACCATGGGTGAATATGCGGGTTTTCTTTATGCGTATCCCGGTAAAGATCAGATAATTCTTGGTAATTTTTCCAAGATTTCAAGAACGGATTGTATTCTTGAATTTCGGTATTTGTAACTGGTTCTAGTAGCTCATTTGAGATATTAGAAGCTGTACCAAGGATATTTGTATAGTAGTAGATCTTGGCTTATAGGACTTTCTTCTTATTCCTTTGGTAAACGTTCTTTAAGAATTTTTTCAAAAAAAACCACCAAGTCAAGCCGCTCGTAAGATTAATCTCCACCCGGATCACTCCACTGTAATTTACACATGTCCACTTTTATTACAATACCAAAAGTACATAAATTACATCGTAAGTTACATGCTGTTTTATATTCAAGGTATGCAGTTTCTGAGTGGAGCCCTAAGTATCAAATCTCTTCTGTGTTGATTTTTGTTGTGAACTTTCGTGTCCACCAATTAATTTTTTCGGTCATCAGACTTTATTAGGTACAAATAATGACTCAACTACGCAAAACTAAATGAATCAAACTACGGAAAGCTCCGTATATCCTCCACATTGAACCGCCGGTGATAATTCGGCGCCCATGGCCGACCCACGGGCGGAAAGGATCAGATAACTTTCTTTACCCTAGGACCCCCGTACTGCATGCGGACCTTGGAACGGGCCCCGAAGAAAAGAAGCAATTATCATGTCCGTCAGTTCAAACACGGGCATGTAGACGAAAACACACGTGGCCGATGCGTAGCTTGATCCATCCTTCGATTACTTGGCAGCATGGTTAAAGCCAAGAAATCCAGAATGGTATAATCCTCTCAACCGAGCAGCCTGATCGTTTGAACTCTTGATTGGCCATGACCGCCTGCACCTCATATATTTTCTCCACCAACAACCCAGTCCCTCGTCAAATGGGTAATTTCCAACCACGGTTAAGATCATCTGATTAGATTTCACTCCGTCTCCGATTTGTTTTTTTTTTCTCCCTTGAAATTATGAGGGGTCCGTGTCCAAGGTTAGTTACACCACTGGGGACAAATAGATCCACCTATCCCGTAAAGGCCCGCGTACGGCGGATATTTAGGAGTGGAACGAAAACAAAATGGGCAGCTGGGCATCAATGCCATGCCATCGCCAAGCTGCCAAGTGTCTCTTAGCGGTTCTTGGTCACTGCTACCGGGACTTCGCCGTGTTTCGGTCGTTACGTAAATCGGCGGAGCAGAACCAGTAATATTGGGTGGGTCTTTCTTTACCTTGGCCAAGAGAACGAGAAGTTTTATCAGATCAAAATTACTCCGTGTAGCCATAGACATCATACGTTTGAATGTGGCTCGCTCCGGTAAAGAGTCCGGTGATTATGAGGTGTAATTTTCAAGCTGCGGAGCTTAACTTGCATTTGCGGCAACACCGATGTGAGCCTATAGTGATGCCATGAAAATTGCCTCCAGGCTTTGCAAATCCGTGCTATCCCACTCAAGTGGGAGAATGTATGTTCTCGGAGCTTTGTTGAGGCAAATGTACTTCCAAGGTTCTTGGCTTGCGGAAGGAGAGAGTCAAGTTTACCGGGTGTCAGCACGCTACTCATGACTTCTCGGCATTGTCTGCATTCAATTCTCATGATGTGATCTTACATGTAGCAAAGCCAGCTAGAATTCTTTGAACTTGAGGAAATCTCTAGTTCCTACCACCTAGATTGACTTCATAGTTTTCAGTAACACATTCTGGTCATAGATTCAATGGTCCCCTCCGGATTTCATTCTGCTCCCGTCAATTCCTCACGAATGAAAAGTCTCTTTGATGAGCGAAACAATCAATTGATATAGTGGAAAATTTGGTAACGTGAAAATATAGAGTAGATCAGTGAGCATCAGGGCAAGGATCGACGAAGGATCTCGAAGATGTACACAGAACCTTGGAAGATCCACTTCAGCCACATCTACAGCCAGTATGTACTATCCCCGAAACTAACCAATGCAAACTACTGCAAGTTTATCTGTACCTCACGTTGATCTCTCAAACATCAGGTGGACTTGACCTATGCTTTCAAGCCGAAATACACTCATTTTAGTGAAGGGCCGTTTATAGAAAATCACACGATTCTCTTGATGCTATTATTCTAGCGCTTTTCTCTTTAGGACTCACTCTCTCTATTTCTCTCTTTCTCTCTTTCTTCAGTCTTTTCCCCTTCTACAATTCACTCCGGTTTATGGTGTTTATTAACCTACTAGTCAATATTCATGAGTCTTCGATCCACAACCTTGGAATTGCCAGCAATGGTGACTGAGGGTCCTTTGCGCCAAGGTACGGACGCGAACACTCGCCAAAGTCAAGTCTTTAACCTGTTGGACTTAACATGCCCTTCAATAATTTGATGCTGATGTTTTAAATCTAAAACATCTATCATCTTATATGCCAAGTGGTTATCATTGAGGTCAAAAAAGACCTAATTACTCGGTCAAGACAGATCATTGCATATATGGCGATAGTCCAAGCCAACCACAACAAACGAGGTCTGTCAGACGTTACTGTTTGTGGCATTTGATCTGGTTGAATTGATGATGCCTTCTGCAATCCTTTGCCCAGGGGGTGAATAGGTTTGCAAGATGATCCAATTATCGGATCTGAACGGTTGACATGATATTGCCAATATGGTTGCACATATTATCTTGACTCCAGACAAAGCCTGCAGCTCCCGGTTCCGATCTCTGGATGCAGCCTCGCCTCCAGCAAATGTAGCTGACTTGCTTAAGTGAAGATGTTTGAAGGAAGCCCATCTTTTATCCTTAGCTAAATCTTTCTGAAAATTCGTCTATGGATTTTGCATTTGCACGATTCTTCTTGATGCATGAACAATTTCCCTGCAAGTACCTGCCTCGGCAGTAAATGGCTGCAAGAAGAATAGAACCGCATAAAATCCATGGTTCTTATTTGCTCTTCTGTCTCGACATATCACTGTTGACATATTCGATCGCATCGTGAGATACGTCAACCTTTTATATGAGCATCTCTCAATAAATCTGATGTCCCAGGCTGTCTGCTCGGGTGCCACTACCCATCTGAGATGATGCATGTGGAGTCTCGTCAAGGTTGCTATATCGGAGCCTTCAGCTATTGCAATAAGTACAGGTAACAGTAACTGGGGTTTCTTGATACAATTGATTCTTGCGCGATATCATGACATTCACTTATCTGGCCTTTTTTAATCCCGCGTTTAACATGCCGAGGTTATCGGCAACATCAGACTTGTTGCTTTATAAACAAATGCTGGTATCTGGGAACAAAGCCAGGGCCCAGATCCATCTTTGTAAGTAGATTTTGTAGCCAGAGGCCAGGGCCTTGCAGTTTGAATCATATGAGGTCTTGAAGGCGATATTATCCCCCCCCTGCTTTCTGTCGCAAGGAGCTTGCTTTGGGTTTCTCTGGCAAATTTTTGGCATTGGTCGCTGGGAGGATATGACCCAAAGGGGCTCAAGATCAACATCATGTCCAATCTGGTCAACTCCTCTGATTCGCTGTCAGGATATCCACTTCCAATCGTTTTAAACTATATTCGTGGGTTAGTCTAAAGGGAAACCGAGGGTCATTGATGCATGCGGGCAAAGGAGCGATGATTGGACGAATTGGCGGCATGGAGATAGTTGACTCAGCTTGACTGTTCCTCAAACAGTTAGTCAACTTGTCGACCTCCCACGGACCTTGTTCATAGCCAATCAGCTTGCCTCGTGCGCGAGTAGCTTCGACAATGCAGGATTGAGCCACGAGGAGATACCGCGTGGGGAGGAAAGAGCGAGATGGACATGCGACAGGACCCCTCCGTGTCCTTTTTTTTCTTCTTCTTCTGTTCTTTCCCCTCTCTTCCAAGTCTTCTAAATCTTGAAGTTTTGGTGATTTTGGCTTCTCGCATTCCAGCCAAAGTTGCGTTTTCCCCAGATTAGCCACCGTTGACCGATAAGCCGATAAGCACCATCGCAACCAATGGACGTCGAAGCAACTGCCACTGCTCCGGCAGATCGGGCAGGCAAGTTGAAGTCTCCCAGCAATGCTTCGTTGACCGAGCGCTCCATAGCGCATGGCGAGAATGATATCTTGGGAGGAGAGAAGGTGGACCGGGTGCTGGCGGCCAAGATGAACATGGTCAACGACGTGAGTTCGCACGGTGCAACCCTGAAATTGACATGTGGCTAAACATTCTTTTGGTCCAGGCTATCGATGAGATCGGTTTCACTCCCCATCACTGGAAGCTCTTCTGTCTGAACGGCTTTGGATACGCTGTCGACTCTCTCATCCTCCTGATTCAGTCGATTATCTCCACTCAGGCTGGGTATGAATTCAACCCGAGCTATTCGACGGGCTTGACGATTGCTGTTTATGTTGGTATGCTGGTAGGCGCCATCTTCTGGGGATTCTCCGCGGATATCATCGGTCGTCGCTTTGCGTTCAATGTTTCTTTGTTCGTCTCGGCGGTTTTCACGGTCGTGGCGGGCGCTTCGCCGTCATGGACTGTTCTGGGTCTCTTCATCTGCCTCAGTGCTTTTGGCGCTGGTGGAAACTTGGTACTGGACACCACCGTGTTTCTCGAGTATCTTCCTAGTAAGAGTCAATGGCTTTTGACCTTGATGGCGGCGTGGTGGGGTAAGTGTTTCTTTTAAAAATCACCGGAAGACCAGGACTGACTGTTTTTCGCATCTCCTAGGTCTCGGTCAGCTCATCGCCGGTCTGTTTGCCTGGGCTTTTCTCCCAAACTTCTCGTGCTCCGATGCAGCCACCTGCACTTATGAGAACAATATGGGTTGGCGATACGTTTGGTATACATCGGGTGCCTTCGTATTCGTGTTGTCCATTTTGCGCATCACCATCATTCGACTAGAGGAAACTCCCAAGTTCCTTATCGCTGAAGGAAAAGACGAAGAGGCGGTGCGCGTGCTCCGTAAGATCGCTGATAAATACCAGCGCCCTTGCAGTCTGACTGTTGAGCGCCTCCTAGCGTGCGGAGTGACAAGCCATCGCAAAACGACAGCGGTCGGTTTGACTCAACGACTCATCGATCCCCGGGAGGTCATGTTCCACTTTAAGGGACTATATGCGACACGAAAAATGGCCTTGTCAACTTCCTTGGTCTGGTTTTCGTGGCTTTTGATCGGTCTCGCTTATCCTCTTTACAACGTCTTCCTACCCACATACCTAGCATCCCGCGGCGCTCAGTTCGGAGATTCAAGCCAGTACACCACCTGGCGCAACTATGCAATCAATAACACTTGTAGCATCTTTGGGCCTGTTGTGGCTGGCTTCATGTGTCGCTCACCTTGGTTCTGGGGTCGTCGCGGTACCATGATCATCGGGGCCTTGGTCACCATGATTTTCTTCTTCTGTTACACTCAGGTGCGAACAGAAAGTCAGAATCTTGGTTTCACTTGCACGATCTCGTTCTGCCTTAATATCTACTATGGTACTCTATACGCCTACACCCCCGAGGTCTTTCCCTCGGCTCATCGAGGTACGGGCAATGGAGTTGCCATCGGACTCAATCGAATCATGGGTATTGTCAGTGCCGTCGTGGCCCATTCGGCCAATGTAAGTTCCACGCTTCGTTTATCTTGTATCATACTAATTGTCTCCCAGACCAAAACCGCAGTCCCAATCTATATCTGCGCAGCACTCTATATCGTCATGGCTATTGTTGCCGCGGTCTTGCCATTCGAGCCCTTCGGTCGACGAAGCAGCTAAATCGATCACCGTTGGGACCATGCGAGCTTCATGACTTCGAATGGTTTTTTCTCGGACTGGTGGAATATAAACCGCAGCTTTGGTCGAAAAACAATCTTTTTTCGCTATCCCAATCTATGCCGTTGGTTGAGTGGCTTATTTGTCCCTGGACATTACCTTCAAACAGCTGTCACGTGCATCCATCGGGGTCTCAGAGATATAGCAGCAATTTGTTGGTGCTTCCCAGGTGTGATATGGATACAAGTCCAACATGATTTGCCTCTCTACCTTATTTCAAGGTTCAAAGTGCCTCCTAGTTAATGTTGATCCCAGGATGTCTAGACATCTAGAGAGACTACGAGAACCCTTGACTCTAGAATTTCCCATATTTTCACATTCATGATTCTAACGAAGGTGTTCGTGTTTTACAATTCCAGAGCTCGAACAATGGACTTCCAAGCCCTGTTCTATGTACATCAATAGTATTGATGCATCCATATGTCTATGCATGTGTAGTCTGTTCAAATATTGGACTGTTATTACATCAATTGATACATATGGGCATTTTGGTATTTCAATGTTGGGCAATATCAATTGATATTTATCCAGATGTCAACCAGTCATATAGTACTATGTATACTGCCTGGGTGCCTGTGGATCATGAATATGTATGCACAGGCTTGTAGTTTTTATTTAGTACTTAACAAAACATTGAATGAAGCACTTGAGACAGAGTGCATTCGAACTTTGAAGTGTTAAGATGAATGTTATCCCTTCTTTTGTAATGTTCAAATGTTCAAGGTTATCTAATCTGGTGAACTCCTTGCGTGATCTCGAATGCACCATGTCGGCGGTACCCGGTTTCTTATCGGCAAAGCTCCCCGCAGTTCGAAGCGACCCCAACTCCCCCAATTCCCCCAATTCCCCTGTTACGCGACCTCTTCCCCTCTCAGAACTCCCTGTTCACCAACATTTCGATTTCAAAATATCAATATGACTGCCTTTCTGAAGAAGCCCTTAAAGCTCGCCCTGGTGCAGCTTGCGTCCGGTATGTGTATCTCTCAAATCTTCAGGTTTCTACGGCTAATTTCGTCTAGGTGCGGATAAGGCAATCAACCTCTCGCACGCCCGAAGCAAGGTCCTTGAGGCTGCACAAGCTGGCGCACGCTTGATTGTGCTTCCAGAGTGTTTCAACTCCCCCTATGGCACACAGTACTTCCCCAAATACGCCGAAACCCTCCACCCCTCCCCTCCGACGAAGGAACAATCGCCCTCATTTCACGCGCTATCAGCCATCGCCGCTGAAGCAAACGCATATTTGGTCGGTGGCAGTATCCCTGAACTCGAAGAGTCCACCAAGAAATACTACAACACCTCGCTGGTATTCTCACCATCCGGCGCATTGATTGGCACCCACCGCAAGACACACTTGTTCGACATCGATATCCCAGGCAAGATCGCATTCAAGGAAAGCGATGTGCTATCTCCGGGTAATCAATTGACAGTGATTGACCTCCCTGAATATGGAAAGATTGGTCTGGCTATTTGCTACGATATTCGGTTCCCCGAGGCTGCCATGATCGCTGCCCGCAAGGGAGCCTTTTTACTCGTGTACCCCGGTGCATTCAATACAACCACTGGCCCACTCCACTGGTCTTTACTTGGCCGGGCTCGCGCCGTGGATAACCAGTCATATGTGGCTCTGTGCAGTCCTTCTCGTGACCTGGAAGCGAGCTATCATGCCTATGGCCACAGTTTGATTACCGACCCTAGTGCCAATATCGTGACTGAAGCAGATGAGAAGGAAACTATCATTTATGCTGATCTGGACAATGATAGCATTTTGAACATTCGCAAAAGCATTCCCATTTACAGTCAGCGGCGGTTCGACCTTTATCCTGACGTGAGTGGCGAAGGTTCTCAATAGATATACTCCATAAGTACTATTTAGAGGTTGGAAGACAGAGTATACAATACATTAGTACAAATTACTTTGTTTATACTACTATCTACTACTTCTCTGTCCTAGGATCTTTTACAGTACTATACATCTTATCTAATTACGACTAGTAGTAGTTTATGGGAGAAATCCAATATTGATGCCTGACTCCTAAGGACAAATACAAGTTAAAGGTGGACACCCGAAGTTCATGGCATCCAACAAATCATAGGACATCACATGACCCACAACCAATCATAATCCTCCCACCGCCTAAGCGAGCCACACTCATCCGAGATCACAAATTTGAATTTCCACTCATCGATCACTTCCGCCCACAGTCGACACCGAACCCTTTCAGTCAGTCTTTCCGCACACCTTCACCCTCCCAACTCCCTCTAACATTGCTGCAGAGATGTCCAACGTCCAGCAGACCGGAAAGAAGCAGCGCTCGGCCATTGCCGACGTGGTGTCGCGCGAGTACACCATCAACTTGCACCGCAGAGTATGTTGAACCCGAAACCTTTTTTTTTTTACCCACGACAACGAGTCTGTGAGGGATCTGTGGAGGCACAATATGGAACTGGACAGAGAACGCCTTCCTTCTGAAACATGGAGTCGGGTTTTTGAATTCTTCAATGAATTTTGAGGGTTCTTGCGCGGGTCTTTGTCTTGGGTCGGGGGATCAGGATGTAAAATTCCTTTTCTTCCCACCTGACTCGAAGCCCAAGTCTGGCCCCTCGGAATGCGATCTGTGGGAAACCACAGTGTTAACTCGTCCTTGCGACGAACCTGTCGTCTGCAGATTTGAAACATAATTTTGCAAGTGACATCCCACTCCCTATAAACGGAAACGGGAACCAGAAAAAAAAGAAGAATTAGTTTTATGAAGTCCACCTATATGGCCAAAACCAGAACATCACAGAGCTCTGTCTCTACATGATGGCATTCGGGCGGAAGACTGATTACGACTTCTTTTCGGTAATATAGTGCCACGGTGTTAGCTTCAAGAAGCGCGCTCCTCGTGCCATCAAGGAGATCCGTGCTTTTGCCGAGCAGGCTATGGTGAGTCTTAACAATTCCTTTCTTATTTCATCCCCGTCTGTGGGAGTTTTCAGCATGTTTGCGCAGATTTCTGACTCTGGTTTTCTTCTTTCGCATTTTACAGGGCACCAAGGATGTCCGCGTCGACCCCCAGCTGAACAAGAAGGTCTGGGAGGCCGGTATCAAGGGTGTTCCTTTCCGTCTCCGCGTTCGCATCTCCCGCAAGCGTAACGATGAGGAGGGTGCTGTCGAGCGTCTGTACTCCCACGTCCAGGCTGTCAACGTCAAGAACCCCAAGGGTCTGCACACCGCTACCGTCGATGACGCGTAAATGAGGTTCACCTTGTCGTTATCATCGCTTCTATGATTCCATGTTACACTTGGGGTTCGGTTGGGGCTTTTTTTTAAAATAAAAATATCTTTTTCATACCCTTGCTTCAGTTCTTATCGTAGGCTCCAGGTAGACTAGTACTTTTTGTTATATCCTTTCACACTATCTCCTCAAAACTCGAATAGATAGAGTACTCTGTATGTTGAAAAGTTCAAGTTGAAGACTCGACGGAAATCAAGTATCCAGATGTCGACGGAAGTCGCTTTCGAATACAGGTTCTACCAGCATAGCAGACCCCGCCATAGTTCCTCCGAAGGACCAACATTGGAAAACATTTCGATAGTGGGTTGGTCCGTACGTTAGTAGTATGCAATGCACTGCTTGAAGATTTGAAGATTTGAGGATTTGAAGATTTGATTCACCTATTGTTAAAAAATACATACTATCTCTCTCTGCTGTAGAGATATTTTGTGGCCATCAAAATCATAATCGAACATTTGGAAAATTCGAAATATTTGAAACGAAAAGATTGAAACAGAGGCTAAAATACAAGATTTAAATTTCCCGATACCGCATACCAATTCCCTAGTACTTGATGGATTCGACCTTGGCGTGGAAGGCGTTGATCGAGTCTGCCTTGACGCGCACAGCCCAATGCTCAAGCGGGCCGTCCACCTGCGGAACCATAAATTGGATTGAACTATTAGTAAGTTGATACTCAAACTCCTTCTTAAGGAGAGTGTTCAAAATTACGGAACCGCTGGGGTCTGCACGGAGAACAATGCGTGCGCGTCCACTCTCATGGACGAGAAGGCTGACAAAACCAGTACCCTGAGATTCCCAACCGGTGCCGAGCTTGAAAGCGCGGGCACGGCATTTGAAAACGCATTCTTCGCCCTCCGTTTCCGCTGCATCTTCAGCCAGACTGAAGATGGCACCAGGTGCTGACTCGTCGTCATTGGTCTCAGAGGCCGAAGTCTCCGTGGCAGGTGTGGCTGCCGGGGTAACGGCAGGAGCGGCAGCAAAAATGGAAGTGGGTGCAGCGGCAAAAATGGAACTCGGGCCAGCGGTAGAAGAAGTCGCAGATACTCCGAATTTGATGGGTTCGGATGGCTTCCATGTGTGATCCAGGCTAGGCTTGGGGGTTGCGGTGTTCTCAGGAGACTTGGCCCGCTTAGACTTACGCAGAGCGTCCTCGTTCGCGTCATCTTCAGCCCGACGTTTGGGAGAGATGGCATGACTTTCGACATCGGACGCGTCGCTGTCCTTGTCATCGTCGACCGGGGGCTGCGGAGTAGGAACACGACCAAAGATGTTCTCGGAGTCAGAAACAGGGAGACTAGGTGAATCGAAAATGGAGCCAGAAGAAGATGGCACAGGAGAGGGCTTCTCACCCGGCGTGGGTGTGGTTGACTTCGGGGAATCCACCGGCTTGCAGCCTTGTCCCGGAATCCAGACCGATTTTGCGGCATCAGCCTTAGCGGCATCAGCGGTAAACTTCGCACGTTTTTCGCGTTGCTTCTCTGCATCACGACGTTCCCATTCTTCCTCGTCGTCTTCTTCGGAGTCGAACTCCTCAGCCTTGCGCTTAGCCTTCTCCTTGGCCGCATTGTCGTCGGCTGTCTTCTTAAACTGAGCCATGAAGTCGACGGGGCCAGAGGTGCCATTCCCGAACTTGGGGGCCGTAGAGGATGAAGGAGCTCCAAACTTGGGGGCCGTAGAGGATGAAGGAGCTCCAAACTTGGGAGCCGCGGAGGATGAGGCTGCTCCAAACTTGGGAGCCGCGGAGGATGAGGCTGCTCCAAACTGAGGAGCCGCTGAGGATGAGGCTGCTCCAAAATTGGGAGCTGCGGGGGTGGATGTTTGTGCTCCAAACTTAGAAGCCGAGCTGGAGGAATCCTGAGCAGGCCCAGGAGAAGAGAACGACTTCGCAAAAATGCTGGCTGTCGTAGACCCGTGGTCGCCATTGGTTTCGGCTTGGCCGTTTTGCATGGGGGGTTTGTCCGAGGCTTCGGTTGTCTCCGGGCGCTTCAACTCCGGGCGCTGTTTGACTGGATGACCCAAGGCATGTCGGACCTTAAGGTAGAAGAGAAGTATGTTGTCGAACAAAGTTTCCCCAGGCCGGGACTGGGCAATCTCTCGCTGGAAACAAATATCCAAGGTTCGGATCTTCCAATGCAACAAGGCTTTGTCCTGCTGATCCTGAGTCAGATGACTGAAATCAGGATGGGGAATATCGTCTCCTGGAATTTTCACTTTGTCGGGCTGCGAAACAGGTGGAGTAGCAGCGCCGAACAGTGGTGCCTTTGGAGGTACAGTCGCCTTCTCCGGCTCCGCAGATGGAGCAGCGGCACTAAAGAGGGATGCCTTTGGAGTTGCACTCGCTTTCTCCGGCTCCGCAGGCTTCGGAGTAGATGAGTTGAGTGAGAAGGATGGAGGTGGGGTGTGAGACTCTGCTGGTTTCGATACAGCACTTAATCCAGCGAATGGGTTTCCTGCTGCCGGTGTAGCGGCCTTGGCGGAGAAAAGATTCGAGGCTGCAGAAGGAGCAGCATTTCCATTCTCTGATTGCGAGACGGAATTGGTAGCAGCACCAAAGAGGGGTGCCTTTGGAGGTACAGTCGCCTTCTCCGGCTGCGCAGGTGAAGTAGCAGCACCAAACAGGGATGCCTTCGGAGTTGCATTCGCTTTCTCCGGCTCTGCAGGCTTCGGGGTAGATGAGTTGAATGAGAAGGGCGAGGGTGGGGTGTAAGACTCTGCTGGTTTCGATGGAGCACTTAATCCAGCGAATGGGTTTCCTGCTGCCGGTGTAGCGGCCTTGACGGAGAAAAGATTCGAGGCTGCAGAAGGAGCAGCATTTCCGTTCTCTGATTGCGAGACAGAATTGGTAGCAGCACCAAAGAGGGGTGCCTTTGGAGCACTCGCCTTCTCTTGCTGCGCAGATGGAGTGGCAGCACCAAATAGGGGTGCCTTTTCAGCCACATTTTCGGGCTCTGCGGGCTTGGTAGTTACTGGTCCGAACGCGAACGGAACAGAAGGATTCTGAGCGGTGGAGGAAGCGCCCAGTCCGCTAAACGGATTACCTGGTTGGGAAGACGGCGCAGAGTTCGCATTCGAAATGAGCATACCATCAGAGGCAGTAACATTCGGGGTATGTGGCTTGGTAGATTGGGGAGTCACAGATCCAAAGAGGTATGAAGGCTTCTGAGCAGTTGATGAAGCGCCCTTTCCGGTAAACGGGTTACCTGCGATGGGTGACGGTAGAGAATTCGCATTCGAAAAGAGAATGGGATCAGAGGGATTCAAGGACGCAGGCCCGGTAGATTGGGAGGGAGTACTAGATCCGAAAGAGAATGGACCAGAGGCCTTCGCGGCATTCAATGGCGTGTTCAGCCCGCCAAACAAGTTGCTTGGCATATTCGCCGGTGTGGCTTTCTTGGAAGAAAGGTCCTGTGAAGCTCCTGAGTCACCGAACAGGCTTCGGTTCAAGGAAGAATCCATAGAAGGCAAGGAAGGCGATGTATTTCCAACATTCGTCTTGGACTTGCTATCAGGTGAAGTTTGCATAGAGTCGGCAACGGAGTTTGCGCCGACATTATTGGTGGCTTGCTGTCCGAACAAGCCAGATGAGAAGGCAGGCTGTTGTGGAGCAGGCTGGTTGCCTCCAAAACCGCCAAAGGAGAAGGATGGAGCTTGCTGGGTGGGTTGCGCAGGCTGCGTAGGAGTAGGGTTGGCGGGGAATGAAGACCCAGCATTAAAGGAAGTGGTAGCAAAGGGATTGGCTGCAGGACCTGAGCCAGAGCCACCGAAGCCTCCAGAGAAGTTGAAGCCCGAGCTTGGCTGGCTAGCGCCGCCACCAAAAGAAAACTGAGATGCGCTTGTTTGGTTAGACTGCGCGGGGGCCGAACTGGCTCCTGGGAAACTTTGGCTTTGGCTAAAATTAAAGCCTGATGGCTGAGCCTGGGCTTGAGGGGCAGTAAATCCAGATGTTGGAAACGCAGGAGCTGCGGTCGTACCACGAGGACGCTTTCTCACATCCTTGATTCTGTCATCGTCACCGTCAGCAAGATCCGCTTCGGCTTGGCGTTTGCCCTTGCGAGTAGAAGTGGAGGGAGTGGGGGAAGGGGAGGGGGAGGGGGAGGGGGAGGGGGAGGGGGAGGGGGAGGGGGAGGAGGAATAAGAGAGATATGAATCGTCGGAGCTTTGAGATTCGTAGAATCCCTTCACGGAGAAGGGTGGAAGAGAAGACATTTTGCAATTTGGAGCAAAGAAACATGGGGGGAAAACAACAACAGGTGTTTGGAACACAACAGGTGCTTGGAAGACAACAGGTGTTTGGAAGACAACAGGTGTTTGGAACACAACAGGCGTTTGGAACAAATGGTGGGGATGGGGGGTGGCGCGAAGGAAAGAAGAAAAGAGGGTGGGTAGAGGGAAGCGCGAGGGGAAGAAGAAGAGAGCACGGGGGAGAGGAAGTGAGAGAAGTCATGAAAAAGTAGTATCAACAAGGCTCAAACACGTCCCAAAAGGGAAATGTCCAACCCACGGCTTGGAGGGGTATGTTGCCATGCTAAACATATTCCCGTCAATCCATACATATCAAGCAGGTTCATTGGTACTTGGTATTGACTTCATCTCCCACTTCCCCTCTCCTCCACCGTCCTCTTGCCATTTCAAACATTCAAGTTGACAATACTCGACAGATCAAGGGGAGGTTTTGATAAAAATGCACCAAACTTACTTTCTGCTCGCCAACTGCGCCGCCGTTGCCCGCTGAGGCTTCTCCTCCGGTGTGCCATGCATGCTAAAAATGTTCTCATCGTCCTTCGATCCCTGAGGACCTTGCGCTGTGCGTTTCGACATCTGTGGTGGTATGTGTGGGAATATTTTCACAATTTGGAAGTTCCAGTCTTTATCATGCAATGTTTGCTAATACTGGGAACCCTATGCACCCTTTTCTGAAGATCGACAACGATCCCTCGATTTCAGCTGTGCGCATGCACCACACCTCCTCGCAGGTCTCACGGGACTTGTAGGTCTTTGGTGAGCTTGATCTCGAATAAGAGAAAGCTCGACAGCCGGATGTTGTGTTTGCGCTCGGTAGCGGACCGCACTCAAGTCCGTCACGCGTGAGGATGAGCTATGATCGCAGGCGAATCTCGGATATCTACGACTTCAGAGAAGAAGTCAAATGACGATGTGAACTGGAACTGATGCAAAGAATGCCGATTGGGAGAAAGGTAAATGGGACTCGGAGTCGATGAGTGGACACGATGAAGGAAATATGGGTGTCTCGATTCGACACGACCTTGTTCGCGATCCGTCGCGCAAGCTGACTCCAACCGGCCACCAGGGTCTAAATTTCGAGGTCGGTGATATGGGAAGAGGCTCTCTTTTGTGATTGAGAAGCTGCTCTAGGTTTGATTTGATGGATAGGAAAAAGTGACCCTGGTTGGATTTTTTTCACTCTTGGGTCGCGGAGACTCATCGAGGCAAGAACAGCAAAAAAATCACAATCACGTGATATTCTTGGCATGGGCAAAAACAAGAAGAACTTTTGTTTTGATAGCTCTGTTGACTACGCAACTCAATAATCCTCGGTTCTACGACTTGGCTCATGCAAGGACTTTTGGAATATGAGATGATAATTTGAGATGGGATGCTATTAAACCACTTGAGCTGGATCTGAAGCAGTTCTGGGGGGGTTTTTGGGTTCAAATGTTCTAGGTTCATGACGTCGCAGTGGAAGAAACCTTTTGAAAGTCCGTCTTAAACCCGTTGCTGTGAGTTCCGGTGCACGGTGCACTTGCAAAGTATTTAATGTTTAGGGACAACTGGTGTCTTTTATCTCTGTACTCTAGTTTAATAAAACATGGATAAATTCACTGTAGATAATAGAACGTCTTTCTCAGTTCAATGTTCCTTCAGCATACCTTTAAATTTTAGACATCTGGAAGCAATATATACCCAACATTTGAACATTGAATGGATGTGTTTTTGGAAAATCAGGCATCAAGTGTATATATATCTGAATGAATGTACTATGGATGTACACCGGATCAGGTAGGCAGGTGATAACTTGGAACTACATAAACTTCAACATTGAATATTTAATGCTGATTAATCACTTCTAACTGGGCAAGGTTAGGCAGCGTTTAAATGCCCGATACTAGAAGTAAAAAAATACAACATCAAATATTCCAAGGTACATTTGAAACTTGCCTGAAGCCCTAGAAAATTTAAATGTTCAAGTGCTTACTAAGCTTCATCACCAACTGGTCGCAAGGTCTCAAGGTCCGTGCATTCAATGTTGTGATGTACGCTTTAACTACTATTAGTCTAGAATGTCTACTTCGTATCCGTACATCACTATCACCTTTTGAAATTACTCTCAAACACCACCGGTGACTTCAAATTTCCTTTAAAGTTTTCTTTTCCCCGGAGCTACCCAAGTGCTCTATAGATCTAACTATGCAGATGTTACTCCCGCGCCAAATGGAACTTGACATTCGTCATGTTCAGCCACAAGCGCTTACATGTTCATTGTAAAACCATGGTGAGAATATAAAGGGAGTGATGAAGGAGTGGCTCGACCAGTGAACTTGTCAGGTCTGGCTCTTTCAAGTGTTTGAAGGACTTGGAAACACTAATATTGTAGAGGAACGGGAACATGTGGAGATTTTCTTCATAGAAAGGTTCTCAGATGATCTCTCCAATCGGGATTTAAGAGGATTGTAGCTTCTTCTCACTCCCGCGTGAAAACCTTGGGAGGACGGATGACTCCACTCAGTGAAGAAAAAAGTAAATAAAAGTAAATAAAATATTAAAAAATGAAAAATGAAAATAAATGAATACTACAGCAGAGAGTAAAGTCAAGTACCAGAAAATGATAAAAAGCAGAAATAATACAAGCATCCACTGGCGTTGCAAGGTTTTCCCTTAATTCCCCTGTGACACCAAACATACCCAGCATGACCCCTGAGTCGCATTTTCTTGAACTTGTGGCGGCAATAAAATCTGCAACTAGTCACATTCCTTTCCGCTTTTCAATCACCTCCGCTGAACTAGTCCCAATGGAACTACATCAAGGATCTATCCTGCCTCAATCAGCTCTCATAGGCCAAAGCCCAAATGTATCGACAGGGGAAACGATCCCCAAGTGGGGCACGATCGGCAATGATTGATTCCAATTCTCTCCAACCGAGATCATGAGCCAGTCCGTCCAGCGTGACAATCGGTCCTCATTACCGGACATTTGAAAGAGGGAAATTTGTCCAAATTGTCAGAATATGCCTGTCACGCTTGGATTTAACGGTCATTCGCCATATATTTCCCCGTCTCAAGTTGTATTCCGGGGTAGGATTATTTCTTCATGACTGGCTTGCCATGGACTAAGAATGATGTGGAGGCGTTCCACGTCCACCCCCTGGTTCTGTGTTGACACGCGCCTATCATGCATCACATCCAACTCGATGCCCGAGACTGCCCTCCTAGGTGGATATAAGACCGGAGCCATTTCCTCTCTTCACAATCTTTGACCCACCCCCACTTTCATTCCTGAGCCAAGGCTTGGTGTGTTGAACTGTAAAGATGCATCTTGCTTCGTTGATCCCCTGTTTGCCATTGCTCGCATATGCACACGCCCGTGTGCTAGACCCTCGCCATGTGGGCAAGGTGCACCATGACGCTCATCTAAACCCCCGATCCATCTACCCGCCCTGTAGCACATCGGCGGCAGCCCTCAGCGTCCCAACACCCATCCAGTCTCAGTCTCTCGATATCTCGGTAGACGCGTCTGTTGAGACAACAGCTGATGCTTCATACTGGTTGGCAGATATTGCGCATCAGGGAATCGCGGCTTTCAATTCTGATCCTTCAGCCTATACTGTCTTCCGCAATGTGATGGACTATGGTGCCAAAGGTAATGTCTGCAAGTATTCTTCCGGTATCAGGAACTGAAATTACTCACCAATTCTTTTATATTCAAGGTGACGGTGTAACCGATGATACCGCAGCAATTAACCTTGCAATCAGTTCTGGGAGTAGATATGGACCTTCGAGTGGAGAGACATCTACTACCACACCCGCTATTGTATACTTCCCCTCAGGAACCTATCTGATCTCGACCTCCATCATCGACTATGACTTCACCCAATTGATTGGCAATGCAAACTCAATCCCGGTGATCAAGGCTACCTCGGGTTTCACGGGTCTAGGATTGATCGATGGAGACCAATACCAAAGCAGTGGAAACCAGGGCTGGACTGCGACAAATGTTTTCTACAGACAGATCCGGAATTTGAAACTGGACTTGACTTCTATCGCAGCAGCCACTAGTGCTACTGGAATCCACTGGCCAGTTGGTCAAGCTACCAGTATCCAGAATGTTGAAATCGTGATGAGCTCCGCCTCGGGAACTCAACACCAAGGCCTTTTCATTGAGAATGGTAAGATTGCGACTCGATGTTCTTTTCTTTTTCTTTCCTTTTCTCTTTTTTGGAGCCGAAACTGATCTATTTGATAGGATCTGGAGGCTTTTTGACTGACATCACTACCACCGGTGGTCTCTACGGATTCAACATCGGTAGCCAGCAATTTACCATGCACAATTTGGTCATCTCCGATGCAGTCACTGCAATCTCTCAAATCTGGGATTGGGGCTGGACCTACCAGGGTCTGAGCATCACAAACTGCACCACTGCCATCGCAATTAACAATGGTGGCGCTGGTGACCAGCTTGTCGGCTCAGTCAACGTCTTCGACAGTAGCATCACAGACTGTTCGACCTTCATCACCACGGCATGGGAAACTTCCACCTCATCCAATGGAAGTCTTATCCTGGAGAATATCGCTCTTAGTGACGTCCCTGTTGCCGTAAAGGGGCCCAGTGGTACCGTTCTTGCTGGTTCATCGGGTTCAACTACTATCAGTGCATGGGGTCAAGGCCACAAGTACTCACCCAGCGGGCCAACCAGCTTCCAGGGCTCATTCACTGCCCCGACGCGCCCGTCTGCTTTGCTTGCCAGTGGGTCTTCCAGATACTATACCAAGACCAAGCCCCAATACTCCGCATCACCCACGTCCTCTTTTGTCAGCATCAGAAGCGCAGGCGCTAAAGGTGATGGTACTACTGACGATACCACGGCTATTCAAGCCGCCCTGACGTCGGCTGCGTCCTCTGGCGCAATTGTCTTCTTCGACCAAGGAACGTACAAGGTCACTTCAACTCTCTATTTCCCCCCTGGCCTCCGACTTGTCGGAGAGGCCTTCCCAGTTATTATGGCCAGCGGCAGCGTCTTCTCCGACATCTCCACTCCCGTCCCGGTGATCCAAGTCGGCAAGAGCGGACAGTCTGGCTCAATCGAATGGTCTGATATGATTGTCAGCACACAGGGATCTACACCTGGCGCTGTCCTGATTGAATGGAATCTGGCAGCCGCGTCGGGTTCTGGAATGTGGGACGTTCACACTAGACTGGGTGGGTTTGATGGCTCAGACCAGCAGTTGGCCCAATGCCCAACTTCTGCTGCTGTTTCCGCAACTTGCGAAAATGCGTATATGTCTATGCACATTACTAGCTCCGCAAGTGGTGTATACATGGAGAACAACTGGCTGTGGACGGCTGATCACGACATCGATGATGCCAGCAATACTCAGATCTCTCTTTACAGTGGTCGCGGTCTGTTGATCGAGGGAACCACCATCTGGTTGTGAGTTAATGACAAGCATATTGTCCCCCTGTAATGATGTTCTTTTGCTTACCAGTTACTAGATACGGAACTGCGGTCGAGCACCACTCGCTCTATCAGTACCAATTCTCAGGCGCCAGTTCGGTTGTGGCAGGCTTCATCCAGACTGAAACACCGTAAGCAGACCCAAGTCCATTTAGTTGGAAATTACCACACTAACACTCCCTCTAGATACTATATGCCCGACCCTGATGCGGCTAACAGTCCTTACCCTACCAACTCGACTCTCAACGACCCCAGCTACAGCACCTGTCTGTCTGGCAACTGCGACGCTCTTGGTCTGCGGGTTCTGGACAGTGATAACATTCTTATCTATGGTGCTGGTCTGTACAGTTTCTTCAACAAGTACAGCACTACCTGCTCTACATTCCCCACCCCAGAGAACTGCCAGAGCGAAATCTTCAGTGTTGAGGGCACCACTAGTGATCTGACAGTTTACACTCTCAGCACAGTGGGCACAACCAACATGATTGTCAAGGATGGGGTGTCGCTGGCGGTCGTGAGTGACAACCTGGATACGTATGCCGCTACGATCGCATACTTTACCCTATAAGATTTTTTTCTTTCAAATTTCTTTCTTACCATGTCTCTGGTACATACTTTGCTATACGCAATCATTTCCGATGAATATACCCTGAAACAATCTATCATGCCCATGTGCACTTTCCATTACTGAGTATTGAACCAAGTCTTGAAGACAAAGTCCAGGTATTTTTATTCACTGGCTATCGAGCCTTAGGTTTGAAGCTTATGTACTTTAATTCCTTCCTCTCCCTTGACAAACCCCTTCGTTGGGTCGTATATTGATATGCAATCCTCGGCTTCCTCTGAACCCTGCGACTCCCAACAAGATACCTGGAGCGAACCAACCTCATTGGCCTGATATCCTTTACATCCACTCTGGGTAGCATATCCTTCTCCATGAGGCCCGTCTTTGTAGAGCTGATATACAAACATTGGTTAGATCCCGGTGCCGTGGCCGTGAAAAGAGAAGACCGCAACCAACGCCCACTAAGCCTTTCATTAAGCCCCGCAGGACCTACTGACTTCCCAGGATCCACCAGAGCTACCGCCGGGACCCACGCCGGGATTCCAAGCTGACGATTCGCATGGCCCTTCGGCTTATTGTAAATATTGACTTCGACCATGATAGCGAGAATATAACTGACTGTTCCATCAGCGCTCTTCATGGGCTCGTATCCAATCAACTGTGGCCATGGCCAATCGACTCCTGTTGCAACATTCAGACCCTGTAGTATGGCTACATCGTCCGTATAAATCTTCAATGGGCCACAGCCTGTATCATCGATGAAGTCGAACTCGATTTCTGGCTCCAGCTTTGATTTGTTTTTGTCTTGCATTGGATCTTGTCCGAGCCTGAGGACCAATGGAATCTTTATATGACTATCAGACCGGTAGCACCGTCGAAAGTGGGGGGAAAACATACCACGTATTGCCCATCACTATCTGCAGAGCAGATGGCTTTATATGAATTCACAGATGTTGGCCCTGGCTCCTCACCCCTCTTGGAAACGATCAGAATCGCCGATCCGCCAACGTAAAATGTCAATTTGGACTTACCCCTTCGACCCAGAAGCCCTTATAGCCTTGATGTATTCTATTCACCGTTTTAAACTCATTCCAATCAAATGTGTTCGAACGATGTATAAATTTTCCATAAGACCAGTACGTGATCTGTCCATCCAATTTCAGATCCCCAGACTCATAAGCCGTAATAATTGACTCGACATTGGGAAGCTCCTCAAAAGCGTCCCCATTTGCCGATAGTTCTTCCTTCAGGCCCTTTAGGCACTCCAACCGCTGGATGAGACTCCACGAAAGTCCCTTTCCTTGGTATGGAGCAACGATGGCACTAATTCGGTGATTAGCGTTTGATTTCCGCATATTTGCGACATAGGCCTTACTCTCGATTAATCTTTGCTTCCTCAAAGACCTTTAACCTGATGCTGAATATGTAAGGCATGATGTTGTCTTCGATTCTCTCCTTGCATCTTTGAATTTGAGCCTCTATATCTTGGGGATCAAGATCCGGCTCATCATAATTCCAACCTTTTGGTAGTTGGTTCCAGTCGTTCAGGCTGTTCTTGCCTGGATGCGTCCACCGCTGCTGTCTTTGTGGCATTGGAGATTGGTGCTCCAGCTTTGTAATTGTTCATTTCTTACGAATCTGCGATGAGGTCAGCCGGTCTATCTTCAAATATTCTGAGCAATTTAATGAGGCCCCACCATTCGATATCGCTCCCCATAAGGCTCAGTGTGGATTTCTTTGTTTAAATGCAGGAGATCGTAGACTGCCGAAAATTGAAAATACAAGGTGAGAGGGAAATAATTAGGCTTATGCCGCTTATCAATAGATGGAAAGGGTTGATCAAAATGTTACAAAGAGGGCTTTTGACTAAAGTGAGTCTTTCTGCTACAGGTCATTTGAATTTCCTTCTATCCCCCGGGAGACAGTCTTATCTGAAGGCTTTCTTTGTTGCAGCTTGTTTCTTTTCAACAAAGAGATGTTATTGTGAGCCTTGGCGCCTGATTAATGCCTGGTGGATGCCTTAGAACACAGGCTTCTTATAGTCCCAGACTCAGACTCAAGTGTATGATTTCAACCTTCGTTTTCTCAGGCGCACGGGAAATGATATTGGATCCTAGTATTTTTTTTTCTACTCCAGGACTGTAGCATCTGATGTTGATTGATTTTATTACATAGGCTGATGGGCAACCCCGGCAGGCAAAATCCTTATCGGCTAGGATCTAATGTTTCCCCTCTTCAAGCAGCAAGCTTTGTACATCTCAACCTCTAATTCTGTGTCTGGAGTATCCCTATACTTCTAATCCTTTTATAAACTCCCACAACTCAACTTAAAAGCCATGCCGTCTGATCTTCAACACCTGTCGGCAACCTCATACGCTCAGTCTGGCTTCTCAAATCGCATGGGGTGGGGCAAAAGACCCGCATTGCTTATAATCGATGTATGCAAAGCCTACTGGACAGAGGGATCGCCTCTTTCACTCCTAGGAAACCCAGCCGCAGAATCAGCCCCGGAATCGATGAGACATTTACTATCGGCTGCGAGAGAAGGGGAAGTCCCCGTCGTCTGGAGTGAAGTGAAATACTCAAGACCAGATATGAGCGATGCCGGATTGTTCTGGCTAAAGGCCAAGCCTCTAGATGTGTGGTTGGAGGGCGATAAGAGGGGACTTGCGGATTACGTGGATGGCCTTGAGCCAGCTATACATGACACTGTTGTTGTGAAAAAGTATGCGAGCGCGTTCTTTGGGACGACTTTGGCTACTGAGCTTCAGGTATGTCCTATTATCAAGACATCTGGATCAGATTCATTGATTCCTTTTTAGACACTCAATGTTGATACACTGGTTATTTGCGGAGTGAGTACGTCGGGTTGCGTGAGGGCAACCACGCTCGATGCAATGCAGCACGGCTTCAGGCCTATGGTAAGCAGATGATACTTGAACCGGATTTTCCCCAAACGATGAAAAGAACTAAAATTTCAGAAGGTTGTGGGCTCTGCTTGTGGAGATCGCACACCCGAAATTCAGAACGGGAATCTATTCGACCTCGACGCAAAATACGCGGACGTTGTATCAGAACAAGAAGCGATGGAACATCTTAGAAAGAAATGGTGAATGTTTATAGAATCCAGGAATACACAAACGAATCATTATATCTGTGATGCCTTGCTTAGGCTACATTTGCATAATCGAGATTCATAGAGCTCATAAATATTTCGTTCCAAGGATAAGTTTCGAATTCCATCAGCATCACATCCGTGGGGAATGGATCATTCAGCCGAGACAGAATCCTTGGCGAGGACGACTGTGCCTCACTACCGGGTGTGAATGGTCCATTCAATGAAGAGTTACCAGTTAGATCGGTCAAATGCATTTCAGTGATCTGGTTGGGATCCCTTGCACTAGCTCTACAGAGAGCTTTATTCCAACGCCGAGCAAGAGGCCATGCATGCTGCAACTCGCCCAGCCCTGTCAAAGATTTCCGGAGGATCTCTTCAGCCCTAGGTGCTGTGCTTGGACAGATTTCCGGTCTTTTATGCAGATGGTTTGCCAAAGAGCCGCATACATAGACGCAGAAGACGATCAGGGCTGGGAAGCCTTGGTCAGGGGAGCGAAAGTCAAAGAAGGCATCGATTTGCTCGTGGAGAATTATCATATTTTCGAATAGTTCCGTTGTAACAGAGGCCGGGTTGTGGGGATCGTGGTCAGCCCGCAAGTGTTGATCGGAATTCGATCCATCATGGAGATATCTTCGGCGTAAGACGATATTACTCAATCTCAACACCATCACGGCCGATAGATATGCCAAGTCTAGCCCCTTTGCTTTGAACCCTCGAAGGTTCCAAATTGACCAGCAATGATGCGTTGGGCTGTTTCGTTCAAATTCATCTAGTGCCGTCGATAGCCTTGCATAATCCTCTCGGCTCAATTGTACTTCGTCGTCGGGAGGTTCTCGCCCTGTATCAGTGCCAACAACTCTTGCTACCTGGCCCCACAGATTGTGTGTCTGTAAAAGAGTCGCAAACAAAGACCGCGTCGCGGAATGAGCGAGTGATGGATCCTTAAGAGCCGGTAATGTTCCAGTTAGGGGTACTCGGGGATTGACCAAGTTCCCAAATGCAAACTCGTGCTCTGTGCAGGGCAAAAGAGCGGTTATATCACTATATGAGATGGCCACTGGAGAAGTCAGACCGGAGAGAAGATTGTTGTAACTCTCCAGCATCCAGAATGTTCGCCTTCCTGCCTCCGCGTGGACGAATTGCTCAGCCGTCGCATCACTGGATAAACGGTAGGTCTCTTCTCGATGTAGCCGTAAGATGCCAGCCATGGTCATGGCAATGCTCATGTGCATCGAGCTCCGATGTTTGTCGCCTTTGCCCCATTCTGCAATACTCAAAAGGAAGAATCCTTGTGTCGCTTCTAGGGTTGGAACGTACATCTGCTCGGGCACTAGCGCAGCTGCCCGGCTGAGAAACAGGTCGGTTGCGCTCAAGTCACTCCCATACCGGGTGACAAGACAAGGGGTAAAACGAGCTGAGATGCTCAAAATGCTAAACAATAGAAATCTGCTGATTGAATCAGGGTCTTTTCGTAGCCGCTCGAATATCAGCGTTTTCGGTAAAAAGCCAAGCTGGAAGAAGGACGTTGTGAATATGTTTACTCCTTCAATCAGTTCTTCAAAGGGCGGCAGGACCTCTCTGAGCTCAGAGGGGAGAGTGGTTGAAGAGGCTGGTGTTATTCTCGTTGCCGGCGCCGGGGACGATGCCGGGGATTTACTTGTCTGGGAATTCCTGTTCAGTTCAATCGAGGAGGTAGGGACGGTTGTGACAGAGCCAATTTTGCGATGACCAACAGAGGTGCGAGCTCTTGGACGCCGAAAAGCGCGGTCTTGGTCTGGCTGGCCGCGTTGAAGGAATACACAGTCCTTCCCACTCTGCCGACACGACTGACAGGGTGCCCGACCATCATTCACGCACCTGGTCCGGAGTCTGCGACATTCCCGGCAGGCTTTTGAGTGTCGAGTGAATTTCTTGACTGGAGCCTCGGTGGCCTGCTCCACTGCAGCTTGCATAGTCTGATTTCAGAAGATCAAACCCATAAAATTGCTAGCGAAAAGTTGACGCCATTGAGAATCTGCCGGAGTCAAGATATCAATTGTTCCCTTATCTCTTCACATATGCGCGCTAACTCACATCTGATGCTCTTTGATAAGGCATGTCGGCAATTTTTCCGATGTTCCGGCAATAGTGCCGGCCTTGGGGCTCTTTGGCATTTGTCGCGTCGCAAATTGGGGAATTCCTCGGTTTCTCCCAACAATTTCTCAGTAACTTTGAATAAGAAACTACGAAGAACTTTTGCAGGGTCTCGAAAAATTCCAGTAATGAATCCAGGAATTTCAGATGAAAAAAAATGAATTGCGCCCCAAATGCATTCCCTGCATCGCTATCCGAAAAAAGAGACAATCAAGAATCAAGTTGTGAGGCAACGGCCAACCTCCATCAAAGTACATATTGGCATCAATCCTTCACCAAGTCAACCGGGCATCTTTAGGTAGAATACATATTGCAATACAACAGGGAGATAACAAGATAATGAGTAAAAGTCAATTAAAGAAGAAATGTGTCAGAAAACAAGAGTTCGTTTATCCATAGGTCCATCCCATCGTCTACCATTCATCATCTACCGGCGTGCGAAACAGCACTTGATGCCGGTACGGCCAAGGAACCAACAAGCTCCAGTAAAGCGGAAGAGAGCCATGACAGCGTTGGACCACAGGAGGGCCTGGAAGAATCGAGAAGTACGGGTTGTAGCCGTGTTCTAGAGAATATGGGTTAGCAAGATCGGCACAAGGTATTTTGAATCGAGAGAATGATGGAACGTACTGTGAAACCAAATTTGTCCACCGCTTCGCTTGTTATGCAAACAGCTAGGAAAGCATTGCTGAAAATCCAGAAGGTCACCAGGCGAGTACGGAAACTCTTATAGGAATCCTCCAGGGACTTTTCGTCGCTTTCAACAGTGGGAACGTAGGGAGTGAGGGCGCGTTTTACAGTAGACTCGAACTGACTATCGATATCTGCCTGGGGTTTGTCGATTTCTTCTATGACTGCGTCTTTGCTCCCTTCGTCCTTGGTCGTAGTGGCAGAAGGTAAAGCATCGGCCTTGTCAGAGCCCTTGGTACCCCAAGACACATCATGCCAATTGCTGAAGGCGTAAACGTTGAGGATGTTGATGTAAGAGGATTGCAGCACGAGGTATTGCGGGAAAGAAGTGAACATGTGCCATGGATCAGCATACATGAACGAGGCCACAAAGTAGAGACCAAATGTGGCAGCCAAGGCAATGATAATGATACCTGCGCCGGAAGAGCCGAAGAATGACTTGAGGAAAGCACCTACACCCTCATTGGTCACGAAGTCCATTGGTGCGCCTCCACCGAAGGCACGGATGACCAGGTACAGGGAGTCGATAACAATGTAAAGCTGAATGATACCAAATGCGACAAAGGACGCCAGGTAAGAGAACTTGGAGCCCTTGGGTCGGTTACCCAGCGCAAGGATAAACTGCAGGAGCAGGAATCCCAGGTAGACATACTTCACAATAGTATTGATGATTGGTGTAGCGGTTTTGCCGAACGGGAATGCGGTTTCCTTGTTGTTTACACTCGGAGTACCAACCAGGTCGATAATAACAGTGGTTGTGAGCCAGTATGAAGCTAGCGAAAACCAGGTGAGGATAGTGTTGAAGATGTTGTAAAGCATCTGGATATGTAGGAAAAACATGCGAATCAGGTTGTGGCCACTTTTGTACATACGACCGAAGTGCATTAGCGAGTAAATACCAGCCGCGAACGAGCCGTTGAGCCAACGACGACGCTGCGAGATGAACTCGGCTGCACCTTCGGGAACGTCAGTCTCAGCCTTGGAGGCTTTGACGTATGTCAAATGCCATTTCGAGCCGGCTTTGGCAACCAATTCGAAGCAGAGGATACGATCCTCGGCCAAGAACATATTCTTTTTGAAAATGTTCATTCCCTCGATACCCTTCTTACCCAGCTGTTTGGATAATGTGTGGTCACCGTGAAAGTATTGCTCCAAAGGACGACCCATGATAGCACGGAATCGGTAAGCTGAGAACGCACCAGGCAACACACTGACATATCCAAACGAACTTTCGAGAGGCTTGTCCAAGATGTTACTGATTTTATACTCGAAGTTCTGGGCGGCTACCAGCGGGTTGACCAAGTTGCGCCAACCCTTGCCCAGCATAGCATGGATCTCACCACAGGCACCTCCAAGATCCTTATCGTTGTAAAAGGCCTCCCAAAGGGAAAGTAAGGATTTAGGGCCGGGCTTGGTTCCTGCATCGAGCAAGATACAGATCTCGGGATTCAAAATGCGGCCAAATGCATTAAAGAGCCAACGATGGGAGTTGATCTTCTTGCTATTCTTCTGCTTCAAACAGAACATCATTTGCACTGGAGGCAGTGTACTAGGACCATCTTCTGTTGGGCGAATGAGTTGTTGGCTTGGTGTGACGGAAAGTTGAGTGGTATATTCAAACTAAGGTTTCATTGTTAGCAAAAGAAGTTCATCATCTACCTACTGTAATACGGTATCGTTTATACACGGTATCATCACTTACAATATGAGCAACGGTCTCCTTGCCATCAACGTCTCGCTTCATCACACCGTCTTGATAGATACCGACGGTCGCAAGAACATCCAAAACATCCTTATCACACGGATCGATACCATCGAAGACGAGGGCCACAACGATCTTCTGCCAAGCAGGTCCACCTTTGTTCCAAAACTCGGACTTCTTCAAATTGACAATATCGCGAATGTTCTGCATAACACCGTGCAGAGTTCGCGCAGTCAGTGTCTTGTCCTCGTTGTAGTAAGTAATCGCAATCAGCAGCTCAGTATGGCGATTATACATTGCTGGACGCAGGTTATAACCATTGTGGAGGGTGAACTCGTTCGGATCGCACGTCGCAGCGGTATCTAGATGAATAAGAAAAACTTGTTAGGTTGCTGTTCCTGTTCGTCGCCCAAAATACGCCTTGCTCATCACGTACATCGCATGTGAGTAAACTCCTCGCTACCACCCTCCAAGTCGTTGCGGTATTTGGCCTGGATTGCATTCTGGATGGCACTGGGAACCGGATAATCGACACTCAGAACGGAACCCTGGACCAGCTTCACTTTACGAGTGGCATAGCGGCGCAAGTTTCCGCCGGCGTTTCCTCCAGGAGCTTGACGTTGACGCCATGCCTCGGTTGATGACGTCTCGCTGCGAGCGTAGGGTGATGGGGCTCGACCGGGAACACCAAAGGCCGTGGCCGGGTTCTCTGACTGGCCCGAATAGACGGTGCCGGTGCTGTAGGGATCGTGATACGCCGGTGATGCGTCTGTAGTGTAGGTTTCTGTCAAGCTGTAACCCGAGGCGGGGCGCATGGGTGAATGGCCACGAGTGGGAGATTGGCCCCGCGACTGGGGGTCATCAAAGGGCGTCGCAAAGGGACCCTGTTGACTGGACAATAGCCCTCGGGAAGCATCCTCGTCTTCACGGTACTGTTTGGCGCCTTGTTAGTGGATTTGTCGTTGGCCCCATTTCTGCATTGTTGTATTTTCTTTTCTCCATCTAGCTCTGGGGAGTGTCAAGCATACCTGTGAAGTAGGTACATCCTGCAGACGAGGTTCCTCGTAGGTAGGCGAGTGCGCATGCGCGTCAGACCCTTGGTAGGCCATGATGAGAGCGCGGTAATCACGAGCTGATTAAAAAACAAGTACAGGATAAGAAGGGAAAAAGAGGGGTATCGAAAAACAAGGGGAGTCGTGAAGTCCGAAAATCGAACAGATGAAGCCACCAGGGCCTTGCAGATGAGTACCTGGACTGGATCCTGGTGAGAAAGCCAGTGAGGACAAAAAGAAAACAAAGGCGAAAGAGGTTGGTTCCACGGGTCGGGTACCAGCACTCAACTCCGGAATGTGTAGAGATGGAAGGGGGTGAAAAAGGGAAAAAGTCAGAGAGGGGGCTGGAGGTAAGAAAGTAAGAAAAGCAAGAAAAGCAAGAAAAAAAAATAAAAACAAAACGCCTGCAAAGAAAAAGGAGTGCAGTGTACGGAGTAATGGTCCTGTTCTGTCAGAGATGCAAAAATAGACATCTCTAAAGTCCCCGCCTACTATTAGCTTCAAGGCTTATTCCTTCAGCCCTGATGGAAACTGAGAGCTACTATTTTCAAATACAGAAACTATTCTAATAGAACCTATGCCTCTTGATTGTGGTTTATGTCAAATAAACTCATGTATTTCAACCACATGCAACAATACACATAAGTGACATAACTCATCCCTTGGGGAAAAGGTGAGGTATCAAGTATGGAGTATACAAGCTGTCAGGGTCAAACTGGTCCAGGGTCAAACTCAGGGTCAAATCCAGGGACAAATCAGCTTTCAGGGTCTTGGTCTTGGCATGTAACTTACTTACTATACCGATCGCCTTGGGTAAAACTGTTTTTGGTTTCGACGTAATCAGAGGAATCGTTTCTTTAATCTCCTTTGTCCTACTCTTACTCTCCTGAGTCCTATGGATGAACTTGGCTATTGGAACTTGACTTTCTTCTTTCGCTAAAGAGAAAAAAAAGGTTACTTAGCTCTATTCTGTCCTTTCTCCAGATCCCCTCCACACAACCCTTGACTAGTCCGAGTTAGAGAGGCTCCACTTTGGGTCTCGACTCCAATCAACGGACTCCACTAGTGAAACACGGTGCAAAGTGGACTGACCACATTCCAACATTCTTCGCGTCGCCCAAAATGAACGTTGAACCATTATTTGATACGACTCAAAAGTCCCTTCATCTCTATATTGGAGAGGGTATGATGTGTACGGTATGTGCCGCATGGCTCGGAACAAGATGCATATTTCAAGATGAATCTCGCCTACGCCACTCGAGGTGGTGATCGAGAGGCCTGTGCCGATGCATACAGAGTAGATCTTTTATCCAGGTTTTTTTTTTTGTTTTTTTTCCTCTGGAGTAAGTGAGACTTGAAGAAAATACTTTAACAGAGCACTTTCCTTTCTCAGAGGGACCTGGGATGGTCATGTGACTTGCCTGACCGTTAATTAAGAGGATCAAGAGGATCAAGAGACCCCAACAGGTGCCAACACATCAGCCCAATCATGGCTGATGGACTGCGCCTCCCGTGTCTCAGCTTGACTCCTCAAATCTTAAACGCCTTTGCATTTGTTTTGGCCACACCGTTGTAACTCCGTCAACTCCAACACAGTAATCCTCGGCACAGCTGATTTCTCCTCAATGACGAAAGATTGGAATATTCCCTGCAGGGCTGGAGGAGATGGAGATGAAATCGAATATTTTTCCCTTTTTTTTTCATCTTAAATTCGAACCTGTCTCAGATTCCCCACTCGGATTTTCCCTTAAAGTGTTCTTTGTTTCTCTCTATCAGCCTCATCTACTATTTTTAGTGATCTCCAATGCAAATCTTCATTGTAGAGACTCAATCTTTTCAATCTTTTCCCAAGTTTGTTTCTTTGTGATGGTGAAAGGTGGTACTAAATTCTAATTTTGTAATTTGCTTCTCCCTCAGCCAATCATGATTAGTTATTTTATGTTCTGGCCCGGGAAAAGTCATTTCAGTAATTTCGGTAATTTTAATATCCCGGTCCGACCTTAATCCGAGGCCCAGACCGCGTCATTTGAGGGACGTGGAAATCAGGCGTACATTCAGGTACACAGGTACCTCATCCACTCTGCATAGAGATCACTGCAAGGTGCAAAAGAAAAGAAAGGGGGAGGTTGAAACAAAGATGTTAATCATCTTTAATGTATTCTTAATTGCATATCTATATTATCCTTGAATCTCGATCCGCCTTGAGCTTTTTTTTTTTGTTCTTCTTATTTGTACTTTCAAGTTAGTCCCAGGTACACAAATTAAATTCCCCGCTCATCTTGCGTGTAGAAGTGGAACCCGAACGAAAGCCACGCTCAGGCCTTTCCCGTGCAAGTGAACTTTCCCAGGAGAACATTTCGAACCTTCTCACACTCTCTACTTCACATCTACAACATCTGAACCGGTTCCAATTCACTTTGTTCTCGGTCTGGTATCATGTTCGCCCCCAGACCTTGATCGGATCTATTCTCCCACACTCGTTTTGGATTATACTCCCTGTCAACAAACACCCTGAGATTCATTCGAATCCTTTTTTTTCTTTCACGATAGCCTTGACGCTCACGACTTGACGTTGGAGAGCTTCTCACACTCTTTTCTTTGTTTGATATCCATCTGCACACATTCTTTTGATACCGTTGACCGGTCGATTGTTGATACCACCCCTTTTCCCTCCCATCCGATTCTATCCGCCCATCATGTCTTTCAACCTCGATTCCAACACCTTCCCGGAATTCCAACCCTCCCATTCTCTCTTCAAGCGCTGTGTATCATGCTCCAATACTTCCCCTACCTGCCCGACTTGCGAGTCTGGCTACACATGTAGCATGTCCAGTCAGTCATGCGACTCCTGTGCCACCACCAAATGTGTGATATCTGCTGGTAGCACGGAACCCGCACCGTCTGGTGGCTCCGATACGGGCGCCATCGCAGGGGGTGTCATTGGTGGTATCGCTGGGCTGGCCCTGATTCTCTTCCTGATCTATTGGTTCGCCATTCGAAAGAAGCGCCAAGAACGCGCCGAACAACAAGAGAAGAGCAGTCAATTCGCCTCTGCCCGCTCCGAGCGCCAATCCACCCAGTCCATCGCTTCTACCGTTCTCACTCGTGCTTCCAACGTCATTCAAATCGCCTACATTCCTGGTGTCACCAACCGCTCACCGCCAGAGACCCCGGCTACCCTGGTTCCCCCTGTGCCCCCACTCCCCGGTGCCCACCCCGACCAGCACTTCTTTATGCCCGGCGACTTGCGAGACTCCACCTGGACCACCATGACAGGTCATCAGAGCATGGCAAACACCCTTCGAAGCAGTGTTGCGACCACTATCTACCGGAACGACGCCATTGTCAGCGCCGTCCCCGCACAACAGATCCACCGATCGCGCGCCAACATCATCAGTGTTCACTCTGGTCCTGAATCCGGTACTTCAAGCCCTGAGGGTCAGATGACCCCAGTGGTTATCACCCCGCCCGATGCCCCCGCTGTGCCCGCCATCACCTCCGCCCAGTTGGCCAAGGCTGGAGCCATTCAAGTCGGCACCTCTCCCGCCTCCAACTCTTCTTCTTCCATTGTTGGCCGTGCCGTCATGGCCAAGCCAGTCATGGTCCGTGGTCCCTCATTGAAGAAAAAGGACGGAGTAAATGTTGTTAGCGCCAAGGAAGTCACAACGGTCTCGAAATCACCAATCCCATCCGACACCACCCTCAGCAGTCAACAATATGATCATCAAACCTCTACCTTTGACGGTAACTCCTCAGACGAGGACGACGATACGCTACCCTCCAGTCTCTCTCCCTCCACCAACACAGCCGCCAAGAAAATCCCCTCCATCTCCATCGTTGAGGTCGACGAATCTCCTCTCGAGACTTCTCAGACTAGTCCTTTCCACGACCAAGACAGCTCGAGTGCATCAGCCTCGACTGCCTCGGCGAAGCGCAGCTCCAGGCACTCAACCCGGACGCCACCTGCACGCGTGGACAGTCCATTCTCCGATGCGAATGAAGTGAAATGAGTTGAGCGTGTGTGTTTTTGAGAGTTTCGGATTGGGTTCTTTTTTATTATTCAGGGTTTTATTCCCCTTTGCATCTTTATATGTCAATCTCCTTTTGTATTTGGATTTTATATACTTCTTTGTACCTATGGACAACCCCCTTATCTGGTACATTTCATTATGGGCGTCGGTTTTTATATCTGGGGGTTCTGTACAGCGAGAATGCCCCCAGAAAGCGGAAACGGAAGTGGAAGCACTCAATCGAAGTCAACTTTGGAACTTTTCTTTTCAGATTATATACATTGTAATTGATCTAACCTTGAGAAGATTCATATATTTTTTTACCTATTCAGCCTTGGAATGTTCTATCAATACCCGAACCCCCTCCCCGCGATTTCCATATAACCTTTGTCGGATATGATTTAACCGATCTAGTGGACATCGGTATATCGGGTATAAATACATACATGTAGGCCTTTCCTTGAAGAACCTTGGGAACATTGACGTTTGCTTTGAAAGGCACTCGTTGACTTGACTTCAAATGTTTCAAATCTGAAGGGTTCGATACATATATTTGCTACACCCAACGTTGAATCTTCCCCAACATTTGAACATTTGAAAGATGTCTCTCCTACATCAATCCAAAGATAGACTCTCCGCCAACTACGCCAATGGAAAGCAAACGTTGTGCACATGTGCATAATTCCTCTGACATTCACAGACAACAAACTCTTCGCGAGTCTTCCAACTATGGCTCCTCATACATCACGAACACCAGCAACACCAATCCTTTGCAGACATTCTTATTCGGATACCCAATCGCACACTCAATGGCACCCTTGCTACACAAAACGCTATTCGAAGGCGTCTCCTTACCTTGGACATACTCACTGCTCGAAACCCAAGATCCCTCATAATTCCTACCCGCCCTGAGAAAGAAAGACATCATTGGCTGCGCAGCCACAATGCCCTACAAAGTAACCCTGATGTCCGCCGTCGACGATCTCACAGACGAGGGCCGAATAATCGGGGCTATCAACACGGTCTTCATCCGCAAGACCTCCGACGGACGCAGGAGGTACATCGGCACCAACACCGACTGCGTGGGAGTCCGAGAAGCCTTCCTACAGAACTACCCTGGCATTCTTTCCCAGTCAGTTGGCAAGCCGGGCTTAGTGAATGGAGGCGGCGGGGCGTGTCGAGCCGCGATTTACGCGCTGTGGAAGTGGATGGGCGTGAGCAAGATATACATTGTGAACAGACTTGAGTCGGAGGTCAAGTCGATTATCGACTCGTTCCGTGCGACTGGCTTTGACGGAGAGCTGGTTTGGGTTTCATCTGTTGAGCAGGCGGCGGCACTGGATGCTCCAGTCTTATGTGTTGGGACTGTGCCGGACTTTCCACCGGTGGAAGATGGAGAGATCCTGGCAAGGAAGATTGTGGAGACGTTTTTGGAAAAGAAGGAGAAGGGGTATGTTCTTGAGATGTGCTATCACCCCAAGCCTCGGACGGAGTTCTTTGAACTCTGCACGCGGGCTGGATGGGAGGTCATTTTTGGAACGGAGTCTATGGTTTGGCAGGGGGTTGCTCAGCAGGTGCTTTGGGCGGAATTGCCGTTCGATCGATTCAAGTTGGATGCAGCTGTTAAGACGATCGGAGAGGCAGTAAGGAAATAAGATAGAAATTAGAAGTTGGATTTTCAGTTGATATCAATATGATACATATAATACGCATTGGAAGCCTCTTGGTTGTTCTTGGGTATAATGAAGTTGGTTGGAAGACGTCAACATTGAAGGGCCTGGGGATTCCAAGGATCAGTTGGTGTCACTTGTTACCATTTAAACTACACCTTGCTCTCCACCACTCTCCTCTTCATTTAGTACTACCTACTACTCACCTCGGATTCTTGTTAAGTATAAGCAGTGAAAGACAAACAGGCCGAAATTAGAAGCATGATGGACAGGAATTAACCGTTAATCTCTATATTTCGAGTTGGCCTAGATAATACAGCCAGTTAAAAAATTTCAAAAATGGGTATATACAAAAGCCCAGCCAAATGTATTCACAGAAGAAAGACAAAAAGCGCATTATCCTGACAGAGAAGTTTCTAGTCCCATTCCACGCCCAATCTTACTGATCAAAGCGCGCTTCAAGAAAGCCTCACGCGCAAGCCCACGAGTTTGACGAGACCAAGAGTCCATCCCGATAACACCACGCACGAGAGCAGCCTGCAGTGCATAAAGTGCATGCTGCAGGCCTTCCTCCTCGGCGACAAGATCATAGAGTTGCTTCCCGACGACGGTGGGAGCAACCAGAACCTCGTCGATGGGAGGGAGGCCGGATGGAGGATCTGAGGATCCAGGCGCAGCAGAGGATGATGGAGTAGCGGACGTCGACACAGACGCCGACCGAGCCTGGGCACCAGCGATAGTGGCATCTGCCCGGTGGATAGACTGTTGGAGGATAGTGGTGTTGGATTGGAGGCTGGCTTGCAGGGCATTGAGGGCAGAGACTTCGTTTTGCAGGGTTGCCATTGCTGCCTGTAGAGAGTGGGATTGGGAGACTAGGGATTGAGCTGCTGCGTCGGACTGCATGGCTTGGGTTCCTAAGGTCTCGGCCAGCGTCCTGGAGACAGCGTGTAGGAGAGCATCCTTTTCTGGGTTTGGTGGGATCGGAGGGGCTGGTCCAGTGGGAGCAAATGACGGGAGACCGATTTCAAAAGGAGAGGTGAGAAGATCAGGCACTTGAGTCTTCGGGGCAGGTGCTGCTGGAGGCGGATGTGGATAGTTTGATGGATAAGGGGAGTTTTGTGGGTACGGGGGCCCAGGTGGTGGTGGTGGTTGCTGTTGCGAGAGAGGCCGCTGAGACTGATATCCTGGATACTGAGATGAAGTTGCTTGTGAGGGATGTTGATGGGGAATTTGTTGTTGAGGCAACGGATCTTGGGGGCCGTGTGGCCCAACTTGGCGAGCATAAGGCGGTTGTTGAGGCCCATTGATCCCGTTGTGTCTGTTATATGTGGGGCCCGTGGGCAGCGGAGACACAGAGTGCCCCGTATATTGGGAAGCTGGATATTGTGGTGATGGCGCAAACTGCGGAGGTACATTGCTTCCTGGGGTTGTCGCGCCCGTGGAAATTGCTCGTCTGGGATCATATCCCTTCGGCGGTAGCGGTGGCAGCGGCGGGGGCGATCGGTACCGGTCTGCCACATGGGATGGGGATTGTTGGTGCACTGGAGCCGATCCAGGTTTTGGGGGAAGCTGCGGAGGTGTTTGGTTCTGGGCTGCTGGACGAGGGGACTGGATCTGGACCGTGGCTGGTGATGGTCCCATCCCAGGTGGGAGAGGTGGTATTGGCGGGGGAGCTTGTGCCTGCGACAGTTGAGGCTGCTGAGGTGGCATTGGCTGGCGATACCGAACCGGGGGCTCCTTAGCAAAGACTTCACGGAGAATGTACAAGAAGTCGGCGATTGTTGATTTCTGTTCGATGCGCCACATCAGCAAATGTCGCACAGTTCGGTGGGTGGGTAACAGCTTACATCCCAGGCTTCCGCCCAATGCGCGAGATAGTGATGATACACTCGTCCTTCCAGGGTAACGTGCTGGCCAACCCGGACCGTCATATCTTGGGGCGGCGTCACGTATACCATAGGGGGTTCACGAGGGTACGTATTCGGGATCCAAATCGCGACAGGAAACCGGTATGTTGTGCCTCGGAAGACAGCAGGCACCGTGCCCACAAGATGGAGGAGAAGGGCAGAGAAACCGTTTTCATATGCTAAGAGACCAGATATATGTTACAAACAGCCATTGATTGCGTTTTATCGAGCGAGATTTGGGCACTCACTATATACATCGGTACGAGGGGAGAGCGAGGGGTACTGAGTGAGCGCATTGACAACATCATGATAGGCTCGATTGGGGTCGTGGTAGGTCTGTTTGGGGTCATAATGATCCTGGTAAAGAGTCAGATAGCTGTATTGAAGTCTCAAGTAACCACTCACCTTTGTCAGCGCCGAGTATAGCCAGCTGAGCGTCCGCTGGGGGACTGCCATGTTGTAAGGCTGGGGTGATGGTACGGTTGAGTTTCGCGGTTGTCCTCCGCACCGCTTCCCCGCAACTGGCTTGGCTCGCTGCCAAGGTTCCGCCATACTTGCACCGGTCAAATTTAATATGATAACCAGTTGACTCTGAAAATTTGACAAAATACTACAATACGATTACTTTTACTTATGATCAAAAGAAGCATCTGGCCAACTCGTTTTCATGACTCCCTTCTTTATTTTTTACTAAATTGAATGATTCCGCGAAATGGATCATATGACACTTTAACATCTATCCTGGCGTATACAATAGCAGGCCCCAGAAACAAAGATAAGAAAGTTGTAGGGTAAATTACCAATTAATACAAAAAATCCTTACATTTTTGCATTTCAAAAAACAGAAGCGTCGGCCTCAGGTGTCTCATGAAGGTCAGGACTCAGAAGCAATCAAATCTCACGCCAGCCAGACGGCAAGTCCCTTGAAACATTCTTTCTAGCATTGCCCTCATAATCTGCACATCCACAGACTCCGACTCCCAGAGCCTCAGGATCCGAATTCCAAGTCGCACAAGCGCACCCCAATTCTCAGGTGGTCTCAAAGCCCACCCTCCTGGATTTGGATTCCGCGCAAGAGTCACGTTGTTTAACACTGCAGCAAGAATATGTATGGCGCAAGCGAACGCACTTCGAACGACACTATGGACCCACTCATGGCGAAAATGATAGAAAAAGTTTGGAAGAAGGTGGGCGCAGTTATCAATTGCTTTTTGGGCCAAAGAAAATACCGATTGAGATATATGAGGGGTCGTCTGTACCCAGCTTGGAAGGGACTGGAAGTGGATTGCGAGGTAGAAGACTGGTCGGTAGATCTTCTCACATGCGATGTGATAACGACCCGAGAGGAAGAATTCAAGATCTTGATTGGACGAGGAGGGAGAGGAGAGGCCGCTGTGGCACAATTGGTGCCTTTTTTGTGTTAGCGGTTAGAACCAGATAGAGGTTGAGAGACGACAGGAGGGAAAAGGCGATTATACCAGGACGCAACTACTTTCACGGCCTCGGAGGTTCGATCGACAATTTCGCCGACGTTGTTCATCCATCCTTCTTCTCCATTTCGCCAAATGTCAACTAGCATTTCGTTGACGGTGCGCCGGTTGCAAATGGTTCCAATGTAGAACCTCCACCCCTTCTGCTCCTCGGTGCCACTGACACCAGATTGTATGTTAATGGGAGCCTCGATATCGCTTTCAATATTCTCCGGGGAAGAGGAGAATACGGGGAGACTTGGAAAATACTCAGACGATCCAAACCTTTCAAGTCGACTGCTCCATAAAGGCAACTCGCCCTGCATTTCACTACTCGGTTGCGGTTAATAGGTGTATGTCGGGTACTCATCAACTAGTACTTACTATTCAGCCTGGATACAAGACCAATATAGCCGAGACTCCAAGTTATGATAATTTGCATCAGCTCTCCACTGCTCTCTGCACAATGACCGTAGCCGAACCTCTAGTCTGCTGGATGCCTGCTGAAAACAGAACCATGCTTCCAGCGGACGCATAACATGCCTGTGATAAAACCCAGCTAGAAGAAAGCACTGGATATCGGTTGTAGATGCACTCAATGATACGAACCGCTGCTTAGCGGCATGAAAATATGTCCATGCACCGCCCATATCAGCATCGGATGGAGGCGGTTCTGGAATGTGATCTAGATCCTCGGGGACCTGTGCGAGAGGAATAAAGGAGGAAGTACAACAGGCCAAAGCGCATGCTAGAAGCTGATAAAGGAAATTAGCGTGAAAAAAAAACATCAAAATACAGGTTATTTAGAAAGATGAGGCGTACCACTAGGCAAGATTGAGAGTTCGACTCTAATCCTTGGATGCTCACCTCGCGGGCGTAGTGCTCGAGCTTTTCTATATACAAAACGGGATTCCGCCGATGGACGAGCATAATGTATTTCCGACATAGATGCTGAATACCAGCCACAAGATGGCTATCGCCCACCTGCTGGGGTGGTGGAGCGGCCGATTGAGCATGGGCATCCAGAGAGTCTAATAAAAACGATCGAATGTTTTTCTCTGCATCTGTTACAATTCTTTCATAGACCGGCCAGCGGAGCATCAGTTCTGCGGAGCTAGCCACGTATAATAAGTCGGCATCATGCTCGCACGTGCGATAATCGCCATTGGAGCTACCTGCCTGAGCATGGGTGTTTCCTGGGAATGCAATATCAGTCAGTGGACTGGTGTTCTGCGTAGTCAATTCGAGCAAGGTGCTCCGGAGAGAACGAGTAGAGGAGCCGCTCAATGAATTGCCTTGCTTGATATCTTCCAGTAACGAGGAAATATGGCTCAGCTGCTGCAAGATTTCCTGATTGGACGTATCGTATCCAGATCTATAGGACAGGAGAAAATGTTTCAGTCTCAGACTTGCTCCACAAGGCCATTTTGCAAGACCCAGATGAAAAGATAGCCAAGCCACCTTACTTACTGGCTAAGGCGTGGTGACGTCTCAGGATAGATGCAATCTACCCCCTGCACAACACAATAACTACAGGTTGGCCTGGAATTGTCGCACCGGGTCTTGCGAAGACGGCATGTCTGACAGGCCGTCGGTGCGCGTGTCCGACTTTCGCGCTTCTTTAATTTCGAATCGTCGAAATCCATGCCTCTCAGTGTACATTGATTTTTTTTCTCTCCTTCCCGATATAGGCAAAGAACATGTATTGGGGAGCTTCGCGGAGCTTCGCGGAGGTCGTTTAGAGAAAGAGAGGGGAAAAAAAGAAACAAGGTCGACCCGTGGCACTGGGAAGTCCTAATTACAGGAGTCAAGAGAGGAGTGTCAAGACTTGGGCAATGCCCCCCAATAAACTAGTGAAAATAACAAAGAAACGGTGATGTGTGAACCTTGACCGATGTGGATTAGGGCGTTCGCCCCCAAAGAAAGAACTCGAGGGTGGATGCCTGTAGCACCCCATGTCAAGAACAGGGTTTAATATGGTGCCTGATTGGCTTGCGATTGTGACTTGATCGCCCCTCAAAAACTTCCCAAAGATGGCGAAAGCCTTGCATTTCGGAAACTGCTATTGGCTTGATGCAGGAGAAACGTGGCCAATCGACAGACCTCCACCTTGAGTACGGTGCCTCACTGGAGATAGGCGAATGAGGAATAGCGCACATCATGTGCGTTACAGGGATGCGCTGCTGTAGAGATGCAGTTCTTCATCATGCGGCGCCGAGCTCCGGTCAACCCGGGTTGATACTGTATCCAATAAAGATTAATGATCAGACGAGAATTGAGAAAAAGAAAAGATAATGCTAAGGAGGTTGAGGTGATCTGCTTTCGCGTTGATCACAATCCAAAGGAAGTAGCTGGTAGTCCCCACTCTCCACATATGCGGTATCGGCCTGTACAGAAAAGGCAAAGAAAAAGAAGCTATTGCTTGGTAAAATTCGTCGATTGCAGATCGTCACTAATCGCTAACGTGCATAAAACAGGCGCCAATTGGCGGCACCGGGAGTACATGTACAGAGTCGTGCCCGAAGGCTGCAACTGGGCAGAAAAGCAAACATATTCCAACGCCGAGAAAAATGCGGATGAAAGAGGCCACCGAAATAACAAAAAAAGGGATAACAAGTGTGAGATACTTGGAATATCTGGTCACTACCTGACCCGCTTCTTCAATTTCTTCACCTGAGGTACCTCGCAGAGCTCGGTCCAGGCATCTTCGAAGACAGTCTTCCGTGGGCCGATCTGTCCTTCGTAGAAATTCAACTTGCGCACAACTTCCATGGCACCAGTTCCCAGTCCAATGGTCTTGCCCATAATAATACATTCAGAGACACCTTCAATCAGATCGGTACGGCCAGCACCACCGGCATCAAAGAGGTGATCAGCAGTCTTCTCGAATGAAGCGAGCTGAAGAACAGAATCACGCATCTTGGCCAGACCAAACCGAGTAATACCCAGAACCTCGCCCTTGTATGTCATAACGTCAGCCAAAAGTTGCATGTGACGAGGATCGATGTTCATGTCCTTCATGACTTCACTAATTTCGACAACAATTGTAGTTCGTGCTGCCTCAATACCAAGAACTTCACGTGCTTCCATGACATTGTTAGTCCTTGTGCGGAGACCATCCACACCAACAGTGGTCATGCAGTCTTTCAAGCCGTAGCCTTCCACCAATAGGGTGTTAGAGGTTGAGGTCTCGTCTGTTCGGATAATAGCACGTTGGGCACGGGCGTGTCCAAGAATTTGGATATCGGGCAACATTCGCTTAAGATGTTTGAGACGCAGGAAGGGGTCGAGACTTGTGGCGGCGACCTCTGTCTTTGACAGACCCGTCTTGGTGGCCGGGTCCATGTCCATGAAGATCCGAATGGAAGACGTGCCAACCCGGAATGTGAGATCTGCACCCTTGAAGCGCTTGTGGGTTTTGATTGCCTGAGCGATTTTTCTTACATCCAACTCGAGTTTGAGATCAGAAATCGTTTGGAGGTTGATCTTAACGGTGACATAAGCATGACTGCCTGTCCAATTTTCGGTAATAGTGCGCATGATGTCTCGCAGGTACGTCTTTTCGATGCGACCCTTCACGATACGTGCTGCAGCCATGTGCTCCTTGTTGACTAGTTCGCAGGCGATAACGGGAGTACTGATCTCTTTGGAGGCGTTGATGATTTCCTTAATACGAGGAACACCTTGCGTGATACTCATACCAGCGACACCGGCGAAATGGAAAGTCTTCAGGGTCATTTGGGTACCTGGCTCACCAATGGACTGAGCACCAACAGCACCCACGGCATGACCAGGCTCAACTTGAGCTCTCCGGTATTTTGTGAGACAGGAAGTGATGAAAGCACGCAAAGTGGTCTCTGTCAACTTTCCGGTATGGTCCAGGCCTTGTCGACTCCTTTCGTCGTTCGGATTGATGTCACCACCCAGATTGATCAGTTTCTCAGCCTTCGCATCCACATATTCTTGGATGGAGTCCAAGAAATCACGTGCGCTCTCAAGCTGATCGACTCCGTGGTCACTGCGATCCATGTAGCCCAGCTCATTGCCCATGAGGTCCTTGCGTACCAACTTAGCGCGTTCTTTGCCAAGCATTTCTTCGCAAACTTGCGCGATTTCAGCCGGAAGCAAACTCCGTTCGTAGTTGTTGTATGTGGTTGACTCAGAGTGAATGAATGTTCGCTCGAAATGGACGGGCCTGGCTTTACCTTCCATGTCCAAAGGATCCAGCTTATCGTCACCATATTGGAACTGCACAATCGCTGCAGAGGAGTTTCGTACGGTATCATCATACATCGTAGAGAGATCTTCAAGGGACTTCATCAACCGACGAGACATGTAACCAGTTTCGGCCGTTTTAACAGCAGTATCGACCAGACCTTCACGACCGGACATTGCGTGGAAAATGAACTCAGTAGGGGTAAGACCCGAAAAGAAACTGTTGCGAACGAAACCTTTGGAAGGAGGCTGACGTGCATTCTTCGGGAAATGAGGCAGGGTACGATCTTGGAAACCATCCAGGACACGCGAGCCACCAATAATCTGTTGACCCACAAGCGCCACCATTTGGGACACGTTGATACTAGAACCCTTAGATCCGGACGTGGCCATGATCAAAGGCGAGTTGTATTTGCTAAGCTGTGCAATACACTCGTCACCAGCTTGCTGACGAACCTTACTGAGAATACCAGAAAGCTGGTTTTCCATTGTTTGCAACTCATCACAGCCAGGGTACTTCTCCAAGGTGCCAGCTTTAAATTGAGCGATGACTTCGTCACAAGCTGCGTAGGCCGCTTCGACCAAGTCATTCTTAGACTGGACAAGCCTTGCGCTGGGCCACACATCCGCAATACCGATGGAGAAGCCAAGGTTGGTGAGCCAGCGGGCCGACAACTTGGAAAGACGGTTCATACCCTGGGCAGCGGCAGCAGGACCATAATCTCGAAGCATAATGTAAAACACATTGTCTTTTTTACCATCACCGACAGTAGATTTGTCCATGACACCACACATGACTTCTGAGTTACGAATCACCAGCCAGGAATCGTTTGGATCCAGGTCTTTGGGCATTCCGTCCTTTGGTTGCTTGAATTGTCGACATGCTGCATCGAGATTGACCAAGACGGGGTCATCCTTGTTGGGATGCATCAAAATATTAAAGACTTGCTTGCCAGTCCAGAGCATCTCTGGTTTCATAATTGATGGCGGGGGCAGATCAAATCGCGTCTCGGGACCCAACATATAGAGACAGATCTGAGAGAAGCACCGACGGTCGTAGAAATTATCTTTGCTGCTTAGTAGATAAGCAGCACTGATGAAATCCTGAATAGCACCAATGATGGGTTCACCGTTCTTAGGCGTGGCCAGGTTGTTCTTCACACCCATCAGCTCCATTGCCTCTGCTCTCGCTTCTTCCGTTTGTGGGACGTGTAGATTCATTTCATCTCCATCGAAATCGGCATTGTAAGGGTTGCAGACACACTCGTTCAGCCTGAATGTCCGATGCGGTCGAACCTTGGCAAAATGAGATAGAATACTGAGCTTGTGGAGGGACGGCTGTCGGTTGAAGAGTACGATGTCACCGTCTTCAAGGTGACGCTCGACCTTATCACCTTCTTGGAGTTGGTTGGCCATATGCCTTAGATTGCCATACTTCAAGTTCGTCTGCCATATCGAGCCCTTTTTGATCAAGTATCTCGCACCGGGGTATTTGTTCGTTCCATTAAGCACTCGCTCTTGCAACTTTTCCTTGTTGTATCGTGTTACCACCTCGGGATATGTCAGGTTTCGGGCAACCAGCTCCGGAATAGCAACCTCATCTACTCGAAGATTGGGGTCGGGCGAAATGACCGTTCGGCCGGTGTACTCAACACGCTTTCCAGACAAATTTCCACGGAAGCGACCCTGCTTTCCCTTCAGTCGTTGCACAAATCCGCGAATGGGTTTGCCAAGATCCGCCTTGTTGAGACCAGGCACATCACTGTTGATGTAGACTGCGATTTGGAGTTGCATATAGTCCCAGCATTCCATGATGGTCTGGACTGGGGCTCCTTTGAGCAATGAGTTCTTGAGGTTGATGTTACTCTGCACAATATCACCCAACTTCGCAGTCAAGTCGTCCTCAGTAGACGCGGCCTCTTGAATCACCGAAGGTCTGATACAAACGGGCGGAGCCGGAATATACTGCCACAGGAACATCTCCGGTCGAGCCTCTTTGGGATCCAATCCCAGAAGTTCACAATCACTGTCCGAAATCTTTTGGAATAACTTGAGCACTCGCAAGGCATTCAGGTCATCCTGTGCTTTCTTGAAATGTTTTTCGACCTCGGTGTTCGAATTTCGCACTTCGGCAAAGGAATCATCAAATACCGTCTTGCTAAGCGGCGGCTGCTTCTTGACCGATGTAGAGGCATTGAAAGCACGGAACTTGTCGTGTGTGATCTTCAGCGCGCTCGTACCAATCTTCTTCACAACACCGTTGATCGCATTGCAGTGCTCGCATACGCGAGTCTTCCGGCACCGTTCGTTGATTCGCTTCGCAATCTGCATTCGTCGCAAGTTATCCAGGCCAGGACGTCTCATTTCTCGTAGGAAGGACCGACGCTCGTTCTCCGGAAGGAGAATGCGTGAGCATTCTTTGCAGATTTCCTGTAGGATGCCGATGACCCTCTTAAAGTAACCAACGTGAAAAGCTGGCAAAACCAGTCGCACATGGCCGAAATGACCATTGCAATCCTTCGAGTTCAGGCCGCAAGTCGCACAGATTGCAACTTTGCCTGAAATACCCATGCGTGTATCGAGAGGGCCATTGGAAACCACCTTTCTGCCATTCTCAAGGTCGAAAAATTTTCTATCTGAAACTTCCACCGCAGCTTGCTCAACAATATCGTTCTTTGTTCTAGAGAGAAAAAAATGTTTTCATTAGCTACCGCATTCCGCGCAAACAGTGCTGTAACTCAGCCCTTGAAGCAAAATCGGGGTTTCATACAATACACCAAATTTCAACTCCTTGATGATTTTGGGAGTACGGTCAATGACCTGAGCCTTGCCCAGGTCAATCTGTGCATCCTCGGAGGCCTGCATCGCGCCGTCGTCAAAGGGAGAGCATGGCAGGGTGACTCAAAGATGATTTGATCGGCGCGCGGGTGTCAGCCGCAATCCACGAAATCGAATATCCGTGGAACAGATTGCGCCTTTAACGTCGGCTACTAAACCTGCGCGAATATTTTCCGAGAGCAAACTCCACAGGTAATCGGTTTGGAAGGAGAATGGCGATGAGGAGAGGAAGAGGATGCAGAATTGACCGCGGGGTCGGCGACGAGCACTTTTTTTCTGCCGCAGAAGCTCTCTTACCGCCTAGTAGTATAAAAAACCGAGAAATTGAATCTAATGTCACTGAAAGCCTTCGTAGTAGCTGTCATTATCTACAGCATGCATGCTTGACGTGCTAAGTATCTGTGACAATCTCTGGCCTTTTTATTGAGAGAAACCGAATAGCATTAGGAAAACATTACTTACAGCCAATACTTTCATACACGTAATAAAACTGGATCTCTAAAAGAGTTCACCAAAGACGATAGGGTGTGTACTTCTTACAAATATAATTATTTCTAATGTACATGTGATCATTTGGACAAGAATGCCTGGAAGGCTTTGTGGTCAATCACAACATTGCCAACTGCACGAAGCCTCTTGCGACCCTCTTTCTGTTTCTCCAGGAGCTTTCGTCGGCGACTTACGTCGGCGGCATGCAATTTGGCCAAGACATCCTTGCGGTAAGGCTTGATAGTCTCACGAGCAATGATCTTTTTGCCAACAGCAGCTTGGATCACAATCTCAAAAAGTTGCCGATCAACGTGTTCCTTGAACTTGGACACCCATGTTCTTCCCTGGCGGCTAACCTGGCTCATATGCATGAGTCGTGACACGGCATCAACAGGCTCTTTGTTCACTAGAAGCTGAAGCTTGACAATATTGCCTGCGCGCCAAGCAGATTCCTCATAATCCAAACTAGCATAGCCCTTGGTGCCTCCCTTCAACTTTCCGAAGAAATCATCGACGAGATGTGCCAAGGGAAGTTCATATTTCATGATAACTTGGCTGGCAGTGAAGTATTCAATGCTCTGTTGCTCGCCTCGGTTTGCTTCACAAAGCTCAATCACCTTTCCCAAGTACTCCTCAGGGAAGGTCAGTGTTGCCAACACATAGGGCTCCTGGACCTCGGCAACCTTAACACGTAGGCGTTCGTCGTCCGGAAACTTTGCCGGGTTGGTGATGATTTCTTCCGTGCCGTCCTTCCACACAACCTTGACGGGGACAGACGGGGGTGTGATGATGATGCTTGCACCGTGTTCCTGACGGAGGCGGTCCTCGAAAACAGAGCAATGAAGAGTGCCCAAGAATCCCATGCGAAATCCGGCTCCCAGGGCCTCGGAGGATTCCTTTTGAGCTGTCACACTTCGGTCATTCAAGACGAGCTGATTAATGCTGTCATCCAAATGCTCGAAAAGATCAGCATTGATAGGGTATACAGCAACAAAAACCATCGACTTTGGCTCTTCAAAGCCTGGCAAGGCTTCCACTTGCTTCTCCTGGCCCACTCTAGCCAATGTATCGCCGATCATGGCTTCCTTGCTTCGTTTCATTCCGGGGTTGAAATAAATGTATCCGACTTGGCCCGCGCGGAGGACTGATTGGGCTGTCTCCGTTGGATACATGATTCCAACTTCTCCAACATAGTATTTCAGTCCCGTGGCAAATGATACCAGCTGCATGCCGGCACGGACCTCGCCATCGAAAACGCGCACCAAAAGAATCACACCCTTGTAGGAATCATACCAAGAATCAACCAGCAACATACGAAGGGGTTTCTGTGTATCACCAATGGGCCTATTGGGCCATGTTAGCATCCGATGTAGTGACTTAAAACCGGGGGGGGGGGGGGGGGGGGGTTTACGTACGCAGGAATCTTCTCGACAACCGTGGGAAGAATGGCTTCGATGTTCAGCCCGGTCTTGGCTGATACCAGGACGGTATTTTCAGTGTCCAACTCAAATGAGTTTCTTAGCTGCTCCAAAGCCCGCTCTGGATCTGCCGATGGTAGGTCGACTTTGTTAATAACGGGGATCAACTCAAGGCCCTGTGCGAAAGCCAGATAGAAATTGGCTACAGTCTGCGCCTGGATGCCTTGACTAGCATCAACAAGAAGCAAGGCACCACCGCAACTGGCATAACTTCGCGACACTTCTGCACGAAAATCCACATGTCCGGGTGTATCCACCAAGTGTAGCAAGTAGTCCTCCCCTTTGTGGTTGTAGATCATCGTACATGTCTGCGCTTTCACTGTGATTCCCCGTTCTCTCTCAACATCCAGTTTGTCTAGCACCTGCTTGTTTTGACCCGGTTTGATGGTACCGGTGAGCTCTAGTAATCGGTCGGAGAGGGTGCTCTTGCCATGATCGACGTGTGCGACAATGCAAAAGTTGCGATATCGATCGAGGGGGATGGCGGCAATTCGTTGCTCAAGATTTGTATCCGGAGTGTTTTGGCCCGACTTTGATCGAGCACTCCAAGCTGCAGAGGCTGTGAAGGATCGGAGGGAATTATAGCGGGTGGGAAGTCCAGCCAGCGACTTGAGGCTCGCCGCCCGAGGTTTCGGCGCCGCGCTGAGCCATCGGGCTACCTGCAGACATCCTCGCATCGGGATTCGTGCAGTGGCATGGAATGAGGACAATCGCCTGGGTAAATTGTCGCAGATAAATGAATGCGACTCGGTGTCTTGACTCGCAATTAACGGCGAATTTGATTGAGTCTTGCGAAGCGTTGTAAAAAAGCGGTTGCGGGCGGTGACTGCGATCGCTGCGGCGACTATCGACTATCGGCATAAACAAACCCTCCCTTCAGCTTTGTCTCCCACTTTGCTTCTTCTCTTGACGTTCAACAGACTCTGCCCAACATGCCTGAAGCCAAAGACAAATCCAAGGTGCACAAGCTGGTTATTAAGGGTAAGCGATTGGGATCTTCCCTCCAACCATTGTCTCAAATAGCTCACAAAGCCTATTATTCGCAGGGTCGGCGAAGCTTGTCGCTGAATTCGTGAGTGCCATGCCTTTCTCAAATGCGATTTCTCAATTCTGACAATATACTAGTTCGAGTACTCGATCAACTCCATCCTGTGAGTCTTGAATGAAGTTTCTATGGCGGATTTTGGTACCAGAGGCTTATCAAAACGGCCATTGCAGGTTCCAACGTGCTGTTTACCCTCCCGATGATTTCATAACGTGAGTTGCGATCCGATGCCGAGTCAATAAGCCCAGAGAACTGATAAGTAACAGTGTCAAGAAATATGGCCTCAACATGCTCGGTTCGTCTCTTCTTTGCTACGCCAATTCGATATCCACCCATATCCTATTCTAACCCCTCCCAAGTATCCGCGGACGACCAGGTGAAGGCATACATCAAAAAGATTATGTCGCAATTGAACAGGTGGATGGCCGGTGGAAAGATCTCAAAACTTGTGGTGGTCATCACCGATCGGGAAACTGGAGAGCATGTGGAGCGATGGCAGTTTGACGTACGTGCACTTAAGGTCACCGATTTCTGCCCTTGTCGTCTGACATTTTTGGTTATAGGTTGAGGTCTTTGGTAAATCCTCGAAAAGCAAATCTGCTGGAAGGACGAGCGATAAGGAGAATGCCACTCCCGGGTAAGACTTTTCGACCCTAAGAGTTGTTCATACAGTATGACCTTGCTAACTCGACCATTCTTAACCCCGCAGTGACCCCGTTGTCCAGAATGCCGAACCTGTTGAAAAGACCGAAAAGGAGATCCAAGACGAAATTCAAGCCATCTTCCGCCAGATTACCGCTTCGGTTACCTTTCTCCCGGTCCTCGATGGAGACTGCACATTCAACGTCTTGGTCTATGCCGACGCCGACTCCGATGTCCCTGTGGAGTGGGGTGACAGCGACGCAAAGGAAATCAAAAATGCCGAAAAGGTTCAATTGCGAAGCTTTAGTACCAACAACCACCGCGTGGGTACTTTAGTTAGCTACCGGATGGCAGATTGAATAGCTTCGACTTCTTTATGAATATCCACGAGGGATGCTCTGTGCATTGGCGTTTTGGAGGGGAACAAGTTGATTTTACGCATATCAGTGCAAGAGGTAGTCATGCATTAATGAATACTGCATTATTTCTTCCATTTTCATTGCGTTGGGTTGCTGTAGAACCAAGGCAGCTCTGTCATCCTCGAAAACCATTCATTACCCGACCCGCCGTCCCAGCATACCAAGCTCTCAACGACTTCTTCAAGGCCGCTGTGCATGAAGAATTCAGCTTCCATTCCCGGGTACCAGCCTCTTCGATGTCGCTTCCCGGCCAAGTCCTTGCCAACGCCATATAGATCTTGTCTCCAGAGCCCAATTCCTTTGCTAGCCTCGCCAAGGACCAATGATTCTAAGGGGGTTACTTCCTCTGGTGGGTTGATACCAATCACAGAAGCCCTGTTATCTGCCTGCGTCTCGTCCTGTGGAAGTAATCCCACAGCAGGGAAGTGACATTCCATGAACCGAGCCCTTTTGAATTCATGAGTCACGATGGTAATACGTTGCGGATAGACACCTGTGTGTAAACGAAAGCGCAGCAATGAGAAGAGTACATTCTGGTAGGAATCTGTAGCAAGTTCCTCTGCGATGACTCTTGCCGGGTCGATCGTCGAGATTGCCCCCGCTTCTTGAATGTAGTAGTTGTTATCTTTGGCGAGTTTCTTTAATAAATATTCCAGTTAGCCAGCTCTTGTTCAACGTATGGGAAGACTTACAAGGTATGATTCTCCCTCGCTGAGATCTGTTCTCAGTCTCTTGGTTGGTCCTCTGCAAAACCCATCAATAAGCCATACTCGCACAAAGTATATTGTGAATTGCAACATCCTCTTACCCCGAAAAAATCAGCAGTGCATTGGGATCTCCAGATAAGGCCTCTAGTCCAGCCTTGACATGTTTGATGAAAGTTGGGGTCTCTCCTTTTTGAAAAGATTCAATAAACCTGGAAGGTTCAACTGTGAGCGTGCAGCCCAAGATATTTGATGCACCAGTATGTTTGCGATGACTGACCATTCGTCTTCGGATAACCCGTGTTTTGAACCTCCAGCATAGATGGCATGACAGCAAACAATTATGAGATGGCTCAATTCTTTCAACTTGTCCGCTTCCATTAGAAACGGTGAGCTCGCAAATACGATGAGATTCAAAAGTTGTGTACAGCATATAAGTACTATAGGTAGAATAAAAGATGGTGTGGTGTACAGAGTTATAAATATAAGTGACACTATGTAGTATGCATTTGTGGGGAAATATATTATTCGTTTACTTTTCTGTATTAGTGTTCAAGCTGACCGCCCGCTTGACAGCTAATTTGACCCGGCAGATTTAAGATGTGGTCCGTGCGTTATATACTCTGGGGTAGTATAAAACGATTAGTTAGCGCACTTTTTCGAGGCCAAAGATGAGTAATGAGGAAAGGGCGAAAAAGGCACGTAACGTAGTATGCAGCTTGATGGGCTTAGTGGGGTAATCCCGGCAATCTTGGGTCACATATAAATTCTTCCTAGTAGTTTCGTGACCTTGACTTGATCCCATCCAACACAAACATTCTCTCAACATCAATATTCCCCAAATCATCCAACATCCCTACCCTTTTTTTCAACTCATCTATTAAACAACATGGCTTTATCCCCTGGAAACAGTCTGAACGTGAACCTGGGCTTGCAGTCCGAATGGGCTGATTTCAGCCGTTTTGGAAGTGTGGTGGAGGTGAACACGTCCCAAGCAGAGAGTCGTCGCCAGAAAAGAAATCTCATCAAGGATTACGACCCTTCTCGACGGGAAAGTTCCCCGGCACGAAAGAAACAGAAGGGCATGATGGATAATACTGATAGTCCTCCCCGTCCAGCTTCACCTTCGTCTGTCCAAAGCAACTCACCTCTTGAATCTTCTGGTAGATTCCCTGATGGATTGCACCCTAAGCTTCCTTCCAATGGCGTGACCCCCTACATGATGGCTCGCTTCCTTGATGAAGCAGAGTATCCGCCCGAGGGATTGTCGCCGTCCCACCTCGAACAAATCGGCCCCATCGCCCCACAGAACGTATCTCGACGCACGCTATCTCGAGACACAGACTCCGATCCTGACTTCCACCCCCATTGCCCCTCACTCACAAAGCGTCTTTACGAAGGTTTTGAGTTTGAGGACGAGTTCCAGGATTTCGACGAGAATAGCCCTGACGACATCGACAGCGAGGACGACATTCACCACACCATCGATCACGCGAGCAACGTTGACGAAGAAAATCCAAACAACATACTCTGTGAGTTCTCTCAGCCATGCCACATGGGCCCTTCTCCAGACGGAATGCACTACCGCAAGGTTGTTTCGCACTTCTTCGGCCGAAACAAAGCTTCCACGAAGCTCTTCCCCGACGCCGTCTGGGTTCACTACTGCCGAAAGCATTACCAACGTGCCCGATACCGCGCCGATCAGTGGCCTTTCACACAATGCGAGCTACTTATTGAGTCGCTCTCTCGCATGGAGGAATGGGGTGGTGTTGAAAGCTTCAATATTGTACTCCGGCGCCGTGAGATACTCCGAGTCGACCAGGAAGAGAACCTCGGGGAGTTCACTGGCAGAAACAAGAAGCCAATGACCAACAGCGCAGCGAAGAGACCCTCTAATGGTCGAAGCCTTACCTCGGGTCGTAGGCTGCCGAGAGCCGTCGTGGCTCCCGTCCCCGCATGGCTTCGCAGATGTGCAGGACCTCGGAAATCTTTCGACGAAATCCGTGCCATTGTTTGCCAAACTCGCGAGTACATGGAGCATATGCGTGATGAGGAAAAGGCCCTTGCCACTGCCCCAGATACTCGGACTGATGAAAACGGCAACAATGGAGCCAATGCTGGTGGCGGAAAGAAGGGCGTTTGGGTTCCAGCCCGAAGTGGCTCCAAGGATATTGAGCGACACCAAAATAGCCGAGCGAAATTCCCTGACATTGAAATCCTGCCTACCTTCAAGAAATGGGTCGTGGAAGCTGCAGTGAAGCAGCGGGCACAGGGAATGCTTCAGACTAAGACTGGAAAAGCCAAGGCCAAGGCCAAGACCGAGGCCAACACAAATGATAACCAAGAATCCCCCGATGCAGAGAAGACCACTACTTCCGACGAGAGAGAAAACGTCGATATTGGCCGTACTGGAGTTAACCGAGGAAGCTCGGCTAAGCAACGTCGACGCAGCGACCAGAGCTTTGTGGAAATGGTTACGCGGGTTTCCTATCGGGGATCGGTGAAGAAGCCTTCGGCTCCTAAGCGTCGTTGAGACGATACCATGGTTTGGTTGCGACTTACAGTTTTGGAAGACGATTGAAGATCTAAACTCATTTCGAAAACCGACTGAATCTTCCACGCAAATTGAGTTGAATTAGGATTGTTTTTGTTCGATTTCACGGTGGACCGAATCCCGTGCCAAAGAAAGAAACCCTTGAAAGGGCGAAGGAAAAGCTTGAAAAGCAAAAAAAAGCAAAAAAAAATTAAACAAGATATTAAACAACAAATGAAAAAAAAAAATCTACTATGCATTCATCCATTAGAAGGTATCTATTCCAAGGTTATGACATTGAATTCTCAGTCTCCGCATGCACATGAGGGTACATACATGCCTCTTTGCAAATTTCCTTGGAACATTGAATGTTGAAGTGCCCAGGTCAACTGCTTGAATTTATGTAGTAAGAACATTCAATGTTGGGGTATAGGTATAGATCTACCCGTGCGTGTAAGCTACTATGTACTAATATTGTCGGACAGCTGGCTGTCAAAAGGTAAACCTATATTTGGATTGTTTATGTGAATAGAAAAAAAAGACTCGTGCCCTGGAAAAGTACCTATAAGTATCAAACCAAATTCCGCTCCTATAGCAGGCGCAGATTGTCCGCTGTACAATCTCACCTCATCGGGGAGTGGACAACCAAAAGAAAATAGAATGACAAAGAATTATGGAAATTAAGAGGGCGGGTATGAATAAGATATCATATTCGTTGTTCGAGTGAATATCTTGCAAAGATAAGTGTTTAACTGGCAACAGCCAGCTGAGCCACAAGGTCGGATGCCACATCTAGGAAAGGGTATGGGCTGGTCACCTCTTTCTCCTTGTTCTTGAGACGCTTGCTTATGGGGGTCCATTCTGTATCACCCTGGGCACGGATGACATTCTGGTAGCCGTCACATTTGAAATCGACCATGTAATTGTTTTCCTCCAACTGATACAGCTGAATATCGACGAAGACCCAAACGCCGTGGGAGATACTCGGAGGACCGCTCTGTTGTGTAGCGGATGAGGGTGCAGAGGGAGCACTGTTATCCTTGTCTAAAGTGGAAGGCTTCGCCTCCTTGTCCTCGAACGGAGTAGAGATACCCGATATGTGGAACCGCCGACGCAGTTCGCCGAGATCACTGCGGCTATTAAAGACACTGGTCGATGCTCCAGGGGCCTTGACCCCCTCTTTCAAAAGGCGTGCACGAATGAACCAAGGGTCCTTTGGGATATAGTAGTCCGATGGGAGATCAGGATATTTGTTCTGGAGTGGCTTGGGTTTATCTGGGGAAGAAGTTGCTTCCGGTCCAATTTGAGTACCTGACTCAACGGGCTGGACATCCCATACACCACCTTGAGCAGCGATTGCCCGGTAAAGATACAGCATGGCCTCGTATGGTTGATTCCGCGATCGGATACCGAACTGCCATTTCCGTGATCTCTTGGGAGCCTGTTGTGCGATGGGATGACCCATTGGTGGCTCCAGGCGCAATTTATCAAGGTCAATTATACTGCGAGCATGGGGCTTCAAAGCTCGAACTGTCGCAGCTTGCTCTTCGGGGGTTAGCTCTCCATGATCAAACCCGTGCCCCTCCGCCTCGTTTCGAGCAGCTTCTTTCCGCCGCACTTCATCAACGCGGGCCCTTTGCTCTCGGTCCCGCTGCTCCATGAGCTGATCGTGAACATATGGAAGACTAGTTGGCAAGATACGAACGTGGCTGGGACGAGGTTCTTCACCAGATTCGGAGTCCACCTGCTGGGACTCTTCCGTTCGTGTTCGACGCGAAACGCTCTGTTTCCGAGCGACGACCGGGGCAGGTGGCGCTTGAGCTTTGGTAGCAGCAGCCGCTCGATCCACTGCCGGTTGAACGGTTCCCTTAGGTTGCGGGGGTACATTAGAGGCCATTAAATTATCTTCCGTGGGCGCTATATGACCTTGTTAGAAGTGTGTATACTGACCAGATAGCTTGAATGAAGACTCACAGTTTGTTTGCATCATCTCATTTTCAACGACGATCGAGAATGCATCTTTAATTGCACTGGGTTCTGGATGTCTAAGTGCATCTTCAATATCCTCACGGCCATATCCCATGCTCCTCTCAAGCTTCGACACAGCAATTTGGTGAACTTTGTGTTGCACAGGAAGCGGCTTTCCAGGAGCAACTTTCTTGGCATCAGCAGCCTTGCCGGAATCGGCGCCAGGTGCGATATATTCCTCGGCTGGAGGTTCCAGATATTTGGGAATGTTCTTGCTAAACCACGGATCGTCCCGGATTTCGGGAATGGTGATTCTGTGAACCGGGTGGACCTGAAGCATGGCCCGGATTAGCCGGGCAGCTCCAGGAGAGATGTAACTAGGAACGTGGAAGTTGCCCGCTGCAATCTTCTTGAAGAGAGCAGGGATATAGTCATCATCAAAGGGCAATCGGCCCACCAGCAACACATAGAGAATCACACCGCAACTCCAGACATCTACCTCGGGACCTGCATAAAGCTTGCCAGAAATGACCTCCGGGGCAGCATAGTTCGGGCTACCACAACTAGTCTTCAAGAAATTTCCATCCGTCATGATGTTACTCAAACCAAAATCGGCAATTTTGACGTTCTTCTGGCTGTCGATGAGTAAGTTCTCGGGCTTTAGGTCACGGTGGACAATCTTGTGTCGGTGACAATATTCGACGGCACAGATAATCTGCTGGAAGAATTTCCGGGCTTCATCATCGTTGCATTTGCCCTTTCGGACCAGGTAGTCAAACAATTCTCGCTCGGCGTATTCGAGGACCATAACAATATCGGTCTTGGTGGCGATAACGGTGTACCTAGCGGGGTAATCACCCGGTCAGCCCGGCCGCACAACAAATTGAAATCTATTTGAGAGAGAAAGGGGTGGATGGAGAGTTCATCATACAATTTGATAATATGAGGGTGTCGGAGCAATTGAAGATATTGAATCTCTCGTTCCACACGACCGACCATATCCCGGGAGAGGAGCTTGCGGCGGGAGATGATTTTGAGAGCAACCTGCCGGCCACTTGGCTGGTGAATAGCCAGCTTCACCTTTCCAAACGATCCTTCACCTAGAATCTTGACCGTTTGGTACTGATCGAGGCGTTGCATGTCTCTCGTGGTCGCGGGGGACTGGGTGGCCTCCGCTCTAGCGGTCGGGGTCGGGCGCGACGGCGGCGGCATTGCCATGGCGGCGGGGTTGGAGCTGACCGTCCTACTGGTACGGTCACGAGGTTGTTCAGGTTCACGATCGGAAGGAGCTAAGGGGATCGATAGATCTTCCTCATCGAAAGCGGCAGCCATGATGGAAGGACAACGTGACGTGATTGATTTTCTGGGTCGGGCCCAGCGGTCCGGGTTGCTGACTGTGCCGTGGTTCTTAGTTGTTTTTTTTTTCTGCCCTCAGAGCATTGCCAATCAGTCGGTCTCGACCCTCTCCACAGTAGAGCCGAGGGTGGAGCTACTTAGTAGGGATAGCTGGAATTTTTGTTCTTTGAGGGGGGCGGGGCGACAATGGAGGGGTAAATTATGGTTTTTGCCAAGTATTAGCCGAAGATATGAGTCAGTTGTGATGCTACGAGCAAAGCAAAAGGTTTCTTGAATGACTGGGTATAGGACAGGAGTCTTTGAAAACGAGAAAGAAAGGATTTGGATTCTGGGGCAGAAAACTTGAAGAAGTTGGAGAGAGGAGAAGCCGATGCCGGTGAGCTTCTAAGTCTCTGACGGTCTGAGAGCTGCCCTGTGACTGGAGACCGGGGTTGGGTCCATATTGTTATTAGTACTACATGTTATTCTGCCCAACCAAGTACCTGGAGCTTGAATGGACAATGGGTGGACTACTAGGAAGTAGTATACTACACTCTGGATTACGATCATAATAATAGCTCTTCTGCATAATCAATTTCATCTCACACCCCGGTACCCACGGATCTATTCTAGGATTCTAGGGCAATTCACGGGTACCTTGCAGGATTTGAGATATCATATGTCATCATCTAATAATCCCACTCAAGTCAGCATGGCTTCAGGCTAGTACCTGACCTTTGAAAAGAAAATGTTATAATGCCTGTGGTTCATCAAGAACTTGAAACACGCACTTCATACTACTTAATGAAAGCGGATTTGTTCGCCTAAAAAGCCCTACTAGAGAGATATCAAGGCCTGAGAATGAAATTCTGTAGGATCGTTTTCAGCGCTGCGCGTCTCATCCAGCTGGATGTTCAAGTAAACAGTAGCTTTGACTTTTCCCTCCATAGAGAGAAATTGTCGGCTTGGTTAAGGACCAAGGTCCGATGTTGGGTTGTGGGCCGATCGGGCCGGGGTTCGACCCATAATCCCGAGAGCCAGCTTCAAATGGTGACCCCACAGCCCCTAGCCCTAAGCTCGAACCCTTTGGAAGTTCCCGTATAAGCAGCTATGACTAAATTATATGTCCAAGGTAAGAGTTACTTACTCATATGCAAGAGATTGCCAAGTTTTAGGGATTTTATCAATGGGGTGTCATTTTGTGTATAATATTTCTCCTTATAAATGGCTAGGTGATCCCTAACACATAGGGTAATTTACTTACTCATGGACAGACGAGGACTTCGAAAATGGTACTTTTATTTCTATGCAAACATTTCTGTACAAACGATGGCCCGCCAATACACCGACGAATGGTAAATCAAGCCGAACTCCATAAACTCATATTATAAGCATCATGCCTTCAACATGTCAAGTGCGCCTTTCAACTGATATGCGTTCTGCGCCATTTCCACCTCACCACGCACGCGGTAGTGCAACTTCTTGACCAAGTTGTCGACCTGAGCCGATTGGCCGAGGTTGGCCGAGTAGATATCTAACAAGTTCATGGCAATTTCCACACAGAGATCGACAAGACGGGGCTCGCGAAGATGATTGTGAACCCATGACAACACGGGCTGGAGTGTGTCTTCGTCACGATCTTTGAGCGCAGCACGTAGAGCCGAACGGTGTCGGAGGGCAGTGAACAGCGTGAGCTGGGCCGTCTTATCGGTACTGCCAAGGACCTGGTCCAAGGCCACGGCATACTTGCCCTTGCGCAAATCATGCTCCCAGGTTTGTTCCCGCTTCCTCTTTTTGCTGTCCTGGCCCTCGATCACAATCTCCACACCTTCTCCGATAAAATCGCGACCACGAAGGCGCTTTTCCCAGCCTGAACCGCGAGCTTCCTTCTTCTTCTTCTTTGCCAAGGCCTTGTCATGTTCCTCCAACTTGCCCTCGAGCATTGCCTGCATCTCCTTCTGGCGTTCACGGTCCTTGACTTTTTGTTGACCAGACAGCCGTGTCTTGATTGACAGAAGACCTGACTGCATACCGACAGCGATATGCTTATCTTCATAAGCCATACCGGAAGTGACCACGCGCAGAGACAAGATGGGCGATGGGTACTTAAAGCCGGAGACCGTGTTCCAACCTGTCGTCTCAAAGACCTTCAGGTGTCCGTCCAACGCACCACTGAGCAATCGCTCGCCGTTTGACGCCAAACAAAGGGAAGTGACTGTCTTCTGGTGGTTTTGAATCATGTGCAATGGCTTACCAGCCACAATATCCAGCACGGCAATCTTGTTATCTGCGGAAGCCAAAACAGTAGTACCTGCCGGCATAGGCAGCACATTCTCAATGGGAGCTGCCATCTTAAAGGTCATAGCCGAGCGCCTAGCCACACGAGGATCCCAGATGCGCACCGTGCGATCATACGAACCGGACACCAGCAATCCAGATGAGGCCATTGCGCCGGGCATGAAAGCACCACTGCGCACGTAATCGGTATGGCCAGTGAATGTCCGCTGGCTAGACTCGGCAGGCAGATCCCACAGGCGCACCGTTCGGTCGTCACTGGTGGTGAGAAGAGAGGTTGGGTCACTCGGAGAGAACTTGCTCACCCACACGGGCTGCTTATGATCCCTCCATGTCTTCAGAATGGCGCGGGATTTGACGTCGAACACCTGGACCGTGCCTGTATCGTCACCAGTCACCAACACACGGCCATCGGGCCGAACATCTGTACCACGTACTGTATCATCGAATCGAGTGATTGTTCGCAACAGTTTTCGGGTGTGAATCGAGTAGATCTGAACGCGGGCACCGGTGGTCACGGTGAAGATATCCGGGGGCTGCGACAATGAAGTGAAGACTGCAGAGGACGAGGGGGCAGAGGGCTGAGTGATGAGGTTGATAGGGCCATTGGCTGGCGACGGAATGAGGAGAGGGTTCTTGAAGGTGCGCCAGTATTGTTGCTCTGGTGTTAGGCGGGTGGAGGGTAGTGAGGCGAGCTTCACCTGTTGCAGAGGCAGGACGGGAGCCGCCATGGTGAGATATGGTATTCGGTCACTGATATGAGGGGAACTCAATCTGAAAAAAGAGAAGTGAGAGAAAGTATCCACGCCCAAAGCTCGTGGCAGCGCCGTGACCAAGAAGGTTTGATCTTTTTTTCTGCCAATCAAAAAAGTTCGCCCTGATCGGGAATGGCGGCGGTGTCTACAGACACCTGAGGCAGAACACTTTACTTCGAACTCGAACCGCCTCAAGGCATCAAGGCACTAAGGCACTCAGGCAGAAATGATCATCGCAAATTAATTAATCAAGTTGGAGATTCCTAGATACGTCACGATCGCTTCCCATGGTTGGCACATTCCAAACTTCAAATTAATATACTTAGTATTCTCCTAATTGACGTAGTCTTCCTTTGGTCTTGGGAATAATAAAAATCATGGTAAGCTACTAGGTATCTTGTGTGCATGGATTTCAAGGTTGATTCATGTCGTGCATGGTGTAGCCGATAGCATTCAAATTCAGTATTCCCCGACGCGAGCTGTATACTTCGTACTCGTTATTTCCAGGCTTCCATCCTAGTACTTATATCCTTACCCGATTTATTATGGGGGCTTCTTCGTCCAAAAATACCATCCGACGTAATAATAGATCTCAGCATCGAGGCGCCCGGGGCTGTGAGGTAGGCAGCGACCAAAAATAAGCAGGGGATGGGCAGTCACTTAACGGAACTTTGTACATACAACCTATCTCGCACAGTCAATATTGATCTGTCTTACCTATTTAGCAGAGCAATGAATGGGATACAGAATAATATTCAATAGGGTATATGCCTTTGCAGTATGAGGTAGGGAGAAGCAATTGCGGTCAAGCCCAACAGCCAATATGTTTTGCCCGTCGCCCTAGCAATGCAGATATCAAGTGGGGTTGACTCATGCATTGCTTGACCTTAAGACCTCGGGAGTGGGGAAGGCTGCGCCTGACAGCTGCGAGGCCTCGCAATTGAAACAAATTGAAACCGGATTCAGTGACAAAGCTATTGGAAGGATGACGATCAGTGCTAGGCCTGTCGCCAATCGTTGCACCTTCTGCCCACTTGCTCCCCCTGTCCGCGCCGGGAATGCATTGATCGGTGGATCGCGGTGGCTGGGGGAGTTGATCGGAGCTGACGATGCTGCTCCACTTGAGTTCTGGACTTTGAGACCGGGTTGGGTAAAAAGAAAAATCAGAATGGATACTCAATCTAAATCTCAATATATTTCGATGAGGCTGGTTCCATAAGGAGTAGAGGATGAGGGGATCGAAGAAGAGTTGCGTATACGAGAACAAGAACCTTGAGTTGGAATAGATAGTAACAATGGGGGTTATCGGTAATTTTGGAATCTGGTTTTGTATTGTCACATCGCTTGGATCGACCACATTTAAAACGTTTGATTCAGGGGAGGCAGCCAATCAGCGTTGAATAAAATCCGCCCCCAGCCACCAGCAATACTGTCTGTGACATTCCAGAAAAAGCGGGCTTTTTATCTTTAATGATCCCCCCCCTCCCCTCTTGATTGATCGTCTAATTTTTTTTTATTTTCTCCTCTTCTCATCCTTGTCATATCTCATGTTTAACAAGATATCTCTAGCTCGTTAAATCAATCATGGCTAAAGTGTTCAAGGGTAGTCATGCAGCTGGCATCTTTGCTGACATGTCGGTGGATGGCCCCCCCATAGGTACTCTGGTGGCCATTATCGACCGAGCAAAGAATCTACCTAATCGGAAGACGATGGGAAAACAGAACCCTTACTGTGCAGCACGGTTAGGAAAGGAAGCAAAGAAAACCCCAACAGATTTACGAGGTGGTCAAACTCCTAGATGGTATGTTGATAAATAGGGCTTATTGTTACCGGAAAAAGCTAATGTAAACAACAGGGACCACGAACTCCGTTTCACTGTACACCAATCCCCAGACTACTACAAACTCAAAGTCTCCGTATTCAACGACGACAAAAAGACAGATCTCATTGGAGAAACTTGGATTGATCTGAACAACCTGATTATCCCGGGCGGAAGCCAAGACGATCATTGGCATCCACTGCAGTCGCGGGGCAAATACTCTGGCGAAGTTCGAATCGAGATGACTTATTACGATACCCGACAAAAAGATGAAGCGGTGATTGAGAAACGAAAAGAGGCAGCAGATAAGGTCCAGGGCAAACCAGCTGCCGTCATCACATCCAGCTCTGGTCTGTCAGGCCCCAGACAACTGAACGCGTTCAAGCGACGACCACTGCCCACCGATCCATCAGGAGCGCCACCTCCCAAACCTCCTGTTCTAGAACAGCCTCAATCAGCCCCTCCATTGCATCACCCGATGCCTTCTCGCACAATCCGAGAACAAGTCCAAAACATGCCCACGGTTCCTGTTCCGGAACCCGCCCATCCTTATCCTCAAAGACACCACTCAGAGCCCACATATGAGCAACATTATAATCAGCCACCACAGTCTCGAGCATACGATGCCCCTGAAAATTACCAACGTGAATGGGAAGCCCCAGCCCTTCCTCCGGCGGGCATGATGAGACGTAACCAGACACATGAAACAGCCTATGCCGGCCACGATAACTCAGAGCTTGCATATGACTCGCGTCCGCTACAACCCCGCAGTCAATCTGACTTTGACCACCACCCTCCCCGAGATCACCGTTCTGCCTCCCAAGATCCATCTTTTGAGGTTGAAATGCGCGGCAGGGCACCGTACGAACACGCCAGGCAAGGAGAGGAGATCTACAGTCCGCTCTCGCCCCAGTATACAGCACCTCCGATGTCGTTTGGGCCGGTGTCAACATTCACCCCACGCCAATCAGCTTATGCTGATGAGCCAGCGCCTCTGAGTTATTCACGCCCGGGCTCGTCATCAGGGCCAGCAGAGGACCCTCGCTACCAGCCACATGATATCCGGGCATTGCAGCCCATGCGTCGTGATCCCTATCATCCCGAGTACGCTACCATGCAACCACGCGTAGAGGATGAAGATGAGGATGGTCCGCCTCCACCGCCACCGGTTCATCGATCTCGTATGGCTCAACATCCGCAGTCGATGCAGCCAATGCAACCAATGCAACCAATGCAACCTGTCCCACCGCCTGTCAGAGAGTCACCCACGGGATATCAACCATACTCGCCAGGACACTCTAACTCCACTTCGCCCATGCCCACCAGTCTCGTCGTTGGGTATGAACCCGAGGAATTCCCGAATTATGACGATCGAATTGAACGCAGACGAAGCGCTCACTTTGACGATGAAATGATGATATCTCACCCGCCAGGTCCTGGGGCCCTTGTACCTGTATCAAAGTCCGCCCAAGCATCACCTTCGCCTTATGAATCTCCAGTTTACCCTCTCCGTACCTCTCCGCGGCCTATCGAGGAGCGGCCGACCTCCAGCCGCGGTGGATCTGCTGGTGCAGACACGCGAATGGTGACACGAAAATCCGTTAGCCCCCGGCCTTCAATCTCTAGTGACCGTGCCTCTTCCATCCCATTCTCACCCGACTCATACAACGCCATCAATCCGCACGCTGCACGTTCTGCCACTAGCCGAGATCCTACACCTGCATACGAATCACCAGCCCAGGCCAGGGATGCAGCGATTCGCGCTGAGCGAGAACCCATCAGGGACCTCAGCCAGCCTATCATTGGCGACGATGGCCGAGAAATCGATCCATCTGATCATCTTCCGACGGATACTTGGGCCCCAGAGCCAGAACGGAAAAACCGTAAGCCAGAGGTCATCATTCGCTTCAAGCATTCTCCTCGTGAACGACCCACTTCCCGAGGCAACGATGCCACCTCTCGCAGCACAGGACCGCCTCGTGTGGGCTTCAGGACGGAGACCACGTCATATAGCTCCGACCGTAAAAGATACACACCCAGCCATGCTCAGCCTAGCCCTGAACCCATGGATCGCACAGCGCAGCGAGGATATGATAGCTATGGAGACGGTTACACACAACCTCGAGGCTACACAACCCCGACATCCACTGAGCGACCTCGCTCCTCTCGTGGCTCCGTTTCACCGTCGCCTGGTTCTCGCTCTCCATTGTACGATTACGCCCCTGGTCCACCAATTCCATCCAAAGTTCCGATCTCCCAAGGCGCTCCAAGCTACCCTGTAGCTGCCAGCAATCCTGGCATGGATGCCTTGAGTCGAGAATTGAAGACAATTGAGATTGGCTCAGCAGGGTGCAGCCCGAGCCGTGCTGTTCGGAGATACGCACCACCTCGCCAACCAGCATCAATCGGGTATGCTAGTTAGAGAGTTTTGTATTTTGATGATTCATGTGTGGATGTAGTAAGTTATTTTCGCGGGTTGGTGCTCTCGGTCCATGTATCCTGATATCTATGTTCATGATTTGGAATAAGCATTTCGGTTGATTCTTGTTGAATACAGGCATGGCGGCGTTGGAGGATTTCTATTTGTTCCGAACTTCTACCATGTTCTTTTTTTTATTTTATTTTTACATACAAATTTAGCCATACGCTGGCTTTGCAGAATGATACCTGGGCGTTTACTCGTTCAATTGAATATTGTTACCTCTTATACCTACTACTATCTACACAAAGATAACTGTATCTCCCAATTATCACATAAATTGGTCATAACATAGCCCTTATCACACAAAAAAACAACCGATTGACCCACTGTTGGAATTTGACAGATCTCAAGTGCCGTTGATCGGCGGTTATCTCCGATCAATTTAACATTGCATGTAACCAATCCCGCAATGGATCAATATCGCTTATCACATTTCCCCGCCTTTTATAAAACCCACCCGCAACTTGACCAAAATACGATTTCCCTCCTTCAAAGCACGCAAAATGGCCGGTCTCACTGAAGCTCAAGTGGCCTTCTTCCACGAGAATGGCTACCTCGTCCTCCCAGACTACCTCAGTCCAACCGAAATCACCTCAGTCTTGACCGAAGCCAACACCCTCCTCAACGACTTCGACCTGGACACTCACCCCCTCACCCAATTCACGACAGGCGACGATGACGAAACCGATCACGTAGGTGACGACTACTTCCTCAACTCGGGCGACAAGATCCGCTTCTTCTTCGAGAAAGATGCCTTCACCACCGAGCCCGACCCACTCACCGGCCGCGCCGCGCTCCTCAAGCCCAAGAACCTAGCCGTCAACAAAATCGGCCACTCCCTGCACACCCTCTCCCCACCCTTCAAGTCCATCTCCCTGAACGAGCGCAACGCAGACATCGCCCGCTCCCTCGGCTTCGTCGACCCCCGCGTCCTGCAGAGCATGCTCATCTGCAAGCAGCCCTCCATCGGCGGCGCGGTGCCCGCGCACCAGGACTCGGAGTTCCTATACACGGACCCGCCGTCTGCGGTCGGCTGGTGGTATGCGCTCCAGGATGCGGGACCGGGTAACGGGACGCTGGGTATGATTAAGGGATCGCACAAGGGCGCTAAGGGCGGCCACATCAAGAGACGCTTTGTGCGCAAGACTACCGGGTCTGGGACGGAGTTTATTGAGAATCAGGGTCCTGCTTTGCCCAAGGGCATGGAGGAGGAGAAGGTTTCTGAGCCTGCGGAGGAGGATCTGGAGATTTTGGAGGTTAAGGCTGGTTCGCTGGTGCTTATTCATGGTAATGTGCTGCACAAGAGTGAGAAGAATACCAGTGAGCGCAGTCGGTATGCATATACCTTCCATGTTATTGAGGGTGCAGAGGGGTGGGAGTATGATCAGCGGAATTGGTTGCAGCCGCCAGAGGGTGGATTCTCGAAGCTTTACGAGTAATCGGTTGCATTCAGGGTCAACTGGTTATTAAAAGGATGTATATAAGTCTGAGAGCCATTTAGTACATACATATTCTTCTAATCAATTGATAGTTCAAAATGTTCTTAAGACTTTAATTTCCCTATTACATTCATACTGTGTTTCAACAGGCACTGTATTCAACTGCCTTCCAGGGTTCTACTAGTACTCTCCTCAGCTGCCAAATGTAAATGTTACTAGTAGTGCGTACTAGAGGTAAGATGCTAACAGTAGTATTATGAACATTTGAGGCACGCACCAAGGTATTCCGAGGTTGATACCTATTCTGAGGTAGTTACCTAGTACTATCAGTAATCTCGATTGACTTTCGGGGTCAACATGTGAAGGCGATACTGATTGAACAACGACAACCTTGGAATAAATCTGTATTATCTAAAACTTGACTGACAAGCCCGGGCACATTGAAGTAATGAAAGGAGTGATTTGCATTCTGTACATCGAAGGTTGTTGTTACATTAAAAAACCCAACGCCAGCCCTTGAGGGGCAAAGTATTTTGTTTCTCGAACGAAAGGAATTAATACCATAGAAAGATGTAGAACGAATGAACTAGTGCTGGCTCCACTCAATGGTGTTCAAATCGATACCCTCCTGCACCAATTCCCAGAGCGGGCTCAGCTCACGCAGGAAGTGTACACGTTCCCGGACAGCCTTGAGGACGTAGTCCATCTCAGCATCAGAGGTGAAACGGCCGATACCGAAACGGATACTGCTGTGAGCACTCTCATCACTGCTACCCAGGGCACGGAGGACGTAACTGGGCTCCAGCGAGGCGGAAGTACAGGCACTTCCGGAGGACAAAGCAATATCCTTGAGTGCCATCAGGAGGGACTCACCCTCGACATAGGCGAAAGAGATGTTCACACAACCGGGGTAGTGGGCATCGGGGTCACCGTTGAGGGTGGTGTGCTCCATGGAGAGCAAGCCTTCGCTCAAGCGCTTTGATAGACGCTCAATGTGCTTTGTGTCGTACTATATAGGGAGAATGTTAGTGATCGAAATCCGAATTTGGTAAACAAAACTCTAGGGGGACTATGGTCTTTCTTACCTCCATATCTTGCAGGGCGAGGCGGCAGGCCTCACCGAATCCAACAATCAGATGCGGGGCCAGGGTACCGCTGCGCAAGCCACGCTCTTGACCACCACCAGTGATAAGAGGGTCAAGACGAACACGAGGGCGACGACGAACGTAGCAAGCACCGATACCCTTGGGACCGTAGATCTTGTGGCTGGAAATAGACATCAAATCAATGTTCGACTTGTTGACATCGAGGGGAATCTTGCCGACGGCCTGAGCACCGTCGGTGTGGAAGAAGATCTTCTTAGAGCGGCAGAGGCGACCAATGTCATCCAAGGGCTGGATCACACCAATCTCATTGTTGACAGCCATGATGCTGACAATGCAAGTTTCGGGGCGCATAGCAGCCTCGAGATCTTCCATGCGAATCAAACCATTGGACTGGACGGGCAAGTAGGTAACCTCAAAGCCTTCATCTTGCAAATGCCGGCAGCTGTCAAGGACACACTTGTGCTCAGTCTGGGTTGTGATGATGTGCTTCTTCTTTCCGGAGCGTCCGAAGAATCTTGCGACACCCTTGATGCTCATGTTGTTACTCTCGGTCGCGCCGCTGGTAAAGATGATCTCCTTGGGGTCGGCTCCAATCAGTTTGGCGATGTGTTCACGGGCCTCCTCGACGGCCTTCTCGGACTCCCAACCGTAGGCGTGCGTGCGCGAGTGCGGGTTTCCGTAGATGCCGGTAAGATAGGGAAGCATAACGTCGAGAACGCGGGGGTCGAGGGGGGTGGTGGCCTGCATATCGAGATAGATGGGGCGGGTACCCTGGTCCATAACAGTAGCCTGCTTAAGGATGCCAGCGGACGGGCTCATGGCAGCGTCGCCCGAGACTCCGGAGCCGGGCATATTGAGACTTCCTGGGGCAACGCCAGCCTGCTTCATAAACGACTTTTGTTCCTCCTTGATAGCGGTTTCGATGTTAACTTGAGCATGGTCGGCCTTGCTCTCGGTGACATAGGATCGAGCTCCGCGGAAACCAGTGGCGAGGACGCGGCGAGGAGCAGTCCATGATCCATAGGACGATGATAAGCGCCGAGAACAGGCAAGAGAAGCCTGTCTCCAAGCAGCGGGGGTGGTAGGCATTATGGCGATGGTTATGGGGAAAGGACCATCAAGATAGAAAGGAAAGATGGATTAAGCCAACGGTGACAATTTCCGATATCTCGGGGAATTCCCATTGAGGTCATTTCGGCCTCGGGTTTCTCCGCTGAAATCACGTGATACAGGCTGTTGATCATCGATGATTGATAATCACTTCACTAAATGAGAGTTCCTTTTTGTATTTGAGAGAACTGAACAGAGTCTCACAGCTCACAAAGTGATTCAAATTTACTTTGACGCAAGAAAACTTTGACATATACAGATTGCAGTGATACATATAAAAGTGACTGTAATATCTACATACTACTAGTAGTAGGCAGCTCCTTCTCCGCTTATGCTACCGGGGAACTGCGGCAATTAAGGCTAACTCATACTACTCAACGCTAAGCCACGCAAATCACGCTCTCAGCCACTTCAACATCATATCCGTAGGGCTGGAAATGGAACGTGGAGAGATCAACGAGTGGAACTAGGGAAAGTCTGAAGTTCCACCAGAAGATGCGACCGAGGGTAAATCCTGGAGCCTGTACTCCCGGAGTAAAAGGGATTAGGCACCGAATATGACGGTGTCAGGTACGTCAAAAAAAGAAAACAAAACCAAGTTAAAACAAAAAATATAAAAAAGAAAGGAAATCAACCATTCAGCTCTTGAGCCAAGCCACAAGTAGGATCCATTCGAAATCTCAATCCGGATGAACGCAACTCGATGTGGTATAGTCTGTGAGGAAAGTTAGGTACAGCCACTGAGCCACAAATCTCTTGTGAGAAGTCTTATGTCATAGGTGAAGCGAAAGTTGGGAACGGAAAGGCCGAACACCCCGCCCTGAATCTTTCTACCTTCCTTTCTCTCCCAAATCTTTTCTCTTAAATCCTCTCACACGAAATTACCACTCAAGATGAGCTTCAAGGGGTTTTCTAAGAGTATCGCCCGAGCTCCGCAGCAGTTCAAGCTCAAGTTCAACCTCGGAGAACACTCCCAGGATGCGGTGTATACCGACTCCGAGCGCCGCTTCCAAGAGCTAGAGAAGGAAACCAAGAAGCTTCACGATGAGTCCAAGAAGTATTTCGACGCCATTAATGGTATGCTGCCTTGATCCGCTGCAATCCGAGATCTAGCTTCTCCTTCCATGAACCTCAAATTGACTCTCCGCCAACAGGCATGTTGACCCACCAGATCGAATTCTCCAAATCAGTCGCCGAAATTTACAAGCCCATCTCGGGACGAGCTTCCGATCCCAACTCATACCACGATGAAGGAAATGCCGAGGGAATTCAGGCTTGTGAGGAGTACGAGGCGATTGTGCGAGAGCTGCAGGAGGCCCTCGTCCCCGAACTGGAGATGATCGAGAGCCGAGTAATCAGCCCTGCGGACCAACTCCTCGAAGTTGTCAAGATCATTCGCAAAGTGGCTGTCAAGCGCGACCATAAGAAACTGGACTTTGATCGTCGAAATGCCACGCTCAAGAAGTTGGAGGAAAAGAAGGACAAAAATATCAAGGATGAAAAGGCTCTGTACAAGGCCGAGAATGACGTTGAGCAAGCAACACAGGAATACAACTATTACAATGATCTGCTCAAGGAGGAGCTACCGAAGCTTTTCACCCTCGAAGCAGAGTTCATCCGCCCGCTCTTCCAGTCCTTCTACTACATGCAACTCAACGTCTTTTACACTTTGCACGACAAGATGCAGCGCATGAATATCAGTTATTTCAACCTCAACCTGGATGTGGAGGAGGCCTTTGAGCAAAAGCGAGGTGACGTGCAGGAACGCACGGAAGCTTTAACCATCGTCCACTTTAAGGCACAGGGCGTCCGTCGAAACAACTCCAAACTGAATCCCAAGCTGGCCGAAATCAAACGAGGAAGATCTGCCTCCACCGCCGATGAGAACCCTCCACCACCTTACTCAGCCGGTTCCATTCCCAGCCCAACAGGCAGCTTCTCCTCGGCTGCTAAGAGCAAGCCAGCCCCACCGCCACCAAGAGCAAAGCCGGCTCACCTCAGCAAGCCTGCCGAGATGGCCACCGCTCTTTATGATTATGAGGCACAGGCCCACGGTGACTTGGGCTTCTCAGCAGGCGATGTGATTGAAATTATCCACCGAACTGAGAACACAAATGAGTGGTGGACCGGGCGGACCGGTGGTCGGGAAGGACAATTTCCTGGTAAGTGCAGAAATATTTATACAAAATTTTGCTCTTTTACTGACGTCCCATGTCTAGCCAACTATGTGCAATTGAATTAGGTTTGCTTTCTGATATTTTGGGGCTGTTTATTGTTTTTTTCCCATGCTCTGGCGCATATGGCCTCATACATAGAGCGTTCTGTGTGTAAATAACTTTCGTTTCTCGACCGCTCGCTAATCCAGCTCTATGTAATAACCTGGACCTGTGAACTTCCACCGGGTCTAGTTAGTTCTTCACTTTTGAACATCCATACGTTGTTCTGTACTACCTAGTATGCTCCACCTTCAGTGATGTCTCTTGTATGAGTGGGAACTCGTCTTGAGTGCGAACCAGCAAGGTCCTCCCAAGGGCTAGTTATGTTAAAGCCTGGACAAAATGGCGGCCCACGAAAGTATCCACTAGGAGGCTCTATAAACATTGAAGGTTTTATCTTTCTACTGCTAGATTTGAATCATGGTTCAAATCTACAGCCGTGCAGCTTTGGTTCATCCCATGATCGAGATGTTTACACACTTCTTACAGAATCTGATCAAGTCGGCAAATGTTCATTATGGTAGTATACAACAAAAAAATATCTATTTGACAATCTGACAACTTCGCAACTGATAGAATCCCATACCATTGCAAAGAAACGGGCTTATATCTTGATTTGAAATTTCCAATAATACCCCAAACAAGCCCAACGTGCTATTAGTACGCACATCAGGGATATTCCAAGTATGCATCCAAGAAAAGCGACAAAGTTCGATGTTCCGACAGCCTGTAGCAGCTGTCCACCTATAGGAATTGACAAGAGGGGCCTATTCAATATGTCAGCAGATGCGACTCTCCAAGTTTTTGAGGTAAAATCAGACTCACCCATGACTGATGACAAGATAGCAACTTCCTAACCAAAGTCCAACTTCTTCGGTCTTGCACATCTGGCTGAGACAGACAGGAAGCAAACAGAGAATAGTGCCGGTGCCAAATCCCATTACAACCACAAAACAATATAGTGCACCAAGATAGTGACCAAATGGATACCACAGAACGAAAATAAAAACCATTGCAAATGTCATTGCCGCTGACATCGTGTTGAAGCGTCCATAGCGATCGGAAATTATTCCTGAAAGGCCTCGTCCAATAGCCGCTCCACTAGAACGAACATATAAGTTAGTCATTTTGTCAAGAATAATATTGAATAAAAATTGACCTACCCGTTATATACGGCGAGAAGGTAGAATCCAGTCTCAGAGCTAAACCCTTGCTCAAGGGCGTAGGTAGGGACAAGACCCATTGATGCAGTGATGGTAAACTGGACAACTAGAAGAACAATCAATACCTTCATCTTTGAAATATCTGACAGGGGATAAAACATACAGAGCATGGCTGCCGTAAACCAGACAAATCGTGAATCACGGAAGCACCGCAGGTTAAAAAGCCCTTTTTGCGATTTGACCGGCAGTCTGCTCTTCACGCAGATGTTGCCAATCGTGAGAAGTACCGTAAAAATGAAGGCAAGAATCCTAAGAGACCAAACCCATCCCAGAGGCTCAAGCGTCGCTCTCAGTATCATGGGGAAGATGACTCCACCCAGACTACCCCCAACCATGGCAATGCCAGATGCCATGCCCCGACGACGATGGAACCAATGCGATAGCACGACCATACATGGGTTCGAGACAAATGCAGCACTGACGCCACTGAGTCCTCCTAGACAAAGCATGAACTGATAGTATTTTTCACATGATCCCAGCAGGAATATTGACAAGACGAAGAGCACCGAGCCGATAATCATGAGCCACCGGGGACCGTATCTGTCAAACATCGGGCCGACCTGTACCGCCAGAACCATGTTGAGATAAAGATAGACGGAGGAGATCCATCCAATGGTGCTGGAAGAGTAGTCCCGTAGTTGATTTGTTTCCCAATGAGATTGCAGAACGCCGACAGTGAACTGCATGCCAAAGGTGCATGTCAACGTCGCAAAGACGCCAACTACCACAAGCCATGCTCTGAGTCCACCTTCGGGGTAATCCTCCAGAGTATCGGTATTCTTGCTCGCAAAATCAATACTCTCTTGAGAATCGGAATCCGTACATTCTGATAAGGTTCGAGTTTCCGCTCGGGGGTCGTCGGCTGCCTGCTCGTGTAGTGTTTTTTCGGACATAGTCAAGGAATATCGTGTGTAACAGGTTGAATCAAATGAACGAAAGTTGAGACACTGGGTTAATCTTCAGTTTTAGATAGCTCATCCACATTTTATCCATACATAGTGTTCTGATTTTGTTCCTTGACCCCTTGGCTCAAAATTCCTAGCAACATGATATCTGCCAAGGACTATTGGAAGTATACACTCCACATCGTAAACGTACTACCTGGGTATGAAGAAGGACAAGCGGGCTGACGGCATACTGTGCCCTGTAATGATTGGCGATCCTGGGATGCTTCAGTCCAATAGAATTTTTGTCAGAGGTTTGATCGATCCTGTTATCTGCTGCATAACTTGATGGAGCACATCGGGAATGATCGGCACTCCCTCGAACAATCACCAAGATAAGGCGATCACTTCTTAGTCTGAATTGTTGAAGATAGAAACATGAGAAGCCGCGAGTCATTAGCGTTTTGACGATATTTCCAATTGTGCTATCAAGATTTTCAGTGTTTTCAAGGCTTTCATTTGTTAGGATCGGATTTGAATTTCAGGTTACTGACTCGCGTACGCACTTCCCTATACTACTACATCCAGGGCCAGGAATGCAAAGAGTGGAGTGGTTGACGTATGTGATGCTCTGTAGTGCAGATCATAGAATGGATAAATCGGAATAAATCAAAAGCTTAGTGGTAGCACATGCCTTGTTTCTGCTCTCGATCTACTTTGAACCGTTTGCGATGTCTCCTTTTGTTCAATTAATCTGAGTTCAATGACATTCCAGGGCCACAATTCGGTACTTATGAGATAAGACACTGGCAATAGTCCAGGGCTGTTTGCAAGTTCTTGTTGAGACATAATAAAATAGAATCAATACTTGTTTTATGCAAGTTTTGAGTTTATTGTAGGAATTTAAATATACGTAGTTAGAATTGATCACAGAAAACATAAGAAATGATATTCCACAGTAGTGGTCCCTGCCGGCGATGGTGAGATAAGAAAAATTGTCGATATCAATTAGAACATACATGTGTGAGCTGAGAAGAGACATGGATATTGTGATTGAAAAATATAGTCCTGCAGTACCATAAGATCTTTTCTGTTCCGCACTTCGGTTGTATCCATGAAACTTCGAGTATCTAACTCACTTGTTCAAACAGGTGAGTCGTTTCGATGAATGCTGGAAATCGAGATATCATGCTCGACATTTATTCCGAGAGGAATATCGGAGTCTTGGGATTGCTTAGACATAGGCGGATCCACGAAGCACAATGTCTGTGCCACGATGCTACCACTAAGCTGCGTCGCAGTTTGCTTGGTTGGAGTAAGAGTGTCTCCGTCAAAGGCAAGCGCCTGCCACAGGTTCTGACGACGTGGAGGAACCGACTCAACCCGGCGCGAGTCAAGGGTAGCACCAGCCCAGATAGACGAAAGTGGAAGGGAGATGGCAACGAGTGTGAGCACGTTGGAAGCCAACTCGGGGACAGTCACAGCGTATTGCACGATAGTGACGATAGTAGGAACAATGAGAGTCTGGCACCCGCAAATGAAGATGGCCTTCATGGGACCAAAGTCTCGGATCCCGAGCCGACGTCGCTGCCGAATCGCAAAGCCTAGCTTTGTGACAAAAATAAGGCAGAAGAAGGAGATGCTGATTGTGATGACGATTCCACAGGCCTTTTCCAGCCACCAGATATCCTGCAAAGAGGAGAGAGTAATGATCTCCTTGCAGTTCATGACCATCCATCCCAGGCGGAAACCAATAGGTACCAGTGCCATCAGGATGGAAACCACAAACAAGACCCGTCGATACCGACGGCGCAGGGTTGCGCAAATCACATGAACTTGGAAGACGAGCGAGAACTCAAAACAAACCACAAGAAGGGTCTCAAAGATAACCGCGACAATGGAGATTGCGTAAGCACCGGTCTTAACATCAGTGTAGTCACCCGAGAAATAAGGATAGATGCTCTCGAATCCAGTTGTATAGCTGATGCACTGGAAAAGCAGACGAAGGAAATTGAAGGTCAAAGCTAGTCCATTGAGAATAAAGATGGTCGAGCGACGTTTATCGCGACGAGTCAGGAGAATCATGACGATAAACAGCACAAATGTTGCGCCTAGCTGGGTTCCATAGTCTATGCAGACCTGAACATTGTACTGGACAAATTCGTTCAGATCCGGAAGAGGAACGGAGAAGGGCTGGCCATTGCGATCGTGGAAGGTAAGAACCTGTTCCTCAGGGTTGAACGAAGCCATCTTTGCAAATGAAAGCTGGTTTGATACGATAGAGCAGAAGTTGATTTCAAAGCTGCGTGGGAAAAGGTTGACGGGCAAGAAGTTTTATAGAAAGAAACATCATCCACCCCGAAGTTGATATTTTCGATAGTCGGGGGGGGGGGGGGGGGGGGGGGGCATTCCTGAAGAGGCATGATTGTTTCATGGCGAAGAGGCCGAAAGCGACAGTGTGATATAAATTGTTCTGGTTGGGATTAGCGAAGTTCGTGGATAGTTGAAGTCAAAGAGGGAAGGAACAATACTAAGGGAAGAGAACAATACTAAAGAGAACAAAGACACCCGAACCCTCATTTCCCCCATTTCTCCCCCATTTTCTTATCTCTGGACGCCAAGTTCAGAGTATGGACAGACAGACGCATCTAGGCTTGCTCTTGATGCTCACGAGTAGCTCCTTGTCCATGAGGAGCACATTGATTTCGGGTATTTTTGGTGATTTTCTTTTGCAACCGAGTTGGCAGCTCGGTTCTTTGGTTGAAGTTCTCTTTGTGAGACAATGGATGAAAGCGACCTCGAAATAATGACGAATAATAGAATAATATGGCACCCCCAACATTCTCAATGTTATTTTAAGATTTGTCAAGAGTTTCGCAGGTCATGGGCCCCCAGATCGCCTCTTCTGCGAATTATTGGAATGGATGCATGTGCCACTGCTATCTTGTACATTCGGCCTTCGTTACCGCATTAGGCAAAATTGACACCTCGTACAAATGGCCAGAATCAGGCATCAGTTATCAGTTGTATTACCTAATCCACGATCCTGACTAACCTGATCACCTGACTAACCACTAGTCTTTTAGCCTCGGCTTTAAAGGATGTGGCGCTCGAAAACCTTAAATTCTTGGTACCTGTAGTATTTTTGCATCATGTTCTACTTCTGACATACAACTGCTTATAAGGTACAGCTTTCCTCCAAATTTGACAAGCCGCCAAAGACCGAATTCATGTGCCTCTTGGAAACTCACTGTGGAGTAATGAGCGGAGTGTGAATTCCGCTGAAGATCATTCCCAGAGTGGATCCTTCGGCGAGGAATTGAACCGACCGGCGAGATTTTCGGGGACTTTTATCAGTTTGAAGTGCAAATTGGTGAACCAGGATTCTTTCTGCACCAACGTTAAAGTGCTGACTATTGCATGTCCGTACATGCCGACGAATCGGAGTACAGCTTTAAGCCAAGCTAATCCCTCAATCTATTCTCCTGGACCTTCTTCACCCAAAACCAGCGGTTGTCGTACCTAATGAAGTTTTTTTTCCATTTTTTGGCGGGGACAACCGGCCGATTCTATTCGCCTCTTGTTGGAAAAGTTTTTCGAGGATTAGAAATCACTAATTAGTGGAGTAATGTATATAAAGCCTCGAGATGCATGAAATAAATAATCCCTGTCAATTAAAACGTTTCTTTGAGCAACTTTATTACCTGTTTTTTTCAATCGTTATATATACCCTTCATCATGACTTGGCCCGATGTTCCTGTCAAGCCCGCCGAGGGCATCTCTTACTTCACACCGGCTCAAGAGGTGCCAGCTGGCACTGCTCGTAACCCTCAGACCAATGGCAAGCCCATTCCGAAATTGTTCCAGCCCCTGACTATCCGAGGCATGACCTTCCAAAACCGCTTGGGTGTAAGTAATCTCCGTTGGGGGGAAACATGTTCCAGATCCGTCCCGAGACCAAGTACTCATGAGACATTATAGGTTGCCCCAATGTGTCAATACAGTGCCGAAAATGGCCACATGACCCCCTGGCACATGGCCCACTACGGTGGAATCGCCATGCGTGGCCCAGGAATGATCATTATCGAAGCCACGGGCGTCGTTCCCGAGGGCCGTATCACTCCTGGCTGCGTGGGTCTGTGGCAAGACTCGCAGATCAAGCCGCTGAAGGAGGTGGTCGAATTCGCCCACAGCCAGAACCAAAAGATCGGTATCCAGCTCGCCCATGCTGGTCGTAAGGCCTCGACCGTTGCCCCCTGGATGGGCGGTGTCACTGCCACTAACGCTGTCGGCGGATGGGTCGAGAACGTGAAGGCTCCCAGTGCGATTCCCTTCTCTGAGGGAGATATCATCCCCCAGGCTATGACTCTGGAGGATATCCAGGAGGTCAAGGAGATGTGGGTTGCGTCCGTGAAGCGTGCTATTGCGGCCGGTGTTGATTTCATTGAGATCCACAACGCTCACGGATACCTGCTTTCTTCCTTCCTGAGCGCCTCCTCGAACAAGCGTACCGATCAGTACGGAGGCAGCTTCGAGAACCGCATTCGCCTGTCCCTGGAAATTGCCCAGCTGACCCGTGACACCGTTGGCGAGAACGTCCCCGTTTTCCTGCGTGTCTCGGCTACCGACTGGTTGGAGGAGAGCATGCCCGAGGAGGAGGGCTGGAAGCTGGAGCACACTGTCGAGTTCTCCAAGGCTCTCGCTGCGCAGGGTGCGATTGATTTGATCGATATTAGCACCGGTGGTGTGCACTCCTCCCAGAGAATCAACGGAAAGGGTGCCTTCCAGGTCCCCCACGCAGCTGCGGTCAAGAAGGCTGTTGGTGATAAGGTCCTTGTCTCGGCTGTGGGCAGCATCACCAATGGTGTTCTTGCCGAGAAGATCATGAATGATGAAAACATTGATTTGATCCTGGTTGGTCGTGCCTTCCAGCGTGACAGTGGATTGGCCTGGGCCTTTGCTAAGGATCTGGATGTGGAGATTGCCATGGCCGGTCAGATCCGCTGGGGATTCAACAGCTTCCGCAATGCGTCGGAATACATTCAGCCTAACTCCGTGAAGGCTTCCATCTTTGATTAGATGTCTTTTTGAATATGCATAGCGATTGGAACCATATAGAGTCGGGAATTATAGACAACATTTGAATAAAAGGATTCCTTTTCTGAACATTTGAAAGCAAATATTTGCATTCAAACATTGAATGTTCGAATCATGCAGCAAAATTACGTTCAAATGTTACATGGTTCTCCCATGTGCCTAGTTAACTAGTAGGCACTGTATATTAGGTACTACGCAGTTATTCATCTCGAGTACCGAGTTTATACTCTTCTCTAAGTACTGAGTAGTAGGTACTCATATCAAGGACCGAGTACATACGGAAATACCCATCTCAATTATTGAGCACGTAGTAACGGATTTACCCTTCAAGGTTGGATAACCCAAGTGCTATATTAACCTTGAACTACGCACCGAGTGGATGCTCGGCACTCTTTACTTATGAGTACTACCAGACACAGTGGCAGTGAATTCAAAATTCAGGTGCCGGTTATGCAAGGCCTCTCGTAAGGCATCATTTTCATGATGCAGCATCTCAGCAAACAACCAAGTCCCAGATATCCTGTAACCACCACTCCTTCTCTCTTTGAGCTTGCCTCTCCTCTGGAACTGATAAGAATATTTAATTGGAGAGAACTATTAGATTATATCCGGTCAATATCTAGACCTTCACTTTATCTCTTTTTGGCTTGTAGGAAAGGAAAGATCAGGGAATGGCTTCATTCTCATGACTTATTTGTTGGGAACTGCTCTATACAGTCCAGGTGACTCCCATATTGAACTCAAGCGACTCCCGTAATAAACTGATCCTTCCGCGTGATCGGTTGATCCTACTAAGCGACCTGGTTGATTTGGGGGACGCGTTCAGGGTCTTTCCTGGGGCGTAAATACTTCGTTTTCCCTCCTCCTCTCCTTCTTTTCTTTTTTCCCCTTCGCCAAGTCTCATCACTCTCAAGTCTTCTCTTTATATATTCAAACTTCCATTTCGCATTTCCATCTGATGTCTATATCATCCAAGTTCCTTTTTCTTCCTTGGAACTTCCATCCATGCGTCCAACATGTCCTTCATCAAGTATTTATTTTTTTACTTTCTTTCCCTTGTGGTTCTCTCCCCTGTTGGCGCCGACTGTCTTCAGGTTTCTGAACGTCCATCATTATTTCAACTGTGGTCACCTTGACTGATATACTGATCACCATCATCAATAAACCTCTCCAACCGACTTGCTTTGACAATTCAAAAGCTTCAGGTACTATGCTTTCAAAGGCTAATCTGTTCTTCCTTTTTGTTACCTTTTCAAACTCTCAGTCGTCGTCGTTCCGTCACACATGTCACCACAAACTTAGCATGTCTTCATGATGCGTCTATTATATCAAGTTTCATCTTTGACACTCCGGTCAACAGGCCTTTGCAGCCCAGTGGTGATTATTTCCTTTCCAGCCCAGTCTTAACGGTTTCAAGGCGCGTTTTCAATACATTGCCTCAATCTGTTACTGACTTTTCGGCTTATGCACCTAGGCTGTCCGAATCTGCGTCTGTACTATCAACTCACGCACACGCACACGCACACACCAATCAAGGGGAAAAAAGAAAAGAAACAACAAGAAAACAACAAGAAAACAACAAAATTTCGGTTCCTTATCTGCACCGCTTGCTGTTTTCATTATGGTTTTCTTTGGCTTGGGTCTTTTGTGGCTTGTGAGATCTCCAGTGTGCCGGACCTCTTCCGAGAGTATGGTTTTCAGGTCGAAGTTGGGAAAACCTCTCGCCTATAAGCGCTTGCGGATCTCTTTACTCCAAGTTCTATGAGCGTCCAATACGCGGATCGGCGAAGACCGTGTTTGCTTCTCTTGTGGCTCTCGGTTTATGTTCTATAGTGAGGGGGCCATTTGTTGGTGTGAAGACTTTTGGTGGTGAATCAAGGAATCCAGTGTTTTATATGGTTTGTTGCATGTTGGTCTACCATGACCTACTAGTTAGACATGCTCTTTTTGTTGACATGTGGGGTTTTTACCTTTTGTTTTTCTTTCCAGTCCCATTTTGACTGTTAACTCCCACTTACTGAGGGGTGCTGGCCCGCTTCAATCCATTACCTCAATTTGGTCACACATGTGAATTGTCAAGTAAAGAGCGCCATATAGCTCAAGTTTCGGAATGCAGACCACTGATCAGGAATATTCTTGTAAAATAGACTACCAAACATGGCGTTGCAGATTATTTCCCCCACGAATATAGCGTGGGTTTGATGCATACTTCATCTGTTTCCCCCAGATTAGGACCATCTCCATATCTCGACGTGCAATGGAAGCGACAGGATTTTGTTTCAAGCAACTTTAAACAGGCATTTGTTTGGATCTGTCAAGTACAAGTCGCTGGCTATTTTCTCCTTATCCAGGTCTCCCAAGAAACAGAAACTCGTTCCAACCAGAAGACACCCTTCCAATCCCCCAAATACATCAATCTAAACGAGGACACGGCTATTTCGCTCCAACATGAAGACCTGCTCTTTCCCCGATAGAGCACATGTCGACTTTCTGGATATAGAGCTAGTCAGATGAGAGCGACTGTACTGGGTAGGTATTGGTGCTCTCTGTATGTTGAGATCGGAACGATGTTGACTGTCTATACAGGCGACCGGTTGATTGAAACTGGGCTGGAGGCACGAAACTTTGATTCGAGACTGCTACCTATGGTGGAAGAAGCGGAGCCCATAATTTCCAGGACTTTGTTTATGTTCCGTAATTTTCTCTATTGCCGCTGCGCCATCTCAGCTTTGCAGTATCATGGTACCGTGACATTGGGGCCTTATTATATCACCTGCATCTATAATGGTACAGGGCCAACTCTGCTTCTGGCACGCATGTCAGATGAGTTTGTGTCACTTTGGTTTATCCTCGTTCTCCCTTTGGTCATCAGAACGTTACCATTACAACTAATTATTCTGTTCTGTCTTACTGATAGACCATTGCCATTGGTGCCTATATGGCCAAGGTTGAATGAAAGCAAGGAACTGCATGCTGAGACCGGTCTTTCTTCTGCTGGTGATTGATTTTTTATTCGCGACTTGTCTATTATTATATGACAGGAATTTGCCAATTATTGCAAGGGTTACAGAGCCGCATCTGATTGTGAGAAGCATGCACGCATATAACACCATATTTCATCATCTTTCTTCTTCTTGACTTGTTCTTGTTACACAGATTACTCCTGCGAAAACTAAAACTAGGGCCACAAAGATTACGCCAGCTATGAAAAACGAGATAGCTGCGTATGCTGCTCATTATCGACCAGCAATCATGAGCATTAGCCTCTGCTTGGGATCTATAGCCACCATCCTCATTCTCCTTCGAATCTACAGCTATTTCAGGGTTGTCCGCAACAAAGGTGGCTGGGCTCTCAGTGCAGCAATTGTCGCATGGGCAAGTCATCTCCTAGAATCATGGGCAATGCATGTTCCTATGGCTAATTGTCAGGAGAAAAACCAGGTAATAGCCATTCCTGTCACCGCGATTGATTGCTATTCGGTCTACTACCCAATGGAATTCAACACACGGTCACTCCCGATCTATGCAGCCATGATCGGCTTGTTCTCGCTCGCATTTGCGAAACTTGGCATAGCATTATTCATTCTGGAGGTACAACAGCATTTCTATCGAATTGGCAAATGGCTTTTGGTAAGCGTTTTGGCTTTGATGGTGAGGTAAGTCCAACACTTTCAGTTTCCATGAAACAATCAACTGACTCGCTCATGAGCTAGTTCCTCTTCTATATTCTGATGATGCCCTTCATGTTCTCACAAAAATGCACCTGTGGTCAAAAACACTGTGGAGGGGGATTGAAAGGATCGATCTGGTTCTATATTAGCGGGGGTATGTCAGCCGCCACAGATATAATACTCGCCATCTATCCGGCAATAATCATCACGAAGCTTCAGATGATGCGCAGAAAGCTCAAAATAGTTGCCTCTATTTTAATGGGCATGGGAATCCTCGGGGCTACCTGCAGTATAGCAAAGGCAGTCGAAGCCCACAAACTGAGCCATTTCTGTAGGTATTCAAGGACAGAAAATCACCTGTAGTGAAGATTTATTGACACTCTCAAGACGAAATTGGTCCACTGGTTATTTTTGCAATAACGGAATTATGGTTAGTACAGATTGCTGCTGCTGCCGCTCCTCTTTGGCCGCTAGTCAGACGTATCGGTGAAAAGTGGGAGGCTAAAAAGACAGGAAATACTTCGACCAGCGGAAGAACATGCTGGTTATTCAAACATTTGAGGTTGAGGACTACTGGATCAGTGGCTCCTGGTGGTGGTGAGTTGGTCAGTGTCCAGAACAGTGCTGCTGGGGAGATACCTGGGGGCATAAGAATGTCCCCAGAACCGAGCACACGTCACGAGGAAGTCTAAAATATGATGTCTGCTGTCTAGAATAGCACATTATCATCCTAGATAAATAATGAATCCGGAACTTCGAAATCCCTGAGGGTCTTATTTGTATTAAATTTGCGCGCATGTACTCGTTGAAGTTTCGGTAGGTATCCTGGGACCTCGGGAATAAATGAACAGGGCTCTCAATCGCCTGTGGCAGCATTACCTACGAGTAGGTAGCACCCGACTTTGGCTATTTGGTGATACTACCTCTGCTTCAGTCAAGAATATTATTGGGGCCTCTCAAGGTTCCATTGAAGATTCATCCGGGGTAAAAAATTGATTCTAAGTTACGGCACCATAGGTAGACTCCACGGCTGGAGTAGGTCAAGGATCGGTTGCACAGAAGCATGATTGGAAATTTTCCATGGCATTTGATCTTCACTCGATGAAGAGACTAGTATTGATAATTGTTGGTAATGTACATGATATGTGTCCGTCCCCCCCTGGAGCATGCGCCAAAAGATGAAGGTTAACAAAGGTACTATGATAAGAACTAATGCAAGAACGCCTGTGTGCCTTGGTCAAGGCCCATGCAATATTTTTCGTTGGGGATCAGAACAACAACAAAAAGAAGTTAAATCGCCCACAACTTCAAGGTGAGGTGCCTTTAGTAGGATGCCAGCCAGCATCTTCAAAGCTTTGGTGGGTAGATTAAGTGTCATGGCGAAAGGTGCAGTTATCGCCTTTCCTGCACTTTCCTTCAGCCCAGAACCTGCAGGCAACCAATCCAAACTTGTACTATTTGATACGTTAGCACAATTCTATATCAGGGGAAAGGGAAGAATCGTGGATGAAAACTTACCGGCTTGGGGTCGCTTGCTTTGGTCCGCTTCTGACGACTCCAGGCAGGATCGTACTGCCCATCAGGCGGTACGTCCTCGCGCATGCGCTTACGTTCAGGGTCCTCGTAGCTGTTTGCTGGTTGCATGTACTGCGGGGGGGCAGACTGCTGGTTTTGACCACCGAAATGAGCGAACATAGCGCCAAAGTCAGGTGCCATCATGGCAGGCTGTGTCTGCTGGGGTTGAGGTTGTGTGAATGTGCCTGGCTGCAACTGTTTCATGACATTCAAAATATTTTGGAAGTCGACACCTGTAGCCGGTGGCTGCGGTACCGGAACTTGGGGGATTTGAGGAGCTTGAGGCTGTTGCTGGCGGAACATATTGATTGTACGCTCCAGATCGGACATGGGTGCAGCCGGCTGCTGCATAGATTGAGGCGGAGGCGTAGATTGCTGTTGGGTTCCGGTTTGGATCAGTTTGAGGATGTTGGAAATGTCGAACGCGCCCGTTGCTTGATTGGCTTGTGGCTGGGGTAGGGCCTGAGGAGGTGGCGCAGGCTTGGGGTTCATATAGCTGAAATAGCGTTCTTGTCGGACCTGTGCCGATTGCGTTAGTTATCTTTCTTCTTCTTTGATACGGGTAAAGTGATGCCACATACCTTGATGTGATCGGGCAATTCTCCGAAGGGAACAGCATCTGAGACAACCTCATCCGCATCAGGAGCAGGGGCCTCTTTCGGTGTTGATGGGATATCGGCTGGAGAAGCATGGAACACCATCAGGGTGGTGGACTCCCGGAGATCCTGAGCGATCTTTTCTGGGCTGTCGGGGATCTGGTTTCCGCCACGTTTGATGAAGTTGCCGTTCTTCATCTCATCGGATTCAATGACGATATCTGTATTTTGGTTAGCTAAGTTTCGCTGCCGCATTGCGGGAAACTGCGACTCACTAGACAGAGCAGGGTAATCGCCGTAACTTGTTTCTCGCATACCACCAAGGTCATCTTCCTCCAACTCCTCCAAGTCTTTGTGGAGTTTGAGAACACTGCCTTCGCCTTTGACATCTCCTGCGCTACGCAAGGAGCCATCGCCGGGGCCCAACTCTTCGTCAGGATCATGAGTGAACAAGCGAACCTCAGTCAATGAGTCATCTGGTTTCCAGCTAACACGCAGCCTGCGTCGCTCTTCCTTGCGCAGTCGCTTTGTGCGCTCTTCCTCCGTCTCTGGAGGCCTCTCCTCTGTAGGCTTGATAACAACGGTCTCCTTGGGTTTGCTAAGGTCGGCCATGATATCACCAAAAGAAAAGGCTGGTTTGGGAGGAGGTGCTGGAGGCTTTTCTTTCTTCTCGGTGGCAGCAGGTCTGTGTTTAATGTCAGTCTGACTGAATTTCGAAGATGAGACAAGTTATGAAAGTGACATACATAGGCTTCCCTGCAGCTATTGCTGCGGCCCTTTCAGCATTTGTTGTTCCTGGTCGCTTGGAAGCGGAGCTTAGTGCACCAAATAGGCTTGAAGGCTTGGGTGCAACGACACTAGCCTTAGGACGAGCCACTGCTGCGGCCGCCGGCTTGCCATTCTGGATGCCTTCAATGGCTCGCTTACCCACGCCATTGGCTGGGACGGCTGGTTTACTCGGATCTTTGGGGTTTGAAGTAACAACCATTCGCTTTGTTGCAGGCTGGGCATTAATTTCTGCGTCTCGCGGACGTTTCGAGCCAGCAATTTCGGATGACGGAGAATCTGCAGAAGATCCTTTTGCAGAAGAGTCATCCTCGGCAATCTTTTGCTTCCACTTGGTGGCAGCAGCAGCATTATCTAGGATTTTCTGTGCCGGCTCCTTGATAGACGGTCCGCCTTTCTTGATGAAGCGTGGCAATAATTTAGAAAGATTGGTTTTCTGTAAGATTTCTTCATCTACAGTAACAAATTGCGCCAAGAGCTAGATTCTTTGTTAGAGGGGGTACCGTAAATAATTTTCGTAATTCCGTATTAACTTACCTTGATCATGTTAGTGGTCAACGATCCTTCAAAATCAGCGGCCTGGAAGCGATCTGCCAAAAAGGAGTAAATTGCTGCAAGTGCCATTGGATGTTCTCCACATCTACATAGAGGGAAAGATTAGCAATCCGATACATGGTAACAAGATGGGATGAGACTTTGTTTGGCAAAGACAAATTGGACACGCATTAAAGCTTGGCCAATGGGCAATTCATCTCAGCTTTAGAACCGAAATGTTTAAGGGAACGAATTTCAGGCTTTTGGTTGATGTCTGTCCACAGGTAACCAGGACAGCACCATTAAATGCTGTCTGAAACATGGGAGGCAACACTTATTTCTAGCCATACCAATAGTAACTTGATTCAACACAGGAAACAGGTTTACGTGGGCAATGCGCTCAATTGGTATCAGACTTCTATCGCCACGACGACCATGTGCAAAAGAACTGAATCTTAGGAAAAATGGAATGGGGGCGGGGGCGGGGGTAGATTTGGGGGGGACATACTTCTCAACAATAACGGGGTGACCCATTTCCATTGCGGTGGTCATTATCTTATCCATGATTTGGCGCTGTTGAATCACACTTTGCCTAAGCTGGGCAGCTTTATCATTATCACCTTGATTCTCGGCGTTCTTCATGGCCTGAACTTGGTCTTTCCAAGAATCTCGGAGACTTTTGATGATTTCTTTGAAGGCCATCAGCCCATTCTTTACTTTATCGGCCGGAACTCTCATGTTCCGGGGTGACCACACAGCTACTAGTGTATCGTACACAGCTGCGGCAATAGGCTCGGTGGGACGAACTGCTGGGATGGGCGATGGCTCCGGCGGGGCTTCAATTTCCAGTTCAGAGTCATCAGAGCTCTCACTACCAGACCCCTTGCTCTTCATCTCTTTTTTCGCGGTCTTCTTGACTGATTGTTTCTTGGTAGGCTTCTTCGCCGCAATTACGGCTTCGGGGATAAGCGGAAGCGGGTGATTTGAAGCAGAGACGCCATTTTGAGGGGCGGCCTGACCGGAAGCAACACGGAATTGAGGTTGAACAGATATGTCATTTTGATAGTAGTCGAACATCTGCCCTCCAGCCCGATCAAACTCGGCAGGATTTCCGTACATGAAGTTGTTTTGAAGGGGCTGTCTTTGCGCGGACTGAGTTGTCGGGTTCAGGAACTGTGGATCGATGGTCTGGTGGTGCCCAGGCTCGGAGGAGAAATCTTCAGTGAGGTCGATGGTGTTGTGCAGCTCAGAGGGAGGGTACCCAGACGGGGCGGCGAACTGAGACATGACAGGTTGTGGAGTAGGTGTCTGGAATTCAGCTGACTGTGAGTGTTGCTGCGAAGGACGCGCCTGGAACGAGTTCTGCACGGGAAGTTGTTGTTGTTGTTGATAGAAGTTTTGTTGAAAAGTGAAGGAAGGAAAGGCCGAGCTCTCAGATGGTTGAAGTGAGCGAGCGTCGTATTGCATTTGATTTTGCGGGAAGTGATGCAGAGGTTGTGAAGTTTGGTATTGAGGGGCAGGAGGAGGATACGCGCGACCAGGTTGGTGCAATGGGTTTGACTGCCACGACTGAGGAATAGAATACATTTCAAGGTTTGGGTCAGCCGGTGGCGTCATCTGAGTTTGCTGCTGTTGAATTTGCTGTGGTTGCTGTTGCTGCTGTAAGATTGGGTGATCCCAGCCAATACCCAATGGCTGTTGTGAGGAAGGATCCTGGGGTTGCTGGGGTTGGGATTGGGATGGTTGGATTTGTGCATCGGAATACATCGAGTCCATGGGGTTCCAGAACTGAGAGGGCACCTGAGATGGCCTAGTATGGGGCAGACCCGGCATTCGGTTTTGAGCCGAGGACTGCTCCATGATGCTCCACCCACCAGGTTTTGAAAGTATGGTACACGCTCACTTTAATTGAAGCGAGAGCTTGCAGCTGTATATTTTGCCCCGTATATCACGTGGATCCACCGGGGGTGAGACCGCCTGCCTATTCGAGGAGAGCTTTCGGGAAAACGTTCGACCGGAGGTCAGGTGCGGGGGCGTCACGCGTCTGATCGATCAAAGCGATACGATTGGCTGGGAAGGCGCGTCGGCGGTAACACTGGGAAAGACTGAGGAATGACGACAAATTATCAGGATGTGATCGTCTCAATGGCCGTTCCAATGGTTATATCACAAATCACAAAACGGTACAGCTAGAGGCGGGACTGAGTTGTAGCCACGGATACTATCGTACCTTTTCTTTTCCTTTTTAAAATTGCAAAGCAGAATGATGTCTTAGTGTGGTTATTAGATCGTGTTTGCCTCAGGCATCCACTGTCACTGATGAAATCCTGTGGATTTGTCGTCGATTTCCTGGTCTTTTCTGCACCTTTTAAATGGCCCTGGCTGTATACAACCCGTAGAGAAGAAGACAAAGAGAGGGAAAATATTTCTGCGACGCCTGAATCTTCCAGGATTCTTTAAGGCTGCCTGCTTGTCTTTCTTCTGTGGTCTCTCCTGCTCTGATTGTATTCTGGACCCTGGTTCCAGCTTCAGGTGCGCCCTCCTTTTTCTGGGGTTTTAAGCTTGTTTCCTTCAGTAGAAAAAAATACTCCGAGGTAGAGAATAGACAGACTCCTATATCAAGAGCCACTCTAGCATCATAGCCATTCGCTTTACGAAGAAAAGGGAGGGATTGGGGGAAGGTGATGGGGTGATGTGGATGGAGAGATTTGAGGTGGAAGGGGGAACAATTTGCTACGCAAGGTATGTAATGTTATAAACGGGTCTGGTACAGCGTCAAGTTACTTCATTGGTGAGGATATCGTTAGATTACGAGTTTACCGTACAAAAACCGTAAATACTACTACCCATAAGCTCTCTTGGCCATACATGTGATACAGCCCCCGGAGTTTGAGTTTGTTTGGTTTGCACGATTACCTCATCTTTGGTCGGGCCACGCTTCGTGCTGTTTAACGGGAAAGGCGGGATAATCAACAAGTAAAAAGCATAGCTCTTTCCAACGTTGGTGATTGACCTCTACTCGGAATCTCTGTTCTTTTGATTTCATATTGTGAGGCTGAATTTCAACCCCCGAGTGTCTTCCCTAAGCCCGTGGTGCCCGGTCTGCCATGGCGCATCCAATGTCCCTCCGAGACCGACAGGTTGGTAGGTGATTGCTCGGCGTTGTCTCCAATTCTACAAATTTTAGCTGACTATCTGTTCAAGCTTCAATTCAAAAGCTTTTGAATCTCAATCATGACACACGCCCCACAGAGGACTCGCATGATCCATCTGGTCATGGCGGCCTCATCTCCCACTCTACCCCGATCTTGAATGAGGATGGTGATCCGATTTGGAAGGTCCTGGTATTTGACACTATGGGCCGTGATGTTATCAGCAGTGTGTTACGTGTCAACGACCTCCGAGCATGGGGAATTACCATCCATTTGTACGTTATTGCGACTCGGCCCTCGCCCCTCGGCAGGAGGTAATGGACAGCTAACATGATCCCAGGGGCATCAATTCTCAGAGATATCCTATTCCCGACGTCCCCGTCGTTTACCTGGTGGAACCAAATGAGGCGAACATTCAAGCTATTTCCCGCGATCTTTCCCACGGCCTTTACTCTCCCGCCTACGTCAATTTCCTATCCTCCGTTCCTCGACCCCTCCTCGAGGACTTTGCTTCGCAAATAGCTACATCCGGTGCTTCAGAGCATGTCGCCCAAGTTTTTGACCAGTACCTCAACTTTATTGTTGCAGAGCCTGATCTCTTTTCCTTGGGAATGGGGAACGACGCATACCACAAAATCAACAGCCCGAAGACGACTGATGAGGATCTGGATGCGATTGTGGATAAGGTGGTCAGCGGCCTCTTTAGTGTCAGCGTGACGATGGGTATGTTTTTTCTGTGTTCAATCTCGTGATCGCCAACTAAAACTAGCTAGGCTCCATTCCTGTGATTCGATGCCCTAAGGGTGGCGCGGCGGAGCTGATCGCAACAAAGCTTGATCGGAAACTTCGTGACCACATACTCAACTCCAAGGATAACCTCTTCTCCGGTAATCAAAGAGCTTTACCGGGGGTTCCTTCGACGCGCCCTGTATTGATCATCATGGACCGAAACGTTGATTTGGTGCCCATGTTATCACACTCCTGGACATACCAATCTCTGGTGCAAGATGTGCTGCAAATGCGGTTGAACCGGATTACTTTGGATGCCCACGAGCAGGACTCGGGCAAGAGTGGTAAAAAGTCATATGACCTGAATAGTAACGACTTCTTCTGGCAGCGAAATGCCGGTGCGCCATTCCCTCAGGTCGCTGAGGACATCGATGCCGAATTGACACGGTACAAGGAGGACGCAAACGACATCACGAAGAAGACCGGTGCGTCTTCTATTGAAGATCTCCAGAATGATACCAGTGCCTCCGCACAGCACCTCAAGGCCGCCATTACGCTGCTTCCAGAACTGCGAGAGCGTAAAGCTGTTCTTGATATGCACATGAATATCGCCACTGCCTTACTGAAAGGTATTAAGGACCGCCAGCTGGATGATTTCTTCGAGCTGGAGGAAAACATCACTAAGCAGACCAAGGCGCAACTCTTGGAAGTTATCAATGACCCAGCCAAGGGCAGTGATCCAACAGACAAACTGCGCATTTTCATCATCTGGTTCCTCAGCACCGAGACCGAGCTGAACCGCACGGAGATGACACAATTCGAAGAGGCTCTTACTCAGGCTGGCGTCTCCGATATTACTCCTATCGCATATGTTCGACAAGTTCGCGAAATAACCCGTATGACTATGATGACGACCGCCGCTCCAGAGCAACAATCATCTGACATTTTCCGTGGCTTCTCATCACTGTCCAACCGCCTCACAGATCGCATAACTTCTGGTGCGCTTGGTGCTAACTTCGATTCCCTCATTTCCGGTGTTAAGAACTTCCTCCCCGTAAACAAAGATCTTACTGTGACTAAGATCACCGAGTCTATTATGGATCCGGCTGCAGCTTCCAGCTCCGCCATCACCAAGACAGAAAACTACCTTTACTTTGACCCACGTAGCGCTAATGCTCGTGGTGCCATGCCCCCGGCATCTGCTTCACGAAACCAGCAGATGCCTGGTGCGATGGGTACCACCGGTCCCGGTACCGGAGCTACATTTGGCCAACGCCGACAGGCTTTCAACGAAGCTATTGTTTTCACTGTGGGCGGCGGCAGCATGGACGAGTACGGCAATTTGCAGGACTGGGTGAAGCGGACTAGCGGCCAGCAGGGTGCCGACGGTGCACCTACTCGTGCGCCTGTGGCTCGTCGTAGGGTCGTATATGGAAGCACGGACCTGATGAACGCGAATGAATTCTTGTTGGACTCGCTGGCGCCTTTGGGACAAGAGAGTTAAATATGCAATTTGCTTTTTATGGGACGGGCTGGTCAATAAGGTAGATTCAATGGTTGTAAAACATACTTATAATGTGCAAGGCCTTACGTGCAAATTGGCTAAAAAACTCATTTCCAAGGTTGTACATACTAGTAGTATGTAGTCTCCATATTTTCTTTAAGTCGAGATCCGTCGGAATGGTAGAGCATACACAGATAAAAACATAGTCTTGTGAATACTAGACATACGTTTGAAATGTTTGCCCATGCATGTGGATACAACATTGAGCCTATTCTAAGGCAATCCTGAACTGCCACTTGATCTACTGCTCACTACATGTAGTACTAGTAGTCGTTGCAGACATGGCTCCTGGAGGCAAAATCAATGTCAAATCGGTACGCCACCACTTTGATAAAATTAGCAATTTCAAAGACGAAATTTGCAAAACTGCAGGCTACTACATGTTGTTAACATAATTGATATTCTAATGTCTCTGTCTCATCATTCAGTTGATTGGGGAGTCCGATGGGTCAATAGTGGCGTATAAAGAGTTTTATGGATCCTGACAACATCATCCGCCTCCCGAGGCGATTCCCTGATGGCACGTTCCTTGAGATTAATCAATCACATCAAGACCCAGATTTGAAGGATGCATCTTTTTCTTTGAACCCATCAATATTTCTTGCCTCGTTGACATTTTTCTTCAAATACGTGATGTCACCAAAGGTCATATGACTATCACATCAGACGCCACCGGGACAAGTATAAAGAGATGGTGCATTCTGTGTGATACAAGGCTCTCATATCTCATAAAATCTTATCACCAAAATATACATTCAATACTCAATTCTCAATTCTCAATTCTGAACTTCGATAAAAAGTCCACGTCAAAAATGAGTGACCGCATCTACGCAGCGGATACTGGCTACCCAAGTGATTACGAGCCAAGTGCTACCTACGACACTCTTGGAACAAATTATGATTCGACCGGCACGACATATGATCTCACGGCAGGCTATGACCCCTATGGCCACTCGACCTATGCCTCAACGGGCTACGGGACGTCTGATAATGGGGCCGATGCCACCGGTCTCAGCTACGATGCCGATGCATATGACACTGGATACGGCACAACATCGTACGACCCCAGCACCGGCGCATACGATCAACACCTCGACTATCGCACTGAAGACTCGAGACGACACCACCGTGAGCGCCTCGACTCAAGCGGCATATACCGACACCGAGATGTTGACCGCCGCGACGATGGAACTACCCACGTCCATCGAGAATACATGAACCCCAACACTGGTACCAACTACCACCGTGACTATGAGCGGTAAAAGAACGCGAAGATAATAAGTGAAGAGAATACTATATATTGGATTTGGATCCAAGTTCCTTTCATTCAGACATGATTTATGACTATTGAAAAATAAAAGCTCCCAAGAGGGGAAAAAAAGATTGAAAGAATCAAAGTCAAAAGGAAAAAAAGATGAAAAAGATGAAAAAGATGAAAAGGATCTTTGAAACCATCAAAAAACTGGCTCACTCTTTTTGCCTGTCTTTAAGCGACAAAATATCACGATCGTTACGCATCCACAAGCAATGCAGCCCTAGTACTTTCAGCGAATCGACTTTTTGTGCAAGCATTCCTTTATAGCATATGTACATATTTACTGAGGGGCATTAATAGATGATAGACTAATGTAAATAAGAGTATTTTGCTCGAATACAAGTCCAAAGAAAGCTTTTTGATGTAAAAATGGAAGTAAATCACTTCCTATTATGGTAGTAGTAAGGGTTGTACTCATAACTCTACTAGTACATAACTACTATACATAACTATCAGATGTTGAATGGCTTGTATCTTCCCGGGTCATTTCCAAGGGCTTCCCGCGAAATGACCAGCCCAAATATTATTTTTCTCATTAAGACCTAGTCTTCTTTTTTTTCTTGATTAATTCTTGGCAATGAAAGACTTAGCTCAAGTCTAATTTTCTTTCTTTTCATGCAATAACACCTCTTCAGGAACATCCCGCGGTCCGGAGCCAATAAAAGGAATTGGTGCCTAAGGCCCGACACTAAACAAGGCTCCACTGCTATCGTCACCAGCCCCAGTTCATTAATTCAAACTTCCCCCTCCCCCTAGGCGCTTAATACTGTGCAGCCAACTCGATGCTGGGCAGAAAACAGGTATTAACAAAGCTTCCCATGTCCCCGTAATCATGTCCCGGAGGACGCTGGGTGGAGGTCGTGTTCTAGGCACCCCGACTGCACTTTCATCGGCCCCGTCCCCGTCCCCGCAGCCGAAGCCAAGACTGCTTTCGCCAACCGCCAGCAGCGTATCTCTCAGTTCTCAAACATCAATCTCGCAATTCTCAACGGAAACGCAAGACCTCACTTCACGTATCTCGGTCGAGAATGGTGACACTTCTATATCTGCGGCGCCGGCCGCTCCCGGGGCTCAACTCTCATGCCCGATCTGCAGTGAGCAGATGGTAAGTGTAGCTTCGTCACGTACCCTGGAGATAGCAGGTACTAATATATTGTGTTGGTATTCATAGGTCACGCTTCTCCAACTGAATAGGTACCTTCCGACCCTCCTCTCCGATTAACACACTTGAAGTGACTTGCGGGTGGTTACTGATTAATGTTCGTTTGGCAGACACCTCGACGACCTACACCAGAACCTAGAAGATGATCGACAAGATGAAGTAAAGGATTGGTTCAAGGTGCAGATGGAGAAAGCGAGAAGGTTCCAGCCTCTAGCTGTGTTGAATCAAAAACTCAAGGGCTTGGATGTATTTGAGTCGAATGAAAACCAAACAGCCCCAGTCGTCAGCCGCCCACTTGCAGCGACCACCCACGCAGGATCGTCCGAGAATACACCCAAAATACTTGACCCAGAAGACCTTATTACGAGAGAGCACTGGCAAGCTGGTTGTCTTTATGACACCTGTCTCGAGCCCTCGTGTGGTAAGCGCCTCAATGGAACCAACGGCTGTGTCAACTGTCGAAAATGCGGCAAGCTATTTTGCGAGGAGCATACTATGTATCAAATGAAGCTTTCACGATCGGCTCATCCTGAACCTGTAAGAGGTATTTGGGCCCGGGTATGCGAAACTTGTTATAAGTCAAGGGAGGGCTATAATGACCATAATGGTATGCCATTTCCAACCTCTATATATGAATGCATGGAGCTTATAAAACCACAGGAGCAATAAGGGATCATACACAGGATTTCAAAAGCTTCAGAAAACAGACAGTGGACAAAGATTTCCTGGAAGTCTCCCGACTCGAGAAACGTTTAACTCGACTTACGCAATTACTCGCCGGCCTGCCACCAGATCAGATACAATCCAGTACGACAAAGTTATTCTCAATTCCATGGCAGAGTGATCAGCGGAAAGCTCTTGAGCAGACTGTTGTCAGCTGGCAAGACGATGCCAGCGTTACCAGATGCCCTTTTTGCCAGCAGGATTTCTCGGGTTACTCCTTTCGGAGACACCATTGCAGAACTTGCGGGCAGGTGGTGTGCGGTGATTCCAGTACAGGTTGTTCCAGCGAGATTGCGCTAAGCATCGCACCTTGTAAGTATTCCAGAACTCCGGGTTTCTGGATGTGGCCGTTCTAATAGAGTCAAGTGTCCAAAACTACAGAGAAAGCCACCCGGAACAATATGATCAATGTGGATATCCGGCTGTGCAAAGATTGCAAGACAACGCTGTTTGACCGTCGTGACTTTCAAGCCGACATTTCGCGGAAACCCCCGGAGGTTAGGGCGTATGAGAATCTGGTGCAGTTTGAAAGAGGCATCCGTCTTCATCTTCCCAGGTTCCAAAAGCTCCTCACTGCATTGCAGTATGTTCTGTAATCCAATCAGTTGTTTTTGATTCTAACGCCATAACAGAGACCCGAGAAGACCACCAGCGTCATCACAGATTGCAGATGCGTCCAAAGTCCGCAAACGACTTATCGACTCGTTCTCCAAGTACGATGTTGCAGCTCGACGTATCCGCGATCTACCCACAGATTCTCCCACACAACAACGCTTACAGAAAGCGATATATCAGCAAGCCAGCGCATTCCTTCATCTTCATATGTTACCATTAAAGTCCCTTCCCAAAGTTCTCAAACACGCATCTCCATCGAGAGATCTTATACCCAGTCGCACCTCCTCCCCAAGCACCCTAGTCAACGGATCGCCAGCCCCTACCAAACCACAGGATTCTGCGCTTGCATCCATTGCATACAACAACCGTCTCGCGCCGAACGGCAGCACCGCCAGTCTCGCCAGCGACACAAGCAGCGCCGTGTCCGCCCTGGAAGCAGAAGAGAAGTCCCTAAGAGAGCGGCTTATCGTCCTTGAAGAACAAAAGTTCTTTGTATCCGAAATGATCGCAGACGCTAACCGTCGACGAAAATTCGACGAAGTGAGCAGTCTTGCCGTGAACGTGGAGGATTTGAGCCACGAGATTGACCGAATCAACGGTATGCTCGCAGGCCTGGATTTTGAAGGTGCCTACACTGGTGGCAATAACCTTCAAGTCAGCGGGTGAAGTTGAAGATCTGCATTCCCTCACATGTATTGCACAAACTCGTGGCGTTCTTGTCAATTACCACAATTTCTTTTCTCTTGTTTGCCATTGCACCCTTCAATTCTTGATGTTCTGACAGGCGTTCTCGAGCACCCTACAGTGATACTATCTATGTGCATAGCATCGGGCGTTGAGTGATTATTGGAGGATTTATATAATGAAATGGCTATTACTGAGCTTTAAAAAAGACCAGTGAGATATACCCTAGGCGTCTCTGGTCCAACGTTTTAAATAATGATAACTAAGACCTAATACCTGCTAATAAAGTTGGAATTTCCAATGTTTGTTACATGAGGTCAAGAATGTGGCAGGACAAAGACAACATTCAGCCTTGTATCCAGGTAGGCAATTGAATGGTTCTGGAAGACTGAAGACCGTGACCCCAATCTTTACCTAGTAGCTTTTATCCAAGATAGATATTTTTATGCACGTACCTAACTGTGAGTAATTATGACCACTCAACCCTACTCGAGGCTACTCCGGTGTGGTCTGCAGGTCTATTGACTGAATTGCAAGGGGTGAATACAATGCAATTTTCCAGGGCTTGTAAATGGGAGATCTTGATTCATACATTACAATGCTATACTCTCTTGGCGTTGAGGCCTTTTTGGTATGCAGCAGGACTATTATAGAAAGAATCTGGACTGACTCCTAGCTGATCTCTGTCAGATTTCTTTGGAATGAAAAAAAAAACCCTCGGTGCGAATCTAAGCTAAGCACTAGAGCTCCGAGGAGAACAAATTAGGCTGCTGCCGAAGAATGTGTAAACATTAACTCCAGACCACGGGTTAAATACCCTCCCTATAACGATTAGTCGGAGGAATGATCGAAACTTTCACGTTATGTACAATTGCAGATTATGTACTGATCCTGTGTATGATCGACATTGGTTCATATACTTCCACATTCTGAGTCCGGAATATTTTAGCAAGCCAATGGAGATTCATCGAGACAGCTGCCAAAGCCAAGGGGGCATTCTTGGGCACAATTTCCATTCGGTCTTTGTCCATACATAGTACTAGACACACAACAATGTATGGGCCAGGATATGGGAAAATAGTAGGTATCAATTGGTGACATTTAAATACAAATTAAAAGAGCAATCTTTTCGCATGACTGAATCGAACATCCATTAATTTATTTATTCAATGACTACCACCAGCATGCGTTTCTTAGCTGCCACCCTCTTCTTCGGGGCCGTTCTGGCTGAACCATCTATGAGCGTTATGCTCAAGCATACCGACGGCAATGTGGTTCGTTCCCAACTCATTCAATCCAGTTAAAATCCAAAATCGGAATCTACTACTATCCATCTACACTTACACGAAGACGCTGACATCAAATTTACTATCTAGGAGGCCGACTACCCCGCAAAATGCTATCCAGACCCCTGCAAAGGCATAACCTACGTAAATGAGACTGCCGTGTGTGGTGATCCACGTCTAGGACCAATCGAGCTCCCCAAGTACTTCCCTCTTTCGACAGAAGTCCAAACCTACCACCGCTTCGGCGACCTCTGTCCCTACGAGTTCCTTGAAAAGTACTCATTGAACGTCTCCGACCCAAACGCGTACTTCATTTACCCCGGTGCCGGCGGTTTCGCCAACACAACCGATCAGAAGCCCATCTCCGGCACCGCTACCCTGGTAGTGGGCCAAAAGGTGGATCGGTTCGGAGAAGAAACGGGAACATACCTGGCGCCCCTGGGTGCGCCCTATATCGAACGTGGTCTGCCGCCTAAGAACTTGTTTGCGCCGAAGAATAGCAGTTATCCCTATAACTACCATGTGTATGAGGTGGTGGAGCCGATTGAGGTTAGCTTGGGTCCGGTTGCAGCTTGGTTTGAGCAGCCAGGCCTTGGAACGCAGTTTGTCTTGTTGAACGGGGACACAGTCGGCAGCTTAGTGGGTCATAAGCTGAAGATCCTGGAAAAGAAGGAGTATGATCAGGCTTCGGACTTTGCCGCGAATTATCTGCCTACTCCTCCACACAAGGCTTAATTTTGGTTTGATGATGGATTGTGATGCGTGGAGTGAGGAAAGATGCCCGCGCTTGATTTGGAAGATATGCCTGTCAGAACAAAGAATATTTAATAGAAATGACAATAATCTTAATGGGACCACTCAGCAAGCCAGCCTCCTCTTGAGCCACATACTAAGATGAAAGCAAGCAGAAAGTACCTGAAGTATGAGCATCATCAGACTTGCTGATTGATTGCCTGATTTGTCACGGAAACCGAGGGAGCGTGGATCAAGAAAAGAAAAAGAAAAAAAAAAAAGAGAACCGAACGCGGGGGTCGAACCCGCAACCTTAAGATTAAGAGTCTTACGCTCTACCGATTGAGCTAGCCCGGCTGAGCTTGTGAAAGGAGGAAACAACTTTGGCTACATATTAAATTTAAAATACTTCGTTTCTATCCCTGCATTGACAGCTAATGTTAAATGATATTATACTTTGGTCTAGATGTACAAAAGCAACTTAATCGAATCTTTCCTGTGCACACTATTCCTGCTGCTACAATTATCAGGTAGTTCGAAGTGTTCAAATTCCACTCTATCAATGCTGTGTGCACACATGCATCAATTGATGTAGTGCGGGTGGACTCTACTCAAGTGCTCCATATATATACACCGTGCCATGTTCCACTGCGGCCCACCTACATAGGTCAACTGGCACTCCAGACTGGTGCATGTGTACATAGGGCACATCACCGGGGCCCTCTGTTCCCGAATACCCCGCCGGACGAAATCACAATTATTTACGTGGAGCCCTGGAGGTCGTGCCGACATCTTCAGGGCCGTGATCTTGAAAGAAGGTTGGATTACTTCAAACATTCAATGTTGATTGCTCCAAGGTTACCTACCTAGTTACCGCTAGGTAGGTACATAGATGCGTGTGCCTATTTACTGCCTCACCCATCAAATGATGGATGTAAATAGATAGAAGCCTCCAGATGTTTTTATCGGGCAGTAAGGTTTCCAGGTTTCCAGGTTTCCAAGGTTCCAAGCACTTGAGGACAGTTGGTCGTAACATGATGAAATAATTAACTAAATTTATTTTGAATTTCCCCAGTTGGAAACATTTGAAGGATATAAAACATAAGCACAAAAATCCGACCCAATCATTTCAAAGCTCTATGAATCGTCCTCTGAAACAAAGAAAGTCTTCTGCACGTTCACACCACTGAAGAAAGTTCCCTTATTGGGATTCAAATCTTCCTGGCTGCTCGTGCGACTATCCTGATTCGAGGTATGGACAGTGGTGACGACTGCCCGGGCGTCCTCGGGGTCTAGGTCCGGTCGCCAGTACCGCGGGCCCGAGGTATCGCCAGAGCGTGCTGCATTTATACTGTCTAGCGGCATACTGCCACCAGTACGCTTGCTTCGACTGCCGCCCAAGCTGGGATCGCGGAACCAGCGGAAAAGCGGTCGAAGTGTAACCAGGCTGCCTGCAGCGATACCTAGACCGGCTTCGATGTTGGACCAAATGGAGATCTGGGTGGTTGCGTCTAGATTGATTATTAGAATTAAACAACAGGTAGTTTTGAGAGACGGGGGGGAGGGGATAGCCATGCACTTACAGAGGAAGTCTGCATCTTTGTAGTCGTGGAGGAAGGGAATACGGACAATGACAGCTGCGCTCGCACTAGATGTTTTGATTAGTCAATTGCAGAAACAAATATTGGTAGATGAATAGTTTGAACTTACACGCATCCCATGGCAAGAATAGCAGCCAAAGCGGCCTTGGTCCGAGTATTCATCTGCAAGTTCCAGACAAGAGAAACAGGCAAAAGTCCCAAGGTCATATCGCAACATGTGGCGGTGACACTGTAAACGTAGGCGATATCGATAATTCTGTCGAGGTTTGTGCAGCTGCCGGGCATTACTTCGGGTGGGGTATTATAGATTCGAACTCGCTGCCAGAAGTACGAGACCGGGTGACATTGCAAAGTCAACATGAACCAGAATACTATGCCAACAATTCCGGTCACGGCGATAACACACCACAGGGCAAGTCGGTGGACCTTGGAGACAGTGAGGCGGAGCAAAGCTAGAGCAATTGAAGTCTTTGCCATGCCACAGACCCAAACATAGCTGGTTTGGCCGAGCCACCACCACTGGGAAAGTGTTAGCTTCGGCTCGTATTTGAATTCACGAATGATTTGAGAGAAACAACGTACAAACATGGCGGTTTCCATTGTACCTCGCTCTATCAGGACCTCGGTCTTTTGACCCATACCGTAAAATGCGCCGGTAATACCACATAGAGAAAATAGAATGTTCAGAATCTATAAGATAATAAGTCACATGTCAAGGGCATAGATTGCTTAATTGTTATTCACCATAGCCATGACCATAAAGCCATCATCCCAGCCAAAAGCCTTGACCAGCTTCAGGCGAACAAAACATCGTAGGCAAACGGCGATAAACGAAAGACCGAGGAAAATGGTGGTGATAATAAAGATGGTCTGACTGCGACCCTCCAGTGGAAGCATGGTGATAGCAAGATAACGATTGAGGCTTGAAATCACTTGCAATTCATGTTCAGAATTGCTAGGCCGTATATATGGTCACAAATATGGTGACTTAAAAAAAAATGGAATTAAAAAAGACCCTTACGGGTATTGGCGATGTCTAGAAGGCAAAGAAAGGAACAAAAGGAAAAGAAAAAGAAAGTAGTACGATCACAAGCTTAGCATTATGACCTTTGGGTGGCAAGAGAGAAAAAAAAAACGCTTAGCGGATTTTCCGGGAGCTGTATACCGTGTTTATGAATGTTTATGAATATAAGGCCAAGAGGGAAAAAAAGGGAAAAAACCACAGGGAATTCCACTCGCTCCAGAACAAGATGCACCAAGCGGAGACAACGAACTAGTGCGATCAACCATGGGCCTGGCTCACGACGGCAAGTCTGAACCACAAGCCCACAAGCTCGAGCTTGTGGGGTCATACTACAATCTCTATTCTACAACTTTGGTTTCGAAATTGGATTCCTCCATAACCAACACGGTCATGAGCACTTGAAAGGGGGAGAGAAAAACAAGCACAGTATGGCTGGTATGTTTCACCTTCAACGGTAAACTTGACCGGAACCCCGAAAATCTTATTACCAATAACTTACCTCGTCTTTTTTCTCTCCCGCTCAAAAGTTCTAGTCTCTGCCGCTCAGACCTACAACGCCTCTCGAACACTCGTGGGTTTCATGACTGGGACTACGGGGGCCTGACTAGAAGAAGAGTGCCCTGCGTATGCTCAAGGGAAAAAAAAGCCTGTTCTACTTGCGTCTCCACCAACGAGCGATTACGTTCCATCCACCATGTGGAGACCGCGGTCGAATTTCCACACATGCAGAACCGGGCCTGGTACCACTAGTCTCTTTCTAGTCATTTCAGCGTTCTAACGTTCCAGTCGGGATATACCGTTGCCGTTGTTTGGACGAACGAAGCGTTAGATCGGTTTTCTTGTCCCCGCTTCTCCCCCCTGGACCAACTTTAGCCAACTTTAGCACAGCCTGGTCTTCAGCAACCCCCTATCTCGGCAATTGATGCTCGGGGCGCTTGCCAAACATTAAAGACATGTGCTCCAGAACCATGGGAAGGATTGTTCAGCAAGGTTTTGACAGGCCACTAGTGCTCAAACTAACGAACTGTCAACATGGGAGTTGGGGTGGTGGTATGCATGTGCAGACTAAAAGGGGGGACGTCAATCGATCTGAGAATCTGATCAATACGTACCCGATGATATCGAAATCGAGATCTTTTTGAGATGGGTTGATTCGCACCGTGCTGAGGCGCACCCTGGACTGGATCAACCCGCCTTTCCCCTTGCCATGGACGATCAACGGGAGAAAAACCTTTGCGCTACCAAAAGCGAGTTATGATCTGCAGAGTTGTGGACTTTCCGGAAATTACTTGACTATTGTGCTGTGGCGTCTCCACAATTCGTGCTCGGCGAAAGTGGATTGTTTTTGAACCTCATTTTCCCGTAGCGATTGTCGCTTAACATTTGGGCAGGCCACAGATAAGCACATGTCAAGCAGCTTGACACCATATGCACTGGCAGGTATTCTTGATTTCGGTAAAGTCGCATCATTCTTACTAGTGTGCAGCCAGTCGAATACACTTCTTTTGTCACGTTGCCATTGACCTTTGTTTTCCCTCCTCTTTGTGTCTTTTATTCCGTCTAATGCATTCCGTGCATGGTTTGAAACAATGCCATTGCACACCGGGGAGAACATTAAACCCAGCACCTCCCCCCCCATTGGAAGTGGATCATCAAATTGAATCATGTCAAATGGGCCCCAGCCTTGCCAAAATTAATGATCTCGATTGCTTCCCACGTGTATCGGCAGTGCAATTTTATTCTGGCTTAACCATGGTACGTGGATCTCTACCTTTCAAGCTAGTAATGGACATCTGGACCCCTTGCTCGTATTCAACCTTATAAATAGTTATGAACATTGAAGATAAGACATTCAATTGGAATGCTGTCAATTTTGGATTGCCGTTGCGCTCAGCCGCGAAGATTAGAGAGCCATTTCTAAGGTTGGGGCGCTTGTAGCCTTAGCCGCTAATACAATATTGCTCAAATGGATCAAGTTTATTTCAACCAGGATGATTTTGGTAACCCCGGCAATCAAAGCCTAAGGGCCAGGGCTCAAGTGACAATCTACAATATACTACCTGCCAGGCCTGAACTAGCTGAGCGGTTTGGCCCCAGGTGATTATCGCAACACCCCGGCTTATATGCCATTCACGGGAAGTCTCAATAGAACTGCCCTGGCTAGGATTCTGGCCATTGAAACACCTGTGCGGTGATGTCTCCACATACAGTTCCCGAGATATCGCATTCTTAACGTTGACTGTCGCAGCCACAAACAAATTGCGCATTCGCTATATCAAATAGACTGACTCGATGTGCTCACAGAGCAACATGTTCAATATTTACATATCAAGTTTGCATTGAGGGCGTTCCCGATAATCCAGTCGGATGCCTCACAATGAACTTACTTCCACTGGGCCTCGGGGGTGGCCTGGAAGGTCTTCAAGATCTTCACAACCTTCTCCAGAGCCTCAACCTCCCGGTTCAGACCAGCAGCCACCCGGGCCTCAACCTCGGGGTCCACCTGCTCCTTGTCGTTGTCGGCAGCCTTGGCGTTCTTGTCGTCAACCTTGCGGAAGAAGGTTGTTCGGTAGGGGCAGAAACCCATGGCAGCGCTGAAGACACCCTTGACAACAAAGTTGTGGTGGGGCTTGAGGGTGCTGCCATAAGCCTGGTTGAAAGAGGTAGAGAGTTGGGAGGAGGGGTTGTCAAGGTTGTGGCGGAGAGCTTGGACAGTGAAATCAAGGCCACTGTTTGGGAAAATGACAATCAGTAACCATTCGAATAGACCATGGAAACACGTTGTCTTGTTTTCATTGAGCAAAATGGAGGACTTACCGGACCAACCAGAGGAGACCCTCGGTAGCCTTGTGCTGGCCAGACTTCAGCTCATTTCGGACAAGGTCCTGCAAAGTCTCAGACTCCGCGGGAGCAGCATCCTTGCGTTTTTGTACTTTCTATGAAAGGCATCAGCATCAGTTATGTGGCGTGATGAGGGGCAGGGGTGACGAACCTCAATGTTGGTGTTCAAATCAGCAATGACACGGTTGAAGGCAGTGGCACCGAGGATATCTAGAGCATGACAGCGTCAGTATGAAAGTTAATTTGGAACTGGACTAGGAGCAGCTTACCGAACAGGGTGACCAAGGACCGAGCAGCTTGGAGGAACTCCTCAGTGTTGATGGCATCGCCGTTGGAGGGATCAATGGTGACGTTCACGAAGGACTTGCCCTCGATCTTAGCGAGCCAATTGGTATCAGGGGAGGCAGCCATAATTGCGGATGATTTAGAATAAGAATCAAAGATGCAGTTGGAATTAGAAACAACAGCAAGCCAAGGGAAACAACCAAACAGCTGTCCCTCACCGCTGCCCTGCCACGTAAACCAATGGCGGGGCAGCATAAACGCAAACAGTGCAAACATTCTCCCCACCATCTGAGGATCACGTGCCAGGATCCCCGAATTTGGTTTGTTTGCTTGAACTTGACGTCATCGAATCAAGTTGCATCAAGATCAAGAAGATCTTTCCATCAGTTGTCCAAGCTTATAACCCTCTCTTTCCCGTTCCTAGCTCAATATCAACAGTGCTGCATGAAACCTCAAGTTCTTCTTGTGCAGTTAGCTGTTTCGCAGGACAATTCTGGGTAAAACACCAGTGCCATGAGCGCCTCTCAGTCCAACGGCACTCCATTAGATACCACCGAAACCGTCTATCATGAACACTACAAGGGCCTGCAGGTTGGGTCCTACACGGACCAAAAGCTGGTAGGTGAATTGTTCACAGCTTGCCCTTGATGTCGAACTAACGGGGTCCGCGTGTAGCGACATGCCTCTGCTCACCACCTGCACATGACAAGTCGGCGCTTCTTTATCGGACCGATCCCTAGTGGATGGCTTCAGGGACATCGAAAATCCTGGTATCGATCAAGAATCCGACTGAAGAACTATACATCGCAGACACTTTCATTTAAAGTGGACCCTGTCACATTCCATTACAGCCAACAAGACAATGATCTACCTCAGCAACCTTCGCAGCCATTGGAGGATAATGTTGCCCTCACGTTTACCAATACAAACCAGGAGCTCCCCGAAGACGAAGAAGATATAACTACCGAACAAGAGGAATGTGAAGAGCCACAGGGAGAACTTCGATCCCTCTCTCACCCCACGGCAGAAACAGAGGTGCCAACTCAGACAGAGACAGAGACAGAGACGGAATCAGGAACAGAAACAGAGACGGACAGGCATGGCAACGAATTTGAATCAGAGGAAGATGACGAAAGCACTCCGCGCGCGAGTGCCCCGGCAAGTGCGATGACACGAGAAAATGTCTACAACGATGGTACCGCATCATCCTCGTTCGTCACAGCCAGGGAGGAAGTAAGCAGCAGCGCTGAATCGGGATCTTCGACATCTACTATCCACGCTAGTCCAAACGTGGCCTTTTCTGATCAGAGGCCTCGATCACAATGGTCGCAGAATCTGAGTGTCGGGGGTCCCAGCATTGGCAATGCTAGTCCATCGATACATCCTACTTCTGGAGTTCCAAGCGAAGCTGACTCTACCACCAATTTGCTAAAAGGCAAGCGAAAGGATCCGAAGACATCGAGGAGCCAAGCCTCTGGTATATCCAAATTCACGTTAGAACATCAAGAACCCCAGGATGAAGATGATACCGAACAAAACGACCTGGGTCAAGAGGAACAACCACAGGGGCGAATTACGCGAAAGATGGCAAAGTACAACTTAGATGACAATATCATGGATAAGCAGCAGAGATTGCGCTCTAAGTTAGCCAAGACCGGGAATACCATATCCGCGAACCGGCCACGACGACGGAAGTTGCACGACGGAGAGATCATCAAAGCGGAAAGAATGTTGGTTCTTGTTGAAGAGTCAATGAAAGAGATGCTTCCCGACGACTACTCTGAAAATGATAGTCTACGTATGGAGAATCGGACTGTGGATAAATGGCGTGAGTTTCTGGTTGTTTGTCGAAAGAGTTCAGCCGAGCATGCGCCCTTCGTCCTTCAGATGTATCGGACTCGTGTAATCCCTGACGTTCAAAACCCGAATGTCAAGACACGGCCATACTATGAGGTTCGATTGAATCACAAGAACACTCGAGTCAATCTATACTCGTCGCTTGATAAGACTATTGTCATTTGGCATCCACGCAAGCGCGGCACAAAAATCTATATCATTCGACCCAAATCTTCTGCCCATGCTGCTGAATGGTATACGTTCATTCGACAAGTGCTTGGGTGGAAACGGCCTACCAGCATACCAGTGAATGTTCCGGACCTTGGTGTTTCTCTGATATTCGAGAACCCGTTCCAGCAGTTGGAGGCTCAGCTGGGTTTGGGTCATGATGACAATCAACACACTACTGTTCTCAGCCGAGCTGCAAAGGAGGAAAAATATGCCGCTGCTGCCATTGTTCGAGGCTGTTTAGAAATGCTAGAAGGTCGTCCGGAGTGGGCCGAAGTTCTCAAGTCTTGGTCCAAAACCGAGAAAATGGGACTTGCCTGGAAACGGTATGATCGCCTTGAGTGGATATATGGTACAAATGAAGAGAAAATGTGTGGATCAATTGCCATGCAATCATCCCATGAGCTCGAGCTTCGCCCACGCCACCACTATTCAACAGCTGTCAAGAAGTTGACAGACAAAAGGGAAGACGAGCCGCCGCCACTAGAAGGATTCTTGGTCCGCCTCACATCACAAAAAGGTGTGCATCAGAGAATGAACAAGATGTTTTATAAACGTCTGTACTTCTTTACCGAGGATCACCATTTATTATTTTGCAGACCCGCCAAGGCCCTTCCTCCAGCGCCACCAAAATTCGCACAGCCAGAGGATTCGAGTATACCGTCGGCCCAGGAAATTTTAAGCCAAGCGCCAATATCTTGGGATGTTAACCCATACCCTGTCCAAGATGGTGAAGTTGAGTGGCTATCCAGTGGAAACCCAGAATATGTACAACGGCATGACGAGGAAGCCTACGCACAGTGGCAAAGGAGTCTCCACAACATCAACCATGCAGATGGATACATCGACCTATGTAAGGTGCGTGAAGTACGCCGCATGAAATGGGGGAGTAGTCCTGCCGACCCCAATATTTCAGAAGGGCCGGCTGTCGACTTCAACCCTGAAGGAACCAGCTCACGTCGGGACGATGGTTCTACCAAGCAATTTGATGACGATCGGACATTTGAAATGGTTCTGGAGAATGGATTGGTCATTCGTCTACAAGCATATGACACGTCCACCCGTGATCAATGGGTTAAAAGACTAGATGCCTTAGTCAGTTACTGGAGATGCCGCTGTGCTGACGATGCCGCCGAATTGATCGCCGTACGTCAGCGTAATCTGAAACTCCTGGAGATTGACGAGGAGATGGAGTCAATTATAGGCCAGTTTGCAAAGAAGTGGGAGGTGAAAAAGGCCGAGGCATCTCCGCATCTACACAATATGTGTGCGCTATCCGGATGCAGGACAATAAAGGTATGTAAATTTTGCTTGATGATTTCCCGACCCTAATATTAACCACGATACCATCTACCTAGATGTCAGGTCAACTCTACCGCAAACCTCGTCGTCATACTACATTCGCCCGTTGCCACGTTCTGCTCTCGGATGGCAAACTCCTCGTTTTCCGAAGCACATTACGCAAATACAATGGTGTCCAAATCCCACACATTCACCAGGAACACGAGACAACCATCGATTTGCGAGACTGCTACATCTACTCGGGACTCATAACCGAGAAAGACCTTTTGTATGCCAATCAGACATTTGATAGTAATCACCCAGGTCACCGCGCCCTGCCGCGCGTATACCCTGCATCGGATTCCTTCACCAGCCGCGATGAAGATACTGCCACCACTTTTGTGATCTGGCAACCCACCCAGAAGACCTTGTTCCGCGCCCAGGAACCCACTTTGCAAGGTACTGCAAAGCGGTCCCTACGCCATGTCTCGACACTTGGCAAACACGGCCGGACGATTGTGTTCAAGGCACGCAGCCGAGTTGAGAAGGACCGGTGGGTGATGAGTATATCTTCTGAGATCGATCGACTTCAGGAAGAGAGACACGAAGACATCCGCATTGTCTCTCATTAATTACTAGTATTAATGGCTCGCTTTTTTATATTCACGAACACGAACACGCATAGCATCTCGGGAATTCCATGTCATCAAATTCAGTTCACTTGTTTTTCGAGCATTTATAGCTATGTATCCAATCATTATTAATTGTGTAGTATCTGAACCGAGTTATGTTAATTCAAAAGGTTCATCTTTCCCCAAAAATGCCCAACGAAGTGCTTGAGTATCAAAGCAGAGTCCAGCTGTAAACATACTAAGTTCCAAGCTCCGACCCTGGAAGGGAATTTCCTATTCAGGTGAAGGGCTACGGTGGTCGAGACCTGAGGCCGCCCAACACGCCGAATCGTGTTATAGCAGTGTACAAACATTTCAATCTCTTCAATTTCCTTTCCTCTTTCTTCCCAAAGCTATTGCCTCCCATCTTCCCCATCGTCTTTTATCATAATCCGCCATCCACAATCAATAACCCTTCATCCAGAATTGCACTGTCATAATCACCCTGGGAAAGCGTGGACTCTGTAAGTAGGAAAGGAAGACACCTCTGACAGTCCTCGCGGAAAAAGTCCAACGATGCCATTCTCCATGTAAGTCCCATCTATACCTTGCATTAGCAGAAGAAATACTCAACTCAGAAACACCAGCGCTTCTTTATTAGAGGCCGCCCTGGCGTCAGAGCTCATCTACATTTACATCACGACATTGCTACTCAGTGCCATCCTGACCATTCGGCCCGTTCGACGGTGGATCTTCACACTAGGGAACTTCATCAGAGAACTGGAGCTCATAGAAATCATGACACTCATTACCCTCGTGACTCCGCTAGCCCTCAATCTTTACATGGTCGCAGTCCTCTGGAATCAGTGAAGCCAACAGACCTCCACGACCTTGAGGGCAACCAACGATGGTGATATACCTGCAGCATTCAGTGAAAAAACACTCACAGAAATCGATCAAATCGATGGGTTCCATAAAATTGTGAAAGTTTGCGAAGGGCTTGTTGATCCCAGCGTGAAAGGTTCCGTCGGCAAGATTCCCTGTACGCTGGATTATGCCCAAATGCAGAAACTGCTAGAAGGGAGCATGGGAGATTTCTTCGTTGCCGAGAAGGGACACCACGTTGATGCGGAAGGGAAGGTCCTGGTAGAGATTGGGGTTTTTGCTATGATCAAGGATTGAATTATCTTGAGTTCTTTGAGACTGAAGTTGCTCCTGTGAGGTTACTATGTTATTTATGCAGGCATAACATATCTACAGATCGAAAGCTCAATCAGACCTCCAGGCTACATCTTATCAAGAGGGGAGCCAATTATGAGTGCATCTTGTTTTCAACTTGGTACCTAGCACGAGACTTTGCTGCCCAACACCCTACCAATAAAAGGGCTTACATCCTGCGGGCGGCTATTTTTTTTTACCCGCGTAACAAATCCACAGCCATCTCTTCTGAGTTTAATCATTTCTTGAATAGTGATTTTCAATTACATTTCATCCTCAGTCTGCACACATAGCTGCTGGCCGAGCCATAATCTACGACCCTCTATATCGTAGCGCATACTTAAATAAGGCTCAGTCAAGTTGCAAGGCTATCGTGGACGAGTTGGAAAGCTATTCACTCACTCCCTTTACATAGCCAAGAGGGCCTGAAATTCATGGAACAATAGGTTGTACAGGGTAGAGAGGCTCTAGAATTCAAATGTTACGCATGCATACTACACATGTTCTATCAAGTTCTAGAACTTCCAAATTGAAGCCTGAGGCTACCATCATCAGTCATCGCTACGTCAACCTAGACGACACTCCCCGAAAATCTATGAAGTGCTTGAAAATGTGAAGGGGAGCAATCTAGAAGTCGTACAAAATACGTGGCAAGACAACCAGATCATGCGGCCATACACTTACTTGTGATCAAGCTGGAGGAAGTAGATGAATCCTTCTTTTTAGCGTACATAGTGTACAGTCACGTATCGTCGTTGTCTCATAACGCTGCATAAAAAATAGGTAAAAGAAAGCAGAGATGGGGAAAAAGATGAAAGACGAAGATGTTCATCTCACTTCTATCAAGAAGCAAACAGATCAATCACTTTCATTCGAACCATGAAGATCGCTCTCTGTCGGAGGGAACACATGACTACAAACAAAGATTAGCTTCGGTCCAAATTTTGGAGGAGGAAATAGAAGCACCCACGGAAGAATTTGGTCGTAAATCCCAACATCCACATCCTGAAAAAGGCAAAAAATAACTCGGTCAATCTTATGCGCATCTTCAGAAGTCTCTAGAAATTTGCGAACTTCGTCCGCAGCCGCGATCGCAGCCTCTTCATTGGGATATCCATAAATGCCAGTACTGATGCACGAGAAAGCAATGCTCTTTATGCCCCGGTCGACAGCAAGCTCAAGGCAGCGACGGTAACAAGATCGAAGAAGTTCCTCAGGACGAGCCGGATCCTTCCTGTACTCTTGGCCGTAGATCGGACCGACAGTGTGAATAACGCGCTCACAGGGTAAGTTGTAGGCGAGAGTACATTTCGCATCGCCCGTTTCACAGCCACCGAGTTTCTGGCAGTCCTGCAGCAACTGGGGTCCAGCCACACGTTGAATAACCCCGTTGACACCGCTGCCGCCTCCGAGATCACGATTCGCGGCGTTGACAATACCATCGACTTTCAGCTTGGTGATGTCACCCTGCAACCAAGAGACCATGTCGTTCAGGGATTGGACGGGTTTGCTTGGGGATGGTGGGGTGGGCTTGGAGAGTTCGCCTTCCCGGTAGAGCTGGGAGAGGGTGGGAATCTCCGCTAGGGTCAATATTTCATCTTCCATGTTGGGTTAGAGTCTGATTTTTGATTGGAGAACGTGATATGGGGATAAGGAGGGTGAGGTGGGGAGTTGACGGATGCGGGGGAAAAAGACGTTGGAGATGATTTCATTCCCCGCGCCGTTGGACGCGTCGAGCGCAGTCACGTGCTGTGAACGTTGGAAGCAAACAAAGTGCGTAGTAATCACTGCATTGAAAATGATGCGTTAAGGCTTGATTGAAATGTTGAAGTATCTTTTTCGAGGCAAACATTTTGTGAGAAGCACTAAATAATATGAGTAAGATTTCACTACGGGGGCCCGGACAGTGTCCGAACAGGGCATGCCGCACAGCTTATACAAAGTACCCATTCGGCAGCGTCTGGCCAGTCTCTTCACCGGCTATAACATGAACTACTACACCATTCTGGATAAAACATAAGTGGAGGCTACTAAAGGTCAGAAAAGCAAAGAAAGAGCTAGTAACAGGCAAGAAGAAGAAAAAAAAACTGAGCATCTAGACCTTCCTTTCTATACCATCGCCGAATCCCAATTGTCCACTTCCAAAGTTAATCGAACGCCCACCAGTCATAAGACCGCATATGACCCTGAGATCACTCAAATCAAGGCACAGTCAGACTAGGACTTGAAGCTTAAAGACTAGGAAATCATACGACTCGTGCATCCAGGCCTACGCCCCCCAATCACAGAATCGGACTCTTCCCCACGACAAGCCTAGCCCGAACTGAGATGTCATATTGCGACAGGACTCGATCGCATGGCACTTAAAACGGTAAGCTGCATTGCATATGCAATCTGCACGCGACGGAAAGGGGACACGCTTGGACTGGTTCTTGACCTTCCACCAACCATTTCCCCAGTCGATCCCCTCATCAATCGTGATCCATCCAATAGACCAAAAGTACTCTGTCCCGGGGCAATCTTCCGTCCAGCCCCCTCCTTCTTTCCCCCTCTCAGCCTGATCATTTCAAGCCAAGCTCGGGATTTGCTGACCCCATCGCCCCTCCCCGCCTCTAGATCCCGGCTGGCAATGGGTAGCGGCGGATTGATGGAAATATACTGGACGATTTGTCAAGGGCTAGGCGCCTCGGTGACACATGTATCTAAGACAAGTTTTTTTAGAAGAGGCAACCTCACAGATAGCCACTGAAATCTTGTCGCTTTTTTTTTTTTTTTTTTAGTTTCAAAATGCTTAATAGGGAGGAAAGCAGAAGCAAGAAGAGCATGGCATGAGCTCAGGCATCGAGGCAACGGAAATTTAGCGCTCAAGGAACGCAAGCCAGCCCCGAGGGTTGCGCTAGGACTTTGCCCCCATTACTCCGTATTGAAATTCAGATTCGGAAAGGATGGTACTTTTTCTTCCCATTTTTTGCGCCTTGTTTTGCACTAAGAACCAACAGATCAGCATCCGTAGGCTTATGTAGTCTCCATAAAGGTGGTAAGAAAAGCAGAAGACCATTTCATCTCAGATTTCCCTCCCATTCTCCTTTATTCCTCGTTCTCAACTTCTTCCTCCCTCTCCCTGTCCCTCTCCAACGGAATGTACCCACCCAACATTTAAAATGAGGTCCACATCGTTCGGAGAGGATAAAGTGAACAACAATGGAAACTTCGGGGATTCAGGTATCGGGGATCACAACCAAAACAGGAACGCTGTTCGAAGAGTTTGGTTTCCGCGTGGTTAACAAGTGGAGCCCGCAATTCCCCCTACTCCCCTACTCCCCTACTCCCCTTCTCCTCTTCTCCCCTGGCCCCTTGTTTAAGACCCGGTGGAGAAAAAAAAAACCGGTACCCGGGACTGAACGCAGCCGTTTTCCTGCCAGGGAGGTTTGACGTTCCGAGGGCCCGCGGATCTGCGGGGCCCAGCCCATGTGTCTACGGTCGATATTTGCGGATGGTTGATTTGATTGAAGATTGCCGATCCTTCGGCTGTTGTATCGCACGGATCTATCTCATTTCGCCAACGGGCACTGCCAAAAAAAAAAAAGCTGCACTAGCTTGTCTTGTCATCACTCCTTCCTGTTGCAGAAGATGATCTGGGTTCTGGTGGATTGGAGGCGAAATGCCAAAAAGCCTCCGAGGGTTTGTGATTTTTAAAAAAAGACCGCGCCCCCCCCCCATGGTTTGTGAAGGAGGTCCGAGGGCGAACCTGTTCCTCTTCTTTCCCGTATTTGGCAATTTTCTCTTCGCTCATCTCCTTTCAATCCCTGGATCTTCGTTTCTCTTTTTCTTTCCCTGGAGGTTCTTGTGGAGTCAAACCGTATTCTGGGAATTTGGATGGGGAAGAGAGCAAGCCCGAGTGGATCCGTTTTTGCTAATGGTTATTGGCCATTGGATCGTTCTTGCCACCTCTGAGTAGCACTTAGCGAAAACCCAGCGTATACAGTACGTATAGTTCAAGGCCGTACCTGTAAATCTGTAAATCTGGAAAGTAAAGAAGCGCCTGCTATGGTTATTTGGAAGCAAAAGCCACATGAACTGGGGTCGAATTCCAAATAATCCCTTGTTCTTTGAAAGAAGGGATGTGTCTTGTTGTGGATTAGCCGCAGCTGTCACAAAAACTCAAATTTCTCCTCATTTTGCGGGCGGTCTAGACTGCAAGTCAAACTTGGAAAACATTCAACTTGACATTTCAAGCAACAGAACTTGATGAGTATGTTGAGTCGTACCATTTTTACTCAGACTATGCTAAACCCCCGTTTTATGCAGATTGTTCATGAATCATCTGCAATTACAACATGTTTCCGGCGTGTGATAAGGCCAAGATCACGCATTTCAAATACATCCCTGTCCGATAGCAAGCCATGTACGCAACTAGAAAGGACGGATTCAAATCGAGATAAAGATTTGGCATGCATTAGACTCTTTTCGGCACTTCCCACTCTATTGCCATGCGTGGATTGTTTCACTGTCCAGAACATCGGCATACAACCTCCATTCGGACAGCTCCTATAGACAAGTGAATGCGAGGTCCCCGAACCCTTTCATATCCAAACCGAAGTAAAACGGTAAACCCGATATTAGCACCTCAAATCAGATTGACTGATCAGCTTCTCATCTAGAACAAAGTACATATCGAGTAGGCTGCAAGCACGGAGGATACACTCCGTAACCCAGATATCACCAGCAGCGCCGATCAGGATCAAACAAACTCCAGGGCCCAACCGTACCGCTGATCTCGATGCACTATGCCGCAAGAGTGCAGAATCCGCAAATATGACAGCCGGGGAAGCAGTGACAAGCCTGATAGTCTCCGTCAAGCGCAGCGACGGGAAGGTTCCGATGCATAAGCCTCTCATGGATGTTTGAGGTCGAAACGGGGAGATGACTCGGCCGAAGTCCAGCCCCCCAAAAAAGAAAAAAAAGTATAAACCAACGATGCTCTAGGACAAAAGTCCGGAGTCAAACCGATGACACCTGTCATCGACAGAACTAGAAAGCTGCATATAGACATATTTGGCACACTTAGCTCAATTGACACAGAGAAAGAGCCATGTTTCCCCCTGGATTTGTCTTGTTGTCCGGAACGCTAACTCAAACCCCGAGAATCAAACTAGAAATGCACCGTTGCAGGGCTCGTGCGAGGATGATCAACTGTCGCCACAAGGAAATGCTTTGTTTTCTCCTCACATGATTTGCTTGTTGGATGATTTCTGGGTCGAAGGGGGGGGGGAATTCACTCATCCACTCGGATCTGCCTATACAATTCACTGTACCAGTGGATAGTGTACGGTTTCCCTTTGCCCTTTCTGTTTTGTTTTTTTGAAATCTGTATTTTTTTCTTTCTTTCTTTCCTGTTTAACAGTAATTTCCCCCCTATCCATCTCGAAATCCAGGCAAGCTTTGCCTGTTTCCCATTAACAGGCCAGAACCAGTCAAAACTTGAATCATGCCGGGGATTCGAGCTAGAGGTACAGTTAGTCAGATCCCAAGATGACGCGCACGTACAGAACGATCGCTCTCATCGCCACCGCCATGCAGAGGAACCCACCGACCCCATAACAGACACGGGATATCTCGAGCCAAACGGGCACTAGTAGCGATTGCGAAATACCATCGTGGATTTCATACCGAACCAGGTGGAAACCAATCCAATAGTGTCGATACGGGCAAGATATCTGACGAATGAAGTGGACCGGGGGCTTAAGTCCAAATTGTTCTGGGGCTGGGTGTTTTTTTTTTTGGTTTTGTTTTGATTTGTTCGTTTTCCCGTTTCTTTCCCCTTTTATTTTATTTTTGCTTTGATCTCTTGTTGATATTCTGGAAGACGGCACATGGAAAAACCTGGAGCAAATAGTCGCATCCACCTGGGGATCCACTGAGGCGGATCTCAACCAGAAGATTTCTTGTTCACGCCTCGTGGCTAGTCACCAGTTAATCTCGCCTCGGGTCATTTGTGGCTCTTATCTCCACCTCGTATCGATCTGGATACAGAAGAACTAGTCTTAGTGCGAGGACAAAAATGAAATGAATTGAAGAACTTGTCGATGCTGAGTTCTTTCTCGCACGATAGGATCTGCAATGGTTCAAATGTTACCGGCTGTATACGGGAGGTGGTTGTAAAAAGTGGTACTCGGTACAGGATACAAACCTCGATTTCCAAGGTTACCAATGTGAGCAAATAGGCAAAATACCAGAGGACCAACCCACATGTATTATCAAGTGAGTTGATTGACATGCAGAGCAGGAGTTCTCTAATTGGGGGGATATATGGAAAAGCGGAAACTTCCTTCCCAAGGATGATTTTCCGAAGCTTCAACGTCTTTGTTTACTTGCGGAGCGCAGTGGGAATTCTCCGGTTACTCGGGATTTGCAGAACAACGGCGCACCGGTCTGCAGTATAAGTGGGTCGAAATAACTGGAAAAAAACGGAGCTTCCCTCCTTTCGGGATCCATCCAAGATTGGCGTGGAGCAGAAATGATGGACTAGCAGAAAAAAACATTCAAAAATACAGGATAAACAGCCTAAACTGGACCCGTTCTCACAAGGGAATCTCGGCAGCGAG